TCCCTCTTTTTTCTTCCATTGAAACTAATTCTCCCCGCACTTCATACGGCCGCTACCTCACCAGCTAACCCCCACGAATCTCGCTGAATTCCTTCTTTTTTTTCTTCTTGAAATTCAAATCTACTATTTCAATACCCATCAAGAACATACTTCTTTCTCAACTCGCCGACGCCATTTATTTTCTATTTTCGCTCCACTATATTTCATCCACTTCTCATCCGACACTTCCAATCCAAACATCTCACTTCATACGGCCGCTACCTCAGCTTATAACCCCCACGAACTTTCACCAAATACCGCCATTTTTTCCAATGTTAAAATTCGAATCTACTATTCCAATACCCATCAAGAACATACTTCTCCCCCGGCTCACCAACCATATTCCTTTTCTATTTTCGCCTGACATTATTATACTCCATTTTTCAGACTAACCTACACCCTTCTTCGCACTTCATACGACCGCTACCCCACCAGCTATCCCCCACGAATCTCGCTGAATTCCTTCTTTTCTTCCAATCTTAAAATTCCAATCTACTATCCCATCCAGTATTCATCACATACTTCTCTCTCGGCTCACCGACGATCCTTCTTTTCTATTTTCGCTCGACCTTCTTCTACTCCCTCTCTCTCTTTTCCATCGAAACTAATCTTCCCCGCACTTCATACGGCCGCTACCCCATCGAATAATCGCATTAATTTACCCATCGATTCCCCCGAAATTACCACTACTCTCCCAATATTAATATTCAAATAGACTCTTTTCACCTATCTCTATAACATTCCTTCCTATCCATTATCCAACTCTTCCCCTTCCATGAATATTCTTCCGCATCTAACACTTCGGATACCTCCATTGATCTCCCTCAATTTCCCCTTTTTCTCCAATATTAATATTTAAACCCGCTATTCCATCCAAAATTCATTATATATTCCCCTCTCCACTCACCAACGACCTTTCGTTTCCGTTTTCGCCTGACCATATTCCATCCATTTCTCATCTCCGATCTTCTTCGCTTCCCCGCACTTTATACGGCCGCTACCCCATGGGATAACCCCCACGAATCTCACTGAATTCCTTCTTTTTTCTTTCTTAAAATTCAAATCTACTATTTCGATACCAATCAAGAACATACTCCTCTCTCGACCGACCGATCCCTCTCTTTCTTGATTTATTTTTCCCTCTTTTCCACTCCATTTCTCATCTCCCATCCTCTTTCTTTCTCGCACTTCGTACGGCCGCTACCTCATAGGATAACCCCCACGAATTTCCCCCAATTCACCATCCATTTTGCATTTCAATATTCGAATAGATTCTCTTCACTTATTTCTACAACATAGTTCTCTCCCCGCCTTCCAGCTCTCTCCTTCCATGAATATTCTTCCGCATCTAACACTTCGGATACCTCCATTGATCTCCTCAATTTCCCCTTTTTTTCAATATTAATATTTAAACTCGCTATTCCATCGATTATTCATCACATACTTCTTTCTTGGCTCACCAACGATCCTTCTTTCATATTTTCGCTTGACCTCCATTCCCTCTTTTTTCTTCCATTGAAACTAATTCTCCCCGCACTTCATACGGCCGCTACCTCATAGGATAACCCCCACGAATTTCCCCCAATTCACCATACATTTCGCATTTCAACATTCAAATAGACTCTTTTCACCTATTTCTACAGCATAACTTCCTCTCCCCCTTCCACCTACCCTGCTTCTACGATTATTTTTCCGCATTTAACTCTTCGGATTCCTCCATTGATCTCCTCGAAACACCACTAGTTTTCCAATATTAATATTTAAACCCGCTATTTCATCCAAAATTCATTATATATTCCCCTCTCCACTCACCAATGACCTTTCTTCTCTATTTTCGCTTCACCTTCTACTCCCTCTCTCGCTCTCATCGAAACCTCCATCTCGTTTCGCACTTTATACGGCCGCTACCTCATGGATAACCCCCACGAATCTCGCTGAACTTCCCCTTTTTTTCCAATATTAAAATTCAAATCTACTATTCCATCCAGTATTCGTCACATACTTCTTTCTCGACTCTTCCACCATCTTCCTTTTCTATTTTCGCTTGACCTTCTTCCACTCCATTTCTCATCTCCCATCCTCTCTTTCCCGCACTTCATACGGCCAGTACCTCAGCTAATAACCCCCACGAATCTCGCTCAATAACTTCTTTTCTTCCAATATTAAGATTTAAACCCGCTATTCCATCGAATATTCATCACATACTTCTTTCTCCACTCACCAACGATCTTCCTTTTCTATTTTCGCTTGACCTTCTTCCACTCCATTTCTCATCTCCCATCCTCTCTTTCCCGCACTTCATACGGCCAGTACCTCAGCTAATAACCACCACGAATCTCGCTCAATAACTTCTTTTCTTCCAATATTAAAATTCCAATCCACTATTCTAATATCTATCAAGAACATACTTCCTTCTCAACTCGCCGCCATCTTTCTTTTCAATTTTTGCTTGGCCATATTCCATCCACTTCTCATCTTCTTCGTTCCTCGCACTTTCTACGGCCGCTACCTCATCCAATAACCCCACGAATCTCCTCCAGATACCACCATTTTTCTCTCATTAAAATTCCAATCCACTATTCCAATACCTATCATGAACATACTTCCTTCTCAGCTCTTCCACCATCTTCCTTCCTCAGAATCCCTCCGCCTATTCTTCACTCTTTCTTCCTCGCACTTCATACGGCGACGACCCCATCCAATATTCCCCACGAATCCCTCCAAATACCACTAGTTTTCTAATATTAACATTCAAATAGATTCTCTTCACCTATTTCTATAACATACCTTCCTACCCGCTCTTCACCTACCCCCCTTCCATAGTTTTTCTCCCTCTTTTAACCCATCCGCAACCCCATTAATCTCCCTCGTTTTCCCCTATTCTTCTACTTTTAATATTACAGATCAATTTCAATAATCCACCTTCATAACATATTTCCCTCTTCGCCTCTCACCTATCGTATTTTTCCATTTTCCTTCCCTCTCTCTGCTCTCATCTCTCATCTTCCTCGCTTCATCACATTTGATACGACACAATCATTCATACTCCTACCGCTCCCACCACCCGCTTTCCTAGGATACCCGCTTTCCTCGGATACCTGCTTTCCTCGGATACCCGCCTTCCTGGGATACCGCACTTCCAACTCACGCTTTCCTGGGATACCCATTCTTCTCAACCATCACTACTTCTACTCGTTCTACCGCTTCTACGATACCAGTCTTATTACTACTCCTACTTCTTCCATCGCTTCTCGCATTACCGCTCCTGGAATACCTGCTTCTCTGGCACCTACCTCCCTCCATGACTTCTCCCCTCATTGATTAATTATTGATATATTTCCTATTCCCTTTCGATCAAAAACAGCTATTCATTAACTCCTTCTCCCTCTACTTCCACTGCTAGTTTCACCACGCGCCTCCCATTTACTACGCACCTTCCACTACCCAACGGAATTAATCTTCTCACCTTCGACCTCCTGGCATACTACTTGGCATTCCACGTTCTTATACTACCATATCCTGCTTATCCTCTCCGCAGATCTCCTCCTCTACCCACCTGGACTTAAAATTACAGCTTCCTACACTACTACATCGACACCGTTCCTGCCCCATTCTCACTCGCCTGCTACTTCCCTGGATACTCGCTCTCCTAACGTACTGTTTCTGGATTACGGTTCTCTTGACGCTATTCAACATTACTAGCTCCTTCCGTACTCTTCTAAAGTAGCTATACACTGTTGAACTCTTATTCTATAGATTTTTTGTATGACCTACTCCAGTGATCCACGACCTGAACACTTTCTCGCTCCTTCTGAGAATTGTTCTTTTCTCGCTGCTTCCACGGCTCATGAAAACTAGTTCCGGCACTCACCCTCGAGTTTCCCATCACATGACCAGCTCCTCTCCCTCAACTTTCCATCACATGACTAGCTCCTCTCCCTCGGCTTTTCATCACATGATCAAACGTTTAACATCCCTACATCCCTCCCTACACCACGCTGTAAATCCTGACATCCCCCTTACACCATTGAACATCCGTACCTACATTCTTACATTTTAGAGAAATTTGGCGGTCTTAGACGACTTGAAGCTTTATCATTCTGCCTCGTCTTTCAGGCCGAAAATGGGCTTTTTCTCGAAACAATAATTGAGATTACACATGGGGGAGAGAAGAACGAAACATAATGTATGGCTTGTAGTATAGTCTAAACGCATAGTTACATGAACCATACCTTTATTTGATCAATTTAATTGTCTTGACACCGATACCACATATCATGGATCTACACGCCATGAAACTAGTATCCTGCTTCTAAACTGCTCTTGAGATGGTGAACAAGATATATACTATTCTAGGCGCTCATTATGTTAAGCAGAATGACAATCTGGCTAACCACCGTAAATATGACACTATATACAACGCGGCTGACTCCAATAGTTTACATCAAGGAACTTGACCTGTGGCGCTATTTTGAATATATCGCAACTAGCACAACAACACGAACTCTCTCTACCGTGGGCTTCTTCGCTACCTCCTAGAGGGATTTACAGGACCAAGGTTTAAGCTTCCAATCGAGAAGAACTACTGCTTGAAATACAATACTTCACAAGAAAACTCGGTGAGCTCGGAGAACGCTCGCTGAGCTCAGTGAACACCCGGTAATCAGTTCAACACTAGACGGTTCAAGACCTATTATCACGTACTTTACAGCTTGTAACACACCTGCCCATCGTCTGCTCTTCAGCACTGCCAACCATCATCGGCCACCCTACCCGGCGCAGCTACCGCGTCAAAACCACCCATCCACCAGTCTGCAGCTCTCACGCGGAACACTTACGCTCACAATCCGCGACCTCTGCTGAAAAGTTCCAAACCATGGTCCAAACCATTCCATACGACAGTCCAACCACAGTCCAAACCATAGTCCTACCGCACTAGCTACATATCTATCTTACATAGCTCAGTTACGCACCTGTCCGAATAACACCGCACTGTACATGTACAACGGAACGCAGTCCCCTGCTGGTAGCTCCGCAAATACGTTCTGCAGTCGCAACCAGTGTGGCAGAACATTCACTTCAGGGACCTCCCGCACCTCCCAATGAAACTTTCGTCGAAACGTCTCATTGTTAAACAACCCGATCTGCATCATCAGGTATAATTCCCATCTCGGCGTCTTGCTAACGTCATATCCCAACGATTCTCTCTGCTCCATCTCCCATGACATTCTGTACGCATACTTCTTGATTTCCTGCGCACGATATCCAAACTGCGCAGATATATACTCAGGCCCAACATACGCTAGAGGTCCCGTCCGCCGCAGCTCCCAAGCGCTATTCTCATTCTCGATAACCGCCTCGAAATTGTTCCCACTCCACAGCTCGGCGCTTTTCTTCTCCTCATGTTTTCCAAAATACTCCAATATACTCATCTGCCTCTCGCAGAGATTGTCCCACAACTCAAAGTATTTTCTCTTTATTTCTAATCCAGAGTACAAACGGTACTCCCGCAACGCCGCGTCCCTACTCATCTTCAGTACCTTTCCCGACGATAGCAGCTCCAGGTAACTTGCATACTTCATACGGAATCGCACCATCAGCTCCCCCTTTCGCTCGTCAAAATCCTTAAGGAACGCAACCAGGCCCAGTTGAGTGTGAACTATCTTGTCTATAACCATACGGTAATCGCTGTCCGAATATATCATTCTCTTGAACGCTAGCGCCTCAACTGCAAGACCACGAAGAGACAACTTGGGCCCGTTGTTCAGACACAAACACACATCGGGATACCGCTCGCATCCATAACAGGTATCGCGGGTCTGGAACACACCCGGTGGAAGAAACTTGATATCCACCCCGTACAGTATAAGATGTTTGATTTGTTCGGTACCCATCTGCAAGTACTGAAACACCGTGGTATACCCATTAACTCCGTAGAATCGCCTTCGCAGAAACGCCTTTTCTCGCTGGATGTTAATATCTCTTCTTGTGGGTTGTGTTTCATCAGCAAGGTCATCGGAGGGTCGTTTAGACACTCCCAGCTTGACCCTTCGAAATAGATCGCATGTATCCGCCTCCAGGCCGTCCATTCTATCACAGCAACCAATATGTTCGGGTGAGGCTTCGACCAGACCATAGAACTGGCGGATCTGTGACGTTATACAGTCCAATGTCATCGAACCATCCCCTTCCCTTTGTCTTGGTGATGGCAGCTCGTCGCTATTCAAAACCAGTGAACAGAACCCGTTGGAACGCAACCGCCCGGCGCACTGGATGTACTCTCCAATCTGTGGAAGATAGTCGACGATGAGAACCATTCGCAACTCCTTAACGTCGATTCCCTCGGACACAAGCTTTGTTCCAATGAGTACACGCATACCCCCGTCGTTGATAAACCTTTGTGTTCGCCGTGTCTTTTCCTCCGATGACAAGTCTCCGTGGATCCAAAGAATGTTGAAATATCTGTTCCACTCAATTGCAAGCTCCTCCACCAGGGCCCTGCGGCCCACTGCTACAATAGCCTTGGCATGCGGCTCAAGGGCAAATAGACTCTTTAGTAGTTCCAAGGCTTCCTTGGGCGAGTTCTTGGAAGTTACTATATCCTTATAGATATGGCCGAGCGGCGGTTTGTCCACCAAGTCGATAACCTTCGTCTTGAAATCCATCATCAACGCCGTACTTTCGCCACACTCCGCAACCAAGTGCTCTCCATCCTCAAGCACCCCCGGGAATCCCAACCGGCACATCGCAGCCCTACTATTATCCCATTCTGTCGCAGTGGCGCTGAGAAAGACCACCTTCTCAAACTTGTTAAAGTTTACATTTTTCATGGGCTCAAACGTCTCTCGTCTATACTCCTCGGTCTCAATGTTGTGATACTCGTCAATCACAAGATACCCTAGGCGTGGAGTAGACGCTTGCTGGCTCGATCCATAGATGGACTCCCCCCCTGGATCTGTAAAGCAAACTCATTGCTCGCAACGTCGTTGTATTTTCCTATGTAAACGTCAGAGATACCGTCATGACCCCGCTCAAGAAAGAACTTGATACTGTTGGCTAGCAGTCCCCCGTTTCTCATCCGCGTTAGTGTTCCCGCTTCCAACACAGTGTATGGAACACACACAAAGGAAACGTACTTTACATCAGGCTTCGCTTGCAGCGCCTTCATGGGAACCTGATATAGTACCGTCTTACCGTACCCAGGTGGGGCAATTATGGCGAGCGAGGGCACGTTTGACAAGTACATCTCTACACACACGGAAAACTGTCCTTTACGAAACTGGAAATCGTCTCCATACACTTCTTTTCCGGCTGTGTTCAGGTCGTCAGGACATCTAATGGGAACCGAACGAGGCACCCCATCTAGTATTTTGTTTGGTTTTTCTACTTTCGTTATCCGCTCAAACCCTATCCATTCCAGCCACTCGGTGGACGCGCGGCTTTGGAGGTAGGTTGCGGTTGTTCCGCTCACAGACCTCAACGAAAACTATCCACTCCATAGTTCTGAAGACTTGTCTTTGCTGCATGGCCAAACATAATCTCTTGTACCATCGATTCGTACAGGTCCGTGGTCACATTCTTGTTCACGTACGTTCTTGATATTGCAACCATACCCTGGCGTAATTGCTGGAAGCTTAGCTTGCAACTGAATGTCGTTGGGTACTTGCGACGTAGATACTTATCAAACGCTCTGAACGCAACCATTTGTCCCTTACTAGTGTTGAGAAAAACATATCGACACAGAGCTCTGAAAGAGACTTCCTGAGATGAAGGGTTCTGATCCATTCCCATTCCCTCCACAAACTTCCAGCGCGCCGGCGTAAAATTGTCGCACTGCGGACCTAGTAAATGTATCTGCATTTGTCGCAGTACGGCCAGAAAGTAAAGCACATACTGGGAGGTGGCCCTGGTTAATCTCTTGAAGAGCAGCAAGTGCTTTCCCGCTTAGTGGCAGCAGTCGTTTCTTTGCATACTCAGGAATCAAACTCAGCAGTGACCGACAATTTTTCACCTTGTTCTCGGAAACAGTTAGACTTCGATCATCCAAAATCATCCCTCCAACATCCTGAGGGCTCGGCATGTAAAATATATCGTCTAGGTCCTGTATCAACTCATCAATCTCGCTTTTTACTCCGTAATAAAAGTCTTGGATGTACCTTCTGTTGAACAGCTTGCCGGAAACAATCACACCATCGGGTTCACAAAGCTTGACGTCATAATCTAGTTGGATTTTTTCCTCAGCCCTAACCTCGTTGTACACGCTCTTGATCCAACGCCACATGGGCGCGCAGTGTTCCTCGTCAAAAAGATCGTTGTTATCTTCCGTGCAGAACACAGCATACACAACAAAAAACTTGATTCCGTCTAAAAGCCTCCTCACCCTCCGAGCGGGCTGTAGTGCGGGGTGACACAAGTTTGAATTTGATCTCTGTGTACCCTCAGCGCTCTCATCCTCGGATATTTCATCTTCACCTTCATCCTCTTCTTGCTCACTTCTTCTCACCTCTGCTCCGACGTCAAACGCTGTGAGTCGCACTATGACTTCCAAAACTGCACCCAGTCCGTCTTCATCCTTTAGCATCCTGCTGAAAATACGCGAGATTTGTTCGACTCTAACCTCGCCCGAAAGACTCATCCCGAAGCTCGACTTCGTCGTACACGTCATCCTCGTCGTCAAAACACCCCATTAAAAGAGGAAATTCTCTAATGTTGAGAATCATATAGAGAAAAGGCGCAAAGTAGAGTGAATATGTGTTGATGCTTTTTTCCTGCAGCGTCTTGAGAAGTGACTACGCCTGCCTGAGGCCTTCGAAAAGTCCTTGTTGCTCTATAGCGCAGCATTTTGCGATCTCTTGACATTTTGTACACAGCGTGGCACACACGCTTGCATGTGGCGTTGTACTCACCTCTGAATGCGTGGAAACGACGTAGTGCTTGCAAATCCCTCTCGCAAAACACAAGCAGGTCTGCACCAAGATGTTTGTACACCACGTTGTTACACCGCTCAGTTGCGAGCATGAGTTCCTGGCTCTCCTCTTCAACTTTAAGGCTCCACCTCTCCTCTCCCAGCTGACGGCTGACTTCAGCGTCGTCATACTCCAGATAGAGGTACTTTTTCTTGTTTCCTTTGAATACAATAGGCACAACGTTCTCGCGTACCGCACTTTTAGAAAGTTGAGACTTTGTTCTAGTGGTGGTAACCTTCTTCACGTTACTAGCAGGATCGACGTAAAAGAAGTGGATCTCGTTCGCTACCAACTCAAATAGAGCTCCAGAATTACATGGGAAAAGATCCGTGTCATAATCTTTGTATCTTTCAACTTCTATGAATTCGTAGTTCTTGAACCGATCTTGTTGTTGTTTGGACATGCGTCGTTTAACTCTCTGCCATGACGCGACTTTATATTCTCCATTTTCTTTGCGCTCAAGTAGATATCCGTCGAGTGCTAGATAGCTTTCTGCTCTGTCCATACAAGTGGCTGAAACACATCGTCGACCACCTCGGAAAAAACTTCACCATGAATTAAAAGCTTTAATTTTTTCTCAAACATTAACGACAAAAAGAAACTTCTGGACGGCGGAATCGTACGTTCTCCTTCGCCGTTAGCGGTCTTTATCAGACGGTAATTGTCGTAGTCATCAGCAACCCCAGCAAAAATACCTAAATAGGCGGTCATCACATTTCCTATTTGGGTATAACAGGTCACATGCTCTCTTGCAAACCTAAACATGTTAGGTTTGCAAAATCCCACATTCTTATTGTCTAGCTTTGCAAAACATTGTAAAGCTGACATGTTTAGCTTCGCAAAATGCCATTTTTCGAGATTTAGGTTGACAAGCACTTTCTACGATGAAGCGCTTTCTAGGTGTTCCCACTTAGGTTTGAATCCGCCGGGCAAATTCCACTTGGTGCAGGGTTTATTCTGCCTATACACTTCACATAAGAAGCCCAGTCATCTGAATGCACGCTAACTCTCTGGCATTGTTATGAAATTCCATCTGCACACTGGGTACATTTTGTCCTCAGAGTGTTTGATTTATTCTGTTACTCTAGGTCTTCATCCCGTTAGGATTTGAACAGAAAGCAGTATTGCTGCTAAAGCCAACCACTTCTTGTTCTTTCTGTAGAAGGTCGGGCTGTCATCTTAATAATAAACATTACATTTAAAATACTTGAACTAAAAATGCAGTTTTAGCAAGCACTTCTACTCGTCTGTTTTGGTTTGTATTGATCTCGAATAAAAGTACAATACTAAGTATCAATACAGCAAAGTAAAGTGAGCAATATCCAAGCCCTAATTCTGGACGTTCTGGATACTTTAGGAGAGGAAAAATTAGGTGGGTGGGATGAAAGCAGAAGACCCTACTAAATATTGCGTGCGATACCGTGTAAAAGAGAAATGCGCTGCTCTCAATTTCGCGTGCTTTCTCATTTGGGCAACGCTACGACAGAAATTCTAAATTGAAGAAATAAACGAGACACCCCGATTATACGAACTATAATAAGATACTATTTTAGTTGTGCTAATAGTGAAAGTGCAGCTAGTGTCATATTACGTCATCTAACTAGCTCGAAATTCCTAAATCAAGAACGCGACGAATCCTAGGATGATAGCAGAAAACCCGCCTCTGACAGCACCCGCAGCGCCTTCGTATATTCTTACAGTGATAGATGAAGAAGTGGAAGTCTTAGGAACCGGGGAGCTAGCAGCAGTAGCGACGGTAGTGAAAGAAACAGTAGAACCAGAGTCAAACTTAGCGTCATTAGTAGTGGTAGCTGTCCCTACATGAACAGCGGAGCTAGAAACTGGAGCCTTGGAGGCACCACTTGTGACGGCTGTCTCGATGCTGGTAGAATCGGCAGCCTCAGAGTATGGGCAATAGGTGGTGTAGACGGTAAAGACACCAGACTTAACCTCTGTGATTACAACAGATGGAGCCAACTTCGTGCCATCACTAACGGTATAGGAACTGGTCTCAGAGGAAATTGGGCAATAAGTTGTGTACGCGGTAATAACACCATGCTCAGTAGTGGTGGCAGTAGAAATGGCAACAGTTGTAGCCTTGACTTCGCAGGTTGGACAGGTTGTAATCACGGTGGTAGACAGTGAGTGGGTAGTGGCGGTGGCAGTTGAAACTGGGCCACTGACGCATCCGGTGGTACAGTTAACACCGAATGATACAACAGTAGAACCAGAGACAGAGGAGGTCCCAACGGCAGTAGTAGCATCGGTAGGGGTGGAAGTGTTGTTGGAAGAGCGGGAGGCAGAGACCGATGTAGATCTAGAATGAGAGTCAGTCGTTGTAGAAGTAACTTCATTAGGTGCTGTGGTGCTAGATTGGACGATGGCACCAGTGGTGACAGCAGAGGAGGCTGAGTTGATTTTCAAGATAGGAGCCTCAATAAAGCCGTGGTAGTTCTTGGTGTAGGTGTAAGCTGTGACGGATTCGCTGAAAGAGGAGAACTGGACGTCAGAGATACTGGTAAAGAATTCGCGCGACTCTTCGATAGTGGCGTGGAAATTCAATCTAAGGCTAACAGCGGTAGAAGGTAGAGCGCCGATGAAGGTAACATTAATCTTGTCCTCGGTAGATACGTCGATTTGCTCAGTAGAAGCCAGAATTTCATCGGAGCCATACTGGTCGAAGGCAGTAGTCAACATGTTGTAGTAAAAGTTGTTGAACTCAGGGTTGAACTTGTAGCCGGCCTGTTTCTCCACGGAGATGGTGAAACTACTGTTGACAAGACTGGCGGGCACGTATACATCCCATTCTAGGGTCTGTCCGCTATTCTCAGTGTGTACGTACACCTGGTCGGTTGGATATTGGTTATACTCAACGGAGGATTTGAACTCGCCTGAAGAGCTGGTGAAGGTGAAAGTGTCTTTGGTTGGCCCAGTTATGCCAGCTGTGTAGCCGTAGTCCATTTTGGTGAAGATTTCAAGCTTGGCCTCGCCGTTTTCAGGGACCTTGTCAAACACGATGGAAAAGTTGTTGTTGTTGTAACCGGTAGATGTCACAGTGCCGTACTCCCACTGAAATGGCGAGTCGGGGAAGTTTTCAAAAACATCCTCGGGAACCGTAATCCATGCCTCGCCTGGCTGGTAAGCCTGGAGTGAAATTTCGATGAATGCGGCGTGCTGCACGCCTTGGAACTCCGAGGTTCCAGTGTCGACGCTGCTGACACTGACGTTGGAAATGACTGGTGCTGTCGAGTTGCTGAACGCCGCGGCCTGGGCGCTTGCGAGGGCCGTAGCGAGAGCGCCTACCTGGGAAATCTTTACCATATTTAACGAGTGTAAGGGGTAAGAGGAATACGGAAATGAGCGAACAATAGTCGGTGGCCCGTTGGTTCGAAATATGATATAATAATATCTACTTCCTTTCAAAAAATTCTGAATTTATAGGTTTCCGATTCCACTACATTTCAAAAGCGGTTAGTAAATTTTTTCGCTACTTGTTTTTCCCTGCCCCTGTTCTACGCTCTGTTTTCGTCAGTTTTCTCTGTTTTCGTGTTACTCATGCCCGCACTATTGCATCTGTTGAGCGCGTTTGCTAATATGCTCAGCCGCAGCACAGTTCATCTTACTGCGGCTCGTGTGCCTATCTTGGGGCGGAAATCGCTATTTAACATCGGCATGATCTATAATGCCCTTACGAAATCCTCGGCACCATGTTGTTCTCCAGTCAAAAACCCGTTAGTCCGAAATTTGACGCAACGCCGGGGTTGGGATTTTTTTTATTCGTGCGCAGAAAGCGCAGCAGCTCCCGCGCAACTTAAATGAAACACCTGGACATCGTAAACTCTAGTTTTATACGACGCTTACACTGATCCAAAGGATCCGCCACCTGACTTTGGACCCTGAGATCCTGAAGGGTCGTGGCGTTACAACAGGAGAATGCAGGTGTTGACCGGCACGTGAAGTTCTGTGAGAAGACGGTCAATGATCTCCGTTTTCTTAAAAAGGATGCGAATTTAGTAGACCGAGTATTCGTAAGCATTCAGCGAGTCCCCAAGAATGTCCTAGACCAATCTGCAGAGGAGTGGAGCAAAACGCCACCAGCAGGGGTCCACGAAGGGTCTTTGTAAACCGCTGCACGGGCGGCTGAATTTAAAGTGATATTCGCTGATGTAATCTGGGGCTGTTCTTGAAGCGGAATTAAGGTACTAAACAAGAAAACGTGGCGGTGATACTACGCGGAAATTCTAGGCAAAATCTACAGAGACATCGTACACAGTTAATCTCAGAATATTTGGCGTCTAGGGTTCCACTATGGCGGAGGTGAATATTCTCTCCGGGCCTCTCGTCCTATTAAATTTTAATCTTCAACAGATTTTCTGAGGTCAAAATTCCAAAGTAGGCCGCATACTCCGTTACAAAGAGCAAGGCCGGTTTGTGTTCACATTTTTCGAAAGCTTATAACAACTCAATTAGATTATTATGTAAATGAAGTATATTATCAATCAAGATGTAATATCCGCCGCCTTATAGCTGTTCTTTGCATGCCATCATCAAATTCACCAAGGAGTAGCTTGACAGTTTCTATAAGTTGCGAACATATATGATGGTACACTTGACATTCACGGCACGTATGTCGGGTATGGAAGACCAGTGATGAAAAGGCCTTAAAAGGAACGCTATTCAGGATTAGTCATTGTGATCGAGGTTCAGCTTTAAGCTACTTACATCGCAAATTTTTCCCAACTGTATTTTTTCGCGCATCATGCTATTTTTCCACTATTGATGACAAAACTGTAGTTTGCCTCTTTATATCCCATGGCAAAGCTCTGTGGATCTAGAGTATGTGGAAATACATTCGGCAATTCGGGTGTCTTGCTGAGTAGGTCTCGAGATGATGTGACGTTCTTGTAGAGGGGCCATGGAAAGAGTTTTGTAAAAATGTTGATATTTTTGTCTTGAAACCATTAGAATTTTCGTCCTCCAGGGATCACAAAATGCTGAAAGGCACGTGCACTCTCCTTTATTTCCTCGCTCTGTAGGAATTTACTGATTAACATAAATTTCTCAAATTTTCTGAGAGCTTTTACTGGTGTGCTCAATCGTCTCTTTCCCATGCTGCTCGGTCCTAATCATGTGATGCTCGTTATATGAAGACACGCTAATCAAGATATGAGATTTTGTCAACACGCTCCATATATGAATTTACACCCTTCTACCTGTAGACCAAAGGCATTTTTTAGCAACATAAATGTGGGTTCCTACTTCTAATTTGAGACAGTGCCATGACCTAGCTCGAGGAACTACCCCTAATTAGTTAGCCACCAGGCCTTCATTGTCATCCGTCATAGTTTCAATCCCATAACCCCAACTTATGGATCGAGTAAAGGAAAGACACACTTTGCACCTGGCTCCAAATGTGATACTCTCGTAGGGATCCGAAATAATGTCATCTTAGTTATCTTCAAGAAGAGAAACGTGGCAAAAATCGGCCTCCTCTACCCAGTCCTTAGGCATAAGTTCATTTCTAAGGTATAAAACTAGTTATGTCAACTTAAACGATATGTTGGTAAGGGTAATAAGTCGTTGTCCTTCTTGTCAAGGTTTTCCGAAAGCATAACCAGTCTGAATATTTAGGTCAGTTAAGCATTTTCTAAATTTTTATTTCACAGACACTTTGTACGGTAAAAAAATCTAGGGGTTCCCTCTCCGGATTCAATTGGCAAGGCATAATGCTTAGTCAGTGCCACAAATGTGGCTCGAAAAGAAGACTCCAAAGACTCTTCTTGTTACTGTCAGAAGGTGAATATAATTTAGCAAACTGCTGCACCTAAGACATTGCGTGGTATAAAGACCTCAAAAATGGAGCTTACCCGAAAGGAGAGGCTAAATACACGGCCAAAAACTTCATAATAATGCCTGAGGTTTCGAGCACAAATGAATCGAAATCTAGTCACGTCGACCGAACAGCGCCTGGAAAGGCCCATCCTTTGACGGTAAAGGCGAATGAGAAAGTCGCGCGAAGCCTACCTTTCTCAGATACACAAGACTTCAAGGATGCTATGGAAGGATTCATTGGTACAATTCCAGATGCTTTGATTTTAAACGACAAGGGAGAACAGGTCTGGAGCATGAAAGAATATGACTTCTTAAAAACGAGTCGTTCACCAGATACTGTTAACCCTAGTTTGTGGAGAATTGCTAGGCTTAATGCTATTCATGGACTCTTTAAAGTCACTGAACGAGTTTATCAAGTAAGAGGTTTTGACATAGCGAATATGACAATTATTGAAGGCGAGACGTCTCTAATTATCATAGATCCGCTATTAACAATAGAAACAGCTCGAGCGGCGCTTTCCCTTTACTTCAAACATCGTCCGACGAAACCTGTCTCTACAGTCATATACACCCACAGTCATTCTGATCATTACGGTGGCGTAAAAGGCGTTGTGAATGAAACTGACGTTTTAGCAAGAAAAGTTCAGGTTGTCGCACCTTCCGGATTCATGGAAAGTGTAGTGAGCGAAACTTTCCTTGCTGGGAATGCAATGAAGCGCCGCGCGCAATTTCAATTTGGCATGCAGCTTCCCCCTGGAGCTCAAGGGTTTGTTGATTCAGGAATAGGAAAAGCTGCTGCATTTGGTACTGTGACGTTAATTTCACCTACAATTACCATTAAGCAAAGTCTAGAAACACTTGTTTTTGATGGTGTTAAGTTCACCTTTCAGCTTGCACCTGGTTCAGAAGCACCGTCTGAAATGCTTATTTACCTCCCACAGTTTCGTATTCTTAATATGGCAGAAGATGTCACACACCATATGCATAATATCTATGCCATTCGCGGAGTCGAAGTGCGGGATGCTAGCAAATGGTCAAAATATATTGATTTAGCGCGGATCGTCTTTGGTGAAAAGAGTGACGTACTGATTGCCCAACATCATTGGCCTACGTTCGGGCAAACAAACGTAAGGAACATATTAAAGAAGCACCGCGATATGTACAAATTTATCCACGATCAAACCTTGCGTCTAGTAAATCATGGATATACTGGTAAAGAAATCGCAGAGATGCTAAGGATGCCTGGTAGTATTTCCAAAGAATGGTCTACTCGCGGCTACTATGGCACACTAAGCCATAACTCTAAGGCCGTGTATCAGAAATACATGGGCTGGTATGATGGCAACCCTGCAAACCTCAATCCGCTTCCTCCAGTGGCCGAGTCGAAGAAGTTAGTTGAATATATGGGGGGTGCAGAAGAAGTATTAAAGCATGCTAAAAGTGACTATCAAAAGGGTGAATTTCGCTGGGTGGCAAGTGTGACTAGTAAGCTTGTGTACGCTGATCCAAGTAACGTTGCGGCACGTGAACTTTGCGCAGATGCATTAGAACAGCTTGGTTATCAAGCAGAAGCTAGCACTTGGCGTAACGCTTATCTTGTAGGATCATTCGAGTTACGTCATGGTCCACGTAAGATGCCGGCTTCTAGTAAACGCAATACTTTCAGTGCTGTTAGTAGTGAACTGATATTTGATTACCTCGCAGTAAAAATCAATGCTACGAGCGCTGAAGGCACACACATAGTTTTAAACTGGTGCTTTACAGACTCGAATCAGGAATTTATTGTAACTCTTGAGAATTGTGCTCTTACCCACATTCATGGCATGTTACCAGAAGCCGACGCAACAATTAGCCTGGACCGTTCAGTATTAGATTCGATATTGATAGGTGAAGTCACAATTTCTGAAGTTCAGAGTAATGGTAAGTTGTCAATAAAGGGCAACATAGCCAAATTCGAACTTTTAATTTCATTATTGGACAGATTTGATGGATCATTCCCAATAATTGAGCCTTTGGGCTGAGATTTGTAGAAACCTTATATGTACGCATACAACTCTTTTTTTATATTAAAACTGACAATAGGTCAATTTTTTTACTTATTGTTACACATTGCTGTTGCTTGAATCTACATATGACTGACTATCTTCTTTCGGCCTGATAACTATTAGTTGGTCACTTTCTATATATTCGTCCTCCAAGTGTCCATTTTTAAGTTATTAATTCTTTTTCTTTGCCCTCGGAATATCCAACGTGGGAGATCGATATGATACGCGCCTCGACTCGCCAAAACTATCTGTGGCTGATCTGTCATACCCAACCTAATTTTTGAATGGGTGAATTTGAAACTCTACCAAGATATAAGTAACCTAAAACCACTAACACGTGATTTATGGTATACATAGATGTGAAGATGTCCCTTAGTAAAAATAGAAACCTTGACCTCTCAAATTAGCGGAAATTGATGATACAGGCAATTTCTCAACTCGTTAAAGCAATACGCTTTTTCATAGTGGAAACATAAAGTAAATAGTACTTGACGAAGCGGAATTTAGCCAAAACACTAGTCTTTTCGATAAACAATGCGGAAGACGAAAGTTTATTCTTACCTAGCAAGATTCAGAGCTTGTAGGATCTCTAACATGGTTAACGTACTCCTCTCTTGAACTACACGAAGCGGGCAGGTATTGTTTGATTACTATCATTTTGTGTTTAGTGGACAATCTACGCGACAATTTTGATGACCCACTGGTAAAGAAACAAAAATTCAGGGTCAAGTACGAGCAAGGAAAATCTTTTGTGGCTGGCTTCTGTTCGTTCGATGCATAAAAAACGTCAAGGAGGTACTGCGGTACGTGTTGTGATTGATAAAGCGTTTGCATTTTTTGGCAGAATAAAATTAATTACAATGCTGATGACACTGAATTTCGTTTACTTCATTTGAGATAAACGTTTTCAGTTTATTTTAAGACTTTTGGGTTAGGGATGCTCAACGCAGGTGACATTTGACCCTAGTTGTAGTCACGCGGTTCAAGTTGATATGAAAAATTTATTTACGCTGCTTAAGCATCATGTTAGTTTTCTAGTGGGATACTAATATCGAAATATATGAGCTCTGTTTCTCGCCCAGGCTGGCCATGAGACTACCTCTCTATCGGAAATTTCAAAAGCACGTGAAAACTTGAAAAAAAACTAACAAATAGTTCCTATTTTCTAATGTTTCATTCACTCACGAGAATCGTAACTGTCTCAATTTCTTTGTTCTCAATTAGCAAAAACATCAGTACTATTCTTTTGCAAGAAATTTTTATGTTCAATCAGCAACATAATTCTTACCGTTCAATAACTCCTTCCGTGTGAATGAGTGTAGAATTTATTGGTACGGCAGCTTTTTGTTGCAGAATAACAATGTAGTTCGAGAGGTTAACAGTTTCTGATGTTGGACAGATTCTAGCAACCTTAAATACTGAACTACTAGTTCATTATCGAGGACATTTGCCTGCAAAGAATTCTGGCTGCAGTAAGCTCACCAAAAACTCCACCATATACTTGTCGACACATGCCTGGGAGAACGTGATCTCCACTCAGGACGGGGTAAATCCAATATCTTCTCATAGTCATGTAATTTGATCCCTGACGATTTTATTCATTATATTAAGCTCACACTGGAAGTAACATGGTCTTAAGGCCTCTTCCCTCTCTATTATATTTCTTAGGATTCGTTCAACAACTGAAGCCACACTTTTCAAAACCTATATCAATTCCTTGACTCCTTGTGGATTATAACTGTTCTTGCTGCCCAGCTTATTTCTTACTTTTTATTCATTATACATTTATAGATTTTGATGACTTCCAGATGTCCATCATTCCAATGGAAATGGCAAGAGTTCCTTTGGGCGGTAGGAGAAGTTGGTAAAAAATGATTTCGCCCAGGATCGAACTGGGGACGTTCTGCGTGTTAAGCAGATGCCATAACCGACTAGACCACGAAACCAACTTTGATACGTGATGGTAAGCTAACTGATATAGTAGCACTTAGGGTGGCTCTTTTTAAATGTCTCACTAAACAATAATATTACTTGAAAATTCCGAACTACTAAATGTGCAGATTTGGTGAGAAATGGGTGAATATTGAGCTAAATGTTGGGATTCCATTTTTGATTAAGGCTATAATTATTGGTATATGGTTATACTAGAAGTTCTCCTCATCTCTCTAAGAATCCAGAAAGAAGAGTCAATTGAGAATGGGGTGAATATTGAGATAATTGTTGAGATTCCATTTTTGATTAAGGGTATAATAGTTGGTATATGGTTATACTAGAAGTTCTCCTCATCTTTCTAAGAATCCAGAAAGAAGAGTCAATAATTCTACTTACAAATATTCTTACTCTTTCTGTTCCTTTTATACATTTTCATTCATTATCCTATTACATTATCAATCCTTGCGCTTCAGCTTCCACTAATTTCGATGACTGTTTCTCATTCTTTATGTCATCTTAAAACACCGTGTATGATAATATACTAGTAACACGAATACTAGTCGATGGTCTATAGTTGTATTTCGTTCCAACATACCACCCATAATGTAATAGATCTAATGAATCCATTTGCTTGTTAACAATTTGAGAGTTTTTATCGGAAGAGGTTTTGTCAATGTATCAGCAATGTTCTTCTTGGTCTCAATGTAGTATAGATACAGATTATTGTCCGATACTTCATCTCTGAGTCTCATTGCTTTAGTGCCGAAGAATCTATTCCTAAATTCCTCTTTATTTTTGGATGTAACTATACTGATTGTAGATCTGCTGTCAGTAAGTAAACATTTGATGATTGGTTTCTTATCTAGTTCTTGCACGAGATAACTTAGATTATTCAGTAACGGAACGGCTTCGCTGACTGCGTGTATTTCTGCTTCTGTGGTTGAAGTACACGTTAGTGATGCTTTTGTTGATTTTCCTCCAATGACTTTTCCATTGAGTAAGCATATGTTACCAATCTGGGATTTGTAATACGGTTGGTTTCCGTATGAAGCATCGCTTATTACAACTAATTTGTTTCCTGATTTCGTAGATCTGTTTTTGTGCCATGTTAGTTGTTCATCTCTGGTATCCCATATGAACTGTATTAATTCATATGTCATGTCTAGAACTTGTTTGGACGGAAATAATATATGTTGTGCGAGAGTGTTGATGTAGTACAGTAGGTCGAATCTGAATTTGTATCCAACGTACGATGCTAGGCCAATTAGCTTCTGCATTTCATGCACCTTCATTTTGTAATCATCTTCTTCCAGTTCTAACTCTTCTTGGTCTATGTAAAGACCAGGTTGCCCTGGAGCGGCAAGTTTCCTACCTCTTGGATTCAAAGGTACGTTTAGGTTTGGTAATTTCTCAGTTAATGAATTTTCCATACCTAGTTTCATGTACTTACCCCTCTGGTATTTAATTTCTAGTCCAAGAATGTCATATTGGATTTCATTATCACTTTCACCTAGGTTTATGATCTTAGTTTCATATTGTCGTTTTAGATTTTCTATGATTCTTTTGTTTGAGTTCAAGTCTTTGCTGAATAGTATCATGTCATCAACGAATAAGCAGATTGCTACTTGACTGTTTTTAAACACACATGACCATCCACGTACTTCTTCCATATCACATTTATCTATCAGATATGACTTGATGGTTTCATACCAGTTTGCACCGCTTTGTTTCAAGCCGTAAAGTGATTTTCTCAATCGTATTAGCTTGTTGTTCATACCTAAATGTGGCGGAGGTCTTATGTATAATTCTTCTTTGATGCCTGCGTACAAGTACGCCGAAGATATGTCCAGTTGTGTGACGTAGTGGTCATTGTCTAATGCAAGTGTCAGGGATGTCATTAATGCATAATGATGTACAGTATTAGACTGCATTCCTGAGTCGTACGTATCAGGATGTTGAATGTCGCCTCTTGCAACAAATCTAGCTTTGTGTGTTCCATCTCGTTTCTTGTTAAATATGAACATTGAGTTTATCTACCTTTTTGGTGTCTATTTCTATTTTTGTCATAGTATCTGTTTGTGTCCCATGTGTTCATCTTTAGCAACTGATTAACTTCTTTATGGTATGCTTGAATGTACTTTTCCTTTTCCTCGATATTCTTATTATATGTGATTGCCTCATATATCTTAAAGTTGTTCGTATAGGTTTGATTGGTTTTGCTGCTTTCACAGCTGCGATCAGATGTATACGTTTCTTTGATCTTGGAGGCTGTAAACTACGCATGTTCTTGTTATTCCATGTGTCTCGTGATACCTCAATTTCAGTTTCATTATCTTCTAATAATCTTTTCTTACTATTGATAGTATCATAGATATTAGATTTACCCATACCACCCAAACTGGAATTAGTTTGACGAGAATTGATCGGTGGAATTTCTTTAAAGGCATCGGGGAAACAGGTAGGAGATTCTGGAGGTAAGTCGGGAAGCGGAAGATTTTCTGTAATATATTCCTTGACATCATGTTCAGAGTAGGTATCTGGTGTAACAATAGGAGCATTATACTTTGGTATCTCACTTCCCTGTGGGGAATCAAATAGTGGAATTGGATAGTTTATCAAGCTTTTCTCGGTAGCCTGATCATTGAATTCTGGTATAGTTCTGTTGTTTGTACCACCCAAACATGGTGTTGTGTCGTTTTTAGGATTAGTATTGATTTGGCGATGTGAATCTGAATCGCTCACTTGATCGTGATCATTGGATTTATTCGATTGTTGCGTGATAGATCCGTGCGCGGGGATATCGATTGATACATCTGATCTATTCATACCACCCGAACAGGCATTGTCTGGATGAGGAATATTGGGTATGTTATGCCTCTTCTTTGACGGAAAAATATTTGATTCAGATATATTAGGGTCAACTTCTTTGGGTGCACGAGCATTAGTTGTAGGTACAGATTCCAATCTCGTTGGTTGAGTAGGAGTTGATGGCGAACCAGTTGCAATCAGATCTGTGGAACTGTCATCTCCCCGGAGTTCAGTGTCATGATCTATCTCAGATTGAAAATCATGATTAGGATCCATGTGAAGGTCGTAGGACTGTTCGATTTCATTTGAATCAATAAACGATTTATATGAAGCAGTTAGTCTACTTATGTCATCATCAAAGGTAAGTGCGTCGTAATTGAATTGGTCCAATCAGGATTGCTTGTCTTGCAGGATAACGTAATTGGTAGTGTCCACTGTCTTTTTTAAAGATGGAAGATAGATAATATATCCATAAGAGTTCGGGGATGGATGTAGAGCGTAGCCAGGAATGCCGCGGGGATGCATTTTCGAATCAGGATTGTGATTATTGATTTCCTCCACAGGTTGACCAAATGGTAGTAAAGTACTGATGTCAAGTCCCGCTAAACCCGCGTGTTGCCGTGCAGATTTTTCGTTTTTAGGTGAAACTGAAGAGTTCCTGACTATGGTTGAGAATTCCACTGCGGAAAACCATAAATGATTTGGTAATCCACTGCATTGAAGCTGTGTGCGACAATCGTCTAGTAAAGTACGGTTCAATCGTTCAGCTACACCATGAGCTCGAGAGTCTGCTGTGGTTGTATAGCATGCAGTGATGCCTTGTTGACGAAGGAATTTATGGAGAGTTTTGTTTGTGTATTCAGAACCACGGTCCATTTGTAAAACCAAGACACTGGCCTTGAATTGTCTTTCAATGAAGGCTAGTATTGTGGTAAATACGTCGAGAATAGATTGTTCGCGACGATCGTGTAATGGATAAACCCATTGAAATCTTGTTTTCTCGTCGGTAAATGTTATGAAGTAGGATGGTGCACTTTTTGGCAGGTTGTGAACAGGTCCGAATATGTCGGTATGTAGATATTGGAAAGGTTCATACGAGTTTTGGTATTTTACTCGTGATCCCTTGACATGTCTGTGTTTAGTACTTTTGCCGATTAAGCAATCTGGGCATTGGTATGTAATAGCTTTAAACCAATCGACATCTGATTCCTTAAGATATGTTATTGAGTTATTCTTTAGAGAGTTCCGAATGGTTTGAGCATTAGCGTGGCCAAGCATGCGATGAATCAAAGGATAGGGATACTTGTGTGAGACTTTATCAGTACCGATATTGTTAACTATTGGCATTGATAGGTTCGAGAGAATCAAGTATTTTTTGGATAGCCAGTAAAAGTCCCCATGTCGAACGATAGGGGCAAGTACGGTGCCGTCAACTCGCTCTAGGGTATTTTTGGTAAAACAGGCAGTGAATGTTTTGCTTAGCTAGCTCACTCAAACTGAGTAGATCATGAGCTATGTTCGAAGTGTGTAGTACTGTTATTGATGTTTTTGTATTGTCTTCAAATTTGAATTGGAGATTACCAATGGCGTTGATTGGTATTTCCTTTTTTTGAGCATCGATTGCGCTTATGTCAATATTAGGCGATGCTGAGTGTATGTGATGAGCGGATCTGATAAGGGTTCGTGATGCACCTGAATCGATAAGAAGATGTCCAGGAAGTTCATCAGTTGAATGATCCGTGTGGTTTACCTCGGACTCAGTATGTATCTGGCCTAAGGTGAAGGTCATACTGATTGTTCAAGTGTATTGTTTTATCAGGTGATTCGTTGATCGAATCATTGTTCTTGTCAAAAGAGTTATGAGATGTAGACACGTTATTAGTTTTGACCGTTCTTGATTTTAAGTTACTTGCTTTTTGAGGGTTTCGGGTTACAGTCTTGGCTTTGTTTATATTTGAAGAGACTCGAGAAATGTTCTTGTCATCTTTAAGAATCCTTGAGTAAGTAGGCTTTCGGCGTTCCGATTCCTGTTGATCTTCATATATGGCATGAATGTCCAGGAACAGTTCTGCGACTGTCATGTTTTGGGTGCGATGACGTGCGTAGCGTAAGAATCTGTATTCCCCAGAGAGACCTTTCATAATTAATTGACATGCTAGCTTGTCATTGATAGAAATACCATTATTGTTTAGTCGCTCGATTGTATTCGTGATCTTTGTTTCAAACTCGACTGCTGGTGTACTGCCATTGTAGTGGATATTAGTGATCGTTATCAGGTCGTTAGCATCTTGAGTATCGGATTTTATTTTTTCAAAGCTTTTCGAAAGAACCTTCATGATATCTGTATAATCAACAGATAAGATATCTTTGACCCAAGTAGGTAGCAAATGAGGTGGAGCAAACGTTTGAAAAGTGTTGTACAAGAAGGTATGTTCGTCGTATGTTATCCGTCGTATAGGTCTTCCGTCTGTCGTCGGGATAATGCCACCGAGATTTGAATTTTATAAAAAAATAACTTAAATTTTGATCCAATTTAGAAAACCATTTGACGATGTTAAAATTGGTGGTGGTCGAACAGATTTGTTGACGGGTGTCACATCTGACTTCGTTGAAGGTGGCTTGGTAAGTGTGTTACCGGGCTCGGGGGATGTGGCGCTCAAAAGCGTTCCGGCAGTTGGTGTATACTGTGTACACTGCGGTTGTGGCGCTCAAAAGCGTTCCGGCAGTTGGTGTATACTGTGTACACTGTGGTTGTGGCCCTGGTGGATAGTACATGGGCGACATTTGATAAGGTGTGTACGGCATCGTATATGGGTGACCGTATACTGGCCAACCAGACGGATTGGCTTGATTTGGAGTCATCATGCACTGCTGTGAGTACGGGCCATTCTGTCGCAATGGTACTTGAGCAGTGTGAGGAGAGGCATGATGAGTGTTATCTGAAACATCTTTTGGCACAGGTGTTGTTTCTTTTTGAGAAATTGCCTTAGTGGAAAGCTTATCATATTCGTTTATTTTGAATCGTCTAATGGATCTTGATTCGTGTGGACTTCTTTAAAAGTAACCGAAGCACAGGCGCTACCATGAGAAATGGGTGAATATTTGTAAGTAGAATTATCAACTCTTCTTTCTGGATTCTTAGAAAGATGAGGAGAACTTCTAGTATAACCATATACCAATTATTATACCCTTAATCAAAAACGGAGTCCCAACAATTATCTCAATATTCACCCATTTCTCGATAATATATATAGCTATAGTTTGAGAGCAGAGCCTGTATCAAACTTCACATATCTTCGAGGTTCCTTTGAGTATTTCCGATACTTCTCAAAATATTATTGCCTTGTGATAGTGAAATGAATAAATACTCTGGTATAAGACATGTGATGAATTTGCATGCTTATATGTTAAGCGCAAGTGGTTTAGTGGTAAAATCCATCGTTGCCATCGATGGGCCCCCGGTTCGATTCCGGGCTTGCGCATTTTTGACTTTTTCGTGGATTGTCTCAATCTTCAATATATTGAAAACTAAAGTGACCTATGAAAAAACCATAGTGTGCGTACACCTGTGTTGATCTGATTAGAAATCATTTTTAATTATATTAAACTCTATTGCATGAAGTGAAACGTAAACGTTTATGAGGTGATTCGACAAATGAGTAACTTCCTTTACTCGAATAGCCCTTCAGAAAAGCATGTTGTTAGCCAATCGGGCAATTCTTCGGACATTATGGGCAGTATGGCTGCAACTTTTTCATTTTCCCTGCTATTGGATGATATAGGAGTGGTATTTTCTGAGCACTCTGAGGATCCATCGGCGGCTAACTTATGTCCACGACTCTGTTGTTTCTGCTTTCGTCTTTGATTTAGTAAGGCTCGGAAGGAATCAAACACATCACACATATAGACACAGAAATTTATACTCCCCGCCAACGAGTCATACTTGAGTAACAGGTTTGATACACTTAACAGAGATTGTGGTATATCGGGACGATCTTTAATGTCTGCATCGGAGTTCAAATAACCTTTTCCAGTTTTAGAAGAGTCGTCGGCAACATCTGTTGAGGCAAAAAGAAAATGAAATAGAAACCCTTGGAACACACTGCAATATGCAAAAAAACAATGTGATCTCAAAGAATAAGGATTTTCCTTCGTAGCAGAACCACTCCAACTTAGCAGCTCAAGTGTACCTTTTAATGCATTTGCCAGCTCACTGCAATTCTCATCTAGTTGTGCTTTCAATGCCTTATACTTGTGATAAATAGGAAAGAGAAGTTTGATTCTATTAGCAGTTAAAATGCATAGTTTCAGATTTCCAAGAAATGCTTCATTCACATCCTCTCCTAATATAGCCTTTCTCACACTTTTCCTAGTAGATTGTATTAGTTCATCACATCTTATATCCAATGAGATAACCCTCTCAATGGATCTGCTCGATTGAAGGGTCAAGGAAACCTCATTGCATTCTCGTAACAAAAGTGCTATTTCACCCCAATTATTTGAAACACGACACAAAAGTTTTGGGTCAACGTGCTTTATTGAAGATGGTCGGCTTAACACGGCACAGAGAAGAGCATCGTGCAGAACTAACATCGACCACACCTTCGACGATTTCACATGAAGTCCTAAAGCATAGGCAATAGAAGTAGCCATAAATGTGCATCTCCATGCCGACTCTATTTTAAAATTGAAATGATAATAATCTGCTAAGAGAATTAAAGAAGAAACCTTTTGAGGGCAATCGGGTGTTTCATCAATTAACTCATTTAATTCTTGCAAAATCTCATCAATATCGGGAATCAAATTTAGGAATCTCTCAGAAATGATAACTATAGCGTAACAAAGACTCAGTGTTTGTAAGTCTACAATGTGATGAGAGGCCAGCGTCATTTTTAATTCATCTAAATCCACGAGCTCCCCAAATAAAGAATACGAAATACTAGATTTCATGGTTTCAATTGCCAATAATATGTTCTTTGGATCATCCAGATACTTTTTATACATGGGTGACTCAATAATTCTTTTCAATTTTTCGGGCGTATGCTTTGTTTCCAACTCATAATCTACATTGCAAAACGGCATTCCGACTTCAAAAAGTGCCTTATTCACTGAGCTAAATCCGTAAAACCTAGTGTTTTCTCCTTTGTGCTTTCTTACAAGTTTCGTGCTTGTTTTCCTTTGTGTTGAGGGGTATATACAACTCCGGTGCCTTTTTGTGCAGGCATTACATTGAGGTAAGTGACGGCTACATCTGACCTTTCTACTTCTGCATTCAACGCAGGATATTATTGAGAGCCCATGAATGTCTGTGCTTGGCTCTGACATGTTATTTTTTTTTATCAAGGCTTATCAGTGAAATTAAAAATGCGAGAAATGATGTAGAGAGGGTGCTAAGTCCAGATATTGGTTAGTTTAAAAACTAAGCGATTGCTTGAAAGTCTCAAAGCAGCCAAGTAATATTTGAGTAATCTTTTGTTAAGAAACAGCCGCCACGTGTCTTACTCGTCAAACCTGTTCCGATCTTCGAAGCGGATTGCGTAGTGAAGTATTCTAAAATGGAAGGTCAACAAACCATTCAAATCTCCTTGAACTTCCGATTATTAGATGTACTTGAGTCGGGATGATGTAACTTGCTTCAAGGTATACCTGAACAATCAAAGAAAAGTTAATAAATGTTAACAATGAGGTTTTTTACTCCGAGTTTTAAGTTGATCAGTCCGAATGATTTTTTGCTATCCGAATTTTTTTTTCATGAGTCCGAGAGGTAAACGAAACGCATCTGGGGGCTTAAGCTCCGGCTCGAGACAGTTTTGCGGGAAGTCCGGTAAAAAACAACAATTCGCACTTCAAGCAAAAGCCATCACGAATTGAATACGTTAGCTTTCGATACATAGAGGTATTTAAGAAGTGGTCTATTAATTTAATAACAACAAACTTGTCCTGAAATGACTACGCACGTTGGTCTGGTCTTAAGCCTGAATGATCAAAGATATGAGAACAATAGGCACATTTTTGCCAATCCGACAAATGGCATTCAACCTTACAAAACTTAGAAAGAAGTGTCAGAATTCTAATTACCAGATGGCTGTAAACATGTCCCTAGTTTTTCTGGGCTGTACGTTTGATCTCCTAAATGTTGCTGGGATAATATCTGTAATCGAAGATCTCGAAAGCATGTACGATCTTAAGTATACTCAAGCTTCTTGGGCACTCACATCATACGCGATCACTTTTGCAGGTTTTATTGCATTCATGGGAAGATTGGGAGATATTGTAGGAAATTCGGTTTTATTTACATTCAGTTGCTTTTTCTTCACGTTGTTTTCTCTACTGTGCGCCGTTGTGAATAACTTCGCGGTTTTTGCTGTCTTCAGAGCGCTTCAGGGAATATCTGCTGCCGGTATTGTGCCCTGTGGTTATGCCTTGATTCCGATATTAGCACACCCCAATGAAGTACAAAAGTTCTTTTCAATTGTATCTTGTGGCTTCAGCTCAACTATTGGGCTCGGTCTCATAATAGGAGGGGCGTTTGCTCTTACTAATATTGGCCATAAAGGAATATTTTATCTGACATTTGCTGGCATGTTCATCGTCTCTTTTGCAGCATTATTATTCACATACAAAATCGAAAGTGAACAGTTTATAGGGCAAGGGAAAAGTCTTGAGGATCAGACTGTCCCTATTATTGATGATGGACCAAAACTGGCTTCCCTAGATTTTTTGGGGTCATTTATATTCATAGCAGGGAGCATATTGATAGTTGTTGGTCTAACAAAGGGAGGAGACTCATGGAAAAAGCCAGTAGCCTATGTTCCATTTGCAATAGGAGTCATTCTTTTCCTTGGGTTTTTTATTTGGAATTGTTATTACATGAAAATTATAAAGGTTCTGAGCTTATTCGGTGTTGAAAGAACTTCCTATTTTGATAAGGTTGAGGTCTTAATACCTGAGAAGGTGCTGTTCATGAAAAACTTTATTCCCATAGTATTTGGATTTGCTTGTAACAATGCGTGTCTCTTTTCATGCATTTATATTATCGATCAATATTCTCAATACGTTGAAAAAAATAGTCCTCTTCTCGCAGGTGTAAAATTGGTTCCTTTAATTGTCATTATGGTCGGAGGGAATGCATTGTGTGCACTGAAATCTGTGAAATTACGTCCACGAATTGGGGTAGCTGTGGGGTTCTTCTCCATGTTTGCTGGTTGTATCATACTGATTCAAATTCGTCATATACAAGACAAGCTGTACTGGAAAATATTGTTCTGTGCACAAATATTAGTTGGGTTTGGTGCCTCGATATTTTATCCTTATGGCTTGAAGCTTGTTGTTGGTGACGCTCCTAGTGATTCAAAAGGAATCGCATCTGGTATCACCCAAACATTCGGTCAGTTGGGCATTGAACTTACATTCTCAGTAATGGTTTCTGTTCTTGGAAATATTACTGAGGTTCTTGGTAAACCAAACTCTGTTCAGACGTTTCGTGACGGTTTTCAAAAATGTACTTACTTCACTCTTGCAGTAGCTACTTTGGGATTTATTTTGATGACTTTCTTTTTGAGAGAAGATCATAAACTAGCGAATGACTTGGAAAGTGAATTGGTTAGCAGCGTTGAATTGCAAGAACATGAAAAACTTGATTCGAAAGCAAAAAATTCCAACGATGGAAATTAGCTTATTTGCTTCGTAATTTAGAATTTAAGGTAAATATTGGGTTGGTAATAAAATAAGATAATTGGCAATGAGTTTATATCGTGTCTCGGATCGTGAAGTCTACAAATAGTGATATTTTACAGATGATATCCATGGACGATCAAATGAATTATAGCTCAAAAATCTATGTGTCCGTATCTCGACATGAAGTCCACAAAAAGATTGTGTCACCATATCTGATAATCCTCTTCATAATCGATAACTTTCGTGGGATTACAATTAATTTTTTTGCAAGTGAGACGTCTCACGCTATCGACGAAAGAAGGTGGTCCACATGTTACTATTAGTAAGGAGCCATCGTTTTTTTCAAACTCACTGATTATTTTCTCGAGGTCCGGTCTACCATAGTGTTTGGGTTGGATTTTGCTCGTGGGGTTCAATAATTTGTCCTTGGCCGTTGACATATCCATCATTTCTAAATCAGTAAAACTCTCGACTGGCGGACTGGAAGTTAGATAGACGTCTAGGTCTAACCCATGGTTGAGTAGTTTCGAAAGCTGAGCTTGATAAAGAGAAAGTAGATCATCAGATTTAAGGGACCAAACCAAATTCATGAGGGGTGAGCTTTTGATTTCAGATTTCACTGACGACAGTGCAATTGACACTAAGCTTATGACGCCAGTCCCACCACCCAACAATAGGACATTATCGTAATTCTGGTAGGGTATTCCTTCTCCATAAGGTCCCTCTATTGCAACTCTATAGCTCTTTGGAGATTCCTTTTCCAGTGTCATCTTGAGATCTTTTGTGAACCCATTTTTAACTGACGCAATAATTGTGATTACTGGCTCGTTCGAATCATCACTTATTTCTAGAATAGTGAAAGGGTGCGATTGCCAAAATATTGAAGGTTTCAAAATATAAATGTACGCATATTGCCCCGGTTTACTAAGCCATTTGTGGTTTGTTTTAGGGATTGTAATCTTGATAAACTCATCTCCAAACAGCTCGAAAGTTGCATGAGGGAATCCAAATTTCACGCAACGGTAGGCGCGGACGATAAATTCAAGTACCCAAATAGCTATAGATGCATAGACCCACTCCATCCAACCAATTTGAGAACAGTGTTTCCAGCAAGCAATGATAAAAACCATCGCCATAAGGTAATGAACAAAGAGAAAAGTCTCGTAAAAATGCCTCCTGAAAAAATAGAAAGAGAAGAACACTAAAGCAATGGAAGAGTAGACACCTAGTCTTCCATACCTCCACACAGGAGTATCCCAGACATATTTGGTATACCTTTCCGCATATGAGAGATAAATATAACCCAGACCATGCGTAAGGACATCGAGGAACATCAACCGGCCTGCCCATTTGTGAAAACTAATCATTGTTTTGAATTTTATTCCAGTAATTGACTGAACTATATGATTTCTCCCACCAGATAAAATGATAAATGGTAACTGAGCAAATGCTATAATGCCAGCACGGTCAGAAACAAAGAGCGTCGTTTGTATTTTCAAAGTTGAAAATAGTTGCAATTTATCAAAATGATAATTTGTAGTCATGAAAAGAGTGTGAAATAACACGTATATCAGTATCGTGATGGTTTCGAGCCTTGTGGGTATCAATCCGATGAAAAACCATTTTCCGAAATAAGCAGCATGTCTCTGAAATAATGGGGGTGAGGTAATTTTTGCTTTGATCCATGCAAAATTGGGACTCCTTGAGGAGTTTCTAAAATTAAGCCTTTTTAATGTTTTTGAGAAGGCTCCAATTGCAAGTATGATGGCCCAAAAGCCACTTATTAGCCCAGCAAAGATTGTTCCCTTATCTAAATTATCCACAGGTCCAAACAGGGCAATAATCCATCGCTGAAGGCCAAGGGAGTCGGGTATTACAGGGGAATCGATTGGATCGTTGACTTCTGATTTTTCTTTGATGTTCTTGGTGGCAGAGCTCAGTATTTCATCTAAATTGAAATCTTCATCTTTAGGCCATTTTGAGCCACATTCGCCATTTATTAATTTGAAAATGGGATCCAGGTCCTCAGTAAAAACTTTTACTCTGTAGTTTGTAACAGAACAATAGACCCAAGAGCTAAGTGCAGGTGAAAAATTGCACAATACTTTTCTGCGAGATTCTGATGTGTCCCATTTATAAGTGCTAAGCTCATGGAAACAAGCCATAGTCATTATTTCATTCCATTTTGTCTTCCTTTCGGTATTCCTAGCATGTGTTACCGTCGATCCAGTGATAATAAAAAGCAGTATCTGCAATATGCTTCTCATAAATATTTCTGTTAATATGTTCGAGTAGGTATTGCCCTGTAAGTATCGAAATTCTAGATGTACATTTTCTTTTCATTGATCGACAAAGCAAGCTGCAAATCAAAATCTTTTCTCATAGTAACAGCACCCAAGAATTTTTTTAACCTTCCCCGGGTGTCCCCTATTCATCCGAAGAAAGGGACAGTTTTTCTTCAGGTAGGTGCAATCCCGAGACACATGTTTGTTGTCATTTCTTTATGCGCCCTTTACATTGTGGGTGGGATTTTTCTTAGATCCCGGCCTTAGAGGGTCTAGTCATACAAAAAACGCAGGGTGCAAGTATTTCGGTGATTGAACGTGCCTGTAATTCCTGAAATGAAGACAATAAGAAAAAGGCTTGCACCCCCTACAAAGAACCCTTCGAGACCAAGAGAATTACTATATAATCTACTACACTTGCTGGCCTTGGCGATATGTTCGAACAAATAAAATCAATCGCTCGCTTTCTGATTTCCAACTAAAACTTTTCCAATGAGAACTCAATCCATCCTTATCGCTGCTGCTCTATCTACTGCCGTCATCGCTGACAGCAGTATCACCACAACTATCACCGCTACCAAGAACGGTCACGTTTACACCAAGACTGTTACCCAAGACGCTACTTTCGTCTGGGAAGGTGAAGGATCCTCAACTTCTGCTGCTGAATCCACTTCTGCTGAGGCCGCTTCTTCTACTGAGGCCGCTTCTTCTACTGAGGCCGCTTCTTCTACTGAAGCTTCTTCTACCGAAGCTACTACCAGTGCTGAAAGTTCTGCTGCTGAAACTACCTCTGATTCTGGCAGCGGTAGCAGTATCACTACTACTATCACTGCTACCAAGAACGGTCACGTTTACACCAAGACTGTTACCCAAGACGCTACTTTCGTCTGGGAAGGTGAAGGATCCTCAACTTCTGCTGCTGAATCCACTTCTGCTGAATCCACTTCCGCCGCTGAGTCTACCACTCTAGCTACTGTTAGCAGTGCTTCTTCCTCTTCCTCCGCTTCCATCGCCACTTACACTGGTGGTGCTGCTGTCGCCACTGTCGGAACTGGTTTGTTGGGAGCCGCCGTCGCTGCTCTTTTAATCTAAGTTACTTGAATTTAATTCAGGATCTCTTTCTTAAGGTTTAATCGCAGTAATTTTTGATATCCTTGCTCTCATATAGATTATGAGGAAGTAATAATACATTAGGTAGGTTTATTGTTCGTTTAATCATCTTTTTATGCCCTTTTTAATAGAATGATAAGCCACAATATCAAAGCTCTGGTTTATGATGACAATTGAGATAGAAGGTAGTCGTGCGTCAGACTTCATTTTACCGTCTGTCATCAGTAACGTGATACTCGTAGAAGAACGTTAGCAACTCACCGGAGCGGAATTTTTTGACTACGAAAAAAGTTCAATTCTCGTTAAGGGTGCACGGAAAATTATTTCATGAAGTCTTAACACCGGGGTAAGCGCAGTTTCTATGGAGACCGAGCGGTTGGTAAATTTCTTACCAACCCTTGAAGGATACCCTTTTGGGAAAACTTTTCCTGCAAGGAAATTGCACCCTGTTATTAGTTGCACCCTGACCAATGATGAACTGTGAACTAGTGAGGAAAATAATGCGGTAGTTCAGATGGTTCGTAAATCTGGGTGTCCAATTTGTCATTTATTTCCGAATTCACTCTCTGCATGCTCGAGGCTCCGGAGATCGAGCAATCGTATTTAAGAGCATTGATTTCCCTGACATCATCGAAACAATGGTGAGCTTGTCGACTCAGAAATTAGTTTTCGAAGAATAAAATGAAGTTTTCTGCCACAATTTTAGGAGCTACCGTTTTGGCTGCTGGTGCTGTCAACGCTGCTTCCAGTGTTGAGGAGGTTGCAACCACTAAGACAATCACTGCTACAAACGGAAGTGTTGTGTACACTAAGGTTGTTACTGACACTGCTGATCCTGTCGTTACCTACAGTACCACAAGAACAACCACGTATACTACTGGTGATGCTACATATGTGAAGACTTATACGGAAGGCCCAGACAGCACTTCTGAGAGTAGCACTGTTAAGACCATTACCGCAACTAACGGAAGCAACACTTACGAAAAGACCGTGACGGAGGCCGTGACGTCGTCGGCTAGTTCCTCAAGCTCTTCCAGCAGTGCATCATCTGCCAGCTCTTCTGCTAGCTCTTCTTCTAGTTCTGCTAGCTCCTCTTCCACCTCCTCCGGTGGTGTCGAAGGACTTTTCAACAGCGCTAACGTGGGTGGAGCCATGTTCGTTGCTTTCGCTTCCCTACTTATTTAGATTTTCCGTGTAATTGTGGACAAAATATGTATAAGTTCATAGTCCATCGCTATAAACTACGCATTGATTTTTTTAAATTAAGCGAATGAAAAATAGAATCAATATATGATCCGTACTATATACGTTTTATTTCATTTCACTTCACTTTCAAGAATATTCTAAAAAAAAGTTCAATTAGTTCAAATATTAGAAAGAAGTCCATAATCATCGATTGAGGTATAATTTATTATTTTCTGGTAAGGTTCCGAATAAAATGATGTTTGTTCACTTTTCATGTTTTCGAGCTCTAATAGAATTTACAAATCTTCAATATAGCTTGAAGAGTTTAACTTGTCTCAAATATTAAAAAAGGAAGGAAATCAGCCAAAAAATCGGAAGTGTACATTATGTCGAAAATCATTTAAAAATTTGCTCTCGAAAAGGTTCCTAAATACTACCCTAAGTTTTAGTCATAAATGTGGCTCGGAGACTTCAGTTAGGAAAATGTAATTATGATTTTCCCCTTTCTCGGCTTTAAATTACATGACAAAAGCTTAACAGCTCACAATAACTTCACAAATATCCAAGTTATTTTCTATGTGTGTTTGATCTCCAAATGCAAGTACATCTAGTGATTCGAAAGGCTTTCGGAAAAAGAAAAAAATACGCGAATTGACACCTTGCATCTTATTATTATAATTCCTTATATAGTGCCACCAGCAGGCAGCTGGTTACATATCTGAAGTTATGTAATTATTCGCTTTGCCAATGCACCATACAATATATTAGAGTTTCAAACTTAAATAAAGTATCCTTACGTCTTCAATAAATTTAAAATAATGTTAGGACAAATATTTACAGGCTTCTTGGTTGATAATTCACAATTTGTTATACGCAAATAAGCGCACACCTGACCTTCAGAGAGACATGACGAAATCATGGCTTGACACAGATACATTACATACTTGCACATTAAAGTATCATATAAAGTTGCCTATGATTCGAGATAAAAGTAAGTTTCAATGAAATAAGATAGCACTGACTCCTAATCATTTAAGGGAGGCCAATATGTTAAATTCACATGTCGAAAAATCTTGCTCGCAAAGTCAGTCAAAAATGTGGACTTTCAAACACTAAAACTTCCAGAATGTTGTCTATGATTCGGTTTCTTTCATCTGAATGTATTTCACTACTTATTTTGCTCAGTTATAGACAATTAGAGGTTTTACTATATTTTAACTCCGTTTCGGCTTTTTTCCTGATCTCGTTCCCTTCGATGACAACTATATAATTATCACGCTCAAGGCTATATACTATTACGAACAAAAGTGGTTGATCGTTGGTATATCCTTATTATTTGGCTCATCTATGGAGCAAACATTTTACTCTCCTAGTAAAAGGTCTAAAATATAAAAAACTACAAATCAATGAAGGAATAATGAATGAATCAGAAGAGATTATTGATGAAAAGCAAAAATCGGTGACAGCGCCAGTAGTATCAGAATGGATCTATCATTATCTTTGTCAAAAATTGTGCATGTCGTCGGCTTTTTAGACACAATTCTGTCATTAGGTGAGATGAAGATAACGATTTTAAATGACTTGCAGATTACCTCAAAAAGTTCTGCGAGAGAGTTTAGCTCATCTGGGGTTGGTTCGTGTTTTTTAATCGAAAAACGCTTTCTTAACAGTTATTAAACTGCTGCATAGAGTTCTTTTTAATAAAGCAATATCAAGCCCTACAGCCCTATATGAATATCATATTTCAGGTGAAAAGACGGAGGGCGCATACACGGGGTTCCAATATTCCTGAAACATCAAGTAAGTTTGCCAGGAATTGACACCACATTTTAAATATATGAATTTGGTTGGTGATAAACCCAAGGAATAATCACTACTGGCAAAAGCTTTGGATGGTATTGGATCTATTTTATGTGAAAAACACAATTTCAACAGCAATAATGGCTCAAAAGATTGCTTCTAACTTGCACGGGTATAAACTCAATGCCAGGAATCTCTCTTTTTCGAGTGAGAGAAGCCCCACTCGCGAAGGTGCCTCAATCGAAGCTCTCGACTCCGCCTTAGGTGTCAAAACTTATATTGATGGCATTATTCATAAACCTGCTCCTTTTCATGGATTATATGGGTCAAAAACCTCTCATGGGAGATTTCCATATATGAATGTCATAAATTCCTATGGGCCAAGAAGTTTTTCGCTCGCTTATTGGACGATTTACATCACCGGTTGACAATCTTGCACCTTTTACAGAGACGATTCTTAGGTGTGAGACGTAAAATAATGATCTAAATGTAGTTCGCATTCCATGGCGCGACAGGACTCATCGAAAAATGAACACATTTCGTTTGACGGAATACTGGACCAGTTAACCATACCACATTCACCGATTGAAAGAGCACTGAAAACAACGGTAAAAGCTCTTAAAAGTAACGGACATAAAGTAACTCACTGGGATTTTCCATATCTGGAAGTCCTATAAATTATTGATACGTTTTCTCCTGCAGGTGGGAGCCTCGAAATCGAAATGAATTGCCATAAAACTAGAGGGCTAGTAATGAATTGCGTGAAGCTATTAGTTCAATCAAAGAGCTCTCTCAAGTATCATTCAAAAACGCCAATAACAAGAAATGCGTGGTGCAGCTTTGTAAATGCAACTGACGAAAAGATTTACAAATATTACGATTTTTTAAAGAAATTCGATAAGATGCCGATCTGTGTTCAAATTTTATGCTGAAGGCCTGAAGAAGAAGAACTTTTTGCAAGTGGATCAATTGTTGACACAGCGTTAAAGAGTAAGGCAAATAATAATTCATAGACATCCCAGTTTAGCAGGAAGCTGTCAGTTACGCGCGATATCTAGAGTCACTGTTGTGTGCACTGGTGTGTCATCTATTTTACAATCCTTCGTAGAAGTATATGTCCAAGGAAGATGAAAAGTTTTTTCAAAATTACTGGAATCAAAAGTGTAGATTGGCATTTTTTCTACCACACTGAAAATGCTGGATTTAGATGAAATAGCTAAAAAATATGAAATTCCTCTGATGAACATCGAAATTTCAAAAATAAAGTGAACTATCTACGTAATGTGTGACAATATCTTTTGAACGCTCCCTCTGGGTTTCAGTTTAACGAGGTGAGCAGAAATATTACTTCTGGCATAGATACGTCTATAGTGATATACGATGTCACCTATTTTTGTCTTCAGTTCCTAGTCTTCCTTCATTCCTTGCTTAGTGCCTAGTCCATTATTCAACTGAATTAGCTCAAACAGTGGGAACTGAGTGAAGATGATTGCTTTATTTGCTAACGTAATACACGCCACCAACTCTTTACTCAAGCGAAGCGAAGAACAGAAGGAGAAAAGAACATCGATGGCTAAGAAACAAAATAAAGCGAAAAAGTGACGACAGATGAGCTTCAAGCAGATAACGAGAAATGAGCTATGCATGTTCAATGATTGAAATCAAAGCAATTTACAAAATTTATTGCTTTAAATCTTCTTCGGCAAATAGCCTCATTGAGATGGCTGCCACGTAACGAAATACTATTATTTGGCAACATGTGCTTGAATTCCTCCATATTTTATCGGTCGCCGGGGAGTCTATCCGTTAAGATAATTTACATCTGGCAGGTAATAGATTATCGATGTCTGAGAACATCTTTGTCACGTTGTAAAGATCGTGAGGGCCACATACTACATGATAGATAGAGATGCAAGAGAGAACACTCAGAGAAGAAATATTTACAAGAGTTCGTGTAAATTGATATGGAACCTATACCAGTTGGTGGTTTATGAGGACATGTTATCCAAAGTCTGTAGCGTCATTCCAGTAGAATGGGATCCACAAAGCTCGTTGGAAGCTTGTGGGTTAGTGGCTAAGTTCAACGATGTTAGATCCAAAGAACTGCCCTCTATCTTACAAGACGTGGATTGGGTTAAGGAGAGCGCAGATGATGTGTTGAGAAAGATACATGGTGTTATATAAGAAACACGTCTTCAATCTTGGCCCAGCGCACCGCGACCGTTTGTATGGGTTTCTTCTTCCTGACCCTAAATCTCCCACAGAAGGCCTTGTACGTGTTCTTGCTCTCCATGGGTTCTGGCTCTGTAGTGTCTGCCCCATTGGTCAGCGTTTCGTAACTGTAGGTTGATGGTATGCATTCTCTTCCAATGGCTTCGGTCAGTTTTTTAAGCACAAGCCGTTTTCTGAAACGTTTTTGTTTGCTCAGCCGTCCAAGCAGGTCACTATTTTCTTCGAAATCTGCAAGCATCTCATAGTACTTTTGGAACTTCCCACTGTTTTTTCTCCAAACCAAAGAAGCTATTTTTGATACTTCTTCAAGAGCCAAGTGAGCGTTCTTCTCGCACCCAGCCTTTTTGTAACTGCTGTATTGGATAATAATATTATGAAGAATCCCTCGCATCAAGATAAATTTATTTCTCGTTCGGATGCTACTGTTGCGACTTTCTACAAATTCATCTCCTTGTTCAACAAACTGGCAAGTCCTGTTGTTGTTACTACCGTTAACTTGCCCATAGGGGAATTCTCCCTTCGCCTTCTTGCATTTGCGTAAAGAAATAATTCTCCGTTTCTCAGTATTGGGAAGCTGACACTCTACCCAACCATCATTCTTGGAAGATTCGTACATTTCAAATATTCTTCTTTAATTTTAGTTCTCTTTATTTCCACTTCCTGATACTCTATTCATATACACAAGCTACCCCAAATCCTTCAAGATTTCATGTTCTCATTTCTCATTCTTTTTACATATTCTTTTCAATTTATTATTCCTCTTTCCTTATTCTCTGCAGGCACGTCTCAGCATTTATTGGATCGCCCGGTACACTATTCCTCACATGCATTAGCGTCTCAACTGCCGAACGTAAAATTCAAGGAGACAAGCGAGGAACCGAATAGTCATTAGGCAGATTATTCGTAATTTACTGACGGCAAGTATATTGTTACCAATGTAAGATACGCCGAATTTGGAAGCGGTGGTTGAACCAAGCGAAGGCCCCTTTGAATCCTCTTTTTTAGCTTTCAAGAAGTCTGTGATAAGATTTATGAAAATTATGCTACTTTACTCCAAGATGCTGTTGTCGAGTCTAAGGAACAAGTGTTTGTTAATCAAAATACATAGCTATACTTGGAGAAAAACTCCTTTCAAATGCCAGGGTCTGAGAAGTACTTGAAGAACTTTTCAACGAAAAATCGCCATCTTCTTTAGTTACGAGAATTAACTTTTCGTATTTCATTTTCCCCCGAAAGTTAAATCAAAGCTATTTTCTTGGCGTAAAAAGTAAAGTTATGCCATAGGCGCCCATACATTAAACCTTCAATTATTGGCGGTGTAAATATACGAAATGAATTTCCTGAATCCAAGATGATAAATAGTACACTCTTCTTAAATTTTCGGTATTCCGAACATTATACCAGATATGGTATGAAACTATTCAGAATCTCTAAAGAGAAACATTGATATACTACTTAACGAAGACACTACTCGTTTTGCAATGCATTTAAAGTTGAAATAAGTTCCTGATATGATGAACAGGAACCTCCACATGCAATGGTAATTATAATATCATTTTCATCTAGTTCATAACCGAGAGATGCGCTTAAAATTTCTGGATTGTAGCATAAGTGAAGTGAAGCTCCACAAGCAGGCTCGACAACAATATGGTAGTCATCTGCAAACTTGATGCAAGTGCTCAATACTTCTGCATCATTGAGAACAATAGATTTAGTACCATATTTTTGGGCAGCCTCAAAAGCAAAGTCTGATATATATGGAGAACCAAGAGAGGTGGCTACACTTGTAATTTGCGTCAAAGTGATAGGGTGACCGGCCTCTAAAGATTTGCTTAAGACATCACATCCTTTGGTTTCTACGGCGATAACAGGTATGTGCCGCGCCAACCCATGTCTTTCTAAACCTTTTATAATTCCAGAAAATAGGCCACCACCCCCGACACTACAAACAATTGCCTTGATTCTCCCTACTGAAATGGATTTTGCAGCCAATTGGTCCACCACTTCGTCAATGATACTCGAATGACCTTCCCAGATAGTCCGATTATCAAATGGGTGCACATAAAGCGGTTCTACTCTCTTTTCCCTTAGAGCAGGCATTAATTTCGTTCGTAAAAACTCATCAGCTTCTCCCCAATGACTTCCCACAGTTATCACTTCTGCACCTGCTGCTTCTATCTTTTGAACCATCCTTTTTTTTGTACTTTTTGGAACTACAACAGAGCAAGGAACGGCCTGAATCTTCGATGCAACTGCTGCAGCCAGCCCAGCATTGCCACCGGAACTTGAGACTACTGCAAACTCAGCGTTTCTTTTCACGCTTGCTTCTATGCGACTTGTCTTAATTAGATGACTAATTCCCCTAATCTTGAAACTCCCTGCAGGTTGAAGAAACTCGCACTTCATTAAAAATTGAGGTCCTCTGCTACGATGTCCGAAGTTTCTGTGTAGCAGTGGAGTTTTCTCATAGTAGTTTACTTCCATTTTTATGAGGCGAGTGCCCTTGTTTTGGTAATTCTCACGATCTTCAAGGTTTGTCTTGAGATAATCACAGATAAATTATCGTACCAAACGGCGAAGTGAGTTTATGTCTCTTGTCAAAGCTTCAAACACTCGAGCGCAATTCGTGAATAGTAAAACTAACATAACTTCCCCTTACCTAAATACGCTTTCACTCAGTTGAAAAACTGCGGTGATACCAAAGTTTGAATCTGCGGGTCTCCCCGCCAAATGTGTAAAAAATCAGGACGCATACCAGCAATATACGGTTGTAAAGTCTCTAGCTCACCAAAAAACTTAGAAACTTAAGATTCACCAAGTCTTGTACTCTTAACAAAATTCAGTTGACCGCTTTGCTGGGCTTACTGGAACCGTTCTGTCTTAATAGAATTTCTCGCATGCGAAAAATCAAAGTTTTCGCTCCACACTCCAAAATCGAACATGAACCTCGAGCTGTACAGAAAAGCCCTTAACTTCAATGTTATAGGTCGGTACGATCCTAAGATTAAGCAACTTTTATTTCATACTCCACATGCTTCAGTATACAAATGGGACTTTGTCAAAGATGAGTGGATGCGACTAGAATATCAGGGAGTGTTAGCTATTTACCTGCGTGATATATCTAGTAATGGTGGGCTATTGCCTGAAGGCGAGGGAAACAAAGAATCTATACTGGCAATGCAGGGACAGTCCGTCGGATCAGAGAGTGGTATGGAAGAACTAAGAGGCTCAGATATTTACAACTATGGGCTAATCATTCTCAATAGAATGAACCCGGAGAACTTTTCAATTGCGATAGCACCAAACAGCTCTGTTAACAAGCGCAAAATATTTGAACCCAACGAAGATGCTAAACAACCTTTAGAATGTATGGCTGTGGAAGTCAAAGATGATTTGGTTATCGTAAAAAACCTTCGGCATGAGGTTTACGGGATCTGGATCCATACAATTCCCGATAGAAATAATCTATATGAGCTTATTAAATACTTACTAGAAAGTGAGCCAAAAAATTCGTTTACTTAACTAAATCAAGTACAATTACGTGTGTATTATAAATCATTTCTTCTTTGCGACTCTCTTCTTCTTAACTGATTCAGCTGCCGCAGCTGGTGTATTCTTTTTCCCTGGTTTTCGCTGCTTCTTTGCCTTCCCTTTTTCTTCCTCAACTAACCGCTTGCTACCTATTCTCTGTTGATCCAGATTTTGATGTTGTTGGAGGAGCTGTTGTTGCTTAATTTGTTGAGCGGTTAAGGGCGCTGCCATGGAAATCCTCGTGTTATAAGCATTCGGTTGTATATTAGTGCTCATAGCTTGCTGTTTGCGCTTTTCTTTGTTCACTCGCCATTGTTCAACAAATTTTAACCTACTGAACTGGTTGTTTTCATTATTGTTTGATCCAACGGCAGCAGCAGCAGCAACTGCCGCAGCGGCAACGGGGTTATTGCTACTTGCTCGTCCTGGTGTACTTGAAACTGATGTAGAGACTTTGCCACCACCATTCTTCAATGAACTGGTAGTTAGGTCAACTGCATTTTTAGCAAGCGAAGCGGCAATGGTAGACATTGTCGTTGTAGTGGTCCTTTCACTCATGATTAACATCATTTGCTCATAGCTTGAGCTATGTTGTGGAAGTTCTTCATGCAGTTCTATGTGTCCGACCTTCCCTTTTGTTCCATCCTTTGTGGGTAAAGGATGATGTTCACTGCTTATTTTGCCTGTCCTATAATCATAGGCCGGCTTTAAAAATAATGATTCGTCTAATTTGTCTTGATGCTCGTACGGATTTAGATGAACGTCCAAGCAAAGATTCCTCTTAGTCAATGTTAAAATTTCAGCCTCGAGCTGCTGATAAATGTTATCGGAAAATCGAGTATGGTCCGCGTACGAAAGCATATCGTAATAATGTGTCAGATCATTAGGCCGAAGCAAGGTTCTATAAACTCTTGGACGTTTGAAAGTAGCGACATGCTCTTTTCCGTCTTTCGTAGGTTCGCTTGACTGTGATGAGCTATCAAGCCCTTTATTCGCACTGGTGTTGGCTCCTGATGCCGACGAAACATGGGTATCGTTTGAATTCTGAATCTGAGCACCGGCAGCCTGTTCGGTTGATTTATTCTGAGGCTGTTTTATGTCAACAGTATTGGTATGGTCATAAACTTGCAGAATTAAGTTACCTTCGTAAAATTGGATATTACAATCTCTCAGCACTTCCATAATCGATTCTGGGATCCTACCTCTCGCAACATACTCCAAAAACTCCTTAAGAGTTTCATTATTCTTGTTCAGAATCAACCCATCACTTGTGGCTTGCGGTGTTCGTTGCTGCTGTTGAAGTCGTGTATTTGCTGGAGCACATATCTTGTAATTATTTTCATAGATGTGAAACTCAAAACTTGGCCGGAACTGTTCGTACTTTTTAAGAATAGCATCTGTATCTTCCGCAAAATTATACAACCTTTTTGGCTTTTTATTTATTGTCATTAGAAATTGGTAAAACTGATTCTCATAATTCTGCATGGCCTGCTGTTGTTGTTGTTGTTGCTGTCTTAGTTTTTGCTGAAGTAACAATCTCTGTTGCTGAGTACCAGCAGAGCTTGCGACATGAGGAGGGACCTGCCCAACGGGTCTCTGTGATAATTTACTAGCAGACGTGCTTTGCATTATGCCTTTTGAGGCATTCACTGGTATTCCTAGGCCACCATCACTCATACTGTCTCCCCGTATTGGTCTGGTGTTAGAATGAAGTTCTTTCATTCTCGTAATAATACATATCGAAATTACCCGGCCACCCGGTAGCTAAAAAACAGTCATATACGTTCCTATTTAGCGATACACAGTAGGCGTCGTGAGCCTACCACATGCTTTGAAGACCAAATAATGATGTTGCCACACCTGCCAAACCAATCGATCCATCTTGTGAATGGACATACTTCAAATTGTTGAGGACAATGTAGGTATCGATCGCGTCCCAAAGTAGTCTCCTACAGGCAGACGCTCTATCTTGATATGTTTTTGACAGTAGCTTCTTTTCATCATTATCTTCTTCCAATAACAGTGACTTTATGCGGACTTGAGATAACTGAATATTGCGGAGGTCCATCACAATTCCACAAACTAGTCCTACGAACCAGAACCAGTTTGTCCAGCGAGGGATCTTGATTCCCGTTAACTTTGTTACAGGAACAACCTTTAGGATACGAAGTAAATTCACTTGGTCCAATGTAAGATATCCAGCATACGCTAAATTCTTCAGGATATTGCACCAGCGCACTAAGTCGTCTCCCGATATCTTATTATCATAAAATTTCGAAGCGCTCTGCAAATGGTTGAGGGGCTTGAGAAATCTTAAAACCTTACGAATGGTTGTGAACTCAGTCTGCAACTTTTTAGCCAGGAATGAAGAATATTGAAAGCCCAAGAAACGGCACAAGTACTGCAACAAACGCAAGACCTTCTCTCTCCCAGCCGTCGAGTCCAATAGTTTGATCAATTTAGTGAGCGTTGGATGATAAATAACACGATCACACACCATTTCCTTAGCTTCTTTCTAGTTAGTTCTCCTCAACTAATGCGACCGAAATTTTAATGATCACCCTCAAATATATACGCAGTTTTTCGGAGCTCGGTCCGAAGGAAAGAACATTCACTCTGAAAACTTCTCTTGGGCAGCAATGGGCTATTATGATATAGATGACATCCTTTCGGATGCTACGAAGTTCCCTTGCAGGTTCAACTATAGCATACCTGGGCTGGGATACTTAGAAGGTAATGTCGGCAATCCGATACAAAAGAACGCCAAAATTGAACTACCACTCTGGTTGGCACGAGTATTGGCAATTATAGGTGCAAATGCCGATGAAGACAGTGAAGATGCATTACCTTTCCTGGAACTTATGACACCTGATATGCTATCCACCCGGGTCATGAATGCAATAAAATCGAATCCGGTTTCGCTTGATGTCCACTCTATAAATTCACATTTTTACGCGTTAGCAACGAAATGGGCCACGCTATTTAACGATGCATTGCTGGTCAAAATACTAAATGTTATGATTCTGGAACGGTCTCAAGAAATAAATAATCATGCCGCTAGTGTTTCAATTGATTCCATGGTGAAAAATGACCCGGGTATGTTCTTACTTACACTTGATGAATCTGAGAAGCAATTGTATAAAGATAGTCACATAAGTTGCAAGGAAATGAAACAGTGGATGATTCGAAGGTGAGATAAGAAAGCTATAAGGATTAATACTAGCTGTTGAAGAATAGTTCCAGCTGATGCTTAATAATTTTCATGGAAAAAGTGCATCGGCCACTACTTTGCTAATATGTCTTACAACTTCAGCAAATTCCGCTTTCGAGTATAATACACTCATACGACTATACACGGTAACTATATAGATATACAGGCAATATGCAAATACATAATTCCAAGTCATCAATTCACCAGACTACTACAGACCCTATGCGACAGTATCCCCTAAAACAGGTCATTTTCGCCGTCGCTGTTTTTAGGAGTTGCAACTGCGGATGCTTCGCCATCACCACCAGACATACTTTTTGGCCCCTCGCCTATTTCTTCGTCGCTATCATCGATAAACTCTTTAGACAGAGGTGGCACTTCATTGCTGTCGCTATTATCTTCATCATCATCCCCAATTACGGGCTTCTTGGACCTCTTCCTCCTCTTGGGAGCATCATCATCCTGATCTTTCTTGACTCTTTTGGCACGCTTCTTTTTTTTCTTTGGCTTCTCAGCAGCGTCCTCATTAACGTCGTCATCGCCACTAAGCATGCCATTCTCATCCTTTTCATTTATTAGATTATCCATTTCAGCACGCTCCTCCATTAGTTTACGAGCCTCCTCCTGTAGCTTCCTGAACTCTTCAGCTTGCTTTTGCTTCTTGGCACGCTCTTGTTCTTCCAACAACTTCAACTGTTGTAACTCCTTTTGTTCGGTTTCCTCCATCAGTTTCCGAGCTTTTTCCAATTTTTCCGCCGCCTCAGACTCATAGTCCTTTTGCTCTTGAATACATCTCTCAAGGGCACTCTTCATTGTTGTTTCGCCAAGCTGTAAGCGCTGCTCCAATTCTTCAATTGGAACAATACCAGTCTTACGATCAATTAAACCTCTCAAGAGATCCAGCGCCGAATCCAGCCCAGACGCAGCTTTCCTCAGGTCTTGAAGTGTTCTAGTCTTGGGTAGGGATCTTCTCAAAGTTTCAGCGACTTGAAACTCCAGCAAAGCAACATTAAATGTAACAGCGTCCAGCATTTTGCTCCTTTCTTTATTGCACTCTAGCTCCATCGACTGCTTGGCGTAAATAAGGGATTTTTTGAAGCATTCAAGAGATTTTTCCTTCACACCGCGCAAATACCAAGCCTTACCAAGTAAGTTGAGAATATGAGATTTATTGCCTTCTCTGTCGAATCTTTTTAAAGCAATATCGTAATTCTCAATAGCTTTTGAGTACTCGTGCATCTCTAACAAGCAATGCCCTAAGTTAATATGAACGGCTTCTTCATCGAGGGAATCTCTAACTTTTCTAAAAATTTCAAGCGATGGGCCTAGTCTTTTATTTTCAGCGAAAACAATTGCTAAGCCCTGCGCAGCAAAAATATTGTAAGGATCAAGTTGTAGAACTTTTTGGAAAAGTTGAATAGCTTTAATAAATGACTGCTTACATTTTTCTTGATCCTTGGGGGAGGATGACTTCTTGTTGTCTCGTGCGATAGTAATGTAGAGATTTGCCAACGATATTAAGGCGTAAGAATCATGTGAGTTAAATTTCAACAAGGTATCTCTGTTATGATTAGTTTCTAAGTTCTCACCCTTTTCGTTCGTCTTAGGATCAGCAGAGTGCTTTAAATACCAGCTGTAGAAGGATCTAACTTCCAAATTTGACCCGTGTCTTGCAATCAAATTACTTATTTCTTGAGAAAGTTCCTTAGAGTTTGCTGACGTGAACTTTAAATAAAGTAACCTTACCTTGGCGTAGACATATTCTGGGTGAGCTGACAGGATTTTCCTATAAATGTCTTCGGAAGTTTTTGCTTCGGAAGATTCCAAAACACGAGCAGTATTGTACTCGACAGTTATTAGGAAGCTGTTTCCTGATTGATTCTTTTCCTTTGTATTTCCTGCGACCTCAAACAATTTGATAGCCTCGCCAAGATCGCCGTTTATGAAATGAAAGCAGCCCAAATTGTTCAAGATTTCAACTGGAACATCGATGTCTCCAGCAAATCCTATTTGCTCGACAGCCTTTGAAAGGTACTCTAATGACTGCTTATATGAGTTCTGCAGTTCAAACAATTCAGAAAGCGTCAAATACGCTCTCAAAATGACACGCTGGTTCTTTTTGGCTTTGGTCAATTTGATGTATTTCTCCAAAAAGTTAATAGCCTTGTTCAAGATAACTTGTTGATCTGTATGAGGTAATGGCGACCACAATGCAGAATCTAAACACTTTGAAGCATACAGTAAACCCAAAATGTAGTTGAGTTCTTGAATACTTTCATGGGTTTTGTATAGGTTCTCAAACGTAAGAATACCCTCCTCAACTAACTTATTTTGAATTTGTGTTTGGCCAAGGCCAAATTTAGCGAGAAGATTATCTTCATTTTGCTTGATACTTTCCTGGAACAAAAGAAAAGCTTTCCGAAACTCACCCAGCGAGTAATAGGCTCTTCCACACCAAAAAGCAGATTCGGAGAGAACAGTATCAGCGACAAGTTGTGATTTAACAATTATTCTCTTTTCATACAAATCAATTACTTTTTGATAACCACCTTTAAAATAGAGATAACTTTGAAATAAGACAAGCAGGACAGGATTTTCCCTATTGTCAGAATAGATATTATTCAAGTCTGTCAATGCTTTAGAGTAATTAAGCTTGAAGTCATCATCATCTTCCGAATTCGACAGAGAAGAATGGAACTCGCCCAATAATACCAAAATATTTGTATTACTATTCCCTGGATTTACTTCCAGAGATCTTTTCCAAGAAGTTATAGCCATCTTGTAATCCTTCAATTGCCAAAAGCACATGCCGATGCCGATTCTTGGATCAGGCTGTAGCATGGGATTCAAAACGAGAAGCTCCTGAAATAATCTCAGGCAGCCCGTGTAGTTTTTTTTCTGGTACAACAGTTTCGCTCTAAGAAGTAAAAACATAACATTTGCCTTTGGTTGTCTTCCATTTCTGACGTCTTCCGCATGGATACCTTTGACAAAGAGATCTGAAGTCTCTAAAGCCTTATCGTATTGACGTTGCTGATAGTACAAGTCAATGGTGGCTAGCATATTACCTATCCACGTAGGATCGTAGACAATAGCATCCTTGAGATGTGATTCGGCCTTGTTGAGATGTGCATCCCTTGTTTGACTGTCTGGTGAGTACTCTTTAGCTAGCTTTAAATATGCCCAAGTTAAAAAGGTATGAAGAGAGGACGACTGAGGACCCTGAAAAACATCCAGTGCCATCTGTATTAGACTTATGCATTCATCTAGCTTTCCTTGATTACAATAAGCAATTGCAATAGTCAGCCAGTGTTCCTTATCGGAATTTTCTTCGACGAGTAAAGTTCTTAGGTCGCCGGGATCTTCTGGTAAATCATTTTGAAGATCAATGCTAACCACCTCCTCAGAGGCCTTCAATGGAATATCAATAGAGCCTGGCCATGATACTTCTGGATATGGGACCGCCTGCATTGCCTGCTCCATTTCGCCCACTTATGGGTATTAACGTATTATCAATTCCCTACACTGAAGGATTTTTTTTTCAAGTTTTTGACAAGAAGTCAGGGTAACAACTGTGTACGAAAAATTTTGGCTAGCGTAGAAGCTCTCAGCTCATCGCCATAACTAATTGGCCATCGAAAGAATGGCAATCGAAAAACGCCTCTTTGTGGGAGGCTTCACCACCCATATCGATGAGTGTTGTGTTGAGCTTTTTACGAGATTTCAAAGATTCGGTCGATGCTTGTCTGATGCGTTCGAAACGCACGATAGCTTTGCTTTCATCAACATGAACTTTGAAGACGAAAATGCCTACCAGAAGCTAAGACGAAGCTTCAATGGCATGAAATATAAAGGAAATATTTTGAAAATCGATGTTGCAAAACTAAATTGGCAAGAACGCTGGAAGTTAGAAAATTCAAAATTAGATCAACTGGAGAAGACCAAAAAAGATCAAATTCTGAAAAGGGAATGGGAGCATTATAAAAAGCTGGAAAATATCAAAAAATCGTGGCTTGATAGAATACAAGTCCACTACGGCAGAATGCGTAAGACTCCGAGACCAAAGAACCAACTTAGAAACATCACATTCAGAATCAATCGGGACGGTCATTTAAAAGTATACAAATGCTATAAAACAAAACTATGGGGATATGAGAGAAATAAGAAAGCCAGGGACCTAGCTTACAAATTTGTAGATAGTCACTGGCGAGATGGAAATAATCACATTATAGACAGGCTTGATTACTCTCGATGCGAAAGACCAATTTTCTCCCGATATCCTGCTTGCAATCCTAGCTCGAGCACTGAGGCGAATGGGAATAATATTGAGGAACCAGAAGAAGACTACGAAAAGTATCAATACGAAAAAATTTTGGGCAGCGTTTTAGATGATTATGACTTTGACAAGCCACTGGATCTTGACGATGATGAGGAAAATGCATCATCTGACTATGAATATAATGCCATTTTTCAAGAGTCTGAAAGGCATATCAAGGACGAAAAGTCAATAAAACTAAAAAAGGCAGTTGAGAGCTCAACAGAGAGTACCAATACTGATACAACTTTTAAAACAAGTAGTACGCCAGACGAAGATGACACCAATAACACTGAGCCTATAATTGAAAAGAAGACGACAGAAAGTAGTACGACAGAAAAGTTGAGATCACTTTTCAATCCTGAACAGCCCACTAACAAACTTTTCAGTTTAGTCGAAGAATCAGATGGTGAATTATACGAGAATGAACCACCAAACAATTCCTCACGTGAAGAAGAAGAGAAACAAGAAGAAGAAGAAGAAGAAGAAGAAGAAGAAGAAGAAGCACAAATGGTCATAAAGCAGCAGCTCATTAAAAGTTCTGCTAAAGGACTGTTCTTCTCTCACATAAATTCTCCATTTTTGCATGCTCAATCAACACTTGCAAAACTTAATAGCACGTCGGGCGGCCCAGAAAGCCTTTTTGACTCGTGGGAAGAAAAGTTCTGGGACAATCGTGGTCTTTGGACACGAGAAATGAAGAGCAAGAAAAGAGATGCCATCAGGCAGCTAAATAAGAAAAACGGGAGAACTAAAGGAAATAGTATTTTACTTTAATAATCATTTCAAACAATCAATAAATTAGAACTATGAAATGTCTGTATCATATAATTATTAAAAGGCTCGTGGGCCAAACTTAATAGCCATTTCAACGGCAGCGGCACCCCAGTCTTCTCCATGATTATGCATTGATTTCGATTCATCAATACCCGCTCTAGCCATTGCCTGCTGCTCTGTCAAACAAGTCAATAGACCAAAGATGACTGGGATTCCGACCTTTTCTTGTAAGCTCATCAAAGCTTTTGTCACAGAGTCGGAAATATACTCGAAGTGCATCGTGCTGCCCTTGATCAACACTCCGATGGGAATTACAACATCAAGGGGAGCGTTCTTCGAAGCCTGACTATCGATGAATCTCTTTGTTCCCCAAGGTAATTCATATGAACCAGGAACGGTCTCTATGATAATGTTTTCCTCCTTCACTCCCAGAGATTTTAGCCTGTTAATTGCACCATTGACAAGTGCATCAATTACAACCTTATTCCAGCGGGCATGAATTATACCCACTCTAATAGAAGTTCCATCATACTGCTGATCCAATTGCCCTAATCCTTTGACCGCCATTACTTGTTCTTATGTCTCTCACTACAAATGATAATTGGTTTGTGATGTGTCATCAACGTACAAGAATCTACAAAAGCTATCCTGAAAGGTCATAAGGTACGTAACAAATATCCTTAAATTTTACACAACGATTACTAAAATTCGTTATCCTTCTCGATTATTTGATCTCTAGCATATTGAGAGCCCCCTCTCGTATCTTTAGCTGCTACCGTATCCTCTTCAATGTCACCGTGATCTTCTGGATCATTGGGAACATTATTCAACTGAACACTAGGGGCATACTTAGTGTTCTCTAGACTTTTAAAAATGCTAATCAACACTTTATCCAGGTATTCCGGAGAATTAACGTTGAACATATTAGAGGGCCTCACATCCAACTTATAATCCGGACCATAGTATTCATAATAGTCATTATAAGGTAATTCCTCGTCTAAAATCACGTTATTAAGTAGCCCTGTTTCAAATGCCCACGTCCTGGCCACATTTCTCATCGTATAACCACCACCACCAACAACTAACATCGGAATTCCAAACGATTTGACGTAGTTAACACAATTTGCATGACCTTTCATGGAAAGATTGAAACAACCTAGTCGATCACCTGACAACGAGTCACCTCCACACTGGAGAACAACTGCAGATGGCTGGTACCACTCCATAATTTTACCAATTACAGGTTCAAAAACCGATTTATAGGTCGCATCATCAATTCCATCCCTCAAAGGGACATTAACGGCATAATATTTGCCTTTTCCAACTCCGATATCTCTCAATTCTCCTGTACCTGGGAAAAATTCTCCATATTTGTGAAATGAGCAAGTCATCACCCTGTCTGTCGTGTAGAACGCTTCTTCCACGCCGTCGCCATGGTGGACATCAATATCGATGTATAGTACTCTTGGATGATATCTTAAAAGTTCGATGATGCCTAGGACAATGTCATTGAGGTAGCAAAATCCGGATGCTTCGGCTTTCTTGGCATGATGAAGGCCACCCGCATAGTTAATCGCCACATCGCATTTGCCTCTATTCAATCGAGCAGCTCCTTCCATGGATCCACCCCCGGATATACTACAATACTCATACAGCCCATCAAACACTGGTGTATCGTCACTAACATTGAACTTCACCGTCTCTTTTTGAAACATATCTAGGTTATCTGGCGTAACCCTAGATAAGAAGTCAATATACTCGTCTGTATGGAATTGACACATTTCTTGTTTCGTGGCAGGCTTGGCTCGATATATCTCCATCTTTTTGTAAAGGCCATAGTTCATGATAAGGGAGTGGGTCATTCTTATTCTATGTGGCTTCATAGGATGTCCAGCCCCATACGCATAATTGCCAACATCGGCATCATAAAAATATGCGACACGCTGCTTGTTATTGGGCTTCACAGTGATTGGATCAAATGGCTTTGCTTCATACACCATCTCTGCGATACAATATTACGTTGTTTTCTTAATACATTAAAACTTGAGAATTCGAAATAACTATTTTTTATGATAAATATGTTTGGGTGTGTATACAAATAATTATCATGTATAAAGTATGCCAAGATCAACTTAGGCTGTTTCAAAATTGGCCTTGATTCGCAAATAGTGCTTCAATTCTTCTTCCGATACACTAGGTATCAGTTCATTTCTTGCTTTTAGGAAGTCTTGCATCTTTACAATAACATTAAGATCATCTTGAGTAGCAACTTTTTCGAACCAATAGCGAAGAGAAACAATTTTATCATTTTGGAGATTGTAATCGTCCACTTTACTATCAATTTCATTAGATGTTCTAGTCATGGCGTTTAATATAGCATCAGAACATAGTGCATAGAAGTCAGCACCGGTATAAGTAAAAGGACAACCATTAGCGAGCATCGATAAATTCACATCGTTCCCAAGCATAAATTTCCTAGTGAGAGCTTTCAGTATATTCTCTTGTTTTTCATTTGTATCAGAGATACCTAGGTAAAGTAGCTTATCGAAACGTCCTGGACGAAGTAGTGCCTCATCAAGAAGGTCGGGTCTATTTGTAGCCCCTATCACAAATACACCATCACCTCCTGTACTCATACCGTCCAATTCCGCCAACAGCTGTGACACAATTCGGTCCATAACTCCGCCTGAATCTCCTTGATTGCCTCTTTTCGGGGCTACAGAATCCAGCTCGTCAAAAAAAATCACGCATGGTTTCGCATCCCTAGCTTTTTGGAAGACTCTACGAACATTAGCTTCTGATTCCCCAATGTACATATTCAGCAACTCGGGCCCTTTAACACTAAAAAAATTTAACGAAAAGTTCGTCGCGATCGCTTTTGCTAATAAAGTCTTACCAGTTCCAGGAGGACCATAAAATAGGATACCGCTCCTTTTCTTCATTCCCGAGGAGAAAAGTTCCGGATGCTTTAGTGGTAAGTCAATAGTATCCATGATTTCGCCTTTAACGATGTCCATGCCGCCAATGTCATCCCAGGTGACGTTTGGAATCTTAGGCGCACCTATGGCGTCTGAGAACTCAGCCCTTGCCCGTTCAATTGCGTCTGACAAGTCAATATCAGTTACAGGAATAAAATGGCCTGCAAGCATGTACTCGCCAAAAAAATCACCTTTTTTTACTAACCTACGGAAAGCAGTAGCTTTAGCGACATGTATGATCGAATGAATATCTTTCGGTGTAAGACCGGCAGATTTCAACGCAAGTTTAGAGGTTATTACATTCTGACCAACGCAAAATCTGAATTCTTTGGAGCCACCGTAATTTAACTCAGAAGTTGATAATTGTGATTTGAATATCTCTAGCCTTTGTCTCTCAGTGGGAACAGGGACCTGCAGGTCAAACCTCATCTTGGTGCTGACGCTTTCGGGCAGTTTTTCTATATCATTCACCGAAGCGACTATAATGACACCTGTAAAGTCCTTGCAGGTATTTTCTATGAATTCTCCCAATTGAATACTCAAAGCTTTGGCATTTTTGGAGCCACTAGGATCTTGTTGAGCATCTTCCTTTTCCAAGATAGAGTCCAAATGTGAAAGTAAAACTATAGAAGGTGAGGCAAACGGCAGAAGTGGTTCAAGTTTAGCCTTCAAAAACCCTATTATTTTATTCGTGGTATCGGCAGCCCCCGGTAGAATACTTATCGATGCGCAATCAATTTCGGCAAAATGAATACCCACCCTAAGTGCTGTATGTTTAACCAGAGTTCTTTTTCCAACGTTGGGAGTAGAGGAGTGAAGGAGAATAGTTGATGGCATTTTAATTCCTCGTTTATAACACTTAATACCAACTCTAACATACTGCAAAAACTTAGATGCGTAATCAAATGATGGCGAGTCAAAAGGAAACGGAGCATGAAAGTTATAATATGAAATAAAATTGCAATTCGTTATGGGCATCGGTGATTTAGAGACAACATTTTCTGTTACTAAGGTAGTTTGAGCGCTATCAATTGTAAATGGTCCACTAAGAATCGATGAATCCTCGAAATTAACCTTACTTACCTCAAACCAAACAATAGAATCATTCTCCGAGCTAAATTCGAGTTCTCTCAACTGAACCGAGCACATAGGAGCAAGGCTTGAATCGAAAGGTATAGGAAGAAGATCACCTACCTCTAACACACGGCTTTTACTTGTCAAATACTTTGTCAAATTGTCTAAAATTATGCTTTCGTAAACCTTTTGACAGTTATTCCAGCTTCCAACTCGTGCGAGAGACACAGACGCAGCTACTGGAATTTTTCTAGGTGAAAAGGACCATTTTTCCATAACTATTTCTTCTGAATCTTTGAAATTCGCAATGAATTTAGGACACGCATAAAGCGTCGTAGCATCCAATTCGTTAGGTGATAAAAGCACAAACAATCTAGCAATACGAGAAACGTCTGCTTGGCTGATTCTTACGTAGGAACCGCTTGAAACGCCTAATCGCAACAAGCTTAGAGCATCAGAGAAGACAAACATCGAATCGTCCTCCAGAACCGAAGGAATGGGAGTCAACAAATTTTTGTCTATCGGGCGGGACAACCCTCCAATCCTAAGACTAATTCTATTAGCTTGTGCCAAGTGCAAGCTCTTCGTATAGTACGGCAGTTCGCAGCTTTCTTGGGTGGCGTGATCATCACAAACCAGAACGATCTTTGTACAATTGGTATCAAGAACACCTTGGAATTGATCCGAACAGTCTATGACACGGCACCAGGAATCCCAAAGAACATCGCCACAGTGGATCACTGATACTTTGTTCTCAATTCGGCATTTCAGCTGAATATACTTCACTTGTTCCTCACATGTACCGAGACTCAATAGCTGATCGTATAGAGTTGGCCTCAAGGATATCGCGAGGTTTTGAATAACTGGCAAGATATTCCTATAGGGCCATATTTGACAGTTATCAATGGTCGGTTGGCCCTTTGTAACACGAAAAACCTTAGAAGGAAGTTCTACGGTATCAGGAGGTAATTGGTCTTTTATGCTGCATTTGAGTACCTTTGAGTGTGTAAATTTGTCATACCCTTGCACCATTACACTGATATAGGGTAATTGGGATTCATTTCCGTTTGCATTGTCTGCAATCGGAAACAGATGATTGAAAACTTCCTTTGAGAGAAATGAATCGAAACAGTTATCGTGAGAGAAAATTACGCTTGGATTTGCGGTAGGGATTTGTCCTTTGGCGTTCATTTAATGCGACGCTGGTTATGCAGCAGTGTTTGAATCTGTGGATTATTTTCGTTTATTATAGTCTTCTACGGAATATCGGAGAACAAACCGTCCCTCCACACAATCTTGACGCTCTGATACCAACATTGACCTCAAAAATGCAAGGCAGTATATTTCTAGATTTATGTATCTCAACCGCTCATCATTTTGGTAACCTCTAAAAGCCTTTCCTCATTTTCTAATCTTATCTAAGTTAACACTTTGCCAAATTCTATACCACTTTCACCAAAGCTCTATTTTACTCCCTTAAAATCACACTTCGAGCGAGAACATCTCTCGCCTCATTGACTTTCATGGCTAGATAAGGACTGCCCCCTTTATCCGGATGATTCTGGACCATGGCAGCACGATGCTTTTGTCTCAACTTTCGCTGATCTAACGATGCGATCTCTTCGGGCGAAACGTTGAGAATTAAAAGTGCCTCGGATTCCGTCATTTTACTGTAAAACCCACCAGGATACTGCTGAAACCTCTGACGCAGCTGCGCATCTGTGACCCTGGAGCGTTGATAGTCTGTTTGCAACGTTTCTCTCGCATAGTTGATGGGGATGTTATTCAGCTGAGCGATCACCAGTGGCGTTAACGTCTTGTAAACCTGCCAGGCACGTAAACTAGATCTCACCGTTAAAGCAGCAAACGTCACTCCAACTCCTACTATGATCGGAAGAACCATTTTGGTGTCTTTGCATGGGACCAGCAACCAAATGCAATGGATCGCCCATACATGTCTCCAAAGCAATACTAAAACAGCTCGCGATTCTAATCACGTGATGCGTGATTCGAGCAGAAACCGCTGGTTTGTTCATTTTTACAAGTTGCGCCACTCCATTTTCTAGTTTTTTTGGCATATTGCCGATATTACATAAGCTGAAAATGGCATGGCTGGTAAACGCTGGCACACAGAAGCGTGCGAAAGGCAAAAGCACTTACAAATGTGCTGGCTTGCTGGGAATAGTGAGAGAATCAATGTATCGCTTTTGGCAATTCAAACGGTCAAAAAATAAACCACATATTGGAAAGGGCGCGGGCTTAATATTTGATCTACCAGTCTGATCGGAGATTGACGAAAAGAGAAATGAAATAGCCAGCAACATGATCTAACTGACACGTTTAAAGGGCAATTATATAAGGGCGGAGAGAATTTCGAAAACAAACAATGCCTTTTTGCAAATTCTTCTTAAGCTATCAATAGTCAACCACAAGGATTTGACCTCCATTCACAATATGGTGGCCTTAAAGGATATTTTACTTGGTACGTCCTACTTTATCGGCATCGTCGCTGCAAAATATGTGAACACGTCTTCTCCAACTACCACCTCGTTTTCAGGATCTTTGAGCTCAACGATTTCATCTTCGGTGAGCTCTTCAACCACTGCTTCGCCCACTGCTTTCTTTTCAAATGTTCAGTTGGTGGACGCTTACAGCGGAACAAACACTTCAACTGATAGAAGCCATTGGTTTATGATTGAAGCAGAACTGTATGCCTCTGCAGGCTTTACTGATAGATTGTATCTCACAGTTCCAAAGGAGTTAAGCGACTTTCCGTCCGGGCCATTTGACCTAATTCAAGGTACGAGTGTTGTTGGCTCCATTAGTTACAACTCGCCTAACGTGTTCTCAATTGCCTTCTCCAATAACACTGAGCAAGCAATCAGTACCACCTTCAATTTCTTGGCTAAACTATCTTCTGACGCTATCGAAGCAATCGAATCACCTCAAGCGATCGACTATACCTTCGAGGTGTCGGGCGGATCATCATTTGTTTCCACGATTGATTATATCGCAGAAAGTTTGTCAGTATCTTCAACAAACTCTGGCTCTGACAGCAATGGCCGTGCATGGTTTACTTTAGATATTCCTATGTCGGAATATCCTGGCTCCTTTGTATTTGGTGCTGGTTTCCCAGGATCCACTGCTTATGAATTCGACCCATCACTTACGACCATTCAAGTTGTTACGGCAGTTGATGGGTTTAACCAGCCCACGAAGATGGTAAATATCACTGCAGCAGTGGATTCATCAGACGAATCGAGTATAAGTTTGAGTTTGAACACGCAAATAAGCGGTGGGAAATATATTCGGATTAAGTATTTCACTCAACCAATCGCTGATACTTACATTGAAAGCATCGCAACTGTGAAATATCCCACCCTCTCATCATACAAAAGGGAAATTTCCATTATCTTCGAGGAATACGTTTATCTGAAATCCATTGCCAACTTAAATCAATGGGGCGAAGACATTTCAGTTATGACGGATTCAGATTGGTTTTCGACCATAACAACAACGAACACATCCAGTTCGACATCAACACCAACGGCAACTTCTGGTTCCGTGACTGTCTTCAACATCACAACTGAAACTTCTGCCACCTCTCAAATCGAAACAGCAGCTAACAGTACACTTCTAAAATCCACCAGCACGCCTTCCACTGGTTTTACATCGTATCCATCATCCAACACTAGCACCGTACTTCCTGACGCAACCTCAACTTCGAACTCAACAGAGAACATGACTTACACAGTTATCACCGAGTCCAACGGTGCAGAAATTACTGTTTACACCAGCTTCTTCCCTGTTGCTACCTTGTCTTCCATGTCATCGAATGTATCCAATTCACCAACCACAACATCGTCCCCAAGTTTCAATTCAACTGGTGTGTCAACGAGCACTTACTTGAGCAAAGAGGTCCTCACGGTTACCTCAAACGGAGAGGTAACCGAAATCTCAGAATTGATCCCTGTTAGTACGATCGTTTCGGCTACATATGCGTTAACTAGCCATTCTCCAAGCAGTACAGTTTCCACTACTCATTTATTAGGCTATTCGGATGAGAGTTCAACAACTTCGAAAAGTTTACCAGCTAGTTTAACGACCGAGGTATTCACGTCTAGCTACTTATCCAGTTTGGTGTTTACAACTACCCGCGATGGACAGGTAAGTGAATATACAACATGGTTCCCAGTAGAGACACTGTCCTCCACAGTGAGGACTATGGCAGAGCCGGACTACGTTCAAATGACAAGGAGCAAGGAAAATTCATTATCTTCGAGTGCCACAAGCACAACCTCCCTTAAAATGACATCGACTATAATCACGCAAACAGAGGGAGGCAAAATCATTGAGTTTACCAGTGTGGTTCCATGTGAGACGGAGGTATCATCTTTGTCTCACACTTCTTCTAAGCTTTCCATTTCTTCATCTTCTACAGAGTTGTCATCCCAAGCCCATGCTACATCAGCTACGTCCACTTCTTCATCCGCTGAATCGGAAACTACACAAACGAATGATTTCAGCTCAGAGTCTAGTTTGCCGCTAACGATCTCTACCACAGATGCGACAACAACAGCAGAAGAATCAGCTTCAGCATCTCAGTCTCCGGATTCTAGCAGTTCGCCAGTACCTGTTTTGTCCACCATAACATCAGTCTCTGCCAATGTTATTCAGGCTACTGCTGCTGAGCAAGTATCAACTCTAATCTCAGTATATGGGGGGTCTTCATTGGGTACAGAAACAAACAATACCTCTTCCATCATAATATCTAGTTATGATGGTTCGGGCAACCGTTTGAGTGGAGGCATTTCCGGGATCATCGTTGGCTTCTTTATATTCCTAATATGATGATAGAGGAAGATTAAGAAAAGTTATGAAAGGTTTGTATTGGGGAGTTACTTGTATATTATTTGATGTTAACCTCGGTAAAAAGGTATTTGATGTATAGATTTTGAAAGTAATTTGGTTTTTGTATAAATGAATGAATATTTGATATACTAGAATCTATTAGCTTCAGATGAAGACCTAGGAGTGAGTCTTCTCATCAGCTGTTCCTGTAAGTCACGACTAGTATTAATTGCCTGATATACATCGTTATTGACCTTGAAGAATAGTCCCTTTTCCTCCAAAGTGTGCCTACTTTGAACTTGCGCTTTTCTGGGCATGGGCAGTAATAGTTCAAGCCACGACCTTCCCATAACACATTCCCAGTTGGCAATCCTCGACCCTAAATCGAATATGTTTTCGGAAGACTCATTTTCTATCCTCCTGCTGTCATTGTATACTTCCAACTGATCTCGTTTATAAGTGTGCTCATACATTTCTATCGTTGTTTGATTTCTTGTTAGCATATAACCGGTATATGAGGTAAACGCAATCAGAGATATCGAAATGACCACAGAGAGTAGCCACACTACAAGTAAGGGAAGATTGATCGTTTCTCTTTCATATTGTTTTTCCTTAATCCAGTTTAGTATTTGGGAGCCAGAAAGATAAAAAATCATAATGGCATAAAAGGTAGTATAGATCAAAAATTGCATGAAGTACTTTTGATTGTTGAAGCCGATACAAACGGGAAACCATGGACAGTGATGATCCATTTTCAAGAAGCACTTATTGCATGCTGAACAGTGGTGGCAACGATCTGGTTTCCAAACACGACATGTCCTGCAAAATCTAAACCGCCCGTTGTGCTTCAATGTGAACGACCTTTGAGAAAGAAATCGCGGAGGAAGCTCAATGCCATCTTCCGCAGCTTGTATATCATTTATGCGCAATTCAGGAAAGTCTAATGGACTGCCGGCACCACTATAGATTACCTTGGCGTATGTGTAGAGACATAGAACGATTAATCCTAGGACCACTAGTGCTATCAGCTCAGATGGAACGACATCCACTGATAGAATCGTAACTATTCCAGTGTATGCAAACAAAAAGCTCGTCAAACATCTAGGAAATAAAGTCGTGATCGTAGAACAACCAGACATGGATTTCGATTCCTATCAGCAAGATACTGTTCTTAAAAGATGTATTCTAAATGCAATCATTAGTTACGCAGAGGAATGAAAAACAAAAAAGCTTTTCGAAGAATACCACTTGCACCTCATCACTTTGAAAACTTGTCTTCAATGGGATCACTCATAATTCCTGGAGATGAGCTTCACATCAATAAAGATTCATCTGTAATCCAAGGTCCGGGAGTTTACTGTGAACCCAAGTCACAGCGGTTCATACCCGTGAATGCCGGCATTGAGATGATTACAGACTCCAAGAAAGGTCAAACTGTGTACGTGGATTTTAACTCCAGACGTTATGTACCAGCATTAGGCGACCTCGTCGTTGGAACGATATCTGGCAGCTTCTCTGATAGTTACAGGGTATCCTTAGCGAACTTCTCAACGCCTGTTACTCTGTCATATATGGCCTTCCCAAATGCCTCCAAGAAAAATAGACCTACGCTGAAAGTCGGTGATCTGGTTTACGCACGAGTGAGCAATGCAGAAAAAGAATTAGAGGCGGAAATCGAATGCTTAGATTCTACTACTGGAAAAGATGTTGGATATGGCCTACTAGATGGCGGATTTGTCGTTGATATATCTCTCGCTTACGCAAGAGAGTTGCTCTTTAACAGCGAGTTTCCTTTACTACATATAATTGCAAAATACACACAATTCGAGGTTGCTATTGGTGTCAATGGAAAGGTTTGGATAAAATGTGACGATGCAAAATCTACATTGGCATGCTACAGATCTATTGTAGAGTGTCAGAGTACGCCCGTTGGAGAATACAAGAGACTCATAGCAGCTAATTTCAAGGAGATAACTAATGCCATGGAATAAAGTTAGTACGACAGCCAAGTTAGGCTGACGAAAACATTATAATGTGAAAGACGTATCTAAACGATTATCCTCCAAATTAATAGAAGAATAGAAGCTCGAGTCCTCGATGGTAACCTGAAAATCATCAACTCTAAAATAAGATTCATAAGACCCCAACGGTTCATATGTCGAGAAATCACTATTTGCGTCATAAAAACTCTTGTCAAATTTAATGTTTTTAGAAATGTGTCTCAGAGATGCGTGTAGTGTTTCTTCTGCCTCATTTTGGAAGTTATTCCCATCAAATTGAATTGTGGCATCTTCACCACTAGATGATTGTATTTTTTGACCAAAACCGTCCAGCTGAGCGAGCACAGAATTTAGACTCTCAATTTGAATGTTGAGCTCGATTTCGGTGAGTTCATGTTCGTCATCGTGTGTATATCTAGCTAAACTTGATGAAGATACCTGCTCTTCTTCGAAGCTCTTTGCAATAATAGTTTTTAGTTTGTTGTTCAGCGAACTTTGTTTACGAGAAACAAAAGGTGATACATCATCCTTCTGCTTCTCCACTGAATGATACCTTCTGGTGGAATTCATATTGAATGCGAAAAGCTCACCAAAGGATGACAACAATCGCGGTACATAATATTCATTCCAGTAATTGTCAAAAGCTCCCGGATAACCTCTTATATTCTCAAGAATTTTCTCTTGGGTAATATCGTTATCTGCGAGAATGATTTCATTCTCAATCAGGCTACTCAAACTTCGTGTGTGGTATATATTCCACCAATGGACATAACTTCTCTTCCTACTCCCATTTTTATAAATATTATGCAAATAGAAATCCGTATTCATTTCCCAAAGTTTTGGATGTCCTTCTTTCCATACGTAGTGACCGAGAAAGAGATTAATAGCGTCTTGCCTTTGTGCGTCGACAAAAGAATTGCTATAAAACCTCCTTATACTCTCTATCATATCGCGAGAATGTGAGCTCCACTGATTAATCTTGCGGTATGTTTCCATCGTATTGACCAAATGAGAACCACCATATTGAAGTGCAATTGTATCACCATGGTCATGAAATAGCTCCGTCAATATATTAACAATGTCTGAGTCATACTCTAAAAAAGCGCTATCAATAATTCCCAACGCTTTTAGTTGCAAGCCCAAAGCACGTTTCCCAATCACAAATTGCGCAGCGTTTGTCCTATCTAAGCAATCAATACAATTTGTCCTGCAAATTCCTTCTTGAATTTTGGTTCCTCTAAAGTCCCGGCCATTGTGAAAAATACCTGTTGTCTGCAGAGTATTGACAGCATACTTCTCTAGGAATTCAATCACGACTTGCCCATGCAATTTCGAAGCTCGACTCATATCCCATGAAGTGTATTGTAATTTTTCGGGATCATTTAAACATCCCCTCAAGTAGTTGATACATGCCTCGAACTCCTTGAGTAATTTTGTTTCTCGAGGTGTTTTTTCTTTCGTTTTGATCAGATTCAAAATCTGGATAGGACCTCCACCATAACGTTGAAATAGCCTGTCAAAATGTAAAGCAGCCGAACTGAAAAAAGGATCTACTACATTTATTTCTATGGGTGGTTTTGCCGTTAGATTAGAAGCTTCTTGAGACCAGAAGAGAGGTATGGAACCTCTGTGCTGAACAAAAGATGTGTATCGGTCACTATCGAAGTAGCCATTTCCAGGCTGATGAAATGGTGTTAAAATCATGTCAGAAACTATTTGTTCAGTTTCTACTTCATTTGCCACGTAGCCATCATTATTTACTCCCCTTTTTAGGTACCTTGCACCAGCAAAATGATGTGACCTTCTTGCGAGTAATGTGATGTACACACTTCTACCCCAAACAGAAACGTTTACTTGGTCAATGAATCCATGTATAATCGCTTGAAACCAATCGTAGACAGTGTCAATACACGGAAAAACTGGTTCCAATAGATTCAAATTCCACATGAACATGTCATTATAGTCAGTAATTCCGGAGGGGATTGATATGTCTGCTCTGTTAACTGCTTTCAGTTTTTCCCTGAGTAAATTGGTTTGTAAGGTATTTGTGATATCATATGTATAGCTGAAATAGAAGGTCTTGCTTAGATCCAAATTGAGAAAAGTAGATAAGAACCTGGCTTCTATTGAGTATTTGTCTGGCTTCTTATAGGAATTGGAAATTGGCACAAGTTCTGTCTCATCAATGTGGTAGATAGAGTGTCCTCCGAGAACAGCAATATGACTTCTTTTTGTTATTACAATTAGATAGTAACAGTCCGTAAATTTAATAAAACCGAGCAAACCATATCCTGTAAGTTTCTTTTGTAGGCCGTCATCATTTGCCTCTTCAAGACCTGAAAGTACGTTCATTATTTCGTTTCTCGTAAAGAATACGTTATCCTCTAGTACACTCAGCTCATCTTTGGGCACTGAGAGATCAATTTCCAATATTCTGAACATCGTTTCTCTCTTGTTGCTCCCAACAATGTACATTCGGTCATTTGTTTGGTAGATTGTATATTTAGATAGCGTGAATTTTCGAGTTTTTCTCTGCTTGGGCGTACTCGTAAAGGTTAATTGTCTATTGAGTGGCAATGCCGATGCATCGCCAGCACCACTAGCATCTCTATTCATTCGTCCCTCTTTTTATGATGAAAAGTTCATTGGGCTCAACCCGATGATGATGTCAATAAAAAAAACTAAAAATTTAAAACTAGCTCATCGAAGTTCGCTACAAACAAAAACTCACCGGCAAAACTCACGTCAGCACCCGATAATATGAAGAGTGCCATGAAACTAAATAAGAATCAAATAAAGCAGGTCGAAAAGCATGAACGGCAAAAAAAATATAGTGATTTGGCCATTCAAAATACCAACAATTCATCAATTGCATCTAAAGCTTCGGTAGAAAGGCTTTATCAGGACGTTTTGGGGGCCCATGAGACCGATATCACGGTAAACAAAAGCAAACAGTATTTCAAATACTTCGTACCTAAGCCAATTAGAAGATCACCTTGTATTAACCGCGGTTATTGGCTAAGGTTACACGCCGTTAAGTCACGCATTGACTCGATTCTTGGTAGTAGTGATACCAAGGTTACAATTGTGAACTTGGGTTGCGGCTATGATCCTCTACCGTTTCAACTCCTCGATAAAGAGAGTACTCATAGGCTGAGGAATATAGGGACGGTGTCATTTGTTGACATCGATTATCCCGAACTAATAAAGAATAAGGTGACGATCATTGAAAAAACCCCCGAACTCAAGTCAATTGTGGGCGAAACAAAGATGACCTCCAACCCCAGAACCCTGTTCAATTCGGAGAATTACGTTGCAGTCTCTTGCGATCTGAATGAAATTCAGTCGTTCGAAGAAGTTCTCAGCTTTTTAAATTTGAAAGAACCTGATGTCATCAAAATTTTCGTTGCTGAGGTTTCTTTGGCATACATGACGGCCGAAAAGGCTGATAACATCATTACACATTGTGCAAATATTCCAAATTCCCATTTTGTAATCTTGGAGCAACTTTTGCCAGTTGGACCATTCGAATCATTTTCAAAGCAGATGATGCGTCATTTCCTGAGTAACGATTCACCATTACTTTCAGTGAAAAAGTACCCATCTATCGAATCCCAAATTAACAGGTTTAACAGATTAGGCTTTCCTCATGTAAATGCGGGTGACATGGCGCATCTTTGGAATTCGGTCAGTTATGAAATAAAGAAGGAATTAGAAAAAATAGAGGCATTTGATGAGCTCGAGGAATTCTTTCTTTTTTGCCATCACTACGTATTGGTACATGCGACAAATGATGAAGAGTTCCTTTTCGATCAGATCTATAAGTTTCCGAATGTGAAATCATATCCCAAGAATCCACTTTTAAAAATGAGTATGCGAGTAGCGAACTTTGAAGAAGATCTTTCCCTATGCAGAAAATTTGGTTCATCAGCCAAGCTTCCAGGAAATGAAATACTTTATTCACATGGCTGCTTTAACAATAGACTGAAAGACACTATGGTGTTTACTACCTCCGGCAAATATGCAAACACACTATCAGATACTGTGTGTCCCAAAGAGCGTATGTGCCACAGTATTACCTGTCTGAACGATGAATTGTGTGTTTTAATTGGTGGCCGAGGGGGTCCTAACAAACCATTGCATGATTCTTGGCTCTTGAAGAAGACGGAAGGAGCTTGGCGATGGACTCAGGGTCCAAATTTACCCGAGCCAAGATTCCGACATCAAGCATGTGCTCTGAATAGTCATCAACTACTTATTTTTGGAGGTGTAACCCAGGGTCCTATCTTTCTTCTTTACGACAGCGAAACAGGTGAGTTTAGTGAACCGAGAGTAATCGGAGAAATACCACGGAAAGTCTCAAGCTCACTTTGTTTCGATCAAGAATCTCAAACCGGAGTAATCAGTGGAGGTTCGTCCGCTGCATATTCTGTTGACGACGATATGATTGTCTTCTGCTTCGATGAAGCTTCGAAAACTGTAGAAGTTCAAAGCACCTATCAAAACTTGTTATTCATGCGATACGGATCTAAGAGTGTGTTTTTAGACAAAGATCATGTCCTGGTTGTTGGAGGAATGAGCCCCGAACTTTTATTTGGGCAGACTACGACTATAATAGAGGTTGACATTACCAATGGTGACGTTTCGCAGGTTGAAATACCTTCTCAAGTGTGGGAGCAAAATGCTCCTATGCTGGCAGGATTTGAGCTACAAAAATTAGAGACGGGGGATGTTCTGGTCTTTGGTGGAGGAGCAGTATGTTATGGGTTTGGATCCGTATGGAACAAGCCTTTGTTGATTGGAGAGAATAATATTGATCTTTCGGTTGTTTCGATTTAATTATTAGATAATATTATATATGTAGGGGCGATAGGTTAATTACCATGGCTCGCTAGAGCGGCCTTCTGTGCGTCTTTCTTTTTCTTGTGTATGACAATTTTCATCGCTACCGGGAAAAGGAGAGCATTTAACACACACCATGCAACTAGTATACCATAGTTACGGCCAAGATCTTTCTTGTCGAGATTCAAAAAGATTACTCTGAATATTTCAACACCATTATGAATTGGCATGGCGTAACCATAACGGTAAAAGTTGTTGCTGAGTGCCATGGGGTAAAATGAAGGTGAAATATTCATGACAACCCAAAAGATCAACCAAAACCCTAGGTATTGAGGGCCAAATGAGAGGATGACGGTGATCATATTCTCATTGGCACCACCTACCGCAGCCATAAGAAGCCACGAGGACATCCACGCCACCATAAACCCTCCTTTCCCGAACGCAAGCGTGAAATTGACCTGAAAAGCAGCAGACACAGCACAGAAGAAGAGGGACAAAAAGAAGTAGTTCACGTATGCAATAATGTACCGATAGAGTAACATGTGAATTGGCTTCAATTTCTGACCCAGGCGCATGTGGATACTTCCGAATAGAGACAGCTGGAAGAAAGTGAGCAGAATACAATAGATCAGACCAACTTGAAGTGGACCCAATAAGACATAGTCATTGAAAGGACGGTAGTCAAGTTGTGAAAAATTCATCACGCCGGCAGCGGCAACATTTTCTGCGGGTACAGAGGAAAGTGAGTCAGACACGTTGGAAAGCAAGCTGGGCAAAAACGTGGTGGTATAGTAGGCTTGGTAGAGGGTCTGGAGCTCGGTGAGCAATGGGACGATGGAGGACTTCATGTTGGTGGGGTCGCGGCCGCTCTCGTAGATGGACCCAAAGTAATCGGTAGAGTTAAAGGCGGGGGCAGACGCCGAGGTTAGTGAGTCGAGTAATGCAGCTGTGGAGTTAGGCTTGGCGTTGAACGAAAACCAGTATTCGCGACGATGGACGAGATCGAGGATCTTGGAGTCGATCTCGTCGGCGGCAACGCCGAACCGGTCCTGGAACGCGGACGAGTTGTAGACGTGCCAGGTGCCTGGCACTTGGTCGATGAGCGTGGGCAACACGTCTGTGAGCGCGCCGTCGTCCTGCAACACGGCCAACAAGTTCAGCTTGTGGTAGTACGAGGAGCGCTTGTAGGTTGCGCCCCAGTACAGCGAGAAGATCGACATGATCATGCACGCCAGAAGCACGTGGTTGATGACGAACTTGGCCACCAGGTACTTGCGGTCGTCACGCAGCCGGTGCGAGAAGAACCCGGTCATGACGCGCGTCAGAGCTGTGCTCTGACGCTGAAGCGGCGCCTCTGCGTCGGACTGGTCGTCAGACCCCGCGTGTTTGGTATCTTCGAACCCTCGCAGGCTTGCAGCCAGCCCGCGCTCGTTGTCGTACGGGTTGTCGCTGTCGTGATCTTCGTCCTCGCCCTGGCCCTCGTAAGCGCGTCCTCCGATTGCGCGGTTGAACGCCTCTGCGTCTATGATCGACGCGGACGACGCAGTTGACGCTGAGTCTGACTCGTTTGAGCCTGCGTTGGGTTTCTGTAGATGGCTCATGGTGCTTAGGGACCGTGTGACACCGCAATATTATACCAGACCTGAACTCGAGGCATCTCAGAACTTCGCTGCAACTTTCTTCAACCCTTTTATAAATTTCAACAGGCCGCTCGCAGACTCCGCCAGCCGTACCACGCGAGCCAACCTACATGAGAGCCAAAAGACGCAGTTACGCTGACAAATCCCTACAGGCGTATACGTGTTTAAGCAATCCGGTCCCCGATGCATACATTACTTCTGCAACAGCAGACCACACATACTAACGTGGAGTTCCTGTGGGACAATACATGCGTCGCGCGCGCTGCGGAACTTCGGACATTTGCAGCTAGTTGTACGGCGCGCATAGCGCGAAGCGGACACGTAACCGCACAGGCGCACCCTCTACATCTCGGAAGCTATTAACCTTCCGCTAGGTGCGGTACGAAGACGCTGCTTAAGCTTGTTAATTGGGTGGAGCAGAGGAGGAGGCAAGGCCCGCGGTTTTGCGCGGACATTGGTGACGGGCGGGCGTCAGCAGGAGATAATCCGGAGATGCGCGCGACGGGCGAGAGCGGGGGAAAGCGGACGAGAGCGGGGAAAGCGGACGAGAGCAAACATGGCGGCCGATAGCGGACTTTTGCGGACTTTTGCGGGTGAGAGCGGGCGAGAGCGGGCGAGAGCGGGCGAGATCTTTCCGTTTCTTTTTTCTCTTCCGCGTCGCATTAACGACGCGCGGTGCGGGTGCCGTCGTCCCGCCGTCGCGCGTGATCTCCGGACCGCCCCCCAATTCGCGATGGAGCCATCAGCTCCAATTGGTGCCGAGCTCTACCCAACACCGCTCGCCAAGTTGCCCAACATGCCCAACCTGACGCTGAAAAACGTCGGAGCCGTCTTTGGCAAGAAAGACAAAGCTGAACCCAAGGAGGAGGAGGACGAGATCGACGCCTCCGAGTTCGAGGACGACGACGAGGCGCCTAAGCCGCCCCGTAGCAGAAGGCCCAAAGACACACCGTTCACGCAGCAGCGAATTGCAGCTGTCAACCCGGTGGTCACGCCACGCCGAATAATACCGCTGTACCTTTTTCTGGCAGCGATATTCGTGATATTTGGGGCCGTGATGGTGTCGATCTCGGCGCGCGTCGACCACATGTTGATTTACTACGAGCGGTGCGCGGAGGCCGCACCCACGAACGGTTTCCATCCCATGAGCCCAGGCGACTTTGAGTGGAACTTCCACAAGTCGCCCGGCTACTCGGCTTATCCACAATGGAAGTACATTCCCGGCGACGGCACCGACGCGACCGCGTCCAACGGCACGTGCCAGATCCGCTTTGTCACTCCCGACACGCTACCCAAGAGCGTGTATTTGAGCTACTGGATCGAGAATTTCTACGGCAACCATCGTCGGTACGTACTGTCATTTAGCGAGGACCAGATCCACGGCCAGAACACGTCGATCACCGACATCCGCGACAACGTCGGTATCAATTGCAAGCCTCTCGTCACCAACTCGGAGGGCAAGCAGTACTATCCCTGTGGCCTGATAGCCAATGCCATGTTCAATGACACTTTCCCCTTCGAGCTCATCGGTGTCGACAACACCGCTTCCTACCCGCTCACCAACGAGGGCATCACCTGGACCACCGACAAAGACCGCTTCAGAAAGACCCCACTCAACTACGACGAAATCGTGCCACCTCCAAACTGGGTCAAGCAATATCCGGACGGCTACAACTCCACCAATGTCCCAAACATTCACGAGTGGGAAGAGTTCATGAACTGGATGCGCACCCCTGCTTTTCCCACTTTCCAACGTCTCATCCGCCGCAACGACAATGACTCTCTTCCTGCTGGGGCCTACGAGATCGACATCGGCCTCAATTGGCCTGTCACCGAGTTCAATGGTAGAAAGGCCGTTTTCATGACCCACGGATCTAGCATTGGTGGCAAGAACAATTTCCTAGGCACGATCTACCTCATTGGTGGGTGTATCTGCGCTGCCATGGCCCTCATACTTTTCTGCTCTACAATACTCACAAGACGTTCTCTCGGGGACCTTAACTACTTGTCCTGGAACAGAGAGTAAGATATCTCCATCCCAGGCTCCCTCAAACAAATAACCTAAAACTAGTGTTCTTGTATTTTATAAATGTATCTCTTTCATCTCACCATGACTCATGTGCTGCCCGCTTTGAGCTGTCATGACTGAAAAAGTATTTCAAGGCTATAAAAAAAAAATCTTCGCGCCTTTCAGTCTTCCTCTAAGTGCAGGACATACCGACTCCACACATGTTGAAGTTGAAATCCACTTTCGTTCCAGCCGCCAAGAGAGCCGCGTCTGCGCTTGACAAGCATGGTTTCCAGGTGACAACTTATGCTAGACCCCAGGATCTTCTCATCACCAGAGGAAACAATTCTAAGCTTTACGACGATGTCCATAACAAGGAATACATCGACTTCACAGCCGGTATCGCAGTTACCTCGTTGGGCCATTCGAACCCAGGTGTTGCCAAAATTTTATGCGATCAATCCCAAAAGCTGATCCACTCCAGTAATTTGTATTACAACCCGGAATGTCTTGAGCTGAGTGAAAAAATCGTTTCCAAGACCAAAGAATTTGGTGGTCAGTTCGACTGCACCAAAGTATTTCTATGTAATTCTGGTACCGAGGCCAACGAAGCTGCCTTGAAGTTTGCCAAAAAGCATGGTATTCAATTGAATCCCCAGAAGCAAGGGATTGTTGCGTTCCAAAATGCGTTTCATGGTAGAACCATGGGCGCTCTTTCCGTCACAAGCAACCCAAAATACAGAACTCCGTTCGGAGATTTAATCCCAGGTGTCTCCTTCTTGAATATCCATGATGAACTGACTACTCTTGCCGATTTTATTTCCTCGAAAAAGGATGAAATAGCCGGTCTTATAGTTGAACCTATTCAAGGTGAAGGTGGTGTTTTCCCCATTGACGCCGATAAACTTGTTGGTTTGAAGAAAATATGTGCAGAAAATGACGTTGTGGTAATCTACGATGAAATACAATGTGGTATGGGCAGAACCGGTAAACTTTGGGCTCATGCATACCTACCCAAGGAAGCTCATCCTGACATATTTACTTCAGCAAAGGCTTTAGGTAACGGTTACCCTATTGCTGCTACCATGGTGAACGATAAAATTAACGATGCCTTGCAAGTCGGTGACCATGGAACTACTTACGGTGGTAATCCTCTTGGTTGCGCCATCAGTAACTACGTGCTGGACGTCATTGGTGATGAAAAGTTCTTGCAAGAGGTCAACCGTAAAGGTGAGCTCTTGACATCGCGTTTGAAGCAATTACAGAAGAAATTCCCTGAGCACATTACGGACGTTAGAGGTAAAGGTCTAATAATTGGCGCAGAGTTCGCTGAGGCGCCTAAAGAGCTCATTCAAAAGGCAAGAGAAAACGGACTATTAATTATTACAGCAGGCAAGTCGACCGTCAGATTTGTTCCTCCTTTGACAATCACCGATGATGAAATCGAACAGGGCCTATCGATCTTTGAAAAGGCTGTTGAGGACGTTTATGCTTAGAATGATAAGTTAATGATATCATTTGTCCTGTTTTAACACCAATATATAATTCTATTAGGAGCTAAGCTATTTTTATATAAACCATAAGAATAACGCCAACAATCCACTTGTCATAACGTGCCCTTGCGCGGCCCCATTATTGCTAATTGTCAGGTATTCGGTGGATTTAACTTTCCCTACCTCACCACTCAAAGTTCCCAAACCGATAGCACCTGACGATGGCGAAGCAATGGCAGTGTATTGAGAGCTGAACTGCTGAGCAAAAGTCGTAGAAGGAGTGAGGGTATATCCATTCGTGTAAACGGTCACCCAAATAATGGTTGGACCATTGGTGGTTGTGTATGTTGTCTTGGATTCCGTAATCGTAACGTACGATTGAACTGAGAGTGTGGTCACCGGGGTAGTTGCTAATGGCGTGGCAGCGGTAGAGGGATCAGGTCTCGTGGGCTTGCTGCTCTCATCAGTTGCGGTATTTGAGGAAGTTGCAGATTTTTCGCTCGAAGAAGAAGAATCCAAGGAGCCAGTAGAAGAGCCAGAAGAGCTAGTCCCAGTCGTGAGAGCAGTGGTTGGTGTGGAAGTCGTGATCAGTCCTGTTGTAGTAGTTGACGACGAAGATAACGAAGAAGAACTGGTAGTGGCAGCAGCAGCAATAGCTGTTGTTGTTGGGGTTGAGGTCGTTGTACCCGTGGAGCTTGTAGAGGAAGTAGTCGTAGCTGCTCCAGCGACTGGTGTTGTCGTAGTTGTGAGACCAGTTGTTGTGAGGCCAGTAGTTGTGGGGCCTGTTGTCGTGGTCCCTGTACCAGTATTGGTACCCGACGTGATAATGTATGTTGAAAGCTGCGTGATCACAACACCAGCAACGTTGGTCATTGTTATGGTCTTTGTTCCGATATCAGCATCAGCAAGAGACTTCGATATACACGCTAGGAAGCACCAGAGCGCCAAAAGTTGCATCGTTATTTCCTAGTAGGTATTCATCAGAACAAGAAGACTGAGCCACGAAGAAAATGTTTTTCTCTCCCATGTTCACGTGCTTTTCGAGGTGAAATATTTTTTTAAAGTTGCATTGCATTCTCTGCAGGGAATGATAAAAAAACGTTGATTCGACCATCGTTTTCAATTACAAGTCAATAGATTTGGCAAATGGATACCGGTTGTCAATTCTAGCGATAATAAAAGCTTCAATGTTTACCGCCAGTGGAATTACACTCACTCTACTTGAAATATCGTCATTGTTTTATGTATGGGTTTGAGAACGTGCCATTCTTACGGACTGCCGCTTATGTCCACTGCTCGCCATTCGCTGGAATCTACAAAGCTATTCGAACATAACGATCCTGGCAAAGACCTGATGTCCTTAATTTTAGTAGTGCCATTGTTAGGGCGGTTATGGTATACATTAATGAATTTGAGATAAAATTCGAATAAGCACGCTGCTCGGGAAGAGTGCCTATCGCGACCCTATCATGACCACCTGCTCTTGAACGACGGCTGCCTGCCGAAAACATTTGAAGATAGCGTGTCCCCAGTGAAACATTACAGCCCGCGGCCACGTCTTGAAAATCAGGGAAGTAGTTAATTAGGCTGGATTGTGTGCTGGATTGTGTGCTGGATTGTGTGCTGGATTGTGTGCTGGATTGTGTCCTTTACATATGTGTAGATCTGTGTGATCTTTTTGCTTATTTGGGATGGGGTAATGGAGATTCGGAGTAAGTGAATTCCATCCTAAAAGTTCAAATCTCTTCAAAAGCATTCCCCATAATTTCATCTGTCTGATATTATTCAAGATTTCTACACTTTTAAGATGAACTCTTCAAGTAAAGAGGGTTCTGGCGGAACTTGATCGAATTGATGTTCTTGGTCTGATGATTGCGTCCTTTCGAAAGTATTTCAGGTGCTGCTTGTTCACCTGATCATCTTCAATATGTGCGCTTCAGTAAGGTGTATAACATGTGCCGGCGTTACTTAGCTCTTAAACGCATGTTCTCTTGCTTAATGAGTGTGTGGACACGCAGTTGATCTGTTATGTCTTGAAGAATTTGCATGGGCCGCCATGTGGTGCTCATACTACAATTCGATTTGCTAATTACGTCGACAGTCGTACCAAGTATAAGCCCTAACTTTGTCCTTTAGATTCTTTATGTTATCAGTTCTCCGTTACTTGCGCTATATTACGTGAAAAACGCGGGAACTAATATAATTTCCAAGTCACCCATACATAAAGGATAAATAAATACTTTCCTCTATCCTTGAACTTTGTTGACCGTTTTGAAACAAGTAATAGCCATGCCTAAAGACAAGGGCTTGCATCCTACGGCTAGTACCCAGGAACCAATAAAACGGGTTTTTAGTGTTGATGACGATATACACGAAATTCAGCATGATATTCAATATCTAGAAGGTTTACAGGATGGGCTCAAGTACGCTGTGGCGAACAAAAAGGCCGGAGGAAACCATACTCCTTCGTCACCTACGCCTCCTATCCGGCCCTCTTCTTTGAAGCATAGGCAATCTTCTTTGTCGATCTCCGAGGACAACGACAGGATTGTTATCCATGACGGGGACCGTAATTTAGTTTTAGGGGATGAAGAAGATCAAAGCTCTGTCGGGTCGGTGGAGTCATACACATTACGAGACAGACAAGATGCGATCAATGAGACACATCCTTTCGGTATCAGGATCTGGAAACCTGCGCTTTACAAGAAGCATAGATCTGTGCAAAGAGCAGCAGCCGAAGATATTCACGAGACAAAGTATAAACAAATTCCGTGGAAGGTGTCTGTATCTAATTTTATTTGGTCTTGTGTGATCGGAATACCTCTCTTTGGCTTTCTCAGTTTATGTAGCATGCTGGTGTGCGTACTGGGTCTTTTTACTACATCCGCGCGGGAGTACGCAACGGTACTATTCAAAATTGGCCGATATCTGTTATGTCCATTTGGGCGTGTCGTTTTGCTAATGAATGACCAACAATATCTTCAAGAAGATCAAAATGAGGGTATTTCCGTGGAACAGTTTTACGGGTGGGTTACATCCTACAGCAACAGGCTTTTTTTTCATAGATCTCAAACTTCTCCTTCGTCCTATGGTTCCATCAATAACGAGCACCAAAGACGTTTGTTTGGCAGAGGCAAATGGTCACTGGGGCGTCTAGCTTTTTACCTGGTATTTTATGTGCTTGTTCAGCCTTTGATATTTATCTTAGCTGGTCTTACTTGGCTGATAGTCTTCACAATTCCAATGAGCAACATTATGTGGAATTTAATGTACCATTGTCGTAGGCATCCCTTAGCGCTTGACATCAAGCAGCTTTCGCATACCCCATCCGATGTCGAGGACAAGGCAGTTTTGCTCTGTACATTCCGTTGTGCCGGCCTTCACTACTACAAATATACCGTCGATGGTACTAACGTTATTGTCATGAATTTGGTGGCTGTTGTAATATTCACAATTATCGAGTTTTATATGCTTCAACCGATTCTTCAAATAAGCGAGTCTACAATTTTTCTAATGTGTCTTGTTTCCATCATTCCTCTTGCATTTTACATTGGTCAAGCCGTGGCTTCTATATCAGCACAAACGTCTATGGGTCTCGGTGCTGTTATCAATGCATTCTTTTCTACCATAGTGGAAGTTTTCCTTTATTGCATAGCTCTTCAGCAGAAGAAAGGTTTATTAGTTGAAGGTTCCATGATAGGCTCCATTTTAGGTGCTGTATTATTATTACCTGGGCTTTCAATGTGTGGTGGGGCGCTTAACAGGAAAACTCAGCGTTACAATCCTGCCAGTGCTGGCGTTTCGTCGACGATGTTGATCTTTTCTATGATGGTAATGTTCGTTCCAACTATGATCTATCAAATTTACGGTGGTTATATAATGGAATGTGTGGGCTCAAGTAATTCGAAGAAGGAGCGCTGCTACTTCCATCAACCACCCTTGAAATTCAATCAGCTTTACATTCACGTAATCAAACCCATGTCAATATTTTGTGCCGTCATTCTATTCTTCGCCTATATTATGGGGTTGTGGTTTACTTTAAGAACTCATGCAGCAATGATATGGCAAATTCCGGAGCGCCAGGTTTCCACAAATGTAAATCAATCAACAGACATTCAAGACGAAGACGAGGCAGGTGGTGGACACGATGCCCCTAATTGGTCGAGGAAAAAGTCTACGTGCATATTATTGGGTGCTACCTTGTTGTATGCAGTCATTGCAGAGATTCTAGTTGATTGCGTCGATAATGTTTTGAAGCAATTCCCCTCTCTGAATCCAAAATTTCTTGGGCTAACCGTTTTTGCGTTAGTTCCAAATACTACAGAATTCCTAAATGCCATATCCTTTGCAATTCACGGCAATGTCGCGTTATCGATGGAAATCGGTAGTGCATATGCTCTACAAGTCTGCCTACTGCAAATTCCTGCGCTGGTTGTATTTTCACTTCTTTACACTATGAATTTCATACCAAGTGACATAAATATCAGAACACAAATGTTTTCATTGGTATTTCCTCGTTGGGATTTGATGGCTTGTATGCTAAGTGTTTTTCTGTTCACGTACCTATACGCTGAGGGAAAGTCTAATTACTTCAAGGGATCCATATTAATTTTGCTTTATTTCGTGGTTACTTTGGGATTCTTCTTTCAAGGTGCCATTGACGACAGCGATTGGAGCGATTAAGGAGCAGGTAGAATATCATGTCTTTTACAAGCGCAGACTATATGTAGCAGTCTTCGCAAACTCTTACGATGAAAACTATTAAATCATCACATGGACGTCATAGGGTCCGCGAACAGCTATACAAATTCGATAATACATATAGCAAGAGAGAGAGAGCTCTCAGTTAATTTACAAAACGAGGGATGGTTGTGGATGCTTTTCAGAGGCGGTGGAATGAGGGAAGAACTCTAGTTGGGCCTCTTCACCCAATTTCAACACAGTCTTGAACTTGCTACCAATTCTGGTCAATGCCTCTTTGTTATCAGCAGACTTGGTCCAAATAGCGATTTTGTAGCCATTCTTTCTCACGTTAGTAACAACACCGTTGATCTCAGAGTCATCTTCGTCAATGGTCTCACCAATGACTGCGAGCAAAGATCTCATCCACAAATCATCAATTTCTGGAGTTTTACCCTTGAACTGATATGTCCACTTACCACCTTGGGCATTGGTAGGATCTTCCCATTCTGGTCTAATGTCTTCACGGAATAAGTGGTAATCGGACTTGAAGGGCAAGTAGCGTGGTTTGGGAATTGCGTTGTGAATAGCCCAGAATTCTTCAACAGTCTTGAATGAGGTAACTGGACGTAGCAAATCAGACCACGATTCTGACTTGTCCACAGGAGGCTTGGTGTACCACAAAGTCCACTTGGTGTTCAATGGGTGCTTCAACTGGAAATCCTTGTCAGACAATACCGTTGATTCATTAATATTCAAATCCTCGGTCTTTTGGGTCACTTCTTCAACAGACATCTAGATGATTCAAAGTTAGTAAAGAGAATATAATACTCCTTAAACATCTTATCCACATACTTTTTCCTTAGCTATTACTGGTCTTCTCTAGTTCTTAAGTTAGTTGTAAAAATTTTCAACTTTGCAAACCTTGCTAATCTAACCGAGGGCATTCAAGATTTTTCTGACTGTTCCCCTCGTAATATCGAGTGCCATGTGACTTCAAATTATATAATCACGTGTTGATATACATGGTTTTTTGATTTTACAATTCTTTCGAGCTACATCATTTCATTCATATTATTGAATTATAAGACGTCCTGAGGACCATTAGTATGCTTGTTAGGCTGGTTCGAATGTTTCTTGAAGGTGCTGCAGGTGTCGCAGTAACATCACTGATTGGTTTGTATGTGTACCAGAACAAACTTGTTTACCCATCTTGGGCGCAGGGAGCTCGAGATCACGTTGATACGCCCGATAACTATAATTTGCCATATGTTGAACGGCGATTAATGACAAAAGATGGAGTGGAGATCCGTGCATTTGATATCAGAAGAGAGGACTCCAATACAACCTGGCTCATCTTATGTCCTAATGCGGGCAACATAGGGTACTTTCTATCGGTAGTGGAGTTGATATACCGACAGTTCAACAGCAGCGTTTTCATATATTCTTATCGTGGTTACGGCTTCTCACAAGGCTCTCCATCAGAATCTGGTTTGAAATATGATGCAGACTGTGTGATGTCTTTCTTGCAGCACGATTCCTTTTATAAAAGTCAAAAAATGGTGTTGTACGGTAGGTCTCTAGGAGGAGCAAATGCAATCTATATTGCAAGGAATTATCCTCAAATGTGCGATGGAGTTATCTTGGAAAATACGTTTTTGAATATTCGCAAAGTCATTCCGCATGTGTTCCCGTGGCTCAGGTACGTGGCCTTCATGTGCCATGAGGTTTGGGATTCGGAAGAGGAAATCAAGTTTGTCGATCCAACTTTGCCCTTTCTATTCCTTTCTGGCAAAAAAGATGAGATTGTTCCTCCTGAACACATGGAGACGCTTTTCAATCTGTGCCCCAGTGACAACAAAGAGATTATAGAATTTGAAAATGGATATCACAATGATACCATCGTGCAAGAGGGTTACTGGGACGCGGTGTCAAATTTCTTGAACAAATACGTATGAAATTGTTAAAACAGAGAATTTATACATCCACTAGGGCACACATCCATGTCCTCTTCCATAAACCATTTATGAAAGCATTCGAAATGTCCTTCATGCCCGCAATTTAGAACACAAACTGTTAACTTTTTCAAGGGACGCTCGCATAAAACGCACAAAGTGTTGCGTTTTGAGCAAGAGTCACAATACCAGTACCCGAATTTTTCCATGATGGATTTTTTGCCGGTGCGTTGCCATTCCTCGGTATATTTCTCCTTAGAACGCTCATTTACCATGACTTTACCGCAACGATCACAGAATAGACGGACACTAGATTGACCGGTTCCAGCACCTAGAATATCATCCCAAGGACAGTACTTGAGAAGGTCTGCCGCAATTTCAAATAATTCGTATTTGTGTAAAATATTAATAAACTCGGCTAAAGTATTCTTTACTATCAAGGTAGTTGTAACGTGATAAGTAGTTTGGAAGAGTAATAAAATATTGACTGTTAATAGAACGTTGCCAGTTTCTACAGCCTGCTGGAATATATGTTTGATTAGTTTCGATGTCTCCCATGGGGGTGTCGAAACATGCTTTTTCATTCTTTCCTTACCTAAGAAATCAGCGAATTCTGTCCGAGGCTTCAAAACTTTCAGCGGAAAATCCGCACTGTTTTCAATTATGCTATCAACTTCATTTCCTAATAGATGAAAACTTTTAGATGGCCTATTAATAGAGCCGGTCTTTGTAGCATTTGGTGAGCTGGATGAATGTCTCTTTGTTGCAAAACTCGCAAAAGACGACGAGAAACTTGGTTGCGAGGATCTCTTGGTGCTCGCAGAATTTGATATCTTTGTGACTTCTCCGTCGAATTCAGAACTCCCCGGCTTTGGAGACCTTAGGTTTGTAATAAAAGTATCAATAAATGAGATTCTTCTTTGAGAAGTGTGGGCAATTGGTATACTGTTTTCATGGTTCTCTCCGGTCTCGCCAGACAATTTCGCGTTTACATCATCGCTTTGTTTATTCAAATCGTCGTCGTCCTCAATAGCACTTTCACTTTCTCCATTTTGGTTGGAGTTTTGTATTCTCAATTCCTCTAAACTAGCCTTCAGTGAAGCGGAATCTAAATCCTCTCGGGGTTCTTGCTCATTTGCCCCAGCATCTGACGGTGAGTTTCCTAACTTCAAATTCATTTGCTTCTCTAATTGTAGCTTCAAATTCGATACGGCGGCGTGATTGGATGAGCTAGCAGAGACCAATGAAGATTCTCTCCTGATTCGACTGTGGACATCAACAGAGGAGCCAAATTCGCTAGCGCTAAAACTGCTATAATCTGAAACCATTGAATCCTGTCTAAATTTTTTTGTTGATGGTGAAAAGTTTGGGTTGAATTGCCTTTCTTTGGAGGTTTCTAAAGAGCTTTCAATAGTAACAGTGTCAGCAATCTGTTTAAGATCCCAGAGAAGTGCGTTTCTCATCATTATCCAAAGTTTAAAATTCATTAGATCACCAACATACAAGTATGTCTCAGCATTGTGATCACACATTGAAACTAGTTCGATGAAATGATTTATTCGCTGCTTGATTTTCAATGTGCGACCATTTTCCTGTTTATTATCTTCAAGATCAGAAGTAGCTGAAAGTTCGTTATTTTTGTCTGTGTTATTGCATGGTATTCGGGTAGAGGTGTTAGTGTCCTCTGTTTCGCTTTGAGTAGGTAATTCAGGCACAGTAGAGTCGTTGTCATGTGCTGTTGTCGTTCTTATGAGATTAGTCCAGGTGTTGTTCTCTGAAAGACCAAATTTTTCCATGAGCTGAGTCTTGATATCATTATCGTCGATACTTTGCGATTGATCGTCTTCTTCTTCGCTCTCATTGATTTTAGCATAGTTTTTCTCTTGCATATAAGAAAACTTTAGCTCTTTTGACAGAAATTTAAAAACCTCAACCGGAGATTCTTTTAAAACATTTAAATCATAACTGGCTCGCCGATGCCTTTGTTTCTGAAGTTTTGATATTCTGATACTATTAATGATCTGAGGAAGATCTAATGAAATCAGTTTTGGAGATTCAAAATTATCAGCTTCAAGTAAACCGCCTGCTAGTGACGCATTTGCTGAAACAACAGAGTTGTAATGAGAGTAGGATTGACTTGACGCCGAACCAACTAATTGATTAACAGGAGTCTTGCTAGTCAACGAAGTTCCAGAGCGCATTAAGACCGGACGTTCGGTGGGAAGCGAATTTTGGTTGTGATATGTGTTATGACTTAACAAAGATGCGTTGGAGTTATGTCTCGCAGTGCCACCAAAGAGAGTATTCATTGTAGTAGTACTCATTCTACTTTGCGGTATTTTATGTATTGTACCAGGAGAGGGGCTTCCTTCGAATGAAGGTACATTGTAGGAACCAGGCTCTTGGTCTACAAATATTAGGCCATCCCCTTCAATGTCTCTCCATCCAACAACACTTTTATGCATATTATCCAAAAGCTTGGGCTCTTGTTCTATTTCCCATCCAGTTATAGTGTTTTGTTTATCAATTCCGAAGATTAGGTCCTCATCCCACCAAACAAATCCAGAAGAAGGCGCAGAAGTCACCAATACGTTCCTGGGGATGTAAGCTCGGGATAAAGAGTATATCGATATGTCCGAATCTTCACCCAAAGGGGAAGTGGCAATTAGCGTTGAGAGCACATCTCTGACAGCTTTCGGCCGGCACTTCAATTTGCTCAAGGGATGTGCGGTGTTGATCACTAACTCGGGAGCGATCATAGATGTTGGAGCGGAATTGATCGAGTAACCCGGGGTTAGCGGTCCTCCAACTATAGAAGAAAGCGATGGGGCTCCATTTGCGTTACCGTTATTTCCTGTCCCATAGCTTTTGTCACCTATATACCACAGGCAGCATTTACCATCTCTCCCTCCAGTCACAATGTAATCATATTGCGGATGCCAATGCATACACAAACCAGGGCCTGAATGTGCATTAATCTTTTTTTCAACTTGATTAGGTTGTCGGAGATCAAAAGACAAAAGAAGACCCGAATCATGGATAGAGGCAAATTTATTTCCTCGACCTCCCACACCGCCATTAGAATCGTGCGATATAAAATCATAACTAGGCATCCACTTTACATCTCGGACAGAATCAGAACCGCCGCTAATTCCAATATCACATTTATTTTTCCTTCCCTGGCATGAACGTAAATCCCAAATTTTTATGCATCCATCTTGACCACCACTGATCAAGAGATTTGTTTGAGTCATATTGAAATCTACACTGTTAATGGACCTCGAATGTTCGGAGAGAATTGTTGTAAGCGGATTATCAATTGAAGACATTTTGTTAAGATCATAGATTGAAACTGATGTAGATGTACCACATATGGCAATATAATTCTTATGATTATGAAATCCAGCTTTCACATCAGAAATTGTACTGATCTTTTTTATAGGTCGTCTTAGGTTTGAAGTTTTCTTGGGATTAGGGGCTGAACCAGTTACGAAATCATGAATTGGTCGTATCGTTCTATCTCCATCAAATTGATAAAGACCTAAGTGATTCTTGCCTGCAACTACCAAAGTCCGACTCTGTGAGTCATTGATTTTATCTATACTGGACAGCTCCTTTCCCACCTGAATGCTATATTTTAGTCCCGATGACTTAGTAGGTGGTGGAGGCATACTTTTCAGGTACGCGTTTGAGCTTCCACTAAAAACGCTTGTCTCTTCTGATGTTGAATATTCTCTCAAACTATCCATAAGTGGTGGGTTCCCACCAATAGGATATCTTGTCGGCATTTTTGTCTTGGGTGAGGAGCCCATAAAGACGTTTTGGTTCCCATTTAAAGATTGATGGTGCTTATGCAAGGAAAATCGAGAGAGAGAGCTGGAAAACCTACTATTTCCTGAATTTGATAAATCGTTGGAAGACGTTGATTGGCTTCTGTTAATGAGAGAGCCTGCCATTAAGATTTTTGTCTCTGAACGTCTCTCTGAGCATTAATACTAACTTACAATTTTCGGGACACCAATGCAGTGAAAAAAATGAAAAGCCAGATCCTCAAACTCAAGATACTAGGTTTTGATCTGTTCTTCACCTTCACACAACTTTTCTGGGGCTAAGTAACTGAAAGCATTTATTTAAGGCTCAAAAATGTGGCTCCCATCAAGTTAACTGTTTCAGAATTGAACTAGATCGGGCGAGGAGTATTAAACTCGCATTCCGTCATGATTTAATTGACTGGAAAGACTCTTTTAAGATACTGAAAGTTATATATAATTGCGAGAGATATGTTGGAAAGTATCGATCGTATCTTTGTATATCAGACACCTGAAAATATGCTCAGTTTTGCGTGTTTCGAGACCATTTTTGCATTCGCTGAATGAAGCTAAAAGTTCGAAAACTTCACATTAAAACACGTCTTAAGCTGCTTCTCCTTAAGGATCTATTTTGTTCTATTTTGTGGCACGCTCATACGTATGCTTGCTCCTGAACTTGTAAAGGTAATTTTCCCCCTTTGAAATAAGCCATAAATGCTGCTGTAAACCCTTCTCCATTTGTATTTGGGTTACCTTTTGAGTCTACTTCCCCTACTCCGTATGAAAATTCACCATAATTTTCGAACCCAAAATGGGCGTATACCTCTTTGGCGTTTTTGTTGATTGCCTCTAGCATGACGGCTGCATCCTCAGAATCTGCCCTTTCCTTCAAATAGTCGATAATTGCTCTAGCCGATCCTTTTATGTGGGGCTGATTAAGATTCTTTCCTATCATAAATAAATAGTAATATGGGATAGTGTTGCCAAGGCCTAGCTTATCTTTATATCTATCACCTGCTTTGATGAATTGCTCATTGAATATGGGATCTTCAGTATCCTCTAATTCCAAAGGGTTAAACTTAGGAGGGACAATAATAGCTACGCAATCAAAGTTATTCGCTTCGAGTAATATTCCTCCTTTGCTTATGAAGTATTCGCTGTACTCTGTGAATGACTCATTGATCTCTGCTCTTGAAAGCTGAGCAGCAACGGGAAGATTCCAAAACTTCTTAGTTAAGTAATCATTTTCTGGGGAAATCTCGAAGGCTATTTCCAATGTCTTTCTCACCTTACCAATATCAGTAGTTTCATTGACTGCCATTTTTTGTTAATCCTCCCTTTGTGATATGTCACTGTATTTTTTTCTTTTAGGGTGTCGATAGGTCTTACAAAAAGTTCGAACTCTTCTTGATCTGAGGAAAATCAGAAAAACTGGGGAAAACAGTATCTTGAGAAAAAGGGAAGAAATCATGTCGAAAATCATGGATGATGTTCAGAAAGATGTTATTGAAATGGAGAATCTCTTAGAAACCGATTCTTTACCTACAGTGAGACATGAATATGAAGAAGTGGAGTATAATGGGGAGATTCTGAAACTATATCCATTAGATTACCAAAAAGCTCCGATTGTGCGGTATCAAATAGCCGCCTGTCTTTTAATGTTCATAGTTTTTGGTATGAATGATCAAAGTAACGGCTCACTGCTGCCTACACTTATGTCACATTATAACGTCTCGAGGATGAAAGTAGCTAATCTTTTCCTGATGCAGGTGAGCGGGTATACATTGGCCTCACTAATGACTGAGAAAGTTCATACTCTAATTGGAACTAGAGGAGCAATGGCTTTAGCTTCCTTTCTATGTGTGATTTTTTTCAGTATTCTCTCTTTGAAGCCACCTAATTTTCTGTCGTATTTGCTATGCTTTTTACCATTAGGCCTGAGCATCGGGATTTTAGATTCAACTGGTAATGTGCTCTTTGGTAACCTTGAAATCAATAAAAATGAATGGATGGGTATTTTACATGGTCTTTACGGAGCGGCAGCTATGATTACGCCACCTGCTGTGTCTTATTTTGTTACTTATGGCAACTGGAGCTCTTTCTTTCTACTTCCACTGGCTTGTTCTATCTTAGGTCTATTACTCATGCTTTATGCTTTCAGATATGAGACTGCTAACAAGTATAACTACATTTGTTTTGTAGCCAGGGAAGGCAAAGATGATGAGCAACAGCCAGGCTTTCTTAAACTACTCCGCAAGCCGGCAATTATGATGTACGCTCTTTATCTATTCATGTATCTTGGTTCGGAAGTGTCAACAGGGTCGTGGATGTTCACTTATCTTCTAGAAGTGAAACATGGAGAGATGGTGCCAATGTCATACGTGACATCATCCTTCTGGATTGGGTTAACTGTCGGCAGATTAGTTCTCGGTTTCGTCACCAAACGGTTTTTCAAGAATGAATATCGAGCAAGTGTCTTTTATGGAAATTTGACTTGGTTTTTCTACACGCTGTTTCTCCTCATTGGCCTAGTTCAAAAAAACTCTGTTCCTTACTTCTTCGTACTATCAGTCAGCATCTTCTTCGCGGGAGTATTTATAGGACCATTGTTTCCTAATGCAAGTGTTGTGGCCCTACAAATCTTGCCACGAAACTTGCATGTAAGCGGTGTTGGTATGGCTGTTGCTCTGGGCGGCTGCGGCGCTGCCGTCATGCCTTACGCTACTGGCTTAGTTACCCATTTAATCGGATTATCATGGTTTCCATTCCTTTGCTGGATCATGGTAACCATCGTAAACGCAATATGGCTTGCCTATCCAAAGTTTGTAGGAGGTCAAGAGGAATATTTATGATGGCAGGATTGCTTGGCTAATGAATGGTCGTGGACAGGAATATATATTCGTATCGGGTGACATCGTATGTTTAGTGAGATTTGTAGTTTATGATTGAAGAAACTGCAGTAAATGTACTTTTAGAATTAGATCACGTAATTTCAGCTTTCAATCATGAATGGTATAGGTCCTTCGGGATCGCAGCAACAGGACAAGAAATATGTAACTCAACGCCGTACCGTGGATATGAGCTCTCCATATGACAGGTTGTACTTTTTGAAGAGACATGGCCTGCCAATTCCATTCATCGAACCTGAAACAACATACACAACTTACGTGTTACCACCAGACGCCTATGTACATAACAGACGTGTGGTAAATACACCTACCAAATTCACACATCTCAGTTCTAACAAAGTAAAGCATGTCATTCCGGCAATTGAATGGACACCCGAAGGTAGACGGCTTGTGGTTGCAACATACAGTGGTGAGTTCTCGTTGTGGAACGGTTCAACTTTCAATTTTGAGAGTATTATGCAAGCACATGATAGTGCAGTTGCCGCTATGAAATACTCTCATGCTGGAGACTGGTTGATTAGTGGAGATTCCGATGGAACTATCAAAATATGGCAGCCGAACTTTAACATGGTCAAAGTTCTTGATGAGGCGCACACCCAATGTATACGTGACATATCATTTAGTGTGACAGATTCTAAATTTGTGACTTGCTCTGATGACAATATATTGAAAATCTGGAATTTCAGTAATGGTCAGCAGGAGCGGGTTCTATCAGGCCATCACTGGGATGTGAGGAGCTGTGACTGGCATCCTAGTATGGGTTTAATAGTCTCGGGTTCGAAAGATAATTTGATTAAGCTGTGGGATCCAAGATCAGGACAATGTGTCTCTACAATTTTAGGTTGTAAGCATACTGTAATGAAGACAAAATTCCAGCCAACAAAAGGAAACTTACTTGCGGCAATTTCGAAAGACAAAAGCTGTAGAATATTTGATATACGACAAAATATGAAGGAACTAGCGGTTTTCCGCGATGAATCGGATTATATGTCTCTCACGTGGCATCCCATTAATGAATCCACTTTCACCGTTGGCTGTTATGATGGCTCAATGAAACATTTTGATCTTTTACAAGATCCGCAGACCTCCTCTTCAGGGTGCTTCCACGATATACCGTATGCACATGATAAATGCATAACGTCTCTTTCTTACAGTCCAGTCGGCCACATCCTGGCCAGCGCTTCCAAAGATCGAACAATCAGATTTTGGACTCGTTCAAGACCTGTTGATCCTAACGCTTTCGATGACCCCACATACAACAATAAAAAGGTAAACGCATGGTATTTCGGGATTAATAATAACATCAATGCCATTAGACCAAAGACCGAAGATGGCATCGCCTTGCCTCCGGCTACTTCCGACTCCACGACTTCAACTAACGCATCGGGGCCTAACGTAATACCGGGCCTTCCGGCCAATCCATCAGTAGGTGTAGGCCTGCCTGGTTTGAACTTTTAGAACAGCTCTCCCGGTCTATTTAGCAACATAAAAAAATCTATCCCATTTATCAATACATAATGTCGTAAAAAACCTAACTGAAACAATTCGTAATGTCTCTTCACCAATATCAATTGGAAGACGTCCAATTCAATTCCCTAAAATATTCATCATCAACGATCCTGTTCAGGGTTGCCAAGTATGGAACATCTGATGACTGCCCTGCACGTCCCTGGTCCCTCTCGGTGCTTTCGCCATTTATAAATGATTTCGCCTTCTCAATATATTTAAAACCATAAACTTCAGCATAACTGTCCACAAACGATTCAATTACGCGCACTAGTTCTTCGATCATTGGAGAAGATTGTTCTGGGAAATGAGATGCATTTAGCTGGCTACTATTAGACAACCCTGCATTAACAATTGAAAACCAGAAAAGTCCACGATCTTCTTCAATAAACTTCCCCTCAGCAACATGGCGGTCAAATTCAAGTTTTGTGAAAGGTACAAACTGAGAATAATAATGTGAGAGCCGGCGAGCAAAATCACGAACCGCAAATTCGTATGGTTTGTCAAAATAATCCTGATTGAAAGTTTTGTTGTGAATGTTATACCTCACAAACGCATGGTCAACACTACTCACCTGTAGTACGAGTGGGGTGATGTGGAAATTATGTGAGATATCGCTGTTAAACACACGCATCTCATGGAACAAAAAGGAACGTCTCCTTTCTGTTGAATTTGTAGCATCGAAAATGGCGACATCACAAAGGTCACTACTCAGCTCACTGAAAAGCTCCTTAAGTGTGATCTTGGCGTACTTCTCTTTTTTCTGTGTGTTCTTTGGGTTAAACAAATCTTCAGATGAATTATTCGCTAATGCCATCGGTCTCCCGCGACAGCTGAGCTTACGCCTAACCTGGCCGGCATTAAAAACTTTGCATCTCATATGTTGTGTCGAAGTATTGTGACTCAGAAATTGTATCAAATGATTCGAAATGGTTGACTTACCACCAGCCGGCAGGCCTACTAGTATCACGACAAGCTTTTCTGAGCTATTGGAACTTATGGAAAGACCGCGCTGTCTTCTTGGGTAGTTAATGGTAAGAGCAGTGGTTTCGTGGAAACTCTCTACAGGAGAATCTTGTTCTTCATAGTATTGATCTATTATACTGGAATAGCTGTTCCGGTGATTCAACGAAAACAGTGAATTCGTGGATGTCGAAGTCGATCCGCTCGTTAAAGCTTCATCCAGTCCCATCTCCTTCCACTTTATTTCAAATAACTATAATAGAATGGTTATTATGATCAATAGTCAGAAGTGAAAGGTATTTTAATGAATTTGAATAATGAACGGAAAAAGAAAGACAGGCGTGGTCGTAACTCCTGGAACTCAACCCACCTAATAATTTTCCGTTATGGTCGTTCTGATCGCGTGAATGGTGTGATGGTTTTTTCCGTTTCGGTAAAAAAATGTGCATACTACCAACCGCCTGCGAAGATAATCCCGTAGAAGATCGATCCACGGAATATTCTGGTCTCCCACGCGGCAAAATGAGTTCTGCCGCGTTCCGATATGGAAGGCCAAGGAAAAAGGCATGCAAGTTAATCCGAGATGTATTATCTAGCACATGACATGACGCACACACCAGTGTGCTCAAGTTAGAATTGCCTCTTCTTCGAGGGTCACAATACTGCTAACCAACAATTGAAGCTAACATTTCTGCTACGCATTTAGGTGGTGTTACATATCCGGTCCGTCAGGGTGTTATAACAATTAAAAGGTCAACCGATGCAGAAAGGAGAATTGTGAATCTTTTATGAAGAAGGGGAATGGACCGTGAGGTCGTTCCCTACCCGCCCCTCCAGAATTTCTAAGTAAATTTTTGCCGGTGTTAGCAATTGCAGAGCATCGCCTTTCATGCCCATTACGTGTGTTTTGTCATTATTTACAATTTGTATGAAACTAACATTAGGTGAAGGGGGTTGTTTGTAGTAGACAATGCGTAAGATTCTGAAAGACCACAATTCAACCATCAATCTCCATTTTGATTTCCGATTTGTCTTCGATTTCTGCCTCATTGCTTCCCAGAATGTAGATATCGTTCATTTTCTCCAGCTTCTCGCGTACCTCTGCGCACACTTCCTTGATGTTTTGTATTTCTTGTTTCTTGTATTCTAGTTGCTCCTCTAAAAGCATAATCAAGGATTCTCTCGATTGGTGGGGACGATACTCATTCAATAAATGGTGGATATTAACCAGAATTGTACGGATATTCTCAACCTTTTCGGGGAACTTTTCCGGATTGATGCTAAGGATTCCGACTAATTCAAGAAAGTTTAGTAAAAGGGACTTGAGAAGTTTATGCAGTTCGTTAATTTTGTACTGGTAGCTAGTCGCGGTGCCCTCAATAGGTACCTTGTATAACTGTGTCATTCCCAGACTTTCCAACGAAGGAAGGTGATCCTTGATCTGCCATACACTACCAAAAGCACGATAGTGACCTGATTTTGGGATAGGAGGTGGGATCAGAAAGTCGAGCTCACAATGTATCTCGTCTTCATTATCACTTGCGACTTCACTGTTCTTTTGTTTGGTCTTCTTGTATTCTTCGATCTTCTCTAAGTTTTCTTTAGTGAAAAACTTCAAATACGGAGGCGCAGGCGGATAAAGAGCTGCTATTTCGTTTGAGCTTTCACTCGCCATTTTGTGTTTGATTGTTACCTTCAGATTCTTCGTGCTTGATCAGCGAGAGTTAACTTTTTCAAGTTTTTCTCAGCACTATAAGTGACATATTGAATGCTAATCTACTATTTGAGTGCCTACATATCTGGTGAGCGCGCATTCTACATTCGAGAACATAACAATCCTCATTCTATTGTAGTTGGATTGAGTAGGATCGGGCTTTAAGTGTCTTGTACCTCATATACGTGTTTACGTATCTGGTGATATGTTGAATAGATTAGGGAAGAGCAGTGGCTAGCATGCCACTGTATGGCAAAATCTTCCTCGTAACTCATGAAAACATCATACAAAATGGTATGAATTCGTTTAAGTATATGATGATTTATTTGCATGTATATTTTCCCGAGTAATAAATTCAAATGCAGGCATTGTTCAGTAGATTTCGAAAATATGGAACACTTGGTCTATAAATGCTACCTCATAGCGAATCAGCTCTGTTTCGAAAATGACCATTTTACCTGCCACACTATCTCACTTCTAGAGTTTAGATAATGGAAAAACTGTAGCAATTAGATGATAAACTCAATTGAAATAAAAAATCAAATGTGACTTCTGTTCACGCATGTTCAGCGGAATGGCACTGAATGGGGCATGTTTACTTGAGAAATTATTGGTCAGAACTTATAGCTAAATCGAGCTCATCATCGAATAAGTCCTTGCAAGAAATTATCGGGCAAATTGTCATTTCCAAGATTGATCATCAAGAAACGGGAAACCCCCACAACGCTGCAACTGTTCAAACAATGTCAGAAACATTCTTTTTCTCTTTCATTTCTAGATGCTATGTAAACAGCTCGACCGCCAAGAAGACTTAATGTAGTCATGAAAATCTGAAAATCAACGCAGCAGATTATCACCGTACAATAATTGGATCGTAGTCCTCATGTTCAAGTTTATTCAGCAGAATACCCCAAGAAAGTGAAGTTAGTGTAGGACGCCTGTGTGGGCAAAGGAAAGTAGGGGAGCTCATATAAACTTTAAACTCAGCTCTTATATCGAAATGTCAAATACAGCTAAGTTCCATTGACTTTCGAACTTCGACCCTGCAGATCGAAAGACCCTTCATGTCATCTAGGGATTAGTTCGGGTAATGGGCATTCAAGTTTCCGCCTTTCTAAAGTCCAAGATGAATGCATAGTGAATCCCGTCTACTGTATAGTTTTCTACAATTATTGTTTGCTTCTTCGTTTGCTATTTACAAAATATAAATGTGTACTTAACTGTCTGAAGAGTAAGTGCTTTCTACATGAATGGTTTCGGAATGTTCTCGTCTTTCGTGTTAAACGATTTTTGAAATGAGCTTAATTGAAGATATGAGGGAAGTCGTTGAGTAGGTGGACTACATCAAATTATACAGCATGGCAGAGGATAGAATGGAAATTGATGATCCTTCCTTGGTAGAGGAAACCAAACCAGAGGGAACAAAGCAAAAGAAGAGATTTGAAGTGAAGAAATGGACTGCGGTTGCGTTTTGGTCATGGGATATCGCAGTTGAAAATTGTGCTATCTGTAGAAATCATATCATGGAGCCCTGCATTCAGTGTCAACCTACAGCAATGACAGACACTGACAATGAATGTGTGGCTGCTTGGGGTACCTGTAATCATGCTTTCCATTTACATTGCATAAATAAGTGGCTCCAGACGAGAAACGCGTGCCCGCTGGATAATCAACCCTGGCAATTTGCGAAATACGGTAGATGAACTTATTATACACTGCTCGTTAATTATGTACTTTTTAATGGTTGGATTATGTTATTTAATCGTAGTAGCGCCCATCTCTGAAGAAGGTGCCCCAGAGGCAGTAACTGAGGCAGCGCGAACTGATGTCCTTGAATACCTTCGCCCAATCACGTTCCTCTGCATGCGCAAATTCCACAAAGAACACGTATTGCCACTTTCGATCTGATGCATCTAGTTCAGTGTATTCCGGTATAGTTTCGCTATTCTCCTTCTTCAGTTTGTGATAGGGTCTTGAGCTTATAGAGCACATGTTAATATTGTGCATCTTGAAGACTTCTAATACATCGACAAGGCTTCCTGGATCATCTTGTTTTATCAGAAAGGTCAGCAATGAGATCCTTTGTGCAGCAATTTTATTCTCTAATGACGCATTCAGCGATGGGCGCAGTGGAGATCTCCTCCTCATCACCAAAAAGCGTGTTGTGTTACCTTTCTTATCATTAATGGGCCCATCAACTATATGTGCTTTGTGAACAAGAGCTGCTGTTTTACTTGCAATTGCCAAATCTTTCACATCATTGTTTACTGTATAGTTTTCGCAACAGATCCCCACAGCACCAGATGTCGAATCTGAATCGACTTTTTCGACATTTCCAATTCTTTTTCGCAGAGATTCAAGATAATTTGGGACTTGGCCCCAAACTTGAGGGTGTGAATACAGTTTCCCTATTTTAATCTTTGACAAATCAGTGAGGTCAAGGGGTACAGGAGAAATTAAACAGAGTTCAATTGACACATACTGTTCAGCCACTATTTCAAGCTCTGGAAGCACTTCGTTGCCTTGAGCATGATCTGATTCAAGCATCCAATCCCTCAAAAGATCATAAGTAAACACAACTTGGCCATTTGTAGAGTTTTCTAGGGGCACCACTGCATAATCTATGTCTAGCTCATTCTTTAGTCTATCAAAACATTGAGGAATGCTTTTGACAGGGATATACTCGCAATTATCTGCCTCTGAGAATTGCTGAATTGCAGCTTGGTGTGAATAAGTTCCCAATGGACCTAAGAAGGCAACTTTGACCATTGTGATCTCAATAAAGATTCAACGCATGAATCGTGGTTGGACGAATTCTCTAACTTTCAGAAAATACTACATATATAATGATGAACGAAGTGCGTGATTGAGATTTAATGCTCTTTTGATAGGAACAAGATCTTATTGAATGTATGCATACTATACGCCACGGTAAATTTTTCAAGAGATACATCAACTGAGCTCTGAATTAAGTTAGCGTGACTTTTGTGAAACACGTATAAGAAAGAATATTTACACGAATAGGACCCTCAGTTTTCCATAGACTGAGCTAATGAGATAAGCAACTCCACGGAAAAATCTTGGGATCCCTTGGAGAAATCATGCAATAGTTTAACACGCTGCTTGGCAGTGGAAGTCTGCTCGCCCATAGCACCATAAAATCTTTGTATATTTAAAAGAAGAAGTTGAGCATCTTGAAGCGAGACGTTGCTGTCAGTTTCAACCTGGCCGTTCATCAACACAATTCTTTTCTCATCAGCCAGATCCTGGTGGAACTGAAATGTTGTGTGAGGTTTTGCAAACTCTTGGTGTAATTTATATTCTGCCAGCGATGTGATGATGCAATGAATGGTACAGGGTCCAGCAAACTGCCATTGAACATAATGCAGCTCCATACCCTGTTCATTGTTGTCCTTTTCCGTGGACCCAGTTTCGACGATTCGTGGTAGTGGAAGCACGAAAGTGGGCGCTTCCTTTATGTTCTTCAGCATCTTTTCAAAAACCTCGCGGGGTACCACCGCGTTCATGACATTTTCCTTGGAGGCCCATCTGGCTCTCCATAAAAATTCGATCTCCTGTTTGGACAAGTCTTTGATCTTATCAACCTTTAAAAAGGAATCCAGAGTCTTGAAGGGGGTCTTGGGTTGATTGGGATCAATGGCGCCTCTTGCCTCTGCTGCTTTTATATTATTCTGTGACATTTTCATACGCTGTTCGTATTCTTCTAATTCTTTCAGAGGATCAATTCTGTTCAGCTGCTTTTTCCTCTGCTCGATCTCCTCCTTTTGATGCTCTTTGAGCTTCTCAATAGAGTCGAATCCCTCGCTTTTCGCTTTTTCTAATAATTTCTCCTGATACCTTTCCTCTAAAGATTCAGTTGAGTATTTCTTGGAAAATACTTGCTGTTGCTGCTGCAGAAAGGTCTTATAAGTAATCGAAGCCGCACTTCGAGCCTGGAAACGAGTTAGCACCTTTATGTTTCTAGCAAACAGAGCCATGAATTTTTATATTCAATTCAAATTGAGAGGGGAAAATTTTTTTTATTCAGCAATCTGCCTCTCATCAGCGTTAAGAATTCTAACGTAATCGAAAAGCGGAAACGCTTTACAAAAGCTCAGCGAGTGAACCAGGGCAAAAGTACCTACTGGAGTTCGGTGCAACTCTTTAACTGGATTTAGACCAATGCAGCAAAAAGCCTGCAGGAGGTTGATAAATACCAATCATCCTTGTCTAATGCCTCTTTCTTAATGACTTGCCATTAAACCAAGAATTTCTTTACTTGTTAACTACGCTTTGCAGTTTTATCCATAATGTTAGTGGAGGATTACTATTTCCGCTACTCTGTAACCGAGTCACATAAACAATCCGCTTCTAGTTCAACAAACCGAAAAAATTTACTCACAAGAAAAATGATCGCCTTTGGCTTAAGTGAGGCGTTCGAGACTATCATTCGAGCCAGAACCGCCACCATTAGCCGCCGTGTGGCTATTGGTTTCTGATAGAAGTGTGCATAATCTACGCGCACATTGTCGAGCTCGGCGTGATCAGATCATCGATTCCTCGAAGCTTCATGGTGACTTCATGCCCCGAAAAACCTATGCAAATTTTGTTTTTTTTTTTTGGAAATTTGCACTCAGTTTGCGTTACAAAATTTGCGGTCCAACTACATGATTGGTGACTTAGCTTTTGAGTAATCTTAACAGAAATAGAATGAAAACGATATAAGCTAAGGGAATTGAATTATTATTTGCAGTAAGGACTGGTAATTTTGCAAGATTTTGACAGTAGCCATGAGTAACCCAGATGACTTACTCCTAGAGCTCATGGATGAGTACAAGCCGCACCTCCAGACATATCGACATAGGATGAATACCTGGAATGATCTGCTGGCAGATTTCAATGAGAAAACCGGGGCCAATTACAAGCAAATTCGGACATTAAAGACGAGATTTGACAGAATAAAGGAAATGCTAGCCAAGGATGAGGAACTTCCGATATACAACGTGGGATTGCTAAAGAAGCTACGAGATGAAGACGAACTCAGTCCAGCCGGTTCGAGTTATAAGAGGTCTTCGCGTGTCTCGTCAAATTCTGTAAGCAAAAGAAGCAGATTCGGCACTACAAAGGCTCGGCAAGACGCTGCTAGCCCCGAGCCTGTTGAGCAAGAGCGTGAAGGAAGTGTATCCCAACCTCCTCCTCTGGATTCCATCACCGTTTTTCCGCATACACAAATGAAAAGATTTCACGAACAACAGTACACTTCAGGATTCGCTTCAGTTCAAGATCTGCGACGGCCTTCGTTGGGCTCAAGTAATGGCGTACCGTCAAATGCCGCAGCATCGCATTGCTCGTCTTCGGCCGCCCCTACACCGAATTCTCAGAACCCTCTTGACGATTTATCCAATAAGCATCTACTGATGAATATAATCAGTGCGATTAAAAATGATCTCAAAAAAGAAACTGCAATGGAAGAAATGAGCTCGAACGAAAATGTAATAACTTTAGGCATGGTTTACAACGAGCTCCTTGAGCTGAAACAAAATCAGCAGGAGTTTCAGAAAAAGGTAATGATGAAGTTGAATTATATTAGCTCACTTCTAAATCAAGATTTTTTAAAAGATCACTCTGATATTATGAGCCTACCCCTAATTGAAGAATCTCACAAGGGTGAAAAATCATAATTCGAGAGGCATGGTGATAGAGTATAATTTTGGATCCTATGAGTACTTCAAATTTGCAATAAAACTGAATATCATTCTGCTCAAAATTCATTGAACACAATCGCCGTGTAGGATACTATTTGGTTATACATCACGGTGGAGCTCAAAGAGTTTGCGGCGACGCTACCATCGCTGCCTCGTTTTAGCATTCTAGTCGTTTAAATCCAATCAGCATTTAAGGTAGCAGCAGATGTGTCCGTAATGTTTTTATTGGGTATTAAGATAAAAAGCTGTTTCGAACTACTTAGTGAATGCCGTCAAACGGACTTTTATGTAATAAAGTATAGATCGGAAGCACGTTCTATAATTGGCGCCTAAGTTCTAACAACTTTTCCCAACCATCTGATCCATCCCATGAATTTTTGCCTTTGCTCATTAGAGACTTGATCGTAGACCTGGCTTTGTACTTCCAGTCCTTGCAAACAAGGTCACCTGCACCATACTTACCCTCTCTATCACCCAATGATTCATAAGCTGCCACTAAATCATCGCATGCTTCTACGCATTCGTTCCACGCTTTTTCGTCGATTTCCAAATCGGGATTGTGAACAACAGCGCGATATGCCTTTTCATGGCATTCCAAAGACGCCCATGGCCTTCTTCTCCATAATTCAACTCTCGCAACTAATCGCCAACATCTGGAGCTTGTTGTAATTACCGTGGGAAGAACATCGCAGATAAACTCCATACAAGACGATTGAAAATGAGTGAGTCTTGCCGTCGAATCAGCAGGAAAATCCGTGGAGACTAACAATTCGACTAGTTTTTCAACTACCGGCAAATCAATCGAGATCTCTCCACTCTTGTTCTTCCTTATATCAACCAGTTTACGGCATGCAAGCAAAACATCATCCCATTCATGGAGTTTAAGTGATACCAGCATATAGTTTTCCCATATTCTCCAATTTTTCTGGGCATCTGAGCTTACTGCTCTCTTCAAACAGCTGTGGGCCTCTTTTAATTTACCTAATTCAATATACGCCGCACTTAAATTAGACCACGCTAAAGAGTGTGTGTCATCAAGTGAAACGCACCTGGAAAATGCTTCTGCAGCCAGTTCCATTTTACCACACTCCAAGCCAATGCAACCATAGAAGTACCAAGTATCAAAAGCTAGCGGGTAAAGACGTAGGGAATCGTTCAAATGTTTTAGTGCCGTACTGTAGTCTGGTTTCAAGCCGGATTGTGCGGGAGGTTTATAGTAATATCTGGCTAGCGAGTTCTTCGCATTGACGTATTTGCCCACACTCCAACTCTTTTCCCACAGTTTGGGATCTTGTCTTATGTCACCGAGAATTGAATATGCTCTCGCGTCATTTGGATTCTGCTCGATTCTGCGAATTATAATTTCTTCCGCCTGTTTTTCGTCGCCAACAGCAGCATAACACAATGCAGCTTCACACCACATACGTAATCTTTCGTAAATCTCAACAGCAGATCTCAAAACACCGACGGACATGTATCTCTCAGCTAGTTTGGAATCTAACGACCAACGAGGAAGAAATGGTAACTGGTGAATATATTTCAATCTCATCTGAGCGGAAGACTCAACATCACTGGATTGAGGCAACATTCTTGTGTTTATCTTCAAACCTAACTCTTCCACCAACGATTGCATTTGCAATAACCCTCTTTCGATAGTTTTTGCCTTCGTAGTTTCGACAATGGATCTTTCCCATAGAGCTCTTGAAAAAATCGTCCAGTTCTTGCTACCTTTTTGATATAAAACGCGACTTACAAGTGCAGATAACTCTTCTTCGACCAATGGGTTCTGTGCGGGAGAGCTTTGCCTGATAGTAGTTAACCGGAGTAAAAGTTGGATATTATCGTAATTATTAAGTTGTGGTTGATCATTTGGATCAATGTCTTTTAGTTGAATAGGTATATCCTCCTGTCTCAATGCAACTGGCAATATTTTATCTTCCTCGTAGCCTGAATGTTCATCATGCTTTTGCTTTTTTATTATTTGTTCATCAAGAGGTTCATTCCCAATTGAATCAAATTGAGGCCTTTCCAAAAGCAAGTCTGAGTTGAGTGCAAAACTCTCTGGAGAGTTTTGGCCTGCCTCTTCATCGTCGGGTAGATTTATCGAAGATTGAGCCAATATGATCAGCCCTGCATGTCCCTTCTGCTGAAACTTCGTTCTCTTGGCGCGAGCACCTGTTAAAACAAAGCTAAAGTTCATCAATTTTTTAATTTTCGTTAGTGACGGCAGGCAGAGATGCTCTGTGTTAGATCCTAGAGAGCATTTGATATTTTCGAGGTAAAATATTACGCCCAGTTTCTTTTCATAGTCGGCTTTGAACGCCTCTGGAAGTCCACGACAAATTGCATAAACGAGATTGATGGAATCTAGAATTGAGCAAGCAATCACGGGTTGCAATCCCACAGGTTCAGATATTAGAGAAACATGAGTGAGTAACGCTCTAGCTCTCCACCAATGGGCGCAAGCAGTTACGCTCGGCGTATCATGAGCAGAAATTTCGGGCAAATTCATGTTTCCTTCAGAGTGTGAGAATAAGCTTGGTTGGTTTGTGAGTTGCTCTAGGAGAACTAGTGCGATGATCAGGTACGAAGGGTCATCGCAGAGTTCATATGCTGACTGCCCTAGGATACCTAAAAGATCAATTGACAAATTATGCATTGTATCTTTGTCATACTGCGAACCGAATATAACGTCGTGCGATGACAGAGGAACTGTAGGGCCTGTATAATTATTTTGAATGAATGTCTGTAAAAATGCAATGGCAAGCATCATTTTCACATTATCATCTTGAAGTTTAGTTGAAATTGAGGATTGAATACAGATAAGCAAATCAGCTTTATTATTAATATCACCGCTCAGGAATACGCCTCCATCTAAGATTCGCTCAATGGTCTTGTATGAATTTCCCTTTAGAATATTACTTGCATGCTCTTGTATAGCCGGATCAACGCCTTCATATGATGTAAGATTTTGGGGATTTGAAGCTAGTAGGAGCTGTGAATGTAAGAGGATATCCATGCTCATAAGGTCGTTTTATCACTGACTCTCTAATGGACTACTAGCTCATCGCGGAAAATTTTTTTCATATACCATGTGTTATTTGTCACGAAGCGAACGCGTCGCGTAACAAATATAATTTGTTGTAGTCCTAGTGGCAAAGAACGTTAGTACAGACCTTCGCAAAACGAACATGGCTAGTATGTGAATTTTTAATACTTAGCAAACTGTTTTTTTCTCCAATACTAACGATCCTATTCTGTAGCTTACCAACCTTATAACGAATATTCAACGGTAACGGGCGGTGGTTTTGAGAGCTCTCAAAACTCGAGCCGGCCCAACACATCAGGGGGTAACAACTCACAGTCCACACTGATTCCTGTAACTATCAAACAGGTGATTGAGTCTAAACAACTGGTACAGGATGGCCCATTTGTGATCAACAATCTAGAATTACATCATGTGTCCTTTGTGGGAGTAGTTCGGAATGTTGTAGATCACACAGCTAATATCAACTTAACAATTGAGGATGGGACAGGTCAAATAGAGGTCAGAAAATGGAGTGATGAGTCCAGTGATATGGCAAACGCTGCGCAGCAAGAAGAAAACCAGGACGGACCATATAACTCGCAGGTTGCGCAGATGTATCAGGTGGGAACATATGTCAAGGTTTATGGTGCTCTGAGGGAGTTTAGCGGGAAAAAGAACGTGCAATTTGCAGTTATCAAACCTGTAGAGAGTTTTAACGAGGTGATTGCTCATCACTTGGAAGCTATGAAATGGCACGCGATTGCCAACGGGCTACTGGAGTCCCCTGGTTTCCATGCTAGCGCCAATATTCAACAATCTGGAGAGCAGCAGAGCCTTTTTGTACAAGACAATGCAAATGATCCCAAAACGGCTTTACAGAGAATTCTTGATTTTTGTAAGCAGCAATGTGATGGCAAAGATGCTAATGACTTTGCTGTACACACGAAACTCATCTCTCAGTCTTTGGGCATTCTAGAGGACGATGTCAGGATGTATTGCCAAACCTTAACTGAGCAAGGTTTCATTTATCCAACTTTCGATGATAATAGCTACTTTATTCTTTGAACTGGTTAAACTCGTTAGAACAGAGAGTAGGGTTTTACGATTTTATTCAGAAGGTATATAAAATGCTTGCGTAATTTAAAATGTAGGGTTACATTTCATTCATTGTAAGCATCCATCCCTAGGAAATGATGCTGCGCCTAATTAAATGTTTATAACGCGACGCTTTGTTTTTGACATTTACCACAAAAACAATTGGCAGTAAATAAATACACACAAAAAATGAAACAATGGCTATGATCAATGCTAAAACATTGTTTTTCAAAGCAAGTCGATACATCTTTTTTATTACTTACAATGCATTTTCGATCAACTCTATTTTTTGTTATTCACATTCTCTCATCTTGCTTATTGGTTAGTGGACTTACCCATCCAATTAAAATTCAAGGTAATCATTTCATCGATGCAATCACAAATGAAACCTTCTTTATTAAAGGTGTGGATTACCAGCCTGGAGGATCATCGGCCGTGAGTGAAGAGTCAGACCCTCTTTCAAATCCAGCAATTTGCGCTCGTGATATAGCACTTTTTCAAGAATTGGGAATTAATACTGTTCGGGTATATTCTGTAAATCCTGAACTTGATCATAACGCATGTATGACCATGCTTGCTTTGGCAGATATTTATTTGATTTTAGATGTCAATTCGCCACTTCCAAATCAGCATTTGAACAGATATGAACCATGGACTACCTATAACGACCAATATCTGCAGCACGTTTTCAAAGTTATTGAACAATTTAGTTACTACAATAACACTTTGGGATTTTTTGCAGGTAATGAGGTTATCAACGACGGTCTCTCAGCTAAAAGATCACCAGCCTATGTCAGAAGTGTAATAAATGACATGAAACGCTACATCAAAAAACACTCCCCACGCATTATCCCAGTCGGTTACTCCGCGGCAGATGACCTGCGGTATCGCATTCCATTATCATATTATCTGGGTTGTCATGATAGCGAAAAACCAGACTCGAATGTCGATTTTTATGGTGTAAACTCTTATCAATGGTGTGGTGAACAAACATTTTCAAGCTCCGGTTACGATCAACTAGTTGCTGCATATCGGCAATATTCCAAACCTGTCTTCTTTTCTGAATTCGGCTGCAATAATGTTTTGCCTCGAACGTTCTCTGAAGTTGATGCTTTATATTCCGAAGAAATGATTCCCGTTTTTAGTGGTGGGCTAGTTTACGAATTTACTCAAGAGCCAAACAATTATGGACTAGTTGAAGTTGGTTCTGGGGGCGAAGTGCATTTACTAAATGATTTTCAAGTACTGAAAGAGAAATATGGTCAAATAAACTCCACTGTTTTGCATAATTTGGCGTCGGGCAATCTTCCAAACTCAAATTTGATGAAGCGAACCACCAGCTGTGAGAACATATATGAGAACCTACATACCGAAATCAATGTTCCTGATACTTTCGCTTTCGATTTGATAGAAAAGGGTGTTAAAGTCAGGCAAGGAAAATACATTGACTTGCCTAGTGATGATTTGACTTCAAAATTCAAAGTTTATAACACAGGAGGTGATCTTCACGAGGGAATTAAAGAAATTAAGCCCAAAAAAACCACTGACACATCTACAAAACCTTTTCACGAAAATTCTAAACCATCCGGTGCCAAACCGAATAGATCAGTACGTGCTTTCAAGAGAAAGCCAGTTCTTGAATGCTGCTTTTTGGCGTATGTACTGTTAGAGTTTACTTATCAAGTTGCGTGCTTGATATATAGCTGATTATCCGAAAACAACCCTCATTTAATGTGAGTTTGATTTTTGCTTATTCTGTGAGTTCCCATACTTATATAGGACATAACCGTCGTTATCGCGAACAGTAACAGGGACCTGCCCATTTAATACAGGTTTCAACAATAGCTCCCAGTCATATCTAGTTCTGGGTGTACAGAACAGCCATTTTCTTAGCATTTTGATTTCCACTGATTTAAATTTTGATAACGATTTCAAGAAAAACCATACATTAATGTTTGGTATATCCTTGAATAATTTCGCGTTAGGAAAGTTGTTGAATAACTGAGGATCAATATCCTCTTCGTTGATATCATTCGCTGGTAATAGGCCAGCATGCCGTGGCCTCAGAGACTGTTCATAACATTCTTCAATAAAAGAGTTCCACCAGTACGGTAAATCGAAGAAATTCTCTCCATCATCGCTTGATACTCCGCATAATGTCTGCTGGTCGTCTTGCTGACAATCTAACAGCTGTTTCCAAAACTGACTAGGTTGCAAAGGGAAAACATTTGTGAATGGAATGTTCACAACTCTGATATTAATGTTCTGACATGGAATTCTATCCCATATATTTTTGAAGTAATGATAAAAGAAATGAAATTCTGGTATTCTCATACTCTTGAAGGACTGTGATTGACCATACGTCAGCATTGCTGGTTTTTTATTATTCGAGTCCGCAACCCGCTTGATAAATCCCAAATTCATTGATAGTACTACGGCACTTGTCGGTGGCGGTGCGACTAACTTTTTTGGTCCCACATTAATAAGAGTCTCAGTAATTGATGAGGCATCATCATCAGATAGGGAGTTATCTGGTAAGTAATATTCGTCGCTGACTAGTTTTTCATTTTTAAAGCATTTACTGTTACAATCAATAGTTAGATCCTTGATGTTAGGAAAACAATTGCTTAACAACAGATCGAACATGCTTTTCAAATTCAGTAATTTAAGATTTTTCACTCTGTTGAAATAACCATGGATCAATTTCATGATGCCATTTCCGGGGACAATCTCACAACCATCTAACGTCAACGAGACTGCTGGCAAATGGAGGTCAAGAAATCCTTCATCACTTTTCTTCATATAAAGCGGCAGGTATTCTAGCGGTGTGTCTAGTGATTGAGTGTCTACCACAAGATTTTCCAAAATCAGTTCATCAAAAACACCGAAACAGCAAAGTAGATTAGCGCGGAAGTAAACAGGAACTTTATCCTGAGCGGCGCGTACTTCAAGTATTTTGAACCTTGGAAGACTATAGAATTTTTCTTCGTAATCAGAAATCCATTTAGAAGACAATTTGAAACATTTAATGTCGTCTCTATTCATAGACTGTTGTCCTTTAATTATCTTCTTGAAAAACTCTCTTGATCCATCATTTAAAACAGAATACCACAGTGGTATTCGAAAGCCAGGTTGTACTTCACTAAGGATAATACGTGAAAGATTGGGAACGCAATCTATGATGTCTAGCATCAACTCAATGTAGGTGTAATCGGCATACTTAGCTTCCATCTTAGAGAGCAAAGATGCATTTGTGGAGGATTCTAAGAATTGAGAAATATTACGAGAGGGCTTAGGACTGAAAGAACGACTATGCCTTCCTGATCCTGATTTCCTTTCCTGTTCGATTGAACCAAGAGATGATACGGAGTTCAGACTCTCTCGACTAGCGACTCGGCTGAGCGGCGTACTTAAAGCATGCATCGAATTGTTTGACGACGGCGTCGGACCATTTGAGTATGAATAGGAGCCGCCAATCATGGAAACTTCATTGTTATTGCAGTATTTCCCGTACTTAAGCAAGGAATCCTGACACAAAGGACGCACGAATTCTACAGACCTTATCAGAAAACGTACATTTTGTCTTGAGGAGGTCGGTCTGGAACCTTTCAATGCATCTGCAGCATGTGGCTCACAATGTAGTAGAGCATTGAATTTGAGCAACGCTAATTTGTCATTCAGTACAACGTTATTGTACAAGAATTCGTTTGTTATAGTAAAATAGAGTCGCGAATTGACCAAGCAAAGAGAAAGGAGGGTCCTTGTATCCAAGCTGCCCAAAATTTGATCTAAAATTTTTTTTGGAAGATTTAAAAGATGTAGAGATGGGATTCGTTCCTTTTCAGTCTTTCTGTTGCCATGCTTAATCTTGGACGTTTCTTCATGCGAGCCAGAACTGACCTCTTCATACTTATGATGTTTTCCTCTATCAAATAGCTGAAGTCTCCTCATTTAGAGAATTGATATTCATCCACCTTTTTAGCTGTTCATGAAATTGCCAAGTTCTTATAGTATTAATTACGAAAATAGTCGTACCGCAATATCACGTGAACATATCGGTTTTGATAATGTGGACTATACACAAGAACCTTGTGTCTATACAAGAAAGCCTAAAGAGCCATAGATGATTATGAATTCAGCTGAAAGTCGCTTTTGAAAGTCGGAAGCTTAATCAACTTATTCATTTTCCATTCAGGATTCTGTTTAGCTGATTCGTAAATGCAAACGAAAAGATTTGCTTCATGCAATCAGGGAGCATTTGGAGAGGGTCTTGACTCTAGTTTTCTTTTGCAGGAAGCGTATGAATCTGCTCATTGTCGAGTTTCCTCTTCAAATGCTCCGGTGCATCTTTAGCATAGTGGCCTATCCGTTTTTTCAGGTTCTCAGGAATATCTTCAAATGCAAGGTCATCGGTAGTCAGAGAAACAGATTCACCCTTTGCTTTCAAGATATCTTGGATTGTTACTTTGTTATCTGAAAAGATTTTGAGATGGTCGGCGATCAAGTGTCTGCCCTTGCAACCAGGACATTGAATCAGGACGGTGCCGTTATTGTAAGCTTGCTTGGACATTGTGTGCGATGATCTAGTGTTACACTTCTTGCATGTAAATGCTATCATAAGCATGGGTTTATCAACCTTAAACGACCCTACGTGGATCTTGCCATCATCCTTCTTTTGCTCTTGAAAATTCAAACTTGATGTAGAAAAGGTCTTGGATAAATACCATGCCCGTCTAGGTAACACTCTTGGAGCCTGTAAAATGGGGACCCTGCTAGTGATCCGTAAACTTCTTATCAAAGGTCTTAGCATATTTCTTTCGTTGTAGATTTATTTTACCCGTTAGGGCAAATGATATCTGCTTAGAATTTCATAAAAATTACAAATTCTGAGATTTAATTAGCGAAGAAGTAAATAAGTCACGACTCCAAATTGGCAGGTTAAGGATGAGCCAAAGTCAATTGTCTCCTCAGAAAGAGCAGGAAATTGCTTCTAAGATTTTGGAACGAGCAGAGCTCGCCCAAATGACAAGACAGTTGAAACTGGGCCTTAGTAAAGTCGCGACGCCTAAAAAAGCCTCTCGCGATGCAAAGAGCAAGGTCAGAGTTAGTCCGGTCAAGTTTAGCATTCCCAAAGTTCATACAGAGCAGTATAGAATATCACCACTGAAAAGAGAAAGGAATCCGGAAGAACACATTGACAACGATCATGAGCAATCCCCCTTAAAGGTGCACAAGAGACCCAGCACACCTAATGGAGCCGAGCCCAAGGCAAGGAGAAAAAGTATAAAGCATGACAGAGACGATATTCCTGAAATTGCGGTACCGCGAACGCCCAGAGCTGCGCAAGATAACGACGTAGGTGCAGACCTTTTAATGTATTTAGCGACCAGTCCATACACTTCCAAGCAGCAGAACCAGCTTCCAATTGTGAGCGGCAATGGAAAGATGAAAATTCCCACAACACCTTCGTATCTATCCCAGGGCCCGAATGGCGATGCGATTCGCTTGTCACACATAAAGGCTCACACTACTTCTCCTCACTCTGCCTTTAAGGTGCCCAATCACACAACCGGTACCACTCTGGGGGGCACACCTTCCAATATTTCAGAATTAATGGAATCACCATCTGTTGCACTTTACATGTCTCCCTCTCCTAACAAGCGCAAGGTGAGTGGTACTGGTCCACAGACTACACTAGCCATACCGAGTACACCTTCTCGTGAGCTGCGCTCCTCACATTTATTAAAGACGCCCAACTTTAACATGGGTGACTACGTCCATAACCTTTTTAGCCCGTCTCCGAGGGTGACGAGTACCTCCTACCACGATACAAAGAAAGACTAACAACCCCCCCTCCATTACGCCTGTCCGCGCAAAACAATAGCATTTTCTTCTACACATACGTAAACAAGCTTCCTTCCACATTTCCCATTTCCAAAGCGTCGATACAACGTAATACAGCGTCTAGAAGCGCGCTGATCGCAATCGAATCTTGGAAACTAATCATGTCGGATAAATTAGTTGCCTATTCTAGCGAAGTTTACTTATGTAACGGTGCACGTTCCCTCTTTCACGTGACATATTTAACCTGATGAAATTTTTCTTGGGCATCGTGGGCTAAATTCTTCAGCCATTTAGCATATCCCAGAAGAGAGAGGAAAGAACAGGAATATTCTGAAGCTTAAAGGCCAACGCTTGCCATCTAGTTTCGATAACAGATCTCAAATCCCCGATATTCGGTGTTTAAGTTTTTATACTCAAAGTTGATTTCCCATATACGTCACTCATCGCCTAACAACTGCCTGTTGTTTGCAGCCAGAGTTACGATAGAAAAGCCACCATAAGAATACTATTTACAGGTGATCAATACTCTCAGAAGTCCTTTTGCTGAGTAAAACACAAAAGCTGATCTGAAAACCGTTTTTTCGTTGCCATGCCACATAGTGATTCGGATTCTGAATCGCATCATTCAAACGAGGGGCTTTCACCTACAGCCTCTCTGAATGTCTCATTAGCATCTATGAATACAGAAGAGCACAATGAGCTTTATGACCATAGGCAGCATCCTGATTCATTACCAGTGCGTACCACTTCTGATGGCAATGCTTCCAATTTGACACAAATGTCTCACCAGAACAAAGAGCGTTTCAAAGGTGGCAGCGAACCACGTGCCAAAGCCCGTCCCTTGAATTCCGGCATAAGCTTCGATGATGATTCAGATAATGAAATGGCTATTGGAAGTCAACAGTTCCGATCATCGGCGTTACATGCTGCTAACATAAGACCCAGCCGCTTGGCCCATTCAATACCTCACCAAAAGCAGCTGTTTACAGCAAATGGTCAGCTCATTAAAAACCCACCTCTTGCAGCAAGAAGGAGCTCAAAAACGAATACAAATGGAGAACCGTCTGCCAGTAAGCAAAAATCTAGAGCTAATTCTGATTCTTCCTCGACTAATCATATGCACTTCTTGAGCAAAACTCTATCTTCCAGATCAAATCAAAGCGAGTCTAATACACACGAACATGCTATGCGGAGAAGATTATCCAAAGCGACGATTGAAAGTGACAACTCCCACGCATCCAGAGAATCGCAAGAGACAGAAGAAGATGTTTGTTTCCCCATGCAACATCCAGAACATAAGCGTATCAACGGTATCGATTTTGACGACCTAGAAGAGTTTGTCATTCAATCTAATGAAGAAAATTTGAACAACAACACAGTCACAAATGTCACACCTCCTAACACATCTCCAACTTATTTGAACAAAGAAGGATCCTCCTCCTCGACTTCGACTACCACATCAACAGCTGCTTTGAAATATACTCCAAAAGTAGTTCAAGAGAGAGTTCAGTCAGGCGACGCTGTAGCACCCCAGATAAATCCAGGGATTGTGTTTGGTAGCAACAAGGTGGAGAATGATTTTCCAGAACACGACAATGGAAACTGTAGGCATTCGGAAAACTACGTTCTTCCCGACAGATTCTCATTCTTTCGCTCTGACTCAGACGAGACGATTCATGCTCCAAGTATCCCATCGCTTGTAAAGCCTGGCGAGACTTTCCGTGAATTATTCAAGGATGGCTCCCCAACTTGGTGGTTGGATTGCGTTTGCCCAACGGATGAGGAAATGCGTTGTATTTCAAAAGCATTTGGGCTACATCCTTTGACCGCAGAAGATATCAGGATGCAAGAAACCCGTGAAAAGGTCGAGCTTTTCAAATCCTACTATTTTGTGTGTTTTCACACCTTCGAAAATGACAAAGAGTCCGAAGAGTTTTTAGAGCCCATCAATGTTTACATCGTGGTTTTTAGAGAGGGTGTCTTGACTTTCCATTTTGGTCCAATAGAGCATTGTTCCAATGTCCGTAGACGTGTCAGACAACTACGAGACTATGTCGATGTAAGTTCTGATTGGCTGTGTTATGCGTTAATTGACGATATTACCGACAGTTTCGCTCCAGTGATCCAAGCAATTGAGTACGAAGCAGATGCGATTGAGGACTCAGTGTTTATGGCTCGGGATCAAGATTTTGCTGCAATGCTTCAAAGAATTGGTGAAAGTAGACGTAAGACAATGACTTTAATGAGGTTGTTAAGTGGAAAGGCAGACGTCATCAAGATGTTTGCCAAGAGATGTCAAGATGAAGTAAATGGCATCGGGCCGGCACTTACATCTCAACTCAACATAGCAAACTTACAATATTCTCAACCCGGCATCAGTAAAGATGATTTTGCCAGGCAGGGTACGCCCACAAACTACACCAATAGAGCTCAACCACGAGCTGATATTGCATTATATTTGGGTGATATACAAGATCATGTTGTCACAATGTTTCAAAATCTGTTATCTTACGAAAAGATTTTCTCTCGCTCTCATGCTAATTACTTGGCTCAACTGCAAGTAGAGTCGTTCAACTCCAATAACAAAGTAACTGAGATGCTAAGCAAAGTGACAATCATAGGTACTATTCTGGTTCCTCTCAACGTAGTAACTGGTTTGTTTGGTATGAATGTACATGTACCAGGTCAACATGGAGCAACGGGTTCTGACTATGGGTGGTTTTTTGGTATTCTGGGTGTTATGATTTTTATAGCTTTATTCTCTGCCGTGGCGGCATCCTGGTGGTTAAGCAGGATCACCGCACCTTCCACTTTAAACGAGGCTTCGGAAAGTGGTACAAGATCCATCATTAGCACGTTTAGACCAAGGGGTACCCGTGGATCGAAACCCTTTGACTTTTCGAGACCTCAAAAATCTAACAGGTCCTTGACCTCTCTTCCAACAAAAATTACACGTTATAATTAATTAATGGCAGTAAGTGATATAAATGTAACTTAGTGTTTGTTTTCTTAGATATTCTACATATATATGCAACTGTACATTAAGCCACCTTGCACTGTAGTCTACATTTTGCATTTAGTCTGAGTTCTATATTGATATCAGTATTTTTTCTTATGCTTTTTGTCTCCTTTTTTCATATCTGATGCGTTTTGGACAGGAATTGCTAAGGACTCATTTTCGCCTTTTAAACCTTCCTCATTACCAAATACCTTTTTCTTCCATTCTCTGACCCTTCTTGATTTCATAACTTTTCTGCGATCTTTAGCACGCAGCTCCTTTGGTCTGTAAGGTGCAAACTTTTTCAATCCGATGAATTCATTAAGGTCGGCATCGTCTGCTGCGATTATTTCTCTTGCTGTCAAGCCGAAAGATTCTGGCGAAACTTCACGATATCTGAACCTCATGTTTTCCTCTTCCTTCGTCCTTGAACGGGATTTTCTTTCTTCTTCCACTTCATCGACTATAATCAACTTATTTTTTTCCACAGCTTCGTCAACCATCTCTGCGATCTTCTTCTTTTCCTTCTTTTTAGATTTTTTCTCATCTATCTTCTCTTTACGGGATTTCTTCAAAGGAGGTTCTTCTTCTTCACTTTCTAATTGCTCAGCGTCATCATTTCCAGAGAAATTGTCTTCTTTATAAAAATCACCCATGATTTCGTCGTTTTCATCCCAGCTCGGCTTCCCTTCTTGACTATAAAAGTCTTCGTTGAACAGTTCACCCAATACATTGTCCCACTGACTGTCATCGAAATCTCCATTAAGTAAAGATGCTGTCAGTTTTTGCACCATCGCTTCATTTATTTCAGCACCATACTCTTTTTTGACCTGTTCCAAAACATCTGTCAGTTTATTGATCTTTTCTTTCTTCTTTTTTTGAACAGCGACCTCTTTTTCTTCCTTTTCTTTTTCCCTTAATTGCTTCTCTTCCTCTCTCTTCTTTCTACGAGAATTAGTGGCGGACCTTCTCAAAGTAGCCTGATTACGTGCATATGAAACAATTTCAGCCGCATTAGGATCCTCGTAACGAAAGTTGTATGCATTTTCAAAACGCTCGACAGCGTCATCAAACTCGTCATCATCTTCATCCATTTGATTTCCATCCAAATTTATGATCTTGTCCCCCTGTTTAGGGATCCACGCATGTTTACTCACAAATTCATCCAAAAACTTCTCATCATCTACTTCAGGATCGGGCAAAGAGGTAACTTCCCTTCTACGAGTATTGGTTTTTTCTTTCTTGACCAAGAAATCGCTATCATCATCCTCATCATCCTTGTCATCGAATTCGCCTTCAATTTCGTCAAGTAGTTGAGCTTTTTCCATCTTTTGTTGTGATGCAAAAGACTGCTTCCCATCCACGGTTTCGATCTCAGCATTTTCATTTTCATCATCTAGTACTCCGCCTGAAAGTATGTTCATTCTGTGATAGTCCTTGAGGTAAATGGGCTTATGCTTCTCACTTCTGGCTAATTTCTTAACTGCCTTCTCCGGCTCTTCGAAGAACTTCACCGAGGGATCCAGAAGCTTGTCGGTATCATTAGCCTTGATGGCTTCCAAAACTTTGCTGATGCCACTTTCTACTTCCTCTGTGATAAGTTCGCCATAGTCATCTTCCTCTTCTGAACTCGAAGAATCAGCGTCGGACTCTTCCAAACCGCCCTCCGTTCTGTTCAGCTTCTCATCAGTGGAATTTTTTAAAGAATTTACCTCCTCCTCATGAACCTTGGCTTTTTCAGCAGCTTCCTTTGCCTTTTTAGCAGCCGACTTCTTTCTTGGCATCTATTTCAGAATATGGATTGTTCTAATGACTCGGCTTGTCTTTGAAGAAGGCTTCTCGATGAGATGAGCATCATCTTAAAATTTTTCAAACTATGGAAAAGAAATGTCAAATTTGATCACATGTAATGTCCATGTTTTGGCGAAGAACGAGCTTTGAAACAAGGAATATGATACAAGCATCAAATACTGATTACTCCATGAGTACGTTCTTATGGATTTGAACAGCTTTAGAACGAAAGAATGTTGTCTATATGCGTCTTCTGTTGGCGTAAGAAGCATCAGAAAAGGTTGTCATCACATACGTTGCAATCATTACTGCAATCGTCAAATTTAATTCTTCCGGACCAAGGTACGGAGGCCCCTTTGCATAAGATCAACTCGTTTGAGAGAGTTAAAGAACATAAAATAAGGATAATGGAATCCAACGGGGACAGGCTTTTTCGTCTACCCTTTAAGCTACCCAACTCTGCGACTGCAAGGTCAATCGGGGTTTATATCTCTGGTGGATTATATGCTGTTGGGGCGTGGTTATTCTTGGACGCGGTTATTTATTCCAAGAAAGCAAATGCATCTTCCGTCCACGTCACGTTTGTGGACTGGATACCATTTCTATGCAGCACCTTGGGCATGATAATTGTGAATTCGATAGAAAAGAATCGGCTAATACAAGATGCATTAGCATCGGGCTCATTCAGTGGCTCTTCGTCCATGGCCTGGCAAGCGCGACTAGTGTTGTTTTTAGGGTTTGCTCTTCTAGCAGGTGGCCTTTCTGGATCCATTGTTGTGTTAATCATCAAATTTTTGATCAAGGATTTCACTACGTATCCAACATTAGGCATGGGAGTCAATAACGTGGTAGGCAATTTCTGCGTTGTGTTGAGTTGTGTTATATTGTGGATCGCACAAAATGTTGAAGATGAGTATTCTTACTCCTTAACCTTGTGATTACAACGTTACATAGTTCTAAATATACATTAGTTCCTCTATAATTGCAAATAAGAGAAATAGTGAAAAAATTGGATTCATAATTGGTACAACCTTCTCGATCGACGAAAAGGTTGATATTCAATGAGTTCATGGATGGAGGTACGTAATAGGGCATAAACTGAATCGGAATTAATTAATATGGCAACTCGATGAAGGAGTAGTCGCTTTTCTAGTGCACAAAATTTCAAAGATGAATTGAAACAGGTGGTATTCCCCTCACTCACTAGGCATAACCTGAGATGCGAGGTCTCCGATTACCTGAATCTCGATTTGGGAAAAGTCGAAGAGCGGGGGCAGATATTTCGGCTGTGTATGTCCACGAGGGAAGAAATAGCGTTCCCTACGCAAGTCGTCGAAGAATGGGTGAGCCAAGATTCTTCTGGGCGATGGTCTTCGCTCTGGCTCATAAACTAAGACTTTCATCAGCAGATCAATACCTTCTGGTCCGGCATGGCCAAAATGCTTCTCAAAACGAGCCTGAACCGATCCGCTAAACAATGGTTTAGAGAAAAGGGGGCCATCGTATGAAGGATTAGAGAAAAATATGAACTTTTTATCGGGAGGTCCAAGAAGCTTGGAAATTTCGCGTAATTGCAAGAGAGGTTCTTGTCCCTGAAAGACCGCTTTTCCTATCAGCATTTCACCCATGACACAGCCCAATCCCCAAATATCTATTTGGGTAGTGTATTGCGTACAACCCACAATAAGTTCTGGCGCTCGGTAAAATCTCGAGCAAATGTAGCTAATAGATGGTTGATTCTGTTCTAATTTCTTTGCTGAACCAAAGTCACAAATCTTTAAAACTCCTGTGTTTGGATCCACGAGAATGTTCGAAGGTTTAATGTCTCTATGACATATTCCGAGGGCATGTAAGTACAACATCCCCCGAGCGATTTGGTACGTGTAGAGCTTTATGTGCTTCAATGGGAGCTCTAACTTATTCGATGCATAGCGATGGATTTCCAATTGGAGTGTCTCAGGAAGACACTCCATGGCCAAATGCTGATAGACCTTGTTATCTGTTGGTGAAACATGTGTGAAAAAATATTCCAATTTGACAACATTGGGGTGGTCTGCAATTCTCAAAATCTCCAATTCTCTTGACTTATATTCAGTCTGTGCAGGAACTTTCTTTATTGCGAATGGACCATACCATTTGTTGTTATCAGGCGTCAAATAAGCCTGCACAACTGTTCCAAACGCACCGTGGCCTATCTTCTTATACTCCTTCACAAGCATTTGCCTCGTGACATTAGATTTATTCGATGTCACGTCATTTGCAATGAACTGATCGTATCTCTGCGACATCGCTCTCTACCTTGAAACTGCGCTGTTCTACGCTTGGGTGGCGTCACAGGGGGGCCTCTTTGGTCGTTAATTGACTTGAAGAAATGCTGTAGGTTGTGAATCGTGACCCGGGTAACCTGCGAGTTATGTGTGTCATTGGCAACGACAATTCTCGAGATCACCCATAGAGATGTAGCCAATTCATTAAGTTCAAATTGATTAATATTTGAAATGAGAAGCGATCTTACGGCTTGGTTGACTGGGATTATTTTTCTCTCTCCTATTTAGGCCACGCTAAATATAAATGCGTAAATGGTCTTTATGAGCCAAACTATCTTTGCCTCCCGCGCCTACATATACAGATGTATAGATCACGCCAGCCTAGCACAATCCGTCGAGTATTTAGGTCGATGCACGCGATGACGATAGTGCAGATGTAAAGGTATTAGTTCTTTGTTTTCGTCGTTGAATACCTAGGAATCGGCAAAATAAGAAACAAGAAGTAACAGAGAGCAGCACTAATATGGCGGATGGAACGGTGTCGGTGAGAAGACACCATGGGAACAACTTTTGAAACATGTTGGTTGGATAGAGAAGCACTGTCAAGTGGTTCAAGTGGTATGCTATTGCATATCCATTTATGCCTAAGACTGCAGTATTAAACTTGAACCTCTGTATATCCTTTTATGTTGAAGTAGTGAGAGCCAACACAAGGAAACGAAGCAGTCAAAAGTAAGAAGAATGCGTTTTGAGCTAATGAATCGTAGCCACAGTCTAGTAGCCGTCCAAACTGAAAGAGCCATTTGACAGGAAACACAATATTGAAGTTTCATAAGATCACCTAGCGATATAACATGTAAGGCGTGTGATAGTTGTTATGTATCATCAAGTTAGTTGCAAATGTTTATCAAATGCGAGGGATCATCAACGACAATACAGCAAAAAAGGATGTCACCTCAAAAACTAGCGTGGACGAGAACGCCAAGGATGTATTCGTTTTACTTCTCACATGTAATGCTTCGGGAGAGTACCTTAAACACCTTATCAATGAATTAGAGCTGTTGACGTATCCTTCGACAACTCTGTAAATTGGGTAGGGGTACCCTATTTGGTGTTGTTCCTGCCCTCAACGACCGCAATGTGATTATCATGCAACGATGGAATCAATTAGTTTGAGATCTCACTGCATGATATTTCCTCGAAATACAGTAAACATCATCGGTATACTCAAAACTTGTCTGCAGCATGGTCAACCCTGCATTCGCGGAAAATAAAAGATAAACTTCAATTCGAGTTTTTTCTTACCGAAAAATTTGTGGACTTCTTATTTAAAGCGATTTCCCTTCTCATTAGGAGCTTTTACCGCCCACATTTATGGTAATTAGCGTTGTTTCCATGTTGGCTTTTGAAGCGTGACGACATAATTTCTGGATCGACTTTTGTATTTTTCCGTAAAATTGAAAAACGAAACTTCCTGCAAAGTAACACCAGAACCACTGGAGCCTGAGAATAAATAATGCTAAGGGCTTGCTTCAGACGCTTTTCAACCAGTGCAACTCACATGCAAGCGGAGTCTCCAATTTCTTTTGCTGGAGTAGCCAAGACAGTTGCAACCAGTCATGAAATGTCCAATGTCATTAATCCCTCCAGTGCTACGTCGACCTCCACGGAGAAAAATATCAAGAGAGTTAATGAACATACTGTCAAATATGTGCTTAACTGTCTATTCACGAAGAATAACACCCACTTTACCTATTGCGCAGTCGTGGATGATTTGAACTATCTGAGAAACAACGCCAATGCTTCTTACAACGAGAAGTACCTACACTATCTAAAACTTCCTCATAAGGTGAAGTTTAGACTCTCTACAGGGAATCTTGGTTTCCGCAAGGCTGCGCGTGGTGAGTATGAAGCTGCATTCCAAACTAGCTCCCGATTATTCCAGATAATGCAAGAAAAGAGACTGGTGGATAGAAGCATTGAGATCGTGATGAAAGATTTTGGCAAAGGCAGGGAGGCATTTATTGCAGCATTGAACGGTAAAGAAGGAAATATGGTGCGTAAAAATGTGGTGAGAATAAATGATGCAACTCCACTGAAATTTGGTGGTGTTAGAGCTCCAAGACAAAGGAGACTATGAGTCTTTGTGCGCTTTTCAACTACAGCCACGGAATGGTACGGTTAATGTAAAAAACCTTCGATCTTACTACTTGTATATAATAATCAAAGAGAACATTAGTATAACTTTATAAGCAGTGTTGGCGTCGATAATCCGCCAGCGCCCTTACTGTGCTCCTGCGTTCGGTTGGGAAAGATGTGACTGCTCTTGGTGTGAATACTAGGTTTATGGGTGTTTATTTTTTGTGTATATGTATGGGTTTGTTCCAACGAAGTAGTAATTTTTTGAATTCGCATTGGATTGTATTTCGGGCGCGTCGAGAGAAACTCGGTGTGGGACGGGGCGCCTGGGCGAGTTGTCTCCCCCCCAGCGGCGTGTCTACCCACTCCGGCGGGACGCAGTGTTTCCCCTCCAGCGGTTGCACGGTCGCACCCGGCTTGCCAGCCTAGCACGGCCCTGTCCGGAGGGACCTCCGGGCAGAGCTCCACTCTGCCTACGGACCGCGAACCCGTTCCGCATCTACCAAATTTTCATTTTCAAGAAAACTTCAAGGTTAGCCTCGATTAGTTATTGGTTTAGAGGAACATATAGATCAAACAGAAATGGCTCCATCTGGTATGTTTGAAGATGAAATAGAGTTTGAATGCGATACAACGTAGTTCCTAAGGCAGGATGATCGATAAACAAGTGGCATACGCCGGTGGTTTGAAAGTTTGGGAGAGTTCCAGTGATACAAACATTGAAAAGGAAGCAATATTTGAAGTTTGAAAGATATTCATTGCAAGAGCGAGTGATATAGCAAGAGCAGGAAGTGATATCAAAATCCATAATGTTGAAATGCCACGAAAAACGAAGAGTACTATGCGCGAGGAGACTGCTAGCAAGAACTACGATTGAAGTACGCACGCAGAATGAACTTTTTTACTAACTACTATCCACAGCTAAGGCTACTGCTGCTAAGAAGGCTGTTGTGAAGGGTACTAACGGTAAGAAGGCTTTGAAGGTCAGAACCTCTGCCTCTTTCCGTTTGCCAAAGACCTTGAAGTTGGCCAGACGTCCAGCTTACGCTTCCAAGTCTGTCCCACACTACAACAGATTGGACTCTTACAAGATCATTGAGCAACCAATCACTTCTGAAACTGCCATGAAGAAGGTCGAAGACGGTAACACTTTGGTTTTCCAAGTTTCCTTGAAGGCCAACAAGTACCAAATCAAGAAGGCTGTCAAGGATTTGTACGAAGTCGATGTTCTAGCTGTCAACACTTTGGTCAGACCAAACGGTACCAAGAAGGCTTACGTTAGATTGACTGCCGACTACGATGCTTTGGACATTGCCAACAGAATTGGCTACATTTAAACAACTTCGCGGTTGATGTATATGTACTACATTTTCTCAATACAACGTTATTCTCATTAGCATGTATTTTTGTATATAGGGACCTACTTACGGGTGGGTGGTGGTGGTGTAGTTAGGATATGCGGCTAAATGGTGAGTGCATGTGAGGGGTGGGGGGCGCTCGCGGGCGGTTAATCGTCTCTGTTGCGGGCCATGATGCGGAGGATGTACAAGAACAAGTTGATGACGTCGAGATACAGTATCATGGCGCATCTGATCTCTTCGTCTGGGTAAACTTTGCGGAAAACAAGCTGGGTGTCGATGAACAGGTAGACGGTGAAGATGATGGCGCCGCCCCAGCTGTAGAAGAGGTCAACTTTAGAGTTCATGCCGAAGAACAAGGAGGAGAAGCCGATTCCTATTAGCAGCCACAGTGCGAGGTTCAGCCAGTAGTAGATGCTTCCGGCGGAGGAGAGCGTGGAGTCGAAGCGTCCGGAGAGCGCGAGCAAGGTGACACCCACAACCACGACGGAGGTGACGAACAGAGCGCTGAGCACGGTCTGGGGGTCGTACGCCACGGTGACGATGGACAGGGAGTAGGCCTCGAAAAAGGTGAAGGCCGCCAGAAGCGCGAGTTGGCCGCGGTACGAAAGACAGTACCAGGGCGCAGGGGACGCGGTTTGCTCGCCCAGCAGCGAGACGCTGTTGGCAGCGTCGTCGAAGTCGTCTTTCCGAGGCGCGAGCGACAGCCACACGCACGACACGAGGCCACCGACCAGCGCGAGCACCATGCACCACATGTGGGTGATGATGAACTCTTGAGCGGACGGCATGCGGCTAACCCAGAGACTGAACAGGAAGGAGGCCAGGATCTGGCACGCCAGCAAAGTGTAGACCTTGCGCATGAACCACATGCGGACCTGGGGCTCGCAGGAGAGAACGGTGGTGGAGAACTTGAAATCGTCGGGGATGAAGTTGCGGGACTCGTCGTTTTGCTCGTAGGGCGCCGGGGCGGCTGGAGAGGCCTCGGTGTAGGCCGGAGGATGCGGCAAGTTGGCGGTTTGGGGGTCTGCGGCGGACATGGGGGTGGTGGAAGTGGGATGTAGGATGCGAGGATGCGACTACAGATATCGAGCAGGGAAGGGGCGACGGAGGCGCAGACGAAAACGGGGGTGGCACGTGACGCGGCCGCGTCGCTCCGCACGGCCCTCACCCCGCACGGCGTCACCCGGCCCCCGGCCGAAAGGGCCCCTCCCCCGCTAGCGCCGCGCCATCGCCCGCCCCGGCCCCGCGCCCCCACGCCGCGGACCTCGTTTTCCTCCTACACCCGGCAGTTAGATTATATACCCTGAACACTATAAATTATACCTAGCCAGCGCAGCCCGCCTACGCAGCCGCAGCCCGCCCGCGCAGCCGCCGCCCGCCCGCCTACGGAGCCGCCGCCACCCACTCCTGTCCCGCACGGATGTTGGCCGCGAGGTTCTTGACGCACACAGGCAGCAATTGCGCGCGCTCGTGCGCGTCCATGCGCGCCAACAACTCGCCGTGCACATGACTCACGCCTTTGCCCGTCACCGTCACTGGCACGGAAAAGTATTCCACCCCCGGCACCAGCTCGGCCACTTGCTCCGCGCCCGGCGCGAGCAACCGGCCGCGCGCGTCGCGCAGCTGCACGTAGAGCGTGTCGTGGAGCTCCGGGACGAGCCCCATTTGCAACTCCACAAATTTCGCCGTGACGCGCGCAGCCGCGTACGCCATCGACAGCGTCGCCGACCCGGCGCCGTTCTTGGCCTGCACCACTTCGTCCCCGCCGTATTGCACGCGGTGCACCAGCGCGCGACGCGCGTCGGGCGACAGCGCGTCTGCGCCGGGCGCCTGCGACAGCAGCGGCACGATGGTGTCGCCGGAGTGGCCGCCCACGACGGGCACCAACGGCATGTCGTGGGAGTCCGAGCCCAGCGCGTCACGGAGAAACGTGGAGGCGCGGACGGCGTCCAGCTGGGTGAGCCCGAACACGTGACGCGCGGCCTGCTCCGCGCCGTGCGCGGCTAGCCGCTCCACCAGCACGGGCACCAGCGAGTTGACCGGGTTGGAGATCAGCAGCACCGCCACGTGCGCCAGGTCGCAATGCGCGGCTATGGCGTCGCCGAGCCCGGCCACGATCCGCGCGTTAACCGCGAACAGGTCATCGCGCGTCATGCCGGGCTTGCGGGGAACGCCCGCGGGGATGACCACGATCTGCGCGCGCGTCAGCGCGCGCTCGAGCCCCGCGTCGTCGGGGGCGTGGAACGACACGGACACGGGGGTGTCGATGTGCGACAGGTCGGTGGCGGCGCCGGCCACGGCGTCGCGGTTCACGTCGTACATGGCCATGTGCACGTGACTGCCGGGGCTGCGCAGCACCAGCGGTGCGAGCCCGGTCTTGAGCAGCAGCGACAGCGACTGGCCGATGCCGCCGGCCGCGCCGAGCACTGCGATTTTGGTAACATGGGAATCTTGTTCTTCGAGATAGTGGGGCATTCTGGAAGAGCGATGGGGGTCGAGTCCAGGCCAGCGCCCCGTCGCCGCGGCGGCGGCCCGCTTTTAAACCCTGCGACGCTGGCGCGGCCCGGCGCCCCCGGCGTCAGGGAGGCCTGACGCCGTACACGCGCATCGTTTGCGATTTGGGCCGGCTGCGCGGGCGAACGACGCACGCCGAAAATTTTTCTTTTCAGGGGGGACGCCGTCGGGAAGCGTTGTCCTTGGGAGAGATCAGGACCAAGATCAAGACTGATATGAGAGATAGAGGGGGCGATAGACAGAGAGATAGAGGGGGCGGGAGAGCGGGCCAAAGTCCGAACCGGATCGCAGCGGGGCTGCAGCGGGCGCCGGAGGCCGCGTGCGAGCCCACCGCCGCGTGCGAGCCCAGAGCCCCCAGCGAGCCCGAAGCCCCCAGCCAAGCCAGCGCCGCCCGCCAGCCAAACGCGCCGCCACGTGCGCGCTGCGAGTTCTTTCTCACCCGCAAGCGCCGCCGCTGCGGGATGACGCGCCAGGCCGCGATGCCCTATTGCAGCGAGCACATGGCGCAGGTCGCGGGCGACGGCGGCGGCGGCAGCGGCGACGCGGGTGTCCGGGCGGACCCTCGCGGGCGCCGAGTTCCGTGTCCGCTCGATCCGCGACACACGGTGTGGGAGCGCGACGTGGCGCGCCACACGCGCCGGTGCAACCGCGCCAAGGAGGCCGCCGAGCAGCGCGCGCGCGCGTTGGACCCGGCGGCGGCGCCGTGGTACGCGCCGGGGCTGAACGCGCAGGTGGCGTCGGAAAACGACGCGCCCGTGGAAAACGACGCGCCCGTCGCCGTAGCCGCCGAGGTCGCGCACGCCGCCAACGCCGCCGTGCTCCGCGCGCTGCCCGTGCTGCGGCGCGTGTACGCGCAGCACTTTGCAGACCGGCCGTTGCCGCTGCAGGTGCGGGCCGACGACGGCGTGGTGCAGCGGCGGTTCCCGCAGCTGGCCAACCGCAAGCACGCGGTCCAGCAGGCGTCGTTGATCCAGCACATGCGCGAGGCCGGGCTGTTGGAGAGCGCACCCGCGGCCGGCGCCACCACGTTCATCGAGTTCGGGTGCGGCCGCGCCGAGCTGTCGCGCTACGTGAGCCAGAGCGTTGCCGGGTCCGCGTGCGGGTCCGAGCGCGGTTCCGAGCGCGGGTCCGAGCGCGGGTCCGAGCGCGGGCCCGCGCCCGCGCCCGCGCCGCCGCCCTGCTTCGTGCTGGTGGACCGCGCCTCCAACCGCATGAAGTTCGACTCCAAGTTTGCCGAGGACTGGGCGGCCATCCGCGGCGGCGGCCCCGCGCCGCGCGTGTGCCGCCGCAAAGTCGACATCCGGGACCTGCGGATCGACGCGCTGCTGGAGCCCGGGGCGGGCCCGGCGGCCGCGGAGCCCGCGGAGGCGGCGGCCCCCGGGGCCCCGGCCCCCGCCGACTGCGTCGCCATCTCCAAGCACCTCTGCGGCGTCGCCACCGACCTCACGCTCGCGTGCGTGCTCAATAGCCGCCAGCTGCACGCCCCGCACCGCCGTCTGCGCGGCATGGTCATCGCCATGTGCTGCCGGCACGTCTGCGACGCGCGCCAGTACGCCAACCCGGAGTTCATCCGGGGGCTGATCGCGGGGGACGACGTGGGTTACCCGGAGTTCTTCCTGGCGCTCAAGAAGATCGCGTCGTGGGCGGTGTGTGGGCGGCGCGCGGGCGTCGCGGACCACGACGTGAGCCAGCATTTCACCGGGCTGCCCGTCGTGCAGCGCGAGCAGCTGGGCGAGATGGCGCGCCGCATCATCGACGAAGGCCGCGCGCAACTGCTGCGGGACCGCGGCTATGCGGTGTCGCTGGTGCGGTACGTCGGGCGGGAGGTGTCGCTGGAGAACGTGGCGATGGTGGTAAAGGAGCGGACGTAGGAGACGTGGATGTAGATGTAGGGGTAGATGTGGGTGTAGATGTAGGTGTAGATGTAGGTGTGATCGTATGTACGCAAACTATGTGTTCAACTGGCGAGGGACGACGCGAGGAACGCGGTGCGTGGCCGGCGTGTCGCCTCGCCGTCTCCGTCGTCCTCTTCCTCTCCCTTCCTCTCTCTCCCTCCCTCTCTCTTCCTCCCTCGCTCTTCCTCCGCCTCGCCTCGCGCATTCCACCGCTCCATTGTGTAAAACTTTCCTTAGCACCGTCGCGTTTCTGCCCGCGTTTCTGCCCGCCGCGTTTCGGTTTCTGCCCACACAACCCACCCGTACTCCCACAACACAACCTCAATGGAGCCCCCCAGCGCCCCTCCAGCGCCCTCGAGCCCGTCCTCTGCTGAATACCCGCGCCTCCGCCCGCTCCCTCGCCCGCCCCCGCCCGACCCCCCCATGCAAACCGCTGCAGCGTCGCTCGCACCACCGCCGCGCAGAAAACGCTTCTCGCTCAACGTGTCCGCGCCCACTTCCCCCATCTCGCCCCCGGCCGCCGCTTTCCCCTTCGACGACGCCTCGCGCTTCTCCACGCGGCCCTCCACCGCGCGTCTTTCCCCGAGCAGGCCCTCCTCCACCTACGGCGTCCCAGCTTCGGGCCCGCTCCCCGCCGCACGCAACTCCTTCTACCGCGTGCCCTCCGACGACCACCGCAACGCGTCCCTCGACTCGCTCTCCGACTCCTCCTCCATCAAGCTCCTGTTGATCGGCGACGCGGCCGTCGGCAAAACCGCCATGATCCTTAGTTACGCAAACGAGCTTCCGACCCGCTCCCAGCTCTCCATCGTGTCCTCGGCCGCGGTCCGCAAACCCCCAGCCACTCGAAACAAGCTCCAGAACCTGAAAACCATCGAAAAACGCAAGCGTTACAGTCTGAACGACTACGAAGAGCTTTTCCACAACCCAGCCTCTTCCCCCTCCCTCCTCGAACCCACCGCGCCGTCGGACCCGCCATCTTTGGATTTTGACCCCAACGAAATCGTCATAGACACTAGAAGCACCATCGGTGTCGATATCAAGACCAACCTCGTCAACATCGACAACCGCTACTTCAAAATCATCATGTGGGACACTGCTGGACAGGAGCGCTACAGAAACGCAATGATCCCCTCCCTCTACAAGGGCTCCAATGGCATCCTTCTAAGCTATGACATCTGCAATAAAGTTAGCTTCGAGAGCTGCTGCACCCACTGGCTCCGTGAAGTCTTGGACAATTGCCCCAACCTCCACAAATTGCGGTTTTACCTCGTCGGCAACAAAATCGACCTTTACAAAGTGAGGCAAGTCACTCACGAAGACGTCTTGCACTACATCCATACAATTCAAGACCAATTCGGTATCACAATAGCGGGCAACTTCGAAGTCAGCTGCAAATGGCATCAAGTCGTGGAGCGCACTTTCAACATCATCATCAAAGATTTGGTCGAGCACGGGTGCTACGAAGATGATCAATTCTCGCATCCGCCCAAACCTCTCGTGGTGTCTGCACAGCCCAACGATTCACAAGACGTTGTCTCCCTGGAGGCATCTGATCACTCGGACTCGCATTCTGACAACGGCGTCACCATAAGGCGTCGCGAAACTTTTAACAACGATACCATCGACATCACAAGACCATGCCATCTCGATAACAACAACAATAAGCCTACGTGCTGTGTGTAACATTATATTAGAGTTTTTCTGTGCTTATCTCATCTTTATACAATCATAACCGCTCGTTCAGGTTCCCCTAGTTTTTTTTTTTTGTTTTTCCTTTTCAACTTCGTTCTTGAAATTAATCTACACCTTACATTCTACTCGCTGATTACTTATTACACCATGCATAATCTCCGTGTGTGAGACTTGGAATGGTTCGCATTTCTAATTGAACCCCTTGAAATAACGATCTCTGAAGTTTGATGACCTTTCCAATCCAGCGTTGGTAGGGCCATTATACTCTGAACCTCTGTTGATATACACCAAAAGCCTTCGGGACCATTTGTTAAATTCCTGAACACAATTATACTTCAATTCCAAATTGCGGTGCATTGGAATCACCGTTTCTATATTCTCATCGTTGGCCACAGGCATCCAAAACGCTAATCTGCCGTCAAGGGGCAATCTCTCAGACGCAAATTGTAAAAGATCATCCAATAATGCATCCAAAGAATAAGGTTTCTTGGTTGGAATGTAATCCCGATGTAGATACGCTTTTAAACCGTTAATCTCTACATTCTCTTTACCGGCAAACTTTTCAGGGTCTTTGGCCCCTAGTACTTTGATGCTTTCCCTAATTCCATATGGCGGATCACACAAGATTGTATCAATCACCAGGTTGCTCCGAAGTGCGTTATGAGTGAAATCCATGGTCAACACGTCTATAAATTGTAACGATTCTCCATATTTCCTGAAATTGGCCCTTATGGTTTGAGACCCTTTGCCCCTAATCATTCTCCCATCTATGTCCGACCCAATCACTGCCGCTCCATAATGGCCACCTGCTACCAAAAATGAGCCCGTACCGGCAAACGGGTCGTACATAATCGTTCCCGCCTTCACTTGTGCAATATTGGCACTCACCAAAGATAACTCGGCTTCAAAACTAGTGGTTCCCTTATATGGTCTTTTCTTCAAGTCATATTTCTCTAGAGCTCCACAGAACCGGTCACTCCGTTGTACTAATCGACCAAAAAAGACCCGAAGTGGTTTTTCTCCGGCAACATTATCATTGATGGGTTCGTACTCTTCAATTACCGTGAAAACCTCGTCCGGGTTCTTCATACGTATCTTACCTTCGAACTCCAAGTATTTGAAAGATTCAATGCATGCTACTCTGTCCAGCTTCCCAGATGAACTCCCCCCATAACAATCAAATTCGAACTTGAACGTACTGTTCTTGTAACACGATTTATAATCTTCAAAGTTGTTTCCAGCACGTATATCTGAGTGTAGCTCGTCATATGTAATACCTTGCCCCCAGTATTCATATATCCCTCGAGTTAAAATTGATCTTTTGATCCAATCTTTTGCTTGCTGGTCATTATCCAACTCCACAATGAAAAATGGTGAGTCTTCCTTGTAGTCCTTGAAATTGATCGAATCAAGTTTGTACAAATCCGCAAGAGACTCCAGTTCAGCCCTTCTGAAGTTCACGTGCACTTGCACCATGAACACCAAGTACTTCTTCGGCATCTTAGAACCCTTTTCTCTGCCTGTTGACAGCCTTTGAATAAGCGATGAGCTTCATTTTTTCAGTTTGAAAATTTTTCAATAGTCATGATCGTCACTACAAACACATAGTGGAAATCATTACTTGACATTAACATAAATAAAAACCACCATCATCCAAGCAAATCAAAAAAATCTTCAATTATCACCTGCTCTTCGATTGCAATCTACTCTCCTAGTTAATACCACTTTTCGTAGTGTATTGAATTTCCACCAGTCGCTAAAGCCCATACACCCATATTACTAGCAAAATTTTCAGATTTCTTGGGCGAACTATAAAAAGGAGCCATTTTCTCGTGGTAATTTACTCCCTGTTCTTCTCCTGAAAACGCACTTTGGGATATTTACTAACCAATACGGGTAGGAAACCGATATAGGAAAACTTTTGCGTATTTGTATAGAGGAGCTGAACAAATAAAGCGACTAGAGAGTAATAATCAGGGTATAACACACTGGATAGTTTAATCGTTTAGCATTTTAGACAGTTTTTGCACGTTATCGAGAAAAGACGTTTGTGACGCATACTATAACTAGCCTCTTTATACTTCTTAGTATCGTATCTACCGTTAGAGCGACAGCAACACAATCAGGGCCACAATGAGTTTCTCTGACGACGAAGACTTTAACGACATATATGGCGATGACTCGAACGCCACCACTACGACAGCGACTACGGCAGGTGAACCTGTCAAGGACGTTGCTGAAGCCAAGAGCGAGGAGAGCAAGCCAACGGAGTCTGGTAGTGCCACGGACGCTTCTAAGGGGGACGCCAAATCTGCTACAGAATCTTCCACCTCGGGCGTCACTGCGACCAGCACTACAACTGCTGCCGAACCAGCGGCCGGCCAAACCTCACAACTAGATCAGTTGGCTGCTCTGCAGGCGCTATCTTCTAACTTGAGTCAGCTGCAGCAAGCTGCAACTGGAAACGCTTCTAAGGAGCCGGCTGCGGCCAGTCCACCAGCCATGCCAAACATGCCAAACATGCCAAGCATGCCAAGTATGCCAGGTATGCCTAGTATGCCTAACATGCCAAATATGCCTAATATGCAGCAACAATGGCAACAGCTTCAGCAGCTACAGCAGTCCATGCCTCAATTCCAACAATCTGGCTCTTCCGCAGCCGCAGCCGCAGCCGCCGCCGCCGCTGTGGACAGGAAAGCAGATCTTTCTCGTGATATTTGTAAGATGTTTATCGGTGGTTTGAACTGGGAAACCACTGAAGACAACTTGAGAGATTATTTCTCTAAATATGGTACTGTTACCGATCTTAAGATTATGAGAGACAATGCCACTGGTAGATCCAGAGGTTTTGGATTTTTAACCTTCGCAGAGGCGTCTAGCGTAGATGAGGTTGTAAAGACACAGCATATCCTTGACGGGAAAGTTATCGATCCAAAGAGAGCTATTCCAAGAGAGGAGCAAGATAAAACTGGAAAAATCTTTGTTGGTGGTATCGGTCCGGACGTCAGACCAAAAGAATTTGAGGAATTTTTCTCCCAATGGGGTACAATCATTGATGCCCAGCTGATGCTGGACAAAGATACCGGTAGGTCGAGAGGTTTTGGTTTCATTACCTATGATACTCCAGATGCAGTTGACAAGGTCTGTGAAAATAAGTTCATCGAATTTAAGGGTAAGAGAATTGAAATCAAAAGAGCCGAGCCAAGACATCTACAAAAACAACAGCAACAAAAAACACAAACCGCTTTCAATCCCTCGCAATTCAACATGTTTCAGAATCCCATGATGGGGGGTTTCAATCCGATGTTCAATCCCCAAGCCATGGCAGATTATTACACTAAAATGCAAGAATACTATGCACAGATGCAACAACAGACAGGCGTTGACTATTCACAGATGTATCAGCAACAAATGCAACAAATGCAACAAATGATGACTGGTATGATGCCCAACATGGGTGCAATGCCTTCGGCTTCATCGCAAACGGATAGTACCAATCAAGAAGCTTCAGAAGTACCCACCATAGGATCCGAGGAGAAAAATGAAGAGAGTGCTGAAGATGAAAGGGATGCGGACAGAAGAGTATCTTCTCCACCCACAAATGCTCCAAGGGGCCCTAGATCAGGTGGTTCTCGTGAGAATGGAGGTTATCGTAATCGCGATCGCGATCGCGATCGCAATGGCTACCGCAACAGAGATCGTAATGGTTTCCGTGGAGGTCGTAGTGGCTATTCCAGACGTAATAACAATGGCTACCACCCATATTCAAGATGAGCTTATAAGTAACATGTATTTTTAAGTAAGGTTTAGAATTATTCCTGCAAGTTTTGCATTTTTTTACAGTTTGAAGTTTAATAAAGGTTTTGACATCAAAAATACTAAACAAGCACCTTTCCTACTTGAAAAATCTCTACTAAATCAAGCAAAAAAGTCATAAATTGGTCGAAAATACAAACACAAACTGTTGATTCAATATATACATATATTAATAGAGCTTAAAATGATAACGTAAGTGTTTGTGCCGATTGTCTGTTGATTTTATGATACATCACCGTGAGACAATCCCAGTTGAACAATAGCATATACGTTCAGGACTGAGATGAAAAGCCAAGCAGCAAATGCGATTATTGATGTCAACCAATTATTGGCCATGTTTATCGTTCTACCAGAATGTTTTGTGTCATCCACGTTCATAATTGATTTTCTGCAAGTAAATAATATTAATGGAGCAACCAGGAAGGGAAGTAATAACGACAATACAACCTGTGAAGCATTCAATGCTTTCGAGAGCGCTGAACGGCCAATGCACAACGAAATCACAAGGCAGGGAATAATAGATATGCACCTCGTAACGATTCTTCTTTTCCAGGGCTTTATCTTCCATTGTAAATGCCCTTCACTCACAATTTGACCTGCCATGGTGCAAACAATTCCCGCAGACTGTCCGCTTAGAAGTAGAGCAAGCATGAAAATAGTTCCTACAACTGGTGCCAAATTCTTTGACAGTAAATCATGAACAGTATACAGGTCTGCTCCCACAGCTTCGGGCGATCCGTATAAGGTGGCACCGGAAACAATAAGTATAGCGCTGTTTACAAATAATGCAAAAGTAAACAAAGTCACGGCAAGTTCAACAATGGAATATTTCAGACCATATTGGATTGCAGACATAGTAGGACGGTAGTTCAGGTACGTATTCTCCATGACTACTTCACCAGATTTCTCACTCAAATCTTCATCACTTGAAGCAGCTGCGTAGTATCCATTCTTGATATCGAACTCGAGTAATCTGGGTTGTACCAACGCAGATCCAAGAAATAATGAGTGCGGCATCACGGTTGCTCCCAAGATGGATGTAGCCATATACATACCATTGTTCTCGAACATTTTACGAGATGGAAGAAAGCCTCTAAAAACCTTTCCTGCTGAAGTGGGAGGAATGAATGCCAATTCGACACAAAAGCAAACACATACACCCACGACGAGTGCTGCTACTGCCAATTCAAACAACCTAATAAACTTCATCGAAGAGGAGCCAGGTTTATATGCAAGCATCACAAAAAACACATCGATGACAGTAATGACTACTCCGGCAGCCAGTGGAATCTTTATCAAAATATTCAATGCTATAGCAGTACCAATAACCTCCGCAACATCTGTTGCAATTATGGCAGCTTCAGCGAAAACATACAAGATGATATTCAACCATTTTGGGAGATATCTGCGACAGGCCCGTGATAGATCCAACCCAGTGACGGATCCCAATTTGATGCATAAGGATTGCAAAAAGATAGCAATGACGTTTGATAGAAAAACAATGAAAAGAAGCGAAAATTGGTTGTTAGCGCCCGCATCTACAGCGGTGGAGTAGTTACCTGGATCCATATACGCAACACTGACCATTAACCCGGGCCCAATAAACTTCATGTACTTACGTAACACATTCAGTAACTTTTTGAACATCTTGTGAATACAAGAAACCTTTCCTGTAATGCCAGATGCGTTAACAGAAGTTTGCATTTTCTTATGCTCCTTCGATCGCAAGTAAACTTTTCGCGCGGACTTTGTTGAACTGTGAAGAATGTCACATTTTAGAGACCGCCATTGCAAACGCCGTACATCTCATATACTATAGATAAACTCGAAGACTTTTATTGAGAGACAAAATTTTAAATCAAAGGCTTCTAATGTTTCATAGCAGGGTTTGGCCCTAAATTGAAATTCCTGAGGCTGCGCTCATAGTTTCTACCTTGGAAGATATTCGCAATTGCTTTTCCGATAAAAGACCGAGCCACCATGAAACATACTGGTTAAATTAAGGCGAACGAAATATATGAAAGAAGGAATTAATGGAATGAAGTATGTTCTGTGCTACACTTGCTACACTTTCTATACCGACGCCTTGAATTACTTGCTGTCAATATCTCAACAAGCTTCATCAGCTTACACGAATTGGTCTCTTGGCCCAGTTGGTTAAGGCACCGTGCTAATAACGCGGGGATCAGCGGTTCGATCCCGCTAGAGACCATTTTTTGAACATTAGAAGTTTATATTTGATGAATGCGCAAACATCATTAGATGTATGTTGGCACCTGTATGCTATAAATCACAGCTTAAAGTTTACATTATACATATTTTAAAGATCTTCAAATTTCTTGATTCCATGCTCATTTCTTTGGAGATTTCTCAACTGTTTTGAGGTCAGTTGCTTTTGTTTCATTTTCTTAGCCTTCTTAGTAGGACGGGCTTCCGCGGTATCCAAAGTTCGTTTCTTTGCTTCTTCATCATCCTCAGAAAAGTCCTTGTCAAGTTCTTGAAGTAGTTCTTCCCGAGAGAGTCCAATGCTACAACCACTATCGTCACCGGACGCTTCCGAATCCTGATCGGCCCGATCATTCAATTTACTCCAGACTTCTTCATCATCATCATCATCATCACCATCATCTTCCTCTTCTTCGCTATTTGAATCCTTTTGACTAGAGGAAGCGTTATTTTCTTCGGATTCCTCATCACTAGAGCTATCTGACGATGAAGTGATACTGTTGCCCTCATGAAAATCATCCTCATTACCAGAATCCAACGGTTCGTCTTCGTCTTTGAATTGCCATATCTTAACCTTGTCCATACCACCAGATACTAGACGATATTCGAAGTCAAGATCCAGAAAAGAAACTTCATCAAGATTGCTATGCTTTCTGATCTCTACTACCTTGCTGGTTTTAACGTTAACTTTGTAAATTTGACCATCAGAGCAACCTGTCCAGATGCAGTTATCATCCTGTAAAGTGGGTACAATACAATCAAGACTTTCATTTTTCTTGATTTTGATTCTGCTTATTTGATCTACTAAATCATTCTTCTTAGGTTTCCAAAGAGTTAAGACCCCTTCACCCATTCCGCAAACCAATATCTCACCATCTTCTGGGTTCACAAATGTCCCACACAGTATCTCGTCTTCCTGATCATCACTCAATGCTACGCTTCTTTTCGATTCGGTATCATCGGGCGAGAGTTTCAAGTCATCCTCATTGGTTTTCCTGGCATCCCAATATGCCAAAGTAGTTTGGCCCAAAGAAATAAATTTGTAGACGGATTTCCCACTAAATTGGAATATATCGTTAATTGCGTCCCCATTGTGAATTTTTCTGATGCTATTTTTGACTTCCAGAGTTTCACTGTCAAGAACGATGACATTTCCGTCTTCATCACCTACGAGTAGCAGTGGGTGAGTTAATGATTTCACAACTTTTGTATACTTGATATTAGAGTCATTAGACAATGTGGTCTTCTTCACCACCTTCCCATTTTCAGTTGCTGCCTTTTTAAGAACATTATCAATTCCAACGGAGTATAAATATTTACCATTGTCTCCAAAACACATAGAGCGCACGCTGCCTTTATGCCGTCTTGTTTTCCACACCAATTCGAGTCCATCAACATCGGTGATTCCATCCTCTCCGATGTCAACTACGGCCCACGGTTTTTCCTTGTCAAAATCACCTTCTATAGTTCCCTTGTCAGTTCTGCCAGCGTAAAACTTCTCTAACACTGGCGCATCATATTTATGGCAAAGAATGTGCCCGGTAGCAAGTCCGCTTAATAGAATAGGTTCTTCAGGATGACATAAAACAGCGAAAAGAGGCTGTTTATATTTCAGTTCCAAAATGGGAGAGCAATTCGAAGCGAGACTATCAAGAGATTGAGCTTTTTTCGACTTCTTACCCATCTTTAGCAAGCTACTTCTCGTCGAGTGAACTTAACGATGATCAGAAGCTCATCTCCATCCGAAAATTTTCATACAGTATCATAATGAACGTGACTCAACTAATGATCTGACTTACCACCGGGGCTAGTTCTGCGAATGATGTCCTTCACATTATCCTGCATATCAGGAAACTCGTCCATTATCTTGATTGCCAGTTTATCTCTCAGTTGTCGTAGCCCATTCATCTTTGCACGCTGATACTGATTCGATCTTCGAATTGCCTCTACAAAGTCTCTTGTGTACACATCTGGGTTGCGCCCATCTTCGATATATTGTAAAACCTCCAACGGAATACTGAAGTTGTTCAATTGAGACGTAGGATCGTTGCTCTGCTTGTTGAGTTGTCTCAATCTCTCAACATTTCGCTTTAAGTTGGTCATCATTCCTTGAGCAGCCTCTGGGGTACCAGGGAAGTCGTAAACAGAAACACCGAGCTCAATAAAAGAGTCAATGATGGCAGCTACCTGTTGTTCTACCAAAGATAAATCACTTTGAAGCTTTCCAAGATCTTCAGGCACCGTCATGATTTTTGCTTAGTTTAATGGTTCGTACTCTACAGTAAATCATTGATTTTTTTTTCAGCATATAACAGACAGTTTAAAAGGTAACCAAAATCACATATTCGTGTTAGTACTTTCTAACAAGAGTATGTTGGTTCATTCTCACGACCGAACAAATATCAATATACTCTTCAATGAAGCTCTAAGCTTTTAAAGGAGATATTCGATACTTTGAATGATAAGGCAATATCACGTGACTTAATCAAACTATGGCGTGCTTTGTTCTCAACTGCAGGTACTGATGACAAAAATCTTCAGTTGACAGAAATAGGTCTGTATTCTCCTTCTCACTCCATCCAATCTTTGAAAAATACCATGTCGAAGACGTATGAACTAAATAATGGAATTCGAGTTACTCAGGAGCTTTTAGATCACTGGAATCAGTCCCTCTCTAAGATGGAATCCGCAGAGGACATCCTAAAATGGTCTCTTGCGACATTTCCCCATTTGTTTCAAACAACAGCATTCGGTCTGACAGGCCTGGTAACTATCGATATGCTTTCTAAGCTTCAAAAGGACACCATTGTGCCTCTTATTTTCATTGACACGCTTCATCATTTCCCTCAAACGCTACAATTACTGAAAGTGGTGGAAGACAAATATTACAAACCTAAAGGCAAATCTATCCAAGTTTTTCAACCTGAAGGGGCCTCCACTGAGGCCGAATTCGCTGCCAAGTATGGCGATTTCCTTTGGGAAAAAGAAGAGGATAAATATGACTTTTTAGTGAAAGTCGAGCCTGCTAGTCGCGCATACAAGTCACTAGGAGTTACTGCAGTGCTAACAGGTCGTAGAAAGTCTCAAGGAGGCTCTCGCTCGAATTTGCAATTCGTTGAAATCGACGAAATAAATGAGATTATTAAGATTAATCCACTGGCCAGCTGGGATTTCCAACAGGTGAAACAATACATAGACACAAACGGCGTACCTTTCAATGAACTATTGAACTACGGCTATAAGTCTGTTGGTGATTACCACTCTACACAGCCTGTCGCCGAGGGTGAGGACGAAAGAGCTGGTCGCTGGAAGGACAAAGCCAAAACGGAGTGTGGAATTCACGAAACGAGCAGATTTGCAGAATTTTTGAAGTCTTCAAAATAATAATAGGGTCGTCATAAGTTGCGTGAATGATATTTATCAATAAAGTAGCTTTATTTATCAAAAGCAATAGATAGACGGAAGCATAGCTTCTTATCGTAGTATTTGGCCTTTGAGCTCGAAATGCGTTAAAAGATGAAGCATCTCATCAACACGTGATTGGTTTTATTGCTAAAATTTTCTTTCATTTTTCGAAAGCTCCGGAAGAACAATTAGTGATTAGCCTATCTGTGTTATTGTGAGATCATGGGCAACTTTAGGTTTCCAGTCAAGGTAAAACTACCTTCCACTTACCTCAATGCTAGAGTCATAAGAGATAACTTCAAGAGACAACAAGTTGCTGAAAATGAAGTTACAACAAGGGCATTGAAGTACATTGCTAGAAATACGACACTTCCCCCTAGAGCTAGACTCGAGGCACAACTACAACTTAGCGTAATGCCTAATTACACAAGAATGACCCAGGTTAAAAACAGATGCGTTGAAACTGGCCATTCTAGGTTTGTCCTCAGCGATTTTAGGTTATGCCGTACACAGTTCAGAGAAAAAGCCAAAAATGGAGATCTACCAGGCGTCAAGAAGGGTGTCTGGTGAAATAACCTTACAGATAACGAACTCGTGAATTTCTACATGTATATATAAATTTTAGATTCTGCGGTAAATAATGGCAAAAATTACATTGCTTCGATTCGAATCAGATATTGTACACTTTGGTAAATACGCTATCCCTTGTATAAGATCATAAGAAAAACAAATAAACCATTAAAAGGGCGGAAGGAGGTCAGAAAGTTGGAGATTAGGTTGACGCTCCATCAATTATATCAAGTATTTACCCTCTTTTGGCCTCGCTTAATCCATTAACTCTGCTGCCTTTTAACAGTGATCAATGCGAACATCACAACACAACACACTTCTTCTTCTTTTTGGTGGAGGATTTCTTGGACTTCTTTGTTTTTCCTTGTTTACCCATTAGCGAGGCTCTTGTAGCAGCCTCGAAAACTTCTCTGACACCGTACCCAGTCTTTGCAGAACATTCGATGTACTCCACAGCTCCAATTTGCTCAGCAACCTCTTGCGCGGCGGCTTGAGACACGGGCTCCTGGCCGTTGGCTCTTAGATTCTCAATCACCTGGGAATCGTTTCTGAGATCAACCTTACAACCAACCAAGATGATAGGCACACCCTGACAGAAGTGTAACACTTCAGAGATCCACTTTTCCATCACATTCTCGAGTGAATCGGGCAAATCGATTGAGAAACAGATCAATACTACATTGGAGTCTGGATAAGATAGAGGCCTCAATCTGTCGTAATCTTCTTGACCAGCTGTATCCCATAGCGCTAGTTCCACACGGCGCCCATCTACTTCAACATCGGCGACGTAGTTATCGAATACGGTTGGGACATACACTTGAGGGAATTTGCCCTTGGCAAAAACGATCAACAAACACGTTTTACCACATGCACCATCACCCACAATTACCAACTTTCTCCTAATGCTAGCGTTATTGACTTGTTGTGACATCTCTTTGGTTTGTTTATTTGACAGATCAACCCCCCCAATTGTTGTTATTTTTATAGAAAAAAATTTGTGGTGGCTGGGAATTCAAAACGAATGTCATTGTCGTCGTTTTAACGTCGAGGACTAGAGAGGAAAGCCTAAAAAAAAGTAAGTCTTCAGCGTAAAGCACGTGATCAAAATATCTTATCAATCGCATCCATTCGATTAGTATTATATCAGCGCAATTATCGGGTATGAAAGTGTTGTAGCTCATCATCATAGAACTTGGGGTGTATTAGCACGTTATATAAACATCTACATGGTTAATTTACATATCCCGTTTGGTTTGGTATGAACGGGCAATGAACGAGCGAAAATGCAGTTGGTGGGATTGGGAAAAGACGCTTTCCAGGCGATTCTCCTGTAGATTTTGAGTATCTTTTATGCATAGAAAAAACGATCGAAAGTAATGTACTTCACAGCAATGTACATTTCTTCTTCTTTTTTGTGCTTGGTTTGTTTTGCTTGTTTGTAGTGGACTTGCCCTTGAGCGCAGCTCTTGTGGCAGCCTCGAACACCTCGCGGACACCAAATCCGGTTTTAGCAGAACATTCTTGGTAAGAAACGGCCCCGATTTTGTCTGCCACGGCTTGCCCGTCTGCGGTAGATACCGGTTGTTGACCAATTGCCCTCAATGTTTCAATAGTTTGACTGCTGTTCCGAAGATCAACTTTGCAGCCCACCAAAATGATTGGAACACCTTGACAGAAGTGAAGCACTTCAGCAATCCATTTCTCCTGCACATTGTCAAGGGAATCGGGGAGATCTATCGAGAAGCAAATCAATACCACATTGGAGTCAGGGTAGGAGAGCGGACGTAGCCGATCGTAGTCCTCTTGCCCTGCAGTATCCCAAAGAGCCAATTCCACATGCTTGCCATCCACTTCAACATCAGCGACGTAATTCTCGAACACCGTAGGGACGTACACTTCCGGAAACTGTCCTTTTGAAAAGACTATCAAAAGACAGGTTTTACCACATGCACCATCACCAACTATCACCAGTTTCTTCCGTATATTAGCTCCAGTCTGATATGACATTTTTCAGATTGTTAAGGCAAGACTTATAGGCCACAAGGTCCACGTTTCAATATCAATAATGTGTTATCGCAAACTTTGAAGCAATTAATTTCAGATTAGCCGCAAGTTTTTTATCTCTGAAGAGATGACTAGACGAACTTGTACGGAAAGACTACTTTAATGCTAACGCCACCTCGTAACGTGCTCTCACGTAACTTTGCTGAGTTGGATGTTTTCAAGTATCCCCTTCATGCGTCGAAGGATGCACAAGAAAAATTTTCCTAGCAACCTCGAATCTTTGATAGAAAACATCACGTGAAAATATTAAATAGGCGTAAAGATATCATGTTTTAACGTCAAAGTATCACTGAAAGATTACTGCCTTTAGATCTTACATGCTGCATTAAGTAACCGAAGGCTCTATTCATTGTATGAAGAAAGTTGGGATTGTACTGCATCATACAATCAGAAGGCTCAGCATCAGCTTATGTCAGCACATAAAAATTAAGATTTCCTCTTGATCTCTGGCAAGTTATTAATTAACTTTAGAATGAGAGTATATCAGATGTGACTAGATGTAATATTCCACTTATTCATTGGCCAACAGCCGATTTGTGAAGGAATGTCAGCAGATGTTGGAACTGTTTGATGCAATGTTAAGTCGTCGTTCGGGAAAGGTAAGCTCGCTGCTTTTAATATCTCAATAGAGCCGTCACTAAGCAGCACGTACATGCGGCCAGTCTTAGGACAGTACTGATAGTCTTTAATTAATGATGGAAACGATACTGTGCTACAACACTCTAGAGTGTCATTTTCTATTTTGAATAAAAGCAGCACACCTGGGGAAGATTTGAATTCCTCTTTTTCTGCACTGATTACAATGTAGCCTTTGCCTACGATGCGGACATCATACAATGTAGATGTAGCTCTATCGTAGCCATCAAGCCGTACCCAGTCTCCATTCATCATTTTCTTTTCACAAATAATATCCGAATTAGTTGATATTACGACAATTAAATCATGTATAGCATCGAAACTACGGATTTCGTTGGATTCAAGTTTAAACTCTCTATTGATTTGTAGATCTCCATCCGCGTACTCCACAAGAGTTGCCGTTTTATCCCCCACGGCCCAAAAAAGCCTACTCGAAATTGCTTTCAGACTAAGTCTTAATGATTCTGTAAGTCGTTTTTTCAACAGTTCTTTGATTGATAATCTTCCCGGCCGAGGAATAATCTGAATAATCTTCGTCATCGGTAATGTCGAGTGCTCGTCACCCTTCTGCTCACTTCCACTGATTACCAAGGAAGTGACGGAGGTTTCGTCCTGCAGCTCCATTATATCTGATATTGTTTCAAAATTTCTCAGGGCTCGCGAATCCAAGGACATTAACTTTCCATTCTCTAACTTAGCACAATCCATTGTCTTCTTTTGCGTATCCATAATCAGCATCCTATTAATTTTACGCAAGAAGACGTATTTTTTCCCAATGCTGCGCGTGGACTTCACAACAATACTCTTTGGAGCTCTTGTAACATAAGAGGTTTTGACGATCTCAAGCCCATCATTGAATAACACAAATATCAAACCTTTCGAAACTTTCACTTCAATAATTGAAGACGTTTTTCGACGATCTGGAAAAGTGATTGGCTGAAGACCTCTATTTTCAAAATTTAACAGTTTTAGATCTTTCGGAGTGAACAATAAGCAGGTGTCCTGTCCGTAAAATCTAAGCTCATAAGGTTCTCTAGCTCGAGGAATTGGATTAATTTTGTAAAAGGCTTCTGAACTTAAAACGCCAACTTCGTATTTGACGAAGATCTCGCCATCTTGATTGCTAATAACAACTTGATGTCCATGAGTGGCTAAGAAATGAGCTTTGAAACTGTCCAATATACGTGTCGGCAGAATATCATTTGACATCATCGAACCACATCGGTATATATAAAGGATGCCACTACAAGCAACCAAAAGTGATGTATCATTCCCTTCCTCGAGGAAGGAGACATCTGTGATTACTTGGAATTTACTGTTTAATGGGCACTGAAGTTCAAAGGACATTAAATCACCTTCCATGTTGATATCATCAATCAACAGTAAACAACTTTTCAACTTATTCCAAACCACGACTCTCTGACCGCAATGAATAGCTCCGTCAATTTCCCACTGTGGGCTTTTATGCCACTCACTGCCATCCTCCAAGTTGTCAACGAAGATAGAACTTTTTGAAACTTGAACAACCTTTTTGGCACTTATGAAAAAGAGAAGACTTCCGGTGCTATTATTAGGGAGAATATCATCAAGTTCGACTATACCCTCGCATAGAGTTTGATATTCTGGATTAATCAAGAACGCCCTGGATTCACTACTCATATTTGTTCCAATTAGCAAGATATCGTGAGAATTAAGCGTATCAGGATGATCTTGAAATTGAGATTTCCAAAAGTCATCCAAGTTATTGATTTCAACAACATGAATCATATTGTATTCTTCGAAACTTTTCAACGTTACTAGGCATGTGACGCTTTGCGTATAGCCATCTGGTGTGAGATGGGATAGCGTCGATTGAGAAGTTAGCCAGAGTTCACTTGCATCATCTCTTGGTCTCCTTGCTGAAGTGAGTAGCATCAAAGTTTCACTGTTAGGATATCCTGCGTCAACAGTTCTTCTTTTGCAGATATTTTTCAATGACGGTATCTTGTAGTCTTTGGAAAATATCCCAATGCCAGTCAAGTCTAAAATAAGTTCAAATACCTTGCCGAAACTAGAGATAAAGACGCGATACTGATCAAACTCTAGGCCGTCATTAGAAGCTTTGAAAATATTCTTCAATCCTTTAAACCTTGTTAGTCCGAGAAAGCGAATCTCGTCGTTACTATCTACGAGGCAACAGCACAATGCACCATTCGATGTAGCAAACACCGAGCAATGAGTAAATTGAGAGAGATCTGGATGTGAATTCTGCAATTTAGATAATAGCTCGGGATCTTCGAAGTAACTTTCCATTGGTGTTCCAAATATTGATCGATCTAAACTACGGAATGAAGGGTCCCCAGACATTATTTGGTTCGCTGAAACTAATTGTACATCATTTTTAGTCCACAGCAAACATCGATTTTGATTCAAAGGAAGCACCAGCTGAGTCACCTCCCCGGATAATAATGTCAGAGGATACACTTCTTTCTTCTCTTCTTGAAAGCTATCCCATTCACAAATGCAATATATTAACCTCTGTAACCTCAGAACGGACAAGAACATCATACTATGGTCGTTGAAGTCTTTTCCTTGTAGAAAACAACAACTTAATATCCTGCTTTCTTCAAAATAAAGATTGTTTACCAGCTCGCAATGAAATCTGTCACGGCGTTTAAAAAACTTAACAAGTGTGTTACTAAAGAGACCAAATTGCCCCCCTTTATGATCTATGGCTATTCTCCATGTTCCTCGCGTGTCTCCTTCCACTGCTAGGTTCCACCATTGGATAATAACCGGTTTGAGATTTTCATCAAAAATGATAGCACACAGCTTTTCATTATCGGTCGTCATCAGAACTAAATCATCTTCATTTTTTTTGCACCCTTTCAAGACTTTACAATCTGTCACGTAAGAGGGACAAGTGTATTCGTCGGATGAACCAAGTAAATGTATAGTGTCTTCATTTACCACTACGGTTGCACTCAGAGAATCGCCCCCAAATTTCTTGGGGATACTGCCTGCTTTAGTATAACCTGATTGTTCAGCTAGAATCTCTAAGTCAGAGTCGTCTAAGGTTTCTGGATCTCTTTCCATGCCTAAACCAAATTCATCATGCAGTTGATCGAGTGGCATGAGGCTTTTAACATCTGTGACAAAGGTATCCGTTAAGCTGTTAAGTTTTTGGTATTCTAAGCTTATGTTTACTGAAAGGCAGTAATTGGGACATGCTGAAGGAATGATTTTGTCCCGTTGTAGGTATTCTAGCGTTGAAACGCCTTGTGAATCAAACATGCTACCTTCAGATATGTCAAACCATTGTCCTTTCGCAGCCTTGTAGACAGCATCTAGTTCGTTCATTCCATAAGTATACGTCATTATCTCGCTAAGTGCACTTAACGCATTCTCTTCTTGTTTGTCATATATTCGACTCTTAATCCGTCGATTTTCAAATCTCTTGAAATTAAGCGATGTCAATTCAGAATGACAATCAAAATCGACACGCCGCTAGAGCCGCACTAGAACTCGCCAACATTCCATGATCGTACAGATAATGAAAGACCTCATGCAAAACTTTCCTCAAAAAAGCCAAACTAACATGACGTCCTATAAATAATACATATATACAGAGGGTTAATTAGAAAAGAATCACTTTTTTAATTCTTCCAAGTCCGTAAAGGATTTATAATCAGTTAATTGTTTAAGTGTTGAGTTAGACTTATTCCCTTCAACGGAATGCTTTTTCAACTTATTCCCAATGAATTTTCCAGCATGCTTCAGCAGCGATTTCAAAAGGACTCTTTTCAGAACCATGGTCAAATCCACTTTGGTCATTGTTTCATGCTGAAAAACTAACTTGGGAAACACAAATACAAAATCAGTAACGTTGATCAATCTCTTTGCTCCGTGCCCGCGATAGCTCACACTTAGAACAAAACTGTTTATAACCATTTTATTGATTACCATGTAATCTGAGGATCTCTTCATCATTTCATCAACATCATCCGCGCTTTTAATATCACTGACGTCTCCTTCCAAAAACGAACCCCTGGACAAGAAGCTATTTGAGTCTGTATATGCATTCTTGACTTCGTCAGAAGTTGTTGATTCCACATCAAATTCAGAAGAATCTCCGTCTGATCCTTGACGGATAAAATTTTCTACCTCAGAGGGAAATGCCCACGCGAATAATTTCGTGATTGTCTCCTGTTCGACGTTTATGGCCAGTCCTTGCAGTACCGTTTCAACGTTCTTGATAACTTTTATCCCCCCTATAGGTTTTTCAATTTCCCATTGAACCTTGATCAATGGCTGATTGTGGCTTGAAGTTTTTTTATTGGAATCTCGTAAAGGGCTCATTAAATCATTGAAGATGACACCCTTTTGAAGGTTAAATATTTGCGCAATTCCGATAACCAACTTATTGCTATTATAGCCATAGGAAGATTGCATTCTCTGGAAAAACGATTTTGCGAGAGCTATATCCAAAAATGCCGACCCATCATCGTCTAACATATGAAGAATAATTTCATTAGCCTCAATATCGAGTAACAATCGCTGATCCTCTGCTGCTTGTTCTTTGCTACCTGCGTTCAAAACTTTCATAAGGATGTAGAGTTTGATTAACGACTCAATTTTATCCTTACGTATGCCGTCCAGATCATATATTCCGGCGTCGTCTAGTATATGCCGCCGAAAAGCCAATTCCTTTTCCACTAAACTTACGGCCCCGATTTTCCTCTGCAAATCTGTGACAAGAGTTTGCAAATGAATCAAATTCGAAGAGTCGTATCTGAACAACAATCTTTCTATCTCTTTCTTCAAATGAGCACTTTTAGGCTCCACATAAACAAGCAGATTAGCAATCATGTCATAGAGGGCTAAGTACTGTCTAGAATTTGAGCTTATCGTCGTTTTAGGAAATTGACAAACCATTCGGTTTTGAAGAATCTCTGAGTTCCCGTCACCCAATGTTGCAAACGAAAATGCCCGGTCAAACTTGAAAATTCCGGAGAAGTCTTTAATGAGGGTGTCTCTTTCTAGAGGTTTGGAATCAAAACAAAGTTCGATGCCCAGCCATGGCTGCCAACTATCTTTATTAGGTTGACCATATCCGTTAACATCAAAAAATATGTCATGATAGTTCTCAAAATTATCCTTATGAAAGACGAAAACATTGGCCTTCAGTAACACCAGAGAGTACCGATTCATGAAGATATCCTCATTATTTTGGTTTTCAGTGGTGTTTGCATCAAAGGATACTGTTTTTAGTTTAATACTGGGAGAAGTCAGCAGGGTACATGAGTCGGGACTTTTAGATGTAGTCAATTGAATTTGAGGAGCTACAAATTGCACGACATGATTATCGTGCGTGATGTAGTTCGAAAACCCGCTGAATTTTCTCAAATCATTTTCAAATATGGCCAAAACATCATCATCCGCATCAACCCCCTTAACAGAATCACTTTTGAGGGAAGAGACGTTGTGTTTTTCAGTATCCTCTTCATCAGATCTAGATTGAGTGTCAGAAAGTGTTTTTCTTGGGCCCTTTATAACATCTTCGATTTTTTTTATGGCCTTATGATTCGTAATATATGAAAACTCCTTGTTCAAGTCAAGCAAATGAATATATTTGTAAACAGCATCCCTGACAACCTCATTCCATTTCAGCGACATGGAGAAGATGTAGAATCTGTTTTCAAAAGATTTAGAGAAAGAATTGTTTTTCGTTATCCATTCGATGGTCGAAAAATTCAAATCTCGATGTTCAGCAACTTTGCCATAACCCTCTTCTATGTCCTCTCCAGAAGTGTCGGAATTTTCTAGAGATTTCAGATCCTGCAGCAGTTCAGAAACTTTTGAAATAGCTGCATTGATTTTCTCCAACTTCATTTGTGTTGCATTGAAATCTTCATTCCCAGATGTGATTGATGAGTTTTCGAGCTCTCTCTCAGCCAAATCTTTCTCCTTTCTCAGAACTCCTATTCTTTCATCAATCAAATTAAGCGGCGATCTAACCCTTGGCTGCAAGGTACACTCATGATAATTAGAGTTTCTGAATGGCTCAATTTTTTTACAGGTGACTACATCAACCTGATACTTGTCCCCATAGTTGGCTTGCTTTCTGTAGACGAATTTAGGTGAATAAAGAAGGGGATTTATCTTAACTGAGAGGACGTAGTTTTCCAGACTATCGAAATTGAACTCATCAAAATCATGAGGGTCATACCATGTCATGTCATCATCAAATATGTCATAATTTTCGACGTCTTTTTCGTCGCCAAGGCCACGTCTTTTGAACTGGGCTTGAACTGTTCGGATATCAATACCGAAAGTTGAAACGTCACCTTCCTGAAATTTCAGTTTTGTCACTTTTTTGGTGGTATCCAATTCTTGCTTGTATTCATGTAGAACTTCCTTTCTCTGATGAAGATCCATGACGAAATTCTCAGTTTTGGCTTTTAAGCCCACGTATTCAATCTGATCCTTTTTTCTCGATGTGAACTCACCTGGATCAAGGACATGATACATGTGGCAAATGAACAGAGGTGCTACGTCAGCATGATATGATATAGTATACAGATGAACCCCAAACTTGGGACTCATACTGTTCATTCCAAACAAGGGTCCACGTCTCACGGGGAGATTACCAGAGAAACTTTTCCACCATTTGAAGAATATTTTAAACGCATTTGGAGTAAGTTGCATCACGTTGTATGAGTTGCGATTATTCGATAATAAGTCAAAAGACATATGGATAAAGTCACTCCTGAATCCACGATACGAATCAAATTCTGATCTGTCATCCACATATAGTGGATTACACATTCGGACATCCCAATGGGGGCGGGATTTAAGCGTCCTCTCCTCCTTATGAGATGACATTCTTTCAAATACAAAACCCACATTCAATTTAATTCCGCCAGAAAGATTAATAGCTATCTTTTCAAAAAAATTGTCTCTCATCACCTTGATGTCCTTATTCAAATTTTTTACATCAGACATTTCAAGCAGATAGTAATAGAACGCATATTTTTGAAGATTGGTGTCTTCTTGACTGGGAAAGAATAGGAAGTTCTTGCTACTCCTACACCATCCGAACAAAGGTTTTGCGAACAAGTTCGGAATACCAAAAAAGATCTGTTGAGAAGAAAATGAAAGGAATTTTGTGGGATCACCAGTAATATTACATCCCAGAGTAATATCTCCTTTCAGTCCAACGGTGAACCCTGCCGATTCTCCCCCTATCATGTAAGGATTCTTTGAGCCTTTCAATACTACATGAAATTGACCGTCATTGTTCCATTTGATACTTACCCTAGCATGAAAAATGTTCCTTATCTTATCCCAGAAGCCAAGTTTTGGAGATGGGTCGACGGGAGGCTTCGAAAAGTTATCAAAGCATTCCATCAATTGTTGAAGAGCTGGAGAATATGATCCACCCCATGTTACCATTGTATCCTCATTAGATTTTAAGCCAAGGTTCAGATTCGTGTAAATTTTAATTGGTGCCAATGTTCGGGGAATCAACAGTGAATAAAAAGGGTCATCGTTTTCCAAAGTACACGAGGGGACTAATGGAACAAATATGGTGCGCATTTCGTGGTTTGACCTTATCATATCCTCTGTAAGTAGAATGTCGCCTTGAATGCTAATTGGAGCCGCCTCATTACTTCGAGGTTGACCTGGAAGATAATTAGGCATATAAACGAATGGTAAGGGATAGTCTCGCAGGTGACATCTGATTTCTAGGAAATTCGCATTCAAATTGATCGGAAACATTATAGAGTACTTCGTGTCTTCTGGTACACCTTTCCCCACATCGTGGATGAAACCAGGAATGTTTTCAATACCACAAGACGGCTTACCCAAAATTATATCAATCCCTTCAATTATCAAATTCATGAGTGCAGGGGAAGAAATAAAGTCCAATATCCGCTTGTTGGCATCGGCGTGAAATTTGGTAACGTCAATGTTACCCCACAAGAATTTGAAGTTTTTCTCAAACTCAACTTTTTCCTTCACTTTAATAGTTTCAATTCTCCTAATCCACGATTTTGAGATTTGTTCTTGTAGGGTTTTAAATGCTATACCTAATTTTTCCGCTTCCTTCATTTCTTTTGAGGCGTTTTCAGTATCAGCAGAAGTTTCGAGGCCATCTTTATTTTCATCATTTTCACTTTTCACTTCGGAGAAACTGTGTCTTTTCAAAAGTGAAGATACCTTTGGTAAGTTGCATGCTCGCTTTTTCCCATCTGAATTTTCCGTGAAAGTCTCTGTCCTTTTGACTTCCTTTTTCTCTCCCATTAGCTTTTTAGAGAATTGTTGCTCAAAATGTTCATACTTCTCTAACCTCGATCGTTGCTCGCGCAAACCTACTTGAAATATCATCGCCAATTGGGATTCGAAGGGATCGTCATCCACACTGAACACCCATCTCTTAGACGTTAATCTCACTTTTGGAACAATTGGAGTTTTGGAGACATGTGGCTGGATTACAGTATCATTTTTTGATGTTTTCAAAGAATGAACCATTTGTTTGATAGTCTTAAACATTGTGGGAATATTATCAAATATCTGATACATTTCGAAGCGATGCGGGATATTGAAGTGCCACATTTCATTTGACAATGTTACCGATGGCCTCAAGTTTTTTTGATTATCTTCATGATTCTTCAATTGATCCAAAATGGAAATTAGGTCACCCAGAATCGAAAAATTAACGATAGTTATCATCCTCACCCAGGAATTAGAAATAGTCGGACATTCCACGCAAAATCTAAAGTAGTGACCATTGAGTGACAACTCTTTGATGTTTTTGAAACTAAGTTCGGACGCAAATAACTCAAGCCGGGTCTTCACACCATTAGGCAAGACAATAACTGAGTCAAAATGCGTCGCCGAAAACTCAAAATCAAGAATATCAAGGATATCGCTCTTGGCAATACATGACAGCGGACTTTTTTTTTTCGCCTTCGCAAACTCAAACAGATGCCGCTTAGCCTTTGATTCGCTTTTGTGACAGTTCACATCTTTCGTAAAGGTCTCCTTGAAAGTGTGAACTGCGGATATGACAAGGAATATTGTCATAAGTGAGAACATAGTTTTAGTCTTTCCAGTTTGAACTGAGAGAAAAATTTTGTCTTCTGATTCGTCTTTACTTTTATTCATTTGTTTGCAGATTGGATAAAGTCGGATCGTTGAACTTGGAAGCCTGAATATTGTCTTTGGAGTCATTTCTTGTCTTCGCGTTCTTGTTTCTGAAAACAAAGTGGTTACCATATCTTCAAATACACAGGATAGTATCCACAGGTGATCGCTATCGCTTGATAGGGTCGAAGAACTATCTTCTAGGCCAATTTCGTCATATGAGAAACTTTTGTTACTGCTAACTTTTGTCGAGTTATCTAAATCGCTAGACTGTTCATAATTATCGTAAGATTCCGATCGACCAATCAATTGAATTCTTATTCGATCAATCTTATATGAGAGTTTTCGCAGTTCTCCGTCCACCAAATCCCCTGGACTCTGTGAAGTTAATTTGGTAAATACGTCTTTAGACATAAAGACAGATCTTGCTCCTGCGATAACAGAAAATGATCTCAAACTCAGTTTGATTCCATCAAAGAAATTAGGAAGTTTGTTGAAAAGGAAGTGCTTTGGATGTATATCACATTCGCTTTTTTTATTTTGTGCTTGTGATTTAGTACATTCATGTACAGTGCTTTCCAGTTCATTTGCAAACTTTTCATAGAGAGACGAGAAATATTCCTCTTCAACGAGAAGAATTTTGGAATTGACCTTTCTTATTATTTTGTTCAATGCCATCAAAGTTGTTAGTTCTGAAAGGTCAACATTACAACTGTCAATGTTAGCATCCATCCCTATTTTTATATTTGGAAGAATCCTTGACATGCTCATTAATGATACATTATCCAAAGTTAGTATTCTGTGTTTGAAACGACGTTTTTGATGATGGTATGCAAATGTGTAGTCCATAAGCTCGACTACGTTTTTTAAATTGTAATACAGTTGTCTATCTTTGGATTGTCCACCAAGGGCAAATTTCTCTGATCTTGTTTGAATAGATAATATAGAGCACTTGTGAACCAGTAATTCATCCTCATCACTAACTAAGAACATGGGGTCCTCGACCGTAATTTTCGACTCGACGTGAGGTAAAACGTGCTGGAAATATGTCGCTACCACTTGCTTCCCTTCAATATATTCATTACTTCTTTCAAAACCCGAGCAAGGTTTGGCTGAAGCATCGGAATTAGTTAATACAGTAGTGAAAACCTTAATGTTCTCATGAAATGACTTCAAAAAAGATAGTTGAGATATTTCAAAATCCACAATTGGCGAAGAAATGTGACCGACAAATTTGATAATAGTATCAAAGGGTTGGTTTTCATTCTCAATCAAATGCCCATTGGAGAAAATGTTTGTATCTCCATAGAATGAAACACTAGGAATTTCACAGAACTCAAATACTTCCGCTTGAGAAGCATCTGCGCACGTTGTCCTATGTAAAGAGAACATTAAGGAAGAAGCTGTAAGTTTGATATTGATAGGCGCATCTTCTGCGGCGAAAAGCAGCTTGTAACCAGGAGATCCAACTCGGAGCTTACTGGCAAATAACGTAATGCTGGAAGCGGAGATTTTGTATTTTAAATGATCCGTGGCTGTTTTCAACTTCGGATGCGTTGAGTAAGGAATATCATAGAGGGTTATGTTGTCAACAGCAAGCGACAATCTCTCTAACGGTTCTAATGCCCTGCGGGTTTTGTCTATAGCAGTACGAATTACTTCGATACAATACTCAGGCGTGGGCTCCTCCACTCGTGAAGGTGTTTCTTCCGATACCTTCCGATTTACAATTGCTCTTAAAGAATGAAATTGCAGTGTGGAAACTTTCATGTTCCTTAGCTTCACGTCGAGAATCAAGTTTTCGAAGCGCAAAGACTTCTCTAGGTTGACAACAGCAGAAAAGTCAATAACCGCGCCATGGAGCAGGATCTTCTCACCAAAATAAATGTCCTTTATTAGTATTGAAGCCTTAAGATTGTTTTTTTTGACAATTATGGTAATATTTGCAAGGTCAACCTTGATACTTTTGAACTCTGTTTTCTCCAAGACAATTTTGAATTCTTTAAACAAATTGAGAAATCGTAGAATTAATCGTTGAATCCATTTGGGTATCGAACGCGGGTTTCGATTGGATATTGGCTTCTTTTCCTTTCCCTCCCTATCGCTCTTTTGTGGAAGCAAAAAGCTCATACCGTGTATCACCAACTGACCATTCCAAAGGGAGTAGTACATGAATTGCATATATAGCTTGTCCCGAATTCGCAACGACCTCAGACGCAAGCGCAATGGGTCAATGATTCCTATTGAAAATCCCAACAGGTAAAACGCTATCGCTTTGACCACAACCCAAGCGACTACGCATACCACGATATACCCTGCCACCTCAGCGAAGTTTATGTCCATACTAAGACTTGGCCTCATCAGAAAGTAATAAGACTATAAGTCTATGAACAGATACTTCTAGTTTTCAGACACGTCACCAGAATTGGGTTATGCTTCCAGCGGTGTGCTCTGGTGTGACTGACTTGCCATTAGCGCTATCAGCGATATGTTATTAATTGTTTCCTTGAATTTTCATATACACGTGACCTGTGGTTATTTTGCTTACACCAAATCCAAAAAGAAATTTACGTCTCGTGCCATCAATTCAGCTCATCGCTTAGTGAAAAATTTTTAAGAGCTGAAGGTGGTAAAACTGGACAATACAGCTATCTTGGACTTAAGCCTAAAGAAATCGCTACTAGTTAGATACTACTGACAAGATGGCGCCACCCAAGAAGACAGTTAAAATGGATTTGAATTCGTTTCTGAACGATGAATCGTTCGGTGAATCATGGGCCGAAGAAGAAGTGGACCTAGAAAAGATCAACATCCCTTTAAATGCCGGTAAGCCCTCTAAAGTGATGCCATTGGAGTCGTTTGGCAGCTCCAAAGGCTCTCGTCTGGACCCTGCACTTGCTCCAGAAAAGAAGGAACGTGTTGAATATGACATTCCTGACCACCCACCTTACAGGGCAGTGATTAATAACCTTCCATGGGACGTCTCTGAGGACGGTATCAAGGCCTGGTTCGAGGATGGGTTGAACAAACCAGGTGCAGTGGAGGAAGTTGTTGCCCCCAAGGATTTCAATGATCCTGCTAAACTGAAGGGTTTTGCATTTGTAACGCTCTGCGATCGTGATGCGCTTGCTGCGTCTCTAAAGTTCAACGCCACTAAGCTCAATGAGCGTATGGTTTTCGTTTCCGTTGCAGCTCCTCCAAAGGGTGGGTTCGGTAATCGTGGTGGTTTCGACGACAACATCGACTGGGGCTCCGCCAGAGGTTCCAATTTCCATGCCGGTAGACCAAACAGAGAAGAACCAGATCTTGACTGGGGATCCATGAGAGGTGCCAATTTCCACGCTTCTGCTGAGAGAAGACCAAGAGCTGAAGAGCCAGACTTGGACTGGGGCGCCATGAGAGGTTCCAACTTCCACCCTACCGCTGACAGAAAACCAAGACGTGAAGAGCCAGAATTGGATTGGGGTGCCATGAGAGGTTCTAACTTCCAAGCCTCTAGAGAAAGAAAGCCAAGAAGAGAAGAGCCAGAAATAGACTGGAGTTCTGCCAGGGGTTCTAACTTCAGCCAAAGACCTCCAAGAGCTGAAAGAAGACCAAGAAATGAACCCGAGCTAGACTGGGGCGGAGCTAGAGGCTCTAAGTTTGGTCAAAGAAGTACCTCTAAGAAGTCTGGTCAAGCAAAGGCTGCTTCCAGCCCTACACAAGATGCACCAAAAATTCAAAGATCAGCCTTTGAAGTTTTGGCTGCTGATGATGATGACGAGGAAGAAAACACTAAACCTGAAGAAGTTGACCCAAAGAAGAGCACCAATGATATTTCCAACTTGGAGAAAGCCACTGCTAAACTAAGTGTAGAAGGTGAGGATGATGATTGGAAGGTTGTTGGCAAAAAGTGAGGCTCAACATTGACTTGCTTGAAAAAATAGTACTACGGTTAAGAGAAGTCTAATGAGTTTCGAACGTCGAATACATCTGTCTCTTACATAATTTTTGCGTATGTCGACCCATGACTGTACTTTATATAGATTAACTTTTCTAAGGATTTCAGAACGACATAAAATCAATGTTGAAATATATCAGGATGAAAAACCTGCAAAAACTATTGTTGATTCAACAAGTGTGACATGCTATGTGGGATGTCGATAGTGACGAAAGACTTCTTGCGTACTATTTGCAGGTACACTTTCGTTAAATCCCTTTGGTGTTGCGGACACCCCACGGCACAATTCCGAACATGAAGTGAATTTTAGAACCTTCTGGTTCTACGAGATAGCAATTAGCTCTACGTTTAGATGGAAGACGTTTGAGCCCAGATAACAGAAGCAATAGTGGTATAGCGGATATGCTTTCTATATTCGTTTATCATGATTAATAGTAATGTCAACATATGTTATTATTATATTCTTGGAATAATTAAGAAGAGAAATCTCGAAGTACATGGAAGATATTGACGCCGAGTTTGGCCCTATACGTAAGTCACATCAGACTATTAGTTCTGATCAAATCATCAAAGATGTCAGAATAGATCACGAGCAGCAATCGGTTTTGCGTAAGATCAAACTGACCAGAGGAGATATGGAGCAGAATGAGATCAGTACCAGATCAATACAAGATACTTCTAGAGTTTTTGAAATCCCGACGGTAGTTCAAGAGACACAGGATAATGTTTATGAACCTACTGTTTCAGCTAAAAGAACTCACGACTCGATACCTAATGAGTCGGTGAAGAGGGCAAAATTATTGAAAGCAATCGATAAGGAGTTTGAGCAGTTCCGTAACTTCCTAATACGTAAACTTAATAATTCTTTGCCAGCTGAGCAGGTTAAGCTACCGAGCCATATCAGAGAAGCTTCAGATGAGGTTGAAAGGATACTCAAACAATCCATAATTCAAAAGGAGAGTCACTCCGCAATTATCGTGGGACCTCGATCTCGGTACAAGACTGCAACTGTCAATCACCATCTCAGTATATTAGCAGAAAGGTTTGAAAAGCAGTTTGTGACTATTCGTTTGAATGGGTTTATCCATACAGAAAATGCTGCCATTAATAGCATTGCCCATCAGTTAGAGACTCAGCTTAGTGAGTTACACGGCTCAAGCAGTTCAAAATTTGAAATAAGCTCAGGTTCCCTGACTGAAGTGTTCGAAAAAATTCTACGATTGATTGATACAACATCTGTTCAAAGGGAAAAGAGTACCTCCACAAGGTCGGAGAAGATATCTGTTGTATTTATCTTCGATGAGATTGACACGTTTGCAGGACCTGTCCGTCAAACCTTGTTGTATAATTTGTTTGATATGGTGGAACATGCTCGAGTACCTGTATGCATTCTCGGCTGCACGACAAAGTTGAATATTGTTGAATATTTGGAAAAGAGGGTAAAAAGCAGATTCTCACAGCGTATAATATACATGCCACCTATAGAATCTTACGAGGAGTTTTTGACAGCATTTAAAGAAGAAGTTTGTGTGAATTTGAACAACTGTTATGCAAACGGTTGGAATGCTAAAATTGAGAAATTGTTGGAACTTGATTCTTCAGCACTCTCAAAGCTGGTACGAAATAATTTTGAGACCTTAAGATCGGTGGGATTACTTAAGACTTCTTTGATTCCAATGGTCGTAAAAGAAAGATCACACGAGCTGCTATTAAATGCCTTGGAATCATGCAGTTCTGTTATAGCCTACAACGGCAATCAACTGTCTAATAGCTTAACTGCTAAACTCATGTCTCTGTCTGATCTCGAAATTGCTTTATTAATTGCTGCTGCTCGTGTATCTCTGCGAAATGATGACTCGGTTAATTTCAACCTCAGTTACGCTGAGTACTCTTGTATGGTTAAAGAACTGAATAAAAAAATTCCGATGATTCCGCCAGCTGTAGGAGGAACGCTCAAAATTGACAATACGGTTAGAATTTGGAGCAAGAAGGACGTTAAAAATGTCTGGGAAAATATTATCGCTCTGGATTTTTTGACAGAAAAGGGGGCAGTGGGTCTTCGCGCTTCAGCACTGGCTGCTTTTCAAGCCAGTAACTACCACACTAGCGGTACGATTATACCATTCGATTTGAGAACGTACCAGATGCAGATCACTCTGGGTGAGCTTCGGAGGATTGTTCCCAACTCCTCCATGTACTACAGCTGGACTCAGTTATGAGCATCATCGAGATAATATTTCCAAACGCTGAGATTTTATGAGCAAAACCTCGGTGCAAGGTAGTCTTGGGTGGGTTTTCTTTTTAAAGTGTGGCTCTCAAGAAATCATTCATAATACCAGTGACCACTGGACACAGATATCATAATTCTATGCACACGATTCGATGACCGGACAACAGAAGTTACATATATAGCAGTCAAAATTAATAGAGTGGAGAGATGTTCTCAATATTACAGGCCACTAGAGAACTCCAGGGTGTCCCTGTGGATTGGCGTGTGAAGAGAGATTGTGAGAAAAACGTCGTCCGTCTGTTATGTCTTTTTGCACGTCATAAGGTAACAGCTTTTTTTTCTCATCTCTAAACCCAAGATTAAAAATCTCAGGTAGAAACTTCTTTGACAATCTTCTGAGTTGCATCTGGCGATCCTAAGATTCTGTACTGTCCACCATGAGTGAAAATGGACAGACCGTGAAGAAGTCGGAATTCAAGTATAAAATTGGTAAAGTGAAACAAACTCCACCTGTTTTGAAGGATGACAAAACCGGACTAGAATATATCGAGCTAAAACCACGGGAAAATGAAAAGGTCTACGGTTGTACTACTTTTGCAGGACATTATAGTGAGGAAAAGAAATTGGGGCAAGGCACATTTGGCGAAGTTTATAGAGGAGTGCACCTAGAGACCCAAAGACAAGTGGCGATGAAAAGAATTATCGTGAAGGCAGAAAAGGATTTATTCCCCATCACTGCGCAGCGTGAAATCACAATATTAAGAAAATTAAGTCATAAAAATGTTATCAAACTTATTGAAATGGTGTATGACTATCCACCAACCCAGCCCAATGGATCTACATCAAGTGTGGCGAATCCGAGTAAGTCTTTTTACATGATTCTGCCCTATATGGTAGCAGATCTTTCAGGAATACTGAATAATCCACGGATGAATTTAGAAATGCCAGATATCAAGAATATATTGTTGCAGATACTCGAAGGCATTAACTATATTCACTGTCAGAAATATATGCATAGGGACATAAAGACAGCTAATCTTTTAGTGGACCATAAAGGTGTACTCAAGATTGCAGATTTCGGTCTCGCGAGAAACTACTATGGTGCCCCTCCTAATTTAAAATACCCAGGTGGTGCCGGTGTCGATGCGAAATACACATCTGTAGTCGTAACAAGATGGTACAGGGCACCTGAGTTGGTATTAGGGGACAAGCATTATACTACTGCCGTAGATATGTGGGGAGTTGGTTGCGTCTTTGCAGAATTCTTTGAGAAAAAGCCCATTTTACAGGGTAAAACTGACATTGATCAGGGCCATGTTATTTTTAAACTGATGGGTACGCCTTCTGAGGAAGCTTGGCCGCTTGCTAAATATTTGCCAGGTGCAGAGCTGACTAAAACAGAATATCCAGGAACTCTTAAAGAAAGATTTGGGGCTTATTTGAACGCTGAAGGGTTGGATCTGCTTTCGAAGTTGCTCTCGCTAGACCCGTACAAAAGGTTGACGGCGATGGCAGCTAAAGAGCACCCTTTCTTCGAACAGGATCCTCTACCGAAGTTACACCTTCAACTGCCCTGCGAAGAAAGCCATGAGGCAGATATAAAACGATACAGACAGGAACAAAGTAAGTCAACCGGTCAACAGCCACCTCCACCTCCTCCTGGGCACATAATTGAAAAACAGCCTTCGTCAAATTTACAGCTCCCTGGAGGACCTAAAGCATTGAAGAAACTCCCAACGGGTCCTCGTTTAGATAGTTCTCATTCACCAAAGCCTGCTATTCATAAGCTACCCGCTTCTGGACCTCCTGCGAAACGGAGTACACCTGTTGACTACCATCCTCAACCAGGTATATCTTCTAGAGCGCCGCGAAACTTGTCTTTACCAAAGGTTCCAAGGTATTCAGGCTCACCCCCGGATCAAGGCCATGTCTCACGATACTCCGGTTCACAAAATAATGCCTCTACTGCAACCCCTAGCAACTCGGGAAGAACCGACAGCAGATATAGAGGTGACATAGGTCAGCGTTCATATGGTGCACCTCGCTATCCCGCAGCATCTGATTCACAGTGGCATAAATACCCTCGGTCGAGATACAACAGTGCGTATGGTTCGTCAGCACACGATCAGTACAGTTACAAGGATCCTAGAGCTTATGGTCCTGATTCTCGAGAAAATAACAGCATAGTGCGAAGAATGGAATTTAATGCGCAGAATAATTCCACTTCTAAATTAGATCAGAAGCAACACTCACAGGAGCGTTCCTACAAAGAGAGCACTCGTCTACCAACTGCACCATCAAATGCTGGTGCACGCAAAAATGCAGACAGTGAATACCGCAAATCCGCAGCTGAAAATAATTCAGAAGACATTGCGAACCTTTATTAAAGCATTTTCTTTCATTCTAAAAGTTCAACGAGCAAGTAAATAAAGTGAAAGAACATTATTTGGGCTCTCTTGTGTTTTTTTCAACTTTGTAAAGAGATTTCCATCTTTTTGAGGTTTGTTTTAGAATTTGATTGATTACGACTGACTGGCGTTCGTGTCACATTATATTATATGAAACAATGTAAAGTGATAAAAGCAACCGTTTCATAACTTCGAGTATCTGGATTTCACTGTATTTATAAGCGAGTCTTTCTGTCGGTGAATAATCGCCATTCTAGATTTTCCGGTGAACCAGTTCCTTCGAAATACGCGATGACTGAAAGAAATGATAAAAATGTAGAGGGAACAGCAATCAACGAGCTGACCTCTAAAATTTTTAATCGAACGCCGAGTGGTTTAATATTCTCAGAAGACTTGAAACGTATCTACTCGATTTTGCTGATTTGTTTGGATTTGTGTGAAAATCCAAAGGCCGGTCAGAACAAACTTCTGCCAAATTTCATTAAGAGTTATCCTTTTTCTTTTCATGTTCGAGAGGCCATTACCAAAATGGAACACTTACCGCTGAATGTTACTATTGGTTCAGCAAGTATAAATATCTCATATTCAATTCGACCTGAATTGGCTTATAAGTTACTAGAAATTTTTATGGATGCCAAGTTATTGCACGCACCAGCAGACAGGACACGATCCGAACCAAAAGAAAAAGTTTTACTACAGCCAACCCCAAAAGGTGTTGCAATACTTCAAAGGTATGTACGACAAGCAGGACTAAAAGACTGGCCACCCATTTTAACTTCCGATTTCAATTCGATGGAATTATTCGTTTTCGAAAGAAGTTCTATGACGGATGCGATAATTCAAAGTAGTTATTTTATCTCAGTTTTGTTCACTAAGATGATGGGACCATCACCTAACATCTGGACTCCAACAAATCCTCCAGATAGTTTACCCTCTTTGAATAAGTTGTTGGAATGCCACGAAGATTATTTTTCTTTCGAAAATCTTAATAATCATTGGGACTCGAAGCTTAATATCCCGCAAACAGCTCCTGCAAACCATACTGGCTCGATCAGATATACTCAACAATCTGAAAAACTGCAAAACGAAAGTAGATTATCTCCATTTGCCCATCGTTTCTTCACAAACCCTGATTCTACCGCTCATATTCAATACTACGTTTCAGACTGTGGTATCAGAGTTTTCAAGTCGCGGCTTTTTGGCGATAGAAAGCTTTTGGTTGATTACACTTTTACAACTAAGGCAATCTGGCAGTGGCTGATGGACTGTACTGATATATTTTACCCCAAAGAAGCGGTAATTCTCGCATCGTACTTTCTAAAAAATGGCCTAATGACACAAGTACCTTCGAGATCTTCAAAAAATAATAAGTTTTTCATCTCCTCCAATAGCTTCTATACGTTAACGGAACTCGGATGGAACATTATCCAATGGAATACAGAATTAGGTATAAAAGCATGTATCCAAACTATTGATGGAAAAGTTGAACGTCAAATCCCAAAGATGATAGAGACTTTTCGAGATTCTCGAGTTTATGGAAGATCTTTTGAATCTGAACATGCTATGCATGTTTTCAATTCACCTATGCCATTAGACTTAAATCAGGTGTTGAAAGATCCTGGTATGAGATATTTATTCAGGATTCATTTAGAAAAAGAGTTCTGTGCTGAGAATCTTGATGCATATATTGAAATCAAGAAGTTTTCCAAGAAAATGACAGTTTTGAGAAACTTGATTGAAACGCGTGCATTAGGAAAGGAAGATCATCAAACCTCTCAGAAATCGAAACATTTCAGCAGCCTCTTGATTAGCACAGTCAACATTGCACTTATCAACCATGCAAACGAGTGCTTGGAAATGGCATATCGCATTTTTTCATCGTATATTGCCATCGGGTCATCCTTTCAGCTGAATATCGATTATTCTCTACGCGAGTGCATCACTGAAGTCGTCCTACGTCCTCGATCAATCCTCGATGTGCCAAATGTTCACGCATTCGCATCTTGTAACTCTTTACAGTTGAACAGTTGCAGCCAGAGCGGATTGTCTACAATCGTGTTACCCGCGCAGAGCCCTCGAGAAATTATTAGTCAACCTGGCAGGAAAAAGTGTAACACTTCACTTTTCAATTCTAAATTCATTTCGATTGGAGACAATGATGTCTCGAGAACGGCAGGAAAACGGTCACTTGACATTCTTCATGAGAACTCATCTTCAAATGTTCAAAAATTACCTGATACTTTGAGAATCCTAAAAGAGCTATATCCACTGTTTGAAAGAGTTAGTAAAAGGCTGTATCGACTCATGAAAGTCGATTCATTTCCAAAATTCATAAACTCTAAGCTAACCCATGGAGCCTTCTCTTGATTGCTTCCTAACTTATGTTAGTGCAGCAAGGTTACGCTTGAGTAACATAAAAGCAAATTCACTTCTCAAGCAGAGATATGGGTTACATTATACAGGTTTTTAACATTATACATGGAGTATGAATTGAGATGCAAGAGAGCTAAAAATGGTATTATGGAAAGAACGATAAGCTTACTCAAGCAATAGGTTCCAAGGTAGTACCCTTCTTGATAGTAGCCCAACCAATCAAACGCCAATGCTTTTCGATACGTCTCGACAATGCTATCTTTTCGTTGATTTCTGTACAAGCAGGAGAGGTCAACTGTAATCTGGCCATGTCAGCTTTGACTGCGACGACACGTGCACCAGTTGCGGTTGAACCGATGTTGACCATTAAGACTTCATTTAGATCTAGATTTCTTACCTTAGCTTGCTTTTGACCATCTGTCTTTACACCCAACAAACGACGTAGTAAGAAGTAGTTGATTTCGATATCAGTGTAGATGCTTGGCAAGTGACCCTTAGCACCTACAACTTGACCAACCAAACGGTCTGCACGGCATAACGTTGGGTCTACTTTAGTACCGACACCAATCAAACCACCTGGAACGGCAAACTTTAAATCATTGTGTTCAGCAAAAAGGGAGACAATATTGGAGAAAATTGGCTTACATTGAATCTTACCTTGCTCATCCTTGGTGACGATACCTGGTCTAATTTCAATTTCATCGCCTAATTTGAAAACACCATTTAGAATGGAACCACCTGCGACACCACCCTTCAAATCTTCAATTTCAGCACCAGGCTTGTTAACATCGAAAGAACGAATAACAATTAGACGTGGAGAGGCCATGAAGTCCCTTGGAGGCACAGGAATCGTCTTAACAATGAATTCATTGACGGCATCTATGTTGTATTTCAGTTGTGCTGAAATTGGAACAACGGGAGCACCATCTGCAATAGTACCTCTGATGAACTTTAGAATGGATTTTTCGTGTTCTAACGCGCTTTCTTCACGCATTAGATCGACTTTGTTTTGCAAAATGATGACATGCTTCAGCTTCATAATTTCAATAGCAGCCAAATGTTCCGAGGTCTGAGGTTGAGGGCATGATTCATTACCAGCAATCAACAGTAAAGCAGCGTCCATGACTGCAGCACCAGACAACATGGTACTCATTAAGATGTCGTGACCTGGGCAGTCAACGAAAGAAACATGACGCACTAGCTTGTAACGACCTGGACATCCTGGGCGCTCACACTTTGGCGAAACCTCCTTATCTGACTTAAATGATCTATAACAGTCTGGCTCAGGGCAGGTTGGCTCTTGACACTTGTAGATCTTGGCGTTGGCGTAACCCAACTTGATTGTAATGTTACGTTCTAATTCATCCTTGAAACGGACAGTTTGCACACCAGAAATGGCTCTAACTACGGTAGACTTACCGTGAGCGACGTGACCGATGGTACCGATGTTGATGGTGGCTTGTCTGTTGATAATCTCTGGAGAAAGTGGGTTCAGTTTGGAGAAGTCAGGGTTCAAGGGCTGCTCTGGTAAACCACCTCCTTCTTCGAATTCACGCTTTCTTTTTTCTTCTTCGGACTCAAAGTCGTCCAGCCCACTAAATGTGACGCTCTTCTTTGGTTTGATCTCTTCTTGGTCATCTTGAGAGTACACTTCCTCGACGGGCTCGTCATTGCCCAAATTGCCGTTCACGACAATGGATGGCTCCTGGTCTTGTAACTCAGCTGGCATATTGAACGTTCAGCAAAAACTTGGCTATGTGGTTGACTGCGTGACCGAGTGTGATCAATATCTGTGTTTAATCCGGCAAGTTTTAATGCTCTGTTCGACGTAAAAATTTTTCAGTATGATTCAGAGAAAGCTTTTCCCAACCTGCGACGCAATTACGACGCATCACTTTCCCAAAAAAAAAAAAAAAAAAAGAGACCGTGTTGGACATGTGACCTTATCGTTCGTACATAGTTATCGGTTAAAAAAGAGACTTTGTGATTTCTTTTTTTTCTTTCCTGTTTCCCTTTCCTTTTTTTAGCTCTGGACCTCGGCGGCTAGCGGCTGCCGGTTGTGAGATATTACTTGATCTAGAGGAATTGCATCATTCTGAGAGGAAATATGGTCCGGAAGTTTCCACTTGAACAAAGAAAGAAAAGTTTTCTTTTCTCATATTCCTACCCAATTAAACTACTTACTAGGTATGATTAGTACCTTGTCAGCGGAACTTGCAGGCATAAGATGTCAATTATCGAAACGATGATGGACGTGTAACCAATTTCTCGTTTACAGCTTGGCAATTCACACCGAATATGGTATGAGGATGAAGCGGAATTCACATGATCGCAAAGCGGAAACACATTCCGTCACTAATCGTTCGCTCATAGTTGCCGTATTTCGTGTAAAGAATTTTGTGCTGCAAGTATCCAGTATGGAATGGCTGAATGGAAAAGCCATGATGCTAGTGGTAACGTCTCGGAATTGAGCTTATCGGTGCTTGCCTGCATCAGTATCCTCATCGCCGAGATGGAGGAAGCTGGCAACCTTTTATTTTTGCAGGGTCGTACTGGCACAACGGGAAAGTAACGGCGACTGGCATATGCGCAACCTATTAGAGTATGAATGTGGAGGTCGTTTGCTGTTTCCCTAGATCGAAAGAAAGGCTGTATGCGGCCGAAGCTGGTAAACGTTCTTTGTGTTATCTCACAATAGGCATGTTCTCTGGGCAAGCTAGTTTAGTATTCATACCGTCCCTCCGATGGAGGTTTTTCAATAATTGTATATAAGAGATGAGATGGATCGATTTGAACTAATAGATCTTAAAAGGATCAAAGAAAACCAACAGACGATGGAAAAAAAATCTCAGATTCTGGTTTCATCCACAGTCGATACCGAGAGGGGTTCATTTTTTGACGAAGTTAGCTCTTCGCAGCCTGGCAAAGGTCCTTCTTTGGAAGAAAGGATAGGCCGTAGAAAGCTGATGCCACGTCAGGTGTCTATGATCGGCATTGGTGGTGCAATTGGTACAGCTTTATTCGTTTCTATTGGTACAAAAATCATTCAGGGTGGGCCAGCGTCCTTACTTATTGCCTTTTGTCTATGGTCCGTTGTTTTCATTGGTCTTGCACAGTCCATGTGTGTCATGGTCACCTACCTGCCTGTGACTGGTTCTTTCGTTCACTTCACAGAGCGTTTCGTCGATCGCTCGTGCGGATTTGCTATCGGATGGACTTATTTCGTGTGTCAAGCGGCTAATGTATGTTTCGAAATTACAGCTGTGTGTCTTGTCGTTGAGTACTGGACTGATAAAATACCCAAGGCCGCACTGATTTCGATACTGATTGTGGTGTACGCTGCCCTCAACTTATTCTCGGTGTTTTTCTTCGGTGAAGGTGAGTTTTATCTTTCGATAGGAAAAGTGGTGCTGGCAATCGGCCTGATCATATTCACCATTGTGGTTATGAGTGGAGGCAATCCAGAACACAGGGTACTGGGCTTCAAGAACTGGAGTAACCCAGGTGCCTTTGCAGAATATCTCACTACAGGCTCATCTGGTAAGTTCAATGGCTTTATGTCATGTCTCATATTCGCTCTTTACGTTTTTTGGGGTGTCGACTATTTGGGTAACGCGGCGAGTGAGGCTATGAATCCTCGTGAGGTTATCCCACGTTCTTTCAGAAAGGTTTTCGGTAGATTGATTATCTTTTACATTGGTGGGGCCATTTGTGTTGGGATTCTAATTCCATATAATGACAGCGTTATGATAAAGGCCATTCAAAATGGAGCTGTCGGTGCTGGGGCTTCTCCTTATGTATCTGCCATGACATCTTTGGGAATTAAAGTACTACCCCACATTGTCAATGTCCTTATTTTGACGTCCATTATCTCCGCAGGAAATTCTTCTCTTTACTCAGCCTCGCGTGTTCTGTATCGTCTGGCACTTGAGGGCCAAGCTCCAAAGCTCTTCCGCAAGGTCACTAAACGTGGTGTTCCAATTTACTGCTGTGCCGTCGTACTGCTATTGTGTGGTCTTGCTTATTTATCTGTTTCAAACAACACGAACAATGTTTTGACGTGGTTTTTGAATGTTGAGACTGCCGCAATGGCGATAACCTACATTTTTATCTGCATTTCCTATTTGCAATTTCGTCGGGGTTGCATTGCCCAAGGGATTGATATGAAATCGTTACCTTATTATAGTCGCTGGTTGCCATACCTCACTTGGCACTCTCTATTTTGGCTCACATTAATGCTATGGGTTAGTGGTTATACTGTGTTTTTGAAGGACAATTGGGATTTCCAAAGTTTTGTATTTTCCTATTTTATGATTCCATTTTTCATCGTTTTCTTCGTTGCACACAAGCTGTATAACAAGACGAAGTTCGTAACTCCTCAGAATATGGATTTGGTCTCTGGTCTACAAGAACTTGCAGAAGAAGACGAGTACTGGGAAGCGAATCCACCTAAACTCAACTGGTTTGACAAGGCATTTGGATTTCTATTGTGATTTTTACCATCTTTATCGGCATTGGTTACAATGTTGACAAAAGTTTGGAGCTGTATAATAAATATAGATTTTTGACTATTTTTGCCCGTTCAAGCAATTAGTTTTTGGGCATCTTTTTTTGTAAGTTTCTCTGGAGGTGTTGAAGTTTATAATATCAAAACTAAAATTGGAAGATTTTAACTTTATATGTAGACTTCTGCAGTTGCAAAAATATTGATAATGGTTTAAGCTCTCTATAACGATTGTCATTCCAAAATTACACTAACAAAGGATGCTGCGAGTAATCATCAACTTTTAAATTTATGTGGCATTTTTCATTTTTCAAGTTTTGGTTCATCTTAATAAGGTTAAATAGATTAATGCATCAAATCTTCAGCAAACAAGCACGGGAAAAATCCAGTTCCCTACGATTTTAATAATAAATATACATTCACCAAGCTTAATTATTTATATCACCGATTCCATAAGAATTACAAACTAAACAGTTGGATTGAATGCAAACTCGTTCATTAAAATGTCGACATCCTTCCAAACCATATCCGATTCCCAGTTGTCCCAATTGTCCCATTGTTCTGTCGAAAAGGGTGAGAGTTTTAAGTCCGACAGAATTGTGTTTTGTTCATTGCCTTGATTATCTGGTTGTATGCTCACATTTTCAGAATCTTCGACTACTGATACTGCCCCTGACTCTCCAGCGCCATCAAATTCTTCACTCGCCTCATATACATTAGCTTCTGTGTTTGAATTGATCTCATCTGGATAAGTCTCCTCTTTTGAGACCGGCTGTATTGAAGGTTTCACATATAATGGTTCTTGCATGCCTAGAGAACGTGATCGGGAGCTAGAGCTATTGTCAATTGTTTGATTAACGAAGCGACTAACAACATCAGGCGATTGTTCTACAGGGGAGAATACTTGCCGGGACAGAACTTTCATTTTGGACTTGGCATTATCATTATCCGCATTTTTTGGAGTTCCAAAAGAAGAGCCGTTTAGAGCTTTGCGTGGTGATAGCGATTTGGAACGTGGATCATCCACCGGAGATCCCTTGTTTAAAATGCTTTTCAAGGAAAGAACATCTCCCGGTTGACTTCCAGGACTCGTTACGTTACTACCACTACTTCCTGGCGCATTTATGGGTTCTGGATCTAAAGGTATCGTCTTTATTAGTTTTCTTGCATTTTCCTCCGGATTATTCTGCATAGATAAGCGTCTGGGCTGTTTCTCATCACTTGATAGGGGGTCATTGCGATCTTTCACGATGCCATCCTCAATGTCATTATCAGACGATTGACGTCTCATTTCACGTCTTAATTTGGCCATCCCACATTTCTCTCTTAAGATGTACAGACAATCAAAAAAAACGCTCACAGACATTCTTGATTTAACTGTTATTCCCAAATTAAAATCTGCTCCCATGTGCTCTTCCTTGTGCACTTGCTCTTTTTTCCATTCACCGTGCATATTACTAAACATGCTCCAAATGCTCCGCATAATACCTGAAGACCTGTACGCCATGTCATATTTTAAAACTGACGCGTTGAATGTCAATAATACGGCATCTTGATAGACTTTCTTTCCCAACTCAACATCTAAAATAGAGTCCAAAGAAGAGTGTGCCAATTTGCTAATTATACAAGCTGTCTGCCAAATGTTCAGTACGAAAACACCCGGGAAAGATTTTATGATGGTTGGATCAGCCCTCCACATGGAACATGCATGGAGTAACAACTCAATTGCAACGTTGTAAACCTTTACAAAACCTCTCTTTGCCTCGAAATTCATTTCTATTTCGCGAAGTGTGATATCAAGGTGATCTGGGTCATCTGTATTTCGAATTGAGGTAGCGTCTGTGAAATAATAGGTCAGTAGATGTACCTTAGCCATTAAGAGTAAAAATTTTCGAATGTCATCAAGGTGGCTATCTTGAAGCCTTATTTCCAATTCACTCAACTGCTGATTCAAAACATGGAGCAGAGGCAACTTTTCTTCGCTATCAACCATACCCATTGCCTTGAGGGGATTTGAATTCATAGTTTTGGTTAACTGATTTTCGAAATACGCAATCTGCATCATTTGCTTGACAACATGTGGAACATTCGTTTTTCGGTCTGAATGAATTTCCGAAGCTTTGCAAGAGCTGATCACGGTATTGTCAAAAGAGACAAAAGATGGAAATCCGAATGATGAGGCAATCATTTGAGAAACTATATTACAGCAAATCCACGTCTTGACTTGCTCATTGATCTGTTCTGAGTTCGCAGTAGCGTATTCGGTTGAAAATTCGGCACAGTTGAGGCCTACTCTAATGGCCTGGAACATCGCAGAACCTATTGTGCTCCACGATGTATCCGCGCTAAGTGATGAAGTTAATGGTGGCCAAAAGGTGTACAGTAAAAAAGCCTGAACAGAGTACACTGATGCGACATTTAACACGGGCTCGTCATTCTCGGTAGGTGAATATCGTATTATAGGAGATATTGTTATTTCAGCAAGAATTGACTTTACAACAGCAGAGAGTTTCGTCATAGTTTCTGTAGCTCCCATCTTTCTCCGCAAACCTACTAACATTATTACCCAGAACAAACAGGGTGATTGATGATAAATACGTTCGGGCCCTTTCTGAATATCGACGACAGGTAAGAAAGGATGATATTTCAATGCGAACTCCTTGTACAACTCTGATATCGTTTCACTTGACATGTTTATGTCACCTAAGGACTTGGGACAACATTTCAATATCTCTGGGCTCAGATGAGTCTCATCCTGTGATAGTTGCAAATGTGTAGGCCTTGAAAAATTATCTGTGGTAGTCAACACTGGTGTTTCTTCAGCAGAAGTGGATCCAGTAGTATTGGACACAATCTGTGTATCGATAGCTATTTCGCCATTTTTCCTTAGTTGCTTAATCTTGTCTTTAGTGAAATTATTGTTGTCCAGAAGAGCTTGCTGCTCTGCCTCGATCTTTTTTAATATCTCTTTAGCGCCCAAATTACTCAATGATTTGGACAACTCTTTAAACCGTTTCTCAATGACCTCATTTCGCACTCTTTTGTATGTTCTTCTGAAATCTTTCTGGAGCACACATGCGGTGTTCCTTTTTGCACATCTTGTACAAGGACCAGGTGCTTTTTCATAAGCATCGCACTTGGATTTCTGTTGCCGGCACTCAACACATGCTAGCTTCTTACGTTTTCCTTTCCGAAATTCGTTGTGATCACTTTCACTGTCATTTCGACCTTCGAACTCTGTAGCCATATTCATTACGGACCTGCTTTGATGGACAGAAATCCAAACCACAAAACAACAATGCTCGCGTAGGTAATTTTAGTGCTCACTCTTATTTTACAGGGAAGAGATGTTTTCATATTTCCAAAAAATTTTACCTTAAATGAAACAAACCAAAACCTTGTAACCAGGTTTGACGAAAATACAATGGGCTCGTTGCAGGTACTGAAGCAGGCGAACTCAGATATCAAGCTTCTCTGGAGTTCGGCCTTCCTGCGTTTGATGTCCTATGGGCTCACAAATCAAATACTGACTCTCTTTTTAAGAGAGATAGGCATCTCTGAGGAACAAATGGGGTGGTTTATGTCTTTAACGCTAATAGGGGATGTTTCTATATCATACTTTTTAACATGGCATGCTGATTCGTGGGGAAGAAGGAAGACATTAACGTATGGCGCCGTTATGATGATCATGAGTGCGGGTGTTTTCACTTATTTCGAAAACTATTATATCCTATTGCTGTTTGCCATATTTGGAGTCATATCACCTTCTAGTGACGAAGTTGGTCCTTTCAAATCAATTGAGGAATCGATGATTGCTCACCTCACACCCCACAATATGAGACCTGAAGTCTATGCAATGCATTCCTTACTTGGAACGCTGGGAAGTGCATTGGGATCCATAATTTGTGGATGGTTGATCTCACTATTTCAGGGCTTTGGTATTTTTAATAGCGATTTGGCATGTTACAAAGCTATATTTGCTATCTATGGACTCCTTGGAGTTGGAAAACTAATAACTATACTGTGCCTATCACAATCTGCAGATTTCGAGTCTCACCATGATGAGCAACCTGACGTCGTTCAGGTCTTAGAAGAAGATACGCCTTTGATCGACGTTGATCTGAGGAATAAGAGGAAGCTTTCACCAGACACGAAATCGGTTTTGATAAAGTTATTAGTAATCTTCATGCTGGACTCCTTTGGTTATGGTTTCATGACTAGTGCATGGTTAGTATATTATTACTCCACTTACTTTAACATGACAGCACTAGCGCTCGGAGTTCTATTTTTTGTTGCGAAACTTGTAATGGCGCTATCTTCGATGCCATCCTCAGCATTAGCAAGAACTTTCGGACCTGTCAAGGCGACATTAATCGCTCAAGTTCCTTCTGCTGTTTTCTTCATCCTAATTCCATTTACCGAACACCATCTATCGTTATCAATTCTATTTCTTAACCTTTACAGTTTGACATCGGCGATGGATGTAACTCCGCGACAAATATTACTTACTACAATAATCAAGCCTAGAGACTTAACAAGAGTAATGGGTGTTGTAAACATTGGCAAAACGTTTGCACGTTGTGTCGGTCCAATATTTACGGGGATTTTAGCTAACCGAGGTCTCCTCTGGCTCTGCTATGTTTTAAGTGGATTATTTGTAATCTTAGCTGATTTCATATTGGGTGTTCTGTTCATCAACGTCGATTCTGAGATTATAAAAAAGACGAATGCTTGAGTCGATAAACATCATATACATTTTAAGTGACCATAAAAATTATTTAGGAGAGCAGGCATAAAGTAATCTCAGTTTGGTGTACCAACTTTTTTACCTACAGAGCTCCGATCAAAATTGATTTCGAAACGGGAATTAATGACATTATTTCTTTTCCCAGACGATGAATCAGAACTTTCAGGTGACGATAAGAAAGGGTCTAGCTTAGAGATTTGATGACCAGTATTCTGCTTCTCTTTTTCAGTAGGAACTGAATCAGTGGACGTTGATCTTGTCAAATTTGAACTCAGGATTAACTCATTAAGTCTCATGGATGAATTGTTTCTCGACACCGGCCTAGACGGCGTCCTACTTTCTACATGCCCCCTGAGGTCGAACAAGCCATATCCACCATTTACAGAATTCAGTGCAATTAGAGATGGGGGCACATTGGTTGCGTGTTTCCCTGTATTGAACGCATTATCAAGTTTGTACAATTTGTCAACCAGAGGGCTAATCTTCACCCCATTGCAACCTTCGGCGTTTCGGATTAGGTTCCAGTACTCCCTGATCTCTGTGAGAACCCATTCAAGCATAAATAGAAGCCTCTCTCCTTGCCTAAACTGAGATGTTACGGTCAGATCACATTGATCAGCTTCAAGAATGTATCCTATCCCAAAACCTTGTGGTACAGCAGGATTGATTCCGAACGCTGTCATTGCTGTGTTACCACAGTTTGCAGCGATTATATCAGGTGCGGAAAAAGGTGAAAGCAACTCACTGTCAAACAGCGCAGATGTTACACGCATTTCATCCGCATCGAGTTGAATACCATAATGCGAGCGAAATTGAAATAGAAATTTCAGTGCATTGAAATGCTTTTCAAAACCCTGGCCGCGCCGAGCTGCCGATACTGTTTCCGTGTGCTTATCACAGACAGCCAGAAACTTCTCCAGCTTTCCTTTTTCATCCAGGTAGTTCGAAATAAAGAGTTGGCACAGATCAAGTAAATGTTGATTTTGCACCGGAACAAATACGGATCTAGAATTCTTGAAAGACCTAGTAGAGACCGGCTCAAAACTGAAAGCTAGTTTCCCATAAAGAGCATAATGTGCAACTTGAATTGCAATTTGTATCATAGAGTCGGCCTTGATACCTAATTCACGAGCCATCCGACGGCCAAAAGGTATGGTTTTATGCACAATGTTATGTTTGCAAATCAAATCTGTCAAATTTGTCTCTGAAAGATGAACATGGGTGTTCAAGATGTGACTGAAAGACCAAATAATCTTCTTAACTTTATCACTGACTTGTAGTTCATTTTTCACAAGACGATTTGTTTGAACTTGGGGCCACAGAGAAAAGCTTGAATCATTATTGTTGACTTCCCTCGCTAATCTCAAAATAGACTCTGCATACATATCAGACGCAAAGCGCAGAACAACTGAACCATCACAAGTAAAAGAGTCCCAAATTACAGCAGCTTTTGAATCAGCAGTCACAACCAACTGCAGTTTGTCGTACCACCGCGAAATACACGAACCTATTTGAAAACCAGTTTTCTCATCAATGACACTTGTTCCATAGAAAAGTCTCTTGCGATCATCTGTTTCATGCTCACTTCCATCGGATTCATCCAAAACAACAACAAAGAGGGCAGAATCAACCATTGTTAGTTCATCAGGGAACCGTTTATGGAGTCTTTTCCGGGCATATCTCCAATTCCGTAATGAATACGAGGTTAAGCTTCCCAAAGCTGTAGACTTTCTCAGATTTGAAGGAATCTGACAGTCCTTTAAAACGGAAAGAAATATAGCAGATAAGTCCGAACCATCATAAAGCAGGTTGTCATTGTCATCTAGCACTTCTAAAATGTAGTACTGACCTTTAGAAATTATCAAAATGTGCTTGGAATTTCTGTATGTGTTTATTGTAATCCCATGGCGGCGAAATGGCTCCTCCCTCTCAGACGAAGTCGAAGAGGACCGCGACCTATTCGAGAAAACTGCTTCTTCAGAAACATCAGAAGGAAGTGGCTCTGGTTCATCTAAGTCGCTTTCTGTGTAAGGTTTGTTCAAATCAAACGCATCCACTTCACCTGGTCTGAATACGGGACAACGAGTACTACCAAACATATTCAAATAAGGCACCATGGTTAAAAGATCGCCTTCAGCATTACAATCAGGAGGAAGGAATCCATTCTTCAGTGCTGAGATGAACCTCATTGCTGAATAGCACAAAACACCTGCCCGCTCTTCCTGTCTGACATCTTGCACAGCATCCTCAGAAAGAATTAGAAACGGATTTCTGGGCAAAACGTCGTCCTGTATTTCCTGCGTGAGAGAATGGTTATTAATATCCAGATGTAATCTGTCAAGATAGCAGTGATTTTCACTCTCAAAATCCTTCAATCTTCCTTGCAATTTCCTGGCGGCGTCAGAACTGGCGAACTGAGATATCCTTGACGGCAGATCATAATTTTCCTCAGGATATAACGGATGTTTGTAGTAGCCATCGGCGAAATGAAGTGGCTTAATACATTCCTCCAACTGCCGTAAAGTGTCTTGTAGGTTTGGCAAAGGGAGTGCCGATAGAGAATTTTCGTGCTCAAACGTAGCCATTAGGCAAGCACTTATAGTTACTCTCTTGAGCTCTTTTGCAAATTAAAGATTTGTAACACTTTAAATATATACCAAAGAGATGCTACTTGCGATTTAGTCCGATCTCAAAACTCCTTCCAGGCGTACCGATCATCCTTCAAATGATCTTCGGTTCGGTTCACGCATTCCATCAAGTCATCCATGTTCTTAAGGGGCGGTAACCATCTCCATTTAGCCCTTGAATGGGTGTATGGGTCAACATTTTCCATCTTCGTCAAGAAACTGAGCACGAACTACAAAGCATTTCGATGCAAGAAGGATAGCCTTAGAGATTTCAACAAATGATTAAAGAGTTATATATTTAGAGTTGATCTTATATTTCCCTTTAGCGTCGTAAGAGAGCTAGAAGTGTACAAATACAAAAAAAAGACAAAGCAAACTTCGAAGTATAGCAAAGTTCTTTTTTTAACGGTTGGACTTGGCGACACGTTCCAATTCGTCCTTCTTCTTGATGGCGTAAGAGGTGGAAGAACCCTTGGCGGCGTTGATCAATTCTTCGGCCAAAGTTTCAGCAATGGTCTTGATGTTTCTGAAGGTAGCTTCTCTGGCACCAATGGTCAACAAGGCAATGGCTTGGTTAACTCTTCTCAATGGGGAGACATCGACGGCTTGACGTCTGGCAGCACCACCACCACCGACTCTGGTGGTGTCTTCTCTTGGACCAGTGTTGGTGATAGCGTCAACAACGACTTGCAATGGGTTTTGGTCAGTCAAGACGTTGATGATTTCCAAGGTGTGCTTGACAATTCTGACGGCCTTCAACTTCTTACCGTTGTTTCTACCGTTCATCATCAAAGAGTTGGTCAATCTTTCGATGATTGGGCATTGGGCCTTTCTGAATCTCTTGTTGGCGTAACGGCCAGCAGTGTGAGCAACGAAGATTGGTTGTCTGATTTGAACGTAGTCAACCAAGGATGGGTCCTTCACTTGGACTTCTTCGAAAGACCACTTGTTGAACAACTTGATCTCAGTTTGAGCTTGTTGAACATCCTCTGGAATGGCAGTAGCCAACTCAACTGGGGTGAATTCTTCGACAACTTCGAACTCTTCTTGAACTTCAACTGGAGCTTCGGTATCAGACATCTTTACACTCTGTGTTCCTTGGTTATCGCACAAATGAGACCTGCTAAAAAGACTAAAATGTTTTTCACAGCTCTTACCAGGATTAACAAAAACTGGTGAAAAGTTGCACACCGCACGGCCGCCACAGACACCCGCCGGGGAAGCGCCCGTGGCAGCACGGACTGCTTGGGACAGCAGGGGGAGCTGCTGGAAGGGAGCCTGCCTGCGAGGGGGGAGTCCTCCCTGGGAGGGAACGCTCGTCCAGGCTAGCCCTCCCAGGACAGGGAATGCTAGGCTGGCGAGTGCCAGGAGGCGACAAACCCTGCGGGAGTGTCATCTACTGGACACTCTGGGTATTCTCGAAATATCAAGCTGTGACGAAAATCACATAGCATCAAGAAAACTTAAGTAAATGTTCAGTGTGTGGGTGTTATAATAATGTATGGGTGACAGTCACATATCTTCGAATCACGTGATATATAATGATTACACCACCTCGTCAATCTGTTATTATGTTAGCAATAACAATAAGCACTCCTCTACAACTGTCTTCTGTGACTAATATTAACATGATGAGAATTATTTAAATAATGACGCGTGAATTTGCAGTATAAGCAAAAGTAATCAGGATCATTTGTCCTGATCTTCTTGCCATTCGTTAAACCACAGGGGTTCCTGTGGCTCGATTATAATCTTCTGTTCACTGTCAGGTATACTTACATAAAACATACCTTTAGTGTTTTTTTTGAATGCTTCTTTCAAATAATCGGTACGAAATAACGCAACTCCATAATCGGCCTCGAAGCATATTAATGTTCCTGCAGGCCTCTGTCTTTTGTTTTTGATCGTTTTCGTAGCAGTTCCAAAAGGTGAAAATGCGGGACGGTCGCTTGAATCGGTATCCAGTGCAATCGAAGACAGAATTTTAGGATACTTATCAGCATGCAAACTTTTCAAGAGATCAGGATTCCCTATTTTCACAGGTATTGCCCTTTTCCTCAGGACACCTGTAGAATAGGTTCTTGCTGTTAATTCCTGGCCAACATAACATCCTTTATCAAAGCTAACGGCACCAGGTATGTAGTCGAAATTTATTTCGAGTGGAAGCATGGCTTCCTGCTTAAAATCTGATAAACTGTCGACGATTCCAAACTGGAACCTCTCATTCCGTACTTCTTGGAAATCAATTTGTTCATGAACAAATTCAAAAGGGAATCCCTGTGGATTAAATAAATCACTTATATCGGAAACTTCGGAGGTGGTGATAATTCGGAAAACTTCCGGTTCCTCGTTATTTCTAAAGATGGCTTCAGTTATCCGCCGATCCAAATAAATTCCGAGAATCTTATGCTCATTACCGCTGAAAAGAAGTGATAGTATATGCTTCGAAAACTCGAGGGAAGTATTTGGTTCTTTGGAGCTTTCTGATGGTAATATCAGATTGTCAATCCATGGGTTTTGGATGCCCTCAGGCAGAGACGGAAACTGAATCGAAATATGCCAAGACTTTAACTTTTCCCCACCAACTTCCTTGAATTTTACTTTGCTGATTAGTTTATGCGTCTCAAAAATGTCATACATGTGTTTGACGATTTTGCTGTCTAGTTCTAGCAGATACTCAGGAAACTTCTTATCATAAACGCTGTCCAACCACGTTGGGGTGGGATAGATTATGGTATCTGTGATAAGCTTACCCTTGCTATTCAGAAAACCCGTGTATGTCCCAAATCTCGATATGTAAGGACCACCACCTTCGCCGTGCTCATTATATAGTCCCCAATTACCGTGGCTCATGTCAAAATTCTCAACTGAGATGTTATTCGTCCGACTTTCATCAGGCACTATTGTGGTGAGGTTCTTTTGAACATACGTGGGTAAAAGCTTTGCCATCACTAAACCATTCAGGAACTTAACAGTATCGGGTCCCCGAATTTGAAGAAATGATTTGTCAGGAAGTAAGCAATATTTTAGATGAGCTTTCGATCTCTCGCTAAGTGTACTATAAGCCTGTATTTGTTTGTTGAAACATTGTTTTAACAGGTTTCGGCATATTAGAGCCATTGAAAGCTTTCTTCTGGTGAGTAGTGGCACTTTGAATTGTATACGCTACTTCGCATTTTCCCAGATTTCATATTAAGGGCCACATATTGAAGTCACATGACTGGTGAACGAAAACAACTAGAGACCGTCCTCTAAAGGACAGCTTTCTCACGAAGATGACCTCAACAGGTGACACCATAATGCTTGGTATCAAGCACAAAAAATGATTTTACAATAGAAGTCTTTTAAAATTTGAATATAAAAAAGGTTTAGTACTTTATATATCTAACCATCGGCAAGACCGGCGGCCAACAGAAATATCATCATCATCATAAATGTATTTTTTCAATCTGTTCTTCTGTACATGCAGGGATTAGAAAAAAACAAATGGATCATTCTCTTTCAGTATGTGATGAAGAGATGAGCTCATTGTTTAGCTTCAGCTGCCAACTTTTCAGCCTTGGCGACAACGTCTTCGATACCACCAACCATGTAGAAGGCATTTTCTGGCAAGTGGTCGTACTTACCTTCCAAGACAGCCTTGAAAGAAGCAATGGTGTCCTTCAATCTAACCAATCTACCTGGAATACCGGTGAAAACTTCGGCAACAGCGAATGGTTGAGACAAGAATCTTTGGATCTTACGGGCTCTCTCAACGGTCAACTTGTCTTGTTCAGATAATTCATCCATACCCAAAATGGCAATGATATCTTGCAAAGACTTGTAAGCTTGCAAAGTTTCTTGCACTTGAGTAGCAACGTCATAATGCTCTTGACCGACAACGGAAGCATCCAACAATCTGGATCTGGAGTCCAATGGGTCGACAGCAGGGTAGATACCCAATTCAGAGATACCTCTAGACAACACAGTAGTAGCATCCAAGTGTGCGAAAGTGGTAGCAGGAGCAGGATCTGTTAAATCATCAGCTGGCACGTAAACGGCTTGGACAGATGTGACGGAACCCTTCTTGGTAGTAGTAATTCTCTCTTGCAACAAACCCATATCGGTGGCCAAAGTAGGTTGGTAACCGACAGCAGAAGGAATACGACCCAACAAAGCGGACACCTCGGAACCAGCTTGGGTGAATCTGAAAATGTTGTCGATAAACAACAAGACATCTTGACCTTCTTCATCTCTGAAGTATTCGGCAATAGTCAAACCAGTCAAGGCAACACGAGCTCTAGCTCCTGGTGGTTCGTTCATTTGACCGAAGACTAGGGCCACCTTAGAATCACCTTCCAAGTTAATGACACCAGTTTCTCTCATTTCACGGTACAAATCGTTACCTTCTCTGGTTCTCTCACCAACACCGGTGAAAACAGAGAAACCACCGTGGGCCTTGGCAATGTTGTTAATCAACTCTTGGATGAACACAGTCTTACCGACACCGGCACCACCGAACAAACCAATTTTACCACCTCTGGCGTAAGGAGCCAACAAGTCGACAACCTTGATACCGGTTTCCAAAACTTCAGCTGCAGTGGATTGCTCAACGAAAGCAGGAGGCTCGGCGTGAATTGGGTTTCTCTTTTTGGTCTTAATTGGACCTCTTTCGTCAATTGGCTCACCAATAACGTTCAAGATTCTACCCAAAGTCTCTCTACCGACTGGAACAGAGATAGGAGCACCAGTGTCCAAAACCTTCTCACCACGAACCAAACCTTCGGTACCGTCCATAGCGATGGTTCTAACGGTGTTCTCACCCAAGTGCTGGGCGACTTCCAAAACTAGCTTACCTTGAGGAGTGTCAATCTCTAAGGCATTCAAAATGGCTGGCAAGTTACCTTGTTCGAATTGAACGTCCACAATAGCACCAATGACGGCTCTAACCTTACCTTGGGAAGTGGCAGCAGCAGTGGCCATGGATCTCAATCCAGTGAAGGGGAGAGCTTGCTTAGCAGCCCTCAAAGCCCCACGGGATGAAGCAGCATATAATCTTGGCAAGACCATGGTTAAGTAGTTAACGGCTCTTGTCTTGAAGAATACAGAAAAGGAGGAAATAGTCTAAAAACTAAAGACACTTATAAAAGGGGTATCAAATTTTTCCAAAACCTCCACGTCCTTACTGGGTGGACCTTTCCCGTTCGGCCTATTACAGCGCACGCGAGAAAATTTTTGCACGAAACGGAGCATTCTGATTGGCGGATCGGTGCCTTGTGCGTGGTGTATGGGCACTCGTACACGATTACATCGATATCTTTGTCACATGACTACCTCTTTTTCAAAAGCTGTGATTGGATTGCTTGCGTAAGCAAGGTGTCCAATTTCAGGTAGCCTGTGGTTGAATGTACTCCTATATTCCATAAACTTCCTGGTTTTTGGGACGATTGGGTTTAACGTAACGTTCTCTGTGCAGTTTTATTCAATTGATGTCGTGACACAACGTGGAGGGATACCGCAATGAAGTTTACATCAAACACCCCGAAGAGAAAATAGAAACGGTTCTTTGGTGCAAAGCTGCACACATTGCCATTGTGATTGATGCCAATTGATCAATTGTGTCCAGTTTCAAAGCAAGAAATAACAGAAAGCTTCGCGCCAGGAACCCATACACCACGATATGTAGAGAACTAATCGAGCGTTGAGATAGCGAACATGCGTTTAATTTGTCTCGATGTTGGATGGCTGTAAGCCTGGTGAGCAATGACAGAGGGAATTCGTGATCTGAAGTCAATAGCGTCTATCAACGGCACAATATGGCTCAAGGAAAGAATGTTGCGTAGAGAATAAAAGCGATTGATGCTGACATCGATTCAATTAGAATTACAGACGATTAAACAGAATACTGAGAATATAATAGCCAGGCTCGAACAGAGCGACTTCGCAAGAATTTATATATTAAATGCAACCAAACTGCATAGCTGGCATACACGGCGCAAAACAAGATAGTCTAATGACCAGTGTAGTGTGCACTAATTGCTTATTTCTTGCCAAGACGAGCGGCTACTTCGGCTGCTTCTTCGACACCCTTTATAATACCGCTTCTCACACCCTTGTCTTCCATGACGCACAGCCCGGCAATGGTCGTACCGCCTGGAGTACAAACTTGGTGTTTCAAGACACTTGGATGTTCGCCAGTGATTTCGACCATCTTTGCGGTTCCTTCCAAAACTTTAATGGCGCACTCTCTGCTTTCCTTGAGGGGAATTCCCATCTTGATGCCACTCTCCATAAGAGATTCAAGCATCAACAACACAAAGGCAGGACCAGATCCAACAAGAGCTGTAGCAGCATCCATGTTTTTTTCAGGTAGCTCAATGCACTTACCGACATGGCCGATTAGCTCTCCAACAAGAGCTTTCTTTTCATCTGAAACTTCTGGAGAATGAGCGATTACGGCCATACCGTAACCAAATTTTGCTGGTGTGTTCGTCATGACACGGGACACAAAGTCAGTGTACCCCTGCAATTGCCCAATAGTCCAACCGGCAGCTAGAGAAATAATCAACTTCCCCTTGATTTCCGCGGCCACTCCGTCGAGCACCTGTTTGGCCAAAAATGGCTTCGTGGCTAGAACGATGACATCTGCTTCCTCGACGGCAGGCTTGTTTTGGTCAAAAGTAGACTCGACTTCAATTCCGTTAGCTGATTTACCGAATCCGCTAACCAATTGGGTAACTTGGTCAGCCGCAGCTTTGTTGTGGTTGCAAGTAATAATCTTCGATGGATAAAAATGTTTAACGTCAGCATCTGCAGCAGGTGCGTTGTAAATCGCAGATAAAATGGCTTGGCCCATTACGCCGCATCCCAAGATGGTTAAAGTGTAGGTCATAGTCGGCTTGTTATATGTATTGATAAAAGGAGTAAACCTCGACCTACCACTATCAACAATTTTGATATGGCAAAAAATATTGGGTGTATGGGTCAGTAGATTGGTAGTTAAATGTGCATCATGTAATGAAGTTGAAGTGCTTTTGTTCAAAGGATTAAAGTAGTGCTCAGGACCGAAGAGTCGGCTTTAAATTCAGAATGGAGTGTATTCCAACTCTATATCCTTCTGCGGAAGAGTTCATGGAACCCATAACTTACCTATCACAGCCGCAAGTTTACAGATTAGGCCATACTTTTGGAATGATAAAGATAGTACCGCCCGAAGAATTTAAACCTCCTTTATCAATCAATGAAGACACATTCAGGTTTCGGACGAGATTACAGACGCTTCATGAGTTGAATATACTAAATCGCGCAAGATTATTTTTCATGAAGCAAGTTAATAATTTCAATTTAGCAGGGAGGAAAAAGAAGTCGGCACAGCTAGCAAAACCATACGCAGAAAATGAGGGCACCCGAGTCTTTTACTATGATCTTTTTATCCAAGTGGTGAAATATTTCAGCAAGACTTCAGATGATGATAACCTTTCGTCTCGTAAGAGGTCCCGTTCAAGAACGATGAATGCGACGACAGATAGGTCCGCTCAAATTTTGATGAAGCCACTTCGTGATATTATTAGCGATAACAAAATGTGGAAATCTGTTTCAAAGACTTTAAACTGTCCAGCTCATTATGCCCGGGAGCTATTTGAAGAACATATATCAACGTATTACAATTTTCTTCAAAGGGAAAGTGAGCGATTTGGAAACGATTCGGCCTTTCTCTCTAGCTTAATTTACAATGAAGAATACCCCGCATCCTTATTGAACGATAATTATGCCCAAGAAGAAAGTGAGGAAGGAGTGGAAGATGATGAGGAAGAAGAAGGATGCGTTATTTGCGATCGTAATACCCACCGTTCTAAAACAATTCTCTGCGATTCTTGCGATAGGCCATTTCATCTCTTTTGTTTGAATCCGCCCTTGGTTGATGTCCCGAAGGGCAAGTGGGTATGCAACAACTGTATTGTTGGTAATGGCTATTATGGTTTTCAGGAAGATGATAGCCATTATTCCAGGCAGCAGTTCAAACAAATGTGCCGCGATTTTGATTCTAAATTCTGGGCAAAGGGAGAAAAACCAAAAGATATATACGAGCTAGAGTGCATGTTTTGGGAGAGAGTGGATAATATCGACCTTCCGTGTACTGTTAAGTATGGCGCAGATATCCACAACGAGGCTCCTGGTGAGGTAACTGGATTTCCTACCAAAGACTATGTACCGCCAACGATATGTGCTAGTCCTGAAAGTCTCAACGAATATGGTTGGTATACACAGCATCCAATGAACTTAATCAACTTACCTTACGCAAAAGGATCACTACTTGCATTATTTGGAAGAAGAATCTCTGGAATGACTGTCCCATGGATTTATATTGGCTCTACTTTTTCCACTTTTTGCTGGCATCTTGAGGATCAGTATACCCTGAGTGCCAATTATCAGCATGAAGGGGATCCAAAAGTGTGGTACAGCATACCCGAACATGGATGCGAGAAGTTCAATCACTTAATGCAACAAATTGCTCCCGATTTGTTCGAAAAGCAACCAGACCTCTTGCATCAACTTGTTACTTTGATTGCTCCATACGATAAACGCTTCCAGGAAGCGAATATTCCGTGCTATAAAGCTATACAACATCCCGGCGAGTACATCGTTACGTTCCCGAAATGCTATCATTCCGGCTTTAACACTGGCTACAATTTTAACGAAGCTGTCAACTTTACTATAAATTTATGGCTACCATACGGTGTTGAGGCTACTCATGATTATGTTAGAAGCAGAAAACAATGTGTATTTGACATGTGGGAGCTAATGTTGAATATTTTGGTAGAGTATCTTAGAGAATCAAAGAAATTCGACGAAGCACTTGTTCGAAGATGTTATTCGGAAATTTTGGAAGTTTTCAATTCTGAATTGAAGATCGTTGACTATTTATCGCATGTTCTGAGCACTGAACGCTTGGCCACCGGAGTTGTAAGACAGCACATGGATGATAAAACTGAAGTTAACTTGAAAATTACAGTTGACCGTGATGTAAATGGTTACAGCAATAATGATAGTAGCACTGATGATAGCGATGATGAAGGCGATGATGACATTTTCTGTTCTCAGTGTAAAACAATTTGTCCTTTTGCATTCATAGTACATTATAAAAATTCGAGACTCAATAAGAGAAGACACTTGCAAGAGGTTACGCCGAGTCAATGGAACAAAATGTCACAAAGAGGTGATCTCTCGATTTATTGTTTAAAAGACTACATGGAAGTAATAGAAAAGGCGGACACTACAGCTGAATTAGATACTAGTCTTCACTCGCTTAAAAATTTTACGGGTGACGAGCTGTACTATATAAGGAAGCCAGATGAAATCAAGGAGATACTGAAAAAGGCGCAATTCAAAATAGATAGTTTAAAAAGGTAGGTATTTAGTTTTTAAAGTTAATAAAAAAAAAAAAAAGTTTACGTTCACTCTTCATTATCGTCATATATGATAATAGAAGCGATCTTTTTGAAGGCCGATGAACACTTACTTCCCTTGATCAAAAAACAAGTTTCCTAAGCGTCAGGAAAATTACATACCATGGGAATTTTATCGTCAGTGAATCTTATTTTTGCTAGATCTGCTTTTCTGCTTTTTTTAGCATTTAGTTGTCTGAAAGATGTTAACATTATATTGGAGAACCCTTCAGTGCTCCTACTCACTCAGGCGATGGATCTACCAGCATTAGTCCTCTCCGCATATAGTGCACAGCTGGGCTTATTCAGTTTATTTTTCTTTCTAATGGCGGTCAATGACATCATTCCTTTGCTCGAAAAGAATACCAAGTATTTCCAGTCCATAGTCCCATTGAGATCGATGATTTTTTTTATTATTACGGCGCTTTCATATTACTGGCAAGACAACCTATACATTCACAATAATGCCGTTTTTATCTATAGCTTCTGCGAGTTATGGATCAACTTTTTGATCTTCAGTGCTGTTAGAGAAGAGAGGGTAGAAGAATTCAAGACTCGCAATGAAATTACTCTTGAGGAGCCCGTCGAAGAGGTCGATATCGTGATGACTAGCAGTCAGGAATTGGAAGCAGCCGAATATGATGAAGATTAGCTCATGGAAAAATTTGATATATTAGTGTCTTTTAAATAGCCGAATGCTGTAAAATATGACAGCATTGCGTTGTTAAAGTTGGCAATTATACAACATATTCATTTATTATAAAATGCAAAAACTCCTCTAGTTCTTTGAAATCAGAGAACTTTGTATCAAATAATGCTTTTGCAGTGCCATTTACGTATGTAACTTTGATCACCGCATTACAAAAATTGGAGCTTTCTAAAACCAATTTGATTTTTCCCTTTTCATTTAAATCGACCGATATCTCTGACCGTGGCATTCTTAAAATTTCGTCAAACATCCCTATTTCCTTGTTCAATTTTGTAATATGAATATCAGAATCTGTATTCGAAATGTCTGAGTTTGATCTTTCATTTCCTGAGATGACAGTCAGCTTTGAGTCTTTGACAGCATCTAGAATGAAATCTTTGGTTAGTTTTTTCAGAAGATCAAGATAACTTTGATGTCTGATTTTCCCCATAATTGGCCTTAGTAATAAAATACTAGTATCAGACGCATCCTTTGAGGAACTTCTAGTTTTCGAGCTCTTGCTATGTGTTCGTTTTGAACTAGGAGGTGATAGAAGTCTTTGTCTCATTTGTTTCTTGTACATAATAACCAGCAATAACCTGAGCATGGTGAGGATGAGATTTGCTTTCTTATCATTCGTCTTTGGGGCATCTTGTTGATGATTCATAATAATGTCATCATCTAATTGCAACATTTCTATTTCAATCTTTTCAGAAGGGAATTCTGCGACTATTTTGTTTTCGTTCTCAATACTGACCCCATATGAAATTAGAGTTTCACTTTCTCTCTTTAGCTGATACATTAGTTCTTGATCGAAAATAAAAAACTTGAGTTTAGAAATTTGGTGTCGTATGTCCACCTCTTGGGTAGAATCTTCAGAAGTTGCTAGAACACTATCTAGACATGATTCTCCTGTTAGAATATAGTCATCCTCTTCTTCAATTTTTGTGAAAATTCGAACTCTGAGAAATTTTTCATTATTTCTCTTATTGATATGAACAGCTGATTGACTTTTTTCGAAAGGAACGAGCTCTAATTTGTTCATCTTCGAATCATGCCTCAGAATTGCAATTCCTCTATCTTGTTTATAGGTGGAACCAGAATCTTCATATCCATATTTTATTCCCAGCGACCTTTCTCCAGTATCTCTGTCCTTCATTTTGAAGACCACATCCTTGTTTGAAATATACTGGCAAATTTTGGACCAGTAGTCGTGCTCTTTCTCGATGCTTCTTTCTAAACTGTGATACGTTTCCTTCAATAACAACCGGGACTCCTCGAGGCTTCTTAGCTTCCACCCTTTGTGCGTGATTCTACTTGATATTACTTCCGACCTCGTAGACCGTTTCAGGGGGATTTTTTCGGCATTCAGTGACGCTGCTGGGACTGTTTTCTTCAGATATGGTGACATCGATGCAGTAGCAGCCGCTGGTCGAACAGAAGAAAGAAGTAACGAAACAAATTCCAATGAAAGTGAGGATTCATTCAACGCCATGTTGATTGATTGAATGACGTTCTTCTTGAGCTGCTGAAACTGATCTTGAGACACCGATTCACTCTCATCTGTCAAAGAGTTCTCGTCAACCCGAAGTGGTTGCAAAGATTCTTCTCTTCCTTTTAGCTCATCAATGGATTCTGAGCCCATTTTGTAGTCACCATCTGCATCTTTTTCAATAGTTTGTTCATTGTTTTCCCCGCTGATTTCTTTCAACAGCGCATCCTCTGTGAGATCTGCAAACTTGAAATTGGGGCCCCTGTTTCTTAAAATAATAGGAATAAGTCGACTTAAGGGCATTTTTTCAAACATTTCATATGGATTGTTAATCAATGATTGGCTGGGCGCATTTGCGACCTCAACTTCTTCTTGTTTATCGAGCTCATTTTCTGATTCAGGTACGGTTGTCGCACCACTTGGCACTAAGTTAATTAGGTTAGGATCAAGAGCTAATGAAATGCCCTTGAATGGTGAAGAACATTCTTTTGCATCGCCTTTCTGGCCTTCGGTTAACATCTACTTTCTAGCAACTGAGTCTTCTCTTTCTCGTTTCAGTAAATCGCTTGTAATTGTGACAGACATGAAATCATTCAGAGGGAATATCATTGATCACTCATTTGATACGAAGAGGACGTTATTAAAAAGTCCGTTAGTGTTGCAGCCTCATGAGTTGAAAATACTCTACCTGTTAGCAGCACAAGTTCACAAACAGAGGTTTCTTTTCACAAATGAGCCTTGGCGCCATTATTTCACTTGTTTTATTGCACTATACATGTGGCTATTTAGATTCTGGATCAAGGAGGGGTTCAATAAAAGTCGCCTAGATCGTCTTCGTCCAAATCAGACAAATCTATCGTTTCTTCCAGCTGATCCACTAGCATGGGTGACTTTTTGTCCTTCTTAGTATTGTCTTCAGGATAGCGCATGGCGGTCACGCACTCATCATGCAATTGATTGACAAATTTAATTCTTTCATCGAAAAACTGTTGTGGCTGGTTCGTGGCATAAACATTTAGCAGCTCACTAGTTTCAATAAAGCCCTCCTCATGGTTAATGGTGGCCTCAATTACGCCATCTCTTATTGCTCTTGAGACCATGTACTCAACGGTTTGTTCGGAATCCAGTCTCAACTTCAGACATATATCTTTCAAAGAAATTTTCTTGTATGTTAAGGAAATTATCCGAATACCCGTTTTAATGACGTTGGACCTCAGTCTGACACAGAGCTGATAGTTTCCATCATTAACTAGTTCTTGTTTGGAACTCGTGATAGCAGATGTGAATTTGTTAAGATCTCCCAATTTCACGGCTTTTGTGAGGTTGTAATAAGGTAAGAGTGATCTCTCCATACCTTTTTGATTGAAAAATGGCAATTCTGGAATGTCTCCCATTAGAAGCTGAATGACACAATGTAATTTATTTGCCTGTTGCAAAAATCCTAAACTATTCTTAGAGCTAGGTGCCTTTCTTATAGCAGCTATGACATACTCGTTTGCAGTAGAATAATCCAACTGGATAGCATTAATTTTGGATAAGTAAAAATAATAGCGTGCTTCCAATGGACTTGAGACGTCGTTACTGAGAGGAAATTCGACCTTGCTAATGAAGTCTGCCGCGGTATCAACTTCGCCGTTCCTTAAGAAATCTCTTAGAATCGATATAATAAGCATTGCTCTAGTTTCATTATCATGCTTCAACGTAGCAGTCTTCAAATACTTGATCATTTCGGATCTAATTCTAGAATCGAACTTATTTCCCACCAATTCGTCAGCTCTAGCAATATAAAACCAAAGCTTTGCATTGATTAGATCTAAGGTACGATTGTTGTAAAAGTCTAACACATTTGGTATGACCACAGATCTATTAAAAACATCGAGCTGCTCAATTTGCTTCGAATCCAGTAAAAACAATTGGACCAACAGATGGATAAAACTACTTAATTCAGCAGAAACATCAAAATTTCCATTAGACGTTAGCTGATAGAAAGTGGCTGGATACTTTTCACGATATGCCTCAGCGTTTTCAACAGTGCTCTTCTGCATGTTGTTGATAAACTTCAGTAAAGGAGTTTTAAAAGTAGAGTCATCTGGAAACACTAGATTAACAAGTGTAGATAACGTATCTTTGTCAAGTTTTGTCCTAAGGTTGCTCAAATCTCTGAGAGATTTCCAAACGTACCTGGAATCTAGAGTAGTTGTGGTCTTGGAAATCTCCTGCAATAAGAATATAATCTCATCCACAGTGGTATGTTGTTCGGCTTTATGCTCCGTTTCTGAGATGGAATCCACTTCCATCAAATCGCCAGCCATTGATTAGATAGTTGATGCACCAAGTAATTGACTTGCTTTAACAAATAGTTAACGGTGGCAAATTTAGGACTAAGAATCAAATTTAAGGTATATACGTACATTGTGATATTCTACGAAGTACCTTCCTCAACTCTCATATGAAGGCAGATCGATCACTCATTCTTCTTGGTGCTTACATATTCTAGTGCACCCAATCTTTCAGGAAGAGTTGGATGAGAATAGTGATAGCTGGAGTAGAGTGGATCAACGTTCAACGTAGAAAGATTCTTGATATGCAAATTAATCAATGCCTTGCACAGATCGGTAGCGTAGCCTAGACCTTTAGCATACGCATCCGCTTGAAACTCATAAAGTCTTGAGATCAAATTCGTTGTGAATCTCATCAAACAATCTAGCGGTTGTAATAGGTCGTTAAATAACATAAATCCAATCATTACAGGAAGTTCTGGGGTGATGACCATGTGAGTGGTGTTTGATGATCCCGTACCAACGTAGAAACCGAAGGCAGAGTAAAGTGATTTGTTCTGGTATGCAGCAGTGAACAAAGAAAATATGACGAAACAGTGAATTTCGCTAAAAGCCAGCATGTGAAGAAGATGGTTCTTTTGCCAATGGCCAATTTCGTGGGCAAGCACGGCGGTGATCTCATCAACAGTTGATTCACTTACCAGTGTGTCGTATAACACAATTCTCTTGCTGGTGAATGGCAATCCCGTGAAATAAGCGTTCGAATGTGAAGATCTCTTGGATCCATCCACAACAAAAATCTTATCCAACGGGAAGCCAACCTTTTTGGCAAGGTTTTCGATTGAGGTCTTGAGCTCACCATCTTCCAACGGAGTAAATTTGTTAAACAATGGCATAATGAATACTGGGACAAGGGTCATGGCTAGAATTTGCACTACTAGCACAAACGCACATAGATACCAGAGGAAGTTAGTTGGAAAGGTGTCGAATATCTTCAAAAACACGTATAGAATAGGCATTCCAATACAAGCACTCAGCAAGGAACTTTTAACCATGTCGATCAACCATAATTTCAAAGTTAGCTTATTAAAACCAAATCTCTCTTCCAAGACAAAATGCTCGTAGTATGAAAAAGGCACATTTAGTAGGGTGGACGCGTTGGTGATCACAGTCAAAAAGTATAAACTCTGAGCAATTGTCGACATGTCGATTAATTTTGCAGGCATTAAGTGGGCCAGGGAAATGCCGACATGCCACATGCGCGGCAAAAGATCAAACTTCAAAAATAGGAAGTTCTGGAACAAACTGTAAACATTGGAAATGATAGAAAATTTTGCCTTGGCACGAGAGTAGTCCTCTGCCTTTTTGACAGTTTCTGCGTCTATTTCGCCATCTAAAACCTTGGGTATGTTTTTCTTGCCCAGGGTTTTATATTGACGATACGTCAAATATGTTTCAAAAGAAAACTGCCCAATTGAAAAGATAGTAATAATAGCCTTCCATGGAATTTTGGGATTGTCTGCGAGATTTTTGATGGTTTCTGCAATAGTCATTCTGCTGCTTTGTATGATCGCCACCGTCTACGTGTTGGAAGTTTTGCTGAGAAGCGCACCTGAGTTGCTGGAAAATATCGAGCTAAGAACCGTGCCAGGTTACTAAACAACGCACATGTGACAAGACATAAAGTATATTGAGTTCTTGAGCAGTTATTCATCAGCTACTGACGGAATTGCCTCTTTGTGGTATGACTTAAGTTGTTCTAGTCAGTTTACAGTTGTTTGAGTGCCTCTAATCGGCATGCGGTATTGATAACATCTAGTAAAGATCTATATAACAAGTAGGCGCGTACAATCATGATCAAAACTTCTTGCTCTTTGAGCCCCCGTTTGCCATTTTCTTGGCGATTTTAACCATCTTCGAAAGCCAGAACACATTTAGAGCGTCCATTCCAAAGTTTAGTGGAACGAGAGTGAATGGCAGCCAGTTTGGAATGATGGCTCTCCACACCCAGAGTTGATAACATAGAATAACAATTGCCGCAAATCCCCAAACAATACGCACAAGGAAAAATACTAGCATCAAAAGAAGCCCATTCGCCATGTTAAACCAGGTAGGAACGACGGGTTTAGACGAAGTGCGGGAAAGTTGGCTGATGTACCAATTGATGTTCACAAACGGAGTACTAGCCTCAAAGATCAGAAACTTGCCAATCCAAGGCTGGCAGAAAGGTCTGAGCGAAATGGTGAAGACGTACAATGATCCGCACGCGTGTCCGAGGAAGCCGATACCGAACATGGAGAAGTACTTTAAACAGACGTACAAGTCCCACAGAAAATATCCGATAGTCAACGAGGACACCATTGAGGTGAAGGGATCCTGGTAAGTTGCCACATTTAAAGAGAATGGAAGAAATAGAATCTTCCATGTCAGCACCAAGCTCACCACGCTTTGCACCATGGACACCGCATGAATATCAAAGTTCAATTTCGTCTCCTCATCTTTAATGCTACTGTAGTGGCGTCCAAAGATCAGCTTATTAGCTTTGGGCGCAAGCCATCTGAATATTATGAATTGGTAGAAGACAAATGACCCCACAATCTCATGCAGGTGCCTGATATAAAGGTTTTCGCAGTTTTTGAAAGGGGTATATGCCAAAAAGGGATCTTCCATTAAAACTCTTGTTTTACTAAAATAGTAAGACTCGTCTTCGTAATATTACTTCACTTATAATACTCGAACAAAACAAAGCTCAATCACTTGCTATTCAACGGAATATACGATCAACAGATGCTTTTGTTGAGACCACACTATACGAGATTACTATCCCTTTCGGAAACATCCACGCACGTGATATCTAAATGGCCATGTGAATATCTTACAAAAATTTGCATGAACTCAACGACGGTTCGACACTCTTCACACCTGGTCGCAAGACAAGTATTGTTGAATATGAGCGAATCTCCTAAGTTAATCTGTCTTGGTAACCCATTGTTGGATATTCAAGCTACTGTGAATGCCGAATACTTGGCTAAGTACGGTTTGAAGGCCAATGACGCGATCTTGGTCGACGCTGCGTCGTCAGACCCTAGAATGGCTATCTTTGACGAGCTTTCTAAAATGGACAACGTCAAGTTCATTGCTGGTGGTGCCGCTCAAAACAGCGCCAGAGGTGCTGCCTACGTTTTGGGTAAGGGCCAGGTGGGTTATTTCGGCTGTGTGGGAGAAGACCAATTCTCGAAGCAATTGTTAGCTGAAAACGATGCCGCTGGTGTCATTTCATTGTACCAGGTGAAGCCTGATATTGGAACCGGTAAGTGTGCAGCTATGATCACTGGCCACAACAGATCCTTGGTGACTGACTTGGGTGCTGCTAACCACTTTACTCCAGACCATTTGGACAAGCACTGGTCTCAAGTCGAGAATGCTTCCTTCTTCTACATTGGTGGTTTCCACTTGACTGTTTCTCCAGAAGCTATCGTGAAGTTGGGTAAACACGCTCAAGAAACTGGAAAGCCATTTGTTTTGAACTTGAGTGCACCATTCATTCCTCAATTCTTCAAGTCTGCCGTTGAGCAAGTGTTGCCATACACCACTATTGTTATCGCCAACGAATCTGAGGCAGCTGCCTATGCCGAATCTTTTGGACTTGAGTGTGAAAACGATGACTTAGTTTCCATTGCTAAGCACATTGTTAATGGCTCTACCACAAGAACCGTGATTTTCACTCATGGTTTGGAACCAACTGTTGTTGTCTCCGCTGCCGGTGATGCTTCTTTCCCTGTGAAGCCATTGGCTGAGAACAAAATTGTTGACACCAACGGAGCCGGTGATGCTTTTGCTGGTGGTTTCATGGCTGCGTTGGTTCAAGGCAAGAAAATCGAAGAAGCAATTGATGTTGGTCAATGGTTAGCTTCATTGTCCATCCAAGAAGTTGGTGCTACCTATCCTGCCGAAAAGCTTCAATATCAAGCTTAATATTCTTCCCTTCACTGCGCGGAATGAAAAGGCCCGCCTTGGTACTTTAGTGTATATTTCAGTCTTAAACTTTCTATTCCGCTTTATTAAGCTAAATATATTTAGTTAAACCCACCTTCGTTGAGGTGGAAACGATCAATAGAATATTCTAATTTTTCATAATCCGTGATTTGGTTTACTGGTCAAAGCCTCCATCGAGAAAATTTACTACCCCGTACTTGAAACAGGGAACAAATGAGCAACTCCTCAAGCAACCCATTTTTATGGTTAGCTCATCCTGCGTTGTTATATCATGCTGATACATTTAGTCTCCAGTTTGCCCTTATAAGCATTTTACATTTATGTCTGTGCTTCGTGCTTCTGGGCGTATGTGCGTCAGACTACCTTTGTCCTAACGTTTCTAATGTCACAAGCAGTCGACCAAATAAAGCAAGCAGGGGGATCTTAACTGCAATCATGTTGTCATGGTGTAATTCGTCTCCTGATCTCTTTTCCAATTTCATCAGCTGGACATCCTCTGATGCGGCTGACCTATCGGTCGGGGAGGTCCTGGGGTCTTGTGGTGCAATTCTTTGCGTTGTTCAGGGTGCTATTTTTATCTCTATCTCATCTACACCATTGAACATCGAGCTGAGTCAATGTCATAATGTACTTCGAGATCTATGTTTCATTTTGATATCCATTATCATACTTTTTTATATCTGTCTGAGAAATGAGGTGACTGTATTAAATTGCATACTGATGATATCTCTTTACGTTTCATATATTTTGTCAAAAGTCATTTTCAAAACTTCGGAAGTAATTGATGGAGTCGACGGGGCAAGCATTACATCGGATATATTACTTGAGCCAAATACTGAATTGGATAGTGCTCTTTTTCCTGAGGCAGACTCTGGAATCAAACCCAGTCTATTGACTGCTATAGACTACACAAATCTTCTCCACCTAATGGAAAGCTCATCAACACTGGCAGATGATGTTATTACGATGAGAACTTTGAACTCAAACCGTTCAGATGAAAATATCATTACATCAAGGCCACTGACAGAGCCCGTAACAGGAGCACGACGTCAACCATATCAAGATGCTCCTCTCAATCACTCTTCCCCATCCACATTCAATCCTTACTTTGATAATGAAGATCAAAATGCCACAGAGACGGTTTTACCACCGCAGATCAAGTTCGATAAAATTATACAGAACAGGCTCGACCGCTTCAAGTCTGGGATTTCGTTTCTGTTGGTTCCCCACTTAATTGATTTTCAATCAAAATCTTTAGGAGCTAAGGTATTAGCAGTTACTGTGACACCATTTGCATTTTTTTTCAGGCTCACTTGCCCTCAATATGAAGACATCTTAGAGGTGAATGATTCAACGCAAATATTAAGATTGAAAAATTATCATTTACTTCTTCTTCTGACGCATTCAATTTTTGCTCCAGTAGCTTCGCTCATTTTACTTTCCTCCATAATTGGCTTCACTGTTCGGATCTTCTACTGGCCTGTTGTGGTTTTAACATCGGTAGTGTTACTCATCTCTGTCACAATTTTTACTCAACGAGTAAAGTCTCAAGGTCTTTTTTCGCTGAATTCTGGTGTTGAGGAAAGGTCAAGGGAAAAGATTACTGTTTACAAGCATTCCAAACACATTGTCACTACCTTCAATTTTATAGGCATTTTAAATTCTATTCTTTGGATTTCAGTGCTGGCTGCTGACTTAATTGAAATCATTGAATTATATCAAAGGTTCACAGGTATTTCCGAGGCAATATTAGGTCTCACGATATTTTCCTGGGGTAATTCTATTAGTGACCTGATGTCAAATGTCGCTATGTGTCAGTTATACCAGAGGTTACCGGCTCGAGATGAAGAACATCGTATTCAATCTGCGTCAAATTTTTTCTTCATTGCATTAGGTGCCTGCTTCGGCGGTATACTGCTGAACTCACTTATCGGTGTTGGTCTCAGCGGATTTGTCGCCATGCTCATGGGTGCATCAGGAGCTGACACGAACAAGTGGTGGTTCGAGAGGTCTATACAGCTGGGAGAGCCCATTGTCGATTATAAGTTTATTGTGTCGGCTGTTTCAATTATCATCCAAACTATTGCATTAATTGTCGCATTTAGTGGGATTCCAACCGTCATAGCATTTTTTCAGGAAAGGCAGAGAAACATTGGTGTTTTCATGTGTATATGGTGGGCGCTCACTACTTTATGCAACGTTTTTATAGAGATTTTGTAGTGGATCATAGGATCAATTTGTCGTCGTCATTTCTTATGATTTTGCCGAAAATAATAAATTCGCAGGAGTATTTTCCCTCTTCATCTTTCCAGCACGCCAAGACTGCAAACAGCAATTAATTCGAGGAACTCGAGCTACACGATTGAAGCTTGATTAATCGATTTCTCATATTTATAAGACGTAGAGAAGTGTTTACGTCTGTTGAAATTCACGGAATCTCTCGCAGCCTCGATGGTACTAAAATATATCATTGCAAATTGGAGTGTTTTTGGTCTTAATCTAGTAGCCAGAGCAACTATTCATCAGTTTCAAGAAGAGTATGCAAAATATAACCAGTGTGACTCTTTACAAACAGCAGCTTATTCACTACAAGATGGGTCGAATCTAGCCGCGGAGCTTGTGGCACATTATCCAGATAGGATCATCTCGGACGAAATTGACGACAACGGAGGCGATGACTGGTTCAGCAACGATATCGAAATTACACAAGAACTCTACGATAGATTGGTGTACTTCAGTAAAATATGTGCTCTTAGCTACTGCATTTCAAAAAATGAATTATTTCCGGGGAAGACTCTAGCGGATGGTGCCTGTCCCTCTAGATTGAGGTTTTGCTCTGATGAGAATGTCAACCCTACTATTCACAAAACAAAGGTGGAACTTGTATTGCTGGCTGACAAACATGAACTAGGAACTGGATATGTGGCAGTCGACCATAAAAAAAAACTCGTCATGTTAGTGTTTAGAGGTTCTACCACCAACCAGGACTGGCTCAGTGATTTCATGATTCATCCCGTACGCTACTTGCCCAGTTCAAGGGAATACTATGATGAGCTCGTGGAAGATGGCACGATTCGTCCATGTAAAGGCTGCAGGCTTTACAGTGGGTTTCATTTATTTCTCAGAACGCTCAGCACTCACTTTTTCGAGCATATCGAAACTATCTCCCGTCGCCATCCAGGTTATAGATTAGTGGTCACCGGACATTCCTTAGGTGCGGCGTTGGCTATTCTAGCGGGAATTGAACTTAAACTGAGAGGTTTTGATCCTCTTGTTTTAACGTATGCATGTCCCAATATTTTCAACAGTGCATTGAGAGATTGGGTCGATGACCTCTTCGAGAGCGACGAGATTCATGCGCAGTCTGTAGAAGAAAGAAGAGTTATTTTTGAACGTGGCTATTTTAGAGTTGTTCACATGCAAGATTATATCACCATGATTCCACCTTTTTACAAGCCTGCTGGTCTTGAGATTTTCATAAAGAAACTCTTCTTGCCACATGGAATAGAAGACCTGGTATATAAGGGCTTCCAGCCTGGTTTACTATTACCACAACCTGATCCTGACGGTGTGACTGGGAGCGGTAGAGGTCAGGGACATCGATGGCTGGTTTTGGCTGAGAAATGGCTTCATATGTATGAGCATCGGGCATATTTCCTCCTCATCAATACTTGCGAGGGTTTTTAAGCTGCAATACCACATCAAGATTATACATAGGCTTTCACTGAGGGCAAGTATGTGTATATATAGATACATGACCAGCTTAATTTCGCCTGTCTTTTTCATTTGGTCGATTCAATAAATCGACACCTAAAAAATCAAATTTCATCAAATCAATTATTAACGGTAGAGCCAGTCCACCAAGTCGTTGTTTTCGTTTAGTAATCACAGTACTCCTGAATCCTTTAAGCTATTCTCCAGGATTGTCTCTTTGATGGCGGCAAAAACCAGCTTAATATTTGAAGTATCTGTGGCTTGGGTAACGTGTGGATAAATATTAAGATGTGCTCTGTTAAGCTGAACAAACCGCCACAAAATGTATTTTGCAGCTTTATTAATGTCTTGTCCTCCCGTGTAGTCTGGAAAGTACTTCTCGAGAGGAACATGTTGTAATTTCTCGGCAAATACGTCAATCTTGTTCAAAAACAACACAATGGAGGCTCTTGCGAACCATCTACTGTTGACGACCGAGTCGAATAGAATAAGTGACTCGTCCAAACGATTTTGAGTCTTGTCTTCCAGGAGTGTTTGGTCGTATTCCGACAAAGAAACACAGAAGATGATGAGGGTGACATTGTCAAAACAATGAATCCACTTCTTACGCTCACTTCTCTGGCCACCCACGTCGTATATGTGCATTTTGAGGTTACTGTCCATCTCAATTAAGGTGTCAAAAATACCAGAAGTTTTCTTCCGTGACAAGAGGACGTCTCTAACGGTGGGTTGGTAGTTCGGTGTGGAGATGCGGTCCAGACCGTCCATAAAGTAGCGGGCGCTATCCATGAGGTAAAACGCAGACCGGTGTTCGCCCGTAATTAGATTTTGAGTGGAGGGCAAATTCCAGACTTTCATCATAATCTTTTCAAGATGCTGCGGAAATTGCTGCAACTGAGACCCTGGCGTGCTGAAATTCATGACTTCGTCAAGGTCCTCCTGTGTCACGCCCGAATCCGGCTCCAATTCAACCTGAAACTGCTGACGTGCACTAATGATGTCCTTGCTGGTCTCGATGACGTTGTCAAAAATAAACGGCCGGTACTCAAGTAGCTCCTCACGCGAAAACCCATTCTGGTGCAGAATTTTTAATTGTTGTAGAATTGTAGACTTACCACTCTCGCCAGAACCCAACAGCAACACCTTGAGTGCCTTACTGCTGTCGCTGCTTCCCGTACCACCGCTCGCGCCACCGCTTGCCTCGACCGACTGTGCCGAAGCGGCGCTTCGCGTTGACCCCACAGATTGTTGTCGCTTGTTGGGGTCAGCTCCAGTGCCACCACTCGCACTCGCTGCACCTCCCCCTGCACGCCCATCGGGCCTGACGTTGGGTTTCTCGTCCACCCGAGTTGTAGAAGAATCCGTCAAGATTCCATTGGCGCCTGTGTTCCCCGCCTTTTCGCTTACTGTTTTACGCGTTCTATTGATTGTCCCACCCTCTGGTGGGCTAGATGTTGACATTCCTTCATCCTTTGATGTACAGAGTCCCATTGAATGCCACTTTTGCGCAATGTGCTTGCTTACAATACTCAGAAGTAACGGGTTCTTCTCTTCGCCTAACGCTGAGAAGCTTTTCTTCACGATTTACTCGTCACCCCTAAAAAAATTTTTCGGTTTCACGTGACTGAGATATTAATAAAAATGTCATCGTTTTATAAATAGTATTACAAGATACAATTAATGCTGAGAAAGTTCGCTAGGTGCTCGCTTATTGGCTCTGTTTCACATGTTGTGATCGTTTAATGGCCATAGAATGCCCAAAAAATCGGTATTCCACGTTTAGGTTCGCGCAAGCAGTGAATACGTGGGCCAAAATTTTGGATCAGCGCGACCTCTTACGCTTGGGTTGTATTGACATGCAGTTTCCCATGTTTGTAAGCGCATCGGAGCATGCAACGCGCTTATCAGGTACGATTCTAGGGCCCAGCGGCTGCAGTACGGGCTGGGGCTCGTTTTTAGTGCTTCGCTCAAAAAGCTCCTGAGACCAGATGTTGTTGCCAGAATTGCGCGCGGCAGTGGCGGTACACTCGGCATGCCAACCGTAGGGGTCTTCTGCGGCGTTAGAGAGATCGTCCGTGGACCTCGGCGTGTCGTGGCGTGCATTGTGCTGTCGTAGCTCTGTGCATGCTGTTAAGTGGTGCTGCGAATCCATGGGCCGGAGTTGGCTTTGAAAGTGATGTTTCTGTACTTGTTTCTGTGCTTGGCTGCGACTTTTTGGCCCCTTCAGCTTCCTATAATGACAAGTTTAAACGTCCAGAAACTGCAAAATGTCGGATCTTGCGATAAGCATTGCAGACGACGATGTCAGGACTGCAGGAGCGGGCGTGATCGTGCAGCATCGGAACATTAGCCGAGGTTTGATGGCAACTTGAATTTGAAGATATTCAAGTGCCTGCCTAATTTGGTATTTCGTTTGCTGATTGCTAGTATACACATGTATAGACAGTTGCTCTACTTGACCCACTAGGATACCTTGTTCACATGGGGCGTTGGCCAATCCATTCATGCCACGTCCTCACCTCGGTTGGAACGACCACGTCGGTGGACTCCAGCACCCGCAACTTCTCTGCAAGCTTCGCACTCAATGCGCGTGCAAAGAGCAGCGACGTCTGTGGCTCGTTGAAAAGTGGGATCGCAAAGTCGATAGCGTTTCTGCGCATCACGTAGTCCACGTCATCAAGCGTTTCGGCACGCTTTGCGGCAAGGTTGAAAACGGCTTTGATGTCATGTTCTTGGAACAATTCCCGCAACTTGCGCTTGTCATTCTTAGGAAATTCGATAATGGCCACTTGCAAGCCGGCGTGCACGTATTTCTCTAAGTATGCCTTAGTCTCCTGGTTTGTGGCGAATAGCTTGTAGCCCAAAGGTGAGACAAGACGGGCAACCTGGCCCAGGTACTCTTGGCTGAGGTCTCCACCAAACAAGATACCACTTGGTGGCAGAGGGACATGAAAGTTCATGGTACTCTGAATAGCAGTCCAGTAGCTCTCTAGTGCATCACGACCGAACGCAGCTACTTCACCCGTTGAGGCCATCTCGACACCCAAAAATGGGTCTGCGCCTGCCAATCTTGTGAAAGAAAATTGAGGTACCTTAGTCGCGACGTATGGGTAGCCCTTAGCCATGAGGTCGACTGGCTCAGGCACCTTTTGGCCCAAGAAAGCCTTCACTGCTAGGTCGATGAAGTTGACACCCAATACCTTCGATACAAATGGGAACGATCTGGAGGCCCTGATGTTACATTCGATAACCTTCAGAGTGGTTCCAGCGTGTCTGTCATCTTTGATTATCTGCATGTTGAAAGGACCTGTGATGTTCCATGCATCAGCGACTTTGTCAGCTATGTCCTTGAGTCTTGTCTTAATGTCCTCAGACAAGTTTTGGGGAGGTAAGATCAAAGTGGCATCACCGGAGTGCACACCTGCGTTTTCAACGTGTTCAGAAATTGCATGGGCCAAAACTTTACCGTTGTAAGCAACAGCATCAACGTCAATTTCCTGAGCGCCTTCGATGAATTTGGATATCACAACTGGATGGTCGGGTGATACGTCAGTTGCATTAGTTAGCTTACTCTCTAGTTCGTGTTCGGAATTTACCACACTCATAGCAGCACCAGAAAGCACATAGGATGGACGAATTAGAACTGGGTAACCAACCTTTCTAGAAAAGTCCTTAGCATCACTGACAGAAGATAATTCACTCCATTCTGGTTGGTCGACACCGATCTTGTCCAAGATGGAAGAAAATTTGTGTCTGTTCTCAGCTCTGTCAATGTCAATAGGACTGGTACCCAAGATGTTAGCACCTTCCTCAAGTAAGCGCAACGCAATGTTTTGAGGTAATTGACCACCAACGGAGATCACGCATCCTTCAGAATGCTCCAATTCATAAATATCCATAACTCTTTCGAATGAAAGTTCTTCGAAGTATAATCTATCAACTTCGTCGAAGTCAGTAGAAACTGTCTCGGGGTTGTAATTTATCATAACAGTCTTCTTACCTTCTTCTCTTAAAGCTCTTGCGGTGTTGACAGCGCACCAATCGAACTCCACAGAGGAACCAATACGGTAAACACCAGAACCCAATACTAACATACCTTTATCATTGAATTCGATATCACTCTTGGTGGCGTTGTAAGTAGTGTACAAATAGTTAGTATTGGCCGGGAATTCGGCTGCCAACGTGTCGATTTTCTTGACAAAAGGAACAATTCCAAGAGACTTTCTCAATTTTCTCACTTCTAACTCGTGAACATTAGCACTGCTATTCTTGTTAATAGAGATAGCAATTTGTTTATCAGAGAAACCTTGTTTCTTGGCCCTAGTGATTAAGTCGACGTCAAGTTCTGCCAACGAATTCACCGCTTCTAATTCCTTGTACATGTCCACCATGTTCATACACTTGTGCAAGAACCATGAGTCAATCTTTGAAAGTTCGTGCACCTTTTCCACAGAGTAACCCTCGTGAATTAGTGCTTGACCCACAGCCAACCATCTTCTATCAGTTGGTTCAGCCAATACTTTGTCTAGATCGTCACCAAATTCATCGGAACCTTGGAAACCAATGAAGGTTGGGTCGATTTGTCTGATGGCCTTTTGAAATGCTTCCTCGAAGTTTCTGCCGATTGCCATTACTTCACCAACGGATTTCATAGCAGAACCGATAGACCTGTTAACGTGTTGGAATTTGGCCAAATCCCAACGAGGAATCTTGGCAACAATGTAATCCAGAGAAGGTTCGAAGTTGGCAACGGTTGTCTTAGTAACTGGGTTGGGCAATTCGGGCAGGGTGTATCCCAAAGCGATTTTAGCAGCTGTGTATGCCAATGGGTAACCAGTAGCCTTCGAAGCTAGAGCAGAGGAACGAGACAACCGAGCATTCACCTCAATTACACGATAGTCTAATCCATCCGGTTGTAAAGCGTATTGGACATTACATTCACCGACCACACCCAGATGTCTGATAATCTTGATAGCAGCAGATCTCAACATGTGAAATTCTTCATCGGAGAGAGTTTGGGAAGGTGCGAACACAATGGAGTCACCGGTGTGAACACCTAGTGGGTCGAAGTTCTCCATGTTACAGACTGTAATACAGTTGTCGACTCTGTCACGAACGACTTCGTACTCAACTTCTTTCCACCCCTTCAAAGACTTCTCGACCAAAATTTGAGGTGCTAGTGAGAGTGACTGTGCGGTCAATTCCTTCATCTCGGCTTCATTATTAGCGAAGCCGGACCCTAGACCTCCCAGGGCGTACGCGGATCTCACGATCACGGGGTAGCCAACTTTAGCAGCGGCATCGAGCGCCTGGTCGATGGTCTCACATGCAATCGACTCGGCAATAGGGATGTTGATTTGCTTCAAAGCCTGTGCAAATAGATCTCTGTCCTCAGAAGTTTCCAACGTTTTTATAGGAGTACCTAGAACTTTGATACCGTACTTTTCCAACACTCCCATCTTATCAAGGGCGACACCGCAATTGAGCGCAGTCTGGCCACCGAAGGTTAGAAGAATTGCATCTGGTCTCTCACGTTCGATAATGTATGTGATATACTCTGGCGTCACGGGCAAGTAATATATTTCATCTGCCAACGAGTGCGACGTTTGGTTAGTCGCAATGTTAGGATTGATCAAGATCGTCCTCTTGCCGGCCTCTTTCAAAGCCTTAATAGCCTGAGACCCCGAATAGTCGAATTCACCGGCCTGCCCAATAGACAAACCACCGGATCCAATCACCAGAACCGTTTTGACACCCTTAACGAGTTCTGGTTTGTAATCTTTGGTATTGAATGCGGAAGTAGTAGGTTGTGTAGACTCATAGATTGACTTGACACTGGCCATCTCGTATCCGTCTCTTTCAACCACGTTTTACTGAACTACTTGCTCTAAAGCTACGATAACGATTCTATATATGCCAGTGCGATGAGCTACGTGAGTCAAAAAAGAAAATGTTGTCACTGGCAAAGAGGTCGAAAAAAAATTTTCACAACTGAGTCACAGATTCTTCCGTAGTCATGATGTAATGCTCGATACGGACGGGCCTACCTTATCAAGATAATGTTTACCGATTTAAGTTCTCGGATAGCGAGGTTGAGCCGACAATTCGCTTGGTGTCAAATTCGTGCGGCTTCAGGCTTCAGGCCATCATTGACAGCGGCACTGAGATAATGGATTATGGCCGTTGGCAGTCGTTCGTATTATGTCGAGCCTCATGCACCTCGTTGGCAGGGTCTGCGAGCGAGGTTGTAAGCGTCTTTGCGTAAGCGATCGGGCTTTCAAATACTCCATTGGCGAACGGCTGTTGCAGATTCTCCTTTGAAGTGCTGTCATTTTCTTTGTAAGCAGCCAACTTTTGGCAGTTAGCTTCTTTTGCGAAACAAGTGTGCCCAAGCTCTGCTGTAATGAGCGACAGAGCTTTCACCGTTGGCATGAGGTAATGCACTTTTGGGTTCTTCGAATTAATGGGCTAAGTCCGCTTCAAATTGAGTTATTTCGAGCAAAGATGGGTTGAATATTAGAGAACTCGTTGAATTAAAATTGTAAAATATAGTTAATGTAAATATACACAAAACCGGGCACAGCATTAGTCGGGCGTGTTTTGTAAACTACCAGGAAGTCAGCCCGAAGGATTGCCCTTCGTCTAATACCACTTGAATGGCCTCGCCATTGGTATCGATGGTGTTAATCACATCGTTACCCCACCAAGCAGGAGCAGAGGCATTTGTCAGCGACAATGTCAAAAAGATGATCAGCGAAGACCACGCCAGCGAGATATCTAGACCCGCAGACAATGAGTAATTGTACTTCGACCACCAATGAAACCATCTCTTCTTGACGTAGTATCCGAAGAAAATACCGACAAAACAGTACGAACCATAGTTGTAAGGTGTGGCAGGTGGAATCAGTCCTGTACCGGAGAAGAAAACAGGCCAGTTTAGGTACTTGATAAATGATTTAGGCCATTTCTTCAATACCAGCCAGTTGACCACAGGTAATCCGGCTCCCAAAATGAAGAAATACATCAACTTGTTGTACATTTGACCTTGAGAAAACATTCTCTCAGGGCCGATGACACCCCAAATGATGGAAGCATTGAAGAAGACACGAGCACCGGGGCAAGTGAAGTGGGACTTTTGGGTGCTTGTACACACGCCTTCAATAGAGCCTTGGGCCCATTTTAGTACACACACTTGAACAAGACCACCCCATACTGTTGCAATCAATTGGGCCCAGAACATTACCCTTGGTTGGATCTTCATGTAATGGCCGAGTTTCATGTCTTGTGCGAAAGTGATGGCTTGGTTGTTGGTAATATAACCGAAGGTCTTGAAGAACATCATGGCAATGGGTTTACCGGGCAACATGTACCCGATGATGAACTCAGTGATGACATTCAAACCGACTGCAATGTTGGTCAAGGCGTAGATAATACCGATGGGCAATAGGAAGAAAGCGGCAATAAGTAACGCAATGATCAGGGCGAAAATAGGCATCTCGGTGTTCCAGGCTCTCACAGTAGCGATGGACATACCGAAAAAGACTAGGAAAACAATTCCGTACCACCATTGAGGTACGTCCTTGTATTGGGCCATTAACCTAGCGTGTACATCAGGTTCATCGTCTTTAACATGTCTAACTTGTCTCCAGATATCCCTACCGTGGAAAAGAGCAGCGTGAACAATAGTGGCAGTCATGGACGCAAAGGACAATCCGTAAGAGATGGCGAAAGTGGCGGACAAATACAAGGGCGAGTAACTTTGGTATGCGTCCTTGTTGAAGCTCAAGTCCGAATTGACAATTCTGGAGACATTGTAGGTCTGCTGATACCTGTCATAAGAGCTGGAGTCAGAAATTGGTAGATACTTACCGTACCACACGTTAGAATAATGAATGGCAGGAACAATGACCCAAAAGATGGTTACCATAGAGAACAAGATGGTAAACAAGACACCCACGGGTGGGATCAAGGGAGAACCAACGTAACCGGCGATTTGATTCCAATCAAAAGTGAGTGGGATTAGACCTAGACCAGTGGAGGCACCAAAGACTTGATTGACGATCACATCCTTGGGCTTGATCCAAGTAACCCATGCAAAGTAGGACAACGCCTGGAAGATCCAGCCAGGGAACCAGTAGTAAACGAAGCCGATGATAAACACAATCAGGAAGAATTTTAAACGCGAGATCTTCCAGCCGTTAGCGACGTGGTTTTCGTTGATGTGCATGTTGGTGAGGAAGGTACAAGTGACTAGATTGGCAGGCCAGATCATGGAAGCTGGTGTGACAAGCACATCTCTGGCAAGACCGGCCATAGAGAAACCGATACATTGAGTGGACCAAACGGCGAGCAGATTGAAACCCCAGCCAAAGTTGACGTGGTAAAAGTTGTTCATTGACATCAGGATATCGGTTGCGTACGCATTACCACCGCCGAAGGCGACGTTACCCATGATGGTGATGAGTGCGTGTTCTTTGACGTTGAAGGGTGCTGGGTTCCAGGAAGGCCCACCGAAACGACCAAACATGGGCTTGTTAGGGAAGATCAAGTCCCAGCCACGACCTAGCGGCCAAGCCAGGATGGACGTGACGAAAGTCGTAAGCACGATGGAGGGCGCGTGCATGGAGAACAACATGTTCAGAGCACAACCGATGGTGGTCATGATCATACCCAGAGTCCACATACGCACGGTGTTTTGGTGCAATGTGGTGTCGTCGGTCGAGGGCACGGCTGCACGGACTTCTGGGTAAGGCGAGTCGTCTTCGACCGTGATGCCCGCATACTCATCGTCCTGCGCCTGCGCGGATAGTTTGTCGGCGAGCGGGTCATATTCGGCAGAGCGGACGGGCGACACTAGAGACTTGTGGGCGTCGAGTTCGTCTTGCGACGAGGACGCGCCGCGCTCGGTGAGCACGTAGTTGTCGCCCTTGGCGTTGATTTCGTCCCCGTCGGACTGGACGGAGTGGAGAAGCTCCTTTTCAGTGACCGGGGCGTCCTTGGAGAGCACGGACTTGAGAATGTTCATGGAGCTGGCGAATAGAAAGGCAGTCAAGAAAAAGCTACAGCTGGGGAGAGACGCAAATTGGAAGAGGGCAGTGGAACGAGGTGGAGCTGGGTCTGGAGCTGGGGCTGAAGCTGATTTGTTGATGCTACTGAAGGACCCTTCGGAACAGTCCCTGACCACCGACGTCTACGCTTCTTATATATACATTCAAGATCAGCGCGCTTTTACGCTCACATGCAGGTTCTGCGCTGCCATAGCTGCCGGTGACTCCATTCTGCACTCCGCAACTGATAAGCACCACCCTTTTCGCACTTCCCACTGACCATGACAGGGTTGTCACGTCTGCGAGTGGCTCGCACGGCTTCCGTGGCTCGCGCGGCTCGAGTGCCTTTTTTTCCACGTAGAACCGAAGAGATAACGAGAACTGGGTGCGTCAGCTCGTGAAACCAGCCGTCACACACAACGGATCGTTTACGTTGTGAAGCAACTGGCGACACTGACACATTGTGCCGTTGCCAAGCGTGTCAGAAGCTCTGAAATCTACACAATTGTACTCGTAAACTGACCAATTTTAACTACTTGCCATTATTCTACTCTCATAACCTCCATCTTTTGAGCCGTAATTTCCCTGCAATTTGCGTTGATCTTGCAAGTTTCACTTGCTCACCACGTTTCCGCGCAAAGTTCACCCCTTGTCTTTTCGCCGGCAGCTAAGAAGGGCACTCCTCACATCCATCTACCAGCGCCGCACAGAACCGAACGCGGAATTTCATTAGCGATTGCGCTTGCACTGCTACGTTATACTGAAGCGCCTATGCGTTGCGTGTCCAATGAGTCGTCGTCGTGCCACGTTCAGCGCCGTCGCTCGAGGCCTTCCATATGCACGGCAAAAGGGTGCGGCTGTGCGCGAGGAGAAATGGACCGAGACTCCGAGCTCAGGGTTCGGTCCCGGTTCAGGGCCGGAGGGAGCGGAGGGAGCGGCGGGAGCGACGGAAGCGGAGAAGGGCGGGCGCGGAGCGGAGATATAACTGCGTCGAGGGAGGTTTCTGGTGCACGGGTGGTGCGGATGTCACGTGACGGTGCGGATGTATGTGTGGGTGTTGTGCTTATGGCATCATCGTGTGTGGGTGGTGGTTTTCGTTCGTGCGTCGTGATGGTGGTCACGTGCCCTGTTTTCCGCCTTTCTTTCCCTGGAGTTCCTCGCCCCTTCATCTGATTTCTCAAAACTTCCTCGCCACTTGTCCCAACGACCCATCGCACCCAATGGCCGACCCTGCCCAACTAATACAGCAAGTATGTGACGCCGCGCACTTCTAGTAATGCACGACCGGAGCGCCCTGCGCTCCTTGTCTCATCGTGTGTTCCCGTGAGCCCCAAACTAACCCGTCCTCCAGGCCCAAAAGAAGGCCCAGCCCAGCTCGGGGTTCTTCAAGCTGTTCGGCGCCTCTGACTCGTACCGGTACGAGGAGGCCGCAGACCTCTACGTCGAGGCCGCAAACCTCTACCGCCTGCGCAAAGAACTGCCTGCTGCCGGTGACACCTTCGTGGAAGCTGCGCAATGCCAGGTACGCGCGGGCAACGACGACGAGGCTGGTAACACGTACGTCGAGGCGTTCAAAGCATTCAAAGCTGGTGGTGTAGCCACCAAGGCCTGCGAGGCGCTTTCCCACGCCATCGACATCTTCACACGCCGCGGCCAGTTCCGTCGCGGTGCCAATTTCAAGTTTGAGCTCGCAGAGATGCTGGATCAGGATTTACACGACTACCCTGCGGCCATTGCCGCCTACGAAACCGCCGCAGATTGGTACGTGCAGGACCAGGCTGTCGCGCTCGCCAACAAGGCCTACCTCAAGTGTGCCGACTTGCAAGCTCTCGACGGCCGCTACATAGATGCCTGTGGTCTCTACCGGAAAGTCATCGCCAACTCTCTTGGCAACCGCCTGAGCCAATGGTCTTTGAAAGAGTACTACCTCAAACTCGTGCTGTGCTACCTGGCAGCTGACGATCAAGTGGCTGCTCAGCGTGCAGTCTCGGAGGCTGTCGCTGACGACCCCAATTTTGCGACTTCCCGTGAGCACGATCTCCTAACCGTTCTGCTGGATTGCTGTGCCGAGGGTGACACGGAGCGCCTCAGTGCCAAAGTTTACGAGTTTGACAAGTTCTCGAAGCTTGACAAGTGGAAGACCACTGTGCTGCTGAAAATCAAGGATTCTATTGCATCTGCGGACGATGACCTTTTGTAATTTAGGTAGGTAGCGCACTCTATATAAGAAATTCGCCCAGTGTTATCTTAGAATGTATGCATGTGTGTTTCGTTTCCACAGAAGCTTTTACAATGTCTGCTCTATGTGAGCTTCCTACAGCTGTGTTTTCCGCAATGTACTCGCGCAACTTTAGACTTCGCTTGACCGTTTTCCTTCTAACCATGCGGCTTCGTGATAAGCGGTGCCTCGCTTATCCGCAGCTTAACATCAATCAACAACAAGGGAGAAATTGAATCATCGTGGCGAATAGTCCGAAGCCTGTTGTTTGATTCGTAGTATGTGTTTTGATCCTATCAGTGTCAGTGATAAGCAGTGCCTCACCATCTAAATGATTGCCAATCAGTTGATCAGAGCAATTCCTGATACCAACCGAGAAAAACTGTAGCGAAACATTGATTGCAAACCATCCGCATATGTGGCAATGGTGAAGTTGGAAATGAAAATGGTGAGCCCTCTTGTCGCCAGAGTATTTGTGTTTTTCTTTATGTAATGTTCTATCCTCTTTATTTTCACCAACGGGCTCTTTCTAAAGACAAATTTCTTCCACGAAATATAAATATAGACAAGTTCTGGAAACAGTGATAGTAGTGAAATCCTGCAATTAGCTATGAAAGCAATGAAGAACAACCACCAAATATTAAAATCGACTGGTTTAAGTATTTACCAAGATACTTAGTTAGCGTTCGCCTACTTCTCCATATGCATTTCCAATCACTGAGCATTCATTGAGCTACTATATGCTGGCCAGTATCTTCAGTACTAGCACCCAAATTCTTCGTCGAGCCGCCTTAGGATTCGATCCAGCCGACGGTCATTATATTGATCCTGCCTCTTATCAATACTTCCGTTAATTTCAGCGATTCAACAAAAGCTATCCTTCGAGAATACTGAGAAGGTGGAGTTTTTCCGATGGAAGCCGCTTCAACGTTCGATCTGCATGATTTCGGAAAAATCTTAAATCACCGCCGAAGATTTTGCCGAACCCTGAAAGTCGAAAACTACCCAGGAGGATGTGATCCGTCGGAGAATAATCTAACGGCGTTGAATCTTCGATGAAGGATGTTTGCAGCTCATCATGAGTGGCCTGCACTGCTACGAAAGTTTACCACAGCAACATTCAAGAGGCTTGGTTTCTACGTAGTCGTCTACATATCTTGCTGAATATAAACTCAAAGGCACGATTCGATGGCGAGATGCGAAGAGCATTCGTGTAGTACCAGTCACACTGCTCGTATCGAAGAATTCTTTTCCATCTATGCAGCGCTTTATCTAAGACATGCCCTGAGCGTCAAGAAGAGCCAAAAAAAAAGGAATAATTGCTCAATCCAAAGCCGCTAACAGTATTTCGGTAAAAAACGGTTTTGTCTCTGCCGCAGAACTACATCAAGCTCTGTAATCTAGTGTGAAATGCGATCGGATATATGAATGAACATATAAACTCCGCTGTTTCATTTGATAAAATCTATTAACCAATTCACTACTCCGAAGCACCATATAATCCAGGCTTTCCAGGAAAGTATCGTTCTTGCAGAGGGTTATGGTATGATGATGAGATTAGGTTACATTCTTGCCTTGAATCAGCTAGCGGGTAATCGACACCAGCGAAAAAAATGGATTAGGGTTTCATTCGCGTACGGCTACCTAGAAAAAACGCTAGGGAAAATGATCGTCTGTCGCAGTAGATAAAAAAAGAGGTGTACATAAAAATGCACCGCCAGCGCCTACAACCTTAAAGTGAATTCAAAGGTAGTACACCCTTCGAGCCAGATATTTGCCTACAACTCCTTCTAGGATATTAACATGTTCTCGAAGATGGCACCCTTATCCTTTCAGTCAAGCATTTGCTGGAGTTACCGGCAAAACTGTAGCCAACAACAGCTTCTCACATCCCAGCGATGATCTATATATCCATAGCGTTTAAGACTCCAATCTTGATTCTGAGAGGTTTCCTGCTTATTTTTAAAAAATCATATTCTCAGTCAAAATTCACGTAGAAATGCTGAAAATTGCATACGTGATTACTCTTCTCTGTGCACTTCCCATATGTTCGGCTGGTCGTGTATTCACCGTGTACAATGGCGGTGATTACGCTGGTGTCGCTTGTAAATATGCTTTAGCCAAAACAGCATTATTTTGTGAAGATGACTACGCCGCTTCTTACGACTGTTACTGTGACAATATCGATGCCATTGGTTCATATTTTTACTGTGGATACCAAGAAACGCATTCTAAAAGTGAAAAACACCGCATTGAGCGCTTTTTCAAGATCCGCTGTCCAAATGTCACCACAGAACAAATGAGAGCTGCCTACAAAAATGTGTCTGACTACATAGTCAACACCTCAACTATTGCAAATTTCAACAAGACAAAACCAGTAAATTTTCCTGTCATATACAACAGGACATTTTTTGAAATCGCGTATCAATCCAATAAGGTGAGATACTCTAATATGAATGATGGTCTATTTATGGGCGCAGGTATGATTGGTTACTGGGGTCTTGTTGTCCTATCCGGGACCATTGTCAATATTATGTCCAAACTGTCACCAAAATTATTGCTAAGTATCAACAGATCCACATCTCAAATGGCCGTTGTGAGATATTACAGAAAGTACATTTCTCTACCGGCAACTTTCCGCACTAGCCACACGAGAAGATCGCTCTTGGATAGCATTCTCCCAACAAGGCTCGAATCCATAATTACATTTGTATTTTTCGTGATGGTTGTGCTATGCGAGGCCATTGGATATCATCATGTCAAGAATGGAACTTTCTTCCTAAAGAAGAGTATTGGAATTTCTTATTACGTGGGAGACAGAACTGGTATTATTTCCCTATATCTTATGGTTCTGACTTATCTGTTTGCTGGTCGGAACAACATCTTGCTATGGATGACTGGCTGGAAACAATCCACTTTTGTTATGTACCACAAATGGATCGGCCGTATTCTATTTTGCTCTGTTCTGACACATACATTGTCAATGTTGACCTATACTTTACTCAAGAAAACCCTTTACGAGTTCAGAGTCTTGGAAGACTGGTGGAGATGGGGTGCTGTGGCAGTAGTGGCAGGAGGTATCATCATGATCCAAGCATTCAGTTGGTTGCGTGAGCGCAGTTATGAATTCTTTTTAAACGTGCACATAATCCTGGCTGTTTTATTCTTAGTTGGTGCCTGGCGTCACGTCGAGATTTTCGCTTATGGCGGTTGGGCATACGCTACCGCTGCAATTTGGTGCTTTGATAGATTCATCAGATTGGTGAGGATTGCAGCATTTGGCGTAAGAACAGCTCAGGTTAGTATTGTTTCTGATGAAACCTTGAAAGTGACAGTTGGTTTGAATTCCTGGTGGCCATTCTTCTGTGGGTCCTATGGTTATATCTACTTCTTAACACACACTTCCACACTTTTCTGGCAATCCCGTCCGTTCACTGTCATAAAAGCCGACGATGGCAAGCTATGCATTTACATTAAGATAAAGAAGGGCGCTACACAATTGCTATACAAGAAGCTTTTGAAAGAACCTAACCAAACTTGCAACGTCAAGATCGCTGTCGAAGGACCTTACGGAGACAGAAAACCAGTGGAAACATACGGTCACGCGCTACTCTACGGTGGTGGTAATGGTATTCCAGGTCCATACGCATATGCAAAGGAATTGGCAGAGGCCAAGGAACAAGCCAAGACCAAATTCGTCAAGCTTTACTGGGTTATAAGACACTGGTACTCCATCGACTGGTTTTTGGAGGAGCTGAAGACTCTAGAACATCACGAAAATGTCCAGACCATCGTTTACGTTACCAAATATCACGAAGGTAGATTGGGCGCGCAGTTCGCTGCGAAAGATAGTGTCGCTTCCAGTTCATCCGACAATGACAATGACAATGACAATGAGGAAACGGAGAAAATCTCCGCGACAACCGGCACTGCGTCTGAAAGCGGAATAGAAAGTATCCTGAAAGCTCTACCGCATGTGGAATTTAGAGAGGGCAGACCTGACATAGCTGCTGTTGTCTCTCAGGACATCGACGAGGCTCAAGGTGACGACGTGGCTGTGGTCACCTGTGCCCACAGCGACATGTGTGATGAGATTAGAAGAATCGTGGCTTCCAAGGTCGGCGACCGCAAAGTTGGCAGAATCGATCTATTCGAAGAGCTCCAGACCTGGTAAGCCAAGTCCGACGGAAGTGCTTACTTATATTTATATAACCATGCAGGTTCTTGCAGTTTTATAGACATGTAGTAAATTAAATGGTAATAGACAAAAAGTCCGCGGAGATATTTTGACCTGCGCGAGTGAGCGAGTCATCACGCTCTTTTCTACTAACTGATACAGAACGATCTTCGTAAAACAATACACGTTACAAGATTTGTGAGAAGCCTTCTCTATCAAATATATCACATTTCTAGTTCGGCTCCCAAAGCAGAGTCAATGTTGCTGCATCGTCATGTGAGTGCAGACTCCTGTATGTCCATAAAATATTTACCATATCTAGGAAAATGCGAATTGTGATAGTGACAGCTCGTATTTTTTAATACATAGCGTATGAACGGATGTCAGTGCCCATCCCCCCTAGGGGATTATAAAAGTTATGACCAAAAGGTTTGGCAGTAACTTTTACTCTTGAAAGTTTTAGACAAGAAATATACTCATATTTAAGAAGGATTTCAGTCTAATAAGGTTGAATCACGACATACCAAAATTCTAGTCGGCGTGTCGGTGATTTTGGAGCTTTCTGTGAACTGAAAGTCGACAACTAATATCACCTGTAAATCAGGGAGCTCATCGCTGGTAACTTTAGAAACACACTTTAAACCGCACTAGACACCATGGGTTTGCGCTATACGTCTTATATTGATCATCCGAAAAGTAAGCATTCGAAATTTGTGACATATGGATGCTGTCATTGCAGAACTCATCTCTCGTCGTCCGCGCAGGTGATGTCCAAGGACTATCGTGGCACGACTGGTGACGCTTACCTTATGAACAAAGTGGTGAATATTGTAGAGGGTGACAGGGAAACGCGCTGCATGATTACCGGGTGCTATGTAGTATGTGACATTGTGTGTCACATGTGCAAGAATTTAGTGGGCTGGAAGTACCTGGAGAGCGAGCGAAAAGACCAGAGATACAAGGAGGGCAAATACATTCTGGAGCTGCAGACGATCTGTAAGGTCCATTAAAATAAAAGTCGCTGATTTGTTAGAGGCGAGAACGGTTTTATACACCTTGCAAGAAGTTTTTTCTTATCTTGCATGTCCATCTACTTGCTATAATCTGGGGTGCTTCCCAAGGACAAGACTACCTAGCCATCAGGGCGAAGTCTATGGATCATGAATTCGGTGTAAATGTGGTGTTTTCTGTTTAAGTTATTATATTATGCTTCTCCTCGCGCCATTTGTGCGAAGCCGTCGTGGAGAAGCACCGGTCAACTGTTCCTTGCTTTGGCTACTGCTTCCAATGCCACCAGTTCTTCCTCTTAAAACCTTTTTGAATAATATATAGATACATAAGTAATGGTTATTGGTTTATCGTGAGTTATGAAGAGGACATTTGTATCTTCATTTGAATCGAAGCTGTCGCGCCAGACTTTAGATCTCCAAACACGTGATACAAAATCACGTGTAACCATAATGGTTTAGTTGAAGGGAGATTAACTTGTCGATCGGTTCACGTCACTGGGACTGGCATAGTTTCATCGTGAAGCCTCTAATTTGAGGCCAGCGTATACTTAGAGATGTCAATGGAGTATATCAAGGTAGCAAAAGTATGCCATGGTTGTTTTGGGAGTTCAACTTATAAGAGTTTTTCAATTACTAACATAACACAATAGGTTGACGATGTTATCTTGCATAGAAAAGGTATTTCCGTAAACGGATCATTACATTTAACCACACATCATTTAATATTTACCTCGCCATCACTTGCACGTGAATTTTGGTTTTCTTACCCAACTATTGGTTCTGTCTTTAAGAATCGTGGAAGTGCGCTAATATCGAAGTACAAAAATCATTCTGAGGTGAGGGACGACCCTTTGTATGCAGGTAAAGACATATGGTCATTTTGCAGCATCAAAGTTATTGGTAAAGACTACACAGTTTTTTCGCTCGATTTCCAGGACGATGCCCAAGCGCAGGATGTTTATGATTCCATCGAGAAGCTAACGGTAATTAATGATGTTAGTCAGCTGTACGCTTTTATTTACACTCCTAATAAGGCAGAGAGTCCCTTGAATTCTTGGAAAATGTATGATCCGCTGAAAGAATTTAAAAGGCAGGGTCTTTCCCTGGAGGGCAGCTGCAAGTGGAGAGTCACTGACATAAATCATGATTATTCCTTTTGCAAAACATATCCAAGCTTCTTAATTGTTCCTACCACCGTTTCAGATACGCTACTCACGCATGCTGTCAAATATAGATCACAAAATCGCATACCAACTTTGGCGTATTTCTACAAGAATACCGGGGCCTCCATTATCAGAAGTTCCCAACCCTTGCCCGGATTAACGCAGCAACGTTCTGTTCAAGATGAAAAGCTTGTTCGTGAAAGCTTCAACTGCTCACATGATCAAGATGGCTTAAGAACTCGAATGGTCAAGAACATAATCGTCGACGCAAGACCAACTACTAACGCAATGGCTCAAAAGGCATTAGGCGGGGGATCTGAAAACATGGACAACTACAATTTCGGAGGAACCGCTACAAGAATGTTCCTTGGAATTGACAATATTCACGTAATGAGAGACACTTTAAACAACTTGGTGGACAATTTTTTAGTTGATTTGGATCTTAATTTACCCATTGATAAATCGACTTTAAACGAAGGAAAGGCCTCACAGTGGTTAAAGTACATCAAATTGCTATTATCCTCCACAGAGACCTTAACAAAATCCATGCTATTCAACAAATCCAACCTACTAATACATTGTTCCGATGGTTGGGATCGCACCACTCAAGTATGCTCTTTGATTCAGATTTGCCTCGATCCATTTTATAGAACAATTGAAGGATTCTGTACATTAGTGGAAAAGGATTGGCTTTCGTTCGGTCACCGGTTTGCGGAGAGATCTGGTCATTTAAGTTCCGTAAGCTTGTTCCACGACAATTCGGTTAGAATGAGCATTTCAGGAGCTGCCAATAATGTCACTCAAAGCATTGACCTGAATTCAAGTCTCTTTGGATCATTTTCTAATGGTGATAAAAAGGAGGGAAACTTTGGGGAAATGTCTGAAATGGACAATTCGACCATCATGCCGCCTTCTGATTTGGTTAACAAGGTATCTAAACGATTTAAGAAAAAGAACACACTCAAACTAACTTCGCCCATATTCCAACAATTTGTTGATTGTGTCTACCAGTTACAAAACCAAAACCCGACTCAGTTTGAATTCAACGAACGTTTTCTGAGAAGGCTTGTATATCATCTTTACTCATGCCAATACGGAACATTTCTATTCAATAACGAGCAAGAAAGAGTAAGCTGTCACGCATACGAAAAGACAAGGAGTGTATGGGATTATTTTAAGTCTCGAAAAGCAGAATTTGCTAATTCTACCTACTCGCCATCTGAAAATCAAGAAGACTGGCTGTTACCAGATCTCAATAAGGTACAATGGTGGTGGCAATTATTTGGAAGGAGAGATGAAGAAATGAACGGAGACGTGGTCACTACACTGGATGAACAAATATCATCAGAGGAGGAAAAAAAATCGTCATTAAGATTTCTCACCTTTAGCCTAGATATATTTAACAAAAAATAGCTCTCATTATCCTTAACATCCAAAAACTCACCAGGAATCCTTAACAAATGCATATAAAACTTACATACGTTACAACGGAAAGCACAAAGAACTTAAGGCAACATTGATTATAATTTCACAATGTCAGATCTCCATGTGACCCCACACCATTGTGCAACCAAGATGCTCATATTTCTAGCAGTATTGACAACCTCCTTGTCATATCCGACGTTTAAGGCTCCTTTCATATGCCCCCAAAGCTGCGGGTTGACATCTTGTGGCACCAGGGATGCAATGATCACTAAACTTGTTTCCTTTGCATCCAAAATATCATCAAAGGATAATAGAGGCCCGTATACATGACAGAGTGTGTAAAACCACAGATCTGGATAAGTGGAGTTGAGATTATTGATAACTTTTTCCGTTACTTTATTGTAGATATGGGTCCAATGATCGAGTCCTCTCTTTAAAGTATCTGTCTTCGTCTCTTTAGGATCCCTCTCAGTACCTTTAAAGAGATCTTGTCCATGTATATCAACCTTATAGTTAGGATCCGAAGCTAGCAGTTTCTCAGGCGTTGCTTCATTCAAGTAACGTAAACTGTTGATGGCCTTTGGCAATCCAGCCAGAGCACTACTCTTAAGCAGAGCCTCCCGAAACTTCTTGGTCAACTCCTTTTGATATTGAGTAACATCAGAGTATACCTCATTTAAACTTCTCTGTGAGCTATGCGATTCACTTTGGAGCATATCGATTGTTCGCTTTGCGATAGAACCATCTTTGTCCTGCAAGCCATTCAGTTGCATTGCGTAATGATATAATCTCGGTATCTCTTGCGGTTGGTTGCAAACACTGAAGGTGGCAGCTGCTATAAGATACCATGTGTTCTTTAATTGTGGGTTGAAGGAGGCCAGTTGAAGAAGCCTTTGTGTTGTTAATAGCTGGCTCATAATGGGTTCAATTGAAAGTTAATATTTGGAAGGAATTTTGTAACCACCAAAACAAAACCATAAGCTGGAAACAACAACGACGAAATGGAAGATAAAGTTAAAATAAGATATACAAGACTTAACCAGGTCTGTACGAAAGCTTTGCAACAGTCGATAAATAGGGTAGATAAATGGGAAAAGTTATCCTCATGCTTTCCGGATTATGCCTCAACGGAAGAAGGAGCAGCGAATCTCAAGAACTGCCAAAAGCAGGTAGTTAACTTTTGGAAAGAGCTTTGCAAGAGAGAATTTGGTGAGATTTTTAAAGAGCGGGATATAGAAGTGAAGTTAAATGACCTTGATCAGTTAATCCACGAGGCAAAAGTGAAGGTGAAGGCAGGCGAATTGATCAGTGATGGTCCACCAATTGATAAGGTTACTCCAGAGCGCCTAATAACAGGAAATATTCACGACCTGCGACAGAGGGCACTGAAAGAGCTTAATATCAGATTAGAAACAATTGATCAAATGAATACGCGGCTGCGAGAAGAAATAGAGGAACTAAATAAACAAATTGACGATGACTTGACTGATCTTCAAAAAATCTATGATAAGAGTTTAGTCCCTGAAGCGGTCGAAATTGATGATACCTTAGCTCAGGGACTGAGGGACATGCTTCTATCACTGGAAGAGGATAATTATTAACAAGGTTTCTGGTTAAAACTCAAGAGTATTCTTTAATTGTGTACAATCGAACTATACGACAGCAGAAAATTTAATATATAGATAATGAAATCCCAGGAATACTAGGAACTATCCAATAGATAGTTAGTAGCTGCCTCTAGATCCCAATTACATCTTTCCAATGCTTTTGATGCCTCTTCGTGGGTAAATCCCATGCTGCTTAATTCTTCGATAGCAAGAGATTTTGGTGTGGTTGCAATACCTCTGCTAACGGGAGCATTTAGATGTATTGAAGATTTATCAGGCGTGGGTTGTTGCAACGCTTCATTTGCAGTCTTTTGCACAGGTTTCTGAGCGGGTTGTACCGCTGGAGAAGAACTAACGTTCGAATTTCCGAACCCAGCAAATATTTCATCCCATTCATCAGCATCAACTGGCGCGCTGTCACTATTTACAGTGGAAGCACCCGGTTCTACAGATCGCACCACATTACCTCCACTTGATCCTGTAAACCCACCTTGTTGAAGCTCGTCATCTAAGTCCTTATGTTCTATCGTTTCAAAGCCTTCGCTTGAGTCTGCATTGTCTAGCTCATCTGAATCATCTTCTTCAGGTGCTGCCTGCTCCAGTCCTGCGAATTCATCCTCAAATTCTGCTTCTTGTGGAATAGAAGTGTTTACTGGAGCTTTCTTTACGGCCGGTACTTCCTCCGTGATAGGTGCTTCATTCGTGATAGGTGCCTCTTTTTTGACTTGCTCCTCAGCCTTTGACTTTTGAGGAATTGAGATTTCAGCTGATTTCTTAGGTAACTTCTTTTCGAGCGAATCTTGAGCGATTACGTCTTTCGAGTCTTCAAAGTGATCGTCATCCAGAGAAGAATCACTCTCGTCAATATCCAATTCTTGAATTGGGGGAAATTCGTCATCGATAGTATTTTTAACAGTGGAAGAGGAGGCCTTCGAATGAAGTTCCTCGCTACTTTTCTGTGTGGACTGGTCTTCGACACTTTCAATATTATCAGCGGCGGATTCTCTAGCTCCGATCTCAACGCTAGGCTGGGTGCCTGCTGCAAGTGCTTCATGGCCACTGCTTACCACAGTATTTGTTTCCGTGGCTGCCCAGCCACCAGGCATTGTCTTTTCAGCCGGTTCTTCTGGGAGTCTCGATTCCGCACTTGCTGTGTTTCTGAAAGTTTCGTCGCTGACGGCTTCTTGAAGTTCGGGTTCAGCATCATCCCGTACAGACTGTGGAGGGTTGTTAACGACCGACGAAGTGAGTGATTCTGTTCTAGGAATGCCGTATTCATTCAAATCACCATCAAATCTGTCTGCGAGTGCTTCTGCTGCCGTTTCATCGTCGTGGACTCTTCCATCATCATCGTCAACTTCGGTTTGTGATCCAACTGTGGGGACATCCTTATCAAAAACATCAGAACCCTGCTTTTCGTCATCTTCCTGAGCTCCAAGTCTCGAATTAGTTACTGTTTCTTCGACAAATTTTGCAACGTGATCTTGATTGGCGGAAGAGATAGCACGTGAATCCTTTACAATCGTAGACGCATCTTCAGGTACTTCGCCCATCGCCAATTTCATTTGCCTCTCAGACAATTCTTGTACCTTTTGCGCATACTCTAATTGCTGATTCTGTAATTCTTCATCAGCCTTAGAGAAAGCATCTCTTTGCTTTGCCAAATCATTAAACATAGATTGAAGCTTAGCAATTTGCTGATGATAGATCTGTTCTTGCTCCTCAATCTGCTTGGTACGTTGCTGTACTTCTTGTTCACGTTGATTTAGCTCCACATGTTTCCCCTCCAATTCTTGGTGCTTGGAGTTCAATTCACCATGTTGTTGTTCAAGGGTACTCCGGTAGCTGTCCAATTCTTTATGCTTCTGTAAGAAAACAATTAAGTTCTCCTCCAAACCTTGAATTTCTTGCTGCAAATTGTTCACAGTAATTTGGCTAACTTCTAATTGCTTAGAGTTCACATCAACCATCGATTTCTCTTGCTTGACCTTTTGTTGCTTGTCCGTTAATTCAGCTTGAAGCGAGGAGGCCAGAGCATTCAAACTTCCTATCTTCTCCTTCAGTTGCGAATTAGCTTGTTCTGATTCTTGCAGTTGTTGCTGTAGTTCAGTTAAGGTTCCTTGAACGGTGTGGTAGTTTGCTTCTGCAACTGCCATCTGTTGCTTGAGATCTTCGGATTCTTTTCTGGATTGGGCTAGTAGCCCTTCAACTTGCTCTGTCTGCTTAACTTCCTGTTCATAAGAAGCACGCAACGTAATCATCTTAGATTCAATAGAACTCTTGAGATCGTTAATTCGTTGCAATTCCTGTTGAGCCTTGGCTTTCTTGTCATTGACTAAAGTGGCTTGTTTACTCAAAGAGCCAACTTGATTAGAGAGATTAGCTAATTCTGTAGTAGCTTGCGAAAGCTGAATGGATGCTTCTCCATCTGCAAAAAGATCCCTGGTCTGTGAGCTTTGTGGAATAGAAACAGAAGCAAAATTTGGTACGCTTGGTAGTGTGGAACTGTAGGCCTGTTGAGGGGACTGCACGGGAGGTTGCGAAATGGTGGTGGAGCCACTTTGAGAAGGTGCATTACCCTGAACAACAGCAGTACGCGTCTCTTGGAATGAGTTTGATGATTGCAATGGCTGTTGATGGAAGGCTTGTGAGTGTGATGGAAGTGGCGCAGACTGTTGTGGCAGCGCATGCTGCTGCTGCTGTTGTTGTTGTTGTTGCTGTTGTGATATTTGCTGTTGTGAGTTCATCGGATATTGTTGAGACTCCTCTTCCTTGATTATATTTTGCCCAAAGGTTGAAGAAGGTTGAAATTTCCTCATCCCCGTAGTGCTGCTGGTCAAAAGTGAGGGATTCTGAGCAGAAAGGCCAGAATCTCCAGTAATTTGTACAGGAGCTTGAGGTTGAGGAGAAGGTTGGGGTGAGGAGAAAGACTCATTGAGAGCTAGAAGATCCCCAAGAGCACTTTGGTTGGGTTGTGATGAGCGAGGCTGTTCATCAAAAGATGGTTTAGTGTCTCTAGATGGGATAGAAGGATGAGGGTAGGAGTCCTGTGGTACCTGTTGAGGAGCTTGGTTATATAAACCCAGAGCAGGAGATTGCAAGAGCTGATCTGGAACGACATCGGGCAATTCTAATCCGCTATTTTTCTTTTGGATTAGGAACATAGCGATCGCAAATTCAAGTTTTGAAAACTCGGCATTGTTATGAATATCCGCTAGATCCCATACTGTTGCCAATGTATCTTGATTCAATCTTGAAGAGAGGAAAAATGGCACCAAAACCTGGGACCCCAAAGTTCCCGTCTTGTTTTTGTCCAGTGAATCAAAAATAGCATCGAATTGTTGCTTTTTCTCGTATGTTAAAGTCCAATCAGAGGCGGCATTTGTGAAGGTACTAGAGGATACCCGTGCAATTGAAGGCTGTCTCGCAACTGACGAATTGGAAGACAATCCCGTAGAGCTTCTGCTTAGAGGTGCATGGGCTGGACTTCTAACATTAACGGACTCCCACAAGTAGGCGGGTAGTGTATTTGGTAGCGCCACAGAAGGGTTCAGCATGGCCGTCTGAATCAAGTGCATGGCCATAACAAACTCAGGCTTACTTAAGGTGCCGGTATTGTTCCGGTCACATAGTGCCCAAATAGCGCCCAGAGTTTGGGTGGGCAGCTTGGCTTTTAAAAATATTTCTTTGGCCTTGTCACCCGCTAAAAATTGCGTTCCATTGGCTGATCTATCAAACAATTGGGCAAACTTGGAGACATCGTATCCTGAAACCGCAGGAATTGCACTGCTAACCGGGGTCCCGGTAGGTTCAGCTGAAACCTGGCCTTGAGATCCGAAAAAGGCAAGACGAGGAGCGGGAGTTTGGTAAAGCTCCGATGTAACAGGAAGTGACGCATTGACCTGTAGGTGGCCAATCATTCTTAGAGCGGCGTTGAATTGGGACGCGTTCAGAAAGCCCTGATTTCCGGTGTCACATATGGACCAAATTTGAGACAAAGATTGGGAATTGAGACCTGACCGGCTGAATAATGGCTTCACAGCCTCACCAGTCACAATACCCAGACTTTCGGGATCCAACTTTTTGAAGTGTTGCCCATAACTACCTTGCTCTTCCGCAGTTAAAGGCGTGCGGAAAACTATCGAAGGCATTGTGTTATTGGTATAAAATTTGTTGTTTGCGATGTACAAGTGGTTATGGCATCCTTGCAGTTCACGGATTATCTGGACAAATAGGGGCGGTCAGTGAACGTACATAGCGACTAAACAGATAGCCACCAAATTCACGTGAATCGAATCATCGAACCAACTGCGCACCGAAGATACGATTTCTTTTGACTTGAGATATGAGTGAGGAGTGTAGCGTTGCGTTTACTTATAGTCAGCTGCCCTGAGTATCACAGACAATGCATGTTTTGTGGTTCTTTTGCTATGGCGATGTATTTGCACTTTCTGTAGCCGCCAGCTTGACAGACCCCCAACTGCCGTATCAGTAGAACATTCGCTATGACTTTTTAATACTGCAGACAAATATCCGGGCAGTATATTTTCTCTTAAGTACACATTTCGAACAGTTATTTGCAGTTACACAGCTTTGATGTAGTTAGATGACCTTTTCATGTTTCATTCCTCAAGTCACGAATTTAGTCAGCATCTCGAATAAGTGATACTAGTACCTTCGTAAATAAACCATTTCAAGAAGACGGCAACTTGGCCGAGTGGTTAAGGCGTAAGATTAGAAATCTTTTGGGCTCTGCCCGCGCAGGTTCGAATCCTGCAGTTGTCGTTATTTTTGCTGAATTAACTTTTTTTTATGTGCGTGTTTAAGCTTACGGAAGTTTTAATGCTACTTCTAGTTGCTAGGTGAAGCAAAAGGAACTTGTATTAATTGCTGTGGAGGGCGACTATACAACGATTTTCTTCATTTTCAAGACGCCGATAACTTCTCTGGTCATTTCTGGCTTACAATATGCCCTTGATTACTTTTAATCGGAAGTTCTTCTGCGTGTTTGCTGCGAGTTGTATTGTGGCAGCATACCTTAGGCCTCAGTACTGATTCAAAACTTTCATTAATAACGTCAGATCATGATAAACTGGCTCATCTGTTGGTCTTCTGCATCGAGTCGTGGCTGTTTGCCAAAATGATATCTTCGCCAACTGTGGAGCTAGGTCAGCTGGTGTCCTATGTACGTTTTGGTGGTCATAACAGTGTCGTCACGGACACGCCTGCATTGTGGCGTGTCGATAAGCACGCTTTGTGCGTGTTTATTTGCACGATTTGTGGTGGCATTGGGAGTGAGTTTATGCAAAGCATTCTCTCTGGCGGAAAGCGCAAGTTTGATCCCCGCGATATCCTGTGCAACATCGTGGGTAGTCTTGTGGGCATCGCGGCTTCCTACTTTAACATCCTGTAACTTACGAATTAATATGTACATGTATTTACAGAAGGATACCAGAATGATTCACTTTAATTTGATATATGCTCTGTGCGCTATGGCAGTTTTATGCATTTGGTCTCTCTTGTCAAAGCCTGAGCTATTCCCCTTGAAAACAGAAACCAGCTCTTCCCCAAGCCTTACTGAGAAATCACTTGAAGCCCTCTTATTTGCGCCTTCAACAATCCATTTCCAGGCAATTCTGTTTCTCTGTCTGCTGTTTAAAGGAACTGGTATTACTGCTGCCTTTGCAACACCAGTTTTGAATGTCTTCACAATCATGAGAGGTGCTAGCTCATCTAAAGATTTCTTGAGGACTTCAATAGGATCTTGACGTGTCTGACAGAACACCAAATAGAGAGCACGAGACAACATTTTTTCGGCGCGCTGCTTTTTTCCATGTCTCATGATCATATTCGTAACGTGCTGTAAGGTTTCATCCTTACGTTCGGGTAAAGGAACTCCTTTTAATCTTTCCCATTCCGCGGTTTGCTCTTCAGTAGGTTCGAATATCTTCTCCTCGTTCATAGCTTCCTCGAGAATGTTAATCTTGGACTGACCTGGAGGTGCCAAAGATGTCTCAGGGAGAAATTGCTGGTCCGCAAACTCTGTCCTCAATGATTCGATAGCTTTTAACCAACCATCGATTTCTTCGTCAGTTAAGTGAGCTCCATTGTCCTTCGGAGCGCTGCTTTGGAGCCTTACAGAAATAGCCCTTCCGACTATAGGAGGTCTCATCATAGCTGAACGACCACTACATAGAGCCAGCTTGACAGCTCTCCCCTTTAATGCAAACATGAGGCTAAAGTTCAGCAATCGATTTTATTTTGAAGGGATTTAGCATCCTCTGCATTCATTTCATGAAAATTTTTCTAACTCATATCTAGTGTTGAAGTCGCAATGCACGATACTGCGGCCGTCACGAAAGTTAACGGTCTTTCCACTAACAACAATCGTCGAAGAAACGGTTGAAACACCCTACAATGCTCATGATGATGGGCATCAAATCGCGAAAGCTATATGAAAAATTGACTTCGATCGTAGTCGAGGGTGATGTGTCTGTATTTGAAAAGACTCAGCCTAGCGAATTATTTCCTGACCTCATCGTGCACCTCAGCCAAACAATACCGCAAGATATCTTCCAAACTAGTACAGATCACGATGATTTGAATATAAGATTAACGGACTTGGGCAGATATCTAGAAGCGAAGTTTGCAATGAAGAATCAATATCCATTTACTATGCAGCGGATTTGCGAATTGTGTTATCACCCATTGAAATACTTCAGGACACCAGAGCTGGAAAAGTTTGTGAATGCCCTCGAAAAGTGCTGTATGGTATCAAGTTCCTGGGATAGAGATGAAGTGAACAAACACGAAGAAGTAGCTGATGCAGGTGATGTTTCCTTATCAAAAATCCCTTGGCTGGATGAAACTCAAGAGCATGATCTGGGATCTTTCATCAAAGAAATTGAAACTGTTGTAAGTGTCAACTTTGGCTACGAAAATGATGATGATGAAGATCTGCAAACGCGAGATGTGATAATCAAAGACTACTACGACGAAGATGAAGACGACGAGGCCGATGCTGACTATGAAGAAGAAGCGGAGGATGCAGAAGAAGTGGAAGAGGAGGAAGAAGAAGAAGAAGGAGAAGACGAAGAAGATAAATTGGATGATGACGTTACTGTTGAAACCAATCCTACTGAAGATTCAAGGGAAGGGACTATCACCAGCGATGCAGACGACTTAGAAATGCCAGAGGCAATACGCAAACGCAAACCCACGGAACTGGATGATTACAAATACGAAAGCAGAGAGTCTCCTGGCGACACAACACCAAAAAAACAACGATCGGGGACAAATACATCGGTACTGACGAACTCTCCCTCGATAGCGCGAAGCGCAGGTAGTCAGAATGCCAGCCTGGAGCAGCAAATTTCTATGTTGATATCTCCCAAAAGCATGAGCGAAACAATGGACAAAGCGGTCGCCACTACCGACCATGATGAAAATGGTCACTACAAAGAGACAAGTCCTCTAATAAGTAAAACAAAAAGGTTAAATAAATAAACACTTCATAAAAAATTCAATGGATGCATGAAAACTCGACTATCTTTTTTAATCTTCGGTACCAAAGACTAACAACTTTCCGTCTTCATGTCAAATATTTTGTATAAAATAATATAAATAATTGTTGTATTTCAGTGGTGCTGGTTAATTTGGAAGTCATTTGCAAACATCCAACTAGGGTGAATATGAAAAAAAGAGATATAAAAGTGTAAGGAAAAAAAGGTCTTCTGTTTATTACAAGTGTTTTTTTTTCATGAACTTCATAATATGATGTCAGCCCCATGCTATCCTAGTGGGGAAGTATCAATCAGACGTGAGGTTAGTACCCAATTTACCGGTACAACATAAATCACCATCTCATCATGCTCATGTCGTTTCTGATTCTCATGTAGTCCAACAAACCCTCGATTTGACCGGTACCACAGATTGCAATATCTTGATCCCACAATTTGTTGGAGGCCCACTTCTTGATGTCCTTGACAGAGATGGCATCAATCTTGGCAAAGACTTCAGTCAACGCTGGCTTGGCACCTAAGGCCAAAGTTTGCGCACCCAACTTAGTTGCGATACTAGCGTTGTCAAGAGCACCAGAAGCCAACTTCAACTTCAACATAGCCTTACCACGGGCAACTTCTTGTTCGGTAACAGAGATGGACAATCTGTTCCATTGCTTCAAAGTGAAGTGAATCATGTCATCGACTTGGTCGATGTTGGAAATGACAGTGGAGAAACCCCATAGACCGGAATCTTTGTATGATAGAGAATAGTGGTCAAAGGTTTCGCACAAGTGGTAGTCTTGGATTTGATCTAGCAGCTTGATACCTTGCAATCTAGAGGCAGGTTCAGAAGCGGTGAAGGATCCAAAAACTTCAGCGGCAACTTTAGCCACGTAGTATTGAGGTGAGGTTACTTTTTCACCCTCAGCGGCAATGGAGATCCATGCCTTTGGCAAAGTGTCGTCTCTTAGTCTGATTTCAGAACCTAGGAATGTGGACTTCTTTTTTGGAACTGGCTTTTCGCCAGATTTCAAAGAAACATGAGATTCAACAGCCTTTAGCAAATCTTCGTGTGCGATGTTACCAGAACCGACAATGACGGCGTTGGAGGACAAAAATTGGTTTTGAGCAAAAGCTTCGACGTCGCCCTTTTCCAAACCTTCAACAGATTCAACAGTACCTCTGGTTGGGAGACTCAAAGGTGTGTTTTGGAAAGCGGTAGCGTGCAAGTGCTCTAACACACGACCGGCGTGGTCCTTTTCTTCAAATTGGGCCACTTGCTTCAAGATGGTGGACTTGGAAGCTGCGAAAGAGGCGTCTGTTAGACCAGAGGCCAATTGGCCTTGCAAGAACTCCAAAGCTTGCGCGGCAGAGCCTTGAGTACTGGCCACGTAGGATTGGAAGTCTCTACCCACAGTGGTGGAAAGCGACAAACCTTTCTTGGCAGCTTCAGCAGCGTTGGCAGTTTCGAAGACGTGGGACATCACGTTGGAGACACCATTGTTGTAAGGGTTTTCGGCACAGGAACCAGAGCCAAACACAATACCGACACTAGAGGACGCAGAGTTTGGGTTGGTCTCTGTGGCGACGACGAGACCATTAGACAGCTCGGTGATCTGGGGCTTTGGGGCAGCCTGGGTGGCAATGCATCTCTTGAGAAGAGACGATCTGGAGGCGGTTCTAATCATTTGGCGAGCTCTTGTTGGAGAGAAGAGATGAAGAGAATACAACCAAAGTTGATTGTACGCGCACAGCGAGAAAGGGCATACATACTTTTTCTCGTTGTATCGGGGGTAGCGGCTGGGAAAAATTTGCGCAAACGGCGGTCTGTGATTGGCTCGTAGAAAGGTACCTGGAGGAAAACAGCACGAGACTGGGCGGAGGGCCCGATCACGTGACTCCATAGAAATCCGCCACGTGACACCTGGTGTCGGGCGTGGTTCAGCGACGACAGGCGGCAGTTTGGGATCAGAGGGGCGTGAGAGATGACAGCTCGCCAGTGCCCGAGCTGCGGCTCGCACAAAAGGCCGGTAGAGCGCTCAAAGTCGAGATAGCGCTCGAAGTCGAAGTAGCTCCCACGCCAAGGCTCAACATGTAGGCTCAACGTCAAGGCCCCGCCTCAAGACAGCGGCCATAACCAAACCAGCACCGTAACCATCGCGTGATTCCAGACCCCACAGCCACCAATAAGCTTCTTCTGTGTCTGGTACCGTTCTTAAGTTGCCGCCGAACAACAGAATTGTGGTGGAAAAACATAATAAACCATCCTCTGCCGTCGTGGGGGGGCCTCGGCGGCTAACGTACAAAACGAGAAACACAAAAAACAAACTCCAGCGGCGCGCGCCGGGTTTACGTTTTCGGCGCGGCAGCAACGCTTATGCCCGATTACGGCCGGAGGACCCGCTTGCCAGCCCGTTCCCTTGCCCGCTATCCACTTTACTCCGCTGTCGGCCCGCGCGCGGGCTGGCGATCCCGTGCGGCGTACAGTGTGCACCACGCCCGGCTAGCTGGGGACCGAGGCGGCTTGTGGACAGAACTGCGTACAGGGATACGCATAGAACCCAGCAAGTACCCCCGCGGGCCAACGGCCGCTGGTTCGCGAAGCTTCCCCTGGTACGAAAATAACATCGAACGCTGCACATCGCGACAAGCTGGTTCCACACAAAACCATTCTAGTCTCTCATCTCTACAACGGAGCTGCGCTGCCAAGAGTACACACACATACGTGCTACTACGATATACGTGTGCATTTCTTTTACTATTTCGTCTCTAACAGCCATTCTCTTCCTTCCTGACACAACTCAAATCAGAAAAACACCTTACATCACCCAGGTGTCGCTTCGCTCACAGTGAAGTCATTGACATGCCGAAACTGTCACTTTTGGCCGACGCGCCCGCGCGGGCGGACGCAGCGTGAAAAAAAACCAAGCGCTTGGCGGAAAGGGACGTATCGGCAGGGTTAACTCCTGCTCCGGGGGTAGGTGCCTGGCTTCACCGGGCGCGGGCCCGACCGGTTCGCAGCTTATCAACGGGCATGAAGGGCGTGCCAAAAGCAGGTCTGTCGTAAAGACGTCGCAACGGCAGGTTCGCTGGTCTGGCGTTTCACACGACGCGCATCTCATTGGCTTACAAATTCAAAAGGCTCCTGCTAAATCGCTGACAAGTCACTGGCAGCGATGGGCAGGTTGGGCTGGGGGTGAGACGAAAATGTTTTTGCCAAGGATTTCCTGTCTGACAAACAGCGTCTGACAAATTAGAAAATCGTAACTCGGACGGATTAGGCTACTTCGTGCACATACGACTAAGTAAGATTGATAAGATTAACAAGAATAATAAGATTATTAAGATTTTACACTTACGTAGCGCTCGTAGATCGAATGCGGTTTGCTCTGGATGGTCCGTGCGGCGCAAGTTGCGGTCGTTCTCTTCCGCTTCCAGAACGACGCCGTCATCGTTCTAGTTGCTCGCTCCGTGCGTTTCAGGTAAGCGCCGTTTGCTTCGGCGTATTTCCTATTTCCTGTTCTTCCGCGCGGGGCCCGCTTTGCTGGGCACAGTCGCGTGCCCACGCGCTCCCACGCGCAATCCCGCAAAAATCGTAGCGCGTTCGCACGGCGCGTGGTTGAACAAACCCAGCGGCGGGGCTAGTTGGCGGGGCTAGTAGACGGGCAGATTTGGTGTGTGTTTGCGTCCAGATTGCTTTAGCGTTTGTATCGCGGGAGCGTTTGCGTCGGCCGAGCTCTTAGTGCGCGTTCGTTGCAAACGAAGCGATCTTTTGGTTCCGTGTGCCGGGTGTTTAAAGCGCATATGGCAGCTCGGCCGCGCCCCGCGGAGTAGTTCTAAACGGGCAAGCGCTGCTGCGGACTTATTTCCGTTTTTTTTTCGTCTCGTCCGATGAGTAATCGCCGGGCACGCTCCGCGGACATTTTTTGCTCGGTTGCGGAAACCTAATGCATTCCTTCCGCCGCAAGCTGCGGGTAGCGATGACAAATCGCTCACGTCCGTGTAATATATAATATAGATGCCTGACGCCTAGCAGATGCTTGGCTTGTTATTACAGTCAACCAAAAGCGTTTCCTACCATACTCTAAGAGCTTTCAGCAATGACACACCAGTCGACATTGCTATCTTCGATTTCACAGCAGTACGTGCTTGCCAACAGAGCGCGCAGCAAGCTTCTCACGTGCGCGGCGGCCGGCAAGAAGAAGGACTTCGATCTTCGTGTGTTGGTGGGCCACGCCAACCTTCTCGACCGCGTCATGGAGAGCATACAGAGCATCGACCTTGACAGCGATGAGCGCGAGTACCACGGCGTCGTTTCGCCAGAGTACGCCGCGACCGGCAAAGACCGCTCGGCCGACGCGCCCACGATGCTCACCACACACGAACTCTACGACAGCGATTCCGACTCCGATAGTTGTTCCGACGAAGACGACGACGCCTACAGCAGCGACTCCGAGAGCGACAGTGACGAAGAAGAGTACATCTCCGACGATGAATCGTCCGACAAGAAATATGAATACGTTTTGGACTCATCCTACAGGTTATCTGTCTCGCACAAGCCTGCAGAGCTAAACTCTCGCAGCGTTCCTCGCGTGACAACCACCGCATTGGCTATTTCCGAAGACGACGAAGACAGTGACGAGGGCGAGTACGCTTATGCGCGCGAACAAGATCTGGCGGTTCTTCGGCCCGTTTGGGTATGAGCCCGTGTCGCGTGCAGCGATCTAGAGAATGTCTGGAAAAAATCCGGCAATCCTCGCAATTCCACTAATATTCATGAGATGTACATCTTTTTTTTCACGACGTTACGACTTACAAGTTATCCTACTCCTAAGTAATTAATGTAAATACGGCCAATAGCGATCCATGTGTCTGGGCGGCGACCCTCCACATGGCTGTTCTAATTTTCATTGTTTGTTTTTTTTAATCTATCAGGGTGCAATTCAACGCGTACCGCGCGCTGGCACCATGAGGTGCTTGGAAGGGTTCTTGTAAGCGCCTTCGCGGTTCATGAAAAAAAAAACAACTCTCCCTATGTTATGAAGCTGCGAAAAACTCAAGAAGGGTACTAGCTGAAACTTGCGGGGCTGATGCAGTAAACAAACAAACTCCCCTCCATTTCGGGGCACTGTCCTGGACAAGCGTTCAGCGGATAAACGACGACCGGAGTGCGGGGTTTATCCGCGTCACGGCGATCATGTCTCCACTCCGGAAAAATTTATTTTCGCCGCAACCCCCGCTTGTGTGCCTAGATTCGTGGGATGGTGCGTTCTAATGTCGGAAGAAAAAATCGCAATTCGCTAAAATAATTAATCCGCATATTACATAAGCAGGCCAACGGCTTTCTCCAGCGTTTGTGCAGGTTACGGCGTTGCATTACCCTGACTGAGATCATGTGACTAGTTGGCGGGTAAAACTTGCCTTTTTAAGCTCGGCAAGCTCCGGATCGCATCTCGGTTTCCTATGCCGTTTCAAGTCTGCGTTACCGACCTTGGCGAAACCCTTCCAAAGGCTGCATCGATAAAGCTGGTCGCCATATAAGACCCTAATATTGGTCTTTCATCATCAAACAAATTTCAACAGGGCTAATTGAGTTAGAAAGCAGTCAACATCTATTATAATGCTAAGAGATTACGCGCCAATTGAAGGCGTAAGCAATAACCGGCGTAAGCGGGTGTGGTCAATCGCTGCCATCGTAACATTTGCGCTGTTCTGTGCATACCACCTCTGGAATTCGCTTGGAGGCGATACATCAGGGCCTTCTCTCGAAGCTCTCATTTGTGATCAAGTTGAAAAGACTACAGCCTTACCAGTTGAGAAAGTTCAACAATTGCTAGCAGATGAGAAGTTATACAACGACACACTTGGCAAACTTGTCAATGCAGTAAAAGTTCCTACCGAAATCTACGATACCTACGTGAATCCTGATATTGACCCCTCTTTTGCAGGCTGGGAGCCATTCAAGCTAATGCACAAGCAACTCGCCAAAGATTTCCCTGCGGTATGGTCTCAATTGAAAGTAGAGACCGTTAACCACTACGGTCTTATCATCACATGGAAGGGTTCCGACGCTGCCCTCAAACCCGCTATGTTTGCTGCTCACATGGACGTTGTTCCGGTCGAGAGGAAAACATGGTCAAGTTGGGAACACGAGCCATTCAGCGGTGAAGTTAGCGAAGACAGCGAATTCGGCACTCTTGTGTGGGGTAGAGGAAGTTTCGACGACAAAAACATGCTGATTGGTATTCTACAAGCCTTAGAGTACATGCTGACAGAGGAGCCAGATTTTGTTCCGCAGAGAAGCGTCATTGTTGCTCTGGGTTTCGACGAGGAGGCAGGCGGACCATTTGGAGCGGGTTACATCACAGATATCCTTTACAAGAGATATGGCAAAAACGGTATTCTATCCATTGTTGATGAAGGTGTTCTGGGAGTTAAAGAAGTGAGCGATGTGCTAGTGGCCTCTCCAGGAACCGCTGAAAAGGGTCGCTGCGACGTGTGGTTCCACCTAAACACCCCAGGTGGTCACTCGTCTGTTCCTCCTGATCACACTTCCATCGGGATTGCTGCAGAATTAATTGCATCCATCGAATCGAGCAAATTTCCTGCCATGTTCACTGATAAGAATCCCTTCTCGCAATACCACAGATGCATCGCCGAGCACTCACCCTCAATGGACCCCCGTCTCAAGAAAGACTTTAGTCGCTCCATGGAGGATGACGCTGCCAACAGCCGTGTCATTAAATACCTGATTGAAACAGGCGGAAAGAAAACAGAATATTTGATGCGCAGCACACACGCATTTGATATTATTCAAGGAGGAATCAAGGCCAATGCTCTTCCAGAAACTGTTTCTTTCCTAGTTGATTCTAGAATTGCAGTTGAATCTAGTGTTGCGGAAATAAATCAAGTGTTCATTGAAAAGACACTAGCCGTTGCCGCAAAATATGACCTTGGAGTCACTTTCCAAGGCAATGTACTCAGACCAGCTACCCCCAACGGTAACTTCAATTTGACTCAGGAGGGCTCGCTGGAACCTGCTCCCCCTTCACCTAACAACGATGTTTGGAAGTCCTTCGCGGCTACTATCAAGACTCTCTACGAGGATGTTGTCTTTCCCACCAAATTCGACGAGCCTCGCGAGCTCGTCGTTGCACCAAGTATCATGTCGGCTAATACCGATACTGCACACTACTGGAACTTAACGGAAAACATATACCGTTACCAACCAGGTTTTGCCCTAGAAGACACTCTTTCTACGATACACAGTGTCAATGAGCACATAAATTTTGAAACGGTAATGCACGTCGTTGCCTTCACGTACGGGTACGTACACGTAGTAAATACTGAACGCTATATAAATTGATTCATATTTAAGTAAGTAAAATAATACCGTTTAAATTAAGATAAGAGAAGCTTCTTCATTGTTCTCGTGTAAAATGATTTAATGTTTTTGGATATCGATTCTACTGCAGTTGAAGGCAGGTGGCGAAAACTAAATGAATTAGCTATTCGCATACAGCAACAATAGCATACACACCAAGCTACTATGGCATCAACCGTGGCTTCAGAGTACTCGAATGAGGTAAAAAATGTGCCCATTGAACACCAATTTAACCCATATTCTGATAACGGTGGTACAATTCTCGGGATCGCTGGTGAGGACTTTGCAGTTATAGCAGGTGACACAAGAAACACAACGGACTATTCGATAAATTCGAGATACCAGCCTAAGGTGTTCGACTGTGGTGACAACATTCTGTTTTCAGCCAATGGGTTTTCTGCAGATGGTGACGCCCTAGTGAAACGATTCCAAAATAGTTTGAAATGGTATCACTTCGACCACAATGACAAGAAGCTAAGCTTAAAGTCTGCCGCTAGAAATATTCAACATCTGCTATATGGGAAGAGATTTTTCCCATACTACGTTCACACAATTATAGCTGGTTTGGATGAAGAAGGAAAAGGTGCTGTATTCTCTTTTGACCCCGTGGGATCCTATGAAAGATCTCAATGTATTGCAGGAGGTGCCGGAGCTTCAATCATTATGCCATTTCTAGATAACCAAGTCGACTTTAAGAACCAGTACGTCCCCGGTAGCCACGGCACAGAACGTCGGAAAGCGCAGTATCTGACTGTTGACGAGGTGATCAAGCTTGTACGTGACGCGTTCACCTCTGCTACCGAAAGACACATTCATGTAGGTGATGGATTGGAAATCTTGATTGCCACGAAAGACGGCGTTCGGACGGAATATTTCCCACTAAAGAGAGATTGAACCTATAGTGATCGTATATAAAGGAAGATGAATTTGTATTGAAACAAGGATTTCATTTAGTGCAGATAAGGATTAGACATGGGCTCGTGAAAAAAATCAAGTTGGCAACTCAAATCCTTTGCCCCTCAACACTTTTTTGTAGTATATGTAGAAGAAGTCCGAGTACAGCAACGTTTGTATCACACCAGTAATCACCGACCACTTGTCAAGCTTCCGGCCCTCAAACGTATATCTCCAAATCCAATTAGGGATGTACAAGGCTCTATAAAGACCAAGCGAGAATATGTAATGCGTTGTCAATGTCTGTGTTTTGTGAGAGCGAGAAAGCATAAACAATTGTGGCAAAATGGCAATACTCTCAAGCCACATAGAAAAACTCCAACAGAGTTCCAAAACCGTAAATTTGTAGTGGAAAAAAAGGGCGAGCACAGCGCTTGCACCCAGCAGGTATTTGATTTGAAAAGTGTCACGGATGAGCATATCACGATATGCAACTGCATTGGTCACTTTGCAACGCTCCATGAGCATTACAACATATACTGAAGAACATATGAACACGAGTTTCAGTAAAGTATTGTAGAAAGAAGTCCAATGGAATGTTAACAAGTCGAGATATCTGGTGCAAAAGACAATCACGTACAAGACCTGCGTCTTGAGGGAAATACCGTCAATTTGACCTGTCTTACGCACAGTATGAAGTAAAATGAATATACTGGCCAGATGAGACAGGTCTGCCGCGACTCTGAATATGTTTAACATGTTTTTATCTAGGTCAACTGCGATATCACACTATGTATTGTCAATTCACAAATAGCCAGCGTAGCTCTAAATTTCTAGAAACAATGGTCCTTCGTATAAAAAGATTTATTATTACAAGTCCCTCAGGTAGCCAAAGAGCATTTCATCTTCATCCAAGTCGTAGTAATCATAACTTTCGTCAGACTCATCGCCAGATATATCTTGAAACTGTGTAGGATAGGTATCAGACCCATCACGAAGCTCGGCCAGCGACTCGTAATAGGAGGCGTGCGGTAAGTCATTTACGTACTCGCGACATCCGGCGGAGTGCACGAAACAGTGCTCAAGTAATCCTTCAAGTCGCTGAGTAACGGACATTCTATCTGCACCGGGGTACGTAACGGACAAAAATTCGAACTTGATAAGCGGCGTGTTTTCGGGTGTGTACATGTCGGACTTCCCGGCTAGCGATAAAACAATTGTGGGGAAAAAGCTGCATCGCAATGTATTGGTCCAATGCGCAGCTCGAGCATCGGAGGCATCTACTCGGTAAACGACAAGTCCATCATCTTTGTAGCGGCTTCCGAGCAACTCCAAAATGGAAGTTGCAAGCTCGCCATTAAACTGGTTGAGGTGGTCCACATCCATCCAAGGCGAAACCAACGCAATCAATGCTGGATGCTGTTGCAATAGCAGCTCAAGCTCCGGCCAATTGTGTGGGTCGCCCACGTCGTGAACCACCGAACCAGGCCAACGCGCAAGAATGCCCGTGTGCTCACTCACGTAGGACGCCAACGCCTGCGCACCGCGTGCACCGTCGTGCTTACCCACAAAACTGCGTGTTCGCACCTCTTGCTCGTCAGAAGCTCCACCCTGGAACAGCAACAGCTCCGGGAAACTTCGCACGCCCATGTCATGCACGAACCGCCTCGCCTGTCGTCCATCGACGGCAAGCAGCTCTATCTCCTCACCAAAGACCTGCTCAAGGAACATAAAGTGCGGTGCCAGCTCTGCACAATATCTGCAACCATCGGCGTACACTTTGACGAACGTCGGCCGTTGCGTCCCGATCAGTGCGCTATACGCTTCACTGCTACTCTGCACGTCTCGCAGCCCCCCAACAGCGCTTATAAGGCCTACAACGACAAATACAACCAATAAGCACCTACCAAATCGACCCATATGAGCCTGACTACGTGCAATTATCGTTTTATCACAGGTCCGACGCAGTTGATGAATAACGTGCCCGAAATTTCAACTCCATGTCCTTCACCAACCAGTGTTCAAATGTCATTTTTTTACCACAACACAGTCATACAAACGTGCCAGCGAATCTTCCGCCGTCCAGCGGATGCTGCAATGTGGCTCTTCACAGCTCTCGTCGTTGCTAGCACCGTTTACACGCTCGTTTGGCCGTCTGGGCGCCGCCCTCGCGGACCGTCCCGATGATTGGTCAGTTAAAGTATAGTTACCCGGCCTATATTTCCGTCTCCCCCAATAGGGGCCGCAAATATAAAGACAGGAAAGGTGCATTGCTATCTGATCACAACCACTACAGTCCAAGAGAATTTACAGAAAACAGAAATGGTCAAAGCAGGTATGAATCATGTGGTCATTTTGCACAAAGCAGATGCATAAGGTGGGCGGCTGTGGGGACGCTCCAACGATCCGTTCGCTCGCAATCGCGTAAAACATATTGATGACTAACACAGCAAACAGTTGCAGTTTTAAGAGGAGACGCTGGTGTCTCTGGTGTAGTTCACTTCGAGCAAACAGCTGAGAACGAACCTACTACCGTGTCATGGGAAATCACTGGGTGTGATGCCAACGCCAAGAGAGGTTTCCACATCCACGAGTTCGGTGACAACACCAACGGTTGCACTTCTGCTGGTCCCCACTTCAACCCTTTTAAGAAGACCCACGGTGCCCCAGAAGACGAAAACAGACACGTTGGTGACATGGGTAACATTCCAACTGATGGCAAGGGTGTGGCCAAGGGCTCTAAGACTGACAGTCTCATCAAGCTACTAGGTCCTACCTCCGTGTTGGGCCGTACTGTGGTCATTCACGCTGGTACTGATGATCTTGGCAAGGGTGGCAACGACGAGTCCCTAAAGACCGGTAACGCCGGTACCAGACCTGCTTGTGGAGTTATCGGTATCGCCAACTAAGCTCTAGCAACCGGCACTAAGGTTGCGTCGCTTATTTAGTTATATTCTAGTAGACATGTAGGTAGTAACATATGGCAATCGATGTTATATCAAGCATGCTTGTATGCAAGTGGAACGTTAGCGCAACGGCGCGGCTGACTAATCGCGAGCTGGTTTTTAATGATCTAAAAACAGTTTTGTCAAATGCAATGGCAATGCAATCGCATTGCAACGGAAATTCGTGGTTAACCACACTTACTTTATACATCTCTACTTAGAATTGTGTGAGATACACCTCCTTTTAAAACTCTGCTTTTTCGGTAAAGCTTGTTTGCTCGCTTAACACTTGATCCAAAATGCCTGAAGACGCTGCCACCAACCCCAAAAATGGCTTCGATGGGTCCAAAACCTTGGACATGTACTCTGGGTGGTATTGTGTCGCCACATAGTATGGGTGGTTACGCAACTCCAAGATTTCGCATCTTTCCCCGGTCTCGTCCTTACCCACGAAAATCATTCCTTCATTCTCTAGTTGCTCAACCAACTTAGGGTTGACCTCGTAACGGTGACGATGTCTCTCGTGAACTTCACTAGCACCGCCGTATAACTTACGAATCTTACTCCATTCGGAATCGTTTTGGAAGTTAGTAGGACGCAAGCCGAGTCTCATAGTACCACCCATTTTTTCTTTGTCAATCTCAGGCATGTAAAGAACAGCATGCGATTCTTCTGGACTGTCTCCGTCAAACTCCGCAGAAGTAGCATCCTTCAATCCCAAGACGTTACGTGCAAACTCAATGGTAGCCACTTGCAAACCTAGACACACACCCAAGTATGGAATGTTATTTTCACGAGCCCATTTAGCGGCCAAAATCATACCCTCAGTACCTCTGGAACCGAAACCACCGGGAACCAAAACACCATCAGCACTGCTCAACTTGTTCCAAGCGCTGTGGAACTTGCTCTTATCAGTTTCATTAGCTTCAGGCTCCAAATCAGATGCCTCAACCCATACAATGTCCAACTTGCGACGGCATCTCATGCTACAATGTTCGAGGGACTTAATCACAGATAGGTAAGAGTCCTTTAGATTTGTGTATTTACCAACTAATGCGATCTTGACAACCTCAAAGGACTCGTCAATGGAAGTTGTCAACGATCTCCATCTAGCCAAGAGATTGTCACCACGTTTCTTGTCCTCAGCATTTAATGTAATCTCGCTGAGCTTCAACCTAGCAGACAAGTAGTCGATCATTTTCTGTTCGAGCAAAAGCAATGGAACGTGATAGGTAGAGTTCACATCGTGCACGTTCACGACTTGTTCAGGGCCCACATGACAGAACATAGCGATCTTGTTAATAGTTGGATCATCTAGAGTTTCGGAACAACGACAAGCAATCATGTCGGGAGTAAGACCCAAGGATCTCAAATCTTTAATAGCAGCTTGGGTTGGCTTTGTTTTCTGCTCACCGTGGATCACGGGAACTAGAGAAACATGAATTAGAGAAAAGTTGTCTCTGCCAACTCTGAATTGGAATTGTCTCAAAGCCTCTACGAAAGGAGCGCTCTCGATGTCACCCACAGTACCACCAAGCTCGATGATACATACCTCGGGTTCAATACCGGAGTCATCAACTGGAATCCTGGCAACACGCTCGATCCAATCTTGGATTGCATCTGTCAAGTGGGGAACCACCTGGACCGTCTTACCCAAGTAGTCACCTTTTCTCTCACGAGAGATCACATGCGAATAGATTTTACCAGTTGTGATGTTGTGGTCCTTGGTCAAAGTAACACCAAGATATCTCTCGTAGTTACCCAAGTCCAGATCTGTCTCACCACCATCATTCAACACAAAACACTCACCGTGTTCTAGCGGAGACATAGTACCGGCATCGATGTTCATGTAAGGATCAATCTTAATCGATGTCACACGCAACCCAAGTGTCTTGAGCAACATACCGGTAGAGGATGCTAGCACACCCTTACCGATACCAGAGATAACACCACCCGATACAATAACGTACTTCATAATGTGATTCTGCGAGACAGGCTATTCCTACTATCGATGACTGACAGACAGAACTATGAAAACAAGAAAAAAAGAAATAAGAGAAAAGCAAGGGGGTGAGTGAAGAGAAGTAGAAGGGAAAGTGTTCAAAATTTCGAGTTCTCAACGGGTCAAGTTCTTCTATCTTTATACTCATCGATGTGGACCAAAAAAAAAATTTTCATGCAAAAAAGCAATCATGTGGCTATTATGAGGTGTGTGGGTGAGCTCATCGCATTGGCTGGCAGGGTTTGAGATGTGTCATTGATCAGTAACGTAGGTTTGCAGACCATTAACTTGCCTTCTAAGGCGCCAGAGTAATTCAAATCGAGCCTCTTCTTTCAGATATGCTTCTTGTATCGGTTTGCAGGAGTTTCAAGGCTTTGACGGCCGTCGATCTTTCAATCCAGAAGCAGAGTTCCTCTTAGCAAGAATCCTGAGCTTATCACAGACGATCACCTGGACTCAAAGGTACTCAAGCCATTTGTTAATAACAGAATCTGTGCCCTGATAGCCACTATGAATTATGAGCGCTCCAATAATCTCAGTGAGTTTTTCGTTTTCTTGTCGCAACGCGTCCTCTTCTTCGGAACTAATATTCTGAGCTGGTTGGCTTGAACTTGGGCTCTGTGCTTCTAGTGACCTCAGGCGAATTGTTTCGACCAGTTCTCGGATTTCTGGTCGCATCCGCTTATAATTTGCCCTGAGTAAGCTGAACTCTTTCACAAGTTGCAGATTCTTATCTTGCAAGCTCACCACCTCTTGGTCCAGCTCGTAGTTTTCTTGCATCATCTCCAAAAGCCGTTTCTCGAGGTCATTTGGGTTGTTGGCATCGGTTATTGTCTTGATTGTGGGGACGGTCATGGCGAGAGATGTCTGCAGCTGGTGGCGGATCGCCAGAAGAGATTCATCAAGTGGCTTGATGCCCTTACGTAAAAGATAAAGCCTATCAAGAGCTTTGAGTAGTTCTCGGTATAGCTCTACATGCTGATGTTCCAATTCTCGTATCTCCTGCTCCATTGTCTGCTAGCGATTTTGAAGGAAGATGCAGGAAAAGGACCGAAAACCATAAAGTCGTCCAAGAACATATGTTAAGATAGAAATGACAGAGCCACAGACAATAACTGCACAGCTACCACCAATTTATTCTTTCCCTCCTTTATATACATGCCAGCCCAATGCGCTGATCAGACAACAGCAGTTAGATACATGGTGTGAACTAATACTAGAATTTGCAAAAACAAATAAGGCATGGTGCATGTCTCAGGAAGGAACAATTGTGACAAATTCTGAACAGGCCTCCTCCATCCCAAGCATATTTGTGAACGAGCAAATTCAACGGTCAGCAGCTGCTCCCTTCATAGAAGAGATATGGTCAAAAATGCTTCAATCAGAGAAGGCCATAAGGTCAAGCAAGTCGACGTACATTATCCTATGGAAAAGCCTAGATTCTTGGAGTTCCCTCATATTGCAGTGGTGTGAATCTTCAGGGAAACTTAATCAAGTTATTACGCTTTATGAGCTGACGGAAGGTGATGAAACTTTGGACTGGGAATTCCATGGAATGGACATCGAACTCTGCGAGAAATGCCTTCTCAAGCTCTGTGATCGCGGTAGGGCCACTATGCTCAAGGATCAAGGCAAAGTAATGGGGGTAAAAATCGTGTAATTTAACTTACTATTTACATGTACGTACGAAGCTGATTATTGCCAAATTACACCTTTCCTGTGTACAATCTTCCATTTACTACTGTCCAATTGAGATTGTCCAAAACATTTCTAACATACTGTGATCTGTTTTTCACACCATAATCGTGCAAATAGGCGTGATCCCATAGACTTACTGCGATCAGTGGCATGGTCCAATCCTGTATTTTTTCTCCCTTCTTGACTATTTTCTGAATGGCATCGTATTGTGCGAATTCCTCCAAAGAAAGCGCCGAATTGAGATCGAACGATTGGTTACGTGGAAAGTAGTAGGGCGTGCCATTGCTCTGTGTTGTCAAAATGTGTAGCTGCTTCTCACTATTCTCGACTAAAAACAACCATCCTTGGCCAAGTACGTCAGCTTCAGCACGGCGCACCATTTCTTCTTTAAATTCATCCCATGTGCAGCCGTATTGTTCCTGAATACGCGATTGTAAAAGCCTGGAAGGAGCCGTCTGCGCTTCAGTAGGTAATATGTTCTGCACGAATAAATGATTGTTGTGAACCGCAGAAGCCAAATTAAAAATCTTAGCCTGAAAAGGTTTCTTTGCTGTATTTAATATCAAATGAAATGGCAAATAAGACTCCTGAGAGGATCCTGCTGTGGCTAGTGTCAGTTTGTCACATAGTAGTTTCTGTTGCTGAGTCCAGGCGATTTGAAACCCCGCCGCGCTCCAGACGTTAGGAATACCATATAGAGATAGTTGATTGAGCTTTGGTAGCTTAGGAACCGTATGAATACTTCTTCGAGCAGCGAACCGATGCATTGTGGACAGTGTTACGGCCCTTTCACTTGAAGGCGCGTTCTTCAAGATTCGAAAATTTTTTTTTAAATGTACATTTCTGAAAAAAGTTCCAAAATCCGGACAAATAGGTAACGGAAGAGTAATTGTCATCCGGTTTTGAAACCTCCAATACCTATATTCACGACATGCACACTAGCTGAAGAACTTAAAGCATTAGGTTCAGTTTGGAATATATCAGCTCTGTCACATAAAGTTACGTAGTTAACGAGCACTCACAACTTCTACAATAACACATCCACCATGGAAAATTCGATAAATTTGATAACGAGAAATCTGAGCAGAAGATGGTATTCGCCACTTCCTAGAAGTATTAGAAAAAGACCACTAAAGCATAAGCCGGCTGTTCTCTCAAGCTCGGATTCTAATACCAGCTCCAATTCTATCATTCAACCATACCACCCAATTGCCACCACGATCTTGAATGAGCCGACTATTGTTGTCGAAAGACAAATTGAGATGATGAACGTATTTTTGGGTTATGAGCAAGCTAATAAGTATGCGATCATGGATGTCATGGGAAACAGGATCGGCTACATGCAAGAAAGAGATTTCTCTTTAACAAAAATGATAATGAGGCAGTTTTACAGGCTCCACCGTCCATTTTTAGTTGATGTGTTCGACAATTGGGGAAATGTTATCCTAACAATCAAGCGACCTTTTTCATGGATAAACTCACATATAAAAGCCATTTTACCAGAGCAGACTGCGATATCGTCTGCACAGACTAGCGACCCCTATGTGGTCAAATCGCCTCCCTTCGGCTCCGTTCCAGAACCTCAATCTACATCAACTTTTGGTGAGGGTGGAACCCTTGTCGGTGAGAGCATACAAAATTGGCACTTGTGGCGACGTCGTTATGAATTATTTCAGCGAGACTCACAAGATGCGAATACTTTTGCCCAATTTGCGCAGATAGACGCTCCATTTCTCAGCTTTGAATTCCCTTTAGTAGATCAGGCAGGAAAAATAATGGGAAGTGTCGACAGAAATTGGGTTGGACTGGGAAGAGAACTTTTTACCGACACTGGTGTCTATGTCATCAGGATGGACACTTCACAAAGTTATGAGGGTGTTTATCCACCTGAAGTATTGAGTAGCGAGATACTATCGCTAGATCAACGGGCTGTGTTGTTAGCTAATGCAGTTTCTATCGATTTCGACTATTTCTCAAGGCATTCGGGACATGGTGGTGGACTCGTGAGTTTCGGTGACTATGGAGAATGAAAAAGCCTGCGAAGGACATTACGAGGCGTCACCTATAATTATATAATATGTCAGTTATCTATTCTATGTGCATATAATTTTCATCTTTCGTTATATGAGACTGAGATCATGATTTACTAGCTAATCTTTGAAACTTAACCACCAGTAGACTGAAATTGAAAGAAGCTAAGAACCTATGTCTTGGAATACAATAGAATCAGATGCTGGTGTTTTTACACAGTTAGTGAAGGATCTCGGAGTAAAAGGAATACAGTTTGAAGATGTTCCCGTGCTAGATATGCTAGAAGAGTTAGGATCGTCGTTGTATGGGGTCATCTTTCTATTTCAATATGATCCTAAAAACTACTCCAGAGATGCTCCCATTCAGGGTGAGTATTCCTACGATTACCCTGATTCACTATTTTTTGCACAGCAAACCATATCGAACGCATGTGGAACTCAGGCAGTATTGAATACACTTTTGTCAATATACGAATCCAAGTCCGATTCTGTTTCTCTGGGCGAGACATTAACTTCCTTTCTTGACTTTACGTCAGCTTTTAAGGATGCGGCACTACGTGGAGAAACCATCTCAAACTCCGAGCAAATAAGAAGCGTTCACAATTCTTTCTCATCTCCCGATCCATTTGTGATGGAGGATAAAAGACAACGAGATTCAGGTGCAGAGACTTCTGAAGTGTTCCATTTCGTCGGGTTCATTCAACATAATGGAGAAATATATGAATTGGATGGCTTACAGCCTGCTCCAATTATCCATAAGGAGTTTGGAAAAGGAAACGAAGACGCTATCCTTTTCCCCTCAAATATGGCACAATTATTACAACAACGGATATCAAAAATATCTGGTATTGATGGAAAGTTTTCAGTGATTGCAATTATAAAAGATGTAATAGACGATCTGAACACTAAACTCCAGGGAAATTTAATTACAGAATATGAGTATCAGTCAAAAATCAGTACTGAGCTTGAGAAACGTGATGCGTGGGCGAAAGAAATCGCTTTGAGGAAGCAAAATCTGTATGGTTTGGTTTATGACTTATTGAAACAAGTCGGTGCTTCCATGAGCGATCGCGAATTTCAAGAGCATGTAAAACAGGCCCAGAAAGCAACCATGGCAAGAATAACGAAAAAGTTTAGCGAAAACCCTAACTAATGAAATTTAACCTAGTAATGAATATTCATCATAATCATATCATCCAATGGACATCCATTTCATATACTGGTGACATTGCTTTTCTCCTTAATTTCGCTATTCGAAGGAAAAAGTTTTGGGACAAATATTACATTATAAGATCTGGCATCATGCCAATCTAAGAATTTTTACGTATATTCTAGTCTCCAAGTGATGTAATAGTATCAGCTGGGACAAATACTCACCTGTTGTATTTAGGACTAATCTAATATCGGTACATTCTATGTTGATGTTCTAATTGCGACTTTCATAAAAGTTAATCATCTTGGTGACATCTTTCAGTCATTGATTCAATTGCTGTCTTGTCTATCAAATTAATAGTGATTTCCATCCATTCCTATTACCCCTACACAATGTTTTAGAACATAGAGAAAAATGCAAGAAAAGAGGGTCAAGTAGAGTCATTGATCATCTGAGGCCAGCCAGTATTGCCCACTAACCAATACAATATCACGCATAAAAATTTATAATGCCAGAATTGTCTCCGGATGCCAGAAGCTGATACTTTGAGGTACCAATTATTGCCATTGAGCTGATGGAGTCATGATGTAGATTCAGAGGATCAACAAGTTTGTCATCAGATGTTGTCTTCTGCTTATACAAAACCATCATATTAGCCGTGAGAGACTCGAACCTGAACACATATCTGTTGGAATTTGGACTAGGAAGAATAGTAGAACCAATTTTTTCCTTGAGGTTGAAGTGCAAAATGCTGTGAGTCCTATTCATCGCGACAAAAATATTGTGATCTCTCACCATGAGTGCACTGATGGCGCTCACCGAAATTTCGGTCGTGCTTTCGTCGACATCGCCTTTGGTGTACACTGGTCTGTAATCGCTTAGAGTTGGAGAAGACTCATCGCCAAGAACCACATAGCGGCATTCAACTTTTGCATAGTCCCAGATTGTGAAAATAGACATGCTAGACCCGCCCACAATGATAACATTTCTTTCATTCTTTTTCGCAAGAGAATTGTAGAATTCGAGCTTTGTTACAGGAGAATGATCTGCGAAAGTCCAACTATTGACGAGAATACCAAACCTTAAATCCCACACATCAATGATACCTTTGCTGGTTCCAAAAATCAGACAGGATGCATCTTCACTTACTACGCAGCTTAGCACTGCACCGTGTGTTGGTAAATTTTCAATTATTCTCAAAACTTCCATTGACCTGACATCAACTACAAAAGCCCTTGAGAGGTTTGTTAAAGCAATGATATACGGACTGGTATCACTGCATGTTACTACAATATTCAATGCATACTCCTTACCGTCTGTCATGGAAAGGTTACGAATTACCTTGAAATGTTTGAATGTTCTGAAATTACTTTGATCACCAAAGTGTACTCTTATCAATAAGAGAGATCCGTCCTTTGTTGTTGCAGCAAAGACATCGAAACCTGCCAAAAACTTGAGGTCTGTCACTGGAGATCCAGTTTCAAAACTTAGCGAAGATGAGAACGTTTTACCACTTCTGATCTTCAGAACATCCCAGAATTTTATAACACCCTGATCAGAGGCAGTTATCAAATAAGGATTGTGAGGGCACGCTGCTAGTGCCGTTATTGCGGCAGGCCTGTGTTCCGTTATTTGTGAAACAAAGGTGCCTTTGAAGAAAGAGCCCGAACCTTGCTTCCTTAAAGAGGGGTATGCCTGCGATGAATACATCCCAAATTCAGGATATTCTCGAAGAGTGGGAGTAATTTTGACGCTTTTCAAAAACTCCTTAATCGATTTTACGTCGCCCTCATAGGAATTTTGAACAATGTACCTTGATTGTGAAAAATTCATCTCTGAATCTCTACTATGATCATGGGACTGGATCTGCTTCGAGGGTTCAAGTTGAACATAAACATTGTCTAAGTTAGGGGTTATCGTTGGCTGTGCGAATTTTGTGTTCAGTACCAATGAACCATTTAAATCGAGCGGTTTAGGTAGGGAAAGTGTGCGCTCCTCTTGAGTCAAATTTTGGCCAGCGACAGACTGCCTCCTTAGTAGCATATGTAGATTGTCATTAGTGGTACCATTAACAAACTCTACATTGAAAAAAACGTTTCGAGGTAAACGAGACGAAGATGACACCTCTAAATTGGGCACGCCATTTCTTGAGAATTGTGTGACCGAAGAAAATGATTCAGGTTTTCTGGCTATCATTTTTGCGACACGAAACACGTAAGCCCTGAGAGAGGCAATTTTCCACAACTCATTTTCATGAAGTCCGACTGTTTTGATCTTATCCAACCAATTGTTATCCTCTGTGGTTAGAAGTATCTCCTTGTTATCTAGGGACTTCAAGGAAACTTTCGATAACTTCAGCCCATTATTCAAGCCATAATTTTTAAGCGTATAATCTTTCGTTATAAAGACCAAACTGTTGTTGCCAAAGGAGTCTACATTTTTGTTAGGAACTTGTTTCCAAAACAGTGTTTTCGTCGCCCTTAGAGACCATGTACAAAGAAGATTGTATACTGTCCTTGAAACAGGCTTTTTGCAACTGGAGAGCATTGAATCCCAGGTCAATTGAATGTCAAACTCAAAGTATGGCCTTATAATAGGATAAAGGAGGCAGTATATTTCGGCTTTAGTCAATTTCCCTGAAATCTCAATCAACAGCATCAAGGAAAACTGGCGAATCCACACATTAGGGTGTAGAAGTAGCGTTGATATCACATTTGAAATATCGTAAAAGTAATACTTCCTAATCATACCAACTTTGCAGAGAGCCTTCAAACTTTGTAAAACACTCACGACTACAAGTTCCTCAGAATCAGTTATGGTTTGTATGAGTAGAGGAAGAATGTATTGCTCAAGGGTTATAGGGCCTAAAAGGATGGCAACACCGGTTATGGTTTGTATGAGCCTTATGCGTAGAGAAGAATTCTTGTCATTAAGATAAGTTATTAGATGACTCAAAATAACGTCGTTAGTTCTTTCTCTCCCAAATAAATGACAAATTGGTAATATGTCCGTTAAAAGAGCAATTTTTACGCATGTTTCGCTATCGGTTAAAAGAGCCACCGTTATCTCTTCAAAATCATGTACAAGCTTACGCCTAGCTTTTTTCGAGCGTGTAAAGGACTGCGATAAATCATCCGTACTTGAGCGTAGAAGAGAAGAAAGCTCCTGAAAACGAGTAGCCGTACCAGCAATTTCCCCTAGGCAGTCAGCTAAAACCATCCGCACGTAAAAATTTTGTTTAGATGTCTGAAGTAACTTCCTAACACGGGGAAGTAAAAAATCTACGAAAATGTTCTCATTGATCGGATTCAGTCTTTCAACCGTTGAAAGAATTTGAAAAGTGGACTGAATTGCAAGGCCCTGGACATTTGGTGATTCATCAAAAAACATAGAAACAAGGAAAGGAATCACTCTATCAAGTTTATTTGCGTCCGAGATATACTGCGAAAGTGCGGTGACAAGCTCCAAACATTTCAATTTTGAGCTAGGATAGACTAAATTTCTCAAGGCATGTAATAGAATGGACAAAAAAACCAGAGCCGATTCATCTTTCACAGATGAAATTTCAGGTTCAAACTGTCGCAGCCGGGCAGTTCCAACTGAAGGAATGGTAAGAGAATCTTTAAAGATTCTGTCTGTGGAGTCATCATCAGTTTCATCGATTTGCATGGGGTAGTTGAGGGAAGCGCAAATTTTGGAAAAATCTTTGTATATTTTTATCACGGCTTGGTCAACCTCAATGGGTCTTTCAGATAGTACCGACGATGCGCATGTCTTCTCGAAGCTAGAAATACTCCCGTTAAGCACTGCCAAATTTTTAAAGTACTCGTAAAAAAATGTGTAAAAATACTCAGGAAAGAAGTTCCCACGGTATTTGGCCAAGAGTTCCCTTGCCGACTTTCTCTTTTTGGGGTCAAGTTGTATCATATCGGTGATCAAATTCTTCAGTGCAGAATCATCAATGTATTGATTCAAAAATTCATCAGGATTGTATTCGCCATTTTTGTATTTGAAAAGTTGTGATAAATTAAATATGGAATGACCCTCAGAGAAAAGCTCAGCAATACAGCATCCCGCACTAAATATATCCATCTCCTTATTCGGGACAATTTTGCTTTCTTTAGTTTGCTCATACATTTGCGTATTAAATCTTTCAGGCGCGAGGTAGCAACTCCTTCTCTGAGAGGTGTCAAAATAAAAGGAGAATTCACCGGGATTGTCTTCTGGAAGATAAACTGGCTTCAGGTATCCAGCGAAATCTGTCAATATTAGCCAGGTCCAGCTGGTTAACATTAGGTTCTCAGTTTTCAGATCACCATGTGTTATCCCTCTCATATGTATATCTTCTAGCGCTTGAAGGAGCTGAAAGGTAATGAATTTCATTTCAATTGTTGTGAGAAACGGCCTTGAGCTGAGCCTATCGTACAGGTTGCTCCGTAAATGCTGCCTTATTAGATAGCCTGCTCTATCAGTTTCAACAATCTTACTATAATTTAAAGCATTTGGTAATTGAGCAAGTATGGAAGATTCCTTAGTTAAATCTTTGTCTAAGCTTCTCAAACTATAGTCATCAGCTGGCTTGATGAAAACTTTTATCAGTATTTCGCCATTAGGATCGAGAGCTTTACATGTCTTCAGAAATCGGGAGGAGTTTAGCTGTGATATGTAGTGGATCTCATCTAGCACGTCAACGTAAGATGAAATGGCAATAGAGGGCGCGGTTTGTGCTAAAAGAGAGAGCTGGGCGCCCATAGTAATGCTGTTTGAGTACGTTTTCGGTTAAAGTTTATGACATTCAATTCCATACCCTTAAGCCATATTTTTCATTATGTTGTTTTATACGATGAATACTGTAGCATATTCACTGCCGCGGATGTACGACATAGGCGTACATGAGTTTCAAGAAATTAGTCCATGTTTCGATGATAATGTTCACGATAAAAAACCTTATAAAAGGAAAAAAGTCATTCTGTATTTGATTATTTAAGTACGTTGACCTAGACACGTTAGGCATTTACCAAATAACACCAATCAAAATTTTGGAGCCTTCAAAACATTCCAGTGCAGTGTACGATATCCATTCATCTATTGGACGCGCCATACAGATATTTAAAGGAGTTCACTTCCTCATGAATACACTCTCTTAAGTCTCGCATTGTGGTGAACTTGTCTTCATAAGAGAAATCGAATGGACCATGGGGGCAAGTTGGCTCGTCGTCTGCATTCCTCACGTCCAGAAGAAACGGTTGTGTAATGACCTCTTCGACATTCAATCTTTTCTCTGGATCCCATTGTAGTAATTGGTTTAAGAGAGAAATGGCTTCGGGTGAAGCAAATGGGTACATTTTAGACCACTCTGTGCTCTTTTGGTCTACCTTTGAAACACTAAAGAATTCCCAGGCCTTTGTAGATCCATATTTGACGATGGTTTCGCGGTTTGGTGGACCCAACACCTTTAGAATTTCTGATGCTTGATGCAAGGAGTTTTGCCCCATAAAGACAGGCTTTCTTGCGTAAAATTCCGCGAGTATACAACCCACTGCCCAAATGTCAATGGCCTTCGTATAATTATTGTGTGAGAGTATAAGTTCTGGTGCTCTGTACCATCTGGTGGCAACATAATTTGTCATTTGATGACTGCCAAATCGGTGACTCAAAAATTGTGGTGCAATACCTCGTGCCAAGCCGAAGTCACATATTTTCAAAGTTCCGTTGACAGTGCACAATATGTTTCCTGGCTTCAAATCTCTATGAATTACTTCTGCGCTGTGAATATATTTGAGACCGCAAAGTATTTGATACAGAAAATACTTGATGTGAAATTCAGAAAATTGTACGGTAGAATGGATAACTTTGGCAAGATCATAATCTATAAGCTCTTGATAACAATAGAGGCCATCATAAGGCTTCTCAGAAACTATCTCTAAATCCATCAGACAGACAATATTCTTGTGGCCCTTGAAATAATTCAAAAACTTTAACTCTCTAATTGCTCTTTTGAGTAGTATTTCACGATGAAATATGTTGGTCACTTTTTTTATCGCAATTCGACTTGTGCTGCTTCCATTTGATTTATTAGTTGCCGATACTACTACACCATACGAGCCCTTGCCCAATATCTGTGTTATTTCGTAATGTCCTGGAATTGAGAAATTTGCTTTCTGGTAGATGGTTCTGATTTCTCTGAACACATGCTGCGATACTTTTGGTAAATTAGAAGTTCTTTCGGTACACGGTGGGCAGTCAAGATTCTTAATTTGTGTTTTAGAATGAGGATGAGATTGATTGGGAAGGCGATCAGGAAAAGTTGAAAAGGAGGGCGCCATGAAAAAGTTTGAGAAAGGCACTCACTTTCCACAATTTGACGATAGTTTATCTGATGTTTCTTATATCCTGTTCAGTAAGCATTTTGTGTCGTGCTCTGGACTTTTGATTACTTCTGGCGCGACATAATTGTCTCCCATGGCGAGGAAAAAGAAAGAAAATGTAAAAATGAAATAATTCGAAGAGCTATACATTTTAGTAAAATACCACTGAGCTGAAGATCTCAGCCACTCTCGAACGAATACTTCGACGGTTTTTTCAATTGATCGCAGAAGTATTCAGTCAGGTAGTCGATTGCTAGTCTCATAAAAAACATAGCCTGCCGCTAAATACTGGAATATTCATGCTTAATATTTTCCAATGGCCTTGTTTCCTGAAACCCGCACTGTTCGGATAGAATTTTATAGTTCTCCTGGGAAATCTTCTCGACATCTTTGTTGTATAGACCACAAATTTCAAGCGCGTCTCGTGGGGTAATTGTCTTTCTACCATCTTTTAGCACGTATTTTGTTAAGGACAAAGAAGCCAATCTCGAACCCTTTTCGATATAAAACCTGCTCATAACATAAATCCATTTCTCATCCCAGCAAAAGATGCAGCTCTTGACTTCATAAGGTTGATATGGTTTGATTTCTTTCAAGAAGTTCGTAAAAACGTTGGCAACAGGCACGTAAGGATACCTTTTTGATGTTGTGAACAGTTTCTGAAAAATCTTTGCCATCAAATCCGTTCTTGAGATATCCAATTCCTCGAAATATGTACTATTGCTTTTGTGTAAGTAGAAATCACATTCAAACAACGAGGCATAAGTGCTCAGAGTAGTATATGCAAAACATCCGAACTTGTCCTTCTGCAGCTGAGTGATGGTTTTTGATTGCTTACCAGAAATCTGAGGAATCAAGATGTCTCTTATGACATAATAGTAGAATCTCAAAAAGTATGCGCCTGGCAAGGACTTGTATGTGGAGGCAAGAATTGCTAATCCTAACCACTTCAGAATATTGCAGATGGCAGCCATGTTATGTAATTTGTGCGTTATTTTATGACAATTCAGACACCTTTCATTTTTTTTTTTGTATACCAGATGAAAAGAACAGCGGCTTCTGTCATTTTCGAAAATGACAATTGAAGGTCAAAAAGCCCATACCAACTATGAACTTTGCAGAAGTCTTGAAGCTCAATATTTTTTCAAATATGTTTAAGCTGAGCACACAAAATTAGTACGATAAGGTTCTTTCTGATCTGTCCTTTATACCGGTTTTGAATTAGGGTTTGTCCGGTATGCGATTGGAACTTCGGATACGTTAAACATGATATTTCGAACAACATCTTAATCATAGCTGAGGCTCGGAGAAAACGTTCCTACTCCACCAGACTAAGACCATTTACTAGCATGACGAGTAGTGTTCCCATTGAGGAGGTAAGCGAAAGGGAGGAAATTGAGAGGTTCACTGAAACAGTATTTAAACACAAAAGCGGCAACTATCCCGCTGTGAAGAGGTCACTTGATGGTCATGTTTTCCCTCCCACAGAGGGAGTTACAACCAATCGCGGAAACAAATTGCTTCAAGGATCCCAAGGCATAAGTCGGACTCAACTCAATAACTCTATAGAAATCAAGGAGGAAAATATCTTTTACAATGGATCCGAACACAAACTACTTAGCAGAAAACCGCCCCTAGACAGAGATGAATCTTCCAATGAGGACTGGGACGACGAAAAAGAGACCGACCTTAACACTTTAGTAGATGTTAGAGAAACGCTTACACCCATATCGTCTTTGGAAGACGTGGTGAGGCATCCAGCTGTTTCTAGAACCTTTAAAAATGGCGTTCTCAAGGAGCTAGCATTGCGCGCCGTGCTAATGGTCGAAAAAGAACAGACTAATGTGATAAACTATTCAAGACTTTTGGAAGTGTTTTTGGGCGAACATCCGGGTCCAATTCGCGAGGAGACACTACAGTTGGAACCTTATGACCATAACCTACGCCTGCCGGACGATAATGAGGAAGGCGCATCTGCTCAAAACGTGGATAAAAATCGCGTTGAGATAAACCCCCATGATGACGACCCTTTTTTTGCATTACCTCATTTCAACCCCGCTGATACACTTCCGTCTTTAATTGGCCCAGAAAAGGAGAACATGCCGGAGGAGGTTGAGGCTACCAGACAGCTGGCTCAAATTGCACTGCAGAGAAATCAGGAATTTATACGGAATCTTCAAAAGATACGCAACTGCATAATCAAAGCAAATAGAATAAGAGAGAGAATCCTTATGTGGGGTAAAGAGTATGCTGGCGAAGCTGAGGAAGATGTAACAGTGCCCAGTGCCCTACATGTAGTCAAGAGAGGACTGATTAGCGCGACGACTAATAAAACGATGACTGAAGAAGAGGCCGAAGAAGAAATAGAGGGCGAGTAAGACTTTGTCTGAAGCAAATATATTACGTTAAAATTAGGTATAAGAATAATTAAAAAAAAACCGAGGTGATCAAGACCGAGGTGATCATTACCAATCATGCGATTTGTGGTCCAAGACCTTTACGAAATGTTCACCAGCTGGCAGTGCTGTCTTTTCGGCGAATATTGGGACCACGCATTTCTTAACAATATCTTCGAAAAGTTCGTCAATTAAACCTTTGAGCTCAGCGCCTGTCTGCTTGAAGTCTGGGAATGCATTTACCTCCAGAATTTTGACGTTCAGCTCCGAGTCGACCAAGAAATCAAGCCCAAAAGTTTCAAAAGCATTTGGCAAAGGCTGGAAGTTCATTCGGTTGGTAGTAACGGCTGCAAGGAAAAGCTCGCGCGTTATGTCTCGTATTTGCTCTTTTATCTTATTCTTATCGTCCTCAGATAGATCTGCTAGATTGTCGAATTCGCGAACAGCATTCTGCTTTGCATCTTCAGCGGTCTGGATACAAGTATTTGTCAAATGACAGGACAGCTGGTTGATGTCAGTTGCCGTGTACTCTGCGCCGGGAGCAACGAATGGAGATGGCGCAAAGAGGGCCAACATGCGCTGATACACAAATACTTGCAAGTCTCCACGGCACGTAACGTAACACCGAATGTGGAATTTTCTGTTTTGCATCGAGGGTAGAAGTAGCGGTTTTTCGACGTACTCCTGGACGATGAAGTGCCGCAATTGCGACGTGACAACACGATTTTCGTCCGGAGGCGCATCGTCTGTGGCCCCATCGGCCTCTTCTTCAAAAGAGTCGAACACTGCTTGCAGGTCCTGAATGGTCTTGAATACTCTGATCCCTTGCGCCTTGTCGCTCATACTGGGTTTCAAAATCCACCAGCGCTGTTCAGACTCCAGCTCTTGCCGCAGCTCCCAGCATTCATCGAGCGCGTCGTCCAAAAATTCAGCGTAGTCTACGTCGATGGGAAAAGTCTCCAAAGAGGCGCGTTTGAGCACAGAGTCCGGGTGCTTCGCCACATACGCGTGAATCGTGTGCGATAGATAGTGTTTACGGATCAGCGCTTTACGGTAGATGTACGTATTGGCGTAGTACGACGCATCGCGCATTAGCCGCTCCATATCGATCTGCTCGTAGTCGCCATATTGCAACATTTTCAAGTGGTCTGCGTGCGTCTCGTCCATTGTGTCAGCCGCGCGACGCGCGGCTGACTCTGCGCCCGCGCCAGCAGACTCGACGACAGCGACGCCAGACAGATGCCGTTGGAAAGCTGCGACGAGCGGCTGGTAGATATACTCGTCCTGTGCGATTGTCAACACGATCACGCCGCTGGCGGCTGCGGCGGGCGAGCCGCGAAGCGGCTCGCGCGCCAAGGCCAGCTCACGGCCCATGAGAGGCGCGACCTGGTGGAACACGGCCTGAAGCGGCGTGACGCTGACCATCTCGCTCTCAATGGCACGGCCGTCGTTCATGCCCTCCGACGCAAAGATCGCATCGCGCTGCTTCTTGAAATCCGGGCTCCACTTGAAAGTGATGCCCTGCCCGCCTGCGTCCGCGTCCGCGTGCGCGTCTACGTCGTGGCCGTTCTCGTACACAGAGCACCACGTAGTCTGAAGGATTGGCGCAAAAACCGCCTTGGTGTCAGGTCCGAGCGATTTGACAAGCGGCACATTGACGCTGTAAAGCTCGGTATCTGCGTCCCATTGCCGCCAAAGAGCGTCTATGACCTCACAACTTTTTGCGGACGCTGCGACCATCATCTCCTCTGAGACGTGCTTCACACCGTCGAAATATGCCCACGACAATGCAATGGCTCGCTTTCCGCCGGAGATAACCGCCTCCATCGCCGCGCCCACCGTGCCGCTCGACGTAATGTATGCCGCCGACGTATTACGTCCGACGTTCGGCCCGGACAAAACCAAGTCCACGTCCGAAGTACTTAGGTGATGCAGTCCGATGTCGGTGCAGGTCGCGGGCGTGCCATCGACCATGCACCACTCGATGGCGTCCGCGGGTATCTGCGGGTTGGCGATGCAAGGTAAAACAGATCCCTGCATGATTCGTTGGGGTTGCATATAGGGTCCAAGTAGTACATCGTCCTTGGCGTGCAGATCCATGTAGCCGAAACGCGCATGCACGTCTTTCCCTGCGAAGTGAGCCTTGCCTATCCAAGAGCGCTGCGAGTCGGGGACGCAGATGGTCACGCGCCAGTCAGGCCGGTACTTGGCAATATACTGAACCAGGGGGCGAATGTAGGGCGAAACGCGTACGTCTGGCGGCCCGTCATCGTTGGTGATCTGCAGGGGTCGAAGTTAGTGGGCCGGTCTTGAGGGGAGAAGGTGGTAAGGGGGGGAGAGGGAAGTTGGCACAGGCACAACGGCAGCGCGCCCTACAGGGCGCGCTGCAGGCGCAATGGCTCCAGAATGAAAGGTTGTACATACTAGAATGTGCATATCAGGGTTGGATTATGCGTTATGCTCGGTTTCGCGTGGTTGAAGCTGATGCGCGTGCAAGACAGACGGCAAGTAGCTGGGACATCAAGAAAATTTTGTGGGCGGGCAAGACGGCGCGTGCCGAACACCACGACCCACACCGCAGCGACCAAGCGCACCCTTTCGCAGCAAACCAGCAGATATGTCGATGTTCCTCAACCCATATGCAAACCAAGAAGTGGACGAACAGAAGCTCAGCATTGCACAGGTGCAGTTCGACGCCATGAACGCGTCGTTCGGCGCGATGCTACGAGCGTGCCAGGAGAAGTGCATCCCACACGAGTACGGCGAAAGCGAGCTCAACAAGGGTGAGATGTGCTGCACGGACCGGTGCATCGCCAAGATCCACTACGCAAACCGCCTGATAGGCGGGCTGGCGCAGGCGCGGGGTGTGGGGCCGGACCATCTGCGCCACTACGAAGCGTTCAAGAAGAGCTAGCTCGCCGACGGTTACCCGGACCGCTGTGTCGTTACCCGGGCCGACGTCTCGTTACCCGGCCCCGTCCTCGCCCTTTTGCTGCTTTTTCTCCCTATTTAGCTCTGTACATAGCATTTCCTAAGCATCTCCCACGAACTCGCGTGTTTGTTTTTCTCCCGGGCCCCTGTGCGGGCGTTTCTGTGCGCAATTCGCCGTTACCCGGGGCGCGCATCTTTGGGTTCCCGCCCCCCGCTTCTTCGCCCCGTCGCTACGACGCCATACAAACTAAAGCAACTGCCAACTTAGTACACTTAGCCCAACAGCCCACACAGTACAAAGTTACATAACTGGAATTTTTTCAAGGTATGTGAGTTAACGTTATACGCGTCAATCGGCAAGTAGCGCAACGCAATCCGACTGAGTCCGCACAACAAAGAGGTAACACACGTGTGTGCAGTGTGCGTGGTGCTGGATGCTGCGAATTGGGGCGTTGGAGTGCGTTCTTGCGGCCTGGTTGCTCTTGCGAGCGAACGACCGCCCCTTTCGGTCGCGTGCGCGCGAGCACGGGGGTTACCCGCACGACGCGGTCCGCTCTTCAATTCCCGCGCGCCGCAAAGTATCCCGCGGTTTCGCCGTGTTGTTTTTCTCCGCCTGACGCGGACGCGCGGTTATGCTCTTCGTGCGGCCGGGCGCTGTAAACAACCACCAACACGCTTGCAGATTGTATTTATTTGGCGGGCGGCGCGTATGGCTACAAGCAACAAACAAACGCGACAGATTGTTTTTACTGACACCGAAATCACAGAAAGTTTTAAAATAATTAATATGGCGGCCCCAAGAGAGACTAAAAAGAGAACAACTAGAAGAAAGAAGGACCCAAATGCCCCTAAGAGAGCGTTGTCGGCGTACATGTTCTTTGCAAACGAAAACAGAGACATCGTGAGAGCTGAGAACCCAGGTATTACCTTCGGACAAGTTGGGCGTATCCTAGGTGAAAAGTGGAAGGCTCTGTCGGACGAGGAAAAGCAACCTTATGAGGCCAAGGCTGAAGCCGACAAGAAGAGATACGAGTCTGAGAAGGAGCTCTACAATGCTACCAAGGCGTGAAGGCGAAAATCCGCGCAAGTTGTGTAATATGGCGTCGAAGGGCGGGCCGTGAGCCACGGCGCAGTTATGTATGCTCTGTATGTTTTTATAGCTAAAAGTACGTGTGGTACGCAGGAGAAACGCATAGTGCTGGGGACAGGCGGGGTTGAGCGGAGCAAAGCGGAGATAAAAGGGCGAAAGATAAATGGCACGTGACATTCACGTGAGCGCGTACTCGATCGTGGATCGTGACAATGTGACGCGTAATTTTCGACTGACACGTAAAAAAATTTTTTTCGTTCTCCGCCCGGCGGGCTGGATATAAGACAGTGCGACAAGTAAGGTTCGCGTTAGTCTCTCCCTTGCCAACGCGCAAATCAAAATGTTGGAAGCCAAGTTTGAAGAGGCCAGTTTATTTAAGAGAATCATCGACGCTTTCAAGGACTGTGTGCAGCTCGTGAACTTCAACTGTTCCGAACACGGGATCGCCGCGCAGGCGGTGGACGATTCGCGTGTGCTGCTGGTGTCGCTATCGATCGGCACTGAATCTTTCCAGGAGTTCAGATGCGACAGAAGCGTGACTCTAGGTGTCGATTTGTCGTCGTTGTCCAAGGTTCTGCGCTGTGGCAACAACAACGACAACCTGACGCTTATCGCTGACGATACGCCAGACTCCGTCCTGCTCCTTTTTGAGGACACCAAGAAAGACCGTATCAGTGAGTACTCGCTAAAGCTTATGGACATTGACGCCGACTTTTTGGACATCGATGGTATGGAGTACGACACCGTGATCACAATGCCCTCCGTAGAGTTCGCCAAGGTCGTCCGTGATCTCAACCAGCTCAGCGACTCTCTCAACATATTGGTCACAAAGGATACCGTCAAATTCGTCGCTGAAGGTGACATTGGATCCGGTTCTGTGATCGTCAAGCCTCACACCGATATGGACAAGCCTGAAGATAGCGTCAAAGTTGAACTAGACAAGCCCGTCGACCTTACCTTCGGCTCTAAATATCTGCTGGATATCATCAAGGGTGCCGGTCTGGCCTCACAAATTACTATCAAGCTCTCTGCTGAAACGCCAGCTTTATTTGAATTCAGTTTACAAAGTGGGTACTTGCAATTCTTCCTTGCCCCTAAGTTCAATGAGGAAGAATGAGCACTCACAGGAAATGATAATGCTTCGTTGTACATTAAAATATATATATATATATACAAAGACCTAATCCTCGCATTTCAAGGGAAATGTATTTACTCAAGCCAACTCCGTTTCAGGCTGCAAAAGGAACGTGCTCCGCGTACAACTGCGCTCTGTTAACGGTAAAATGAGCTTGAATGCATCACCTTGATTCAGATAATACCTAAACATGCGTTTTAACCGAATGAATCCCAGACCTTCGTAAAGTCTCAACGCTGCTACATTTTCTACCTCCGTCTCCAGCATTACCTCATCGCATCCGGTCTTTTGCATGTGTTCTATAGCTATTGTTACGAGCCTTTTTGCTATGCCTTTCTTTCGATGCTCTTTCGCAACCGCCAACATTCCAATGTATCCTCTCAAACGCGCCCCCCGGTGTTGTTCACTTTTGCATACGACACATCCAATTGGGGTAGTATCGTCTCCCTTGAATGCTAAATAGCATAGTTCCGGCCATTGATTCAGAAAATATCGGTAAACATACACGGAATACGGTTCACTTAGGTCAGCGTCAATTAAGCGCTGTACATGTCGCAGTTCATTGTTATCAGATATATTAAGTTGCCGGTACCTAACGTCCATGCTAATCTGTTTAAGTTGTGGCCATCATCTTACACCAGGCTTCAACTCAGTATGAAAGATATCAAAACTTGTTTCCGGGTAACAATATGAAATAAACTGACTTATCATCGCATATTCACAGCTTTACGCCCCTCTAGCCTCTGACCTCGCAGAATTATATTGTCATCTACCCAGGCCCGCAATATAGTTGTATTATACCTTGACAGTTTCTCATAAGGGTGGCATAGGATACTTCATTGTCATTCTTTCAAAATTAGAGCGGTAAGCTATCCATCGCTATAGACGTTTGCTCATCATCGCCCCTGAAAGAATCTTAATACTATTCACCTCAGTGGTGTGTAGGAGCAATGAGTGATTATAATGCAGTGATTGTTAATGCTATCACAGGCATCGCCATTCAAGCCAACATTAGGTATTTTGTGAATTTGGAGGGGATGAAACGATTTATTAGTCAACAGATGACTATACCGGCAGATCAGTGCTTCATTCTTTTACCATATGGTACAAAGCTCAAAAAGTCAAACTTTCAAGATTGCCTAAGAGAACCAACTGGATGTGAGTTTTATGTTTTTGATCGACGCTTATTCTCTCTGGTAAGTGATCCCAAAAGTCCGAGTATGGGCACACCCGATGAAGAAGTAGCATCAGTATTAGACGAAGTAACTCGAAACTGCCAGGTGACCCTTATTAAACCTATCACGTCTCCGCTGCTTGACGCTGACATCGGTGTGGGTGGCATGACTTATCGAAAAATTACGAGCTTGCTCACTACAAATATGGGGTGGCTTAACGCCCTGGAAATTGATGCCCATTATTTCCATAAGATAATTCAAGAAACTATTGAACAAACGGCGGAAATCTTTAAATGTTTTGGGATTTGTCAGCAGTACCTAAAATTATATTGTTATGATGTGGAAAAGCTCTACGATTCCAATGTGGAGTTTTTAAACCAACTTACAGCCAACAGTAATGCAGATCAGTGGGAAAATGTGTTTGACAACCAACTTTATAATTTGGATACTGTCAATAATGATCAACAGAAAAAGCTAAGTGAATTTCTTGATCGTGGACTTCTGCGCCAGCACTTTGACAAACTAAAGGAGCTCGATCAACGAGTGGCCACCAAATTGCGGCATCTGAAAGACCGAATAGATGAAAACTATTCTTTAAGACAAAATATTTCTTCTCAAATCAGTAGACTCAAAACTGAGTTCCAGGAACCAACATCTAAATACGAAATGGAGGATAGCATGATGCTCAAGTTCGAAGAAATAGTATCTGACATGAAAGTTCGTAATCGAGAAATATTGAATAATGAGTCTTCGGAATTTACGCCGGAATATATTGAAGAAGTATCAAAAACAATCGCAGAGGAAAAGAACGATGTCGTACCGAAGTTGTACACTATAGCCCAATCCCTGTTTACGGAAGCAACAGAGTCCATTGCAAGTAAAATCAAGCTGCAGAAATACGTCATAATAACCCTAGGGCAGATAGCCTACATACAGATTCAAATTCTGGAGATAAAGAAATTAATACTTAGGGATTGTAATCAAGATATGGAACTTTTACAAGAATATCAATTGCGCCTATCACAAGTTGAAGATTTACCGATTGTCTACGGTTTGTCTTTAATAGAAGGCCTGCGACAAAATACCTGGTTTGAACAAGTGAAGAAATATAACTCTGATTTTTGTGAAGATCTGCGGCTTATTGAGGACAATGAGGAAAAGTTTAGAAGAAAGTGGTTGAATAATTTCGGACAAATTTCACGACTGTTTCAGTCTTCAGGAGGAACGCATCATGAAATTATCAGAAATTTCATATCATTTGATAGACAGAAATTTGACAATGCTAACTTTGCACAAATAACCCCCAATCAAATTGAAAAATACATTGACCAGTTGTCAGCACACGGGATATCCACAGAGACTGTTCAGCTGCTAAGGAAAAATCTTGAAGATGTTAAGAATTTCGCTATTACGGTCTCTCTTAAACGGTCGATTCCAGTGCTCGATAAACCGGGTGCACAAATACAAACCATTGACACAGAAACCATCAAAGGGTATAAGCTAAGGATAAAAAAGCTTGAATCGTTACTTCACGATGCAAAGTTTTCAAATATCAACTCTTGGCCAACTGGAATATTGAATAACGCTACGTCAAACGCATTTTCTAATACTATATCAGTGAACTCAAAAATATCACTGCTTCTCACTGATTCCGAATATTTATCGGCAAACAATGAGAGAGAAAGAGATTTGGAGAATATTGTGATCGAGCTCCAGAGAGAAATGGAGTTATTGAAAGATAAAAATCGTTCTTTAAACGAAGATCTGGGTGAATTACGAAGCAAACTGATAGACGTCAGTGACGAGCGAAATGCTTACGAAGAAACTTTAGCGAATATGAACAAAGAACTTTCTCGATTAACAGCTGAGAAACAACTCAAAAAATCATCTGATTTTTCGGAATTTCAAGAGCTAAAATTGCAATTGAACACTATTTCAAAAACTAATACAACATTACTAGCAGATATCGACGCGTGGAGAGACAAATATGAAAAGCTCAATATCATGAAAGATGACCTACTTGCTAATATGGCTAACCTGGAAAATGACTTTGTCAAAGAGAGAACGGATCTCAACATGGAAACTGAGGAGTTAAAAAAGGAAGTTGCTTCTTTGAGAATGGAAAATGAGAAACTTGCTGGAAACCAGAGAGCCGAGATAGAATACAGAGAAGCTGAGACGGAAACCAGCACCGAAACTGAAAGCGTGGTTGAAAATGTGAATACTGCGTCACTTGAGGAGATCAACAAAGTTATGGAGTCTAAGATTTTCGAAATTTTTACTAGCGACATCTACATTCTTGAGAATATTGGTCTCCTTCTGTCTAAATCGGATGATTCTCATTTACAGATAACACGAGTTAAAGGATTGCGCAAGAATTTCAGTCAAAGTGAGCTAAATGATAGTGTGATGGCATTCGAATCTCAAACACTTGTAAAGAGTTCGGTTTTTCAGGAAATGAGGGACTTTTACGAAGCTGCTAGTCAATCAGGAGATAAGCAGGCTCGCAAGAGATTACTAGCATCAATTGATCAGCTATTTTCCAGCAAACTCTATGAATCAGCTGTTATAAAAAGATTCAAGGATATTGAAACTTTGGCTAAAAAACTGACTAAAGAAAACAAGTTCAAACGTAATTTGCTTGATGTGTATCAGAAAGAAAAGATTACAATAAAAAATTTCCAAGTGGGAGATTTGGCTTTATTCTTGCCTACAAGAGACGCAATATCGTCCCCATCATCTTCAGTGTCTTCTTTAGCGTCGTCATTCTCATCAGTTGATCTTTCGACGCCTCCTCCCATGGGAGTATCACTATCTCAAGGGAGCTCAAGCTCAAAAACCAAAAATAAGGAACAAGGGAACATTAATGGCAAAGCCAGACCATGGGCAGCTTTCACGGCTTTTGATGAAAACACTAGGTACATGCTAAAGGATAATGATGACTTTACAAGAAATAGAGATTGGTTTGTGGGAAGAATAACGTCAATTGAAAGAAAGGTGGTAAATAATACAAATCAAAATCCGTTTAAGCTTCCTCAAGGAGCAGCCTGGGTCTTGGTTACCGCTGAATTTCTTACTTCTGAAAAGTGAAGCTTCGAGAATTTATGATGCGGATTCGTTAATACATACGCTCTTCCTGTTCACTTAAGTTTAATATTCTTCAGTTGTAGTAATGGTATAAACCAATAAAAAATAATGCACATGTAATCAAACGGATATATTCTGCCGCAGTCATTTGTTCGTGATTCAGCTTTTTGCGTCAAAAAGAATATTCAGATTGATAATGGCTTGAATTTTTTTTACGTATAGCTGGAATTCCATATCATTACTAGGTCACCAAGTTTCTTGAAGATATCTATCACTTCTTTCCATTTCCTTCAAATAGATTTCAGCTTTTACATCTGAATCAAAGTTTCCCCATTTCTTCAAAATTTCTGCGAAAGTTAATCTAACTTGCACTGGCATCTTACCAGAAGATCCACATATATATATCACCGCTTGTTTTTCTAGGATCAAGTCTGCAAGTAATTTGCCTTCAAGCCACATCATATCTTGAACATATTTCGCATTCGGTGAATTTTGAGGGTCTCTAGAAAAACAGGTAAAAAGCCTAATTTTTTTGCTTTCAGCCAGCGCCTCTAGTTCATTTCTGTATAGAAAGTCCTTAGTTTGTGATCTGTTGCCAAAAAACAGATACATATCATCAAAAAAGCAGGATCTTATTAAACATCTCATTGGAGCTATGCCGACACCAGGACTTATCATTACAATTGGTTTTTTTTTCATGTATGGCTTTAAAAGCTCATTATTTTGAACTTTATAACGAATTTGATCGCCGCTTTTAAGGCCGGAAATATAGTCGGTGCATAATCCTTTTCTAATTCGACGTAAAATTGTTTTATATCTTACAATTGCAATTGTTAAATCGATTTCGGCCTTGCAAGGGCCACTTGAAATGGAAAAAAGTCTTGGTTTGATTAGTGGAAGATAGTCAAGCATATATTCCCAGGGCAACTTTAGAGACGGAAAATCTTGTAATACTTCGAGCAGGGAGCGGCGGGGTCTGTTGCAATAATCGTATAAATCTTCCATGTCTTCATCTAGCGCAAACTGGCGCAGTTTATTACGTTGCTGCTCTAGTTGTTCCTGTCCGCCATCAAGTCGTGAGATATCCGTTGCAAATATCCACACCTTCATGAAAAAGCTTCTCCGCGGTATGCTTCTTACGTCACAGTGGTATTTTACCAGTGTTCGTAATGACATTGGTGATATCAAACCTCCATCAGAGAAATTAGTCTCGTAATCACCTTCAATTGTTAGCTGTTTATCTGCGACGTCTAACCAGTGAGGCTGAGTTTCAAGAAACTTTTGAACATCAGCATCATTATTGTGTGGGTATATAGACACTGTGTCACCTGGATAATACTTCTCACCGGATGTTTCGAAAGAAAAATGTCTGACATCTTGAAAGTGATCAAAATCAGTTATGCGTTTATTCGATACCACTTTCCCACTTTTCATGGTGGAATCACCTGAAAATATTGGATTCTGATAATTTTGAGCTTCCGTGCTCAATCTCAAAGAAAACGTAGGCTTTAAATAAATGTCATCTGGTACTGCCTCTCTCTGAATCCACTTGCCATTCAATTTGCGGGTAGGGAACTTATCAAGCAAAAACTTTAATACGCGTCTCTCGTATTCAAAGTATACGGACTCAACACCGGTACCATTTGCTCCATTACTACCTGCCATTCCTATCTCGTCGGCTTCCAAACGTGGGAATATATCGTTGGCACCTAGTTGATGGATCATTCTCCTATGGATCTTTCTGATAGCATAATTAAAGTTTGGATAAGAAGAATCGCCTAACCCAATCATTGCTGTTTGCAAATGGTTCAAGAAGTCTGGTGGCAGATTCTTCTTCTTCAAAAATGTCCAAAATGTGTCTTTGCTACTTCCACTGGCATTCTCTCTAGCGTTACGGGGCAGATCACCCTGGCCCATTGTTGAACAGATAATAAACATGTATCTGCATTGTAGCACATCTTTTACATTATAATCTCCAAAAGGTAATAGCTCATGCTGAAAATGCATTTTGTGCAGCTTGTAGGATAGAATGCACGCAAAATCATGAGCGTTTCCAGTCTCTGAGCCATAAAGAATGACAATCTTTTTATTTCCCATTTATTACCTAAACTCAATATCTAATTCTTTACTGAACCTCCGATTACAAAGAGGTTTGTCCAAGGGCGTTTTTATGTTAAACTCTTCTCACTTACAATGCATAATGCACACCCTACGTGCGGAATGAGTCAACTAATTTTTCGCTGAAATATAAGGTGCAAGCCATTATTTGCGTGGTATATAGAAGACAGAAATCCTTGACCTTCAATTCTATTCTCTTATCGATCTTAACTGACATTTGAAAGTATCACATGATCACAGTTACTTTGAGAAATTTAGTCTGTCAAATTTTGTAACTATAAGGCACTCCTCTGGGTGATTTTGTCTCACACGATTGATATTTATCAAGAAAGATCTCGTAATTAGGCAGCGGGACCAGGCGGTGTTTTCCCGTAAACTCTAAAATTGAACTGGTCACTATCTCATCTCAGTCCACAATTGACGATAGCACTTCACATCATCGTACATTATAAAAAGAAGTTTTGTATCATTGACTATGTACAAGTGATCCTAACATGATTGCCAAAAATCCAATGAAATCAGCGCAGAGTAACCCCAAATTTTTGTACAAGCTCCTCACGGACATGCTTTTGGATATCATTAATTTCTTCATTTGTGATATTTCTGTCCATAGATTGGTAATTAATCCTGTAACAGAGAGATTTACGATTAGTTTTCGGATGAACAAACGAATCTATTAATTTGACGCTCTCTACTAAGTCGCCAGCCCTGTTTCTGACAATTTCCATGAGATCGTTTTCATGAATCGGTTTGCATTCCTTTTCCTCTGGAAGCCAAAATGCAACATCTCTATTTGTGCCTGGGTATTTGGAGTAGGGTTTGAAAGAAGAGATTTGACCAGCTTTGAATTGAGAGTGGAAACGTTCATCTAGGGTCCAGAAAAGACGTATATCAGGTATTTCAAAAAGCAACATAGCAATACGGTCTAGACCAAGCCCAAATGCCCATCCAACTGCTGATTCGGGTTCATAACCGGCATTTTTGAAGACTTCTTCACGAACAAGACCGCAGCCACACAGCTCCAACCAATCATTTTGCCACCATACTTCTATCTCCCAGGAAGGTGCAGTCCATGGAAAATATGCTTTAATCCAGCGAACCTTCAAATTTGACACAGATTCCATCCCCATACTCTCCAGTCTCTTGTTGAAAACTTGAGCGACAACCAACTCGATGCTTCTCTTGAGATGCTGAGAGCATAATTCCACCTCTAAATCTGTCATATAACTTTGCTTGGGGTTGCCTTCAAGTGATGTGTCATCTTCAACTACTATTTGCATCTTCTCATTGGCTAATTGGTCTTTCAACTTCTGCAGATCTTCCCTTAGGCTGACGATGTGTTGAGGTTCTTCCTCTCCGTTAGCGATCTTAGTTCGTTTCCAAACACGGGCACCTTCCATTTGATGAAAGACAGGATAGTGTGTTCGATCTATCTCGTCTCTACGGTACACATCTGCGGAAATGAGGAAGCCAGGCTTCTCAGTTGGATTCTTAGATTGCTCATACTTTGGGAATCCCTTGATATTGCTAAAGCACTCCATTTCATGAGCTGATGTATGAGTTCTGAATAGATATTTATCATTCACGTAATATGTGTCACTCTTGGACCTTCCTGGATGGTCTTCTGGGAATCCCAGTGAATCAAAGTTCTCTTCAACAGTCACCACCGGTTTAAAGTTAGCATAAGTCGTGTAGGCATGATCAGTCGAGTTGAGTTTGTCTTCGATCAACTGACGTAATATCCCTACAGGGTGAGAAGGCTTCAAATGCAAAGAACGATCACAAAGGTTCAAAATTGTAGAAGAAACGTTAGTGTATTCTGGATTACTCTCGTATTCCTTGCCATTTATTTTCAAAGGAATGGAAGACTGAGAATAGAAACGTAAAGCACACCTCCTCAAGCAAGGAATTACTTTAAGCCGAGACATGTACAGTTGATGATTCCTCCTATCTGAACTTCTGCGGAAGATTTTTTTTTTTCGAAGGGTACAAGGGAAATACAATAACAAGCATCTACTGCTCAAGAAATTCAAATTTTCGTGTTCTGAGGGTCAATCCACTGTTAGATTGAAGAGGTTTACAATGTGATTTAACTAAGTATTATTTTGAACCAAATAGCTAAGCAAAATAGGTCATTCATGACGTACTATCAATCAGATCCCTGCGACCGGCTGAGATCAAGAAGTACTCATTCATTACTGAAAGCATTTACTAAAGTTTGTTTATCTGATGAATTTGAAGGGCTCTTGTAGGCCGCCATTGTATTTTTCTAAGCATTAGAAGTCACTATCAAGGGCAAAGCTAGGAAAAAAATTTTCTGGAATCTAAATAGATCGTTTTAGTTGAATTTAAGGAAAATTAGCTTCGAACAATCTTTTGCAATGTTCCTGAACCTGGCTGGAAGATCTGTATTCCATTCAAGCCCGATTACAGTGCTGAAGAGGTTTACTCATGAGTACGCTCCGCGATTCAAAACGGTAACGAAGAAACAGAAGGGACGTGTTCCTGTGCGTGTTGGTGGGTCCATAAAAGGTTCAACTTTGCAGTTCGGAAGGTTTGGCTTGAGACTCAAGACAGAAGGAGTGAGGCTGACTGCTCAGCAGCTGAAAGAAGCGGACAATGCTATCATGAGATATGTGAGACAAGTAAATAACGGTCAACTATACCGGAGGCTCTGTACAAACATTGCGGTTTGCATTAAAGGTAATGAGACTCGTATGGGTAAGGGTAAGGGTGCATTTGATCATTGGATGGTACGTGTTCCAACGGGTAAAATAATCTTTGAAATGGATGGCGATAATTTGCACGAAAAGATCGCGCGTGAGGCCTTCAGAAAAGCGGGAACGAAGTTACCTGGTGTTTATGAGTTTGTTTCTGAGTCATCACTAGTAAGGGTGGGTCTTCAGAGCTTCAAAGATCCAAATCATGATCCTAAAGTCAACTACTTTGAGCAGCTGAAGAAAAAGCCTACGAAAGAATACCTTAACGAACTGAAATCAAAGCAGACTAACTATAGGTTGTTCAGGGGCCGTTAAAGAGGCGATTTCAATCACTCATTCTTGTAAATATTTTACAGATTTTAATTGTTATATGTACTATGAACTAGTTTCACACATAACTTTTGCTATAAAACCCTCTAGGTGGTAAATGGGCTTATTACCCAGGCGCAGTCTCTCATCAAATGTACTAGCACACTTCATTATTGCGAGCTTTAAAGTGTCGTCGTTAACATTCTTTAGAAGAGCGAAAGCCAGCTCCTGAAGAATTGTTTTTGCAGGGATACAATGGGCTAATAAATCATAAAGAGTAGAGCGACACTCAACCAAACAGCCAACCGACTTGTCTTTTAGAATGTGGTTGGCCATCTTTAGAATCACAACAAGCCAGTCAGGTCTGATTATTGCGCTTGTCGATTTTAGAGACATTTCGTTATTGAGAGCCATTGCTTCCAAGGTCAGCAGAGCGTTTCTTAGATTTCCATTCGAACTGTCTGCGATCTTGTTAAAGATTTCTGCTTCCGCGGAAACACCCTCGTCTTTACACACCTTTTCTAAGATGTCGATCGTCTCCGAATTTGTTGGCGAAGGAACTCTTACTAATAGGCAACGGGATTTGATCGGGGCTATGATTGAGCTCATCGTATCGCAGAGCATTATTAATCTGATATTCCTGGAGTATTTTTCCATTGTGCGTCTTAATGCTGCCTGAGCATCTCTTGTTAACGAATCAGCTTCGTTGATGATTACGCACTTATAACGATGAGCAAGCCCACCAGATTCACTCGCGGAACCAGTCTGAAAGTCAACTTGCTCTACTTGTGCTACTTCCTTAAGCAATTCTTGGATGACAATACGATCATTGTTACCCATATCACTCGGTGTAATCTCTAAATGGTAAGGACTTGAAACTACGTTGAGCTCCAACTTGCGATTGGAAGGAGTAGTAAATTGCCTAACATCGATCTTCAGCTTGTAAACACCAGACCCAAAAATCGCTTGCAATAAGGCCATGCACCGTGTCTTTTTCCCTGAACCATTGGGCCCATACAGTAACAGATGAGGTAAATCTCTAGCCTCAGATGAAAGGGACTGAAGGAAATAGTTTAACTCCTTCGTATGAGAAAGTGCTTCCAAGGATTTTGGCCGATACTTATCAACCCACAATGACATATTTATGATTGCTTTCCTTGATTCTGTTAGATTCTTATTTTTGCATACAACGCGATCAACTGAAGTTTTTTTCGATCTCTCTGGTAGTTGACGTGACCCAGTTTGGAAACTAACAATGATCACCTGGAGCCGAACATTGAGGTAACCAATACACAATATGCGTATTTCAAACTCTCTAAGGGTTGATTAGAAAAAAGATAGATATTTTAAAGTATCAACATTTCGAAGGATGACTATTTAATTTATTCAAGACTAGGCGCTTTCGTCAGATTTTCATTTACCGCAGCACATAGCATATTTTCTGTAATTTCTTGAGTGAAAGGAAAGGCTAGCAATGTAGACTTGCAGATGACACTCAGTCTTAGGTTGCTTCCCCGCTCATGATATTTGCCTGTTTCAAATGACACTAAGAAGTGAAATTAGTTAGGGAACTTGGTATAAAAACCCACACACAATTTATCTTCTATTCAAGAAAATAATAGGAGGATTGAAGTGATGCTTTAATACAAAATCAAGCTTAGGTATGGTAGCCAATGTCGGTCACAATACTATGAAAGGTCTGCAACTTTTCATTGCAGACCTACGATCGTTGCAGCAGACTGAAGAGCAAGAGCGCAGGATTCAATCTGAAATCGTCAACATCCAGAAGCAGTTTGGTTCAGTTAATACCCTCAATGGATATCAGAGAAAGAAATATGTTGCTAAACTTGCATATATTTATATTACAACAAACACCACGAAATTAGGCGATATTATGTTCGGCTTAGACCAATGCTGTCAATTGTTGGCTTCTACAATATATTCTGAGAAATTTATTGGTTATATGACTTTAGAGTTACTTTATCATCATCAGAGTGTTGCATCACACATTCAGGATCAAGTTATCTCGCAACTCAAAAGCGATTTGGCATCTACTGATGATAATTTTGTGTCCTTAGCCCTCAATTTTATTGGAGTAACCGGTAAGTGCAATGAAATACTGACGGAGGAACTGGTACATGAGGTTTTTCAAGTGCTGCGTTCTCCGACTTCGGCTCAAATTCTGAAAAAAAAGTCATCTCTGGCGTTTCTAGCGCTTGTCAAGAATGATCCCAGCATATTCACACACGATTCTAGGCGAAAACAACTATGGATTCAAAGAATTGTGAGCCTTTTGGATGATACAGCAAATTATAGACTCATGGCTTCCGTGCTTCCCTTGGTAGAGTATATTGCACGCGAAATTGATTACACATCATGCGTAAAATTGGTGCCCCAGCTATCTCAGATCCTGTATAATTGTGTTGTCGTAGGCACTACCGGTTCCGACACTTCTACTGAAGAGAATAAGTTTGCGAGCGTACCAAATCCTTGGCTTGTGACAAAGCTAGTGTCGCTCCTCAATGTCCTTATTTCCTCATCAACTAATGCTGAACTTAACATAACATCGAGCAATATAGATCAAAATACCCTGGGGAAACTAAGATTGTGTGTCACAAGAGTTATAGAAATCGGCACAAAGGGTGCAGCCGATGTACTAACCCGTACTGTTCAGAACACCGTACTTTTTTCGCTAATCAATTTCGCCTCAAAACTCGATCCATCTGCGGAAGCTATTGCGAGCTCTGTGGGCGCTCTTTGTTCCCTTCTTGCCTCTAACGATACAAACACCCGCTACTTAACGCTGGATTCCTTGGTTAGGCTTTGTTCAATGAGCGGGAGACCTGCGCAGAATGCTGTTCGCGCAAATCATATGAATCAATTGTTTCATCTTCTACGCAACGAGCGTGACTCCTCAATTGTACGAAAATTGGTGGATTTGCTTTACACTTTGACAGATGCAGAAAACGTGCAACTGATTGTCGATGAACTTTTGCAGTACATGACAAATGCAAAACATACCGATCACCACATTCGCTCTGATCTTGCAGTCAAAGTTGCTATTCTAACGGAAAAATTTGCTAATGACTCTAATTGGTATGTGATCGTATCTTTGAAACTACTTTCACTAACCAACACTTCTTTCAATGATGATGACATATGGCAAAGACTATGTCAGATTGTTGTCAATAATGAATCTTTACATCAATTAACATGTGATCACTTATTGGGATACCTACGCGAAAATCACACGTCGGAGGCAATTGTTAAAACAGCAGCTTTCCTGTTAGGTGAGTATGTGAATTTAGTAATTGATAAATGCTCCGTTGGTGATTTGTTTAATCTGTTCACGGGAAAATATTTCACTGTTTCCAACATCTGTCGAGCCATGATTCTCGCTACTATGATGAAACTTTACAAAAGCGACCGGCAGATTGGCTCAGCAGTGATTAAGTTTTTTCAGTTGGAGCTGAATTCGCTTGATGTTGAACTGCAAACAAGATCATTTGAGTACTTGAAAATTATTCAATTCGAGAAAATGCATGGTGCCCAATTGACTAACATATTGTTTAGTCCCATGGCGCCCTTTAACAGTAAGAAAAACCCCTTATTGGGCCGTTTAGGAAATCTACCTTTTGGGAGCACTGATACTGTCAGTTCTTTCTCATCTGCTGGAAGTAATTCCACAGTTCCAACCCCGCCACCTACCAGAAACTCCCGAAAACGGTCTCAATCATACTATTCCCAGAAAGCACTTTCTGCTCATTGGCAAGAAGGATTTCATCGAATGCTGAAGCATAGGCAGGGTGTTCTTTATTCATCTTCTTTGATTAAGATTCTTTACAGGGTCAGTCCATCTCAATCTCAACCGGAGCTATCTGAGGTAACTTTGACCTACATCAACAAAATCGATTTACCTTTTGGTTCCTTTCTTACTGAGCTGATATCGTGGCGTACAGATGAGAACCCTGCGTATATTGTTCATACTATAGAAGTTCCAAAAGTTGACATCGCCCCTGGAGAACGCACAACTCATAAATTCGAAGTTCTTACTCGGCACGCCTTTCCTGTTGATCAAAGTCCAATTCTGAGTGTCGGATTTAAATGTGGTAGAGGTATTCATTCAGTTTGCTTGAAGGTTGGTATGGGTATTACCAGTACTATTCTTCCTATGAAGCCAGGCGGCCAACCCAATGTTTCACTTCCACAATTTATACAACGTTGGCGAACTATTAGCGATGCTTTCGGGAAAGAAGGAGAATGTTGTGCTACTGTTGAAATTCAGAAAAATGATGTTTACGCCCATGTTCGACATACGGTTGAAAAGCTTGGTCTTGAGATCGTGGAACAAGCAATGGTCGAAAATACCTTGTTCGCAGCAGGTATCATCCACACAAAAAGCGATGGTAACTTCGGTTGTCTCATGAAGCTCAGATGTCAATCTAATGATGTCAATATAACATGTAAAACGACGAGTGGCGGTGAACTCTCCAAATTTGTTGTAGACTGTATTGAAAAGTGTTTGACCTAGACGGGCCTTGGCGTGTTCTATGATTCATTACAGTCTTATGATTGATAGTCAGATGGGGGCACTCGTTACAATTTTTTCAATTATGGCTACATAGTTTTACATTGAGTAGTCAGTGGATATTACCTCAGCATCTATCACGAATGGAAGGTCAGTTTTACGCAATCTATTCACGTTATATAATCCAAAATCAATATCAACATGCAAGTTACGCTATCAGATCGAAGCTTCGTTTCTTGGAGGTCTGGAACCGAATATATCAGTCCCGATTCTAACTTCTGACGTTCCCTGATTAATAGCTTGTTTGAAGTCGGAACTCATCCCCATGGACAATTTCAATTGAGTGTTAAATTTTTGGTCCACTTTCTTCTTCCACTGGCAAAGTGTTGCAAAGTCGTCATTAACTTCATTTGCTGCATGGGATGTATCCCAAGACCCAATCGTCATAAGCCCGTTTAGTTCAACATGTGTCGCCGCAGCGGATAAAAAGAATTCTATAATCTCAAATATTTCCTTCTCCTCAAAGAGACCCGACTTTTGGCCTTCTTCTGAGGTGTTGATCTGCACATTGCACATAATTTTCCGAGCATCAGGCTGGAACTTAGACCTCGCTTCGTTCAACTTCTTGGCTTTTTTCAAAGAGTCAATTGTTTCGACAGCATATAGGTTCTCAACTTTTGCAAGGTCTTTGCACTTGTTTGTCTGTAAACCGCCGATAAAATGCCATTGGATATCTTTAGGGAGCATTTCAGCCTTGGTGATGAGCTCCTGAACATAGTTTTCTCCAAAACTCCTAACACCATGATCATAGAGGATTTGAATATCTGAGGCAGGCTTCAATTTAGAAACTGGAAGTAGCTTAACATCACTGTTTCCCTTCTCTTCGGCATATGAGTCAATGGCTGCTTTGACAGATTCGTAAGTGGAAACAAGTTGATCTTTTCTTAAACTAGACATTTTTCGTTTAGTAAAGCTTAGAAGCATGCAAAGCAACGAGATGGTGACCTTTGTAGCTTTTATCGTCTATTAATGAACTCGACAGAATAGCAGAAATGATTCGTTTCTTAAAGAACGACAATCCTTTCAAGTGTGGACTGCATGACGTTCTTCGTGATCTTAATTCCATATTCAAAAAAAACAAGGTTATTTTCCAACTGTACACATTTCCTTGCATTGAGCGTGATTGCACAAATGGAAACAATTGCATCATTAAAACCGAATTGGTCTATTGCACTTAGTTATTCTAAGGAAAACTTGACCCATTTACTGACTGAGCTGTCTGCGAAAGGGCTTCACGCCTTAACGAGGCCAGGACATGATAGCTCTACAATTTACGTATTTGTGAGAGATTGTTCCGATGCAATCCCTCAGATCGTTAAAGAACTTCCCTATGTTCAAAGTGTAGTTGCATTGCGTGATAATAGCAAACTCTTAGAAGCTGAAGGGTTATCAGTAAAAGCCTCGACTATGGCGCTACTCCCTACATCTGAGCAGATTACAAAATTAGCTCGGGTCACTGGTTCGCCAGCAAGTGCCATGTATTTTGCTTATGCCAGGAACTATACACGATGGCTCATGCTCCTTTCTTTGATCGGTGCTTCGTTTCGATTGTTTTCAAAACAAGCACCTTGGGAATTCAATACAAATTACTCCATAATCGCATTGCTTTGGGCAATTACTTTTGTTTCCATTTGGGTAGGAAAGTTAGAGCCCCTCTATGCCAAGAAATATTCCTATAGTAAACCGTTTACGGTAACAACCAGTTCCCAGCGTTTGGTTTTTATAAAGAAACTGTGTTTCATTCCCGTTGCTCTGCAATTTGCTGCCTGTTTGATTTGCTTTCAATTTTTCTGTTTTGTTCTTGAAATTTTCATCACTCAGATTTATCAAGGACCCCTTGGTTCTATTTTGGCCTTGCTTCCCACTGCTCTCATTTGTTCATATGTGCCTATCTTAACTATTTTCTATGATAAGGTAATTGACAAATTGGTTTCATGGGAGAAATCTGTGGATCCAAAACAATCTAAAATCGAAAAAAAGTTCGTTTTCACTTTTCTCACCAGCTATGTTCCTCTTTTGATCACACTTTTCGTCTACTTGCCACTGGGCTACCATCTCAATTCACAGTTAACTTATGTCGCGGATCTATGCTCAAGATATAACATCCCAGTCATTCAATCCGCTTTCAAAATTGATATTAAACGGTATCAAAATCAATTCTTCTATTTTGTCGTCACAAACCAAGTAATTGCACTAGGTGTTGAAAATGTACTTCCATTTGTCTTGGAGAAGGTCCTTCCTATGATAAAAGGTGAAAATAAGGAAACTTCGGCTTTCAAGCAAGCTGAAAAAAAGATGGTGAAAGACTATCCAGAAGATATCGAATTGTGGAAACAAGTGCGTAATTATAACTTGTCTCCCTGGGGCATTTTTGATCCCGAGGTTATGGTCAGCAAAATGATTGTGCAGTTTGGATATGTTGCTATGTTTTCAACTATATGGCCTTTGGCGCCCTTGTGCTGTGTCATCTTCAATATTATTGGTATCAAATGTGATTTCTGGAGATGCCTGAATAAGTGTAAGCCGACGAGAATTCCCAGCGACGCTTTAAACAAACCTGTTCAATCTACGCAAAGCGGTTCGAATATTTCCTCGAATAATATGGCCCCTTGGGATACTATTTTGAAGTTTGTCTTGTGGGTTTCGTCATTGGTTTCCCCTGCGCTTGTCATAATGTACAATACCTCCAACTTTGGAGGCTCTGGGTTGGCAAATTGTTTAGAAAAGCGTGAAAATTGGTTTTTAACCTCACCTGTTAATTACGATTGGAAGTTTATTGGTATTTTTGCTTTTGCTAGTGAGCATTTTGCCATATTTTTGTATATTGTCATCACTAAAGTAACGAAGCAGACTCAAGGCGACAAGAAGGACAGCTATGTTCCAGCCAAGACTTTACAAGAGCCTCCGCATGTTGATTTAGAAAAAGTGATGAAAGAGTCTGAGCAGTTTATGGAGAATAAAAATTCTCAATTAAATTTAACATCGAAAGCTGGAAACTTCGATGCAGGGAAGCTCACTGAAAAAAGACAAACTATGACTTCTAAAGACCCCTTAGGAAAATCAGAAAAGAGTAATGGAATACAGCCGTCCGAAGCCGCACGTATGGCACCGATCACAAAGACAGCAACATCTTCAAACTCTTCTGCCACAAGTGAAAGCAATTCCAATAAAGGGCCTCAAACAGCAAAGCCTTTCAACTCTGCACTATCATTAAGCTCCTCTGTTGCAGGCGCTACTGTTCCTGAAACTATTCCAACATCGAAGAATTATCATCTGAGATATGACAAGAGCGGAAATCCGGTTTCATCCAACTCTCAATCAATGGTTGATATTGAGAAAAAAGAATCAGTTGAGTCAAAACTAGAGCAATCGTACAGCACGAATAAGGATTCTAAGGGTCCTAATGACGAGCAAACTGAACCTATGAGTGGGACAAAAAATGACATAGAACGCGAAACGAACATGCCACAAACTGCTACACAACCCTCTGAGAAAGTTGATATTGGGGAGCAATTTGTTCCAGAGAGTATCAGAGATACCTCTAAAACTCACCTAGTTACTATTGCTAATCACGATCAGAAATCGATCAGCGAAGCTCCAAAAGTTGATGCAACTCCTACCAAGCGGATACAGCAAGAACCTCCAATCACTTCTGCAGATAATCATCAGAACTCGGTCAAACGTACTGAAGGATTCCATCGTCACTCAATTGACGTGGCAAATCATACCGCAGATACTTCGCGGCACAGTTCTTTGGCTAGCAGAAAATCCTCTGATGAGACAAGATCGATAAAGAAGAAAAAGAAAGGTGTTTTGTCACCCTTAAGCAAATTGAAGAAGAAGTTTCCTTAAAGAATTCAGTGCAAGTTGTTCAAGTACCTCATATTAAAATGAATCTTGTTTGTATTACTGTTCAGTTCTAAGTTGCGCATTAAAACACCGGGTTGCCTTGAGCGCGACGTGTATTTTAAGTTTTTTACAGTTTTGTAGATACGTGAATAAATTTGGTTAAAGATTTGTCAGTACTTAAATAAGCAATAACTTTGAGTTTCCTTCTAACTAGTGACTATATCTATCCGACATCTCTTCCATATATTATGAAGGAACACCTCTTCTTCTCCTTCGACCTTGGTTAACTCGCCGCCGATTAAACTAGGAGCTTTTACTGATAGCTGCGCAAAAGTTCCGCGCACGCCCATTGGCTTTATGAACGCTCCAGGGTTGACAAAAACTACGTTTTGCACCACCTTTGCAAATTGAATGAGCTCGCTCGGGATAACTATAATGTCTGGGATAAAATCGCCGGTGAATTCTGTTAGACCCAGAAAAGGAACCTCAAGGTCGGCACCAGACACATGTTCGCGTATATCTTTGCCTTTACCATTTTGAATTTTTCTATCTTTCACTGCTCCGGGGAACAAAGGATAGTACCGGCGTTGCTGTAAAATATGTTCGGCAATCCTGCTGATTCTGTTCTTCGAGGAAGTATTTCCTCCTTTGACTATCTCTCTGATATCTTTGAAAGAATCAACATTAGAACAACCGAAGAACACTTCGTTTATCTGAAATGTCGATGGATTTGTAAAACATTTGAAATTTTTTGGTAGCTGAAGATATTTGCGGTCAAGCGCATCCTGCGGATAAGCAGCGTGTTTCGATATGGTATCTCTTGTGGAGGGAATTAGTAGTGTTTGTATCTTAGGGTTGATCTCACGAAGAATTGGGGTAATCAGTTTTAGGAAAAGGTCATCGAGGGTTTTTGGTTGTGCTTTCAAAGATGGAAAGCTCGGAATGAGGCCTGATTCGATCAGAGGATGTGTGATATCCAAGAAGGGTCCGAACATAATTACTGCATGGGGTTTAATTTCATTATTCAATCGCTGCACAAACTCGCGAAGGTTTGAAAAGTCAAGTGTATTATTTGCAGTGTATGGGCCTTTCGTGATAACAATTTTCATGGAGTCATTATCAAGGCTATTCCCATATTTTACAATTTCCTCACCAGTGGACACTGGGGAATTCAGGTAAGGAATTTGAAGTGTCTCTTCCACCATAAAGTATTCCCCATTTGCATTTTTACCTCTAAAAACTGCTATTTGTCCAGGAAATAATGTAACCTCTGTAATTTTTTCTAAATTCAATCTTATTCGTCTTCCTATCCCAACGTTTCTTGAGGTTTCGAGCGCTAAAGATTCAATATTCAGTGGTCCGTTTGCTGTCGGAGAATCTGGAACAATTCTACCTATTGCAATAATTTCAGACTGAGATTGAATGGTTGGATCGCCAATATCGTTTGGGGTAAGCTTATAATGATCCAGAATGATCTGCGTAAATAATTCAATTTGTTCATCGAGCACCTCGGCAGCATCCAATAAATTCTGTCTCATAGTCCGGAAGCGATACTTTTCCCGCTCAAAAAAAGGTATCACCTGAACTTTTTCCTCGTTTTCAAAGTTAAGTCCCTTTGAAACATCAACGTTGTCGGGGTTAAAGGTTTCAACAGTAATTCCAGGCTCAAGATTCTTTTTCGATTCATTTGGTGTTGAAATTGAGTCTTGAGTTCTGTCTATGCTTGATTGGAAAAGCTTGGAGCTATGCATATTAGTTATTTCGCTTGGTGATTCCAGTAGCGACGGAGAATTATGAATCACTTTTAGAGACACCGATTCATTTTGCGAAAGGGGAGTGCCTTCTACTTTTCGCCTCTTAATTGTGGGAGTCTTTGGAACACCAAATCCAAACAACGACGGACTTGTTGCATGGGGCTTGTTGATTCTTGGCTTTTTGATTGAGGGAGGATTCGAAGTCGCAGTGCCGCCGATTGCATTAGCTTTCTTTTCGATTTGTTGCAGGAGAAATTCCTTGAACTCGGTAATCTTCGCAGAATTCAGTTCAATAGATTTTTCTTCTTGGTGATAAGCAAATTGTTCCCATTTAATGAATAGGTCTTCCACTCCAATTGAGTATATCTTCATAATATCCTCCAACATGGCGAGAACTTCCGCATCTTCAGCTTCCCGTCCGAACCTCACTATTAGCTCATTTTTTAACGTCATTCTTCTATATGTGGGCAGGACCCTTTATTAATGATCGTTATTTGAAGGATATGTACAATATCAAAAACTTCCTGATGCAGTCTACTTTTACAAATTGTTACGCGTCATCTTTTTTTTAGATTTCGTGTTCACTCAACGATTGCGTCGATAATGATTTAATTAGGGCCATTTGGCTTTCTGGTAAATCTTGAAAAAACTCCGATTGATCGGCATCCCTGGACGACAGTAAATTATATGAATGAGCTAGGATCCATGTCGCATGCATTCGCCATTCTGTTATATCATTAGAAGCAAAATCTTTCACTGTTGATATAATTGTGCTAATTTGTCTTTCTTCAATAGTGTTGCCTACCACGCGTAATATGAACAGTAGTGATTCTAATAAAAAGGCATTTCTAATGATGGCCTTTGCACCGTTCTCAGAGGATCGCCTCAGTAGTTGTTCAATCTGATTAATCGAAAAGAGATTAGTTCTCAACAAAAGATCCCGCAGATCTTTGCACATATAATACAGGGAGTTGAATTCGATGATGTTGGTTATTATGTTGGTCAAATGTTCCCACAACTGTTCTGAAATCGAAGACGAAAAAGCAAACGATGGAATTTCAGCTTGAATGTTCACCAAACAGGATGTCAGGATGATGGTTTTATAAACGATGTTAGGTGGAATATTTTTATTTCCGCTGAAAGATCCCAATAGCAAATTATTCATGGACATCAAATCGTGAAAACCTTCAGATAGCATCCACTGCAGAGTTTGTCGGTCATGTCCATATGATACTAACATTCCAATAATAAAATCCAGATCCCTTATTGTAAAAGTGCCATCCTTTATTTGATGAATTGTGAGATGAAGGGTCCCAAAATCGTTTTCCTTCTTGTTGAGCATTTCAAATAGCAGAAGTTCGTATTCAAGAAGTGAATTTTTGGTAGCCTTAGCGAAGACGTCAAATTTCACGTCTTCAGAGGTTTGACTGAATCGATTCTCTTTCTTGCCGACGTATTCACCGACTTTTTCAAAATCAGGGTCTGCTGTCAATTTCATGTCCAGTCCATCAAGTTTTTGTTCCGTCGGCAGCAGACTTTCCCGGTCGGAATCTGTAATTTTCTCCAGATCAGAGGAAGTGGATTCTTGGTTTAAGCATTCCTCATTATGTTCTCCTTTTTCCTGACCAGATTCGTTTGATATAGTCTCTTCTTTGCTTTGGCGTATAATGGTTGGCAGGTCATCAAATTTCACAGTCATGTCTCTATGATGAGTTTTCTGACTAAAAATGTCACTTAGATCGACATCTGTTTCCGTACTCTTCTCTTCACGACCATCTTCGCGATTCATATCGACATCGACTTTTTCATCATTAATTTGTGACTGACCAATGGGATTGATATTCTGATTCTTTTCATACAAACTAACAACTCTCGTCATCTCTGTAAGTTTCGAAAGGCCTCCATATTTTGTGAATCCTGGCTCTTCAATGTCCAACTCCATCTTGTCCTCATTACCAATGCTGTTCTCCGGCCGCAGGTTTTTGATGTCATTATGTAGCACACTTCCGGTACTACTGGACCTTTGCTGTAGCGCAGATGGATTTACCATTGTCATCTCGAAAAACTTTCTTTCTTCGTCGGCAGCCAATTCTACGGTGGATTCACGGTTGAGAGCGGTGGACTCTGGGAAAGAAGGATCTCGATCTTTTATTTCTTTGCATATCTTCAAGCGAACAAATATAGGTGATTCCTGTAAAACCTTCACAAATCTAGCAGGATGTGAAGAGTAAATTTGAAATATCAATTGCATATACTTCGGCATATCAAATTCATTTCCATATACTTCAAGCAATTTTGATGTGCAGTTGTCGTATACGAATTCAGATATGTTGCTTTTCTTTTCAACCAATTCTTTGATGACATCGAAGCAGTAATTGAATATTAATGGTCTGTATTTCACGTAATAAAGCGCCAGTCCCTTTTCTTTTGGATACAGATTATTAAATAAAATCAAAATTGCTTCAATCAATTCATCAGCATCAAATTTTTCAAGTAATGACTCAAAATCAATATGATTGATTGCAAGGGATTCAATTAAATATCCCGGTTGTAAAAAGTCGTAAAATTTAGACATCTTCAATAGTTCGCTTAAAGATATGGGGCTCTTGATCATAATCTGTCTCAAAATTGGCTTGATATTGATATTCAAAGGAACGCCTATTAAAATCAAATTGCGAAGGAGCTGTAGTCCATGAATATTTTCAGATAGGACAGCAGATGAAAGATACTTCATCATTTCATCTTGCTCAGTGTCGGATTGCTTTGTTTTGAGTTCACCTGAACTTGGCTCCGTCATATACTTCCTAATAAGGGTATTTGTGCTTGTGTTATTATGAGTGAGATCTGCGGTTAACTCGATCGGCGAATTGCCGATGGGGCTCGGAGGCGATGCTAGATTTTCTACGGTCCTATTAGTATTTTCTGGCTTTTGTATCATTTTATCTTGGGCAAAAGGTTTATCACTTGAGATACGAATCGAATGATCGTATCCATTATTTTGTACGTTTGAACGTGGAGCAAGATCGCTGTAAGACCTAGTGGCACTGTTTCTTTGTGCATGATGAGATTGCGTAGGACCTGCATAACTTGGAGTTCTTTTTGGACCCAGGCTTGATCTCCGGGAAGACTCTAATGAGTTTACTTGGCTGGGCCTATAATCAATGCTGAGGTGTTTTGGAATAGATAATTCGACCGCTCTTTTTAATTGAGGGGACAGTCCTTCTAGTAATTTTTTGGCGTTTGAAGGACTCATTTTGTAGTAGTACCAGAAAGTTATTCTCATAGTTTCACGTACTTTGGTCTGCGCGTCAGATAAACTTCTCTGAATCCATTCGTCAATATATAGAGATGAGTTCTCCAACCTTGAATGATGTCTAACGATGAATATACGCAAGAAAACCGCCGCAAAGCAGCGAGGGGATACATTTTTGTCCCGCGAGAGTACTAAACATTGCTGGAAAATCCGATTGTGAAATTGAACGTACGACAACATCACGCAAATTGTTATGAACGCGTTCTGTGAGGATATTTTTTTGGTTGCTGATAAGAGGTTTCTCATTGGAACAAACAGGCTTTCTATAATGGGGTCTAATTTTTCTTCCAAGCGATGTGCCATATCTTTTATTAACTGGCAGCCCTGAACAGACAGTGTAGTTCTTAAAGATAAAGCGGCCTTAGCAGCACAATCAGTAACTTGTAGCTCCTTTAAAAGTACAACCAGTTGATCAGCAAAGCTTGAAGTAGCATTCCCTCTAAGAATACTTCGGAGCTTTATCACATTTTCTTGTCGCTGCCTCCAGTTATGCTCAGTCTCTTTGATGGAGAGAAATGGTACGACTAACTGTTCCAAATCTTTTTCCAGGTACTCAACCGAACTATAATCCTTTTTCGTTAGATCAGCTTGCGAAGTAGAGTTATCGGTGAGATACTCCCTCAACTCTTGTTCAACATCGAAAAGATCATCAAGGCCTTTATGAACGCTACCCTCACGTCTAGAATGCATATGGAGATCGTCTAAGAAAACGTTTTTGGCTGTTGGAAGTATGATATGCTCTGCGAACTCTTTCAATGACGGTTTGTTGTAGTACTTGCCTAAAATGTCATGGATAAGCTCGAATGGCTGTGGATTCGTTATACTTGCGTCATTCAAAATACCCAAGAAAAGAGACCTAAACCGGTTAAGCACTTCCATTGGGTTCCTATTCTGTTTCTGGTGCAACTGCACCAGCTCATCGATGAACAGTAAAACAGCAGTCCTATCACTTTTGTCAAGGCACAGCTGATCGAGACATGATTCGAAGATAGACGGTTGCGCCAAATACATCGTCTCCAATGCCTTTACGGTTCCAATCCACAGTTTTCTGTCCTCAGTGAGCGTCCATAGCAAGGCCTTGATCAGTTTGAGCATTGTCTCTGCATCGAACTGCGATGGAGCTTGCATGGCCACACGCTTAATTAAATAGCATATAGTGGAATGACATAAATTTACCACCCTTTTATCCTCTTGCGGCCAACTACGAAGCACAAAGCTTAGGGCCTCGAAATATGATCGTATCGATGGCTCATGGACAAGCTCTTTCTTGACATGCCCTTTGAACTCACTTAAGTGCTTGATTTTAACATCAGTAGGACATTTTTCATCAGTCAGCACATTTTGTAGTGAGAAGTTTTGCATCCCATCCATGTTCAATCTTCTTGACGTGATGATTACTTTCAACTCTATTGATGATTTATGCTAAGTAATCGTAATTTCGCTGTCATTTCCGTTCATAATGATGACACAAAAGATATCGTCCTCAAGAGAAGCATGTGACTTGAACGAATACAAAACTCGAACATGTACGTAGATGCGATAATGGTAGACTTTATACCGTATAAAATACATGGTTATTGTGCTCACTTATTGATTTCGGCCCCTTTTGAAGAGATATCGTTTGCTTCCCCAATTCGAAATTAAATTATCTCTTTTCTGTCAAAATATTGTACAATAGCTATATATGGCACTTGGAAACATTGCCAAAGGATGATAAAAATTGTCCGTCCAGCACCGAATGTTTGTAAAACTTATACAGACTGAGCGACGGCCTCGCAAAGATGCGTTCATTACTCAGTTTGGTTTTTTGGTTAACTTCAAAGTAAAATCCTCAATTGATGAACTCGTCACTTTTCAAGGAACCTTACAGCTCCTCTGATACTCCCAATATGTATACAAGTATATTGGGGAGATTGGAGAGTAATTCTAAATACTAAATTGCAAACGAATAATTACATCACGTGATCCGTATGTCATTATCTTACGGCCGTTTTAAATATCCGGATCGATAAAGGGGGGAATAGCACATTACATCTTCACATCCTTTCAAAAGATCAAGCTTTTAGCAATGCAAACTTTATACAAGCAAAACAGCAACATCACACAATCTACAGGGTCTTTCCTAGCTTCTGCTCCTGTAGAGCTAACCACCGTAAAGGGTTATGAGGATTTCATGGCCAAACAACAAAAGTCTAACGCTAATGTCACTACGATATTGAGCGAAGATAAGAGCTGCGGATACGTTCTGAAAGGCGGTGAAGCTATCGCTACTATCTCTGGAGAAGCCAAGGACCATCTGCTGGCTTTGACTGGTGGTGGTGTTTAATCGCATTTTGGAATCGAATAGAATTTTGCTTCACGGAAGTTGCTCTTGAGAAGAACCTAATTTTTGGTATGACGGCAGACGATTCAGCATATTCTCCGTTTTAAGTTTTTGGTCCTTTGTTCGTCAGCTGATAGATCGTTTATACATTCGCTCGCTTCAAAGTTATATACAAACGACGTTTTATTTTGAACATTATATTATATAGTACGCTCGCTAAAAGTTCAACTGATATTCAAAAAAATTATAAAGTCTGACAGTCTGTCCCGATAGTGATCTGTCCACGCGTTATAAATCCTTTATAAAAAATTGAGAGCACCCCTGGTCATGTTCCGATAGTCATAAGATCGAACGAGTCGTTATGGAGGTTTTTGTCACCTCGTCAGCAGTGTGCAACTGCAAAGGCTTTTGTAGTAGGTGGCCCATTCTCTCGACTTTTGTCCTAAGATAGCCCTCAATTTCTGTCGAATGGATACCCTCTTCTTCGCTCGTCCAAGAAAGTGGCACCATTGGCACCCGCTCAACACAGTGAAGGAAAGGTGGGTACTCGACCTGTTCGACCTTGTCAGGGTTATTTGTTAACAACCTTACCTTTTCTATACCTAAATCTATGAGGATGGCCCTTCCCAAAGAGAAATCGCGACCATCTGCTGGATGTTTTAGCATCAGGTTAGCCTGAACCGTATCTGCTCCCAAGTCTTGTAAATTATATGCCTTCAACTTTTCACCCAGCCCAATACCGCGACCCTCTTGTCTAAGGTACACGATGACACCCTTTCCAGAGCCTCCTTTGATGTCCCCCTCACGATCCAATGCCATAAGCTTCCCAGCCCGGTCGAATTGCTCCCCGCAGTCGCAACGAGCACTCCAAGCTGTTTCACCCGTATAGCACTCCGAGTGGATCCGTACAAGAGTGTCTTGATCATGCCATGTGTGTTCGTCTGTGATCAACTCCCCATCATTTGAAAATTTCAATTCAATACCTGCACGCTCGTCCCTGTCGGCAACCGTTCTCCCCGGGAAAAGCTTGCCAACATATGCCCCTCTGATCATACGCTCCTGTTGAGACTCTCCAGATCTCTGTTTGAACAGAGTTCTTGATCGGATGTCTTCGCCGAATACTATTGCCAGATGCTCTTTATTATCCTTATCATTTGCGTATAGGTGCAAGAATATTTCTGGGCCCTGTGTTGTAGGAATACGTGCTCTTGCTACGCATATAACCTTTGGTAATGTCTCGCTTGCTGTCATGTTATTCCTTGAATGTTGCTTCTATTACCCACAGAAGACAACTTCGCCTTCCTTATTAAGTATCTTCCTAATGACTAAGATTTCAACAAGTAAATTTTTCTCAGACCTGGCTCTTACTAAGTCAGGCAAAAAGCAATGCACTGCACACAGCATTGCCAGAAAATGCTGCATATAGTTTGCAAGATTGGTTGATCTCTTGTCGCTACGAATAGCATTAGTTAACCATGCTATTTGATGTCAATATCAGTTTCTTTCCGAGACGATACGACTTATAAATTTTGTGAGGTAGGAAGACTTTTTAAAGCTCTCACATATAACGACCAAACGGCCAAATATTTCGTGGTTTCACTAACAACAACTAGTAATGGCAGAAAGTGAAAGCAGCAACACAGCTAGTCATAGGGTTCTAGTATCTCTAAGGGAGGCCGCGAGAATTATCGGAGCCCAAGGAGCGACTATTCAGGAGATACGCGAGTCTAACAAGGTAAAAATTGGCATTTCACCTCATGAAAGGGGATGCTCAGACAGAATTCTTACTTGCTCAGGGTCTATTCAAAGCGCGGCTAATGCTATTGGTGACGTGATAGATGTTCTCAATCATGAAGACCAGGAACCTGAAGAGTATACGTACAAGCCGCTTAACTTCATTCTCCCCACGCCTAGCCCAGACGAGATACAAGACGTGGAAAGTATCAAGAGAATTGGCAATTTGAGGCTAATTGTGACCAACTCGGAAGTGTCATCGATAATTGGTACACAAGGTAGCCGCATTAAGAGTCTTATCGAGAAGCATGGTGTGAAGATTGTCGCATCCAAGAACTTTCTCCCTGATTCTCAGGACCGGGTGGTAGAAATTCAAGGTTTCCCGGGTTCCATTGCCAATTGCCTTGTAGACATCAGTGAGATACTATCAAAGGAAGCGAAACCAACTCATGAGAAGCGCTATTACCCTCATACTAAAAGTCAGGAGGAGGGGTCTGTCACTAAAGTCGTGCCTATTCCAGTGGAATATGTGGGCGCGTTGCTAGGTCGTGGTGGCAACAGGGTTTCAAGCTTAAGAAAATACACCAAGACAAAGGTTATAGTCAGTGATGAACCCAATGATGAAGGTGAAAGGCTTTTTACGATTACTGGTAACAACCAAAACAGCGTTAAATTGGCAGAGACAATGCTTTTGAAGAATCTCGAAACGGAGAAACAAAGACGCGAAGAAAAAACGGTGTCCAAGGAGTAAATGGAAAACCTTTAGGGATTTCATGTTGTTTTTGCCTATGTATGTAACATTATAAAACCTTACTGGAAACTCAAGAAATTGCCTTTTCGAATTGAGATGGCTGGAGAGTTTAGACAGGTGGTATTATTTTGGCACATAAAACTTAATTAATCCGATAAAGTGTCCAGATCTTGTGATACGTGTCGATAGAAAGTGTATGCCTGTGCCATTTTCTGCCGTTTTCGTCGCAACAGTTTTTTACGACGTTTTTAGTCCCAGGATTTCATGCTACGCAAGTTATGTTTCTTTCTAAAGAACATTCGCATAGTCTTAGCGAATTAGATGAATGGTACGCTTCTTACCTATGTAGTTTACTTTTTTTGTACCTGTTTTGATATGCTCCTCACCGTCATCCGCCATTTGTTTTCTTCAAACCGTTGGTTTTGATATTTCACGTATGAAATAACTCTCATTCCAAGATAATCAAGGTGTCAACAAACATTCACAGCTCAAGCTGGTCGTGGTCATGGCACATAATGACCGTCTGATAGACACACTAGGAGTCTCTAGACGCCTGGGACGGTCAGTCTTATCTGAGTTGGACTCCAGGGCTAATGAGAAAGCGGCCCAATTGGATACAGTACTCGATGATGTGGATCAATTGACGGAAAATACGTCCCACCGATTCAACTCTTTACATCAGACCAGGTTCAATGCCATGGATTCAATAGAATCACATTATGCTGCAAAAAAATCGTTCCATTTTGAAAACGACGGGTTCAACGATGGATCCACATCCCGCAGCTCGCGAACGTCGCAGCAGAGCGACAGTAATTCAAATGACGAGCCTAGTACGCCTAAGCGTCACGCCAATGAAGATATCACTTCATCTACAAAACGGTATAAGGACTCCCAGAGAAGAGCAAGAAAAAGCGACGCATTTTTATATAGTCCTGTGACGGACATCACAAAGAAGATACGAAGATTGAGAATGATAAGTCAGGCACCCCGAGAAAATCAATCTAAGATGAATGCCATTAGAAATACCCCTTTAACTCGGCATGATCCGTCATATCTATCTGCTACTGGTTATATCCCTAGTGATTTTAATAAGAGCCAGCCCACGTTCGCTAAACCTACATTCACATCTATAAAAAGAGAAAGTAAGCCTGGTGCTATATTTTCTAATCTCAAGAAAAAAGGGAGTATACCCAGAACTCATATTAAATCTGTGGGCACGAAGCCGCCGGCACCTCTAAAGACTACTTCAACTATTTCTAAGGTTGAAGGGCCATCCTCAGACAGGCCTGCTCTCACAAGTTCTACTTCTGTATTCGAAAGATTGTACCAGCAGTCCACAATTTCACGTTCTAATTCAAGTAACAAGCTTCCTCCAGTCAAACGGAGTCTTCCAAAATCACAAACCATGAAAAATGTCCGATCTTCTGCGATAATGGAGGCGACGCCCGCTGCAACTTCGTCCCTGCCACGATCCAAGTCCAGTGCAAATTTGTCTTTGCAAAGCCAATCTGACACCCTATCAGCAAAATCAGGCGGTGGAAGACGAAACTGGAGATGATTTTTTTTTATAGTAATTAAATAGTTGTTTTAGGGATTAATGTTAAAGTAGATGTTTGAGTTGGAAAACATGAAATCACGATACCTCAGGGGCAACTTCCTCTCACGCACGACGCGCAAACCAATTCCATGAAGCTTGGAGGCATCCAACACTTAACTCCCCGTGATATAAACACCGTAAAACCACCACGACGTAGCCATCAAATAAACAAATGAGTCCCCGATTATTATTTCTTCCAAACTTTTTACAAAAGTTGTTTACTTAAAAACTATGTACTTTGAATCATGAATAGTAGCACTTTATAAACAAATCGTTAGACAGAATACAGCTCAGCTAAACGTTGTTCTGAGTTTCATTACGCTTATTTGAATTTCTTACCGAACAAGATCATTTGCAATTGGTCGTACATGGAAATGACACCGGCACCGGCAACACCTCTCAAGATGTTAGCACCGCAACCCTTGAACAAAGACTTGACACCTTCGGCGGCAATAATCTTTCTGAAGGCGTCGAAGGCACCGTCGTACTTGACGGCTTGACCAGAGGTCATCATCATTCTTCTTCTGACAGTGTCCAATGGGTAAGAGGCGGTAGAAGCACCAGTGGTAACAACCCAACCCAACAAGAAAGAGGCCAAGAAAGAACCATCCAAAGAACCAGTCAACAATAGAGGCTTCAAGGAGTCGTACAAACCGAAGTACAAACCTCTGTAGACAACGATACCAACAACAGATGGCAAGAAACCTCTGTACAAACCAGCAACACCATCGGAAGCCAAAGTCTTCTTGTAGACATCGACTAGACCGTTGAATTGACGTTCACCACCCTTCTTGGCAGACTTGGAGTCAGCAGCCAATCTGGTTCTGGCGTAATCCAAAGAGTAGACAAACATCAAAGACAAACCACCAGCGGCACCACCAGAGGCCAAGTTACCGGCAAACCACTTACCGTAACCTTCCTCCTTCTTGAAACCGAACATGGCCTTGATCTTGTCCTTGAAGGCAAAGTTCAAAGCTTGGGTTGGGAAGTAACGGATAACGTTAGCAGTGTTACCTCTCCAGAAAGAAACGATACCTTCGTTCTTGGCGGTTCTGGCGAAACATTCACCAATACCGTTGTAACGTCTGTCCAAAGTACCTTGCTTGATCATCTCATCTTGGTTTTGGATCAACAACTTGACTCTCTCGATAGGAGCAGCGGCGGTCTTAGCGACGGCGGCGGACACACCACCCATCAAAAAGTCGACAGCGAAGTTAGATTCTTTTTTCTCAGCCATGTCTGGTTTTGCTATATCTACAGGACGTCTGCAAGTTACAAGAAAGATGTTTCACCCGCGCCAGGTGAACGTTTATATATTCCGTCAACGGGAAAAAATTTTTTTCTCAGAGCGATAGCCCTTCGTCTCTCCAAGCTGTGGTGTCCAGGCGCTGCGCGATCCTCATTGAACCTACGTCAACTTCTGAGGAGAGGCCATTGGAGTCTCCTGATTGGCCCAATCTGTATCCCTCGTATCGTATGATATTATGGGGTCAAACTTTTGCGCGCCAGCAAAGCTCCCCTTTTTTCCGAGAAGAACGGCGCCGAACAAAAATAGAGTTGCGCCGGGCTGCCCGGCGAACGCATGCGATGATTCTACGCTGAGCCGGCATCGAATCACGATCTTTGGCGACTAAATAGATACATGTAAGCGTAGGTGACGCTGACCATTGCGTTAGTCCTTGATGGTCCGCTGCGACGCGTTTTCTTGCGCAGAAGTGGCGCCGCCGGGCGCGATCGGGCGACATTGCCGGTGTCGGAAATGCTGTTTTTGCTTACGTCAGCCGTCGCTTCGGCAAGCAGTCCCTCTCTGTCCGTCGCGAGATAGAAGGAATAACTGAAGACGGCCAAATCGCGCCGAAACAAGGCCTGGTTTGCGCGCGTATCGGTCCAAGCATTGCGTGCTTTTGCGTGGGGGCGCCGGCTGTTTGTGTTGCTTACGTGCTCGAGACCGTGGGCACAGATTGCGCACGGCGGAGAAGAGTGCCGGGCGCGGAGAAGCTGTGTTTCCCCGCAGAACTCTGCCGACGGTCTTTTCTGGGCGGAAGAGACACATCGAATTCACATCGAATTACGGGTGCGGCGTGAAGTACATAGATAGAGCGAGACACGGATAGAGATGTGGATGAAAACAAAAAGCACCATGTGACCCGATCTAATGCCGTAAAGGGCGATCCGACCAGGGCATGTGACCGCAGCGGGCAAAAAGCGGAAATAAGAACACGTGCTGAGCATCTTTTTTTTTTTTTCTCCGCCTCCCCCTTCTGCGACGCAATTCCGTCGCACGGCTGGATCATGGGTTCGTGAGCGTGGAATAGCCCGCAGTAAAAGAAAATACGAGTTCCGAAATCCGACGGTGACAAACAGGTTCTTTCGGCCGCTGCGTCGCTATGGGTAGTTCAACTAAGTCATTTAAAGAACTTCTCTACATCATACACCCAGTAACTTATAAGCGCAATCAGCAATGGATCAGATCAAGGCTGAACAGCCGAATGCACAGCACAAGCATCTCCGCAAGCGTGTCACCAAGGCGTGCGACTCTTGCAGAATCAAGAAAATCAAGTGCGATGGCCAAGAACCTTGCGTCCACTGTACTCGCTACGGGTGCCCATGCACATACACACATGTAGTCAGACGGCATCGAGCACCCTCGACGCGTGTTTCCAACCGCAAAATACTGAGCGACTTGTCGTCACGAATCTCCAAGCTGGAAGAATTGCTAGTACAGATTCGGGACCAGGTTCACGGAAAACCAGCAGAAAGCACAGCTTCCGATTCACCATTCAGCGCCGTGGAGGGTGCAGAAGAGGATTCACGTTCGGATACTGACTTCTACTCTAGTCTTTCTGAGAGCGATGTGGACGACAAAATTTCGGAATCGGTGGGCAGATCCATGACAATGACACCTTCGCTGAGCTCGCAGCACAAGAGACCGAAATTGGGGTTGCCATCATTTACATTGGGACCTACCACCAACTCTGAGGCCGACGACAACGAAGAGCAAGATGAGATCGACTACTACAGCGGCGTCGAGATGAGGTTCTCACCCGAAAAAGGTACGCCCTCTGCAGGGGCCAGCTGCAAAGTTGAGGGTTTTGTGGGTGCACACTCAGTGTTTTCGCTACTGAGCAAGGAAGGTCTTCTGTGGTTGCAGCGCAAATTGGGCGGTCGCAGCGAAACCATTCTTCCGCTATTGCAAGTGCGCAACATAGTGGTTCACAGTAATGATTCTTGTTCTAGTATTTTGCTGGACCGTGTTGGACCAAACACTCTTCCATTTGAGTTGCCCCCAACGGAAATCTGTGATATGCTTTTCAAAGTGTTTTTGGAACAAATGCTAAATATCACTCGGCTGGCGTTCGAACCGGACTGCATCGAGCTCTTCGACAAATTCCGCAAGTCCCCAGAGTCGCTCAATCGCTCTGAAAACTTTCTACTACTGAACATTCTCTTACTGGCGACAATTTATATGGGCCACTGCGATGAGCACGAATCTATCTTCGACTGGAAGAACGTACATTTCAAAATTCTGGTGAGGACAATTCAAGTGTACCAACAAACCATTTTATGTTTTATGGACGACTCGCTCAAGTACATACAAGGTGTGGCGCTGTTTTGTTGGTATCTCGAAAACTCGCCAGTGCCATATCAGGTATATTGCGTGCTCACGGCGGCGATTCGGCTGGCGCAGGAGGTCGGCTTACACGACCGTGAGACGTATCGCAATATCACCGACCCTGTCGACATAAGAAGGCGGAAAACCATCTGGCTAGGTCTATACAGATACGACCGGTGTATTTCCACCCGTACGGGGAAACCGTCTTTGATTCACGATCATGACACAACCTCTTTGAACGACTGGGATTTTTACCAAGAATCGTGCTCGCTTCTGCGGGGCGAACCTGTGACCGGGCTGCGTGACGATGAAAGTCCAAACCCAAGTATGGAGTGGGTTGAGAATTTGGATGCGAACGTGACGCGTCTGGCCACCGCTTCTTTGGAGGGTCTCGCTTTCTCGATGAGATACTGTTTCTACAAGTTGACCCAGTATGCCGGTCGCTCATACCAATACCTGCTGTCCTCTAATGCCGTGGCTCATAAGAGCGAACGATGCCGCAAGATGCTGGTTGAAAAACTGTCACAGGAACTGGAAGAGTGGCGAAATCTCTTACCAGAGCCCTTGAAGATACAAGAGGACGTCAATGCGTTACCCCAGGTTCTGGAAAAGCTGGAATCGTACCCGCACAATTTGGCCCACAACGGGATCACGCAGTTTGCTCACACCACGCCCGATCGGCTGTATTTCCAATTGCTCGGCCTCCATATGGAGTACTATCTAAACATGATGTACACGAACTGCGTGGTGCGGACGAATCCGTGGTACACCAAGCCGGGCAAGCGCAACCGCTCCGCGAAGAACTCGCCTGCGTTGGAGCGCTGCGCGCTCGCGTCTCGGAACCTGTTGAAACTGTGCCGGCTCATATTGAGCACGAAAGCGCAGTACCACTTCATGCTCGCAGACGTGGTGTACTCGTTTTTCAGCGGGTTTCTGAACCTCTTCTACCGATGCCTGGAGTTCCCGCAGATGGCACGTGACGACCTGCTTTTGATGAGCACGCTGATCTCGAGCATGGTCGAAGAGGTCAGCACGCACTGGACCTCGTACCCGATGAAGTGGAGCACGGTCTCGTTCACGAGTCTGCACCTGCTCAAGGCTGCCGTCATCCATTACAACCGGTACTGTACGGACGAGGCGCTGAAACTGAATTTCTCGGAGCTGGGCAAGTACCTGAAGATTATCCAACAGCATCTTTTAGAGCAGACACGTGACGTGTCGAAGGCCGCGCTAGCGAAAGAAGGCCCAGAAAGACCACCACCGCTGGTCCCAGACTCTGTGTCTTGCGCCAGCATGTTCCCGAGCCCGCAAACCAGGTCGATGCCATCAGCCGACGGCGACCTGTTGACGTCCAGCGTGGGGCAGACGAACGCGATTCCGGCCGTGCCGGAATCGAAACCCATCGACTTCAATTCCTGGTTCATAAACCCTGTGTTCGCAGGCGGGCTTTTTTCGCCGACGCCAGCGCCCGAGTCTCCGGCGGGAGACGCGGCGCCGCCGATACCAGGGCTGAACGCCGACACACAGGGGCAGGACGCGCCGCAGGACCTGCTGTTCAACTTTCAAGACTTCGATCTGGACGAGCCGTGGCTCACGGAGTCGTCGAACAGCGTGCCGTCGTACTTCCGATTCTGAGATGCGCGGCAGCGCGTCACGTGACCTCCTTTTTCTTCTCACGTTTTTCCCGCCTCGGGCCGCCTCGGGCCGCCTCGATCCGTCTCCGCTCGCCTCCGTTGTCCTTCTCGTCGGGTTGCACTTTTCGCTTTGCTTTCCTACACACTGTAAATATGCGCCTAACAAGCGCGCCTACGTACGTTTAGCCGCCGACCTTACCCGCGCGGATGTTATCCTGCTCTCTCAGCACTTTTTTGAGCTGCTCGTCGCTCTTGAAGTCCTGGCGCCAATTGCAGATCGGGCAAACGAGCTGTTTGCCCCAGAAGAACGGCATCACAGGAATGAACCAAATCGTGATGAACTCGCGTCGTTTGACGGGCCGCACTTTGTAATTATGGCAGTTAGGACAGTATATAGCGTTGTACTCTTGCGACTGGGCGTACTCGACGTCCCAGTCGCGTTTACCGCAGATGATGGGCACGAACGACATGATGGATATCAGGAAGCAAGAAACGGCGGGGTCAGGAGTACCCCGCAGTCACATATGTATATATATGTACATATAGATGTATAAATATAGGGGAACCTCCGGCCTCCGGCGGCGCAGCGGCTTGCTGCAGAAGCCGTCTTCCACGCAGGGTTTTGCTATGGGGGGAGAAGCCAGGGAGCGGCTGGGGGGTCGCGCGACGCAATTGCGTCGCGCTCCGTATCGCCTCGCACGGCCGGCCCGCGGCTTCCCCCCACGCTCCGTGGGGCGTCCTGACACATGAAGCGCATTTCTTTTTTCCCACGGTCCGCTCACGTAAGCTCGCGCCGCCACGCGCTTCTCACGCGGCCGCAGGCACGGCGCTCACAGGAACGGCGCAACACGTGTTCGGAGTTCTCTCGCGTGACCCTTCCCTGCAGCTGCCACGGTTCCGTCGGCGAGGTTCCAGAAGTGGCAGCGCGGCGCTCGCGAGCCGCGCGCACGTGACTTTTTGCGCGGCCTCCTTTGTTTTCTGACTGCGGCGGGGTACAGAAAAGGGGCATCTCCTCCAGCTCTACGAGTGGCTATCGGGATGTTACGTCGTTTCGGGCAAGTCGGCCGAGACACCGGTCGGACATTTATGTGGTCGATAGCAGGTCCACGCGGTGGTCTAACGGGCGTTAGCGTCGGGTTCGGGGGAGCTCAAATTTTTCGAACGGGAAAAAGCGCAGCTGGTGTTATGATGTTTGATAGCTGATAATGCGTGAGTCAATCGCGGTGGGCGTGAGCGCTACAGTAAAAGTGCGAAGGGAAAATGTGTGAAAAATTGGGAAATAGCATATATATGTATACAGTATGCAGATAGGGCGTTGGGGCTCGAGTAGTTCTGCGAGCGCACGAATTGGCATTGAGTGGACTAAATGCTGTACTCTAGCGTGGAAGAGTACGATCTGCTAGACAACAGACTCATATTCGTTTCAGAGCCCGAGAAAGAGAACGGGCCCGCACAGATGCAGATGCAGACACAGACACAGAAGCTCGCTACGGCGCAGCGCGAGCGCCAGTCCGAGCTTGGCGAGCCCACCATGCTGCTGCAGGACGCGGATTTGGATCCCGTGCTCAGCTTGTACTACCCAATGGCCACGGCGGGGCCCGCGGTTGAAACCCCGGGCAACTCGAACTCGAGCGTGCTGTCGTTCTCGACCACGTCCTCGGGCCCGCTGTTCAGCCAAACCTCGCTGTACGACATGGATTTCTACGCGGCCGGCTTCGCCGGCCGCTCTGCCAGCGTCGATACCGACGTGGGCTTCGGCGTGCTGGCACGAGACCCATTGATGTCCTACACCGCTGGAGAGCTGAGCACGTCGCTGGACAGGGGCCAGTCCGACAGCCCGCTTCTCAGTGCAGGCGATGTGATGGACGTGGGCAGCCTCGCGGGCACAGCTACTGGCACCGTCGTGCACGTGCCAGAGCACGTGCGCGCTACTGCGCAGGGCATCATAGACGCTGGAGACACGGACGCTGATGTGGACGTGCACGGCGACGGCGACGGCGATGGCGAATACGACGCCAGTGAGGATATCAGTGATTCCGAGCCCCACCCCAAGGTCCCTCGCCAGCGCCGTTTCTCCTCGCGCACATCTTCTTCAAGCACACTCGCATCGGCCTACGGCTCCTCAAGTAAGAAAGTCTCGGACTCGAGACTCTCGGCGCAGGGCCTGGCGGAGGTTCTCAACCTGGACTCCGCGGAAGAAGCGCTGCGTCGTGAACGGTTCATACTCGACATTTTCGAGCGTGAGCTCCATTACCCATTGGGCTACAAGACGTGGGTCCGTGATACCTCGAAGGAGTACCGTACCCAGCTGCTCGATCAGTTGCACTCGCGCGTCGTCAAGACGTACCCGGAGTACGACAAGCCCGTTCTCGAGACAATCATCAGGAGAGCGACATATTACATGATGCAGAGCCGGCTTAGAAGAGAGCGCAGGGCAAAGGCAAAGTTAAAGCGCGACCAAGACAAAAAAAATGACTCCAAGAGACGTAGCACTACCAGCAGGAACTCCAAGTTAGGACTGACACGTTACGGGGGCTCTTCGGGTACCACGTTTATGATGTAGCGTGGCAGGTTTCACAAATACATTACATAATATCAACAGGACTTTACTGGGACATAACTTACTATAATAATTTTAATGCAATCTTTGCTTTGCCGGAAGAGCGACACTAGCTCAATCGGACCGTTGGATTCCGTAGCTGTAGAGTCATGCAGGTCGGAACCTTTTCGCGCTTCATTTTTCCACCGCAGGGTTCGTTCCTGGCCGATGATGCACCGCTGATGCTGTAGGCACCCTTGCCAATGCTTATCTTTCGTTACTTTTGACATAAGTGCATCGGGCTTCCTATTTAGGATATCTGCACATAAATCTTGCAGAACAATAACAAAGTCTCGAACACAATTGCTGGGCCATTCTGAGGATTCAATGTGCACGCGTCGGAACCCCTCCGCAACTGATTTGATAAACGCAATTCAGCCGAAGTTAATAGATAAAGTAGTCTCCGGCATACTGCACTCCAAGTTCAATTGCTTATGCGATACGAAACTTCTATACAGTAGCATATCTTGAAAGATAGCTGAAAGAGAGCGAAGAGAATGGATTCTCACACAGTTCCTACGTCTTTCCTTTTTGTTGGGGTTTTTGCTTCAGAATACCGTAGGGTGATCTGTTTTTCAACTACATCATGCAGTTGGACAATTCAGCGCGCACTCCAGAGTTCCCAGCTGCACCCTGTGCATACCAGTAGTATTCTTCTGATGCGCCGCTGGTTCAATTGATTCGATTCTGGTTCTAGGTCGTTCTGTGCCTTTCATCCACAGGCATCCGACGATCATCCTTGTAAAATCGCCGATTCACATGTGGCGGAGACTTCACTGCGACAATATGTCCATATCGCGTGACTGTGACTTCCCGGAAATTTACGATGAAGAGACAGATGCTTTTTAGAAACAAGAGGAAAAGCGCAAGTGATAAGACTAGCTTTTCCCTTGCAAGTTATCGGAATTTGCTTTTATATTTCGGAGCCACTATCTAATATACATATCATAGGAAGAGCACTCTAGATTGCTTCCACCAAATTTCCTGGACGTAGAAGCAGGTTGAGCGTCCTCGCGATTTTTCCGTACCAGCGCTTTCGTACAGCGCTTAATCTCTCAAAACTTCGTGAAAGAGCCCTTCTTGCGAGCTGCCTTCATCTTCTTGCTTTTCTTGTAATTGTGGTGTCTGGCGTCTCTCCATCCGGACGTGCTGACCTTCTTGGCGTCGGTGTCCATGGCATCAGTGTCCGCCTTGGCCTCGAGCGCATCCACAGAGCTTGGGTCTAATTCCATACCTCCATTTTTGTTTTTCAATTCTTCAAGCTTTTGCCTTATTAGATCTTCTTTCAGTTTGTTAGCTACACGTTCTGCACGTGCATCCACGGTCTTCTGAAACTCGTTCTTACGCTTGATGGACTTTGCCTTCAAGTGAGACTTTGCACGTAGAGATTTAGCCATTATTCGTCGTTTCCTTGTAGCGATGAGATGACCTGCACTCACCAAGATCTTGATGGAAAATTTTCTTTGTTCCCTTTACTTTCTTTTTTCGCACTGTAAAAAAGCAGTCTCACATACTCTGATACATCCGTACATTTGTCTGACAATTATATTTACACACCCATACCTTTGAGATTGTTTAGCAGAGTTGAAAATTTTAAGATGTGAGTCTCTGCGTGAAAAAAATGGACGCGCTGGGGCGTCGGCTGTACGCGGAGAGTACCCCCCTGACCGTTCTGCTGCCTGTGCTGCCCACACCCTCCTCTGCCCAGCACCCGCTAGGCAGTTTCTCCCCCCGTCGCCGCAGCCCTGCCTAGCTCCTATCCACCACTCCCTCCTGAGACCTCCGGCGCTTGCTTCCCATCCTGCTTGCTTGCGCTAGCGAGGCAGTTCGAAAAATCTTTATTGGGTCTACTCAAAAGTCTTGTTGATTCTCTCGTTTTAAAATTTACGTACAATAGAGAAACCAAAGCAAAATGTATGTGAAGATTGATGTAATAACTGGGTACTGAGTGTGAACCATGGAATGGATGGGATTGAAGGTGATAGTGAGCATGTTGAAACCACTGCCTAGTACGATATTGGAAAAGAAGGCATCGCCAAGATGGAAGAACTCTAAAGTAGTGGGATAATTTCTGGAGGCAAAGGGTATAGCAGTTACCATGCATCGAATTACCAATATAGGATGATAACATATCTGGTTTGCGCGGACGTTGGCCTCTTTACGAATGATCTACAATTCCCGCACCCCCTGGCTTCATTCTACTTTCAGTTGAAGATATTGCTTATATCAATTTGTCGGACGAATAACTAACTTAGTATCAACAGGGCTAACTTACGCACTCAAAAGAGACTTGCCGCTTCTGTTGTCGGTGTTGGTAAGAGAAAGATCTGGATGGACCCATCTGAGTCCGCTGAGATCGCTCAAGCCAACTCTAGAAACGCCATCAGAAAGTTGGTCAAGAACGGTACCATCGTTAAGAAGCCAACCAGAATGCACTCTAGATCCAGAACTAGATTGATGGCTGAATCCAAGAGAAACGGTCGTCACACTGGTTACGGTAAGAGAAAGGGTACCAAGGAGGCTCGTTTGCCATCCCAAGTCGTCTGGATCAGAAGATTGCGTGTCTTGAGAAGATTGTTGGCCAAGTACCGTGATGCTGGTAAGATCGACAAGCACCTATACCACACCTTGTACAAGGCTGCTAAGGGTAACACCTTCAAGCACAAGAGAGCTTTGGTTGAGCACATCATCCAAGCCAAGGCTGACTCTCAACGTGAGAAGGCCTTGAAGGAAGAGGCTGAAGCCAGAAGATTGAAGAACAGAGCCGCTCGTGAGAGAAGAGCTCAAAGAATCGCTGAAAAGAGAGAAGCTTTGTTGAAGGAAGATGCTTAAACTGCATAATCTAACATCAGTCATCATTTTTTCTTTCACGTTTTACTGTACCCCTTTTATGTAGTATAAACCCACGTACGTTGGTTTTTCTCTAATAGTCTTTTATCAAGGTATTATTATTAGTCGCCTAGGGCGGATCTTCGCCACAAGAATTTGCGAAGGACGCCCTGATTCACATCGTTGCATGTGTATTTCTTGAAAGCTTCACGCGCATGTATTAGTTGTAGCCTACTGATTTTGGCTTGAGTCTAGTACATGGATTTCGTTCATTACATCCTTATTTAACAGATTTTAATGTTACATAGCAGGACCGGCCTGCACCATTAACCTCCAAATCCATATTCCTTCATGGCCTGATCCTTAACGCCATCATGGAAGAGCGGTATATACTCTTTTGAACCTACTAAAAACTGGTTGGCTGTAATTGGTGGGAAGAGAAGATGCCGTCGAACCACTGGATTGCTTGATGATGGAGCCTGCTCTTGGCCCTCTGAGGTTTGATGTTTCATCGGGAGTTCTAGCCACTCTGACTGACTTGTTACCATTTTGGTACTAAACATGCCCGTAATATGCTTCCCTCGCTGCTTTCCAACGTTCTCGAAATACGCTGGTTCTTTAAATGCTTTATCTGGTTGTGTCAATCTTGCATATCCTCGCAAGCTTGATTTTTTTTTCTTTGACATGTTTTTCGAAGGCAAAGATAGCGAATAATTGATACTGACATTTTCATCTATCCGAAAATTCACCACAAGGTACATAAGATCTACACAAGAAAAAGAATAGTATCACCTCTGAAAACACTTCGTTTTATCTAGGATTCCAGAAAATATTTGTTTATTTAAAACAATCCTTCAATATCACCATTGTCATTGACTTCAACATTCATGTAACCAGCGTGTGTCGACAAACCAGGAATTGTTTGAATCTCTGCGGCCAACGCATACAAATATCCTGCACCGATAGATGCTCTCACATCCCTAACTGGGAACGTAAATCCGCTAGGGACGTTTTTCAAAGAAGCGTCATGAGAGAGAGAGTATTGAGTCTTCGCAATGCAGATGGGCAAGTTTCCAAATCCTTGGCTCTTGTATAAATCTATTTTCTTTCGAGCTTCAGGTAAAATTTCGATACCAGCACCGCCATACATGGTTTTCACAATGGCCTCTAACTTTTCCTCCACTGTTTGATCGACATCGTACAAGAACTTGAAGTCAACGGGTTGTTCGGTTGCTCTGATGACAGCCTCTGCAAGAGCAATAGATCCTTTGCCACCTTCAGCCCAATGGTTGGTGGCCACAGCATCGTACGCACCAGCCTCCTTTGCAGCCTTTCTTACGACTTCAATTTCAGCATCGGTATCAGTTTCGAACTTGTTAATCGCAACAACTACTGGGACGCCAAACTGCTTAGCATTGGAGATCTGTTTACATAAATTCGCAACACCTCTAGAAACTAGTTCGACATTTTCCTTTGTGTACTCAGGTCCAAGTGATTGTCCTGGCTTGACGTCAGGAGCACCACCGTGAAGTTTCAATGCACGAATTGTCGCAACAAGGACTACAGCGTTTGGAGTTAAGCCTGAAGCACGACATTTGATGTTGAAAAACCGTTCACCACCCATAGTAAAATCGAAACCAGCTTCGGTAACAACAAACCCACTCTCAACTTCTTCAGGAGCATTCTTTGGTTTACCGACTAGTTTCAAAGCAACTCTATCGGCAATGACTGAAGAAGCTCCAATTGAAATATTGGCAAAGGGACCAGCGTGAACCAAGACCGGGGTACCCTCAAGCGATTGCATAAGGTTAGGCTTGATAGCGTCCTTAAGTAGTGCTGTTATAGCACCTGCGCAGAAGATATCTTCGACGGTAACTGGTTCATTGTTGTAGTTTGCACCTACTACAATGCGTCCAACGCGTTCTCTCATATCTGTCAAGTCTTTAGAGAGGGCCAAAATCGCCATCAATTCGGAAGCAACCGTAATATCAAACCCTGTCTTTCTTATGAAACCCTTCTCGGTAGGAGCTTCTCCAACAGTCACTTGACGTAGCATACGGTCATTGACATCAACAACTCTCTTGATTGTTATGGTATCTGGATTTATGTCGAGACGAGCAAACTTGCGGATTTCTTCAGGCGTTAAGTCATCTGGGTTGGTCTTCTGGATTCCCAATTTCTGTAAACGTTTTAACATAGCCTTATTGAAGCTACGCTTGCCCTTCTTGGTAGGTACAAGTCTTCCATACAAAGAAGAATCCTTCTTTTGAGTGGCTTCATGAAACATTCTGGTATCAATTGCGGCAGCCAATAAATTGTTTGCAGCAGAAATGGCATGAATATCACCAGTCAAGTGTAGATTGAACTCATCCATTGGAATGACTTGCGCATATCCACCACCAGCTGCACCTCCTTTCACACCAAACGTTGGACCCATGGAAGGTTGACGAACATTTGCAATCGCAGGCCTGTTCAAATGCGCACCCAAAGCCTGTACCAACCCCATGGTAGTCGTAGATTTTCCCTCGCCCAATGGGGTAGGAGTAATACCAGCAACTAGAACATACTTACCGTTCTCATTTGATTCCAATCTTTTGAGAACATTTGGAGAAACTTTCGCTTTGTAATGACCATATAGTTCTACCTCACTTGGGTGAATTCCCAATTCTTCCGCAACTAAGCTAATATGCTTTGGAGTTTGGGCTCTTGAAATCTCGATATCGGAGGGAACGGGATTTTGTAGCTTCAGAGGTAATGGGGTGATTTTTGGCAGTTTGTTCGATTGGCTTAATTGCCTCTTTGCAGCAAGTAGTACGTTTTGCACTAGCATTGCTACGGTCATTGGTCCAACACCCCCAGGGACTGGGGTGATGAAAGAGGCTTTTTCCTTGGCGGATTCAAAATCGACATCCCCAACGAGCCTTTGGCCCGATTTCTTGGTTGCATCAGGAATATAATTGATACCAACATCAATTACAACAGCACCGTCCTTTAGCCATTCGCCTTTAACATAGTTGGGCACACCGCAAGCTGCAACAACCACATCTGCCTGAGATAGAATGGCTGGAAGGTTCTTAGTGTGTCTGTGACAAACTGTTACGGTTGCGTCGAGATCTTTGAGAAGAGATGCGACAGGGGTGCCTACAATATCAGAACGGCCAAGCACCACGGCATTTTTACCCTTGGGATCTACGCCAGCTTCTTTCAAAAGACGAATGCAACCGTTGGGGGTGCATGGAATGAAGAATGGCTTACCACCCTTTTTGGAAAGCTCACCTGCATTGTAACGATGAAACCCATCGACATCCTTAGTGTGTAAAACGGAGTTTGTGATTTTGGTTTCGTCAAGGTGCTTGGGAAGTGGTAACTGAATGAGCAGACCATGTATGGAGTCGTCGTTGTTCACTTCCTCGATCTTGTTGAGAAGTTCAACCTCTGAAATATCTTCAGGAAGCTTTTCAACGAAACAGGCAACACCACTCTCTTTAGATGCCTTGAGCTTCATGCGCACGTACGCACTAGAGTCTGGTCTCGAACCGACTTGGAAGATTTTGAGTGTTGGTTGGAACTCGGGTACTCTGGACTTGATGTGTTCTATTTCACGGAAAGCTTCAGCCCGGATGTCTTTAGCGGTCTTGGTACCTGACAAAATATGGTAAAGGGAGCGGTTCTCTCTGAAATGAGCTAGCGCCAAGGGGGAGGCGATACGCGTTGGCTGGCGTGTCAACAAACGAGCCAGCGACACCCTGGACACAGTTCTAGATAGCATCCTGATGTCAAATCAATCAAAGGCGTATATCGAGGAAACGAATTGTTTGTCTAACGTACTCTCGCTGATCGGCTCGATTTGTAGGGGGATATATATCCGTCTCTGGGGAGCACGAGCGCAGTTCAAGAGCTCATCGCATCGAGACTGAAAAATTTTGAGACTTGGGACCGAGTCACACAGAGAGGAAAAGAGAAAGAAAAAACCGATCACGTGCTTGCTAATACCGCTTCACGTTTATAACGATTTTAATACAGGCAGCTATTAGCTAATGCTTAGAAATAAGGTTGCATGCCATTAAGTTTTTCTTTTCTTTTCTCTCCCCTAAAATTTAAATTTCTACTTTTACATATACTACAGTGTTTGTAACGATGCTTGTGCAGATGCGGCTGTGCGGTGTCCTTTTGATTTTCTCTTATTCGCCTGTAAAGGTCTCAGAGCTGCTGCTGTAAGATTGCGCGGGCATGAGGTAGGGCGTATGCATCTGCTGATGATGTGGCACTTGCCTTGCGTCGCTACCCGTGGGATCCCCGCCAACGAAACTGCGATGGACGTCAGACGATCCCGGCGTGGCGTACAGAGACTGTATGAGGCGGCGCTGCTGCATTTCCACTTCTTTGGCTGCCTGCAGCGCGCCAGAGTCGGGTGTGCTCGTTGGCAACGCGCCAACGGACATGTCTACCGGTTCCGCCAAAGCTGAAACTGGCGTGGGCGCCTGGTGGTGCGGAGCGTATTCCTGCATGTTGACGGGAACACACTTGTACGACCTCAGATTGCTGTACACACGCTTCGCGTACTCGAGCGGGGTCTGGGGCTCGCGAACGACTTCCACGGCCGAGTCCGAAAAACGGGCGGGCGCGCTCACAAGCGGGCGACCTGCGTGGTGCATGTTGTGGTCCATTGGGGGCTCGATCGCGTGCTCCATGGCCGTATAGTCGGCAGCGGCGGGGACTGGGACGGCCGTTGGCGCCGCAGGCGCCACGGGCGGATTCGTGACCACGCGCCCCGCACCACCGCCACCGCCGCGCACGCTGCTGGCGTCTGTAGCGTCCAGGATCTCGCAGAACACCTTGTTGAACAGAATCTTGTTTTCCTGCGTCTGGCGCGCGCCGTTCTCGATGAGCTCGAGCAGCTCGCGTTCGTACGGCGAGAGCTCGAGGTTATTCTGCAGCTTGCTGACAATGGATTTTTTCCACACTTGTATATGCGACGAAATCTGCTTTTTCGTGCGATGCTCTCCGACGTTGTGGCGGATGAACAGCGATATGAGCTCGTTACGACCGTAGTTGCGGTCGCGCAGCTTGATCTTCGACGTGCCGTTCTTCATGATGATGCGTAATGCTGCCAAAAATGCGTTTTCAACGGGCGAAGACCAGATGTCGGTGTTCGCTAGCGCATGCATACCCGCTGGCGCCGAGCTGGGCGCCGAACCGTATGGCACCGGCGCTGTGTGTGTCAGCGCCTCAGGTCGCCTCTGCATCGACAGCGGCAGCGCGGCCCGCGCGTTCATGTGCATGGAGAGCGCCTGCGCCTTCCCCGGGCCCTGTCCCTGCATCTGCGCCTGCGACGCGCCCGGCCCGTGGGCCGGGCCGCCGCTGGAATTCAGATCCAGCCTGGGCGGCTTGACGTGCGGCCGCGGCACGTAGCGATGCGCCAGCGACGCGGGCGAAAGGCTGACGCGCCGGCCGGCGCCGGTGTTAACAAGCGACGCGTCGTCCATGTCACTTCCCACGTCACTCTCGCTGGTACTGGTGCTGGCGCTCGCACTCGCGCTCTCCGGGCTCGTGGTCGCCACGCTGCTCACCACGGTGGCACCTGCGGTGCTGTATGCAAATACATCCTCTAGCTGATGCGGTCCGGGCTCCGATGCGCTGCCATCCTGGATGTACACGTCGAAGATCCGCGTGTTGGCCGGATCCCATCCATTTCTTTGGCTCATGGTGATGGTTGACTCCAATGACATATATTACAGTAAGGAACGCGCTCCGACGTCCGGCTGTGTTGCCCGTCCCCGAATTCGTTTCGAACGCGTTCTCCAGTCGCGCTCTTATAAGTATGTTTCAACCGGTTCGGAAGCCCGCGCTGAAAATCTGGAGCGCAGCGCAAACAATCCGTCCAAGCCCAGGGGGGCGTGTAAGCGCACGGTGCGGCGGCTCAGCGTTTGGTTGTGCACTACGCAGCGCCTGCAGTTTCACGCGGCGCTGCATTGGGCCGTTTCGAACCGGAATGTTTCATGTGTGGGTGCGCACCGTGCGAATCTGCCACCTCGGTTAGCGAGCCCGCCGGAGACGGCCAGACATGATACGCGGTGCGGGGGCCTCGAAGCGGCTTTTTCGGAAGCGCTGCATACGGAGAAAATACGTAGAAAACATAGTTGGGAAGCTGATGGATTGCGTAAGATATACACTTGGGCTACATAGCCCCGTAGGCCGCGGGGGCGCGCGGCGCACGCTTAGAAGAGCGCGGAGAGCGTGATCGCGGAGATCTGCCCAGGGAGAAGCCGCAGAGCGGCCGGCACGCAAAGACAAAGGCGGAGTGCCAAGTAGATGTAGACGCCACGGCTAGTCTGAATCGAGGTACTGTGCGTACTCGTCTGCGGATGCAAACACCGGTAGACTCTTGAGCATCTTCCTGGAGCGGCGTTTGGCAGAAGCGGGATTCGGGGTCGTAGACCCGAGGCCGGCGTCTGCGTCGGCAATAGCGTCGGTATCCGGCTCGGCATCCAGTTCTGCACCCAGGTCGCTGCCGCCGTCGCTGTCAGAACCGGCGGAATCGGCAGAGTCTGCGGAGTCATCCAGGTGCGACTCATCGCGTGATCTCTTCCGGGTGGATGTGGTGGGCTCGTCGTCTGCAAAGCTGTAGAAGACGTCGCCGTCGGCGTCCGCGCCGTCGTCGTCGTCGTCGTTGGAGTCGGAGTCGGAGTCGAAGTGGTCCGCGTCCGCGTCCTCGTCCTCGGCCAGCTGTCTCGCCAGGTCGTCGTCCCCGTCGCTCTCCGAGAAATCCGACATCGACAGATCGTCCAGCGAGACGTCCTCTTCGTCGTCGTCCTCCACGTCGGGCCGAGACTTGACCAGCGCGTCCCACACTTCGTCCTCGTCCAGGTCGCTCTCGTCGTCGAAAACGTCGCGCTCGGACTTGCCCTTCTCGGCGCGCTTGATCGCGTTCTGCTTGGTGCTGAAATACTGGTAGAAGAAGCGTTCGTCGGGAACGACCTCCTCTGCTTTCTTGGCGAGCCAGTCCTGCGTGTTCGCTGGCACCGCCTCTTCGGCGCGGTCCGACGCCTTCACTAGCAGCGCGCCCGTGTGCGCTCCGCCTAGCGGCTGCATGATCGAGGACCCACGCGTTGCAGGCTTCTGTTTCGCGTTCCGGTACACGAAACGGTCGAGGAAATGTGCCAGCGTGAACAGGCCCAGATCCGGCTTCGGCACGTCGTCCGACGTCGCCAGAAACGCCTGGGCGTATGTCTGCACTGTGGGGTGGTAATGCTTCAGGAAGTGTGCGATCTCCCACACGGACGACTTGTCTGCGTTGGCAAATTTGGGGTCTCTTTTCTTACCGTCGTACACTTTTTTCTGGCGCGCGTCGTCCTCGTCGTCAGACGCATATTCGCCGTCCACCATGGTGTTCGTGAACAGGTTCCGAATCTGCGGAACCGCTCTGCTCAATTGCAGCAGCAGGAACAGCATTCCTGACAGTGAGCCCACGTTCAACCAGTTCGTGCACACTTGCAGAATTCTCTTCACAAACGCCTCCACACGGGGCACGTTTCCATCACTTTTTAGCGACTTGTACAGCAGGTTCAGATAGATACCTTGCTTCGACGACGTCACGAGTCTGGGGTCCAACAAACTCTCATACAGCGTTCTGTAGAATCTATCGTTGTTAAGTTCCGCCTTGACCACGACCTGGTGAATTAGCACCAATGCTTGCACAGCGGTGTTGAAGTTCGAGGCATGTGTGATCTTGAAAAGAGTGTCCAAATGCACCTCGTACACGCTAGCAGGCATGTTTGCGAAAGGAAATGCACGATTTATACCCGTGATAATGGCTGAGAAAAGCTTCGAATTCTTCTCATCAATGACCTCCTTCTCGGTTCTTTCATCCTTGACGGACTTTCCACCCTTTTTACCTCTTTTAAAGTTTTTCTTGCGCTTGTTTTCGTACGTCTTTTTGTTCTTAGGTGCGTTGTCCCCAATTTCTTCGTTCGAAGAGTCTGTCACCAGTAAATATTTCTCGAAAAGAGTGAAGTATGTCTTAATGAGTTTATTGGCAACCGTATCTTCTGATCTTTTCAAAATGGTTTGATTCAATGTCAAAACGGCGTAATATGTGGTGTGGTAATCAGCGTTTGGCTTTAAGGCCACATCGACAATCGCATCGATGACCACTGACTTCATATTGGGATGGGCTTGCTCTAATTTCAGCAATTGGAACGATGTCTTGGAAGAGACTTTCTTATCGATATCACCTAGCTTGTTGACTCCAAGTCTCAACAGGTTAAACTCCTGCTCGGGCTTCGCCGTAAGAAGATCGAAAATATGCGTCAACACTTGCATCCGCGCGTAAATAATTGGATCATGGGATATTTTTTCGATGGTTTCAAGAACCGTGAAATATAATCTCTTAAGATAATCTTCAAAGTAAAGAATTGCCAAGGTCCTCTTGTTCAGCATCATTGACAGATTCTGATTCTTGAAAAACCTTAATTTACGGTCAGGCAGCAGCCCGTTCAAAAGAAGATCCTTTAGAGCATTCAAACTTTGCAATGCAGATGTCCTAGACTTTTTACCACAGTATGCCAGTAGTGTGTCCAACGATTTTGTGTTATGAAGTGGTGATTCTTGAATTAATAAAGTCAGGGCCGAGATTTTATCATTCAAAGTACCATCTGATAAAATTTGGGACATAAACTTTCTTTGTGATGAATTCTTGGTAAACTCTTCGTAATATAGTGCGTTGTCGCCTTCTAACGCATCCTTAGCTCTTTGATAAAGCTTTTCAATTTGATCATGCGTGAGTTGGTCATGCTCTTTTGAAATCTCTGGATCTAGAGGAATTTGGTACCAGGTGACATCTGAAGGTATCAGCAACTTGTCGGAGCTCACAAGGTGTGTCTCAGTAATCAGATTTTTGTCCTTCTTTTTTTCAGCGGTCTCGGGTTCGGAGTCTTGACTAAGATAAGAGCCTTCCTCGGCATCTTCTTCAATTTCAGCTTCGTTTTCCTCGACAATTTCAGCTTCATTTTCCTCATCTTCTTGATCGATATCCTCCTCATCTTTGGATTCCATCTCGTTTTCAGATTCTTCTGAGTTCTCATTTGCGTCAATCTCAACTTCAGAGGGACGAGCTCCCTTATCGAGACCAATCCCTTTCAAAAAGTTCTGGAAATCGTCTTTAAAAGCGTTGTCAAGATCACCAGCATCATCGCCGAATTCTTGTTCACTGGCTCCATCGCTATCACTGATGCCTTCCACCAATTCCAAATCTTTTTCGGAGGCGCCGAGAGCTATAGCTTCCCTACGTAAAATTTCTTGCTCTGTTTCCGGCCCGTCACTTTTCAAGTCATCTTGTGTTTTTGCAGTGGTCTTGGTTTCCTCATCGACCTTAGTTTGAGACTTTTCCGATTCTTTCTTAGTCTTTTTTGCACTTTTGCTTTTCTTCGAAGGCTTTTGGTTGTTATTTAACTTCGAAGAGATCTTATTCCTCAATGAGGAGAGATCTAGACCCTTCTCTTCGCTCATGGCTGGATAGGATGTATTTGTCGACCTACTTACCGCAGCTCATCTCATCTCAAGAACATCTGAAAATTTTTCTACCCAGAGCAGAAGTTTCTTTTTGCACGTGATTTGTATCGTTTTTTAAATGTTGATCATCAAGATACATTACTGACATTTCACACTAACAATGGTCAACCAACTTTATGAAGATTTTTGAATCAGAAAATAACTCGCATTAGTGAGCGCCCAATATATTACTTATTTTAAAGTATGTTCTCAAGGTGATTAATCAAAGAAAAATGCCTGAGACAGGTAGGACAAGTGATGATCTAGAGACTTCAAATAGTGCATTGATACCAGTTATCCTCAATCACATACTTTCAGAGCCTTGTTTGGTGAAACAGGAAGGTAAATTTTTGTAGAAGCCAATCTAATCACACAAAATGCAAGGTTTTGGTATGTATTTTTCTGCCTTTGTTGCCTTTCGGAGTTTTGATCATTCTACACATTACGACAAGTATACATAGCATAAATTTCTGCATAATTGGATAATATTATGTGCTTATCAAGAGCTTGGATAGCTGGAATAAACTACAAATATTTATTGCTACTTCCTTTTCTCGCCCATTTAAAGGGTAATTGGTTTTCGAAATACCCGTGCAGTTTGGGTTGATCAGCTCCCAATTTCGCTGTATTTCTTTCCACTTTTGTAGAGAAGCAGAAATAATGGTATCTCAATTAGTTAGCTCCTAGCTTAAATTGGCGAAAATTAACGCCCAGATTTTCGAAGTTTCGAATTTGAAAATGATGCAAACCAATGTAACGAAAATTGAACAGAAGTAGTCAAGTGAACGTTTTTTCCCACAATCGAAGGTATTTTTGTTCATTCGATCACAGTGCGGGTAGATTTTCATTTACAATATATAAATGCAAAGGCACTTCTGCCTAAGCATGTCGCACTAGGGTTACCTACTCCCTTAATCATTTACGCTTAGTGAAGAAAATGAAATCCAGTAATTGAAGTTTCCTTTGGCAACGTTTTTTATTGCATGATTGGCCAAGATAACGGTCTCGTGGCAGATCTCAACTTCCCTTCGCATCCAGCCTGCTTTTGCGGATCAAAAATCGCATATGATTGTGAGGATCACCGGGCGTTGGTACTATTTTGAAACAGGCACGAAAAAGTAACAGCTCTCCTAAGGCACAACTCAAGTGAATAAAGCTCTCGAGAAACTACAGGCCACGCGTTTCGTAATTTCTGGACGGGCTTTAGGGTAGAACGGAAATTGAGTATCGTTTACCATTATCCCGCAATTTGTAGCGCGATTTGATGGTACATAAAATCTCCTCAATAGGATAATAGTTCTAAATTAGAGTGCTTAAACTAGGTATTAAGGTATACGCGTGTCTGATTGTCTACAATAAATTCGCAAATTTACAGGGCTGGTTGACGTTTTATTGTTTGTGTTTCATCTTTATTTTTTCAGCTTTGACCGACGAAACTTGAGAATGTTTTAAGGAAATCCCCGGAAAGCTTTAAAAATTCAAAGGCACAATTTCTGACATTCTCGATGAAATGGGATTTACACCGAGATCCCCCACAAAGAAACTAAATAATACGCTCCATTAGACTTTTAGTTACTGGCTGGATAAGCGAGGCCAAATATCCTCTTTTCATCGTTTGAATTGCATATTGTTAAGGAATCTTCCCTCATTTTTCACTACGCTTCAAGTGTTCCAAGGGCAATTTTACAACTTGTTTCCTTTGCTCGAAGACTTGTTTCATGGGGAGGGGTTTTCGTCTTGCAGGGCCCAAAAAATGACGAGACCAACGGTCGATTTCTCAGTTTTCAGAGAAACAACGTGTAAATAAACGGCGAGTATATCACCATAGATTGCGCTACAAATTTGAAACAACTTATGCAATGCAGCTATCAGTTCATGTTGCATAGCATACCAGCCACAACTAGACTAATTATCCTAGCTTAAAGAATAGTCTATATTGGAATGTTAGAACATTAGAAACTGCTTACTTAACCGCTTGGCTAACTTAAAACCACAAGACGCCCCAAATACCCAGATGAATTTCACATCAATGCCTATTGTTAAGACTAATGATCAATTGTCTTACATAAGCAACTTGGTAAAAGTGTTTTTTGTCCGAGCAAAGAAATGTTCCTTTAAACGGGTCGAATTTGTTACCCGGCTTGAGGATTAGTGAGGTGGCCCCTTTCACAGACTCTGGATTCGTTTTTTTTTGTCTTTTCTGTGTGCTTCTGTGAACTTCGATACTTCTGACAAACGGTGGCAACGTTAAAAAGCCAATAGAAATCGACAAGCAACATGTCTCTAAAGCGTATTACAAAGGAACTTAATGACTTAGGAAGGTATGTTCTCTAATCGCGAACTAGCAACAACCAAGGTCAACCAAAATCTTGTTGCGCTATTTTTCTCTTCGATCTCGCCCGCGTAATAAATACTAACTCTTGACTTCTCAGAGACCCACCAACCTCCTGTTCGGCCGGTCCAGTGGGCGACGATCTTTATCACTGGCAAGCTTCGATCATGGGTCCACCAGATTCTCCTTACGCTGGGGGTGTGTTTTTCCTATCTATCCATTTCCCAACTGATTACCCATTCAAGCCACCTAAGATCTCATTTACTACCAAGATATATCATCCAAATATCAACGCCAACGGTAACATCTGTCTCGATATTTTGAAGGACCAGTGGTCTCCTGCACTAACGATTTCCAAGGTATTGTTGTCAATTTGCTCTCTGCTAACTGACGCTAACCCCGACGATCCTCTAGTTCCTGAAATCGCCCACATCTACAAGACGGATAGAGCCAAGTACGAGGCTACTGCTAAGGAGTGGACTAAAAAGTATGCTGTGTGATCAGTTATATAGGGCGTTGTATATAGCAATCTGACGAGTATTATTCTCGATGATACACCTTTAATACTTTATAGCTCTTTTAAAGCAGTTTTATCGTGGTTCTGTAATTGATTATGTCTATAAAGACCATTGTTTGCTAGCTCTCTCGGACCCTCGAGACGATGATTATGGGTTTTGCCGCCAATGAAGGCAATTAAAAAGGAAACCTGATATTGTATCAGATATTTGCTGCGCCCACGTCAAATTTATGATCTACTCAGTAAAAGAAGATTAGATGGACATTCGCAGAAGCCCTAATCACTAGGTGCAAAAAACACTCACGGTGGGGGTCGAACCCACAATCTTCTGATTAGAAGTCAGACGCGTTGCCATTACGCCACGCGAGCTTGAAATTGGCTGGTCGAACTTGCAATCAACTGTCTATATCAACTTATAGCCCAAAGTTTAGAGATTCTGTTAAGGATAGTCAGAGTTTTGTTCGAGACTAGTAACTATGATCCTTCCACAAAATATAGAATAGATTTGAGCTATCACCTCACAGAAAATTCTTAAAATACTATAAATATGGCGTAAACAGGCAGTGCATCTGTTGGAACGAAATACAACTATCGACCATCGACTAGTATTCGTGCTACTAGTATATTATCATACACGGTGTTTTAAGATGACATAAAGAATGAGAAACAGTCATCGAAATTAGTGGAAGCTGAAGCGCAAGGATTGATAATGCAATAGGATAATGAATGAAAATGTATAAAAGGAACAGAAAGAGTAAGAATATTTGTAAGTAGAATTATTGACTCTTCTTTCTGGATTCTTAGAAAGACGAGGAGAACTTCTAGTATAACCATATACCAATAATTATAGCCTTAATCAAAAATGGAATCCCAACATTCAGCTCAATATTCACCCATTTCTCAGCATCAATTATGCTTGCGACTTGATTTGCTTAATATCAGGATGAAAGATGAGAATTGGGTGAATATTGAGATAATTGTTGGGATTCCATTTTTGATTAAGGCTACGATAATTGGTATATGGTTATACTAGAAGTTCTCCTCCTCTTTCTAAGAATCCAGAAAGAAGAGTCGATAATTCTACTTACAAATATTCTTGCTCTTTCTGTTCCTTTTATATATTTTCATTCATCATCCTATTACATTATCAATCCTTGCGTCTCAGCTTCCACTAACTTCGATGACCGTTTCTCATTCTTTATGTCATCTTAAAACACTTTGTATGATAATATACTAGTAACACGAATAATAGTCGATGGTCGATAGTTGTATTTCGTTCCAACAAAAGAAATATTCTATGAGCTGGAAAGGAATGAGCAGCTAAAGTCAGCATTCTCGTCATGAACGAACTTAATCCAAAGATTTCTTTCTTATTTTGATTTAAATCTTCATCATAGATTTGTACTCTAAACATGGTTAATTGTTTTTTTCAACATCCTTCTAGCTCCATTTATTGAAAATCGTTAATTGTCATATAAAATATAAAAATCTTTCGCTCGAGAACAATAATGTAGCGCATTAAGAATGTAATCAAATTGTATTTGAACCTTCTTAACTCTATTCCAATTGTTTCTAAGCCAGTATTGTAAGAAACAATCCATGCAATGTGCCCCCAATGTTTTTTTTGAAATAAGAGCGTGATAAGTCTCTATCTTCTAATTTATCTATTCATAAAGCTTCTAATTAGAACTCATAGCCTAAGAAAGCACACATTGCACTCGACGGTGTTGCCAGCTGTTTTTTAAGGGATTAAGAGAGGTTTGAAAGACACCGTTAGATGGTAGCAACAGCTTACAAATACTGAAAGCGTGGGAGTTGGTACTTGAGGGAGAAGAATGTGTTACTATTCGTTGTAAAAATTAGGGATCAATCTCTAAGTGGCTTTAGAAACGGGTATTGACTCAAAATCTTCAAACTATTTGATAATAATCAAAGATACCGACTTGATTATCCATTTTACGTGATATAAGTGTTCTTGAAAATATGATGTGCACCATCACTATTTACTTCTGTATGGGGCATCGATTGTCCTCCTTAGCTTATTCTCGACATGACTAGTCTTGTACGAAAAATAGTCGCGCTCATGAAATTTTCGGTCCACTTGAATCGCTGCACTCAAACTGAAAAGTGAATCGAAAAGAAGGCGTCAGAGTAAGACAGAGAGACGCAGAGAGAATTGCAATGGATTCTAATATTCCCATTGTGAACTATCAACGAACTGACGCAACTCTTCTACTCAATCACGCTGAGAGGCTCTTTGAGAATGATGTCTTCCACCAATATTTAACTCCTCCTCAACTTATCGTTTTGAACAAAGTACTCTCAGTAGAAGATAATGAGATAAAGGGAAAGATTTGGGAGGAATTGATGAGTGGCAATGTTTTTCTAGATGTAGAAAAAGTTGTAGAAGACACGACCAAAGCTCAAGAAGAAATACAAATGAACGAAAGAAGCGAGATAGAGTCGAGTTCTAGTCAGGCCAGAGCTGATATTCAAGATCTCACTGTAGAAGGAAGCAAAAAAGTTGAAATTAAATTGGGAAATGATGATGAAAAATCGGAAGAAAAAGAATCTGTGGACACGCCTTCTGGTAAGGTCATAAGTGATCTTGCAAATCAAGAAGTACCGGCACAATCGCGAAACGGAAATAGAAAGGAGGAAGATGTAACAGAGGAGCCAGATTTCTCAGAGTTCGACCTTCAGGATCTGCAACAGCAGATGTGCGGCTGCGATTTTGTCGGTAACCTATCACTAAAGATCAGATACGTCCTATGGGAGCGAGCAATCGATCCACTTTATGATATTAAAAGTCAAGGCAATTTGAAATCGTCTAAGTTAGAGGAGACTCAAACAGCTAATCTTGAGCAAGCCAAGAGTGCAATCGGCTCACTCAAAATTATCACTCAAGAAGCGGAAACTTCCACGAGTAACATTCATGATGAAGATGATGATTACGATTTTGATGATGAAGAAGAAAAGGAATCTGCACCAGAAAGATCCGATGAACGTCAAAATTCGACAAATACACAAATGACGTATCAAGAAAATGGAAGACTTATTTTAAAATTGAAAATTTCCAAAGAAACATTGGCTGAATTGGGAGTTACAAATACTCAGTCCATAATAGAAAATTTCAACAAGATTTACCATAATTTTGAAAATGATAGGGAGACGCTTCTCAAGAGACTAAAGTTGGAGGAAAGTGACAAGCTGTTGGAACCCTCAAAAAAGAGAAAAAGAAGTGATTCATCGGACGAGGCTAAAGAACAAGACGAGGAATACGCAAGCGACATCGAGAGCAAAAAGCCAAAAACGAATGGATCGCTTATGTCAAATTTACCTGTTACACTGGGTTCTGCGAATTTATCTCTCAAACATTTGTTGGCTTCAATACAAGAAAACAAGTCTAAGCTTAGCATATCGGACTATGAGCTAAGGCATTTAATCATGGACGTCCGGAAGAATCGATCAAAGTGGGCTTCTGACGATAAAATTGGTCAGGAAGAGCTTTATGATGCATGCGAGAAAGTCGTGTTAGAGCTTCGAAACTATACTGAGCATTCGACTGCTTTTTTGAATAAGGTAAGCAAGAGAGAGGCACCAAATTACTATCAAATTATCAAGAAACCAATGGACCTCAATACCGTCCTGAAAAAGCTCAAAACTTATCAATATACCTCTAAACAACAGTTTGTGGACGATTTAATGCTCATTTGGAAAAACTGTCTGACATATAATTCGGATCCTAAGCACTTCTTGCGCGGTCATGCTATAGCAATGCAGAAAAAATCTCTAACGTTAATTCCTCTCATACCTGATATAGTCGTCAGGGACCGCACGGAAGTTGAGAAGGAAATTGAAGAAATTGACAAGGAAAATGGAAAGGACGTCGAAGCAGAGGAAGTCTCAGGAACAGGAAGAAAGGGTGGCAATGTGAGGGGCATTAAACATGTCTCTGAAGATGACATAGCAGTAGAGAATAGCAAAAAGAGACAAGAGGGGGTAAACCAAGAATTACGGAGCGGAGGATCTTCAGAAACCAATTACCAAGCAGCTGATTTACCAACGCAAGACAATAGTCATGATAGTGAAAGACAGAAGATTATCGACGGTAACATAAACTCATTATCACAAGAAAACAGAGAAACCGAATCTGGCAAAAAACTCGAGCATGAATCTGTCTCAACGCCGAAAAAAGCAGATACCGACAATTACGAAGCAGCAGAAGAGGAAAACAAAAAGAATATGGAACAAGAGGAGGAGAAAGAAGTAGAAGAAGAGGAAGAAGGAGAAGGAGAAGGAGAAGCAGAAGGAGAAGGAGAAGTAGAAGGAGAAGGAGAAGGAGAAGTGGAGATAGAAGAAGAAGAAGATGATGATGAAGATGAAGATGATGAAGGTGGACTTGATTCAGAGATGTATCTTGTTGAAAGAGACGACGACAAGGACGATTTAGAATTATCAACCTGGAAGAGTCTTACTGCAACAGCAAGAGCTGAGATTTGCGTTAAAAGGGCCAATCTTTTCAAAAGCGGAAAGCTGAACAGCGATTCGGTAGCAATTCTAAGAAATCCTGGAAAAATGAAAGAGTTTGATCAATTTCTGAAAGAATATAAAGAAGAAAAGGAAGGTGAGTTGCAAAGAAGGAAACTAGAACAGGAATCTATGATGAAAAATGGTTTTGGTACAGTTATTAAACAAGAAGAAGATGAAATTTCCCAAATGCAACTACAGGATACGCAAAGTTTAGTTGCGGGTAGTGGTATAGGTAAGGACTCAAATGAAATCGAAGTAGATGATTCAATGTTCTTGATGGAATACAATGTTGCTAATGCTGTTCCAGAGTTGGGATACAGAGGAATTGATAATGAAATGCTAGATAAAGAGGAAGCTGCCATGGTTCAACGTATATTGTCCGAGGGACAAAAAGGACCCAGTGCCCTGATTGCAAATAGAAATTTGGGTTTATCGCCCAAAATGGACTCCAATATTCATCTTATTCAAGAAATTCGACACATTTGCCATAAGATCTCATTAATAAGAATGCTACAAAATCCACAAAACCCGACACAGCAATCTAAAAATGCTATGGCGAATGCCAACAACCAGATCTGGAATACTCATCGCTATAAGTACACTGACATTGATGAAAATTTGGACATAGATCCGGTCTCACGATTATCGACACACAATTACAAAAACGATAAACAATTAATTTGGAGAGTGATGCACAAAAATGTTTCCAAAATTGCAATGTCTAATGGCTTCGAAAGTACTCAACCTACTGCTATCAATATGTTGACCGAGATTGCTGGCGATTATCTTTCTAATTTGATAAAGACTATAAAAGTTCATCAAGAAAGTACCTCTCTGAACATTCAAAAGCCATCTGACATATTACGTATGTCACTGCAAGAAAATGGTATTAATAAACCAGACGACCTGTACACTTACATTGAAACTGAGTTCATCAAAAAAACGAACAAACTAAAAGATATAAAACAGAAACTGAATGCGTTTTTAAAAGATCTTTTAAGACCTACTTTACAAGAGCTATCAGAACGTAATTTTGATGATGAGAGTCAAAGTTTCATGACAGGAGACTTTTCAACTGAGCTAACTGGGGAGGATTTTTTTGGATTCAAAGACTTGGGACTTGATAAGGAATTTGGTGTACTGAGTAACTCAGTGCCATTACAGCTGTTAACTTTCCAGTTTAGAGGCAAAGGTGCAGAAACAAAAGTTAAGGACAAAAAAATTCAGCCGGAAGAATTCGACAACGTCACCTACAAATGGGTAACAAGAGAGCATATCGACCAGGGTATGTTATGGGATACTTTGAAACCACTACTGAATAAGGCTTACAATAGAACTAAAACCTATTATTCAAAAAACGGTAAGAATAAAGCGTCTGAAATTCATGCAGCAGATGCGCTTGGCGGAGATTTGTCACAAAAATTGCTTGAAGATGATGACATTCCTGCGAAGTCAAAATCCTCTGGAAAGCCTAGGCTACCTCCAACTGGCAAAATCAATACAAATTACAAGAAGAAGCTATTAGCTGACGCATTTTTCTTACCCGACACACCGGACGAGGATAGGGAAGAAAAAAAGCTCGACACTAATCAAAGTAAGATCGTGGATAATATCGCGGCGGCTGATTCAAAAGATTTTGAAGATCTTTTTGGAACTGAAAACACTCCTCCAGGAAGCTCGTTTAGTTTGAGTTTACCGAGGGTAGATGAATAAATGGTCGTTAAATTTATAAGTATATTTTGCGTAATAGATGTAACAATAAATGCTAACAAAAAAAATATGTTAGTTCACAGCTCGTCGTGCACTACAGAAGGGTCTGCCTGCTCTTCACCCATTTCCACATCACGACGATATGTGTCGGCATAATTGCTTATTGAAACTTGAGTACGATCTAGTGCGCTCGAGGAGTCGCCAACGTACGATCTACTCTGTGTTTCCTGTACCCGAGTTGTAGTGAGCGTACTTGACGATTTCGAATCATCATCAGGGAGCAACGAGCTTTTTGACGCTATTTCATATTCTCTTTCTTTAAACGTTTCTTTTCTAATGACTTGAAGTCGACGCGGAGCGCCATGATGTTCAGGGAACAAATCTTGGGAGGTAGATTTCCCTGAAGAGGACCAAACGTACGAAACGAAATTACTGTCTGTTAGATCATCAATCGCTCCAATGCTGTCGAATTCGAAAGCTGCTTGCGCTTTTCCATCCATGCTAACCTTCACAACACAAAGAACATTGCCTTTATAATCAATGACCTTTGAAAGCCAAATGAATTGATCACCAAATTCGTAAGGTTTTCCATTTGGGGAGGTGATCTTTTTCTGCGCCAACATCTTATGGAACGCAATCATTATTCTTTGAAGAAAGGTAGTTTTCGTTTTATCGATCGATAATTCATCTGGAGAGATAACAAGATCATCCATATATAGAAGAACTGTCATATTGTTTGAAATTCCATAGCTATTGCCCAAATCAACAAAAGAAGGTTGTAAAAGGTAAAAGGCATTTCCAGCAAAGTAAAAGTCGTAATTCTCCACAGCGAGCACAGAATCAAACTTCACTTCTTGATGTTCTCGAGTACACGTTATCAAATTAAAAGTGGTCTCCTTCTCGATCTGAGCTAGCAAGTGAAAATTGCATAATTTAGGCACTGAAATCTGAGCTTGATACTGGCATAGTCTTACCTCCTTTATCCAATTAATTCGAACAGCATCAATGGAAAGATCACACACATACTGAAATTCGACTTTCCTTGGATAACCTGTTTGATCGCAAATATCTCCGGAGTCTACCATGTCACTAATGTAGTATCCGAATTCATTAAACAGAAGCTGTGTGTTTTCCACATCTCTATCTTCATCGAAGCGACTTAAAACAAAGTCGAGAGATTTTCCTTCAAGTGGCTTATTGTACTGTGTTAGATTCTTTCCGTAACAAAATTGGTAGGTCCAAAATCCGCCCATGAAGGATAAGCATCTATTCGAAAGCTCACTCGATATTATATCAGTGCTTTCTGTAAGTTCTCTTTCCAGCTCCATCTGTAATTCAGTTTGATTAACTTCCTTTGGCTGGGATATAACATCAGGGAGGTAGCATTGCGTATGTGGGCCTAATTGGATGATCTTACCGTTAGATAACCTCGTATCATTATTCGTTATTACTTGCTTGAAAGTAAGTGGTGCAACAAAGTTTAGAGAATACTTTGGTAACGAATTGGGATCATCAATGGGGGTAAGTACAGCAATGATGCATGGCAAGTAGAAGAATAAAAGTAATGCCTTTGATATCATATCTTATTTTTAAATCTCCAGTCCAAGACAGGAATATCAAAAATGAAGGGCCGTGGTGATTTTCTTCCGACAAAGAATATTCCCAAACGAACTAAATACAAAGAGCTTCTTTGATAACTGGGAAAAGGCATCCCAAACGCAAGGAATTCTATTCAACCTATCTTTCAATCCATTTATGAGGGCTCTCTACCTTCTTTTATTGTTTTCCACAGCGGTATTTGCTGGCGAAATACGCGTTTTGTTGTTTGCTCAAAAGCTAGGTGAACAAGACAAAGCGCCATTTGCTACGCTAGTTTATGACCAAAGTTCATCTCAGTTTGAGATAGTTGATGTAAATGAAAACTTAGAAGAGAATTCCTACTGTATTGGAGCGGAATTCGACGGAAATTACTATTCGTGCTTTTCCTACATTAAGGTATGTGCAGAAGCTACAAAAGTACACACTGGAATCAATTACTAACGAATTTAATAAGGTTAAATACCCCCTGCACTATGATCTTTTCATTGACACAAGGCATGACTCGCATCTGCTTTATAAGCTTTCACTGAAACCAAATCTCAGCGCGAAAGGCATCAATCCGGTATTAAGAGAGCCGGTAGCTGGCCCAGAAGCATCTGCAATCAAATTGAAAAAAGTTACAAAGACATATGAGGATAAAAAATCGAAGCTAGGATCACCGGCAGCGTCGTTCGAAGAAGACATTGAACCCGACGAAAGAACCTTCGTCCAGAAGAACTGGAAGTACATGCTGATAGGACTGGTTCTCTACACTGTGATTAGCGGTAACAATGGTGGAAGTACAGCCTCGCAACAGTGAGCGTTTCGTTTAATATATAAACCCGATTAGCTTACATCATGTCGCTGATATATAGCATGACGTGCGTATCAAGATACCATTGCTATTTACTGAGATACTATCTAGCTGAGCCGTCATCATATCATGATCATGTTTAAAGGCCTCATTTACAATTTATCGTCAATAACGGCTTCGAAGCATTTCAATATAATTCTCGTTGGATCTTCTGTGAACTTCGCTTTCAAATTAGGAGCAAAAACAAGTGCAGAGGCTAATGGAGAAATTTGGTTTGTCTGGTAAACTTCCTTCTTTTGGAAGAGTCACACACAATGTTGCACCTCCCAACATGTCTAATGTAGACATGACACCACGTAGATTAAGGGTTGCCAATTGCCCTAATAATGCGTTCGCTTTAGCCAACGTGGCCGCAGTATCGGGGGCTGATTTCCCAGAGAATATTTACATTGTCGTTGATAATCTGTTTGTTTTTACCACCAGACATTCCAACGATGTCCAACCAGGAACTATTGGTTTCAACGGTAATCAACGTACGTGGGGTGGGTGGTCGCTAAATCAAGATATCCAAGCTAAAGCATTCGATCTTTTCCAATACAGCGGAAAACATCCATATTTGGGCTCTCTGGATTTAGAAATTTCGTTTAGGTCTAAGGGAAAGGCGGTCGATACCCAGTTTGACCAAGATGATTTGGCAAAACAGTTTTTGAAAAGTTTCGAATCGCAAATCTTCTCACCCACACAGTATTTGATTTTTGAATTCAAAGGCCATATATTTGACTTAAAAGTTCGTGGATTACAGACAATTGATCTTGGGGATGTGGAAGTGGTAGCGCCTGTTTCCACAGGAATTGAAAGTAAAGGAATTCTCATCAAGCAAACGCAGATTAACTTCTTCAAAGGAAGAGATGGACTTGTGAACTTGAAATCCACGAATTCTCTAAGACCCAGATCTGACGCAGTTATTCGGCCTGATTTCAAGTTTGAAGACCTAGGTGTCGGAGGTCTGGATAAAGAATTTACTAAGATTTTCAGAAGAGCTTTCGCTAGTAGAATATTTCCTCCAGCGGTTATTGAAAAATTAGGTATCTCTCACGTTAAAGGTTTACTTTTGTATGGACCCCCAGGAACAGGTAAAACACTTATTGCCCGTAAAATTGGCACCATGCTGAATGCAAGGGAACCTAAGATTGTAAACGGTCCAGAAATTTTGAGCAAATACGTTGGCTCTTCAGAAGAGAATATCCGTAATCTTTTCAAGGATGCAGAAGCAGAATACAAGGCGAAGGGTGAAGAATCTTCTCTGCACATCATTATCTTCGATGAATTGGACTCTGTATTCAAACAGAGAGGCTCTAGGGGTGACGGAACCGGTGTTGGTGATAATGTTGTTAATCAATTATTGGCCAAAATGGATGGTGTTGATCAACTCAACAACATTTTAGTAATTGGTATGACAAACCGTAGGGATCTTATTGACAGTGCATTGCTGCGTCCCGGAAGATTTGAGGTGCAAGTTGAGATTCAATTACCAGATGAACAAGGCAGAGTTCAAATTTTTGAGATTCAAACCAAGAAAATGAGAGAAAATAATATGCTAGCCCCAGACGTCGATTTAAAAGAGTTGGCCGCTTTAACCAAAAACTTCTCGGGTGCTGAAATTGAGGGTCTTGTCAAGAGTGCTAGTTCCTTCGCGATTAACAAGACAGTTAACATTGGCAAAGGCAGTACAAAATTGAATACAAAAGACATCGCTAACATGAAGGTCACCATGCAGGACTTCCGTAATGCGCTGGACGAAGTTACCCCTGCCTTTGGTATAAGCGAAGAGGATCTAAAGACCTGTGTTGAAGGTGGTATCATTCGTTATTCTCCTAGAGTAGACGACATCTTGAAAAATGGTCACCGTTATGTTCGCCAGGTAAGGGACAGTGATAAATCTAGGCTTGTCTCCTTACTAGTTCACGGCCCAGCGGGTTCAGGTAAAACTGCGCTTGCCGCTGCAATTGCTTTGAAATCAGAATTCCCCTTCATCAGATTAATTTCACCGGAGGAGATTGCTGGTATGTCAGAAAGCGCCAAAATTGCGTATATCGACAGTACATTCAGAGACGCGTATAAGTCGCCGCTTAATATCCTTGTTGTTGACTCGATAGAAACGCTAGTAGATTGGGTTCCAATTGGTCCGCGCTTTTCTAACAATATCTTACAAGTTTTGAAAGTGTACCTAAAAAGAAAGCCTCCCAAGAACCGTCGCCTACTTCTAATTTCTACGACTTCAGCTTATTCTGTACTACAGCAAATGGATATCCTGAGTTGCTTCGATAATGAAATAGCAGTTCCAAACATCACAAACCTAGATGAATTTAACAATGTCATGATCGAGTCCAATTTCTTGGATGATGCCGGAAGAGTCCAGGTTTTAAACGCGCTAGCTAAATTGGGCCCTCATTTAAACATAGGTATCAAAAGAGCTCTCACCAATATTGAAACGGCAAGACATGACGAAAACTCGGTGAGCGAGATCATAGATTTGATGGCTCAGGCAGTATGAATTACTTTTGCTTTATCCTCATAAATACACAATCTATAGAGATAGTTCGAGGCACGTGATTTATAAAATTCACTGAACATCGGTGAAAAATTTTTCATTCGATGAGTACAATCTTAGGTAGATAGAAAGATCAAACGAAACTCTTATAGCAATGGCTCCTCCAGTACTACGTCCTGAAAATGCTTTAAAGAGAACGGATGAGCTGATCTCTGTTGGAGAACCTCAAGCTGCATTGCAGTCGCTCTACACATATTTGTCATCAAGAAGAACTCGTTTCGCTCAACCTGGGTCATTAGAGCCCATCGTGTTCAAGTTTCTCGAACTTGGTGTTGAGTTGAAGAAAGGCAAGATAATCAAGGATGGTCTGCACCAATATAAGAAAAACTTGCAAGTTTCTCCCGAGGGGTTGAACTCTGTTGGTGTTGTTTGTCGTAAATTCATTGATATGATCGAAGCTAAAATGGCCCAAGAACAAGCCAAGGCTGATGAGCAACAGGAGGATGTAGATGATGATCTAGAAGGAGGTGTAACTCCTGAGAATCTATTGATTTCGGCATTTGAACAAGATCAATCTGTAGGTGGTTTCAATGATGAAGCCATTACCTCGTGGTTGAGATTTACTTGGGAGTCTTATCGTGCGGTTTTGGACTTACTAAGAAACAATTCTCAATTGGAAATTACTTATTCTGGTGTCGTGAGCAGAACAATGCAATTCTGTTTGAAGTACAAACGTAAGAATGAATTCAAGAGATTGGCCGAAATGTTACGTCAACACTTGGACTCTGCGAATTATCATAACAAGTACAACAACTACACTGTGGATTTGAGTGATGCAGACACGTTACAGCGTTATCTAGACCAACGTTTCCAGCAGGTGAATGTTTCTGTCAAATTGGAATTATGGCATGAGGCTTTCAGATCTATTGAAGATGTTCACCATTTAATGGCCATGTCGAAGCGTGCTCCTAGACCATCAGTCCTAGCCAATTACTACGAGAATCTCGCTAAGGTTTTCTTCGTTTCTGGTAACTATTTGTTGAATGCGGCTGCTTGGGAAAAGTTTTTTAAATTGTACTTGACTAACCCTAATGCCACCAAGGAGGACTTGAAAGTCTACGCATCAAACTTCATGCTTTCTACACTTGCAATTCAAGCCGATGATCTACCTGTAGTTGGGTTTGATCCCCAAATTCGTCTATGCCATTTATTAGACTTGGAATCTAAACCAACAAGAGAACAAATGATCAATGCGGCTATGGAAGAAAGTATCTACTCTGAAGTTGACGAAGAAGTCAAACAACTACAAAAGTTGCTAAGCGAAGAATTTGACTTGTACACTCTGAAGGACAGCCTCGCACAGTTGTTGCCTGCCTTAGCAGCTAAATCGTACTTTGAGAAATACGCAGTGCCATTGAGGAATTATATCGTAAGAAAGATCTTTGTTCGTGCTTCAGAGATTTTTGAGACAATCAAATCCGAAGAGCTTTTCTCTCTGGTCGCTCTTCCAAGTCCTTTCAATTTGAATCCTTTGGAAATTGAAAAATCTTTGATGCAAGCTGCAATGGAGGATTACGTTACTTTCACTATTGACCATGAAGCGGACTCCATTACTTTCACGAAAGATCCCTTTGATGTTTTGGCCGCAGCCGTCACAGCGGTACCATCTTCTGAAGAAACTGAAGAGGACCAAGAAATTGATGAAGAACCAAAGAATGTTGATGGTGAGGAAACTGAAATCGAAAGTGAGCCAATCGTGACTCGTAACTCTGCTATCCGCTCTCACTTGAATGAATTGGCCAAGTCTTTGAAAGAAAGTGACGGTTTCGCTGAAAGTTCTTACTTATACAAAGTCAAGGTTGCTCGTGAGAAATTGATTCAAGAAACTAATGACGCCATTGCGCATGAAAGAGAACTTGCCGAGGAAAGAGCAAGACAAATTGAGGAAAGAAAGCAGAAGGCTGATGCTGGAAAGTTCGTGACTGTCGAGCAGGCAGCTGAGGAAAGACAAAGGCGTATGATGGAGGAAAAAGCTACTGCAGAGGCTAGAATGGAGCTTGAAGCCAAGCGTCGTGCTGAGGAGAAACTCGAGCGTGAAAAAGCCGCCGTTAGAGAGCAAGAAATGATCAAATTGATCGAGGATGTCAACTCCAAGGGTATTATCTATATTGACCCCAAGGAAGCAAAGACAATCACTGCTGAGACAATCAGAAAGATGACCATCGAACAATTGTCCAAGAATAAGAAAGAACTTGAGGAACGTATGAAATCTGCTTTCAAGAGATTGGATCACACCGAAAGAGCCTTCAGAAAGGTTGAATTGCCTCTGTTGGAGAAAGATGCCGAGGTTCAAGAGGCTAGAGATTTAGAAAACTACAACAAATTGAAAGCTAAATTAATTGATGCTGCTAAGAAAGAGCACGCTGAGCAAGTCAAATTACATGAACGTTTAATCAAACTCAGCGGTGACTTCAAGTCTTACAAGAACAAGGTCCTTTCTCAAAAAGAGACCGAAATTTCTCAATTGCACAAAGAAAATACTGCTAAATTAGAGGCAGCAAAGAAGGCCAGAATCGAGGAAGTTCGCCAACAACGTTACGACGAACTAGTTGCGAAGAGAAAGGCCGAATTGGAGGAGAAGACGAAGAAAGAGCGCATGGAGAGAGAGCGTGAAGAACGTATCAGATTGAACAAAGAAAAGGATGAGATTGCTCGCAAGCAGAAGGAAATGGAGGAAGCCATCGAAAGAAAGCTTGCTACGAAGAAAGCACCTGCACCTGCACCTGCCGCACCTGCGCCAGCTGCCAATTTGTCATTCGCTGAAAGATTGAGACTGAAAAGACAAGGTGTGGAGGTTCCTCCTGCTGCTCCTGCTCAAAAGCCAGTGGCAACTCCAGCTTCTGCTCCTACTCCAGCCCCTGCTCCTGTTCAACCTCCAGTCGCGGCACCCGCGCCAGTTTCTAAACCTTCCCCTACAACGACTGCTGCTCCTCAAAGAGAGTTAACCTTTGCTGAAAGAATGAAGCTAAAGAGAGCTGGTAAAATCTAGAGAGGTGTTTAACAATGAACTAAATCCTTTAAGTATTTGAACTTATGTACATATATGAATGCAAAAGTCGCGTATAAAATTACTAGTTTGGATGAATTCTAGAAGCGAACGCCAAAATCGGTGGGCAAAATCGACGTGAAAAACATACCAAAAATGTGAAAAGTTCGTTTCTATTGTCAAGTATTCAAGATCCACGCAACCGTGCAATCAACTAGACGAAATGAGCACCTTTTTCGATGAAATGAAGACCTCATTCGAGGCTGTTCCAGTGGAAAGTGACAATAAAATTGCCACTTCTGAATTTTTGGAGGCTTCAGAGTCGTTAGTGAAATTGTTCGATCTTTTAGGCAACTCAGCATTTACAGTAGTTCAGAAAGATTTGACGGGCAATATCACCAAAATTCGTAAGCGTCTGCTTGCAACACCAATTGAATCTTCGACGCTTCAAGATTTGGTGAACAATGAACGTGCTTCAGGACACAAGACTGCATCCGAAGGGCTACTTTGGTTGACGCGTGGCTTACAATTCACTGCCCAAGCTCTAAGAGAAACGATCGACAATCCAGACTTGGAACTAACTAAAACTTTCACAGATGCCTATAGCAAAACCTTGATCAAGTATCACGGTATACTAGTTAGACCTGTCTTCAAGTTGGCCATGAAAGCTTGCCCATACAGAAAAGATTTTTTTGCCAAGTTAGGAGCTGATCAAGAAAGAGTGAATGAACAACTGAAGGTTTGGTTATCTTCGCTCGAAAAGATTGTGAAGATTTTGCTAGAATTCTTGGCTGTTACGTGCAAGGACTTGTAATTTAAATCGTTATTTTGTTTTAGAACATATACTAGAAAATAAGTAAAGGACTTCAGAGACATCTCTGTCAATGATAAGAACGTTTGCATTCTGTATCGATAAAGTTTAACTTTATTTCTTTTCCTGTAATTCAATTATTATGATGAACGAATTTTGTTATACAAGTGTCTAAATAGAAAAATTCTTCCCTGCAAGACTACGAACTAGTAAAAGTGTAGTTTAAACATAACCAAATAATATTGCACAACGTGTACTATCCTTTCCTGACGGGAAGGTTCATGAGAAAAATTACGGATAAAAAAATGTTAAAAAAAAGTAATAATTTGGGGACATTTACTAACAATAATGACTTCTTCTCAAAAGTGAAAGTCGAAAAAATAATGACCAGATGGAACAAAGTTTAGGTAAACTTTTCTTTAAATGTCGCGACCACCTCATTTATCAAATGACATTATTAGGGAACTTGCTCCACTCTTTTTTCTATGTGACGAATCGGTTTAAGTATTTTTTTCATGTGATCTTTAGTATATTTTCATTATTATTAAAACAAAAAGTTAAACCGTGAACGTGCGAAAGGCACCATGTAAGGTTAGCCCCCGCCAAAGGGGGGTGTTGACTTGCGTACCAGCCGTAAGTATCAAACTTACAACAATGCAACAGCAACAGCAGCAACAGCACCCATGAAAGAGGAGGCAGGAGCAAATTGAGCACCAGCAGCCTTAGACTTAGAGGAGGCAGAAGCGGAAGACGCACTGGCAGTAGCAGATCCAGAAGAAGAGCCAGAAGCGGTAGCAGAGCCAGATGAAGAGTCGGAACCGGAGGTGGAACTCAACTGGATAGAAGTGGAGGTGGCACCGTTCTTACAGACAAAAGCGTCACCTTGAATGCTACCCTTGGATTGTAGCTTCTTTAGGGCATCACAAGAGTAGTTGGAAGAAGAGGTCTCGACATCAGCACCACCCTTGACAGACTTTAGGGAGCCCAAGTCTAGCTCGGAGAAGTTACCAATAACGTCTAGAGCACCACCAACGGATTCTAGGCTGCTGAAACCATCGATCTTGGCCAACTTGGTGTTGTTGGCAACGATGAAACCACCGCTGACAGTGGTCAAGTTGGAGAAATCGACAGAGGTCAAGTCTTCGTTGGAGACAATGGCTAGAGTACCACCCACGCTGGCCAATTGGGACAAGTTTAGGGACTCAATAGAGTTGTTGACAAAACCTAAAGAGGCGTTGACCTTTTCCAAAGAAGCGAAGGAAACGGATTGGACGTCGTTCAAAGTGATGTTGTTAGCCCATTCCAAGCTGTCGAAGGAGACGTTGGCGGAGTCACCGTTGAAGGAGACGGATAGAGAGTCGGAGACGGACTTCAACTGGGAGTCGATGGTGGCCAAACCCTTGTTGTTGTTGACGTCGAATTGCTCGACGCTCTCCAAGTTGTTGAAACCGTCGATGGACTCCAAGTTGGTGTCGGAGATGGTCAACGAGTTGACGGTCTTTAGGTTACTGGTGACGGTGGAGATGGCTGGTAGGGTCAAAAAGGTGATCGAGTCCACTTCCTCTAGGGCGCCGAAAGACGCGGTCTCCAACACGTACAACAAGGAAAGTTCCAAGGAGCCGGTGATGGTTTCTAGGGAGTCGGCAGCGAAGCTTTGCAAAGTGGACGAGTTGGTCACGGTTAGGGAACCTTGTAGCTTCTTGACGTTGGCCAAAGCAGCGGAAGAGATGCTTCCACCGATGGTTAGATCACCAGACACGGTGGAACAGCTGGACAATTTGTCCAAATCCGATTGTGCGGTGGCGGTGGCACCGGAAGAAATGGAACATGAGGAAGGCACGCTCGCGGAAGAGGTAGAGTTAGCTGCAAGATGGGTTAGTAATAGCTCACGTAGTGGAGTGGGCAGAAATGGGGTTCGAGAACTGGCTCTGGAGGTCGCACCGGGCGCGGCGCGGGCTGCGCCGCGCCGCGCCGCGCCGCGCCACGAAAATGGCGGGCTGGTACGCCGCGTGAGGTTACGTTGGACGGGAAAAAAAGAGATGGCTGGTGAAAAGGGATTTCGGATCAGATCAGATCAGATCAGGTCAAACCAACCCGACACGCGAGGGCGCTGGAGCGTCGCACGTCGCGCGTCGGCACGACGCACGTCGCATATCAGACGCTCCACGTCGCCCATGTCGACCACAAACCAACTTTACACCCACCACAAAAGAACCCTCCGCGACCAACGCCCGAGATCCTCGAGCGCGGCCGCACGTTTCCAGCCCCAATTCGCCCTTCTGGCGTGTCAAAAGTCACATACAAGCTGCGTAGGCAGTGGCTGCCAAGAGAGCGGCCGACGTCAGTCCGGTTTTGTATTGCATAGCGAGAGACAGCGAAAGTGATTAACGATGGAGTCTTGGAGCTTGTCAGCTCGCCCAGATCGGCCCACCTTTAAATACAGAAAAATTTTTCTTTGCCTGTTGTGGCTCGCGGCCGCGACGCAGCGCGACGCAACTGAAAACAGGGCGGCCAGCGCGACGCGCGTTGTTCTGCGGCCGGGACGCTTCGCGGCCGGTATGTGGGAGCGAATTGCCAGTTCGGGCTGAAACGAAAACATCACGTGTGCGGATCAGGAAAAAAACCAAACACAAACAGAGCAGAAACGATAATGGACCGTGGCCGGAAGCGCGTGACCCGCGCGCGACGGCGGGCGCACAGAAGTTGCAAACGGGGCTTGGACCGGAGTTAACGCCGCGGGCCGCGAAGTCCGGGGTGCACGTGAACAGCACGTGACTGGCACCGGGCCGCTGTTCACGTTCCGTCGCGCGCGACAGAAACCATCCAGCTCCTCCGTTCCCGGGGCGCAGCGGCGCGGACTTCTTCCCGGAACGGTTCCTCGCGGCGAGGACCGTCGTGGCGGCGGCAGGAGTCCCGTACCACGGGAGGGCGCGCGGGGAGCAGCGGAGAAGAGGCACGGGCAGGGGCGACATGACAGAGAGAGGGACGACGGGGAAACATGGACGACGTGAAAAGGCAGACGACGTGAAAACACGGACGACACGGACGCCCTGGAAAAACGCACTGCCATGCAATTGGCCGCCCGCGCATCTCAGCATATCCCAAATAATTAGACATTTATTCTCAAATACATAGGAGCGCCTTGCGCCAGAGTCATAGTAGAAAGTACATATACTGTTACAACTGGTCGCCCGTTCAAATCAACAAGGCAACGGCACCCGCAACGACAGCACCCACGACGGAGTAGCCGACGGCCGCGGCACCTGGCACCGCACCGTTGCTGGTCGTGGTGTTGGAAGTGTTTTGCGCGTTGGCGCAGGCGACGAAAGCGATAGCAGAAATAACAACTTGGTTGAACTTCATTTGTGAGTGTTTGTATACTGTTCTTCTCTTGCACCTTCACCAAATGTCCGCCGTTTCGTGCCCTTATATATGTTCAAACTGGCATATTTCAAGGGAGCCACCGATGAGATGGCTTTGCTATGGATGCCCACAGCAAAAAAAGAACCACCAAAAACAGGCTCGACCCAACTAGGGTTCGCCGCTCACCGCTCAGGGGTAGCGCACAGAATAGGCCCAGACACATAATGTTGCGCCGCCGCTATCACGCTTCCGCATATGGCAATATACGCTCACGCAGCACTCGACGACGCGGGGCGGGGCGCGGCGTTACGTCACGCTCCGCAATTGCCCGCGCGGTTTCTGTGCAACGCGCACGTGATGGCCTTTTTAGCCGCTGCTGCTGCTGCCGCAGAAACCGACACGAGCTGCGCTGCGCCGGCGAAACCCGGGCGCGCAATTTCAGCACTGTAGCCACTGGGCTTGCGGATGCTATTATTGGTTGTGGCGGTGGCTATTCTTGACCCCGAAAAAAGACCGCACGGCTGAGCCTTCGGGGTCTATTCTTGGAACGGTTCGGAATTAGGGGACTTTCCGCTGGCCGCGACCTCACCGTGAGCCCGGGCCCCACCGGCACGTGGACGCCCCACTTCCGAGAGCGCTCCTGATAATGGCTCGTCCGTTAGTTGACACTCCCCGCCGATAACGCCTGTTGTGACCAGCAAGCGACAACATCAGCAGCCGGCGGCCAGCGCCGGTTTCGCCAAGTTTTGCCGCTGCGCAGCGTCTGGGCGTGCGTAATGCCGCTGCCTCGGTTGGAAGTTTTAAATTTACGTGGGTTTGCTGCGCGGCTGCGATTCTCCTCCTGCAGAATCGCGGCCTGCGTACCTACATTCGTCATCTCTGCTCTCAAGTTTCGTATTACGTACGCGCGCGCAAAACAGTCCCGAAGGCCGTGGAAGCTTCCGGCACATTGTCACCACGAACGTATGCGCGGAAGCATTCTCGACGCAGCGCCTGAGCTGAGGACGTTCCTTGTGGCATTTGTTGCATTTGATGCATGCTTCTTTTTCATTTGTTGTTCTCCTTGTTGGGGTAGGGGCCAATACGAATTATGAATGACTACCGGTAACTAAGTGACTACATACGATAGCAGCGCGCGCAGCGCGCGCTGCGAGAGATTCTGCGGCGTCCGTATCACCACAGACAAGAGCGTGGCAAGGGATTGCAGCCGTCTCCTATGACTCGCGACTTGCGCTCAGAATTGCTTGGCATTTCTCGGAGTTGCCCCTGCCGCTCAGCATGTCCCGCGGTAGTTCTTCTTGTGGGCCTCCGTGGCCGCGGCCTCTTCTTCGTCACCAGACGACGCCAGCGTGAGAAGCGTCTCGTAGAGCGTCCCACGGCCCTGCTGGCCGCTCGTCGCAGCCGCTCCCTCGTACACGTGCATCAACCTGTGGATCACGTGCACCAGGTGGTCCAGCAATAGGTGCGCGAGGTCCAAGCTCATCTCGGACCGGAATACCACCCGTAGCACCTCTGTCTTGTCGCTGCCGTCCGTAGAGGCGGGCAGCGGGTAGTTGGGGATGATCCAGCCCTTTCCCCGTAGCATCGTAGACAGGATCGCCTGTGGGATCTCCGGGTACTTCTCGTGGAACTGCTTCGACAGCCTGAAGGCCACGAGCGGAACGCCCGGCCGGAAGTTTTGCGGGTCTTCCAGCACGTCACGGTTGCAAGCAGGCTCGCCGTCGAGCCGCTCGTGGATGCAGCTCACGACCTCGAAATTGCCAGCCAGGTCTGCTTCATTCAACAGCGCCAGGCTGAACGCACGTGCAACGAAAAGCGACCGGTCAAACACCTCTTTGTAGCCCTTCATGCCCAGCGTCAAAAAGTTGTAGTACTGGTGGATCACTTGGAACCCGGGCCGCGAGAAGTTCAAGTTGAACGTCTCCTCGACACCGCCGAGGTACTTCAACCGGAAGCGCAGTTCCGGTAGCAAATACGAGTCGTCCTTCCACAGGATCCACCCCAATCCTGGTGTCGTGAGACCGAATTTGTGGCCAGAAGTGTTGATGCTCACCACGCGAGGGTGGTTGAACCCCCACCGCGAAAGCCCCGCACGCTCCATCTGCTCCTGTGTGAACGCAAAGGGGACTACGAACCCGCCAGAGGCACCATCCACGTGGATCGGAATATCCGTGTTACTCCAGTTGGGATTTTCACGCTCAATTTCCTCCAAAACGCCGGCAACCTGCTCAATGTTTTCCAAGTGCCCGGTGTATGTGGTGCCCAGGATGACATAGCACCCAATGGTGTTCTCATCCACAAACTCCCACAGGGACTTTGGATCAAGGTGGAAATCTGATTGCTGAGACACAGGCACCAGACGACACTCGACATCGAAGTACCGCGCAAATTTCTCCAGTGCAACCTGAGCCGCAGAAGACATGATGATGTTGGGCTTGGCCGTCGATTTCCCCGCCTCACGCATCTTGCGTTCCCATTGTCTCTTCATGGCCAATCCTCCCAACATAATGGCCTCACTAGATCCCGTGGTCGCACAACCAAGAGGCTCTTTGTCCACATCACAATGCCAGAGCTGGGCAAGCATCGACACACAACGCTGGGTTATTTCCATCAATTGTGGGTATTCATCGTTATCCGCCAGGTTCTTGTTGATATTCTCAGTTATCAAACGCTTTGCTGTCTCTGTAGAGGTGGTATTGACAAAGCTTGCTAAGTTCAAGTGCGGATTACCGTCCAACGTCAACTCGTTGTGCACTAGATCATATGTAAGATCCTTTGGTAGACCTTTAGCAGGTATAGTATACTTATTCGTCACGCTGACGTTCAATTTAGCATCCGTATCCTCCAATGCCATTTTTTGCAAGTCATCAGACAACAGTTTGTAACTCACAGGTGCACTGTGCGAATTGTGGTGAAAAGATGCCCCCGCACCTTGATGATGTTCCTTAGTATGTTTGTGCAACATTTTTGAAATGCAATTTTAATTTGAATCAAGCCAATATTCAGGTCAATCAAATTGAGTAAATTTACAGTGGTTTACACCTTCCTCTAATATAGAATTGAATTCATTTGCTATTTAACCCTTTTTTTTTGCCCAAGGTAGTAGCAAAAGCACTAATTGGGAAGGCGCCGAGAAAAAAAGAACGAGTAACCTAAACATGTGGGTGAAAAACTCCGAATCCAGTGGTAATCAAACCAACGGGGGCACAACATATTCTACCAGATAAGATGAGTCCAAGGTGTTCTTGAATAATCAATTGAAGCTAAACATGCAGAAATACTACAAAAAAACTACATGATTTTGGCTGGAGGTTTAGTACACATCATTCACTTTTAAACCTTTTCCGGAATACGTGCGTACCTCAAATATAATAGGTGATAATCGTCCAGGTCATAAATGATTTTATCTTTTTTAGAATACCCAGGAACTTCATCACACAACTTCATCAATCTTCCAAAATTGTCATTTGCTATGTTACGCACGAAAAATGTCAAACAGAAATCCGCAGGCCGAAAAACGTCTAGTACACGCTTCATTACCTCAATGTTGTCCTGGGAGTTTTTGCTCACATGTTTTACGGGAACGTTACTCTCAAACGAAGCATACGACCAGCCATTTTCTGGAGTTACGTGAAGCGTATAATAGAACTGACCATCCATAACAACGTTCGAAGAATAACCACATGGTGTAAATGCAAACGCATCATGTTGGATAGATACATTACGCACATTGTCATAAACAGAGTCCAGCTTGGTCGCTTGGGTAGTTCGCAATCCCAATACGTGGCCTGCGTCATCACTACCGCAGTTATCCACGTCACTTGATTCGCGAGAAACAACGAACTGATTCGATTTGCTGGGTTCCAAGCCCGTCATCAAAATCTCCAGAGTTTCATCGTCGTCAGGATACTCGTCTTCGTATGTCTTCAAATCGGTGTTCGTTTCAGTAACATACAAATTCCAGTGATTAGCCTGATCTAGACGTCCTACCAGATAGCTCTTTCCAAAGCAGAAAAAGCTATTCAAATACTCAACTTCATCAGACCAATTCTTATGAATCGATCTCTGCTTCAATGGAAACATGAAACGACGTCTGGAGTAAAATGCCTTATAGGGATGATTCTTACCTTCACAACTAAAATCCCACCCTAGGTCCTCCTTCACAATGCGAAATAGATCCTCCAAGCAAAAAAGCGTGGTCGTAGTGCCACAAGTTTTCAAAGTCAACTTATGATCAAAAACGAAGAGAGAGGATTCACTCAACAGAAATGCGTCCATCTTTTCAGCCTTCTTCATGGAAAGGACCTGGCATTTAACTAGTTCGAGGATATGAATCCATTTTTCAAAAGCAATTGAGCGCAGGGTTTTTGTGCCATCTGGAATAGACTGAACATTTGGATAAAACCAAATTTCAAGTAATTTCTCAGGACCTTCAAATGCGTCCGTGGAGTCCAGAGTCATGGAAAGTTTACGGTCAATGTAAGTGTGATTGGAGAGTTCGCTAATGGACACTGTCATCTGAATGGTTATCTCTTAAACGTTAAAGAATTAGAGTTTTTTTTTAGGTTTTTGACTTTTTCTTGATTAAAATAGTGTAATTGCTAACTTTTTGTAGCCTATGTTATCGTGGTTTCGCGGGTCTGTTGTACAAGAAGGATATATCCTCACTTGGCATATAGTGCTTGCTTTTCAACAAATAGTAAATTAACCGCGACAAAAGAACTGCTTGGCGATTCGATAAATGGTCTAAACAGCTAAAAAATCAAAAAGTACTGTCTCAGTACTTCTAAATACACTTGTAATAATAGTCTCGTAGCTTTTCTGAGTGAGTTGAGAGGGTGATGAGAGGAGGGATGATCCCTCATTGATTAAAAATTTTTTCAACGTTTCAGTGACAGTGGGTGCATGGGTCATGTCAAGGTACAACGGATTGAACAATGGATTTCACATGTGTCGAGAGGATCTTGCTCCATTTTTATATAAGCATAAACTGCAAAAGAATCTTGATCGAGAGAAAACATGATGCACTCATTTTTAACTATTCTTTCTATTATAAACGTGTCAGAGCTTGAACTCTCTTCACTGAGTTTAGAAAAAACAGCTCATCGGATTTCGCAAAATGCACGAGGTTCCTGCTTCGTCGAACCCTTAAATAGGAAAGTGTAAGAAGCGCTGCCCAAAAATGCAGTACGAACATTTTTAAAAGAGCGGTATCTCGCGTGTATAATAGAGCGCTTCAAGACCATACACGATAAATAGATACGATGTGGTGAAACGATTTATAACCTCTGAGGGGCTTCAAGGAGAAATGAAAGTACGTTAAAAAAACACCACAGACAGGACAGGCTATGATAAACATACATCAAGTTTCCAAAGCCAGATGCCTTTGTCTAAGAAATTTACGAGAGAATAGGATTGGTTCTTTCCATTCAGAAGAACTTGGCGACCAACAGAATTAGTCGAAGGTTCTTGAAATGTTGCCCGTGTATGAAACTGCAGTCTACTACGGAAAAAATAGCTGAGCGATTAAACGGGAGTGATTCGTTCTATGAATCTGCCATGCATTGATAAGCTCATCAGTCACTAACTAAGCATTCACCATTAAAAAAATTCCAGAGATCCCTAATATCAGTGACAAAAGGTTCCAGCAGAGAATCCACTTCCATAACTAAGGATGCGTCAAAAAGAATAAAGAACACCGTCAAAAGAGAAAAATTGCCAACCGCACCAACAAAGCACCACATTCAACTCAACATTGCACTCCTTCGCGCAACTTCCCAGAAGACCAAATTAAACCCCCTATCACATCCATTCCGAATGTTAAGTTTTTCAGAGCAATGGCAGAATTCTTGCTAATGCATCGCATGCGAATGAAGTTCTAGAATTGCCAGGGCAGGTACCATACTATATGGTGGTGAAACGCATGAAAATACCTACCCTGATAATGCTCCCGGCGACGAAATACTCATCAATTGGGCAAGAGAAAAACAGCCACATGCTCAAGCAAAGCCAACAGAAAATGCCCGTACCTGGTTCGCTCAATGGTTCGAAATAGACGCAATAGGTCAGGAAGAGATCAGCCTTCTGAGAAGTCACAATGTAGACAAGTATGCAGATTTTAGTCTGTATATTCGAAAAGGCACTCTCAAGCGAAAATGATCTTCACATCTTCCAACGCGGAGCCTAGTCTTGAGAAGGCAATGAAGGATCTTGAGTTCTCCGTCGGTCGTTTTAGATCAGCAAGGATGCCAAAAACCTGTGAAACGTTTCAAACCGAAAATCTTTAGTCATTAAGTAACATGATGAGCTATCAATCTGACATTTGATCAATATTTAGTGATTGAAAGAAGAGAGCTGCCGATCTCGACAAAATTTTTCTTTTCTGAACATCCGAAATTCCGGGTAATGCTTGTCCATAAGAAAATCAAGAGCTTATGGGGCATCTCAGACTAAATATAAGCATCTTATAACTAATGGATTTGACAGGTACTCATCCAGATACCACCTTATACATCGGAAATATCGATTCTAAGGTAACGAAAGAACTGCTCTATGAGCTTTTTATCCAAATAAGTCCGCTCTCGAGAATAAGATACCCTAGAGATAAAGTTCTTCAAAGTCATCAAGGATTTGCTTTTATCGAGTTTTACACCACAGAAGATGCAGAGTACGTGGCTAAATGTATGAATAACACCGTAAGACTATATGATAGAACACTGAAAGTCAGGAAAGCTAATGTAGGCAATCCTTCAGGGCAACAAGTGGTTGACATCGGTGCTAAATTGTTCGTGAAGGATTTAGACGAGCTTGTTGATAGCGCTATGCTATCAAAACTATTCTCCAAGATAGGCACCCTAGCAAGACCACCAGAGATATTTTTCCTAAAACAGGGACAACTGAAATGTGCCTATATCTATTACACAACATTTGAGCATTCAGATAGAGCTTTGGAGAAGTTAAATAACCAAATGGTCATGAACAAATGCATTAGCATCGATTATGCTCTTAAGGAAGGGAAAAAAAATGAGAAACATGGGGATAAGGTGGAAAGGCTTCTCGAACAAGAAGCCAGGAAACATGCTATAATTTCAACCTGAATCAAAGAAAATGCGTAGCAGGAGAGAATTGACTTGTTTAGTGACAAACTGCTGCCCTGGTATTAGCATCCTCCTCAAATACAGAGTTCCAGACATCACACATTTCCTCATCTGGGTATTTTTCATTACCAACAGTACACTTGAAACCTTCTAAGGACTCGTAAACCCATGGCTTCCCAGTTGGGTAATCAGAGAAGTGGATGTACTTACATTGATCTATAATGGTTTTTAGAGAAACAGTTGACTTCTCGTCCGTACTTTTCTTGTAGCCAATGACATCATTATACATCAGTTTGTGGTGGAATTTATTGCGAATCGAGCCTGTGAGTAGACCATATTTGGCAAAGGGAAGTACGACTACCTCAGGCACAAAATAACTTTTGAGCTTCCGAAATAGTTTGAATTGATAATAAATCATTTTCTTCAAATTGTACAACTCCTCATTTATTAAATCCATATCATACTTCTCCTTTTTCCGTAAACATTTAGGCAAAGCATCATTTGTAATTGTTTTAAAAGTCTTCTGATCGGGTTTTATAACCATTAGATTAGTGGCGAATATCAGTTTCTGTCTGTTCTTTCTGTGATGAAAGTTAAACAATGGTGATGCAGAGGATGTTGATTGTATTATTTCTTGAGCGATGTTTTTGGAATTGAAAAACAGGGAAGGAGGAAGATTGGGCAAATGGTTGTAAATCTGAAGACCATCTTTGACTCTTTTAGATAATGGCGCCAAATACTTATCAAGTGAAATAGGCCATTTTTCTTCCTTCTGAACTTCATGATATGCATTTTCCATGTCATCCTCTGAAAGGTCCCAATAAGTGACAGGGGCGGCGAATTTTATGTAAGAAGGCAAGAAAAAGAGTTCATCCATCGTATCACGCACCGTGGCATCATTGTCCAAGTATACAACCCGGTCGAAATCAGTTTGATTGAAAACCAGAAGCTTGGTAAAGCTTTTACCCCAAGGTGTAAAGTCATTTGGCTTTAGAATATTCTGAACCGGTCTTATAATAACTTGATTTGGTGCAATATCCCTCAAATTGTCTAATAATTTTGTCGTTCGATCCTTTTTCGATACTTCTTCATCATTCAGCATATCATCAGATATAAGAAGAAGAAGTTTAGCTTTCGTGCCCCCTTGCTTCAAAGCACGAAATTGTAAGAGGGTATTACATAAATAATCCTCATCCGTAACGTAGTTGACGTACGCGAAACTGTTCCAGTCTATAGGTTTATTGTTCTGTTCAGCTTGTTTTCTCTGAAAGGAATATAGCTCTTCAATCGTTTCTGAAGGTATTTGTTTGATATTAAGAGGGTCATAGAGGTCATGAAGATTGTCCTTGTCTTTCACGAATAGCTTTTTGTAATGCTTTATTTCCTTATTCAATTGAAATTGAACTATCACATTAGCGAGAAGTGTAACAACTAACACGATAAACGCAACAAGCACTAGGAACTTAATTTTTCGCTTGGATACAAAAAACATCTTCTCCCAACGGTTGAGCTTTCCAATGTAAATGCGAAGGATATTTTTGTCGTTTTTGCAGAGAAGCGGATATTTATTTTGCAGCTAATGAAGAAAAGTCAAAGGCATGTGACTACCAACACGCTAATTTCTCAATTCAATAACCAGTCCGAATATTGACAAGGAACCAAAAGGCAAGCCCGTGAAAAGAAGTAAGAGCTATCTATGCATTATATAAGTTTATAAATTAGTAAAATGAATCACTTTCTGAAGGGAATTTCGCCACGGCACATTGGGCATGTGTTGTTTCCTGACGATCTGAACCACTTGTATAAACAAGCTCCATGAAATCTGTTATTACAGGTTGGACAAGTTTTAGATGGTAGCTTTCTGTCGACAGCATGCAAGATAGAGTAACAAATAGCACATTCTTCGAAACCCGAAAAATGAAGATTTGCGTTTTTAGTGAATAGTTCAAGGGAGTCAACGACCGACCCGTTCATCCCAGTAATGACTCTTTGTGTGGACAATATCCATGATTTCCACTTTTGCTCATTAATACCAACTCTCGAGATTCCTTGGACCTGAATATTATTCAATGGATAATTCGCTGGTAACTTGAACACTATTTCAAGTGTCTGTTCATCGACGAGATAACCAGCCTTTATTTCATTGGTAACATTGTTTATTTTGATAGTCAAGCTTTGATCTTGCGATGTTAGACGCTTGACTTTACTAGCCACTTCTGCAAGCTCATGGCGAATCAAAATAGGTGAGATATAGCGGGACACAAATTTCTCGATTTTCAGTTGCCTCGACCGATCCTTTATGTTCAGCCACCACGTACTTGTTGCAGAGCCAACACTATTGAAAAAAACGTACATTAGATGCAATAGGAGCTTCTTGGATTCATTGAGAATATCTTCCTTGAAATAAGTATGAGACGGATCTTGAACTTGATAATGTAATATGTCGGTTTCGGGAACCATGTTCCAAAAGTGATGATCCATCAAATCAACCTGATCAGAAAAAAAGTCAAACAACTTGAATAACGTATCGTTCTCTTTCAGCTGCTCAATATATCCTTGTCTTATGTTGTAAGACATGTCCTCGAAAAACGAATGTGTGAGAAAACAAGACCAAAGATAGCGAATGAAGTTAACCTCGTCCTCATATTCTAAGTAATCATCCGGAATATTCTGGTTTAACACCTTCAACAGCCCTTCTGGTATTTCAAACAACTTCTCCTCATTCGGTTCAGATGTTCCAGACGATTTTTGAAGCTCATAATCAATTAACAGTTCTTGCTGTCTTGATAAAACTAACTTTCTTAGGACAGAAACAATGATTCTGAGTTGATCGATATTATTGATGGATTTCGATATGAACTTAGTTAACAGATCTTCGTAGTAATGCTGGAGAACCTGTGTAGGGATTTCAGAAATGACTGTTCCTGCGATCTGATAGAACAAAAATGAACACATGTTAGAGGGTCTGGAACCAAACACACCGAAACACATCTCTATGAAACTCTTTTCCATGCTATCGTTATTTTCAATCCAAAGATCTTTATCAAGTGTGCCCTCCTCAACGAGATCACCTAGCTGCTTATAACATTGGACCGATATCATTATGAGTTCTTGCAGAAATGGTGTTTCTTCAATTAAGCACATATCGAGCGAATCAGAAAGCAGCCGAATATATGGTTCAAATATCGAACTCTCCATGGAAATGATAGTAGGAAATTTGAGGATCAGCCGGAAAAACTGCAAAAGTGCCAATCTAGCAAGAGCGAAGCTATCATCATAATATAGATCACTATCGAACCATCTACCTATCTCATTGAGAATCATTCTCAAACGTTGAGGAGAAATGGGCGTAAAATCTTCGGCAAAAGCTGCGTCGTTGTCAACCCTCAACATATTGTTAAGTAGTATTACCGCTTTAGGTGTTCTTTCCACCATTTCACGACCTTTAACACCTATCATTTCTGATGCTAGCAGTGTTCTTACCTTTGTGAGGGTATTTCCAACGCCGTTAAATTTAGAGAAAGATGAGAGAAGAGTGGACGCCACAAGAAATTCTCGACCTTGTCTGTCTTTGTCTCTCACCAACTTGGAAATATAGTCATCAATGGATACAATCTTATCAAAAGACGATGATGAAACATAGTCAACAGCATTTGAAAGAATTCTGTGAAGTGTTCTGCACTTATAAAATGAAACAACTTCTGAATGACCATCCATAGAAGTAAGCTGTTCAAGTAGAAATGTTGGTGCAGACGACCGGTCTATGACAGTCTTGACTATGTCTGCAAATTCAAAAGTAACTTTTTTGTGTTGAAAGATCGTGTTTTTGAAGTTCTGCATGTAATCCAAGGGATCAGGGCTCAAGGAGTTATAGTCAGTAGCGCACTCTGCAAGGATTGTAAGATAGAGAATTCTATTATCATCAGATAATTCAGGAATTGATTCCATCAATGAGTCCAGAAATAAACCCCTACAAACGAGTTTTCTTATACTGTCGAACTCAAAATCGTTGCTAGAAACATGAACAAAGTGAGTATTGAGCCCTAGCGGGTTGCAAAGCGCCACTTGATAACTTATTGAAGTAACGTATTTGTCCAATTCTTTGTAAGGGTCCCTTGGATATAGGTAGTTGCTAACGTTGGGATTAGCTTGAATTAGATCGATGGAATATGCAATAGCGGCTGAATCAACTGGATTTGAAGATCTGTCGACATGCGCTAAAATTGCCATCGATGCCTTCTCTGCAATTTTGTCGTTGCTTTTACACAGAGTCACAACAATGTCTTTGAGATTTGAATATATATTCTCATCCTCTGCAAACATTGCTTTGGCTAAAAAATCAGTTGACTCAAAGAAAGGCAGATAATCAGACTCTGAGAGTCTGACGCAGTTTCGACTAAACTCATCAAACCTATCTACCTGTAAGGCACGGTGGTAGAGATCAATTAAAATACCGCTTCCAATCAGGCGTGATTTGAAAATCAAATTGTCAGAGAAATCATATGAGTCAACATACTGGGAAACAAAAGTTCTCAAATCCCGAGACTGCTCCATTAGAGTTTCAAAAACTTCATCGTCGAGCTCATTAAAAATCGAAATTAAGAAATTTTGAGGAATAGGTATTCCTAAGATGATAATCAAAAAGTCATCGTAATACCTTAGCCAAGTATCAATACTAGAATTTTTGCGATACGCAGAGCTTGAGTAATGCACCATTATTTTTGCTGGAATTTCATAGAAACTTTCACTTATAAATGTTGGCAATTCATAAATGAACTTTGACACTTCATCCTGCAGAAACATTATTTCACGATTTATAAATAAATCGTAAATGCGAAATCCGTAGTGAGCATCATACTCAGTGCACTGATTTATTGACTCCAAAATCAATGTCGCCAACTGCTTCAGGGGTTCGCGATTGCCGGGTTTCTTAATAAGAAGAATGATTAGGTTATCGAAATAAACGAAATTCTGATGCTGCTCATTCTTTCCTTCCGGTAACAAACGCTTCATCTCGTCGATAAGCATTTCAAAAGATAAAAAACTGGCAAACAATGAAGTTAGGTGAGAATTCTCATTCAAAGGTTTTCTATTCAAAGTTTCTATTATCTGTTGCTGGATGTTAGATTCTTTGTCACCATCCATGCTAAGTGCGCCATCTTCAATTATTTTCAAATAGTACTTCCAACATTCAGATAGCAACTTTTCGACATTTTTAGTGAAAACCCTTCTTTTCGATTCAATTTGAATGTCTCCCTGCCACAAAAGCAGCCAGTCATGTAGATCCAGAGGTGCATTAGTCTGTCGATAGAGCGTGTATTTCAAGTAATAGTAGCTGGGATCTGCGTTACCAGGACCTTGCGAAAGGAAATGGATTAGTTTATCTTTCGAAGAGCGATCAAAAGTCCAAAATTTTGCACCTGAGTATTCACTTAAATGTATCAAAGTGCTGAGTATCTGCGGGAATAAAGGTGAAATCATTAATGAATTCCTGGACGAGATTTGTGCCATTGATTTGAAAAGTCTTTTCGAAGCTAACTTTAAAATTTCATTGTGATTTTTTATGTATTCGTTGCCTGTAAGCGTGTCGAGTAATTGAAGAAGTGCCTGAAATGTTTTCAAGTTGTTTGTCTTTTTCAGATTGAAGTACCGCCACAAATCTTCACATATCAGTATATCATACAGTGTATTAGCCTCAAATAGATCGCTATTCTTTTCGTCGCTTATTAAACGTATCAAAGTCAAAATTGCAGAAGTTATGAGATGATTATACTTTATTTCTGCCTCTTCCGGAGGCACATATTTGTCGTCAGATATTGTATTTTGATTTTCCGCCACTACAACTTCTTTGACAAAAGTCAGGGTTTGGTCACGGAAGACAGTCCATAATGCCGCCACCTTTTTGGGATCTTTGTTAAAACATTTGAGGATATCATCTTGACAACCTTTTGCTACACTAGCATCGAAGTCATAGCTGCCTGACAATAGAAGAGGAACAAAATCTTTCAAAAACTTTGTGATCCGTTTCCCCAATAATTTTATCAATTCTGTCGTCAAGTGATGGGAGCCCAACCGGATTACTTTCGATTGATTGGAAACGAGCTTCGAATAAAGTTGAGACCAACAAAGAAGGAAGACATCATTATCAAAATGGATTTCATCTTTTCCAGTATTATCTATTAACTTGAGTAAATCATTGATTGCTCTTTCTTTCGTCGTATCATCTCTTTTCAATAAAGATTTAATCGCCAATTTCAGCTCTGGACTAGGCAAAGAGTTTATCAAGCTTTGATCAGGGATTCCGTCAAAATAGTTCAAACATATCTTCACTCCATTGTTACCCAGTCCATAGTCGTTAGAGTACTGTTGAAAGGTGTTTACCACAAACGACATTCTTCCTTTTCTTATTAGTTATTAGACTTACATTAGAAGCAATACATTTTTACGTTTATTTTTTTTTTCATATGATCGCCCTTTCCCAATTCCATACTTCAAGAATAAGTCAAACACATATTGAGCATCCATTTTAGAGAAATTCACCAACGTTCGTCAAGTGGAAATCTAGATCGTCTTTTATCAAATGCTAAATGGAACTATATGATGGTGTTGCCCTTATCCTGATAGAAATCATCCTAAATGTGTCACCGTCAAAAGCGCTCATCTAGGGAAAAACCGCTTCATTTCAGTTGATCTTTGGAATAAAAAGAGCATCTCAAAGCAGAAAAGATATTTAGAACAACGATTGGTCAAGAAGTCATGCAGTTCACCAGCCTACCGAGAAAAAAATTGCATCGGAAAGATGAGCTCGTCGCTCACCAATCTATAGTAGATACCGATACAGATATCATCTGCTCTAGATTACCCTCAAAGGTATCTGAGATAATAAATGTATAGCTGGTTCGAGTTGGATCGTCCCCACTTAAAGCATCTACCATATCAGTAACTTTCTGAACAAACTCTTCAGTGTAATCTCCAAAGACCATGTACATGTTCTTTACGAACTTCCGAGCCTCATCTACACTCTCTTTCCAGCCCGCTGTTTTCAGCGAAGCAACAGTGGCGAGCAAACATTTCGCTGGCATATTGCTAAGCTTATTGTTTGCGAATTTTCGGACTGCAAACTTCGTGAGACAAATTTCTTGTCTATACGGTATAATTGGGCGACCATTTGGATATGAACCAGTTTCAAACTGAAAACAATAGTTAGAGCGGATCTGGCCCTCGCTATTCTGTTTCATATCGACCTTGAAGTCAACTTTCATCTGAAGTCTTCTTAGTGACCTGGCAACCTCAGAATTATCCCACAATGCCCACATACCTTCATCCGTTGTACTCGTTACGCTTACATCTTCGTCGCACGGTTTGATGTCTAGTCCTATTCTCTTGATGAATTTTTGTACATCTTGGGTTATTCCTTCTCGAGCAATCATACCGTCGTAGATTCTGAGCATCAGACAGCTGAATGTTGACATCGTTGCTACACTTGTCAGTGCGCATATCGGTTTAACCATCCCTGTTAATGTAGCCATAGGAATGCAAGTACCCAAGGCACCGCCCACATTGACAAGTAGGCTAAACAAATTCCACCCCAGATCTTCAGAGTTTCCTTGCATGATAAAATCATCTTGTTGGCAAACGCAAAATGCCCCTAATGACAATGATAACAAGAACAAGAGTGATTGATTCATTTAGGTTTTATATCTTACAGAGATGTTAAACTATCCGTAAAGCTGTATATAAGATGTTTACATCTAGTGTTTGAGTACAGCTGTACAGCGACGCTTTGTCGCAAATAATGACACAAAATAACATGATGAAATTCTAATTATACAGACGTTGAACAACCATGTGTTTGAGCTATTGTGTAGAAATGGGGGAAATTGGCGCTCCTTTCCAATCCCTTTTAGGGTGTAGTTTCTTCTCCATAGTATATTATATATTACGAAATGAGACCGATAGTTTTTCTTGTCTTCTGAATTGCTTCCCCACTTTAACCATTACATCCAAAGTGTACTTCAGCTTCATCTTTTAGGCATCTTTGATCAAAACCATACGGTGCCCTCATTAATTTACCAATCACTAATGTCAAAAGTTTGACGTATGGTTACGAAGTGAGGTTCACAGTTCCAGCTTTAATTTCACACCATCCTATGACTATATTCTGTAAAACATGCTTAGCAAATCCTATTCTTTTGTCAATTCTGCTTTCCGAAGCTTACTGGAAAGTGTTAATGATCTAAAGACAGCTTTGTTAGTGCGTCGAAGGATCACTGCTGGTAATTCAGCCATGCCTTCGTCAACTTCTTTAAGACCGTCTCCTCCTACAGCAATTCCCTTGAGAGAAATCATTGTTAAACTTCCAAGATTGTTTCCAAGATCGGCTTTCAAATCACTGCGTGATTTTGAAGACTTCAAGAGAAATCCAAACTCTCTTCAGCATGAACTTCTTTCAACGTTACCGTTTTTCCCTAGACCTAATAAAGAAAAGGTTGCTAATATTGTTAGGACACCTGTTGACAACGAAGGAAATTATATCAATGAGTTTTGCATTGAACCCAGATCCAGAATTCCGGGAGTTTCTATGAAGCATTTAATTTTGATTCACGGATATGGGGCGGGTTTGGGCTTTTATCTAAAAAGCCTTGAAAGAATCAACTTCAGTAAGAATGACTGGTGTATTCATGCGATTGATCTGCCTGGATATGGGTTTTCCTCAAGGCCACGATTTCCCTTTGAAATTGGGAAGCACTCTGCGGAGACTGCTGAAAATTGGTTTCATGACCGTTTTAACCAATGGTTGAGAAACAGAGGCCTCCTTGAGGCACCCGAAAGTAACATGGTAGTAGCGCACTCTATGGGAGCCTATTTGTCCGCTCTTTATGCGAACCGTCATCCTAATCATTTCAAAAGACTCATCATGTGCTCCCCTGCTGGCATCTGTGAATCTTCAGCTGCAATGCGCAAGAAAATCCCTCCCTGGTGGTTTCAGAGATTATGGGATAAAAACATTTCCCCTTTCTCATTAGTTCGAAAATCTGGGTATCTTGGATCTAAACTGACAAGCGGATGGTCATACCGCCGATTTAAGCGTTTTATGTATGACGATGACCACGGCCGGACCCAACATGAGGCTATGCATCGATATACCTATTCCATCTTCAATCAGAGAGGATCAGGTGAGTATCTTCTCAGTTTTGCCCTAAAATGTGGTGGAGAACCTCGCAAAGCTTTGGAAAAGCGACTATTTCATAATATCAGTGATCAATTCAAAGCTAGCTGTCAGTGGCTTTGGTTATATGGCGACCAAGATTGGATGGATAGGTCTGGCGGAGAACGAGTGTCTGACTTTCTGCAAGAGATGGGGTTGAAAAGTGCCGTGGAAATAGTTCCAAGCGCCGGACACCATTTATATCTCGACAATTATCAAGTTTTCAATAAAATTCTCGAAAGGGAAATGGCAGATTTTTGACTGGCGCCCAGGTTTGAAAATCAATGCTTTGCTGTTTTACTGCTACATATGCACTTACAACCCTCGCCAGTAATGTGAAAACGGAATCGTATTTGTAATTCACAAATATGTAGAGACGTGGGGTATCAACATGTAATAATTAACTTACTCGTTTTAAAGGGTTTTTATTTAGTGATTTGAGGTCGGATTGTAAGGTCGGATTGTTCATTCGAATCAGCATCAGGTCCTAGCGGCTAGCCAATTACATTTGCGCTTTTGTAGCCCACGTAAACTTGGCTACAATATGAAAATGCTTTAGAAATTCAGTTTGTTATATTATGTAGTATATTTCAAAGAAACATAGGGTAGGAAATTGGTCGACCGCAAAGAAAGCACAGTGATCAAATCAATACAAATTAGGCAAGTTACAATAAATTGAAGGTGAGGGTGAGTTACAATGCAAAAAGGAGAAGCGAAGGACGCCACAAAAAGTCCAAACAGCAAAATCACGAAATTAACAAATAAAAAAAATCTTCTCTTTCCATGGGAAGACAAGTTGCAAACAAAATGCCGTGTGTGATCTGAGTGAAAAATTCTGGTTGTAAAAGAACAAAGAGTAAAAATAACACTAGTGGTAAAAAGGACGATTTTGGTACTTTACTAAACAAAAACAAGCTTGAGCGTATTTCTCAGTTCTTTGAGTACAAATCGTCGACTAGATCTTGAACAGAAGCCAGAATCTTTCTTCTTTGCAACTTCATCGCAGATGTAACAAAACCATTTTGAGGAGTCCATTCTTCCTCACAGAAAACTATTCCCAAGAGAAGCTCGATACCTCCGAGACCTTGCGACTTACCGGTCTTCAACAGATCGTTCAAGACTGACTTTCTCAACTTGGGGTCTTCCAAAACGTTTTCAACCTCGCTTTTGTCCTTGATTAGTCCCAAATTGACGGCCAAGTCACCCAAACGTTCAAAGTTGGGGACCACAATACCAACAGGCTTCACTTTGTTCTGATCAGCGTAAACGCAAATGTTTTGCACATATGGGTTAGATCTGTAAACACTTTCTAGTTTTTCCAAAGCGATGTATTCACCGTTCATGGTCTTAACCAAGTTCTTCTTACGGTCAATGATCTTCAAGTGACCGTTGGGTCTCCATTCTGCGATGTCACCGGTCATGAACCAACCATCCTCGGTGAAAGCACTCTTGGTTTCCTTTTCGTTTTGGAAATACTCTGGCATGACAGGGTCACCCTTGATCCAGACCTCACCTTGGTTGTTTTTGGCGAGGTAGCCCATTTCTTCAACATCCACCAATTTCACGGTCACTGCACCGGTCAAGTCACCTTGAACATCGTATTCAAAATGGTCGGGAGCAAGTACACATGTGTTTGCAACGGTCTCGGTCAAGCCGTAACCAATCAACATAGGACATAGAAGAGTGGTGATGAACTGTTGGGCGTCGAGACTTAGCGGACCACCACCGTTCAAGACGTATCTGAGACATCCACCAGTGGCCTGTCTCACTTTCTTGAAGACGATGTTGCCGAGGGTGTCACCGCCCGGCACGTGGTACTGCTTCATCTTTAACTTCGCGCGGTAGGCACCCCAAAACACTTTTTGGCTCAAGTATGGCAATTTTTCAACTTGCGCCATAATACCCTTTCTGATGGTTTCCCACACCGCGGCCACACCAACCATGATGGTGGGTCTGAACTCACGCATGTCACCTTTACAGTTGCGCACGGAGTTGTCGGAGATGGTCTTGACGTTGGCGTAACCTATCACACCACCCCAGTAGAAGGCGATGAGCTCGAAGGCCAGCTCGAAGATGTGGGCAAGGGGCAAGAACGCGATGATACGGTCGGTTTCGCCGATGAAGCGGCGGTCGGCGATGAACGCGACACCCGCGATACCGGCAAGGATGTTGCGGTGCTTCAACACCACACCCTTGGGATCACCGGTGGAACCGGAGGTGTACATGATGCACGACACGTCCTCGGGAGAAGGAGGGTGGGGCTCGATGCGGTCTGCGGCGGCGTGGCCCATCTCGATGACCTCGTCCATGGAGTACACCTTGATGTCGGGACGGACTTTCTGGATCTCGTCGAGCGCGTCGCGCGCCTCCTTGTAGAGACGGCCGTGGGCGCGGTTGTCGGCGGGGTCGAGGGCCTCGGAGTGGATGATGTACTGCAGGTCGTGGGCCTCCTGCACGGGGCGCACGAGACGCTGGAGCAGCGCGTTGTCGGTGAAGATGGCCTTGGAGCCGGTCTGGACCATGGAGTGGATGAGGCCCTTCTCGCCCAGCGTGTCGTACGCGGTGACAATGGGCACCGCCTGCGATTGCGCGGCAAGGTACGTTTTCATCCACCGGTGCGACGTGGAGGCAAAGATGTGGAGGCGGTCGTCGCCGCCGGGGGCGAGGCCCATGTCGACGAGCCCGCGGCCGTAGTCGTGCATCAGGGCCGTAAGCTCGCGGTACGACGTGTAGCGGTACGGAGAAAGCTCGTAGTAGTACCAGGTTTTCTCGACCGGGGTTTCTTTGCCATCCACGATTTTCGTGATGGTTTTCTTGTCCTCGTGGATCTCGACGGTGTCACGCCAGCCCATGCTTTTGCGGTCGCCGCCCTTTTCGAAGCACTCGATGAGATACTCGTAGACGGTGGACGCCTTGCTGCCGACGGGCCGCGACAGCGGCGCGTCGGCGCAACGCGCGTTACGACGGGGGGCGGTTTCGTGCTCGTTGGCGGGTTTTCCGACGGGAACGGTGTATTGGGCGGCCATGGGAGAACGAACTTGGTGGACGGAGCGAAACTTGTAGACTTGGGATTGGACGCGCTGAGACTGCGGTGCGCACCTGTGGGGCTGTTGGAGAGATAAACTAGTGACCTGGTACTAGTAACTGAGACTGCTAAACTAGTGCTGGTAACTGGCCGCGTATGGAGCTACTATTGCGGCGTCGTGTTTACGTCGTCAAACTTTTTAATTTTCCGTCCTGCTTGACAAAATCCTGGACGAAATACCGCGCACTGCTGTGTTGCGTTGCGCTGCGACTAGCTGAATGCTTTGGAGCGTGCGAAAAACTCGCACCCGTCGTACGAAAATCGCCTGGCTTTTATAACTCCACGCGTTTGGCGCCCGCACCGAAAACTGCCACTGCACAAAATTTCTACGTGAGTCGACAGTTTTCGTTGCGCTGCCATAAAATGGCCGGCCCGGTGCCTGCGGCCGCGTCTCACCGGCTGGCGCGCACGTTGCACGGCGGCACCGTGGCCTCGAGCCTGCTCCCCAACGAGACGGGGCGGTGTCGCCTGACACAGGAGATTGCTGTCGCAGACGCGCGGGCAGACGGGCGGGCAGCGACGCGCGAAAAAAAGTGTTGGGTCGAATTGTTGAAGTTGGAGACGGTGCGCGGTGCGGTGCGTCCGAGGCGGGCAGAGCGGGCAGGGGCGCGGGATCGGGTCTCGGAGTTGGCGGGGTCACGTGGGGCGGCGGCGGCGGCGGCGGCGGCTACGTGGGCGGTTTTGTGGCGCGACGCAGCGGCGCGGCTCGATATCCGCGTATGTCCGGCCGCTGAACTCCGCGTCCGAGCCGCCGGCCGCCGGCCGCCGTCCCCGCTTGTCACACTCGTCATGCTGTTCTGTACATACGTCTGCATGCCGCCTACGTACCGCCTACGTACCACCTACGTACCGCCGCTTACCGCCGCTCACCGCCGCTCACCGCCCCCCGTACTTGGTCAGCCCCCGCCGCACCGCCAGCACGCTGTCCACGATCACCGCGTCCACCCCCGCGTCCATCTCGATCCGCGCGTTCTCCGGGTCGTTGTTCTCCACCCCGTACGTCACACACACCAGCCCGCTCGACTTCACAATCTGCGTTAGCCGCGGAGCCTTGATCAGCGGCCGCGCCGCTGACACAATCCCCAGCAGATTCCAACGGCGCGCAAAGCGGATCGCGCTTTGCAGCGACGCCGCTCGCACGTCCGCCATCTGCTGCGTGCCGCCCTCCGTCAAAAACAAAATCGGAATCGACGGCTGCTTCAACGACAACATCACGCACACGTCAGGGTGGAACGAAGAGAAAATTATGTCGCGTCCGTTGGCATTGTCGTAAACTACCTTCAAGACCGTGTCGCACCAGTGGTTCAGTTCTACAGCCACTTGTCCAATGTCCTCCTCTTCGGCTTCGTCCAGCATCGGGTATTTGCACTCGATGTTGAACCCCACGTTGCTGGGGATCTTCTTGAACAGCTCCTTGAGCGTCACAAACGAGGACGCAATCGAGTGGCCCCGCGAGTTCCCCTTAAAGTTGTTTTTCTTGAAAGTCCGCGTCAGCCGCATCCGGTCCTCGTAGATTTGCGTCCCAGCCGCCTTGGTGTGGTCGGCGCCGGGCCCGTCCGACGCGTTCTGCCCGCGCATCTGCAGCATGCGCTGCAGTACAGCCGCGTCTGTGTCGTCCATCGAGCGGCGGCGGCCCGAGTCGCGCACGTGCGCCTTGTGCTTTTCCGCGCTGTTGAGATCCAGAAACTGCTCCAGCGTCAATTCGTGCATCGGGATGTCAGCTCCGGACTCGGCCACCAGGAAGTCGTGGTACACCACTGGGATATTGTCCTTGGTCAGTTGCACGTCGAACTCCACGTACGAGGCGCCGAGCGACGCAGCGGCGATGAACGACTCCACGGTGTTCTCCCCCAGCTGCAGCGACTTTTTCGTGTTCATGTTCTTGCCCAGCCCGCGGTGCCCGATAACTCTTGTCGAAACCAATGACTTCCAGTACGTCTCGGTGCGGCCAACCGACATTCGCGCGTGCGAAAACGGCGTCACCAACATAAACTCGAAACTCACCGTGCCCAACACTTCCAAAGTCTCGTTTTCGATGATGGGAATCGTGATGATGTCCGACAGCGACCGACGGTTCAGCCCGACCGACGTGCTAGACTTGTCCAACAGCGCCACCGCGCGCCCCAGAACCTTCGATCTGGCCGCGCTCGACTGGTAGTGCGATTGCGGCTTCCCGCTCGCGTTTTCGTGGTGGTACCCGTTGGAGCCACCGCTGGAGTGGAGTCCCGACTCCTCGTGAATATCGCTGGACGAGTCCACGATCCTCATGGCGTGGTAGCTGTACGTGGGCACGATGTCGAAGTAGATTTGGTGGGCCGAGTCGTGCTTGTAGGGCACAGTGAAATTCACCGAGTCCAACGTGTCGTCCAGAGGCAGGTCCAACACGACCGGAGTGCAGTTCAGGTCGTCCGGGCACGTGACCACCAGTGACAGCGCCGTGTCCAGCTCCGTAGAAGACACTTTGGTCACTGGAACTTTATTCAAAGCCACCGCTGGCGCCTTGTTGCGAGAATCCGTGCTGCCCAAAGTGATCAGAACTATGGACTGGTCCTTTTGTAAATACTTGTGTCCAAAAGACTTGACAGGTTGTGCTGCGCTATGACTGTGCGAGGACGCGCCATTGGAAGGCTTGTTGTGGCTGAGAGACGACTTCAGCAGCTGCTTCTTGCTGGCGTGGCTCACTTCAGAGATTTTGTCGATAGATTGAGAAACTCCCGGCTGCTTGTAGAAACCATTCTGAGGAGACGCAGACCTCGACCCGGAGGAATCCTGAGCGTACACGGGCGTATTGGTGCGGCTTGGTGGCTTTTCCAACTCTTCCTCCCCGGAGCCACTTTGAAACTGCGGATTCGATACCACCCGATTGTCTTCAGGGGTAAGCATATCTGCGACATCTAAATGGCCGCGTAGAACCGCATGCTCCATGGGGGTCCATCCACTTTCATCGAAAATGTCAAACTTTGCATTGTACTGAATTAGCAATTTCACGATTTTTAAAAAGCCCTCAGTTGCAGCGGCGAACACAGGCGTCCAACCAAAGGCACATTCACCTATTTCGGTGTCAGCGCCTTTTTGCAATAAGAATTCGGTGGCCTCTTCCAAGTTCAGCTTGGACGCAATATACAAAGCCGTCTCATGCGTTTCGGGGTCAGGATAATTGATATCAAATCCATTGATCGACAGTAATGCATCAATCAAATCCGGTGAATTCAGTCTCGTAGCTAACTGCAATAATCTTGGAGAGTTCAAAGGTTTGTCAGGATTCCCATAGGATGTTAAAGTTTTCACGGTAATTGGATGTGTCCCTATAACAGCTAGGTGAAGTGGGGTTAATCCCTCCCCGTCTCCCCATAGTTGCACGTCATCAATAGGAATATCAGGATTCCATGCCCCCCAATCCTTCAGACTTTCAATTATAATTTTGCTAACTTCAAACAACCCGTATTGGGCAGAGTAATGTAAGGGGGTTCTCTTGTAATTATCCCTCTGTAACAAACTTGATCTAAGATGAGCAGGCAGTTTGTTGAGAATGTATAGCAAAGATGCAGGTGAATCATCTGAATTCACTCCATCGGGACCGAAGGCCCCAATCAATCTGGTGTTAGAGTCTGGCAATGTAGCAGCCTCCAGATCTAACGATGTAGAGAGAAGCTTGCTCAAATCGTCTTCATCACCCTTGGGTGCTGATTCTAGTGCACTTTCAGCATTTAAACGTTTTTTATGATTTTTACCCAAGGCGATAACATGGTGATGGAAGAAATTCCTGCTACTAATGTCTGAATGATCTCCAAGCGTAGGAATAATTTCCAAAATTTCATCAACACATTTGAAAGATTGCGATAATGCAGCTTTGTTTAGTAGCGCAATCAGAGTTCTTGTTGGAATCAAAACAGCGGATCGATAGCTACAAATCAATTCGTTTATCAACCCAGTACCATCGTCCCTTTCAATCAATTGCAATGGAACATTAACAGGTGTTGATGAGTCTCTTGAGCGAAGGTCTAAGCCACTTTTATCAGCATCTTGCCTCCATTTATCATGGAAATCTTTAACTCTTGGCGAAATCTTGTCAAGGACTTCATTGATGATGTTCAAATCCTTTATGATCTCTGCATCATTAGAAATCCCTAAAGGAAGTATACGAGCTTGTAAATATGTTTGTTGCTGATTGGTACCAACTTTTTTATCTAGCTTTTTCAGGATTTTAGTAAATGCTCGCTTGTTCAACTCTGCATACCACTTCAGATTTCGGAAATGGGACCGTAGCTCAATTAATATCCCTAGGACTTCGTCCAAATCTTCCGATAGATCTGACGGATTGGCTGAAATATGGTTTTGTGCGCTTTGGACTTGGCCGAACCCCACGTATGGGAACCCATTGTGGGGTGAGGGGCTTTGTAGAAACAAGAACGAATCGGGATTCCCGACGGTTTGCAGAGCTGTATTGCCCTGTCCAAAGTTATTAATCTCAGCAAACTGCGCAGATGACAATAGACGTCTCAATCTTCGGTCATATTCCAAGAATTGCGCATTAAAGAAGTTATCAACTTTCTCAATATCCCTATCAAGGGCAAAAAAGAACGATGCCAAGAGTTTTTTCACCTCCGTATCATTCAAATAATTATCTTCTACCCTTGAAGTATCCCGCTGCTTAACAGGCGGATGGTTGTTCTCTTCATTCAGGTGGTTGCGATGAAGCTTTTCCTGTGTACGAGTTATTTGTTTTATCAGTTTCTTCAAGTTTTTGTAATTGACATATTGATGCGACCATTCAGGAACTTGGTGATTTGGAAATGTTTTGCCGAACTTCATGCCGCTGAGCACTTTGTAGTTTATGGGAAAGGTAGTGGCGTTGCAATTTGCAACCCAACACTGAACGATTTATAGAATAATTGCCTATGAAATATTCAGCGTGCGCGCCATATTATTACACACGTGTCTTACACAAAACACACCTAAATAAAAACCCCTGATTAGTAGTTGGGGCATAATTGATCAGTCTTAACCAAGTCGTGAATCTGCTAATTGTTAGTATTTATCGAATTGCAACGTAAAGTTTGTTTGTAAATTTTGACATACTTGTTTCACCGACAAATTCATCAAGTGCCGAACCTCCAAACCTAGCCAAACTTTCAACATTGAAAAGGTTCCAACATCTTGTAGTATACTTCTTCCCTCACGCTTCATTCCAAATTCCCGTAAAATAGGTAATGAGCTGATTTTACGTGACTTGTTAGTAATTCTTACTCAAACCCGTTGAATATTGCAAATGATACGAACCTTGCGAACAAATCCAAATCTGGATCTAATTGTCTGCCTATTCCCTCCAGCAAGAGGATAGCTACTACTACTGAGACAAAATCTCCTTCCATTCTTACATGGTGTCCCCTAACCATACTCAACATTTGATCAAGTAAATCTCCAATAGAAACGGTGCCTAAAGTGAAAGTGCGCTTCTTGACTTTGTTTACTAGTTTTTCGACTTTCAGAGCAAAGAGCTCCTTATCTACAGCTGTTTCTGGGGTTCTAGAGCGCTCAATCATCAATTCACCAGCTCTATAACCATCGAATTTTGCCAACGCATCAAACAAGGCGATGAAATTGGTTCTGTTGCGATCATTCAATTCAGTGACCAATCCAGCATCGATAAAACATATTTGAGGAGTATAATCCTTGAGAATGCTTCGAAGATTAGCAATAAAACTCTCATCACCATTTTTCAGTTTTTCCCGGAGTCCATGAATAAGGTTGAAGGAATCCGCTTCATCTGATACAATTCGCGTATCATATTTATTGGTTTCTACGAATTTGAGAATAACGTTACCGGGGTGTAGATCTGCGTGAATAAAATCGTCAAGAATTAACATTTGGAGAAATGCGTCAATGAACGGATCACTTACTTTTTTGCATAAGTTCACGTCATTAATATCTTCCTTTACATGGAGGAATTCCTCCATTGGAAAACCGTAGATGTACTCTTCAAACAATACTTGCCGAGTTGTTAGTTCTGGAAACCCTCGTGGGAACTTTACCTGTAGTGCATTTTTGAAATTTTCATTAAATCGTGTCAGATTCAAACATTCTATCCTTAGATCCAGCTGTAACCTCATCAAAATAGCAAATTGCTCCACCTCGTTAGGAAGGGATAGCCATTCCATTGTAGGAATCATATCAATGGCGTCAGCAAAGAACTTCATGATTTTCAAGTCTCTACTGATATTCCTGGGTGCATGCGGATGTATAATTTTTACAGCACACCACCTATTGCCGTCCGGTCCTAACTTAATTTCACGCTTCTTGACGAATTCGGTGGACATTTTACCCACATAGACTTGAGCAATGGCACCAACACCTAAGGGATTGGGTTTAAATTCATCAAAGATTTCTTCAAGAGAATTCACCCCAAGTGATTCACAGATCTCACGTTTTGTGTAAGAAAGAGAGTGCTTTTTGGCGTTGCTGTGCAGGTTCCCCAGCTCAATGCATAATCCTTGAGAAAACATGTCTGTCCTCGAGCCCGCCCATTGACCTAGCTTGATAAAGCTAGGACCAGCAAGTTCAAGGGCATATCTTAGCAAACGATACCATATAAAGGAACCAAACGTCTCTTTTGCGGTGGAAGTTGCGTTCCCTATCTTTATGTTGTGACCAAAATATGAAATTGGGTACGCCAACAATACTGGAATAAAGATAGCAGATAACTGTAAAAATCTGAACACTGTCAATACCGGCTCAAGTGCGTTGTCCTTGAATTTATACCATGCCTTAGTAAGCCAACGTGCTGCTCTTGTTCGGCATTGAGATAGCACGCGGCTCCGTTTATTCAGGACGTGTTGCATTAACTCTCGTTGTGATGACATATAGAGACCCATCTCAAAAGTATCTCCTTTTGGGTCGGGTGCAAGGGAGTCATTACGCAGCAATTGATGTGCCAGAGTTGTGTAAACTAGTGAGGACGGTAGAAGCAGACTATAAATAGGGAGTCTGTAAGATGAGCTGCGAAGTGCGTTCAATCCACGACCACGGAAGGACGTCCAACACCTCCCTAGGCGAAAAATGTAGATCATGACACACTTCTATGACTGGTTTGTACTTATTCAACCAACAATGCCGCATTCAGTTTGCTTTCCACTTCTAAATCGTCAGGTACGTTTTTTCTGATCTACACATATTGTATGTAACAATGCAAATTTTACAATTGCTCCTCTTTGATCACGTCAATCAGCCAATCCAGGCCTTCGCTGATACCTTCGCCTTTAATAGCGCTCGAGGCAACAATACTCCAACTTCTATCCTTGAGCTCCACGAGGTTCAGTTGCTTCGACACTTCAGATGCACTCAATGCACCGGGTTGATCTTGCTTATTCGCAAACACTAGCAGTGCCGCATCTTGCAATTCTTCTTCCTGTAGCATCATATGCAGTTCTTTTGAAGCTGTGGCAATCCGATCTTTGTCTGTTGAATCGACTACAAATATGACCGCTGCGGTATTTGAATAATAGCATCGCCAGTAAGGACGAATACTCGTTTGTCCACCGAGATCCCACACGTTAAGCTTTAAATTCTTATAAACTAGCGTCTCGACGTTGAAACCTATGGTAGGTTTAGTAGTTACCACCTCACCGATTTGTAAGCGGTAAAGAATTGTTGTCTTACCAGCACCATCTAGACCAAGAATAAGGATCCGCAGTTCCTTATTCACGCCCCACAAGCGGTCGAACATAGAGCTGAAGAAATTACCCATGTCTTGTATCTCGCACCCTCCTTATAGTTTGGTTAATCACATTTCACACTTGGCCAATTTTGTCAAAAGGTGGTATCAAGTTTACAGTCCGGGTAATTTGTGAAAGTGGAGAGAAATTTTATAATGGCTATTGGGAGTTAGAAAAGCCATAGTCCTTGAACAGCAACCACAGAACTCCAAGAAGCGATGATTTCAACGCTTACTAGAAGACTTTTGAGGGACTGGAAACGCATATCACATCAGGAAGGATATCAATATCATGTGAAGCCACAAGATTCAAATTTACACGTTTGGCATGTTGTGCTCACAAGCGTGGGACAAGGTTACGAAACAGAAATTTACGCGATGTTATACATAGGAAGCAGTGATGTTGAACCTATTATTGTTTTGCACTGCCTCACTCCCAATGGAACCTTTCCTCCCAACAGGAACGTCAGCTTGACTCACTTATCACCACTGCTTGTAAGCGCGGGGCTCACGGGACTACTAGATCACCTTCAGAACTTGACGTCTCACACACTCAAAGTGAATCCCAAACTAATGAAGGCTTGGAATAGAATCATGATTAAGGATTTCCAATCTTACTTTCCAGAGCTTTGCTCTGATTATAGCGTTAATGATGAGGATTACGTATTGGTTCAGCAATGGCTGAATCGAAATTCTGAGCGTCAACTTAAGCCCGCTTCTTTCAGGTTTAAAGATATATCACAGGCGACCACCATAGCTTGTGATAACGATGGCAGGGATACAAAGAGACAGCGCACGGGGCAAAACGCACAACAACCTACAAAATGCGACCATTCGGCGGATTACGAATTGCATAGAAAGAAGAGATTATGAAAATAAAGGATAATAAAAGGCAGGTCATGCATGATCTTAGAACCTGGGGACCAATAATTGCATTATATAGATATCTCCTTATAGGGGCCAGTACATAGGATGTCTATGGATTAAAATCGATGATCATTATTTATTGACGGTCCAATTTCGTCACGATGCCAATGATTTGCCGACGTGGAGAATATCGAAAGAAAGATATTATTATTCACTTTTATGTAAAGGTCTCATTGGCTCGGTTAAATGATTTCGCATTCTAGTTTTATTTAGAATGACTTAAAATTGTTTTAATCATTTCATTTCCAATCGTGTTTGCTTCTGCAAGCATTGGCTTAAAGAATTCTTGTACTTCTTCGAACTGCTTTTTGTAGAGATCAAAGCTTCCAAATGATACGATAGAGCTCCAAGACCTTGCTGCAATTACGAATTCTAGGTCATCAGCTCTGAACGCATCTCCGTTTATGGCAGCGTCAATAGTGGTTTCAAGAAGACCAGGCGTGAGAAATAGATACTCTGAGACACCTAAAAATATCCTGAATAAAGGAGTGGAGCAAATCATATGATCATAAGGATTGATTCCAAGCCTGCACCAACAATCCACAATTGCTAGCAATGAAAGGTGGGAGTTAGCTAACGTCGTTTGACCTTCATATGGCTGATGCTTGGCCAGAGAATACTTCTCTAAAATTGAATCATCCAAGAGAAGTAATCCAGAATGATTTCCGAATACAAATCCTTTAGCTTTGAGTAAACGTTCGGTAAGCTCGGCTCTTTTATGTTGAACAAAGAGTGAGAAAAGCTCCGTCGCACTTGTGGCATATTGCAATATCTGCTCATGAGCAGCCGGATTGGTGATTGCCAATCCAGCGTAAACATGCCATTTATTGGAATATATTCTCAATGAAATGTTCACTTTGGCGTTTTCAAGGCCACCATACCATCTGTCAATACCTATGGTCCATGGATAAAGCTTAATCTTATACCATGCAGCTCCCATACTCAAAAATGCAGCATGTGTTACTGCCTGAGTATCAGCAGTGATCTTATCGTGCTCCTCGTAAGTCAAATAAACGTGCTTGCTTTTCAAAGATGACATTATTGCCTCGACAAAAGGAAATGAGTCAGGCGTAGAACAGCGATGCTTGATCAACACTAAAGGTTGTCCTTCGGTATTAACACGTGGCCCGTGCAACGAGTGTACTGTTACAATATCAGTATCTGCAGGAAGGTGTTTTTCAAAAGCTGCAATCTCTGGGCTTTTGCAACTAGTCTGCCCGCCTACGATAGAGCCTACTTTTGTAGAAGGTCCGTAAAGGGCCACGATCTTGTCTATATTTTCGGCTTCAACACTGTAAATGACATAGTCACTTACTCGAGAAACTAAATGTCCATTGGCGAGTACTTTAAACGTTTCGTCCTTATACTTTTCTTTAATCGCGTCATAGAGCTCAGGTCTATCACAGCATACAACATTCCAGCCAGCTGAAGAAAACTTTTGAGCATATAATAAGCCCATATCACCCAGACCAATAATACCCACTACTTTGGTCTTCTTCCAGTGTGCTATTCTTTCACTATCTATCATTGGTGTTTGATTTTGGTTGTGAAACTTTTGAATTAAGCTCATCTGCACTTTTTCTATCTCGACGTTGTCTGAAACAAACTTTTTATGAAACAAGATATTCGCACATAGTTACAAGAAGTTAACTATGTCTCAAGAATATGCAACTCTATTGGAAGATGCACTGAAATAATCAAAGGGAGCTCAATTCCTTTCATAATTTCTTCCTTAATGCAGAGATAACGATGAGTACAAAAGCATATTGGATAAACAGGCGAGAATAATCGTCTTCAGCAAACTCATCTGCTCATAATTAAAAATAACTAATTTAATCTATCTATAATTCAATGAGCCTGTATATCTAGTCATGTCTTTAACATACCTTTAGAAACGTACAGATGCTTTCCTTAATCATCTTCCCACATATATGGATTTGGGCGAATTCTGTAAATCAGCTGGTTTGTACACGTTGTGGGCACTTCATATCTTATATTTGAGGAGCCGCGGGTTATTATTGTACAGTGATAATTGTTCTTTTACATCGTCGACTTTTTTTAAAATTGCTGCTTCGGATCTGCCCGAGCATTGGTATAATGCAAAATTGAAATCCGATTGAAGTAGACGTTTGATTCATCCACCCCTCTTATTAACTTATAGAATCTCCTAATGATATTAATACATGCTCAGCCGCTCACCATACAAGATTTCAAGCCTTATGGAAGTATAATATCGCCTAATGAAGAGGTATTCAAGTTAGACGAATCTGCCAAGAATGCAAACCAGGGCACGGCAATTAAGATCATGAAGGTTAGTGAGATTCAAAACCAGTTTTCTGAAAAAGTCCCGGTTCCTAACTGGAATATATTCCGCTGTTTTCCCCAGCATCATTTGAGAAGGACTTTCTTGGAATCCATTAAACGTCCGAACTGTACTGTGACGCATGACATTAAGGTATTGGAAAAGCATCCTTATAGTTCGCAAACCTTTCTTCCAATGGGACGCGCGGAGGACGACATTTCATACTTGGTGGTGGTCGCACTTCCTAATCCGGCTTGTGATGCACCTGACCTGTCGACATTGAAAGCATTTACATGCAAGGGTAATCAAGCCGTCACCTACGGTGCGGGAATTTGGCACGCCCCCATGATTGTCCTTGGTACACCTCCCTACCTAGATTTTGGTGTGCTAATTAATGAACTACTGGATAATGGCCATCCCGAGAAGGACTGCGTAGAGACCTTTTACGAGGAAGGTCAACTTCAGATCACGTTAATTGCGGCCAACGAGACTAAGTGCCAAAAATAAAATACAAAGCACTTGCACTACAAGTCCCTTTTCCATTTCGTCATTTCATCTGACAGCCATTCGGGTCTTAATTTAACTAAAAATCTCCAAAAAATCTAGAAAAAACCTTTCGCTTCTGAATGCGATTATCTTAATGTAATAATTTGGTGCGGAGGTCAAACTTAGTAGAATACTTAATTGTGTAGTAATCTCTTCAAATTCCCATGTTTTTCTCTAACTCTGCATTAAATACATTTTCGTTAATCAGAATTCCTAATAACATTGAAGTAAAAATGTCCCTCAGTTGAGTCAGCTACATGTCAAAGTTATGACGATTGTTGAGCTCTTAAACAAATTGTTCACTTGGTATTTTTCATTTAGTCGAAAAAAAAAAAAAAGCTCATCGCCGAAAGAATGCAAATAGCTTGCAAGGCATTTCGAAAGCAAATAGCTAATAGCTCTCGTGTTGCCAATTTCATGATGTCAGCCATTCCAAATGATCAGATGCTTTCTGTTGCAAAGCCCGGCCAAAAAAACCAGTCTGTCACAAAACCCATTTCTCTAGATTCAGCAACTGGTGAAGTTCTAGTTCGTAAATCAACCGGTAAAGCAAAGATTCGCAAAGGACAACCAGAAGACGAGTACGAAAGGCAGAAAGCTCATTTCTTCGAGGTAGAAAACGGTCCATTGAGAACCGAAGCGAATCAAAAAGGTCCGAATGATTTGTTAAAAAAACTAGAGAATCCACTGGACGATGACTTGACACTGAAGCAAACCAGGCAGAGATTCACTAGCGAATGTCATCGTTTGTATTTCAAAAAGGAATATAGAAACTGCGCAGCCGCTTGTCGTAGGCTAATAGAATTATACGAATCACTAGAAAACAAGAGAATACTGAAAGAGATAGATGAGCTCTCATACATGCTGAACAAGTCGGAAGAAAAAGACAGGGCAGAACATTAGCATAAAATCCGGTTTTCCACTCTGCTTTTTGAAGTAGTTCTATCAGAATGCTCTTCAGGATAAGCTCTATCACATGCATTATTTTGTACACTATATTACAGGGTTTGTATTATTTAGTTTAACTTTTTAAATTCAGTAGAAACTCCTACGGATAAATCAGTAGCTTAATCCCACTTATCGTACGTTTTTTCAGAGTTAATTCTTTATCCTCGTCATTGATTTCATGTGACTCGTCATCTTGCCCGTCCTCTTGCTCGTCTTCTGTAATTTCATCCAACACTTCAATACTTTGAGTTAAAATTTCGACCCTTTTCCCCTTCTCTTCCTGAAAGTGACAGGCTATTGCTAGAGCTTTGTTTATGGCTCTTCCCATACCTAGCACTGTTACGCATTCGCTTTTATGATGCTGCAGTTGTTCTAGAAACTTGTTGATCCTTTTCAATGCAGAAACATATGGTGTTTTAGTCTTAATAAATATCGTCGTCTTTATACTTTTATGAGAAAGATATTTGACAGATGGATGCTTGAAAATTAGTTTCCCTTTTGTCATAAAGTGCAGCTACTAGTTGTGATACTAGTGTTTTGAAAAAGAGGTTTGCTCATCTCCAAAAAAAAAATAAAAATAGTGTCTTAGACCTTTAAAGACGTACAGAACAAATAAGGGAGCAAAAAGGTTAGTGGAAGATTCTTGTAGCATATAGATTTCCAACTTTTTGAGCTTTCAAGTGAAAGGATGTCTGGAAATGCAGCAAAGCTTCATGCCAAAATAGTTCATAACCATGGTCAGAAGTCGTCCCTTACTTTTACTACTGCGCCTATCATATCATGGTCCCTACATCGGGTTTACCCTCTTCTACTGATTTTTGATGCAGTACTTAACAATTTAATGTGGTGTTGTGAAGATGTTTGTCTCCCATTTATCAATCTGGTACTCGTGGTATTGGCCATAAATCTATTGGATCCTTTCGATGAATCGTTGTACGTCAGAATACTAAATTCATGGTTAGGCGTAATGAGTGGGACCTTTTCACTCTTGTCTGCAAGCTACTATGTTTCATCTGTATTTCGCGAACTTAAACAAGATGAGTCGCCAACACTCGACGATATCGTAATTGTGATGGAGAACGTGGTATACAAAATGGAAAAGCTTCGACAGGACGTTCGCCCCATCATTACTTTAACATCACGCGAGCTTCTATCAATTGGAATTATAGGGACACCAGCTCATTGGATAGTCATGAGATATCTGCTATCTCCCAAGCAATATTTGAAAGGGCTGCTAATTTGTCTTTTGATCTTCCATTCGACGTGGTGTCAGTCTACGATACGACTGTGTTGGCGAAGCCTGTTTGTACGGCGAATATGGTTTGTCCTACAGAATGTGAGATCGAGGAAATCGGTCCCACCGATCCCTTACTACATTGTCATCGAAAGAAATTTACAAGTCGCGTTGCCAAGGGGATCTGAAGATCTGCCAGAATCTAAACTGGGCTTAAAGATAGGATTAATTTTAAGCAAAGGCTTGAATCATAAAGCAGAAGCCGGTAACTATGCTACCTTAGACTTAGTCGAATTTCAGATAGATGAGAATCAACGGAAGTGGCCGTTAGATGGCTGGACCCATCACCTTCTGCCATATGAGCGGCAAAAGTATTGTGCCACTCTTGATCCAGAACATAGCACTACAAAATCTCCGTGGGAATTTCAAGAATTACTCGAAAGAGAGTGGTTTTGGTTGGATGATTCTTGGAAACATGAAGATTGGAATTACGGCGACACAGAATGGAATAATAAGGGTTCTTTTGACTCCTTAGATTGCTATACTAGGAGGCGAACCTGGACAAGGCGCGCTTATAGAATAAGTAAAACCATATAACTTCTTATTTCTTACTATCATTTGATGACCCTCTTGCAGATCCGAATAAAGTCTTGAGTTTTTTTCGAAGAAAAGACTTTAACTTGCGCAAGCTATAAGGAAAAGACGGACAATGCTAGGAGGCTTCGTGCTTAAAAGCATTGTCAAAAGATCTATACATACCTCAAGATGTATTGGAATGACATTTGAAGGCAATAAATATGGAATACAGGGATCCGATGAAGAAAGAATGACCAGGATTTTTGGTGGAAGGATAAAAGGAGAGCCCCCCAAATCAACGAGCAGAAGATTAAGGCAAGGCAGCAGACTGATTGCAGGAGTTTCCGTTCCAGAAAAACCTGCTGAACCAGATAACTGTTGCATGTCAGGTTGTGCAACTTGCGTTTGGGAACTGTTTAACGATGACTTAAGAGAATGGAAACACAAGAGAAAGGAAGCTGCTGAGAAGTTGAAGGGAAGCCTCGAAAAGTGGCCTGCTGATTTTGATCCCCCTCTTACTTTACTGGATATTGAAAATGTACCTGCAGAGCTCAAGACCCAAAAAATTAAATTGGATAAGCAAAAGAAGAGAGGTACTGCCAGTTTGTTTCCACCAAGAACTGAAGCGCTTCCACAGAGCGTTATTGAGGCAAAGAGAAAGAATGCTTTGCTAAGACAGCAAAGAAAAGCCATGCATGAAAAGCAAGAGGAGGAAGAAATGGAGGAAGGTTGGAATGACGTTCCTGTGTATATTAGAGCATTCGCGGAATTTGAGAAGAGAAAGAAGGCACTTCGGTCCAAAGAAGATAAAGTCTGAATTTTGTTTTTGGACGTCACCATAATTACATATTCTTCGTCATATATTTATACAAAGTAATAGGTTTTGGAAAAGCGATGTGGATGGTTTGATTGACTACGATGTAAAATGGACGCATGACACCTCCCCCGATGGATAATCATTTTGCAACATTTAACTATATACTGAATCTTGCATTCTTCAATACCATATTTTTATGACTTAAGGAACAATAGAAATAATAATGTTGTGAGTATTTATCATTAGTTATCTTAGCAGTTTACATATACAATGGGCATTCCAAAACAACCGAAGCATCCAGCTGACTTTTTCAGTCCAACTCAATGTCGCCTTCGGCATCCGCCTTAGAATCATCCTTCTTCTCAGCTTCAGCCTTTCTTTGAGCAGCCATTTTTTCAGCCATTTCAGCCATTCTAGAAGCCTCTTGTTTGGATCTCAAAGCCTGTCTCTTCTCTTCCTCTTTGGCGAGATATCTACCTCTGATAATGTTACCCAAGGAAGCCAACTCTTCGTACTTGGCAATGTACTTGGCCTTAGTAGAGTCATAACCATCATCGTACAACCAATCTTCGGCCTTGGCAAGCATATCTCTTAGTCTCGATTTTTCGTCATCAGAAGCAAAGTCCTTGTATTCCTCGTCCAACTTACCACGCAAAGTGTAAATGTACTCCTCAAGAGCATTCTTACGGTCTTCGGTTTCAGCAACAAGCTTGTCTTGAGCTGCCAACTCATTCTCCTTTTCAATTAATGAGTTCAAATCCTTTTCAGAGAGAGCAAAGGTGTGAGCTTCAACAACCAAGTTGTCCTTCTTAACAGTCTTTGTAACCTCTCTGTATTCAGGCTCAGCATCCTCTGGAGCATCGGCAGCTGGTGGAACTTCTTCCTGAACCTTGATGTCCTCGACAGTGTAAGCACTTTCAATGATGTGCAGGCCGGATGGATCACATCTCAACTTCACCTTGACAGGGATGGAAGTTTGGCCATCATTTAGCTTCACACCAGTAATATTCCATTTGGCAATTTCTGCTGCAGTGCCAGTTGGCAACACATTTGGGTTTGTGTACTTGGCCTCCATAGAGAAATCACCAGTACGGTGCAAAGTAATCAATTTAGTAGATGGATAAGAGGAACCGGCAGGGAACACTTCCAAATTGTCTTCATCCTCTTCCTGTTTGTCCCAGAAGTAAGAGACAGAGTATGGGTGGATATCTTCAAACTTGAATGGACGAACACGCATAGTTGGAGAGTGGATAGCGCAAATAAAAGCAGCACCCTTAGCAATGGCTTCATCTTGGTTCAAAGTTGTCGACAAAGGCTTGTTGAAAGCTTCAGAAACTGCGTTCTTGAGACATGGGATACGAGTAGTACCACCAATGATTTCAACGAAATCAACATCGTCCACAGACAAATTGGCTTCTTTTAAGGCCTTGGTGACTGGATCGGTCACGCGCTCTAGCAAAGGCTTGACTAATTCTTCCAACTCTTCACGTGTCAATTGAGAAGAAACGTCGACATCGTTCATGACAGATTCGACAGAAAATGGAGCAGCAGTGTTAGCGGAAAGCACCTTCTTTAATCTTTCGGCACCTGTCAAAACTCTGTTGTAAGCCTTGGCGTTCTCTCTGATATCGATCTTATACTTTGTCTTGAATTCATCAGCGAAGTGCTCAGTGATGGCACGGTCAAAATCTCTACCACCGAAGTGCTTGTCATATGCGGTGCCTAGGACCTTCAATTCACCCTTCTTGAAAGCGCCAATCGAGCAAGTATAACTGGAATGACCAATATCAACAAATGCAACGATTCTTGGCTTTTCATCACCTTCTGGTAAATCGGTCTTGAAAACACCATAAGAAACAGCGGCAGCAGTAACATCGTTGACAATTCTGACTGGGTTCAAACCTGCAATTCTAGCAGCATCGGCAATGTTGTAACGTTGCTCCTCCGTGTACCAAGCTGGAACAGCAATTGCCACATCAGTAATACTGGCTTTTGTCTCACTTACCACCGTGTTTTTAACTTTGTTGATGAACATAGCAGCTAGTTGGGTAGCAGAATAAGTATGTTGCTCTCCGGCAAATCTAACCTGAGCACCAACCTTGCCATCGTCAAGTTTGACCAACTTGGAGGAAAAGTATTTAGCTTCTTGCTTGAAATCTGGATCTTCGTAGTTCAAACCTACAATTCTCTTCAAGTTATCAACGGTGTTCTTGATGTTAGAAGTTTGCTTGTTCTTACCGGCCTCACCTAAAAATCTGTTCTTTTGGCCAAAACCAACCAAAGAAGGTGTAGAACGGTTTGATACTTCATTGACAACAATATCAATACCTCTGTTTCTGGCAACAGCTAGCACAGAGTTGTTGTTACCTAGATCTAATCCAAATGGAGTACTCATTTTTAGATATGATTTCAATCGGTAATGGGGGAATTGAGTGAGGATGAGCTCCTCTGGCCATTTTTCAATGAAAATTTTTTTCGCCCTGCGTATACGATGATTATATCGAGAACTTTCTAGAATTACCGGCTACGTATATTCACTCATGAAGACTTCAAGAAGATTCTTGGAGAATCATCACTAAGGTTTGCCAACCTGGGGACGAAACTAATGCGAATAAGGCCTCTTGATCATGTGCAGTTGCTGCTTTAAGAAGAAGTTGCCATTCATTCGAGCTGAGAATTTGCAGTGAGTGTATGTAAAGCAATAGATGAAAGTTCGAAAGCTTCTGCTGAAGTAGTCCAAAATCGCCTCCGGTAGCTGCACCTATGAGGTATTTCTTTAACTGATGGTAATCTTGAGAGTACCCCATCGCTTGCCTGTTGCACCACGGAAAATCCGTACAAGACTGAAATTTTGGCTCGGAAGGAGCGTCAGCTTTGGGAAATCCGTGCGTCAAAGACACAATCAGGTAATCCACAGGAAATGCAGGCTTTGCGTTTTCTTTCACTGTAAGCCCATATTCATTTTTCTTCATGTAAAATATTTCTGGCACATATCTGTCGACCGTTGTCTCATTGATGTACGCCATCGAGGGATGCGTTGATCCACTGATCATATCTGCTTGAACCAAAGCTTCGGCATCTGTTGAAACTTGATAACTAGATATGTCGATTTCCTCCTCTGTATTACCAGATACGACACATGTAACAAATTTCGACGAAAACACGCCTTGCTCACTGAACTTGCATACATTTGGATGCTCCAACTGTTGTTTGGCTGCCATTATTACCTCCAACGATGAAAGAAAAAAGGAGTCCTTGTGCCTTTTACAAAACACAGAACCATCGCCCTTTCCCGTGTCCGTTAAATCAGTAAATATTAGTCCCAGGCGTAGTAATCCCATTTCATTTGCGATTTTATCGACGTGTAATAACTCCTCCTTCACTTGATTGATATCCATTGTCAATCCATCTTGTTCATCATGCTGAGGTGGTTCATAGATTGCTTCAACCACTGCCATAATTCCTAAAGGTGTGTTCTTATATCTATCATAATGACCATACAAATAACCAAATCTTTGCGTGCCCGTAGTTCTCCAACTATCTATGAATTCATTGACTAGATCACTTTTCTGAAATTCAACATGATCTACCATTCTAAAAGCCTGCTGTTGCAAAGTGATAGCAGAGGGTTGGCACTTGGAGCAAATACCTCTGGGCCAAGGTTCGTGACCTGCTGGACATTTCTTATTAATTCGAAAGTCTGGCTGAGAAAGTGGAGAAATGTAAGAACTCCCGCTAGATTTTTTATTGGTATGATCATTGATTTCTTTAAGGTATGCGTGAAATGAAATATGCTTGATGCTGTGTTCTTCCTGGTATCCTTTATCCCAAGGAGGAAGTGGTGAGCAGTACTCACACATTCCCTTATCGCCATGTCTACACAAATTTGACCTTGGGCGTGGAATCAGACCATCTTCTTTTTCAAGTTCCTCGTCTATTTTCAGCTCTTGAACCTTCAATGGGCCTGCAACGCTCACTGGAGATATTGTAACTGATGAACTTGCGTGCCTTTCGTCTCTTGATTTATCTGCACCAACAGCATGTTCCTTATAATTTATGAAAATTAGATCACCATGCTTTAGACCTAGTTCCTTAAGCGTTGATGAGGCTACTTCTGTTGCTAATTTAGTGTTATCTTGCTTCTCCCCTACGGTGATTGTACTCAAATCAACGTTCTTGCTTAACTTCGGGATCAGCTGGTTTAAGACGTCGCCAAATACGCTATCTTCCTTGCATTCAATTCTTTGCATACCATCTTTTGATCTGAATCGGATAATCATGTTTCGTTTCGTGTTTCAGTTGAAGGTAGGGTTTTGATCTTTGTTCTGAGAAGAGTTCCTAAATAATCTTCGGTGGCGAAAAACCTGCAATTCTTTACACCGCACCAAAACGCACGAATTTTTGAGTTGAACCAAGGAAATGTCATTCAATGGTACAAACTTCAATGAAACTTTCGGTGGAGAAACCGAAAGTACTGTTGAGATGAAGTCTGTGTCTTTCTACACACCTTTGATCTATGTGTCAGTTTTAGTTATCTCATTGATCACTTTCGCTTCTCATTACAGAAAGAAGACGATCAAAGAGCTAACCGAATTACCATCTATTTTTGACGAATCAGATGCCAGGGACTTATATTTTCAACTGAAACAAATGAAAGAGCTCGATAATGTGAAAGTCCACGATAAAGTAATCAAAGCCGCTTTGCTAAATCGTGGCGCAGAAGCCATTAGAAGATCTCTAAAGTTGAAAGAATCGGAGCCTCAAATAACATTACTATACAAAAATGGCTCTGTCGGAGAGGACTACTGGAAGCGGTATCAAAACGAAGTGAAACTTGTAGATTTAGAGTTTAAAGAAACCCTTCAAGAAGCAGAAATGATGCAACCTGGCTGGGCTCAATTGTTTGTTGCTGTTTGTAAAGAAATTTGTTTCAATCAAGCATTGAAGAGGCGTTATCAAGCAGAATTGGCGCGTAAAGAAATCTTCACCGAGCAGTGGCATCTTAAGTTTGACGATAATGGCAAACTGATTGAATAGAACCATGGCACGCATGTAGCATATTTAGTAGATGAAATAAAAAATTTTTTGGCAATTATACACAGCTTTAGTATACATTCGGCTACTTCCAACATGGGAAAATGATCAACGCTTTCTATTTTTCTTCTTAGTTACAACTTGGAATTCCCAGTCATCTGAATTTCCTTCAGGCATTAATAAGGCTTCGCTCCACGTTAGAGGATCATTTAACTTCCTTTCACACTCAACACGGCGCTTGATGAAGTCAGTGGCAAATCTTCTACCGTCCATAATTGAGCTATTCGAATAAATTGTGTCTGCAATAATCTCTCTTGCTTCTGGTCCTGCAGGTAAGCTTAATAGTACTTCTAGAACACCATTAGCATCGACCCCAGGAGATAGCTTCATTTGGGAACGACACCATTTTAAAAACTCTTGACGTGCTGATGTTGAGGCATTACCTGTATAGTTGGTCGCCGCAGGGGCAACTACTTTGCCCTTCAAAGTTGGGATGCTAGTCGAAGAACCTATTTGATTAGGCTTATTAGCACTGACAGAGCGAAGCTTATCTGGGCTTATATATGAGCTCGGTTGATTAATCACTTTCGAACTCTGGGCCTTGACAGCAGGCTGCTTCTTCACCACGGTAGTCCATTCTTTGCTTTCGGTTACTGTGTTGGTCCTATCCTCCTTCTTGAGTTTCGCAGATCTTTGGGCCTCCTCCCAAAGCCTCTTTTGCTCTGCGATGAACTTCTTTTGCTCAAGTTGCTCCTTTTGTACTTGCTCGATGGACTTAACAACCGATCTTGCCTCGGAGTCGGCAACAGTGCCTGATTTTTTACTAGCCCAAGGAGCAATTGATTCGATGCTCACTGTTGGTTTGCTCTCCTCGAGAGCTTGCTGTTTGAGCTTTGCTGCTTGCTCACGAGATTTTATTTCAAGTTCTTTCTTTCTTCTTGCACTTTCAGCTGCTTCTCGCTGTTGAATCTCGGCTAGTGAAGGGCCTGGAACAACATGAGATGCTTTATTCGCCCAAGGCGCAGGCTTCGCTGGTTTAATTGCAGGGGAAACGCTCGTAACAAGTTCAGTCTCTTTTGTAACAGCTTCAACTTCTATACGTTTATCACTTTCACTGATTTCGTGCAAGCGTCTCCCATAGGGTTCCTCTTGCACTTGATTGCTACTGCCGTTCTCACTACCTGCGGCAACCTTTTCCAACTCCTTCTCCCGTTGTTTCAACGCCTTCTGCTCCGCTTGATGCCTTAATGCTAATTCTTCCTCTAATCTTAATTGTTCTAGTTGTTCCTCCTTTCTCTTTTTCTCAATTTCTTGGAATGCTAATTCTTGCCTTTGTCTTTCAGCAAATTCGATCCTTCTTTGAGTTTCCATCTCCTTGAGTTGACGTTGCTTTATTTCTTCAACATGCGTAGCACGATCGATCTTATCTACCTTTTCTACGAACTTATCGACAGGTATTTGAGACACGATCTCATGGTAAAAGCCACCGCCGGAATCACGAAGTTGAAGTATTTGCGCATGCGTGTAATCTGGAGAGTCTATTTGAGAGCGAGGCACTTCGCTTTCACTCATCAATGGGAAAGGGGTTGAACCAGGTAAACAGGACTGATCCTGGCTTAGAAGAATGTCCAATTTCCCGAAAGGATCCGAAAGATCACCGACTTTGTTGATAATTTCCCCTAAAGCGGTGAATGTATCATTAAAGCCGAACGGTTCCGGTGACGTGGAAACTCGATAGACTTGCAAAGAAACTTGTAAATATCCAGCTTGGTACCAGGCTTTCATGGAACTAGATGGGAAAGGACCCTGCACTTGCCCTTGATTATCAATGTATTTCCATTGCGATTCCACTGTGGGTAAAAGCATTACGGGAGGGGTAGCGCCCGCTGCGTTTATTCCTCTGCTTCCAAACTCGGCCGCACCTGATATTGGTGCGGCCATTGGATTTCCAAAACTCTGTGGCATTTCAGGCATGACCGATGGCACGAGCTGCGGCAGTTGGGGAAGCATGTGGCCGCCATTGGCTGCGGGCTGGGCCCAACCTGATGTTAGCGATGAGTGCTGTGTGCCAAAATTAGGTGGTTGATTCAATGATGAAATTGTGTTTTGATTTGGAGCTACAAAAGGAGAGCTGGCTCGCTGTATGCCTAAAGTGTCTAGCAAAGACGTTGGCCTGGAAAGGGGAGCCATACTTTCGCCTGTAAGGGGTGTAGAAGAGCCACTCAAGGTCATATCCCTAAAATTTGAATTAATTGATCCCAGTGGCTCCTGGTTATTGCCACCAGAAAAGTTCATTACGCAATCAACCTAAAGTTCTCTTCCTTAGGTTTTTCGGTAGTTGAAAAAGCTTAGAAAATTTTTTTCAGCCAAACTTGTTTCGGTCGTGTGCCAGTTCGTTTATTATGATAAGCTCTTGACGTGTCGAGGGCGAAATACATAGCGCCTACTACACAGATTCGGGCTAGATACCAAGTTGTTTCTCTATTTTAGCGTGAATATCGGCACCCAAATTGACCCCTGACGCCAACCCTGTCCCGGGGTAGATGTCCTCCCAATCAACGGAAGCCTCTTTGTTCAATAGAATATCACGGTGAATTGAGCCGCCAGCTGAGGATAGAGGGTTGAAGTCTGAGCTTTCAACGATTCTTAACTCCATCTCACGTTTGATAGGTTCTGCAATACCAAAAATCTGCCTGTATTGCTCCAGTTGCCTTTGATGCTGCGTGTTTTCCCAGTTTCTGAGCGTGTTTTCTAGGGGGTGCTTGCCATTCAGTTGTGTGCTAAGAGGGATGGCGGCCTTTTGTTCTCTTAATGTATCCGGTAGTGCTGGTGCAGCATTGGATGTTGCAGTCGCCTCTTGGGTCGTGGAAATATTTGATTTGAAACTAGATGGAGGAACAATGTTCATGTTTAGTGATACGTTATACTCAATTGAAGAAAGACGTCTTTTCCAACCTAGTTTTTTTAGTTTTGCCACCGTTGAGAGTTTTTCCCCGAGACGTACAAGATGCGAAAAGCATTTCGAGCGGTCGATGCTAACTACAGTTACACGTAAAGTAGTGAGGTATGGCACGTTTCAAACTGAAAACAGGTGTTCTCGATAATCCAAAAAGTGGAGTACCATATACGTGCGCGAAGTTCTCCCCACAAGGTGACGTTGTTGCTTTGTGTGACGACACAGATGTGCTTCTTTACAACATAGAGTCTGGAAAAGTATCGATCGTTTCAACAACACATGGGGAACCTATGTCGGACCTGTGCTGGTCACCAGACTCTAAATGCATAGCTACAGCGTCAGATGATTTCACCATTTCAATTATGCATATTGAATACGGAGAACTGCATCATCTCGTAGGTCATACAGCTCCCGTCACAGCACTGGCATATACGTCCAAAGGCAATCTTCTGTGCTCTGCATCAATGGATGAGAGCATAAAAGTATGGGATGTTCTGACTGGGACTCTGTTAAGAACCATGTCTGCCCACTCAGAGCCCGTTGTTTCCATCGATATTCCTCATTGTGATCCTAGTATCATTAGCTCGGGCTCTTATGATGGACTTATCAGAATATTCGACACCGCAACGGGCCACTGCCTGAAAACATTGACTTATGATAAAGATTGGCAAAGTGAGAACGGTGTAGTGCCTATTTCTCAGGTAAAGTTTTCGTTTAACGGAAGATATTTGCTTGTGAAGTCGCTGGATGGTGTACTTAAACTCTGGGATTTCGTGCAAGGTCGAGTGATAAGAACCTTCAAGCTAGGGGACTCGAATCAACTGCGATACTCCTGTGGTATGGACATTTTTTATCCACCAGACGAATCAACTGCACCACTTGTAGTGAGCGGGACCGAACAAGGCGATATATACGTCTGGAATTGCCAAAATAAGCAACTGCTACAGCATATTCAAGATAAGCACCGTGCAAGTCCCGTGATGAGCATAAGCTGTCGGAACTCCTATATGTGTTCGCTTTCTTTGAATGGTGAATGTTACATATGGGAGTGGACAAATGAATGAATAGTTTAATAACTGTTTAGCATATTTATAGACGATTCTGGTCTTTTTGGTGACTAGAATGTTGGAAGCATCGCATTAATTTTAGCATATCTTGTACTTAATACTCGGCTCCGTTCAAAAAAACATTAGTGCCCGCTGAAATTAATTCACCCACATATTCGATTAATAAAGGGTCTACAATGCTCAATCGACAGATGCTCAAGTCACAATTGAGGAAATTTAGTGCATTCCAGGCTGTTTTTAGGGATATCCCTCCTCTGGATGCAATAAAGCAAAAGTTTGAGTTTACTGGATCAAGCGGATCCATTCGTGATGTATTGAAGATACAGGAGTCCCAGTTTGTTACTCTGAATGGCTGGATAGATAAGAAGCCCAAGAAAGTTGGTAAAAACTTGATATTTGGAACTTTACGTGATAACCATGGGAGTACGATTCAGCTAGTGGATACTGAATCACTTCTAAAATCATCTAATGAGGAAGACGTTGTGCAAATAGAAGGGCAGCTGATCCCTAAGAAAGCCAAGGATAACTCGGAGCCTCAAGCATACGAAGTCAAACTTCTCAAGGTGAGACACCTGAGTGATGCAAGTATAAAAGCATCTCAACTATCAGACTTCAAGAAAGCTGGAAACTATCCACCAGAGTACAGGTATTTACAACTTCGCATGCCAAAATATCAAAATTTCTTAAAAAAGAGGTATGAAATCTCTAAGTCAGTCCGACGCAGCTTAGATTCTTTGGGTTTCACGGAGATGGAAACACCAGTACTTTTCAAATCGACTCCAGAGGGCGCTCGCGAATTTTTGGTTCCCACAAGAGACCACCAGAATGGAGATCCTCTTTTCTATGCATTGCCTCAAAGTCCTCAACAGTACAAACAGTTATTAATGGCAAGTGGGGTTAACAAGTACTTTCAAATAGCTAAATGCTTCCGAGATGAAGACTTGCGTGCTGATCGACAACCCGAATTTACCCAAATTGATTTGGAAATGGCATTTGCCAACGGAAACGATGTAATGAATGTTATTGAGCAAACCATCTCTGATGTATGGAATAGCTTCTCTGTCAACGGTCATCTGCATACGCTCAATAAAAGGGGTGATATCGTATCAACTTCGTCATCTCAACCCGTCCTTAAGCTGACATACAGAAACGCCATGGAGCGTTATGGTATCGATAAACCTGACTTGAGATTTCCAGATTTAAAGATAATTGATCTCACTGAATTTAATGCTTACAGTACCATTAATAATGAATTTCCGGTTTTTGAGATCTTAGTCCTGCGCAACGCGTTCAAAAGTATGGAACAGTATGAGCAAGATTGGAAGTTTCTGTCTGATAAGAACAATTACAATCACAGAACACCAATTGTTATTCCAATAGAAAATGAATCCATGCAATCGTCCTGGTTTGAGCAATTCATGTCAATCGCCACATTCGAAAATCCTAAAATTCTAACGAAATTTTTGAATTTAAAGGAAGGTGATATTGTATGTGGTTGTACTCGAGAACATTCGCAATCAATTTTCGAAAATCCAACACCGCTTGGGAGATTGCGGCAACTCGTTACGCAGTCATCAAGAGGTAAAGAACTTTTTAGAAGATCTGAGCATTCGGTGGCAGCCTGGATAGTAGATTTCCCATTATTTTCTCCAGTTGAAGTCGAAAGCAAGGAAGGCTCAGTGAAAGAGCAATATCCTGCGTACATAAAAAAAAGATATTGCTCGACACATCATCCATTTACTATGGTTCAACTTTCTGACTATCAAAAGCTCCATTCTAATCCTCTATCATGTCTGGGTCAGCATTATGACTTGGTGGTCGATGGAGTTGAGGTCGGCGGCGGCTCAACCAGAATACATGATCCAGAACTTCAAAACTACATATTCAAGGAAGTTTTGAACATTGGAGATCCAAAGAAACTGTTTGGACACCTATTAACGGCATTTGAAATGGGCACTCCACCACATGCAGGATTCGCCATCGGGTTTGATCGGCTGTGTGCGATGTTGTGTGGAACTAATAGCATTAGAGACGTAATAGCATTTCCAAAAAGTGTTAGTGGGGCAGATCTTGTTGTTGGAAGTCCTAGTCCTGTTCCAAGGAAAGTCTTAAATGAGTATCATGTTGATTACCGCTCATAACGAAATGGGGGAGTTGTGTTGTCAGTGCATGTAATCATAAACTAACATGCTCTCTATAGTCATGAGCACTTGTGGACTGGATGCGCAGTGTTACCCCTCCTTTCTCGTCCAAAAGTCTGGCATTCCGTTGAAGAGAGTTTTTCATACATTCTAACTTATCTTCAGATATAAAATTGGTTTAAAATGTCGTAAGTAATAAAGCGATCGTGGGGTGACAGATTGAGAATTATATTCTATCTTCAAAATTCTTTCAAATATTTTATGATACGTAAATGACATTAAATTCATATGAATCCCCACTACTATTTTACGGCTTCGAATTGTAACAGTATATCGTACACGCAATATGATGTATCTCTGACAAGGATAAGAACAATTTCACCATAAAATTAACGTTGCAAGTAGCTTATGCTTTTCATGAAAACATTTGGGTGAGAACGCCGCACTTATGTCAGATTCGTTTTAGTCACTAAATAAAGGTAGCGAGACGAGAGCGCTACTTTTCATATCGTAACCGATCATGGAGGGCTTGATAAGTAATGAAATTATCACTTAATTAGTTCTCCTTCTCTATTTTAACCCAACAATGAGCATAAGATTTGGTAATGCTTTGACATATATATACATCACAAACTCAACGCAACTTTATCATAACTGATGCTTCTCATTTTCTCTTGTCGTAACTAGTTATGACGTTCTTGAACTAATGAAATGAGTTCTACTTAGCCTTGTTCCTCTCCTCTTTAGTCTCATCGTATCCTCAGGACTTCGTAATATTTATAGCTATAGATTGGGAACTTGTATCGATCCTCACTTATGTTTGAGGTTCAGTTTGGTATCTCCGAGGTACCTCAAGATCTTATTGTTTCATGACACTCTTATACTTATATTATTGGTATAAGTTTAACCTTCCCAGTTACTACATCATCAATATCCGATATAGTGTAACGGCTATCACATCACGCTTTCACCGTGGAGACCGGGGTTCGACTCCCCGTATCGGAGTTTATTTTTAATCTTCAAAATTAGTTTTTCAGACATTGAGGGCGTCTTTATTGAAGTTGCTCAAGTCTAACAAAGCCTTCAAATGATATTATTTTTATATTTCCCTAATCCGTTATTTAGCATTCTGCTAACAAGTATCTATCTTAATTCTGAGCATCCAGGAATGATACTCAGCTGGAATAAATTTAGCAGTAATAATATTCTCCGCAAATCTAGACAATATTCTTTAGTTTACGTTTCTTTCTTTGACTAACGTCTTCGAAGGAGAATCGTTAATTGCAGCTTCCGTTGTATGCCTCTTCTTTTCTAATTTAGCTCTGGTTGTCTTGAAGAAATCTACGACTGCCTTCACATACTCTTGCGGTCTTTCATTCAATATAAAGTGAGTAGCGTTGATTGGATGAACGTTATAATAAGGAAAGTATTGTGCAATTGCATCTTCCCCCTTTCGATCTATGAAATCGGACTTAGTACCCTTTATGAAATTGACAGGACCAAGGAATTGCTTCCCTTGGACTATATCTACCGGCCAGTCAGATACGTCAGCAACCGCGCATTGGACCATATGGCGGACAGGGTTCCTAAAATGGATAAAGCCGTCCTCATAATCGATAACCGGAGACCTGTACTCGTGGCGCTTGGGAGGATTGATAATGACGTTGTTCAGTAAATAGTCTCTGATGCCACCGTTGGGGATGTATCTCTTTAACGCTTGAGATGCTTTGTGTCTCCATAGCTTATCACGCGCGCTTACTGCACCCTGATCTATCACATGAACACACGACTTCACGAAGACTTTCAAAAATGGTCTAATCTGGGGTTGTACCACGGGCGAATTATCGATAATACAGGCAGAAGTAAACTTTTCAGGGTGTTTAAGGGCAGCGAGCATGGCGATTTTTGCGCCCAATGAGTAGCCCACAACGTTGACTTTATTGAGCTGACGTTTCTGCAAAAAATTCAAAACATCATTTACCAGTGTGTTATAATCAAAAGGCATCGCATGCTCTGATAAACCATGATTTCTCAAATCCAAAGTGTACACTGGCGTTTGCAGGGCAGTTGCAATCTTTTGGCAGTCGCTCTTGTAGTTCCTCTTAGATCCGAAGAGACCGTGCAGAAATACAATCGGTTCAGAAGGGTGACAAGGCATCCTTTTTATCACCGACCGTTCGGGTAGATGCAAGTCATATGCCAACTCAACAACCTCCTTATGAGGTAGAGACAATTGCTTCTTTGTAGGAGCAGCAACCTGCGAATATGTTCTTCTCAGCACGCCAAGCCTTTTATATGTGACGTTAATCATGATTTACGCAAATGACAATCGGATCTTAATGGATTTTGATGAAAACGCAACAATGCTCCGGTTTAGTTTTTGATTTCCTGCTAAGATTAACAGATTTCGTGTTCAGTGTGATTAAATTCTTAGATCGGTATGGTATGTTCCGGCGATAAAGATCATCTAATTTATACTGGTTTGTGTCTTGCAATGAGCGATTTTCCTATCGCCGAATTTATTATCGGGCTTGATTTTTCGGAGGTCGGCTACCTCAACGTCTGAGAGTGGTTTAAAGAGCGACGGCGGAGCGATGAGGCAGCGAGGCGGTAACGTGGCAACAATGCAACCCCAATCGACGCGTTTAAAGTTTTTGGACCCCAATGATAGGGATTATTTATCCGCCTAAACTTATCGTTTCTCCAAACCAGTAAACGAGCTTCATGGAAGAGGTTGAGCAGGATTTTGTAAGATGAGGTAATAGACAAGATTTTTACAAGCCCTGATTTTTCCTAATCACCCCTCACTCTTGCCTCTCGTATGAACATCGGTTGGATATTTATGGGTATAGAATATTGTTTAATTATTATGGTGGTTATTGTGCATTTTTTGGGGAATGTTGAGTTTGTATCGGAGACACAGCGGTAGCGTTACATTGAATGAATTGTAGCTCGGAAGCGTTCCCCCTCAGAACGAATGTTGGATATATGTTTCCATTGAATTAAACTGCGCATTGTGTTGGAAATAATCTCAATACTTGCGTAGCTGATACCAGCACTGCACTAGTAAAAAATCGAAAACTGTGGGCTTCTTTGCCACAGCTTGACTCTCTTTACAGGACATATAACAGAAAACCCAGATCTCTTGATTCTGAGATCAGTTTCATTTGCTGTGACTCTCCATGTAAATGAAGGTCGCAATATATGGAGGTTTGCTGAGTCTTCTTGCTAGTCATTTGCTCAGAACTTTATACGTTTTGTACCCACGGCATATAGTCGACTTGTCGTATAACTGAAAGCTCCCGCAAATGTGAGTATGGAGCAATATATGATATAGTTGTTGTAGTTTTTGTTGCTGCCATTCCCAATGATTGCACCTGCAATTGGAAGAAACGCCAGACTTGCCACGGCGGTCATGAAATACATTGTGCTATATCTCTTCCCAAATTCCTCGATCTTGCATATTTGACCCACCGCGATGGGCACGAGCGAAAGAATTGAGGAGCAAACGAAGCCGTATACTGCCGAAAAAGCATAAAGTACCTTTAAGCTGTGACCAAATGGAAGCCACATCACCAAACTTAAGATGGTCATAAATAGTAGACAAACTGAAAGAACCATAAAGCGGCCCACATAACGATCCGCTATGTAGCCTGATACTCGACCAAGAATTCCACAGCAGTTTATTATCGTGATTAGCATATAAGACGTATTCTCTGGCACGCCAATGGAGATTGCGTACGAGGGATAATATGTTGCGACCACCATTAACCCATTTTCAGCGAAACAGCAACCTAGAGTGCAAAATAGAAATTTGAAATCCAACAAGAAACGTAAGTCGAGAGTGTTCTTCATATAGATACTCATTACTTTTCTCCAAGATTCTTTTTCAGTATTGTAACGCATAACCAAAGGATTCTCTCTATTCAGAGCTAATGCGGCTAACAAACAAAAAGTGACAATAAATGCCAAAATCCGGATTGCCCACGTATAACCCAGTTCTGTGTATAGTTTTCGAAGCATTACTGGAAACACAATACCTCCGAAGGAGCCGCCGAGACTTGCAATAGAGTTCGCTATCGCTCTTTTCTCTTTGAACCACGTTGCAACACTCGATACAAAACAAGTCATCAAAATTCCAGAGCCTGTTCCGAACAAAAGACTGAGGCACAAAATAAACTGGTAAACTTCTTTAGACTCCGCAAGACAAAATATACCCACTATCGATAATGCTGTTCCCACATACATCATCAACTTGCAACCATTTCTATCAAAGTAGCACCCACAGAATATACAGCTCGCAAATGTGAAAAACATATAAATTGCAAATATCCAGGAGACTGTCGATGAGGAAACTGATTTCAATTGGTTCTCAGAAATATAAGCTTGTACTGCACCAATCGAATTTAATACCCCAAACACCGATACAAAACCTAACATACATCCTACTACAACTGAATAGGCTTTCAGTCCGCCATCTGGAAATTCCAGATCTGCATCAAGCTCCAGGACATCTACCTGTTCGGATATTTTGGAACGATGTATCTTTCTTTGCGAAATGGCTGTATTGCTACCATCATTCCTTAATTCCATCGTAGCAGTAGGAACACTTTTTTCATAATTCTTGGAGGAGCCTGCCATGCGTCTTTCTGTTTGGCTACTTGGAAAGAATTCGTTGAGCAATGGCTGCCTTTTTATGATATTGCAGCAGACAGATTCGAACGTACGGAGAAATTTGAAGTTCGAATCTGTCATTTCTCAGCGAACACTGACGGAAAAAAAATACATCTCAAGAACCGCCAACCAAAAGAGCGAAGGGTGAAATAATTCCTTGATTATTCATAATCATTATGAGAGGAATGTTTCAAAGACTTTGTCCTCCTTTGAAGAGATTTTACTCATCACATCCTTATCCCTCGTCCCGCCAACTATCCATCGCAGATCTATATTCACGTTACAAATCAAATCAGCCCATAACAATGCTCACAGCATATGACTATATTACAGCAACTTGGGCACAGGAGGCACAATGTGACATGATTTTGGTTGGAGACTCGCTTGCAATGTGTTCTCTAGGATATTCTTCCACTACTGATATTGGCTTAGATGAGTTCAAATACCACGTGAAGTCAGTATGCCGTGCTCAAGGCAGTGCTTTTATTGTGGTCGATATGCCCTTCGGAAGCTTTGAATCAAGTTTAGAAAAGGGTATAGAGACGGCCATTTCTCTGATGAAACTTTCAAGCAAAGTAGGAGCTGTCAAGTTAGAGGTAGGCAGCTCACAATCACAGGGAAAACTGACCGATTATTCACTAAGACTGGCTGAGGAACTGTGCACAAGAGGAATACCTGTTATGGGCCATGTTGGATTGACGCCACAGAGGGTGCATGCTTTAAGCGGCTACAAAGTTCAGGGAAATAAATCGTCTGCTGACTCACTAGCGATATTCGAGACTGCGCAAGAGTTACAAAGAATTGGGTGCTTTTCCATTGTGTTGGAATGCGTCCCTCATAAAATATCGCAATATATTACAAGTCATCTTAAAGTGCCGACAATTGGTATTGGTGCAGGAAATGGCACAAGTGGACAAGTTCTTGTTCAATCAGATATGTTGGGAATGCTTTCTGGCCAGGTTCCCAAATTTGTGCATAAATATGGCAATTTTCATAAATCTTCTGTCGAGCATATAAGGGACTATATTAAAGATGTCACTGAGCGCAGATTTCCCGATAATAGCATTGAAGGGTTCAAAGTCAAGGATGAAGTATGGGTTGATTTCATCGAGAGAGTCGAAGAGGCATAGATTAAACTGGTTACATACTAATAGCAATTCTATCATTCTATTGTAATGGTCTTTCCTAGCTCAGGGCAGTAACAATTGTCACGCACTCCTGTCCATTCTGCTAGCATTTCTAACTTTTCTTTAGGCTCTCTGAAGTACTCACCGCTCAATACAAATGTGCCCCAATGGACTCCAAGCACATTTCTGGCCTTGAGATCATCTTTGATCTTCAAAACTTCATCAGGATTTATATGTCGAGGTTTTTGATGCCATGCAGGACAATATTGACCACAGGGAAGTAAAGCAAGTTTAACACCCTGACCATAGCGGTTGGAGATTCTTTTGAAGAGATCCCAGACGTAGCCGGTATCACCTGCGTGGAATAGAATCGGATTTGCCTCGTGCTGCAATAAGAAAGAGCACCATAGAGACCTGTTTGTATCTATCAACGATCTACCAGACCAATGCATGGCCGGTGTGCATGAGATATAGTACGTGGAACCATTTTTATTCACTTTCAAGGTTTCCCACCACGAAAGCTCTATGAAGTTGGCTACCTTATGTTCTGTCATAAACTCTCCTAGACCTTTGGGAACTATCCATAAAGGTTGCTTCTTGCCATCTAGACCCCAGTACTCCAAACTTTTAAAATCCAAATGGTCAGGATGATTATGTGACACCAAAATGATATCAGGGGTGGGTACTTCTTCAATCTGGGCTGGCATGCGGGTGATTCTTTTCGGGCCCAGCGTTTCATGAATTAGAAAATCAGAGAATAGAGGATCTGTGAGGACTTTAAAGCCATTGTAGATAACGAAATTACATGATTGACCGAGCCAAGTGGTGTGTACACGCTTTTCGTTAGCAAGGGTGCCGCTATTTATCACTTCGTTTCTATTTTCAACCAATTGAGTGGAAATTGCCTCATCTTCTCCTTCGAATTTATCACCGTTGGTCCAGGTTGGCTTATGTATTGGCATCAACTGATCCATAGAGCCGCTATCGATTGGAATCCCTCCTCTATTTCTTTCGAAAAGCTCGAACACACGGTTGGCAAAAAACTCAAATGCAGTTAAAACTCGATATTCCTTGAACGGGTTGGCGAATCTTCCGAGGATCTCGAGTGGAGAATATTTCACCAACGTTGAATTAAAATCTTTATTCTCGCAGTCTTTTATGAGCTCTTCTCTTTTATTTATTTCTTCACTGGCTTTGGTTGAAACATAAATCGCATAAAATGTATAGGGAATGACCACGGTCAGTAAAGCTTTGCTGAAGTAGTGACCATTTTTTGACTCTTCGGCATTCTTATTGTATATGCTGTACCGAAAAGTAGACTGCCTTCTCCATACGAGCCGTTGATGATTAGGTACTATCAAACGTTTCTGCCCCCTTTGTAGAAGTCCTGCGGCCTTATGGAAACTCATTGGGGGAGTCTTTTGGAAGAACTGCGTTATTGACCTTGGTTTCGAGTGATTAAATTTTGTTGAACTCTGAGGAACCCAAGTACCTTCCTCGTACAGCGAGTCCAGAACCCAAACAAGATACGGCTGCAAAAGGCGCAGGATAAGAAAAGGATTCGACTAGCAGATTAAGCACGAGTCACTCAGCGTAATCAAACGGTTAATTATGTGATGTTATTGGTGAAAGCTATTCCGGGTAATCGTATTTGAGATGAACTCGAAATTTTTCAAAGCACCGCTGAGGCAAGGCATCGTCAAAGCACGCTAATACTCATAAAACAAACTCACACATCTTAGCATGTCATTCAGGAAAAGAGGTGACGTCTTAGGTGGTCCTCAACGAGGACTAGGAGTCAATAGAGGTATTTCGAGTCCAGATGCTAGAGCTATGCGTGGATTACCTCAGGGAAGAGGACTGCCTCCTAACGGTGAAATGCACTTGGGGGAACGCGCGCACCCGATCAAACACGTGAGCGCAGGTATGCGTCGGCTAGCAGTTAACGAGTCCGTTGTACCCCCTTCCTCTTTGGATCAATCACATCCTGGCATCAGACCTTCTCCCGTCAGCTCTCAACCAACTACATCTACTGGATGTCACGATTTAGACAAACTATTGGGCCACATGGGACTACCTCTTGGTGAGTCTCTGCTGATAGAGGAACAGGGTACTACAGAATTCAGCTCGGTTTTAGCCAAGTCATTTGCGTCGCAGGGTATTGTTCATAATAGGACAGAGAAATCCAGTGCGTTAACTAACGGTAATACACATCTTATTGTAGTCACTTTAAATCAACTTTTTGGGCAAGAGCTTCCGGGCGTCTACAAGGGCTCTCGAAAAGATATCAAAAAGTCGAAAATATCAGAAACAGAGTCCAAAGTCACTGTGCAGAATATGTTGGAAAGCACACACTCAGAGCCTAGTGCTCGCCAGGACTTGAAAATAGCTTGGAGGTATGGCTTGAACGATGACAAAAAAAACACGAAGCATAAAGAATCTGAAAACGACGCCTACCCGGATTATTGTCACTCTTTTGACATCACGTCTCGACTTATGCCCGCGCCAAACTCGGCAGAAATATCCTATATTTCATCAATCCAACCTGTCAGGTCCATCCTTTCGCAGTTGGAATCTACCATCAATAAGTTCGATCGAAAGTTGATTCGTATCGTCATTCCGAATTTTCTCCATCCGGCGATGTATCCACCGAAATCCACACAGCTTACAGAGCTGATACCACTTTTGCATGGCATTCGGTCGGTAGTCAAGAAGTACAAAGAGAGGACGGTCCTTCTCTGCACAATGTCGTCTGATCTTTTTTCAAGTGGTCTTGTATTGCCTTCGATTGAGATTTTCTTTGACTCCATCATAAATTTAGAACCCTTTCAACAAGAAATGTTAGAATTTTTAGAGAGGGCATATAAATCGCAGCCTAATAAGGTGCAGCATGGTCTACTGCACGTCTTAAAGCTACCAATTTTAAGTGAGAGAGGTGAAATGCATGTAATGAAATCAGAGTGGGCTTTCAAGAACGGAAAGAAGAAATTTGAGATCGAACCTTGGGGAATCCCCGTTGAAGATACAGATCCGGATGATAGTAAGCACTCTAGTCATAATTTAGATTCTCAAGGAGCTCTGAATTCTAGTGGGCTTGACTTCTAAGCCGTATTTTTTATTAGGCAATCATCACTTCAACCGTAAAGTATTATATCGGTCACCACTTTTATGTAAGAAATGTAATACTATCTATCCCTGATAGAAAATATCAAAAGGAAAAACTCAGACAAGGCCAAGGGCAGCTATGAAGGTTCTTCGGTTCAATCAAGACGCGACATGCTGTTCGGTAGCAACCTCTCCAAATACCCTATGCATTTACAACTGCGATCCTTTCGGGAAATGCTTTGAATTGGAAAGCGGCAGCAGAAATAGTAGTAGAGATGATCTCACGATATATCAAGCATCCTCTGAAGAGAACTTCATTATCGAGATGCTATTTTCTACAAGTTTGATTGCTGCTGTTGACAAGAATCAAGGCTTCCAGAAAAGCAGAAAGCTGAAGATAGTGAACACAAAAAGGAAATCAACAATATGCGAGCTTACATTCCCCCACGAAATCATCGAAGTTGTTATGAATAGGAAGAGAATGTGCGTTTTACTCTCTAGTGATCAAATATTTATCTACGATATCTCGTGCATGAAGTTGTTACAAACTATTGATGTCTTGGAAGGTTTATCGAACCAAGGACATGCTTCTAAATCTCAAGGGTCAGAGAGCGGCAGATCAAGTGTGAAGATATCATTGAGTAGCAGTGATGATAGAAGCATTCTTTGCTACACTGCTGTTTCGCGTTCTACTGCAGAGAAGCAGTTGGTCAACAATATAGTGGTTTTTGACGCTCTGAATGTAACCCCTATAAACTACTTGAATGCAGTCCATAAAGGCAATATTAAGTGCTTAACAGTAAGTCACAATGGAAAACTTGTGGCAACAGCATCGGAGAAAGGCACTATTATACGTGTCTTGCAAACTGGCGTCGATTCAGATTTCGATGCAAACAACCCTCTCCTATATGAGTTTAGACGAGGTACAAGACCCAGTGTGATTCATGAAATCAAATTTAATCCGCAATCCACGTATATTGGATGTGTCGGGAACACGGATACAATTCACATTTTTAAATTACCCCAAAATAAAAATATTGAGGAATATGGTACTGATAGCGGCAGCTCACTTATCGACAGCAAATTTGGTCGAGAGTCCTCCAAACAGCTGGCAACCTTCATCTCAAAACGGGTTATTTCTCGCATACCAAGCCAGAATTTAGCAAGGGATTATGCCCATATTAACGTTACAGAAAACGTAAGGCATAGCATTGGCTTTCCTGAAGAATTTCCAAAGCAAGTATATGTTGCTGGAGACGATGGTAAGCTTCAAATCTACGAATTGCCAACTGCTCCTGGGGAATGTATATTGGTTAAAAATAGTAAATTCTTAGCATAGAAACATCAAACAAAGTAATATATAGTAGATGTTCGTTTTACCAGAACCAACGCTTGTACCAACTTCTGGTAGAAGCATTCCGATCTTCGGTGTCTATTTCAGAATCCTTCCGCTTTTCTTCAATCAATGAAAACAGTTCATTCTCCATGGCTTTAACTTGTCTCTTGAGATCTTCTTCTCTCTCGTCGTGTTCAAGTCTACACCAGAGATAATGACCCGATAAATACACAAGAGAGCTCATTAACAGGAACATCCATGCAGGTCTTACAAATTTTCTCAAAGACACGTCTTGATGTTGCTTTTCTTGTGATTGTAGGTTTTTCAACATCTGAAGTTCATTCTGAATGTTCAGCTCATTTGTGCGTTCATTGATTAAACGTTTTACCAGCTCTGGGTCGACATCTTCTAGGGATTCCAGCTTCGCTAAGTCCTCTAAGCTTTTGATTTGTATTTGATGTGACTTTCTCAACCGTACAACGGAAGTAAACAATCGCAGGAACGCGCGTTGCGGTTTCATCATTGATCTTTAACAGTTGCTTAATGTGGGGAAAGATTTTTCTTGGACTTCCAAATAAAATTGGATATATTTTATGTACATGTTGTATTTAACAGAAGAAGAGTCATAGACCACATGTTCTGACTTATTGCGATGGGCTCTTTCTATATAGCCCATACTTTTCTTTGGCTTTCCAGATCTCAAATCTTGCCCTCTGCTGCATTTCCATGTATTTCTGAGCTGTCAAATCCCTTTCTCCTGTTTCGCTTCTGATAATTGAGCCGATACTCATGAAAAGGCCAAAGGTTGCAGCAGAACCTGCAATATATTGACCCAACGTTCTGATATACCCATTCGGGCCTGGTCCCTGGGTAACAATGGCGAATCCACCAAAGAGGATACCAGTACAAACACCCACTGCAGTACCCATCATAAGACCCATTTTAAACTTTTCCCAATTGGAAGGTTGGTGCTGAGCATACACTTGTTGGACAGGAGGCATTATTTTCTCGTATTGATGTGTTGTTTTAACCTTGTGGGGGACTTTCGATTGAGCGAAATGAAAAATTTCTTCGTTCTTGGTGTTCGTCAACATGAAGTGTAAAATGCTTTTGAGGGCGCTACCAAACAAATCAATCCTGAGACATTATGCCACCAAATTGGATGTTTTAGGGGTATTGAGAGAAAGGGGACTGATTGCTCAGGTGTCAGAACCTAGAAGTCTACTTGAACGGAAACTAGAACGTGGGGAAAAGATTAAGCTATATTGCGGAGCAGATCCGACCGCCAAATCACTTCACTTGGGGAATCTTTTACCGCTCATGGTACTTTTACACTTTTACGTTTGTGGTCATGATATTGTAACACTTGTTGGTGGTGCTACTGGAATGGTGGGTGATCCTAGTGGTCGTAAAACCGAGCGTGACGCTCTTTTAGATGCCACTCGTCTCGACAATATTTCGAGAATTAACAAGCAGTTTTCCAATTTCTTTCGAAACGCAGTCAATTCTTACAAACAAAAGTTCCCAGATTCTGAAGTTAACAATGGTTCATGTGCTCATGTGAACAATTATGATTGGTGGCAGAACGTTAAAATGTTGGATTTCTTGGCAAACTATGGAAAGCACATTCGTATCCAGTCGATGTTAGTGCGCGATTCAATCTCTTCACGGCTTGAAGCTAGAGATGGCCTTGGTTTTAATGAGTTCACTTATCAAATATTGCAGGCTTACGATTTTTACCACTTGTACGAAAACGAAGATGTCACTGTTCAAATTGGAGGAAATGATCAATGGGGCAACATAACAGCTGGTATTGACTTGATTGGAAGAATTGCTACAAACACAAAAAATCCCCCATTTGGTATTACTGTGCCACTTTTAACTACTTCAACGGGCGAAAAATTTGGAAAAAGTGCCGGAAACGCTGTCTTTATTGACCCCGAAATCAATACACCTTATGACATGTATCAATTCTTTGTCAACACTACTGATGCGGATGTGGGTAGATTTATGAAGATTTTTACGTTTATACCTCTTGATGAAATTGAACATGCGGTAAGCAGCCATCTCCAGTGTCCACATTTGCGTCAAGGCCAAAGACTCCTTGCTCGTGAAGTCGTCAACCTCGTTCATGGTCCTGGCAAAGGTGATGATGCAGAAATGGTTTCTGATGTTTTATTTGGCAGGAATTGCAGCGGTATCACAGGAGATGAGCTGGTCAGAGTTTTTCGAGAAGCAGGAGTTTTATTAGAATGCTCTAGACATTCCACACTCACAGAAATCTTGATTGAATTGGCCCAGTGTTCAAAATCAGAAGCGAAAAGACGTATCAAGCAAGGCAGCATTTATTTGGGCCCAGAAAGGACAAAGGTCGTCGACGAAGTTAGTTCTTTAGACCCTTATGTCATTGATGGAAAAGTCCTCATATTGAGATTCGGTAAACAAAAGTGCTTTGTTTTGAAACTATGCTGAGTAAAATGTATATATATGACGTGTAAATATCCTTTCTTTTGCTATTCTCTTTTCGCATTGGAAAATACCTGCGCTCCACACCAGGAAATCACGCTCCAAAGCCAAAACATTACTGGTGAAAGTAAAATCGCACACCAGTAGTATAATCCATACTGGTTTTGTCGTACCTTCCATAATGAGTAAATGGAAATAAGTACTAGAATATAGGTAGCGGCGAGCACGCCTAGCCCTGTTTGTTTGCGGTTCATAGATACTTCGAAGCTCAAGTTTTTAAACAAAATTAGAGAAGTATTTCAACAACGACAATAAATAAATCATGGCTGAAGATCTAAGATTTACCACTATAGCCAAAAAGTTCTTGGCATTATATAGAAGCAGGGTTGTAACCAAATTTCGAGATGCCTCGGATGGTTCTCGGTTTCAAGCACTATTGAGGTCTAACCAATTCGCAAGACAACTTCAGGGTATGGCCCAAAACTTGTGCCATCGGTACGAAAACGACATGTGGCAGGCTCACGTGCTGGACACTATTGATTTAGATACCATATATTCCAACGTTGACTCTACGGAGGGTAATGAAGATGACTACACTGACCGCCTTGTGAAAGAACTGTTACGCTACTTTAAGAACGATTTCTTCAAATGGTGCGACAAGCCCGAATGCATCACATGCGGTTCATCGCAAGATCAATGTCATGCAGGTATCAGTCAACCTACTTCTGAAGAGGCTCAGTATGATTGTGGGACTGTTGAGATATTTAAATGCCAAAAATGTGGAAGCCTGACGAGATTTCCTAGGTACAATGATCCGCTTAAGCTGTTAGAAACAAGAAAGGGTCGCTGTGGTGAGTGGTGCAACCTGTTTCTCCTTTTCCTGAAATCTTTTGGAATCGAGTCTCGTTACATTTGGAACCGCGAAGACCACGTATGGTGCGAATTTTATTCTAAGAACCTCAAACGTTGGGTTCACTTGGATTGCTGTGAACAGAGCTTTGATCAACCTTATATCTACTCTATTAACTGGAACAAAAAAATGAGCTATGTGGTCGCTTTTGGACGAGATGGTGTTGTTGATGTTAGCAAAAGGTACATTCTGAAGAATGAATTACCTCGAGATCAAATAAATGAAGATGATTTACAATTTGTCCTCAACTTCATTACGAAACATTTGCGGTTCAAACTGACAGATGAAGAAGTTTATCAACTAGCGTGCCGTGATGAACAAGAAAGGCTCGAGTGGATCTCGTCCACCGGGCAAGAAACGAAAACTGGTAGTAGCCCTCATGGCAGAGAAAGTGGATCTACTGCATGGAAAAAGAGCAGGGGAGAGGATGGGAATACATAGTTTATAATTTGATTATTTACATTTGCAAAAGTCTATTGAACTAGTTCTTCAAACTTGTTAAAAAATTGAGCAATTTGTGCGCCCGCCCAAGAATTGTATTTTTTATCAAGGTACGCCAAATGCCCACCAATGTCAGTTATGCATAGCGTCACATTTACATTTTCTTTGGCGGGTACTACAGGAATGGCTTCTTCCCCAACAACTGGATCGTCTTTAGAGTTTATAATTAGTGTTGGAACTTTGATGTTTGGCAATCTGTTAATAGAGCCCCCGGCTTTATAATATTCTAGAGCGTTCTTGTATCCAAGACAAGGCGCCGTATAGACATCATCAAATTCAACTGTTGAATTAAATGAATAGGCTTTCTTCAAATTCTCACGTGTGAAAACAGTATAAGAGGGATGTTCGATACTGGCTGGATAAGCAGGAGGCTCATCCTTCCCTTGGGTGTATTCTAATTCTCCCATGTTAACCTTTACCAACCTCGTTAAAAACTGGGCAATATTCTTTGAGAAAAGTTTTCTGGACCACCAGTCATCTCTCATCTTAAGCGAAGCTGTGTAAAGATCCCATGGGCAGCATAAAATAGCAGCTGCATCCACGGGTGCATTTTCTCCATCCTCACCAAGATAGTTGCCAAGAATTGTACCCCCGAAAGAATATCCTACTGTGAAGATTCTCCTTCCAGGATGACGTTCTTTTTCTCTCTTTAGAAACTCTCTAATATCATCTGTTGCATAGGCATAGAACAACTTGCGTGTGGTGATCTTAGATCTCGCGCAGCCACGTGTATTCAGAACGACCACATCAAACTTTCCATTGCTAATTTCTGATAAGTTCTTCGTTAGAGATCTGATGATAGGTTCGTGAGAGCCTCCAGCTAGCCCATGCAGAACAACTATTAGGGGTTTTGTTTCTGCATGCACTCCTTTAAGTTCTTCGTCATTCAAAAAACGTGTACGTGGGTGTAAACGAGGCCAGTTCTCGGGATGAGTGGATTCCTCGTCCTTCTTAAACTGCTCGAGATTAAATTTAGCATCATTTTCAGCGAAATCGTACTTCTGCTTCCAGCCCGCCATAACCCAATCTGCAGTGGAAATACCGCCGTCAGAATAATTAACTATCTCTCTTCCATAGAAGACTGGGAACGATTTTGAGAAGTCAGCGCTGCCCAAGTACATTGTTTGCAAGATACCCGTAAACAAGTAAGGATTGAGTTCGAACCTGGCATTGTTGCTTAATTCCGGAACTTGTTCGCCAATGAACTCATGTAGCTGTGAACCTTTGTTCGACGAACCAGCTTTGGAATCTTTCAACTTGAGATTAACTGTTCCGTTAGGACTAACAGCTTGTTCGACTGTCCCATGATACCCCCAGTGTAGTGGGTTAATGATTGGAATATTGACCATACTTGGATACTGCTGATGTACTGAGTTCACCTACTTTGAAATATCGAGGAAAATGCAGGTACTTAATATATTCTAAAATGGATTTCCGGTTTCGGCGATTATAGATAAATCCGAGCCGAAAGAAATCCTGCATTGTTAGAACAAATTTCTATATACAAGATAATTTTTTCCAAGGAAGGAGAAGTGGTCAGGTCTAGTCAACGTCGAGGTTGACTTGTTCAACTAAGTCACTTTGAGATCTTGCACGATCCAGCAACTTGTTAAAGAACTTCAGTGATAAAATGTTATTTTGAAGCTTTTTCTCTGTTTCTTTTCTGATAGTTTGCTTTTCGTTTAGGACAGATTCGGAGTACTTCAGAATTTCTCTAGAAGGAAATTTTAAAACTTCGCGGACCTCCTTCGATATCCTGTTTGCATTTGCATCTGTGTAGTCTGTCTCTTGTAGTTTTATTTGGTATTTGTGAGAAAGGTTCGATGGTAGCGCTCGAGGTAAGTCATGAATGAGATACGCTATTCCCAAGATTGAGCCGATGAGAATAATTGATGTCGACATTCTTCTGAGCGATTGCCATGAAAAGAATTTAGTGCCGTAGATGGCAATATTGGTGAGAAACTTGGCGCCACCCCAAGAATAGACTGCCAAGGTTGGGATTCTTGAAGTAAATAACAGAGAAGGGGAAGACCAATACTTGGTCACTGATTGACTCTTGATTCCGAGCGAAGTGGACCATATACTACTGCCTGCAGAATTCTCAAGTTGCGGAGAAGCAAAAAATCCCCAACTTAAATAAGAAGTGAATCCCTCCCATGACGGAGAAAACAGATCAGCGACATCAAAAGGTACCGAGAGAGCTTTGAGAGCAGAATGTTTCTTTTTTGTGAACATCAGTTCACTGAGGAAAACTCTGTTAGACATGAATTTTTCACCTAATTGTGCCTTACCTATCTCGTTGATGTTTTCAACTGCCTTTTCAGTTGCAGACTTGGCGAAAAACTCACTTGTTTCAACGCTCTGTTTGATTTGATCCATTATGAATTGTCTCGTACGGAAAATGTAATCATGAATGTTAGAAAGACCTTCATATTGGGGAAAATCACTGATTGATAAATTCAATGAGCTATTGATCCTTTTCTTTGTGAATTGGTACACCTCAGTGGCAACATCCTCCATTAATTTATCTACCGTTTCAGTGAGTTTCATACACTGGTCCTTCGCAGCTTGAATTTCAGGTCTCATGCTATCCAGCTGATCGTTCAAATTAGTCCTCTCTTCATTAAATTTATTCAAATTCCATCCTGCAATAGCTTCGATATCACTTAACAATTTCGCCAAGTAAGTTTTGGCAGGTAAAAGTTTTGAAAGAGATCTCTTTTTCAAAATAAAGTTCCTCAAGTTGCTCTCTAAATTCGCGAAGTCGGGATTTTCGTTATTATCATCATCATCGCCCTCGTCGGAATCATAATCGTCTGGAAAACCGGGCTTCTTACCACTGGATACGAAATGAACAAATTCCCTGGATTGCTTATAGGTTTCAGGAGACATAGATTTGATTTGATCTAAGATTAACTTTTTGCATCGTTCCTTGTCGCGAATCTGATCGAATTTATTGACAACAAAGAAGATCAATTTCTTCTCCCTGGAAGCTACTGAAATGAATTCTTTTCCTGACAAAGTGAGCTGATTTTCAGAATTCACGACAAAGATCACCAAGTCTATTTCCTCCTGGCGAGACATTACTTCAGTGGTTTTAATGGAGTCCATGTTCAGCCCTGGGGAATCGATTAAAGAGATATCAATTGTACCATTCCTGAGAAGACTGGATTCAGCGGAACGTTTGTCATCTTTGATATATACCTTCAAAAGGGAATACTTCTTGTTCTCGTAAACCAAATCAGAAAGTTGTTTTATTGAAAAAGTCTCGTAAGTGGATCTATTCGAGATGTCGTAAACTTGGGTTGCCTCTTTCACAGTGGCTGCAACTTCTATAGTAATGGCATGGACCTCTTCGATATCGTTATTTTCTCTAGCTTCTAATATCTCGCAAAACACATTTGTGCAAGGAAGCTGGTCAACGGGAAGTAGTCTGCGCTTCAGTAGAGAATTGCAAAAGGTCGACTTTCCTGCATTAAGGTCACCAGTGATGAAAATTTTCGAAGAGGTATCGTCAACTCTTTTTTGTAGAGAACGTAGATGTGCGATTGCGGCTGTTCCTTGATGATGAAATAATTTTGCTTCTGCCGATTGATCCAGTTGCAGATTTCTATTTAGATTTCCATCTAGTTTCAAATTCAACCCCAATATGTGTAGGTTGTGATCTTGGGGAACATTAATGGGTCTAACCTCATTTTCCTCAAGTAATTCATGAATCAACTCTTCTGAGCTTAAGATGCTTCTGCTCAATCCAACTCTATTGTTGTTATAATTCCACTGGCTTAAATGCATAGAGAGCATCTTATCATTTGAGGCCGTGCGACAATGATTTGAATGGTGTGATAATAAATAGCTAACATCATTGTTCATGGTGCCAGCATCGTCATCGATTAATGATCCATTGTTCCGGTCATACACCAATCCTTGAGGTTCCGAAGGAACCACTGTCGAATCATCGTCACTGTCTTGCCCAAGTGCGCTTGGTTTAGCACTCATGGGTGTGAGGTCCTTCTGAGGCATGTTATTTGATATCGTTATCCTCACTTCTTTAGAGAACCGTGATGTCCATATCTCTTGTTTGTGACAAAATGTGGATATCACCGTCTACGTATGAAATGAAGTTCATGCATGGTGTGCGCTTAAGTAGATAGACGACATTGTGCAAAATCACGTTAGAATTCTTCTCAAGAGTAGAATTACTATAGAAATATTCTGGTATTTTCTATACAAGTTAACGGTTGTTAAATGCTAGGTGTTTAAGCTATAACATTATTTCTTCTTTTTGTCGAGCTTTCTCTTTCTTCTCTTTTGCTTCTTGATGTAACTGTAGCATTCAGTCTCCCCGTATCCGTAGAACGGCTTGAAACTTTCAAATACTCCGCAGTCTTCAAACAAGTTAGGGAAAATCCAGAATCCGCCTTTTTCGCTAACGAATGCCAATGAAAGTAGGTAGATCACACATCTCAAGATAGCTATTGAAAAGAATACCCCAATGAGACCTAGCATGCCCAAGGAGAGGTAATAAACAATGCGTCTCATTGAGTGTGGCCATAGTGGATAACATACGAAACCGAGAATTCCTACCACTATACCAATCACAATCAAATAATCAGTGAAAGTCTTGGGATTATAATTCCACACATAGTATTCATCGGGTTGAAGTTCAGCTTTATTAGAAAGCAGTAAATTTGGATAATCCTTGTGGGGTTTCAAGCCATGTTCTTTGCATTCGCCGCTGTGTAATTTTGAACATGGAACCACTAATTGCGCTTTAATAAGGGATATGAAAATGTTTCTGGAGTCTTCTTCATTTTCAATAGGTGGGTACAGATCAGGCTGCTTACTGGACTTGCTTTTGTACTCAGGCGAGTTCAGCGCACGAACGAACCTCTTGTAACGAAAAAAATCAACATGACGAGATTGAAAGAGTCCCTGTCTTTGTTTCAGAAGTTTGTGCCGACGAAGGAGTGACGCAATCGCAAGTGGTGACTGTGGATTTGACATTGTCTGCTACAATCGGCTACAAAGAGTATACACGCTGTCAAAGGTGGCCGACATAATTAAAAACATGGATATCATTATTTACGTGTTTCTCTCACATAATCATGAAGCGTCGTTAACCACAAGCTGCTAGCTATATACATATATGAAATCACCCTCATTGATTGGTTTGAACTTTCATCCATAGTTTCGCGAAAAGAATTCAAATATTAATGGTAACATCCATGAGGAAAATTCGTTGTAAGCATGTGCAATTGAAAAATTGTTAAATGCCTCGTGGCAGCTGTCATTTCGCACAAAACTAACAATTTACTACTTTGGCTTATGATGCTTCACTCGGTGGCAGCGACGACGTTAATTTACATTTTTAATTCCTTCTTTTTCCCCATAGCGCATTGGAGATATTTTTTCTTACGAAGCTTTAGCCCTCATCTTATCCATTGTCAGAGCTTTAAACTTAGATCAAGCTCTCCAAGTTATAGGTTCTCGGCTGAATGTTGGGACAACCAAAGCAAATGCGCATTTCTTACTTGCACATTGAGCTTTGATGATAATTTCGGTTTTTATGGCCAAAGTATTTCAGCCAATTATATATTTCAGAGTAAGTTTATGTTTTGCGACACATTTCGTCGTTTTCAACAACTTTACCGTATTTATAAAACAAGAAAACACTCAAGAAACAAAAAAAAGTCTTACCAAGTTGAGGTCTCCACACTAACAATTGATTTGGAGACTGTTGAAGACGAGAGAAATTCCAGATAATACACCTTGAACTGTTTACAGGACCTTCTTCGTCTATCAATAAACTGAATGTATTTGGTAAGACTGAATGTTTTGATAATTTAGACCATTCGCAAGGTGTTCATCATATTTAAATACAGTTCTTGGCGGGAAGCGTTTATCAGTTACACAAAAATGCTGAATCAGCATTTGGCCAAAATAATATATATGAAAAGTTGTTGTCAAACATAGAAAACATTCAATATTGCACAGAATTTTCAAGACTAGAGGTGTCATATATACTTAGCTGAAATAAAAAGAGCCTATTAAAGTAGCGGAAAAGGAAGTCCAAAGACTGAAGATTTCTCTTTTTCTCTTAATTCGATTAAGGAACTATGCTCTCCACTCATCAGATCATGTAATTTTTACAAACTTACCCTGAATTGAGAGCTTTATCACTTCAACTTTGGAAGATACCATAAAACGGTGCTACCATCTATAACAGTGCTTTATACTGCAAAAGATTATGAAAATGGACACATATCAGACGCACGCGGTCCAAGATAAATTATACTAACCAAGAGCTAATGGCAGGTGAAAAAGTGACTAGATATGTAATTTGGCTTTCATCCCAGCCGTGCTAACCCAGTAACGGTATTCTTTTTGGCAGTCGGTTTTTTGTGACGCTTCCAATACTAAAGCTCTGATCTGGAGGCAAATGGAATAACTCGTATGTAATTATCACAAAAAAGAAACGGGAAGGATTCTGGCTTGAAAAATTTTCTAGAGATGAGCTGCGATGAGATGAGTTCCTCCTAATTTCCATCAGACAAGTCGGTATCCAAGTGAGGCAAATTCAACAAGATGCAACTATCCTGGAAAGATATCCCCACTGTTTCAACGTCCAATGACTTGCTGGATATTGTGCTGAACAGGACTCAAAGAAAGACGCCTACCGTTATTAGGCCGGGTTTCAAGATCACCAGAATAAGAGCCTTTTACATGCGTAAGGTGAAATATACCGGTGAAGGATTTGAAGAGAAGTTTGATGAGATTTTGAAAGGATTTCCTAACATCAACGATGTTCATCCATTCCACAGGGATTTAATGGATACTCTTTACGAGAAAAACCACTACAAAGTGTCCCTGGCTGCTGTCTCGAGGGCCAAAACGTTGGTAGAGCAGGTTTCCAGAGACTATGTGAGACTTTTGAAGTTTGGTCAATCGTTATTCCAATGTAAGCAACTAAAGAGAGCTGCTCTAGGTAGAATGGCTACGATTGTCAAGAAATTGAAGGATCCTCTAGTTTATTTGGAACAAGTCCGTCAACATTTGGGCAGATTGCCATCTATTGACCCAAATACCAGAACTCTGTTAATTTGTGGTTATCCTAATGTTGGTAAATCTTCTTTCTTGAGATGCATCACCAAAGCAGATGTCGAGGTTCAACCATATGCTTTCACAACTAAATCCTTGTACGTTGGGCATTTCGATTACAAGTACCTGAGATTTCAGGCAATTGATACTCCAGGTATTCTGGATAGACCTACTGACGAAATGAACAACATCGAAATGCAGTCCATTTATGCGATTGCCCATTTGCGTTCATGTGTTTTATACTTTATGGACTTATCAGAACAATGTGGTTTCACCGTCGAAGCTCAAGTGAAATTGTTTCACTCTATCAAGCCATTATTCGCAAACAAATCTGTCATGGTTGTTGTAAACAAGACTGATATCATCAGACCAGCTGATTTGGACGAAGAGCGTGCTAAGTTATTGCAAACTATTGCTGATTTTCCAGGTGTTGAAATTATGGAAACTTCTTGTCATGAAGAAGATAATGTGATGGCGGTAAGAAATAAGGCGTGTGAAAAACTTCTAGCGTCAAGAATTGAGAACAAATTGAAGTCTACTTCAAGGATCAATAACGTTTTGAACAAAATCCATGTCGCCAAGCCTCAAGCAAGGGATGATGGTATTGAAAGAACTCCTTATATTCCAGAGATCATTAAAACCATGAAGAAATACGATCCCGAGGATCCTAATAGAAGAAAGCTCGCCAGAGATATCGAGGCTGAAAATGGTGGTGCGGGTGTGTTCAACGTGAATTTGAAGGACAAATATATTCTAGAGGACGACGAGTGGAAAAACGATGTCATGCCAGAGATCATGGATGGTAAGAACGTCTATGACTTCTTGGACCCGGACATTGCTGCAAAGCTACAAGCCCTAGAAGAAGAAGAAGAGAGATTAGAAGCTGAAGGCTTTTACAACTCTGACGACGACGAGGAAAATTTTGAGGGCCTAGAGGCCGACGAAATCTCTGATATAAGAGAAAAAGCTGCTTGGATAAGGGATAGACAGAAGAAGATGATTGTCGCTGCTAGAAACAGAAAGGCTTTGAAAAATCGCGCTGTTATGCCACGTTCCAAAATTGCCAAATCCTTTGGCGACATGGAGAAGCATATGTCTTCGTTGGGTCACGATATGGCATCTCTTCAAGGGAAGCAAAGATCAGCTATCCAAAGAAACAAACATGCGGAAACTGGTGCCGATGTCGTCTTTGGAGATGCAGAAGCCACTTCTTCATCCGCTAATGGTGGTAAGTTGAGGCAATCAGATAGACTGCTGGATGGTGTAGCCGATGGTTCGATGAGATCGAAGGCTGATAGGATTGCCAAACTGCAGAGAAGAGACAGAAATAGGGACGCGAGACAAGGTGAGGCCGACAGGCACGCGACTGCCTCATTGGCTAAGCATTTGTTTAGTGGTAAGCGTGGTATTGGTAAAACTGATTTCCGCTGAACATAATCTTGGTTTTGGACGACTAAATTCTTCTCTCAGTTGGCATCAACAGTTCAGGTTACCAATTGACACTGTATATTAAGACTAGAAATTTCAAGCTATGCACGTACTTTACTTTTAAATATACGCTTGAATTTAAATTTGGAGCACGATTTTATTCTGCATCAATAAAAAAGCGTCGCGAGATTATGTACCAGCGACACAAACAAATGTGTGTCCCGACACAGACAAAGCGCCCTTACTTGTACTTCACATAACAATCTGATATATTCACTTTGTAGTTATTAAGTTCAACCTAATAAAGAGGGGTTCTATGTCGAATTCAAGTGAAGCAGAGATAGTGCCATCAAAGGATCAAAAATCCGATGAAAGACATTCCGTCGAATGGATCCTTGTATCCCGAGAAATTAGCCGAGAGCCCAATGTGCATCAAGAAGTAGAAGCAAAAAGCAATGAAGCTAGCGAAGAGTCAAATCATAAATTGACCACGCAAGTAATTCAGATGACGAACGAACCATTCGATCCTGCAAGTGATATGCAAGGGCAAAGCGGGAATATAAATGTAGTTAAATTTGACACAGAAGAACCAGCTGAAGAAGTACAATTTGAAGTGAATAAGCGTATGATTGACGGTTTGATTACTACTCCTACAACTCCAGAAAATAACGATGAAAAAATGGTGCCGTATACTGCTTTTGGTAGGATACAGCGGATGATAATATTTGTAATTATAGTTTACGTTGGATTTTTGGGTCCTCTTTCTGGAAATATTTACATCCCAGCTCTGCCATTATTACAGAGAATATATGGGATATCTGCGACGGCAATAAATGCGACTGTATCTGTATTTATGGCCGTTTTCGCAGTGGGCCCTCTTTTCTGGGCAAGCTTTGCAGACTTTGGTGGTAGAAAAATTCTGTACATCATATCACTGACTTTAACGGTGGTCGCGACGCTATTACTCGCTGTCGTTCCAATAAACACCGGCGCCCTATTCTTTCTTCGAATTTTACAAGCTTTCGCGTCAAGCTCAGTAATTTCATTGGGTGCTGGTACGGTGACAGACATTACTCCACCAAAAAATCGAGGCAAAGCAATTGCATACTTTATGCTGGGTCCAAATCTTGGTCCAATTCTTGCTCCTGTCATCGCGGGCCTAATCCTAATGAAAGGAGATTACTGGAGATGGCTATTCGGTTTCATCTCCATCTTATCAGTAGTAGGGCTTCTTTTGATTATATTCTTTTTACCAGAAACGCTCAGGTGCATTGTTGGAAACGGGGATCCTGGTTGGTCCATAAGCAACGACAGTACGGTAATGAATTCTGAGATAAGAGAAAGAATCAAAATTCTATCTGACATTGGTTTTCAAAAACCAGTAACAACGGCATCCGAATTCCAAAAGCTTTATCCCAGACCTCCCAAACCCAGTTTAAGTACTTACTGGGACTTGGTTAAATATGTTCCTGTTCTAATCTGCTCTCTGACGACCGCGATATTGTTTGCGACCTACTATGCCTTTAGTGTAACCTTCTCGCACTTTTTGAGGCAATTTTACAATCTATCAAACTTGCAAATAGGAGCTTGTTATGTATGCCCTGGCATCGCTTTATTACTGGGATCTGTCGTGGGTGGCCATCTATCTGACTTCTTTAGGAAAAGATGGTGTAAAAACCATGTGGATACAAAATTCCCCAGCGAAAAGAGACTCCTACTACAAATATGGGGACTTCTTTTAAATATTGGTGGATGCATTGGGTATGGATGGAGTATTCAGTTCCACTACAGACTTCCAATTATTCTTGTTTTCGCATTCTGTATGGCTTTTGGGATGACTTGGTGTTCTAACGCGAGTATGACCTATTTGACTGAATGTATTCCTCGAAGAGCAGCCTCAACTGTTGCTGTCGGAAGTTTTTTCAGAAACCTTGCTGCTGGAATAAGCTCAGTAATAATATTGAAATTGTGTGACGTTATGGGAACTGGATGGTGTTTTACTGGACTAGCATTCTGCGATGTCATAGCTATGTTGGGAATCATATTCCTAATAGAAAATAGCTCGAATTGGAGTAGTAGATTATTAACTTCAAATTAACTGAACGAGCTGACGCGAGCTTAGTTACAAAACTTTTAACTTCAAGTATATACACGACCTGCCCTCACGGTGTGTTGGAGTTTTGACTTCAGGGGATTCAGATTAAATAAAAAGTTTTCCATAATAAAAATGCTTGCTCTGGAAACCAAAGAGTAGCGCTCTTTGGTAACAAATTTGTAAATCGTAAAAGTAAGATTTCATATTTGAAAGTAAAATTCACAACCGACGGCATTGTCTTTTAGTAACGTTAACTTTTACAATTTGATTCTGTAATAAGGATATCCAAAAAAAAAGGTTTAACAAATCAATATTGGCTGATCATAAGATGTGAAATGAATAGACCAGAGCTGCACTGCAGTCACGATCAAGCTTTACTTTGAGATTTCCGGTGATCCAAGATTTGCTTCACGGCATCGTAAATCGTGACCTCGAATGGTTTGAATTCTATTCCCGTCAACTGACAAGTTTCATCATTATTGTAATGGAAGTTTTTCTCCAAATAAGGCGTGTTATCGCTGATATTACCAGGTGAGATTTTACCTCTTAGCTCTGGGAATTTAGCATTAAAAACATCGAGGAGCCTTTGTAAATTGAAATAGGCATCCGAGTAGTTGTGCTGTTTCACACCGGTACCACTGAAAGGCATCAATCTGTGGCCCGCAAGATTTTCGTTTCTCAATGGTAACATATGCAGTAAAGCAACATCACGAACATCACATGATACCCCGCCTGGCTTGTCAAAAGGTCCCTTGAAATCAAAAGGGACTTTTAACGCTCTGTTCACAACATCTGCTGATGCGTTGAGTGAAGCAGGCTCAACTCCCCACTCAAACATTTGAGGGCCAAAAACGTAGGGTGGGTTGACTGTAGTTAGTGTGAAATCAATGTTACCCTTGTTTTCCTCTAAAAATTTCCAAGCAAGCTGCTCTGCAGCTTTCTTCGAAGCAATGTACGACGTGAACTTGTTTTGTTTGGCTTCTTCCCATGTAATTGGATTCCAAGTTTTTTCAGTATGGATAAACGTAGGATCCTCCTCGCGATCGGCGTTCAAGATAGAGGCAAACGAAGAGGTCAACACAACATGTTTTACATTCTTGCCGTAAGTTTTAGTGGCCTCTAACATATTCCGTGTACCTTGAGTGGCAGGAATCAAGTACGTTTCTTCCATTGATTGGTTGGAGCCGAATGAGCATGGTGATGCCACATGGATCACATGCTGTATTCCGGGATTATTTATGAACACATCATCAAATGCGTTTGCAGCGGCGATGTCTGGCACGATCACAAATTCCAACTTCGCATACGGATACAATTTCTCAAAAGAGTTGTTGATTCTATCCCCCTTTTCCTTAGAACGTACTGTACCGATGACGTGGTACCCTTCTGATAATAAGACGTTCAGAACGTGCAAGGCAATAAAACCCGAGGCTCCGCTCACGAGCACTTTTTCATCTGTCTTTGATGATGAACTCATTTTCCTAGCTATGTGTGTCAAGTTGATAAATTTTGATGGCTCCTCACTTTGTGAATTGCGATTGGCCAAGATGATTGGATTAGCATTCCCCTGGTCTGTTCAGATTATTCTCCTCGTATAGTTCGGGTGCAGCCGTATGAAGTGCAATTTCCAAGAATTATTGTTGAAAGGAAATGACTCATAAACTTAAATTTCGCGAGCAAATAAAGTTCAGGACGTTGTAAGTAGCCAAGACTTAAAACTAGTTAAAAAGGTTGCAACCCTGGTCTTTTTCCATTTTCACACATATCTTGATATAGTGGTTATTCGTAACGTAAGTTCGTATCCTGGCACTCATGCTCAAGATAGCACCAGCATTGATGCGACGGTATATCGATGGCTTTAGCCCATTTTGGTTTGTAACGGTTATGGGGACGGGTATATCCAGCGACATACTGCATTCGTTCCCCTACGAGGCATATTGGCTGCGCATATGTTCCTATATCATGTTCGCCATAGCATGTCTACTATTCCTAACACTACTTGCGATATGCATTGCAAATTTGGTCACAACCGTGAAACGGAACTCACTTACTGCATACTGCGAGAAGTTTTTTCTGGATTCAACGCATAACGTGTTTTGGGGCACGTTTCCCATGGGGCTGATTACGATTCTCAATTTTATTTTCCAACTTTGTTCCAGGGAACTGAAGGGGACGATAAGCGCAGATAGGCTAATAAGAACGATTTATGTTCTCTGGTGGTTCGATCTCGTAGTTTCATTAGGTACAGCATGGGGTGTCACATTTCTCATATGGAAAAGCTTCCATGGGGCAGATTGCTCTCCGCATGATTGCATACAAACAAAAGTAATGCGTGAAAAGCTTCAAAGTGTCCTGCTACTACCAATAGTTCCGCTAGTAGTTGTGTGCTCATCAGGAAGCCTCTTTGTGATGAGTGATCTATTCACTAAGAATATGACACGCAACATACAATTGGTAACGTTAGTCATCATCGCTATGGTATGGTTACACGCACTACTTCTAGTCGTGTTCATCACAACCATTTACTTCTGGAATCTCTATGTGAATAAAATTCCAAAAATTACTGCGATATTTTCAATGTTCTTGGTGATTGGTCCCCTTGGACAAGGAAGTTTTGGTATTCTTTTACTCACCGATGATGTCAAGCTTTATACCGAACAATATTATCGCTTAGATTTGTCCGATTTTGATTCGCGGGTAATCCAAGTTGCGGTAACGTGGAGTTTCAAAGTTGCCGGTGTAGTCCTGTCATTAATGTTAATCTCGACAGGTATTTTCTTCACAATTATTACGTTAATGTCGATTGCATCTTATGTCCATTCAAAAGATTCGGACATAAAAATTCATAAGTTTCATAAGGGGTGGTGGGCAATGACTTTCCCTCTGGGCACGATGGCTTTAGGAACAAATGAGTTTTACAAACAGTATAATCCGTATGTTCCTCTCTCGGCGTTTCGAGTGGTGAGTGCAATATATTCCGTGCTCTGCATAGGAAGCACTATCACATGCCTCATTGGAACTCTTTACATAGCAAAGCAGACAGCACACGACGAAAGCAACAAAATCAAGTCATCAGCTTCATCTGCATGTTGCAAATAATTTGATTAATAAAAGCACACTTTTAGACGGAAATGATCAGGTTTGCGTGTCGAAGAGTTCAGCATCACTAAAGAGTGCTTCATGTTCAGTAATTAGACAAGAAATATATCTAATGTCCTTGTATAAGTATTAAGGTTTATCAGGGCTTTTAAGTAGACTCTGTCTTCATTGACGCTTGCCCTCTGAAGACTTCAAAAAAATATAGTCCCGACAAGGATCGCCATGTCGGACATTTAAGATGTCTTTTTTTTGGTAAGATTTAAAAAACAGGAGGCGTCGAGCAAAATACTAATGCAATTAAGGAAAGAGATTTGCAGGCTTGTATTAACAAGAAAAATGTCTGGAAACGCTAAGCATTATGATTATTTGGTTATTGGTGGTGGATCTGGTGGTGTAGCCTCGAGCAGAAGAGCTGCTTCCTATGGAGCAAAGACGTTACTAATCGAGGGAAAAGCCATGGGTGGTACTTGTGTGAATGTCGGTTGCGTACCAAAGAAGGTTATGTGGTATGCTTCTGATCTAGCCAATCGTTTAACGCATGCCCATGAGTATGGGCTATTTCAAGATTTGCCATTGAGTAAAGACAAGCTGACATTCAACTGGCCACAATTCAAAGCCAAAAGGGATGCCTATATCCAAAGATTGAACGGTATCTACGAAAGAAATTTAACCAAAGAAGGAGTGGACTATGTTTATGGCTGGGCCCGTTTCAATAAAGATGGCCAAGTGGAAGTTGTCAAGGAAGACGAATCCAAAGAATTATACACAGCTGATCACATCCTAATTGCTACTGGTGGAAAACCTGTGATTCCAAAGAATATCCCTGGTTATGAGTACGGTATTGACTCTGACGGATTCTTTGCTTTAGAGAAACAACCTAAAAAGGTGGTAGTGGTCGGTGCGGGTTATATTGGTGTTGAATTAGCCGGTGTTTTCCATGGTTTAGGAAGCGAAACTCACATGGTAATCAGAGGTGAAACTTTGTTGCGTAAGTTTGATGAAAGCATTCAATCGACGATTACGGACCACTATGTCAATGAAGGCATTAACATACACAAGACTGCTCAGGTTACTAAGGTTGAGAAAAATGAATCTACCAAGCAGTTGACCGTTCACTTGGACAATGGTAAGGTAATCGAGAATGTGGATGACTTAGTTTGGACAATAGGTCGTAAATCTTTGCTAGGAATTGGGCTGGAAAACGTTGGGGTGAAACTTAACGAACGTGAGCAAATAGTTGTCGATGAATATCAAAACACTAATGTTCCTAAAATCTATTCTTTGGGAGATGTTGTCGGTAAAGTCGAGTTGACTCCAGTCGCTATCGCTACTGGTAGAAAGCTTTCGAATCGTCTCTTTGGGCCCAAGGAATTTGCCAACCAAAAGCAGGATTACACAAATGTTCCTAGTGTTGTTTTCTCTCACCCTGAAGCGGGTACCATAGGGTTGACTGAAAACGAGGCGATCGCTAAATATGGTGAAGAGAATATCAAAATTTACAACAGCAAATTCACTGCCATGTACTACGCTATGCTTGAGCACAAATCTCCAACTAGATACAAGCTCATCTGTGCTGGCCCCAATGAAAAGGTTGTAGGGTTGCACATTGTTGGTGATTCATCGGCAGAAATCCTACAAGGCTTCGGTGTTGCTGTTAAGATGGGTGCCACAAAGGCAGACTTTGATTCATGCGTTGCCATCCACCCAACTAGTGCTGAAGAATTGGTCACATTAAGATAGACCCTGAACTTTACTTCTCGTATATATATATACCTGTATTAAAAACGTGATATAGTAACTGACATTATTATGTCAACAATATTTTCTTTATTAAGAAACTATCAAATGAGAGATACAGTATACACTCTTCCTTAAAAAGTACATTTTTGTAAGATAAACAAAGACAAGACAGGTATGCGCGTAATTGTCTTTGGGTTTAAGCCTTCAAAGAAGAAGCTCTTCTCTTTCTGACTTCAGCTCTTTCAGCCTTTCTCTCAGACAATCTCTTGGCCAACAATTGAGCGTATTCGGCAGCGGCTTCTCTTTGAGCTTGAGCGTTCTTGATCTTCAAAGCCTTTTGTTGTCTCTTTCTTTGCAATCTTTGAGGGGTAACCAATCTTTGGATCTTTGGAGCCTTGGTGTAGGTCTTTTCGCCCTTGGTAACTTCTCTTCTGATAACGAAGTCACGGACATCATCCTCCTTGGTCAAACCGAAGAACTTTCTGATGTGGTTAGCTCTCTTTGGACCCAATCTCTTTGGAATAGAGTCGTTGGTGACACCTTCAATTTCTTCGTCACCCTTCTTGGTGATGACCAAAGACAAGACAGCCAAATCTGGGCCAACAATGGCACCTCTGACGGACTTTCTCTTTCTCTCACCGTTACGTCTTGGTCTGTAACAGGAGTGACCGTCAGCCAACAACAACTTAACTCTGGTTGGCAACAAGACACCTTGCTTCATTGGGAAACCTTGCTTGTCGTTACCACCGGAGATCTTGAAGACGTAGCCCTTGAACTCGTCGCCAACGGATTCACCGTCAACTTCTTGACCAATACGCTTGTCGTAGAAGACACGGACACGGTGTTCATCATCGATTTCGATGGTCTTTTGAGTACCATTAACTGGGTAAGAAATGTTCAACTGAAATTTTATGTTAGTAACCAAGTTATGATGAGCGACCCTAGTGGGCAGATAAATGGGTGAGTGCGCAGCGTTCGATGTCTTGTACCCATTTGAAGTCAATTTTATTGACAGTATCCTTTATTCAATTCTGGTCTTTTCAATGCAAAGCTTTTCCAATACCATAAAATAGTTCGTTGATACCAACGCTCGTGCGTGATCTACACATGTCCACATCCTGGTATAGAACGCCCCCGTATCCTTCCACATATCGTCTATTCAGTTATTCATTTACCACATACCTTCATAATGGCTTACTTGTCTCTACTCTTCTGATGGGATCCGAAATAAAGAATTCAATGAAAACCTAAGACCCGTCGAGTAGGAGTAGTGAATTTTTTTTACTGGGCTGGCACGCAGCCGCCGCTACTGGAACTACGCTACGCGGGATCCTCTGCGGGGCCTGCCCCCGACGCGCATTGGTTGCAGTTGCGTCCTGCGTAGCGAGAGGCCCTCCGTGGGCAAGCTCAGGCCGCGCCCGGTGGAGGTACCCAGCGGTAGGCGGAGCGATGCCAGAGGGAGACTGCCTAGCGGTGCCGCACACGATGGGGAGCCGAGGGAAAGGCGAGGTCATCGTAAAAAATGAAAACTAGGAAAATTTTCTCTTCATTTGAAAACCAGGTGTATGGGTTGGTAATATTTTTGAAAGAGATGTATGGGTGTGCACAGTCAAGAGTATGGAAGCAATTCCCCACATTCGAAGATAGGCAAAGTTGCGAGAGATTTCACAATGCGTTGAATACATTAGATGAGTAGGGTGATATATGCAATACAAACAGGTTGTGGAAGTTCCAAGATGGGAAATAATGAAGGTTATCTAGGGTAAACGAGAGTTGGATCTGCAGCGTATTGTCAAGGACGTAGGGCGTGTCGTTTCGTTGGACGCAGAGTCAGGTTCACTAGGGTTACGGCTACACCACTAGGTAGCCGGTGTTCAAATTAACAACTAAAGCACGTTGCTATGAGGAACACTCTCAAGTCTTCCTGTCTTTGTCTTCGGTCATTTCGCCGAAATTGAAGAACTTACTGCTCAATGGGGTCTGATTGACAGTTATATATGGAGTTAAGCCACTGCTGCCATTCCCGGAAGGATTCCCTGTTGGGTTGGATGTGGCGTCGGTTGCACTGGCACCTCCTGCCGCGCTGGAGTTGTTTCCCATACGATTGAAGGTCCAATCGTGGAACATTGCCATGGACGTGCTGGGGGAGGGTACCACGAGATCACTGGCGAATTTCGACGGCAGTGAGCCCGCCAGCTGGCCCACAGATGCCTCGTTGGAGAGATGCGGATTCGATTGCGATTGCGCGTGAGAGTGCGCTTGCGACTGTAACTGTTGGGAGTGTTGCTGCTGGGCCATCTGCAACTGCCGCTGCAACAAGTAGCCGTGGGGCTGAACGCCCAAAGCGGGAGCCAGTGTGTTGGGGCCGCTATTGCCGCCCGGTGTGGGTTGCAATGGGGTAGCGAAATACTGCTGGATCAAAGGCGAGCCCGTGATCGCCGAGGGCAGTCCATTGAACAGGGTTCCAGCCGACGTGGCAGCGTTGAGGTAGTGGTTTTTGTCGTGCTTTTCCAGCACAGACGATTGTTGCATAGGCGTGGAGTCGTTGTTGGGGGCGGTGGGACGCGGCAGCTCGATGCGGCCGTCGTTGCTGCGGTGGAATTGTGTTGCAGAGTTCCCGGTGGCTCTGCCCGACGAGGCGGACGACGGCTCGCTTTTGATGGCGGTGCCTGCGCTGGAGGGGATTTGCACTCGTAGCACGGGCCTGGTGGACGTTTGGTGGCGCATCGCGGCGTCGAAAGAACGCGGCGTCGCTGGAGCAGTGGTACCGGAGCCGGCCATGGAGCCCGCGTTTTCAATGACAAGCGGGTTGGAATTTGACCGCAGCGCGGACGTCGAATTGCTACCATGAGCATACACGCCGCTCCCGAGATTGGAGCGCGTGAAGGGGGCCTGAGCGCCCTGTGGGCGCTCGGGTTGCGACGCGACCGCGTACAGATTGTGGAATTGGCGTTGCACTTGTTCTTGCAGCGGGTTGAAGCGAGGTGAGGTGTCGGGATGGGGCCGCTTGGGGTCGGGAGCGCTGAGATCGAGGTCGCCGCGGCTGGGCTTGGCGGAAGCGCCCGTGGGGCCGATCCGCATGTCGCGACGAATTTCGCCGTTTTTGTTGGCGCTGGTTTCGCCGTGGTTGTCGTCGTTTTCGTTGTCGTTGTCGTCGTTGCCGTTGTCATTGTCGTCGTCGTTGTCGTCGTCGTCGTCGTCGTCAGCGTCGTCGTCGTCACCAGCGTCGGCGCGCTTGTGGAGACGAGCGGCGGAGGGGGCCGCAGCAGAGGAAGTTGGGGCCACAATGGCCGGTAGGCCGGCTGTGGTGGGCGCAGAGACGCCGGGACGCGCGCGCTTGCGGCCGCGGTTGCGCATCACCACGCGGTCTTTCTTGGTGTAGTTGCCGTAGTTGGCAGGGCCCTTGACGTCGTGGGGCAGCTCGTCGTTCTGGTAGTGGCGGATCAGGTCGTCTGTGTCAACGGAGGAGAACTCGTAGAAGGTGTTGTTGGCGCCGAGGATGATCACGGCGACGTCGACCTGGCACAGGACGGCCAGCTCGTGCGCCTTTTTGAACAGGCCTGCCTTGCGCTTGATGAACGTGCTGGCGGGGGAGTTAGTATTGAGAAGGAGCGGGTGGGGGGTAGCGGCGGCTGCGCGCGTACATACACGGTGCGATTGCGCTCTTCGGCGATCGGTTCGATAGCTATCTTGCGTCTTCCCATGGCTGGTCTCTTCGTTCAGCAGAGGGAACTAAAAATAACATCCTGGGTCCGGTATCTATGGAAAAACTTTTGAAGTCACGGGGGGCGGCGGAGAGGGTGTGGGCGGCGGGCCGGGGCGACCCGGACTTGCCCCGGACACGTCGCGACGCGACGTTTTCGCGTCGCGCCGCCCTAACGCCGCCAAACGCCGCCCGCCCAGCCCGCCCCGCCCCCGGATTTACTGCCCGCTCCGGTTTTCCCCCGCGTTGCCCGCCGGCCCAACCCCGCGCGTGGCCATGGCAACCAGCCGGCGCGCCGGACAACCACAGCTCCGGCTCCGGCCACCGCTTGCTCTTGAGGCGCCCGACGCGGGCTGGCGCTGCCCCGCGCTCCGCTTACGGCGGGGCCTCGAGGTGTATATAAGGCGGCGCGCGCGTCTTGGCTCCTGCATTATCCTCCTCCTCCTTCTTCCTATTCCCTCCTCTTCCATTCCCCTCTTCCATCCCCCCCCTTCTCTTCCCCCTCCCTCCCCAACCATGCCCTCCTCCACCATTGCCACCGGACTTTCAACCCCGCAGGCGCCCCCCGCGCTCCCCGACAACGTCCTGGCGCTTTTCTCGCTCAAGGGAAAAGTCGCATGCATCTCCGGCGCCTCCTCCGGTATCGGCCACGCCGTCGCGCGTGCTTTCGCGCAGGCCGGCGCAGACATCGCCGTATGGTACAACTCGCATGACTCGCTGATCCAAGACGCACAACAATGGGCCGCCGAGTTCGGAGTTCGCGCCCGTGCATACAAGTGCCCCGTCACCGACGAGGCACGCGTCAAGGCAACCATCGCGCAGGTGGTGCAGGACTTTGGCCGCATAGACGTGTTCGTAGCCAACGCCGGCGTGCCCTGGGAAAAGGGCCCGCTGTTGGAGGCCGAAGAGCGCGGCGAAGCCGCGGACGAATGGCAGCGCGTGCTGCACACCGACTTCCAGGGCGTGTACTACTGCAGCAAGCACGCCGGCGCGGTGTTCAAACGCCAGGGCCGCGGGTCGCTGGTGATCACGGCGTCGATGTCGGGTCACGTGGTCAACGTCCCGCAGCTCCAGACCTGCTACAACGCGGTCAAGGCCGGCGTGCTGCACATGGCGCGGTCGCTCGCGGTCGAATGGGCCGGGTTTGCGCGCGTCAACACCGTGTCGCCCGGGTACATCGCGACGCCGATCTCGGTGTTTGCCGAGGACGCGACCAAGCAGCGGTGGCACGAGCTCACGCCGCTCGGCCGCGAGGGTCTGCCCCAGGAGCTGGTGGGCGCGTACCTGTACCTCGCGTCGGACGCGTCGACGTTCACGACGGGCAGCGACATCGTGGTGGACGGCGGCTACTGCGCGATGTAGGCGGGCCGGCTTGCTCTGTACGACAGCCGGCTTGCTATGTACGGCAGCCGGCTTGCTATGTACTACCACAGCCGGCTCGCCCGTCTCCATAGCCCCCTCTGTGTACTTCAACCTCTGTGTACTTGCAACATTGGCCGTGTGCCTCTCGGCGGCTATTCGTGCGGCGCGACCGGCGGCCGGACTCCCGCCGCTCCCTCGCGGTCGCCGGCGGAGAGCCGCCGCGCTGCCGCGCAGGCAGAGACGCTGTCGTTTCTCTGTCGAGCGCCACGTCGCGGGCGGTCGCGTCGCGGGAACGAGGGCGTTTCTCAGGCGGTTCCCCGCAACGGCGGCGCTGAACGGCGCGCGGGGGCCGCTGCAAAAGCGGGCGCCGTTGTAGCGTCGCTGGAAGATGGATGTGCTCGCGGCACGTAGGTGGGTTCCCACCCTCCCGGCTGCCAGACCGGCACGGCCGCTCCCGTCTTTTCTCCGCTTGTGCCGGCGCACGGCCGCCCGCCGCGCTCCGGCGCTCGCGCTTATTGGCGCTAACAGCGCGCCATTTTTTCTCATCTCTAATCCACAAGGGGGAATCCGCTTGCTATACGAGATCGCGCCAACTATATAACTCGCAAGTCGCCCCGGCTGGTGCACTTTTCGGACTCGTGGCCAACTCGTATTCCCAGATTTCAGCCTTCTGCCTTCTGCGACACCACCGCCCAACTTCGGTCTTGTCCCCCCCATCAGCCCGCTCTCCCCCGCTCTCCCCCGCCCTGCCATGCTAGACGCCCTTTTCAGACCGTACCCCGAACCCCCGGAAGTCGGGTACTGGGGCACGCCCACCTCGACCATCGACTGGTGTGAGGAAAACTACGTCGTGTCGCCGTTCATCGCCGAGTGGTCCAACACCATCACCAACGGGCTCTTCGTGCTGCTCTCCGTGTTCGTGACCTACTCCGCGCTGCGCAACCACCTCGAGACCCGGTTCGTCATGATCGGGCTCGGATTCGGCACCGTCGGCGTCGGGTCCTGGCTCTTCCACATGACGCTGCGCTACGAGTACCAGCTGCTCGACGAGCTCCCCATGATCTACGCCACTTGCATCCCGGCCTGGAGCATTTTCTGCGAGGAGGCCGAGATCCTGCGCCGCAGCAAAAAAGACTCCGAGGCCTCCAAACCCAAGCAGGTCGTGGTCGGCTCGTCCGTGTTCCTCGCCGCCGCCATCCTCACCGTGGTGTACCTGGTGTACCGCGACCCGACCATCCACCAGACCGCCTACGCCATCTTGAACGTCGTGGTCGTGTTCTCTGCAGGCATCATGGCCCACCGCTACGTCCAGGACCAGCGCGCCAAGCGCAACCTCCGCAACACCATGGCCCTCAGCATCTCCATCTTCCTGCTGGGCTTCCTGGTGTGGAACCTCGACAATTTTTTCTGCTCCTTCTGGCGCTACATCCGCCGCTCCTTCCTGCGCTTGCCGCTTGGCATTTTCCTCGAGCTCCACGCGTGGTGGCACCTGCTCACGGGCACCGGAGTCTACTACTACATCGTCCACCTCGAGTACTTGCGCGTCCTGACCCACGGCCAAAGCGACAACTACACCTTGGCCTGGAGGTGGCGCATTTTCCCCGAGCTCGTGCACAAGCAAAACCCGATCCACACGCCTTACTCCCTGGAGTTCCTGGACGACTACGTGGGCACCAGCTCCTCGGAGCACCCTGACAGGCGCAAGAGCGAATAAGTGCCAGACCTGGCCCCTGTGGGCTCTAAGAAAACTAAAGCCAGTAATGATTGACCGCCAACTGCCAAATGCCAAGATTCCTCATATTACCTACTTTCATTAAAAGAAGAGAAATAAAAAAAAATTCATCGTAACACCGCTCGCCACAGCACGACTCTCATCTCACCCCATCCACGCTTTTCGTTGCATCAAGTCCATGCATTCCATATTATTTTTGTGTAGGCTATGGAGCCGAGTAAGCCTTTTCGGTAAGCATTCCTTAATATTCATCAAAAACAATCTCTAAAGTTGCACTTACAGATCATTGCCGTCTCGACTCTCTTAGTTTTACGACATCGTACATACAACAATTTATAAAAACTGGTAAGCCTGTTTAAGCAGTGTTCGAGATTTTTGTGTTTCAACCATCGTGCCCGCCTCTCCGCTTTCCCCTGATCGACCTTGAAATTTTTTCCACTACAGGTTTCCCTCGCAGCCTATTTGCAGTTACATAAATCCTTGACTACAGCCACTCGTCTCTACTAACCCCTCATCTCTACCAAACCACGTTCTCCCAACTTACACACAATGCCAAATCCTTTACCTCCACAGTACACCTCATCAAGCAATGACTACCGTTCTGACACCTTTACAATCCCCACTGCAGATTTCTGGAGCCAATTGGGCAACTCATCACTTGGGGATACCATATATGAGGAAGATACCGATACCTGCTTCTTGGAAGATCGCATTGCCAACTCCCTCCTGGGAGGCAAACTCTACGGAGGTGCAGAAGCGTATGGCCTGTTTTGCATGTCAACCACCATGTCCAACCAGCTGGCTATCAGAGCCCATATGAATTTCGCACCTCCCTTTAGCCTTCTATGTGACAAGAGAGCACACATTTACGTCGATGAAGCTGCAGGACTTGCCGTTCTTTCCCAGTCCCTGGTCATACCCGTTGCCTCCTCCAATGACCATCATTTAGTGCTCGAAGACATCCAAGCCAATTATATCCCAGATGATGGCGACATTCATTTAGCCCCGACTAGATTGATATGCCTCGAAAACACTCTACATGGAATGTGTTTCCCATATGATGAGTTGAAACGCATTAGTGACTGGTGTCATCAAGAGGGGATCAAACTTCACCTAGATGGTGCCCGCCTTTGGAACGCTGCTTGCTCCTCACAAGAAACGGACAAAATCGCCTATTTCCACAAGGTGGCTCCCTTGTTTGATTCCATCTCCATTTGCCTATCTAAATCGGTAGGCGCTCCCATAGGTTCTGTACTCATTGGAGGAGAAGACTTCCGGAAAAGAGCAAGACATTTACAAAAACAACAGGGTGGAGGTATCAGACAAGCTGGATTTATTGCGCGCATTGCCAATTTTTGCATCGATCGTAATTTCCCCGGAAATATCATAAAAGTTTCAAATGCAACTTCAGAATTCTGGCAAGATTTGTACACCACGTTGAAAAATGATTACGGGTTCGAATTGAAGCTATCTCATCCGGTCGAAACCAATTTTATTTTCATTGATCTTGCCAAATCTAAGATAGATATGACAACACTATTAAAATTCGGTGCCCTGAACGATGTCAAACTTTTTGATGGCAGACTGGCTTTCCACTATCAAAATATTGAAGAAGATAGCCTCAAAAAATTGAAAAAAGTCTTTACAGATATTGCAAACTACTATCAAAGTCATGAATATAATCCAAATGAAAGATCGGCTAGAATATACTAACAAATAAATACTGATGTTCTACATTATATAAACCCTTCTGAGAAAGATATAATAGATTGATCGTAAATGGAAAATTAGACGTATGCACCGACGTCACCTTTTAATTTTACAGAGATTTGGACATATACGGTCCGTCCAATTCGTATCCCAGCTTCGCGTAGTAGTTTCTCACACCCACACCAGAAATAACCGAAATTTTTTCCGATCCATGTTCCTCTTTGGCAATGCGTGCTGCTTCTTCCATCAATAAAGTTCCGAAACCTTGATGCTGAAATTTGCGAGGATCTCTCGAGTGCAAGGGAACAACCGAACCATATACATGTAGTTCACGTACAATTGATGTTCGTTGAGAAGTAAACTCCTTTCTATATGTGTATTTTTTGGAGGCCTTTCTTAGTCGCAATAACCCAATCAAAATGTCTTTCTTGGGGTCCTCATAGGACAAAAATGTTTCCCAGCCACCGTTTGCGTAATAATCTCTCCGAATCAACTCAACTTGGTCTGGTTGAACCTTATGATGTACTTCTTGGATCCCCACTTCTCTAGTACGAACGTCTCGGCATGTCGTACCAAAATCTTTCATTCTTGCCAATGCAAGCTCTCTCAAGTTACCGTTGTCTACACCTGATGTAACAAGCGGCATTGGGATATCTCGCTGGACTCTGTAGATTCTGGTCCAAGGTGGCACTAATGCCATGATACGAGCCACCAGGTCAACAAGCGCGTTTGCATTGTAAGACTTATATCTACCGGTTTTCCAAAGCTCATAAAGACCAGTACCTCTGATCACCAATGTAGGATAAATCTTGAGACCATCAGTTCTAAAATCCGGGTTTTCAAAATACTCTTTAAATTGCTCAATGTCTCTTTCCATACCCACATTTGGTAGATCAGGCATCATATGTGACACAATCTTATAACCTGCATCTTTTGCAACACAAAAAGTCTCACAAACAGATTTTACTGTGTGGCCTCTATTGGTATCACGGGCAACGTCTTCATAAAGAGATTGAACACCAATTTCTAATCTTGTACAGCCATATTTCAACATATCATCAAGATGAGTTTGAGTACAGTAATCTGGTCTCGTTTCGATAGTTATCCCCACACATTTTGTCAAACTCTGTTGAGAATATTCAATGGCTTCATCTATATCATTACCATTGAACCCAGATAGTGCATTGTGCAATTTAACAATGAAATCCTCACGGTAATCCTTGGGCAAAGACATGAACGTTCCACCCATGATAATATATTCAACCTTATCAATAGAGTGTCCCAATTGCTTCAACTGCTCGACTCTTCCACGGGCTTGTTCATAAGGATCATAACGAGCTCTGATGGCACGCATAGAAGTGGGCTCGTAACCAGTGTAAGACTGAGTAGAATATTCAAAATCAGAATCTGGCCCACCAGGACAGTAAACACAAATGTTACCGGTATATGCAATATGAGGGCAACGGTGCGGCTTACACATCACTGCCACAACAGCTATACCAGAAGCTGTTCTCACAGGTTTGGCCTTAAGCTTGGGTAGCAAGTACTTCTTGTACTGATCGGGAATTGAATTAATGATATCAGTAAGCCGAGGTTGCTGTTTTAACTTGTACTTTTTAGAAAACTTGGTTATCAATCCATTCAGGTTGATTTCTCTTGAAGAACCTGACGTTAATGAGTTTGTCAATTCCAACGTGATATCTGAACAGCACTGAATGAATCGCTCCTTTTCGGGTGCAAGCTTCTGCTTGTTACTTTTCGGACCATTTCCGCGACGACCCATAATTGACTTTTGATTCAAAACAATGAAACGCTGCCGCAGTACTTAGCTTTATCTTGACGTTGATCGTTGAGATGAGCTTGTAATTTTTTTTTTGTGCATGTCACAGAAGAAAAAGAAAGTACTGTGTCACGTGTTCACGAGAAGAAGCTTGATTAGAGTAATAGCACAAGAGGGTACCAAATCTAGTAACATAGTTGTAATATCTTTCTTCAGAGACATAGACCATGAACATATCTCTTGTGTTCTTGGACCCGAGTGCACATCCTTTATAGCTCTGGCACTGGCAGTGCATTATTTCTTCACGTGGTTTCATATGTGATTACGTACGAAATATCATATTTCCTTGCGAGGTGGCGAAAGGGCCAAGTGGTGGCGATTAGGCAATACTCTAAAAGAGCTATTCAAATCAATTAAAGCAAAGGTTTATACCCTCGCAGTGATAGCATTGGATAATCGTTTAGTGCACGGGCTAGTACCGTATCATTGATTACATAGCACTAGCAATTGTGAAGATAGGATGGGTCCTGACGCCAAGAAGAAAAGAAATCAAAAGAAGAAGCTCAAACAAAAGCAGAAGAAGGCGGCTGCCCGAGCGAGTGAGAATTCCTTTACGGAAAATACTGATGCTTTGAATGCCGCTGCTGCTGAAAGTCCTTCTGAGCGTAGCAATGAGCAATCAAACCAATCCACAGAGGATGTTAATGCTACACACCACGCAAACGACGACGAGGGAAAAGCTGAAAGTTCGCAAGGCCTAATTGTCAAAGACTCTCCTCTGGAAGCCTCGACAGAATCTGCTAATGCTAACCAGACGTTGGACTATGAACCAGAAGCTACAGCAGAGATTGTTCAGTCGCAGATGAAGACTTCCGACGAGCCTGAAAATAACCTCGCAGATCAAGAAAGTGTTCCAATGAACTTAAATACAAATGACTTTCACGAGAAAGATCAGTTACCTATCACTAACTCATCTAGTCAGATAGATGATAATACGACTTTTGAAGAGGGTGTAGATCAAGATAATGGTGAAGCAGCTGAATCGAAATTGTCAAACCTCGGAATTACGATTTCTGAACCATCCGCTGGAGTCACTACGGAAGGAGATAACACAGAATCTGTGAAAAATGAAGTCAATGATCTAGAAGCCGAAGAAATTTCAACCCAAGACCCTGATAGACAACGTGATAATGTCATAAATTCAAATGCAACGGAAGTTCTTGATGACGAGCTTTATTCTTCTAAACCATCTGCTAGCTTATCAAATCCTTCAGAACTTTCTGTGGATCACGCAGAGATTGTCATGGAGGAAGAAGATATTTCGAATGTACCTTTAGTTCTGGAGGGCGGTGACGAAGACCCCTTTATCACTAGTGAAAACAAGGATGGAGATTTGAATTCGACAGTGACCGAAGAACTCGTCAATATTCAACATGATGATCAATCTTTGGCGGAGAAGGATGATATGTACTCAACGGAGGATCAATTAAACAATCAGATGGCTCCCTCCGGTGATCAAGCTGCATCCTCTGAAGCGATAAGTTCACATATATCGAGCCACGATGTATCGGTGGATCAACTTTCATCGAAACACATACAGCAATCTGATGAGCATTCTCCTCAGAATGCCTTATTTGAGACTAACGAAAGTGATGAGATGATGCCATGGGAATCGAACGATAATTCATCCCATATCGATAACATTGTTCTAGAAACTAACATCCATCAAGATTTGGATAGTGGTGACGGCAACTTATTTGATGAAAAAGACCAGCACGAAAAAATGCCTTGGGAAACTGCGATCGAGCCAACTACTGATGATCACCATTCAGACAATATTATTCTGGAAGACAATTCCGTGATACATAATGCTAATGACAATAACCGCGACGAAGTCCCAACGCAAAAGGACAATGAAGCGCATGAGTATCAACTGATAGATAAACAAGAGGAAAACAGTCTTTTCCAAGATGAATGTAACGAAGAAGGTGAGCCCCTCCCATGGGAAACCACGAAAGCTTCAGAAGTTGCAGGCACTCCAACCATGTTGCAAACCTTAGAAGAAACACCTCATGAAAATAATGATAGGGAGAAATTAATTGAAAAAAAGTTTTCTTTCTTGGAAAATGATGACGATTTTCTTGATGAAGATGATGATAGCTTTTTAGGGTCAGATGAAGAATTTCCTATTGCTCAAGATACCTCTAGCATTCAATCAAGACCGAAAGCAACGTCACAGGATCACACCAAGAGATATCAGCCATCAACGAGTTCTGATGTCAGCGGCAGTATAAGCAATCCAATTTATAGTGGCGTTGCTACTTATCCAGCAACGCAGCCGGTTGCAAATATTATTGGTAATACAGCAATTTCCGAAGCCAAAGAAGTGAGATCAAAATATGCACCATCATTTGGAAGTCAACAGAGGGAACCATCAATTCATTCAGTTGGAACACCTGTTATAGTAAATTCGACGGTGCCAAATCAGCCGCAACCATTCATTCAGCCTGTAAAGCAGGATCCGACCATTTTTAAAAAGTTAGATGAAGAAAAGAAAAAATCAGACGCGTACGATCTTCCTTTTGAAGTTGTGATGCGAAAGCCCACGAAAATTGCACATGCGAAACCTTTTGGTGTTTCAACTTCGAATATCAATTCAAGAAGCTCATCTGGTTCACTCTCCTCTGCCCAATTCAATCCTGGTCAGGCTGGAAGAACTCCTTCAACATCAACTAGCCATGGTCAACCTAATCAGCAGCAAACCATTCCAGCGGCCGTACCTGTCAAGCAAAATAGGGCTCCGCCGGTAAAGTTATCACATTTTCCCACGCCTGCAGTAAATGATGCCACTGCTCCTGTCAATTCGAGCTCGCTAAATCCTCAGTTTCCGGGTTCTGGAAACCAGGCCCCCGTTTCGCAAACTGAGTCGGTTCGTACAAATCCTTACGCCCCTGTGAATATCCATCCCGAGGGAAAGGACCATCAACTTCACTCCGGATCTGCGACAATAGCTCATAATAATGCCCCGCCATCTTCTAAGAGATATGCCCCCATCACCTCAAGTCATGAACCACCAAAAATGGTAAAATCTGGTCCACCTTACTCAGGCCAAAGTTTGAGAGCCCGTGCGTTCAGTAACGTATCTAACGGAAGTGCAGGTTCTTTAGGGAGCCAAACATCAGCGAAATATGGTTTCCCTCAATTATCTCAACCCCAAAGGCCTCACGTTGCTAATGCCTTGAACCAGGTAGGTCCAGGAGACGGAGTACCAGCTTTATCGTCACTAAAAGTTTACGGTTTACCAATCACCAATCAGCCTGTATTGTCGCCAAATACGCAAAGAAGAACACACGCTCGGTCAAATTCTAGCGTCTATGCACCTGCGCATGCATCGAAATATGCGCCAACTGTTCAACCTCAATATCATGAACCTTACGTGCCTGTTATGGATAGCACTGTATCCAACTTTCCAACTCAGATGGTGGGGGACAGCCAAATAGGCCCTCGTGCTGGACTTAACGTCAACCCTTATCGTGACGACGCTAGAACTCCTCAGATCGATAACTCCTCATTGCTTCAAAGGCAATTTCCTATTTTTCACTGGGGAAAATCTTCAAAAGTTGTGTACGCACTACCACCTTCCCCAGAGTCGGGTATTTACATTACGAGTAATGTCGTGCCATCAGTTAACGTGGTTGGATATGATATGATTTTGAAAGCACCTTTAGTGTTGAAATCTTTTGCAGGCCCATTGGTTCGCCACAAAACTAAGCGGAAAGAAGTAATCAAATGGATTGACGATCTCATTGAGCAGCTTTCGAGGGAACAGCCTCTCGAAGACTTAACTATGTGGCAAATTTTCAAGGCACTGCTGGCTGACAATATTAGTACAAAGGAGATAGCAAATATTCTCTACAATTCTGACGAGCTATTACCATACCTATCTCAGCCAATACGTACCAATCGAAAGGAGTTGAACGCTCATAAGCTAGATGAAAATAGTCGACTAAAAATTTTGGCTTTTCTACAAACAGGCCGGCACGAAGAAGCTCTTGAACTAGCTCTAAGTGAAAGAGACTTTGCACTAGCGCTAATGCTAAGCAGTATGTCTGGCAAAGAAAAGTGGTCGCAAGTTGTTGATGCCTACTTGAGAGAAGAATTCAGCACTGCTCATTCAAATGGGGACTCGCCAGTAAATCTTTTAACTCTAATTTTTCAAGTTTTTGTTGGAAACGCTAAAAAAGTCATTCAGGATATTGAAAGTGATCAATCTAAACTAATGTGGGCCCTACAAAATTGGAAGATGATCTTGTCTGCGGTTTTAAATAACGCAGATGGTTATTCAAAGGAGGCTCCCAGTGATAATGTGTTGCTGTTACCTTCAGTTGTTTTGGAATTTTTGGTGAGGTTTGGTGTTTTTCTAATCGAAAGAGGTGTCTTACTCGGTGGAGCATTAGCATTTATAGTCGCGAATGTACCAATGTCGACTAGTGATAAAATTTTGGATAGCACTGTTGCTTTCCAGAGCTTTGGTAATCCAACTTCCGTGGAGAGCATCCTTTATTCAGAACTTTATGAATATACTTTCAGGACTAACGACCCCAAGTTTACTGGCTTTGAGTGTTTATTGCCACTAAAGATGGCACACGCGTCTCTTCTTGCAGATTACGGTTTGGCCTCGTATGCTTCGAAATATACAGATATGCTTGCAGCCTCAATCAGATCGTTGCCTAAGAATACATTAACGGCAATGAGACTGGCGTCTCAATTGAATTCGTTGACATCTAGGCTTCTAGGTTCAAATGGCGGTTGGTTAGGTAAGCCCAAGTTGAGTAATGTTTGGGGGCAGTTAGATAAATCGTTTAACAGGTTTATTGGGGGGGATGATGATGAAGTCCTGAACAAATCTGCAGAAAAGACGGTTTTTGACAGTTTTACTCCCAGTAGTTCAAGGAATGCGTCAATGGTAGATCTCAGTCAACAGTCGGCAGGCATCGGTGTGATGGGCGGCGCCATAACAGCCACTGGACAACTTGGACAAGTGGCGTTCGGACAAGAGAGGGCAGCGAACTATCTTCCCAATTCGGTAGGCATGCAAATGCAGGCAGTTAGCGGGATAACAAGTACAAGTTCAAGCAAACGCCCAAGTATAGGAGGAGGTCGCGCTACAAGTCAGAAATTTGTACCTCAAGGAGTTAATGCTTCCAATTTTGCTAAGTCAAGCCCTGGCGGATTTACCACAACATCTCCAATGAAAATTGCTAATGGTGCAATGAACTCTCAAGACAATCTCACTACTGATTCCTCAATACCAGCTTCGAGAAATTATCCAGTACCTTCTGCTACAACCCCACCACCCCTTTTCTCAAAAAAGTTGAGAAGCAGGCATACAATCCCCACATTTGAAAAGGTTGGATCGTTAGATGAACTTTACAATCTTGGCTCGACGTCCAAATCAAGCGCCGCAAAAAAAACATATGAGCAAATGGCGTCTGGAAATGACTTGATATCATCCCCACACATTCCAGCTGTGAATTCAAGACAGAGTAGTCGAAAGGGAAGTAGGAGGAACTCACTTCAATCGACTGGTAGTAATGGGACGACAAGCATTCTGTCAAGCTCTCCAAGAGGTCCTAAGCATGTTGCCATTCTTTCTGGGAATAGTGTTTCACAACAAGCCTCATCTATTGAAAATAACACTTCGCCTAGTCAGAAAAACAGTCTTAACAAAAATTTCTCAGAAAATCCTGGCAACGTGATTCCATCATTTAGTTCTCCCCCAACTTCACATAATACCATCTCAGAAATCATTAATGAGGAAATTGAGACATCGAGCTTGCCTGAAAATTCAGATGAAGTATCAGATCCCGTTGATTTGAATTTTCAAGAAGAGACGACTGACAACAATGGAGCGAAACAGGATATTGTCGAAACTTCTGAAAACGAAGAAAAGATCAGCGATTGGGATCCCAGCTCCCATCAAGCTAATCTATCTCCAAATTACCGCTTGTCTGCTGAAGTCATAGATAGTGTCCCAATCGCAGACGGAGCATTTGAAAAAAATGTTCAACGTGTCAATAAAAACGTCACTTCGTCTGAAACAATGACTTCTGTCTCTATTGAGAGGACCCCGTATGTTCCCAATACGAATTTGTCATCCCAAAGTTCGAAAATTACTGAAACTGCTTCCGAAAAAACTTCACGTAAGGCAACTTCTGATGCTTTGATTCCTCAACATACTACGACTTTGGAAGAGTCAGGGTCAAAACTTGGTAATGACTATCAAACTACAAGAGAGTTTGGAGATTCTGAGGCCAAAAATGATATAGGTGATGTTTCTGACGAGCAAGCAGATATCAATGCAGCCAGGGTGGCGTTATCAATTCCACCAGACATTCCCTCTAACTCTCTGGAATTCCCTGCTAATTCCTCATCTTCTGCTACAGCTAACCTCGCTAGTGGAGAAAACCAGATGGACGAGCGTCATACAAACGTCAACAGTTTGGAATCTCTCCAGACAACTCACAGTTCACCGGCGAACCCATATGCTCCTCGTTCTTCCGTTAATTCTCGCACCTATGCTAGTCCTTATGCACCAACCAATCAAAAGTCAAAGCATAGCACGCCTAATCCCTATGCACCTAATCATGAAGAATTGAACGAATCTTCCACGAACAACATTTACGCTCCAAAGGCGACGATTCCACGTTTCAACCCTAATACGGACATGCAGGAATTGAGCGAGCTTGATATGTTCTCATATGGTGGTTATAAAACTGAGGAGCAAAAGCAAAATGAAGAGTCATTGCCCCCTCCGCAATTCGAGCAAGAAGATACGAAGGATAATGAAGTTCAGACTAGTGATCAAGACCAGGATAGCTTAGTGACAGAGACAGTCGAATCCAACTCACAGCCACAGTCAAGATTCGATCCAATTGCTGAGTCGGATCCTGCGTTAGTCCAACCCTTCAATCCTATGGCGGTACCAATCATCAGGCCTGCATCTAATCCTAATTTCAAACCTTTCACACCAGCTTCAGCATCTAACGCAGAAGAGTATTACGATGACGTAGTTGAGGATGAATCCGATGAAGAAGAAAAGGAACAGGAAGATCGTATCAAAAGGGAAGAAGCTGCAAGAAAAAAGCGATTGGAGGAAGAGAAAGAAAAAGAGAAGGAGAAGAAGGCCAAAAATCATGACAAAGAGAAAGGGAATAGTGGGACTTGGTTTGGCTGGCTCAAGAAAGACACTAATGAAAAAAAACCTATTAAAGCTAAATTAGGTCATCAAAACACGTTCTATTATGATGATAAGTTGAAACGGTGGGTAAACAAAAATTCTACCGAAGAAGAAAAGCAGGAAATTGCAACCCCCCCACCACCTCCGCCTGTTATCAAACGAAAGCTGCCCAATAAGATAGAGGTGAAGCCTAGGTCAGGTTCTATCGCGGGTGGTGCGGCTGCTAGGACAGCAGGAGTGGTAACCCCACTTAATCCACTCACTGGTCAGCCTATGCTTCCTGTTGAAGAAAGCAACAAGAAATCTTCGAGTATTTCTCCCACCTTCGGCATTCCTGTTAACTTGTCAGGAAAGAAAGCCAATGGGCTCGATGATTTAATATCTCTTGCTGGTGGACCAACACCTGCGGGAGGTGCACGAAGAAAGAAAAAGGCCAACCGAGGTTATGTCAATGTCATGAATAATGCGTGATAGCTGTCTGGCATTTCTCTGTATTAACAGTTCCATACGCATGGTCAATCAAATTCGAAAGCGTATGTTTTATTCTATTTACAGCAATTCTCATTTTTATGTACATGTAGAGACAACTTTCACTGTGTTGGCGGCAAACGATACAAGTCTCCGCTGCTTTTCATTTTCGCAATAGCAGCTTGCATATCGTCTTCGTAGTTCTTAGGGAGCTTGGAATCCGGCTTGCTTTCAAAAACAGATCCAATTAAGATCATATCATCTGAAGAAGCATCGCATAGGAATGCAACGTAATCTACAACGTCCCGATCAAGTTTTTCTACTTTGTTTGTTTTCTTATTGAGCTTTATCAAGCGCTGTTTCGTATCAAATTTGTAAATCAGCTGAATATGTTCGAGTGGTCGCCCGGGTATCATCATAGCTTGGACAGAAACAATTTTGGGTACGTGTTTGAATTCCAGAAGTTGCCATTCTAGTTCAACATTTTTGGGGAGTTGTTTTGATCTGGCAGTGAGCGCCTCTTCGACCCACAGCGATATTTGAGGTCTAACAGAGGCTATTTTTCGCTTAGCAAATGCTTGGTTAACTTGCGCATACATTTCGATGGCCTTGTTCTTCCATGTCAAGAAGTTCGGCTTCATTCCTGATTGGTACCTAAAGAGTGCTATTTGTACTGTGTTCAAACCCAATGTGTAGACACGCCTGACGAGTGCATTGCAAAATATAATTGGGTGCTTGAAAATGCTTGGCAGGTGATTAAATGATGGAGGAATATATACATCGGTAGAAATGCCTAAATGGCGTGGATTGAAATCAACTGGTTTCGAAGCCTTCTTTTCCTTGCCAGCTTGAAAGACGTATCCAGACGTCGAAAGTAGCCTATGTGTAGAAGCAAAGCACCTTGGTAATCTTTGTGCCGTCAATAGTGGTCTGGTAGAGAGCATGCTATTCAATTCAGGTGTTGAACCTAGCGCTCCACGGGAATCATTTATGGAATACCAATTTCAAAAAATTTTCGAGGTAATTACATACGTTGGTTAATTACTATCGATTTGCACGATTGGAAATCGTTAGTACTGCAAGATCATTAAAAAGGGGATTGGCTTCGAAACGTGAAAATAAACTTGATTTTAATCGTCACTATCTGATTGATACGTTTCATTATGAAAACCTTCTTATTATCACTAAAGGTGAGAGACACGGAAAAACTGTCATGGTCTAAGGGGTTATCATCTTATCTCAAAAGATCGTATGGATCTTCGGCATGGAACCAATTCTTCGATTCACAATTGGCTGACGAATTTGATAGGTCTAGAAGTAATGCAAATGGAGAGCTGGCACCAGAGTCTTTGTTAGAACAGAATTACAAATATTATGCTTATTTAGAGCAACTGTATTTGCGACTTGGCAACAACTCAAACCAATTGAGACTCGATTTTACATGGTACGATGCAGAGTACTCATCGCGTTCTGAATCTCAAAAATACACGCAGCACACTTTGGCATTTGAGAAGTCGAGTACTATTTACAACATTGGCGTCTTGCTTACACAGGTGGCGTCAGAAAAACTAAACGGAGATTATAAAACTGCAACTAGTAATTTATCGAAGGCGTACGGCTGTTTTGAATACCTCAGTGAGAACTTTTTAAATTCGCCTTCGGTTGACTTGCAAGCAGAGAACACGAAGTTTCTCGCTGATATATGTCACGCGCAAGCACAGGAACTTTTCCTTCTCAAGTTAATCAATGGCCCTGACGTTTCAAAACATGCATCACTTATCAGCAAGTTGGCTGCAATGACCTTTGTACTGTATGAAAAATGTGCAAAGTTTTATGAAAGTGGGGATGAGAGCGCGACCTCATTGGTGCCTTACGGAGAATTAAAATGGAAAAGCATAATAACTTGTAAGCAGCATCTTTACAAGAGTATTTCCGCTCTCAACTACGGCATAGCACTTGAACAACAAAGTAAGCCCGGTGAAGCGATTGCCTTCTTGCAAATTGCGAACGCTGCTATTTTGTCTGCTCTTCCTCATAAGCTTTATGTGAAAGACGTGATAGATCTGGAGCAGATAAAGACGATGATTGAAGACAAACTAAAGTCCTTAGTTAAAGACAATGATTTTATTTACCATGAGACTATTCCCTCCGATGTTAAGTTTGAGGCAATTAAAACCATGGATGCTATTAAATCCCAAGATATCACGAAACAGACTGAGCGTTATATGGACAGCGTCAATGATTCCTGTAATATTCTGTTCAAGGGAATTGTTCCCATGGACGTTTATGAAAAAGAAAGTATTTACTCGGAGGAAAAAGCTATAATGTTGAGAAAAGAGTTAGACGTGGTAGAGACCGCGAATTGGGAATTTACCTCTTTTATTGAATTTACGAATTTGCCAAAACTAGTAGATGATTTGAAAATCAGATATAAGGATGGGGTCAACGGAAGCCAAGGTGAAGATCCCCAGTTGAGCATGATGAAAGAGCAAATCGATTCATGGTCTACCAACGTTCGTCGGAGTCCTTATAAAAATGTCAAAGAACAGTTAAACAAGATTGTCGAGAAAAGAAATGAAATTATGGGCTTGCTCAATTCTATTCCCGATGATGACAATAATAAGGATAACGTTTTGAAGTTAAAGTCATCGCTAATTGCGGCCTCTCAATCTGACGAGAAGCTCTTTTCTTTTGTCAACCCCTATCTTGAAGAAATGAACTTGTTGGATAATCCTGAATTACTTCATAGAAACTGGGAACAACTTATTTCAACGCCTGAGTCGCAACCAAGTTTGTTAGATCTCGATGATTCAAAAAATGAGGAAATTATGTCCAAGATAAAGCATGTCTCCGAGCAGTACGAGAATCTACGTTTGTTGAAGGAAGAGCGTTCGAGAAATGTTCAAGATTTGAAAGAGGAAGTCAATAATGATGATATCACTAAAACTTTGATTGTCAACAGGGGAAAGCCAGAGAGTGCCCTCAAAGAAGTTTTTCAAACAGAGTTAGATAAATTCAAGCCACTCAGTACCAGAATAGAAGCCACCGTCTTCAAGCAAACGAATATCATAAATGACATAAAGCTTTCATTGGATGATATTTTTAAGATGACTGATGTCCATGAAAAGTCTTCTGAAGGTGAAGCTAAGAAGAATCAGAGAAACGCATTTTATCAAAAACTCAATAATGCTTTTACTAACTTCTCCATTTTTTCTGGAGATCTACCGAAGGGCCTGAAATTCTATGACTCTCTTCTTCAAATGACCAGGGATCTTGCTAAGTCAAGCTCATCTTCGACACCCCGTAGTTCCGCGCAAGAGAATCCATTACCTCCTGTTTTACCTTCCCAGTCCAATCCTTCTCAAAATGTGAGCCTTGACGAAAGATTCAGACAACTGAGTGTGGCATCAAATGTTTCACCAGGTTCAAGCTTCTCTGCACCTGGTGGAACGCCTCAGTTGCCTCCAAGAACGTATGACGATGGGAATGGAAGCCTCAATCCGTCAACATCAAATGGTCCACCGGTACCGCCTAAACAGCCTTCACATGGTATTGCTAGCTTATTGTCAAATCAGCAACAGAGACAAAGCGAGAACCAAGAGTTCGAACAAAATCCCACGTCTTTTTACAACAATCCATCAGTTTTTAATGAGAACATGTACTCGAATTTTGGTGGGTGAAGAATTATTATACGAGATTAGTAATGATGCTAAATAATTATTCTGGTGTCTTTTCAGACCTTTTCTTAGGCCTCCTCTTAGGCCTTTGAGACTTACTTGATTTTTTTGTAAAGGCGTTGGGTTCGTACCATACATTCTCTGAACCAAAATCTGATTCTGATAATCGAACAAAACTAATTAAGCCATCATCCATAACAGCTAGTACGAAACTTCTATATCCTTTTTTTAATCTCCGTAACTGTTGGATGTGCGGAGGATACGTTTTACAGTTTTTTTTGTTTTCCTTGGTACGTGGGGATTCATCTTCTTTTTTTGTGATCTTATATTCATTATTCAACTGTGGAATTTTGTTCGCTACTTGAACATCGTTCATATTACCATCAGTTAGAAAGTCAAATTGGTAATTAAGTCGCTGAAAAATATTCCGTATTTCTGGGTATGTTGGGAAACTTGAGCCACTTTCGTTTTTATTATACACGACGATTTGAAAATCTGGTAGACCAGGACTTTTCTTCCTGAAGTTTGTTCTCGGTTTCCATACGTTAAACGAAATTTTCCACGCCTTGAGATCTGTCGTCTCTTGATAAGAATCAGCATTCTCATTACAGAGCTCTTGAACTGTGCGCGGAGCGGAGTAACTTGGAATCAGTAAATTGAGAGATCGATATATTTGACCTGAAGAAGTATATCTTCGGAAATAAAAGTGATAGGGATCATAAATCGAAAAATGCGGTATGGTGGGTATTAATCGGAATAAAGAGGTAAAGTAGCGGTATACTCGCTGTTCTCCAGTGATGCTTGAGACCTCCAAGTACGATGACCAATGTGGGACGTTCTGATTGATGCTAGAAACAATGAAGCCTAATCTTTTAAGGTGGGCATAAACAAAAAACTCATCTAGCTCAGACTGAGACTTAAATAGCGAATATGTGTCCTCGACACTCAACGGCACATCAAACTCATCGTCCTCTCTACCTGAGTTTTGCCAGTATGGTGTGACCGTTCCTCTTTCTGCCAGATACACGAACTCGTAAACTTCAAGCCAGCAACAACCACTGCTGTCGACTCTCCCCATTGTATGCATAAAAGTACCTTTAGGATGCGGTACAACAGCCATGTGTTTCTCAGGTACATAGTATGCCTTCACGAGGTTTTTCACCACAGAGCCGCGTATCGCCCCACTGAGCGAGTCAAACATCGCTTTCTTTGCGCGAAACAGCATTAACTCTTGTACGTTGGTACCATCAGGCTCGAAGTCCTTCTCTCCTCTTTTAGGAATTACATTTTGGCTAACCGTGACCTTGGCCATTTGCGACCAGTCTTGTGCAAGTTCATCGCCTTCTTCATCAGAATCTAATTTAGCTGTAGCATGATCAAACTCTTCGTCCTTCTCCATTGAAAAAAAATGTGCAAGGTACACAGCTGAACACCTTTGATGGGTAGTTCGACTTTTGATTGACAACCATCGACGAGCTTGTACGAATCTTGCGATGTGACAATAAAATTGATAAAAATATACTCCGATACGGGGAGTCGAACCCCGGTCTCCACGGTGAAAGCGTGATGTGATAGCCGTTACACTATATCGGATTTCGTTGAGAAGTACTCGATTGTCGATCTATATAATACATAAGAAAGATCATATGACAAATGCCTCGTTATTATCGGTTTGTTGTGCAATTTCGATCAGTACACACCAATATAGCCAAATCAAGCACTCTTGTTGAACTCTAGGGTCCAAGATGGCAAAAGTCAATTTTGACATTTAATGTTTGTTTTTACCCTGGCGGGGTTTGCATTTTGCATCCATGATCATATTTTAAGAAATTTTCCTTGAATATCTACAAATCACTATAACATATAAAGTTTGTTGCTATCAAAAGTTCACACTTCAAAGTTTTGTTGTGTTACAGGAGGGACAAGCACAGCTTGAACCACACCTACACCTGGTAGGCTTTTCCGACAGGTTAGCACCACAACATGAAGGTGCTGACTTTTGCTTTGTAGAAGAACAGCAAGACTTCTCTTGAGGTTGACTGGTCGAGCAGCAGCTCTTTGTTGGGACTTTACTGGAATCGCAGCACGACATACTAATGATGATTGTTACAGTATTCGGTAGTTTGTCTCTTGACTTCTTTTGTGAGCCATATATATATCTGCCCTCGTTATCGGAATGCGGCTATCATAATATTCCAGCCGCTTTCCGTATTTAGGAATTCTACGCGGGACGAATCAGAGAAAATAAGAGCACGTGATTATCACGAGACTGGGAACTGTTTTCTCGATTTAATTGGCGGCTAACCATTCTGCCACCAGAAACAAAACAAACAGTCAACTCTGAGAATTGGTAGAGTGTCCATAGCAACATGGTATTTCTCGTTGATGTGCGGTTGAGATATTCGGTTTTCTTGATTATCAGTGATACACTGAAAGAAGTCCAAATGCAACATGGATCTAAGAACAGCTTTATGTTTACCAATGCTCTGACCAGGGCCATAGAAAGCAAATTGACCAAGTTGAAGCACGAGAAGATCAAAGATGGGGTAATTCTGGAAGCAGTAGACTTCTTTTTAGAGGGGCAGGGAGCGATGGAAATAAGCGCTCATCCAACCGATGCCCAAGCTAGCATAGTGCGAAGCCTTGTCAAAGTGGTTTTACATCAGGTTGGAGCTAGTGGCAGCTATGACCTGAGTGAGGGCCAAGAAAACCTGCTGATATCACTGTGCGTAGAGACTATGCAAGTTGAGAGTGTGTCTGAGAGATGTGATATATTGCGTCGTGAAAAATCTCTTACAGATGCAGTTGAGCAGGGTTTGAAGTATGGGTTCGAAAGTGAAAACCACCTTAATAGTGGTCTAGATCAATTCTGCATTCGATTTTACTGCTGTTCTTCCCCACAGCAGATGCGCCGACCTCCTGATAGAATAATGGAGGAATTCGATAAAATAGATATCCAAGATGACACTGAAAATGACAATGACGGTGAAACTTTGGCGAGTGTGAATCCTGCATTAGAGGCACTATATATCAGTTCAGGAACTTTAAGCCAAGCAAGAATACAGCTACTTCCTACGGTAGAATATGATGGCTTATGGGAGGCGCTTCATTTTGATAGCAACATCAAACAGAAGCTGTTCTCCTACGCGACAATTTCACTCAAGATTTCACAGTTTTCGAGTAAAACTATTTCCGACGCCGTGATTTCCAATAACAAGCTTCTACTCATCCATGGGCCTCCTGGCACCGGGAAAACTACTGTTTGCAGAGCATTGTGCCAAAAGCTATCTATCAGATACCCTCAAAATGACTTAGGCACATTTTATAGTACGGATTACCGCGCGCTGATTATAGAAATTTCTTGTTCTCGAGTGTTTTCACGATGGTTTGGTGAATCCTCTAAAAATCTGGATAACATATTCAAGGATGTTGAGAAATTACTTATTGAAAACACTGAGCGTGGAAGATTTGTGTGCCTTCTAATGGATGAGGTGGAAACTATAGCATCTTCGCGATCATCACAAATAAATAAGAATGAAACGACTGATGGGATTCGTGTAGTTAATACACTTCTCACTCAGCTCGATAATCTCAAAAAATACAACAACTTTCTAGTGTTAGCAACATCCAATCTGGTCGATTCGCTGGATACCGCTTTTACGGATCGAGCCGATGGTATTTTCTACATCGGAATTCCTTCAGAAGAAGGTACCGAGAAACTTTTGACATCCACTATCGGAGAATTAATTAACACACAGATCATCACTTCCAGCAATGGCGTGGAAAAACTAAAAGAGCAAGAAATCAAACAATGCGTCACTGCAATTGCTCACCGCTGTTCTGTAAGTTATCCAATAATTCGTAATATACCCACATTTACCAAGATAAATTAACAAGAAATACTAACTGATAAAAAGTCACTTAGAATGAGCGGAAGGACGCTTAGAAAACTTCCATTAGTTTGTTTGTCCGAATTTTTGCCCGAGTTACCAGTGACAATAGACGATTTCCTAGTTGCCTTGGCGCTTTCAGTGCAAGGTCATTATAAGGGCAATCACGTGTACCCTCCTTGATCAATACACCGTTTTTATTGTCGTTACTTCTGTATGGGTTTTAAACAAAACGTGGTGGCGCAGTTCGTCATAATCATCATCTCAAAAGTGAAAGTTTTTTTCTTTTTCCAACATTTCAAATGATTTTTTGATGAAATATAGTGATAGCTAACGATGGTTGCCCGTTGGGCCAACTCGAGAAAAGAATTCATTTCACAGTGTAAACGAACAAAATGAGAATTTGCAGGAGGTTTTTGATCTCTTTGGCCTTGCTTATAACTGTAGGGTCGGCCGCATCCACCGTTGCTGATCCAGTGGATGAAAGTCAGCTTCCGCAAACCGATGACCCTAAAAAGGCATTTCTCTTTTCGATTTCCATGATCATTGTTTCAGAAATTGGTGACAAGACTTTTCTGATTGCTGCTTTGATGGCAATGCGCCATCCTAGATTGCTTGTTTTCTCTGCTTCTGCCGCATCTCTTTTCATCATGACCATTCTTTCTGGTATTGTGGGTCGCACCTTTACTAGTCTAGTTCCACAACGTTATACACAATTTGCAGCCGGTATCCTATTCCTTGTGTTCGGTTATAAGCTTACTCTCGAAGGTCTTGCGATGTCGAAAGATGTTGGTGTTGAAGAAGAACTTGCAGAAGTCGAAGAAGAAATTGCTGTGCGTGATATGAATAGTCATTTGGAGAATGCTGAAACAGGTCAACAACGTGCAATTGAAACTCCAAAGTCAAAGACAAAGCAAATTTTGGATCAAATTTTGTTGAAATCAGGCAAAGTTGCCTCATATGTTCTATCACCCACTTGGGTTCAAATATTCACTATGGTCTTCCTAGGGGAATTTGGTGATCGTTCTCAGATTAGTACCATTGCAATGGCTTCAGGTAGTGACTACTGGTCGGTTATTTTTGGAGCAATCGTTGGGCATGCAATCTGCACCGGTATGGCTGTTGTTGGCGGGAAGTTTTTGGCTTCCAAGATTAGCATGAGAACCGTGACTCTAGGCGGTGCTTTTTCTTTTTTCATCTTCGCTATAATGTACATTTACGAGGCTTTTAACAATCCCAATTAAATACGGACAAACCTATAAAGTTGATATATGAGTTTTCCTAATTAAATCTATTTATTCAACAAAATTGTAAATTACGACCCTTCAGATGAGGAACCTACAGCTCCTTCAATCTTCTTCCTTGGCTTGCGCTAGTAGCCTTCGCCTTACGAGACGTTTGATAGCCTCATCCGTGCGTTGTTGTAAAACATCCAATTCTGGTTTCAGCTTTTCTTCCAAGTCACTTGTAGGCTTTGGTGCAGTCGTATTTAATTCATCGGCATTACCATCTATACTAACTTCTGAGACAGTATCTATTGATTCCGTTCTAGGATTATTTGTCTTGTGTTCGATCTGAGAAAGGATCTGTGCTTGAACTTTGGCAGACAACGTCTCTGCTGTTTCCAAACCAAATGCTCGCGAAGAGGTTCCCCTGAAAGCTATTCCATCACTAGCCAGATTGTGAGCCCCCTGAAGTTCTGTTTCCTGCGTTGAATTCCTCTCCTCCAGTGAAAGAGATGAATCTGTAATTATATCATCCCTAGTCGAAGAAGGTCGTTCAGATTTCTTGGATGCCTTGTTTTTCAGTAATTCAAGTCTTCTCTTTCTTTCCGCAAGCTCAGTCTGCAATGATGACATTAATTACAAACGATGAGATGATTAGATCAGGCCCGCTGAGCGCTGATATCTCGTAATTTCAATACAGTTATGAAGCGAAAAAAACCGTGCATTAGATCTTCATGTCAAGAATTGAAAAAAAAAGAAGAAATCATTTGAAAAGTCGTCATTAGAAGTAGTGTTACATTAAATCAAATAAATCTAGTAAAAATTATAAATGCAGTCTCTGTGTATCAGCCTAGTGTAAAGTCTTGATGAAGTTATCCAAATTGTACTCCTCCTCGTATTGAGTCGAATCCCATAACTCTTTAAGTTCGCCAACAGCTTCTTTCGCTTTGCCGCTTAAACCCGTTTCATTGACCAGGTCATTTAGCTTTCCGTTCTGGACAGATCTCTCTTCAATTTCTTGTGACGGAACATTATCTGTATCGAATAAATCTAACAACTGATGTGTATCCATGGACGCCAGACCTGCGTTTTGCTGATTCACAACAGTAGAAGCGATGTTCATTTTGAATTTCTGTAGACCCATAATCTTCTCTTCCAAAGTGCCCTTAGTGATAATTCTATACACATTTACCACCTTCTTTTGGCCAAGTCTATGCGCACGATCCATTGCTTGAAGATCATTCATCGGATTCCAATCATGCTCAACAAAAATAACAGTATCCGCACCAGTAAGATTCAAACCTAAACCTCCTACCTTTGTAGTTAGTAGCAGACAGTCGATAGATGGATCTTCATTAAATTTACGCACAACAGCTTGTCTATCGCGAGATTCCACGCTACCATCAAGTCGCATATAGGTTACCGAAGGCATACACTTCTTAAAAAGGTCGTTTTCAACCATATCCAGCATGTCTTTCAATTGACAGAAGATTAAGGCACGATGCTGACTTATAACATTTTCTGTTGGGGGAGGATAATTTTTGGATCTTTTATCAATGTCCTGAGTTCCAATGCCACATTCCAAAAGCAGGTTCTTTAAAGCACCCAGTTTTGGAGCATGAACTATGTCATGCAAGCTAACTCCGGTTTCCTTCAGGTACTCTTGAACCTGAGCCCATTGTGGATGACCCTTCGATAGCACTAAGGAAGGATGGTTGCAGAGCTTCCTCATATACTGCAGCGCTTGGAAAATATGTTGCTTATTTTCAACATCTGATGTGTTTTCGATGTCCTTTTCGACAGTATTTTTCTGCTTCTTGGCAAAATCTTGATAAAGCTGCTTTTGTAAATCACTTAACTCACAGTAGTAATCCTGTATAATCTTTGGAGGGAGATCGGATAAGACATCTTCTTTCAATCTTCTCAGCATGAATGGCAGAACTTGTTTGTGCAATGCGTCTAAAGCTAAGGCACCGGCTTCTTGCTCTTTGGAAGACGTTTTACTATTTCTAGAAGCAGCAATAGGTTTCGCAAAACGTTCATGAAACATTTTTTCTGTGCCCAAGAAGCCGGGCATTAAGTAATCGAATAGTGACCATAATTCTACAACATTGTTTTGAATTGGTGTACCCGTTAAAATGAGACGATGATTAGCCCTGATCAATTTGACTGCCTTTGCAAGCTTGGACTGCGCGTTTTTTATTATATGACCTTCATCCAAAACACAGTAATTGTAGTCATATTTCATGATCACATCTATGTCATTCCTGGCAACGTCATAAGAAGTAACAACGATATCAACGTCACCAAGCTTGTCTCGTAATGGATGTCTCGTCGATGGACCTCCAGCGTACACCAATATTTTTAGGAAAGGAGCATACTGTTCGAATTCCTGCTCCCAATGTCCGGTTAACGAAGGCGGACACACTATCAGCGTAGGCAATGGCCTAGCTTCAATGGACTGTGTTGATTCATATTCTTGTTTTCTCAAATATTGATCACTAGCGATGATACAGATAGTTTGCAATGTCTTACCGAGTCCCATATCATCACACAATATACCGTGTAGGTGATATTTGTTCAAGAATGCCAACCAATTGACACCATCCTGCTGATACTTTCTTAAAGTCGCCTTGATGGCCACAGGTAAGTTAAAAGGTTTGGCTTTTGAGGGATCCATCATTTGCTGTAGGATATCACGCTCTTTTTCTCTTCCTTCCATCAACTCAGTTGGTAGACCTTCTGGATCGGGTATACCAGCTTCCAATGGAACCAGTTTTATAATTGATGCAAATGTCGTAGTTGCTAAAGTTCTAACGTCTGTATTGGAGTCACTCATGCGACCCAGTAATGGAACAATTAAGAATACAACATAAGGTAGAATATCACTGCCCATATTAAGCGACAAATGATATACCAATTCGATAAGACCCTGCCGATCGGTTACAGAAGCCGGGTTATTCATCAGCGGCAGACCTTCCTTGATTAAAAAGGAAATAACTGTCACCGGAAGAACATTAGCCAAATCAGCAAGTGCCCTTGCCGCTGAATATCTGAAAATGGCGTACTTTGACCTCAGATATTTGAGCAAAAGAGGCAAGCGAGTTAATACCTCTTGTTGTTGAATATCCGGATGCATGTAAACAAAAAGAGTCCTTAGAATCCCCATTGCATCGACAATTTCTTGGCCCAATTTTGCGCTTAATTCAGCGCCATCAAAATCCTCTAGTCCTTTTTGTAAAGGATCTAAAATCGTCTGTTTCATCTGTGGGACTTTAGTCAAAACATCCCCTCCAAGTTGTACCAGTAGCTGGCTTAATGTATACATTGATCCATTCCGTTTCATATGCGCTTCTTCGGCCAACTTCTTAGCCCGAACATCGTCTTGCAAGGCTAAACTACTCGCTTCTCTTATTAGCGTCAGTATTTCATCTTTATACTGAATGTTTGGTGCATATTCCGGCACCTCTGATGTATCAACACACAAAAAGCCGCATAAATTTTTCACAATCTTATTGGCAACATTTCCCTTATTGCTCTTCACCAGATCGACAACCAAATTAATCACCGCATCGCCTGATCTTTGCTGCAAAATTTCATATTTTTCCTCCTTGATACTATCCATTAAAGCGCGAATAAAAGGATTCAGCTTCGCAGGCAGACCATCAAACAGCAAAGCGGCCGAAGCATAATTGGAAAGCACATTACATGTGCGCGATCTCTTGGCCTCTTTCGCGATTTCAATAGCTTGTAAAACTCGATGTTTTGCATCTTCTAAAGGTTTCTTAGCCAAAATCTTGTAAGAGTTGCTCAAATGTTTGAATAACTTATCTGAATACTCACCGTGAACTCTTTCTGCGGTGTCTATACCAAAAGCTTCTGAACCCGCTTCAGATTCCCCTTTAACAATGATTGCCAGCTGAGGTAGTCTCTGAGGTGGTAGCATCCCAACATCAACGAATGTCGATAGTAGACTCTGGCATTGCGTTCTCAATGCTTTCAGGCTAGGTACTAACTCCCTGAAAGTTGGAAAGTTCGATGGGTCATTTAAATGACTAACAAATATAGGCTGGAAAGTTTCCGAGACAAACGACGGTATACTTTGTTGTTCTGTAGGAGGAAAAGGCTGAAGGACGTTTTTGCAAAACTCAGAGACAATAATAGCGACAAGCATCCTAGGTGTAGCGTAGGGTAATTTCAGGCAATCAACCAAGACATTTGAAAAGAATGATTTCAAAGTTGCTTCCTGGAACATGGCAAGTGTCAATCCCAGAGCTTTTGCACCCATCACCCTTGTGTTGAATATAACTTCCGTTCCGAGTAAAGTGACATCACCTGCAATCATCGGAGCATCGATGTTCACGCGCTCACTGTTTGCTGGAGGAGGTATATCCGATTTTGCAGCTACTGATGTATTCCTTTTTCTTTCCAAGTGGAGTTGATAATGCTGTGATGGTTTTAAAATATACTGAAGCTCCATATTGTAATTTTTCCCATGTTCACCTATTGGCGTAATCAAAAGATGTAAAATTGGAGCCAAGTGCTTACCAAACAAATGGTCCACATTCTTGTCAGGATTTTTGGCTCTGTATTCCAAGAGCATGGAGATATAAACGTCATAAGACATTTTTAAAACCTCTGGATTCTGTTCCAGAAGAATGTTTTGGTAAATAAGCCTGAACACTTTCCCATTTATCCAATGCTTGATGAAGTCGTCTTTGATAGACAAAAATGCTTGAAGTAAATTTAAAACTGCTTTTCTGACATTTGTAATAGAGTGACGAAGAAATGGGTACAGTTTGGGAACGAGACTCTTGAATGACCATTCGATGGGGTGGGATACGGCCTTACTTTTTAGGACTTCTAGAACCTGTTGATGCTCACATAACTTTGCTAAGAGGTCCATAACAGAGCCCACACTAGACGATAAATCGTCCTCCAAATGGGTAAGCGAGTTCCAAATGGTACTCAATACAAGATCAAGCATTGATGGCTCCAATTGAACAAACTGTGAAGTGATTGGTATCAGAATTGCAGCAGCTACACTTTGAACATCATCGTCATGTTCGTTGAGACCATACAGGACTATATTGACAACGTTATCAAGCAAATTGTTCTCGAACAAAAAATCTGTCTTTATACTGACAAAATAACGGATGCCAAGCAGACCACCGTGTGTAGCCTCCCAGATCTTGTTCGGTAGCCCAATATACTTTGGGTCTTGCAGAACAAGTTGTTCCAAAGCGCCAAATATTTTCACGCTCAATTCTTCATCCAAATGCAGTAATAGCGCAGCTAGCGTTTGAGCAGCAGATTCTCGAACAGGAGCAACAACGGTATCGTACACGAAATCTCCAAACCTATCTAGCGCAAAGATTGTCAATAGCCTAGTTGCTAAATCTTCTAGAGCCTTGCGGTTCCGGTGATCATTTTCCTCTTTGCTTTTACCGCGTATCCTCGCAACGCTCTTAGCATGCTTTTTTATGATTTCTCGCAGACCCAAGGCAGCTCCGTGTCTGACTTCCCAAGCCTCGTGAGTGAGGTTCTCCAGCAGAAGTTCATAGACACCCTGGAATTGCCAAACCAGGCCGGCAATTCTCTCGTGCTTCTCTAACAGGGGAGTCATTACCGATTCGACCATAATTTTTTTTGAGTCCGCTTGCTCGGTTATTTCCAATTTGGGATTATTAAGCATGGTCGGGGACGGCGTAGGGCTCTGGCTGGACTCCTCCTGGGCCATTAGGTTTCGGGAGATAGAGCTCTGAGATAGGTCAACAGGCTTCTTCGTAGTGGTTTTGGCCTGGATCTTGCGCTTCCGTTTGGCCATGGCAAGCATTCTAGCACTTTTCTTGGATTCGAGAGCCGTCGGCCTTTCGAGAGACTCGGGTTTCACCTCTGCTTTAGCAACTTTCTTGGCTTGTGGCTGTTCTTCTGCAGGATAATCGTTCACGCTTGACGCCAGAAGAACCTTCCCAGATTTGAGCACCTCGTTGAGCTTCCATTGCGACAGCGAGTACAGGTTGGAGTCGTCCTGTAGCGACTTCCACTCGTCGCTCTCGTCGAGCTGTTCGAGCTTGAGACGCATCTCTTGCTCGAGCTTCACCTTGGCGTTCTCGCCTACGCCTGTAACCGATGCCACGTCGGCCGCAAGCTCCTCTTGCTTGACTTGCGTAGCGAAATCGGACGCGCTACCAGCAGGCGCAGCGGCCGGTGAAACGTCACTGCCACTGTCGTCGTCGCCATTAGGGTCCCAGGCATATGAGTGGCTGACGATTCCGCCCACCGCGCGAGCTGCAGTAATCCGTGTCTCCCATCTTTTCGTAAGCAGAAACGGGTACACGCGCGACAGCAGTGATAGTGTGTCCTCGGGGTGTTGTTTAGCCAGATCGCCCAGCTGGTCCGCGGCCATGTTCCTCACCACCTGCGTCGACCCGGTCTCCAGGAGAATAACCTGTCTGTCCAACCTCGACACATGCGACGTCATATTCAATCGGCCCACTGTCTAATGCAAAAAAAAATGCCAGTACACAATAATCTCTTCTTACAATCCAAGGAGAATCGACTTCCAGTTACCCAAAGACCAAATTGACAGCGTTACAAGTGTGTATTCGTGCGTATACTTTTCTGGGGGGGCGTCAAAAACTTGAAATCTCCAGACCTCGGCGGCTTTTTATATATTTGTCGCCTCCGCGCGGGCCGGGCCCTTCTCCCAGAGCATGGCCTACCTTTTTATATCAAATTTTTCTAACACTTGTCGTGGCCGCGGGAGGGAAAGAGGCAAACCGGAATGACACCCACGCACCTCGAACTGCGTGCGCTCTTTGTACGGCACTTGGCACCCCTAAAAAGTTTTTTCAGATTTTTCTTTCTCTGCGGCACGCGACGCGACGCGACGCGACGTTTCGCGTCGCAACTTTTCTTTTGTTGGCTTTCCTTTTTTTCTCTTCTGCAAAACGTATAGAGTGAGAAAATAGCAGGTCGAGTTCCGTTCACGTGTTGCGTACAAAGCGATGCATATTCTGCTCACGGGGCGCGGCGCATTTCTTTGGCTTGCGTTTTTTTATGCGTTTTCAGGACCAACACCCACAACTGAAGGAGAGATAGCGCCGCGTGGGTGATGCTACATGTGACCCGGAAAATCTCTCAATTTCCGTGGAGTTTCTCCCGGTGGAAAGACATCACGTGGGTGGATTCTCCCAATCTCCGAATAGCTACTTCGCTGCTTCGCCTTCAAAGTATGTACAGAAACGACGCGCAAAAGCGCGGTTCTCACAAATGCGGGCCGACTCTGGAACGGTTTAATTTTCCAGCGGGATTTTTCACACATGATTCACCCGAAAGCGTGAGCAGCGTCAGTGCGTAAGCAAACCCAATTTGAAAAAAGAAATCGATGAGTAATGGTATGCTAGGTGCTCAGATGGTATAAGAAGTGCAGCGGCAGGTTTTTCACAGTTTAGAAGCCCGCAAAGCAACGCAAGTCATCACCGCGAGCAAGCACGGTCCCAACACACATCGCAATAGCACACATAATGTCAGAAGCTTCAAATCCTTACGCTCCAAGTCCGTATGACGAGGTCTCCAACGTGGGCAACTTTCAACTGATCGAATCTACTCTTAGAGAGGGTGAACAATTCGCCAACGCATTTTTCTCAACTGAAAAGAAGATCGAGATCGCCAAGGCGTTGGACGACTTCGGTGTTGACTACATCGAGCTAACGTCACCCGTCGCCTCTGAGCAGAGCCGCATGGACTGTGAGGCCATCTGCAAGCTGGGCTTGAAGGCCAAAATCCTCACGCACATTCGTTGCCACATGGACGACGCCAAGGTCGCCGTCGAAACTGGTGTTGACGGTGTGGACGTAGTGATTGGTACGTCGCAATTTCTAAGACAATATTCCCACGGTAAGGACATGAACTACATCGCTAAGAGTGCCGTTGAGGTGATCGAGTTCGTCAAGTCCAAGGGCCTCGAGATCCGTTTCTCTTCCGAAGACTCTTTCAGATCCGACATTGTCGACCTGCTGAACATTTACAAGACTGTCGATGCTATTGGTGTCAACAGAGTCGGTATTGCCGACACCGTCGGGTGTGCAAACCCAAGACAGGTGTACGAACTGGTCAAAACCTTAAAGAACGTCGTGAGCTGTGACATTGAATGTCACTTCCACGACGACACCGGTTGCGCCATTGGTAACGCCTACTCCGCTTTGGAGGCTGGTGCCAGACTGATCGACGTTTCTGTCCTTGGTATTGGTGAGAGAAATGGTATTACCCCTCTAGGTGGTTTGATGGCAAGAATGATTGTCTCTGCTCCAGACTACGTCAAGTCCAAATACAAGCTGCATAAGTTGCGTGATTTGGAAAACCTGGTCGCCGAGGCCGTGCAGGTAAACTTGCCCTTCAACAGTCCTATTACCGGTTTCTGTGCTTTCACTCACAAGGCAGGTATTCATGCAAAGGCTATTTTGGCCAACCCTTCAACTTACGAAATTCTGAATCCTGCTGACTTCGGGATGACGAGATACATTCATTTCGCTAACAGGCTAACTGGTTGGAATGCCATTAAATCCAGAGTTGAGCAGCTCAACTTGCATTTAACTGATGATCAGATCAAGGACGTTACCGCAAAGATCAAAAAGATTGGTGATGTCAGGCAATTGGGTATTGATGACGTTGACACAATCATCAAAGACTTTCACTCTGAACTGCAATAAATAGTCATAGCTTCAAAAAGTTTGTAAGGATCATAAGAGTGTTTATATTCACTATTTAAAGTACTCTAAGTCATCTCTTCTTTTCAGGATATCGCTGGTTGGAGTAGCATAATGATTGAATTCGATCTGACTGTCATACTCTTCAAACCCATACACCACACCCACACACCTGATAAAAGTTTTAAAGAAAGAAAAGTATGATGCTGCCCTGCCGACACGACGCAGACTTGCGCTATTGCAGTTTTTCAGAACTATAAAGCGCGCATCAGACTCTCTTCATCCACATACTTCACTCAACATCAAGCAAAAGTCAAATCACAATGCCAAGTACGTACTATTATTAAGGGAAAAATCATCAATGTTCTACAGAATATTGGTGTGGGAGATAGGAAATCGTTCTGACGATACTCCTTCTCCTTGAGGATCGGGTCCTCATGAATATTTCTTCATTTTTTTGAAGAATGGAACGACTTTCTTCCGACAGAACTGCAGCTAGCATCAATCTTTTGCACTGAATACCCGACACTTCAGGTAAAAGAGCTGGCGTCAACAAATAAGACTATGTCTTGTTGGAGTTTCTGCAGGTCTATTTCGAGCTTGTCTTGATGTGAAGATTGTCTGACCGTAATATTCATGAGTAGATAGTTGACCAGACCTCGTAGTTTCATGCGGAATGTCAACTAACATTACATAACAGGAGCTCCAAGAACTTACTCCAAGACTTACTCTACCCCAAAGAGACCTTACGAATCTGCTCGTTTGGATGCTGAATTGAAGTTGGCCGGTGAGTACGGTTTGAAGAACAAGAGAGAGATCTACAGAATCTCTTTCCAATTGTCTAAGATTCGTCGTGCTGCCAGAGACTTGTTGACCAGAGACGAAAAGGACCCAAAGAGACTTTTCGAAGGTAACGCCTTGATCAGAAGATTGGTGAGAATCGGTGTCTTGTCTGAAGACAAGAAGAAACTGGATTTCGTCTTGGCCTTGAAGATCGAAGATTTCTTGGAAAGAAGATTGCAAACTCAAGTTTACAAGTTGGGTTTGGCCAAGTCCGTTCACCACGCCAGAGTCTTGATCACTCAAAGACACATTGCCGTCGGTAAGCAAATCGTCAACGTCCCATCTTTCATGGTCAGATTGGAATCTGAGAAGCACATTGACTTTGCTAGAACTTCTCCATTCGGTGGTGCCAGACCAGGTAGAGTTGCCAGAAAGAACGCTGCCAGAAAGTCTGAATCTGCTGAAGGTGAGGAAGAAGAATAAGCGAATCGTTCATAATATCTCGAATCGCTTCTTTATCTTCAAAATTTCGGCTTGCAAATCAAGAGAATTTTGCCATATGGCATGCCTACTATTAGTTTTCTAAAGGATTTGTGCTCGCTCTGTATATAGAGACTTCATCTGAGAGCACTGGCAGATTCTCTTGGATTGCTAAGTAGTTGTTTAATTTACACTTGGTTTTCTTGCCGTTTTTCATTACTCTACGCATCAAAGATGTACAATTGTATATTAGAATATAATCACTCATGGAATAAAGCTATTAACGTCACACGAATATTAAGCACTTATCCTGGATAGTTCATCGTGACCTGATGTTGTAAGAGAATCACTTCTTGTCATCCCAACTGACAAATTTATTTGACTATTTTATTTTACACCCACACATTATAACCAATACATCCAGACACCCTTAGAAAAGTCAAGAAATTTCATCCGTTTTAATAATGATATGCATGAATTTTGGGCTGGCCTGGCTGAGAGGAAGGTGCCGGGGCGTTGCCCGCCGCAGACTCCCCTCCCTGTACGGGCCCTCTTGCTGTGTCCGCCTAGCCTCCGACTGACTGCCCTGCCTAGCAGCCGCATCATTGTCACCACAGTAGGCCTCAGGCCGCAACCCGCAGGTGCTGTCCCCTCTGTAACTCCCTCCGGTTCCCAGACGGTTCCAGTTTGAAAAAGTGACTAAAACTTTTAGGCGTGCTTCCACTGATTATTGAAGAACAAGCAACAAGGTCAATAAGCAAAGATGGGTAAATCGTATGTGATTAATGTTTGAAACGAGCGTGTGGAGCATGTTGGATATACCAGAAGAAGTGCAGCGTGAATGTTTTTACACCTGAACGAAGCAATGCAAGATTACAACTTGGCAATGATTATGAACAATGTTAAAATGGTGGAATATTAAAAGTAGAATGCATTAAAATTTAAAAAGCTACAATGAGAAGCTCAGTACTGAAAGCAAAAGCTTAAGGTTGACAGAAATCGGGGGAAGTAATTACGGGAAGCACTAATAAAGCCTCCGGAATGCAGCTCGCACAGTACCAAATTAATCAGCTTACTAACTATCATTATACAGACACGGTTACAGATCTCGTACTCGTTACATGTTCCAACGTGACTTCAGAAAGCATGGTACCATTCCATTGTCTACTTATCTGAAGGTCTACAAGGTTGGTGACATTGTCGACATCAAGGCCAACGGTTCCATCCAAAAGGGTATGCCTCACAAGTTTTACCAAGGTAAGACCGGTGTTGTCTACAACGTTACCAAGTCTTCTGTTGGTATTATTATCAACAAGATGGTTGGTAACAGATACCTAGAGAAGAGATTGAACTTGAGAGTTGAGCACATCAAGCACTCCAAGTGTAGACAAGAATTCTTGGACAGAGTTAAGTCTAACGCCGCTAAGCGTGCTGAAGCTAAGGCCCAAGGTGTTCCAGTCCAATTGAAGAGACAACCAGCTCAACCAAGAGATGCCCGTGTTGTTTCCACTGAAGGTAACATCCCACAAACTTTGGCTCCTGTTCCATACGAAACTTTCATCTAATTTACTCGTCTTTTGGCATGCAAGTTTTTTTTGGAACTGTGTTTTAGTCTCAACATATATACTGTGTCTAATGTAAAGCAATTGTACACGTACTGTTATTACTTGGTTTTAGATTTTTCTATAGAGTATTCTGCAAGTGGTTCATTACAAGGCATTTGTACATCGTCTCTTGTGATTGTGATTGGCAAATTTTTTGACTTCTTAGGAAACCTGATGAGGCATCATCTCATGGCGGCGTCTCACATATAGCTATTAGAATTGTCACGGCCGTATTGTCGCAAGTAATTATACAGGAAGTGCCACAACTGGCTTGACTTTTTGCTAGACATTTTCTCCGGTTAAAGTTCGATTTAAATTATAGGTACTATCTTCAGCATTTTAAATGGCCAAAAAAACCATAGAAGATTTGGAAAGGGAAGCAATAGAATCCGTTCCGTACTTGGGAAGTGATGAGGATGCGTCAAATATGAAGAATGCTGCGTCGGTTTCTGCAACGCTTAACGGCACACATGTGGCGCAAGCAGAAGTCAAGCCTTGGGTTCATTTTGTGGCTGGCGGTGTTGGAGGAATGGCGGGTGCTATCGTAACCTGCCCTTTTGATGTGGTTAAGACACGTTTGCAAAGTGATGTTTTTCAAGCGATTTATAGAACAGGCAATAATACATCTCATGCATCAAAGAATTTCGTCGCTAATGGAGCAAGACACTTTAGAGAAACTTTTGGTATAATATCGAGCGTATATCGTCAAGAAGGCTTCCGAAGTCTTTTCAAAGGTCTAGGTCCGAATCTCGTCGGGGTCATTCCCGCAAGAAGCATCAACTTCTTCACTTATGGAACCACCAAACAATTATACTCTCAGCATTTTAATAATGGTGAGGAAGCGCCATGGATTCATCTTTTATCAGCGGCTACTGCAGGCTGGGCAACTTCGACTTTGACGAATCCCATATGGTTGATCAAAACCAGACTTCAATTGGACAAGGCGGGTAAGACAAAGCAATATATGAACTCCTGGGGTTGCTTGAAAAGCATAGTGGCAAATGAGGGGTTTTTAGGCCTATACAAGGGATTAAGTGCATCCTATTTAGGCTCAGTGGAAGGAATTTTGCAGTGGCTACTGTACGAACAAATGAAGCACGTAATCAAAATGCGCTCTATTGAGAAGTTCGGAAATATAAGTGAAGGTCAGAAAAGCACATCAGAGAAAATTAAGGAATGGTGTCAGAGATCTGGAAGCGCCGGCCTAGCCAAATTTGTAGCAAGTATTATAACCTATCCACATGAGGTAGTGAGAACTCGATTGAGACAGGCACCGGTGGAAAACGGCAAACCTAAATATACGGGTTTAATCCAATCGTTCAGGCTAATTATAAAGGAAGAGGGTCTTGTTTCCATGTATGGAGGGCTGACACCACACTTGCTGCGGACTGTCCCAAATAGCATAATTATGTTTGGAACGTGGGAATTGGTTATAAAGCTATTGTCTGAAAAGTCCTGATCCACAAATCCTGAATTCCGATAAGTTGTTATATAATGCATTTCTATCATGTAAATAATTCTGAGCTTACAAATTTAAGCCGCACCTTTATGAAGGTATTTCAAAACACCGTCAACATCAAAAGGTTTTCTAGGCTTATGACTTGAGGAAATTGCACTATACCCATCACCAGTTCTTACACCAATTCCTTGTTCCAACTGCTTTGCGGTACTTAATCCATGGAATGCATAGTTCCCACGCTCCTGTCCCAGGAATTCTAACGCCCACTTAGTTACATTCTCGTCATTTTGCAGCATTTTCTCTATCTCATCTTCGCCAATATATGCGGAATCAATAGCTGCTGTATCATTAGCATCATTAATCCATTCATCAACTTCAGGAATATTCTTCTTCCTTAGCAAAGTTGTCAACAAGCCCTCGTGAGCTGTTGTGGGGAAATTGGGTAGTGGATACACAACGATAGAATCCAGTGTTTCCTCAAAGTGATTAATTGTAGTAGTGAGTGACAGGAGTTGAGTTAAAATAACATTCACTTGGACTTGAACCGAATACCACTGGGGAAGTTCTGTTCGGGACATTTCATCTCTAATCTTGGCTAATGAATGAGTGAGCTGAGCGAGTCTCATTCTTACGGCATCTAGAGCTTGGGCTGGAACGGTCCTAAAATCGTACTTGGTATCGTCTTGTAGGGATGAAACTCCTTCGTCCGCATCAGTATTTGAACTGGGCGCCATTTTCATCAAGCCCGGGTTCTTTTGAAATGTAGATTGCAGAATAAATTGTGACGGTCATTTGGAAAAAAAGAGTTCCACCTAACAGACATGCAGAGTTTGAAGATGAATATAAGTTATGCATAATGAAGGAGGAAAAAAGGAAACCTAATGAACTCAAGAGCTCAAGTAAAGACACCACAAAGATTCAAAGGGTTCCCGAGAAAGATTCCAATGAGTCCAAGGGCATTAGTAAGAACAAAAACGATAACAGCACCATGGAACTAGGGGAAAGAAGCATATTTTATGACGTTGAATGGAATCCTCAGGGTGTTGCACCTTTTGGTCTGCGAAATATTCCATATAACCCCCGAACATTTAAGGTGAAGGAACCGGTTGAAGCTATACTCTGTGATTTAAAAGATATCCCTGTTCCTTCTTCATCAGAGCGAAAATAAAATAACCTACTGACCGCAAGCATATGGTACCGAGCGTCTGGTTCTATTCACTATCTATTCAGGGCCAACTAACATGTTTATAGCCCTAGGGAGTGTAGTCTGCAAAAAGAATATCTAATTCATAAGATCCGTAAAGACATAAAGACAATATTTAATGAATGCATTTTATAATGGATTTAGTAATGCACTTGTCACCCCTACTTTAAACCGGCGAACAACTTTTCAACGTCAGCAACGGATTGTTGCAACACTTTGTCTTGGAACTTGGGGTTGGCCAATTCAGAATTGACCTTAGAGATAACGGCTTCAGCCAATTGCTGTTGTTGCAGTTGGCGAACTGATGCCTCATATCTGACCCAGGAGTCAAGGACAGATTTGGCTTCAGTAGCCAACTCGACTTGTTGCTTCAATTCAAAAGCCTTGGCCTCCAATTCGACAGTTTCTTTGGAAACGTCGAACAAAACCTTGGTAGTGTCAGAAACGTTCTGCAATTCTGAGACTGATTCGATTCTTTGCTTAACAGCATCCACATGTTTGGCTCTAGAAGCATTCAAAACATCGGAAACTTGCTTAACTCTGCCATCGGCGAAATCTTTGTAAGCAGGAGCCAAGAATTTAGCAACAATAAAAGCAAACCCAATAAAGGTACCTAATAGGATAGTTTCATCGTTAACAACGTAAAGTTCATTGGAAATTGCATAAACAGCCGCAGCAGTAGAGGTAGCTAAGATACCAGTCTTAGACAAAGCACTATTACCTGGTAGAGCATCGATTATAGAAGAAGCCTTGGCCTTTGGATCCTGTGGAGCTGGGGTTGACATGTAACGAACGCCAATTCTGTTTGAATACCATGTTAGTAAACTGTTTATGTGTTCAGGAAAGATATTGAAATTCATCTACGACCAAAACACGTTTCAGGTGACGGTGTAATTGGAGAGAAACTGCCAACGCTATTTCTCATGGAGTCAAACTTGGTGACTTAAGAATCATTTCTTAGTCTTATGGTAATAATTATCAAAGTCGTCTGCATCTTCAACATCAGGAAGCTCTTTTCTCTCGTCACCCATATCATGAATTAATATCTTCCACTAATATTGCATTGGTACATACGGAGCTTGACGAGCTCCAAGGGTCAGCAATGGTCTAGCTGAAGCCTTCAAGGTCAAAGCACGGAAACTCATCATTCTCGTTTTCTGTCTTTTCCAATCGTAAGAACTGTCGAAATGGCCTACTCAATTGTAAGTATAGGGATAAAATTTTCTTGGAACATCCAATCCACCACTGTTAGATCACTACACACTAAGAAATTTCATGGAACCTTATTGGATCCTAGTCACGTGTGATGCAATTGATAGTAAATAATCTATACAACAGCTACTAAAGTGTTGGCTGGTTTCCATATCTGTACAGAGTTATCGTTAGAAACACTGCATATGAGCCAGGGGTCGTGGAGATTCCAGCTTATGTCGTTTACGCCTAGCATGTGACCGCCATGCGTAAAAATGAGTTCTTCGTCCGTGGGCTGGGAAATATCCCACAGTTTAACTAAACCATCCGTTTGATCGGCCGTACCTATCACGGTGCTAATATGAGGATTCCACTGAAGTGCTGATATAGAGTTCCCGTGTTCCCATGTTTTTATTGGTTCAGAGAAGTCCCTAATGTCCCAGAGATTCACTTTCCCTGATGCGTCTGCTGAAGCCAGTAGCATATCTTGTTGATAATTAAACTGGCAAGCATTTATTCCCTTTTCATGATGATTAGATTGACTTTGGACAGTTCGCTTGGCTGTTCTAATGTCCAATAATCCTAAAACATTATCATCGCCGCAACATGCAAGTAACGAGTCATGGTGTACCATCCATGACGCATCATTACAGCCCTTATTGTCCACTTGCATTAAATGTACAGGGCTAGAAAATGACGGAGATTTGCTGTTGTACTTTGTAAGATCCCAAACTCCCAGTTTACCTTTCGAATAGCACCCTGCTAATAGGCCCTCGCGTTGCCAGTTCCAAGCGATTGATACGACCTCATTGTCCTGGTCTTCAACAGCTTGAGTTAGATTACATTCGATTTCGAAGGGAGACTCGCCACCTGATATTGATTTCTGCCTTGCAGATCCGTGCTTTGTTCTATCAAAGATGTATATAGAGCCGTTGGAGGACGCAGTTCCCACTATATCTGGATTTAGTGGACAGTATCTAGCTCTATTGCAATCCCCAGCAGGAAACTTTATTTCCAGGTCATCCTGCAAATTCTTGGATGGTAGCTTTACTGAGTTGTCCATTTTGAATTCCATCTCTTCCATATCGAAGTTGGTAAGAGAGCTCCACGGAACATGCTTAAGGGAGGAAAATCGTGCAACATAAACAGACTCATCTTCAGGTAGTTGAGAAGAGGTGAATGAAGATAACAGTATTCTGTGTTCATCTTTTGTTTTATCGAGGTCAGGGAAAAATTGGCAAGTCAAAGACGGCCATTTCGTTGAGTTTGTGTTGAGGTAATCGTAGAGCAATTTCGTATTTTTTTTCCAATGCGTATATCTAGTCTGTCTATCAGTAGGGACACTTGATGCATAAGTCAATTCGTCGCTGCCCTGAAAGACATCTGCCATTTTCGCCTGTCGTTCAGACTTATCATTAGATTCAAAGAATAACTATCGATAACGCGTTAAGTTTTTTTTTTTCATAAAATTCTGTATCGCGTGCCAAATTTGTTATAGAAGACTATACACGAAACTACGCAGTTTGACGTTAACATAATCATAAAGCTTGAGGAAGCTATTACATCCAGTTCTTGAATTGGTTGATAAGAGCGTTGGTGGAAGCATCGTGAGATTCGGTGTTATCAGAATCGTCCAATTCCTTACCGATAACCTTGGCCAAAACCTTACCCAATTCAACACCCCATTGGTCAAAAGAGTTGATGTTCCAGATGGCACCCTCAACGAAAGTAACATATTCGTAGTAGGCAATCAAAGCACCCAAGTTAGCTGGGGTGATCTTTTGAGCCAAGATGGATGTAGTTGGTCTGTTACCAGAGAAAACCTTGTGTGGGACCAAACCACCAGTGGCACCCTCGCTCTTTACCTTCTCCTCATCCTTACCAACCATCAAAGCTTCAGCTTGGGCAAAGAAGTTAGAAGCCAACATCTTTTGATGCAAGTTGTTCTCAATAGGGTTATGAGACTTGGCAGCCAAAATGAAGTCAGATGGGATCAACTTGGTTCCTTGGTGGACCAATTGGAAGAAAGAGTGTTGAGCATTGGTGGCTGGCTCACCGAACAAAATGGAACCAGTAGAGTAAGTGCTGAAGACATTGCCTCTTGTGACGCTCTTACCGTTAGATTCCATTGATAGTTGTTGCAAGTAGGCTGGGAATCTGTGCAAGTATTGGTCAAATGGAGCAACCAAGTGAGTTTGAGCACCGTGGAAGTTGTTGTACCAAACAGATAGTAGACCACCCAACAATGGAATGTTGTCTTCCAATGGGGATTCAACGAAGTGCTTGTCGACAGCTTCAGCACCCTTCAAGAAAGCCTCGAAGTTGTCATAACCGATGTACAAGGCAACTGACAAACCGATAGCAGACCACACAGAGTAACGGCCACCAACCCAGCTCTCGAAACCAAACATGTTGTTGGTGTCAATACCGAACTTGGAAACCTCCTCGGCGTTAGTAGACAAAGCGACAAAGTGCTTAGCAATGTTTTCGCTAACGTAGCCAGTCTTGGACAAGAACCAGTTCTTGGCACTGGTGGCGTTAGTGATGGTTTCAGCAGTAGTGAAAGTCTTAGAAGCAATCAAAAACAAAGTAGTTTCTGGGTCACAGACCTTCAAAGTCTCGGCAATGTGGGTACCGTCGATGTTGGAAACAAAGTGGACCTTCAAATCACCGGCGTAGTGCTTCAAAGCTTCAGTGACCATCACTGGACCCAAATCAGAACCACCGATACCAATGTTAACAACGTCGGTGATCTTCTTGCCCGTGTAACCCTTCCATTCACCGGAACGAACTTGCTCAGAGAAGACTTTCATGTGTTGCAAGACAGCATCAACTTCAGGAGCGACATTAACACCGTCGACGTACATTGGCTTGTTGGCTCTGTTTCTCAAAGCAACATGGTACACGGCACGGTCCTCAGTGAAGTTAATGTGCTCACCAGCGAACATCGCATCTCTCAAAGCGCTGACCTTAGCTTCTTCGGCCAATTCGTACAAAGCAGTCAAGATTTCATCATCGACCAAGTTCTTGGAAAAGTCAAAAAGAATCTTAGAGTTGTCGAAGTTAGTGAAAGTCTTGGACAACTTGTCGAAACGCTTTGGATCATGAGCGAACTCTTCCTTGACGTTCAACTTCTTCCCCTTGGTGTCATAAATCTTTTGAAGTTTAGACCACGCTGGGAGATCGGTAGCTAGTTTAAAATCAGAAAATGTGTTTTGAGAGGCCATTGTTGACTATCTGTGTCTTCGAGTGCTCTTAGCAAAACCAATTGAAAGATAAACTTTTATGATGATTGACCCTATTTCGCCTTATAATTCTCTCGTCAGGCTTCCGCTTCGGTTTCCGTCACCTGTTGCCCAACGCCGATTCCTCAATACACGAAGCTGAGGAAGCCGACGGCGCTGTGTAATGTATGGGTGACATTCGAAGTTCACTATATAAAAATGCTCTGAACTAAAACTAGCACGTGTTGCCGTTACCAGTGGACATAAACCGCCCATTATGGCATTCTTCTGGTCGTATTAATCAGTGCTTCCGTTTTGCTGAGATCTCTCCTTTTACATTAAGAGCTGGGCCTGCCAGTTTAGATTAGTTTGCTGCGCGTTCTGACTGTGAGGAATAAATAATTTGACACCTATGGAGGGATTTCGGTCCAGCTGAGGATCGTGATTTAAGCAGTAATCAGATCAGCTCTGATAATCAAGGAAAACATTTTTGCCTCATGATGCATAAAATTGCGTGTAAGGCAATGGTCGTAGCTCTCTTAAGCGAAATGCTCAGTCTCTTAAGCCATTAAGACAGTGCATTACATCGTCCACAAGTTTCCGCTCGTCTTCGTTACTATCGAGGGCTTCTTGGATATCTTTCTGCTTATTGCGGCGTCTTTTCATCGTTTGTAAGAGGGTCACGTGTGCTATGCGCAACTGCTTTAACTGCTTCTCAAAGGCAGGTGGGAAGCCCTCATATAGGTCATCTTCTTTAGACATGCGTCTCACATCGTCTAGAACGTCTATCTCTGTCCATAACTTGTCCTGGTTGTCTGCATTTGGATGGGCTTCGATCTGCTTTCCCTGCTTGGGTAAAGTTCTTACAGGCGGGATGGACTCATCTGACGTCGTATTGCTAGAATTTTTGACCGGTTTGGGCAGAGAAGAGTTCGAAGAAGTAGAATCAGCACTTGGATTCATGTTGTTTGTTGCCGTTTCGCCTGTGTAGTTGGTTATTTCAATGGTCCCGCGCTTTTGAAAAATCCAAGCACTTTCAAGAAACAAACGAATGAGGCATCCCTGGCAGAGACTACTATGGCTCAAACAAAACTATCCTGATAATTATACGGATCCTGCATTCTTGAGGGAACTTGAAAACTTCAAGAAAAACCAATTAAAACCACATATAACATCAAGCTATGCTCAAGTAGCGTTCGATTTTCTTTTATTTTACCATCGTTTGTTGAACACAGCACTTACATATGTGATATTCTCATTATTTTACTACTATCATTATGATCCGTTTATTTTGACTGGTTCTTTAACGACTTTAGCATTTATTATTGCATCGTGTCCCTGGTTTAGAACAATTGAGTTCAAGTCATCTCTTATCATTATCTTCACCATGTTGACGCTATCACCGGTTTTGAAATCTTTGTCTCGAACCACTTCATCAGATTCGATCTGGACGTTATCATGTTGGTTAACCGTGTTCTACCTACTGTCGGTATATCTGCAAGAGTCATCCATTATATCCACAAATCTACTGGTTGCCAATGTCGCAGTGTTGTCCTCGAGATTGAACTCGACAACAGATGTTTTTTGCTTTGTCCTGATATGTATTGAGGTCAACATTTTACTTCCATACTTCGAGCATAATTTACTAATGCGCAAACTGTATGTTCCTTGCATGGTGTCATTTCTCATGAACAACGTGGTCATCTATTCCTTTGTAACTTATTCTATGGGCTGGAAATATACGACACTACTTATTTTCTTCACAGTAATATTCGTTGTAGTGCTGCCACGTTATTTTATCCTTTGGCAACGATGGTACCATAGGGGCGACGAGCTTCTTGGAACCTGGGACGCAAAGAAGCCTGTTCTTGATTGAACTTTAGTAACATTTTTATTTATTGTTACACAATATATCGCGCATATGTACAGTTATTCTCTAAATGCACCACCAGCAATGACCAGGTTGCTTCTAGTAAACTTTACTTTGAATACTGGAGTCTTCTTAGTATAGAAAGACGCCATCAAATCTGTCGTCGGCACGACTGTCCTTCTACGACCATATTCCTTAATATCTTGATTTACGGATGTTGTCACATCACCAGAGTAGCTAACAAAAGGTTGTTCAGGTTCTGCACTTGGCTCTGCTGTGGATTTTTTGAGATCCCACACTCGCACGGAATGGTCAGCACCACCGGATAGTAGAACATTGCCCTCTTTACTATAAGAAAGGGTGTACACCGCGTTTTTACCATGTCCCCTCATCTGCTTCAACCGCTTCCCTGTACCTATATCCCACACATTGATCAGCCCGTCTTCGCTACCAGTTGAAAGCCATCTTCCGTCAGGCGATACAGCTGTCGATGTAACAGGTGCTGTATGACCCAAAAACAGGCGAACAGAATCACCTGTGCTGATGTCCCACATGCGACAAGTCTTATCACTTGACCCTGTGAAAACATAGGTACCATTAGGATGAAACGATACTGTGTCGACGTCATTCAAGTGACCTGCAAATATTCTCAAAGGATATATGTGATCGCAAGACCAAAGCCTGGCCGTCTGGTCATGGGACGCACTTGCGAAGTAGTGGCCCAGTGGAGAAAAGCATACATCCCACACTGGGTGATTGTGCCCTTTGTAGCTTACGAGCGGGGTGAATGTGTCGGTTGACCATAGTTTTACCGTTTTATCTTCTGAACCGGATATCAAATATCTGTTGTCGGGACTGAATGATGTCGAATAAACAGTACCACTATGGCCCACTAAAGTCTCGCATGTTGACTTGTCCATTGCTCTAGAGGGAAGTTTATTGTCTAGAACAGTGCCGTCCAATGACCATATCTTGATCACACTATCCTGAAAACCGGCAGAAGCAAGCCTCACATCATCACTGAATTCCAAAGAGGTCATGTCACCATTTGTGTTGTGGAAAGTGTACATGCACACACTTGGGGCAGCAGATTGAAGGTTATCCAGCCTGATCGCGTCACGAGATTCGCGAACTTTTTGTATTTCAAGTTTCAAATCGAGAGCTGTCTTTGATGGAAGAGGTAGTGTATCCCGGGATGGTGATTCCATTATAGACTCTGCCTTACGATCCTCCTTTTTTTCGGATTCAGCTGCTGTTGTGGTAGATTCCTTCTTGTCATCTTCTGAAGTAGCTTTTTCATCGGTAACATATTTATTCATCTCTCTGTATTCCTCAATAAGAGTTTTCTTAGGCGCAGCTTCTCCTTGAGCCTGTTCCTGGTCATCTTTTCTCTTCAGTTCCATTTCGACCTCTTTCGAAAACTCTTCATCAACAGGGAATTGACCAAGTTTGACAGGGACTGAATTATGTGTATCCACATCGACTGCCCCTGCCGACACATCCTTGATACCATCTGTCAAAGTCTCTTGGGATGTGATTGTCTCAACAATATTTGGGCTCAAGTTTTGATTAATGATGCTGATCAGTAACGATCCACCAACACTCTCGTTTTCATTCAAAAAGTATAAAAGAAGGTTGAGAGTCGTACGAGAAATTGTTACTCTATATTTGTTTGACTGAAATCCTTGGGCCAATTCATTTTCTTTAATATGATCTACCGAGTTGACTGAAAACAATTTGTTAATCTCGGAAGCGTGAAAAGCCTTGTAATCGACAGAAAATTTATCAAAAAAGCGGCGGGCCTGTATGGAATCTTTCCCAACAAGAGTGAGAAAGACGTAAATGAAAATCGGATAAATAATCCTTATCAGTTCTGGTTTGTACATGTCCAAAGAGGAATCCACCCAATTCTTTAGCATTGAATACGCAAGAAAGTAGTGTTCGGGAGAGTTATTTGCTTGTTGGGATATCAAATTGCCGTCATTGTCCCTCTTTACATTCATTGGGTTGCTGACTGGTCTTGCGCCTTGAGTTGAAGCTACCTGGCCAGGTGGGGGGAAAGATCCTGTCGCAGTAGTTCCTGGAGATTGCTGATTCTGTGGAGTCAAGGTCCGTGAGCTCTCAGTTCGTAGCATTGCCTCTGTACGATGGTAGCCCTTCTTGTTTAAGTACTCCAACACAATACGGTTCAAGTCAGCTGCTGAAAACGAGCCTGGACGTGCAGGGGTCTGGGCAGGCCTTGCTGCGCCGTTGGTTTGCTGTGGTCGTACATTAGTTGTTTGTGTAGGTTTTGGAGGCTGTTTCTGACCCTTTTGAGACATTTCTCTTTCTTTCAGTCTCTCAAATACTCTAGATTCTGTTGACCAACATTGGAATACATCGCCTGAAGTTCAAGGTAAGAAGATATCTATCGTTATGTACGCTATCATGATAGTCACGTGCATGGCTATTCCACTTTTGACCTAGTAGAACAGTTGTGGATTTTACTGCTTGAACATCGATTTGACATTTCATACTGTTCAGTCACTGTTAAAAGAGAACTAAGTATTCTCACGCAACTGCCAGAAGTTTATCTGTGTCATTTCTCTTGAAGTTTTTAGCCGGAAGTGCTCAAAACTGCCACGCTACAGCACAAGATTTTACGTCAAGTTCATTAACAACATATGCTTGATCTCTGCGGTTAATTGGCATACTGCTTTGTTGAGTTGGGCAGCAAAACTCCCGTGTACAACAGAAACTTGAATCTTTTAATCATTACAACAATTGATCCAAAAAAAAAACTCCGCAGAAATATCTGCAATTGTCCTCGGCACCGTCCTATGCAACGTGCAATGGCGAAAGGTTTACTGTGGTAAAATTTTAAGTCACCTGTGCCAAGCCACATTTATGTCTTGTTTCTTTGGAGTCATCGTGTAACGACATACTACGAGAACTCTTCTGATATTCACAGTATAGGCTGCAATGAGATTTGGTATGCATTTCTTTGGTTCATGAGTTTCCTGCATCTGTGAGTTGTTTAATAGTTTCGTCTCGAGACTGCCCCACCTCTCTCGCGGTTCCGACCGGGGGCGCGCTCGAAACCTATTACAAAAGCTGAGTTAAGACGCCCCAGGTAGGATGCCACGTACAACCTGTGCCATCGCCGCGGAAACGGCGATGCACGCACCTGGAAGTGCCTCAACCAGGAAGAAGCCGTGTATGTAGCAACAGGACGCCGCATCTTCTATGTATGCATCTGGGGGCTTCTTTCGTCGGGAAATCATTCTTCGGCTTCCTGTTTTTGGCTGCGCTTCCAACTCTTTTTCGAATTTAGGAAGCCGACGCGACGGCGCGTGGATCCTAGCTTCCTCTCTTGAACTTAGGAACAGTCACCAGTTGTTTGAAGAGCACCAGCGAAAGCAACATAAGGAAAGGTATAGTTGACGAGTAGTACCATTTATATGGTGCGGCTATAATTGTAGATAGTTTACGAATTTGTGGAGTGAGAAAAAACGCGGGGAGCTTCTCGGCAGGTGTGATGAATGCATCTATGAAACAAGCCAGCGCTTCGAACTCTCCGATGGTGGGCAATCAAAATCAAACCCCATCGCCAAGGTCAAGTACATCACATGCTCGCTCAGGGGACAGTGGACTCCCTCAATTGCTGGGGAGGAGGAATGTGGTTGTACCGTTAGTGATGCAGTACGTTTTGGAACACTTTTTCCACATACAAGACACCCAGGTGGGAAGATCTCTGCGACTGATTGACCTCATCGTGGACCAAACCTATCCAGAATCGCTAACGCTGCGGAAATTGAACGATCCGTTTTCGAATAAACAATACCAGTATTTTAATACTGTGTCGAGGAACAAAGAAATAACACGCTGCCCAATCTTTTGTACTGCGGTTTATGTCACTTTCAAGTGGGGCGGTAGCAGATCCAAAAATGCGATTCAATTTACGAATTTCCAAGATGTGCTACTTTTGAGCGAGTTTTCTGACTCCGAGATGTCCAGCCCTGGCGATGGAACTTCGATGGTTTCTATGGAGCCTATGGAGCGCCCAAGTAGTTCCATATGGAAAAGCGACAAGGAAACAAGAGCCCTGGATCCCCCCGAAGAATTAATAGGGGTCGTATTCCCATGGCTTCATGCATTGCAAGACGATCTTGAAACTCGCGACCGCACTAACTACAATTTACACTCGCTATGTGAATTGTTTGAATATCTAGCTCGTGTCCTTATTCAAGATTTAGCGTACCTCAGTTGCACCGATACTTTACCCCATTTACAGTCTATTGTCATGGAGTATGTTCCCAAATTGTACCAATGTGATGCGTTCAAGCAGTTCAAGAATAACATGCAACAACGGATCAACAGTTACTCCGCCCAAAGCGAATGGAGTAGGGAAGTACTTTCTAGAGTTGAAGATAGCTTCATCGAAATGTCAAGAAGATTCACTTTGCACAATCAATCCTTATCTCAAGAGATACAGAACTTGAGAGTGGAAATGGGGTCAATGAAGCAGCTTCTATCAGAACTTTTGCAATCACAAAGGCAGCTTGTGTCTTTCACAATGCCTAATTCTACTTTTTCTACAGGATCGGTAAGCAATAGCAACGGAATGGTTTCAATGGATAAAAATCCACTTTCTTCGGCTCTATTTAATAATTTAGTGAATTCCGCCGAAGACCAAACGCAATCGACTCCATCGCTTGCGCCTATAAATATGTTTCACTCTCTTAGCAGCTCTGCAGTCCCTGATAACCAGAAGAGGAAACTACCACTACCTAATAATTCAGGCTTTTCCCCTCAGCCAGTTGAGTCTCCCTTCAAAAGGCTAAAATTCGATGAACCTAAGTCAGGACAACCCTCGGGAAACATGACTGCCACACTGGACTCTATACTGTCGAAGCCCGTAGTGAGTCCTAGGTTGGCTATACCCTCCCTTACAAGCGGTGCAGCCTCTTCTCACATGTCGTCACAATACTCGACTCCCGGCTCAACCTCTAATTTGGTAGCCAAGAAGCAAACTAGCGCCGGAACTCCCAATGGGAATCTGAGTAGTGGCGAAGCTCTCAAATATAAGTTGTCGCGTGAAAACAAGACAATTTGGGATTTGTATTCGGAATGGTATATCGGGTTGAATGGCAAGCCTTCAATTAAGTCGTTGATTGACACATATGGGTGGAGACGTTGGAAAGTTAGTGAAGATTCACATTTTTTCCCCACGAGAAGGATAATAATTGACTACATAGAAAGGGAATGTGATCGCGGAATTCGGGCTGGAAGGTTTCTGAACACCGATAGAGAAGCGATTCGTAAAATGGTCACAGATGATTTAGAAAAGTTTAGAGCAGCGAATGGGCTAACTCTAAATAGTCTTTCCATGTATTTCAGGAATCTCACGAGGAAAAATACAGAGATATGCATATATGACAATTTTCAAGATTGGTCTATTTTACTCATTGACGATGAAGAAAAGAATAAATATTGTAAAAGACAACACAATGGATCTTCTTAGTCTAATGGCCACTGTAACGATAAATGATTTAAGCTTTAATGTAATTATAACGTGTATATGAAGAGATGAGCCATACAATTAGTACTTAAAGGGGCCTCACATGCTCCATTACAATCGAGGATTCAAATGTAACGCCTTGACAAAAATTGTGTGTCAAATGATGATAGTAAGCTGATTTCGGCACACTTTCCAGGATCCTCGTCATGGGATGTAATTTCCTTTTTTTCGCAGCAAAAATCGTAGCCATTCTTTGAGTAGGAAAATCAATTTCTCTGCATCTAAACAGAAACTCATATCAAAGGTTCGAGAAGGTAGTAAAAAGTTTAACACTGACAATGCCTCATAGTGACTTTGTCATTCCGTCAAATCTGACTCTATCTCAAACTTTACAACTACTGTACTCTATCGTTTTGAACCAATTCAAGAACTATGAAGATAAGCTACAAATTGAAGGCGATGACTATTCCTCACTAAAAAAACTATCAAAAGCACTTTCTCAGATTATTTTGTACCTAAGTGATGGTATTAACAGAGTAGAGCAACATTACAAAGTTGAAAACCTGTTCATTCTAACAAATGCTGATGTTCAAGACATTGTGAGAAATCTCAGAATTCTGGATCAGGATGTGAAAGCCAGCAAAAGAAACGTTGATGCAAGAATACAAACACTTATTTCAGACAAACATAAGTCCTTGCCCTCTTCAAATAGTCATTTTTCCCTGTCAACCCTTCTTAAGAAGACTAAACTCACATCGCAGAAGAAGGAACAGCTGAAAAAAGAGCAGGAGGAAAGGGAAGCGAGAGAAGTGGAAGAAATTAAGAAACAGAGAAAGTTACAGGAAGACCAACGTGCGAGAGAAAAACTAGCAAAGGAAAAAGAATTGGAAATTCAACAGGCCAAGCTTCTTGAACTAACGATTAAGAAACAAGTTGAAAAGGAGATGGCCTCAAGGTTATCGCATGACCGTAACGCTAATCAACAAAAGGACAATAAAAAAGGAAGCAGCACGGACGCAATCGTGCCAGTTGCAGGACGCTCTTCTCTAGACTTCAAACGGCCGGCCAGGAGATCGATTGACCAGATGCGAAGGAGAAGTTTGGACGGCGGTGCCAGAAGCAAGGGTTCTCAGGTTAGTTCGCACACTAGGCCTGTTTCTGATGCTACTGCAGCTAATATTGATAATGTTAACAGGGCAGCTTATGTCGCTTGGGCACATGCTAAACCACCTTCCGATAAGTCTGATGCGCGAGGTAGAGCTTCTCCAACTACAGAGCGCGCTCAAGCACAAAGCTCCAGGACTAAATATGAATACGTTAAACCGGTCATTAAGCGTCCAACCATCAGGATTCCAAAAAGAGTAACTCCAGCTCATAGAAAGGAAGCGGTGTTGGAGTCTGTGGAAGGAAAGAAGGAGCTCCAACGTCAATCTTCTCAGGTAAGATCTCCCAAAGTTACTTCACGCCGTTCTTTTTCACCCGGAATTACAACGCCAACATCCCCTAATCCCTCGTCTCCTAATATTTCATCGTCTTTCCAAGAAAAGGAGTTATCACCATTCGAAAAACGGATCGAGCATGTCATGAATACGCTTGAAGGGGTTGATGTAGACGCGTGTCAACAGATTCTTAATGACATATTAATAGTTGATGAGAAGATTTACTGGGACGACATTGCTGGTTTGAACAATGCCAAAAATTCTCTTAAGGAGACTGTAGTTTATCCTTTTTTGAGGCCAGATCTTTTTAAGGGTTTGAGGGAACCAATATCCGGTATGCTTCTATTTGGACCTCCAGGAACTGGTAAAAGTATGATTGCGAAAGCTGTTGCAACTGAATCGCGCTCGACTTTTTTCAGCATAAGTGCTTCCTCGTTGCTATCCAAATATCTGGGTGAATCAGAGAAGTTGGTTAGGGCATTGTTCTATTTGGCGAAACGGTTGTCGCCATCGATTATATTCGTTGATGAGATAGACTCACTTTTAACTTCACGCTCGGATAATGAGAATGAATCATCTAGGAGAATCAAGACGGAAGTTCTTATTCAGTGGTCATCACTATCTAGCGCTACTGCCAGGGATAAAGAAGAGAGTGATGCGGAAAGTGGAAGGGTATTGGTCCTTGCTGCAACCAATCTTCCTTGGGCAATTGATGAAGCAGCTAGAAGAAGGTTTTCTAGAAGGCTCTATATACCTCTTCCTGAGTATGAGACTAGACTAATACATCTGAAGAAGCTACTATCGCACCAAAAAAATAGCCTATCAAGTACTGATTTTGAGATTATTGCATCTCTTACTGAGGGGTACTCGGGGTCTGATATAACGGCACTCGCTAAAGAGGCAGCAATGGAGCCAATTAGGGAGCTCGGTGATAAATTAATAGACGTGGATTTTTCGAAGATCAGAGGTATATGTGTCGGAGATTTCGAAAAGGCCATGCTTACGATTAAAAAAAGTGTCTCGCCTGATTCTTTACAAAAATTCGAAGCCTGGGCTGCTGGTTTCGGCAGCACAGGTGCCTAATGTAATATGTGTAAAATAATCGAAGAAGGTCTTTATATAGGTGAGATGGCGTCCATTTTTGAAGGCGTCTCCGGAAAATAAGGTTTCAAGTTTGGAACTATATTAAGTAATCAAGAACGTGAGAAAAAAAAAGGCTGAATTGCGGATGACACGTTCGCCGAATGGATTGAAAGTACACTACAGCTGTCACTAATGTTATCAAGACGTTTATTACGAGCTACTGCTTTTTACGGCACGGCTTTAACAGTTGTTACTCTTCTAATTCTGTATCTGACGGCAGGTAGTGAATTCTATGAGACGGTTAAGACGAGGGCAAAAGGTCATTACGACACAGTAAGTTCAGCTATTGACGAAAAACTATCGCAGATGAGTAATTCAAGAACAGGCGATTCGAGCTCCCAGCCCGGATTAGAAAACGCGCCTGAATTCATTCCAACTACGAAGAGTACAGAAATCATAAATAAGTTGATGGAAAGATTGGAAAAGCCACTATATGATGATGGCATCGACTCAAGACAAATATTGAGGAAGAATAAAGAAACTTATGCATCCGTTTTACGCACAAAGATTGACGAACCAAATGTCGATAACCTCGTAAAAGCAGGCTCTGACGAGGCAGGCACGGCCAAAGCGACTTTTTTGTGTTTAGTGCGCAATGAAGATCTTGACGGTATCATCAAATCGATCCAAACCCTGCAGGAGACGTTTAATAACGAGTTTAACTATCCATATACATTTTTGAATGATGACGAGTTCACAGAAGAGTTCAAAAAAGGAATTCTAAACGCTCTTCCCGCTAAAGCCTCAGTTAGATTCGGAAAAATTGAAGACTCTGACTGGGAAATGCCCGCTTGGATAGATATTGGTGATTATCAAAAGAAAATGGAAGCCCTTGATGAACAGGGTGTGGGACATGCGAAGCAACTGTCGTATCATAACATGTGCAGATATTATTCGAAGAATTTTCATCATCATCCTATGCTGCGCGACTACAAATTTGCCTGGAGGGTTGAGCCTGGGGTAAGCTTCTACTGCCAAATTGACTACGATGTGTTTAAGTTCATGGAAATGAACAATAAGGTTTACGGTTTTACGCTGAACTTGTATGACAACCCTCTAACCGTCGAAACACTATGGCCCACCGTTATGGAATTCGTTCGAGAACATCCAGATTATCTACACGAAAACGGTGCATTTGAATGGCTTAAGGAAAATGGACAAAAGCCTGATAATTACAATGGGGCCAATGGTTACTCTACGTGTCATTTCTGGACTAACTTTGAAATCACAAATCTAGATTTTCTACGCTCACAGCTCTACCAAGACTATGTCGACTTCCTCGATCAGAGAGGTGGCTTTTATTATGAAAGATGGGGTGATGCACCAGTCCGGAGTATTGCGCTAGCCTTATTCGCAGACAAAGACTCGATCCACTGGTTTCGGGATATTGGGTACTCACATATGCCCTATACCAATTGTCCAAAGAGAGATGAAGAGAAGTATCGGGCTCAATGTGTACCTGGTAAGTTTGTCCCATGGGGAAACTTAGAGGCGGAGAACTGTCAAGCTACGTGGATTAAGTACGTCATGTCAGAGGATCAAATGGACTTATACTAAGTCCGACGATAGAAGCTGCTTTCATTTCTGGAGATATGTACACGTGATCAATGACGTCACCTTCTTCGGAGACTCGGTTTTTTTTTTCTTGGTTCCGTTTCTCCAGTTGAGTTTTTAAAAATGGACATCGTAAAAGCCAGTTGGCGATGTACCAAGTAGTATATACTTCTGCTGGCAATTATAATAACGGGAACGCCTTTTGGATCGATAGCTTTATCAAGAATAATCATAGAAAAGTACAATTCATCGCGTTCGGAGTTCTCACAGCCTTATCTTTATACGTTTTAACACCAAGTATATTCAAGAAACGTAAGGACATGTTCTCGAGCTCGAAAAGAAGTGACAAATACACTACGGGATTGATCAATAATAGAAATGACTGCTTCGCCAACTCTTCTGTTCAGGCCTTGTCATCTATGCCCCGTTTAACCCTCTATCTGAACGACATTTTGAAACAGGCACAGTTTCTCCGCACTTTATTAGAACGCAACAACAACGACACAGTGGAAGTCTCGCCTGAGAACTCTCCAGCGCCGGAAGACACCAAGGACACACTTCTTTCTGTGGCAGATCGGCTGCAGACTGGGAGCCCTAGGCCTAGTCTGCAGGCGTTATCCTCAAGGCCAGCTCTGACGTCGTTTTCATCTACAGCAACAATAACTACCCTGTCCAATGCATCTGACGAGGTACGTTCGGAAGAACTTGAAGAACCAAATGAGAATTCTTCTGGTACTCGAGTCGATGAAGGTAACGTTGAGAGCGGGTTTTCCACCGCCTCCAGTGACGAGATTCCAGAAATCCCTATGCATGAGGGGTTGGCTCAAATTGTGTATCAGCTTCAACAAACAGTCACATCCGAAAAGTACATATCAGTATGGCCTTTCTTGCATGTTTTAGAGCTGATTTTCGAGGCAAAGATATCTACAGGACAGAATGATGCCCATGAGCTTACACAAGTGATTCTGGAGACATTGGAAAAAGAAAACGCCAAATTAAGAAAATTCGTGAAAGATCAATCACTCAATGTTATCATACCGGAATTCCCTGTTAAGGGTTCGCTTGCTGATCATCTGATTTGTTTGGGGTGCCAAGGCTCATCGAAGGTTAACGTACATCCTTTTTCAATGTATCCGATACCAGTTCCGCAAGAGATGGCCGCTAATCTCACCGAAATTATTGCTGACAACCAAACTGAGACAATTGAGGGCTATTCGTGTCTTTCTTGTAAGATCAAAGCAATTTTAGCGCAAGAGAAGTACCGCAATTATGCTGGTGATTCAGAGGAAGAGAAAAAAAAATCGCCACTTTGGAGAAGATCATTCCTGATGTTTTTATTAATGATGACTTGTCTGATGAGTTGATGACCTACATACGGTCTTACAAGAAAGATGATTGTGACACTAGTACCATGAAATCAAGAATTGTCAAGAAGACTGTCGTGGTGGATTCTCCGCCACTACTTATCCTTCATTTATCTCGATCTGTGTTCAACGGTATGAATTACACCAGAAATTCATGTAATGTGACATTTCAAGAAGAAATGCAGATTCAAGAACAGAAAATTCAAAACAATCGCTGCGTTGGTGTCAAGCCCGTGAAGTATAGGCTCAAAGCGATGGTCAAACATCAAGGTTCTCATTCTCAGGGGCATTATGAGTGTTACAGGCATAAACCTGATTTTGTTAAAGACGCCATTACTGGCCAAATTATTAATAGATCACCTATTATAGATTTCGGAATGGATTCGAATCGCATGGCCGCATTCGCTTGGAACCAGTCAGCAAACAACTCCTCTGATGTATCTTCGATATCCTCTAACGAATCTGAATCATCAACTTCGAGTCCTTTCCGAACGGTCTTTCCGGAAAGCAGCGGCAATCAACCGTCGAGTACTGCCCTCGTTGATGAAGATGATTACGTTATCGGAAGCACTGATTCCGGAAGTTCCAACGCTCCAAGCAGAAAGCCTTCCAAGCTGAAGAAAATAGCAGGTTTCTTATCAAGACGTTCATCTGCAGCATCAGCTGTCTCTGATTCGGGATCTGCAGATTCCATCCAACCAGGCAAACGCAGCAGAATGAATAGTATTGCGTCCTTTCACATGAACCGTGGAAACTCCTACGATGACTCGGTCGTTTCATCTTCTGGAGCAGACTTAACTGAAACAAGCGCAAGCGAAGTGGACGACTCCACCTCTGGTGTTAAGCGGAAGCTGAAGAAAATCAAAAGTGTACTTAAATATCCCTACTGGAAGATTTCAGACGCAGAGGTCAAGGAAGCTAAGGAGGGAGAGGTCTTGGGAGAGACAAGGTTTGTTTACCTGTTGTATTATGAACGTGTTGATGATTGATGAAGGCTGGAATCCACGGTAGTCCAGGAGTAGTATATACTTAAAAACACATCTAAATTGCATTTTCAAGCATTATATCAGTAAGTATTTCGTTATTTTTCAGCGGCTAAGCGTTTTTTATCCGAGGGAGAATGCAGCTGAACTGTACGTTTGCAAAATTTGAGCTCAAGAATGGATTTGTGTCAAAAACGCTTGAGATATCTGCCTTTGAGTCTGAGCTATCTACATTGCTGTTCTCCATCATCATCCTTGGCAGATACTTAATCGTCTACCGTGATTGGAAAAGAATGTAAAATACGTACAATGCTGAAGGAATTAAGAGGACGGTTGTCTCCGCCTTTGGGATTAGTAAACAGTTGGTAAAAGGAACAATGTTGAAGGTATGTTTGAATAACTCAAATAACTCGCGTGAAAACTTGTCGTATCATGATTGTTCAGACGATTATGACGTCCCGACTGTTTTTACTGTCGATGTTATTTAGCCGTGGTATTTAACTAACATTTTTGCAGGGTTTCAAATTGTCAAAGAGGGACAGTAGTTCCAAAGGTAGAATTACATCTGCAGACATTTCCGCACCTACTGCTGATAATGGTAATGTCATAAAACACATTAAGACCGTTCCCATTCGATCTGCATCGGCGGCTTCAACCACGTCTATGAAAACCTCGAAGGATGGTTTTGCAACTGAAAAAGTTATCAAGGCATTGTATAATTATCAGGCACAGTCTCCAAAAGAACTGTCATTTTCGAAGGGTGATTTCTTTATTGTTTTATCTGAAGACAAGGAGTGGTATGATGCATCCAACCCCAACGATGGGAGGCGAGGTATGGTTCCTAAAAGTTACTTTGAAAGCCTAGCGAGGAGTAAATCCGAATCCAGCAGCATGTCACAGAGAAAATCTTCTTCTTCTGCAGGGTTGAATTCAAAGATGGGCTCTCTTTATGCTATTGTTCTGTATGACTTTCAGGCCGAAAAGTCTGATGAGTTGACTACTTATGCTGGTGAAAACCTATTTATCTGTGCCCATCATAATTATGAATGGTTCATAGCTAAGCCAATTGGGAGACTGGGAGGCCCTGGGTTGGTCCCAGTGGGATTCGTCAGCATCATTGACATAAACACCGGTTATGCAACGGGGAATGATGTTAAGGATGATATAACATCTGTTCATCTACCCACCGTTCAAGAGTGGAAGGGTAACATAGCCAAATATAAGGCAAGTAACATTTCTCTGGGATCCCCTGAGCAGTATCGGCAGCAGCGTGCCAATTCGCATGGCAGTACTCTCCACCAGTATGCTGGAGATTACCATCAATCTTATGACGGTGCAGTTGTTTCTCATGCAGCAGTTGAATCTTTCTCTTTGGAGGGTGACAAATATTGGTTCAATGTCACTTGCGAACTATCAGATGGACGTGCGCGGACGTTGAAGAGGTTTTATGAGGACTTTTATGATTTGCAAGTAAAGCTTCTGGATGCATTCCCTGCAGAGGCAGGCAAAATACGAGATGGAAAAGGACAGTGGACAGCACGTATAATGCCTTATATCCCTGGGCCTGTACCGTACGTCACGGATACCATTACCAAGAAGAGGAAGGATGACCTAAATCTGTATGTACGCGACCTAATAGCATTACCAGTGCATGTGTCTCAGTGTGATTTAGTAAGGTCCTTATTTGGCATAAGGAACAACAATTTCGATAGGGAATTCACCCCTGATCCAACTATGAAAGTGAGTGTAACAAAAAGTGCGTCAGTAAAAACTTCGGAGAGTCTACCCGTAGCGTCAAAGAAAAATGAGGACTCGACATTGACAGGTGAAGATTTGAAAGTATATGAAATGATGAACGAGTTATCGATAAACAATTCTAAGCCAAAATCGAGACCTCCGAGTACGCTTCCTCCGCAAGTGAAACCAACTAAAATCAAATTCTATTATGAGGACGACATTTTTGCTCTTCTACTGGACTCTAAAACAACATTTGCCGAATTGCGGGAAAAAATTAGTCCTAGGATTGATAATCCATCCTTCAAACTTTACGTCAAGCTGAGCGATGGTGTGGGAGAAGAAATTAATAGGGACTCACAGGTTTCGCAAGTAATTCAGGGAAAACTAAAGATTGCTGTTTTGGACTCATAAACATCGCAGTTCTTTTGCTGATTACTAAAAACTACTTGCATTAATTTTAATTCCCGTTAATAAGTTTGTAATATTAATAACACTATGTAGGGATGTGAACTAGTAATCTGTATCAATAACCATTGGCTCGTACCCGTACGCACCGTCTCCACCCATTACATCATTCTCGTCGACATCCATGTCGTTTTCTTTTTCGTTTAGAAAGCCTAGAGAGTACTTTTGAAACCACAGTAACCATTGCTTATACACAAGTTCTGCCCCATTATACCATTTTATTACCTGCAGATTACTATCACGGATTGTTTCCCATATCTTATCATAGATTCTATTTTTAGGGTCCTTAGATCGACCGCCATTTTTCACTAAATCCCATACCTGATCTTTAACTGCCTGCGGTAGTATCTTGCTATTGACTGCACTATTCTTCGAGATGTCAACATTCTCAACTCGCCTTATATTTGGTGTATCACTTATAGACAAGTTTTGTAGATCCTCTATTAATCGCTGTCTCTTGTAATTGGAAATACCAATGTCGCATGGACTATGTGCTCTTTTCATATGGATTATGGGCATGAGTGCACTCGACACCTTCACAACATTACTTGCCTTAATATTCCAACCGAAGAACTTTCTAGAAATCTAATTTAAAAGCACGCCAAATACCTTATTCTATAGGTTCTTTTCAAATAAAATAGTATTATTCAACGTTCTCGTCACTTACAATAGCTAACGGATAAAATTCATCCAATTTAGATGCCAGAACGTAGTGTTTTTGTTCTCCCTTTGTGCTCGTCAGACCTCGTCGCCCTTTCCGCGAGCTGAAAATTTCGCTAGATTATATTTTACGTTCCAAATTATTTCATTTACATAGCCGCCAAATGAAGAATAACTTCCATCAATGTTAAACACTACGCGAAAGTATTCACAATCTTTATTCCAGAATACAACGTGCTAACTCAAGACTTTTGAGCTTAAAATCTTCTCTAGCATAAAGTTTTCGCCAATCAGGTGAATTGACAAGATTGATTGTGTGTATGAAAGAGGTAAATACTCATTCATGAAAGATGCATAGGTTTCTCTTCCTTAATATCGCGCTTGAGTTTTTAATTCATGTTGAGCACATAATTTAAGACCTGAGCAAGTGGCCCTCTCAAAGTCAAAATTATTATCGACAAAAATATGAGAACCCACCACGAATCGCGCAACGAGAGTCACATACGGCACGCAACTCCCATAAAGTCTCCTATTCGCACAATTTGTTTCAGTCTGCTTGTCTACTCATTGAATACGCGGTGCTTTTGCTGATATACCAGTTGAACGACAGTGTGAGGTATCTAATAAAACGCAGAAAATAAAAACACAACGTTGTGCCTTTTTTAGCAGAAAATTTTAGCCTGATTTAAACTTCGACTCTCCAGATACAATTGAAAGTCGCCTCTTAAAAGAGGTTTCGTGATTTACGCCGTTTTAGGATTAATTTCAGTAGTAAAAGCGGCACAAGAAACAAGAATTGAACTAGCTGAGATAAATTCTATCGTGCTAGCACAACCTAATCTAAAAAGATATGCACAGAATCTCAGATTATATTCAAAGCCTTAGGAAGCACAGGAAGAGTTTGTCGACATTATTTCCCATCGAAAACGACGCTCTTGTTGAGTCGTTTTTATATACTTAAACATGCAGAAGTTAGTCATGAAGCCAGTTCACTATTTGAGCCTATTACTTATCACACGTATCTTGACTTGAATCATTATTGTTGGAGAGGAATCCTTCTTTGAACCAAATGTGTTTGGTCTGTCAGTATACGAAATTAAGATAATGATGTATTAAATTTACCCTCGGCGTCGCAAAAAATTACTTAATCGTTAAGATAGATTTCTATTCTTTGTGCGGGTTTTATGCTAGATATTATAGCAAGTCAACATCTGATCTACACAAAATCACAATAACCGATTAGATGTTTCACACTCCTCCTATCAACAACCCCAAATATGACTCGTCTCAGTCAATAAAGGAATCCTATCACATTCATCTCGAAAGCACGTCTCCTGATCTGTCCAACTCGTCAAGTAATGGCAGTGCCTCTTTGACAAAGGAGGAAATTGCACAAGAGATAGGAGGTATAAATACTCTACCTGCTGAGTTGTCGAAACTGATAGACATATTTATTGATGACCTCAAGCAACCGAAATACTTGAAGCCATTAAATGTTTTACAACTGTCTGGTTTGTTTCAGGCTTTCTACAGCAAGTTCGACAAGGCTTCTTTCCAATATTTAATGCGAGCGAACGATGCAGGCTCCACATCTTTTATGAGTGCGCGTGAATCTCTAAGTTCAGGGATCAGTGGGATCTTCAATAGAAGTAGAAGTGGCAGCGACACGAGGAAGAGATCCTCTTCACTCTTTAGCACCGATTCTAGTAGTGGTTTACAGCCTTTACTAACGCCTGAAGAAATAAATAGGCATATTCGAACTACTGAACTGAATAATTTGAAAGTAGAAAAGTACATGGAACTTTGTGAGCACGATGTATTCAGGAGAATCCTAGAAGTGGGAACTTCGGTACCGGGTTGTAACTCGAAGGTAGATGAGAAGCCACAAAGGACGCTTAAAGTATCAAATCTCTTTCGGAACAGCCCTGAGTTTATTGAATTCGATAAGCGATTGGGGGAAAAGCTTGAAACTTTAAATCGAATAACAAGTAGTGGGAAACTAGATTTGATAGAATTCTTGTCAATAACCCATGCGGATTTTGATACTGATAAACTATCCGAGCATTTGGAGAGGCTCGTATATGAATCGATTGCCCCTCATGAAAAATTGGAAAACGTTCTTAAAATGCATGATGACATGATTATGTCTTTAAATCACTTGAGTAACGATGATTTTCTATCCACGTTGATATACCTAGTGATAAAGAAGCCAGTGAAAAGCATATTCTTAAATTTGCAATTCATCCGATTGTTCCGCTATAGTAAGAAGCTTGTTGAAAAAGAGCTATATGCCTTAACAAATCTGGATGCGGCGCTCACTTTTGTGGAGAATCTCACTCTAAATGATTTTCCTGCAGGTTTTGGATCTGACCTCTCTACTGAAGAGCAAAAAGAATTAGCAATCGCTATATCGAGTAAGATTGCTCTACCGGACATTCAAGTTGGTTGTGAAACGCCATCTCAACGGCATCCTGGTTTGCCCAGAAGTAATTCCTACAAAGAGTTTGAAGGATTAAGAACTGCTCTGGACTCTTCGCTGAGGAATATCATTGGTAAAATAAGATCATACACTCCTCCAGCTCCTCAGCCAACAACCACTACTAACAGTTCACAGCAAGCATCAATGGTGGACGGTGAGAGTAACAAGAAGATTGTTTCCATTCCGCAATCTGTAAGAGAGTTGAGAAATCGTGATTTCGAAGATCTGAAAGTAAACGAACTCAAACAAATTTTTGAAACTTATCAAAAACTTTTAGATGCACAGGATTTTTAAATTTTACGTATTGATGGTTTTCTTAACCACTAGATAGCACTCAGCCGATCAACTATGGATCGAAGTATTGAATAAATACCCTCATCATCATGATCAAGTGGGAGGTATTCGGCATTTATGAGGTTCGTGAGCTCACTTATTTTCATCCTGGTGTACTTCATTGATCCACTGGTATCTTCTAAATAAGCGACCAAAGTTCTCTTGACTGCATCGTCATGCGTTCTTTGTTTCAAAATGTCTAGAACTAGGGTATCGTTGTGAGCACGGCCAAACTGAATACCATGAATAATGGGGAAAGACATTTTCCCCTCTGAGACATCCTCAGCGTAGCCTTTATTTTTGATCATTTCTGTATCTTGCAAGTTCATGTAGTCATCCCGAATTTGATACAGGATGCCCAATAAATTACTAAGCGGTACGAGCGACTTCTGATCGGAAAAATTAGGAGCAAAGACTTCCATAATCCTAACTGTCAGTCTAAATAATCCACCAGTCTTATTCATGACCATATCTAAGTATGCCTGTTCATCGGGTACCACAAATTCGTCTCTCCAGTAAATGTCGAGACCCTGACCACGATGAAGATTCATCATTTCTTGATTGAAAATGATCAACAATTTGTTTAGTACAACTTCGTCTGTCCCGGCAGCTAGTTCTTGGAGGCATTCCATCGCGTAAAAATACATGTAGTTTGCAGTGTTGATTGTCATTGGGATCCCATACACGGTATGAGCCGCCTTCTTGCCCCTCCTCCACTGCGACGCGTCCTCGATATCATCAATAAGCAAGCTTGAAGTGTGAAGTATTTCGACAAATTTGGCTATGACAGTGATCTTATCCTCCGGTAATTTGTAGATCATGTTGAACACTCTAATCAGCTCAGTTCTGAAGTTTTTCCCCGGACATGATGCCAAATGATTATACGGTTGTCTAAGTACTTCTTCCTGATCTTCCGTCCAAAAAGGTTTGTTGTTTACGAGGCCCTTGATGGCATTTGTATCCATCTGCGCCATTGGCGTTTTCTCTCTCAGTGGGTGGCTAAGAACGTAAATGGGCGAAAAACAATTTAGTTTTCTGACATCGTAGAAATAAACGACACCCTCATAGCACCAAAAAAGCGTGCAAGTATGGATAATTTGCTACTTAATATGTTTGGAGACGTCCCCATAGTGACGAAAACCTGGATTGCTGGTGTAGTTGTGTTAGCGGTGTGTATAAACCTCAACCTTCTAGACTACACTAAAGTGATTTACAGTTATGATTTGACGTTCAAAAAAGGACAATACCTGCGATTGCCGTACTCATTACTGGACTACGGACTGTTCGATTGGGGTTCCATATTCAATTTTTTCGTAGCCATAGGGTTTTTGAGCGCTTTGGAGAACTCTATAGCCAAGAGGGGAAGGTACCTATGGATGTTGTGCGTAATAACAATGCTGATAGTGGTGATGAGCCGATGGATGCAACCTCTTAGTTCCTTGGGATACACTTTGCACCAGAACCTTGTGTACTACAAGATAAGAAGAGATATACAGGCAAATATCCAATTGCCAGGCGGATTCAACGTGTCGCCTTTGCTTTTCCCGTTATACACAAACGCCAGGATGTACCTATCGCTCCCAGTTTCATTTGGAGAAATCTTGGTGAACTTCCTGCCGGGACACATGTATTTCTTTGTCGAGGATGCGCTGAGTAAGATCTACAATTTGGACTTGGGCAAGCCTCCCAATGAATGGTTTTCACGGCCAACGGAGGAGCCACACGGACAGGAACAAGAGCGTGCAAATGGAGCAGCGCGCATGCATGCACAAGATTAGTAGAGAGAAAACTCATAAATATCATCTATTCTGCCTATATAGTCTATGAAAAGAGTGCAACGTCATCGAAGGTATCCAGACGCTCCGTCGGGAGTGGGGAAGATGCAGTGGACTTGGATTTTTTAGGTGGCTTGCGTCTTTTGTCAGGCCAATGTAATGATATGTCGCGCTCCCGCACGAGCATACGATTGATGCGGTTGTTGATGAGTTGGAAGTCGTTGCGCTTGGTCGAGGGCCGGTCGGAGTTTTTGTCGCGAGGCACAGCGATATCGGCCACATCCTGCATGTCAATGCCGTGCAATTGTGCCACGAACTTCATGACGGCCTCCTCGCGAAGATTGGAATTCCCCAGCGTCTGCGTGAGCACCACGTCGCTGTCATTCATGGTTTTCCCAGAAGATTGCACTTGCAATTTGATTTGTTGCAGTAAAGTCTGCTGGTCCAGTTGATCCTCCGCTTGAAGCTTGAGCAGCGATACTGCGAGGCCCTCGGCTTGCGAAATAATGGTCGAAAGTGCAACGTCGTGCCCGGACGTAGTCTTTTCTGTCAAGACTAGCAATTTGTCGCGACACGCATTTACGACGCCCACGTCGCACGCCAATGTCGAAGTGTCACCACCCATGGGGCCCTGTGTTGTAAGGTCGGATCCACACACGCCGTACGGGGGCCTGCCCAGCATCTTGGCACGCGTGTTGATTGAAGGAGCAGCGGCCGTGGAGTTGGCCCCAGCGCCAGTGCGGCGTCGTTTACGCAGCTGTGTGCGGGCTACGGGCTCGCCGGCCGGGTTTTCAGGCTCTTCGGGGGCTTCCGACTGGTCGTGGTCGGTGGCATGCGTCTTCAGCCGCGACGAACGTCTGAGCTCCATGTGCTTGCACGTCTGAACAGCGATGACGGTGAGACAGAAAATTAGGAAGAGATGCTGCCAGGTTTTCCTGAAAATGCGCGTTTCTTTTTTTGGATTATTTAAGTGTGTCGTTTCGTGAAATATGATGTGGGTTTGTTGATGTCGTTTTCGACGGCTACGCTTGCGCTGCCAGGCCATCGGCCTGCACTCGACGGGCCCCAGCGCCGTTTGCATGGTCCTCGCCGCACGGCACCAGTTGCTCGCGCAACATCCGCTCGATGACCTCGGACGACTCCGCACGTAGCATCACGTGCACGTGAGACACGCTCTTGACGCTCTGCAAGTGCGGGTAGTTGATGAACCACACGTAGTCGTGCACGCCGAACCGCGCCAGGTTCGTCTTCACAAACCGCTCGATCTTGTCGTGCACGTGCGGCCGCTGCTCGCGCGACGCGTGCGATACGTACAACGGGATCGCGATCTTGCTCCAGACAACAAGGTGGTACAGCCCCGGCGCGAGATCGTACGCAAAGTCATTGGGCAGCAGCTTGAAGAGCTCTGGTGCGGACAGCATGGCGTTCGTACGTTGCTCGACGGTTACGTAGCGCGCAGCGAGCTCGCTGAGCTCGCTGCGCGACCATTCCAGCCTGCGTTCCACGATCACGTCCACGATGGTGGTGCCCTCAGCCTCGAGCTGCGCTTTGTAGCGTCGATATTTTTCCGTCATTTCCGGCGTGCGCTGCAGGCATTGCAGCTCACCAGATTGCACGAGCGCTTGCACTTGGTCCCAGGTGTGCATTGCTGATTGTCCTGTGTGCCGGACCGGCCGTCTCGAGCGTGGGCCAAGTCGGGCGGGCTTATAAACCACCAACGGCTAGGATCGCGCGTCGGTTTTGCGACGCGCACGTGCCGCCCGGGAAAACGAAAACAAACGCCGAACACCCAGCCCCCCAGCCCGCTATTAAGCCATCTCCGTTATACCGTATGAAGTTAATAAATAATATAGATATGTAAATGTAAATGTAGATGTAGATGTAGTGTGAGATGTGGTGTTCGATGTAATGTAATGTAGACACAATGTAAACGTAATGTAGACGTGAATCGTGGCCAACGTGCTGCCGTTCACCTAATAAATACCGAGTGTCCTCTATCCTGACGCACTGGGCCGGGACTGCGCCCGCGCAGCCCCATCCGGAGGCTGCCCACCCTACTCGTGCTATTGCGGTCCTCCGCTCGCTCTCGCTTTCGCTCGTCCGCCAAACCCTCTTCAGATCAATCGCGCAAACACGCATCTGGGATTCGTACGTCCCTTGGCTGGCGTGTCGTTTTCACGACTCGATTCACGGTAAGGCAAAGCAAATGGCAGCGTAAATCCCAACGTTAGATAGAACAAATACACCATACTGGACCGGTTGAGCGGACATGCACTGCCGCGCGCTCCAGAAAACGAAGACATAGAAGCTAATTGTCTGGTGGCCATACCTGCCCCCGTGTGCACACTCTTCAGACCTACCTTGGATAGCATTTATAGCGATAAGTTACAGAAATATATCGTACGTACAAGGATGCGAGCATACCCCAGCCCCGCCCGTATATATACATCGGGCGTTGCATCTAACAGTTGTTGAAATCCCGGTTTGTGTCAGACCACTTTCGTTTATGCGCTGTTGGGAGCGCGACGCGCGATGCGGCGCGGGGCCCGAAAGGTTATGCGTCGCTTTGCACGGACACACGTGTGGGTGCGTGGGTGCTGGATTTCGTGCGACGTGATGCTTGGCTTGGTCACGTGGTATGTGCCCGTCGATGGTGATCGGGGCGGCCGTCTTTTTTTCATTGCCCGTTCCGTCCACAACATCTGAACTTCCCAGAAGGCGTGTCGCAACTCACGCGTCTGCATCTGTCGACTCGCCCCACAACGCACTCCGCGCCACTGACCGGTAGTTCGCACATCCAGTCCGCTTTTCTCCCCCCTTCATCTCGACATCAGCCATGAGCGCGGCTTTGCCCTCGATCCAGATCCCCGTCGACTACGCGCAGCTCCAGACCAGCGTCGAGGACTTTCTCCTGCACTTCAAGACCGACGATGCCGCTGCAGGCGCCGTCGTGGACCAAGACGGCGACCTCGCGGCCATGGGCGTCGGCCAAGGCCCCAAGTACATGGCGCTTCTCCAGCAGGTCGCCAACCGTGAGATCCAGACGCTTTTCATCGAGCTCGATGACTTGCTGCGCTACGAGGACGGCAAGGCGCTCGCCGGCGACGCCGCTGACGCCGCCGCCCCTAACCTCGTCCACACAGTCATCCGCAACACGCACCACTTCGTCGAGCTTTTCTCGCGCGCCGTCGACAAGCTGCTGCCCGCGCCCACCCGCGAGCTTAACTACAAGGACGACGTCCTGGACGTGATCCTGTACCAGCGGAAGCTCAGAAACGATCGTCTGCTTTCGGAGCGGCGTACCGAGCTCGCAGCCGAGGCAGGCGAGCCCGGCGACGACGAAGTCATGCGTGAAATCGCCGAACAAGAAGCGGAGCTGTTTCCACCCAAGCTTACGCGCAGGTACACGCTGTATTTCAAGCCGCTGACCGGCGCTTACTCCAGCAAGTCGCTCGCGCCGCTTTCCGTGCGTGAGATCAAAGGTGACCGTCTTGGCCAGCTGATCACCGTGCGTGGTATCATCACGCGTGTATCGGATGTCAAGCCCGCGGTCATGGTCAACGCCTACACTTGCGACCAATGCGGTTACGAAGTGTTCCAGGAGGTCAATTCCCGTACTTTCACGCCTTTGGTCGAGTGTACCTCGGAGCAGTGTTCGCAGAACCAAACCAAAGGCCAGTTGTTCATGAGTACGCGTGCTTCCAAGTTCAACGCGTTCCAAGAATGTAAAATCCAAGAACTTTCTCACCAGGTGCCCATTGGTCACATCCCCAGAACTTTGACCATCCACATCAATGGTACGCTCGTGCGATCTCTGACGCCCGGTGACGTCGTGGATGTCTCCGGTATCTACATGCCGGCCCCGTACACAGGTTTCAAAGCGCTCCGTGCTGGTTTGCTCACAGAGACCTACCTGGAGGCACAATACGTGGTGCAACACAAGAAGAAATTCGCTACGTTTGAGATCACGCCCGAGGTAGAGGCTCGTGTCATGGAGATTGCTTCTCAAGGCGATGTCTACAATAGGCTCGCCAAATCTATTGCTCCTGAAATTTACGGTAATCTAGATGTGAAGAAGGCACTACTATTACTACTAGTAAGCGGTGTCGACAAGCAAATAGGTGATGGTATGAAGATCAGAGGTGACATCAACATTTGTCTCATGGGTGATCCCGGTGTTGCCAAATCTCAATTGCTAAAATCCATCTGTACCATATCTCCAAGAGGTGTTTACACTACTGGTAAGGGTTCCTCTGGTGTTGGTCTAACTGCGGCGGTAATGAAAGACCCCGTTACAGATGAAATGGTTCTAGAAGGAGGTGCTTTAGTTCTTTCTGATAACGGTATCTGTTGTATTGATGAATTTGACAAAATGGATGAAAGTGACAGAACTGCTATCCATGAGGTTATGGAACAACAAACCATTTCTATATCGAAAGCCGGTATCAACACGACTTTGAATGCTCGTACCTCCATTCTTGCTGCTGCTAACCCATTGTATGGTAGATATAATCCAAGACTTTCCCCGTTGGAAAATATTAACTTGCCAGCCGCACTGCTATCCAGATTTGACATTCTGTTTTTATTGCTCGATATGCCAAACAGAGAGGACGATGAAAAACTAGCAGAACATGTTGCGTATGTCCATATGCACAATAAACAACCTGATCTGGGCTTTACACCTTTCGAACCTTCGCAAATGAGGGAATTTATTGCTTATGCAAAGAGCAAAAGGCCCACAATGAGCCCTGAGGTTAATGAATACGTTGTACAGTCATATATCCGCATGAGACAAGATTCAAAAAAGGCTATGGATTCCCGATTTTCTTTTGGTCAGGCAACTCCAAGAACTCTTTTGGCCATTATAAGATTATCGCAAGCATTGGCGAAATTGAGATTCAGTGATATAGTCGAGGTCGAGGACATCGAGGAAGCTCTCAGATTGATTCAAGTTTCCAAAGAGTCTCTATACCAGGAGAGTAACAAAAAATCGGAGGATGAAAACCCTACAACTAAAATTTACAATATTATAAAGAATTTGTCGAAGACCGGGTCTCAATATCAACGTAGTCTGCCCTTTGATCACATTGTTAAATCGGTTAGATCCAGAGGCTTCACAATGTTGCAGCTGAATAACTGTATCGAAGAATATGCTTACCTGGGCGTTTGGAACTTAGTCAACGAAGGTTCAACTTTACATTTCTTAAACCAAGACCCTAGTGAAGAGATGGAAAGTTCCACGCCTCCTGGGACGCCTGGTCCTGTATCTGAAGGAAGCGTCGTTACAGAAGATACGCAAATGGATGATGCTTAAGGACAGTTTTTCACATCTTTGTTCTCTCTCCCAGTGTAATATATTTTTTCAATTCTCTTTTATCACAACTCGGCATCGAATTTTCAATCGTACTTGTTCTGAGTGGACATCACAAAATAAAGTAACCTAAGAAACTATGTCTTTATGTTTCCTTTAAAGGGCCAGTGTGTTAACAGCCGTAGTCATCTTTGCGCGAGGTTAACAAATTTTCTAAAGTTTATATAACCAATTGGTCTAATTAAGCTTCATGTAATATTTGATTAATAAGAGAACTAGATATGGAATTAAATTTTGAAGTGGTACCTATACTTTCGCCTTGTTGATTTGCCATGGAAAAGAAGCTAGGATATTAATGTTTTGACTGAGTGGTCAATATTCAAATCATATTTAATAAATAGACCGTTGTTAACTCAAGTATCTCAACACCCGAACAAAAACATAAAAATATGAGTAAGTTGAACTGATACATAAAGTAACACAATGCGGAAATATAATTCAAGGCTCAAGCTTAATTAAGATATCTCAACTCAGATGTCACAATATTTCAGTTTGTCAAAAGGATGCATATATTGATCAGTATATACGAATGGATGCTTGATCAAATCATCGGCATTACCATGCAAAGAACATACAATTGGAGCATCACGGCACTCTGAATTGAGGATATGACACATCCCGTAATATCTTTGAAACCAAGCTATAACTCCCTCGTAAGGGGTTGTCCTGGACTTCCGGATACATTGGTAAGTTGACTTTAGCCAACAAATATGCCCTTCAATTAAAACTAACAGTTTGCAGCCGCGATTGGAATGCGAGTTAAGAATTAGATCTAGCAACGGTAAGAGATTTATCATTGGAAACATTGAAGTGATTTTAAGAACCACAGAAGTTTTAAATAGTCCAGGCCACTCGTTCACATCAAAATCCAAGTTAGAAAGAAGTGTCATTCATTACAAAAAGAATATCAGAATCTCTGATAAGAAGATTGTAGGAATAGATATTCCACTAACGATTGCACTCCCAGATGACATTAAAGAAACAAACTTTAACAGCAAGTTTGGCCATTGTTTTACAACTCTAGAGTGCGTATTAACGTACAGCATCCAGGCTAATGATACCCCAACTCTAACCCATCCTTTTTCTACCGTCGTAAATGTGGAAAGATATGATTTACTAGCGTCACCAAAACTCTTTAAGCCTCTGAAAAGAAAATTTACATCTCCAGATGGAAAATTCTTAGTCCAGTATAAGATAGAAAATCCCTGTGTTACAACAGACGACGTCCTTCACTTAGGTCTAGAAGTTGTACCGAAATTGAATTCTAACTCTTTTGCGCATACTCAGAAAATATTTGGCAAGAAGTTGAAACTGAAATGTGTCGTTTTTGAAGTAAAAGAATATCTAGAAGTTTACGACTCACACTTGGACGCAAAGGAAAGTACTCTCCAAGAAGTCACCAAACAGTTCAACGAGGCTATTGGGGATTCTGGAATCGTTTTGCAATCAGACATACGCATTTGCACCAAAAATCAACGATTTAAGCAGTATGAACTATCAATGAAAGAACCTGCGGTGATGTACAGGCTACCAACGCACCAACCAGATCTTACAGGAAATTTACCTGAAACTATTCTTTTGAAAAGTAAGAACAACATAGAACCATTCAATTACCATAGTTCCATAACGACAAGGGGTAAGCTCTTCTCTATTACACATGGTATAACTATGAGGTTCAAAATTAGCAGTGCAAAAGATTTTGAAATCAACCAACCCATTGATATATCACCTTGGGTAAAACCTCAGATAAAATATATCGAAAATATTATTTACCGAGAGAAAGAAATTGCTAAGAATGCACGAGCATTTTATGAATCCTTCGGTGGAATAAAGCGTAACAAGAAAACTGGCCAATTAGAATATCCTCCACTACCTCCCGTTGTTTACACTTCAGATGAAGAAACGTTGAACCACTTAGGAATAGAATATAATAAAAAATTCAATCCTCCTAGAAGAGTGCCAGTAATAGAATGAATCGATGACTGACAGTTCATACCTGATAATTGAATACCGAGTTACCTTTCAATTCACAATCATAAATTAGATACTATCATTCGTAATACATGAGAAAAATAGGGGAGCGAATCGTAAGCGCACACGGCATTGAAGTTTTGGCGGTGGTGGTCTCTACTATAAGATAAATCCATCATTGAAAATGAATGTAAACTATCCTATGATAGCGAATTACAATGAAAATAACTTGGGACAATTTGCTGAGTCGTTGAGCCACGAAATACCACTTTTTGATCACTCAACAGACTCTAGGAAAAGAGAAAAGATCGAGACTTTGGCTGAGGTATACTCGTTGATCATAGTGCTGGATCAAGTCGAGAAGGCCTATCTGAAAGACAGTATATCAAGTGAGGATTACACGATGACAGTAAATAAACTTCTTGCTCAATACAAGACATACTTAGCAAATGAAGAGATTGCAGATGAGTATCAGGATTTGCAGACGTTCAAGGAAAAATACAATATCAGTGCCTCGAATGCTATAACTAGGCTTGAGCGAGGGATTCCTGTAACTGTGGAGCATGCGATTCAGAGTAATAGGGGACCTACAGCGGTGGCAGGAACTGAAAAGAAGTATAGCGGAAAAGCGGTAGCAGAAGCGACAGGCAATTTCATTACTGTTATGGATGCCCTAAAGCTGAACTATAAAGCTAAAGATCAACTACACCCCTTAATGTCGGAATTACTTTTGAGCATAAACAGAGTAAGCTCTCAGGACTTTGAGTGCAGGAGCAAATTAGTGGAATGGATTGTCAAAATTAACAAGATGAAGATCAAGGAGACTCTCACTGAGGAAGAGGCGAGAGAACTGCTCTTTGACTTAGAGAGCGCTTATAAGAGTTTTTACACATTACTTGAATAGCGTCAATTGTCATGATGTTTTTAGTCAAAGTTGTCCATCTTATCTTGTCTTTAATACGAGCTGCTAGTAGGTCCTTCAAAGGCAGTCGCGTTTCTCAAAAAAATCACCGTATGCCTGTCCCTTGAGTGAGTTTTGTTTGAATGGTTGAAGGGTAATTTGGTGATATCTTCAAACCAAGTAACCCTCATTCATTTTTGGTTATCAGCCTCATCATCATTGAACTTCAAAACATGCGATGTTAAGAGGTTTTTGCCTTTTTTGCTCTGCGATTTCTTCTGAAACGCAGCTAACAGCTTCAAAGTTTCTTTCTCACGTTCACTTTGTGTCTCATCTTCCTTCGAGTTTTTGACAACTGAAGATAGTTTATTCTTCTCTTGATTGACAATAGGCGAGACATCCTCTGCCGTCGTACTTGCTGGATTTGAACTTTGCGCATCATATTTAGTGCTTATAACTGGAGGAACGTTTTTTGAGGGTAAATCCGTCCGTTCATAGTCGCTGTCGTCCGTAGGCAAGTCACTCTTCACCAGTTTTGCATCCTTCAACAAATCATGTGCAGCCTTTATTTTAACTTTTAATACATTGTGATCATCACCCTCACTCTCCTCCTCATCATATACCAGCTTGACTGTTCTTCTCTTTTTGACGGGCTTGCGAGGAGGGTTCTGTTTCTCGCCTGCGTTCATTCTTTTCTTCGGCAGATTGTCAAAATATGGTTCTATAATCTCTACCCGTGTAATCTCTGCTGGGTACGTGAAACTTTGCCCATCAGACTCCAATTCTCCATCTGCAATTTTAATGACCTCGTAAAATGAATTTCCTACAACTTTGCCAAGTAAAGTTGCCTTATCATTTAGCATCGCGGTGTCACGTAATGTGATGAAAACAGAACCTTTGGCATCCGGGAACATACCAATGAGTCCCCTTCTATTGAATCTAAGGCGAGTATTCCGCTCTAATGGGGTGCCCACTCCATTCAAAGGTGCATCAGTATGTATTACAGAATCAAACAACTTCTTACTAAAGGGTATCCCGTCAAAAGCGCCCAAATTACAATTTGTCAAAAAGCACTTCACAGCTTGCGGACACTCCTTCGCCCAAAGCTCAACTTCCACGCGACCTTTAGAGGTATGTACGATACACTTGGCAGTTGTGCGCGGCTCCAGATCAGTCGACATGCTTGTTGAAGAGTCCCTTTTTTCCTCCGGGTAATTACAAGGTAATCAAAGGATGAACTATCACTCGAAAAATTTTCAAACATCAAAGAAACAAGAACTGACAAAGTTTTATAGTTTTCAAGGAAACGCTAGCTTAAACGGCACAATGCTAAGCATATTGAGGCGGTCAGTCTGCGTAAATACTAGAAGTGCGCAAACACTAACTAGAGCTCTAAATTATCGTTTTACTAGATCTTTTACTAAGTCCAGTTTATTGTTGGATGCCAAAAAAAACGATGACAAACCTCAATCAATTTTAACTGAAGACCTTTTAGCAAAGGCTGGTATAGACACAGATGCGAATGGTAAAGAGAACCATGAAAAAACAGAAGATGGCGAACAAGAGGCGCAACCTAAAGATGGGAGCGGCAAGAAGAAGAGAAAGAGACAAACTTCCAGTGACATAAAGAGGGAGCGCTATGCAAATTGGTTTTATATCTTCTCTCTAGCAGGATTGGTTGGAACTGGTACTTATATGGCTAGAGACTGGGAAGTGGACGAACCTGAAGAATGGAAGAAAGAAGTTGCTGATGGATATACCCCAACATTGATGTACCAGAGATTCAAGCTGCGCTTCAACTCAATTTTCACGTATTTCCAAGAGCCTCCTTTCCCTGACTTGTTGCCACCTCCACCTCCACCACCATATCAAAGACCTTTGACGCTTGTTCTAACATTGGAAGATTTCCTAGTCCATTCCGAGTGGACCAAAGACCACGGCTGGAGAACTGCAAAGAGACCAGGTGCTGATTACTTCTTGGGGTACTTGTCACAATACTACGAGATTGTGTTGTTTTCATCTAATTATATGATGTACTCTGATAAGATCGCCGAAAAACTGGATCCTATTCATGCCTTCATTACCTACAATTTATTCAAGGAACACTGCCTTTACAAAGATGGTGTGCACATAAAGGACTTATCAAAGCTGAACAGAGATTTGGGCAAGACATTGATCATTGACTGTGACCCTAACTCTTACAAACTCCAGCCAGAGAACGCTATTCCCGTCAAGCCTTGGCATGGTAAAGCAGACGATGAGCTTTTGAGGTTGATTCCCTTCCTAGAGTACTTGGCGACTCAACAGGTCAATGATGTGAGACCTATTCTCAACAGTTTCCACGACAAGGCCAAGATTCCAGAAGAATTCGCACATCGTGTTGACGTCCTGAAGCAAAAGTTCTATAAGGATCAGGAGGCTAAGGCATCCAGTAATTGGGCTCTTGCTGCCTTGGGAGCTGGAGCCCTAGGCTCCCAGAAGGCCAAGTTTCCCCTTGATCTCATCAGAGAAGAAGGTGAAAAGAACTACGTTCGTTTCATGCAACTGATTGAGGAGGAAAAGGAGAAAATTAAGCTACAGCAACAGCAAATGGGTGGCCAAACCTTCACCCTAAAGGATTATGTTGAGGGTAATCTCCCATCCCCAGAGGAGCAAATCCAAATGCAACTTGAAAAGCAAAAAGAGTTTGATGCCCAGTACGAGCAGCAGAAAAAGCTTCAACAACCAGGCAAATAATCAGAAGAATGCCTCAACTATCTAGCTAATGTCGAACATTTCTTGAAATGACACCACCTCTGTACATAAAGTTAATGCCATTACATATTTCACTACGATTTTTCACAATATTTTTTGTATGATATTTTTTTGCAGCAACTTTTCAGCCGTTTTTACCGTGATCGCATCACGGAGTGACAAAGGGAGGGGCCAGTCGGGCAGTTTTTAAACTTGGAACTCTCTGACAATAAAAACCAAACTCATCTGAGAGCACTAAACTTTAAGAAAAGCGTGAGGCTGAGAGGAAGATTTAAACATAGGTGATCCAGGTTTAGGTGACAATAATGACCGGGGCTAACGGTCACGGAAATCAAAACATAAATATTGTAAACTCGAACTACTCCAGATATGGCACATCAGTGTATCAAAAACTGTATAAAGAAACGTCACCTGGGCCGGCACTTCACGGCCAAGTGAATTGGCAGTTGGATAAGATGACTTCCTTCGCCAGCACGGAGAGTAGCCTTACGACCGATAACGATAGCACCACATCAAAATTCAAGAAGAAGTACAGGTCGCTATTGCAGAACTATGGCGGATCATCATCGAAGGCCAAGAGGCTGATAGGAAAACTGCATGATCATGGATCTAGTGATTCATTTTCGATATTCTCCCTTAGAAGTTCTTATTCCAACAGAAATCTTGGAAGCGGACATCAGAGAGCCCCTGGAACGGGATCCGCTCAACAGCGGGTAATTTTGGAGGACAGCAGACCTTTTCTAGATTTAAACGCGCTTCCTGCTGAAATTCTGGTGCTTGTGTTTCAAAATTTGGACCGTGGCGGCTACTTGTATGATAAAAGAAGTCTTGTACGCTGCCTCTATGTTTGCAAGAAATTCTATGAGGCTGGCAAGGCAGTTCTGTACGAAAGCCCATGTTTCGTCTCTACCTATCGTTTCGCGCAGTTTGTGACTTGCCTCAGACTTCATCCAGAAAATGGGCTGCTTCTCAGGGTCCTAGACCTGTCCAGATTGAAAAGTGGGTTGATCGAAGAAGCCAAGGAAGACGATGATGAAGAGGAGGAAGAAGATGAAGCAGAAGAAGATGAAGGTGACGAGCAAGAGTGGAACAATGATGAGAGAGACGAGCAAGAACGGCGCGGAAGAAGGATGGCCAATGATAACGTGCTGCAAGAAGAGAATGAAGAAGACGCTGCTGAGGAGGGACAAGAACTCAGATTGACTGAAGGAACGCACTTAGAACGTGAATCTACCCCAACAGATGACGACCTTCCCGGAATAGCTTGGGCTGGCTGGAGAGATTGGCGGTTCAGATTCGATCCCTTGTATGGATCCCAGATGCTCAATAGCTACTATAACTTAAAGAGAAGCAGTTCAAGAAGTTCTTCGATAACATCAACGGGTACTGCAGCTGCATCAACGGTCCCAATGTCACGCAGAGCTCATAGATCGAATAGCTCTGTGAGCTCTTTTACAAGCAGTATCATGTCTTCGTTCTACAATTCCACCTCCTTGTCATCTCTTAACTTGACGCTTTCTCAAGACTCGCCTAGCAGTAGCGGATCAAATAAGTGGTTCAGAAACATCTTCAACTCTAAACGAGCTCAGAAAAGGAAATACGAAAAGTACGTTTTATCAAAGATGAATGATAGCACAAAAGACTTAGAGAAAACTTCTCAATCGGATGACGAAGAGCGCAAAACATCTGTGAAATTTTGTGTCCAGAAAAATTTGAAAGATCAGCCATTTCATGAGGGCCATCCTTATACAAATAAGTTTCTTTTGAAGTACTCACTGTATAAGGATGTGCCAATGGGCCATATTTTCCATGTCATCTCTCACTGTCCAAACATCGTTAAAATAAACCTTGCAAACGTCACAATTTCGTCTGATTTCCAAGTTGTTGTTCGCAATAAGGCAACAAAATGTAACACAATATCCATGCTTAGGACCCCCAAAGAACAAGAGAAGGAGGTGAATTCAAACATTGGAAAAAACCTTGATGTAGTGTATTTGACAGACTCCAACAAAAATTACGATTACTATCAAGGTAGCAAATCGGGAGCACCCAAGAGAGTAGAAAATTTGCATATGGGTTCACCCTTTTCAAGCCATGGTGGGGAGTTTTGGTACCACACTAACTATCCGCCACCTATCAATCAAAATACAAAGTATAGGGGAGAACGTGTGAGAAGCCAAAACACTGACGATTACTCATTAACGAAGTTGGAGGTTCGTGATTTGTTTTCCCTGCTGCATGATACACTTCCACACTTGAAGTCTCTCAACATGGACAATGTTGTGTGGTGCAATCAACCAGACTTTAAGGACTTTGTCCTGTCCAAAATTGGTCGAACCACAAGCCTTGAGATGAGCTTCAGACACGCTGGCATGGGACGCAATCTGTCATGGGCTTCGCAAGGTAATATAATGCAATTTGTTGCCATAATCTTGTTGGGTGAGCTTTTGGACAACGATGATCTCTACTTAGAAGATCTTTTCAATGTTCGCATGGAGAGGTTCAGTACTCCCATGTTAGAGGATTACACAATTATTGAACGCTCCAATTTAGTGACCTTGTATCATCACCACGGGGAGACTAAATTTTCTCTGCTCATAAAGCACGGGCCCACGCTTGCTGCTTCCACTGAATTCCGCTCGGATTCAATTTTAGAATGTACTATATTTTTGGGACCTGCTTCAGACTCTTGCGACGAAATAACGTTAAGAACTGGCGAACTAGCCCATCGACTTGTCGATCGCATAAGAGATCTACGTACGGCTGAACTGCGAAGACATATTGGTGAGAATCAATACTCAATTGGGATAGTGTGAATCGGTCACGCACGACCGAAATCGACACGTGACACCGATACAATTGCCGGTTCCGGCCAAATTTCCCGGTCCATTGTCTAAGAGCAGGTACCTTCTGCGCTGGGCGTTATTATAAACCTTTCACTGTTTTGTTATTTTTGATTCAAGTTTTTAAATTCGATTACGAGGCGCTTCTGCGCGGTTGTTTTGACCATTTTAGTTCGTATCACGTTTCTGTGGATCCTTAGTCATATTTATTTTCCAGTTTTTCATCTTTCGGTGTTATGATCTTCGAGCGGCGCCCGGAAAAACTAGGAAAAATTCTCAGCTTTGAATGAATCATCGATTCGCCTTGTTGTATATAAGCTTACATAGGTACAGTACGCTTGCATCTAACCGAATACAAGCACTTCTGAAAACTCTTCGACAGTATGTACAAGTACAGTGGAATCTAAGTGTGCGAAATCTTCTACGAGGCGAAGCCTGGAGGGTTAATGGAGGAGAATGACCTATTCCTCGAAAAAGGTGTGTTCAAAACGTCCACGCTTTCTCGAGTATTCCCATGGGTGCTGTGCGGAGCAGCGGCGGCTACCGTAAAATTTTTTTCACCGTAGCCCTAAGCGCCTCTCGTTTGGATGCTGTGGTGGAATCTAGGTTTACAGTCGTATGGATAACTTTGAGTGAGGGGAAATTCAGCCGCATGTGAGGAGAGGCTGCGTCCATGAGGGGAGTTTAGTCTAGGTGAGGGGCTCCGGAGCTCCGCTGTTGAAGATTCTAAGCCATGTGGATGTGTTGGGAATGTATTACTAACGATAGGATTCATCTACGTGTGAAGATTTGTCAACGATCCGGTATCCGCGGAGCCATATGGGCGCTGACAGTGAGGTACATAAGAGGACCCGGGTGTTGACAATTACTGCGTGGATATCCAATTAGTGTCTGCACAAGTCGCTAGAAATATAAGTCGGTCTTTTACCAAGGTCCCACTGACTAAATTTACGACAACCTTTTTTAATCAACAGCTAAGAAACATGTCAAGCACAATTGAAAGAACCAAGGTTGACTCTGCAAAGATAATCACCCCTAATGGCTTAACATATCAACAACCTGTCGGTTTGTTTATCAACAATGAGTTCGTGAAGGCTCAGAGCGGCAAAACTTTGAAAGTTGAGGACCCTTCGACCGAAGAAGTGGTTGTTGAAGTTGAGTCTGCATCCTCTGAAGACGTTAACTACGCTGTGGACTGTGCTGAAGCCGCCTTTAACTCAAGCTGGTCAACTCGTGACCCAAGAGAGAGAGCTAGATATCTTTTCAAACTAGCCGATTTAGTCGAGGAAAGAAAAGAATTGATTGCCTCTATCGAGTCCATGGACAATGGTAAAGCATTGGCTTTGGCTCGTGGTGATGTCGAGTTGGTTATCAACTATATCAGAGTTGCTGCCGGGTATGCTGACAAGATTGGTGGTAGAACCATCAACACAGGCGAAAATTACGTTAACTACACATTGAGAGAACCAGTTGGTGTTTGTGGACAAATCATTCCATGGAACTTCCCTCTCATGATGCTTTCCTGGAAGATTGCACCTGCTTTGGCTGCTGGTAATACTGTTGTTTTGAAGCCTGCTTCTCCAACTCCTTTGAACGCTCTATACTTCGCTTCCCTATGTAAGGAGGTCGGTATTCCAGCTGGTGTTGTGAACATTGTCCCTGGTCCTGGAAGATCTGTTGGTGACACGATTACGAACCACCCCAAGATCAGAAAGGTTGCCTTCACTGGTTCCACCGAAATTGGTAGAGACATTGCTGTCAAAGCTGCGCAATCCAACTTGAAGAAAGTTACCTTGGAATTGGGTGGTAAATCTGCACACATGGTTTTCGATGACGCTAACCTTGAAAAGACTTTGCCAAACTTGGTCAACGGTATTTTCTTGAACGCTGGTCAAATCTGCTCGTCTGGCTCTAGAATTTATGTCCAGGAAGGAATTTATGACAGACTGCTAACAAGTTTTAAGAAGTACATTGAAGAAAACATCAAGGTTGGATCACCTTTTGATGAGTCCAACTTCCAAGGTGCCATCAACAACAAGTCTCAATTTGACACTATTATGAACTATATTTCAATTGGTCAAGAAGAGGGTGCTAAGGTACTAACTGGTGGTGTCAGAGTAGGTGACAAGGGTTTCTTTGTTAGACCCACCGTTTTCTACGATGTCACCGAGGACATGAGAATTGTAAAGGAAGAGATTTTCGGACCGGTCGTCACAATTTCCAAGTTCAAAGATATTGAAGATGGTGTGGCTATGGCTAACGATTCCGAGTTCGGATTAGGTGCTGGTATCGAGACGGAGAACATTTCTACTGCTTTGAAGGTATCAAAGAAGCTAAAGGCTGGTACCGTGTGGGTTAACACTTACAACGATTTCGACGCGTCCGTTCCTTTCGGTGGCTGCAAGCAATCTGGTTACGGCAGAGAAATGGGTGAAGAAGTATTCGAGGCCTACACAACAGTTAAGGCTGTCAGAATAAAGCTTGACTAGGCCGCACTTGTTAATAATTAAAAATAGCGTTGTATGATTAAATAGATTAATCTTTTAACATTTGGGAAATGTGAAAAGCAAATAGCCTGGAGAGTTTGAATAGGTATGATGGGTTCCTTCTGAAACTTTTGATGAAGATCCTAATTACCTTAAAATCTGACCAAATGAAATTGTACGTCGCCCTTCAGATCATGTATTTCTTTGGAATGAACTTCAATTAGCAGGAGACAAATTTTGTCAGCTACTCTTAATACATTAAGTGCCGTTGGTACAGCTTTGCCTTGTGAAACAAGTAGAATATAGCAAGCTGCTAGCACACCTATCTTGGTCTATATCCATACGGGAGGAATTCATGTCCATAGAACTCCGACTTTGCTCAAGATATCTGTCCTAAACGAAAAAAAAGAGTCTTTCCACCTTCAACCAAGTTGCCAAGATACGGCTTGGCCAGCAACTCGTCTCCGGTGAAGTTACTCAGGTCGCAAGTAGTAGGAGGATAAGGAATAGCTGAACGTACTTTGTGAGTGATTTTTGAGGGGGCTCGTTTTGTCCGTTCTTTACGCTATTACGCAACTCTAACAGTCCAGGTTCCTCGAGTAATGCATTACCGTTAGCCCTTGCATAAGCATGATGAGACTGGAAATTCAACTAAAAGATGGAAAATTCTAAAGATTACGTGATTGGAACTATGGCGTCAATGCAAGAACATTTACTCTCCTTATACGGATCTCCTCGGGGAATATGGATTATAATACAATCAGATTGAAAGTCTACGCTCTGAATCGTCAAAGAAAATTTCAATGACAAATAATTCATGAATGTGAGAACCCAACCCATCAAAACTGGTACTCTACTGACATGCAAACTTGCGTATACCATCTTTATGGATATTAGCTCGGCGATGGCGGCTATAGCAACATTTTTTCGTTTGCGGCTATTATGGAGTTTGGGTTCCTGCAAACACCTTTACGTGGGGGAACAGGCAGCTGGATGTGTAGGGACAGAGCTTGCATCAAGGGGCCGGGGGGTGTGCTTAGTTCAAATGCAGATGCCGTAAGTTTCGAGCTTTTTGCTGTTGAAAATTCTAAGCAATAATGAGGTGTTGATGATAAATTACTACCCGGGATCATCTGCACGCAAAAATAGATCATGCGGGCAATGGCTTGACTGTATATAAGGTGCACCAAATCTCGAGAAATGTTGCATCATAAGTTGAATTGTAAAAAAGATTTTGCACGAGTTTCACTGCATAGATTAAGGGCCATCCTCTGTAGATACTAACCAACAAACATGGTAAACAGAATAGAAACACACACCGCGGATTCAGTGAAGATTACCACTCCCAATGGATTTTCCTACGAACAACCCACCGGTCTGTTCATCAACAATGAGTTTGTGAAGGCTCATAGTGGTAAACCATTAAAGGTCGAAAATCCTTCGACTGAAGAATTGATCGTTGAAGTCGAATCTGCCTCATCTGATGATGTAAATTACGCTGTAGACTGTGCGGAAGCTGCGTTTAACTCGAGCTGGGCTACCTGCGACCCAAGGGAGAGAGCTAGTTACCTTTTTAAATTGGCCGACTTGATCGAGGAAAGAAAAGAGCTGATTACCTCCATTGAATGCATGGACAATGGTAAAGCGTTAGCCCTAGCTCGGGCAGATGTGGAGTTAGTTATTCAGTATTTCAGATTTGCCGCTGGATATGCTGACAAAATTGGTGGTAGAACCATCAATACAGGTGAAAATTACGTCAACTACACATTGAGAGAACCAGTTGGTGTTTGTGGGCAGATCATTCCATGGAACTTCCCCATCATGATGCTTTCTTGGAAACTTGCTCCAGCCCTGGCTGCTGGTAACACGGTTGTTTTGAAGCCTGCCTCTTCAACACCCTTGAGCGCTTTATACTTCGCTTCCCTATGTAAGGAGGTCGGCATTCCAGCTGGTGTTGTGAACATTGTCCCTGGTCCTGGAAGATCTGTTGGTGACACGATTACGAACCACCCCAAGATCAGAAAGGTTGCCTTCACTGGTTCCACCGAAATTGGTAGAGACATTGCTGTCAAAGCTGCGCAGTCAAACTTGAAGAAAGCTACCTTGGAATTGGGTGGTAAATCTGCACACATGGTTTTCGATGACGCTAACCTTGAAAAGACTTTGCCAAACTTGGTCAACGGTATTTTCTTGAACGCTGGTCAAATCTGCTCGTCTGGCTCTAGAATTTATGTCCAGGAAGGAATTTATGACAGACTGCTAACAAGTTTTAAGAAGTACATTGAAGAAAACATCAAGGTTGGATCACCTTTTGATGAGTCCAACTTCCAAGGTGCCATCAACAACAAGCCTCAATTCGACACCATTTTGAATTACATCAAGATTGGTCAAGAAGAGGGTGCTAAGGTGCTAACTGGTGGCTCTAGAATAGGTGAGAAGGGCTTCTTCGTAAAACCTACCGTTTTCTACGATGTAACCGAGGACATGAGAATTGTAAAGGAAGAGATTTTCGGACCGGTCGTCACAATTTCCAAGTTCAAAGATATTGAAGATGGTGTGGCTATGGCTAACGATTCGGAATATGGTCTAGCTGCTGGTATTGAAACCGAAAGTCTCTCCACTGCATTGAAGGTGTCCAGTATGTTGAAGGCCGGTACAGTGTGGGTTAACACTTACAATGATTTTGACGCGTCAGTTCCTTTTGGTGGTTGCAAGCAATCTGGATACGGTAGAGAAATGGGTGAGGAAGCGTTTGAGCCGTACACATCAGTTAAGGCTGTTAGAATAAAGCTCGACTAAATTACGCTTAGAAGTAGTTTATGGTAAATAAATTTTATTAGTATATTAATATTCGTGGAATACTTACGACTCTGTAGGGCTTATGGTAAGTAAGTGTTAGATAAGTCGAAAATAACTAACTAGTCTTGACTACTAATGATCTTATTGAAAGTATCAACAGCCTCCACAGGTTGATCAAAACAAATATTGTGCGAGCAATCTTTTAAGACGTAAAATTTCTTCTGAGGAGTCACTCCTAACATTGTATAAAATTTCTCAACAACTTCCAATGGTGTAATAGGGTCTTTATCGCCTGCGATAACTTCAATTTTCGATGTTAGTTTGAGATGGGTCCAATCAATTTGTTCCCAGCCTCTGAGGTAGCCGACTACACTCCTGCTTTTTATCTGAACATTATTATGAAATTGTGAAAGCCTTTGATATGTAGCTCCTTTATAAAAGAACTGTTTGATACCTGAGCTTTGAAGGCCCTTGCTTTGATCGAACCATGCTCTATAGAAATCGAAAAAAAAAGGCATTTTGAACAAAAGGAATAGTAGGACTCGAGTACTTAGATAATTCAACTGAGGGAGATTTGGAGAGGCTGGTGCAAACAAAATAAGATTATTGATAGTTTCGTGCTTTTGAAACTGGGTATAGAAGTGAATTGCAAGATGACACCCCATTGAATGACCAACGATAACTAATTCACGACTATCAGTCACTGTGTGCAATGAACTTCTGATGATGCGTACTACTTTTGACATAGGGTACTCTTCAAGTTCATCGCTCTTTCCAAACCCAGGTAAGTCAATTGCAAAGAAGAGTTTGCCTTTTAGATCAAGTAATCTAAAAAGAGGTTCGAACTGCCAAATATTACCACCTAGTCCATGTATAAACAAATGAACGACTGAGTTCGATTTTGGGTCTTGGATGTTGTGACATGAACGTATGTCAAGTCCATCAACTTTAATTTTATGCTCATGAGCGAGCATGAAAGTATTCTGAAAATCTTCAGGATGATCCAATATTTTTGTAGACAAAGACCTGTCATCCGGATATGATGTGAGGATTTCTTCGATTGATCTTCCCGATATGGGCTGAAGAACCTCAGTAGCTTTCGCTACAATGTCTGTCGCCATGCTACGTTTTGAATCTGAAATTAATTTTCCAACTCGCTTCGTCACTCTGAAGACTTTTTGTATTATCCATCGAAAGTGGGGGCCACCAGAACAACAGAAAATGTTGGAACCGCTATGCTACTTCATCAAGCTTCTTTTTTTCAGCCCCATCAACATGGTGTATTCCAGATTATTTCGTTTTCGAGGCATTGAGAGAGACGTAGGATGGAGACGTCTCCTCGTAATTGTTCAAATGAAAACGATGTCAGAATATCTGGATCTGCCCACATTGAAGTACCTTGTAAATCCCTTTCTGAAAGTAATTAATCGTATTGGTTACTGGTGGTATAGCTGCGGTCCAAAAGACAAACAACTAAGGTGGATAGCGAGGACTGAAGGTGCGCCTGTCTTGATCTATATACACGGGGGAGGAATGTGTGTCGATATGCCACCTACTAATATAAAATATCTGCACCTCATAGATCAAGAAGTCTCTCCACTTTCGATTGCATCTTTGGAATATACACTTTGCTCGTCATTCCCAGTTCCTGTAGAGGAGGCGTGGAGGGCATATGAAACAGAGGTAACTAAGGGCAACATAGTTTATCTAATGGGTGATTCAGTAGGCGGAGCACTCTGTTTAAACATCCTACAACGATGTTACTCCCATAATGTGAAATTTCCCGAGAAGTGCGTTGCCATTAGCCCTTGGCTGAATATAACCAAACCCGAAATTCACTTGAAAGATGGCCATCCATTAGACTACATGACATGGGGCCTACTAGCCCTATTCAAGAACATTTACGCCCCTCGCTCCAATCCTAACGATCCCTCTTTAAACATAGAATCCAACTTCCATCCAGAAGTGTGGTCCTCCATTCTCCAGGACACTCAACTATTGATTACTTGCGGCGAACAAGAAATTCTCCGGCCACAAATCGTAAGATTCTTTTCAAAGCTTCACCAAATCAATCACAATAATGTGCAGCTATTAGAAGAAACGCTTGGTGTTCATGTTTCCACTCTTTTATTCGATCCATGGACCTATCCGAAGAGAGCTGAAACAATGAAGGAGATAATGCATTTCTTACAGAAAGATGAAAAAATTGACAAAGCAGACATAAATTTATAAACGCTCAATTAATTCAAATAAAAGCATATTAATATCAAGTTTATCGGCTACTGCAGAAGCCCGTCGAGCTTTCCTCATCACCGCGAAGTGGACGTATCATACGATAAAATCGATCTTAGTTTCATATCGCGTCAAAAAAAAGTTCACCTGATTAGACAATAATATCAAGATACTGAAACAAAAGCTGCAACATTAATCACTGTGAGTTGTTTCTGCAAAGAAGAGTAAGCATTTCTCAAAAAATTAAGAGATGTCTTATAACCAGAAAAAAAAATTGATGCCCAAGTCGGCTTTGTTGGTCAAGAAGTACCAGCGTCCGATTCGCGCAGCATTTCTGAGCTTGGTAGCAGCTCTATGTCTGCTTTTCATTCTTCGCGGGCCGGCAAACAGTGGCGATAGCAATATTGCTGCCACGGGCACCGGAAAACGTATAATGCCTCACGCAGATATTGTGCAAAAAGTACACTACCCAAAAGATGATGGGAAGAAGGAGAATGCTGCATTTGTTACATTGGCACGAAACAAGGACCTTTGGGACCTGGTACCATCGATTAGGCACATTGAAGATCGTTTCAATAGGAAGTACCACTATGACTGGGTCTTCCTGAACGACGAACCATTCGATGAAGAGTTTAAGAGAGTTACATCTGCATTAGTGTCCGGAACAACCAAGTACGGTTTAATTCCAGAGGAACACTGGTCCATTCCTGAATGGATTAATAAAGAGAAATTTGATCAAGCGAGAGAGAAGATGCGTAGTGAAAACGTAATATACGGAGATGCGATTTCTTACAGACATATGTGCCGATATGAGTCTGGCTTCTTTTGGCGCCACAAACTATTAGATGACTATGAATGGTATTGGCGTGTAGAACCTGAAATTCAAATATTTTGTGACATCGACTACGACGTGTTCAAATTCATGAGAGAAAATGGTAAGAAATACGGGTTCATCTTATCGTTAAGTGAATATCAAAACACAATCCCAACTTTATGGGATAAGACCAAAACTTTCATGGAAAAATATCCCAAGCACATACATAAAAATAACCTCATGGACTTCATCAGTGATGATGGTGGCCGAAACTACAACATGTGTCACTTTTGGTCCAACTTTGAGGTAGGATCACTAGACTTTTGGCGTTCAGAGGCGTACCGTGATTACTTTGAATATCTGGATAAAAGTGGTGGGTTCTTTTACGAGCGTTGGGGTGATGCGCCTGTTCACTCGATTGCTGCGGCACTATTTTTAGACAAAGATGAGTTACATTTCTTCGATGGTATTGGTTATTACCATCCGGCATTTACTTCCTGCCCAGTGGAAGAAAGTATCAGAGTTCAGAACAAGTGCGCCTGTGATGTTGAGAAAGACCAAACTTGGTATACCTACTATTTCTGCACTAGGAAGTACTTCAAGGCCAAAAATCTGTCTCTACCTCCTGGTGTCGAACCATCACCATAAAAGACACGTTCTTCACCAAGTGGATTCAATTTGAATCAGAACTCAATTGATCTACATGTATATTTTTTACATATTTCTTGTATTAAAAAAATGCTTTCTAAATATTGACTTTTTGTCCATGTGGTTAAAACATGCTTCTTCAGAAATTTTTAAATTATGCGGCGGCCCACGCATCACAGCATCTAAAAGAAGAACGAGTTAACACACCTGCAGGATCAGGATGTTTTATTCCAAAGTGGCGTGGATCAGAAATTTGGCAAATTCACGAGTTAGCAGATGCTTTCGATGTGCTACGTTTCCTGTGAGACAGGAATCAACTTCAACAGCTGCACTTCTGCTTCAGAAGAATTTAGCTATTAGAAACAACGCTTTATACAATGAAGGCAACGACTCACTTCGCTGTACAACATTGGACTCTCAAGGAAACTTAGGTACGCCCTCACTGGAAATAAAGAGAGATGAACTAATATCTACTCATGGACTGCTTCCACGGGATCTGCGAAAGATCGAAAAATCAAGGAAGAATGACCTTGTGCCAAGCATTCTGGTCAGAGAAAATAGTATTCTGATAAGTCTTCTTACAATTAGAGCACTAGTTAAGAGTGATATGGTGATTCTTTTCGATTCCATGGGCATTTCCTTGGAATCCCGCGCTCACCGAACTTTCATCAACGACTTAATGCTAAGACTCAGAAACCAAGACGGCAATGGGGTCACTAGGGACCCGCTTCCATATGAGTTTCGAGCACTGGAATCAATATTCATCTCTGCAATATCCAATCTTGCAGCCGAAATGAAAGTTCACCTAACGGTTACAAAAGGTATACTGCGTGACCTAGAATATAGCATAACTCGAGACAAGTTAAGGTTTCTTCTGGTGCAGAATAAAAAGCTCAGCATTTTTCACAAGAAAGTCACCTTGATGGGCAACATGATTGACGATTTACTGGACCAAGACGATGTGCTCTGTGAAATGTATTTGACAGCCAAAAAAATTGGGAAACCTCGCGATGAAAAGGACCACGCAGAAATAGAAATGCTACTTGAAACTTACTACAGCCACGTTGATGAAATCGTTCAAACTGTCGGTAGCATGATGTCGAATGTGCGAACAACAGAAGAAATCATTAATATTATTCTGGATTCTAATCGGAATCAGCTGATGCTTCTGGGTCTGAAGTTCAGCATAGGACTTCTTTCCCTGGGTGGTGCTATTTATATTGCATCCTTATATGGAATGAACTTAGAAAACTTCATAGAAGAGGGGAATATTGGGTTCGCTCTAATAACAACAATTGGATGCGTTTCAATGTTATGGCTATTTATTTACAGTGCAAGGCAGCTTCAGAGACTACAGAAAATGACATTAATTGGGAATCACAAATCTATATTCAATTAATATCGAGCTTGCGTTGCCCCACCCTGTCATTAGAAACGAAATAGTTTTACACCCATTTTGTGATCATCCTCTGTCTATCTTAAAGAACGTCTTTCTACATCGATCTCATATAAAGACGAGGATAGGAGATAAGGAGCTTTAAAGTTATTAAGGCATCTAGTTTTAACTTCAAGAGTGATTAAAGATGGGCAACTTCGAGAAATTGTTTTCTTTCCAAATCTTCTTCATTTTCCTTAGGGAATCGTTAGAGATCATTGTGATCATATCGATTCTTCTGACGATTGTCAAGCAAGCGTTATTGAAGGATGAATCGCAAACAAGCATACCGGAAGACACCGCTGCAACAGCAGATGCTCATAGAGAATCCCAAGATCGCTTAACGTTCGAGGAAGAAGAGGTCTTAGACATGTCGAGTGCTCGGGAACATCTTCCAGCGCAAACCGATATCAACAACTACCAGCTTTACAGAAGACTGAAGATTCAAATTCTTTCTGGTGGTATACTGGGTCTCTTATGTTGTCTCCTTGTGGGTGGAGCATTCATCGTTGCATTTTATATTGTTGGAACAGACTTGTGGTCTTTGAGTGAACACTATTATGAAGGGGTTTTGAGTGTGGTTGCATCTTTAATCATATCTGCAATGGGACTCTTCTTTTTAAGAATGGGCAAATTGCGCGAGAAGTTCAGAGTTAAGCTTGCATCAATAATATATTCTGATAGTGGAAGAATGCTACACGACGGTAGTGAGAGAGCTGTGAAATTTACAGAAAAATATGCTATGTTCATCCTGCCTTTTGTTACTGCTCTTCGAGAAGGTCTTGAAGCTGTCGTCTTCATCGGAGGTATTGGAATCGATCAACCTCTTTCTTCTATACCTCTTTCTATGTTAAGTGCTACAGCTCTAAGTGTAGTATTTGGATATTTCTTTTTCAAATCATCAAGGTCATTCTCATTACAGATTTGTCTTGTCATCACAACTTGTTTCCTCTATCTGATTGCGGCTGGTTTATTTTCGAAGGGTGTGTGGCAATTTGAAGTCCAAAGATATGTCAATCGCTGTAATGGGCAAGACATGACAGAAGTTGGTAATGGGCCAGGCTCATATGATATCACGCGTTCAATATGGCACGTCAACTGTTGCAACGGTGAGACTGATGGATTATGGATGATTTTGACTGCTATTTTTGGGTGGACTAACAGTGCCACTTACAGTTCGGTGATCAGCTATAATGCATTCTGGATTTTGCTCATTGTTGGAATCAAAGTTCTCACCCTGGAAGAAGAACTAGGATATATTCCATTCATTCCCATAAAACTCCAAAAAAGGCGTATTTTTAAAAGATTGCACATTGCCAAAAAATCTATGGAGTTCCGTTTTGCTCAATCTCCTCCCACCCTATCATCCCTTCCAAACTCTTTAGGGAGAAGAATATCAAAAGATAGCCATAACAGCTTGACGCCATTGCTGCCTAACCAAACAGCTCAGTAAAATGAACAGTTAAAAAATATATAGGTATCACATTTCATGAAAAATAAATGAAGTCACCAATCTTAATTAATATACAATATACAAATAATTTTATATGAACGGAACAAGATCGTTACTGAATGACCGCAACTAGGTCACCAGCCTCAACCATATCTCCGTTTTTATGAACAATCTTCAAAACTTTACCTGCTTTTGGCGCAGACACAACCATCTCTGTCTTCATAGCTTCCACGATGATCAGACCATCTCCTTCTGCAACATTGTCACCAGCAGAGACCATTGGCTTCCAGAAACGACCGGAGTATTCAGAATACACTAGTTCTGCATCCTCAGGGTACTCTTCCTGAGTAGCTTCGTTACTTGTGGAAGATGTTTCCAACTCAGCGTTAGCAACTTGAATCAATTTCGCAAATTCGTCAGCTTTTTCACCTCCTTGATTTTCTTGGAAAGCTCTAATAGATTCAATGTTTTGATCAATCCATTTCAAATATCTCTTGTGGTCGAAGACACTCTCTTCCACCTGGACATCAAACTTACCATTTTCACAGTCTTCAGTGAACTGATCTAGCTCTTCTTCGCTGACAGGGTAGAATTCAACCTGGTCAAATGGTGTCAATAACCAAGGATGCTGTGTGGAATGAGCACCAAGCTTTAATTTATCCCAGATAGGGATTGTTCTTCCCACTAACTGATAACCACCTGGGGAATCCATGGCGTAGATACACATGTACATCCCACCAATACCTACAACACCATTCTTGGTGAATGTTCTGGAGGGATTGTATTTTGTACCCAAAAATCTATGACGTGGATCTAAAGGAACTGCACATGGTGCGCCCAAAAACACATCACCTAGACCCAAAACAAGGAATCTTGCACTGTAGAGCATATCTTCCACATCCTTGTGGGTAATATCATTAACATCCGCAATGAAATCAACATTATTAGGTAGCCAAGGAGCTTTCGAACGAATTGTTTCTTGATAACGTGTGACACAGTCTAGCGTCTGCGAGTCTTCGAATGCAAGCGGTAATTTGAAAATCTTCGACTTTATTGACCAGTTCTTATCGAAGTGAATTTCCTTCTCATAAGCAACTAGTGTCTCCAGAAGTGTCTTCTGACTAATCTTATAACCATCAAACTCGATCAAAACGGACCTAACACCTTGTGACATTTCAACAATACCTACTGTTTGGTGCTTCTCCACCAATGTAATCAATCTGTTTAGCCTGTAGGCAATGTTTAGGTCCATTTCGTTTTCTCCATACTCTACTAAGATGTAACGATCACCGGCTTGACGATATGTCACTTTAGGTGACAAGTCTGTAGTCTTGGGCAAAAGCGCTAAAACGGGATCTTCATAAGTCGGTAGAGCTAATTCAGGAGTCAATGATTTCAATTCACCGTCCTTGAAGGAGTGAATAGCGCGATCTTGTGATTCTTTCAATTCCCTAGCAACATCATATGAAAGAGGGGCAAACTTTATAAAATCACCAGGTTTAACTTGTCCAACCTTCCATAATTCAGCTTCCGGAACGACTGCTTGGCAAACAAAACCACCCAAGGATGGCCCATCAGACGTGATAATAACTGGCTCATCACCAGTGAAATTAATAGCTCCCAGAGAATACACGTAATCGTGGGCATTAGATGGATGCAATCCTGCTTCACCACCATCTTTTCTTGCCCATTTTGGCTTGGGTCCGATCAACCTCACACCAAACCTATTTGAGTTGTAGTGAACTTTCCATTTTTCACTGAAAAATTCCTCGATTGACTCAGGCTTGAAAAAATCGGGAGAACCATGTGGACCGCAGGTGACACCAATCGTCCATTCTTTGTTATCTGAAATAGCTGGTAATAAAGTAGCAGGAGGATTCTCTGGCTCATAAACAGGTGCTGGGAGGTTAGAAGCAGCAAGTTCTGGCTGATTCAAGAACAAAACATCACCCAACTTCAACACTCTACCGTTGTAACCACCCATGTTACCCAAAGCAAAAGTCGACCTAGAACCTAGGTACTCTGGAACATCAATACCACATCTGATGGCGAGATAAGCTCTACAGCCAGTGCTTAACTTACCGATAGCAAGTTGATCACCTCTTTTAACATTAACAGGACTGTTCTGCTCAATAGCTTGGCCGTTAAGAGTACAAGGTGCTTGTCCACCAGTAATAGCGATTACGGTATCTGTGTGGAAAAGAACCTTTGGTCCATTAAGTGTTATTTCGATGGCTGGCGCCTTGTAATGATTACCAACAATTCTATTAGCTAGTCTGAAGGAATAAGCATCCATAGGTCCAGAAGGTGGAACACCGATTCTCCAATAACCGGTTCTACCTGGATAATCTTGCACTGTGGTGTACGCGCCAGGAGATGTGATTTCAAAAGCGCATGGCTTGTAGTCATACGAATCGAGAACTTTAGTAGCAACTTTAGCGGTTTTGAACATCTCCGATGATGCAATTGATCTTAAATAATCAATGTTTGTGATACAGCCGTAGACGGCGGTTTCATTCAAAGCTTGGTTCATTTTTCTAATAGCATCATTACGGTCTTTGCCATGAACAATGATCTTCGCCAAAGTAGGGTCGTACTCTGCAGATACAGTGGTACCCTTTGAAACCCATGTATCAACCCTGGCCCATTCTGGAAAGACAACATCAGTCAACTGTCCAGGAGAGGGTCTAAAATCTTTAACTGGGTTCTCGGCATATAAACGTGCTTCGATGGAGGCACCAGTCACCGTAATTTTAGTAGAGTCGAAGTCTGGTGGATCATCTGCCGCGATTCTCAACATCCATTCCACTAGATCCAAGCCAGTGACCATTTCAGTGATAGGATGCTCGACTTGTAATCTCGCGTTAACTTCTAAGAAATAGAATTCATCTCTTTTCTCATCGTAAATGAACTCCACTGTACCTGCACACTTATATTTCAACAGAGATCCCAAATTCTCGGCAGCTTTTCTCATTCTAAGTCTTGTTTGCTCGCTCAAATTAGGAGCGGGTGTTTCCTCAATGATCTTTTGATTACGACGTTGCAAAGAACAATCACGTTCACCAAGAGCAATTGCTTTCCCGTAACCATCACCCATCATCTGAATCTCTACATGTCTTGCATTTTCGACAAATCTCTCTAAAAACACACCAGAATCCCCAAAATATGCCTTACCCTGGTGCTGAACGGTTTCGAAAACGCGCTCGATTTCAGACTCGGAATCAACTTTTTGTAAACCAATACCACCACCACCTGCAGTGGATTTAACCATAACAGGATATTCGATCTTTCTAGCAATCTCCTTTGCTTCTTGGGGAGAGGACACTAGACCAGACCCTGGTACAAGAGGTACTCCGGCTTTTTCTGCAATTTCTCTAGCAGAGTGCTTCAACCCCAACTTCCTAATTGCTTCACCAGAAGGGCCTACGAAAACTATTCCCTCTTGCGTACATCTATCTGAAAACTCAGCGTTCTCGGATAAGAAACCATAACCTGGGATGATGGCTTCGGCAGAAGTTTTCTTCGCCGCAGCAATGATTTTGTCGATATCCAAGTAAGTCTCAGCAGCAGTACGACCATGCAAAGGAACAGACAAGTCTGCATCGGTAACATGCTGGGAATATTTGTCAGGGTCAGAATAAACAGCAACGGATCTGATATTCATCTTCTTCAAAGTTTTAATGATTCTTACAGCAATCTCACCTCGATTGGCGACTAAGACTGTTTGAAATGGTTTTTTGACCTTACTTTCTTCCTCTTTTAGATGTTCGATGTACGTTTTGAAGCTAACATATTCTGTGATGTCTTTCGTACCCTTTTGAGCATAACCGAATTCTTCGCAGATAAAAGACTTTACCCATTCACCTGATTCAAGTTCAACAGACCCTATTCCCAAAGGTTCTGGGACCATGGCAATGAACTCACCAAATCTTTCTTTGGGGACATTGTACACTTCCAACTGGATCTGGGCACCAGTGCCCTCAGAAACTCTTCTTAAGCCTGGCTTGAGGACTGGACCAGTTTTGGGTAGGGCATAAAGTCTGTAATTCTTGGAAGTTTTAGGTGACCCGACATATTGGGCATTGACCTGTTCAAGCTGCCAATGCAATGGTAAGCCCTTCAAGTGGGCACCCACAACAGCTAGCTTGATACATTGTTCCTGAACAAAGGGTGGTGCATCGACATCATCCTCGATGGTAACGTGTTGATCCGTGAATTTACCAAATGTTCTACTGTTTTCTGGGAAGGCGACCTTGAAGTACCTATTTGCCAAATCTAGCAAGGCAAAATCGGTAAACTTCTTACCAATTAGTGTGACACCATTGGGAAGCCCGTCGGATCTAAAACCAGCCGGAACCGCAAGGGCAGCCATGTCAGCCAAATTAACGAAATTTGTCCACGTCCCTTGTCTGGAGTTAACGAGAACAGGTTCAGCTGCAACCTCTTCTTGAGTAGGATTTAGTGGACATGTTGGAACACACAAGACGTCGATAGATTTCATCATCTTTTGAACTTTCTGTAATATACCTTGTCTCTTGTACTCAAACTTAAAAGCGTCTGCTGCGTCAAACTTTGTTGCACCAGTGATAATGCTTGTCACAGTAGGGTCCAATGAAGACGAGGGAGGGTTGGTGGCAAAGAAGTCACGAGTTGCTTCATAACGTTCGGCGACCCAAGCACCTTCGTATAGACAGCGTGCTAGATCCAACAGAGGTTCGAAATCTACTGTGATAATATTAGCACCAGTCTTTTTGAGATTTTCAACTGCCTTTGCATAGAGAATTGGGTTCTCGGTTTCACCATACCAGGGCAGCTCTTTAGGTATCGCAATTGTGAGGTTTTTGGAGTATTTCTGTAGTGGCGTATCTGGGAATGGTCGAGAATACTCGTCGCGCTCGACATCAGCATGCGCCATTACTTTGAAACAGCGTTCAGCATCGCTCAAATTGAGAGCGAAAATCGAAACACAGTCTAGAGATTTGCATGCTGGAACCACACCTGAGCAGGAGAAAACACCTTTTGTTGGCTTTAGTCCGATTAAGTTGTTCAAAGCTGCTGGAACTCTACCTGAACCTGCAGTGTCGGTACCGAGTGCTAAGGGAACAATACCTCTACCAACAACCGAGGCAGAACCAGCAGAGGAGCCACCAGAAACATGTTTATCACTGAAAACGCATGGAGTCTTCCCGTATGGAGAACGCGTGCCCACCAGACCTGTCGCGAATTGATCCAGATTAGTTTTACCAAGCACAATTGCACCTGCGTCTCTGAGCAACTCCACCACAGTAGAGTCTCTGGAGGGAGTGTATTTAAATGCAGGGCACGCAGCAGTGGTGTCGAAACCTTTGGCGTCGATGTTATCTTTAACAGCGATTGGAACACCATATAATGGGAGCTGTTCTTTGCCGGACTTACTTTGTAAAACTTTCCATTGGTGGGACAAATTCTCCTCCGTAACCAATGAAATCCAAGCAGGATCTTCTGGTGTACTTTTCTGTGACTTCAAAAGTCCTTGTAGTACTTTATATGAGGTATCTGGTGTAGACTTCCCATGGAATTCTACCCATTCTTGTACAGACCAACCGAGCGTATTAGGAGACATTAAGTGCTCGTGTGGGAATTGATATGTGAACTACTTTGGAAGCGCTCCAAGAGGTCGGATTGCAAAATTACCAGTGTTATATACGTTCTAATTAAAATCTGTGCCGTTATGGTTGTTATCAATACGATAAGTTAATCACATTCAATGCGCTAGAAATGTGTTCGGCAAAATGCGCAAATTTGCGCGCAAAAGCACGGCCCGACAAAATTTGCGTTGTAAAACTGGCGGAATGGAATTGGAAAGAGATGGCAGATAATTACGGCAATTCGAAAAAAGTATACATTACATCACTAAGTGTCAATCGGCAATGCACCATTTGAGGCCGTCATAAGTATGCCTTCGAACTTATGTGCGGCGTTGTAAGCTATGTGCGATCGGACAAAGCCTTTCGATCGTGACTAAATTGATGTAAGCTAAAAGATAGTGATACTATGTATGCAAAGTAAAGTGCTGGCGATGCGAGCGGCTACCGGCGAAGAGCGAAGAGCTCCAAGAGTTCTGGGCCATTCCCATTTCCTTTTGCAACGTCGAGTACACAATTTCTTAGAGCAAAGGCTTTAGGATTGCCAGTTCACGATAGATGGAGAAATTGATCCGTTTCCTCTCCACCATAGCTAATCCTGTGATTTAGCAGTAAAACCATACATTAAGTGCAATAAGTCTGAAAAATTTGGTAATTAAAACACTAAGAGCACAATCGGTCATTGCAACATTAATAATTATCAACAACTATCCTCATTGACATGTCGCTGATTCGAATTCTCTTCAAGACGTACTTCTTGGCATCGCACAGTTTGCATGACGGTGATACTCCAATATATTCTTACTTCTTATCATGCCCGTAAGGGACGAGAGGGTTCAAGTGTAACGTGACTAGAAACTCATTCCTTATCTTCAAGATGTCAGTTAATACAGCATCAAGTGACTTTTCAAAGGTACGGTTGGTTCTCAAACGAGACCTGCAAAGAGATACGGTATTGTTTAATATGTATGGGTAGCACGCTTCTTCACAACGACTCACCTTACACACATAATGATCCAGTTCATTTTGTCAATCGATACCACCAACATGGACGAATCCCAAACAGTAGCACATATTAGTTTATCGTAGTATCACTCAAGTAGCCTAACTTTAAAAACTAAGATCTCCAAACCACAGTCAAAAAAATTAAAGCTCGCACTCAGGTTCGAACTAAGGACCAACAGATTTGCAATCTGCTGCGCTACCACTGCGCCATACGAGCAATAATTGATAATTGTAATGTATGCTGTCTAGCATTTCGCACCTCACACATGGGCCACGATGTCATGAAACAATAAGATCTTGAGGTACCTCGGAGATACCAAACTGAACCTCAAACATAAGTGAGGATCGATACAAGTTCCCAATCTATAGCTATAAATATTACGAAGTCCTGAGGATACGATGAGACTAAATAGAAGAGGATTAAGGCTGAGTAGAACTCATTTCATTAGTTTCAAGAACGTCATAACTAGTTACGACACACGATCACAAAACAACAAGGACATTAATTCTGGTGCTTCTAGATGTCTATGATCATTTTGCGTGTCCTAAGTATAGATATTTCAGCGAAATGGAAGTTACTACGAAATTAGATTATCGGAACCGATATTGTTCTTTCTCCCGTCTCTCATTTCGCTGTTCGCGAAACTGAGCAATAGTCGAAGAAAAAAACTGATATTCCGAATGTCATCAGCCTGTATTAGTAACAAGAAACAAGAAATGTTCAGAAACGTGATTAATCGTGGACTACTGAGACCAGCTGCGTCTTCGAGAATCAATGCGTATGCATTTGGCAGATGTATGAGCACAGAAACAAAAGAAGCCATCGAGTCAGCTGTTAAGTCAGCTCCTGTAGTCCTCTTCATGAAAGGAACCCCAGAATTTCCACAATGTGGTTTTTCAAAAGCTACGATCAGCATGTTGGGTCAACAGGGAGTAGATCCTATGAAGTTTGCTGCCTATAACGTTCTAGAAGATCCCGAGTTGAGAGAGGGCATCAAGGAATACAGCGAGTGGCCCACTATTCCTCAACTATATGTCAACAAAGAGTTCGTCGGTGGTTGCGACATAGTTATGAGCATGGCTCAATCCGGGGAATTGACTAAGCTACTCGAAGAGGCGCAGGCCCTCGTTCCAGAGGAGGAGGCCTAAGACACTACCTAGCACGTAGTTGAGTTGCTGCTTGTATTTATGACTGAAGAAGTTTTTTGTTTGTACGAATCTGTATTCTCATGCCTTTAGACCTGTAATTAACGGATCTCTATTCACAGACTCCGCTCTTTTGAAAGTGAGAATTGAACTTGCTTTTCGTCATGTGTGAAAGAGAACATCCATGAGTGATGGGAAGCCTCTCAAAAAATGACGGTGAATCATGCCTGCCAATCATTGTTGGATCAAAGCCGTTCAAACTTGAACGAGAAGAATTGTGATACAAAACAATCGAGTTTGCTCTAGCGTCGATCATATAGTGGCGAATCAATCACAAGATTGAATAAAATTTTAACTTCAAGATATTTTTTTCAAGTCTTGCTGAGGTAAATATACTGCAATTTATGAAGCTTGCCCTTAGGCGATATTTTACTTTAATCAAATCACGGTAAATATATTTAGTAGTAAATTAAACAAAATATGTGATATTGGCAAATGTCAAGGGTGCTTTATCATGGGTCTTTTCATATTAGAGGTCAGAATTCCTCAATGCTTGTTGCAAGAGACATTAAACCACATCGATAAAGTACTTCAGTTTATGAATTTGTTTCGTGATGTATATGCAAATCATTTCCGCTCTCGAGAGATCCTTGATCATGAATTTGGGCTAGGTTTTTACCAAGTGTTTGGCACAAATCTTGGCCTTCCTTCTTCCAGAGGCAAACAGATTGATAGTCACAAAACTTGCAATAGGTTTCAAAATTTTTGAGGTTCTGTTTTATAGGTAAGATTTCCCTTTTCCCAAACCAAAACAGAGCGCTATCAAAACTTTGTTTTTTCAACTCTTGTAGGTCATAAGCGAATGCCATGTTATGAAAGTTATAATCTCCCCGGTAGTATTCTACCATCAAATTTTGTGATAAAAGGGGAGCAATGCATGCATACAACTGGGCCATTCTGGCCGCAAAATATTTTAGTGTCACAGGTGTACTCCAATCATCAAACAACTCACTATACTTCTGTTGAATTCGAAGATCTGTGATCTTATCATTCAAACTTAGCATACTATAGGTTTCAGGTGATGTTGAGCGTTTATCAGCGTCATCGAATGGCGCGAAACCAATAGGTATTCCAGATTTAAGGCGTTTCATATCTTCCATAAAGGTATTATCGATCTCTAGACAATGAATGATTTTAGCTGGATCAACATGCCGTTCGACGTCAAAACCTCTCCTAACCGCATTTGTCAGGAGCTTTTGATATGCAATTTGTGGGTCGTTTCCAAGTAACTCCAAAAAGTATCTGTAGTACATCACTTGTAACTTCGAAGCTTTGATCACGCTACTTTGACTAGGGACACTTAAGGTAGGTCTGGTCTTGACATCGCTTACAATTACTTCGAGATCTCCAGCATTTTTGAGGGAGTCTAAAATCAATTCCAATACGAGCCTCAAATCATTATTTCCGTTTTCCAGAAGATGCTCGTCTAAGGGCACCGAGTGTTTATTGGAAAAGCTTTTGTTTCTAATAAATAAGTGATCAACCACACCACTGACCAGAACTTCTTCCTCATCTTCAACTTTCCCAGTTGTCAATTCTCCTGTTCTGGAGTCTATGTAACCGTGACATAACAACTCTCTTGCATAGCCTTTATGAAAAAGTGTAGTCATTTTCGTTATGGCAAGAAGCCATTCTTCCACGAGAGAATGAAATGGATCATCTGGTATGTCAAGTTCAAAGTCCTCTTGAAAATCTTGCACATTTAAAGGTGGTGCATGTGCTGCATCTTCCAACTTTTGGTGCTCCCTCTTACCAACTTTCACTTGATTATGCTCATATATTGGAACATTCGAATAAATGTCAAATGCTTCTCTTAATTCACACCATCGTTTTGTGAGCATTTTAGTCACCGAGAGTCTTGCAGTTCCTTTATACTCAGCAACGCCTGACTCAACGTTGATTATTCTCCTTGCGTAGGCATCGTAGTAAGGGTTAGGAAGATGTGAAGGTTTCCTATATGACAAAAAACCTGGATGTTCCTCACACTTAAAAATCTCTTTCACAATCGGCAGTTTTTTTAACAGATATTTCTGCCGAGCTTTTGAAGTGTATTGAGAGGGTGATTCAAAATTTTGGTCTTTGACAAGAGTCAAACCATCAATGATGTCCAATTCAGGTTGGGTGGGCTTGCTTATATCGTTAGAACCAATAATATGTGTGGACCTGCCTATTTTAGAAGGATGAATTTGTCGCGTTCCTTTGCTGAGAAGCCTTTTTGACATGCATACGTTCTATGCGGACTGTGTGTCTCATATTGAGCATCTCAATAGAAATACTTTTTAAGTTTTTGAGATATCTTCGCGGTTACTATCAGGAATCAATCGCAGTCACATGCTGAAAAAACAATGAAGACCTTTTTTCTATCAAAAATTATTATACTGTCTATGTATTTTTTAAAGTCTATGCCCATATATATCAAATATTGTATTGCGAGTGGAATGTGTGAGTGTGTGTGATTTTCCCTGCAATGGATATCATTTTAAATGTTTAGGTTCCTTTTCATAGCTGGATGAAAATAGGCCCTTTCATTTTAGTGACTTAATTGAAGTGAGGAACACGTTTAAGTATATTTCCGTGTGTCCATTTGTGTGTGTGTTTGTGTTTGTTTGTGTGTGTGTGTTTGTGTGTGTGTGTGTGTGTGTGTGTGTGTGTGTGTGTGTGTGTGTGTGTATAATTGCCACATTTATCGCTGATGGAGAAAACTACTGGAATATCTTTGTTCTCTTGACATTAAATCTTCCATGCAGTTCCCTATAGGAAGGTTCTTTATATGCATCCAATCGCATTTTAGGGCAAACGTGAAGCAAAGAGTTCAAAGATACCTTCGGTATTAAGACTGAGAACAAATTTAGGCCTTCTGAACCTTGGCTTCATCCCCTGGTTTCTTTTCAAAAATAGTAGTATCCTTCTCATGTCTGTCTTTTCTTGGACCATGGAACCAGCTCTTGAAATCCAAAACCGACTTCAAAGACCACACTTTGATTCTCATGTAATAGTAACAAACCAACATCGCGAAGAAATTGAAGATAATGTATGCCCACAAGAACCCAAAGTTTCTCCATCTGTATGCCCACTTGACATTGAATTGTTCCACGACTTGATCCTGTACTGAGTATGGACAATACTCACAATTCGCAGTGGCGCTGGGATTACTCAAGTAACCACTGTTATTGGAAATGTAAGTTTCCAAGAAAGTTCCACAGGTTTCGCCTGAAGGTGGATCCATGATATTGTACTCATGTTGCTCACAGATTACAGACTTACCATGCACAAGCGGTGTCACTAGAGATTGCACAACATATGTGAAGGGAGAGACATTGTACATGAATCTTCTCCAGAAACCGGGCATTTTTTGCCTAGGTTGTAGAATACCACAGAACAGCAACATGGCAGCAAACAAGTTCGAATTGATCATAGAAGCTGAAGGAACATCTGGAGACAAGTAAAGAATCCATAAACCGTAACTGACAAAATACATTGGGAACATGATTACCCAAATTAAGAAGAAATAACCAGCATGAGAAGCTCTACCAGAGTATTGTGCAGGCCAGTAGTAACAAATGTAACACAAGAATTGACATATAGTCGACCAAACAATTTCCACAAAAGTGTGCGACAACAGAAGTGCACTCCAGTGGAAAGTATTCGAAGAGGCTTCTCTAACCTCATAAAGTTCTCTGGAGTCAAAGGCGAAAACGTGCAATTGGTTGATCATAGCCAAGGAAATCAATAACATCATGAAAATAGATGAGAACGCTTCTTGAGCACCTCCAACCGAATGATTGACACCAACGTAAGATAAACCGACAAACAACGCACAGAAAACACATTCCAAAAACTTGGCTCTGATATACACAGGTGATCTCCAGAACTGAATAAATGTTCTCCAGAGAACACATTTCATTTGCTCCCAATATGGAGCGGCATATCTTCCCGCCAATTCTTTGTCGTCCTTAACCGGTTTACTAGGCAAAACTCTATGCAATTCCTCAACCTCTTCTCTAGCAGCCGCACATTCAGGCGAGTCCTTCCAAAGTTCATGCCAGTCAGCATTAGCGGATGCAGTGGCACCTGCACCAATACAATTCAGGATATATTCTGCAGGATTCTCAGCTTCGCCACACTTAACACCGGATTGACGTTCGAAGTACGACAACAAAGTTTGTGAATTCTTACCGATATCTCCAAAATAAACCATTTTACCACCCTTCTTCAACAATAGTAATCTATCAAATTGTTCGAACAAAGTAGCAGAAGGTTGGTGAATGGTACATAGAATGGATTGACCAGAGTCGGCTAAAGCTCTCATGAACTGAACAATGGACCATGCAGACTGTGAATCCAAACCGGATGTAGGCTCATCCAAGAAAAGTAACAATGAAGGTTTGGCGACCAATTCGACACCAATGGAAAGTTTCTTTCTTTGCTCAACATTCAAACCTCTACCTGTCTTACCAACAATGGCCTCCGCATAATTCTGCATACCAAGTAAGGCAATGATCTTTTCGACATACTCATGTTTTTCTTCAATGGGAACGGATTTTGGCTGTCTCAATTCAGCTGCAAATCTTAAGGATTCTCTAACAGACAACTCTGCCATATGGTTATCAGCTTGAGCTACGTAACCACATGATCTGTTGAATGAAGCGGGCAAGGGTTTAGCGTTAACCAGCATGTCACCTGTAATGACACCCATGTTAATTCTTTGAGCCAAAACGTTCAATAAAGTGGTTTTACCAGCACCAGATTCACCCATTAGCGCAGTCATCTTACCAGGTTTAACATAACCAAAAACATCAGATAACAATTGTCTAGTGGCACCATCGTAAGGAATAGTGTAATCCAAGTGATTCCAAGTGAAAACATCTTTGTCAGCGATAACTTTCTCCAAATCGACACCAGGGCCGTTCAAGGATTCCATCATCTCTTCTCTAGTGGCAACCTTGGCATCTGCAGATTCGGAACCAAACTCTGGCATATGACCTCTCTTGTATAACAACAGATCACCACCACCTTCGACAGGCTTCAAGTATTCAGACATCACAACGTTCAAAACAATATAACCAAAAGTCCAAACGATGTTAACACCCCAATCTCTCCAGGCGTGCTTGTATGCAAAGTGGTACTTCTTCAAGATGTAAGTATCACCGTTGACGTATTTGGAACCCTTAACGGCACCTAGGGCGTCACAGATTTGGTTCGCCAAGGCTACATTTTCGTAACCTGTACCACTTGGGACCAACTTACTACAAAGCATTTCTCTTCCATGGAACTCGGTTGACATCAAAGACTCGTAAGAGTAGGTCAAAGGATTCAAGTAGTGAAACCATCTAATCCAGTGGTGCATTTGACCAATTGGTAACACGAAACCGGCATAAACACATAACATTAAAACCCATAGACCACCCACGGCGTGTGCAGTACCACCATCCTTAGTCAAAGTGGCAACCAATTTGAAAATGAAAGAGGTACATTGCTGAGTGGTAAACAAGTACAACATGTATTGGAAGAAAGCACCAGCTTCGAATTTCAGGTATGGAATCCAATAGGACACCAACGACAACATTACAATGGCAGTGAGCTTGGTTGGAATTTCAGTGAAAATTTCTTGCAAAGCTTCAGCAGACATGTGGTACATGGAATAAGACTTGTGTTTCACAATAATAGGTCTGTTGGCAAAAGAGTGAGAAATTTCAGCCAAAGAAGTAACAGCAGCGAACAGTAACACGTAAAACAATAAACCACCACGAGAGTAGGCACCTTCAGTAGTGGACTGACTCTTGGGATCAATTCTGTGAAACATAGAACCCACAACCAAACCTTTAATTAAAAACGAGGATAGATAAACTTTGGTGTAAGTCATATCACCTTTAGTTCTTTGGAAACCACGAATCATACAATACCAAACTTGAGACCAGAAATTGACCACAAATTGAGACTTCTTTCTTTGACCTTTTTGTAGTCTTTGATTTTTGGCCAATTCCAAGCGTTGTCTAGTTTCTTCTGCAGGATGTCTGTTACAGTAATCCTCATAGTCATCCAAACAACGTTGATACTCTGGAGAGTTCAACCAGTGCTCTTCAAATTCTGTACTAGATTTGGGTACTTTTTCTTCGTAACCTGGCTTGATCTCCAAAGTTCTATTCTCGAAATCGACAGTGACAGAGGTCAAAAACTCGGCAGATGTCATTCTTGAAGGCTTGACCCACCCCATTCTTTCGAAGTAGCCAACGGCTTCTTCTGCAGGACCGAAATAGATTTGCTTACCACTGTAAAGAACAGTAGCTTTATCAAACAGCTCATAAATGTTTTCACCAGCCTGATAAATAGCAACCACTGCAGAGTTGTTCAACATGTTTGTGGCAGTTCTAATGGCTTGCGCAAACTCCAAAGCAGTAGAAGCATCCAAACCTCTCGTGGCGTTATCCCAGGAATAGATAGAACCGTTCATGGACAAGGCTTCGACCAAAGAAACACGCTTACGTTCACCACCAGACACACCTCTCACGAAATCGTTACCGACTTTAGTTGCGTAGGTGTGTCTCAAACCGAACACGGTACACCACAAGTCCCTCATGGAGTCGACGTACTGTTGTCTAGACATGTGGTCGATTCTGACACGGGGAGTCTTACATTTCAAGGCAAAATCGATGGTTTCCTTGACGGTGATCTTGGGGAAATGCACGTCCAGTTCGGGACAGTAGATGACGTAGCCTTTGAAACGCGACATCATTTCCGCCTGATCCAGCCCGTCGTAGGAGAAATCACCTTTGACCTCCACCAGCTCGGACGTTTCACCGGAAACACACTTCAACAGCGTGGAACAACCAGCACCGGGCCGGCCAACCACGAAAAGCATTTCTCCGGACTCGATGACACCGGTACAGTTACGGATGATGTCTCTGTGGGCGATTTCGTCCTTCTTGCGGGCGACCCAATGCCCGAAACGCACGGGCCAGTGGACCCACGACCGCAGCATTTCCTCGACGCTGGGCCCGTACGCGGCGGACGCATCGATACCCACAGCAGTGAGCCCGCGGAACGCGACACCGGAGTCACCAGGCTCGATGCCCTGGGTCACCTGGGTGGAACGCAGATAGTTCAAAAGCGCGCGAAGGTCGAAGTCCAGCGCGTCGACCTCGAACTTGCTCATCTGGCGCTTGGTCTTGGTCGACAAAACTCTGGCGAGCGACTCGATCCGCTCTGCGCCCTGATCCTGCGACAAGATGTTGGTGATGTGGCGCGACAACTGCGATTGCAAGTTCTGTTGTTCATCGTCGGCCACAGCCTGGAAAGACTCGATCGACTGAGCATACGAGTCCTGGGTGTGAAGAGACTCACTCTCCTTGTGTTGCTCTTCCTCTGAAGACATGCTGTTTGCGGGAGAAAAGTATATGACCAGGAAACAACACTCTTAGAGATGATACTGTGACGAAATCCTCGCGAAAACACCCCTACGTACTTCTGAGATCGGTCGCTTTTTATATTCTGCCATATTTAGCCGCCGACCGCTTGGTCGCCCGACAGGTACCAGCCGATCCGAGATCTAGCAGCTGCACGCTACGAGCCGGTCCGGCTTCCGCGCGTTAAAGTAACTCGGATAGATAGGCAGAACATGAAAAAAACCTGCAGAAGCCACAGACGGGCCCGCAGGCGCCGGGCAGGCAGCCGCCGCCAGGCGGCTGACTGCAGCTAGCGCTTGCGCGCTAGTAGCGGCGGTCCATCTCGCTGCCGGTGCCGCCTCGCTGGACCGCCCGAATGGAAGACATTACCTAGATACGCGGAGGCTGCTAGCACGCGGCGGGCCCGCTTTTTTTAGTATCGAATCAAGTAGGTGTTGTGTTTGCCCGATTCATTGACGCGTGTTTTGATGATTTCCCGGCCGGGAAGGCGGGCTTTCGAGGCGATGCATTGCCGGAGACGGAGGCTGGCAGCGGCGGCTCCGAGGCCAAGGCACAGCCAACAGTCATGGCACCGCCAGAACGTGCGCCAATCAGCGAGGCACTGCAAACAACGCGACAATTCCACGACGGTGGGCGTTCTCCGGGCCGCAGGCCGGAGATCCACCCGGCGAGGCGATACTTAATGACTCGCGGTGACCTCGGTTTGGGGTTAGTTTTGTGGCACGTCGCAATTGCGACGCTTGATGTCACAACTATGTTTCATTACAGGTTGAATTGCAGCGTAGAAAGTACGTAGACGGCTAGTTAATTAAACGCGGTCGGCGCAATCGCGCGGCCACAGGCGAGTTTGCGCTGGAAACTGCTCTGGAGGCAGTTTTCGAACCAGGGCAAATATTGGATGTTATTGGATGCATTTACGCCAATGGACGCGGGCGTCGCGCGGCGCCCGCGGAGCGCGCCGCCTCGTGGGCATTCAGAGGAACAGGCTCACTAGCTCTAGGATCCCACCGCCCACGAGCAAGAACAGCAGCGCAACGGTCCAGGACATGGGCAGACGCGACTTTGGCTTGGAGTCTGCGACCTTGCGCTTTCCCAGCTTTCTCTCGTCTCTCGTGCGCTTCAGAAAACGCTCATTGGCAATGCGCTGTTTGGGCGTTTGGACGGCCATCGGTTCTCAGTGGTGTTTGGTGGAGGCGCGAAAGAGGCAGACAACAAGACGTGCGTGGCCTTTTGGAGCGCGTGCGGCTGTCGCGGGGCACGGAGGTCGTCCAGCACGGAGGTCGCGAAACACGGAGTTAGCTGAGCACGGCGATCGCGCCACACGAGCGACGGCCTGGCGCCGGTACCGGCCGCGCAGGCACGTGACCTCGAGCCGCGATTCCCGTTTTCTTCTGCGGTTCCTTTCCCGGGTGTTTTTCCGCGTCGGTCGACCGACAGCACAAGGGCTTCGGGACGAAAACCTTGCGGACGTAAGCAGCGCGCACAACAAAGCGTCGCGCGCGAAGGATGCCCTTTTTGCACGCTACGGAGGTGTTGATGCACGACCCTGAGCTCTCTCAAGCCCTCACTGGCGCGCTACAGTTCCAGAACCTGTTTCCCAGGCTTCGTGCGCCGTGCTGATGCGTTCTCGGGCCGTTGGTTGCGTATGGCTTATCGTAGAAACCGTTATGTGCCGCAGCCCATATGCAAGTGCCACCTACGTGCAAATAGCACCGCAGCTGCCGGGCCGTGGCTGCGTGGCTCAGTGCTGCGCCAGCGCTGGCCATGACTGGCGCGCACCTAAACGGAAAAAAAAAATGGTGTATGTTCTTTCGCGGTCGCGTCTGTGAACGCGAGTCGCGGGCGCACAGAAACGCGCGCAGCGATCGCGAAAGATTGGATGGCTGGTTCGCGCCAATGTCGACGCATCTAGCAATCGGTCAACATGGCACAACCTCTGGCGATTTTGAAACAGTTCAGAAAAAAAAATGGAACCGGAGGGTGCTCTTTTGCCAGTTGTCATCATTTTTACGCCCGGTATTCGAGCTCCCTGCCTTCCTTTGCCACTTGAACTCTACACCTCCACGTTCCATAAAAGAGCACACATTCCTTTAAGCTCTATTTAGTGAAGAAATACGTCGAGACCATCCAACTGCTGTCATTCCTTGCGCAAATCTTCAAGCTTTGAAAAGTTCGATACACCAACAGCTCACCTTCGCTGCAAATGAAATTTTCCAACTTAGCTGCGTTCTCTACGCTCGCTGCTTTTACGTCCGTCGCATCTGCCGACTGTGACTATGTCAGTGGTAACTACTACTGTTCTGAAACCGACGCCGTCGTTTACTCCAACGTTGGCTACTCCGGCTCCTTCATGGACGTCACCAACATGGACGAGTCCACATGTGCGTGTACCCAGGAGAAGGTCACCTTCTCCGGTGCCATGGCTCCTCTTGACCAGGAGTTGTCCGTGCACTTCCGTGGTCCGCTCAAGTTGCTGCAATTCGGTGTTTACTACCCATCTGAGGGCACTTCTTTAAAGAAGAGAGACGCCACCGCTTCTGAGGACTGTTCCACCGTCATCCAGCACCAGCACCGCAAGCGTGAAGCTGCCGTCGCAGTTGTCGAGGTGACCTCTACCGTTTACGTTGACGGCGACGGGGAACTGGTTAGTGCTACAACTGGTTCTGCCGTTGGTTTCTCCGACTCTGCCGTTTCCACTGCTGTCGTGGTCACTTCGTCTTTGGCCCCTGCTTCTTCTGCTGCCACCTCTACTGCTGCCGCTGCTTCCTCTGCCGCTGCTTCCTCTGCCGCCGCTTCTTCCTCCGCTGCTTCCTCTGCCGCTGCGTCCTCCTCTGCTTCTTCCTCTGCTTCCTCCTCTGCTGCTTCCTCTTCGTCTTCCTCGGGCGCCAGTGGCTCCGGCTGGCAGAGAGTCTCTTACTACTCTCCTGGCTCCACCACCAACTGTACCTTCATGAACAACGAGGGTGGTACCGCTGGCTCCGGTGTGTGGTCTTCCTGTTTCGGTAACTCCATCTCCTTTGCGGCCTCCGATGGTGTTTCTGGTGCCTCTTCTGCCCAGGCTTTGGACGAGGTTACCCTCGCGTCCGACAAGGAGTACATGATCTTCTCTGGTGTTGACTGTTCCGACGACTCCATTGGTGACTGTGGTTATTACAGAGGTGATATCCCGGCCTACCATGGGTTTGGTGGCAAGACCAAGATGTTCGTGTTCGAATTCTTGATGCCTCACGATTACTCGTCATCTACCAACGAAGACATGCCAGCCATTTGGATGTTGAACGCTAAGATTCCACGTACCTTGCAATACGGTGACTCCACGTGTTCTTGCTGGAGCACTGGCTGTGGTGAAGTTGACTTGTTCGAAATTTTGAGCAGTGGTAGTGAAAAATTGATTACTCACATCCACGACGGCCAAGGTAACGACGGCACCAGCACCGGTGGTGGTGGTACCCAAGACTACTTTGCCAGACCAACTTCCAGCTCCTTGAAGGCCGCCGTTATTTTTGACGGCAGTGACGAATCTATTCACGTGCTCGAGGTTTCTGGTGACTTTGGCTCCACCTTGAGTGCTGCTACCGTCGAAGAATGGTTGAACACAAGCGGCTCCTCCGCAGCTTTGTCCTCTTGATTGCTTAAAATAACAAATTCAAGACAAGTGATTATCCATATGTTCAATGGACTAACAGGCTTCTGAATAGACTTTAAGAATGCAATTGTATTATTATTAGGCTTTATTTTTTTCTACCATTACAATCATATCGAGTGGAAACTCGTACTTTCTCTTCTGGGCTTTTATAATTTATCTATTCTGCTGCTATGTATGTTCTAAAAAATGTTTCGCAACCTTGTTTCGTTGCTTTGGCTAAAGCTTGTATTCGCGAGATTATAATTTTTGCATTTTTATTTTTGGCATAGGGGAACAAACAAGCACATCACATGCACGGCTAACGGGGGACTACCCGATTATTCCATTGAGGAGAGAGGTCTTTCCTGAGCGCCGCGGTTAAAGTTGGAGAGCTTCTATTCCTGGAATAACGAGGCTGTGAATCAATTTATAACAACTGCAATTTTTTTTAAAGCTTGCTCTGCAACAATTTCAAAAAACCGCGTGCTCGTCGGTCAAGTTACAGCATTTCCGCAGACCAGGTACTACTAACCTAACACGCGAATTTCTTGTAATGAAAGAGACTTTGACGTTCAAACAATCTTAACAGAAGTCTTGACTTAGTATACAGCGTAAAAATCATATAAAAGTTCAGTTAGATAGTAAAACACAAGTACAACACAGAAAAACAGCCATGCAAAAAAGACATGGACCCAGGTAGAAGACATGAGATGAAGATGCACCGCACCAAGACTGTAGTTACAACCACGAATGGCGCTTAGGCCAGTGTCAACGTAAAACCCGCATCTTTTAAATGCACAATATGATGATAATAGAAGTAAAACAGCAAACAAAAGTAAAAAACATAAAAGCGCAAAACAGCCTACTGTTCGCGACAGGTCACCCATCGGGCAAGTCCTCATTTATCACTAAGATCCGTCACTTTGTCGTCTCCAGACTCGAGGTCGGGAATCACGATGTGCACTGGTAGGTTAGAATCCTTCCTTAACCTTCTGTACTTGGAACTCATCTCCAGAGATTGGCCACTGGCCTGAGATCTGGCATCGGTGGAGACACCGATCCAACACAGAAAACGTCTTCCGGCTTTGGCGATCTTGCGTGCGCCTCTGCCAGCACCGAGCCAGCAGTAAAAACAGTATTCTGCATAAAGTATAATGAAGGCCACGACGAACCCCAATACAACACATGCTAGAATGTGGTTGGCTAGAGATTTGATGAAGTGGGCATCATCCAAGTGCCACGAAGAACCTTGTGAAATGGAAAAGAACGAGTAAGAATGCTTCTTATAATCAGCGGGTTGCAAAATGCGCACCACTCCGTTTTCGGGTACACCCCAACGCTTGTACTGCTTCCAAATAACACTTACAAACAGAGGACCAGTTGAAAACATGATAGTGATGTAGGGCACCAGCCAGTTGCGGTCGTATTTCTTCAAAGAATTGATGACTTTGAGGAAAAAGGGGTGGCGTGGAACTGAACCCATCACGTCGTTGGAGATACCTGTGGGAGAAGTCTTGCGTGCGAAGGCAGGGACGGTAAGTAATGGGTCGAGTTTACGCTCGCACCCGTCGTCCAGGTCGATGTATACACCTCCAAAATGCGTCAGAAGGAAGTAGCGGAGCGCGTCTGCACGCTCGATTGGATAGCGATACCCGTCGAAGGTGTCAAGAAACCAGCTGTACTCTTCCTTGATGAACTCGCGGGCCATTTCGTCGGTCCACAAGATGTACTTGTAGTCGGGATGGAGGTCGATACAGCGCTGCTGGCCATCCTTCCAGTGCTCTGGAATTTCTTCCGTTTTGTAGGTCTGATGAATGATCTTGGGGATCAGCATCTGCTTGGGAGGCGCATCCTCAGGTGGGTTGAGGTCGACGCTCAGGAGAGCGTCCTGGAACGTGTCGTCGATGGCGAGCGTCAGAAGGTCGAACGTCAGGTACAGGAGCACCACGACGATTGCGAGGTGCGAGTACACGAGATACTTGAGCTCTCTTCTCATGATGATGTGTGTGCGAGCGCAGACGCTATATGTTGGTCACGGCGAAGGTCGTGGATTCTAATTCGATTGGCCTTGCAACGGCGATGCGGTAATGCGAGAGTTGGTGAAGAACTCGATCCTTAAATCTGGCTTGGTCTATCTGAAAGAAACGTTCGCCAAAGTGGTGAAAATCTCTTGGCAATGATACTAGATGCTTCGACTCCGAACTGTCGTCTACCACCTGCTCCAAGATGTGTCTGGCTATCTAGCCTTGCCCTCTATATAAGGAGCAACCGCACCACACCGCGAAAAAGAAATGCGTCCGCGACTAAAAAAAAACACCTTTTCCCCACGGCTTTCCTGTTCGGTCGGTCGCGTCGGAGCCAAGCCACACGCGCTCGCGTAGTGTGATCCCCCGCGTAGAAAGGGAGCTCAAGTGAGCACGAGGAGCTGCTGCTTACCAGGGGTGATCAGGACGACGCGCAGCTCGGAATTGCCGCGTTCTTGCTGTGTGCTGGGCACCGCGGGCGTGCCCAGCGCGACACAACTGGCACGGACCGGCATCGTAGGGAGCGCGACTGCGTCATGCTAATTTGCGAGCCAGCATTGGCATTAGTATCGCAGGTTACGCCAGTGTGCGGTTGCGCTCCGACGGCACGCTTTGTCTTTGTCGTCGAGCTTTGCCCCGGTTGCAAACGCAAACGCGGTCGCACAAGCAACGGCGCGCCTCACGTGACCCTATCTCTGCGACGACGACGCTGGTTTTCTATTAGCACTTGACGTCATTTCGGACACTACGGGCGCTTCTGGGCGCACGCACCGCGATCACGTGGCGAGTGCAAGTTTCGACCCACAGCATGGCGCCGGAGACGGACGCGCTATGTCCGAGCCGGCAGGCCAAGGTCGGCGCGGCGTTAGGGAGATGTCACGTGCGTTCGCACGCCGCGAGCGTTTTCGTTGCACTGCCGTCTCGGGAAGTAGCTAGCGCGATGGCAGCCGGTGGCAGCCAATGGCGAAGCGGAAAACGTGGCCGGCAGCGTGGGAAAGGAGAGATCAGGGGAGTGGAAAGCGGAGCAGGGAGCTACGATAACAGGGGAAGGAAAAGAATATTCGTAGGGAAACGGAAAACGACAGGGGTGAAACCTGGCAGGGGCGAAACCTGGCAGGGGCGAAACCTGGAACCTGAAACCTGGCAACGTGGGAGGAAAGAAGGAAAAAAGCAGGAAGGAGGACGCACGTGATCGGGCACGATGTGGGGTCGTCGCATGTGACGTCCGCGTGACATTCACGTGACTGCCGTCTAATACTCGCTCTCTTGGAAGTATGGATGCATCACCGCGCGCTTGGCGCTGATCCGGTTGATTGGATCGTAGGTCAGTAGCTTCTGTAGTAGGTCAATGCCCTGCTCGTCCAGCGATGGAACCACCTGGCGCAGTTCCTTTGGATGCCATTTGGGGAACTTCGGTTTGAAGTCAGGCAGGTACACGATGTCTGGCCACACCGCCTCGGTGGGCGTGCCCAAGACGCGGAAGATCTTGAAGATCTGGTCGATCTCGCTATCGCCACTGAAAACCGGCTTGCGGTTGCACATCTCAGCAAAAATGCATCCAATCGACCATATGTCCACGCCGGTCGAGTATTGCTTGCCACCAAGCAACACCTCGGGCGCACGGTACCACAACGTCACGATTTCGTGCGTATACGCACGCAGAGGCACACCAAACGCACGAGCCAGCCCAAAATCCCCCAGTTTGAGGTTACCGTCGCGGTTGATCAGCAGGTTCTGCGGCTTCAGGTCGCGATGCAGGATCCGGTGCGAGTGACAGTACGCAATTCCCTTGCACAACTGCATCATGAACTTCTTGATGATGTTGTCGCCCAGCGGCTGGTCCTTGGGGACCGACTCCATGTACCGCTTGAGATCTAGATCCAAAAATTCAAAAACCAAGTACAATTTGTGCGCATCTGAGTGCACAATATCGTATAATCTCACGATGTTGTCGTCCTTGAGCTCCTTAAGCAGCGAGATCTCGCGGATCGCAGTGCTGGGCACACCTTCGTCCTCGCTCTCCAGCCGGATTTTCTTAAGCGCCACCACTCTTTGGCCATGGCGAAGGTCTAAAGCCTTGTAAACCACACCATAAGTACCCTCACCTACCTTCTCAAGCCTCTTGTAATTCGCCAATTCTGTCATACTCCGTTGTTATTGCGCTTTGTCCGAAACAGGAATTGCACAACAACTTCGACATGCCTTTTAAATAGTGGCAAAAATCAAAAATTTTGACGCGTACATCTCGCATCGCATACGATTCGCTATATATAAAATCTGCAAATAGAACTGGTAAGTAGCTTAGGGCTTGATCTGCTTACTGCTGCTTGGCTTGCCTTGCGGCTTTCTTCAAAGCTCTCACCCTTATACTCTTGTGGAAGCTGTAATTGATCGCATTGGCAACTTTACTTGACACGCCAACCGTATTTTCGATGAAAAAATGGTACATAGCGTGTGACCAGTAAGGTGTAATAGTAGCGTACCTTTCTTGTGCACCGCAGCGTCTTCCGATGTTTTTCAAAGTAGCGTATACGAATTGCGTTGGGTTGGGGATCATGATCGAAGTCCTTCTCACCTTTGACATTGCACTTGTTACCAAATAAGAGAGCACAATTTCGACATCTACGTTCTTTTCCTTCAATTCACCTGCAAGAGCTGCAGACCAACTTTGCAAAAATGCCTTTGAACCAGAATATGTAGCAAGCAAAGGAGTGGGGAGAAGCCCACCAAACGACCCCATAGTCAAGATCAAACCTTTGCATTTACTCTCTTTAGCAGTTTGTACAATGGTTGGTGCTACGATCTGAGTAATCATCAAAGTAGCTGTGGTGTTGATCGTGATGATATCGCGGAGTTCCTTCTCTTCGGTCTCCAAAAATGGTACAGGAACGCTATGGCTTTGGCCGACGTTGTTTACCAGGATTGTAATTGGCAAGCCTTTGCAAGTCTCACTGATTGCCTCATAGTTCTCTGGGGTATCTTTTGAGATATCCAGGGACACAATACGAACTTGTACACCATACTTGGATTCGAAATCACTCTTCAATGCCTCCAACTTTGACAGCGTCCGAGAAATCAACACTAGGTTGAATCCACGTTTCGCCAACTGACGTGCGTACTCTTTACCAATACCATCACTTGCACCGGTAACGACACAGTACTTGCCCTTCTTCGCACCATACTGGGAAAAGCTTACGGCAGGTAGCAAAAACAAGTCAAAAATCATGCTTGAAAAGCTCAAAATTAAGGTAGTGGCTTTCAACACACCAAGACAAAAAACAGACCATAGAGCCACATTTAGACACTTGCTCTGAGATGCTAACGCTTGGAATTGATTTAAAAAGCTCATCCCGACTTAAGTGCTCCCCTGGTTTGACGAGAGATCCTTAATCCAAAAATTTTTTTTCGCTCTTTATTTTTGATCGATACCGGCTCTCAGCTCGTGAATCAAAACATTTAATTAGCAAAATAAAGATACTTACGTCTTAGATTCGAAACAGATGTTCCTGGACTCAGGACTGGCTTAAATTTGAAATTTATGGTTACCTTAGCATTATACACATTATTTTTCCCCGATTATTTATACCATTCATAACTCAATCCATTAGTAAGAGAGCATCCAGCTTCTCTTGTGTCAATTGCACGCTCAACGCATCTTTTTCAGATTGTGTACTTAGAAGTCCTAGCTCGAGTTCATTCTTCCATATTTGCAATTTCTGCTCTTCTAATTTGGCATCGATTGAATCACTATCTTGAAAAACTTCTCGAATATAGGCAAGATCTTTCTCAGAATCCACTGACTTATCAAGTTCTGTCAGATATAAGAATGGAGAGTCCTTCGGATTTATGCGCCTTGTAATCACGGGCGCATCCACTATAGGTGGGGCAACTGAAACCTCAGCATTCCTGTCCAACTGATTCTGGTGACGGTTTCCGTAGCTTACTGAAGGATGACTCTTTGGATACCTGTTAGAATAGCTATTGTAGCTTGGAGGACGGTTGGAGCTGTGGTAACCACCGCGATTGCCGTAGTAGTCGTTCCGGTAATTGCTCCGTGAGTAACCCCCATTATGATACGTCTCTGGGCTTTCTGGATGACGGTACGAACTATTGTACCTATTTGAGCTGTAGCCACCACGACCTCCGCGGTAAGATTTGCCTCTATAAGATCCTCTGTAGCTATTACTGTTGTAAGAGTACCTTCCACCATAACCGTTGCTGTTTCTTACGTTAGTATAGCGTTCTTGGTTTTTTTCAAGATTTCTTAGACGAATATCATACTCATCAGTTGGATAATTCATTTCTTCCGTCTGCTTTGTCCGTAAGAGATTGTATGTGATGACATTCTGTGCGCCTTCAACTTCATGTTGGTACTTTTTTTTTTCTTACAAGTTCGTTTCAAGAGATGTAATCGAAAATATCATACATAAAGAATCGTTAATATTAATAGCAGTTGGTGTATATATATATATGTATATATATATATATACAATATTAATCGGTTTCAGCATTTACCCATTGTGTGAGGTCCGATAGTACTCTGGAATTATATTCTGTGTCTAACCTCCATTCTTCCTCTTTCATGAGCAGTTCTATCCGTTCGCAACCTTCAATGAGGATGGGAATGCCTCTGGCCCGTTTGTATTTTCTATAAGCAACCAGTGGTCTGAGATCGCTGATTTGGGGAATGTTCCTAACTTCAATGACAGATATGTTTGGAAAATAATTAAGGGACATCAGAGCAGGCATCGAGTTATTTGTCAAAAGCCTACAGTTGTTCAAAGAGAGTCTGGTAATCTTCGGACCTCGCAGCATAGCTAGCTCCCAAACGCCGGCATCTGTCACCTCACAACCAGCAGCCCCAACAGTCTCAACTTGTGTATGTCTGGCTAAGGCAACAAGCGATACACTCGTAATGAGATGCCCGTTACGATGCCTGCCAAGATTACAAATTCCCAACTGCGGACAGTTGGTGCTGACTGACACAACACCGCTATCGCTTACCTTGTCGCAAGCACGTAAATCCAGCAATTTAAGTTTTGGTAAATGTGGAGTAATGCGCATCAAAAACTCGTCAGTGACAAGTCTGTTTCCTGGGAGGACCAGCTTCTCTAGGTTTGATGATTTCTGAAATACTGATAGTGGAGGCAAGACTTTTGGGCAAATGTACAACTCCAACCATTTCAAATTATCAGAGGATATAAGTAGTGATGCGGCGTCAACTTCGGCCTGTGATAGCTTACTTAGTTTGTGGAGGACAAAGATGGTCGGTCTTGAAAAGTTATTTTGCGACTGTGTGAAACTAGAAAGCAGCTTTTGAAACTTTTGATGATCATCAAAGAAAAGCTTTTCAGTCATAATACGAAATGTTACTGTAAACCACAACTTGTTCACCAGGAGACAATTGTACAGGTTCGGTTGGCTGTCTTTGAGGCATTTTCCCTTTTGATTTAGCTTCAACTGATTCAAGGTATCTTGCCATACTCTTTCGGCTTTCACTCGGTCACCATTGTACATGAGTAAAGCATGTGACAGTGATTGGGGCCTTCTTCGTTGGCGGGCTTTTTCCTGAGGAATAGTGGAATCATTTTCCAGGTATCTCAGAATGCGGTCCAGTATCTCTGGCATTTCGAAAATACGGTGACTTGCGTGCGAGAAGTCTGGAGGAGCGGTCTCCACAGGCGACACCCCAGGGCTCCATAAACTGAGGTCTGAGAAATCCTTTTCAAGTGAAATCTTGAGCTCGAGGTCTCCGGGAGAAGCAGTTATTGTCGCGTCAAAGCTCGACTGCGACAAAAGTGCAGGGCGCTTCTTGGTGGGTGTCGCCAAGGGAGTCAGTTGACCCAAGCTCTGCCTCCAACTGGCGAATATGCCTCTTTTGCGAGGTGAGGCGTCAGACCCAAAACGGTTGGGACTCCGAAACGGCGCATCTGACGAAGGCTTTTTTGCACGTCTCAAACATGTAGGAGACTCGATGTTTTCTCTTGCTCTTTTGAATGAACCATGTCTGGATGGTTTGGGTGATAACATACGGATGTAAATGAGTGGACGTCAAACACGAAAGGTGACACTGTGAAACAGCAAATTAATAAAGTATTAGAAAAGAAATCAAACAAAGTGCGCTGGCTCACAATAGCATCAAACGACGGCGATTCTTGCAGTTGATGGAGTGAAACAAACTGAACTCTCTAACGGTCAAAAAAAAAAAATGGGATACGGTAATTCCTGTTCCCTTACCCTCTACTTAACGGCAATGCTCCTATGCTCGTTTTTACAAGGATACTCAACCTCTGAAGCTTTCGAGTGTTCTGAAGATACTGAAGATATCGGAAGGGTCCTCCCCTCCAGTCACGGCCAAAATCTCCTGAATTTTATATTGAAACGTCCCTCAAACACAATGTTTCCTCAAAATTCTTGTCACTAGCCAGCAGCATACCCGCAATAAACCGCCCATGCTGAATAAACAAATACCAGTCTCGGGATCTGCTGAACCTCAGCAGCACACATGGTTACGCTCATTTTCGACCGTCTTATTCCTTTCTTGTAACAAAAAAAATCCCAGCCCCACCAGCCACCCGAATTTTCCTGCAAAAGAACAAAACATTCTGTCTCATTTAACAGGCATGCAGCTGGGCTTAGAAACACAGCTACAACTATCGATAGGAACGCGAGGAACGTCTTCCGTTGCACCAGCAGGATATAGGTATTACATAGATCTCTACCAGCGTCGTTACAGATGCAGATAAGCAGAAGGAGCATGATCAACGGTCACTGCACATGACTTGGCAAAGAGTGCACATGACTTTGATCGTGAACCGTCTCGTATGACTCTTCAATCTCGTAAGGGGCGTTGATCCTCTCCCCCTGGATCGAATTGATTGATAGTCATCGTCCTTTTCTTCGATCAGATTGGCTCTGAAAGAAGAGTGCAGGTATCAAGATATGGCATCCCCAAAAAACAAGTCGACTGGTAAACCCTTTATGTTCAGCTCCCCGGGCAGACAGAGCTCGAAGCCTGGAGGTGGGCAAAACCACTCGAAGTCACACTCGAGATCGTTTTCAGGATCAACCCCCGAGAACTTTGGAACTGGATCGGTAGTGGGCAATGGAAATGGCAGTGGAAGTGGACAGACAACGAATTTAGCTGGTGTCGAGACAACGGCAGGGACGGGGTCGAAGCGTAACAGCTTTAGCTCGAACCAGCAGAAGGCTATTATCGAGCATTTGCTCATCACCAAGAATACTGCTCCTCAAAAGAACTATTCTCACGTTCCTTGTAAGTTTTTCAGACAGGGAGCGTGCCAGGCGGGCAGTTCTTGTCCCTTCTCGCACTCTTTGAACGTGTTGGCTGCGGATCAGACTCCTTGCAAGTACTTCCAAAAGGGTAATTGCCGTTTTGGAAGCAAGTGTGCCAACGCTCACATCTTGCCGGACGGAACTCGTGTTAACCCTCCTAAACAGTACGGGTATCATCAGTCTTCTGCCACACCTGTTCCTATGCCTATTCCTGCTAGGGGATCGTCGTCCTCGAGGAATGCATCTCATCATCATAGGCTTTCCGACGGTGCAATCTCCTCGGGGTCAAACCAGCGCTTGCAGCCTGCGTTTGTTTCTCTTCCTGCGTTACAAACAAGCAATCCGGCGGTAGGCAGCTCGGATGGGTTGATGCCACCTTACACCCCCGTTATGGAGGAAAAAGCTATTCCTGACTTTGACGGCGAAGACTTTGTGCCAAGCGAGTTGTCTGATCTTTTGACGCCCACAGAGCTCAAGCGTCGCAACTCAAGGTCGTCTTTTACCCGAAAGTTGAGCTTTGGCGAGCCGGGGAGCTTGCCATCCACCTCGAGCACTGCGTTCGGATCATTCCACGAGAGCTCGTATGGATTTTCTATGCAGCAGAGAAATGTGTCTGCTGTGTCCTCGGCCTCAACCAACTACTCTCCACCCAACTTACAAACTTTCACGCTCCCAACTTTGAATTACACGTACCAACAAGAGCAGAGAGGTTGGTTGGGGAAGGAGCACCAGGGGTTCCAGTCAGTATGGAACAACGACGCTCCAAGTATACTACGTAACAGCAGCGATTGCAGCATTGCACAACTTGGACAGGACTTGACGAAAATCAAGATCTTCGAGGAAGACGAAGATAGAGCAGCCGACCCCGAGTATCTTCGCAACCGCAAGCAGGACGATCAGAATACTGTAGATGCAAGCCATCACGAAATGCAGTTTTATCTCGAGGACTTGCACGAAGGGATTTACTAAGTGATATGGGTTTTTACAAAACTTCGCACTCGCACGCAAGTGCACGCGACCGGACTAGGAAAACAAAATGGATTTACAAAAGGGTCAGATGGGACAAAATTCAATGGAAATGGTCTTTGGTTGACCAAGGATGAGTTCGAAGGGCAGGATCTCTTCAGGAAAATGGTGGACGTCAAAAAGTTTGGTGAAAACAAAAAAAATACAAGTTTCGATTATTCTAAAACAATGTTGGTTGGCTTTTGCTATTATAAGTACCTTGTGACACTCGTTCAAACGTTAAATACAAAACACAACATATACTGGTTATATAGGTTTTATCAGATACATGCAGGTTTCTTCTTGATGCTTTCCTTCGCTCTCCAACTTTAAGCTCGGATTAACTTCGAAAGATGTTTCTGTCCGCGACTCATCGTTGCAATCAAAGTCACCATGACTATGCGCATGCTTACTCCACGTTTACACTCTCAAGCTGTTATCGAAAGTCCTTATCTAACATAAACATCTGGAGCTTACTGATATGCCGGTGCCTAATAGAAAAGAGGCACGGCTGTAAATCTGATAATGCTTCAAAACGACCAGTCACGAGACGCTAAACGCCAGTTTGTCAACCATGATTCTTTAAAGAGATTAGGAACCCCTACAGATTGGTAACCACAGGAGTACGTCCGAGCGTTCAGTTTGTTGACCTTCTCAGAAGTTGTTTCTCAAGTTGGCACAATTTCTCTTCTACGGCAAGTTGTGAGAACTAACAAATTGCCGATAGTAATCGTAAGCCAAAGTGTGGGGAAAAAGTACCGTTTTTTCGTATTTTCATGTTGCCATTTTGGTCTACACACAGAAATGCTTTTTGATTGCACCACGAAACTAAGTGTATCTCCATGCATCTAGCACTTCATTTTGCCCTTTATCTTGCAAAAATTGATAGAAAATACGCTATCAAATTCAGAATTATGCCAGAGACGCAGAGACCTACTGAGAAGACCTTAGACAAATAGCAATTAGATTTTGTAGTTTCCTTTTTATGAAGCACGGGGGAGGCCGATATTCGGATTTATTCAAGCTTACAGTTAGACGACCTGCATGTGAATTATACCGCTGCAGGTGCGTGGGATATACGAATTGCAAATAAAGTTGCTAGAAAGATCATCCGGATGTGACAAAAGGAGCTTCTTGACATGCATGATGCACCATTGTGTGGTACAGCAATTCTTTGATCTAGTCATATATAGAGTAAGTACCAAATGGTGCGAAGAGCTGATTTAAACCATTTAGTAGTATGTCTTTCGACGCGGGAGGTGAAACAGTAGACAATAATTATTGTCAGACGGGGAAACCTTGCGCTCACAGAAATGCATTGCTAGACAGCCCTATCAGTTTGGAACCGAGTGGAGAGGCCAAGAGATTACGGAATTTCAGCTTTCCTAGTCCCACTAGCGACGCAAACGACTGGTCGTTTTTTCATGCAAAGAGGACGAATGTCAGAACACCAAATTCTGCGGAAAGAAGCTGGGAGTATTCACAGGTATTGGGGGAAGGTGCCGCTGCTAGCGGTAGAAAAGATAGTCAAGAGTCGAATGGTGCCTATTCTCGCAGCGAGGCGCTTTTCGACAAATTAAGACGCTACAGCTTCAATAGAGATTCGAGATCCAGTAACGAAGACTTCGGCATATTTGATATGTTCAAAGTGTCATTAAACGACAAGAAAAGGAAGAGTGGTGAAAACAGTCCGAGAAAGCCGCTCATGGTGTCAGAGAGACGCGACAGTGTCCTATCTTCCGTATCTTTAGGAAGTAAAGATACAGAGCGGTCTTTAAATACCAAAAGACCACATCACCGTCGGACAAGTGCGATGTCGCTAGATAAAACGTCCCAGACGGCCGCATACCCTAAGCATCCAGTGGCTCGCAACGTTGAGCCCAGTCATGACCAACAAATTATGCACCAAGAACAAAAATTGCGTTTAGGTGTGAATAGAGGTCGCTCCTTAGGTCATAGTGAACCCGTCTCCCCCCACTTGACCATCGAAAATACTAATGAACAAATAAGAAGAAACTCGGATGGATATTTTCAAAGTATGGCTTTTTTGAAGACTAGAAGAGGCACTAACAACGCCGGCCCTGTTTTTGCTGGTTTTCCGGAAACAGGTGATGTTTCTCCATCTATAATCGATCTTGATACTATAGAGTTTCAAACGCCTTATGGCGATACAAAAAAAGGTTATTCGTTGTATTCATCATCGTTAAGTCCTTCATCAAAAAATGGGAATCTCGTTCTACTGGACTAGGCTTGATGACGTTCGAATCGGTAGAGGAGAGAGCTGAATCATTGTCTCGCTCTACGGAAAATATATCCAATAAGGACGCTGACGTCCTGAAGAGCGATGATGATGAAATTCTCAGTTTAAAGGAATTTTTACGCACTTATTAATTTAATATCTCACTGAGTGACTGAAAAAGATTGATAGACATTTTTACTGTTTCTGGCCGTGTTTTATATTTTTTCTGTTGTAAGTTGAATTAAAATTTATTATGTTGGATTAATTTCTATTATTTAACTGCTCAAAAGTTACATTTCTCATAAATAGCTAAAGATCTTTTTCATGAGTTCCTTAACGTTCAGTGAATAATCAACTCCCTCTTTCCAAATTATTCTGTCCATCTCCCTGCGTCCAGAATCCAAATCAATCTGTTCCAACTTGTTTATTTTGGAGCCTCTGATCCAGCCATAGCCCACATACAACAAAGCAAATAGAACAACAGTGAGATACGAGGATATGAAATTCTTAGTTTCCCATAAAAAAAAATTCTGGAATCCGTTAAATATTAAAAGCAGAATCGTGGAAACCATTCCAAAGATCGATAGGTAAGGTTGCAAAGGTGATTTATATGGGTATTCTTTCGAGTCACGGGATACAATATCTGGTCGTCTTTTAAGTGCGTAATAAAAGCGTAAAAATGACAAATTCATCCCGAACCACATGATAACACTACCCATTGCGCCGATATTAATGAAAATGACGAAAACGTCGGAGCTATTCATGTTCAGACAAAGTAAGCTCAAAAACCCTAAAACGGCGCAAAACAAAACGGCCATGTAGGGCACTCCATTTTTATTGCACCATGTAAAGACAGCTGGCGCTTTCTGCTGCGTTGCCATAGAATAAAGGGTTCGGCTGGACGCGTAAAGCTGTGAACTTGCAGCCGAGATACCAATTGCAACGAAAACACCGTTCACAAATGATGACAGGGTACACTGTTTGAAGGATTGTAGAGCTATAACCCATGGTGATTGATTAGAATTCTCATTTAAAAACAGCTTCTGGGTCAACATGGTGTTGCAGTTAAGTCCTCCTATGGCATCAATAACACTTTCATATTCCTTGTAGTCTGCAGCCGACATCACACCACTACTTCCTGCGTAGTAGCGCATAAGCCTAGGATCACCAGAATAAAAGTTGAGACCAACTACGAAAATAGAAAGCAGGTAAAAGACAATAACTCTAGTAAAAATACGCTTTGTTACTGAGGGCACAGCTTTTCTTGGATTCTCTGCCTCGCCAGCGGCAACAAAACCTATTTCAGAACCAACATAAGAAAAGACAGATACAAGTGTGGAAGAGATGATGCTCAAAATTACGCCTCCAAAACCAGAAATACCGTTTTTGGCACCATCTCCACGATCCTTCAGGTCAAACGTTGGCCTAAATGGACCAAACGTGACCTCCAAAAAAGGAGATTTTGACTTTTCCCAATATCTGAATCCGATGTAGTCATTATGCAATCCTCCAACATTTAGAACGATCATTAAAATAATCAGTAACACAACTATCAGTAGTTTAAAAGCACTGGCATAATATTCAAATTCTCCGTAAACTCTAACGTCCATCAAATTTACAGAGGTCAGAACAATAACCATGACAGTAATCGTAATGGCCGCAAGAGACTTTCTTGTACCTATTTCGACCAAATTAGGATAGTATGTCAGCATTATAGTAGATGCGATAAGCTCAGAGGGAAATGCTGCCGCATAGGACAGCCAATGGCACCAGCCGACGCTAAAACCAAATGCGTCCCCCACAAATCTTGATGATAAACCGGACATGCCCGTGATGAGTGGAATAAGAGCAACGATCTCTGCAAATGACAACAGGGTAGCCAAAATAATTAGTCCACCAAAAACGTAACCTATGAAGGCTCCCAATGGACCTCCTATTGAAAAGGCCTTACCAGAGTTTAAAAACAACCCAACGCCAATAGTTGCGCCCAGTGATATCATTTGAAGGTGTCGTACTTTAAGTTTTCTTTGAATCGTTACTCGATTATGGAATTTTTTTGGCAATTGCTGATTTTCTTCACTTCCATCAATGAATTCAATTGTCCAGGTAGAGACCGGCTCTATTTCTTCTTGTACTACTGGGGCCTTTTTTTCGTAGCGGTAATCTATAAAATCACATTCTGGGTTACCATCGTCTATGACCGCTGTATGGTTAGAAGGACTCATGAGAATTTGCCTACTGTAGTCTAGAGAGCGCTGACGGGTGTCGCTGCCTCGGCGACGAAATAATGACATAAACGACCTTCTGGAACTACCACGAATCTGTGCTGGAGGTGGTACTTCGTGCGTGTAAATTGTTTGTGCGTTCTCAACCTTAGGTAATTTGATTCCATTATTAGAAAAAACGTTTTCAAGTGTCTCTAAACGTTGTCTCATTCTCGTCTCCCTCTTTAACGTTCTGTCATACTCTTCGAAACTTTCGTATGCCACAGCATTAGTATTCGGCGATGATGTCTTTTGATTGTATAGCCTTGAAAGATAAAACTTATCATTCGACATTTCGTTTTTGTACCCAACAGGCAGCTCATTCACGACCTGCTGGAAGAGAAGTGAATCTATAGAAATGGCATCAACCGGTATATCGATAGCCGCACCGCTCTGATACTCTAGATGAGGAAACAAACCCGGAACAGCTTTATTTCTATTCGCAGAGTACATGTCATTCGCTCCTAATCTTTAATTAGACCAATCAAACCTTGGTTAAACGGAGCTCTATAAAATTATCTTGTCTTTCTTTGAATTCGTCAATTCTCGAAGAGAGATTTATTATAACAGGGAGGCTTTAGATAATATCGTCCCAAGTGATTAATGTTAACGATATTACAAGCGCCATTTGGAGAACGTAAATATTATAGTGACTATTAGAATAACGCTGGGCCGAGAGTAATGGATTGGGCAGTGAGAACTGCTGAACGCAAGACTAGATACATTCAGGGAAGTGCACGGTCAATATTGGAGTCACTCAACAAGTTTAATGAAGTGATAGGTGAGGGTCAGGACAAGATAAGCTCAATTTGCAGTGCGAGCAACGAATGGCTAAGCAATGAAATGAAAAGTCTCAAATACATTGCGGAAGAGGAAGAAGATAAAGCAAGATGCGATAGTTCGGAGGGTAGTATAGCCAACGAAACAAAGCTAGATGACCAAAAAACACCAAAGAGAGAAGGAAACATTATAACGCATGCTACACCTATTTCACTTCCCACAGATGACGCTGATCGCGGCAATAACAGGAGCTTTTCGCGTAAGACTGACGGTGAAGTCGAACTGGAAAGGAAGATATCTAACGAATCTAGCATTACCAAAGAAGCATCTCGAGATAAAACCGACAGGGAGAGAAACAAAACCAGCCTAGAGGAAACGCAAACGCCCCGCCAATTAAAGGCAACGAGTGGAAAAGAGGAGCTTAAGTCATCACCATGGTCTCCTTATAAGGCCGAAAGAACATTTCAAGTGTCGGATTACAATGATCGGAAGATATATGCCACTATAATTTCCGAAGAGAACAACTCTGAGAGGCAAAAGCTAGAAAAGAAGGAGCTCACTCAATCCTCAAGCGAATCGAAAATGCAAACAACAGACCAGAGCCGAGCGAAGCCAACAATCACAAGAGAGAATATGAATACTATAAAAGGAGCTGATGACAAAACTGTTCTCCCTCTCCGAGACCGTTCACAGCGAAGATCGAACATGTTTGTTCCATTACCTAATAAAGATCCTCTAGTTGTCCAACCAGTAAGCAATAACGTTCTTCAAAGTAAAACGCCAATTGCTAACAAGAAGCATCAGGATGGTTATCGTTTGCATAGCTCTATAATATCTCAACCTAATTTTTCACTATCTCTACCAACTGCCAAGGGTAAAACTCCAAAAGATTCAAATAGATCCAATGTTTTTGATAGACTATCATCCATTTCCACAAAATCTTTTGAAAAGAAGTCTCTTTCCAGAAGTCCTATTCGAGAAGGCAGGGTGCGACGCATTGGTAATTCGTTCGCAGATGTAACTGGTTCACCCATTGGACGAAGGTCGCCCAAGGCCACTGGCCACTCAAATCAAAAGATCAAAGAAACGCTTAAAAATATTTTTGATTCTCAAATTCCAAAGTTGACACAATCGTCCACGCCTAAAAGTACAATCAACGAATTACCAAGAGCAGGTATGGAGAGAGTATCGGAAAAACGGAATTCTTTAATACCCAAATTAAGTGGGCGCACTATGGTCTCACCAAGTCCTGATACGATGAAAACAGGAAGAATGGGGAAGGGAGCTGCCTCCATAGTTTCAAGTGTCTCCCGTAATGCCAGCCCGTCTCATCAAGATCAGAAACCATTACCAGAAAAAAATGACATTGAAGAGCATTTAGGGAACTCAAATACTGTTTCTCTTGGCCAGCACGAAACACATGAACCTGTTCCTAACCCGAAATATTCGAGATCCATCAAGGAATCAGGTGTTTTGAGTGGATTGATGAAAAGTGTCGAGGTCATTGAAAGTAACCCTGATGAAAAGCAGTCATCAAGAAAAAGATCGATAGGTTACCAGTTCAATAAGGATGAAAAATCACCTACAAATTTACATAAGGAGAAGGTACGCAGGACGTCTCATGATAGACTTACAAAATTCCAGCTGGTACCACCAGCCGGATCGAAAGATGTCAAGAAAAAGCTTGACAAAAGATTATCAGAGGTTTTAAGAACCCAGAAAGAGCAAGAAAAACGGAAACAGGAGCAGCTGAGGAGAAAGACACAGCTCGACGAAGATTTGAAGAAGCGTAGGACCAGACAAATGCACGATGGTAGCGATTTCTCTAGAATCAATCGCCTCCCACAGCCGTCAAATTCCGTCAGTGACAACTTTTTTAGTAACCTTACTCGAAACACACTGCTTTACGATCTAAACTCAACTGACCATCGGGAGATTATTGGTCATAATGGTGGAGAAGAAAGCGCCATTGGAGATCAAACACTGCCCGATATCGATTCCGATTCCGAATGTGAAGAAGACAAGATTCTAGCTACATGGGCTCAGGCACCATATCTTCAAGAACAATTATTGGCCCAGCAGGACTGGAATCCTGAAGCCATATTTGGTTCTATCCCTCCCTTGCATATAGATGAAGTCTTTCAGAATTCAAGACTATCGAAACTAAAGTCACGCCAATCTCTCGCGAGAATCAACGTAGTTGAAACGGCAGATACCAGAAAAGAGTAGCTTGCTTTCTAACAGAGATGTTCATCATTTCGCTAACACTAACTACATATATTTTATCATAATCAGCATTACTTAATTACAAGTCCATCCTTTTGTTAATTCTTGAGGCGTCTTTCCAGTGCCTCGTTTTTATCCCATTTTTCTAACCATTGCGTACTCTCCGACTTGGGTACCATGTATACCCTGAGTGCCTTATCAAACAGAGGCACATTTGGCTTTTCAAGCTTTAGAACATCATGGAAGCTGACCTTTTTACCGACTTTCGTTAAACCTCCACTTTCGGTTTCCATGTAACAGATGAGGTTCTTTGGGGTGAAGCTACGGTGGTTTTCTTGTTCGAACCACTCCTGTGGTCGTTGCAAAACAATATCCACGAGATCTCCGGGTGTGCTCAATTCTCCCACCGATGCAACAAAATCTATTTCGTCAATAGTAGGGTAAACTATTACTGAGGGGAAAATCAATTGCGACTCGATGTCTTCATCATTTTCTAGGTATAGCTTGGTTTGCTCTAAGAATTCAGGGGGACTTGAAGTGCTCACCAAGGTGTAGTTACGCAAAATAAGAGCGGCATCGAGAAGTGCTTGTTTCTTTTCCTTTTCCTTGAGCTCAGCCAATCTCTTCGCTTCTTGAGCAAGAAGATCTTCCTTTGTCTTTACAATCTGAGCTAGCAGCGATTTTAAGGATGCATTAGAAGAATCAAACTTCAGCCCAAAATTTACTGCTTCCTCTGCGTCATCTAGTTTAGACAAAGCAAAGAAAGCTTTACCCATCCTGAAGTAACATTTAATATTCTTCGGCCCATGTTGTAAGGCGTGCTTGCAGTCGTTGATGCAACGTCTGTAGTTTTTAAGCTCCAATTCACAGGCAGCACGATTTGAATAGAGCGCTTCATTGATTTTTGCAACATCACATTTGATTTCCAATCCTTTATTATACATTTCCCTTGCTTCTTTGTACCTCTTAGCCTTGTACAGATCATTGCCCTGGTTTTTGAAGTTTTCCGCAATCTCGTGAGGCTCCCCTTCGTAAGCCAAAGCCTTTAAAGCCTCAAGCTCCAAGTTGTTTCCCCCATCTCCATCTGTGTCATCCAATTTGGTCATGAAAAAAGGCATTCTATTCAACTCTTCGATTACTTCATCGGTATTCTTATTTTGAAACTCTGTCAGTTGAGGTGGCAGTTCAGGGTCACCAGGCCCTGGCACATATTTCTTAGGCTTCTCATAGTTTTGTGGCATAGTAAGCTTCACAAATATTTTCTTGTATCTATATGAAAATAACTAATGTCGGTAATACTCCAAAGAAAGTCTTTCTTCAAAGTTTGTTAAAATGAAGCTCATCGCGATGAGCCAGAAAAAAATTTTCAAAAGTCATTTATGACGTAGTTGTTACAATGATGGAACTCAGACTATATGATCCAATCAGCCTACTGGAATTGGTCCCAACCCTCTGGCTTTTTGAGGTTATTAACCTCGAAATATTTGTTACCGCACGAATAGCCTTGGAAAGTGAAGTCATTTTCCTGATCACACGTGCATTTTCCTTTTTCGAAGATGGCTTTGTCTAGAGGACAGTTGTTATAAGGAGGGTGGTAGTATCCGATATCTGGGAAGTAGTGGATCTTATCCCTTGGTAAAAAGAGAGCTGCCGCAATTGAATGAACGGGCGCGTCTCCCCAACGCTCGTAGAAGAAACCGCCATTTTTGTCCAAATAATCAAAATACTTTCTGTATGCATCAGATCTCCAAAAGTTCATGTTTGCCACTTCGAAGTTTGACCAAAAGTGACATAGATTATACGTTTTCCCGCCATCATCAGAGATAAAGTCCTTCATATTATCTTTGTTCTCATATTGAGGGTATTCTTTCAAAAATTCGAGGGTAGTATCCCATAACGTCTCAATAGTGACTTTATATTCGTGAATTGAGATCGTAAAACCATAAACTTTGTCGTTGTCCTCCATCCACTTGAAAACGTCATAATCCACATCACAGTGCAGTTTGATATCGGGTTCCACTCTCCAATACCACTCATACTTTTCCATCAATGGGTGTCTCCAGAAAAAGCCAGACTCAAATCTGCACATATGCCTGTAACTTTCTAGGCCACCGTAGATGACACCATCTTCTTCAAGTTTTTTACGTGCCTCGGCCGCTTTTTTCTGGTCTATCCATTCTGGATATGACCAATGCTCTTCTGGAATGAGTCCAAATTCAGCTTCACCGCTGACAGCAGCGGAAATTGTGTCCTTGAACTCTTTTGTGAACTCCTCATTATTCAAAAAAACCCAGGGATAATGAAACTTGCTGTTGAAACGCTCCTCCACATTCTTAATGGATTCCAACATGGCATGTAGATCATGATTCCGAACCAAAGTAACAAATGTGGCGTTAGCAAGCTTGGGACCAACTGTGCTGTGGGATGCATCGTCAGCATAAGAAAGTAGCTTCTTTGCCTCATCGTCAAGCACTTCGTCTACCTTACCTTCCTCTTGAGCTTTTTCAGCCTCCATACGCTGTTTCTCTTCCTCCTTTGCAGCTTTGCTACTAACTACTTCGGGCTGGAGACCAACGTACTGCGCCATGTTTGACGCCTGAGCGGACACGTAATCATTGATCGCTGCCACGCTCTCGTTGTTCGAGAAGGTTAGGCTGAAAAAAACTAATGAGCCAACAACCAGCACAAGGAGCCGGAGGATCCTCTTACTTACGCGAATGGCCATCGGTTGAATGTGAGCAATACGAGTGCAAGGGTAAGGACAGAGTTGAGGTCCAGACCCACATTTTTTTCTTTCAAGTAACGCGCGAAATAGTTTCGTTATCGTTTCATACGTAGATCAGTCGCTTCCCAAATAGTGATAAAGACGTGAGAAAGCCACAAGTGAGCACCAAAAGAGTCAAATATCGGTATGATATGCGCAATTCAGATTGAGGTACAATATTCGGACTAATAAGGCTGTATGCATCCATCCATATATCGCATAGAGCTTGTAAGTATTCCAGGAAAGAATAAATAGTGTTGACATTATTGGCATACCGAGAATATTGAGTATTGAAAATATTTAGGTCCGTATAAATCTTTCCCAGCCGTCTGGTTTAGTCATTTTGTTAACCTCAAAGTACTTGTTACCACACGAATAGCCTTGGAACGTAAAGTCATAATCTTGATTACAATTGCATTTGCCTTTTTCATAAACTTCACTGTCAATGGGACAATTATTAAATGGATTGTGGAAGTAACCAATGTCTTCGAAATAGTGGATTTTATCCTTGGGGAGGAAGAGCGCCGCTGCGATCGAATGTACTGGAGCGTCTCCCCAACGCTCGTAGAAGAAGCCACCGGCATGATCCAAATGGTCAAAATAAGCCCTGTAGGCTTCAGATCTCCAGAAATTGAGACTTGCAATTTCGAAGTTGGACCAGAAGTGACACAAGTTGTAGCTTTTGCCCTTATCGTCAGATATGAAGGCCCTCATATTGTTCTTGTCGACATACTCCGGGTGCTCTTTGATGAACTCTTTGGTCGTCTTCCATAAGGTAGGAATGGTTTCTTTGTATTCGTGAATTGAAATAGTGAAACCATATTCTTTGTCGTTATCCCGCATCCATTGGAAAACATCGTAGTCAATGTCACAGTGGAGTTTGATGTCTGGCTCAACTCTCCAATACCAATCATAGTTATCCAATAACGGATGTCTCCAGAAAAACCCGGATTCATACCTACACATATGCCTGTAGCTCTCGGACCCACCGTAAATGATGTTGTCTTTGGCCATTTGTTCACGTGCGGCGGCGGCCTTTTCCTGGTTTATCCAGTCTGGATACGACCAGTGCTCCTCAGGGATTATGCCAAACTCGACATCTCCGCTAATGAGCTCTTTCACGACGGATTTGAATTCCTCTGTAAAAGGCTCATCATTTAGGAAGACCCAAGGGTAGTGGAACTTACTGTTGAAACGATCCTCAACTTGCCGAATAGAATTAGACATTTGCGCAAGTTCGCTGTTTCTCACCAACGTTACGAACGTAGCTCGGACCTTAGAGTTGTCCTCGAGAAGTTTCCTGGCTTCCTCGCTCATGGGATCCTCCTGGGATATTCCCTGCTCTGCAGCATGCTCAGCATCCAGCCGCTCTTTCTCTTCCTCTTTAGCAGCCTCTCCCTCCACTTTGTCCTCCTGGATGCCGGCTACACTGGCAATTCCTGTTTTGACGCTATCAACGATGTAATGGTTAACGGATGTTGTGCCCTCATGTTTAACAAAAGTCAGGCCTAACCACAGAAGCACCAATCCTGCCAGCGCAGAGAACCTAATAATTCTTTTGCTCACCCGAAATCCCATGACTTTTGCCGAGAACTTGTCTTCTTGACCTTTGCGTGGGACGTTTAGGTGTGGTTTATATATATAATTATGAGTATTCTAAAAACGGGTTTTAATTTTTCACACCCACGCTTAAAAATCTCTTTTCACGTTGCCATGAAAACCAACGACGCGAAATTCTGCAATGTATGATGACAAAATACTAGCTTAAAAATAGTGTAAGAAATTATGTAATTACGAATTGATTAGACAGGTACAACTAGTTTTGCCTACGCTTGTGATTTCACAGTTATAGATGCACGAGAGGATTAAACGTAATCATCGTCCTGGCCGGGGTTACAGGTCGTGTAGTCGAGGATCTTCAAAATCTTCCAAATAGAGAAGGCGCAAAGGGCACCCAAAGCAGGCCCAACCCAGTAAATCCAGTGATAAACAGGGAAGCTTCTAGCAGCAACGGCTGGACCAAAAGAACGGGCAGGGTTGAGACCAGCACCGGTGTAGTAGACACAGACGAGATGTCCGATGAACAAGGAAATGCCGATGGCCATTGGGGCCATTGGAGTGGCACGGTGTTTTTCGACGGCCATCATGAGAACGGTGAGACAAAGGATGGTGGTTCCAAACATCTCGATGAACAAACCTCTGGACTTGGAGCAGCCACCGCCGAGAGCGTTGGCAAACTTGATTTCGCCCGGGGTCATCGCGGATGCGGCTCCCGCAGCAGCCATACCAGCGACCATCTGAGCGATCCACATAATAACGGCCCTCACAGGTGGGATGGCACGAGCCAAAAGCAGAGCGAGCGTGACAGCAGGGTTGAGGTTACCACCAGACACACGGAAAAAGCAGAAAACAGAGAACATGACGGAAAATCCGAAACCAAACGAGATCATGATCAGTTGAGATGGGTGAGACCCGGGGGACGCAACTGCGGTGTCCTCGTTGGCGATTTGCGCGATAACAAAAGCACACCACAGGAAGATGAAGGTACCGCAGAATTCACCCATGGCTGCGATGAAATGGTTACGCACGGCGTCGGACCCGAAACCGTAACGCGCGTACTCTGGCACGAAAGGAGCATCGTAGTCGGCCTGTGGAGTTGGTACCTCGGTCTGCTCAGGACGCGACTGCGGCTCGTCACGTAGCGTCTGTTCTTCACGTTCGCTCTTGGGTTCTTGGGACATGGCTGAGTTTTGGTACAGAGTTTGTTACAGAAAGGAGGAAACAAGCACGACTCCAGCGCTCGTCGATGACACAGCTATTTATACCCAGCACCCGGCCCTCTCTACCAGCAACTCCGGCTCTATGTGCACCATCGGCCGCAAACTACTTTTTTAGCGTACACCCTGGGTACCACGGCTTGGCCTACATTCTAGCCCGCGATTTGCCCTGCACTCTGACCCTCAGCTGAGATGCCCTAAGAATGTGCAATCATTGGCCAATACCTCCGCAGCCACTACCGCGATCGGCCTAGAGCAACCTAAAGTTTTCTTATAGAACACTTTTCCCCACGGACCCGTGTATGCGGCAAGAATCTATTTTTTTTTTTTTTGTGCATAGAACCTCATTTTCCTGTATCAACTGAATTCCACAGGTCCCACCGGCCCCTCCAGCCCCTCTCATCCTTTAATTGCTTGCGCAAGCGCAGAAGCTAAGCGATGTGCAATGTGCGCCCGTTCAGCCAGTACCTTCTCATCACACGCCTGCAGCTCTATGCAGTATTCCTGCAAATCCCTGGAGAGAATGAACTGCATGTATGGAATTCCTTCGGGGAATGGACAGAAAAAAGAACCGCTTAACTAAGACGGCATCTGAGAAGCTGCACGCCCGTGCCGCCGAATTGCCGTTTTGGTGAAATGAGGCCCAGGTAGGAGATGGAAAACCGAGTAAATACGAGTGCCTAGGTGGGAATTTCAGAAGGTCTGGGTTAAGATGGGCGCGTTTGGAAACCGCGGTGTTAGGGCGTTGGCGTTTGGCTGAGTGGTGCACGGATGGCGGATTAAGGCGGCGTTACTGCGGGGAAATGCGTCTCATTGGGGTACGGATGTTGGGCGGAGATCGGATGTCAGGGTGTTCGCGACATGCACCCGTGCACCTGTGGCCATCGGTCCTGGCACCCCTTTTCGCCGGCGTCCTCCCGTCCTCGCTCTCAGTTGCCAGTTGCTGCTGCTGTCACGTGGCCGTCGCTGGAGCGTGGGCCACGTGACCCTGTATTCCCTCCCCTTCCCTCATCAACATCGCGCGGTTCTGTCACAACGAGGTCCCAAATCAACCAGCACAACATACTCCCGTTCCCTCGATCCTCACCACATGCAATCGCTGAATAGAAAACAGAGCCGGCTGCTGCAGCTTCTGGGCACCAAGCACGTCAGAGACACGCTAGAAGACCCGCAAACGCGTGCCGTCGCCGTTTCGTTCACAGTTCAACATCTCATCAAGCACCATCGCACGGATGCCCCCATTTTCCACTACTATCGCTTGAATGACGGCTGCGAGACGTGGTGTCCGTGACACCGCACGCCTACAGGTCGCTGCGGGTAGGCTACCAGAGCTCTACTGGGACGCCATCCTGCTCGCCGAAAGCGAGTTCCTCGTGGAGGGCCACGCCGACTACGGAGCATTCCAGCGGCACGTGGTCGCCAAGGTCGGGCAGGCGATCACTATCAACGACAGAGCGCTCAAGCCCCAGCGCACGCACTTGGCGCCCGGTGCTTCGCCGGGAACGCTCTGGCGCCACATCGGCGCCGTTTACTCCCTCATTTACTATCCGGACTGGTTCCCCGCGCCTCTGTGGTGCAAATGCAATCTGACCCACCTCCAGGTCACACTCCCGTACGACATATCACGTGTGGCCAAACCGCTGTTGATGTCTTTGCTAGAGTATGCATCCACTCTCAACTTGGTATGGTTGCGGCTCTATGTGCGACGAGATGTGGTAGGTATCAAAGCTTTGCTGCGCAACCTAAACTGGCTGGGAGGCCATATCGTCCCGAACGAGGACCGTGCGCGTGCCCTCGATACCCTCAGCCTTGTGGAAGGTGCCATGTTTGCCGACGACAAGTACATTGTTCTGGAATTCGAGTGCTGACGGATGGACAAGGTCCTGTCTTAATTAGAAGCCATGTGTCTCATGTACGCATCTACGAACGACATCTTACGGGGGTTTTTGGATCGCGTGCAAAACCAAGCACATTTGTCCCTCAGCCCTCACCACTTGGGAGCTCAAACGCCATCAGGCATACACGAACTATGTCCTACAACGGCATTGGTCTCAAGACAGCCAAGGGGTCTTCGACCTCGGGCCATATTCAACAGTCTCTTGCGCATAACAACGAGGGCAAGAACATGCGAAACTTCCTCAGTCGTGTAGAAAAGAAGAACAAGCCTCACAAAAGGGCACCGCCTCGTAAGCAAGAGAGTATGATACTACATTTGAGCAAACGTGAAATAGAGCTTAGAGTCTCTGAGTACAGGGACCGTCTAGAGGACGATGACACTTTAACTGACGACGTGATTGATTCTCGTTGCATTGAGTACCGGAAAAAACTGCTCTTGGAGCAGGAACAAAGTAAAAAGGACGAACGACTGCGAACCGCTTACGTGTCGCGAAAGGCGCGGGACTGCCGGGAGCACGCCAGCGACCAGGAAGAGCGCAACGGCGACCGAAAGAGCGGAGCGAGAAACTTCAAGAGCACAAGAGAGGACCTTAACAGCTCCTAAAACCCAGGAAAAACCACTTGCTAATCACGACAAAAGGCGATCCACCGTGGAATTGCTGGCTCATGAATGGCGGAGTTTTTAACCCGTTGTCGTCCTGCAATCCTTCCCACATCTGTAAGCTCTCTGATCCCGCTCTGCCGTCCATTTGCCGCTGGAATCATCCTTCGGCTTCACATGTAAAACCTTGCCACCATATAGGTAACATATTGTTCTATCCCCTTAATAAACGATCGATCTTCTCTTTTAACATGGAGTTGCCGCTATTCTAGCACCCTGTACCGTACATATTTTTCATGTGCAGCTTACAAGCCGAGAAAAATCTCACGCGAAATCTTACTCATCACGAACAACAGACTGATAACCCGTCAACAAACCTATCTCTTGCTCATTGATATGTTCCACCTGGCGAAAGGGCTGTACTCCAATTGGAATCGCAAAGAGCAGTACTCTATACTAATATTGGGACTCGATAATGCGGGGAAAACGACGTACCTTGAAACACTGAAAAAAGAGTACTCTAGGAGTTTCAAGCCTCCTGAAAAGATTACACCAACTGTTGGTCAAAACGTCGCTACAATCCCCATCCAGGATTGCATTTTAAAATTCTGGGATGTGGGAGGGCAAGAAACCCTACGATCTCTCTGGGCAGAATACTATGCACAGGCACACGGTATCATATTTGTGGTTGATAGCACAGATCGGACTAGGCTAGATGAGTGTCGCGAAACTTTACGCACTGTAGTAACTGACGATGAGATCGACGGAATTCCCGTGCTCATGCTTGCCAACAAACAGGACCGCGAGGATCGCATGGAGGTACAAGACATAAAAGAGGTATTCAACAAGATCGCTGAGCACCTAGGTGCTCGTGACAGTAGGGTTCTGCCGATTAGCGCTCTCAATGGACAAGGTGTCAAAGAGTCGGCAGAATGGTTGCTTGTGAGGTTAAAAAGAAATAAAGCCAGCAAACCACCGTTGTATAAATGAACCTCCTGTAACAAACCAAACTAAATTCAAAATAAAGCTTCACGAAAAATCATCAAACCTCCCATATAGGAATAAACGAGAGCCATATAATTTAATCCCAACTAGCAGTTTACATATGTTACCGAGGTGAGCATATCATCTGCTCCGTAAATAGCGACTACATCAAAGTCACAAGGCAATATAAGAGTCGTGAGTCTTATTGCAGCACATGTTGTAAATAGGTTCCATCCCTATCGCTAATGGCCACAGAAAACACGAGGTTACTGGGTCGCCAGACATCCAAGAAAAGATGGTCGTCTTCAAAGCCGGCCAGACAACTTCTTATTGCAATTCTGATTGTGCTTTTACTGGTGCAGTCAGTGTTCCTATTTAAGCCGGTACTGCAGAAACATAGCGCCCCTGCGAAAAAACGGAACGTGATCTTCTTCGTCACAGATGGTATGGGCCCTGCTTCCCTATCATTGACAAGGTCTTATCGTCAATACATCGAAAAGCTACCCATCGATGATGTGTTAACATTGGACCACCATCTCATTGGCTCTTCCAGAACAAGATCCTCGAACTCCCTCGTCACAGATTCTGCTGCAGGTGCCACTGCATTTTCCTGTGCACTCAAAAGCTACAATGGTGCAATTGGAGTTGACCCTGATAAACAGCCTTGCGGTACTTTGCTAGAAGCAGCAAAGTTGGAAGGCTATCTGACGGGTCTCGTGGTAACCACGAGAATCACAGATGCTACTCCCGCCTCCTTTAGCGCACATACGGACTACAGATTTCAAGAGGACTTGATTGCAGAGCATCAACTCGGAGAATACCCACTGGGTCGTATGGTCGATCTCATGATAGGGGGTGGAAGAACTCATTTTTACTCTGGATCCGACAGTCAGTACGGTTCTCGCGGTACTCGTGCTGACGGCCGTAACCTCATAAAAGAAGCCGAGAAGAATGGATGGTCTTACGCTGGTAACCGTCAACAGTTTGATCAATTGCAATTAGGTCGTAACGTTACTTTACCTCTACTATCATTATTGGCAGACTATGACATTCCCTTTGACATCGATAGAGACGACTCCGAATATCCATCTTTGGAAGAAGAAGCCATCACTGCAGTTACAGCCCTGAGCGATGCCACAAGAAACTCAGACAAAGGATTCTTTTTAATGATCGAGGGTTCTAGAATTGATCATGCTGGTCATCAAAATGACCCTGCTGCTCAAGTCCGTGAAGTTATCGCCTTTGACAAGGCTTTCAAGGCAGTTAAAAAGTTTGCGGACAACAGTGACGTTGAAACTATCTTGATCTCTACATCTGATCACGAAACAGGCGGACTTGTAACTGCCAAACAAATTGGAAAGGACTATCCAGAATATGCGTGGTATCCCGAGTTCTTAGACAATGCCAAACACTCAGGTGAATATTTAGGCAAGCAGCTTGTTGCTTATAAGGGCAATGATAAGCGTTCTTTTATTGAAAAGGAAATTTTTGAAAAAGGACAAGGAATTCAAGACTACTCTCCAGAAGATGTTGACGAATTGATGAAGCTATCGCAAGGCGGTGATATAAATGATAAGTTAAACGGCATGGTTTCAGACCGTGCTCAAGTTGGATGGACAACGCACGGGCACAGTGCTGTAGATGTCAATATATATGCTTACGCCAACCGGAGAGAAACGTGGATTCGAATTTTGGATAGACTGCAGGGTAACCACGAAAATATTGAAATTGGCAAATTTATGGCCGAATATTTGGAAGCAGATCTTACACAAGTGACTGAAATGGTCAAAAAGACGAAGCATTCGCCAAAGGGAGTTATTTCCGAAAGTATATCAGATGAGTATGGTCACATTCTTACTCCTCCTTTAAACTAGTTTATTTATGATTATCTAGCAATTCTTAATAACATCAGAAGGTTATATTTTTTAATGATATAATTATTCGAATAGAGATAAAAAGTATAGAACAAGCTTATAAAATATACATTTAAATTTTCTATTCCTCAATGTGGTAAACTAAATAGTTTGGCAAACCGAACACTTCGTAATTTAGTCTTTTGGCCATTTTAGCGAAACCTTCCGTTTCAATCAAGTGATAGAATGGGAAATTGGGGAACATGGCACCGTCTCTATGTACTTCAGCCTTGACCAACGTACAACCACCTCCAACACCATCCAATGCCAGTTCATTGGTTGGAGATCCACTAGGATCATGAATCATGGCCATTAGAAGCCTATAAGTGGCTAGCTCGGGGTATCCCTCCACAATGATTTCATCTTCACTCATTTGAGCTGCCATCTGCAGAGCAGTATCACTTTCTTGCCAGTTATTGTAGTCATATGGTCTGATGGAATTTTTCTTGGCTTCTTCGTCAAAGAAACGTTGGAACACGTTAGCAGCCAAAACAGGCTTATTATGAGCGGTCATGTCCTGAATAACCGTTGGAGGAGTTTCAATGATATCCGCATCCAACCACAGAACCCACGAAGTATATGGGCCTATGGTCGAGAAAAGCAGCTCATTTCTAGCCAATGCCATTGCAGCACGCCTTTCCTTTTGAACTTTTAGCTCGTGCCTTTCCTTTTCTTGTAGCTTGTCAAAACTTTGTGAATCTTGTCTCAAGATGGTAATCTTGGAAAATCTTTGCTCTTTCTTACCCGTCTGAACCTTCTTTACTGCCGCCTCTAGGCTGCGGAGAGCAATGTCACCAGTGGTAGTGCGCGGAATGATAAACCCGAGCTCAAGGTTTTCACGAGGGTATGTCAGTTGAAGTAAATTATCCCAGTACTTTTGATGAAAAGTTTGCATGGGAGTCAAAATGAGAACCTGCTCCTTGTTAACAGCAGCGTTAGCAGTAGATTCCAATTTGTTCAAATCGTAATGCGCAATACGGCCCGCTGGAATGATGTCTTCGACCTTGTCATTGAAAAGCCAGTTCGATTTCTTCTTGTATGAGTATTTAGGAACTGTGAACTTGTGAGCATATGGGAAGTAAAATGTCTTCTCCTTTTCGTGCGCCCACTTGTGCTTAGCGATTGATTCACCATCCTGGCCTAGTAACGATTCTTCCTTGGAGAATAACAGTAAGTATACGACAAAAACGAAAGTCAAAGGGATTAGCAGAGCAAGCACTGGCGTCCTTTTCAGACGATAAGACCACATGGCTAATGACATGCTTGGACGCGGAACTGTCTTGTCTTAAACAAACACGATATTGTTTAGCATTTGGCGTTTTTGATCGAGGCGAAAAAAGAATACTTGAAACTGCGCAGCATAGGAGCAGGATTGTACCCGTCAATAATGATCAACGCAACAAGAGTGCTTTTCGCTAAAATGGTGTTAGTGATATTTATGGTTACATTGCAAGCAATCGAAGTATATATCGTATGCCTCACGATTCATTCTTGTATCAACGCTTGTGCATCATCCCAAACTTTGTCGCAAATACTCATAAACATTTTTTTGTCAGTATTGCGCTCTAGCATGGGAAATTGAAAGGCAAAAGAATCGTGCAAGAGCCTGATTTCGCCGTACATCACAGATGCCGCTTTAGGCTCTGCAATTGTGCCCGCAGGCATAGGGGTAGGCTGTGCACCCTCTTCAATGGCGAGGTCCACGTCTTCAGTGTCATCTTGTTCGCTTTTGTGGGATGCTGTGGACCTAGTGTCAACAGCGCTGCTGTCTTCGCCGGAAACTCTCGATCTCAGACCGAAGAACTCTTCTCTTGCACTTTTGGGCTGGTTCCGTAGCGGTGCCCATCGACTACTATTATTACAAAATACGTCGCGGGTACCCACACTCTGATTTTGATTCATAAAAGCTTCGAAATCACGCTGCAGTGATGGCTGCGCCGGAATCTGGCGCGGAGGTGCTGCTGAAGCTACCATTGGATATGGAACAGACGCATACATTCCAGGAGCATAGGAGCCAGGTGCGTAAGCACCGGGTGGATAACCCATTGCGGTTGCAGGCATAGGGTAGAAGGCGTAAGGTGCGTAGGGCCCTCCGAAAGCTGGCTGTGCGCCCAGTTTTGCCCGCTTCCTGCCATCCGGCTGTCGACCAAGGTACTGCACCCTACAGGACGCGCGTGTATGCTGAGTGACGTTCGCAGGAGCGCTTTGTGCACCACTCAAGCGTAGGCTTGCTTTGATTCGCGCTGCGCCTGCCCCGCTGGCAGGCGCGATTTTGAGCGGCGGCGGAACACGAGAACGTTTCAACGAGCTACCTGCACCTTGCTCTTTACAATGATCCATTGCACTACCTGGAATAATTTCTGCAGCAGTTTCTTCCCTTTTACCTGCAGCGCCGTTCACTGCGTTGTTCGCAGTAGTGTCCTCATTAGGACCTGCTCCACCATCTGTTGGGACGCATTCAGCTTTGGTTTCTTCGTCTGATTCTTCAGCGCGGCCACAACCCATCATCTGAATGGCCTGTTTCTGTTTCCGTGCAATGGTTTTTGACTGTTGGATCGCCGTCAACATTCGTTCATCCATCTTTCCACTTGAAAATCCTGGAGAAATACACTGCAAACCCAAGTTCCGCAGTCTTTGCTTCTCTTTATCGTCCTGGTCACTCACCTCTAAGCTATTAGGAATACTCATGCCCAATTAGCCAGTGCCACTCGATCACAGCCTGATTCAAATACAAACTTCGATGCAAATTGATTGACATATCCTTGTTTAGGAATTTTATCGAGCATGGAGCACTTTGAACGAATGCCAAGTGTAACACATTGTAACACCATCTGTAACAGTCAAATGGGGTGATAAATTTGGTGTGGCAAGCTTGTAAGTTGTCAATTGGATACGTGTACGGAAAATACAGTCCTCACAAGGGGTTCATGGATTATTCCTTCCGATGAGTGTTGGCAGTGACAAGAAGCAGACTTACAGAGAGAAAACATGTGGGGAAGGAAGATCCTACAAAAAGAACAGGTTGTGCGCTAGAATTCAAATGAGCAAAAGTGCGAAATTCCATATCTTTTATGGGCTAATTGAGAGTGTGCAATTAGGGAAACTTATCTCACACAATCATATGAAGGTTTGAGCCGTAGGTTGGGTGGCATGACTTAAAAAAATTTTTGAAGGAACTAAACGTGCTTTCTTCCTAAGACAAGGTATAAGAGATCATGTCTCAAGGTACACTATACGCTAACTTCAGAATCAGAACACTTGTTCCTCAAGCCATTGTCAAGTATCTCGGTCTTGACGTGAAGATTGTGGCTCCAGAGGATGCTGAGAAGGAATTTTCCAGAGATTTCCCCTTGAAGAAGGTACCCACTTTTGCAGGACCCCACGGCTACAAATTGATGGAGGTGATCGCCATTATGTGGTACCTAGTGAACCTCTCGGAGGATGAGCAAGCCAAAGCGCAACTCTTGGGTGCTAACAACGCCGAGACTGCGCAAATACTTAAATGGATATCTCTCTCCAACTCAGAACTCTGCGTGCAGCTTGTCAAGGTATTTGCCCCTCTGTTAGGTAATGCACCATACATCAAGAAGGATGTCGATGCTGCATCTATTCAGGTCGATAAGTTGGTGGCCTTGTACGAGGAGAGGCTCAGAGATTACACCTACTTGGCTACTGAGGAGATATCTTTGGCTGATCTTTTCTCTGCAGCAATCTTTACGCGTGGTTTCAATTACGTGTTTGGCAGTGAGTGGATTTCCAAGCATCCAGTGATTTTGAGATGGTTCCGTACCGTGATAGCATCCCCAATTTTGAAAGACTTCTACAATGACTTCAAATTCATCGAAAAACCTTTGGCCCCTCCTCAACCTAAGAAGAAGAAGGAAACTCAAAAGCCTCAAAAAAAGAAGGAAGAGCCAGCCCAGGTTGCTGAGGCCCCAGCTGAAACTCCCAAGAAGCCAAAACATCCACTAGAGCTTTTGGGAAAATCCACCTTTGTCTTGGACGAGTGGAAAAGAACCTATTCTAATGAGGACACCAGACCAGTTGCCTTGCCATGGTTTTGGAAGCATTACAACCCAGAGGAATATTCCATTTGGAGAGTGGATTACAAATACAATGATGAATTGACCTTGACTTTTATGTCGAATAACTTGGTAGGCGGTTTTTTCAACAGATTGTCTGCTTCTACCAAATATATGTTTGGTTGTTTGGTGGTGTATGGTGAAAATAACGACAATGGTATCATTGGTGCTGTCATGGTTAGAGGTCAAGACTATGTCCCAGCCTTTGACGTAGCTCCAGACTGGGAGTCTTACAAGTACACCAAGTTGGATCCATCTAACGAAGAAGATAAGGAGTTCGTCAACAACATGTGGGCTTGGGACAAACCCGTCATTGTTGATGGAAAGCCAAGAGAGATTGCGGATGGTAAGGTCTTGAAATGATCTCTTCTATGGCAACAATTTTTGTATGAGTGGTTTATCTGTAGTTTTACACATTTGTTATGTATGCCCCTTCCTGGAAGGAACTTGAGTAAAGAGCTCCAATTGAATCTGAGATTTCTGATGTTAGAGTCATATCATGTTGGAATCAATTCACAAAATTTCATCTCCGCCACTTTCGATATTTCGCATCATTTGAATAAGGAGATCATTACTGTAGCATTAGAGAAGCAACACGAGAATCTCGCTACTCCAATTAACAACACCGATGGTTGTTCTTCATGCTGTTATCAGTGTTGTTGCACGATTGCATGATCGTCGGAATTTGTCCCGATTGCGGTGATATCGGAATTCTTATCCTTATCTAGGGAAGGCTGCCCGTAAGCGACAGAGACGACACTTATAATGATGAGGATAGTTCATCTCTCGAAAGATTCTGTTCTGTAACCAAGCTGATGATTGGTATAATCGCCGTTCCTATTGTTTTTCTGATATACAACTATGTTATTTATCCACTTTTTTTCAATCCGCTGATAAGGCAAGGTATCCCAGGACCACTACACTATAAGTTATCCAGTTTCTTCATTTTGAATGACTCACGATTGGAAAAGCGGAATGCACTATTGCAGAAGCTCCATCTCAAGTATGGGCCTGTCGTGATGATCGGTCCCAATGAAGTATCACTGAATACAGTTGACCTAATGAAGAAAGTGTACTTGGGTAATTATCCCAAAGAATTCGAGAAGAAAGGAAAGACGGTACTCGGATTCTACTCTCAATTTGGAAATTTCGGGCAACGTAACATGTTCAGCACAGGTGATTCCAAAACACACATTTTACGCAAGCGCCCGCTACAGAAGATATACTCGAAGAGCTCAATTTTAGGAGCACAAGAATTTATCAAAGCAAAGGTCTCAAATATTACTAAGAAAATTGATCAGTTAGGCCCAGATGTCAATGTGGACGTCTATTCATTATTTATATCAATGGCAATGGATGTGGTAAGCGGTTTCGAATATGGTACCAAATTTGCAACGGACTTTGTAGAGAAGTTGCCCCATACATCCAAAACTTTGGAGGTGGAGGGTAGCATCTTCAATTCCTTCAGAAACAGCAGCTCGATGTGGTTTTATACTACATTATTGCCTTCATTATGGACACCAGTGGCACGGTGGTGTGGAATCGAGGAATCCGTTGGCTATGCGCAGGACTGGATCTATGCAAAGTTTTGTGATGCAATGGACGCCCTTGTCTCAGGAGATGACGCGAGCGACCCTGACTATCCAGTTCCGAATGTTATTTCAACAATGTGGGACGGGCTACGTGATAAATCCAAGCAGAGTGTACAAGGGACGTTACCACCGAACAGGAATCGCGGGCACTCGTATCAAGTGGAGGGCATTCCATCGTCCCAGATTAACAGCATTGCGAGTGAAATTGCAGATCATGTGGCTGCAGGGCATGAAACTACCGGGATTACACTTGCTTACATCACATGGGAGTTGTCTAGACCTGCCAACGCCCATTGGCAACAAAAATTGAGACAAGAGGTGGCAGGTATTGACGATCTTTCTGAACTCGACAAATTACCAATTTTGCATGCTATTGTACAGGAAGCTCTTCGACTCCATGCTGCAATCCCAGGAAGCGAGCCACGGTTTGTTCCACCTGGAAAATCACTAGATGTGACTGTAGCCGGACGCAGCAAAATCATTCCGGAGGGTACCATGGTTTCGTGTCAACCCTTTTCATTGCATCTGCTTCCTGTCTTTGGTTCAGATGTATACAAATTCCGGCCAGAAAGGTGGCTGCAGGACGAGAATGAGACACCCGAACAGTACAATCAACGGATTCACCGCATAAATGGCAGTATGTTCGTGTTTGGACAGGGCAATCGTATGTGTCTGGGTATGCATTTGGCACAGTGCGAAATGAAGATGTGTCTTGCGGAAATATACTCCAAGTTCAAGACCAAAGTGAGTCCAGACTGGTGCTCCAAAGTCGTACAGGACAACAGCGACGTTAAAACAGGCTATTCTGAGCTTCCCATGAGATACAAATCGAGTGGCTACCAGGAGCTTACGGATGTGGACAAAATGGCGATGGCAGACACCTACACGACGCGGCCTATGTTTGACGAATGTTGGCTCCAATTCGATCGCTGGTGATCACAGTTCAACCAACGTCAGACGTCTACTCACCAGAGACGTAAAACTCGGATGTGATTCCGCTCGGTGTCTGTGCACTCTTCTCGTATCCTTTAGGGTCCATCCTCACGTTCACGAGGCGATAAATACTATGTACAGACTTCATAACAATCTGGCGGAGCCATAAAACTACAATCCAAGCAGCCGTGAATTTATCCATCTTGATCCTTAATAGCGAAATTGAGAACTTACATCTCGGCAGACGTCTTCAGGTGCTCGAGTCCTTGCCTATGTAGTAAAGGCAATTATCGCCCTCATCAGCCGCATAACCACGTGCACCGCTCAACTGTCGTATCACGTGAGAAATGAGGGCCAGGTTTGTTTCAAGCTCGTTTCAGTTTGTTTCAAGCTCGTTTCAGTTTGTTTCAGTTTGTTTCAGGCTGCGACATCCTCATGCAGGTTTCAGGTTTGTTTCATGCTATGTCGGAATGGCCTCCATGAAAACCGCCAGCTTTGGGACAAGCCTCACGACCTCGTATCCACCTTCCTAATTAGGAACGTATTCCGCCGCCTCGGAAATGTCCGTTTGCTTATCTCCGTACATGGCCGCCGAGTGGAGAAAAGCTGAGGCCGAAAGAATTCTGTAAGTCACGTGTATACTTGCGGCTATTTTTGGGGATCCAATCACTGTTACGACAGCTTTCAAAAAGCCCAATTTAACAAAAATGATATGCAATTGATAGGTCCACACGTTAATAGCAGCGTTATTAGGGCCTTTAGAATATCTTACGTGCCAAGCAGGACCGAGAAAGTCCTTTGAAGAACGAGGGTTCAATATACTCGTATGCAGTGACCCGATGACCGGATCCTTTTTAGGTTACTATGGGCAGCTCCGCATGATAGCAGATTGGGGAAAATGTATGCGTGATTGCTTAAAGGCTGTATATAAGGCAGTGAGAGTTGCATCGCAGATTTTTTTCAGATGGCAAACGGTTTTTACCTCCAGTACGATATTGACTAATTGTGCAACTCTTAGTAGCAACTTTAGACTTCAAATTAATAAGGTAGTGAGTCCAGTGAGCAACGAGCATGTCAAATAACGACCAGCATCCTACAAACAAAGCCGAGGTCAGGAGCGACCGCATCGTGACTAATTCGCAAGGTAACCCAATTAATGAACCCTTTGCTACGCAGCGGATTGGAGAACGCGGTCCCCTGCTCCTGCAGGATTTCAATTTGCTAGATTCCCTTGCTCACTTCAACCGTGAGCGGATTCCTGAGCGTAATCCTCATGCACACGGTTCTGGTGCATTCGGGTACTTTGAGGTGACAGATGACATAACCGATGTATGCGGATCCGCAATGTTCAGCGAAATCGGCAAGCGCACTCGTTGCATGGTTCGGTTCTCTACCGTGGGTGGTGAAAAGGGTTCTGCCGACACTGCGCGTGATCCCCGTGGCTTTGCAACAAAGTTCTACACCGAGGAGGGAAACCTCGACTGGGTCTACAATAACACCCCGGTCTTTTTCATTCGCGATCCTTCCAAGTTCCCTCATTTCATTCACACCCAAAAGCGCAATCCTCAAACCAACCTCAAGGATGCAAATATGTTCTGGGACTTTTTAACTACCCCTGAAAACCAAGTTGCGATTCATCAGGTCATGATTTTGTTCAGTGATCGAGGTACTCCAGCATCCTATCGTAAGATGAATGGTTACTCCGGCCATACGTACAAATGGTCGAACAAAAAAGGCGAATGGTTCTACGTGCAGGTTCACATCAAGACCGATCAAGGAATTGAAAACCTAAATAATGAGCAGGCTGTTAAGTTGGCAGGTGAAAATCCAGACTACTGTGGTCAAGATCTTTTCAAGGCCATCGCAGCCGGCAAAGCACCATCTTGGACTGTGTACATCCAGACCATGACTGAGGAGCAGGCCAAGAAGTTAGACTTTTCTGTTTTTGACTTGACCAAGATTTGGCCTCACAAGCAGTTCCCACTCCGCCGCGTGGGCAAGATGGTATTAAACGAGAACCCTCAAAACTATTTCGCGCAAGTTGAGCAAGCTGCTTTTTCACCTAGTCACACAGTCCCATACCAAGAAGCTAGTGCGGACCCAGTCTTGCAGTCGCGTTTGTTTGCATACCCCGACGCTCATCGCTACAGATTGGGTGCCAATTACCAGCAAATTCCGGTCAACTGTCCTTACGCATCTAGAGCATTTAACCCAGCTATTAGGGATGGCCCTATGAATGTGGACGGCAATCTTGGATCTGAGCCAAACTACTTAGCCTCCAGCAAATCCTACAACTATATTCAATCACAAAAGCCTATCCAACAGCATCAAGAAGTGTGGACTGGACCCGCACTACCTGTCCACTGGGCAACGTCTCCCGGTGACATTGATTACGTGCAGGCAAGAGGCCTTTACAAGGTTTTGGGGAAGCAACCTGGTCAACAGCGCAATTTGGCCCATAACGTCGCGGTGCATGTTGCAAATGCATGCCCAGAAATTCAAGATCGTGTCTTTGCCATGTTCTCTCGCGTTGATAAGGGTCTAGGTGAAAACATCAAGAGAGAGGCGTTGTCGTTGTCTCCACGTGGCGAAGAGAAACTGCAGGCTAAGTTGTGAATTCGTCTATTTATCGCCTAAAATTTCGTGGAGATCTTATTTATAATCTCAAACTATTATTTATTTGTTAGTATTTGCACCATATTTGAGCCACATTAATTGCTTACAGCTTTGTTTTCAGAGGTCTTGTTCAAATTGAGTTACGTAGTTAATTCATGTCGAATGCTTCCACTATATACACGTGACGGAAATGAATCTGATGAAGAATTTGAGTTTCTGTATTTTGACGGAAATCCGAGACTAGCTTCTCAAAGCATTACCAATTCTTATAAGGAATCCTGTTATCTTTCGTTCACGTTAGAAAAATGTCACAAATTACCGTTGAAAGCGTATCTCAGTCTATTTATGAAAACTTATTAACCACTCTTATTCAAGATATCGTATCTCGTACAACAACAGAGGAGCAATTGCTACGCGCTCGTTATAACCAAAGTTTGAGCCCATACTATTATGAAAAGTCAGGTGCATTAGATATACATGGAAATCCTAAGCAGCAGGATTCATCTGTTTATGTCCACTGTGATCGTTGTAATAGAGATGTGTCGGCTAACAGATTTGCCGCGCACGTCGAAAGATGTTTAACAAGGGGCAGGAGATGATAATATGATGAGTTAAAGTGATTGGTTCGCTTATGGTGAGGACGATGTATGCCTCGGTGATAGAAAGCGCTTCATCGTTATTCGGCCCAGTATTCGTGTAAACGTACAATAGGACGTTTTTGATCCATATTCAGGGAAGAGGGGGGGGGTTCAATATGAATGGACCTCTAAACATCAGCTCGCAAGAACGATTACAGTAGAACATGTCTGAACTTTTGACAACGCTGAAAAGCGAGTTCTCAAAACTTTGTGATGAGGATTCTATTGAGCAGCCCTTATTAAAACGATGTCTTGATGACACTCACGAATTTAAAATGAACCTGAAGAAACTTAAGGCTCACCTGAACAAACAAGTGCAGGAGGCTTCCACTGGTGAGCATTCAGAAAAATCTTCTAAGAAAAGACAGTTGATAATCGATAAACTACATAAATCTCACAAACAGTGGGAACACAATGTCCGAAAGCAAGGGAAACACGCATTATTACAGCATAATAAGTTTCACAAAGTTGTGTTGAACAAGATGTACGACTTTGAGTTAGACCAAGTTTATGTAAATCAACTACCGGCTGATGCAAAACAATATGTGGAACGTGCTATTGGCGTTCACATCTCGAGATATAGTATGTGCACAGTTCCTGTGAAAGATGGCACCGAGATGGTCAACTATTTAAGTGAGGTATACGATATTGACCCCGTAGTGTCGTCGAAGTTTGTTGAAATGGCTCAAATTGTTAGAGAACTAAAAAATGGTGATCCAAAAGCTTGCATGCAGTGGGCTGCTGACGGGTCCCTCTTAGAGTTCGAGCTTTACCTTCTTGAAGCTATGAATTCCTTGGAAAAAGGGGACAAGCTCAAAACGTACCGATATCTATTAACGAAGATACCCGATTTCATGGCAAAGACAAGGAAGCATAAATTGCGCCATAAAGTTGCGCCCTTGCTAGCACAGTTGGTGGTTTCATCAGAGAATAAATTTGACATCAAAGAACAATTAGAAAAATGCGTGAATTTGTTCACAAAAGACTATTGTGCGCAAAATCATCTTTCATTTAACTCCCCACTGTTTCTAATTGTCTTGAGTGGTATAATTTCATTCCAGTTCTTCATAAAATACAGAACTATACGGGCAGTAAGTCATGTAGATTGGAGTACCGAGGACGAGCTTCCATTTAATGTAAAGTTACCAGATTTTCTCACGAAGTTTCATCCAATTTTTATTTGTCCGGTGCTTAAGGAAGAAACTACCAAGGAAAATCCTCCTTTCGCACTACCATGCCACCACATCATATCAAAATACAGCTTGGATAAGTTAAGTAAGAACGGTACCTGCAATTTCAAATGTCCCTATTGTCCCATCATGGCGTCAAGGTCCAGAACGAAAAGGGTAAATTTTGTAATTTTGTAGAATTGACTTTTATATGTTCAAGTAGTCCGCAACCAACAGCAGTTCAAGCGACATGTCTGTGGGAACTTCAAACTCTGGAACATCATCAGTATCAGTGGCATCTTGGTATTTTTGGCAGTATTGGAGGTATTCAATAACCTTTTTCAGTATAGGCGCTTCGATTTCCTTCAACTCAATTCTTTTCTTTTCAGAGTCTTCGAAGGATTCCGATAGCATTGCTTTAAGTGTTGGAGAGATCATTGCAGTTTCCCTAGTAACAGGAAACTCTACATTTTCGGCAGAAACGAGTGTTACTTCGCTCATGTTGATCTCGATCGACTATTCTTGCTTTGGTCGCTTTTTGTGAATGCTTGAAGTGAGAAAAAATACGAGATTTTCTGAATTGTAAAATGTGAACTTTAAGTAAAGCAGTAACATCATGGTACTCAGGAACCCATGTCTTGGATGGGAGAAGCTTGAAGATGTCTATTACAGAAGCAGAGAGCTATGTTCACTTAGCTGGCCTACCGATGGGGAGTACAAATATACTCTTTCAACTACTTTGGTAGCTATCGAAGCAGAGAGATCGGTGCAAATATACCACTACACTGGCCGTCTTCTTACCCGTATTTCTTTGGATAACTTACCAGGACCTGTTATAAGCTATGAATTTGATGCTCAAGACGAGGAAAGTTTAGTGATTGTCATGCCGAATTGCTTGCGAAAATACCATAGTTGGGCTCCCTTACAGTTTCAAGACTTTTTTCTACCAGAGGATGTAGAAGATACTATATGGGATTACCGGAATAGAGTAGCGATTCTACAAGAGTCTCAGGACATATATCACTTTAATGGGTTGTCGATAAATCTCTTGTGTCGAAATAACGAGAAATTTACTCTATTGACCAAAGGGCATTGGCATTGCAACGAAGATCTTATAGTACTTCTGGACGTTAATCATGTACTTCATCTCAACATTGCTGAAGGAAGCTTGAAAGAAGCTCTTCCCGGTGAACGGTGGCACATCGTGATAGTATCTCCTCGTGGATTCGTTTGCTTATACAACAGTAAAACCAATGCTCTCCGAATTTATAAGAATCCTGAACGCACTTTACTAGAAACTTCTCTCGACAAATTTCCTAATGATATTGAATGGTGCGGTGATGATACGGTCGCATGCTCATTTGAAGGTGAAGAAATCAAATTATATGGGCCGAATTTGTCGTATGTCGCATTTTGGTATCCAGATGACATAATGACATTAAAAACAGAAATCGACGGGCTAAAATTAATCAGCAAAGAGAAGATATACTTTATTTCTAAAGTTCAAGAGTGCACAGCAAATACTTTCCTTATTGGATCTACAGAATCAAGCGCTATTTTATTGGATTCGATGAACCTCCTTTCGACACAAGCCCCACGGGCAGTTGAAAATTTGAAAATAATCAACCTCGACCAAGCTGTATCTGAGTGCTTATCGGCAGCCTTAGAAGAATTTGAACCCTTATGGCAGAAAAAGCTATTATCTGCCGCATCTTTTGGCAAAAGCTCACTTGTCGGTCAGTCATTTGATGCTAACTATTTTGTCAGAAATTGTGATATGTTAAGAGTGCTTAACACACTAAAAGAACTTGGAATATTTTTGACTGCTAGACAGTTTGAGCATATGACCCTAGACGGGATCATCACACGTCTTATAATGTCCCATGATTTTTACGAGTGCATTAAAATTTGCTTGTATCTCAAGCAGCAAGAAAAAATCCCTAGAGTTTTCAAAACTTGGGCAAATACTAAAATAATGATGTCCCCGGAAATCGAGGACGAAGAGTTATTTCAGTCGATTAAAAACTTAGCGGCAAAGCAATCTATGAACCTACCAATGGCTCGCATTGGAGAGACTGCATTTTTTGAAGGTCGTTTCAACTTAGCACGTAAGTTGATATTACTAGAACCATTGCCTGAGATCGAACTTCCATTACTACTGGAACTCGACGATAATGAGCTGGCTTTAAAAGAAGGAAAAAGGTGGGGAATTTCTCGCATTACTCTTTCCATACTTCTGGAGCTTCAAAGAAAACTAACAGTAGCACAGTTTAGTAAGATTTTGATTCTTATTATGCAAGAAAATGAGCTGTTTAGTTACTATGCAAGGGATGATGAGAGGTTTTTGTACGACTATTACCGGCAAACAGACAATTTTCTTGATTTAGCACGTCTTACATGGAAACAAGGACGGCGGTCTAAAATTGAAGAGCAATACATTCCTCAAGTCGAGGAGTTGTACAGCAAGGTATTGAATAATGCATTGATCAAGGACGACAAAGAGTTACTCACTCGACAATCTGAGCTCTACAAGTTTCAGGAGTCCTTAGCCTCTCAGCATCAAAAAGATTTTCTTCACTTAAACATGGACGAAACAATAGCCCAAATGGTGGCATTAAAGCTAGATAAACCACTGGTTGCCTTTCTAAAAAAGTTTCAGGTGAGTGAGAAGAAGTTTTATCACATCAAGTGCCGAACACTGGCACAGGAGCAAAGGTTTAACGATCTTTATAAGTTTGCTCGAGAGAAGAAATCACCCATTGGTTACTATGCTTTCTATCGTCAAGTGTTTAAACAGAACCATAAGAAAGAGGCAGCCGTTTATATTGAAATGATATCAGGGTTGCCTTATGAAAAGATATTAAAGATGTATTTGAAATGCAATGCATATTCCGATGCAATTCAGTTAGCAACAAAAGAGAAAGATATACAAGGATTGAAAAGCATATACAAAATAATTCCCGCAAATGAGCCGCAACTGAAATCGCTGATAACTGAGAATATGAACAAGATTTGAAACGCAACATCGAAACTGGCTCTCCGTTGCAGTCTTTAAATCAAACGTCCTTTGGTGTAAGCTTTTGTAAAATGACCATTTTCAATTAGGCCAGAATCAGGCCCATTTTCACCTGCCAGCCAACCAGGCACCTTTTCTAAGTCTATTAAATCTCTGTCGCATAATTCATGTAAACCACCAAAAATATCGTTACCTTGAAATGTAAATTTAATCGTCACATTCTCCTGAGCTGTTATTTCGTCCTTTAAAATGAACTCGACGTTAGTAGCGGGAATCAAAGATGCGTAGTTTGAGTTAAAGCTTGAACTGCTACATTTTTCGCTGGTATTTGCAGATCGATATATCATTTTATCAAATCTTCTCTTCGCTTCAGAAACTCGATGAAAATGTCCTTTATAACTTCTCCCTTTGAATTTTATCATCGTTTTCTCCATCAATGCCTCCTTGGTAAACTCTGAAGTCTTGCATAATATTGATCTTCCGCAAACTAATTCATGTGCTTTTGAATCTGTCAAAGGTGATAATTCAATATCAGACTCGGCATATGCACTCCATGGCCCTAACGAATGAGCATATCTTGATGTTCCATGTAAAATATTAAGTGTTTTAAGATTTTTAATGGGAGCGTCTTCGTTTGGAACTAAAGTCAGTTTTTCCCTTCCGAAAATGCATTTCTGAACACTCTCTAGGATTAGCTTTGCATAAAGATCAGTGCCAACGGTGTGAATCACCACTGGAGAATTCAAAGGAAAGCAGATATAAAATGGGGCTCTTGTGACAAGCTCCTTCCTTATGGAAGCCCCAAAATCAGGGGTAATCTCTGGATAGCTTCTATCATCTTCGTGGCTCGATACCTCGGTTAAGCTTAAAAACTCATTGTTATAATCAAATAACTGGATTCGACATACGACCATTTGGAATTCGGGGTGTTTGCAAAAATAAAGGTGGGACATATAAAGTTTTCCAAGGTCATTTTTAATACCTGAGATAAAGCTGTCGGGATCAATAGAAAGATTCACTTTTTCATTGTTCTTGTTGTATGCAGTTTGAGACATCCAAACGTATGAGTTTGGTTTATGAAACAGTAGATAGCAATCTAGTTGTGCCAATTGAAGAAGATTTAAGCCATCAGGCCAATACTGTAATAGAACTGTACTGGCAGCAATTTTTCTTTGAACCTTCTTTTTCTTCCAACGTTCTGTCGTCGCTTTCACATCTTCATGGGGATGCTTACAACCATGTGAGCTGGACCATCTTAGAGCCAAGTCACAAATTGCCGTCAATGGAAGCTTCAATAATTTACGATAAAGGGAACTGTTTTCAACGGTGATCACATAATTATCAGACAATTCCATAATCAATGAAGAAGCCTGCTTTCGAATCATCGAATTCAAAGTTTCGGACAAAAAACCACTACAGATAAAAATTTGATCACGTGCTCTTTTCTTTTTACTTCTTGAAAAATTTTTCCAGTGAAGAGCTCATCTCAAGCTCATCGCATCATTAATCGTCAGCGTGAGGTATCCACGGAAAGAAAAGTATGAGCGATTCTACTGAAGCCAAAGTCTCATATCCACAAAAACATTCTATCACCGATGCTGGATCCTCAAGCAAAGAAGGCCTATTAGATCTCAAAACTTTATTTGTGAGATCGATTCCTTTTGAAGCTACGGATGAGGAACTTGCGGATTATTTTTCGCAACTTGCCCCGATTAAGCATGCTGTGATTGTCAAAGATAATGAAAAACAGTCTAGAGGGTTTGGATTTGTTAGTTTTGCTGTTGAAGACGACACTAAGGAAGCCCTAGCTAAATCAAGGAAAACTAAATTTCAGGGAAGACTTCTGAGGGTTGACATTGCCAGAAGAAGAGACCGCTCGAAGAAGGATGCTGGTCACGGCACATCAAATGATACTTCAGTCACGGAACAGGAGGAAGACGATTTGATGAAAGGTAAACCCAAACTAATTATCAGAAATATGCCATGGAGTGTTCGCAATCCCGATGAATTGAAGAAAATATTTACAAGGTTTGGGACGGTAGTAGAGGCTAAGATTCCAAAGAAGAAAGACGGAAAGTTATGTGGTTTTGCTTTTGTGACCATGAAGAAGCTTGCTGCCTGTAAAAGAGCAATTGAAGAATCCAAAGGTCTAAAAATTGGCGGAAGACAAGTCGCGGTGGATTTCGCTGTCCAAAAGAGCAGATGGGAAGATTATAAAAAAGAGCATTCAGCCGAACAAGAGAACAATGAATCTTCTAGCGAGTCTGAAAAGGAGGTAGAAGAGGATGAACTTTCACAGGGCGAAGCGAGTGACAGTATAGAGGAAGAAGCTGCAAGTATCGAAAGTGATTCTGATTTGGAAACGGAAGAAAGTGATTCAGAAAAGAATGAAGTCATTGAACAACCACGTAAAAAGCAAAATAGGCAGGAGCAGTATTCTGTTTTTGTTAGAAACGTTCCTTACGATGCAACTCAAGAGTCCTTGTCATTGCATTTCAGCAAATTTGGTCCTGTCAAATACGCTTTACCCGTTCAAGATAAAGAAACGGGGCTAGCTAAGGGAACCGCCTTCGTAGCATTCAAAAGTCCAGATGCATATGAAGAATGTATCAGAAACGCGCCCGCAGCGGGTTCGACTTCCTTATTAATTAGTGATGACGTTGCTCCTCAGTATGTTTATGAAGGGCGGGTACTATCTATTACACCAGCTCTAGATAGAGATACTGCCGAGAGGAATGCTGAGAAAAGTGCTGCAAAGCGTAAGGAGGCATTCGGCAAAGCACCAGGAGAAAAAGATCGCCGTAATCTTTATTTACTAAATGAAGGTAGAATTACGGAAGGCTCCAAGTTGGCAGAACTTTTGACACCTACAGACATGGAGATTAGAGAAAAATCTTACCAACTAAGAGTAGAGCAACTAAAAAAAAATCCTTCATTGCATTTATCTCTCACCCGGTTGGCGATTCGTAATATTCCTAGAGCAATGACAGAGAAGGCTTTGAAAGCATTGGCCCGTAAAGCTGTGGTAGAATTTGCTAAAGAAGTCAAAGATGGGAAAAGACATGCACTAAGTAAAGAAGAAATTGTCAGGTCTACAAATGAAAAATATAAATTTATGGAACCAGCAGATATTGAAGCTTTGAAAAAGCGAGACAAGAAGAAAGGTCTTGTCAGACAAGCGAAGATTATTATGGAAGTTAAGGGTGCCAACAGTGGAAGAAGTAGAGGTTATGGTTTTGTTGAGTTCAGGGATCACAAGTCTGCCTTAATGGGTCTTCGTTGGCTAAATGCCCATGAAGTAACTCGTCAAGAGCTTATTGATGGACTTACTGAAGAAGAAGCAAAGCAGGTCGATACTGATGGACTTAAGAAGAGAAGAATGTGTGTCGAGTTTGCTATAGAAAATGCTAACGTTGTTAAAATAAGAAGGGAGAAAATATTACAATCGAGGACAGCTACTAAAAGAGGCCGTGAAGTAACTGAAAATGAAGATAAATCAATGAAAAAATCTAGATATAATTCTGAGAAGACTAATTCTAAGGAACCTGTGGAATCACAGGATAAGTCTACGTCGGGCATTAGCGATGATATAAAGCGAATCATCGGTTTTAAGCGTAAGAGAAAGCATGGTAAAAAATAATCACCCGTGTGTATGTTTAACATTGTTGCATTATGTTTCTAAATATTTCATTCCTTGTACTGTGTAATAACTGGTAGTCATTAATTACTTCTCTGACTTGATCATGGGTTCATTCTTTATGTTCAAACATTAAAATATACTGATACTATTATCATCTATGAAATTCTACCTCCTTTTCTTTCTCGACGGACCACTGATATTCGTCGAAGTGCTTCCTTGTATTGAAGAATTGTTACCTGATACGGCAGCTGCAGCTGCGGCTGCAGCTGCTAGAATACGCCTATTGACACCAAGTCCACCTAAAGCTGCATTAGAAGCATTATTCGTGCCTACTGCCTGTTGTTGATGAATTGCAACGTTTTTGTTCTTATAGCCGTTCATGTTCATAATATCGTTATCATTAGTGTGAATTCTTCTTGGGGGATACTTGTAATTTAGTCCTTCAAATACATTCTCACATACAGTGGGATCGCCGTTAACAAAGTAAGGATGATCTAATGCATTGATTGCGTCAATTCTTGTGACGGGATCATAGCGTAGCAGCTGGTAAAGCAGATCTAATGCATTTTTATCCCTACCACCAGCAGAATGATACCATACCGGAAGATTATCTCTGTACCTAGGAAATTTGGCAAGTTGTTCATATTCAGGATATTTATAAATATTAGGCCAAGTCTTCTCTGTTGGGTTTCCCAGTATCTCAAGAATACGCTGTAATTGGTTTGCCTGAAATGGAACACTTTTTTTAGAGTCCATCTTTGCCTCTTCACCCTTGAAAATTGGTCGAAGACCAATCAGCTCAGCAAAAATGCAACCTACAGCCCATAAGTCTATCGCAGGTGTGTAATGTCTTGCTCCAAGTAGTAATTCTGGTGCTCTGTACCAGATTGTAACAACCACTTTATCACCCGTGTATAAAGTCTGAACCATATTGTGAAACTTTCTGGCCAATCCCAGATCACCAATTTTAACGCAGCCATCTACGGTGACCATGATGTTTGCAGGTTTTAGATCTCTATGGAGAATCCAGTTCTGATGAAGATACGACACACCGTCTAAAATTTGCCATATTATCGACTTTAACATTTTTGGGGGTATCAATCGTTTTTCTGGATGAGAATGGAAGTGAATGATTTGAAGTAGATCGTGTTCGGCAAACTCAGATACCATGTAGATACTTTTCTTTTCGAGGAAAATTTCAACCAACTGCGTCAAATGCTTATTATTCAGTTCTCGGCACAAAGACATTTCTCTACATGCACTTTGTGAAATACCAGTATAATGCAACTGTTCTACTCCCTCTCTTTCCGTCTTGAACTTTTTAATTGCGTAGTATGGAGTCGGTTTATTAATGGGCAAGCTAATCATCGAAGAACCACTCAAAGGCTTCGATCGATTGGGCAGAAGTTGATCCGATGCAGTGATGGGAAGTTCTGTAGAGGTTGTTGCTTTTTTCTGCGGCTGATCATAACTTTCATTTCGTACCTTAGGGGCAGTGGAGCCCGGTTCCTGAGCTCTTGTAGACCTATTGATCGAATTCACATCTAATGGTTGTTCCGTGTTGCTAGCAATGTCAGTTGACATCACAGTTGCATTCGACTCGATATCCAAAGAGCCTGAGGTACTTGTTGCAATATCTTTCCTTTTTGCTTTGTATACTTTTCCGTAAGTACCAGCTGCAATGTATCCAATGATTTCGTACTTCTCCACTACTGAAATTCGAGTCGCATCTTTCCTTTTTTTGTATGGACCTATTGAAAATACGTTGTTGTTTGCCATTAATAGTGGCTTTCCTCCTCCATTTCCGTTTCCTTTACTATCAGCTATCTGTTGCTGCTGCCATACGCCATGTGCATTGGATTGCTGCGATTGAACCATAAAATTCCTCTGTTGAGGTTGTTGAGGCTGCTGATAAAGATTAGCAGCTTTATTTTGTGCGCTATACATGGGTACTGTGACCTTTGGCTGTGCTCTTCGAATCTGGTGTTTCTGTGGTGATGCCCTTTTTGCATGAGATCAAATGAGAAAAGACGGTTTTGTTGAAGCGCATTGTGGGAAGAAACACTCGAGAAAAGAAAAGAAAAAGAGGGAAATACTGAATAAATGACTAACGTTAACGATTCTATTATACTTTGTTCAATCCTATTTATGGCTCTTCCCTTTTCTTGTTTTCTCGGAGAATTTTCGAAGCCGTTTGAATGGCTCAAGTATCCACTTAACTAGATATGGTGCTCCCCACAGACTTACTAAAACCCGAAGAGGGTAAAGGAGTTTTACAATGGCATATGAAATCGCACCTGATAGAATGAGCCTATTTCTATCGTAACCCTCGTAATGATTGCCCACCAATTTTTCAATAGCATCTCCGCAACGATTGAGCTGGTCTGTAAAGTAGACTGGCAGCTCGTATTGGTCGCTCAAATTAAGAGTATATAGAATCCACCAAAAGCCGAATAATGGAACAATTGCAGTGAACTCATGGAGAATCAAGAACGAGGTAATCGTCGACAGCGGACTAGTTTCTGCTAGCTGATCAAAGTAGTGTTTAAATCTCGGCTGCTGATTTAATTTTGTAAGCATTCGTGACTTGGATATAATCTTGTGGATCCTGTCAACTGACTTGTCTCGTTTCTGCTTGGCGATTTCATCCTCTGATGAACTTGAATTTTTAGAATAGAACCTAATGATAGGGAAGTTATTGACCCCACGGCCAATTGGAGCCACCACGCCATGACATGAAATCAAATTTCGTGTGGATATGATACCTGGTGAAATACCTGCTGACAATCTCATATGTTTGATCTTTTCCGAGTTCTTGGTGATGAATTGAAGATTTCGTTTAAACTATTTACATGATTCTATGATTGAGATAGATAATTAACACGTGATTACGTCCGAACAGCGAACACACAGTTCATCAACCTTCATTGAGTTATGTTTCCAGCATCTGGGACACTCATGCATTTCACTGCGCTTGACAACTAAGGTGGCCTTTTCACCATTTTGAAGAGTTAATGAAGTGCCATCATTACATGTTTGGGTTTCAACTTTGAAATCACTTACCTGAAGAATGTCGCACATTTCCTCTTCTGTAAATGGTAGATAAGCCCCAGTGTAATAGAGGGTAGCCGTTGTCTGTGTGCTCTTTGTCACTCCTTTGAGTTGGTGGAAAGCTATATTAAACGCTTCTAAGACAGCTAAGTGGTTGTGTTCAAAATCCTGAAGTAACTGCTCTGAGTCTCGTATATTCAGTTGTTTCCAAGGTTTGCCTAACGGAGAAGTGATCATTCCGTTTCCCTTTGAACTTTCGTCCTGTTCATACCAATTTTTAGGAAGGTAATTCCAAGCCTCCTGCACCATTATAGGTGTAATTGGGCCCATTATACTTCGATAAGCGTCCAAAATATGATACAAAGTTGTTTGTATTTGCAACCGCTTGTGAGAATGAGCTGCATCAGAATACAATGCATCCTTTGTAATATCGAAATAGAAGGCGGATAAATGGTTATTCATATGATAAAGAGTTGCACTTAAAACTTTGGAGAAATTCAAGTTCTCGTAGTTCTGTTTCGTCTCATTCAAAAGCTGCTGTATTTTACACAAGGTGTATTGATCTACTTTGCGAAGTTGATCATAGTTTAAGATTTTCGAGGCTCCATTTGTGACTTGCAAATTGCCTAGAATAAATCTTAAAGTCAACCGGAATTTTTTCATAGCTTCTGCAACATGCTTCATGACAGTTGGTCCAGCTACAATATCTGTAGTAAAGTCAGATTGGGCAACCAAAAATCTAAGCCCATCAACACCAAGAGCCGGCAGCGCTAGGCCTGTGTTCCCACCTATAATGCTATCAGGGGCAATGATATTCCCTATGGACTTGGACATTTTGATACCATTTTCATCAAGAGTAAAGCCATGGGTCACAATTGTGCCGTAAGGCGCACTAACTTCTCCAGTTGAAGCTACTTTTGTCAAAAGAGAGCTTTGGAACCAACCTCTGTGTTGATCAGATCCTTCCAGATAAACATTGGCAAGAGGATCGCGGGGTTTTTCAAGACCTAGTTCCTTGAGATAAAAATTTTCTAAAACTTTCCAACTGCTACCACTATCAAACCACACGTCAACTGTGTCCTGTCCTCTTCGATATAAATGGCATTCATTTTGATACTTTTCAGGCATCCATTCTGCCATATTGTCGGTATTATCTGCAAACCATGAATCTATACCTTTCTTTTCTATGACTTTTATAATGTGATCTACGGTTTCAGCGGTCATTAACACCTCTTCGGGATTGTCCTTCTTATAAAAAGCGGGAATTGGAACACCCCATGAGCGTTGCCTTGATATACACCATTCATTTCTTGATTGGATGAACGATTGAAGCCTGTTGCGACCACGCTCAGGAAAAAACTTTACTGCTTTCAAGCTTTCAAGAGCTAGTGATTTGACATTCGTCAAATCCGCGAACCATTGGAGTGTAGACCTTATTATGATTGGTTTTTTAGATCGCCAATCATATGGATACGAATGTGTATACTCACTGGCCCTAAAAAGCATTTCAGTTTCACTTAGTAACTTCAGAATGTGAGTCGTAGTCTCATTGGCCTGTACGTGTCTGGGCTTCCGAGTAGCAGGATCCGTCAAAGTTTCATGCAAGCTAAAAGGTAAGTCATCTAACTTGTATCTACCTTCATGATCAACAGGAGAAAAGATCTCCAAGCCATTCGCTACGCCGATCAAATAATCATCAGTACCATGGCCTGGGGCAGTATGTACGAGCCCCGTACCAGCTGAGTTGGTTACATGGTCGCCATGTAGCACTGGTCTTGGTGTTTCATCTCCAACTAGCGGATTTAGGTAGAACGTATTTTCAAGCTCTTTGCCAAAGAGAGTAGAAACCGTCTGGCCTAGAGGCGCATCATTTAAAATGCTATCTTTCAACGTCGACTCAACAATTAGATACTCTTTATTCTTCTCCACAATACTATACTCAAACTTTCTGTTCAAGCATATTGCTCTATTAGAGAACAACGTCCAGGGAGTACTCGTCCATATCAAGTACTTTATTGGTATATTCGGTTTCAAAGAATGTTGAAGAACAAGAGCAGAGGCAGATTTTTGAGTCAAGGGAAACTTAACATAAGCAGAAGTTGATTTGTGATTTTCATTGTACTCAAGTTCTCCTTCTGCAAGTGCGGTCTTGGTTACTGTTCCCCAAAAAACAGGTTTGAACTGTCTCTTTATCAAACCTTTTTCAAACATATTTTGGAAAATTTTCAACTGATCTAACTCAAATTGGCGTTGCATTGTCGTGTAAGGCGTATTCCAATCGGTCATAATCGCGAACTTTTCAAATGTTTGCCTCTGCGATTTAATTGTCCTCTGAGCATGCTTGGCGGCTAGCGATCTAACTTTTGTCGGCAACATCCTACAATTTTCAGCGTCAAGTGACTTTAGAGCCTTTAGTTCAATAGGTAATCCATGGCAGTCCCATCCGGGTTTGAAGAAAACATATTTTCCCTGTGTTAGGTTGTATCGACAAATAATGTCCTTTAAGATTTTGTTTAACGCATGCCCTAAATGCAGATCGCCATTAGCATAGGGAGGGCCATCATGAAGAACAAATAATCGTTCCTGTACGAAACGCTCCCTTTCTGCTGTAGTCAAGGCTTCGAATTTCTCCAAAAAAGAATCGAATTGTTCCTGGTAAAGAGCTTGAGAAGATTGTGGAATTAGCCGATCGAAGACGTTCTGTAAGTTGGACCTACTGGGAAATTTGGTCTTGGGTAACAGCAATGTTTTTTGATATGCATGTTTTGAATAGTTCCTCAGCGAGCAACCCCACATGTGCAACAAATCTTGCGAAGTTTGGGTATAATTGAAAACCGGTTTTTTTTTTAGGCTAATTCTAACTTAATTTCACCGAGAAGAGTGAAGGGCAAAAGCTGCGAAAACGATTAGTGGCTATGAGAGGTGAAGAGGACCCTTCTGTAGCTTCTCCAAGCTTGTATGATGCAAGGACCTTCTCCGACAGGCCACGCGCAGAATCACATTGGCATTCCCCAGCGTTGGAAAACGTCAGCTTGTTATCGCAGAACGTTCGTCTAAAGCAAATGAAAATGCTGAATAAATTTATGGCGCGAAGTTTTGTCACAGGTTTACTATTAAGATTCAAGGATCTGCTAGAAGCAGATCCTTCACGAGAACTGAGCTGGAACGATCAAGAAGCTACCCCTTCTCATAGGACAACTAATAAGAGAGACAGTTTATGTACCTTTTTGGAAGTGTTGATGTCTCGAACAAAAGCAACAAAACTACAGTTCAAGCAGATGTGCGTGATTTGTATCAAGTTTCTGAGCTCTTGTTCGGCGCAAAACAATTTTATGGCTCATCTCAAGTTTGATCTGCGCAAGTTGATGTTGGCATCGCTTGCATTCACATACGGCAATCGCCTTACGCATACTTTCGAACTATTTGCAAAATGCTCTGGATTGCAAGAGGAGGAGATTAATAATTGTTGCAGTGTAGTGCGAAAGGTACTAAATCGAAGGCCATACGGACGAAGATGGCAGAATGCGCCTTCTCAAGTCGACAGCAATCCACTTTCTTCACTATATTCGAGAATCGATGAAAAAAGAGTTAACTTTGGCATTTCAGTAGATCATAGGTCGCACTACGGTTTCGATGATAAAGACGGGCAGTGCTACGGGTACGTACTCCCTGGTGAGCTGGAACAGTTTAATAATATGAGCAGGGATCTAATCTGTGAGCACTTTATGGTAGGGTAGGAATACTAATTCAAGGCAAATATGCGAATTTATCATCTGTGTTTAAAAATATGTAACATTAATTAATGCCAGACGGTACTTTACTGGCAATTCTCAGGCTGTTCAAGAAAAGCATTATAAGACGAGCAAAGTGAGTGACAAGAACACAATTCGCACTCCGCGTCGCTGTTAAAAATACGGCGTAAGTTTATGCAATAGGGAAGTAACCTAAGTGCTAGCATGATGCACAAGTAAGACTGTGATGAGTCAGATGTCCTTGCAAGCCTGCAAAACTCAAAGGCACGTGACTAGGTGAAAGTGTGGCTTCTAATCTAATTACATAAATATTAATGAAATACCCATCATATATGTGAACGATTGGACAAACCTTTTCCACTAGTGAATTTACAGTGGTGACAACTATGAGTGAAGATGCGTTATTTTTGCAGCAAGCAGCTGAAGCTATTGTAGCTACCAGTTTGAACGCTGCAAATGTAGATCCAACTATTAAAGAGCTTCTCAACCGCATTAAGTATGTCAACCCGACCAAAAATACAGATCATGCAGCTCAGCCAATACCACCAGAAAACAAGACGGTTCTTAACTACTTTGATCAGCTTCTCAGTAATGCCGATGAAATTAGCAGGCAGGATGATTCAGCAGATAAACTGAGCCATAAGAGACGTAAAAAGTCACCCAGCGTCCCAAAGACGAAGGAAGATGCGAAATTCACATCTGGGGAAGAGGATGAAAGTCATGCAAAGAAATATCCTTGTATTAAATGTGATCTCGTATTTCGTCGTTCCAGTGATCTTAGAAGACATGAAAGAGCCCATCTGCCGATTTTGCCAAACATTTGCTCTTTATGTGGAAAGGGTTTTGCCCGTAAAGATGCGCTAAAGAGACATTACGACACACTTACTTGCAAGAGAAATAGAGAGAAACTTTTAAGTATTGGTGGGGACATCAATGAAATTCTCGAAAAAGCCCGACAAAACGGTGCAAATGTGTAACTAATAAGAAGATAACTTGGGGCCGGTTCTCAACGGTGAATGGAAGTAATGATTCAAGGACTGTAGTTTCATATATACAAATAGCATCAGTCTACATATATATATTCAACTGCCAAAAACCACAACGTAAAATCATGCAGCAGAGATTTCATGATGAGAACATCTATTCGACGTCGGCTTCAAAGGACTGGCCAGTCAATTCTGGGATATCAGCCTCGCTCTTTTCACCACCTGTAGCACCTTCAGCTTGGGCAGCTTGAGAACCTTGCAATTGAGCAGCCAATTGCGTCAAAGCATTGATGGACTCGGCACCTAATTGAGGAATGATAGAAGGGAACAAGTCGTTCAAGCTCTTCTCCTGAGGAATACCATAGAAAACGGAAGTGTTGTGTTGAGGTGCGACTTGAACACCGACCTTGTTGAAGTGAAGAACTTTACCATCCTCTCTGAAGAAATTAGCCTCTTCCACGTTGTCAACAGTCACGGCACGCATTTTAGCTAGCTGAGCTTGTAACTTGGTGTCATCCTTGTTGGAGCCAGAAGCTGCGCCGCTCTTCTTGGCTTGCTTTCTGCGAATGCCACCAACTTTGTTGTTGGCAGATAATTTTTGTAGCTTAGCGAGCTTTTCTTGATCAATTGGCATGATTACTAGTGTTTCTAGTTAGGTATTAGTCGAAGTGCGTTGCTCTAAAATGAATTTTGAAATTTGTTGCGAAAATTTTTTCATAGTGCGACGTTCTAAGGACAGCGAAATGTCAGCATGGTAGAATGACAGGCCAGTATTATTATTGATTTTAATTGGAAAAGAAAACTATTTGATGGTTAATATAACAGAGATAATTAGCATAAAGAGCATCGTAAAAGTAGGAAGTGTATGGTCGGAGATAGAGTTTAAAATTTGGCCAAGGCAATAAGGTTATTAATCATTCACTTTTCTTCTCAAAACGTTAAACTGTGACTAATTTGAATCAAAATTTAATTACAGGAGAAGACGAACGCATTTTTGTTTATGAATTCTGCTTTTCTACTGCTTTCTTTGTCACATTCTTTACTATGGCTTTGCTGATAAAAACTCCATAATTGAACTTTTCTACTGTGTACAGATTTTACTTTGTAAACCCACTACTATGGTGTCTGATTAACCTCTTCATACACCTTTGGAGACAATACTCAGGTAAAAGTTGATTCCAATGAAACATCTTGATGTAGCATCTCATATAATATTACTGATGATGCTGTTGAGCTATTGCGATTTCAGATATTTTCTATTTGGTCTCTTGGCCCAGTTGGTTAAGGCACCGTGCTAATAACGCGGGGATCAGCGGTTCGATCCCGCTAGAGACCAATTTTTTGCTGATTAGATATTACCTTTATTGTGGCAGCAGGGAAAGGTAGACTTGCCGTAGATCTAAAGTAAACAGACTCATCTGATTTAGTGGACAATACGCATAGAAGAACGTCCTGGTGGTTAGATACAAACGTCTAAGTTAAGAGTAAGATACGTGGAATTTGAAAACTCAAAAGCTTGCAGTTGATGTGTGAAAAAAACAGGTTACAACTCTGATGTTTTTTTGACAAGGTTATATTAGTTTATTTGTACATTATGGTATTCATAAGAAAGTGCGTATGAACTTTATCTGGCTTATTTTCTTTCCGAAAATTTCGAAGCCGGAATCAACAAATTTGGCCCCTACATCAGTGATATGTATATTGAGGATATCAATTTTAGCAGCCTTAGGAAGTCATAATCATTATGAAACTAATAATATCTTGGTGTATATAATGGATAATTTGGATACAAAACGAAGAATTAAAACAAATTCAAGCCTTTTTCGAGGACGAGTTTCCTCTCTGCATTCTCACGTTCTCGTGCCGATTTTTTGATCTCAGAACTACTAATAGCAGTCCAATAAATTAGTGGAAAGTTAATTGAAAAGTCCTATTTCTTACCCTTCTTCTTTTTACCAAACAATCCGAACTTGGACTTTTTCTTTTCCTTGGAGTGGAATTCATCGTCAACATTTTCCTGCGCCACTTTGGACGAAGAACTGTGCTGAGCCGGCGAAGCAGCGCCTGAATTAGCTTCAGAAAATTGCTCGTTGGGCGGCATAATTGGTGTTGACATTGGAGAAGGTAACGCATCATTGATTTGTCCGTTGACCAATGGTGATGACACAGGATTGTGGATAACTGAATTGGTGGAAATCTCGGCTTCCTGCTGACTATTCACCGCATCAAATGTGGTGCTTGTACTGATTTGCCGCTGCTGATTAGGCAATGAAGAAGAAGAACCTGTAGGTGTAGTAGATGCTGATTTTGTAGGCGGAGCAGCGAAATTAGGAATATTATTCATCTGTAGATTGCTTCCGTTATTGAATCGCTGTGGTATTGGATGGGGTGTGATACCATTTGATATAGAATTCAAACGAGGGGCAGGACCATTAGGACCAGTCAATGTAGTGTTCACACCTGGCGAGGGTAGGCCGGCAGGGGCAGTACCGGTACCAGCCATAGACAAGACATCCAGGCTAGATGCGTTTCTCAAACTTGGCATGTTACTGCGTCTATTTTTTCTACTAGTTGCCTTGATTTGATGAGGCTGATGATGATAAGGACCCATTGGTGCCTGTTGTTGGAGACCAGAGTTCATGTAGGGTTGTGAAGCAGTTACAGGATCGACAAAATTGGCCGAGCTGTTGAGTTGAGATGCACCGTGCACATTTCTTCCGTTTCTTGATGATGGATTTCCGTAAGATGGCTTACGAGAACCACCTCCATTTGAAAGTGCTTGCGGATGCGGTTGAACTGGCATTTGGGCTGGAATTTTTAACGGCCTTGGTTTATTTGCTACTCTTCTTTGTAGTTCCATTTCTTTTTCTTGCAATGCAAGCTCCTTTCTCCGTAATTCTAGCTCACGCTCACGAAGAGTCACGTCATTGACGCTTTCCGCTTTAATCCCATCACTTTTTGTCGTGCTAGAATTATTTTGAAGATTTTCATTGGGACTATCTTTGCTATTGGAGTTGATTTTAGCGGTTGGTGATTCATTGTACGAAACACCATATACAGCAATGTCCTCAATATCCCTCAAATTTGGCGTGCCAGTTGACGTATATAATTGTTCTTCGTCGGAAGAAACCACAGGAGTTTGTTGTCGCTGTTCAACGTGATATGATTTTTCTTCTGCAGCTGCTGTTCTTTGTTGTTGTAGGTTCAATTCGTCGCTCAACTTAAAGATTTGAGATTTTAAGGTACTGATTTGCTGCTTGTAATGCTCGTCTCTGGAGTTCGTCTCTCGCGTCCATTGTTGTTGCTTTTGTCCAAATGATTCCTTGGTGGATATCAATTCCTTTTCTAATGAGTCTCTCTCTTGAGTGATTTTTGATAATTCCCCTCTCAAGTCAGTCTGTTCATCTTTACGACAAAACCATTGGGAATCTCCGGCGTTGAGCTTCTCGAATTGACACATCATGGAGTATAAAAACTCTAGATAAGGAGTCTTGATTCCGTAATCATCAGCAAGTAATATAGGCTGGAGAAGTAGCATGTCTATGTTTAAAGGAGCAGTTTTGTGAACAAAATGAAAAACAAGCTGGGGCATCTTGTTACCGTTGTTGCTCAACCAATGTGATAAAAGATCATTTTCGTTATCGAATCCGGGTGGTAGCTTGGCACCCATAGACTTAGTTACCGTAATTATCTCGGTCACTAAACCCGAGATCAACGGTTTAGCCAAGATCTGTTCGTGTAGTTGTGAAGGCTCTGGGTCCTCGAGGAGTATGAGAAGAGGATCGAAGCAAACCTTTGGCAAGGCAAGCTTCCACTGCTGTGACAAAAAGTCTACGTGAGACAAATTGCATAGATCGACCTGGTCCTTAGGAAAGAGCTTCATGAATAATCGTTTAAAAGTTTCAAGTAAGGAAACACTTTCCTTGGGGTATTTTCCATTATTTGAGTTCTGATTGGTAGACTTAACTCCTGACTCTCCCAAGTATATTTTCGAACTTGATTCTTTGCTGTTGTATTGTTTATAGTTTCCAGGGGACACTTCACGGAAGTCAAAGTCAGACATTATTGAGAACACTTTCAATTGGGGAAAGTCGATGGACATCTTGACAAAGGGCTCCAAATGCACAAAGCCCGTACTTTCTACCAAAATCTTAGTGTTGAGGTTCAATAATGGATTGAGTTTGGACGAGAGCGAAGAAATTTCCTGCAAAGATGATGCACTTAGAATGACTAAATCGAATATTTTGTGATTACCATCCTTAATCAAATCCTCTAGAGTTTCGAAGTGATCAGACAAAGTAAATGTGTCTGCGCCATACTTGTTAGTTTCCACCGTATATTTCGGGGAGTTTGATCTACTAACGTGTACGAGCTGAACACTCTTGGATTGCTGGATTCTCCATGTGTACAACAGTACATTGGGATTATTTCCGATCACCAGAACCCTTAAAGAGGACATTTTTCTATTCACTCGATTATGGTATTGTTGTTGGCGGAAGGCTTATACTTCGCTCATGAAAAATTTTCCGAAATACCGGTTCGCGATATTAACAAACATCTTATACATTGTTTTTAAAACAAGGACGCTACATTGGGTTTCCCCATCTTCAGAACACCGAATGGGCTATGTGACCTCGGGTTATCCATCGAGGCCTCATAAAAGATTGCTTCCAATCAATCAGAAAGTTTATTACGAGAACTTGACTCCTAGTGATGAACGCGACAAAATCAGACTTCCGAGAAAAAAGCCAAGAATTGCTAAGAAAAGATTAACTTTGAACTCTTTGCCTCAAGACATCATCCAGAAAATATTCATATACTCCGGAAAAAACAATTCTTTACCATTCCTGAATCGATTCTTCTATGTATCTCTTCGCCCTAATGGAATTCTTATCGAAGGTTATATTTGGGAGAACTACATCTCTGATTTGAACGAACTTCTGCCAGAAAATGATTTTGTACCTATACTTGACTCTAATGTATTTCAGAATGGAATTCTTCTAAAGTACCTCAATGAGAATTCCAGCGTTCTCGATTCTGTGTTTAATGTGGTCAAGCAAGATTCCATAAAAGCACTCCAAAGAGAACGGCTCGTCCTTTATGAGGATGGTAACTTATCAGATATTCGAGGCAGTCATATCTTAGTTAATCATGATCTCGACTCGGATAAGCCTCTTCAAGACTTCCCTCACGCTTTCTATAATTGCCCAATCCTTTTCTTTCACAATGATATTCGTGAAAAGCCTCCGGTTTACAATCAATTCCTTTTGAAACTGCATTCATATTTCACGGTAAAGCAAGCATCTTGGCTTTGTGAAATGATAGTTGAATGGTTTTTCTGGAAGAATGATGGCGAATTTGGGATCAATCATCTATTTTACGCTCTGAATCTTGTGTTACACTTATCTGACCTATCAACTCATTCATTTCATAATGCGGACGTGCTCATAAGTCTTATCGTAAATTTATACTTGGAACAGCCACTGAATCTTCAGAAGCTTCTTTTATGTGAGGGATTTCAAGATGAGAAATCAATATTGGACCGTAAAGCAAGGATAATCGGTAAATTCATCAAGAAATTTTACCGTGATATGCGCTCAGTTTTATCTAATGATAATTTATGGATGATCTTACATCAGATCAAAGAGCCAAGCCTTGCTGAGGTCATTACACATTATGGCGGGGCTCCAAGCTTCAGGGTTCTTCGGTGATCATAATGACCCGAACAATACACTACCTATCAGACTTTCACCTACGTAGTTTGCTAGATCTATATAAATCACAATACTACTGGTAGTATTCCGAAAACCAAGGGTGGTTCAAAGCCTGCTTAGCACTTAGTCTTTTATCGGGGTTTAGCTTCAGGAGGCCGTGCAGTAAGTCAATCACAGAACCGTCTAACTTCTCACGAGTTTGACTTTGTAATAAAGCGCCTAAATCCTTGGGTAGATGTTGAGGAAATTGGGGGTTGTATTTAGGTAACGACGATACACCGGGCCACGTGCGTTCTGTTGGAGTTCCCATAGTCTCGAAAATGAGTTTCAATTGCTCTTCATCATTAGTTCCAGGGAAAAGTGGTTTTCCTGTTATCATTTCTGCCAGGATACATCCACAAGACCAGATGTCAATTGAAGTTGAGTAGGTTCTAGATCCCATAAGGACATCAGGAGCACGGTACCACAATGTTACAACTTCGCTCGAGAACGTATTCACTGGAATTCCGAATGCCCGCGCTAGGCCGAAATCACCGAGCTTTAATTGCCCTTTGTTGTTTATAAGCAGATTTTGGGGCTTTAAATCACGGTGAAGAATCTTGTTTTCATGGCAGAAAGCTACACCTTGCAGTAGTTGCCACTCGAAATACTTGACTAAGCTTAGCTCAAGGCCCTGTGGATTATTCCCAACAGTCCTTGAGTCCATGTACTTTTTCAAATCATTGTCCATGAACTCGAACACCAAGGTTAGTTTGTTTTCGGTGTGGATTACATCATAGAGTCTAACAATGTTCTCGTGTTTCAGCTCTTTCATTAGAGAAATCTCTCTTATCGCAGTGGAAGGCGTTCCTTCTTCAGAGTCTAGTTTGACTTCTTTCAGTGCTACGTAAACTCCTGTTGTTTTATTCAACCCTTTGTAAACCGTCGCATACGTACCATTACCCAGCTTCTCGAGCTGCTTAAATCTTCAGAAAACGTTAGTACTATTTATACATCAATTTTCAAACGACATGAACGTACTGAGAAGACGATGCCATGTGTGCCGCAGCAATTTGTAAGTTGGCCTCTTTATTGATAGATAGAACTCGGCGAACGGCCTTTTTTGGAGGGGAAAAAAGTGCGATAGATATTAATAAGGTCACGTGAACCATCTCTTGAAATGAGAAAGGCCTGCACGACAAGAACTTATAATTAGAAGGATATTAATTTTTGTGATATTTCTACAATGCCATTATGGCCTTGTTACTGAGTCAATGCCTTGTATCTTTGCGGTAAACTTTCAAGTATTCTTGTCAGTATAAAAAAAATTCAAAAAAATTTGATCGCGATGAGTTTAATTGTAACAAGAATCATGAAGCCCAGGTTTGAGTACGATGCTCAAGGACCGAGCATCCTTGGGGACGGATGGTATTGTATGTACAAAACGCAAGAGCCTGTTAGCTTCAAAATAGACCATTTCGAAACGGCTATGTTAAATGTTATTCGTCAGCCCAATATAAACTCTACAGTTATCTTAAGAGCGGACATGTTGAAGGAATGGTTGTATGATGTGAAAACGGGTGAGCGTCTTTCCTATGAGGCGCAGAATTACGAAGTCACCGACGCTGATGCTCAAACAATTAATTTGGACGACTTGGAGATTAGACAAGTTAAGGTGCATCCCGACCTGGGTTTATCCATAAAACGAGCCATGGTAAGAAGAATTATCCCTCGAAATCCTTACAAAGATGCGATCATAAATCAAACCTGTCTAGTAATGAACTCAAGACAATTTGATGAAACCTCGCTGATTGTGTACACCCCACATTTTGAAAGGAAAGAACAATGTCCGTTTTACATTCCACAAGTGCGCGTCGTAGCAATTTTACTTCATAAAGGACAACTCTCGGTACACTATATTCCTTTTGAGATTGAAGATGTTGCTGAGCTCCATGATGAGACGCAACGGGTAGTTAGAACTGCTTTACGGCTGCTCCAAACTGCGCACAAGCATTCTACTGGTGTCAAAGCAGGTTATGAAAAGAAAGTAACTCACGATCTAGTAGTAAACAAAGTTGCATTTCAAGATAGGTATATTGCATTGAAGAAAAAGTACTCTAGGTTTCTCGTGGATAACTGGGCGGAAAGTACAGATCCTAAGAAACATGTTTTTGAAGACATAGCCATTGCTGCGTTTTTAATTGAGCTGTGGATTAAAGTTTACGGGAATAATTTTAAGGAAAAGGTGGAATTCAGGGATCTTGGCTGCGGAAATGGTGTACTTTGTTACTTACTTATCAGCGAAGGAATCCGTGGTATCGGTATTGATGCGAGACAGCGTAAGTCCTGGAAAATATATCCTGCTGAAGTGCAAAACCAATTGAAGGAGCAGGTAATTATCCCCGCAATTCTGCTCAGACCGCATCCACAAGTGAAAAAACGGGCACCGCAACTTGAGCATAACGGGAGGTTTTTTCCAATTCAAGTGCACGATAAAATTGCACCTGCAACTGTCCTATACTCTAGTGCAGATCTTCTCAAATCTCCCCATGTGAACATCACTGAGTTTCCTAGAGACACTTTCATTATTGGGAATCACTCAGACGAATTGACATGCTGGATACCTCTCCTTGGATATCCATTTATGGTGATTCCATGTTGTTCACACAATTTCTCTGGTCAAAGGATGAGGTATGGTGTGAGAAAAGATCAAAACAAAAGCAGCAACAGTACATATGCAGGTCTTGTGGATCGTGTAGAATACGTTGCTGCTCGAGTTGGTTGGGAAATAGAGAAGGAAATGCTACGCATCCCCAGTACGAGAAATGCAGCGATAATAGGGATCAATAATGCACACCTTCCTTCATGGCCAACACAAGAAGTTTACGATACCATTCTCGATGATGGAGGAGCTGACGGATGGGTTGAGAATACTATGGCTCTAATGAAAAGGTCCCCCAGAGGTCATTGATACTTTTAAAAGGAAGTAAACTGTAAGCATTTAAGGTAACGATGATGCAAGATTCGAGTTGGCTTTTGACGTTTGCTATGGAAAAAACAGTCTATCCTACTTAACTATAAGAACTTAATTTCAGATAGCGTTAAATAAGATAGAGAAGTGTATAATACATCCCACTAATTAATCACGTGCTCTGAGTTTGTTAAAATTTTATTGCCATCTCGGACGTTGAAGCTCATCGATACCACACTTTAATGATTTGGAAGGTCTCTGAGGTGTGTATCAAGAGGCTTTTTCCATCAAGAGGACACTTTCAAAAGCACTGGAATAGCTTTTATTCGACAAAAGCTTCGAAAAGCATTGAATGGCCCCTTGGAAAGCCAAATTTCAATCATTTGCCGCCTGAAGAACGTAAAGACATCAACTGCCTTGACTTCTCGTTTCCCTCGAAAACAGATAATGTCTACACGAGAAATCCCACATTTAAAGATAGCTTTAGTAAAGCTATAAGAAATGTCTTCAACTCTAAAGTTATTGGTTTTACGATAGAAGAAACTGAATCAAAAACTATGGCATGGCTTAAGCTGCGGGAAAGCATATACCAACAATTAAGAGATAAAGACCTTGATATGAAAATTTCGAAATATCAACTGTCTCTTTCTGAATTAATTCATCCATCCTATCCTTCATCCCTACTGCTCCAACTTCATGCATCAGACCAAGTTAGTGACACACAGTGGAAAGCTATTCTGAAAAAGAGCGAAATCACGACAATTGATAAATACATCTACGTCATTGGGAACGTTTTTGATTTCATTTACAGACAACAGATTCTTCCTGTCGTTACGCCGGTAAAATCGAGCGCCAACAAGGAGGAGGATGTCGACATTTCAAATCCTGCAGAATGGTTTCCAGAAGCACGCAAGTGGAGAAGAGAAATAATTATGCATGTAGGACCAACAAATTCCGGTAAAACTTATAGAGCTTTACAAAGACTCAAGCATTGCAATAGAGGTTATTATGCTGGTCCACTACGACTTCTTGCGCGTGAAATTTACGAAAGGTTCAAAAATGAGGGAATCAGATGCAATCTTTTGACGGGTGAGGAAATCATTGATGAATTGGATGAGATGGGTAATCCAGCAGGCCTGACATCAGGTACAGTCGAGATGGTTCCGTTATCCCAAAAATTCGACGTAGTAGTCCTTGACGAAATTCAAATGATGGGGGATTCAGATAGAGGGTGGGCCTGGACCAATGCTCTATTGGGAGTTCAGGCTCGTGAGGTCCATCTCTGTGGAGAGAAAAGCACGCTCCCGCTAATAAAGAAAATAGTCAAGATGACTGGAGACAAACTAGTGATAAACGAATACGAAAGACTGGGCACCCTTATTGTTGAGGATGCTCCAATCAAAAATGGCTTGAAAGGTCTGAGAAAGGGTGACTGTGTTGTTGCATTTTCGAAGAAGAAAATCTTGGATATGAAGCTACGCATCGAAAAGCAAACCAATTTGAAAGTTGCAGTTGTATATGGATCGCTACCTCCAGAAACTAGAATTCAGCAAGCTACTATGTTTAATAATGGAGATTGTGACGTTTTGGTTGCATCAGATGCAGTTGGAATGGGTCTAAATTTATCTATCGAAAGAGTTATTTTCACTACCCACATGAAATTCAATGGACAAGAGATGGTGAATTTGACTTCGTCGAATGTTAAGCAAATTGGAGGACGAGCAGGACGCTTTAGGGTGGCTTCTTCAGTAGTTAAAGATATGAGAAATGAGAAAAGAGCCTCTATCGGCTATATCACAGCAATAAACTCAGAAGTATTGTCTGCTGTTAGAGATGGCATAAATGCACCCGTTGAATATCTAAATTCGGCAGTTGTATGGCCCACTGACGAGATTTGTGGTAAGCTTATGACACACTATCCAGCACGCACGAAAGTTTCGACGCTTCTTCAGACATTTGCAACCAAGGTTGAGCAACGGTCCGCGAAGCTTTTTACATTAAGTGACTTGAAAAATCGTCTCAATAACATTGGGATGTTCGAGCACTTGCACGAAATACCATTTTTCGAGAAACTACGATTGAGCAATGCGCCTGTAAAGGACTTACCTTTGGTCAAAAAAGCGTATGTCGAATTCTGTCACACTATTGCTAGGCGTGAGACAAGGTCCCTGCTCAGTTACCCCTTTTCCTTCAATATCCTTGACCTCAAATGTATCAAGAACGAAAAAATTACTCTGGAATATTATGAGTCGTTACACAATATCATTATGCTTTTCTTTTGGCTGAGCAATAGGTATTCTAACTATTTCATTGACCAGGAAAGTGCATATGAGCTGAAAAACATTTGCGAAATGATCATTTTCGAGAAACTGGATAGATTAAAAAGAAATCCTTACGCAAACCGCGGGCCACCAACGGCTAATGCTCTATCGCACTTTACACCTCGGAGACAAAAGCAGCATTAAGACTTGTACATAAACTTAAGATAAATCGATCATGCATATTTTGGATGTATAATCTGAAGTTCATTTCATATGGGGATATCATTCCCTTGTATATATATATGTCGAGCTTTCCGATGATAAGTCTATATCAATGATCACGAAAAACAGAATGATAGTATAAGTTTTACGTGGTTATTCCTCTTTCTTGAGAACATGGAACCTTGTGACGTTAGAAAAGTTGGCAAAACTCGAGCTTAGGACTTAGATTGCAACTTTTCGTAGTCCAAGATCTGCTTCGTAGAATCATAGATAGTGACATCAAATGGTTTGAATTCTACACCGGTTAGTTGGCATGTCTCGTCGTTATTATAATAATAAATTTTGTCAAGGTATGGCTTGTTATCCTTTATATCACCAGGCGAAATTTTGCCTCTAAGTTCAGGAAATTTGGTATTCATGACGTCGAGAACCCTCTGTAGATTGAATTTTGCGTCCTCGTAATCACGTTGTTTCAACCCAGTTCCACTGATAGGAAACAACCGATGCCCAGCTAGATTCTCATTTCTCAAGGGTAGCATATGTAAAAGTGCGACGTCGCGAACATCGCATGCAACACCATTGGGAACATCAAATGGGCCCTTTGATGCAGGTGTGCTTTGTAGGGCTTGGTTTACGATCTCAGCAGAAGTGTTGAGAGACGAGCGTTCAAGCCCCCAATCAAACATTTGTGGACCGAGAACATATGGAGGTGTAACTGTTGTAATGGTGAAATTTACATCACTTTTGTTTTCCTCGAGAAATTTCCAAGATAGTTCTTCTGCAAGCTTCTTGGATGCAATATATGAAGTAATTTCATTTGCCTTAGCTATATCCCATGTTATTGGGTTCCAGGTCTTTTCCGTGTGAATAAAACTAGAATCGCCCTCACGGTCCAAATTCAAAATTGACGCAAAAGATGATGTAATTACCACATGTTTTACGTTTTTACCCAAATTCTTGGTCGACTCTAAGATGTTCCTTGTGCCGTGAGTCGCTGGAATCAAGTACGTTTCTTCCATCGACTTGCCCGAACCGAATGAAAACGGGGAAGCAGTGTGTAGAATGTGTTTAATATCAGGGTATTTCTTCAAAATACCATCAAAGGCATGAGCTGCTGCAACATCTGGCACAATTTCAAAATCCAATTGTGCGTAAGGATACAATTCTTCAAAGGACTTTTTAATTTTTTCCCCTTTGTCTTTTGAGCGCACAGTTCCGATGACATGAAATCTCTCAGAAAGTAAAACATCTAAAATATGCAGGGCGATGAAACCTGAAGCACCTGTCACTAAAACCTTTTCGTCTGCCTGTAATGAAGAATTCATTGTAAATAAATTATAATTATAATTACTATTGTTTTCTTTCTTATTTACAAGAAAAACATATCCTTATATCCCTGTCGTTCTAAAGCAATCTTTAAACCGCGCGAAATCTCGACACCCTATGATCAGTCCGGGTACTCTTTCACTGCAGTAAAAGTGCGTTTCTCTGAGTGGAAAAAAGTTACGATGAAGGAGCTTGTTCTCCCCGAACGAGAAATAGGGTATCCATATTTTTAATCGTAGTGGCCACTCTGCTTGTTGTGTCGATGGGTGTCGGCACCCCATTATTATCTAAGTAGAGGAACAACTTTTCTTTTGTCGTCGATTCAGCACGATTATTGTAGTTTTGGATATCAAATTGGGAAGCTATGTAGTCCAGAACACGTCCTACTGGCCAGATCTTATTGATGAATAATTCATGCTTGACATGCTCGTCACTTCGATCGACGACATAGCAAAAGATGTATATCCTATTATCTTGTGGAATCTTTCCGTCACCAACCGCACTCTTTTTCATTTTTGCAAGTTGTATAATTTTGGTGGAGGGACTCGTTTTCGAAGTCTTCTTTGAATGGGCACTGCGGTTCCTGCTAAAGAATTGTTTTAACTTATCCAAAGCAGTAGTATTGCCGGATTTCACTAAGCGCTCCCTTAAGGAGTCAGATGCCGCCTTGCGTGAATCAGGTGGTTGTTGCACCCGTATATATCCTTTCTCTGGTAGTAAAGACTGGAAGTACCGACCGTTCTCGTTTTTGGGAGATGGAGCAGAGTTTGCATCTTCAACGTTCTGATGCTCTAGCAACCATCTACAATGATGGTCCTCTTTCAGCCTGTGTAGCTGACAGAAGTCACCATTACAGCGCGAGCAATGGAATGGAAGGAAGTCCAACTGGCGACAAAACTTACAATGCGTTCCCACATCTAACATTCCTACTTCTTTTTGACTCATCTTTTCAACTTTTTACTTGAATAAGCTTGTTAAATAAAGCATAGAGCTGAATCCCTCGAGGAAGCCGTACCTCGTTTTTTATACGCGAAAACTAATCAATTTGTCATCTCAGCGGCGATGCCTTTCTGTGATTCATTCTTGAATGTTCTATGGATTGACTTCGTACGTAGCTACATCAAGTGTCATGTACATGTTTACGGCGGTTTGGAGCGTAGCGGCTTGGAGAATAGATCATCCTAGGCGATGAAGTGTCACTAGCAAGTGTTCAGCATTGGATTAGAGCTAGGTTCAATTCCGGAAAAGCTAAGATATGTACCCGGCTCCTCCTTTTCGATTTTAACCTTCACTATTTTTTGATTTCATATTCTCTTTATAAGGAATGCCAAAAGTGGCGAAGAGCTCAGTCAATCGTCAAGTAGACACGTATTACCATGCATATTTTATATTCCTGACAATATATTTTGATGACGAAGATGCAGTTTTCTGTGGTTGATATTTGCTTAAGAGAGAATTGTGAAACCGCTTTGGACTAAAAAGAATTCTTCGTCTAGTTCTCGGCTCGTCAAAGGTTATTATTGATCCTAACGAAAAGAGCGGATACAGTTATGCAGAGATGCTTAACCCTGAGCGAAAGGTTGGAATGTACTCAGTTAACGCATAGCCAACCATGTGAGAAGAAATATTTCAAGGACAGGCGCTTTCCGAGTCTGACGCACAAGTAAGGTCTATAATCTCGATCACCTCTGGTCGACTGGAGTTCTTTTTGAGATCTTTGTCTTTTGGATCTAGATCAGAATCACTCTCTATTTCGATGAAATCAAGGTTCTCTGCCAAAGGCTCTACCGTTTCCGACTTTTCTGACTCTGCGCACCACCTTGCATCTCTGGCCCTCTTCTCAGCAGCCAAGTAAGCCATTTCCCTGGGCGTCTTATCACGAAGTCTAAGGGAGATTTGAGCACTACCAACAGCACTTCCTAACCTTCTAGGCCCGAATCTTGATTTTGGTTGCATCCCGAGCTTTCTTCCCGTGCCAATAAAGCTATCAAATAAACCCTGCTGCTCTATAGTCCACTGTCTACCCATGAATTCATCTAGCTTTTTGTAGAAGCTAACATTGTGAGGTCCAAAAAGGTTGTGTGTCAATTCATGAAGCATTGTAGCAAGAATAGACTCTCTTGACAAAAATTCACTTTCATCATTAGGATGTCTTAACCGCAACATGATCTTGGAGCCACCATTGACATTCATACCCAGCAGTCGTTTATTCTTCGGATAGAATTCCACTAATTGCCCCACCCTTAGTTTATTCTCTCGCATTAAGTAAGAAACCTGGTGGGCTATATCCCTAATAATATTGAGGGCGTACTCTCGATTAGGTTTCCTTTGCAGGACCGCCAACTTTTCTATATGCGCATTCTTTTGAATAACCATGACGCGAGGGCCTCTATCTGATATCACTTTCTATCGAGAACCCACGGCCATGTGTAACAGACGAAACCTGAAATTTTACTGGGATTATCCACTTGAGCTAACTGCCCGGACCTTCTTAAACTTCTCGAAACGCACAAAGAACAATTTAGTGTAAGCTTAAATGTATCAGTGGTACAACCGCGCTTCTCTTTCTAGGGGCCAATTGTTTTTTACAAACGCCTTTTCGTTTGCCTTTTTTTCGGCTTTTTCGTTTTGGTCGGTTTTTAAGCCCTGCCGTTGTTAAACACTTTTACGATCTGAAAGGCCTTCAACATCATTTTCTCCCAACAGGATCTCTCTTCCTTCTTTCTATTTGAAAAGACGTACTAGGTATCACGATTAGCGATGGTCAAACGGAGGAATAACATAGCCAATGGAAACTTCAGCAGCAGCAATGACTCTATTAGAAATTTGACCAAGCCTCAACTATACGGCTTGTATGATGAAGATGTTGTGAACAGTGAAGATGCCGAAATTTACGAAGAGGCCAAAAAGTCTGTGGGAAAGTTTGCAGAAGAAGGGGAAGGAAGTAGCTGGGAATCTGGAAATCGTACTGGTTTGCAGAAGTTCATTCACATCCTCTTTTCATTAACGTTTTTGAGCATTGCTGGGATATCTTACAATGAATTGAGCAAACAGCTCCATGACAACCACGCGTTACATCCTGAGTTTGCATCTAGGCCATTGGCTTTGGGTGTGGAAATCTGTCAAAAGATGAGTTTTGGAGTTGTTCCCACATGGCTCGCTTACTCCTTGGAAGGTGTATTGTTTGGCTCGCTGTTGCCACTTATTGATAAACTTTGGGGCCAGTCTGTAAAGCAGACTACCTTCACCTCTATCTTGCGGTCCACAAACGCTATGTTAGGTGTTGCATTCGGTATCCGGAAGATAGAATGGAGCTCGTCACTTCAAGCTAGTGGCGCTTGGTTTCTATTGAATATTGTTCTTTGGATGTTCTTTGATGGTACGCTTTCTACCTTATTTGGCTGCCTGAGTATTGGCACAGTCGCGTCCGTGACCTGTTACCAGGATGTTACGGAATACTCGCAGCTATTGTACTTTATGGATTTCTATTTTCTAGGATTATTGCTGTTCGGCAAACTGGGAAGATATTTGTACAATCACTAGATTTTGTTCTCTGTATATTACCTTACCATCAATAGTCGGTGAAGATCCTCTCATCCAGAATTTGGAACTACTTGAAATTATAGCATTGTGCAAAACTTAAAACAACTATTTAATGGGTGATCTCGGTGGTGGACCACTTGATATACTACCCTGTCTGCGAATCTCTTTAGCATCCATGCTCCCTGCGCTGCTACTTAGCCTCCTTTTTATTATACTCTCTCTGAGCCCGCTCGGATTTGTCACGGGTAGGTGGCTGTCGTCTGCAGAGTTTTGCTGCAGATCGTCCGACCTTACTCCAGCTTTACTCAACGCATAGTCGCCACTATCGAAGTACCTTCTTTCGTGCAGCTTGTGTTTAAACAAATCTTTCTTAGAAGGGAGCTTTCCGTACAACTTATATAGCTTCAACTCTTGTGGATTCAATTTTGAGATGTCAATTGCTTCATTGATATTAGAATTGCTCGAAGTTGGTGATAAATCATTTTCTTTGCTCATTTCCTGCAGCTTTGTTTCAGAACGTCCCTCTCCGCAGCTTGTTGGCCTAAGATTGATCGATAATCTTTTATTAGAACTCCCTGTTAATTATCATTAGCAAAAGCATAGTCACTATATACGTTTGATCCTGTTCATGCCGGGAAGTTGGCTAGGCTGCCTATCCTCTTCATATTCACCACGTATGTGCTGCATATATTAGCAGAACAATTGAACAGAATCTTTGGTGATTATTTAGTCGCATACAATTTGATACATGATTTATGACCTTGTCAGACGAACATCACGTTAAACGGTTAGAAAACTCTAATGTTCTTCATTATCCCATGCATTACCAGAGAAATTCACCGCATTTCAAAAGGCACAAGGGCCAGGATGATGTGGCTATTGTTACCTATGCTGTTTCTCACAGCAAAATGCACATCCAGAGCTGATTATTCAGGTCAAAAGGTGTGCAGGTTTCACACCGATAACTTCACAGAGGTTGTGAATCTAGTTCAAAACTTCCAACAGGACCCTGTTGATGTGTGGGCAAGAAGTCCGAGATTCATCGATGTGAGGGTTTCACATGAAGCAGCAACCAAGTTAGAGGGCTGTGAAGTAATCATAGAAGATCTTGCAAAGACAATCGAGGATACATACCCCCACGAAGCAGATAACATGAAGTCTCTTGAACAGCAGTTGTTCGAACAAAGTGCACCTCAAGACGTCTTTTTTGATCAGTTCAGGGACCTGGATACTATCTATGCTTGGTTAGATTTGATCCAGCTGACTTTTCCCGACCTAGTTAAAATTGAGTGGGTAGGTCAAACATTCGAGGGTAGGGATATGAAAGCTCTTCACATCAGCGCTGGTAACACGGAATTAAACCCTGACAAGAAGACAATTGTCATTACTGGAGGGGTTCATGCGCGTGAGTGGATCGGTGTCAGCACGGCCTGCTACATGATACATAATTTACTGACGGGTTATGGCGTCAACAAGAAGGAGACTAGATATTTGGACCATTTGGATTTCCTGATTATTCCTGTCTTCAACCCAGACGGTTATGTGTATTCATGGACTCACGATCGTCTCTGGAGAAAAAATCGTCAGCAAACATATTTCCCACGTTGTTTTGGTATTGATATCGATCACTCCTTCGATTTCCACTGGACCGGGTCTCAAAACTTCCCCTGCAGTGAGGACTATAGTGGAGAATCACCCTTTGAGGCATTGGAGGCCGAATCATGGAACAATTACATCAACATGACGAAGAGCGAGTATACAATCCATGGCTACCTAGATCTACATTCCTATTCACAAGAAGTACTGTATCCTTATGGCTATTCCTGCGAAGCATTGCCTCGAGATTTAGAAAACTTGCTGGAGCTCTCTTATGGTCTTGCTAAAGCGATTAGAAAAAAGTCGGGCAAAAATTACCATGTGTTGTCCTCTTGTGAAGATCGTGGGTCAGATTTGACACCTGGTTTGGGTTCCGGGTCAGCTCTAGACTATATGTACCATCACCGCGCCCATTGGGCTTTCCAATTGAAGTTAAGAGATACAGGTAATCATGGATTTTTGCTTCCTCCTAAGTTCATTTTGCCAGTAGGAAAGGAGGCATATGCGGCCCTAAAATATTTTTGTGACTTTATATTGAATCCGGAACTATAAGTAAGTACTATGCAGTGAAATCAATTGTTCTTTAGTTTTTCGTACACTCTGTATCGTCTGCTTGCGAAATAGATTCCAATGACCACTAGTGATATGTACACCAAAGTTCCATAAAGATCAACTGGAATCCCAAGCTTCATATTAACCACAGACACATTTATGGGTATATCTACAGCTTTCAGAGGAGGGTAGGACTCTCCTATAACGTCAAAATATATGAATATACGGGCGTTATGTTCATCAACAGTGTCCTGGAACTTTGTCATATGCGGTACAATTTTATAGCCCGTTTCGTCAATAAAAACAGGATTTAGTGCTGTCCAACATATTTTTATTTGATAATTTTCGCCCACACTGACATCTTTAAGCTCAATATAATAGGTGGAATCGACAGGAACAGAGAAAGTTTTAGTTTGGTGATTTATTCCTTTCAATGATATAGTTGGATGAGTGACTTCGGGAACCTCGTTAGAGGCCAAAGGAAATTCGGAAGGGATATGAATTATAAAAGACTCTGTATTTGCACATGCTAGTGAAGCATAGTAAGCGAAAAGTATGATACCCAGTATATTCATCTCTAGTCTGTTTTCTTTGGTGAAAATATAACTCGACGTGTAAAAAAATTAAGGAAGATTTTACTTGATCAGACTACAATAAAAGAGATAAATCACGAGAACTGACTGCACATGAGTAACCGTACTGTTGAAGATCTTGACTTATTTGATCAGTATGTTCGCGAAGTGGACGGACAAGACTACGACGATGACGTAGAGATTCTAAGAGAAGTCGAGCTGCATTTGCAAACCTATCACAACGGGCGGCATCGGCAACGTCAGGAAGGTCCACAGCAACCACTACCGAATGTGAACGTGAATCCCCATGGTCGTAATCAGCCCCAGTGGCCCCCATTTATACAAAGAAGGCGATACCTACGACTTTTGATCCAGAATTTGTTGATGTTGGATCACCTGCTGATAGTGGTGCTTTTCCCATTTTCTGTCTACAATATCTTGAGGGTTTTATTTTGTGAGGTAACGTTCTCTGAGAATGACTTCCTGCCTATGATCGCCTACTACTGTAAGGCTATCAAGATTAGAAGCACCGAAGGTTACTCCTTCCTCTTACAGAGGCACGGCATGGGGCTGCTCGGCAAGTTTAATAACATCGTAATATACTACACATTGCCTGCATTCCAGTGGATAAACACAAAGCTTCAAATTGGAAACATTGCAGACACTGCATATTCCATTATGGTGAAAATATTCACAGTGGCTTTATACACTTTCTATGGTGTTGGCGCAAGTACTTATTTATGCTTTGCAACGTTTTTCTTCACATTGTGCATTATGATAACGTTTTTTCGCCGTTACAAAGGCGTCGAGAGGATAATGAGTCACCTATACCAGACAACAAACGGTGTTTTCTAGCAATGGGCCCTCAATGCGTGTTTGACCTAAACTTACTCTAATTATGCGGCTGAAACGAGACAGCGTCAAAGCCCCATTCTTGAATTGCGTCGAAAATCTCGTGTGCTCAAGACACCAAGTGGTTGCAAATGCGTATCAGTTGGCATGCATTCGGAAGATCACCAGTTTCATCCGTTTACTCTTCCGATGGCTTTTGGTGAACCAAGTAAGAGAAGCCGATGAAATACTGCACGTGATCGTACGATGTGGGTAATAATTTCCTCGGAATTTATTTCTGTTTTATGATAGACCTTTATTGTTGATGGGAACCGAGATACGAGGATATAGTGCTAGGATGCGACATAAAGCACCTTATAAAAACGGCTAAGCTTGGAGACCCAGCGAATAGTGCAAATTTTGACTAATATAGGTACTCTGAATAAATACATGAAGTTAAACGCAGTAACTTTAGCGATTCTCGGTGGATGCGAGTTGGGACTTTGCCATAACGTCCAAGAAACGGGCTCCCTCGAAGATATGTGGGGCCAAGATTGGCCGTTCACCGGCATTCAAACGTTTGCTCATTTACCACATGAAAGGTGTTTGTTAAACACGGACTTGGAGTTTGACGTTGGTATTATTGGTGTACCTTTTGACACTGCCGTGTCATTCAGGCCCGGGGCACGTTTTGGTCCTGAGGGCATTCGGAGAGCGTCGCAACGGCAGACGTCGATGCGTGGCTTCAATTTTAGGGCTGGCATCAACCCTTATCAAAATTGGGCAAAAGTCATGGATTGTGGTGACATACCGGTTACTCCAATGGACAACCACTTGGCCTTGAAGATGATGGGTGCTGCTTATGACAATCTTCTTGGCAGAAACAGCTCTACTGAAAAGTCCACTCTTCCCCCAAGATTGGTCTCTTTGGGCGGCGATCACAGTATTCTTTTGCCCATTCTGCGTTCCCTACACAAGGTGTATGGTCCTGTCTCAGTGATCCATTTCGACTCCCACCTAGATACCTGGGCGCCAACAAAGTATCCGTCATACTGGCACAGTGAGGAGTCTGAGTTCACGCACGGCTCGATGTTATGGCTCGCTAAGCAAGAAGGACTTTTGTCCGAATCTCATAATGTACACGCCGGACTCAGGACCCGTTTGAGCGGTACTGATTGGGAAGATTACGATGAGGATGACGAAGTCGGATTCCACAGAATTCAATGTGATGAGATCCTCGACATCGGAGTAGACGGCATGGCTCAGAAAATTCTGTCCTTCGTGCCCAAGGATGTGCCTGTGTATATCAGTGTTGACATCGACGTGTTAGACCCAAGTGCCGCTCCAGGCACAGGGACTATGGAAGTTGGCGGGCTGCTGACCCGTGAACTTATCAGCATCCTGCGTAAATTAGAGGATCTGAACATAGTCGGTGCTGATATCGTAGAAGTTTCACCTGCATATGACCATGGGGATATTACATCACTCGCAGCTGCTCAAGTCGCATACGAAATTATCACGAGCATGGTTAAGAAGGGTCCTATAGAGTCTTCGATTGTTGAGCGGAACAAGAATCAGAGTTCTTCCGAGGCTCCATTGCTACAGGATCATATTGAACGTCCTCGAAAGGTTCTTCTAGGCCCACATGGACAATCTCTGGAAGCTTTAGAACGTGAACAAGTCGTTTTCGATTCACAGATCTCCCTTCTTTAGATTTACCCTTTCGGCGATATGATGGCCAATCCGGACTGTGCTTTGTTTGTAAAATTCTTCGCATCCGTTGTTTCGCACGGATGCGGCATGTCTAAACGTCTTTAACGGCCCGTTTTAAGCCGGAACTATCCTAAAATGTAGCGTCTGGAATTTAAAGCATCCCGGAAACTGTAAATTCAACTCCTGACAATCAGGGACAGGAATAAGTATATGAGCATACATAATCTTAAATTGATTTAGCATAAATTAAACGTGTGGACTGTATTGCTAATAGCGAATTCTGGACTTCTTTCCTTTTCAATACTATTTCGTATTTTGCTATAGCGTGAGTTTATTATTTCCTAGCGGGAAAAACTGAAAGCACAAGGGTTCGTGTTTGTACACTCACCATCACTTGTACAAGGGCCGGTAGCTAAAGGACTGAACTTTTGAAGTCTTGTAGTTGGTTTACATTTTTGTTTCGATTTGAAGAGTGCATAAAGTCGATATGGCTGCCGTGGTTGGCATGAGAAGATCTCTCGCCAAGCAAGGGAATATTGGCAAGACCAAGTCGGCTTCCTCCAGCACCTCAGTATCATCTTCAGAGGGAGCCACAACTAATAGTGATAACAGTGACGGCTCTAATCGTAACAGCCAAAGTGTTCCCGGCGCTCTTTGCGACCAGGGTGAGGAAGACAATGTGCTAATGTGGATAGATCCGTTACCGGCAAAGCCTCCGGCCTACAGGAGCTGTAATCCCAACACGCGCGTACGCTTTCCTGTATTCGAACGCTTGGACAACGGACTTCTTCCTGCTTACTCTCCTGCAGTTGAAGAGATTACGGTTGTATCAATGAAACTGGAGTGGATATCGCCTTATGAACCTTCTCCTAGTCGGGGCTGGAAAAACTTCATTATGGAAATTAACTCAACACAACTGAATTTTTACTACATAGACCCTTTTCTAACAAGAGGGATTAAGAACTATTGCAATGGTAGAGGTCATTTTGGCGGTGACGGGGACTTGCCAATGGAATTTGATTCTCATCATTCCATTTTCTCGTCACTTGCCTCCAAGAACACTTATCAATTCAACAAGTACGACCAGGAGTGGATGAGCAGCAAGATTAAGGCGGATAAAGCTAGGTTCTTATCTGATGATCGACTTTTCCGCTCTTATTCGTTGCAATTTGCGAAATTTGGCATTCCTACTGATTATAATCGCAAAACTTTTGTTTTAAGACTTCGCTGTGAACTAGAACAGTTTATACTAAGCTTTGCTCATGTGGACGATATGATTTTGTGGAGCATGTACCTGAGCATTGGCATAGGAGTTTCCCTCGATCTAGATTTTAGGGAGTTTCCGAATTATAGAACTGTGCCTCGTCGGCGTAGGCGCAGGAGAAGAAAAAGACATAATCCTCTTATATCAAGGTTGGATGGCAATTCAAGACCTACCACTCCTAGAAGAAATACTACTGAAGACGTCACTGTTTTTGGTCAGTCAGTTGCTCAGCGGAGGCTAAGCTCGGGATTGGCGAAGTTAAGCCCCAAAAACACCTCTTCTGGTAACTCGCTTATGTCCAAGTCATCCCCTAGCAGTCGGAGGGGTAGCGACAGCTCCATAAAGTCAAAGCTCAAGAGTCTCTTCAGCTCTGAAAAGAAAAATACAATGCCCATTTGTAGACATACACACTCAAGAACTAAAAGTATTGGAGCACTCAATTCTGTTACAGAAGATGATGAAGAGGAAGATCCGCTGGCTTCTCCATCATCTGTTTCAGCCTTGCCTAAGCATGCAGATCAGCCGTCGAGACCGGTCTTGGAACAACGTTCTAAGTCGATGGGGCCACTCAGTTCCCAGAGTAAGCCCAAGAAGAATGCAGAAGTATCTGAACTTTCATTTCAGTCATCAATGGTTCCAGATATTAGCATTTCCCCATGTAATGAATCTTCAACTGACGGGGAAACTACTTTATCTGGTGAATTACAATCCCATCCTGACTGTCATCACAGTTTGTCGTTGCAGCATGAGCTAGAAGAATTGCAGCAAGTCATCCAAGAGCATAACGATCAGGGAAATGAAGACGACGATGTCCCTGAACAGGAACATGGAGAAGAGAGTGACGAAGAGGAGGAACGGGATGAGCTTGTGAGCAACGAAATTGAGGATGATGATGAGGACATCGATAGCGTGCAGAGGAATGAGGGCACCAGAGCATCTTCCATTTATCAAGAAGAAGGCATTTTCCATGACAGTGATGATGATTACTATTACGTTGTTGATCGCAGAGCGGACTTTAGACGTCGTGCCTCCTCCGTAACGAGCAACTTGAGCAGTACCCCTTATGGTAGTGATGAAGTCAAATGGAATCCACCAAGGAAGGAGCTTTCGAGAAGAAGATATATAAGAGATTCGTTGCGTTGCATAAAACCATTACCAGAAGATGAGGAATGGTTGGGAAAAGTGGCAGTTCGAGCATCTCCGCCGCCGGAATTTAAGACGAATAATCCACCACGGTCTGGATTTTTCAATAATTCAAATGGTAAATCAGGCTCTTCGAGGTCCAGACTAAGTACTAGGTCGAGCACCGAATCGAGCTTGGTTTTGAGTAAATGTAAAAACCATTATTTAAGGCCGTTCATTGTGGGGCCGGTCGGACTTTTGAAGACAAACGCCAGATGAAAAAAAATATTACAGCATCCGTGTATTACAGATCCAATTAGCAGTTACGATTTTGCCAGTTTATAGATAACTAAGTGTTTTATTATTTGTGTCAGTTTAGTATGTTAACAACTTAATGAATGCATTTGAATGTTAAGTACAAGTTGAAAAAAATGAAAAATGTGAAAAGTCCACATATACATTAAAATTATTAAGTTATACCAATGTTAATAGGCCTCGGATCTAAGGCGACAATCTTGAACTGAGCCACAAATTAAAAAGTAGAGATACCATACGAAAGAGTCACTTGAAGCAAATGGGTCCAATAAAACTATCTAAAATGCGATGAGAAAACATATCAGGAAATGATACAATGTGGATCCCATGCGAAACCGTGGACAATCCAATTGTCTTTGTTTTCAGTGGTGTCTTTTTGGGTGGCTTGAGTGGAAGGCTTCATTAGTCTCTAGTGAATTTGTGTTCCTGGAAGATGTGATCCAAATGAAAACAGAGCTGCAGAAGTCAACATCTCAGACTTGTACTTATACATCACTCAGTTGGAAAGAACAGATCTTTTTCACTGTTCCCGAATACATTTTTACTTTTAATAAAACAATAATTAAACATTCTCTGAACTAGGGTTCATCCTCATGGTAAAATCCCAGTAAATTACCCTTTTTGGAGGTCGTAATTAAAGGAGAAAATGGAAACGTAATGTCCAGCACTTAACCTGAACAGTAACTGACCATATAAGCTTTCTTACCACATCTGTGATCTGTTATTTCGGAGAGTCTTTTTTTCCTTATTGGGCGGTGCAAATGACCGCAACAGGCATAAACGTCAAAGATACTTCTGTATTCAATATAACAGATATACTGCTAAAAGTAAGTAAACCACACAGAAAACAAAAGGAGCAGACTTATTAAATGGATTAGCATCCTCAGGATTACTTTCGAGAGGTGCAAAAATACTTTGACTGGCTTCCGGAGCCCCATCTCCTTGATGGAGATAACCAACAAGATGCCTTATGATCGGTATACCATCTGAATTGAGGTTAGTAATTTGCATATTAGTCTCACTTGAATCTATTCACAGCAACTTACCGGTTCGTATCCTTGCCCCAGAAAAGAATACACTTTTGAAGAAAACGCCCATCAACACAAGCGCCAGAGCTGTTTTAAAGAACGTTCGATGAGTTTTCAAAGCATTAATATCCAGACCGTGATTTTTCTTGGCCACAGTCATTGCGGCCTTTTTGAGTCTCCTCGTGGTTTGTATGTAATGCTTAGTTATTGTCAACGACGGCCTTCAGAGAAACTCAGGCCCACAGAAGATCGTCAATAGTGCCAAATGTCCTTCAATTTGGCATCTTTAACTAATATATTACCATTGTTGTTCTATATAGGTGTTTCTGCTTCTTGTACACTGCATAGAAAATTCCTCTGCGTCTTTCCTTCTTGTCTATACTTACAATTTTAATTCTGTCATTTTACCGCCGGTTTAACTTGCGATATTTCTTCGGCAACTTCAATTTGTAGAAAACTCAATTCAAAATCTCGAAGGACAAATGACATCTAAGCGAACTTTGAAGGAAATCCTAGATTCAGAATACGTGGAGGACAGTGATGAAGAACAAGTACAATCTCCATCTGGTGTGGAGAGTGAATGTGAGGAAGAACCAGATCCATCATTATGTATCGAGTGTACAGATATGAAAACTGAGGTTATCTGTAAGGATTGCCAAGAGCACTTTTGTGTTGTCTGCTTCGGCATGATCCATAGGAATGGTCGAAGAAAGGCACACGATTTTATCAAATTAACAGCAGGTGACGCTGAGAGGCCGGTTACCGAGGACGAACAAAAGACTCTACAAGATGCTACGAACATGAAGCCCAAAGAAGAAGTTGAAGATGGCCATAGTAAGGTACAATCAATGCTAATCGACAAGACCTCAATCGACGAAAAGATGCTCGCCATGTTGGCAAACCATGCGAAATTCATACCTATGCGGCTTACAGGAGAGGAAAGACACTTATTGAGGCTATTAGAAGCTGCTTTGCAGGTTTCTGAATATACTGATCGTGTCGATATTTTATCGTACAAGTCTAAAGCAAAGAGAATTGTGGAACAGTTGAAAGAAATGTGCTCAGTTCTGTGCGGTTTGGTTATTGCCTCAAGCTTGAAAGCTGGGCAGAAACTGTTGGAGATGAAAAACTTTAATGACAATGCGGAGTGGTTTCAGCATGTCTTTGAAATAGGACGGCGTTATAAGATTATGAATCCCGAGAAGATGCGGGACACTTATGGTAAGCTATGTTACATGGTTATGGATTCTCGGCTGCCTCAAATCGAAGAGCATATGGAATTTCATCTTTACGAACCGATCAAAACAGTACATACCTTTTTGACCAGCAGACCCGAAGATAATGGGAACGCTCTGCACATGTTTGAGGATAAATTGATTCTCTATGCAACTTCTCAAATTTCACCAACGGGGAAGACTAGATCCGAAATAAGTCGTCTGATCAAACAAAAAGAATCTGCAATCGAGAAACTGGCCTCGAAATACTGCAGCAAACACTATTCTAAAGATGATATTCGTCAAGTATTATATTCTATTGGTGACTATAATGCCTATATTAACATGAATCGCCGGCCAATCATGAGAATGCTCGAAAGACTTGAAGTCTTTCGTTCATCTGAAATAGCTTCGAAGTATTCCATAGGTATCCATTACGGTAGAAATGGAGCGCGGTTGACTCACGACCACAATAGGCAAATGCATTACGTGCAGCAGTCACTAACGCTGTGGTCAGTGATACAAAGAGAAATGATTCACTTGTGGTACATTGCAGATCAGGATCTTTACAGCCCTACAAGTTATAGACTTGCGTCGACCGGACAAGGATTGAATAGAATAAAGGCCTGTCCTGCCCTTTATAGGGAAATGCACAACATTCTCAATGAATGTCGGTCTAAATGTGATGCCTGGGTTGGATCTTCTGTCATCCATCTGGGTGACGATGCGGTCCCCAATGCATTATTCTTCTTGGACAAGTACACCCAAGTGCCTAATATCTTGATACCGTTTGATCAAACGCTTTTGAAAATCAATGACCTTGTGAAGAATGACCCTAACATGCTAGAATATGTGAATAAAGAATATGGATCACCTGAAGGTCTCAAACTCACAATTCTTCAGGATGCATTTGCGCACATGTTTGATGGTTCAGGTGCTGATAATTTTTACATGAGCGGATCTTGCATTGACGGGAGATTAACCTCAGCTTGGAATCACACCAATGAAATTTCCAAAAAGAAATATTACAATATATTTCTAATGACTGGATTTATAGGATTTAACGGAACCGAAGGGTTTTAGTCACTATATAAAGTGGAGTTATTTTATTTTCAAAGTTTCCTTTTTTTTTTTTTTTTTTTTTTTTTTCTATATTTGACATTTCGCGTTGCGAAAAGTGGTCGAACATCAACATTTTCGATGCAGACATCATGGGATGAAAACGATAACTTTAGTCTGGCATGAGCGATCAAACTGAATTATACAACCAGCCAATTGTTTTAGATAATGGATCTGGTATCATTAAAGCTGGTTTCAGCGGTGAAGATAAGCCGAAATGTTTTGAGTATTCTATTGTGGGGACACCGAAGTACAACAAAATCATGGCGGGAGGACTGGAAACAGATACTTTTCTCGGGAATAAAGCACAGGAATTACGTGGACTCTTGAAACTTCATTATCCCATTGAGCACGGTGTTGTTGAAGATTGGGCTCATATGGAGATGCTGTGGTCGCATGTTTTTGATAAGGGTCTTGAATTAAGTAATGTGGAAGATCATCCAATTTTGATGACAGAAGCGCCTCTAAACCCGATGAAAAATAGAGAAACCATGTGTGAAGTACTCTTTGAATCTTTCAACATTCCGGCCGTGTATGTATCGATTCAAGCTGTATTGTCTTTGTATGCTAGCGGAAGAACAACCGGGTGTGTATTGGATTGTGGTGATGGATGCTGCCATAGTGTTCCTGTTTTTGATGGGTTTTCACTTGCATCTTCTATCCGTAGAATAGATATTGCCGGCCGGGATATTACAGAGTTTTTGCAGTTGCTTTTAAGGAAGACGACTGGCGTGTCACTTTTTTCGAGCAGTGAGAGAGAAATTGTTCGTCTCATAAAAGAGAAGGCATGCTACGTAGCAACAAATATTGCAGAAGAAGAAGGGAAGTACAAATTATCAAGCTCAGAAACATTGTCCAACTTCAAGTTACCGGATGGAAAATTACTCTCGCTTGGGGCTGAGAAGTTTCGTGCGCCGGAGATTTTGTTTCAACCCCAGCTTATAGGCTCAGAATTCGAAAGCCTACCGGACATGTGCTTTCAAAGTATTATGAAAGTTGATTTAGACTTGAGATCTTCACTTTTTTCAAATATTGTTCTCAGTGGAGGAACCACTATGTTTCGAGGTTTCGGAGATAGACTTCTTAATGAGCTTCGAGCACTAACGGAACCTAACACAAAAATTAAAATATTCGCTCCTCCCGAGAGAAAATATAGCACTTGGATTGGTGGATCCATCTTAGCAGGGTTATCGACATTCAAGAAGATATGGGTGACGAGGTCAGAATGGCAAGATGACCCTCAATGCATTCATTCACGTTTCATGTGAAACTAATTTGTGTGAAATTAATTACATTCTATAAGTCTAACTTAATAATAACGGTTAATTATACAGGTTGGAGTTATAGATACGTCTAGATGCAATAATATCTATCTCCAAAGTCACCTAGACCGGGCGCCAAGTACTTGTTTTCATCTAAACAAGCATCAATAGCACCAGTAACAATTTTGACATTAGGGAATTTGCTGTGATAGTTTTCAATACCTTCTGGACTGCAAATCAAGTTCAAGAAGAAAATTCTTTCAGGCTTCACACCCCTCTTTATCAAGACATCAGTCGCCATCATCGCACTTCCACCGGTAGCCAACATAGGGTCCAAAAGGAAGACGTATCTATCGGCAATGTCATCAGGAAGCTTTTCATAGAACAGCTTAGGGAGGGCGGTCTCTTCATCTCTTTGAATCAAAATTTTACCGATACGGACAGATCTGCAGCACTCCCTCAAGCCCTGCTCCATTGATTCACCAGCTCTAACGATAGATACACCACAGATCTTCCCTAGAAATGAAACACCACGGAAAATCTGGTTTGTTGCTGTTTCCACGGTTCTTGGTGTGACAGGAAGATGGTTTAAACCTTCTTCGACTAACAGTCTAATGATTCTGTCAGAGTAAAAAATAAAATCAGGTCTCTTAGTGTCCCGGTCTCTAATAATGGTGTATAAACCCAGTAATTGGTTGGTTTGAGGAAGTAGAAAGACGTTCTTATGAGGTTCGGAGGACATTGTTGGTGTGGAATACTCTATCTTACAGAGATGAGATGGAGAAGATATCGATACTCAAGATCTTCACTTCTTATAATTTTTTCCTCCATGAAAAAATCAGTTCACTCATTTTATTTCCGACGGTCTTTTCTCCGTTTCTTCAAATGATAGAAGATATATCATAATCATTCCGACATTATGTCCCAATAATTCGTACAGACCCTTTTTGTATATCTTTCATAATATTCAAGATTGTACTAATTCCAGAATTTTTGTAGCCAAATGCGTTGGCTTTTTCTTCCTCCGTGGCAATTGCGTAATCTGATTTCTATTTCCTGTTCGAAAATACAGACTCCCCCATCGTTTCTGATAATTCCCAGTATTCGCTACGATACCAAACTTACGAGCGGTACTAATTAAACAATGGTAAATCTTAAAACGAATCGTAACGTTCCTTTGGACAGTTAAAGAAAAAAAACGATGGTTTGTTGAAGAAACCGGTGGCATATACCGATGGTTCGCGCGTGTACCATAACAACGCTCTTGTAGACAGTGAAGTGAATTTGGCAACAGCCTTGTGCGTAGAAATTATAAATTTACATTTGCTCTTTATTTTAAGTAAGTAATAGTGATGATGGCTCACAGCACATTCCCGGTTTAAAAACCCTCCTCATTATCGTATGGCTCATAAGGATTGCTTATGATTTCTGCACCGCTTAAAGGACTTAGTGTCAGAAGCATGGTACCTCTAATGACAACAAGGCCTAAATTCCGGGTTTTTTCTTTCAATATGATAGTATCGTCTTCCTCGTCTCTCATGTATTCAACCGTTTCGTCCAGAACTAAGTTCATCAGTTGGTCGTACCCTTTCAGAATTCCTGTTACAAGTCTCCCACCCATCAGCTTGACGCGGATCTTTTCATCTTGATATTTCGACAAATCTACGATGGCTTCTCTCTTGGGCCCTTCGAATTTCTTCTTTTGCTGATTATGCGTCTGCTTTTCCTGTTTTCATTGTTAATAAAGCTATTGCTAAATTCAAATTCTGATACTTCTGTTCAGTAGACTCTAACATACCGATTCACTCATAGCACGCTTGAATCTTAGAATGGTTCTCACCTCGACAACGTTAAAGCTTGTTTATGGAGTATGTTAAAATTTTTTGTCATGTCGTCGAACATCACAAGAATAAACAGGTTGAGAGATGGTCCAAGTTAAAATAGTTTCGGATCTATGTTCAACTACCAGAGACATTCCCTTACAATGGAGCTGGGAGCAGCTTACGTCCAAGCTATATGAATATACCGGTGTTACACCCCAAGATATGAAACTAACATTTATTTTCTCTGATGGACCCTCAATGGAAATCTGCCGCGCTTCATGGAGTTCGGAGAAGCTCTCAGAAACGATCAAATTCACTTTGGAATCAATTGAAGTAATAGACAACAATGAGAATTCTGTAGCTAATCGTTTAGCACAAGAATTGAACGGTGGAACCAAGGATGATGCGACGTTCGAGCTGTCAGAAGAAGCCTATGAACAAAGAACAAACTCAGTACTAAATTGGAAAAAACGGCTCCAAGTGGGGAAATTCGACCCAGAATACGTCTCAAATGTGGAAAGGGAGCGTCGTGTACAGGCACTACATGCCGAACAGCTTGCGATGAATGAGCGCTGCTCTGTCATCACCACCAACTGCCCAGAGCGACGTGGTTGGTTACGATTTATCGGAATTGTTCCACAGATCAATGAAAATGACATTTGGTGTGGAATCGAATTTGATGAGCCTGTTGGCAAGAATGACGGCACTTTTGCCGGCCAAACATATTTCGGTCCAACCCGACCAAATTATGGAGGTTTCGTAAAACCAACAGGCGTGAAAACATCTCCAGACCTGGTGCCGCTGTTTGATGAGGATGAATTTCTAAGTAGCGACGAGATATAATGCCCTTTTCCATAGCTTCACGCTGTAGGAATTAAACATCGGTATATGTCACGTGCTTGCATAAACTCTTCCCGCTGTGGCGGGCTTTTTTTTGAGCGTTTTGTTGATCATTTGTAATAGAAATCAAACAATTGAGCTATTCCTCAAGAGCCAGTCTGAATAATGGATTTTGTCAATAGAGTTTACAATAATATCGCAGATACTTTCGGTGGAATTGATGCTAGTCATGCCATTAGACTAGTAATGGTAGTTGGAGGCTATATTTTGTTGAGAAATTTAGCACAACGAGAATTGGCAAAGAGGCAACTTGAAGACCAGATAAAGAAAAGTCAAGAGAAGAAAGAGGAAGAGCGTTTAAAAGAACTTGCTCCTGATCCAAATGATCCAGAAGCTATAGAAGATAACACTTTCGGATGGGGTAAGAAGACCAGAAAGAGAGTTAAAAGACAACAAAAGATATTGGAGGAGAGGCTAGAAGAATTACAACAGTACCAGGGCTCTCAAGATGATGACAAGGATATTGAAGACTTGCTAGAGGACTAGTTTATGCTTGTGACATAATCGAGCGCTGTGTATCTTATATCGTTGTTTACGAATGCAAAATTTTTCAAAATCATCACAAAATGTGATAAGATCAATGGTTCATCGGTTCATCGAAGTTATCGTTGGTGACAAGTAAGCGAGTATGAGCTTTCAAAGAGGTGGACGTGGAAATTCTTCGAGCGTGTTTTCTAAGAATCTGCCGTTCGGATTGAGCTACAGTGATGTAGGTGTCAACGAAACAACAGAGCACCCATCGATACTACTCCCAGTCAATGGCTTGATCACGCCAAAGGAGAGATCTGTAGCAATTATGTATATCAATTTCCTCAAAACGATCAAAGATGGGCCCTTCTATACAGGTGCAATGGCACTTTCGGTGGATGGCTCTGGGAAACAGAAACGCCTAATTGATGATGATGGTGTCAACGATGGAATTGAACGGTACTCTGACAAGTACTTGAAGAAAAGGAAGATCGGAGTTTCTATTGATGAACACCCTTTTCATCTGGAGATTTTTCCATCAGAGCTATATCAGGTAATGGGTATAAACAAGAAGAAATTATTGGCATTGTCGAACTTCAACAAGAATGATGATATTTTCACAGGGTCTCTCTCTAAGGATGACGATGCAGAGGGCCTTTCTATGCTGGAAAAACTTAAAGAATTGGCCGATGATGAGGACGATGTGACCAATGCCCAAGCAAAGGACGAAAACGATGTTGAGGATCAAGATGACGAATTTGACGATGAGGATGATGACGACGACTACAACGCCGAAAAGTACTTTGATGACGGCGAAGACGAGTTTGATGCTGAAGATGATTATGGGGATGAACCGGCATTTTGAGGACTTAAAAAACTGCATTAAATTGTATACTAGTATAATTTTGATTTATCATTTTGACTTAAAATCTCTTCTCCGATCACAAATCAAATAGAACTCTTCCCAAAGCATATGAACTGGACACTTTGGAGGCAAGGGTGGGGATGGTAAAGGGTTCACAGAAGGCCTTAGATACCAATTTAAAGCCTCCATTGAAAGTTTACCTTTACTCCATTTACCACAGCCTATATACCCTGTAATTCTTACGTTGCCCGGAGGAAAGCGATGTAAAACATTTGGCGTGACTCTTTTCGGCTCACTTTGCTCGATTCTGGAGAAGTAATCCCTTGGTGTGACATTAAGGTCTAAAATCTCGTCAAATGCCGGCTTGTATTGATTTTTCTTGATAAATTTGTAAACCTCTGGAGTTTGTTCACTAGATTGAGATTCTTCGTCGTGGAGTGTAATTTCACCATGCTCATAACTTGACGGGCTCTCGGAGCTGGAGCTGCTGATGTTTTTCTGGTAAAGAATTAAGTCGTTTTCACCATAGAATATGACGTTTTGTTCTTTAGGTCTGGTTTTTTTGGACTTCCTCCAATGGCGCGGAAAAAAATGCACTCTACTATGCGACTTATCAGCTGTAGTTGCTTCAGAGTTGTCCTTTGCCTTCTTTGCTTGTTCTTGGCTTTTGTTCTGGTATGGGTTACTTGTAACTTGTGGTTTTGGAAGCACGGGAGGTAACGGTCGTTCTCGGAGCCTTTTCTGCTTCGGGGGTGGAATTGGCTTCGAAAGATAAAACTCAATATCAACGATTATCGATACATCAAGGGCAAGGAAATTAAATTGAATTCCTTTCCACTCTAATATCGTGCTCTGATTGGTGGTTGCCTTTGTTTCTAAGACATTAGATGTATATGAGTCAACGAGCTGTCTTCGTCTGGCGTTTTGGCCTCTCGCTATCCCATTTCGTTGAAATACGTAAATCTCTGTGGGACATTTGCAGTCTTCTTGATCGACTTTCATCGCGAGCTCCCCATCCGAAATGTCGAATCTCAATGCGCGTTTTCCCTGCATTAATACAAAATACTGATTTAGCCTCAATTTGTCCTCGTTTCTAATTGATCTGATTAAAAGTACGAGATTGCCTTTTTGTTCTATCATGTGGGGCAGCGTTCATGTCTTTATGTCAAATGCTATGAGATGTTGATTTATTTTATTTCCCATTGTAGTGGTCTGTTGAAGCGGCTGAGCCAAAATTTAATAAGCTCAGCCTCTTTGCGCCGAACACATTAAACAATTGATGCATTACGGGATTATACAAGATCTATTAAACGTTATTTAATGAAGTGGAGGAGGTCTTCTTCTCGTTGGAGATGGAGACGAGGTTTTCCTTGTAAATGACGGGGACGATGGGAGAGGTGGTAATCGTGGAGATAATTGTGGCATATGTGAATTAAGACGGCCATGCGTCGCTGGCGAAAGTCTTGTAGGACTGTTTTCGAAACTTGACTTGCGAGAGCATTGCTTCGGCAACTCCGGAAGAGGCGGTTGTGAGATAAACTTGGATGATTCCATCGATATTCTGCTCGATGTCCTCATGTCATTATTGTCTTCGGTATCATCGATTGCTACACCAACGACTTTCTGTAAAGCTTTAAGGTCTACTTTATTTTCTTGTCCAAGCTGTTCAGGATTCGGGTTCTTTATAGATCTCCATTTCTCTTTTAATTGTTTTAATTTTGCAAACAGTGGTTCAGTCGTACCAGTAGTGTTAATCGTAGAGTGACTACTTTGCGAATTATGTGTGATCTGTGAATCTCCAGTAGCATTGGAATTTATAGAGGATGAGAAATTAAATGGCGGCATTGGAGGAGCAGAAGACTCGCGGAGTGAAGCGCCCTGCCCAATAGACGGTATGTGTTGTTGCACTCGTGATGCATGTAGGTATCGGTTACCTGCCCGCCTATCGGTATCATCAGATTTGCTCATGAAGTTTTTTAGTTGAACAGTTGGAACGTTAGACGGTAAGGGAGGCGGAGGCCGGCTCGCGAGAGATGCTTCGAATTCATTATTTTCATCATCCATATGGTGCGCTCTTGCAGTGGGTACCACAGGGTGGAAGGTCAGCTCCATGTAAATTTGTCCTGCTTCCTCGGACCCATGGTACAGTTGGTACCAATCGTCATGTCCATCTTCAGGATCTTTATAGAGAGCAGGCGTTAGGTCAACTTCGCACTGACCAATAAGCCGCGGGGGCGACTTGTCATCAAACAGTTCAATTAATAGTAAGGGTTTAACATCTGGAGTAAGGTCAAATTTAGTATAAAAGTTGAACCGAGGTGTTTGTCCTCCTCGAGAAACGACATCCGATGTTTCGGTCATATGGGCAAGTCTTAACCGAACAAAAGGGCTTTGTTTGTCCAGCTTCCTTAAGTTAGGCAAATCCCTTGCCCTACTAATGTATACTTCCAGAAGACCATTGGCGCCTCCAAATACACTATCGGAAGCTGTTGACATGGTATCTATGTCGCCAAAATACGAAGACATAGGATGATTTCTTTCTAAAAAGAAAATGTCTGAAAAGAATCATGTAAACAAATACACGTGATTAAAACTAAAGAGGATAATAACGGGAGGGAACATATTACAATAGTGGTTAATTTCCGAATCTACTATGATTACCGTCACCCTTGGGGCCAGATGGTAATTTTGATTTAAAAGAGTCGTTACGTTTATTGTAGCTGGAAGGGTTTTGTTTTCCACGGTCGCGGTTATCGGGATTGGCCACTGCGGCCGGATTATCGTATCTCTTAGTAGCGCGTGGGCCATAGCGATTACGAGGCCCTTCAGGATCTACTTTAGATCTTTTAGAGATCTGTTCTTGATTGCTTTCCTCTCTTGCTCTTTTCCCTAATTCAGATGAGGATCCACTGAACTTTCCTCTGTCCCCATTCCTAGCAACAGATAGTGACCGTTTGAATCGACTTTCTCCTGCTACAAATCTACTTTCAGCACCTCGAGTAGTTTGATTCTCCAATGTGTTGCGAGCCCTGGCGGGGCCGGTCGGTATAGGGGACTTCGATAAAGAAGCTCGGTTATCAGCCCCACGATGGATGGTCTGGGGCTGGTATCTCGATGTGGCCTTTTGCTCAGTACCCTTGGAAGAGACAGCAAATGAAGCTTGCCCAGATCCGTGATCACTGTTGAGCTCCGCGTTTTTTGAAGCGGAGTCTGAACCGCGGGAGGGCTCGACTCTCTGTTTTTCTTTGTAGTTGGTCCTAGCACCATATCTCGACACTTTTTCATTTTTTTGATTAGCTCCATACCTGGAATCACGTCCATTCCCCTCATTCGCTTCCTTCATGGCAGGCTTTGAATTCAGCGCTTCACTATTTCTATATCTGTCCCTTGTGTGTGCTGCTGGCTCCTCGTCGTATGCAAGCTCGAAACGACGACTCCCCGATGATTCTCGGTTGTGATGATGGGCTGTATTGGAAGATGTCCGATATGGGTTTGTTACCGTTTTACACGCAACTAAAATACTCTCCAAACCTTGCTTGAACTTTTCGTGATCCTCGAAAGTTACTAAGCTTTTGAAGTATGCCTCAAGAACCTCGGCGAGTTTCTTTCTATAAGCCTGTAATGAGTTCACATTTTCCTCTTCTATGTTACGGAGCTCGCTGAGTACCTTACGATTTCTAATGTAGCGACTAAGAGAAAGGACGTGATTCCTTTCCAAGCAGCCAATGACATCCCACATTTCATTAAGGATTTCAAACATTGGTAGTGCAGGTGTCTTTCCAAATCGGGATGGACCCGAAGGTAAGGATAGGTCGATTTGCTCCTTTGCTCTTTGCTTTTCTTTCTCAGAAGGTTTCCTTCCCTCTGCTTCCCTTTTCAGGCGTTCCTTAGTCTCTGCTTCCTTCTTTTCAGCCGCTAAGCTATTCTCGAAATCAGTGATTTCTTGTTTTTCATCCAAACGATGGTGTCGTCTTTCTTCATCATTTAGCTCAAAAAGATCTTGAATTTCAATTGCATCTCTCATGCGAGCCTTAAGGTGTCCAAGAAGTGCATTACTAGGCAGTCTTATATCTTCTCTGTCATCGTTAATTAAATTGTTTTCGATTGTCTTGATGAGACGACTGATGTGAGCATGAACTATTGGAAACACCGAAGACATGTGTTTCATGAACTCAATACCATTACGGATTGACATATAGTTTTTCTCCGAAAGTAAATCAATGATATCCTCATCAATAACAGAATGTAATTCATACAATTCCCTCAAGGAGTCATTATCAAAGGGTTGAGTCTCCCTGAGCACTTCTATTCTTTCGAGTAAAGTTTTGAAAAATAAGCCTAAGTTACTGGCTTCAGAGCTAGTTGAACAAAATAGTAGCGTGCCTAAAATCCTTGACCTAACTAGCATTCCTAAGATCTTCAGGACATTTTCATACCCCAGAGCTTCAAAGATAAAGTAAACTGTGAAAAGCGCATCGGAAGGAGAGAATAAAACTCTCGGAATTATGCAGTATTGTAAAAACGAGGCCACATTGTCATTGGCGAGACTTTCAGTCCACCTCGAAGTCTTATCTGACAAAATTTGCCTGTTTTTTTGATAAGATTTCTGATGGGCAATGCAACTTGCCATTAAATTTTCGACAGTTTTTGAAATCTCATTTCGTTCCTTATTCGATGAAGCCTTTTGTAACTCTGACTCCAAATGTTTCTTTTCCTCATCGTAGAGTTCTAGCTCAAAAAATACATCGTAGAGGGAAATCCTCCAAAACGTTAGGAAAAGATCTCTGTCAATTATGTTGAAATCAACATTTCGGAACGATGCTCTAGCTATCACACTGTCAAAACTGCCAGTTAAGTCGTCAGAAGAATAGGATTGATGTTCATAATGACTTCTCCATATATCAAATGCCCAATCTGTAGAAACTCCGTAATCATTAATAAGTCGATCAAAGGATAACACGTTGGCTTCGAAAGATTGTTCGCTGAGAAAATGCTTTACCATTTCAATAAAAGACCATAGAATAGAGCTCATTTCGTCGCATCTTGTGGACAATATTTTATAGTGTGTTGCTTGGACATTGACATCCTTGTTCAAGTTGTATAGCAGTAGTATGACTTCGGAGAGTGAGCCACTTTTAATCAATATGTCTAATATTTTTCTCGAAGGGCTCATATTTTGATCTCTCGTGTCTTGGATAACTCGCCTAGCAGCAATCTGAAGCGGTTTTCCTGCGTTCAACATAAGAAGTAGTTTTGTATTGATATCGTTTAACCCTTTAATACCACCAACCTTCAAGATGATCTCTTTCAAGATCGTTATCGCGATTACATTGCCTTCGTGTAAAGTCTTTATCACATAAGCGATGATATTCGTAATGTCCATTTTTGGTGAGCTTTTTGCTAATCTTGCTACGAACACCGCAAGTCTTTGGACCCACATCATCAGGTTTACGCCATCCGATTGGACAGCTTGGCGTCCGGATGATAATTTGGACAGGAGAATATACTGGAGGACGTCATATGCATAGTCATTGAAATACGCCGAGGTGGTCACCACCAAATCAGAAACTTTGTCGTAATTTTCAATTTGATTAACAGTTGGAATCAGTGTGCTCAAGGGATTACTGGAAATCAGTCTTGCAATTTTTTTGGCTTGTTGATTGATGTTATCAATGCTTAATGACTTCAGTGCACTCCTTGCCTCCCTTTGAGCCTTATTATAAGCGACCTTGATGAACAGATTATCTTCTGAAAGCTTCGAAGACATCTCATTGTAAAGGTAGTACCTTTTTTCGAATGGAAATCTCTTCATTAAACCGAAAGCTTCATTGATAACGATTACGTTACGCTCTACAAGAGGTAATGCGGGGAAAATAAACTTTCTGAAAAAGTCGATCCATTTTTGAAGCATTTCACTCTCATTGAGTTTTTGAAGATCGCTCGAACCGATTCTGCAAAGCTTTGTGATAATATTCGGGCATTTTCCGAGATGAGGGCCTAACATCGTGAGAAATTCATGGGAAAGGCTGAAAAGATCACCAGTCGTTAGTGCTATTTGTAGATTTTCACACCATTCTTGGTAGTAAAAGGCAAATTTAGTATTTATTTCATCGTGTCGAAAAATATCATGAGTGGTATACTTGTGGAAGCAAATTTTACGTGAAACAGAAGATTCATGAGCACTGCCACAGTCACTGTAAACTCCGGAATTAAAAACTACTTTTGAGTAGAGCGGCTCAATCATAAACTCAAATAGTCTCGCCAATAGCTTAACAATGTTGTCACTCAAAAAAATGAGATTAGGGTATTTTTCATACGCGAAAAAGAGGGGATGGTAAAGCCCATGCGCTAATAACCTTTCTAAAAGCAGCATTTTGCCAGTGCTCAAGATTTGTGCTGGCTTATTTAACGGAACTTCATTTGTCTTATCATTTTCTGACTCTTGTACTTTTTTAGTGGCGTCTTCATCATTGTTACTCTTCGATATATCGCCATTTTCGTCGGTGTCATCTGTAAGAGCGGCTGCCATCGCCAGGGGATTCGATACACCTTTCATACTCTCAGCTTCCAAGTGATGGTAATAGTCGTTTAGAAAGCTTGTAATGGTTGCATCATCGGGGCCTAGGTTGACAAATATTGACATAAAAGATACAAACCCTGATTTGATTAATATGCAGCACATATCGAAATATTCTATGCTAGGGTTCAGCTCCTTCAGGTGAAACACCAAAACTTGAGCAGCAGTAATATTTCCTCCTACATGTAACTGATCCGCGTTTAACGCATTTGCAATATTATGAGGCCAGTAATCAGACTTTTTCAACAAGGAGATGAAGAATTTATGATCATGTGTGATGTATTGGGAAGAAACCGTTAAAATGACGTCTAAAGCGCGGATGGGGTCTAACGAATATTTCCCTATGATGTATTGCAATTGGTTCCAATAGAATTTGCACTTACTATTTTTATCGGGATCACAATATGCGACTATTAGCATTGTTATAAGACTTGAAAATCCAACTGAATGTTCACATAAAAGGTTGTATTTCTTTATAATGTATCTGCTCTCAAGGAGACACTTCTTAAACATAGATCTTTGTTTGGAAGTGAATTTCCCCGTTCTTTCTAGTAGCTTATCATCGCTAACATATGTGCACAAGGCATCTTCCATACCGGTGAGAGATGTCAAAAGGCTTCCAAGTCTATCGGATTTTTCCGGGAAGCTATTTACCATTGAAATGAAAAGCTTTGCGCTCCTATTTCTGTCAGAGGCACATACATCGGCAATGAGCGATCCCATCAATCTTATGTCGATGGATACATCAGTAGCTGCATTTGAGGTAAGAAGAAGAACGTCAAAGAACAACGCTTGCAATTTATCTTTCTTAGTTTTATAGTCCTCGGTGCCATTTATTTCAGTCACCAACTTCACGCAATTCGATTCCCAATCCGATAAAAAACTATCATTTAGGACTGCTCTGTTTGAAGACAGATTAATTTCGGCTTTAACCAGTGAATTGATCTTTGCAGCTAAACTGGTCATCGATATATGTGTGCTCTCTTCTCGTGACGGGTCGGTTCTGGAAAGTTTTTCAATCTCATGTTAATCTTTTAATCCAATAATGGATAGTAAAAACTGAACAGAAAGACTACACTGCGCACGCTATGGTACGTTAAACAGCCTCTCAGTACTTTGACTTAATACTAACTTTTATTTCCAGTCAGACAAACACAGACAGCAACAAACCTTTCAAGTAATGAGGCAGAAGCACCTCGGCCTGGGCACTGAATCCACAACACGTGAAGAATGGCAAACTCATGTGCGCAGAGATACCTACTACAGTTTAGCATCACATAGTGCAAGCCTGGAATATTTGACACTGGCGCGATCTCATGAGAGTAAGAAGGTCACCAAATTAGAATTGATGGCCAAAATGTGCACAGACTTTGGCAAGAGAAAACCAGACAATGAACTAGAAAAGAACAGATGAAAATAGAGGATGGACTATTAAACTTTGGTATGTAAGGTAGAAAGTACGAGGAGAATGAGAAGGAAATGATAACGCTTCTTCCGTGAATGCATCATATTGCAAAAAAGATTACTTTTCTACTGGAGTTCTGGCACGGTAGCAACTTCTGCGAACACGACGCGGCCGTCAACGTTAGCCCGATTCAATCTTTTTTGAACGTCACTTAACATATGGCTGTTTGATTTGGAGAACCATACCTCTGCAGTTACGGAACCTGATGGCAAATCAATGACGTTAATCTTAGATAATTTTGAATGGGAAATATTTTCCACAATTTTCGTCAGCTCCTGTGAGTTGGACCCTAGAGGGAGATTTCGTATCCTCAAAAATTCATTTGTAGCCGAAGACTTAAGTGAAATATATAGATTCTTACCATATGGCTGGGGAGCGGGCCTTGGCCTTGATACCTGAAGCTTCTTCATTGTTCGTTGACGAAGGTCTTTATTGGGCTTTCTTTCACGAAAAACGGTAGTTGGTTTCTTGGAGGTTCTATTGGCAGCATCTCTCAACAGAACTCCAACATCATTTGCGTGGAGTAGCTTGCCGTTCACCACCCGCAGTCCATTAGAAGCAGGTGTCTTTCCAACTTTCGTATCTCTGGTGTTTTTTGGCACGGCAATTCTTTCCAGTAACGATTTACCTTTATAGGTATTTCTTCCCTGAGGACGGTTTACTCTTTTGCCCTGAGTATTTATTTTATTTTGACCTTTTTTAACTGCCATATTTGATCGGTATTCACTTGGTTCTGTAAGGTAGTTAGTTATTCGCGTTAAAAATTTTCAAATCATGAAAAGGGGTTTTTTGTCAACTAACAAAGTAACACAAGAGTGATGTCCGAGTCGAATAACTTCGCTATCCAAGGTTATAATCTTTCTAAGCTACTCAAAAGACTAGAAGATGCAACCGCACGTTTAGAGGATGTAACCTTATATCAAGAAGGTTACATCCAGACAAAAATTAACAAATTAAGCACGAATGTAGGTGTCCAAGAAGGAAGTTCGCTTCAAACTCAGCCTTCTCTCCTCGAAACAAAACAACAGGACGCTGATACTAATCCTGAGGCTCTCATAGAGGAGCCTAAATCTATTAAAGAATTTGTAAATCTGATTAAGAACAGCGTTGATCCCTTTTACGAACTCTCAGGACAGATTGACCCTGTTGTCAAGGAGGCGGTTGGTTATTTCAAAGGCGCATTTGAGGGTCAATTGAACTTTCTCAGAGCTGCGGTGCTTTCTAAGAAGCCAGATATGACATCTGACGCGTTCGTAGCTTCTTTGAAGCCAATTAATGAAAGTATTATGGCAATTGGAGAACTAAAGGACAAGAATCGTCAAAGCAAGTTTTTTGCGCATCTCAATGCTGTTGCAGAAGGATCGCCTATGTTTAGTTGGATTGCTGTTGATACTCCTGTTTCCATAATTAGCGATTTCAAAGACGCAGCCCAATTTTGGACAAACAGGGTATTGAAAGACTTTAAGGAATCAGACCCAAATAGTGTCGAATGGGTCAAAAAGTTTTTAGCCATCTTTGACGAATTGAAGAGCTACATCAAGGAATATCATACTACAGGTCCATCATGGAACGTCAAAGACGGTATTGATTTCGCAGAAGCAGTCCAGAAAGTGAATGCCGGAACCTCTGCTTCTTCTAACTTAGAACCACCAGTTGCCCCATCTGGCGGTAGTACAGCAGGACCTCCACCGCCACCCCCTCCTCCAGCTCCACCTTCTTCCGTCTTTGAAGTCAAGGAAGATAAGAAAACAGAGTCGGGCATAGGCGCCGTTTTTGCTGAGCTGAATCAAGGTGAAGGAATCACCAAGTCCTTGAAAAAAGTGGACAAGTCTCAACAGACCCATAAAAATCCAGAGCTACGTGCATCTTCAACAGTATCATCTGCGTCAGCCAAGGCTCCCCCACCAAAGCCTAAAAAGCCAACAACTTTGAAAACCAAAAAGCCTCCTAAAAAAGAACTAATTGGTAATAAATGGTTCGTTGAAAACTTTGAAAACGAAGAAACTCCTATCGTAATCGAGGGTAACAGGGATGAGTCGATTTTCATTGGTAATTGTTCAGGCGTTTTAGTTCAAATTAAGGGCAAAGTCAATGCCATTACGCTAAATGCTACGGATCAATGCAGTGTTGTTTTGGAAAGCAGTATATCTGGAATGGATATCATAAAGTCTATCAAATTCGGTGTGCAGGTTGAGCAATCGTTACCGCAAATCAGTATTGATAAAAGTGATAATGGAAGCATTTACCTCAGTAAGGACTCCCTCAATACTGAAGTCTACACGTCCTGTTCGACTTCTATCAATGTAAATCTACCAGTCGGTGAAGATGGGGATTACGTTGAATTCCCAGTACCAGAACAGCTCAAGCACACCTTTACAGATGGAAAATTATCCACATCTGTTTACGAGCATGCAGGTTAGATTTATAGTGGTCTCAATGTGTAGCGCCGTAATTGCGTAAAACTTATAACTATATACAAAAGATTATATTTCCAATAAACTAGTTTATTCACAGGTGTGGCGTTTATTTCCCTCTTCTTACGTAGTACATGTATGCACGTTCGTGTACAGGTAGACCAAATGGAGAAATCACTTCCGACTGGCCAGGTCTAGCCACTGGATCTCTCAAGTAAACAGCATGGCATGTTTTGAATGAGACCTCGATATGATGAGGAAGAATTGCAAATGGGGCCAAAAATGGTCTTGGCTTCCATGGCGTGAAATAAGGCTTAGAAGATCTCTCGCGTCCATATACACCCTTTTGCCATGGAAGGTTGATTAATTGAGAAGCTTTCGTCTCATCTTCAGCTAGATTCTTTATGTCAAGGGATTGGTGAGGCGCCAGTTTAGATGCCCATTCAGGATTATATGGGATAGATAACGTTTGTTCACTCCCTTTCTTTGATTCATAGACCTTTCTGATGTGGCCATCTAACTCAGTCAAGAGCTCGGAAACGATGTTCTTGGCAGCTCTCAAAGAACGTTTAGCCCCATCTGACATACTGCTCTTCATCTCCTCCGTGGGTGTGACAATTCTATGTGCCAAAATGGTGAGTTCCTCCACTGACTTATCTGTGGTGTGGCCGGGAGTAATTTGACCAGATTTTTTTAACTCTTGGTAGCATTCAAGGGCTTGTGTTGCTACAGAGGAATTGTCATAAAAAATGCCCTCAAACTCCTTTGATGATATATTTTCCTGGTCTGAAATAGCAGCTCCGACAGATATTATCTTCGCTAAAATGGATTCTTTAGTAGCACTTTTGATTTCGGCTTCCATTTTCGCCGTTAATGACTTGTTGTAGTTCTTGACAAACTCCAGGTATTCTTGTTTCTTGGGATTTGAATCATCCATCGATCTGTACTTCTCTTGCTTGTTTTCCCATTGCTCTCTTGGATTTTCTTTAACTTCCTTCACATGCCTATTCCATACTGCAATCTGCATCTTATCAATCTTAAGGGCCTCGCTATAGCTTGGTTTCTTGGCACCCAATGCTTGAAGAACTTTTTCTGGCTTGACGTTAAAGACATCGCCCGCCTTTAATGGATACCCTGGTTGTGTTATTTTGACACCATTTACATAAACGTTCCCATGAATAATGAACTGGCGTGCCTGTCTGACAGATGAGGCAAACATCGCTCTGAATATGGCAAAGTCCAATCTCTTCTCGAGAACAGCATATGTTTGCATCAGAATTGGTGTTTGTTCTATCTCACCACCTCTTAAAGACGCATCTAGCTGCGCAACAGAATCTAGTTTAGGACTGAAATTTACTTGCCATCTACCTTCGGTCAAGTGTTCACCGTGGTAAGCTCTAGTCTCTTGCTTTGCAGTCCATTTTTGTTGGTATAACGTTTTAGATCTGAAGTCCACGTCGCCTTTCTTGTAAAGATTGAACAGATTGTATTTGTTAAAAGAGGTCCGAATGCGCCCACGAGTCAATGACTTCAAAAGTACAGCCTTTCTCGGCATTATGATCAAATGCTGTCCTGAGCGTTATATTCGGTATTATTGAACCTAAGTAATGTTATTTCAGGAAAATTTTTCAAATCGCTATTTACGCGAACTTGTTTATGAATGTCTACAATAAACATCACTAGAAAGCGGTTATGATTAGGTAGTTGATGAACCAACTTTATAATGAGTGATGAATGGAGCATTGAAGATGAAATAAGGCTATGCCGTTGGATTTCTGAATTTAAGCCGGCCGGGATACATAAACATTTCCATATGATGAGCATAATAGAAAGGATGAACAATCGAGAGAAATACCCAGTTGTATTACTTTTCGATAAACTCAAGAGTGAGGGAAAAAGTACCTTCACTGCATCAGACATATGGGAAAAGCTGTCAAAGCTCTACAATTTGGACCGCCTAGATGAGTTGGAGGACCGGGTTGACGAAGAAGACACGAAGTCTGATAAGACTTCGAAGAAAGAGGAGGAAGATCTTGAAATCCCTCTTCGACGTCTGATAAAGCTTCAAAGAGATTTCAATCTGCCGTGGGATGATTATGGAGAGCTTATGGTTGAAAATGCACGTGATGGCAATGTCGCACCTGAAGAGAAGGATGAGGAAATTACGGAGCAAGAACTCCGGCACGAGGAGCAAACTGTGGAAATTGAGGTTTCTGATCAACCTGAGGATTTAGAAAAGGAAAACACATCAAAACGTGTTACCAGATCTTCAAACACGCCGAAAGTAGGGCGTGTGACGCGTTCTAGAGGCGCTGTGGAACAAGATGAAGATGATCAGAAAGCGCCGGCCGAAGATAATCAATCGCCGGAAAATGAGATTGCTGAGAAACCACCACAAAAGAAAACCAGAAACGCTAAAATTCAAACAGCTGCCTCAAATCCACCGCCGGACAACCGCCCACTCAGAAACAGGAGGAAATCTATCACTACCGTACCTGTACCTCCAATTCGCTCCAGCGGGCGCGTAGCAAGCCGTCTGCGTAACAAGAAGTGATTGAATCACAGCAACTTCTTAAAAGAAAAAACTAAATAGGCATATTACTTCCTAGGAAATTAGTTAACTTTCAACAACTCCACGTCAAAAACCAAGGTGGCGTTAGGAGGGATCAAGCCTGGGAAACCACGAGGACCATAAGCGTATGGGCCTGGAATCGTCAATCTAGCCTTTTCACCAACGGACAATTTTGGAATGGCAGCATCCCAACCCTTGATGACCTGACCGACACCAATGTTGCACTGGAATGGAGAACCTCTGTCGACAGAGGAATCGAACTTTTGACCATTTTCTAGGGTACCAGTGTAATGAATAGTTACCAAGTCACCAGCTTTTGGGAAGGTGTTACCGTCACCTGGAGACAATCTGTCAATCTTAACGTTACCTTCAATGACTTCAGACATGTTAGCTTAATGAATATTTGTGTTCTTATTGTTTAGATAGTATTGATTTCCTTGATAAGAGAATGCCATGTGTCGTAAAAATTTCTTCAGGATGATGAAGGTAGGGTAATGGGTAAGAGTAACTGCTTACATTAAGCAATCGGTAAAAGTGAACATTAAAATGGATTGGAAGAATATTGGCAAATCTTGTCTTCGTTGCTTGACTTATTTTCAGCCATTTTATTCAAGTACTAAATACAAGTATTGCCTTCAAATTGACATAAAAGTGGCCATAAAGGCAAATATTTAGGGCATCTGCCATACCACTAAGCGTTTAAGAACCACTATGAATATGTGAGTCTAATCTTAACGTTGAGAGCTTTTCGATTTTTCTCATCTAAGAAGGTCAATTACATTCTTGAAATATCTGGGGATTTTGAATAGAGGTGAGGCATCTGAGAAATATAACTCCAAAATACTTCAATTTTTTGTTCGCTTAACGACGGTCAATATATCTCCTGGATTAACAATATCACCTTCATCAACGATGTTTTCGAGAATTTCATAAGAGCCATTCTCCGAGTGTTCATCTTTGATTCCAACCGCAATTTCCATCTTCATTGCTTCTAGAATCATTACGGTATCCGCTAGTTTAATGACATCACCCTTTTTATAGTTGATTCTGAACACATTAGCGGCCATATGAGCTACAACTTTTAAGGAGTCAGGAGCATTCAGCAAGTCTTTGGCATCAACCTTGGACTGCTTGGCTATTTGAATCTCTTCGTTCCAGGTAGCCAAATCGGCTTCTTCCTCCTCAATCAATTTTGAAAACGCTTCACGTTTCTCTAGCGTTAGAATTTCACTTTCTTCTTTGATTGACCCAATAAACTTTTCATATTCAGTGAAATCGAATTCTGCAGCCTCGGGCTCAAACTTCGTTCTTTTCGTCAAGATATCGGTATTCAGAGCCGTCAATTCTTCTTCAGTGACCTCATAAAAGACCACCTGATCAAAGTTCTGTAATGGCCACGGCTTATCATGGATTCTACAAAATGTATCCCAATACCAGTTTGGTAAAGTTAAGCCCCATATCATATAGCCTCCTGGAGACTCGACTGAGTATATAGACTGCGAGACTGAGCCCGAACCAATTGTTCCTGCTGGTGTTGAAGTTCTAGCTGGATTATACTTAGAGGTCAAGAAACGTAAGCGGGGATCTGTGTTAACTAGTAGGGGGTTGGCACATAAGAACGATACCGCTACAACCACTTCAGGTTGATTCACAATACACTTTTTAAAATCCTCGTAAGTCTCCAAGCAATTGGCCCTCATCAAATAGTTTGCGTTATTTGGCAAATAAGGCGCATGTGGCCGCTGTGAGTGCATATACCTTTTTAAGCAATGATCAAGTGCGCTGTGTTCAAAGCAAAGCGGTAATCGAAATATTCTCGATGGCACTTTTAGGTTTTTAACCGGAGGAATGCTTTCTTCCAAAGCAGTCAGCTTTCCTAGGAGCATTTCCCTTTCAAATTTGAGAGGATCGAAGGTTATGCACATTGCACCACTACTGCACTCAATACATTCTATTTCCTCACGCAGGCAGTTCTCCAGCGCTAGCTGCAGAGCGTACTGGCGCCCATTATTAAAGAGGCTAAACTTTTCAGTTCCAAAATCAATTATGATCATGTTTTCGCCTGCTTGTCGGAAAGCAACGTATGGTAAGTCATTTGTACTTTCACGCTTGTGAAGAAACCTTCCAACCTTACAATCAATTTGTTCATAGGAGAAAAGTTCGTCGTCAAATTTAAAATTAGATTGTCTAGGTCTCTCACTGAGCTCTTTGATGTAACTTTCCCTTCTTTTTCTAAGTTCTATAGCATCATTATAGGTGATAAGCTTAAATTTAATGGGACTGGCGACTTTTGCTTGACCAAATTTCCAAAAGTCAACCTCAGCAGGAACAGCAACACATGTAAATCCGGAGAGTGTTGCACCATCCACGCCGAACAGTACCAACGTAGAACCCACAGTACTGAGACCTCCGGTTGGGTATGGATATTCCAAAATGTTACTCGGGTGGCCACCTCCATCGCCTCCATGTTTTCTGCTGAATATCATCTCAGGCCCATCTAACCTGATGGCACCACGATTGGAATTGAAATTGACAGTATATTGCACGGAGTACAACTGCTCCATTCCTTCCTGAGACACTATTTCATCCGTGTCGTGGGGTCCCCCTATCATACGCACCACATTTATTTCACTTTCGTAATCAGGAATAAGTTGCTGTGGAAGAGCGTAGCCTGTTGCGAAATCATTAATGTCTCCAATTGCACTGATTTCAAGACAATCACCAGGAAATACGATACGGCCTTGGTGGCCACCAAGTTGTAAAGCTGGTGTGCAACTTTTAGAACCCAAATACCTGGCAACTCCCGGAAATCCGCCTTTCAGTGATAGATAACACTTACTCGATTTCCCAGTGGCGTCTCCAATTTTTACAATGCAACCAGATGGGATAAAAAGCTCAGTAAATTGTGGCAAGTTGATTTTATCGTTCAAGGTCACCTCAAAAGCTCCGCCGGCGATGGCAATGACCGCCGACCTGTGGAACTTTAATACTGGTCCCTTCATATTAATTTCAAGACATTCAGTATTTTTATCATTTCCCACCACAATATTTGCAATTTGTAAAGACAGTGGATCGACAGGGCCACTTTGAGGAACTCCTGTCCTTATTTTGGCTCGCCCTGGTAAATCCTGTATGGTAGTGTAGGTGCCAGCTTCAAGGAACTCGACCAAAAGGGGCTTGAATTCGAAATGATCCAAAAAATTCGTCAGAGTCTCACCTCGACAAAATTTATTATTCTTGAGTATTGCGATACAGTACTCGATGTTAGTCACTAGGCCCTGAATTCTCGTATTTTCGAGAACATTGACGATATTGGTGGTATCTCTCTTCTCTGACCAAACCATTACCTTGGCCAAAAGGGGATCAAAATATGGGGAGGCTTTAGCTCCCGTGGAAATCCAGTGATCAATTCTTATTGTGTGGCTTTGAGAATTGCCAACAGCGGGAAAGTCGACATTATGTAATATACCTGGACATGGTGCGAAATCTTTAGCAGGATTTTCAGCATAAATCCTAACCTCAAAAGCATGTCCGCGAGGTATTTCTACACCATTTTTGTCAAATTTTAGGTTGCTGGTCAATTGTTCAATTGGAACACCACTTCCAATTGTTTCATATTCGGCTTGTAACAACATGAGATATACCAGATCTACACCGTAAACCATCTCTGAGATACCATGCTCAACTTGAAGTCTTGTGTTCACTTCAAGGAAATAGAAGAGCCCGGTATCATCGTCAACTAAAAACTCGACTGTTCCAGCTGATTTATATTTGACACTAGAGGCAAGTCTCTTGGCACAGCTTGTAAGCAGCTTCCTTAGTCCATACTTTGAACCAAGGTCATCTACGAACGGACTTGGGGATTCTTCGATCACCTTCTGATGACGGCGTTGAATTGAGCATTCTCTTTCACCATATGTAGCAATGTCTCCAAGGCCGTTCCCGAACAGTTGAACTTCAATATGACGAGCTTTTTCGATGTATTTCTCTACGAAAACTCCGGTATGATTAAACAATGACGCCCCTCTGGAAGTGACTTCGGTAAAATTCCTTTCGACATCTTTATCAGAGTAACATACCTTCAATCCCATGCCACCACCACCTGCAGTGGCCTTAAGTATGATTGGATAGCCTATCGTATTGCATGCTCCTATAACGTCTTCAACATGGCATATTAGGTCCGTGCCAGGAACAATTGGAACATTAGATTCTATTGCAATTTTTCTGGCTAAATGTTTTAAGCCAAATTGCTCGACAGTTTCAGAGGATGGGCCAGCGAATTTAATGTTATTATCGGCCAGCCTTTCTGCAAAAACTGCGTTCTCAGATAGAAAACCGTAGCCTGGGACAACGACGTCAACATTTTTGGACTTGGCAATGTTGACTATTTCTTCAATATTTATGTATGCTGCTGCACCTATTCCTGATAGCTGTATAGCTTCATCTGCCTGGCATACATGTAATGATTCTATATCTTCTTTGGAGTAAATAGCGATGGAAGTGAGTGAATATTCTTTGCAAGTACGGATGACACGACAAGCAATCTCTCCTCTATTGGCCACGAGAACTCTTTTAATATTTTTGAAGTTACTAGTCGTCATAATTCGTCTAGTAATGAAGAGTTCTGCAAAGTCTCTTACGTATTTTTGGGGTGAATAACAGACCTTTCAAACGAAGAGATGTTAATCTATTTAAATACTGTCAAAGCAAATGGGCATTCAATATTCTCAACACCAAATGAAATTCGACTTGTCTCCTCGTGTAACGAGTAAATACGCATATCTTCAAGGGGCTGTAGCTGAAGATTGGATATGTATTATACGCCTAATAATTATCGAGCAATGATAAGGTCCATGAATGACAAGTTTAAGAGAAAAGATTCCGCCGAAAGGTTCCGCGCGGAAAGTATCCTGATAAGATTGGTAGCATTTTGCTTCATAATAGATTAGTACTTGCAGCCAGGTTTCGCATGCTGCACGAAATTACTTGCTAATATCTAGATGATAGTGTTCCCCAGATCGGAGAGCACCTGGAGTCGTGAAAAGTGTCCGAAGTGGCAGCGATATGAGGTTGCCTGTACGATAAAAATTGGCAAGTTTAAGAGAAAAGATTCCGCCGAAAGGTTCCGCGCGGAAAGTATCCTGATAAGATTGGTAGCATTTTGCTTCATAATAGATTAGTACTTGCAGCCAGGTTTCGCATGCTGCACGAAATTACTTGCTAATATCTAGATGATAGTGTTCCCCAGATCGGAGAGCACCTGGAGTCGTGAAAAGTGTCCGAAGTGGCAGCGATATGAGGTTGCCTGTACGATAAAAATTGGCAGATAAGCGATTTTAGTTCGGAGACAATGACAAAAAAAGAATGTTTTCCCACTATCTAGTGCGATATCCTGTTAATGTAGTTTAGGAGATTGGTGCCCAAGATATTATAACTTCTCTTCAAGTGATTCTTGGACTGGAAGAGTGGATCTCTGATAATTGGATAAATAGCAAGTAATTTAGAAAGTGAGTCTTCTTAAAATCATTTCGTTGTTTTGAAGCTAAATTTAACAAACTCCCATTTGAGTAGATTTCTGAATAGCCTCCATTTTTTGATGTCAGAGGGATCTTTTATTGTATTCTCACAAAGTGTGGGTTATGGAATCATTATTGGTGTTGGTGCAGCTTTTGCTTTAATCATGGGTACTATATCATGGTTATTGGCTAAATACATGAATGAAGTTCAAGATTCTGAAATGTTATCGACAGCAAAAAGGTCTATTAAAACGGGACTCATTGCAAGCGCAGTAGTCTCAAGTTGGACGATAGGTTCAACACTTTTGCTTTCATGTACTACTACATATTCATTAGGAATCTCTGGTGCGTGGTGGTATGGTGCAGGTGCATGTGTCCAAATTATTATTTTTGCTGTTGCCGCGATTGAATTGAAAAGGAAAGCTCCAAATGCACATACATTCCAAGAAATTGTTCGTGTGAGATATGGGAAACCAGCACATTTGACAATGTGTGCATATTCCTTTATCCAACAGTTATTTTACAATGCAAACTTGCTGGTAAATGGCTCTTCAATCTTCTCCAACATAACGGGAATGAACAGAGAAGCGTCTATCGTTCTACTTCCTCTTTTTGTGGTTATTTATACTTTACTAGGAGGTATTAAGGCGACTTTCCTCACCGATTGGACCCATGTCGTTATCATATATGTCATCATGATAACATTTCTGTTCAGAACATATGCAACGTCCGATCTGATCGGATCACCACAGAAAATGTGGGATCTTTTAGTGGAGGCCGGAAATAAGTATCCTGTGGAAGGCAATAAAGCTGGTTCTTTGATAACTTTCACATCTTACAATGGGGGTCTGTTTGGCCTTATATTATTTGGCACAGGTTGGGCAGCAGCAGTCGATTCACAGTTGTTTCAAAAGGCAATTGCAGCGAATCCTGCTGGCGCATTGACTGGTTATACTCTTGGCGGTTTGTGCTGGTTCACTTTACCTTATGCTTTGGCCACCACTATGGGTTTGGCTTGCAGGGCACTTGAAATAACTCCATCATTTCCAACTTATCCTGAAAGGCTCAACGCAGATCAATTGGCTAATGGGTTGGTCCTGCCTATTAGTGCATATGCTTTGATGGGTAAAGGAGGTTTAGGAGCTATTCTATTAATGGTTTTCATGGCCTGTACGGCGGCATTTTCATCTGAAACTGTTGCAGTATCGTCTTTATGGACTTATGATATTTACAAAGCTTATATTAATCCCAGTGCCGATGGAAAAAGATTAGTATTAATGGCACACGCCGGAGTTCTTGGATTCAGTGTTATAACAATCGGCTTAGGGATTGGTCTAGGTAGAGCAAATTTTGATGTGTCTTTTATCACCACATGCCTCGGTATTATTGTCAATGTGTGTATTGTTCCCATGGGATGTACATTGTTTTGGAGAAAGATGTCTGGCTTTGCATTTGTTGCTTCTACAACACTATCTACCGGTATTTCAGTTGCTGTCTGGCTTGGTTACGCGTATTCTGCGTCGAAGACCCTGACTATAGCAAGCTTATCTACCTATAAAGCACTGGCTGCGGGTAATACTGTTGCTATTGGCGTACCTATCTTACTTGTGCCTCTATTTGTATTTATAAAATCCGACAACTTCGATTGGGAAATCTGGAAGACTGACATTTTGCAAGCAGATGATTCCCAGTTCGACAAGGAACATGGTCTGACGGCTGTTTTAAGTGGTGAGGAGAATACGGAGCTTGTCCTGGAACAAGAGAAAGCAGAGGAGTTAAGAGTTCTTCGCAGAAGGAACATTGGATTTGTGCTAGTAACCGTGTTTGTATTGTTTTTCCTGGTTTTATTCCCCTTACCATTGTATGGTACGCACTACGTTTTCTCGAAGAAGTTCTTCACTGGTTATATTGTTGTGACCTTTATCTGGGTTTTCTTCTCTGTCGGAGTTGTGACAATCTATCCGATTGTGGAAAGCAGGGACGGAATTCGCGACTTTTTCTCGAAAGTTTTTGGCAGAAAGTCGATGCACGTTACTGATAATTCTACTGTTCATGCAATCATTGACGATTTTACAACTTCAGATAATTTGGACGTTGGTCTGGGTAAGAACTCAGCGAACGTAGCGATTGTAACTGATTAGACGAGTCTTCATAATCTATGTAAGAGAACAGTATGTCCCCTATATTGCAGGAGTTTTTTGCAGATGTTCGTAATTCTAACATGGCATTTTGCAATTTCAAGATTAGTATGCTTGAATATGGCTGCGTGTCGGTGATGGATATCCTAGCCAACAGGCGGTTGCGCGAGTTTCTTATCAGATAAGGCGATAAGCATTCCCAATACGGAAAAGAGAAAAATTCCGAAGACAGCGATTGCTGCTACTTCGGGAAACTGTCATTGGTCAGATAAGATCTGTGACCCTTTATTGTGGGCTTAAAGAGTCTAGAGATACCTGGATTAAATCCGCTTGCAACCAAACAAAGATACGCCAGAATGTGTCAGGGGTTGTTTTCTCTTACTGAGATAAGAACTGTAGCGGAGGCCTGCTCGGGGAATAACGCCTGAACCTAAACAGAAAAAGGTGTGTTTATGAGCATTCTTGATATCATGATTACTCGTGTCTCATGCTAGTGTAGTTGCAAATGCAGATTATAAAAAACATATTAGGTTTTTCTTGTAAGACGTTGTTAAGTTCAAAATATAAGGTTACAAAACAAACTCAATGACTCAACTATCGGGAAGTGCAGACATAAACTCCAAGTACATGGACAAACACGAAATCGTGTGCGACATGGGGGAAGGGTTTGGTAAATGGAAGATGGGGCCGGACGAGGAGATAATGCCATTGATCGACGTGGCAAACGTTGCCTGTGGGTTCCACGCGGGCGATTTCAATATCATGCGCAAAATGGTGCAGTTGGCCAAGCTGCACGGTGTCAAAGTCGGTTCGCACCCTGGTCTGCCCGATAAGATGGGGTTTGGCAGGAGAAAGTGGGACATCCCTGCGGACGAGGTATATAACATGGTGCTGTACCAAACAGGCGCATTGAAGGCGTTTTTGGACGCGGAAGGAATGCGTCTGAACCATATCAAGCCACATGGCGAGTTGTATTTTTACGTAGAGAGGGACGAGAGCATTATGCGGGCGGTACTGCAAGCGGCGAAGGTGTTTGGGGTGCCCGTAGTGGGCGCGAAAAACAAGCGGTTCGAACAGGTGGCTCATGAGGAGGGGGTAGACCTGATCCAAGAGTTTTACGCGGACGTGGACTGGAACGGCGAGGGCCGTCTGGTCCCCGTGGCGGAATCGCGCGCCAAAACCCCGAGCATCATCCACGACGCGGTTTTGCAGGCAGGCACGACGGACGCAACAACCACGTTCGACAACAAGCCGCTAGCCCTGAACTTTGGCGCCAACCCAATCTTGCTGTGCTTGCACTCGGACATGCCCACGGCCCTAGGGAACATCACGGCGGCGCGCAGTGCAATCGACGAGCTGAACGCGCGCGCAGCGCACTAGCGGCGCCCAAGCGATAGCCAAGCGGCGTGCCAGCGCTACACCTCTGCAGCCACATCCCCTATATATTATCTAATGTGAACAACCAAGCACGCATCCCGCATGCCCAGCTCGGGTCTTTGCCAAGTGCCGACCGCCCGGCGCGCGACAAAGCTTCTGCGTCAATTACACCCATGCATCCATTCCCACCTCCACCCACACCTACTGTCCCGTCTGAAACGACTGCCCAGACCCCTCCCGGCCTTTGTTCTTACGGCCGCGTCTTAACTCCGCCCTCCCGTCCGCTCCGCGCCGCGCCGCGCGGAGCCTGGCCGCATCCGGTCCATCGCCTTCTACGAACTTCTATATCGAGCAAGCCCGCTACGCCCTTACTGTAATGCTACATTCCCCAGCCTCTTGTTTCCTACCGGGCCGTCGCCGCAAGCTCCCACAAAACTCATGGGCAAAGTTGTGGCACCACGGCTCAGGGATGGTCTACGACACGCCGTCTTGCTCAGAAACGCTTGCTACAAACTCAATCTGGCCGTATGTGTGGCCGCGTGTGTGGCCGTGTAAGTGGCCGTTTGGAGTCTCCTGTCATTGATTGTCCCTGCCGAGAATTTTAGTGACGTTCTGGGCACGGGCTCATTACTCTCCCGTAGATCCCTTGCGTTCTCTGTTTGTTGTCATGGCGTTGCCTTGGCTTTCTTGACTTTATCGCGTCGTTGCCAAAATAGCGCAATTTCACCGGAAAAGTGCATACCTGAAACGTCGCGACTTCAAACATCAACAGCATGTCCCGTATGCGGAAGGAAACGCCCTGCCAAATACAGCGCACGGTGCCGAGCCAGCAGTAAATGTACCGAAAAAAAAAAAGAGCCACTGCCCAAAACGTTGGACGTGGATTTCCTTAACGACGGAATTACCTCTTTGATAAATTTTTGAAGAGTGAATTTTTTGTCTTTTCTTGTTTTTTCCTGTTTTACCCTGTTTTTCTTATTATTTCTTATTTTACCAAAGCCAACCACGGTATGGTGGTTTCCTGAAAAATCTAGACTTTGGAACATTCGCCAAAAGGACGCAGACTAAGATTGCGGCGATGGTGGAAAGGTATAAATACAGCTGAGCATCGTGCGGTTTGCATTGGTAATTTCTGACAAGCAATTCATAGCAAACTTCTCACTTTCGCTCACATCATATATCTAACAATGCAATTCTCTACTGTCGCTGTTTTCGCTGCTGTTGCCTCTGTCGCCGTTGCCCAATCCACCGTGGACGCCATCTCTCAAATCACTGACGGTCAAATCCAAGCTACCTCTGCTACTGAGACCCCAGTTGTTTCCACCGAATCTGCTTCTGCCAACAGCACCACTGTCTCCATCCAGACCGCCACCAACGGTGCTGCCAACGTCGGCGCCGGCGCCATGGCTGTTGCCGGTTTGGCTGCTGCCGGTGCTTTCTTGATCTAAGCACCTGGTTCAGTATTTAGCGAGGGTGCGCCGCGGCGCGCCTTTACGTAGTTATATTGCAAACGGAATTTAATCAGATACTCATGGTATATGGACGTTTTGTTGCGCCGATTGGCCAGGTCGTTTTCGCTGCCGCGTGTGTTTGGCTTGTGGCTTGTGCGGACTGGTTGCCTATTGCCGGAATGGCTGAGAAAACCGTAGATGTTGAAAAATAGTTGCGTTTTGTCATGTACGTTGCCGTGTCCTCCCTACATCGCTATGTCTTTCTACATTGCTATGTCTCTCTACGTCGGGCTGCTTCGCTTGCCTCAATTGAGGGTCGCAACCAACTTCTCTCCCGAGTTTCTGTTGAACTCAATGTCATCCAACAGCTGGGGAACGCTCTCCAGGCCTCGATACACCTTGACAGGAATGTGGTAGATTTCCCCAGCATTAATCTTGGGTGTGATGAACTTGGTGAACTCGATCGATTTCGCACGGTACTCGGGGTTTGCAGGTAGCGTCAAGCTTCCAAAGGGCACTTCCTCACCGGTCGCAGAGTATAGCAGAGTACCTGTGATAGTCACATTGGACTTTCTCTCCGCCTCGGCAATGTCCTTTTCGCTCAACAACGTGAGTTGTAAGATGGTAACTGGCTCGTTATCTGCGGAGCATCTGTACACTTGCTGGATAGTTTCTTTGTTGGACACAGCATCCACCAAGTAGGTCACGTTGGGGTATTTGCTTTTGATCTGCTTCACGACGTCGGAGTCGTGGTAATCGAAGAGCTCGTCCGCACCGTACTTCTTCAAAGTTGCCTCGTGCTTTCTGGAGGCAACAACGATAATCTTACTGTAAGCATTGATCTTTTTGGCAATCTGAATTAGCATTTGACCCACACCCGTGGCACCTCCCCAAATTAAAATGGGGAAATCGTGCTGAGGCTTGGCGGGCTCCCAAATGAGCTCGTTTCCAAAGTTGTAGTGTAAAATAGCGCCTGCCGTGTCAATGGAGACTGGTAACGTAGCGGCAGCCTCGAAGGACTTCACGACACCAGCAGGAATCCGGGATTCGCCACTCAACGTCAAATCAGCTTTGAAGGATAGCTTGGAGTCCAAAGCACTGTACTCGGCAAATGCACCGTTTCCCGGGTGCTTGACAGAGGAGCCGTGCACGATAGAGTAAATAGTGTCGCCGACAGCGAACTTGGACTTGTCAACGTCAGGACCCAATGCTACAATTTCACCAGCAGCATCACAACCCACAATGGCACCTTGAGGACCGATTTTGTATTTAATGTGCTTCCAATCCGTTGGATTACCAGCGACAGCCTTTGTCTTGATAAGAACGAGACTTCCTGTTAACTTGGGCACAGGAACGTTGTCCTTGAGAACAGCCTTGTCGCCCTCGATGACAACAGCTTTCATGGTCTTTGGAATGGACATTTTTTTTACTTCGTATGTATGATTTGTTGCTTTCGGTAGGATATCTTCAGCTGAAAATCCCTATTCTTCCTCTAATGTAGTTTCGAATGTAACTTGCCAGCTTACAAATAAAACTACTTCTACCTATCCGCAAATGGTGTGCGGAATAAAACTGCGGCTGTTGGCCCCTATACGAGCTACCGTGTAGAACAACATAGAACAACATCGTAAAGGTCTTTAGTAATCAAACTTTTAGTAAGCGCGAACAGTTAGAATGCCTGACAATGCTAAGAAAATACAGTTAAAAATAGAACACTGTTGGTTCAATGGAGTTCAAAAAAGTACAATTCCTTTTAAAATGTTCCTGGTATTGCGATGCAGGACTCTTTGCCGCGGTTTGTAGCAAATTCTTAAACCTGGTTGGCATTTAAGCTTTACTAGCGTGCTGTAAATTCGCATTTTACAAAAATACTCACTACGGGACCATTTGAGGTATCTCCTGTGGTCCTAGCGGTATTGCTTGCTCATCGATAGCATCACATAGAGCTCCAATTACCAAGCACTTGCAACAAAGTAATTTATCGATCTTGAACGAAATGCTACAGAAAAGGATGCTAGCTACCGTACTGCTGTTTCAAAATCTTCTGATTTGATTATCAACCCGTAACAAGTAGCAGCGAATCACAGATTTCGATGACATTTCTGTGATGCCAAAACTAGGCTTCATGACTTGTGGGGGACGGCACTCTTTGAAAGTATACTACCACTTACTACCACTCGGATATAATGTCCATGCATATTCTATCCCTTTCATTTTAAGCAGTGGTGCTATTTGCATTGTTTTCTCACTTTCCTCATACTTCAGAAATGAAATGTAAGGCTTGACTCTCATCTTTTACAAAATAGGCAAATTTAAGGCTGGTCACGGAGACACTCAGCCGCTCCAGCTGATCCCATGAAACTTGCCTCGTTGAGGCGTTCTATTTGGAAGCACCCGGCTGCTAGAGCCGTGCGGTGCGTGCGGTACTATACATCCCCTCACCAGATGGCAAGCGGTTGGAGCAGACCATGATTCATGCTATCTACTTAAGAGTCTATATCACAGAATATGACCTAGAGGTCGCTCCGCAGATTGACCACATGATGTTTGTCGGAAGCTTTTTACTCAAAGAATGAAGAAACCAAGCAGCCGCTCGGAGTATTCCGAAAATTTTTCGCTTTTTAGGGCTCCGAGACTGTTCTTGGCCAAACGAGATAACCTTAAAATCTCCGAAGTTTTCTCGAAGAAATCAAGATGCCTCAGCCGTATTAGAAAATAAACAATCATTCACCTACGTCAACACATAAATAATAAATAGAAACTCGTAGTTAGCGCTAAATTGCACTAAATTAGTACTCGTAAGCTTGCTTCAAGATGGCAATGACTTCTTCCTTCTTGAATTGAACTGGGTTGGTCAAATGACAAGCATCCTCCATGGCGTTCTCAGCTAGGATCTCGAAGTCTTCAGGCTTAACACCCAACTCGTTCAAGTTACGTGGGATGTTCATAGCTCTGTTGAATTGGTGTAGGACTTCAATAGCAGCCTCGGAGGTAGCATCCTTGGCACCCAAGTGAGTAGCAATTTCACCCAATCTAGCCTTAGCCTTTGGACAAGCGGTGTTGAATTGTTGAACGTGTGGCAATAGGACAGCGTTACAGACACCGTGTGGTAGATGGTAGAAACCACCCAATTGGTGAGCAATAGCGTGGACGTAACCCAAGGAGGCGTTGTTGAAAGCCATACCAGCCAAGTATTCGGCGTAACACATGTCAGTTCTGGCCTTCTTGTCCTTACCGTCCTTGTAAGCAGCGATCAAACTTTCAGTGATCAAATCAATACCCTTCAAAGCACAAGCGTCAGTGATTGGGTTAGCAGCGATGGAAACGTAAGCTTCGATACAGTGAGTCAAAGCATCTAGACCAGTAGCAGCGGTCAAAGATGGTGGCAAACCGTACATGGTGGTTGGGTCGTTGATGGCAACGGCTGGGGTAACGTTGTTGTCGATGATGGCCATCTTAACCTTCTTCTCCTCGTTGGAGATAATGGTGAATCTGGTTAGCTCAGAAGCGGTACCAGCAGTGGTGTTGATGGCGAACAATGGCAAACTTGGCTTCTTGGATCTGTTGACACCTTCGTAGTCACCAATTTCACCACCGTTGGTGGCTAGCAAGGCAATAGCCTTGGCGTTGTCGTGGGCGGAACCACCACCAATAGAGACAACGATTTCACTGTTGTTGGCCTTTAGTTCCTTTAGACCAGCGATAACGTTGGCAATGTTAGGGTTTGGTTGAGTTTGGTCGTAGACTGCAACAGTTAGACCACGGGCTTCCAACATGGCCTTGACCTTGTCGGACAATCCGATCTTAACGATACCTGGGTCAGTGACGATAAGGGCTCTGACATAATCTCTACCCTTGATGAAGTCGGCGGCCTCTTCCAAGGCACCTTCACCGAAGAAGGAAATTGGTGGGATGTAAAAACCAGTAACGGAGGACATTGCTATCTGTTGATTGATTGGTTTGAAACTAAATTGACTGCATCAGGGACCTCCAAGGTATGTTTTGCCATTTTTATAGGTTTCCAGTTGGCAGCCGTCTTTTTCGGTCTTTTTTCAAAATCTTCTAATAACCTTTAAAGTGAAGCCCTAAGCAAAACGTCAGGCCATCTGAAAATTTTTGCTTACCATATTCTCTGAGAGCGGCGTTTAAACCGAGCATCCAGTCAACCTCGTGGACCGTCAGCGGCTGCTGGATGCATCTAATCAATCTTGAGCATTCATTTGCAGCAGCGCACGTCCACTCTCAGATTGGTTCACGCAGATTTTAGTTCCCTAAAATCATACGAGTTAGACACGAACGCTGTGTTGCATCACCTGGCTCCATAAACAACGCCTTTCGTGCTTCCAATGCGTGTCTTGGAGCGTGTATTGTGTGTTATCATGCTGTTCATACTCATCGCCGTGGAACCATCCTTAGCTGCCTTTAAACTCTTGTTCATTCTTATCAGCCTCCCATACTTCGTGAACCACATCATACATCATTTTGAAAAACAACAAGCAGGGCCAACGTTTCGGTTAATACTTCTGTCACTGCCTTTGCCCTCTTCTAATTTATCCTCCTGCGATGACTCACATGCCGTTCTCTTGACCTATAACATTGGAGCTAATGGAAGTACACACAAAAGTCAATTCATAAACTCTAGATTATAGCTTCTAATCCGTCATAGTCTAGTTGGGGGATTTTCGTTGCTTGTAGCTGCACATTTTTCTTATTCTTCTAAGCTATATGTCATTTTTTTCAAGGGTTATTAGAAGGAAATCAACTTGAAGTGTTCAGGAAACTCGGTAGCAAGAGTGATAATGAATGTCGTAAAGCAGCTGGAAACAGTATGCTATACAGCGATATTTATACGCTTTGTGAAGGATAATTCACTAACTAACGTCTTCCTCTCACTTCTTCTTCAGTTCATCTCACATTTTGTGCACCATGTAATTATGATGTACGTGAGGCTGTCGACACCGAATGAAGAGGGTCAAAATCACGAGGAAGAATGTAACACAATAGTTAAGGTACTTTTGCGTAGCATGAGATACTTTCAAGTCGTTCTTCTCGTGCAACTAGCCTTTTTATGCTGGTATCATTGGACGATTGACTTCGAAAAGCAAGTGTGCAAATGGAATTATGGATATCTATTCACTGATATACTGGGAGAATTTGACTGCGGGCGTGGTGGTAGGGCTATTTTGCTTTTTCTCGATGTTTTTATTCTCCTGATGCAGCTCCAAATGTTCACTGAAGAGTTGACCAAATGTCGTAAGAATGTGGACAAAGTTGCACAGGACGTCAATATTACCGTGGGAGATTTGGGGATCCACAAATTCGGAATCTTAAGTATTTTACGCTTCAATTCCTTCGATAAGGATAATTCAGAACCACAACTTTCCTACGATGTGGGCGATCAAGGAGAAGACGAGAATATGGGTTATGGGAGCACTACTTGAGTTATAAACTTGACGAGGATAAAACTTGAGTGTTCCAAAGTTAATTGTTTCGCAGAATTGGACGTTTATTCTGTATAGCATTATCATTACTGCTCATACCCCAAAATGAGCACATTGAACAATACAAACGAATGTACATTTCAAACTCCATTTTGGGACCTACTTAAGTTCCAGAAAAGTTAAAAATCATATCATCTCTGAGATCATTATTCTCATGTTTTTATTACATTAATAATCTCAAGCTGTATAAAGATTTCACGTACAGTTGATAAGAACGTCCATCCTGGTATAGCGAATATTGTTTGCATTGAAAACTTTTAATAATGGGTAGTGAGGAGTAGGATTACCTAGTTCTCAGGTCTGGACATTTTGCAGAGAACGACACTGAAGTCATTAATGTGCTTCTGCTTCGCAAACATTTTGTCGCTTGTGCCGTAAGAACCCTTCTATTTCAATATCAAATCGATTTCAATTGATTGAAGTTCTAGGTTATAATTTTTGAAGCTGTTGTTCTTTTTTTGCTGTTTTACCTTCAGAAGCTGAATATGCTAATATCACTCGCAGTTCGCTGTAAATTTGTACTTGGTGCTTGAAAGAAGGCTGGACTTTGATTTAGGATTCTGAACGTTGGATCATTCTCAAGTAATTTTAAACCGTCAGTAATTCGGATATCTATATGGCCATTTTCAGTGATCGGGTCTCACGGTGAAAACTGTTTTAGTAGAAAAAAAGTCGTAAATTTTACTTTCATCTCTTGCGATGCCATCAAAGAGTGTAAAGATAAACTGATAGCAGATGATGGCAAAGCCCAAGAAGGGGAAAAAGGTAAATATAGATGCACATGGAACTATTCTGATACCAGTTCCTAAGTCTATCCCGAACAGGGAACACCTACAAAGACTGAATTATCTTTACCAGCTGTCAACATTCCAGACGATGGAAATTCAACAGGATAAAGCAAATTCACTGGCAAGAATGTATGCGAAGAATCTAGATCTCATCCAGAAGAAGACCAAGTGCGGCCTAACGCCTGGATTGAAACGAACCATGTGCAAAAAATGCCATCGGACACTGATACCAACGAAAACAGTGAAACATCGCATCGTGAATAACAGCAGAAGAGGTTGTAAATCAAATGATATACTCATGGCAGAATGCGTATGTGGCGCTGTGAAGAGATTTCCGGTAGGACGAAATCCATCCTACGAAACTTACTGCGAAAGAGATGGAAATTTACATCTCCTCAGCGCTGGGCGCGAGCGTTAAATTCAACGCGTAACACAGTGTTAACTGTTTGCATATGTAGCGATACCTAAAATTTATAAGTCATTTTCCATTTTCTCTCCTGTCATTGCTCCTATTCGTAAGTCTTTCTGCTGAGTTCACAAGAAACCATCACTCTTCTTTTCAACTGCTTCTTGGTCGGCTATCTGCTGCTCCTTAAGGGCAGCCAGCTTCCGAGATTCGGGATATATCTTGTACCCTTTGTTACTTTTCCCGAACCAATTGAATTTCCAGCTAATTTCGTGCGCGATCAACTCGCCGAACCCGAGCATTAGTCCATTGACGAAGGGTAGAATTAAATTTATTGAGCATGTGCCTGTGAAGTACAGAATTTTGCTGAAGGAGATGCCACCCACAGTTGATACGGTGTTTGAGGACGAAGACGCATATGAGTTGGCTCTCGAAGATGAGTTGACCAGCTCCAAAGGAGACTCCTCTTCTTCTTCTTCACCAGGCTCAATACCCGGGATAGAAACTGGACCTGGGTTGATAGCTGCCAAAACTTCCTCCGGAAGATCACTTATCACTTGCTCAGCCATCTTGGGTGTTCCCTATGCTTGCAGATGTGCACTGATGAAACTTTACAGAACGCATGTTTTATTAAACGTTAACTCATTTTGACATAAAATCATCCTGTACGTATGTTTAGTATGAAGTGATGGTACATTTCTTGTCAACATGGAAAAGTGATGGATTTTGCCACCCTGCAATCCACTGGTATCACTCGAGTCGTGAGTAGCTTAGACAAGCAAAGTAATAATGAGTGGTTACGACAGAGCGCTATCAATTTTCTCGTATGTTTGGTTAGCTTTACTTCCGTTAAATTAATGAATACGCAATTGCCAATCGCTGTGAATGCGAGGTACTTTCAAAGGGTACAATACTAACACCATAATAGACCTGATGGCCACATTTTTCAGGTTGAATATGCAGGAGAAGCTGTGAAAAGAGGAACCTGTGCTGTAGGTATTAAGGGGAAAGACTGTGTTGTGGTTGGATGTGAGAGACGGTCAACATTGAAACTGCAGGACCCTAGAATCACGCCGTCTAAGATATCTAAGATCGATTCACATGTGGTTCTCTCGTTTGCTGGCCTTAATGCAGACAGCCGTATTCTAATCGAAAAAGCACGTGTGGAGGCACAATCGCATAAGCTTACGCTCGAAGATCCAGTGACTATCGAATACGTGACACGTTATGTTGCCGGTGTGCAGCAGAGGTACACTCAATCTGGTGGTGTGAGGCCTTTTGGTGTATCCACACTGATCGCGGGTTTTGATCCACGGGATACTACGCCTAAACTCTACCAGACCGAACCAAGTGGTATCTATTCTGCGTGGAGCGCGCAAGCCATTGGAAGAAACAGCAAGACTGTACGCGAGTTCCTTGAGAAAAATTATTCTAAAGAAGCACCTCCATCTACCGAACAAGACTGTGTGAAACTTACTGTGAAAGCGCTTCTGGAAGTAGTTCAAACAGGTGCAAAGAACATTGAAATTACGGTTGTGAAACCAAACTCACAGCTCACAAACCTAACTAGTGAAGAAATTGGTAAATACGTTGATGAGATTGAGCTCGAGAAACAGCAAGAGCTTGACAAGAAGAAGAAGAGAAGGGAAGAGAACTAGGTATTGTTACGTAGTTCCCACTATAAAGGTAGAGCATGTAGTCACACAATACGACGGGACAGATAAGTCACAAATACACAAATAACGCTAATGCAGTTGATGTGTCAGCTTAATGCGCGCCAGGGCATCGGACCAAAAATCGGCTACTGTTTATGTACATATTGAGCTAAATGAAAGTATTTCCTCTGTATACTCAAAAGTGACAATTTAGTTAACTTGAAATCTTGTTGCAGTTTTCATTTTAATGTTTTGTTGAGATAAGCTGCAAAGTACGAGAATAACAACAGACATTAATCTTTTTCAGTTCACCACGCTGTCATGGAATCATAATACTTTTAGAGTGATATATATATATATTTTGTTATATTTTGTTATATGTATCTGATATAGATCATGTTTCTCGTTCACTGACGTCTGAGACTTGACATCTACAATAGTAAAGCACACAAACCAGCAAAGGCAGCCCCCATACCAGCGGAGGCAGCATTCATGTTGGCCAAACCTGTGGAAACAACTGGGGTAGAAGCTGATGAGGCAGCAGATGAAGAAGATGAAATAGAGGAGGCAGCACTTGACTTGACTGAAGTGGTAGCAGTAGAAGAAGCAGCACTACTGGAAGGAGCAGCTGAAGATGACTTCACGCTACTTGAAGAGACTTCAGAAGAAGTTTCAGAACTGCTGGAGGAAACTGCAGAGGATTCAGTGGAGGAAGTAGCAGAGGAAGCAGAATATTCCGATGAGGATGCGACCTCACTGGAAGACTCACTGGAGGACTCAACAGTAGAAGAGGAAGCAGCACTGCTAGAGGTCTCAGTACTGGACACAGAGGTAATTGGCGCTGATGATGAAGCAGTTGAAGTAGCTGCAGAACTTGAATCCGTAGTGTATAGAACAGCCAATGCGGTCTCCAATCTCGAGGAGTACCATGGTAAAGCAGTAACCTCAGCTTGCAAACCAGCCATATCGATATCGCTGAAGAGAGTAGTGTAAGAGTCATCAGTATAGGTGGTCAACTGTTCATAAACAGTTAGAATACCCGAAGGAATAGAAAAGCTAGGATCGTTGAAGGCTAGAGACATGTAATCACCCAAGTTGGCTTCCACATCACTCAACAAAATTTGAAGTTCTTGAACTTCTTGTTGACCGGTCAAATCTGCTTTAGCAACAGCAGCGGTGGCGGCGACGAGTAGAGTTGATTTGTTAATTTTCATTGTGGTAATTGTTGACTTTTGCAATGTTGTTTTCCTTTATGACCCTATAGAAACAGTCAAAATACTACCCTTTATATGTGTGCACTGCGCTCATCTCGTATCTCATCAAGTTCTATGCGACCGCCACGCCGTGTATACATTTTCCAGGGGAGACGAATCTCGTACAGATATGGCAACCTCAACCATTTTTTAGGAATTACAATAGCACTCTCCATAGGGCTCGAATGTTTTGAGACATTGTAGGCACAATCGCATAGCTCTCAATATCCAGTACTTTCCTGCGATTATATGTCGTACATGCCTGTGTTCTCTCTTCAAAACGTGCTTTGAGAGCCATCGTTTATTGTCACTGCTAGCTTTTTGCACATCACTAATTCAGTGACATAATGTCAGGATGTCGAGACCGTGCAATGCACGACAATGACCTTTCATATGTGCATGAATAAAAAGGTCGAGTACGAATTTCCTATACAGGCAATTACGATGATTAATTGTTGTAAATGTGCTGTCTCTCCCTACGGCTAAGATACTCGTCGAGCCTGTAGTCTTTTAAGAGCGTCTGCAGCTTACTAGATGTAGGCTATTCTTGGGCACTGTACCATTTACGAGGAAATTTCAACCTTTTACGATGAACAAGCGAATGCTCATCTCCTTCGTGAAAGGTTCACTTGGTTTTTGATACATTTTCAATAGCACGGTGTCTCTTGGCAACAAATGAATGTACGGATGTTTCAGACGTTATATAGCAGTACTCGTCAGGAAAAGCATAAATAGTGGATGGAAGGCATCTAAAAAAAATAAGAGCCCTCCCTCTATAATTTGGCCAAATTAGAATGGCAAGCATTTGGTTGTACTCAGATTATCTGCATTTTAGGAATGGGATCTTACGACAGGCTGATGTTCTGTAGAAGTAAGCTCGCGCCGCCCCTAAGGGTTAACGACAATTAAACGAGAAAGATGAACGGAAACGGTTTCTTGATGATGCTTTTCTTGCAACGCCGCACATTGTTAAACGACATCTTCAGACTGAGAGTTAGTGAACGACTAGCAAACACTCCATCATTCTCTGTGTCGTATTTAGATGAGTCAACAACGTGAACGAAGAATAGAAATGCAGCACAGATCTCAGTCGCCTGTTTTCGAGCATTTGGAAAAGTGTTCTACCACGATGCTGTGATAGAGATGCAAAGGGCAATTTCTAGAGATCGAATTTTTTCTTCTGGTGGCTTGTTTACGAGTTTTTGGATCAGCAGTCGTACAGTGGTTAAAAAAAGCCTAGGGCCATCACAACAGGGCTGAAACTCAAAAGAGTTCAGCTGCAGAAATAAGATTAAGTGGTAGCTCTTCAATCAAAATGATGAGGAGGAGATTTAATAACAATTAATATTGTTCCTTTTCTGCTAAGATGCTTACTGAAGGCACTTAATGAATCGCCGAAGTCTCGCATTTTTTAAACCTCCCCTGGCTAGGCAAGCTTCGACAAAAATGTTAGCGCAGAATAAGCGTAATTCGTACAATGTAGTCTTTAATGGAAAGATCAGAAGTCAAGCCTCTAAGAACGAGCGTACTGTCATCGTATCACAGCGAGGAAGTATAGTGATGAGTTAGCAATTATATATAGATATACTGATAGAAATTGTGTGGAGTCTCAGCGAGTTAATCAAAAAGCCGTTGCCTTTCGATTAACGCATTACGCAAGGTACGGGTGTGCCATTTAAATGTGTCCTATTGATATAAAAAACGAGGTAAACGGGCAAGTGTGAGAAATCTGATAAATTGCGTAATAACGATGAACACTGATCCTTCTTTCAGTGGGCTGAGCAAGTATTTCAAAACTCTCTCAAATTTATCATTGTCGTTCAAGGATGCTAAGGTTAACTTCACGGGAAAGAATCAAGATGAGGAAAATAATTCCAATGCAGCAATAAACATAAACGCCCACATCAAAGGTGGCGAATTGGCCTTAGTAATGGGAAAAAATTCATCTCTGTTTCTGCAAGGACTAGCTCGTCCAATTACAGGAAACACCAAAGGCTCCATACTTTTGAAAAACTACGACTACAACATGTTCGCGCGGGCCTGTCCCCAGCAAGTCATCTACAGCAATGAACAAGATGACCATTTTCCGTTTCTCACTGTTCAGCAAACAATCGACTTTGCAATAAATTGCAAAGTAAATGGTGAGAAAGGCATAAAAAATGCAATAAGAGAGACGTTATTAAATGAGTTTGGTTTAAGCCACGCCAGGGATACCATTGTGGGAAATGACCGTGTTAGAGGTATATCCGGCGGTGAAAGAAAAAGATTGTCTATCATCGAGACATTCATTGCGCATGGTTCGTTGTATTTATGGGACAACTCATCAAAGGGACTAGATTCCTCTACAGCGCTTGAGTTTTTCAAGTGTCTCCGATCCATGGCTCACCTTACCCAAACTGTCAATCTCGTTAAAATTTCACAGGCAAGTGATAAACTTATGAGTTGCTTTGACAAAGTTCTAGTGTTCTTAGATGATCAGCAGGTGTTTTATGGTACATTGAAAGACTGTATTCGCTTTTTCATGGAACTGGGGTATAGCAGGGACCCAACATTATGCGACCTTGAGTATTTGACAGCAATAGTGAATGGAAGCCTAGCAAGTCGCACAATAACATCAACTGAAGATGTGGTAAGGTGTTGGCGCCAATCCATCTATTGCACACAAAGTGTGCAAGAGCTTGATAGTTTCATAAATGCGCGCCAAATTCTGCTAGACAAGTGCAACGAAGCTGATCTAACGCCACTTTATGATGTATCTGTTTGGTACCAGCTTAAATACTGCACCATCAGGGCCTTCCATAGGGCAGTTGGCGATAAAGTTTACATGATTGCGCAATTCATCTCGATCTTAGTCCAATCCCTAGTAATTGGTTCACTTTTTTACAATATACCACGGACAACGATAGGATCATATTCTAGAGGATCGATAACCTTCTTTGCTCTATTATTTTTCACGTTCATCTGTTTAGCAGAGGTTCCCATCAGCTTTGCTAGACGCTCAGTCATTAACAAGCAAAGAAAGTTATTCTTCTATAAAGGTTGGACAGAGAATCTTTCTACTGTTATCTTTGACATGCCATATAGGGTTATTCTGATTATAGTGTTCAGTTTAATCCTGTATTTTATTGCACACTTTCAGTTTAGCGCTGCCAGATTTTTCATTTTTCTTCTGTTTTTGGTGATAGTTAACTTTTCAATGGCATCCTTATTCCAATGGGTTGCAAATGCATCACCCACTATCTCTATGGCAAACGCAGTTTCGGGAGTTCTGCTTCTTGCGATTGCAATGTATGCTTCTTACGTGATTTACTTAAAATCGATGCATCCATGGTTCAAATGGATTGCTTACATTAACCCAGTAATGTATGCAATGGAATCGATTCTGTCTAATGAAATGCTTCACATGCAACTTGATTGTACAGAGTCTATTATACCACGCGGGCCCACGTACAACAATGTGAGTTTTGATCACAAAGTGTGTGGTTGGCAAGGCGCAAAGTTAGGCCACGCTTCTGTTCAGGGCAAAGAATATCTCAGTGATGCACTCGCGTATTCATACAAACACACTTGGAGAAATTTCGGAATTCTGATAGGGTTTTCAGTCTTCTTCTGTTTCTGCTCTGTGGTCACATTCCACTACATTACTCCCTTATATGATGAAAGGATTAAAACCTCAGGTAGAGGGAGAGACGAAAAGGACTTATTTGATTCTGCAACAAATGAATTTGATATTTCGGAAAGCGATTCTTTGGATGATGATCCTTCTATCGGAAAAATAGAAAACATTATGGATTCAAAACAAATTAATACCAGGACCAAGACGCATCAACAAATATCGGAAGTCCACACCTTATCATGGAAAGATATCAACTATACTGTCAATGACAAAAAACTGCTAAACAACGTTTCGGGATATGTTAGTACGGGATTGACCGCTTTGTTAGGAGAATCCGGAGCGGGAAAAACAACACTTCTTGATACTTTGTCTCATAGAATAGAGGGTGGAGTCGTATCCGGAGAAATATTAGTTGATGGACACCCGATTGACCAGTTAGAGGCGTTTAAAGCAAACATTGGCTACGTACAGCAACAAGATGTACATCTCGGCCTCCTTACTATTCGAGAGTCACTCAAATTTTCTTCCCTTTTGAGAGGTAACAATGATGTGAGCTATGTTGAAGAAGTTCTTCATATGCTCAAACTAAATGGGAATACCTTCGTAAAAGATCTATCACCAACAAACAAGAAGCTTTTATCTATTGGCGTGGAACTTGTTGCAAAACCTTCACTCCTATTATTTTTAGACGAACCTACCTCCGGACTGGATACAGAAGCAGCAATCACAATTATCAAGTTCTTGAAGAAACTCTCCATGCAGGGTCAGGCTATTCTTTGCAGTATACATCAACCAAGTCGTAATATTTTCAGTTATTTTGATAATGTAATAGTATTAAAAGCAGGGGGAGAAACCGCCTATATGGGACCAACAACAATTGCCTGTGATTACTTTTCTCAGCGTTCTTCACTCTTTTACGATCCTCATAGTGACAGTCCTGCTGATTTCATTATTGAAACTGTTGGAGAACGAAGCTCTGAAAAGTCATGCTCAAACTGGGCTGAGCTATGGAAAGCATCCGATGAAGGAAAAAAAGTCACACACACACTCCAACAACTAGAGCAGCATGCGGTCATTTCAGGGGAATCATCAGTAATTGTTCAAAAGGAAAGAATCACCTACCTCAATCAACTTATGATAGTGACTAAAAGACAATACTTAACCTTCATAAGGGATCGTTCATATATTGCCTCAAAGTTTTTGTTAAACGTCGTTTCTGGACTTTTCATAGGGTTTACATTTTGGAAAACTAAGCACAACATCATAGGTTTACAAAATCTAGTATTCGCAACGTTTATGGTGCTTTGCATTTCATCTCCCCTCGTTCACCAGATCCAGGATAAAGCATTAGAGGCAAAGGACGTATTTACTGTCAGAGAGTCAAAATCATCAACATTTCACTGGTCGGTACTAATCTTATCTCAGGTTTTGGTTGAGCTACCCTTTGTCCTAGGTAGTAGCACAGTTTTGTTTCTCTGTTTCTATTTTTGCTTGGGGGTGAATAATTCCCCACATATTGCTGGGGTTTATTATTTCAATTACATGCTCTTTAGCATTTATTATTTGACATTTGGACTGGGTTTATTGTATGCGACAGCGGATCTTCAAACAGCATCCGTTCTAATTGCTTTCTTTTTCAGTTTCACAGTATCCTTCTGTGGTGTGATGCAACCGTACTCGCTCTTCCCTAGATTTTGGACATTCATGTACAGAGTTTCCCCATACACCTATTTTGTTGATACCTTCGTCAGTCTCTTGCTACATGATCGAAAGGTAACTTGCGATACCAGTGAGCTTGCTCCAACAATGCCACTCGCAGGGCAAACATGCGGTGAGTTTATGAAAGCATTTATTGATGAGTACGGAGGTTACTTGTTAAATCCTTCTGCTCCTTATGTTTGTGCCTACTGCACTTATGACAGTGGGGATGAGTTTCTGAAGATTCAAAACATGAGCTATTCTCACAGATGGAGAAACTTCGGGATATGTTGTGCATACATTGCTTTTAATATCTTTAGTATGCTGGCAGGATTCTACTTCGTTTCTGTTAAAAGGACTATCCCCAAATTTTTTAGATCCTTGGTAAAATTGTTCACAAGGCAAAAATAATATCTATAACAATTTAATATGCATGTCAATTTTCTTAGGTTTCATTTATGACTCTTGATTCCAAACACCAGATATTTCATTTAATTGCTTTGAAAGCTCTTGATCAAATCGCACAAAACTATCTCCTTCTCTGGCCGCATCTGCATTGCTCTCAACAAGGGGGGCACAGTACATAGAGCCCTGACATTCATCTTTCCTAATCCAGGGCTTTACAAAAATGTCCGGAGTTATTAAACCATCCATTTTTAATGGTTGGCTGTAAGCTTCTTGTAGTTGATCTTCACTATCATATTTTGCTCCAAAATATTCGGGAAGTTTCTGATAATCAAGTGCCGCAGCTTCTGCTATTTTACAGGTCTTGAGTCCGCCATTCGTCCATAATAGTGTGTTATTTTCATCACCATGTGCTATTTGAGTGGAGCAGATAGCGTAACCTTTCACGCCTTCGTCTTCAAGAGAAAGCGGTGTGATTGGACCCAACGCCCCACCATCTCTTGGTTCTATAGAGTAACTTTCACCAGCAATAAGTTGACCCAGCCAAAATATCTCTTTGTCCCCATAGACGCATCGTTTTACCTTTGCATCCAGATTCAAAATAAAGGAAAGGACGAGACTGCTCAATTTCTCTTTTTTGTTCAGAACCACCAAACCACTGTCAACATTGTGCAGTATTTTATCATAAAAGAATCTATAGTAAACCTTTTCCTGCTCATTTTGGAACGTTCGCGAAGAAGGTACAACACTAGTGGCATTTATGATCATGCTATGGCCCATGAGAACGGATGCCTCCCTTGATGGCTCAAGAGAATTGAACATGTCAATACAATAATCAAAAGTGTGTTCATTCAGCATGTTTCTATCTTTGTACATTAGGGACCCACTCTCTTTATAATTGTGATTTTCGAAGAATGACTCCAAGGGAACGAAGGGAACCACATCGGCATCAAGAGTAATTACCTCTTCGAAGGTATTAAAAACAACGGCCAGCCATTTATTGACAAAATAAGTAAGTGCCTCCTCTAGATAGGCCGGATTCAACAGAGAAGAACAGTCTACAATGTACACCTGCTGTTGGCTGGACTTCAAGAAATTTGAGACAGAGTCAATAAATTCATTAGAGAGTTCGGGGCCCTTCTGGATTATTTGAATAGGCAACCGATTACCATTGTGATCTAAAACTCGCAGGAGCCGAAGAAAAATGTCCTTATGCCGTTCGCCAAGGGTCATCACTAAACCTCTACTGCTGGAAAAACGGGCCCAGTTCTGCCAGAAGGATTGTGAATTCGTATATGCAAATTTTGAATCTTTCTCTAGGTTGGCTGGATTTGAGAATCGCGGAATATGCTCACCTGTATTGAGATGGAGAATTTCTGGCCACAGCTCACCGAAGTTGCTGAAGTTGCGTAGAAAGGGAAACATGCGATGCTGAAAATCTGCCATGTCAATATCCCCCAAAACAGATTCAAGCGATAAGCCACCTTTGATAAAACATTTATCAAAAACTCGCATTCTTTCAACCGCCATAGAAAGAATGGCATTATCTAAATCATCATCATTATAGAACACTCTAATGTGATCATTAGTCCATTTGGTGCTATCTTTGTAAGTTGTGGCAAAGTAAAAATGGCATTGCTCTGAAAGGGTCATATTTGCCCATTTGTCAACGCTTTCATGCTGTGCTAGAAGTTTCGAAAGTTTAGATCTCGGGATAAACCTCGAGAATGGCGATATGAATAGAGATTCTCTGCCAGGAGACTGCTTGAGAATATTCTCCAACATCATTGATGACGTTGGCTTATAAAGCACACCATTCATGCGCAAGACCACATAGCACAGCACAAACAATACACCAGTTGGAAGAAGCCTTTTGAGAACAAAAGCCCTTCTCAACTTGAAGTGTGTAGGCATCCTACAGAAAGTTTTCGGATGAACTTTTGGAATCGAGATCAAAACAACGTTGAATTCATTTTCAAATGCCGGTTTTTTTCATCTGCAAGATGAGATAATCAAAAAATAAATGCTTCCAACCAGAGTCGAACTGATGATCTCCACATTACTAGTGTGGCGCCTTACCAACTTGGCCATAGAAGCGGAACTTGATTAGTTGGACATTGGTATAACAATATACCGACACCTGGAAAACATCTTCAAGCTTTATAGACCGTAGAATAAATGAACACGTAATCACTTCTCAATAGGGCAGCACATACCATATTCCACTATAGACTGAAGATCCAGATTCGCCTCACTAATAAGTACTTGACAAAAAAAAACCATGGAAGACCTGAATTTTTAAGCACATTAGACCCAAAATGCTTGATTTATAATAAGACGAATACTGAGTATTTCATTAGTCGAGTTAAAGAACCCAAGTTGAAATATAGATGATTCTCAAATTGAAAATGAGAAATTGGTGAATATTGAGCTAAATGTTGGGATTCCATTTTTTATTAAGGCTGTAATTTGAGAGATGGGTGAATATTGAGATAATTGTTGGGATTCCATTTTTTATTAAGGCTGTAATTATTGGTATATGGTTATACTAGAAGTTCTCCTCATCTTTCTAAGAATCCAGAAAGAAGAGTCAATAATTCTACTTACAACTATTCTTACTCTTTCTGTTCCTTTTATACATTTTCATTCATTATCCTATTACATTATCAATCCTTGCGCTTCAGCTTCCACTAATTTCGATGACTGTTTCTCATTCTTTATGTCATCTTAAAACACCGTGTATGATAATATACTAGTAGCACGAATACTAGTCGATGGTCGATAGTTGTATTTCGTTCCAACATACCACCCATAATGTAATAGATCTAATGAATCCATTTGTTTGTTAACAACTTGAAAGTTTTTATCGGAAGAGGTTTTGTCAATGTATCAGCAATGTTCTTCTTGGTCTCAATGTAGTATAGGTACAAATTATTGTCCGATACTTCATCTCTGAGTCTCATTGCTTTAGTGCCGAAGAATCTGTTCCTAAATTTCTCTTTATTTTTGGATGTAACTATACTGATTGTAGATCTGCTGTCAGTAAGTAAACATTTGATGATTGGTTTCTTATCTAGTTCTTGCACGAGATAACTTAGATTGTTTAGTAACGGAACGGCTTCACTGACTGCGTGTATTTCTGCTTCTGTGGTTGAAGTACACGTTAGTGATGCTTTTGTTGATTTTCCTCCAATGACTTTACCATTGAGTAAGAATATGTTACCAATCTGGGATTTGTAATACGGTTGGTTTCCGTATGAAGCATCGCTTATTACAACTAATTTGTTTCCTGATTTCGTAGATCTGTTTTTGTGCCATATTAGTTGTTTATCTCTGGTATCCCATATGAACTGTATTAATTCATATGTCATGTCTAAAACTTGTTTGGACGGGAATAATATATGTTGTGCGAGAGTGTTAATGTAGTACAGTAGGTCGAATCTGAATTTGTATCCAACGTACGATGCTAGGCCAATTAGCTTTTGCATTTCATGCACCTTCATTTTGTAATCTTCTTCTTCCAGTTCTAACTCTTCTTGGTCTATGTAAAGACCAGGTTGCCCTGGAGCGGCAAGTTTCCTACCTTTCGGATTCAAAGGTACGTTTAGGTTTGGTAATTTCTCAGTTAGTGAATTCTCCATACCTAGTTTCATGTACTTACCCCTCTGGTATTTAATTTCTAGTCCAAGAATGTCATTTTGGATTTCTTCATCACTTTCACCTAGGTTTATGATCTTAGTGTCATATTGTCGTTTTAGATTTTCTATAATTCTTTTGTTTGAGTTCAAGTCTTTGCTGAATAGTATCATGTCATCAACGAATAAGCAGATTGTTACTTGACTGTTTTTAAACACACATGACCATCCACGTACTTCTTCCATATCACATTTATCTATCAGATATGACTTGATAGTTTCATACCAGTTTGCACCACTTTGTTTCAAGCCGTAAAGTGATTTTCTCAATCGTATTAACTTGTTGTTCATACCTAAATGTGGCGGAGGTCTTATGTATAATTCTTCTTTGATGTCTGCGTACAAGTACGCCGAGGATATGTCCAGTTGTGTGACGTAGTGGTCATTGTCTAATGCAAGTGACAGAGATGTCATCAATGCATAATGATGTACAGTATTAGACTGCATTCCTGAGTCGTACGTATCAGGATGTTGAATGTCGCCTCTTGCAACAAATCTAGCTTTGTGTGTTCCATCTCGTTTTTTGTTAAAGATGAACATTGAGTTTTATCACCTTTTTGGTGTCTATTTCATTTTTTGTCATAGTATCTGTTTGTGTCCCATGTGTTCATCTTTAGCAATTGATTTACTTCTTTATGGTATGCTTGAATGTACTTTTCCTTTTCCTCGATATTCTTATTATATGTGATTGCCTCATCATATCTTAAGGTTGTTCGTATCGGTTTGATTGGTTTTGCTGCTTTTACAGCTGCGATCAGATGTATACGTTTCTTTGATCTTGGGGGGCTGTAAACTACGCATGTTCTTGTTGTTCCATGTGTCTCGTGATACCTCAATTTCAGTTTCATTATCTTCTAATGATCTTTTCTTACTATTGATAGTAGCATAGATATTAGATTTACCCATACCACCCAAACTGGAATTAGTTTGACGAGAATTGATCGGTGGAATTTCTTTAAAGGCATCGGGGAAACAGGTAGGAGATTCTGGAGGTAAATCGGGAATCGGAAGATCTTCTGTAATATATTCCTTCATATCATGTTCAGAGTAGGTATCTGGTGTAACAATAGGAGCATTATACTTTGGTATCTCACTTCCCTGTGGGGGATCAAATAGTGGAATTGGATAGTTTATCAAGCTTTTCTCGGTAGCCTGATCATTGAACTCTGATATAGTCTTGTTGTTTGTACCACCCAAACATGGCGTTGTGTCGTTTTTAGGATTAGTATTGATTTGGCGATGTGAATCTGAATCGCTCACTTGATCGTGATCATTGGATTTATTCGACTGTTGCGTGACAGAGCTGTGCACGGGGATATCGATTGATACATCTGATCTATTCATACCACCCAAACAGGCATTGTCTGGATCAGGAATATTGGGTATGTTATGCCTCTTCTTTGACGGAAGAATATTTGATTCAGATATATTAGGGTCAACTTCTTTGGGTGCACGAGCATTAGTTGTAGGTACAGATTCCAATCTCGTTGGTTGGAGTAGGAGTTGATAGCGAACCAGTTGCAATCAGATCTGTGGAACTGTCATCTCCCCGGAGTTCAGTGTCATGATCTATCTCAGATTGAAAATCATGATTAGGATCCATGTGAAGGTCGTAGGACTGTTCGATTTCATTTGAATCAATAAACGATTTGTATGAAGCAGTTAATCTACTTATGTCATCATCAAAGGTAAGTGCGTCGTAATTGAATTGGTCCAATCGGGATTGCTTGCCCTGCAGGATAACGTAATTAGTAGTGTCCACTGTCTTCTTTAAAGATGGAAGATAGATAATATATCCATAAGAGTTCCGGGATGGATGTAGAGCGTAGCCAGGAATGCCACGGGGATGTATTTTCGAATCAGGATTGTGATTATTGACTACCACAGGTTGACCAAATGGTAGTAAAGTACTGATGTCAAGTCCCGCTAAACCCGCGTGTTGCCGTGCAGATTTTTCGTTTTTAGGTGAAACTAAAGAGTTCCTGACTATGGTTGAGAATTCCACTGCGGAAAACCATAAATGATTTGGTAATCCACTGCATTGAAGCTGTGTGCGACAATCGTCTAGTAAAGTACGGTTCAACCGTTCAGCTACACCATGAGCTCGAGAGTCTGCTGTGGTTGTATAGCATGCAGTGATGCCTTGTTGAAGAAGGAATTTATGGAGAGTTTTGTTTGTGTATTCAGAACCACGGTCCATTGGTATAACCAAGACGCTGGCCTTGAATTGTCTTTCAATGAAGGCTAGTATTGTGGTAAATACCTCGAGAATAGATTGTTCGCGACGATCGTGTAATGGATAAACCCATTGGAATCTTGTTTTCTCGTCGGTAAATGTTATGAAGTAGGATGGTGCACTTTTTGGCAGGTTATGAACAGGACCGAATATGTCGGTATGCAGATATTGGAAAGGTTCATACGAGTTTTGGTATTTTACTCGTGATCCCTTGACATGTCTGTGTTTAGTACTTTTGCCGATTAAGCAATCTGGGCATTGGTATGTAGTAGCTTTAGACCAATCGACATCTGCTTCCTTTAGATATGTTATTGAGTTATTCTTTAGAGAGTTCCGAATGGTTTGAGCATTAGCGTGGCCAAGCATGCGATGAATCAAAGGATAGGGATACTTGTGTGAGGCTTTATCAGTACCGATATTGTTAACTATTGGCATTGACAGGTTCGAGGGAATCAAGTATTTTTTGGATAGCCAGTAAAAGTCCCCATGTCGAACGATAGGGGCTAAGTACGGTGCCGTCAACTCGCTCTAGGGTATTTTTGGTAAAACAGGCAGTGATGTTTTGCTTAGCTAGCTCACTCAAACTGAGTAGATCATGAGCTATGTTCGGAGTGTGTAGTACTGTTATTGATGTTTTTGTATTGTCTTCAAATTTGAATTGGAGATTACCAATGGCGTTGATTGGTATTTCCTTTTTTTGAGCATCGATTGCGCTTATGTCAATATTAGGCGATGCTGAGTGTATGTGATGAGCGGATCTGATAAGGGTTTGTGATGCACCTGAATCGATAAGAAGATGTCCAGGAAGTTCATCATTTGAATGATCCGTGTGGTTTACCTTGGACTCAGTATGTATCTGGCCTAAGGTGAAGGTCATACTGATTGTTCAAGTGTATTGTTTTATCAGGTGATTCGTTGATCGAATCATTGTTCTTGTCAAAAGAGTTATGAGACGTGGACACGTTATTAGTTTTGACCGTTCTTGATTTTGAGTTACTTGCTTTTTGAGGGTTTCGGGTTACAGTTTTGGCTTTGTTTATATTTGGAGAGACTCGAGAAATGTTCTTGTCATCTTTAGGAATCCTTGGGTAAGTAGGCTTACGGCGTTCCGATTCCTGTTGTTCTTCATATATGGCATGAATGTCCAGGAACAGTTCTGCGACTGTCATGTTTTGGTGGCGATGACGTGTGTAGCGTAAGAATCTGTATTCCCCAGAGAGACCTCTCATAATTAATTTACATGCGAGCTTGTCATTGATAGAAACACCATTATTGTTTAGTCTCTCGATTGTATTCGTGATCTTTGTTTCAAACTCTCCTGCTGGTGTACTGCCATTGTAGCGGAGATTAGTGATCGTTATCAGGTCATTGACATCTTGATTGTCGGATTGCATTTTTTCAAAGCTTTTCGAAAGAACCTTCATAATATCTGTATAATCAACAGATAAGATGTCTTTGACCCAAGTAGGTAGGAAATGAGATGGAGCAAACGTTTGAAAAGTGTTGTACAAGAAGGTATGTTCGTCGTATGTTATCTGCCGTATAGGTCTTCCATCTGTCGTCGGGATAATGTCACCGAGATTTGAATTTTGTAGAAATTTAACATAAGTTTTGATCCAATTTAGAAAATCATTTGATGATGTTAAAATTGGTGGTGGTCGAACAGATTTGTTGACGGGTGTCACATCTGACTTCGTTGAAGGTGGCTTGGTAAGTGTGTTACTGGGCTCGGGGGGTGTGGCGCTCAAAGGCGTTCCTGTAGTTGATGTGTACTGTGGATACTGTGGTTGTGGCCCAGGTGGATAGTACATGGGCGACATTTGATAAGGTGTGTACGGCATCGTATATGGGTGACCGTATGCTGGCCAACCAGAAGGATTGGCTTGATTTTGAGTCATCATGCACTGCTGTGAGTACGGGCCATTCTGTGGCAATGGTACTTGAGCAGTGTGAGGAGAGGCATGATGAATGTTCTCTGAAACATCTGTGGGCACAGGTGTTGTTTCTTGTTGAGAATTTGCCTTAGTGGAAAGCTTATCATATTCGTTGATTTTGGAAGCTGAAACGTCTAATGGATCTTGATTCGTGTGGACTTCTTTAGAAGTAACCGAAGCACAGGCGCTACCATGAGAGATGGGTGAATATTGAGATAATTGTTGGGATTCCATTTTTTATTAAGGCTGTAATTATTGGTATATGGTTATACTAGAAGTTCTCCTCATCTTTCTAAGAATCCAGAAAGAAGAGTCAATAATTCTACTTACAATATTCTTACTCTTTCTGTTCCTTTTATACATTTTCATTCATTATCCTATTACATTATCAATCCTTGCGCTTCAGCTTCCACTAATTTCGATGACTGTTTCTCATTCTTTATGTCATCTTAAAACACCGTGTATGATAATATACTAGTAGCACGAATACTAGTCGATGGTCGATAGTTGTATTTCGTTCCAACATAATTATTGGTATATGGTTATACTAGAAGTTCTCCTCATCTTTCTAAGAATCCAGAAAGAAGAGTCAATAATTCTACTTACAAATATTCTTACTCTTTCTGTTCCTTTTATACATTTTTATTCATTATCCTATTACATTATCAATCCTTGCGCTTCAGCTTCCACTAATTTCAATGACTGTTTCTCATTCTTTATGTCATCTTAAAACACCGTGTATGATAATATACTAGTAACACGAATACTAGTCGATGGTCGATAGTTGTATTTCGTTCCAACAGAAAATGCGCGACAACCACTATCATATGGCAAGACCTCAATCTCATCTCTGCGTTTAAATACAAACCTTTACCTTTCACCAAATCACTCTTTTGAATCATCACAGACATCTATACCGCGCTTCTGCGCTTCACCGCCCACACCTACAGTTTCCATGACGATATAGACCGATGCAAGTGGAGAACTCTCAATTTTTTCATGAAGGCAGTTGTGGCTTCACGAGATCACATGACTAAATGAGATACGGAACATAGCGGAGCCACCACACTACTGTGATATTTCAGATAGTACGATACGACGGCGGCGTATTGACTCCTAAGAAAGCCACAACTATATACTGCTGCGAATGCTGCGTTTGTTTTGAGTGTATTAATACCTTGAGAGTATCATTCTTAAAGAATCAGGTGCAGAGATTTTATTTGGAAGTTTGAATTTGTAAGATGGCAGCGACGGTCGCAAGCCACCCTTCGGAGGATACGATGGCAAAGGGAACTGGTAGGCCGACCCCAACTTCTGAACAATACCAGCGGAAATTCCAGAGTATATACACGAGATACTTGGAGCAAATAGATGCCGACGATGAAAATAGCGAGGAAGATGATCAAGAAGACGCGAATTATACCACAGAGAATTTCAATAATAAAACGAGGCAATTATTTATATCAGCTGGGATCCAAGATGATCCCAGTGATCAAAGGGATTTATCACAACAACTACAGGATCTGATATCTAGTAATTCAGAGTTGGGTTCTCGTCTACTCTCCCTCCTGTTAGTAAGCAGCGGGAATGCTAAGGAAATCATATCTGCAGTAAACCAGGGTGACCTCGGTAAACTGAAGAAACTAGATTTGAAGAAAAACGGTAAAAAGCCTGAAGACAGCAAAAAAGATGTTTCGCAATACACCGAGGAACAACTCAACGAATTCAAGCGTATCGAGTTGGAGAAAAGACGTAAAAATACGGAGGCTTCAGCTAGATTCCGCATACGTAAGAAGCAAAGGGAACAAGAGAAGTTAGCAAAGCTCAAACAGTTAAATTCACAGATTTCAGAGCTTTACGTTACGATCGACAAGCTTTTGGATGAAAACAAGTTCTGGAAACTAAAATTAGAAGAGGTTAATGAGAGGAAATCTAGAGAACTTCTTGACAGCATCAAAAAGCGCAGGATAAATGATGATTAAACGATGGGATGTGGGGGGTATATAAAGACAAACAGTATTTCTAGGACCTCTTTCGATTTTGAGAATTGATTGAGCGGCAGTAGCACGAATGCGAATTTTTTACCCTAAATAAATTATGGTATTCAATAAAAAGCAAAATATGAATTGATAAATTTTAAAGCAAGACTAACTAATAACCTCCAATGATAACAAAAAGCTTCGAAAAAAAAAGGCAGACGACCCAAATTGCCGAAATACTAAACCTAAAACACCCTATCATACTTCTAATCTATTTTGATAGTATGATATTCTTTCTGCCCATTTTTTGTTTATCACGATTCTTTTCTGTTTAATGCTTATGATATCATCTTGCGAGCACCATCCGCTAGAAGAGAAATTTTTCTCGAGGACGGCAAATCTCTCATCTTCCACACGTTGTTGCTGTATCAAAATATCGATGTACTCTCTTAGACTGATTTTGCTTGGTTTTAGTTCATCTGGAACAGATTGAGGTGTTACCGCCCTGCGACTATCCTCTTGGTAAATCTTATCCAGGCCAATATTTGATTGAGTTTGAATTGGAGTTGCATTTTTAGCTCCGAATTTTTCAGTGATTGTAATGACCGGTAGTGCTTTTGTAATTTCATCAATATCGACGGTGATCTCTTCGATTTCGGATTCGTTGCTCACTGATCCACTTGTATCATTACCGCTGAAAACACTATTATCTCTCCCAGTGTTGAGACTGCCAGTGGTACTAGCATTTTTCTTGTTGTAGTTGGAAATCTTTTTGGAAGCAGGATTTCTTTTACCAACGGGAGTTTGCCTTACAGTGGAAGTAGAAGAGGACGTTTTCGTGACCGTGGGCCGTGTGAAAGAGGCAGACCTACGAGCCAACGAGAAGTTATCACTAACTGGGGTAACACGAGAAGTGATACCTGGAGGTTCGAATGGGGTAGAGTCCTCGAGCGACGAGAGTAAAGGAGAACCTGAAATTTCAGAGGATGGCGTGGTCGATACGCCAGGTGGAGCTTGAACCTTTACTGATATGTCATCTGCAACAGATTCCGAGACGAAATTTTTCTCAGATGGAGAGCCACTTATGATCCTGGTGAAACTGCGTTTGAATTTGCTTCCCAGGGAACGTTGACACGAAAGTGGTTCTGATGAAAGAGATGGAGTGGTGGCAGATATAGGAGTGGAGAAGTCGAGGGTTTCGGGACTACTACAACTTCTAGTGGATGATAATGCAGTTCTTATGAAGAGTTTTCTTTTGTTTTTGCCGCGTTGCTTCGTGAGAAGTTCGGACTCGTATGACAATGCTGAGAATGATGAAGTTTGGCGAAGTTCATTGGCAGAACTCGCCATTAATGCAGGGGAAGGTAGAAGTGCGCCTGAGTCCTCAGGGTCCTTCTTGGAGAGCGAAGTTTTCCGCAGAATCGCGCTTGAGGCGCGCTTGAGAAGGGGCATTCGCCTGGCGGTGCCGGGTTCGAACTCCATTGACGAGCCGAAGCTCGGGGACACGGGGGAGCTGGCTTCCGACGTGGGAAACTCACGCTCGCCCTCCAGCAATGTGGGGGGCGGTTTATAGACGAGATCATCATTGTCGTGGAACGAGTGGGAAGAGCTGCTGCTGCTTCCGAAACTGAACTTTCTGGGGAGCTTTCGTACGGTGTTGGTGTTGGTGTTGGTGTTGGTGCTGCTGCTGTTGTTGTTGTTATCCAGGCCCATCTGCTCCTTCACCATGGCCGCGGCCGACTCCAAATTGGCGCTGAGCCGGGGCAGGATGTTGATTGGGGAGTTGGTCTTGGAGGTGTGGTCCACGCTGTGGGAGCTGGAGCGCGTGCTGGAACGACGCAACGGCAAGTCGGAATGCGACGCAATGGACGCCGCGTTGATCGCGCCGGTCCCCACGGCCGCAGTCGACGCGTCGCCGGAGCAGGAATTGCCGTTGGCCGGCGCCACTGGCGCCGCGCTGTTGGTGGCCGCGGGCATGAGAGAACTCGAAAACTTGCGCTTGAGCGACAGCTTGGGCGACGTGAGCACGGGCGACATGGGGTTGGAATTGGAGTTGGACGAGTCGTGCGGGATCTCAAGTGCCTTCGACAAGTCGAACGAGGTGTCGGGCTCCGAAACACGCTCCATTGCGCTGCTGAGCACGCTGTCAGCGGTGCCCGTCGACGACTCGAGCGACACGGACGTGGTGTTCGCGCTGACGTGCGCGGTCACGCTGTCGCCCAGCGCGGCCGCGGCAGCGGCCGCCGCGGGCGTGGCGTCGACCACCGCAGCGTTCCCACCCATGAGCTCCTCGCTCACGCCGTTGACGTCCGGCAGCGGCGGCAGCAGCGCCTCCTGGCCGCCCGCCATCTCGCCGGACGCGGCCGCGGCCGCGTCCTCGACGCTGCCGCCACGAATCGCGGTGCTGGCAACCGAATCACCGCTGAGCGCGGTCTGCGCACCACTCACGCCCGGCACGCCAATCATCCCGAGCCCCACGACGTGCAACGGGGCCGATTCCAGCGACTCGTCACGCTGTGCGCTTTGTCGAGCGCCAAACGCCACTTCTGGCTCTTCTTCTTTGATATCCTGCAACGCCATAGCCTGAAACTGATGCCTGAACGCCGAATATAACCCGAATATGCGACCAGTCTGGCTTTTCAAACGTGCTTGCCACGGACGTTGTGTTGCTTGTAGAATCGAATCTCAACACCGTCTTGGAACTGCGAAGAGTGGCGGGCGTCCCACACGAACGGCTCGTCCGCCGAGTCTGGCGATGCGGAAAAAGAACCACACGCACAACACACATGCCCCACCCGGTTACCCGGCCCCGCCGCCCGCTGCGGCACCGTCAGCGCACGCGCCGCGCTCAGACGGCCCCGCACGCATCTATCGGCCAGTTCAGAACCGCCCGCACCTCAAAATTGCTGTTTGCTTGCGGCCGACAACACCACGCACGGCGCCCGCCACGCGGCGCTTTCTGGGCGCGCCCAGACGCCGCTGCAGCGCCGCGGCGGGCGCCCGCCGGGCGCTGACCGTTTGCCAGATACTTCCGCTGGCGTCCAGAAACGCAGCCCATTGTAGCGCCGGAGACCTTGCAAAGAAAGGGATTGGTGGTCTCGAGCGTGAGCCCGAGGAATCCGGGGCGGGATACGTGCGAACTCCGCTAAAGGCGCCTCTTTGAGGATCTTCCGTACTCTTCAAGAACGCTCCCGACGGACCCGTGAACCGCACGCGGTCCACGGGCCCTCGTTTTGCGTTTAACTCAGTTAGGCCAAAGCGCCCAGATCGTACGCCGTGCCGCCCGCAGGCACCGGCGGCATTGTGTGGGCCTAGCCCCGTCCGCAATTGGCGCTGCACAAAACGTCCGGAGGCACGGAGGCAGGCGCACGCACGGTTTTTTGTGCAGCGTGCATTGGCAAAGAGGCGCAGTGGGCGCCCGAGACGCGGCATGCACCATGCAACAGAGGCAGCCTCGATGCTAGGCACGCAGCATGGTTGCCTGGGAGCAATGTGCACCGCGTCGTCTGGGGCACGCCGCTGTGTCTTGCCCGTTCGTCGAGGGCCGGCACAGATCTGCCGAGGCGAGTGGGCGGGCGAGCGAGTGGGCCGAGTGGGGTGAACCGGGGCGAGCCGGGGCGGAGCGGGCCGAGCCGGAGCGCTATGGGCCGGGGCGAGTGGGTCGGGGTTGGTGGCGTCGGTCTCGGACAGGGTCCGGGAGAGCAGAGTGCTGTGGGGAGGAGAGCGGGCGGGAGTCGGGGGAGTCGGGGGAGTCGGGGAAGAGCGGGTGGGAAGCGGGCGAGAGCGCGGGCGCGACAGACCGCTATGGTTGCGTCGTATTAACGACGAGTGGGAGGCGCCGCTAGCGCATCGGGAGCAGGTCGCAGGTCGCAGGGCAGGGCGACAGACGGCCTGGGCACAGAGAGAGCGGTGCACAGAGAGAGCGGTGCACAGCTCCGCCCTGCGTCCGCCATAGAGCCGCTGTTGCTGCCGCGGCGAACCGCCGCTTTGCCGCCGAAACACCACGTCACCGCATACGACACGGTCACGTGCGCCGTCCTCCCTCTCGCACCCGTCCGCTTTCCTGATTTCCTCATTTCTCAATAGGGGCAGTTTCGCGCGACTCACCCACCACGCGAGTCGCACGAGACCCATCCAGCTCATGTACAACCCGTACCAGTCGCAAGGGAACGCATTGAACCAGCAGCAGACGGGCTTCTACTCGCAGCCCGCCCAGCAGCCGCCGCTCCCCAACCGTGCCACCACCACCGAGTTCGGCAACCTCCAGCAGAATGTGCCCACTTCCTTCGGCAACCAGCAACCTGCGCAGCCGTTTGGCAACGTCAACGCGGGCCAATCCCAACCGCAGCAAACTGGGTTCGCTCAGCCCTCCTACGGCCAGTTTTCGTCTCAGCAGACCGGCTACGCCAGCACGCTAAACCAGCCACAGCAGTCTGGTTTCGGCCAGTCAGGCGCCCTTCAAGGGTTCCAGCAGCCCCAACAAACCGGCTATTTTTCCCAGCAGCCCCCGCCGTTGCAGCAGCAACAACCACAGTCCAGTTTCTACTCCCAATCGCCTGCTCAACCTGCTCAAAATGCCGCTTTCAACCCACAAGATTCTCAGAACGCACCTTCTGCCACTTTACAACCGCAGACTACGGGCTTTTTCTCTCAACAGCCATTGCAACAGCAACCTCTACAACAGCAGCCTTTGCAGCAGCAGCCTTTGCAACAGCCACCCCAGCAACAGCCATTACAACCTCAGCAAACCGGTTTCTACTCTCAGCAACAAGCCCAGCCTCTACAACCCCAGCAAACCGGTTTCTACTCCCAACAACAATCCGCTTCTTTGCAACCTTTGAAGCCAACCGCCACCGGTTTCGTCAACTCGTTCGCCAATAATGGGGTCAACAACTCCCTCAAGATCCCAAACATGCGTTTGTCCTTCATCACTGCACCTGACCAGGCCAAATTCGAAACTTTGTTTAGATCGTCGGTTCCCCAGGGATCCAACACCATTTCCGGCGAAAATTGTAGGGGCATCCTCATGAAGTCCGGACTCGCTCCATCTCAACTTGCTCGTATTTGGACTTTGTGTGACACCAGCAAAGCAGGTGAACTCTTGTTCCCCGAATTTGCTCTTGCCATGCACCTCGTGAATGACGTCTTGCAAGGCGACAGTATCCCGTACGAACTTGACACCAAGACCAAAAACGAAGTGTCCAGTTTTGTAGATGCTATCAATTTTTCAATTGCAGGTGGGGATTATCCTGAGTCCTCCAAACCAAAAACACCATTTGATGATTTGACCGCTGGCATCCCCTCCTTAAATCCTCAGCCCACAGGATTTATGCCACAAACTAGCTTCGGTATGCCATTGCAATCCCAAGTCACAGGTGGTCAATTAAATCCTCAGTCGACCGGATTTATGCCTCAAACTTCTTTTGGCCAACCTTTGAACACTCAAATAACCGGTGGGCCTATGCAATCGCAAATGACCGGTGGTTTATTGCAATCTCAATCTACAGGTGGTATGTTGCAACCACAATCAACAGGATTCATGCCTCAAACCTCTTTCAACCAACCTCTACAAGGTCAGGCCACGGGTGGGGGGTTTCAACCGCAAACTTCCTTCAATCAACCTCTGCAAACCCAATTTACTGGAGGCGCTTTACAACAACAACCTCAAATGCCTTTGAATCAATCCATTCAATCTCAAGCTACTGGTGGACCACTACAACCTCAAAACACCGCTGGTCTTTCCTCCTTCACTTCTGTCTTACAAAATCAACAAACTGGCTCCATGCCACCAAGCTCTTTCGGAAATTCGTTCCCTTTACAATCTCAACCAACAGGCTTCTTACCTCCTTCTAATTTCAACCCCACTGCTCCCTTGATTGCTCAAAAGACAGGGTTTGGCAACAACGAGATTTACTCCCAATCTAATTTTGCCAGTAAATTCACTGCTGATAATTCTGATTTTATTACTGCGGAGGAGAAAGCTTTGTTTTATAAAATTTTTGAAACTTATGATACTAAAAACAAGGGCCTAATGGATTCGCCAACCGCAGTGGAAATCTTTAGAAAATCTGGGTTGAACAGAAGTGACTTAGAACAAATTTGGAATCTTTGTGACACTAATAATAGTGGCCAATTGAATAAGCAAGAATTCGCGCTCGGTATGCACTTGGTGTATAGAAGACTAAACGGTCACACGTTACCAGCAAGATTACCTGCGAGCCTAATTCCCTCAAGTACTCGAATCTTAGACTCTGTAAAGGACCAATTGAAGAACAATGATTTAAGTAACAATAAGAAAACCCCCACAAAAGCCGATGGATTGAAATTCAAGAACAACGATGACGAATTGTTGCCTAGCTCGAGAAATCGCAGAAAGACTTTTGTGGATGTAAAAGAAATTGAAGGTAACAAAGAAACCATAGCTAATTTGAAAAAACTCATCAACGAAAAGCAAGTTAAATTGGATATGGAAACTCGTCACTCTTCCCAATCTTATCACCTAGGTAACAATGGAGAAGATGATGCCAAAATAATTGAAAACTTGAAGAAAAGAATACTGTCTTTGCCCAAACCACCTTCTTCACACGTTGCTGGTGTTCCTTCTGATTTGAAAACTAAGTTTGATTCTTTGGTCGGTAGAGTTCCTGAGTTGTTAGCAGAGATCTCAAAAATTGATAATCAAATTACAAACGCCAAAGTCGAGCTTTACCGTTTAAGAAATCCTTCATCTCTTGTGGGTTCAGGCCCCAATGGGGAAATCACTGAACAAGATCGTAAAAAGGCCAAAAGTAAAGCTTTGTTAGCGTCCAGAATGGCCGCCTTAACAGGTAAGCCTGTTAGTGCTACGGGAGATTTGGAGAAAGAGGGGCAAAAATTCAATGCTGAAGTGTTGAAAATTAAAAATGACAATGCTAATAATCAAGCTATCATTAATGACATTCAAACTTCTATTGCGGAAATTGCTGCTTCTGTCCATTCTTCATTAACTGGCCATAATACTGTAGATAGTACAGAAGATTATGAAAAGTGGGAATTAGGCGTTGGTGTGGACGCTGAAGTTAGTCAATTTATTAGGCAATTAAAATCAGGGAATTCCTCAACAAATTATAGCTCTAACTCGTCGACTTATGCAACTCAGCAGTCTTCCCAGTTTAGTCAACAGAGACCCCCATTGTTGTCATCTGAATCTGGGTCTTCGTCCCAGTTCTCAAGCGCGGAAGAAAGAGCTGCGTATTTGAAAGAGCAAGCTCAAAGAAAAATGAGAGAAAAATTGGCAAAATTAGGACTTGGCGGGGAAGAACCATCTGATAGATCTACTAATGTCCAGGCACCAACACGCGATCAAAAAAACCAGCGGTTGAATCAAGAACTGACAGTTAAGTCAGAAAACCCCCAAACGAGTGTTCCTGCTAAACAGGCACAAGCAGGCGAAGAGCCTGACGAAGATGAAGAAGTCAAGAGACTTATGCAGCAACTTGAAGATCTGAAAGCTAAAAAGAAAGCCGAAAGGGAAGATAAATTGGCTAAACTGCGTAAAGAAGTTGAAAATGCGCAAAACGAAGATGAGGATTCGTGGGATGATGAACCCCAACAAGTTCAAAAATTATCGAGCAATGCTCCTTTGCAGACACAAACTGCTAACAGCACATCCGCCCAAGCCCCGATTTCAAGCACTCAAGGCTCTGCTAACCCAGGACCTGAATATGGATCTTTTACAAGTTCACCCACACCTATTTCTACCAATGTGCAGCAGAACACTGGATCACACCACGAGCATAACCCATTTTCTAAAAACTCCAATTCATCTGCTAGCGGCCAGGCGTTGTCGTCAGCGTCCACAGGAGGCAGAAATCCTTTTTTCAAACAGACTGCATCGGCATCTTCTTCTTTTGATGCAAAAGCTGCTGAAGCTCAGAGGAGAGTTCAAAGAGGTTTGGATAATGACGATGATGATGATTGGTCTGATGATGAAAGTCAAACGACACAAAAAGGGCTAGAACCCGAAGCTATTGGGGGTGTTTCAGGCTCTCAACCACAAATGAATTCTACCCCTGTGCCTCCCGTGAATAACTCTTCAATAGTTGCAGCACCTATTGCACCTATTCCACCCAAGGTTGAAGAATCACATAGCTATGAATCTTCATCTGCGCCAGTGCCCGTGGCTCCCCCATTACCAACTATTAACGCCTCGACTATACCTCCCGTGCCTGTTGCCCCACCACTTCCTCAAATGAATTCTTCGACTGCCCCTCCTGTTCCTATTGCTCCACCTTTGCCACAAGTTAACGAAACCACCGCCCCTGTTCCAAATGCACCTTCTCCCGTTCCAGTGCCTTCTTCCCAAGCTTCGCATCCAGTTCCTATTGCGCCACCTTTACCACAGGTTGCGATTGAAAATCAAGTCACAGAACCATCTGAGGATTTCGTTCCGCAATTGAATACTGCTACGACCGGCGCTGCGGGTGTTTCAACCCAAGTTGACGAAGGCAACGAATATGAATCCGACGATTTATCAATCCCTGATTCTGTGGCATCAGAGGACGATGACGATTTCAGAACTCCTGCGTTGGAGGCTCCTTCAAATGATACTACGCAGCTACCACCTTCAGGAATTCCTCCACCACCTCCTCTGCCATGAGATAGCCCACAAATTTCTACATTAAAGCTTTTTAATTTAGCTATGTAATCTCGTAAAACTGTGTGTTTATGCACTTTTCAGAAAGCCAGCCATGGGGTCCGAAAAATCCTCGTCGTTCATGGTAATCCGTGATGCGCCTTGTATCGTTGTCTCCGAAATGTGTTTCGGAACTCTATCTTTTTTCAGCTCTTCCTTCACTGCTTCTGTGTAGTCTTTGTCTTCATCTCGAGGAGTATATAGCGTATGATCTACTTTTACAACGCGCCCTGCGATTGATGAGCCGTTTAGATTGTCTACTGCAAGGATGGTTGACCTTTGATCTTCATATTTAAGAAAACCAAACCCCTTCGATTCTCCCGTCTCTCTATCTCTTACCAATTTGATATCTACTGGAATGCCATACTGAGAGAAAATAGTTAATATATCGCCTTCAGTCAGTTTCAAATTCATCCCACCGAAGTATATGTATGCCTGATCTTTATATTGTTCATGCCAAGAAGCCTCTGGTTTAAGGATTCCACATTCCAATTCTTTTAAGCTCAGTTTCTGTATTGATTTGATCTGATTCATAGTGCACTCCTTTGGTGCGAATTAAAGCAGATGACTGGTGTTTTCAAAGGAGTGAAAAATGGATACAATTCTCGCTATTTCATGTTTTTGAACTAGGGAACCAAGAAAAACTGCCCCGGGAAATATGACCAACAATCTACGAAAACTTCAGAACTTTACAACGTGCGATGTTTCTGATGGATTGTTGAATAAGTATAATATTAACGATGGTGGCTTCTTTCCAAATTTACAGATGTGGTCAGGACCGCAGAACCAAGCAACTGTGGGTAGAGCTTATACCGTCCTTTTCGCACCTAAAGATGACCCCAGACCGGAGGTTAACTACATAGATCACATTCCTGCAGAATCATTTGTGGTGGTGGCTGTCACTCAGCCACTTCAACTTGAATATGCTCCATACGTTAGAATAACTCAAGCACTTTACGGTGGTCTCATGTCCACAAGAGCACAATATTTAAAAGCCTGTGGTACCGTTGTTTTTGGCCGGATTAGGGATGTCGATGAGCACAAGAACTTGAACTTTCCAGTCTTTAGTTACAGCCTGGGCACATGTGCTGCGAAACAAGCTGTCAAGCCTGTGGCGATTAACGAACCATTACACGTTTTAACCAGTGACTCAGAAGTTAATACAATACACCCAGGGGATTATATAATTGGAGATAAACACGGGATCGTGAGAATACCTGCTGCCAGTGTAGAAATCACCGAATTGATTACGTACATTGAAAAATCTGTCGAGGTTGATGATCTTGTGATGGAAGACATTAAATCAGGAAAGCCCGCGAAGTTATCTCAGAAGGAAAGGAGAGTTGTCTTGAAAGATTTCATGAGTTAATGAATCATTGAATGAGTCATTTGATTACAGTCTTCTATTTCATTGAAGTTTAACTTGCTGAGACAAAAGTTGAACCACCCAGCCAGGTGCCGGGCAAAGGCTTTTCCCCGGATCGCCCATTTGTTGGTGCAGCGAGTTGAGTATTTACAAAAAAAAATCTAGTTAGCTAATTTCGAAATGCAGAAAAAAGCTCGATATTAAATATTACCTGTGCAACATTACTTATGCTTATTCTTCTTCTTTGTGGCTTCAGCGACAAGCTCTTCAAAAACTTGAGCTTCTTCTTGCTCCACTTTGGTTCTGAATGCCTTCTTGAACACCCTTCCCAAAATTATAAGCGCCTCTGCCCTTCTTATCCTCGTAATCTTGTCAACTTCTTTATCCTCCAACACCTTATCGCAAACACTCCTCAAAGTTGACATAATTTCAAATTTCGATCCATGCCAGGCAGCAGATAAAACTTTGCCCATTAGAAGTTGTTCAAGCTGCGCAAGTTCTTCCACTGTTGGTTTGGCTAGCTCATTACCCTTCTCATCTGTTATGACATCTTCTGATTCGGCAACAGCCTTCAATTTCTCAAGCTCCTGCATTGTGTTTTGCGCATCTAGTGCAGCCGAAACCGTTTTCAATGTATCCATCACAACTCCTCCCTTCGCTTTGAGAGAATGGAAAACCCCACCAAACCCCCAAATCTGCTGCGATTTTAAAAAGATCTGTCCTTTTTCACAGTAAACTTCACCAATCGTGTGTAGAATATCAAGACCAAAAGACTCCATTTTTAGCATATTTGCTTCTTCTTCGAATTTTTTGCAAAAAGATTCCTTACAAGCACTGTCATATGCACTTTCAGTTAAAATAGACAAACGATCAGCCAAGATCTTGCTTAATTCGTCTATTGTTTTTTCCTTCTCCTTCCTTTGCTCTTCCTCAAAAGCTTCAAGTTTTGACTTTTTCTTTTCCTTCGTTTTATTGGTTTCGCCGTCCGCCTTGGTGGATTGTTGATCTTCAGATGAACCGAGGACTTTTATTTTCTCATTTTCGAAAGATACACTGGATGGTTGCACATTTTCGTTTTTAACATCACCATCCTCAGATTTACTACTCTCTTTTTCCTCAGGCTTATCACTCCCCTCTTCAGCATTTAGCTCTTCCGTTTTCTGCAAATTCTTCAAGAGGGTTAGCTCACCGATGTAAGAGGAGAAAGCATCACCTCCAAATATCATTGAAAATTGCTCTGCTGCATCTTCAAAGCCATCTTGAGGAACTGCCTCTTCCTTACCATACTTATCGTACTTTGCACGTAGATCAGGATTGCTTAGGACTTGGTAGGCTTGGGAAATTGCCTGAAAGCGTTCAGTTGCTGTTGGATCATTTGGATTTTTATCTGGGTGTTCTTGAATGGATTTTTTCCTATAGGCTTTCTTTATCTCTATTGGTTTGGAGTCGGGAGAAACACCTAAGAGATCATAATAAGCGGTATCAACTACCATTGTCGCTTCTCCTCGTGTCTTGACAAAAGAGTTCGGAGACGATCAAAAATTACTATTTTACATTTTTTGAAGTCATGATGTACGAACATGTCTCTTATTTGATGCTCTAACTAAAGATCCTTCTCTAAAGCTCTGCCCTTAAACTATTCACTAGTATTTCCATTTGTTACCTCAATACCTGATTTTATGGAAGAGATCAGTTCAAGATCCGTAGAATTATTAAGTAATGCGTCATTTTTCGGATTAGATGTCAATTGAGGTTGTGCGGTGTCGATCGCTAAATCAATTCCAGGAACGTCATTTTCTGCTTCCTGCGTTACTGAGCCAGACATTCCCAAGCTATCTGACTCTTCGAAACTTATACCAGGCGATGGCTTCATCGTTTCAGATACATTGCAAGAATCATTACTTTCTAAAGATTCCGTCGATCGCTTACTCGATGGGATGACTTCACATTCAGACTCCGGTTCATCTTGTCTCTCAACTAGAGATGGATTCTCGGAAAAATTGATTGACCAGGTAGCGTAAACCTCGATAGAATTGTCTTTAGACTCACACTTGATTTTCTCAACATTAGCAAAACTAGAAGGAAGCTTTCGTCCTCGAGGTCCTTTCGATCTTCTACTTTGGACAGGTATTTTTGAAGCTGCAACGTCTGATGCATGATTTTCTACGGAATTCCCTGGGAATGCCGCTGAGTTTTCTTCAGAAGGAGTCGTATTCGAAAGATGTGGAGGTATTCCTCCAGCAGTCATACCTGGAAGTGCAAATAACCCATTCAAGTTGGACGCGATATTAGCTCTATTACCAGTCAAGAGGCTTCCATTTTTTGAGGATTGTTTACTACTTAGACTAGTGGAATCCTGTAGTTGTCTCTTTTGAAGCATTTCTTGGAAGGCAGCAATTTTAGACGATGGCTTTTTTGGAACAGGTGGGAGTGGCTTCTTTTTTGGTCTTTCTGGTATGGAAGGCACACTCCCTTCTGGTGTTGCGGACGAGTGACGAGAAGGTCTCGGAGGAATAATTGGAGTACCTTCCGACGTTTCCGATAATGCTTGATGCTCATCAGTCGAGTCGTTTTCCTCTGACACAGATTGAGGAACTTGAATGTTTTTTCCCTCTCTATCAACTTGAGTATGATCAGCCCCAATTTCTTCCTTTTCTGCTTCACTAGCTAGTTGGATAAGATTTGCATCTCCCATTGAATTCTCCTCGTTTTCTGCGACACTCGAGCTTGTATCCAATATTTGTTCTTTGCCTGACTTTTCCGGTGCATTACTTGCACTATCAATTTTCTCTGACGACACTGCGACATCGTCACCGCTTGGTATACTTGACGGCAAATTCTCTATATTCGGAGAAGTTTTGGGATTCAAGGATGGTTCTTTAAGATCTTCTTCGATGGTGAGATCATGGGACTCCTTATCATTAGAGCTATCGACAGCGTTCTGGTCGACGGAAAAATCATCCATTGAGTTGAAACCAGACTCATCGAAAGCGGTAGATTCGACTTCACAAATGCTGTCGGCCTTCCCATTCTGTATTTCCGTTACTGTATTTATATCATCTTCGCGTGGCGTAATTATCTCCTTTTCACCATCTGTTTCAGAACGGTCTACCTCTTCAGTGCTATCCATATCCTTCTCTTTTGCTTCAAGCACCGCGCTATTCATAGTTTCTAGAGTTTCAGTTGAGAGCGTGGGTGGACGTTTAATATCGGCTTTCGTAGATATCTGCGAAATCATTTCACGCATTTCTTCCAATTCTTTACTTGTACCTTGAACTAGGTCAGCCAAGGGCTCTTCAGTACGTCTCCTCTGTGGTCTACGTTGGGGGATTTGAGGAACAGTATGTAACTCGCCAGTCGTATGCGTTCTCAGCGGGCGCGACATTGGCATAGCAGGTGCTTTATCATCCCGTGGTGAGTCTCCGCCGATATGGTTGGGTATCTTGTTCCACAAAGTTAGTTTTCTTTCATTTTCGATCTATCAAAATAAAGGAACATACTCTTCTAGGCCGCTCGGGAACCTTAGGAATTTGTACAACTTCTTCGCTACTCATGCTTTGATGACTTTCTTTACGTGATTCTTGGCAGGTTCTGTTTTCGATTCCCCTATATCGACGATCCGTGAATCGTGCTTTAATAAAGTTTAACTTAGGACATCAGTCAGCCATGCGTCCACACGCTCATAACTTCAGCTACACACCCCTTAAATATACTATCTATGCGGAGTAGTTCAAACGGAAAATGTCGTTGAATACATAATAGGAACTTCCTTCTGGCATTAAATGGAAGACCTGGGAGAATCTTTGAGGATTTTGTTCATCATCGATCAAAAGGTCACCAGTAATCATTACAAGCACATCGCCATTTGGAGATGCAGGTTGAGCATCTAATGTACTGATTCTGTGGCCCACCTTTTGGAATGGTAAAGAAACAAGCTTCTCGACAATGTCTTTAGCACCCTGTAGCTGCGTCGTTTCAAACGTCAACATTGATTGCTCGCGGTACAAGTTTCCCAATTGCGTTCTATCGGTATCAAATTGGTTGTAGTAAAACTCAGTAAATTGTTGAGCTAGAGTATTGAAATCCACTGACATTTCGTTGTTCTTATCGTTACAATATAACAATAATATCCATCAAGAGCCATCAGCATGTTATAATCTGAACAGAAAATTTTGTTGATGAATTTGACCGGGTAACCGTTATGAAACAAAAACGAAGCAAATCAAGTTAAATGTTGTCCGGGTTACGTTTAATCGGTTGACATTTCTTGGGAGATAAAACCAACTCAATACAATCGATAAGGCGGCAAGAGTGAAGAGATGCTAGGTAAAAGTTCGCCCTTTAAAAAACTGACACATAGCCGTTCTGGATCGACTGAAGATCACTCTGGGTATCATTCTCACCGTCGAAGTGTTTCAGCCAGTAGCCAAGGACCTCCTATTTCTGGTCACAAGAAGAGCGCGTCGAGAACATCCAATTCCTCTGTGAGTTCTAACTTTTTAGCCGAGCAATATGACCGGGATAGACGTGCCATTATATCCAGCTGTTTTGGTCAAACAGAAAATAGTGGTAGCAGACCGTCGAAAACATATGTGACGCATGTCAGAATAATCGAGGATGCCCGTTTTCCAAGTTCAAGGCCTCCTGCCAATTCACCTCTGGGAAATAAGAAGAAGAGGGTACTCATAATTAGCTCAAAAACAGATGGCTCTGGTATGCAGTTGCATAAGGCACGCGAAAATAACAATGGCAGCTTTCAAATTGGCCGTACCTGGGAGCTTCGAGAAGTCTTGAGTATTGAGCGTGACATTGAACAACCAGAGGGATTCCTTCTCACGATGGGTAAAAAGTACTATTGGGAAACAAATTCTGCCAAGGAGCGAATCGTATTCATCAAGAGCCTCGTAAAGATATACATGGAGAATTCAGGTGGTCACGTCCCGGCGTTGGTAAATTGGGACTTGTCAATGTTCTATTTAGATGAAAAAAGCTATGAGAGAGCGTTGATTCAACCAACAAATAGAAATAACTCACAGAAACCATCGAACAAAACGACTCCTCAAACGTCTAGGCAGCGATCCATAAGTGAGCGTAAAGGAGGGGAGCATGTGGCGGATGTTGTAGCAAAAACTACCGAATTATCAATGCCTGCGCCGCTAGCAGCAAAAAAACCAGTTTTGGTCCCTCCTCAATCTTTTCCGCATAATTCAAATGCCTCGGTTCAGAAGTTCACCACCCAAGCTCAAGATAAGTTAGCTCAACAGCCTTCAAAGCAGGCATTTAAACATGATCGATTACCAGCGCAACAAACTCCTAAAAGTGCCCAAAACTCCTCTCAGGCATCACCAGTATCTTCGAGTCTTTCGAAAAATCATTCTGGTGAATCACAGAAAATTCATCCACAAGGTTCAGTTCATGAGAATATTGCATATGTGCCACCCCAAGTTCCTTCCCCGGAGCTGGCTGACAAACCTTTACATTCGGCACCTGCTACAAATATATCGCAACTGTCATCATCGCCTAGGAAGCCGTTGAGTAAATCACCTTATTCTCAAGTTAAAACGGTTAATCAAATGAATGATTCATTACAATCCCTGTCTTCTGCAAAGTTACAAACTAGTAATACCTCGAGCAGTAATAATGTACAAAGTCTCCCAGAGAAATCCGACAATTTTTTGGCAGAGCTGAACACTGTATTGACTTCTCCTGCCCAAAATGTTGACTTTGTCAGTCACAGAAAGTCGTATGTGGAGGTAGAGGCCGAAACTGAATCAGTACCTGAAGCTCTTAACTATGGCGAGGGTGGACTTGATGAGAATGCTGAGGATAGAGATGAAGAGGATTTCGCAGAACTTTATGATTCCGGTTCATCTCTTGAACAATTCAACAGTACACGTGATGAAACTCACGACGATGGGAACGAGCTTTCATTCGAGAAAGGGGACGAGGCTCGCTATAGTCAGATTCTTGATTCCCCTGCATCCCATGCATATCATGAGGTATCTACAATTAGAGAAGAACCTTTGACCCAACCTCATTATGAACTTGAATCCGGGAGGGAAGACTCTCTCGAGAAAACAACTGGGCTAGCGGACAACCAAGCTCTTCTTGAAATTCTTGATGATGTTAATTGGGATGTTGATGATGATTGTGATAGGGTTTTAGAAAAGCTTCACAGTAAGTTAGCCGAAACGGAGTACGGGTTCAACAAAGAATTGCTGTCGTTACCTGAGCACTGTAATGACTATTCTTCTTACAAAAGTAGTGTCATGAAGGAGTGTGATAAATTGGATCCAATCCTCTCGTTTTTTGTCATTGAAATGTCTACTGTATCTCAGGATATCGAGTACGTGGAGAGTCAAGCAAACGGTCTTCAAGTTGAAAGCGCCAATAAAAAAATTCTTTGGAAAGAGCTTTCTGAAATATTGAACTCAGTTTCGATAGATGAATCGTCATTGAATGAACTACTTTCATTGACTTTAAGTGAACGAAATTTGGAAAAGATTGAGCGGTTGCTTTTCGCATTATATACTGCTCTAAAAGCCATTCGAGGTGATAAGCAGGAGAAGGAATTTAATTTAGGTGAAATGAGGGCCTTGAAAGAGAGACGCCAAGCTTATGAAAAGGTAACTGGAATGTTTCTAAGAAGAGCCGTTGAAGAAATGGACAAAAAATTCAAAACACTGGGCCATGATAATGTTACTAACGAACAACTTGCAAATATTCTTTCGAGGATGATGATTTACTCTTCTTTAGTTTCGTTCTGTAAGGACATTTCTTCGGAATCCTACTCGAAGATAATTGAAGAGTGGAACAGAGACATTCGGGAAACATATGAAAAGAGGACCAAAACTATAATTTCAACCTTAAACCCACGTCAAACAGGTCTGGCACCAGGAGTTAAGATTGCGACTCAGGAAGCCCAGTTGGATCTACTACTTGAATGTTGGCAATCTTACAGAAATTCGAAGTCTATAAACCCAAACCTTCCATCGAACTCACAATACTTAGTCACAGTGATAAATTCAGTTTTGGCAATGGAAGGCTTATGTGTCACGTATCAAAATTTCATCGACGGCTTCTTTCACATTGGTGGCACAATGGATTTTGCTCAGTATGTTACCGATTTTCCCAATCTTAATTCCAGAATACGTCCTTTAGATGTTATAGAAGAAATGGAGCTTGATCGTGAATCATCCATTTTTAAGACAGAGCTCGTAACTGAAGTTTTTCATCCCTTATTTGCGGGGTATTCCAACGGATTGTTACAACTTGTCAAGCAGGAACAACTTTTGGCACCAGTGCTTTTATTCTTAATTGAAAGTGAAATTAGTAAATTCAAATCCTCAAATCAAGAGTTTTTAATGTCAACTTTCAAAAAGATCTTTGACAAAATTAACCAAGAATGGCGTGAGTTTCTTGACGATCAAGTCGTCTACATAGAAAGAGCCACGATTGATTTGAAATCAAAGAAGATTTCTCCTATCATTATGGGTTTTCCTCTTTTCGTGAAGAATCTAGTTGATGAAATTTCATTTTTGAAGGGGAAAATAGAACGGAGCCCTGCACATTTTGTTCAGTCTCAAAAAGTACTCAACGAAAGCTTTACGGAATATGGTGCCGGCGTTATTGCCCTTTTACTAAAAGATTATGAAAACGAAAGTCGTGCTGCAAACTTGCGCTCCTCTACCTCTCCAGAAGCACTCGATGAGTGCGTATCTTTACTTGTAAACGCAAATTGGATGTTGGAAATGCTTCCTATCTTTGGAAATGAATTATTTTCCGATTGTCTTTTAAGAACCAAGAAAGTATTTGACCATGAGAAAGAAAGATATTCGGAAATATTGATAAAATCTGCCATGAATCGCCTGTACAGTTTTGTTGAGGGTGCTTACGGCCTTGTGGAAGCTTCGCGTGCTCGTCCCGTGGACCCTTCTCGTTGGGCTGCGTACAGTAGACAAAACCTGAACAAGATACTAGACCGTTATACATCCCACGAAATCTCTACTCTTATTGTGAGGCTCTACAGTTATGTTGAGAGGGATTTCTTGGGAGGAAAAGAGAGCATTATAAATAGTCAGTTGTGCGATAAATTATGGTCATGTATTCAAGGGCAAACTGTGTCTTTATATTTGAAGTTGCTGACACTCATCGATAAGCATTACAAGGGAACATCCGTGAAATTTACTAAGAATGATATCATTACTGCATTCAACGAACATAAAAAAGTTTAATAAATAAACATATTTGTAGCGTAATCCCTTTTCGTTTTCTGTGATTATTTCCACAAACGCGTTATGGAGATGAGCCACAACAAACTTAGTTGACGCAAGCCTAAACAAGTTGGCTTTAGCTTTCAGATAATGTCACTGGAACAGGAAGACTCGGATGATGACGATCAATTGGAGTCTTTACTCAATAATTCTGTCAACAGAAAAGTATCTCAAGTCATCACAAGGAAAAGCATACCACAGCAGAGAGATTTATTCGGCAAAAGAGTCGGCAACCAAAGTACATTCTATGAGGAAGTGAAGACGTCAATAACATATGGGCCTACCCATCACAATCTAGACTACGAGAATTTAAATTCATACATATATCCCACCAATTATGAAGTACGAGATTACCAGTTTAGCATTGTCCATCAGGCTTTATTTCAAAATTTAGTTTGTGCGATACCTACTGGTACCGGGAAAACGTTCATTGCGAGTACGGTGATGCTCAACTTTTATCGGTGGACCAAAAAAGCTAAAATCATATTCACTGCCCCTACCAGGCCGCTTGTTGCTCAGCAGATTAAAGCTTGTCTTGGAGTCACCGGCATTCCACATGAGGATACTGCGATCCTATTAGACAAATCGCGTAAGAATAGAGTAGATATATGGGCGTCCAAGCGTGTGTTTTTTACTACTCCTCAGGTGGTTGAAAACGATTTAAAAAGAGGAGTTTTGAATCCGAAAGACATTGTTTGTTTGGTCGTCGATGAAGCTCATCGCGCTCGTGGATCATATTCCTATGTTGAACTCACCAAATTCATTGACAGATTTAACACATCTTACAGAGTCTTGGCACTGACCGCTACGCCAGCTGCGGATATGGAAGGTGTTCAGGAAATTGTTAATAACCTCCATATTTCTACAATCGAGATTCGCACTGAGGAAGATTTGGATATAATGAAATACATGAAGCATCGAGAAATTGAAAAGGTTGAAGTGGGTTTCACGATGGAAATAGAGGATATCATTGAACAGTTGGGAATCGCTGTGACGCCTGTTTTGAAGGAAGCGGTTGAATTGGGGATTTACGATGATTGCTCGCCTGCGAATATTAATGCATTTGTCGCATTACAGAAAAGTCAGAAAATTGTTGCCAATCCAGCTATCGCAGAAGGAGTCAAGTGGAGGAACTTCTTCATTCTTCAATTATTGTCTCATGTTGGCCATATGTTAAAGAGATTAAAGATATACGGTGTCCGCTCCTTTTACAGTTACTTTCAAAATAGATACAAAGAATTTACAACCAAGTATGGAATGGGAAAGTCAACAAACAAAACAGCTGCTTCTTTTTACTATCATCCGATCTTGAAAAATACCATAACTAGCTGTGAAGCACTAACCCAGAATGCAGATTTTTTGGGTCACGAAAAGCTGACACGTATTCGAGAAGAGTTGTCTAGTTTTTTTGGCGATGCACTACCTGATTCGCGCGCCATTATATTTACTGATCTTCGTGAGTCAGCATTAGAAATTGTGAAGTGCATAGATCGAATGAACGATTCATCACTTCGCCCTCATATCTTCATTGGGCAGGCCAGAGGAAAGGAGGGATTCGATGACGAAGACTATACGAGGAAGCATAAACCTAAAGGACGTAAAAAGGTTGATAGATTAAGGAGGCTGGAGGAGGAGAAAGCAAGGGAGGTAGAAAAGAGTAAAGAAAAGCAGAAGCAGAAATTACAAAGAAACGCAAGTAGAACAGGTAGCTCTGAAGAAGCTCAATTATCGGGGATGAATCAAAGCCAACAGAAAGATGTCTTGAATAAATTCAAAAATGGAGTATACAATGTTCTTGTATGCACATCTATAGGTGAAGAAGGTTTGGATATTGGTGAAGTGGATTTGATTATCTGTTACGATGCAACTAGTAGTCCTATAAAGAATATTCAACGTATGGGAAGAACAGGAAGAAAACGGGATGGTCGGGTAGTATTGTTATTGAGCTCAAATGAACCTCAGAAATTTAATCAAGCAATGGAAGGGTATGGTGAGCTGCAACGGGCAATAAGCCAAAACTTTTTAGAGTATAAAGCGTCAGACAGAATTATCCCGGCTCATATCGATCCAAAATGTGAGAAAAAGTTCATCATTGTTGGCCATGAAGGTGATCAAGTTAATTACATGAATGACACAGATGAAGTGATTAAATATGCCACACAGGCAATGTTGGGAAAACTGAAACCTAAATCATCGTCCAGGCGAAAGAATAAAAAGAAGGATTCCAAGTGTACTAAGGAAAAAACATTTTTTATGCCGGATGATGTTGAAACAGGCATAGTACCTGCAATCAGCATGGTTAACAAATTCACAACCGATCCTAACGGACTAAAAGTGTCTCTGAAGCCAAAGAATGCCGACAAGGAGCTACGCTATCCAATCTTGGATGCAATTGCGGTTGATTCGCTAGACTCATCGCCGATCAAATCACAGGACGTCTCCTCTCAACGTGATACTCACCTGCTAGACCTAAGCTCTATGGTTTCACAGCACCTTAAAAGTGAAACTATTGATGAGAAACCCGCCAATCTGGGAAATGTACAGGATATTGACAGCAGCTCATTGACGTCAGATCAACCTGATTTTAGTTCGAAACGCCACTTTGATTCAGCTACCTCCTCGATCTCACTTGACGACAAGCCAAGTGGTCTAAAAAAGCTCAAAGCAACACAAGCGCCAGTGCTCTTTTTTGATGAGCATCACTCAGATTCGAGTAACCCCACAAAGCGTGGATCTAGATGCAACAATCAAGCGACGATCGATAAAATCTACAAGAACCAATTTAATACAACGGATGGACTTTTAAATGTGAAAGAAAAAAAGTATTTTGAGGACAATTATTCGGCTCTTTGTCGCGTTTCTATTGAACCTATTCCTAATTTCAAAGAAAACATCAAGACGGCAGGTATTGCGCATTCTCGCAAAAGCTTCAAAATCATAAAACTGTTCGAGGGATTGAACGAGAATAAAAGGCAAACCATCTCAAGTATGAGCACGGTAAAGGCACTTGCAACTGCAGCAGCTGAACTTAAAAGTTTTTGTGAACCCAAAAACCACTTAGCAGTCGTAGCCCGAAATGATGATATCAGGTATGTCAACCATAAAAAATTTCAGTGTCAAGATGAAGTGAGGCTTAATATGTTACCTCCATTTGTCAAGGAACAGGAGCTTTCTGAATTATTAGACTCAGAGTTCTCCGATGGATGAATCTCATTTGTAGCAGACAGCTTCAATATGCATTACGGAAAGCAGCTTCGCAAACACAATCAAGAATCGATTTCCTAATTCGGAAGGTTTTTCTTCCTTTTTTTCCTTTTTTTTTACCAAGGTGACACTATATAAGGAGAATGAAAATTCAATTTTGACATATGTAATTGCGAACGTTCTTTTTCTTTTCCTTCTCCATCCTTATGCACGGGAAATACGCATATCAGTGAGGATTCGTCCGAGATTGTGTTATTGCTGGTTGAAATTTAATTTAACCTGACCCCTCCTCATGGCACAACGTGTCTTTTTACACTATTGCTATGTAGGGAATTTTTGGAATGAACTTTTTTTCTTGTAGTCGCAAGTAATCCATCCAACTTTTTGAGTTATTCAATGTGAGAACACATTGGGAAGTTGGTGCGCTATTGATATACATTTGGTATATATATATATATAATTGTCGAGTAAGTGGTAGTGATTTGTTTTCCTACATCCATAAATCCGGGTAATACTGTCAAATAAAAGCTATGAAAATTTCTGAGCTCATCTCAGGTATTAATTCAGACTACACCTTCAAACGATGTTTAAGAAGTATGAGACTCCATAGAACGTTCACTCAATTGTAGGGATTATTTACTAACTATTTGATGTTTTTAGATTTACACGTGAGGATGTTCACTCTAGGTCAAACGTAAAATCATCCGTCCAGAGAACGTTGAAGTCCAAATTGGTTTCTCAGTTTCCAAAGCTGGAAGAAGTTATTGACGAGTTAATCCCAAAAAAAAGTCAGGTTGAGCTTATCAAATGTGAAGATAAAATTCAATTATATGCCGTCGACGGTGAAGTTTACTTTTTCCAAAACTTCAACGAGCTTATTCCTACGCTGAAATTTGTTCATAAGTTTCCAGAAGCATTTCCAACAGTTCAGGTTGATAGAGGAGCAATCAAATTCGTTTTATCAGGTGCAAATATCATGTGTCCAGGCTTAACGTCCCCTGGTGCCAATTTGCCGGATGCTCCAGGGTTGGAAAAGGAGGCCCTGGTTATTGTTAATGCTGAGAACAAAGAGAATGCGTTAGCAATTGGGAGATTGCTTATGAGTACGGAAGACATTAAATCCATTAATAAAGGGCATGGTGTTGAACTGATTCACTACCTAGGTGACTGTCTGTGGAACTTTTCTGTTGAGTAAGTCGTGCATCGATGAACTTTGATATAAGTTGAGATGTTTATAATTACATAATGTAGCTGTGCACTAAAATGATAACCTCTTTTGAACGAACCATGATCAAACTTTTTCAACCATGATTTTATCGCCAGATCTAACACTGAAATCGCTGATAGGCGAAAATTCTCGGCCAAACTCTTGAATCACTCCGGGTGATAGGAAATGCGCCAATCTAATCTTAAAAATGGACGTTTTGAGCCGCCTTGATATAATGCTTTTCAGAAAACGAATACTGTAAGAGCTCAAAACTGAAACTTCACCAATAGTCTGTTGTTGGAAGACGATAGAAAGTTGAAGTATTTCTATAGAGCTAGCGAATTCCGTCTGAACACTGTTATTTTTTCTCATATCATATTTATCTAAGAGTGCAAGCCAGTTGCTAGAATTTGTATCATAATCAAACGTGCCATTATTCACCTGCGAAATTAAATACTTTTCAGCTTCTTCGCGAGTTCCTTTTGGTAAAATTGTACCATTCAAAATGTCAATTTCATTCAATTGCGCAAGTATTAGTAAAAATGATGAATCACCCGATTCATTTCTTGTAAATGGGTTATCGTTGATTCTGAGATCACTCAGCGACGGATAGTAAGCGCTAATCTGCTTCACGCAAGACCAATCGGCCAACAAATTCTGAGACAAGTCTAATGTTTTCACACTGTCAAATTTAGCTTCTGTTATATGCTTAATTCGATTCTTAGATAAATAGACCGTTTCAACATTTGATCTTGCAAGGGTTTCTGGTATATCACAAAGTAGATTTTCTCCCAGGTCAATTTCTAACAGCGAAGGAGGTAAAGTGATGTCGAAAGATTCCATTTCATTCCCGGAGAGTGCGATTTTCTTCAAATTTGGAAATAGCATAAAGGCATTCTTGATGTCATCAATAGAAATATCACAAAACGACATCCGCAGCTCCGAAATACTTTTAAATGACTGTCCATCCTTCCACGTCACTCCATGAAACTTATTAAAGCTTAAATCAAGAGCTTGTAACTTAGGCATTGTAGAAATAATATTCAAGATGTCTTGAAAATCTGAGAAAAGATTAGAGGAGATATCTAATTGTAATAACTGCCGATTTAGCTTCCCCAAACCATTCCAACCTTTGACGGAGCCAGCAGTGTAAATCTCAAGGTTACAAAGGCTTAACGAATTCAAATTTGAGTTTTGAATGAACCTTGTCGTTAATGGTTCAAATCCATAGGTCTCTACCCTTTTTTCACCGAAATACATGTCATCGAGCTGAATATCCGAATTTGCACATATATCGTAACATACTTCATAAAACGATTTCCGTGTACAACATTCTTTTGAAACTTTTGATTCTTTGATGAAAGAAGCGGCACCGCTCTTGTGACTTTTGAAGTATTGTTTTCCTTTCACTGTACCATTGTGCTTTCCCCTGGCAGGGTTATCCCACTCGACACCATAAACAACTTCATCTGACCATTCTTTGATGTAGCCAACAAATCGTATAGTGCAAAAGTCTTCACCTATTTTCAATCGTTCACCTACTTCACACCTCATGTCGAAGAACTTGGTAACATTTGACAGTTGAAAAAAGACAATCCGTTCATGAAAAAACAAGTGAATTTAAAAAGCATCTGGAAGAAATTATGACTGATGTACATACTATACATAAATGAATCCTTACTCACCGTCAATGCACAATAATGCATTTCACTACCTACTGTTTAATCTTGGGATTTAAGCTTACTGATTAACTATTGATTTGATTCAATCGCTTTATCAAGTGAGGCAAATAACCCATCTAAATCGAATTCTTTAGACCATTCACTTACAATTGATGTATGTTCGGATACCTGAGGAGGCTGAGCTATTCCAGTACTGAGTGTTTTTGGTTCTGATGTGTTTATAGAAGAATCTTTTGAAGACTTTGGCAACACCCAGCCCAAAATTTTCCCATCTCTCCAATCATTTAAGACAGATATACCAGCACCATGAAGATTAGGAATCCCACCTTTTCCTATTCTCCCTCTCTTTCGAGCAACATGAATCAAAAATTGTTTTGTAAATGAATCAGGATCTGATGCGGGAATGGGAGGTAACTCGTAAAGCTTCTTGAAAGCGTCTGTCATTTCATCTGATTTGGCCAGCCTTTTTATCAACATCAAAACAGCATAATATGGATCTTTGATGAACTTAGATGGCAACGCATTCAAAAGCGCTAGTTCTGCCTCTTGTTCTGTCTTCGATTTTCTCTTTACGTCACTTGGGAAGCAAATACCGGGAGAATCTAAAATCTTCAGCTTGTTATCAATTTTAACCTCTCGTAAAGACGTGGTTACACCAGGTTGGTTACCAACTGGGCAGGCCTTAGAGTGGCCTCCCCTGCGAGATGTCAATGCGTTGATCACCGAAGATTTACCAACATTAGGGTAACCGATAACACCCACGACGATTGACCTCTTAAAATTTGAGTTTGCAGCATAGGTTTTCAAAGCTTCCAATAACGCAGAGGCCGTTCCACTTTGAGTTAGCTTCTTATTGAAGGAAGTCGCGTTCGTTGCTCCTGGAGCGGCCCTTAAAGGAATAGTTGGAAAGCTGGACTTTAAGAAATTCAACCATTGCTCCAAAACATGAGGTGGAATTAGATCGATTTTGTTCAAAATAAGTATCAATCGCTTACCTTGGCTTTGTAGGACTGCTTGCTCAACTTTTCTAGACCTAGTTCCCTCGGGATCACGAGCATCAAGCACATATAATATCACATCCGAGGCATCCACAACCGTCTTGAAAATTTTGTCGTATGCCTTTCTTGATTTTTCAAGTTCTGTTTCCGCCTCATCGCCATCTTCGTAAAAATCGATGTCATAGTCCACAACTTCCATTGAATCGTTCTGCACAGCTTCTGCTGATTCATCCCTGATATTACCTTCAAACTCAGAAGCGGCTTGTTGAGCAGATTCCAGAAGAGCAGCGAGTCCGCTCCCGTCATCTCCAGCGTCCTCCTCATCTTCTTCCATAATGTCATCATTTTCAAGCATCTGTTGCTTGGCTTCTAAACGTTTCTGCCTAGCTAACTCCTTCTCTTCTAAATCCTGTTGTCTTTTGACTTCGATTGCCTCTAATATTTTGTTCTTGTAAGGAAAGTTCGCGGGAATACCAGGATCTTTCTTCGTTCTTGACTTCCAGGTAGGGTCTTTTTTCGCCAATTTTCTTTCCTTCCTGTGCTGCGCGGCGGCCTTTTTCTTAATGCCCTCTTTCATCCTTGTAGATGTTCTCTTGGAAGTACGCTTTCTCACTCTCATAGTTAATTCTATTTGAAATGGATGCTTCTAAAATCAACGTAACTGTGGTTTATGCGCATCTTAAAGCTCATCGCCTTCAAATTAAAAAATTTTCGAGTGCTGAAAAAGAAATGGCTTAATTCGTAACATGTGATTAACAAGATTATGAAGCTTTCGTTGAATCCCTCAGAATGATGATAAATCAGTCTCATTCGAAGTGGTTAGCATTCTGACAAGGAGAGAGACATAGCTGAAACAACACTCGATTAGGTGGCTATTTGACAGTTTTTGGGCGGTAAAGTTTGTTTTATACTTCTTTGTTTCACTCGTAGGATTTTGCATTTGGTTGTTCTTTCATAATTGCGATTAATTGGTGATGTCTCTGCCAATAGCTGCTGCTGCAAACGCCGCTGCGTCTGCGAGAAGAAGAGGTCCCAATCTTAATATTGTCATATCCTGCCCAGAATGTAAAGTTTACCCACCAAAAGTTGTCGAGAGGTTTAGTGAGGGTGATGTCGTGTGCGCGTTGTGTGGTTTGGTCTTGTCAGATAGAATAGTGGATACAAGATCAGAGTGGCGTACTTTCTCCAATGATGATCAAAATGGAGAAGATCCAAGTCGTGTAGGTGAGGCTTCAAATCCCCTATTGGATGGTAATCACTTGTCGACAAGGATCGGTCAAGGGCAAGGTGGCGATGCTAAACTCACGAGGGAGCTGAATAGAGCACAGAGCAAGAGTATAGTTGATAAAAAGGATACGGAACTGCAGGCTTCTTATGCAAAGATTACTATGATGTGTGATGCTGCCGAATTGCCCAAAATTGTTAAAGACTGTGCAAAAGAGGCTTACAAAATTTGTTATGAGGACAGGGCACTTAGAGGAAAGTCTCAGGAAAGTATAATGGCGTCTGTAATTCTTGTTGGTTGTCGTAGAGCGGGGGTAGGAAGGTCTTTTAAAGAAATATTCTCATTAACCAATGTGAGAAAGAAGGAAATAGGGAAGACTTTCAATATTATCAAAAATATCCTCAGAGAGCAAAATGCTAGTGGACATGCTAATATCGACACTGAGAACATTTCATCCAGCCAAACATCTGCGCAGACTTTCATTCCGAGATTCTGTTCCCACTTGGGTTTGCCGGTCCAGATTGCCAATGCGGCCGAGTATATTGCTAAACACTGTAAAGACATCAATGTACTCGCAGGTAAGTCTCCCATCACTATAGCTGCATCTGCAATCTATATGGCAATCCTATTATTTCAAGTGAACATTTCAGCAACACAAGTTTCACGTATCTTGGGTGTCACAGAGGGAACTATTAAAGGCGGTTACAAAATCCTTTACGAATATCGAGAAAAGGTAGTCGATCCGAAATTGATCGAAAGTGGGAAGATAAATTTAGATAATTTGCCAAAAGTGAACGAAAAGGGCGATAAAAGCACTGGTCCTAATTGAGAGAAGCTGATTGAATGTAAATTTCATTTTTATACATTATGCTATAAGGATCCCGCGAATTGACTAGATTGTGTTCATGAGTATCATACATATCATAAAATAATCAGATGAAGGGTTTGTTTTTTCTCTCTTTATCTCTAGGATTTGTAAACTTGCTGAAATCTGCTAGAGAAAATGCTGTACGTAGTTTCGCGGACTGATTTATTGAGGGAGACGAGGTCGCACTTTTGCTACGCTCATCTAGAGGATACTCTTCTTCATGAGACGATTTTGAATCATTCAAGTTCATCATGCTTCTGCTTCTAAATTGGAAGCCCTCCCTATCATCACTTTCGTAAGTACCTCTACGGCTAAAACCCTCCTCGAGATCTGCCAAAGTATCTCTCGGTGCTCTGGAATATTTGAACTTAGAAAATTTAGATTTTGCATGAGTAAATAGAACACCCACGCTCAACGGAAGCGACCGCTTGCCGCAGCGCAATTTAATCACTAAAATCCAAAGAAAGATTAAAACTCCAACTATAAGCAAAGAATGGGCTGGCGAAGATTTAACACTTCCTATTGATGTTGACAGCTCATCAATCGTGCCAATGGAGCCTGGTATAAAGCTCTTTTCGAAACTATTAATTTCATTATCACTAGGCAAGATACCCACCTTATGATCTTTGTCATCAGATTCAATGAGAGAGGAGGAATACAAGACAATCCTTCCTAATGTCCAAGAAAGTTCTTGACCATTTATCGAATCAGCGCTTTGAAACGCTGCAGCTACTGGAATATACTCATCCGCGTCGTCATTGTGTTCCTCAGCAGGGAGCTCGATACCTACTCTGGGCATGTCAAACCCTTCATGAAGAACGTTCAATACCCAATTTGCTTTGAAACAAGATTCCAGTAGAATTTGCGTAGGAATATTGTTATACATCCCTTTCTCATTTCTATCCTTGACAACATCCCATTCAGCCTCGCAAAATTCTTTGACCTTTTGACTGAACTCGTTAAAATTGTATTCTCCGCCAATCTTAAAGACATCATTTGCAGTATACCAAAATTCTGAGGTTCCGACAAATTTATCTTTGTTGAAATCTATTTGAGGGGCATGCACCCCATTAAAGAGGCATGGCTCTTCCATACATGGCAAATCCTTCAAAAGGAGAGGATAGATCGATTTTAAACAGTGTTCATAGTTTCCTGATCCTGAAACTTGGAATTCTTTATCTTTAAACTTAAACGTATTTCTCGATCCCCTCAGCATACATGGATCTGTCAGTTCAAGTGTTGAAAAGTCATCGTCATCGTATTCGTTTGTATTTTCGGGTAGCGCGTTTATTAATTGAGCCAGGTACCGCATTCTGGCCTGGTTTGCACCAAACCCTAACCAAGTACTCACAAATACCCGCCAATTCTGTGTATCACCGTTTATACTTTTCAATGTTATCGTTGAAATGTCATCATCATGCGTTTTAATTTCATCGATATTACTCGGCACAAAAGCTATCTGAGCAGATGCTCCACCCATATCCATAAAACCGTAAGATGGATGAAAGTCTTGAGAAACATCATATTCATTAAAGTTCCCTAGCAAATAGTTTAAGCCTGTCCATCCATATAGGCCCTCTGTTTCACCATCGATTATTTGAACTTGTAGTTCGCAGTCTTTGATTAGAAAGTTTGTTGAGTGCTGCATATCAGCACAGACATTTTTCAATATCTTCTCGCGCCTCTTTTTTGGAAGGAGCCTCATCCCTGCCGTGGCTTGGATAAAAACTGGAGTTTCTCTAACTTTCTCCTTGGGAATCAGCTTCTCTGCGTACTCTAGGAGTGGTTTGACATGCTTTTTGAAAGCTTTTTCAGGCTGCTTCTCGAAACTGGAAAGGCCCGGGCTAGTTTTAGTAGTCCAGTCTTTGTTCAAATAAATCTGAGGTACGGATTTGAGTTCTTTATCACTGCCCTCTTTTAAGGTGAAGGATGGATCCTGCCACCTATAAACATAGACTCTTGATCCTGACGATCCTGCATCAATAATAACACCGTATTGATCAGATTTTTTATCTTCTATATCTTCGATATGCATACTCTTCAGACACAAGTATAAAGTTCTTGCATGGACCAGCCGTGTTTACGCCATGAATGTTGAACTCCCAAAAAAAAAAATCTGTGTATTTAAAAAACGAGCTTTCGCCGCTTGAAGAAATGTTTTAAACAGCCTACGAAGATATTACTATTTGAACCCGTCGATTGTAAAAGTTCGCTCTTGTTATCACTTTGATTACTTTGAAATAGCTCAAATAAAACCATGGCCAATAGGTGAACCCCTATCTATTGGCAGATTGAATAAGAAAGTATCTAAATATTCAGCTGCTCCAATTTTTTTCTCTGAGTTCAAATTGCTCAAACCACAGAGGAAATTTGTAGGTCAACTTGCCTGAAGCATGGACCTTTCTTGCGAATGTTGACAGAACTGAATGGATGCAGGCATGCGACATGCTGATCTGAATTATCGAAGAACACATTTGCTAAATAGGAGCTCAAAATCAAGGCAGTTCATCTGAAATATTGATGTTGATGCCAAGATATTCTTGCTTGCACCAGCTTTCGATGAGAGTGCGAATACTAGCGCTTAATGGCTCCAATGAAATAGACTTTGACCACTGAGGGTGCTGCCTAACTCTTGTGTAAGAGGGAATATGAATATTTTCAGGTACCGTAACGCCATCATCGATAATGATGGAATCTTCAAGCGTGCGACGAGGTAAAAGTTTAGCATTTTCCCCTATTATTATTCTCCTTCCTAATTTGCAACTAGAGATATGTGCGCCTTCTTTGATCAAGATGAAGGAGCCCATTAACAAAGGGGTATGCAGAGCAGCCTTTTCACGAGAATCTTTCCTCATGAGGTGATTGATTTTTGGGGGCCGTATCACACAATTCCTATGCATCACACAGAACATGCCCATCGAAATTGTGTACGAATCATCATTACTTACTATTACTTCACCATCCAGCATACATCCCTCAGATACTAAACACATCCCAGAGATGAGTATTCTTCGGGATCCTTTAATATTAGCACTTTTGGAGATACGATTTCCATTCGTTGTTTCTATCCATTTGCTTGACATTCTATGAGAATGCTGTCGGACGTGTTGCATGACTACAACTTGATCAAATTTGGCGTAACAAAATATTCTTGGTCGGAAGTTTACAAACACGTACCTCGAAATAACAAATCATCAAAATGAGTGAGAAGCTGTTCAGATTGGACGCTGGTATGTGGAAAAGCGTTTTTATAATGTTACTTTAAGATATACTAACATTAGACGTAGGTTTTCAGCAATACGACTGGGGGAAGATTGGGTCCTCGTCTGCAGTCGCACAATTCGCGTCGCATTCAGACCCTAGTCTAAAAATCGAAGAAGATAAACCATACGCAGAACTCTGGATGGGAACACATCACAAAGTTCCTTCCTTCAATCATGAAACTAAGCAAAGCCTACGTGACTTGATTGCAGCCAATCCTGCTAAGATGCTTGGCCAAGGCATAGTTAATGAGTTCCACTCCACTACAGAATTGCCGTTTTTGTTCAAAGTCTTGTCTATTGAGAAAGTCCTCTCTATTCAAGCGCATCCGGACAAGACTCTTGGAAAGAGGTTGCATTTGGAAGATCCCAAGAACTACCCAGATGATAATCACAAACCTGAAATGGCAATCGCTGTAACAGACTTTGAAGGTTTCTGCGGTTTCAAACCGTTAGAAGAGATTGCAGATGAACTTCAACGTATTCCAGAATTGAGAAACATCGTGGGTGAGACGGTATCTCAAGAATTCATCAATGGTATCAATTCAAACGCAGTAGAGGGTTCTAAGGAGGACGTCACAAACAGGGAATTGTTGCAATCGGTCTTCGGAAAAGTTATGAATGCACCAGCTGAATCAATTATAAAAAATGCACGTGCACTTATCGAGAGAGCCAAAAACAGCCCTTCTGACTTCAATAAGAAGGAATTGCCAGAACTATTGATCAGATTGAATGAGCAATTCCCGGATGATATTGGTTTGTTCTGCGGGGGTTTATTATTAAATCATTGTTCTTTGAAGTCAGGTGAAGCAATCTTTTTGAGGGCCAAAGACCCCCATGCCTATATCAGTGGTGACATTATCGAATGTATGGCTGCCTCTGATAATGTTGTGAGAGCAGGATTCACGCCAAAATTCAAGGATGTGAAGAACCTTGTTGAAATGTTAACTTACAGTTATAACTCAGTTGAAGAACAAAAGATGAAACCCCAAACTTTTGAAAAGTCCTCTGGTGCTGGTAAATCCATCTTATACAATCCGCCCATCGATGAGTTTGCCGTCGTCGAAACTACTTTCCCTACTGGAATCGGTACAAGACATTTTGAAGGACTCGATGGCCCCAGCATTGTAATTGTTACAAGAGGTAATGGCTTTGTTCAGTCTGGGGATGTCAAATTGAAGGCAGAGCCAGGATTTGTGTTTTTCATCGCGCCAGAGACAGAGGTGGAATTTATTGCAACTAACACTGATTTCACTACTTACAGAGCTTTTGTTGAGCCAAACTAGGGAACTGTAAAAACTTCAAAGCGACTGATTTATATTTGAAAGACATTATGGTACATATTGTTATTTATGTGTAGAATTGTTTGTCCCGTCACATCAAGTCAACAATTTCACACTTCCTTATTCTGGACTCCCCAGACAAACTAATCAGTGATGTTATATTTGCTCTTCCACTTGAGGATTCTATTCTTTAAATCGCTTTCTGTTTGTTGGTAGATGTTGAGCTTCTTGTCAAAAAACATCTTTTTGTAATTGTTACCATGCTTCCTGTAAAGTTTTTCCAGCCACTGCTCTTCCCGTTCACTCTGAACTCTCTTTTTAGGAGCAACGGGCCTATTTGCATAGGCTTCAAGTTGCTTTACGACCTCTGTCTTCTCTTCATCTTCTGCAGTTTCTCTCTTTATGTCTTCAACCTCACGGTCTATGTCGAATTTTTTCTTACCATATATGACTTTAATAACATCGCCAGATGCATTTCGTTGAATTCTGGCCTCACCTTCCGGTATTTTATCCGCGTCAAAGTCACCATCGCTATTCATTTCATGTGAATAATCTACACTTTCAATTTCCCCATCCTCATAATCGAGGCGTCTTGCGCTGTTTCCTAAATCCGATAGTTGTTTCTCTTGACCTCCAGCTGGGGTTTGGAGTTTTGCCTTTAAACCTAGCTTCTTATAGTTTTGTGATAGTGTTAACGAATAGTCCCAATTTTCAGCTATGATAGGATTCGCAAAGATATTAGCTTTTCTCTGCTTATCCTTATTCTTCCTTGTTGCCTTCCTGATGGAAGACTTAGCCATCTTTCTACGTCTAACGGAAGCCATGGCTTTGTCTAACGAGAGTAAATATTTGAGCCGGTAGACCGTAGCTCATCTCTTGAAATTTTTCTTTAGGTTTAGTCTCAAAATGTCATCAAAAAAAAAAGAAATTTTGTTACATTCCATCACATGATCATCATTGTTGCTGTTAGACACTTGTAATACACTTTTATTAAGTCATCTAAGGTGAGAACTACAGGAAATGGCGATGCCGTCCTCAAATGGCCATAGATACAAACTTGAAGAGCTATCATCTAGGAAATACATTGTGAGTTTAACTGATGAAGTGTTGCAAGGAGACGCTCGGGATTCTCTAACCGTTGCAAAGAACCAATTTCCTCTTAAAGATGATAAACTTGCACAGCAGGTAGAAATAGATTCACGCTCCGTCTTCGTTAGGAATATCTCGGAAACTATTACACCAGAAATGTTGGAAGAACATTTCAGAGACAGTGGGATTATTAATAGGGTCACATTACTTTATCATAAACACAGTACTCTTCCGAAAGGATATGCTTATATTGAATTTAATGAACTGCAATCTGCTAAAAAGGCACTGTGCTTGGATGGGTCGACCTTAAACGGAAATAGCATATCTGTCACGAAGAAAAGGACGAATCTGCCGAGGTACGAGCGCTCACTCCATAAGATCAAGAATCACAATATAATAGCTCTAAATTCTCTAAAGGAAAGGTAATGTCGCCCTAGTGGACGTAAAAAGTATAGCTCATGAGCTTAGTTAGCAGTCGATTTCTGTATTTAAGGACATGTGAATACTTTATAAAATGCGTTTCTTTGAGCATCTAAATAACGAAAATTGGCACCTAGCAATGGGAGGGGAATAAACTATATTTCAAAACTAATTTAAATGAGATCAACAAAAATGGAAGATACGATAGACTTAAAAGCCTGATGCTTCTTTTCGTTTAAAAACGCCATACATGCATTAAAGGTAACTTTTCTAAATGCAGTCCCATAGTACACTGATATCACTATAATTGAAAGTCAATATGTTTCTTCTCAAATTTGTCTCAAGTTTATATTTTTGCTTTTAAAATATTTTCTGTATTCGGAAATCTAACACATTTATTATTCTAAACTTTATGTGTTTTTAATTCAAGAGTACAAATTTAAAAAAGTTAAACGTTTTTTTATTTTTTTAAATAGAACTAATATGTTTTTATTTTAATTAAATTTTAGAAAAAATAGATACTTTTAAAAACTTTACTATAAGTCAGGTGATACATTTCATGTTTTTTATAATAATTTTTTTTAGGAACATGTGGAAGAGGAAGCTTTTATCGTAGAAAAACACACTATTTTTCATGGTACAAAACAGGAAAACGACTTACGTAGCATCTATACTGTCAATATACCATTGAACTGTAAAAAACACCTTAGAAGATGAGAGTATCAAGTTTAGCACTTCTTACCGTTTTAGGCATTGCATTGAGCACGGAAGACATCGCGGGTAATGATGCCCCTATTGAAAGAAAACAAGCGCAATTCTCCATTACCTATGATGTTTTGGAGAGTACTCACAATGGTTTGGAAACTTTTATGGAGTTTGATAATGGTGATAATATCACATTGTCCTATAACTTCACCAACAAAGAAGATACAGATGTCTCTGTCATTGCCTTGGGCGGGAGCGTTTTCGATTTGAAAGACAATGAAATTGCTGCAAATATCACTGCCACACAAATAGGTCCTTTTTCAGTTGATGTTAACGATACCATTAATTTTCAACAAAGAATAAACCTGATTTTGAATGAAGGCGATTACTTCCTGTCACCACATGTTTATGTATCCAAATACAATGAAACGATGAAAGTTGTATCCAGTCCAAGTTTATTAAGAATGCTTCCACCAGCCATGAGCTTCTTTCATCCTAAATTTTTGTTTGTGCAGCTCACATTATTAGTTATCATTGCTGTAATCACTCGCATTTTCCTAGGATACAACACAAAAACAAGGCGGTCTGGAAAGCCTGCGGTGACGAACAAGGTTGCAATGGATTCATGGCTTCCAGCAAACCATCAAAAAGCTAACAAATAAGTCGAAATTTTGTCTTAATACTATCTATATTTAATACAAAAACGTGGAAGTTTATGCTTCCAGACCTAAAGTCGCAAGCAAATTATCGATCAACTTCAGATCTTCCTTGTATGCTATTATTCCGGAGTTTTTCAAAAATTCAATATCAGTTTCTATTTCTAAAATTTCAATGTCTTCAGTATCCAAATTGTGCTTCTTCAATAGATAGTACCTAATATCATCTATGAGCTCGATGGTGTCAGTTTCTTCACGATCCTGAATTCTCTTCGAACTTGAGATCACGGCTTTTTTAAAGTCACTTTCCATTGAATAATAATCAAGCTTGTTAGCAATGATTTCAGCTACATAGTGTTCTAGCCTCTCCATTCTTGTTTCCCATGCAATCTCGAGTATCTTAAATATAGAGATGTGGTTTAAAAGTTCTCTTGATTGGGTTATCGATATTGCTGCCATTGTCTTTAAACGGTCATTCAATAATGCATCGGCCGCTTGTAAGACCCCAATTGACAAATTCCACGGAATTTCTGTTCTGTCATAGTATAAGTAAGACAATATAATTTCTGCGACCTCTGTGTTAGAAGTCGGTAATGTGATAATCGGGAGAGAAGCCAAATTTTGATTCGCCTCCTGATCATAATAGGTAGTCTCCCAAAATCGAGAAGAGAACATAATTTTGAAATACTCACATCTCGCTAAAATTGACCTATGGCATGGATAGACCCAACTTTTTTCGGCCTCGGGATCACATTTCACCTGAACGTACACGTCGGCAAACGAAGAAGTAGGCGAAGGAATCCTCAATGTTTTGAGTACTCCACTTTCGCATCTAATCGATTTTTTCTGGCAAATGATTTCTTCGTGGAGAAAGCTAGTTAAATCCTCCCGTGCGCTCTCAGTGAACTTGAACTGGTATTCTGCTATAAGTCTTGATCTTTCTGATGCATCCATTACATGGTGGATCTTTTCCAAACACTCTAGCAGTTCTAGGAGGTTTAGTTTTCTGCAGAAAAGTTTTAATGTATCATAATCAGAAGAGTTTATTTCATGCAACACTGGTACCAAATAAAGAAATTTTGATATGGCCTCGAATGCTGATGAAGAGGTTTTTAATGGCATTTCAATCACAACACGATTTTTCCAAGCACCCAAGAGCTTTTGCTTGAAATAAGGGCTTCTGGCTGCTATAAGAAACTTGTGGAGCTTAAAACATGATAGATTTTGAAACCGAAATTCAATGTCATGGCTCTTTATGTTGTTATCCTTCAGCTGATTTGAAATATGTGTTGCGAAAGGTTGCTTGACGTCGACTGCTTTAGAAATGTCGTATTTTAATAAAATATTCCTAATGGAGTCTGTCAAAGCACCATAGATACAGCGAGCACCTTCATACCTATCTCTGTCGCACACCGCCCCTCTCTTCAATAATAATCTTACTAATGCTTCGTGACCACATAGGCTGGCCAAAAAGAGGGGGGAGTTATCAAACTCATCAACACCGTTGAGATTTACTCCTGTAGATATTAACCTATCAACATTCTGTACATCTCCGACTCGACACCAGTAGCATAATTCTTCAAAGGCCTTGTTGGCGTTCATGCAGATCAAGGGAACGTTAACGTCAATGAGATTTTGATTCGATTGAATGCCGTTGAAAAAGATTGTCATTTCCTTTTCCTCGATAGAACACTAGAAAGACAAGTAGTACAAGTATGAAGCTGTTCATTAGGAAAGAGCCAAGGGCTCTAGCCCTTCAGTCCAATGGCTATGACCTCGTTTTTGAGAATTCTCCTAAGCCCTCCCCCCAGCAAGATAGCAAAGTTTCCCAACCAACGGCTGTGGTTGCTAACGTTCCTAATGGTACTTTAGGTGAACGTGGTTTTGTTGAGATTACAAACTCCTTATTTGAAGGTCTTTTGGGTCTCATAAATTTGAATAATCACCTTTTCGTTGGCCTTATAACAAATGTGCAGAAAATCGGTTTCCCAAGATGGGTACTTCATAAAGGCGGCCAAATTGAATGCAAAGAAAACATATTTCAAATTATTAACGTTGATTTCTATTGCTTGGACAGTGATGCATTTGACCCAATGTTCACTGATTTATCTGAGCAAGGCTACGAAAGACTTCTGAATGAACACCCCTGCGGGGATCTGAAGAAACTATTCAGTGATGGATCATTTTACTATTCTAGAGACTTTGATATTTCTAATATTCTGCAGGAGCGTGGTCTTTTTAATCGAATGGACTATACAATTGACAACCAAGACAAAAAGTTTATCTGGAATACAAATTTTATTTCTGAAATAGTTCAATTGAGAAACAGAATCACCATCGAAGAAAAACCATTGTTCGATGGCGGTACTTTTCTAACTTTCGTCATTAGAGGTTTTTGTAAAACTACTATGACCAGTAATCTCGACTCACCAACATCTTTGACAATCATTTCTAAAATATCGACCGAAAATAAAGAGAATATGTTCGATTTGCAGGGAATAGACAAACATGGCAATGTGGCAAATTTTATTGAGACGGAAATTATTGTCACTACTGAGCAATATATTTTTGGTTATACGCAGACAAGGGGTAATGTTCCTTTGAGTTGGGAGGTTACAGAGGGCCAATTACTTCACAGTAAGAAGATAAAGTTGACTCAAGATCCAGCTTTCTTCCAAGCCGCTTTTGATAAGCATTTCGATGATTTGGCATCGAAATATGGTGTTGTAAGTATCCTGAACCTCGTCAAGCCGAAAAGTGAATCGCAAGAGATACTTAGTTCGGCCTATCAAGCATGCGCTGAGAATAAAAATATCAAAATAACGAATGTGGAATACAGCTCCGACTTACTAACAAAATCATCTCATAAATTACTGTATATTTTGAAACAGGATATTTACGAATTTGGCGCGTTTGTTTACGATATCTCCAAGGGAATATATGTTGGAAAACAAACCGGGTGTTTAAGAATCAGTGCATTTGACTCAATTGAACGCCCTAATCTTGTGGAAAAGTGCGTCAGCAGAGAAGTTATAGAGTTAACGACAGCAGAACTTGAAGGATTTGAGATATCGACAGATTTTGTGAACGCGCATGAAAAACTGTGGTCAGATAACAACTTTTGGCTAGATCGCATATACAATAAGAATTACAAAAATCTCAGCAAATATAAAAAGGTTTATTGGAAACTTTTCAGTTCCAGCTGCAAAGTGAATCTGTATGATCCTCTTCATGCCTACATTTCTAGGTGTATGAAAAAAATGAAGAAAGACTTCACTTATGAAAAGGATATAACTATATTTGCTGGCACTTTCAATGTCAATGGTAAAATTTGCGCGGAAGATATTAGCGACTGGCTTTTTCCTGGGAATTCATGTCTGAATGATACGGCTGATGTTTATGCCATTGGTCTTGAAGAAGTGGTAGAATTGACACCGGGCCATATGCTTTCGACCGATCCGTACGCCAAACAATACTGGGAAAAGAAAATCCTTCAAAGTCTGAACACTCGTGGATCACAGAAATATATTCACGTGTGGGGCGGTCAGTTGGGTGGCGTTGTGCTACTTCTTTTTATCCGTGAAGTGGAATACTCAAAAGTGAAACATTTGGAGGGAGATGTCAAAAAAACGGGCTTTGGAGGTATGTCTGCAAATAAAGGAGCTGTTGCAGTCAGATTTACTTATTCGACAACAAAATTTTGTCTACTTGTGTCACATCTAGCGGCAGGCTTGGAAAACGTTGAACAAAGGCATAATGACTACAAAACTATCGTCAAAAATATCAGGTTTGCCAAAAATTTGGGTATTAAAGATCATGACGTGATAATATGGATGGGTGATTTCAATTATAGAATTCTACTTTCCAACGAGGAAGTAAGAAAGTGCATTAAGAATAGAGACTATGCTAAGTTATTTGAGAAAGATCAACTAAATCAGCAAATGATCGCTGGCGAGTCATTTCCCTACTATAATGAGATGGAAATAGATTTTCCACCTACTTACAAATTTGATCCGGGAACGAAAACCTATGATACAAGTGAGAAAATGAGAATCCCCGCATGGACTGATCGAATCTTGAGCAGGGGTGATGCGCTGAAGCAAATGAGCTACGGGTCGGCCCAGAACTTGATTTTTTCTGATCATAGACCAGTTTTTGCAACATTCAAATCGTTGGTTACTGTTGTAGACGAGAAACGGAAGGCTGAGATAGCATCCGATATCTACGAAAAATTGACAGAGGAGATGGCAAATCTAACCGAAGAAGAGCGATACATTCTGCTAAACAAAAGCGACATAAACATAGAGAAGGAAGATGTTGTGCAACCAATTCTTCCCGAGTTGAAGAAGGGCAAAAAACTCCCCCCTCCAAGCTCTGATACAAGGAAATGGTGGATTGGAAATTCAAAGCAGGTAAAAGTACTATTGGATGTTGATGCAACCAAGTACATGATAAATCCCAGAAGACAGGTAAATCCTTTTATCCGCGACGACAAGGAACCCTTTTTTGTACTCAGAAACTCTGAATAAGTAGCTTATCTCCCTAGCTTTATGTCGTATTCTAAGGTGATATATCATTATTTTCATGATCTTCAACCGGCTTAGAAATCTTGTCTTTGCTGTCTAGTGCATTTGTTTCCGACAAGATTGCTTCAATTTTTCCTTCCAATTGATCCAACATCTTTTCTAGCTTATCAGCTGTTTTTTCACCTTCTTGCAGCTGATTGAAAACAGAAATAAATTCATTAGAACTGATGCCCACATCATTTATCATTTTTTTCGTCATCCTTGTCCAAAATGTATTGAAGGCATCTGAATGGATCTTTTTTTTTCACACATGATCGTTTTTAAAGATTTTATTTGGGAATTTTTAACCCTGCTTGAAAAAACGAAGTGACACGTTTAAATAAAGTAAACAGGCATAGATTGAAGTCCAAGACGTAATAAAACAGTAACGTATTCATGGCACAGATAAGCTTTGCTCATTCGTGTCTACTCTACGCATCTGCTGTATTTTTGCTTTGCTTTCAAATAGCAGAAGTTGCCGCGCTTTCTGTTCATGGCTTGAAGACACTAGTCGTCTACGATAAAAGGGTCACCGATTTAGAGGACTATAGCAAATTTTTCAATGATTTGAACAAGAGATCGTATGAACTTCAATTCAGCTCGGTAAACGAAAATGTTAGTGATATTCAATTGTTTAGGGGAGAAGAAAGACTTTTTGACAATCTGATAGTTTTTCCAGTCAAAAGTAGACAAGTTAGTAAGGGCTTCACTGCCGCGACGCTACTGAAATTTTTCGAAGAAGGAGGGGATATATTGACCGTTACATCACCTTACGGTTTGACAGAGAGCGTACGCACATTTTTGAACCAATTGGGAATTTTCCCAAGTCCCAGAAATCATGAACTTAGAGATTACTTCGAGGAAGGCAACACAACCTCGATACATTTTTCAAGTTCTGGTACTCTCAATCCGACTGTTTTTTCTCCAATGAAAAGTGCCAATTTGTCCTACGAGGGGTCAGCTGCCCTTCTGGATAATCGTGATTTACTCATTCCTATTTTTTCCGCTCCTCGCACTTCATTTACGAAAGATCCTAAAGGTGGAGATGATTGGACAGTAGGTCTTCAAGGTTATACGGTTGTTGGTTTTCAAAATTTGCATAATGCGCGCGTATCTTGGGTTGGTAGTGACAAGTTCTTTGGAAATAGTCATTATAATGATAATGGTGAGTTTGTTCAGGAATTGGCAAAATGGACTTTCCGTGAGAAAGCTGTCATCAAGAGCACTGGCTTCAAACATAAACATATTGATGGTACTTCATATGATGAATTGCCTTACAAGGTTAAGGACTCAATAACTTACGAAATTGGATTTAGCGAATGGAATGGCAAAACATGGATTCCATTCAATGCGTCAGATATTCAATTCGAGCTAAAGATGATTGACCCGTACTATCGATTAAAACTATTGCCAGTTCGCAAATCCGAGGAGGCACAGTATTATTCAACAGGAAATTTTATGTTGCCAGATCATCATGGTGTTTTTACATTCCTTACTGAGTATCAAAGAAGTGGATTGTCTTTTGTAACTGAGAAAGACGTTAAATCTATACGTCACTTGGCGAACGATGAATATCCTAGAAGCTGGGACATTACGAATTCATGGGTTTACCTTACCTCAATTTGCTCTGTTATCATGGCATGGATTTTGTTTGTAATTCTTTACATTAGCTCTAGCAGTGCGATGAACGTGCCAGCAGAAAAGAAGATAAATTGATTTTCTTTGCTAGCCGAATTATATAGTGAAGAAGTGTATATACAATCGTTGAAGAACCTTGCTTGTTTTTCCGGAAACAACACAATTTACTTATTCATTGCCTAACAACTTGAATTTTATTGTCCTTCTTCCATTTTTCAAATTCTTTTGCAGTTTTAATCAAATCTGCTTTCATTGTTGATATTGTAGCTACCAAATTGTTTCTTTTAGTTTCGAGTATTGGAATTGTGGAGCTCACGTTCGTTTCAACAAGTGCGCCACCAACCATTCTATAGCATTTTCTATTCTCATCTGTATTCTTGAGTGTTCCTAGAACTACCTCATGTTCTTCTTTGTCATTACCGAGCTCCACTATCTTCGATTGAAGTTCTTCAAGAGTTTGTTTGTATTCGTTGTATTTTTGCTGAAGGACTAGATGACATGAGTTAGTATTGGTGAGTAACCTGTAAGTAATGCAGTATCAATAAACTTACCATTTGATCTCGGATCTGTCGACATCGTAGACTCTTGTACGTGTGAGAGTAATATTAACTTTTTTTTCCAGCTTTTCGTATATAAAGCATTTTTAAAATATCTTGTGAAACTACTACAGACCTACATTAAGCAAAAGTAGCAAACTATAAACCTTGTGCTTAGATATGTTTTTTTACTTTAGGTATGACCTCCGGTGTGGAAGTCAATCTTGTAGATCTGGAATACAGTAAAGCGCCCGTGAACACCAAAATACAACCTACAAAACCCGTTTTTGACAGCTTATTACCAAAAATATAAATGCTTAGGAGAAGACTGGTGAATTTCCTGATCAGTAATAAAATAGAAACATTCAGAGCACTCGTCTGGCTTGCTAGTACGTTAACACCTTTTACGCAGAAATGTTGAGTAACCACATTAGCTGCAAGCATCAGAAATGATCTAGGAATGTGTAGGTCCAGCAGCGGCACTCGTGTAGTGGCTGTATCATTAAGAAGATCTTGAAATTCGTTTCTCAATTCTTTATAACCAAGCAGGAAAAATGGTAGTGCTAAGAAGTGTGTATAGAAGATGTTCTCCCTCCAATGCTTACCGTAACGCCTAAGGCTCCACTCGTTGAACAAAGAATACAAAGACAATAAAATAGACGAAAAAGTCAATATCATTACTCCCTTAAAGAAACTCCAGTCTACTGAAATATCGTCCCTTAGCATTGAATAAGTTGCCAAGCTTTCCCACGAAAACTCTTCGGTTCTATAGAGCGATGTAATACCCGCTCCAAGTGTCAAGAGAACGGCAGATATGATCTGTGGGCGATTATATCTTTTTCCAGCGAGCAGCCATCCAAGTAACATAGTTATTACGGTAGCTGAGCAGCGAAACACGATATGAAGAGGGACGGAAACATTGTACATGAACACGCTGTTATTAGTAGCTGAACCAACGTAAAACAACAACACTGAGAAAACATAAACCCTCAAAGGAACGTTGCGTCTTTTAAGGAAAGAAGGAGGATTAGATGTATCAATGAAGTGCGGCAGGCCATTTAATGAAACGAATAAAAATTGGCTGAAAGTAACGATATTACCTATGTTTCCGCGGCTTCCATGTACAATTGATTCTAGGGTAAAAACATTAGAGCAGCACCCTCCAAAAGTCAAAAGTATCGAAGAAGCGATTGAGTTCAATGCTATGGCTTTTGCAATTTCCTTTCGTGCCATCGCAAGTGCTCAAACCACCGATCCGTTTTTTAAGCCAGATTTCAAGAAAATATTTTTTATACCAATGGTTGGGTTAGCTATGTCTGCCTGCAACGATTTATTACCGCCTCCACTTGATTTGAGAACGAGCCTTATGACATATCGATTATTTGCAAAAATAAGGGAAGTGGTCATATGTCTTGTTGTGTTGTTTTAAATGTGTCATGGCACGGCCATTTTATAATTTGGTTTTGATTATCTGCTTCTAATGAATAAAAAAAATACATGACGTTTAATTGTCAAAAATATTAAATAGATCAGTAGAGCGTACTATTTGATCTTAGATCAACTTACCTGATCAGCTAGTTGTTACAATAAATAGATTAACTTCCATTCTTCGCTCTTGGGGACCGTTTTCGTTTATGACTATTTAAATCGAACTTAGCTCGAAAGGTCGATGATCTCACTCTTTCTCCTCACCTATTAAATTCGAAAGCTAGAGAAACATGGCAAGCTGCCGTAGTAATGCCGATTATTCCAAAATTCGAAGACGCAAGAACTACAAATTCAAAGGTATCAAGTGTTCTGAGCCTTTTAAAGCCTTAAATTCACTACCACCCTTAACGCCTTCTCAGCACCTCACTCAGGATGCGATATTCAAAGTCGTCGGGGAAGAAATCAAACAAGTAAAGCTTGATATAGCAACTATTAATGAGATAGTATTAGAGGACATCAGAACGGAATCTTCGCAGACAGATCAGATCAATCGCCAACTAAAGTCTTCCCTCAAGAAGATTGATCACAGTTATTCCAGAACTTTAAAACTTCGGGAGAGATACGATCATGAAATCGAAGAACAAACAAACGCTTTGACTTCAAGATTAGAGTTTGTTGAGACTTCACTTTTCTCTCTGAAAAACAATACTTCACAGATAATTGATTCCATTTTACGCATAGATTCCGAATTACCTACGAAAAACAGGTCCATTAACGAACAGCTCTTTAATCAAAAACACTATCCTCTACTATTTCAATGCATACACGACAAGTATCCAAAAGTCAAAAAAAATAAGAATGCGCTGGTTACATTGGACGCTACAGGGGAAGAATTGGTTGATAATCCATGCTTAGCAAATACCAAATTGAGCCCATCACTTCATTCTGGGAATTCACCAGCTACATTGGATACAGCACATGAGTCGATTGAACCACCAGAGAGCCTCGACTCGAAAGAAGTCGAGGAGATTGAAAGCTTAATTTCTAACTATAATATCGCCAAGCAAAGAAAGGTTCATGTTCCTCCGATTATTTTGATGCCAAAGTTTCAAAGAGTTTCGAATCCTTCAGTTAGTACAAGTTTGGACCAAGTTGAGTTGAAAAGGCCCTTCTCTGCTAAAAAAGATGGTAATTGAATAGCGCTAGAGACTTCGATCTAATACTTAAATAATCCGTTTATACTCTAGAAGGTATTTTATTGTCGAAAACTTTTTGCATGATAGATTCGAATACAGGGGCTAGTGATGATCTTTCATACAAAGTGACCAATTGCTCCTTAGAAGAAGATTGCTTTTCAATCATCTCGACAAAAGCAGGATCTATTGGGACGCTACCCAAAAAGTCTATTTTTTGGGAGTTTGCGAGCTGTTGCCCTCCCCCTTTCGAGAATATGTTGGTGCATTCGGAACAATGAGGGCAAATGAAACCTGACATGTTTTCAACAATTCCAAGTATATTAAGGTTCACCTTTCTGCAAAAATTAATTTCCTTTCTCACATCCGCTGTTGCCACATTCTGTGGGGTTGTGACAATTATTGCACCATCAGGTTGGGCCCATCTCAATTGCTCGGCAATTGAGATATGCTCATCAGATGTTCCCGGAGGCGTGTCAATTAGTAGATAATCTATTTCTCCCCACTGAACATCATTAATGAACTGCTTTATCATTGCTGTCTTTTTGGGCCCTCTCCAGACAACGCTATTTCCTCTATCTCCTAACAGAAAGCCTAAAGACATCAGCTTCAGACACGCATTTCCATTATCGTAGGCGGTAACCGGAACCCAACCTTCAGATGACTGATAAACTGACTGACCCTCCATACCAAACATCCGAGGAAGAGAGGGTCCTGTTAAGTCGATATCTAGAACACCAACTTTTTTACCCAATCCTGCCAAAGTCAATGCCAATTGTGTAGTAACTGAACTCTTACCAACACCTCCCTTGCCCGAGAGAATCAAAAGGATGTGCTTCACATTGCTTAGAGACAGCGGTAATTCCTCGACAACGTCGGTCATAGACACTTGGTGTTGAAATTCACAATAATTGATGCGATGGTGGTAGAGATCTTTATTACTAAAACCCGTGAAGAAATACATGAAAAACACAAGAAATCAATTCCATCAAAATGAGATCGCGAACAACAGCAGGTGAATTTTTAATACCATAACGATTTCATGGGTTTCATGTATGTGATAGTGTCCCAAGCGATGAATATTAATCTTATTCTAACCGAAATATAGACATCCAGAAAATAGCTTGCACCAGAGAGATAACAACAGAACGCAGTTATTCGACCTCAACTATGATCAGCTGTCTAATAGAGCGAGTTCTCCATATGATAAAGGCAATAAATTAGACATTTCACAGTCAACTTTGTCCCAATTAGAATCACAGAACGATGATCAAATGAGCACTATGAAAGAGAAAATAGGGGCGCTTAAATCGCTCTCTTTGAGGATGGGAGAAGAGATACGAGGAAGCAATCATACAATGGACCAATTAGGTGAAGTATTTGAAGGGACTAGCACTAAACTGAAACAAACATTCAACAAGATGCTTATAATGGCCAAAACGTCAAGAATTAGTTTGCGAACCTGGTTATTTATATTTTTTGTTGTATTTCTCTTGTTTTTCTGGGTTTGGATCCGCTGAAGTTGACAAGTGCACCTTCAATCATCTGAGAAAGATTTGTGAAATTAGCATTAAATTATTTAGCAAGTTAATCTTTAAGGTTTTCCTTTCCTAATATTCCTCTGTGATCTCTTTTAGCATGATATTTGCGCTTTAATCTTTGCTTTCGCATGAACTTTGGTGCTCGAAATATTGAAAGCAGTAGAGCCAAGAGTATTATATACCCAAAGGGTCCATACTGATGAATAATGTCTAAGAAACGCAACATCTTTCCGTAAGGGGAACCGATTAAATTCTTCGACATTTTCACGCCTCCATATAGGTCAGGGAGGTTCAACCTACTAAGTACTTCTTTTAGGGAAGAGGGTGATTCAGTCGTCGTTAAATAGAACCCTAAATGATCTCTGTCGTAATAGAATTTTCCACTTGATTTATCAACGACGATGACATCTCCATTCCTGTATTGTCTATTGTGAATATTATATCCTTCACGAATCAAAAGTGACTCGTGTTTGGACAAATCCATATACGCCAAAAGAACTCGATGACCATAGCTGTGGGGAATTTCTTCACGCATTTTCTGTACAATATCCACAGATGATGCTTGTTTCTCTTTCAAGGATTTCACGGCTTCGTCTTTATCATTTCTTTTGCTAAGTATAGTTTCACAGATATAATTGTCCCTGATAGATTCATAATCATATGCACCAACAATAAAGTTCTTCAAATAGGTAACACTTTTTTTTTCCTCGAGAATCGTAGACGTGTCGATAAGTTGAACAGCCATTGTGTTGTACAAATCTGAAGAAAAGTGTATTAAAGAATCGAGAGTTGAGGGAGTTAGCTCATTCAAAAATGGCATCGAGTCTTGCAAAATCCAAGCCATGATGTAATCCAGAGATCTCATTTCTGTGGTGGAATAACCGTGAAAGACATTTGGAATCAAGCTTCCTTCTTTAAACATGAAAAAAGTAGGGTATTGTGTTAATGTGCTCATAGTAAAATAATCTTCATTGATAGTTTTTGCGGGTTCCGATTCGTCATAGTTTATCATAGAAAAAAGGCCCTCGTAGTTCGAACGCGTTAACTTCATGAGGTCATCAGTACTTTTGAAGAGATACGTGTCTGGGATATCCGCAAGCGGCTCTATGAGATGTTCTAATATATCAAAGTCTTCCGGAACAACCGTGGCAGGATCGTAGTTGAAGACAATGTACGTTTTAAGATGTTTATTACGCGAGGATGGACTAATGTCTATGGGCCTAGACGTTTTCTCTTGAATCGTAGCCTCGGATATCTCCACTACTTTTGAGTTTGAATATGTTCGCAATGCAAAGTCAGTGAAATCTTTGACAGTTTGAGAAACTCCTCGGTAGATGAAGAAATTGTTAGTTGACTTTTCGGGTAAAATCAAAGCCACTTTAGGATGCCTATCAGCCCTATGATTAGTGATTTTAGTTAAATCATCGAAGCCCAACTGCATACAAATCTTGGGGTTAGCTTCGCAGTTGAAATGAGAAGTTACGAATCCCTCTTTTTTCAACCTATTAGACAATACAGCCCAAGTTCTTTGAAAGGTAAAACAATCTTCACAGTTTTCAAATTTAATCTTGTGGTTATCGATATCGCTTAGCTCACTTGATGGCCAGAAAGAAATCAAATGTGGAACCTGTCCCCTACCGCCTAAAAGCTCGATAAGACTCTGTGCTTCCAACATTTGGCTTTGACTTTTCAATTGCAACGCAGAAAGATTATTACTGTCTTTAGCCTCTTCACGAGCAAATGATATTAAATTCTCCTTAGTCCTCTCTAAGTCTTTTGGGAAGTCCTTTAAGAATCCATCAGGACCGTAAAGCCTAATACTGGGATAGGAGGCGATCCTTTCATTCGCGCAAAGATCTGCACTTTGTACGCAATCTACTTGACAAAGGCTTATATTCAGTGCCTGACCTTCTTCGTAGAATTCTTCCCAAGCCTTTTTCCAAGTGGGGGCAAAATTTCTGCAATGGCCACAGTAAGGACTAAAAAACTCAACCACATGTAAGTTACTCAACATTTCATCATTAAAAATATCCGCGGTTAGGGGCTCAGGAAAGCTGAGCTCTCTTGAATCGTCACCTTCAGTGACGATGGAAGCGGCATTTCCTATAGCCCCCAAAAAGAGACAAGCAAAAAGGCCTCGGAGCATATTTTTACTCGAAGATTCTGTAGATGATGCCTATGCTGTCCAATTAAGGGAAACGGGCCGTTTTTTCTTCGCGGTGTAATTATATCTTTCACATTGAAACCTCGTTAAAAGAGCTCTCAAATAATTATGTCCTACAAGACTGAATAGAATATATAGATGAGAACACAAGTCCAGACGTCCATTTATGCGAAATGCCTAATAAATAGAATACATTATATAGAGAAGCTGTTGGCGCGTTTGAGATACTTCCTGAAGTACTCAAATGATACAAGGGTAATGGCGGAAGCGGGAACTGTCCTAACAAGATTGGTGGTGAATCCTGAGTAAAATCCTCGAAGGCCTTCCGTAGCGTAGGTATACTGTACAAGTCTCAAAAGATTGTGATGTTGACGTGATATAGGGGAGTTCTTGATCTGCATCCGGGTCCTCAGTATCTCATGGGGGTACGTAAGCATGCTTGCGACCATTTTTGATGCACACGATGCGGCTATCAGCCTTCCCAGATCAATACTGTGTTCATGCTTGTTTGTGGACAATTGGGTGCAATGCAACCAGACTTTAAGCTTTTCATATACAGGAAAATGTATGGCAACATGAAAAAGTCCTAGGAGAGACGGTAGTAAACCCGAGTAGAAAGCCTTTACACCTTCTGTACGGTATATCTTCTGAAATGCATCAAGCGTTCCTTTATAACGGGTCGTATTTTTATTTACGTGTGTTTGTAACATGAGTCTGGTTTTTACCACCCAAATAGGGTTGGTAAGAGAAGTTGAGATAGCACCCGCTGTGAGAGCGGATAAAGAATGGGAAAGGAAATCTGAATAAGGGAATAGTTGTGGATAAATCTTTTTACTTCTTTCATAAACTGAAAAATATACCATCCACGTAGGAAAATAGCCCATTATTATTGGTACCAGACCTTTATAGAGACCTCTAGCTCCTTCATCGCGCACAATTGTTGATAATGTACCTACTATGCCACTGTAATATGCTACCGATCCTGGAGGGACACGCTGAGCTTGTAGCCTCGTTTTCGCAACATCTAGCGGACACACGGTAATTCCCGCCAGAAAACCAGCCATTGCTCCTGAGAGGGCAGTAATTTCGGTATCATCAAAGTTCGTGCTTAGAAATGGAATTGGACCCTCGTTTTCGCCCCCGTCTCCTGCTAGCGTATCACAATCTTCCAACACGTCTGCAGACGACAAAGGCGTTGAGCAATCAGGTGCTAGTATCTCATCGTTGCACTGGTCAGATTTGTCATCAATATTGCTTACTATTCTAAAGGGTACTGCCGATACAACGCCCTTTTTCTCACCAGTAGTAGGTACCTGTACCATTGGGCTCATTTGTGAGAAGTCCGTCCAAAAGTGAGGGGTAGTTTAGCTCTTTTTTTATTTTTTTTTATTTTTTCCAATGTTCGATCTCGATGGAGGTCATTTTATTCGGATGACGATAGGATAATTCGATATCACCAAAGGCAAGGCGAATAAGAAAAGTGATAAAGAGGCATTAACCAACGGCTGAACAGAGAACAAGGCAAAATGTTGCCATTGAGTTACTAATGAACTATGATGCGGATCAATTTAATAAGTATTCAACGAAAAGGCAAATGCTGCAATTAAAAAATACATAGATTATTTGGGAAAGTACGAAGATCTGCCCACTTTGGAATTATCATTCTGCTCTTGGTTATTGTTGGCAAATTGAATGACAGAGGGCAGACTAACCCTTGGCGACGACGATTCACCATTCCTAGTAGAAGAATCGTCTTTGCCGAGCGTATTTTGATTTTGATTTTGATTTTGATTTTGATTTTGATTTTGATTTTGATACGGTACGTATACCGACTGGTGTGGAGGCGAGAAATGCTGTTGTACATGCTGTTGATGATTTTGAGGGAGCTTTTGGCTCTGCGATAATTGTGTCGCACCATGCTGCAATGGCGGCGGAGGAGATTGATAAATTGTGTAGCTATTAATCCCAGGGACGCCCTGATAAGGTGCCTGCTGTTCTTCTTGTTGTATGGATTGAGAAATCACGGGGGGAGGCAGCTGAATGGTAGCGCCGGAGGGCCTCTTGGATGAAGTTTGCTGATGATCCTGGGAGGCAAAAAAAGAACCAGACCGCGCTACTTGGGAAGCAGGTGGTGGTAACATCTGATTCGCATGATAATATGCATATTGTGAATTAACACCTTGCGGAAGGGCGGGTAAATTATGAGGATGTCCCTGAATCAAGCCCTGTGAAATCCCTAAAGCTGGGCCCTGAGGCGGCAAAGATTGCGAAAGATTCGAAGGATAACCTTGGGGTAATCCCTGAGCGTACACTTGTGGTTGGAAACCGTAAGTCTGTTGCTCCTGAGGGTAGCCCAGTTGGAAACCCTGCGAGAACGTGTGGGGCAGTGCTGTTGGATAACTTTGGGAGTAACCTTGAGGATACGGTTGTGGAAATCCACCTTGCAACGGTGCAGGCGGGGATATGGACTGAGGAAAGCCGTGAGGCGGTGGTGGAGGGTAGCTCTGCGGCAAACTTTGGAAAGGAGCAGTATAAAATGGACTGGCGACAAACATAGGCTTTTGCTGCTGTTTTGAAGAGGAAGAAGTGGAAGAAGTGGAGTCTGCACGAAGTAATCTGCTTGCAGAGGGAGCAGAATTTTTAGAGCTGCTACCCACGGTGGATTTTTCTAGCGCGTCCATAAGTTCTGAACAGGGCTTGATATCTTTGAAAAACGGATCGTTGGTAGGGGTCTTCAGAAGGTTGGCATCCACGTCTTCCGCAGTGAAGTAAGAGATGATATGGATGGTGTGGTGTTGAAGCGGGAGATTCAAGTGCGGGCTGCGTTCGAGATGCAGCGACATGGCTTTTTTCACCAAGCCGCCGGAGCGGAACGAATGTGAAGAAGAAGAAGAGGAAGTTGCGGAAGAAGTGGAGCCAGCATGCGGAGATTGGTGCGGTGGGGGGGCAGCCCCATTGAGGGGTGCCAGTGAGGGCGGGCTTTTTTTCCTTTTATCGAGTTCCCGGTACACGAGAAACTTGCCTAGAATGCGAGACGGGGACCACGGCACGCCATCGGTCCAACGTCGTATGCCCGAGGTCTCCTCTATGAACACGAACAGGTTGCCGGACGCGATCAGTTGCGGTCGCTCAATTTCGTAGGGCCTGCGGCTGACGGTGGCGAGCTTGCCGTCCAGGACGGCCTGGAGCACGAGCAGAACGTCGGCAGTAGACTCTATGTAGCCGTGGAACGTCGGTGCCACTTCGGCTGGTGTACGCTGCATGCTATATTGTGGAGATTGCAGTTTTCAGGTACGGACCCATAGAAGTCGGGACTATCCGGCGTTGCAAAGACAAAACGACAAGGGAGGGGCGGGGGTGGGGAAAAGGCCGCTACAACAGCGAAAACGACGACTGGAGCGGCGGTGCGGGACGCGAGAAGATGGCCCGATTGGATGCGCGACGCCACGAGTGGGGGACGCGACGGGTGCTGGAGGGGTGTGTGAGGTTGCGTACGAGTGGTTCGGTACGTTGTGAGGCCGTAGTTGCTAGATATGCTACGTGCCTGAAGCCAGCGGAATTTACAAGAAGGATCGATAAAACCTGAACCACGGATATATACGCTTGTCAAGTGTGTCTTTTTTTTCTTCCTCTCTCTCTCGCTTTCTTCTTCTCAAATCCAAAACCCTAACTTCTCTCACACTGATATTGAACGTAGAAACTCAGAAACTCAGAAACTCAGAAACTCAGAAACTCAGAAACTCAGATACTTAAAACGAGAAGTACTTCCAAGTCTTTACAGTGCTATTTTAAGGATCTGTGAAAGCCGAATGTCGAAAACCGAATGCTGAATGCTGGATGAAATGCTGCTGCTGTTTGGCTGTTTTACTTTCAAGGGTGTTGTTTTTTTTTTTGGGTTTGGTATGGCTCCGCCCTAACGCCCGAAACTCAAAATGACAAACTACCTTTTTTAACCTTTTTTAATAAGCTCGCAATCAACTAATCAGATTTTCTTGCAAAAACTGTGACCGATTTTATTTTGCGTCCAGCCTCACCTTCTGGTACTTTTTTTTTCGATCTCTTATAAGGGGCGGACGCGACATGCAGACCCGAATTTGCACAAACGGTTCTCGATACTGGGACCCGTAGGCATGCGACTTCCAATCAGAAAGGAAACATCCGATTCGGTAAGCGTGGCTCCATGTTTGTAACGCCCGCGTCTAACGACGCACCCCTGTGCCTGTAGCACAAAACTTGCAGCCGACTAGCGGAAAATACCATCCCACTTCTGCGCGCCGGTCTGTACGTCACGACCTGCGGGAACGCCAAAACAAAGCTCTGCAAACGTGCGCTGCGCCGCTTTCTAGCCCGCGTTGAAGGCAAACCGCTACATCATGCGTACCTGACGTGGTTCGGCGCGCCTGGGCAATGCGGAAACAGCAGGCACGTGGTCGGCCGATCTCCAGTGCTCTCGCGATTCAGTGCGCCTAAAACGGACCGTTTGCAAATCCACGCTGCTCACGGGGTAGAGATGGCATCTGCCGACGTGGGCGGATAAAATCGGCGGACGCCGGACGCCGGACGCCGAGCGCGAATGCGGAGCTCACAGGCAGCGCGGCACGCGGCGACCCACTGGACCCGTTGAGGCACCAGCCAGTTCGCCACAGCCCGCAGAACACCGACGCGCATATTAGCGGACGGGACCAGAGCACCGCGCACTGGCCACAAACAAATACGAGCCGCCGTGCAGCGCCCGCCGTTCTGCGAGAGAAAAAATAACACGGGAAAAAAAAGAGAAAGAGAGAGAGAGAGAGAGAGAGAGAAAAGAGAGGGAGCGAGGGAGACCGAGGGCAGAAAAAAAGAGACCACGTCGACGTTTTTCAGCGGCAATGGCACCGGCACTCGGCAAGGCGGTTACGTAGTTCTTGGATCGTAAATTCGAAAGTTCAAACACAAGTCCAAACCTGAAACTCACGCAATCTGCCGCACACGACGTGGAGGCCCTTGCTGCCGTGTCCGAGGCGCTGTTGTGACGCCAGCTCGATGTTGATTGTCGCAGAGCTGGAATGCACATGCGGAGCCACGACGACGGCATTCTTGCATTGAAACGGCGGTAGCGCCCGGACGGCGGTTGTTCTCCTTTTTTTCTCGTCTCTCCCCCCTTGCGTAGTGGCCACAAAGGCGATGGGCGATAGGGTCTACGGCGGCTCAGTCAAACGGAAATTCACGCATGTGAATTTTCGGGGACCAAATGCGCGATAACTGCCTCCATTTACGAGCGGGTCCTACCACCCGTCCATGTCCGTTGGCACTTTTGAGTTGCACACATTATGACACCATAAGGGCTCAGGCACGGTTGCGTAGGGCGATACATGCACACCTCGGGATTGACTCTTACCTCGAAGCCTGTGTCGCCATGCCAGTGGTCTGCACCCACACCAAATTGCGCGTAATGCAATGAGCGCGCCTGCAGGCTCACGTGGATCACTTTTTTTTCCCGGCTGCCACTGGATGCCGGGGTGGGAAGCTGGGCAAATACCGCTGGGCGCTGGACTGGGCGACCCTTCTTCCTCCGCGGAGACGGCAACACGCCCGGCGTTTAGCGGCCGAGGACAGAACGCTTAATGCCGCCCGGCGGCTCTGGGCGCCACAGCGGAGCTAAGCGGGGATAACGGCACCGCGCTAGTGCAGCCACGGTCCGTTCCCGGCGCGCCCCCAATGCGCGGGGCGCGCTGCTATTGGTTCGTGCGAGCGCACTTGCGCTCGCACTCGCGGTCGCACCCACGCAAAACAATCGCTGAGCCCATGAGGCATGAAAAATTTTTCACTATATAAACAAGATAGGGCACAATCGTGAGGCTCTCTGACTCACGACGTTTTTTCTTGTCTTTATTGAAACATCAAACAACAACTTCTTCAAGCAGAAGAAACATCTCTAAAGCTTACGCAAACTTCAAGCAAACTTTCCCAAAGTCCGCACTCCATCCCAACTCTCTAGCGAATCCTTTCCCCCCATTCTCACGCTACGCAATTACAACAAATCAAAAAATTTGTCAGGTTTTATTATTTTATTCATTAGTCCACATAAGTATTAAGTGCTGATCCATCAAAATGGCCTGCTAAATTTTTTACCGTTTAATTACGTGAAAGGATATCATCATAAGGTTTTTTTAATGTTACACTAACGAAAGTATAGTACATTAAGGAAATTCAAGTTTCTCCCCCCTCCCAGAGTTGTTATAGAGTTTTAAAAATGTTATTACTGTAACATGCAGTTTTGCAACGACCCCCGTCCATCATGGCGTTTTTTATCTGAATTGATCTGATTACCATCACCCACCCGTTTATCGTTAATTCGAATATTTTATCCGTTTACTATCCCCCCAGAAATCTATCTTTGAAAACCATCGTACCAATGTCCGTTAACACACCATCTTTGTTCGATATGACCTCTTTAGAGCCCCAGCCCGACCTCGAGCTGTCCGTCCAGCCTTCCGCGGCCCACCGCGACTCCCACACCATCGTGGGCGAGCTTGTGTTTGACAAGTTTGCTCAGAAGGACCCCGTCGTGGGCGTCAAGAAGGAGGAAGAGGACCACACGCCTCTCCTCAGCTTTGACCTGCAGTTGACCGAACCCGCCATGCCCAGCGAGGAATTGCAGCCCGACGTTGTCGAGGCCTTTTTCTCCAGCACAGACTCCACGCCCATGTTCGAGTTTGAAACTTTGGAGTCCGACCCCAAGGCCTGGAGCTCTTTGTTCAACGACGACATCCCGGTCACGGTCGCCGACGCGGCCCAAGTCGTGGAGTCCGTGGAGCGCGAGCCCGTGGCGGAAACCGCTGCGCCAGCTACCACAATCGACACCAAGTCGTTCCTGCCCACCCCAGTCATCGAGGACGCCAAGCTGCAGTCCAAGAAGAAACGCGCTTCTACTTCGGGCGCGGTTCAGAAACCTGAAAAGGTGGATCGCCTCGGTGTGATCGCGTACAACCGCAAGTCGCGTGCCTCTCCTTTGACACCTGTCATTCCGGAGTCCGATGACCCAGTCGCTTTGAAGCGTGCTAGAAACACAGAGGCTGCCAGACGGTCGCGGGCCAGAAAGCTTCAGCGTATGAACCAACTGGAAGAGAAAGTGGAAGATCTGCTTCAGAGAAACTCCGAATTGGAGAACGAAGTTGCCAGATTGAGAGCACTACTTGGTGGCCAATGCTGAGACTTTTTGCAGAGGGATTAACCAAGAGCTCAAGACAACCTCAGTCAAGAGCTGAAAGGCTTAATTTTTTTTTTTTGAAGCCACTACTACAAAATTAAAAAACAAAAAAAAAGGGTTCTGAAGCAATTTCTTTCAATGCAATGTCATGCAATGAAAACAAAGATTTCTTTGTAGAACGTTAGTATCATGGTTATACATAATATATTTCTAATCTCTCATTTTTTTAATCCAGCTACGTATAAGCCAGCCTCACCTCACGAAGGGCTGCGTGAGAAACGTTGGGTTGCAAAAACCACTAAAGATTTTATTGTATGGTGCGGATTTTCCTGGTATCTGGCTCTCTCGCCTACATTCTACTTGTGGATCCACAGGCACAGGCTAGTTTCGGTAACCTCCGAAATTGACTTTCTCAGCTTCCGCAACAGAGCTGGAAAATTTACTACACACGTTTATTAGCACCTGGCTTTTGGCTAAACGAAAATCCCATTCCATTTACGGCTTTTGAAAATGAACAATTTGAATTCTATGCATGAAGCGAAAACAAATGAAGCCTCATAGATAATGATAAACAGGATAGGAAATTCTGTGAATGCCGGGTCCTTTTGCCATAACTTGCATTCCCTTTCTCACATTCTACCAACCGATGCTGACACTTGAGAATTCTTCTTCAAGGGACAGCATTTTTGGACTACTGTAGTCAGAAATCCAAGTTTCAGTCTGTCCTGACATCATTGACGGCGTACCATAAGTGCCTTCAATTTTTAGTATCTTATGCTATACAGATAGGATTAGTCAGTAAGGATAGAAGGTAAATTTTGTGCAGGATCTGCTAACAATGCTTTATCGTTCGTTCGTTCCTTACCTTGATTTTTCTCTTTCCCATGTGCTTTTCATCCATTTAACTCGATTTGCATTACTCTCCGTATTAAGGTATCATGTTGAGATTTACCGTTGTTTAGACGCTGATTCGATGCAGAGCAAGGGCGTAAATAACTCGTAAATTCAACGGCTCTCTTTGAATTAATAACTAAGTAAATGGACCCAAACAACAAGTTCGAAGTACTATCAAAGGATCTCGATGGCCTGAACATAAATGAGAGTTTACGTTCGCGCATTGAAAGGCTATCTGAGCTCCCTATCGACCAGGTTTTTGAACTCAAAATTTGGGTGGAATCAGAATTGAGCAGATTATTCGATTTTCTCAAGCAACAAGGTGGTGATATGGAGTCACCACTTGTAACTGGTGATGGGTATCCACGCTCGGATATTGATGTACTACAGATCAGGTTGATTAGAAGGAGTATCAATATGCTAAGAAACGATCTAAAGTCAATTATCATACGCGCAGAGGCTCTCATGGCAACGCAGTTTGAGCGTATGGCTGCCAAAACTCAGAAAACAGAACGCGACGATGAGTTCGAATACAAAATCCCATTCGCAGTCATAACAGAAGTCGTCACAACTAGTCCGTCCGAGAAAGCTGTACGTATTTTTTCTGCTGTACTATTCATGCACACTTTACTAACAGTCTATACACAGGGACTCCATGCCGATGATCGAATTTTAAGGTTTGGCCACGTACATGCCGGAAATCACAAGTCGCTTTCTGCACTTGGCCTAGTTGTGCAAAGCAACGAAGATAAGCCAGTACCAGTTAAAATACAGAGAAACGATAGGATTTACGACGTTATGCTTACACCTTCCCGTAAATGGGATGGTCCTGGATTACTTGGATGTAGATTTTCACAGCTTTAACTATTTTTGTATTTAAAAGTGCATGAACGCTAGCCACCATGCAACGTGGAAGTAAACGAAACTATATCGCCATCTTCCAAAACGTACTCTTTTTCACCTTCCAACTCCCAGTCAGTGTCGTTAATAAGAGTTAGAATTCCTGGCCTAATAGTATCGTTCTCGATGAAAACTTCCTTATCTTTATCGTTTTTTATCATGTTCTGGACAATATAGTCAATCAGATCTCCAACAGTCACAGTTGACCCATCTGGACCTTCAACATTGAGCTTATATGTCCTCTGCTTTTCGAATATAGCATCGAGACCACCCAAAAATTCGACTTTTACGTTGACCATTTCTATGGACGTTCTTCAATAAAGAAGCTCATCATCACCAGGACAATTTTCATTTTACTACTCTCCAGCGTAGTTCGCGCCACGATGAATCACGTGCTTTCATCGTGAGATATCCCATAAATTATTTCTTCCTCAAATAACGCAAGGCTCGCGTGGCGTAATGGCAACGCGTCTGACTTCTAATCAGAAGATTGTGGGTTCGACCCCCACCGTGAGTGCTTATCTTTTTTATCTTTTTGCTATTGTATTAATTTGGAAGATCAATACATTCAACATACTATACAACAATTAATCGCTACAATCTGTCTTTTACGCATGATGATCCAAAATCTAGCTAATAATGGATGTATTCTTTATTTATTTAAGTGGTCTGCATGTATGACTATTTCGTGTCTTTTCTTCAAAGATGAAGCGGTGGCTCAATGGTAGAGCTTTCGACTCCAGTTAGATCCTGGAATTCCAAGGAAATTGCAATCGAAGGGTTGCAGGTTCAATTCCTGTCCGTTTCATTTTTAATTTTTGGTACATTTAAACATCATTAATTACGATGAACATTTAACTCAAGTAATCGTCACAATGGATAAGAGGTGTGAACTGAAAAAAAACTTCTCGATTGTAGCACCTCATTATGGCTTTCTTGGAAAACAATGAAATCAGTGATTAATGAGCTTTCTCTTGTGTTTAATTTCATATCTAGTTTCGAGAATCGTTATTAATTGAAGCCGAGATCTGTGACTGATTGAAAATCTCTAATCACTGGTGTTCCATGATAACTCTAATGTCGTCCTTTCGGCCTTTCAAAGCTGTTTAAATCTGGGACGCTGATCGTATCTGGTCATCAAGTAATTTGGACGACGATCAATATCCAACAATTTCCGCGATAGTTTAGTGGCTAGAATTCGAGCTTGTCGCGCTTGAGACCGGGGTTCGATTCCCCGTCGCGGAGTTTAATTTTTTGTCGTCTAATCAACTTCTTTCATTCCAAACCACCGATGCCTAGAATTATTCTGAGCTCAAAGTTGAAGGATAGCGAATCCATTTACCTTCACGACTGGATTATACAACTGATTGGATCAAAGTTCAATGTGCACATCAAGCAGCCTCTTTTCCCGAAGGTACAAAAACTGATCCCTAAACTGAGGCTGGGAAGACATGCAATTTTATCCTCCCCAATTGTGAGTTCCTCTCATCACTTTCTAAAGATCACCAAGTTTCACAATATAGACCGGTTTCGTGTCTTCGCTTCGGGGAGGGATGATACTTGCCATATACTTAGTTGAGTTTACGCCAAAGTGTGTTTCAGATTTTGAACGAACGAACCATCTCAGAATAACCGCAGACACAGTCAACACGATCTTCATTATAGGTGACGTAAACTTGGTCTACAAGCGTTTATCAGAAGTTCAGCAGAACTGGAAGTTAAACTTGGCCATCGATTCTAGGCTTAAATCAATTCCTGTTCTCGTGATAAATCAATGCTATGTATTCGATATGGATCAAATAGGCACTACGAAAGTCTTTCCATATGTATACAAGCATGAGAAGTTTCTCGAAATAGCTTTTGACAACTAAAGAGAATTGTTTACGTAGGCTTAAGTGAATATAGTACAATTCGATGGCCCTTATGGCATTTCGTTGCATATGACTAACTTTGGCAAACGAAGCTTCCATTTATGGGAGTTCTCACTTCAACTACATACGTATCGAAAACCACAGCCATGGCGTCCTGCATTTACTTTTGTGATAGCAAAGGGAGGTCTATTCTTTCGAGGCGGTATCGAGACGATATTTCTCCATCTGCAATTGAAAAGTTTCCATCTCTTTTGGTAGACAGCGAGCAAGAATCGAACGTTATTCCACCCTGTTTGACTCACAATGGAATTCAGTATCTGTTTATTCAGCATAACGATCTCTACGTTTTGACCATGACAAGGTCCCTATCTGTGAATGTTGCTCAGGTATTTGCCTTCCTTTACAAATTGGTTGATGTTTTGGCCGAATACGTCAAAACAGTAGAAGAAGAATCTATCAGAGATAACTTTGTTATCATTTATGAACTTCTCGATGAAATGATGGACTATGGTATTCCTCAAATAACGGAAACAAAGATGTTGAAGCAATATATTACACAAAAATCTTTCAAGCTCATTAAGTCTGCTAAGAAGTCTAAAAATGTCATGAGACCTCCTTCTCAATTGACGAAGTCTGTGAGTTGGAGACCGGAAGGCATCACATATAAGAAAAACGAAGCTTTCTTGGACGTCATAGAATCGATTAACATGCTCATTACAGCCCAGGGCCAGGTACTTAGGTCAGAAATTCTAGGGACCGTTAAAGTGAAATCACATTTATCGGGGATGCCCGATTTGAAACTAGGTTTAAATGATAAAGGAATATTTACTAGTGATGGAAATGCATCCCAGGTTGATTCTAGTACTCAAAAGCGATCAAACATTGAGTTGGAAGATCTAAAATTCCACCAGTGCGTTAGGTTGAGCAAATTCGAGAATGAGAAGATCATCACCTTCATTCCACCTGATGGTGATTTCGAATTGATGAATTACAGACTTTCAACCCCCATAAAGCCTTTAATTTGGTGTGATGTCAAAATTCAAGTGCATTCCAAGTCAAGAATTGAAATCCATTGCAGAGCAAAAGCTCAGATCAAGAAGAAGTCCACTGCAAACAATGTAGAAATTCTAATACCGATTCCAGATGATGCCGATTCTCCCAAATTCAAATATTCGCACGGATCCGTTAAGTGGGTTCCGGAGAAAAGCGCAATCATATGGAAATTAAAAAGTTTTCCGGGTGGTAAAGAGTACTCAATGGCTGCCCAGCTTGGGTTGCCTTCGATATCAGATCTTGAAATTCCAAAAGCCAAGAGACCAGTACAAGTAAAATTTCAAATTCCATACTTCACCACCTCTGGGATTCAGGTACGTTATCTCAAGATAAATGAGCCTAAACTTCAATATCAGAGCTACCCATGGGTCCGCTATATAACTGAGAGTGGAGATGATTATACCATAAGGACAGCTTAGGCATTTTTCCAGCATCGGTCTACTGTGAAAGAAACAGTTATAGTATAAATTTTGTACGCTACTTTAAATACGTTTCATTTTATTTGCTGTCTTGTTCATTTTTCAGCTATTCCTCGTCTTGCGCATCATCTTTGCCTTCAGCAGCGTCTTCGCCATTTTCGTCTTTGCCTCCATCCTCTTGATCACTTTTATTGTCAGTTTTTTCATCCTTTAAGGACTCAGCTAACTCTAATACCTCCTCTTTGGCGTCGTTAACTGAAACTTCTGGAGAAACTTTTACTCGCTTGAACTTCAGTTTGCCTTGTAGGAATATCCAGTGAGATCTAATCACTCCTGATACAGCGGTTTTATTGGCTCCCAGGACACCAATTAACTCACGTTTGGGATCAGACAACAGATCATAGGGTAATGATTGTTTGGTTTTGAAGTTCATCTGAGATTTAATTGGGTCTGCACTAAGTCCAAATACAGCAGCATGCTCTTTTAACACATTATAATTGTCACGAAATCCACAAGCTTGCCTGGTACATCCTGGCGTACTGGCTTTGGGGTACGAAAAGATAACGACAATGTCGTTCTCAGAGCAGACATCTCTAAGTGAAACATCCTCGCCGTCCTGGTTTTTTAAAACTATGTCAGGAATCTCGTCTCCTTCCTCAAGTTCCGTGCTTGCTTTCCCATCTTCCTCCTTGGGGACCCTTGGAGCCCTAGCTTTCTTAACGGGAGACTCTGTAGGGGACTCCACATCTTCTGCTGGTCTTTTAGCCCTGGTTTTCCGACTAGAACGACGCAATTCGACCATTTGACTTTGCCTTGTATTCTTTTGGCTTTTAGCAAAACTGTGTTGTTAGGATGACAAAGTGCCCCCTTTATTAACTTTTCCAACATCTAATAAAATGATATTTAAGGAATGAAATATAGACAAAAAAACGTGCACAATATGTACAATTGAATCATAAAGTTGAATGAGGCTATGTGGAAGACACAGATACCTAATCTTCGGCATGGCTTGTGGTAGTGTATTCATCGTCATCATCTTCGTAACTGTGCTCACTGTAGTTGGTCGTGTACTCTTCATCCTCTTCGTCATCTTCGTACGATTTCGTTGAGTTTAAGTATCGAGCCTTAGGTAGCGAGGGATTCGAACGGTCTTCTCCCACATCTCTTGTGCTAGGGTCCTTGGTTAGCTCGGTATTCGAGTCTTCGTCATCATCTGCGTTCGGACATTCTTCCTCGCGTTCTTCGGCCTCCATCTTTAACTCATGCAAAATATCAAAGCATTCTGCAAGAAGTGCATTGAGGGTACCTTGACCCTCGGGAATGTTACCATCGGAGTCATAGAACTTTCCGTCAACGCGCATGTTATCAAGGGAAGCCAACTTCATCTGGTATGGATATAGTTCTCTATCATTATTGACGCCACCCATTCTTTTTAATTCCAGTAGACACCTGCGTACCGTTGACAATTGATTGTGAACTCTTTGTAGGGCTTCAGAAACAGGTTCTGAACATTCAAGCAATTTGTAAATAATTGCGTAACATCTCCGCAACAAGTAGAGAAGAATAGCTTGGCCCTTGGAATCCCCAGTAGTTGTTGGGAACTTACCATTTACTCTCATTTGGTCAATTTCCGCCAATTTTTTTTGATATGTAAACAAATCTGTTTCTCTCAAAGTCCAACGACGAGTTACCAGTAAATTCTCAAGGGTTGTCTTTATTTCAATGAGATTGTCATAAATTGGTTGCAACATTGGGTCTAAAGAAATCCCACCACTTGCTTGATGGGATAAATCATGTATCAAATCGTGACAATCATCGAGTAGACCATTGAGTACATTTTGACCTTTTTCAACCACTTCGTCGGTCTCCAACGACTTGAACTTACCTGTAGAGTCTCTGTGAGATTCCAATTCACTTAGCTCTTTCTCTAATACATTCAACTTGTCGCTAACAGATTCTTGTGATAAAGTATGAGTGATGACTTTATCCTGTTTTGATATGGCATCTCTCTTTGTAGATGCTGCAAGTGAGAGGAGACCACGTCTGATCTGGAATAGTTTCTCAACAGTACTCTGGAGAGCAGGATCGATTTCCTCCAATTTTGACTCAATATGTTCGTACTCTTCTAGACAGTGTTTTAATTTGGCACGAAGTAATAAATCCTCCTCGATCTTGTTCTTGGTCTTCTCCTCATCAATGTCACCTATGACGCTCTCTTGTGGACTTGTTCCCCCATCATTTCGATCATTATTACGGTAGGAATTTTTCGCCACTATCTCCGAGATCTCATCCAAACGTTCCTTAATGGGTCTCAAGTCATGGTGTGTGAAGACGTTTGACTCATCTAAGTGCTCCAACAATCTTTGTACAGTGCTGAGTGAGGCGTAGGTAGCTGGGGCTGAGTTCTTGAGTCCGACTGTAAGAAAGCTCAATGACAGTAATTGGAATACATCATCCAACACCGAATCCACTCGATTGTGCAGTTCAACATTGTGAATAAGGGTAGTTGCACTGCTAGCTGGACTATTGTGGCTGGACTTACGGATTTCATCCAGTTCTCTGACTTTGGTTAGAACCTTTTGATACGTCGACATTACATCTTTGGAATTTAGGTACTGTTCTCTATTCTTTTTTAACCGCGACAGGAAGCTCCGCACCTCTAGAAAATAGTTTAAAATAGCCTCCTCCTCTTTTGGTACTTCTTGTGGGTGCCCTGACATCTTCTTAATGGGTCTTTTACTCTTGTTCCGGTGGCGAAGGAAAGGGGGGCTATTAAACTCACGCAAATTTCCCTCGGAGACAAGAGAGGATAGAAAGTGTTGATGTCACATTTAACGTATCGTCAAAATTTCTCATCTTCACACAAAAGCACCTTATTTAGCCTATTATACATTTATATATTTAACCGAGTTTGCGTTTATTCGTCAGGGTTCACAACCGTCAAAACATTATGGTTGTGTGGCGAAGGAACCACCGTGTCTTGTTCCAAAGATCCATTGCTAATACGGCGAGTGTCGTCGAATGGATTAACGCCACCTTTGCGTGACGAAACGGAAGATTGGTAAAGGGTATCGTCGAAGTCTACGGGTTTGATGGCTTCTTGGTATTCTTTCTCCATACGCTCTTGCTCGCGTTTTATATTGATGTGACGTATCACAAGCAGGATGCCCACAGCTACTGCCGCAGCCCCGCAAACGCCTCCCACTACACCTCCAATGATAGCCCCGAGGTTCTTGGGTTTAGACGATTTTTTCGTAGACGACGTTTCTGATGCGCTAGACGCGCTTTGCGTTATACTTTGCGTCACGTAAACCGTGGAGCCCCCCATTGTCTGAACAGACGTCGATATGACGACGTGGTCATCGCCTGAGGAGCTTGAAGGACTGGCTGCGGTTGTAGATTCTGCTGTGCTTGACGCAGCCGCTGTGGTGGAAGAGGATGGAGTCGTGGATGTCGTTTCACTTGACGATATCGAGCTCGACAAATACGTGCTAGACGAGCCGGAAGCGCTGCTACCGGAGTTAGAACTTGATGCAGTCGAGCTAGATGCGTCAGAGCCACTGCTGGAACTCGATTCCGAACCTGAAGCACTGCTAGATTGAGATCCGGTATCTGCGTCTCCGATCGCGTATAGAGAATAAGCTGAAGTCCCACCGCACATCTCGGAGTCATAGCCGAAACAATAAGCCGTACAAGAGTCAGAGGTACTCACCACTCCGTTAGGATTTGTATTTCCACAATAACAACTGCTGTGATTGAATAAAGCGAAATAGTTCGCGTTTTGAGCGACACACTTGCTGTAGCAGTATGCACTGGCCTGATACTCGTACGTATCATCCAGCGAGAAACCTGATGGTAAGCTTGCGAAACAGTTGATCAGGGTGTAATCTGCAGCAATACAAACTGCTGCAAACAGCGGCCATACCTGGAAGAAGCGCATTTTCTGTCGGGGCCTTTACGTGTTTCTCGAAAAGTGGGCTAATAAGATTGTTGTAAGTTTTTCGGATCGACAAGAATGGAGATCAATCTTTCTTCTCGCAGTCACATGACAAAGCACTACCCCAAGGAATGTGCAACTGCTAAAATGAACTACATGGAGTTGAGACCTAAAGCTAGCATGGTTGAGGCCGAAAGCGGGCCTCAGAAGTTACAGGTATCCAAGGAATGGATGCTTCCTCCAAAGACGAGGCCGGGAAGAAGACCAAAGCTAGTGACAAAACGGGAACAGGAAGAGATGTCCACAGGCGAGGCTTGCGAAGTAATCAAGAAGAAGAAGAATAGAGAGGCTCAGCGTGCTTATCGAGAGAGAAGAGCTAGTCAGTTTCAAGAACTACAAGATTTAGTGGATAAGTGGAAAAAGAGATGCCAGGAGTTAAAACTGGAACTTAAGAAGAGTGAAGAAAGGGCCAACCAATTTGAACAACAGAACGCTGAGCTAACTGCCAAACTGAAAAAGTATGAGACTGTGGATAAAACATCTAAGTGTGGAATGTGCGTCAAAGACATGTGCATTTGTGAAGAGATGGGTTTTAACTCATCGTCGACGTCGCTTTTGGATCCAGCGCTGCAGCAAAGGATAGATAACTTCAAGCCCATGGATGCAGTCTCATTGAAACCTAAACCTAAGAAGCGCAAGTTGGCAACAACTGGCCTACCGGTGTTTAAAAGGGTTGAACAGTTGCCAGTTTCATTGGAACCTTCGCCAGGTGTAGTTAATGAGGCGCTGCGCTATCAAGTAGGCAGCCAAGGTTGTGGATTCTGTTCTGACAGTTCGACCTGTGTTTGTAAGGAACTTGACACACAGGTCCTCGCCGGCTCTTCTGCGAGGGAGCAGCCCAATAATGCCGACTCTTGCAATACACAACCGGGTTCTTGTGAGCAGTGCCAGCGCGATCCTCATCGCAAGCAGTTTTGTCAGAGTGTAAACGAAATTGGCTCACTGAAAAGCGATTACTACAGTGGTGAACTTATACCGATCAATGATGCGTATCAAAGGATACGCAAGCACATGGAGAATAATGCTATGTTGAAGGACAACCACCTGCTCAACAGTGAAGCACCGACACCATCGCATTTCAGTATAGTCAGTCAACTCAACATACGGGGCGGTCAAGTGGAACTGAAAAGCGTAATCGATGTTTTAAGGCAAATGGATAGGAATCTTTTCACCTAAACATGGACCGACCATTGGTATCAAACAGCTGTACAAAATATATATCAAAAACGTTTAAAAAATATGTAGCTACCTTAGGATAGGTAATCAAAGAACATAGTTCCAGATATGAACGATAGCCTGGAACACTAGAGGAACGCGAACTGCATGTGCACCATCCTTTGCTTTAGATGAGGAGGCAGATGTGCTACTAGCAGTTGTAGAAGATGAAGAGCTGGCGCTGAGTGTAGAAGATGACGCGGCAGAGCTAGAAGAAGAGCTGGAGGCAGATGAAGATTTGGATTCAGAACTAGAGCTGACATTGTCTGAATTTGTGTCATCTCCGTAACACAATTCTTGAGTGGATAAACTAGTTCCCATAGGTTCGCCAGCACCACTGGAGAAGTAAGCGGAAGCAGCACTTGGCATAGCGGGTAAGGTGTTGTTGGCTTCCCAAGTACCTTCTTCGTAGCTTGGGCAAGAAGAGTAATCGTTGGTAGTAGAGTAACCGCCATCACCGGAAGGATCGGACACAGAGCTGTATTCCTTTTGTAAGTTGTAGTAATCTTGCAATTTAGTCACAGAGGTGTCGTTGTCAATCTGGACAAGACCATAGTTATTGGTCTCGTTGGAGTATTCGTAAACTAAACCACCCGAGAATACAGATGACATTCTGTCTGAGTAAATCGCAGTAATTTCAGTGAATGGTCTGGAGCCTGGGACCTCGTTACAACCGAACTCACTCAAGAAAATTGGGATTGAGTAATTAGCGTAAAGTTTCATTTTGGTAGCATAACCAGAGGTCTGGAAAGAGGACTGACCGCACCAAGAATAGTCATTTACACCAAACATGTCGATTCTAGCGTCATCGTCGCTACCACAGTTGAAATACTCGGCAGCAAGCTGTCTGTTGGAGCTCACGTCAGCGGCTGAGTAACCCACAGGGATCTGTCTGTACCCTCTAGCTTTGATGTACTTCTTCATATCTCTGACAACAGCCTTGACATATGTGGCAGTGTTGGTTGTATTGACACTGTTGATGACTTCGTTACCTGCGAAGAAACCCAAAACATTATCATAGGAGGCAAAAGCGTCAACGGTTGCAAACACATTTTGTAAGTAGTCTGCGTTGTAAGAGCAAGCAGGATCATATCTAGAAATCGAGCTGTCAGGAGTGTTCACGTCCAAAATAACGTAAATGTTGGCATCAGTGAGCATTTGCATACAATCTGAGTGATCCTGTGAGTTATCGACTGTGTACACTCTGATCGTGTTGACACCCAAGTCCTTGAAAACAGCAACGTCTCTCTTACATGTTGTGGCATCAGCGAGAGGGTCACTTAAGTTAGAAGACCCACCTGGCTGGTAGTCAACGCCTCGAATGTAAAATCTTTCACCTGTTTCAGAGTTGAAAAAGGCATTACCGGTAATATTAATGGTAGGTAGGCTCGTGGAATTTGCTGCTTTAGCAAATGGTAGCGCCAGCCATGACAGAGAAGCGAGTGTATAACCTAAGCGCATATTAATTGCCTTAGTTGTTGCCTAGACAAAGCCTTTTTTTGTTTGTGTTTGAATCACTCGCAGAACGAAAACTTTTGTCCCGTGAGACATTTTTCTAAAGTCGCGGCCAGGCTCGAAGACATAAATAAACACAACAGTCCATAAAAACACGACGCGGAAAAAAAACTAAAAAACTCAAAAAATGCTTCCAACCAGAGTCGAACTGATGATCTCCACATTACTAGTGTGGCGCCTTACCAACTTGGCCATAGAAGCTCTTATTTGATGGCTGATAACGATGAATACACGTCATTTGACGATCAGTTAAACCCGCCGCCAACACACAGATTCAGTCGGGAACATCAGAAGGTGCTGGACAGAAATTGAATCATCCTTCACATGTCAGAGAGATTTCGGTGAGCTTTTAATTGTGTAAGCAAAGGCCTTATTTCTTATATTTTAATTTCACTCCCTAGCTTTAAAGTATGCCGTTGTTTGTATCGCTTCCATTCTGATACCTTGCTCTTACTGCCGTTCGTCATTAAGAAAAGTGGTGCAATGTCTTCCCTGCAATGCATTAAGATGAGGTATGTGTTGGAACGAAATACAACTATCGGCCATCGACTAGTATTCGTGTTACTAGTATATTATCATACACGGTGTTTTAAGATGACATAAAGAATGAGAAACGGTCATCGAAGTTAGTGGAAGCTGAAACGCAAGGATTGATAATGTAATAGGACAATGAATGAAAATGTATAAAAGGAACAGAAAGAGCAAGAATATTTGTAAGTAAAATTATCAACTCCTCTTTCTGGATTCTTAGAAAGAGGAGGAGAACTTCTAGTATAACCATATACCAATTATTATAGCCTTAATAAAAAATGGAGTCCCAACAATTATTTCAATATTCACCCATTTCTCAATATGTTGGAACTAAGAGTAAGTAGCTAATATTTTTCTTCATTGCCCCTCATTTAAAAGTCAAAGTTGATCGAGTGCAGGTGACACACCAAATAGGAGTGTAGGAGTTGCACCTCTAGGTATGTCATCTATTTCAGTATAGCGCCGTGGCGCAGTGGAAGCGCGCAGGGCTCATAACCCTGATGTCCTTGGATCGAAACCAAGCGGCGCTATTTGTTTTTGCATTTTCGTGATTTTTTCAGTTTTCAGTTGGCCTTACTCGTGACATTTTTTCCCCTGGAAATCTGATTCGATGAGTTTTTACTCCAAGTGTGATAGCGTTGCATCAGCGAGGCTCGAAAGATCCTCGAGGCAGTAAATAATGATGGACACATCTTCGTACGGTGACTTTTACACTTCTCAAAAATTAGTCAACGAGTTCCACATGTTGCAAGATAGTTTGCCGATTACGATGGAAGACAAAGATGGTCACGACGACGACAACCATGAGGAGGCGGAAGAAGTAACTAGGGCTGTCGCGTTGGAGGTAGCGGACGCAAACAAGACTGTAGAGCAAAAGGTGTTAGTAAGGAATATCGACATTTTAAAGCGCATATTCGACACGCTTGGTGGAAAAGACCGTATAGCTAAGATTATCAAGTATGTTCTCGACCTACTGAAGCTGTGCGTGGCACGCAGCAGGAAGAGCATCACAAGCTGGGATCCTGAAGTTCTGCAGTACTACTCAAAGGTGCTCAAACAGCTGAACTTCCGCATGGCCCTGCGTCACCCGGTTACGATCGCTAAGATCCTAACTGTGGCGATGTTGCGCAACTTCGAGTCTAAAGCGACCCTGGTGAGCACTAATCTCAGTCTATTCAGGCAGATTCTCCGGTTTGGAGGCACACCGTTCCGTGTGGCAGCCCTTTGGAAGAAATTGCTTCTTACAACACAGCAGCTGTCGTCGCAGAAGGGCGACGACATAAGTGCTCTTGCGACCATGAACAAAATATGGCTCAATGAGGCATCTCTGGGGGACTTCATAGACCTCTACTACGGCATTATGGATGAGCTCATGCTAATGCATAAGTTTAAACTATGGTCACACACGGGCGTGCATAAGTGGGTCGCCAAGCATGAGGCCTTGTCGTGGTACTACGATATCTTGCTAGGTTTGAAGAAGAATTGGTGCACTTTGCAAAACTTAAAACATGCTCAGTTGGAGTTGGAAATTCAGGCTCAGGTCAAGCGGCGCGCCTTGGAGATATCTTCCAGGTTGCACGGGCGTGGCACTTCCCCAATAAAGAGACAATTACTGCAAGATTTACACGTCGAAAACAGCACTGACTCCGAACTCGCTGAAAGACTTGCTTCGCTGCAACGTGAGAAAACTGTGGTGTACTGTGACCTGGTCAGATTGTCGTTTGACTTCCTGGCTGATACAACAGACGTGTTTAACATGAAAACGCCGCCGGGCACCTACGCCATTTTATCGCTAGCGTCTGGTCTCACTGGTTTTGTAAAACTCTGGATTAACGCCAAACAAGACCTATCTAGCCCTGCTGCATGAACTATCTGTGTGTTGCCCTTTTAGATTCTTTTTGGCGTCAGAGTTTTGCTTTTCGTCAACGAGCTAGCGAAGGTAGCTCGTTTGCGCTTTCACAAGCGGAAGCTTACAAGGGCAGGATGGAAAAATATCAATGGTACTTCGAAGCTCTCGTCAGACCACAAGCTCTTCATATGGTATTGTTGACTTTTCGGTTTCGTTTTCCTCAATTGACCCCGTGACGTCTTCGAATCAAGAAACCGGAAAGCTGAGGACGCGATGAGTATGAACCTATAGCTACGAGAACATGTGTAATCTAATTAATTCCCGAAAGAAGATTCAATAACCAACAACTTAAGACACTTCACACGTTCATGACTCTTGAACAATTCCAATTTAAGCATCAAAAGCGTTGAAAGTTGTTCGACCAATTATTAATGTGTGAACGCTGATGCAAAGGGGTACGCACCAAAACCTACAATTGCGGCCGGAAAATCTTCATATGATTGTAAAAATACCGATATTACATTTGACTAGACCTTTGGCCGACGGCCAGACCGTCTATGACTAAAAAGCGATCTTCAAATTCAATACTTTGGCATAACGGTTAAAATTACAAGTCACGTGTTGTCGTATCTCTCTTAGGCGCGGTTGTTGGCCGCTTTTAGCGTATCCCCAAGGATATTAAGATCGGAAATGGACATGACTGCAAAAACGAAGACGAGCTAAATGAGTATAAATATGGTAGCAGGTTACGTTTATTAAACATCTTAATGGCAATTAACAATTGACAATTGACTGATTGAGAAAGCAATCAATGCAAAAACCAAAAGTTCTATTACCATACAAATCGCGCCAGGATTTCGCGGATGATACGGCCGAATGGAAAAGGATGGAGGAATTGGTCGAATTCGTGAAATATCAATTGACAAGCGAAGAGGATTTTAAAAGGTATTTACCAGACTCCGATATTTCTGCATTGTGGATAACTGAAGATCTCTTCATTTATGCAGGCGGCCCTGCAAAGTATATTGACTTTTTCCCCAGGTCGTTACGCACAATTGTAGTTCCATGGGTTGGAACCGATTTTATCGATGGGAGTAAGCTAAGGGGGGAAAAAGACATTGTCCTGTGTAATATCGGTCCAAATGCGGCTGAGAATGTAGCAGATCTGGCACTATATCTGACATTAAGTTGCTTCCGCATGACATCCTTTTGGGAGCATAGTTTCAGGTTTGTCAACGGGGGGAAAGTGGGGCCCTGCAGAGAGTATATCGGCGGAAAGAAGAACAGTGTAATCAAGGGAGCGGCATTGGACCCTGAAACAGGCAATCTCGAGATACAAGAACATGTGTTTCCAGAAAGGCTCAGCCATGAACAGGCCGAAAAAGTGAACTTCGCCAAAGATTTCACACTAGCAGGTAAAACTGTCGAATCACCTACCGGTAAAAATGCGCTAGTTTTGGGATTTGGGGCCATAGGGCAGACAATTGGCAAAAAATTGCATTATGGCCTAGGTATGAACATCCACTATTATAAGAGGTCAGGTCCACTTCCAAAAGAGTATTTGGGATATCCGGCATGCTATCACGGTTCTTTGGTCGACAGAGAAACATGGGGCGCTATAGATTTGATCGTGATGGCTCTTCCTGGGAATAACTCTACAGAAAACCTATTAAATAAAGAAGTGTTAAACATGTGCAAGGAGGGTGTTCGTGTAGTAAACGTCGGACGTGGATCCTGCGTAGACGAGGACGCTTTACTAGAAGCATTGGACTCCGGAAAAGTTAGTAGTGCAGGATTAGATGTCTTCAAAGATGAGCAAACTGGAATAGACGAAAGGTTCCTCAAAAGATGGGATGTCACCTTGTTGCCTCACATTGGAAGTGCTGTAGCTGACATAATTAAAAGGCAGACGATCATTACCTTGCAAAACTTGGAAAGTGTCCTAATCAAAGGAGAGGGTGGCATATATCCAGTTAACTAGCAAGAGTCACTCAAAAATCAACATTTTGATAGTTTTAACTTTAATAATTCACCATCAAGTCGATACCCTAAAATACAACTAAGAGGTTTTCATTGAATTAGTTACTCTATGTACTTTTCTGATTTGCAGCTCATAAAAATTTCTCGCCGCCTCCTCTCGACTTCGACCTTACCATTCTGTTTCACCTTGTGCCCTCTGAAAGGCATAGTCTTTATGATTGATGGTCGCCAGACCATCTTTTAGATTACATTTCCACTTGTTCTTGACTCTCAGCACCTTTTCGTATAGACACAAAACTATGTTCTCATCCTGACCTTCATCTTCGCCGGATGAATTTAGATAATCATCTTCAGAATCATCTAAATCTGAGTTAATCTCATCTGTTTCCAAAAGTGCACTCTTTTTGGCCTGCTTGGCTTGTAATTTCAGCTGTTCAGCAATTTGCCCATCTGGATCGTCCATGCTCAGCTCTATCTCTTGTTTCGGATGTTCTTCGTATTTTTTTTGAGTCATAGGGCTTTGATGTTGTCCTAATTCACTCTTGCCGTCGGCAGGAGAGAGACTTGGCAGAGACAGACCCTGCGAATCCATTATATCGTGACCTATCGCCGAATTGCGCATCTGCGCCTGCACTGCAGATTCCTCTTCCGGATCCCACATGAATTTTGCCACCCGACTATCGGACAGCTTAGATTGCCATACGGCTTTTAAATCTTGAAGTGTTTGCTCATCGATGCCTGCACTTTCAAAATCTTCCCTTACCTCATTGATGACATTTTCTACTACGATTTCGTAAACTCTTGCCGACTCCAGGTTTGACATCGTAAATAGGGGCCTCTAAGTTCTTCTTCTTATCCTTCCTGTCAACTTCAACGCTTAGTCAATTGTCGGCATGCTCCCTGGCTCATTTTTTTTTTCAGTCGTTTCGAAAATCTTACCAATTTATGAATAAAAAGTACAGGAATCTCAATAGAACTGCAAGGAAATGCCATCTCAGTGATTGAAAATCCCTCTAGATTCAAAGTTCGATACTATGATCTTGCTTATACGTTTTGTCTCCGCGTAACGCCTGCAAACATCGATACTTTAATAATTTCGTATAAGACGACATTAAAATTCCGGCAATGTAGCTGGTATGGTCTTATTTACTGTCCAATCCATCATCTTCTTGTCTGTTTGATCATCAGCAATCAGCTAGCGTCTTGATAAACGCGTCCATTTTTTGAAGCGCTTGAGATGGGTTATATTTTTTCGTGGATATCTTTACGTAAAAGATAGGAGTTACGATTTACGACCTATCGACAGCATGGCTACAAACGGTGCGAAACGCACTCTCTCTATCAACAGTTCAAGCATACTTATTTGCCAAAAAGCTAGAGGTTGATCTTATAGTGGAGATTCGTGTTTTCTTCCAACAAAACAGCAAGAGCTGAATTAACTTCCACCGAAAATACAAGGCTTACGAAAGGAGTTCGGATACGGTCTTACGGTGTAAATTACCGCATCACAGTACATTGTGCGGAGGCGTTACCTGATTAGTTGGTTATTCTATTCCGCTCTTTCCTAGGACAATTGGGTTTCAAGTAGGGTAAACAGAGCAGCGCCGTATGAGACGCGTACCAAGAAAGAAAACATATAGTTACGTTCATATAATCAAAGGCCGCCCAACCAACCAAAGAAATGGATCCTGGTAGTATCGCCAATCAAAGCGATCTCTCTGAACAATGCCCTCAATTAAGTTCTCATCTTGGCTCGGCCGAAGAATCCAGCTCATCGGATTTATCTCTGGACTGTGTAACCAGAACATCAAATAAAAGAAAATCTGGAGAACATCCACTCATTAAGCTAGACACAAACAGCTTGATTGATGGCCATGATAACAAAGATGAACCAGAAGATTTAGTTACCGAGATTCAAAACGAACAACAGCATCTGGATGTAAAGCTCACACCGCAATCTGTCAAGGAAACTACATCCATAGGGACCAACACTTCACCTGCCGTAATAGAAATGGTTGATAGCAACCATGATGAGAATGGCTTCGGGGGACAAAACGAAGATCTGCTAGAAATTCAAGAAGAACTGTCAGAGGCTATCAGCAGTGCGGTGCGGGAAACAGACGAAGGTAATAATCAAGATGTTAGCTACGAAGAACAACATTCCATATCAGTATCTGAGCCAACAAAGTCAATTATGCACATCAACCGAAATGATACAGAAGAGGATGGAAACCTGATAACAACGAAGAAAAGAAAGGTGACTCCCGATCTGGCTGTCGAAACAAAATTTTCGAACTGTGAACAGATGACGCCAGTAATAAATTCACTGGAGAGCGAGCGAACGGATGTTTTCCAGCATCTTCAGGAGGTGTTTCACAAAGAATTAAAGAATTATGAGCAATACATCAACAGCAAAAATGAGCAATTGGAAGAATACCGGAAGCTGGCTTCAAAAACGAACGAGAAACTCAGAGTCTTCAATGAATCATTAGATGAACAAAAACTAAAATATTCAAATTTGTTAGAAGAGTTCGAAGTGTTCAAGGCTACTCAAGCAACTCGTGACTTACAATTGAAGCATCAAAAGTCCCATGTTGAGAAGTTATCGCTTGAAAAGACGAATTTGGAAGAAAAAGCGTCCAAATTCAAAGCACGACTATCAGAAACTCGTAATGAAGTTAAGATGCTAAATCAAAATTCGAGAATTCTTCAAGAAAAGTTCCAATCTCAAATTGAGGAAAATGAGAGTTTAAAGAAGGAGGTCAATGACCTCAAGCAAAAAAGCCAGCAACTGCAATATCGTCTCAACGAAATATCAAAAAATGACACTATGTTAAAGGAAAAGTTGGAAGATCTGCAGAAGGATTACACGACGCTCAATGAGGAGAACAGGGACTTAAACGAAGAATGCAAACATAAGAATGAAGAACTATCTAGGCTACGGACGGCACTTGAGGAAAAAGATGCGGTAGCTGCTGAACTTCAGGCGAATATACGAATATTTCAGGATGCAAGACAGCAATCATCAAAATATTTGGAAGAACGAGTCGAGGAGCTAACAAATGATAAGCAAAAACTTATAGAAGATCTTGATAAGAGCAAAGAATATGAAAACAAATTCAAAGAAAATGATCAAAAGCTTAGAGGTACTCTCGACGAGATAACGATCCTGAACAATAGGATGGATTCACTTCAAAACGAGATATTTAGGCTTCAAAAGGAAAAGGATGAAGTCAAAGAGAAATTAGAAGCGTCTCAACAAACTGTGGAATCAGTGAACGATCAGTTGGCTATCAAATCGGCGGAAGTTGTGGAGCTCACACATGACATAGAGGAATTGAAACAGGCCAAGTCATATATTGAGGATTCCATCAAAGCAAGAGAGAACACCGTATTAGAATGGAAAACAAAATACGACGAGAAATGTGATGAAAATAAAAGGCTCTCTGTAGAGCTTGAAAGTGTTCAATTCAAAAACACAAATATAGAAGCGGAACATCTTGCAGACTTAGAACAACTTCATCAAGAAATGACATCTCTCAAAGACAACTTAAAGGTTTCTTCTGACCAGATAAAATCTTTAAGCGATGAAAAGCATATACTAACGGAACGTATTGTAGAGATGACTGCTAAAGAACAGGCTCTACAGGGCCAACTAATGGAGGTTGGGAGTTCAGCCCCAGAAGAAAACTTGCATAAGAAGATAGAAGAATTGCAGCAAAAAATACAGCAAAATGAGGCTGAAACCAACCAGAAGTTACAACTTCTCGCAGAGGATCTATACATACAGTATTCCTCCAAACATGAGCAAAAAGTCAAGATGCTGAAACGCGGATATGAGTCAAAGTACCAAGAGAAAATGGAAAAGCTTGAATTAGAGAGTGCTGGCTTGAAGGATGAGTTGGCACTGTTAAAAAATCAATTACAGGCTGAGAGGAATGAGAAACAAGAGCTACTAAAGTTGTTAAATAGCTAGATAATTAGCAACACACGTAGTAAGTGATTAATGACCGTTGTCGCGTTTTTTCTTCTTTTCGCGACTAGCGAAGGAGTAAATGATATTCTCGATTAAGCGCACCATTCGAAGAAAGTACCAACTTAAAGTTGTGCTAGGTACGGAATTAGATTCCTGAGAAAGGGAAGGATTTCGGATTTTTTTGAAGTTCCCTGTGACTTGCCAAACTTTTGCTGTATAGTGGTTTTCCACAACACTTGCTCACGATTTAGGGGCACCAGATAAACGTAATCTTCCGGAACTACGTGATGGAATCGAGTCAGGAAGGTGATGGAGGCTTCTCCACTACTTTGCAGCTTTTGTCCCAGTACAATGATCATACCTTAGAGAGAGATAGAACGTTGGAATACATCGAAAAGAAGAACGAAACGGCCGACAGATTATCCTACGATGATTTGTTCAAAGAGAACATCAAATTAAAACTTCAATTACATGAATACGAGATAGAGATTAGTAGTCTCAAGAAAATGGTAGAACATTTGAAATCATCCAGAAGTCCCGACGCAGATCTGAAACAACAAATAGTTGTGGAAGAGAAAGCGAATCCAATTTTACCTCCGAGATCCGCAGAAAGAAATCGCAATACTAAGAATCTTACTCTTCCTTTGAGCGATGGTTCTAAACAGTTTAATGCGTTACAATCACCTGGTTCGACAATTTCTCAGACAAAAAAGCCAGAACATGTTCTGCAACCAGCATTGGCTACCAGTTTCAACCAACAGCATATTTTATCCCCCACTGAAATTGATAGAATCAGACGATCCAGCTCATCTTACTCAAATGTGATTATTGCTAGCCCTGCTACGTCTGTTGCTTACACAACATCGCGGATTTCGCCATCGAGGAGTAATAAAACGACCGTCAAAGAAGTTGGAACACCAATAGTTGAAAAACAGTGCTCACCAGGCCGGATAAACAGAGTCACTGCTCTTATAAATGACGAATTGCACTCTCCTTTAAAACAGCCAATCAAAGAGGAGGAGCGGAACGTAGTCCCTCAGGAAGAATCCAAAACGTATCCAAAGAGTCCGCTCCCCCAACTACTGCTACAAAATGAAGAGGGCGCTGAAATTTCACCTTCTTCAAGACAAAAAATCGATACTTTTGCCAACATGTTAGACTCCACTTTCGGTGAGGAAAAAGTACCCGCTTCTCCTCTTTCGAAAGCCTCGACGAATGAGAGTAAAAAGGACCCTGATCCAGTACGAATCTTGGGATCTCCAGTAACGCTTAAAAAGCCAAATTCCTTTCCAAAGTTACTTGCAGACTCAGATCAACAAAATGAAGCAATGATAACAAATGATGTTAGCACATTGGAGAAAAGTTCAGAGACCTCACCAACATTTTCCACACACGCCAGCCTTCAAGGTCCATTTTCCCCCAAACAAAACAAGCAACGGCCTTCCTTTGGTAAGGCCCATAGTGCATCAAGAATGAGATCATCAAGTATAAATACTACCGTATCGACAGGAATATTGAGCATACAATCAGATATTCCATTGTTTATCCAGCCTAGTGAGTTTGATACTGTGAGAATAGAAATTATCAGCACACTATACCGAGATGTTGAGAATCATCACAATGATGAAAACTCAGTTTTGTTCAGCATTATAGATAGAAAGTCCGACAAAGAAATTTTCAAGTTTTCCAAGACAGTCGATGGCATCATCGAATTGGACACTTTTCTAAAAAGTCGTATGGATCCTCTTCTCCTGAATCCGTTGCCCGACAGGCATCTCTTCAATTCAAATATACCAATTAGAGTTGATTATAGACGAGAGAAACTCAATGACTACTTTACATCATTGTTCATCTTAAAAGAGCTCCCACTTGATGTGTCCTTGCGCCTAGCGAAGTTTATTAGTACTGATACTGTAATGGCCCCACTGGCAGGAGACACATTGAAAGAGGGCTCACTATTGGTCAGAAAGAACAAGACACTAGGTAGCGCAAACAATTGGAGAGCAAGATATGCGATTTTGGAAGGCCAAACTCTTCAATTATTAGATAGAGGAATAACTACAGACACGATTAAGATTCCACTTTCCACCATAGAGCTCCAAGCGAATCTTCCTGATGACAAATATGGTACAAAAAATGGTTTTGTCATTAATGAGCATAAGAAAAGTGGATTATCAAGTGTCACGAGGTACTACTTCTGTTCAGAAACTTCGAAAGAAAGAGAGAGCTGGGTGTCAATTCTTAACGAATTGGTGGAAAATAGTGCGCAGTCTGGTGCATCCCTCAACAGCAAATCTGAAAGCTCTAGTATTATGGACCATTCTATAATCAACGAAACACTTCCTGATACAGGTGCCAGTTTTATTGGTCCTATGGCAAATCTACAAAGCTCTGCTGTTTCATCGCCTTCTCAGCACTCAGAGGGCATAACCCCTGAAGATGAGAGAGAAAGCAAGAGAAGCAGGATGAGAAGTTTTTTCCCATTTAAAAAATTGAATTTATCCCAAATATCTTCACAGGAAGGGGAAACTTCTACGAGCCCAGAGGAAAGTGGATTGGGAACATCACTCAACACGCATGAGCTGACCATCGCGAAATCTTTACAGGCGCTGAATCTCTCTACTGAACCTCTATCAAATGTCGTTTTTGGCTCAGATCTTCATACCTCTCTGTCACTGAGCTCTCAAAGATACCAAGGCAAGTATTCAATACCGAGTGTGGTGTACCGCTGCTTGGAATTTTTGTATCGCCATCATGGTATTGAAGAAGAGGGTATATTTAGAATCAGTGGCTCGAGTGTTTTGATCAAATCTTTACAAGAACAGTTCGATTCAAAATATGACATCGATCTATGCACCTACAATGAAAAAATTGCCTCTAATGATGATCAGCACCCTAGTGGATACATTGATGTTAACACAATTGCTGGGCTGTTAAAGTTATATTTTAGAAAACTCCCTCACCTGATATTTGGTGATCAGATGTTTCTAGATTTTAAAGATGCTGCGGACAGAAGCATGGGTAACGACCGTGAAACAGCCCTGAGGTTCCGCGATCTTATCAAATCTAGTCGCTTGCTTCCAGAAAATCTGTCATTGATGTTTGCATTGTTTGAATTGCTGGTGAATATCAACAAGAAGAGTCGAATAAACAAGATGAATTTAAGGAACTTATGCATAGTATTTTCTCCCACTCTGAATATCCCAGTCAATGTGCTCCAACCTTTCATTGTGGATTTCAATTGCATCTTTAATGGCGAAAATCCTGTCGACGATTCTCAACGGAAACAGCTGGATATCCACATCCCACAAATGTAACATTATAGTACCTACGTAAGATTCTAATGTGGAATGATTAACGAAATATAAATAACTTCAACATGTATGATAGTTGGCTTCTTTTAGGGGGAATCTAACGTAACTCATTTCGATGCATTGCGTCCCTTTAGAACATTCTCAATAAATGCTTCTCCTGCTTTATAAGATGAGCGAACCAAAGGCCCGGACGCACAATACAAAAAGCCAAGTTCCAATGCTTTTTGTTTCCAATAATCAAACTTCTCAGGCTTCACATACTCAACGACTTTCATGTGACGTTTAGTTGGCCTCATATATTGGCCGAAAGTTACGACATCACACTGAATACTCCGCAAGTCTTTTAGTGTGTTCATCACTTGTTCATCGGTTTCACCGAGTCCTAACATCAATGAAGTTTTTGTGATTAAAGTGGGCACAGCCTTCTTGGCCTGGTCTAGCACGCGTAGAGATTGCCTGTATGTCGCGCGTCTGTCTCTTACATGAGGAGTCAGGGCCTCTACTGTTTCTAAATTATGGGCATACACGTCCAGGCCACTTTCGGCCATAACCTTAACCATATCAAGGTCACCTCTAAAGTCACCTGAGAGTGTTTCCACCAGTATGTGCGGAGCTTTTTGTTTGATCTTTTGAACAGTTTCTGCTAGGTGATGAGCACCACCATCTGGGAGATCGTCTCTGTCTACTGTCGTCAGAACAACGTAACCAAGGCCCCATCGTGAAATGGCCTCAGCTGTATTTTCAGGCTCCATGGGATCCGGTTTGGAAGGATTTCTATTGGTTTTAACAGAGCAGAATCGACAACCACGCGTACATGTGTCACCTAGCAGCATAATTGTCGCCGTGGCCTTCGATTTATCATGACCTCCCCAGCACTCACTGATATTCGGGCATTTGGCTTCCTCACACACAGTGCTGAGTTTGAGTTCTCTTACGTCTTTTTTCAGCTTGCTGAAGCTTGATCCCTTTGGGATAGGCACTTTCAGCCAACGAGGGAGTTTCTTAGCTTCGTCCACATTTCTCCTCGCCTGTTCGAGTGGATCTATGGTTATCTGAGCGGCCTTCCCACTCACGAAGTCTTCAAATGATGGTCCTTTGTTCAACGCATCGGTGAATGTTGTGGAACGTCTCCGTTTTGTCTGTGATGCAACCGACACCGCAGTTCTGACACCAGTCATACATATCCTCCGAAATGGGAGCCCCGAAGATTGTGAATATACAAGCATACCGACAGAGTACAAGCTCTAGCAGTGGGCTTCAAAGTTCACTCAGGCATCTCATTTTGACTCGGATTGGCTTCAACCTTTTCAGGTCTCCACGTACGACAAGTTTGAATTCCGAGGACAGCTTCTGACGCCTGGCGCGCTGCATAAATGCAATTACGAGGGCACTCAAGATGCCGTGGGCTGGACAGATTTGCAGCCAACAGGCGACCAAAGGTCCAGAGACAGTTCGGTGAGATCGGTTAAGCATGCCAAAGTGTTACCGATTGCTTTGACTTGTCAGGAGAAATTCAATACTTGCTTTCTAATGTTAAAATAAGTATTTTTATAAGCTCATTGAAATATTTAATAGCTATGAATATATGCAGGAAACGAATTACTCGTCTCTGACAATGACGTCCTTTAGACCTACAAAGTTACCGTCCTCGACCACGGCGACTTGGTGCAGGAAGCGGTCATTTAAGGAAATCTCTCCGTTTTGAATACCATTAAAGCTGCATTGACCGCCGAATTTGTGCAAAGGTTGGATGTCGATGACCTTGTGTTGCCAAGGGGAAATGATAATGGCCTTGTTACCGGCTTGAATGGCGTGAGAGTTAGTGCTAGCGGCTTTTCCCATTTTTCTTTTCGTGTTAGGTTTAAATTATTGTTTGACGAGTACAGAGTAAGAGAGTTGATTAGGATGAGAAAAGCACAGCTGCGAATATATATACGTGAACATTAACCTAATATTTTGCTTATACATCTAGCACGTATGGGTTGCGCTATTCGTGAATGTTCCATCATATACGTATTTGCGTGCTAGGTTTGCTTTGCTAACGTAAACTCTTAAGCAAGCCCATGCACCAGTTAAGGTCAGACAAACTAAGAGAGTTGCGGAGGGTCAGGTACATAGACGTAAATACGGCAAAAACTGGCGCAGATGACGATTCCCAGCAGTTGACATTACTTTTGCAAACATTAGACATGTATTCTCCCATCTCGCGGGAAATTCCGTAGTACATACATACGATTACTTAGCACTAAGGAGGCAAACTGAATGAAGGCCGTGAAAATGCACATGGAGGGTCATAGACGCACGTTCTTGACCATCGGCCAAATTCCTGGCTCTTTACTGGGTTCATCCATTACCTATGGCTCCTAAATTGAAAAAAGATTCATTAAACACCCAACGCGCTCTATTTGCATCCACACTTGCCACTGCATGAACCGCCAGTGGTAGATGAGCACGATGTCTTACCGCATGCACAGCTTGTCTCCTTCTTTGGCTTAGAACAGGTACATGATGGGCCACCTTCGCACGACGTAGCGCATGCTGTGGTGTCTCCACAGACGCACTGAGACCCGCACGACTTGCATTTGCCCTCACAACCGAAGTTAACTAATTCAACAATCATTTCTCTCCTTTGAATTTGATATGAATGTATTCAACACTCTTGATCTTCCTAGCAAGTTTTTGCACATCAAGAGTTCTAAACATCACCATACTTCAATTTATACCCAACCAAGCCTCGCGGCGCTCCCTGTGTTTCCCTAAGAAAACTCCGCATTCGGGAAAGTTCCAGCATCTTCCGAGAGAGAACTTTGAACGATTCCAATGCCTTACGTTTCAAACATGGCCAGAAAGCTTGAAGTACTGAAATCTTGCACTCGCAATAGAACGGTAAGGGAGGAACGAAAAGTTACTAATCACCCAGTTTTGGAGGTATATATACATATGTACAGAGCTTGACCTTGAAGGTTACTTCAAAGATGGGGTTTGGGTGAAAAATTAGAAAACACCAATGCAAAGTCACATGGCGATGCCCTTCTCTACGCTCATTTCATGGCCTTAATCAAGATAGGCCGTGACTTCAGGCTAGTCACGAATCACCACTGTGTCTTGCTGTGTCTTGTAATATGAAACCTGGCTGTGGAAATGGTGATCTTTGAAATTCTTTTTTGGATGAGTACCTGGTGATGCGATCACTCTTGTGGGTAAGCCCTGGCCCTGAGCGGCTGGTAGGCTGTAGGCAATCGATCAAAGGCGCACCGTGGCAGCAAGTACTACAGTAATGACGAGTATAGCGCCGCACTTCGCTTGCGAAAGATCCGAGACACGATCGTTAATCTTCAAGAGTTGCGTAGCATACACACAATTACACACGAATAAGAGTAAAAGAGGCGTGAGGTTCTGTGAATGCGAACAAGCCGCGTTTGCAAAGGACAGGTGGTTGCCGTCAACTAGAATAGCGTTGCCCAAACGACGCAAAACTCGACAGCACGCTTTAAAGAACTCAAACTATCAGAAGCGAAGAGCAGCCCATTACGCATCATTTATTGGTGCAGGAATCACAATCTAGGGCACAGCAAAGTGCTTCACCACATTCGCAGGTTTCGCCCTTCTTTGGCGCGGTGCACTCACACGATGGACTAGCAGTGCACGAGGCGCAACAAGCACTAGAAGCACAGCAGACGCAATTACGACCACAGGACTCACAGTTGACCTCGCAGCCGTAGTTCAAAAATTCGGATCTCATTTATTTCGTTTCGAAATTTGTATTGGTCAAGCTGACGCTTTGCTTCAACACCAGACAACGAAGAAAAGTATTGGTTAGGGACGGCAGATCAAAACTTATTATTTTGATTTATACCCAGTTGAGTTCCATAGGGTAGTACTTTATCTTATCTACGTTAAAAAGTGCTTAGCCCCACGGCGAAACCTAATTCAGGTAGTAACCGTGAAACGAGCAACGAGCGAATTGCGAGACGATAATGACTTTGGAAAAGCTAGTTAAGAAACGGAAAGGCGGCTTGGTGGGGTGCAGATATAATTTTAAAGAAGAATGGCGTAATATTATGCAAGAAAATGCTGCAATTAGTGTTATCAAGTCTGAAAGCGCCTAAGGTGCCCGGGAACTGAGTTTACAGATATATATACATATGAATGGGTTGTCCTTGAAGGATAGCTCAAGGGGAAGGTTCGAGTGAACGATTCAAATAACCGCACTTGCAGCTACACGACTACGGCTATTCGTGCGCCACTCTTCCTCCAGGTTATATGCAGTTTTGCCCTTAGGTACTTGGCTAATTATGGCTCACCACTTTGTCTTGCCACTTCTTGTGGTATGACCTCTTGCGGTGGAGATGTGGGATATCATGGAAATGTCACTGTCGTCAAAATTCATGAGCCGCGACGTGCGACTGTTACGCAAATGCCGCGTAGTGGTTCCTGAGGGTATCTTGTAGCCGTTTCTGTCCGAAGAAGAGGTTGATTGGCGGCCAGATTCGGTATCGGCAGGATCCGCTTCGTCCTCGTCTAACTGCACTATCTCTAAAGTTTCTAGATGGCGCGATATGTCGTCAATGGTAATGTCCTCCACAGTACGGTTGAAGGTCTTATTAAGCTCTTCGTCGTATACGTAGTCTTCATCTTCTTCATCCTCCCCATCACTGGGTAGCTCCTGTTCCAAAAACGGTACTGCATCGGACGTAGCGTGGTTTCTGGCAGGCTTACGTCCTTTCGGCGTCGGAGTCTCACTGCGAGGCAGGCTTGACGCCGGTACCTTAGCGACTGGATTGGCGGGAGCAGGTGCCACTGGCTGTGGCTGCGTCCTCTTAGACCGCGTCACACGTGCAGAGGTTGTTTCCACTACACCAAGTGTCGCTTCCGGTTCAAACAGCACGTCTTGAAATTCTGGAATCATTGCGCGTCCCAATTTAATCACCTCTTCAGCCCATATTCTAATCACGTCGCGTGCGCGCTTTGTCTTATATGGTTTCCAATTGGGTTTGCAACCACGGGTAATTTCTTTAACCACCTGAGCTGACCCCCATTCATTGATCCAGTTCTGGTTTTGCAAACCTATCAGATGCGAAAACACTCCGGAAGCGATAGCACCGTCAGAATATCCACCTTCCATTATAGACAGAACTTTACCGTAGGTATGCATTTGAGCTAGCTTCAGAGCATCTTTAGTGAACATGTTATAGAAAAATGTTGGTACGTTAACACCATGTCGCTGCATGGATTGTTGTTCATATTCCGAAGCGTCAAAACCGGCACTGATTACCACTAAACCCTTGAAAGCTTTCCCCTCAGCTTTCATCGCATGCTTTGCGCTTCTTAAGAATTCGTCTGCCTTGGCGAAGAGTGTTCTGTACTTAGTCTGATAGAGCTTGGTGAACTCCTCGTCTGATGCATATTTCTGAAGATGTACGTTCCAAATGTTGATATCATGTGCGTTCATAACGCAAGTTGAGGCGTTTTTAATGTTTTCTTTGGTAGCATAACCTAGTTCCGTTGGAAAAGAATTAATGTCGTGAACCGAGAAATATCCAACTTTGGGGAAAGGTGCAAATTTCTTGCCAAACTCGTCGTAGCCCGGGGAATCTTCCGGTTCTTCGTCGGGACGGAACCCAGCGCGCTTCCAACAAATGTCCTGAGTTCCGTCGCCATGATGCAAGTCAAAATCAAGTACAACCGCGTGTGTGATACCGTATGTGTCGGCTGCATACTCGATGGCAATATGTGCATTGTTAAGCAGACAGAAACCTGAGGGTGTGGCCGTGTGTGAGTGATGACCGGGGGGACGTACCGCCACGAATGCACGATTGCTGGTTTGTTCCACGGATGGACCGCTAAAAATCGAGTCTACGCCTGTCTCCAGGGCACCTATCGAACCCTGAAGCGCCTCGATCGTCTGCCTGGAAAGATAAATGTCGCCAACGTTCCAGTCGGCAGGCACCTCGACCTTGTGCTGCTCAAGCAACTCCTGCGAGTCCCGGCATAGCTTTAAAAGTTCTTGAGGCCAATCACGACCATGAACCTTCAACACATGGTCCGAGAGAAGTGATGCCTTGCGCTTGTGCGACGACTTGAGGGTAAACAGCGCAGGATACATTGTGATCGCCGCCGCGATTCCCATTGAACATGCCAGTAGCCGCTCTGGCCGTTCTACAATCGTCTTTTTGTAGGATTTCGATACCCAGTGTCGTGGAAACTGGTGATTCAACGATAGCGGCGACAGTACTACCACGGCCTTTGCTGATTCAGGAATCCCCGAGGCCGATTGCGCCGCGGACACCACGTTCGGGTTGTTCTTCACGAATATTTGAAACTGCTGTTCGAAATTATACAGCGGATCCCCTTTAGACATGCCCTTGATATAGATAACTAGCCAAAAGTCTCACTTACACCTGTCAATTGATCTTGATCTAATATATATTTATATAGCAAACCACAACAAAATTTCCCTGATTGAAAAACCAAAACATAAACACCCGTTAATAATGATATACAGATCAGATCACATGATTCACAAAACACGTGATAGTGCGGCTGTAGCACAAAGATTTTTGGATTTCCGTTTTGGGAAGTCGTTCTAGAAACGAGGGCAAAATTGCAGCACGGAAGCTATGCTAAGAATCTTTGAGCCACGACATCAAGATTAGATCAGAAACTTCACATCCGTAGTCTTCGAGTGCTCCAAACATGTTTCCAGGTAACGGTGGTCAGACTTATCACAACCAACAACAAGCCAATGGGTTTTCAAGGCCCGGAGCTCCCCCTCCAGGGTACTCAGGCTCTTCGTCGCAGCAGTACTCGAGGCCTGCCGTTCCACCTCCTTCAGGGAGTAGCCAGAGCAGTTACTCGCGTCCAGCTGCACCACCAGCTGGTCCACCGCCAGGATATGGTGGCCAAGGGTATGCGCGTCCTCCTGCGGGTCCTCCACCTGGCCAAAGTAGCCAAGGGTCGTATTCACGTCCCTCTGCCCCTCCGCCATCTGGTCGCAACGACATTCAACAGAACCATAATAGCGGTGGCAATATTCAAGGTCCTAGTGGATATCAACAGCCTAACATGCTAGCAGCACCTCCACAGCAGACGCAATACGTGGACCAAACTCAAAACCAGGTTGCGTACCAGTATTCGCAATGTACTGGTAGACGCAAGGCTTTACTGATCGGTATTAATTACATTGGATCTCAAAACGAGCTACGAGGGTGCATTAATGACGCGCATAACATGTTCAACTTTTTAACTTCCCGCTATGGCTATCGTAAAGAGGACATCGTGATCCTCACTGATGATCAACAACAGCCTGCTGCTATTCCCACGAAGGCTAACATGCTACGTGCCATGCAATGGCTTGTAAATGGAGCACAGCCTAACGACGCGCTATTTTTCCATTACTCAGGCCACGGAGGGCAGACTGAAGATCTTGACGGGGACGAAGAGGATGGCATGGATGACGTTATATACCCCGTGGACTTTCAATCCCAAGGTCCAATCATTGACGATGATATGCACAATATAATGGTCAAGCAATTACCTGCGGGGGTAAGATTGACTGCGTTATTCGATTCCTGTCACTCTGGTACTGTATTAGACTTACCTTACACGTATTCCACCAAAGGTGTGATCAAGGAACCAAATTTGTGGAAAAACGTTGGACAAGATGGTCTGCAAGCCGCAATGGCCTATGTAACTGGTAATGGAACGGATTTGGCGAGTTCCCTGGGTTCAATGTTTACCACTGTAACCAAGCGTGTGGGACGTGGTGATGTTGACCGCGAACGTATTAAACAAATCAAGTTCTCGGCCGCCGATGTGATCATGTTCAGTGGATCAAAGGATAATCAGACTTCGGCAGATGCTGTGGAAAATGGACTTGCTACTGGTGCAATGTCCTATGCATTTGTCAAAGTACTATCTACGCAGCCACAACAAAGCTATTTGAGCATGCTACAGAACATGAGATACGAGTTGAGCAGCAAATACACGCAAAAGCCACAGCTTTCAAGTTCTCATCCTATCAATGTGAACCTACAATTTTTGATGTAAATACACAACTTTTTTCAGCATACCATTCGAATAAATGAACTTCATATTTTGATGAAAATGTGGACAAGTTTTATATAAATCACTGGTTTATGTAGCGTAGATAGCGCTAAATACAAGAAAAAAAGATGCTAAGGAATGACTACTTACAAGGCATTAACTCCAAATTTTTTTTTTAATTTTCATCTTGTTCTTGTTCTTGTTGATCCTTGATTCTCTTCTCTTCAAGTTCCTTCTTGACCTGTTCCTCCTTTTGAGCATATTCCAGTTCCAATTTCTTCAAATCTTCTTCAGCAGCAGCAATGTTCTTTTCAGTTTGCTCGTCTTGCTTGGAGAGGAATTCTTCATGTTTAGCCTTCAATTGCTCAACGGTCTTTGGAACGTCCTCCTTACCTAATGGCACGGTAACGTCAAGTTCGGCCAAGGTGGCAATCATGGTTGGCTCCAAAGAAAACTTGCTAGAGGCAGCAGAGGCAGAAGATGCGTTCTTCTTTTTGTTCTTCTTGGACTTTGGAGTGGTTGAGAAGAACTCCTCCTTCTCCTTGACAATAGGAACCAAGTCGTCGGCTTCAACTTTTCTGATTTGGGCCTTTGGAGTGGAAGCAGTTGCTGGAACATCTAGCACGTGCTTGGCGGGCTTGACGTAAGTAGGATCCAAAACACACAAGACATTCTCGATGGCCTCGATTTCAAATGTGAAGGCAGGTTGACGTGCATGGGTTAGTTTCTCTTGCAATTTGCCCATAGCGTTGTCCTTTTCCTCCAAAAGCTTGGACAACTTTTGTTCCTCTTCGCGCTTTAAACGCTCCTTTTCTAGTTTGCTTCTGAAAGCTTGGAACTCATTGTCAAAATCAGACCTGATCTGTGTAATCTGAGCGTAAACCTCATCACGCTTCTTGTACAAGGCGGAACGCTTGTTGAAGAGGGTTTGACGTTTGTCGTACACAACTTGATTCTTGCCCTGCAAGTCATTCAACTTCTTCTGCGTAGCTTCAAACTTGGCAGACACCTCTCTTGGGTTGAGCTCGTTTAGCTCCTGCTTAAGGGCGTTAATGGTTTCACGGTCCTTATCCATGGACTTCTTAACGGGCTCCACAGCCTGGAAGTCTCTTGTAAGCTTGTTCAAAGCTTGCATTTCTTTAACAAGCAGCTTTTCCTGAACAAGCGACAAGTCACCAGATGAGATGTCTCTGTCAATCTCAGAAAGACGTGCCTTGATGTCGTCAACTGATTGGTACTGCGCCTTGCTGCCGACCTTAGCTGCGATCTCGCCCTTCTTACGCTTCAGCGCGTTGTCTAGCTCTTTGATCTTGTCATGAATAGCCTGTCTACGCGACTTCAAGTCACTCTGGGTCTTAATTATGTCGCGAAGCTGCTGTTGCAACTTAGAGCGTTCATCTTGAGCGCCAGATGACACCTGGTTTTGATCGATCTGCTTTCTGATCGCTTGGACCTCGGTATCAATCTTCTTCAATTGTGCGTTCAATACCTCCAATTTCTTGTCACGAACGCCCACATCTGGTCGCTTGATGTTTCCACGTCTATTTGGTGCTTGGCCACTTGACATAACTCAGCTCTCGATCTTGTAATGTCTATTACTACAATGACTCTTTCGAGGGTCACAGAACAATCGTCGACGTGTCCAAATTTTTCACTTGTTTGTTGGTGGCGGGAAGCCGGGTAATATCACGCGACGTTAATGCGACCCGAAAAATCATTCAGATTAAGTAATACAAAAAATTTCAACTTACAAGTTACCCGCACAAAGCATCGCTTATGATTTCTTTTCGGTCTTTATAGCTTTATCGTTCAAGAGCGTTGCAGTAAACTAACTACTAGTATCCCCAAGCCGCAATGTCATCTTATGCCAAGTTAGTCGAGAGTTTGAGTGACCAGAAGGTGCTAGAACTATTTCCAGAAGTTATTCCGCTAAGCAAGCGTCCAAATTCTGCATCATCGTCGAGTTCTGCAGAGGAAACCGGTGACACGGTCTTCAAGGGCCACGACGAGGAACAAATTCGTCTCATGAGCGAGAACTGTATAGTTCTGGACTGGAATGACAATGCTATCGGAGCTGGTACAAAAAAACTGTGCCATTTGATGACCAACATTGACCAAGGACTTTTACACCGTGCGTTCTCGGTATTCGCATTCAACGAGCGTGGGGAGCTTCTTTTGCAGCAACGTGCGTCAGAGAAGATCACGTTCCCTGATCTGTGGACTAACACATGTTGTTCACATCCTCTTTGCGTTGACGATGAACTTGGATTGAGTGGTAGCTTGGAAGACAAAGTCAATGGTGCTCGTACAGCTGCTGTTCGCAAACTGGAGCAGGAATTGGGTATTCCAATGGACGAGACCGTCGCCAAGGGAAAATTTCACTTTTTGAATAGAATTCATTACATGGCCCCTAGCAACGGGCCTTGGGGTGAGCACGAAATTGATTACATATTCTTTTACCGTGTCACTCAGGGCGAGCAGCTGACAGTCGCTCCAAACCCAAATGAAGTGCGTGATTTCAAATGGGTTACTGCAGACCAATTGAAGCAAATGTTCAAGGACCCTGCTTTAAAATTCACTCCTTGGTTCAAACTTATTTGCGAGAGTTACTTGTTCCAATGGTGGGAGCAACTACAGGACTTGTCCCAAGTTGAAAATGACTCTAAAATTCACAGAATGTTATAGATGATTCTGGTATCATCTGCATACACAGCTCAAGATTTAAAAATAAGTGGCCAAAAGACCTTTAATGAGTGTATATTGAGTATTTATTAGAAAATGTGTTAATGCTGATAATGCTGATCCTATTTACAATGATCCTATTTACAATATATTGACCTTTCAATTAAGTAATGCATTCAGTAAAATTGCAGTAGCTACGCTAACATTGAGTGAGTCGACCCCTCCAGTCCCTAATTCTCCCCTACCTGCTGGTATCTCAACTAAGAAATCGCTTCTCATTTGTAGATTTGTTCGCACTCCAGTGCCCTCGTTCCCCACCACTAACATGACTGGCAATTCTTGCAACATACCATGCAAATCTTCAACGCTTAATTTCTTGTCGCGTGTGTATTTGCTATCCTTTACTAAGCCGCTGGTGACGAAACTCCATGCACCTTCTTGTTGAGATTTAGAGAAAAATTCCAGAGGTTTATCAGTAACAAAAATAGGCAGCAGTTCAATAGCCCCGCTGCTAGTCTTATTAGCTACTGGTGATAGCGGGGCACAGTTTCTGCGCGACATTACTAGGAAATCAACTCCCAAGAAGTAGGCTGTTCTTGCTATGGCGCCAACGTTGTGTGGGTCAACAACTTCATCTAAATACAACCCTAACGGGAAGTGTTTGCCACTTTTAGTTACGAAAGGCATTGTACGCGGTAGCTGTTCGTCGAAATAGACCTCAGAATACTGCAAATTCTTAGTTTCATCGTCGCATGCTCCTAGATGGGATATTTCGATCGGTTGCAGAGGTTTGGTTTCTAAAACAACATTATTATGAACACCATAGTTTGTTAAAAGATTAAGTCTATGCTTATCAACTTCCTCAATCTTTGTTCCTCTATCTTTTGCCAGCGCTTTCAACGTTTCTGGCAAGGGCGAGTAGTGAAGTAATCTAGAGAAGTAGTCTCTCTTATTGACTTGCAAAGCAGCAGTAACGCTATTTATCCCATAAACGTATTCCATCAAGGGATTCCTTTTGAGTGCTAACGTGGTGGGGTTTCTTTGAAACTTCGATTTATGCTCTCGATGTTGCTCCCGAAGGTTTTCTTGTTCTTTCCTCACTTTCCTCTCATGCGCTTCTCGTTTCCCAAAAGGATCTTGCCTATTCTTATCTTTGGTGTGAACATGCGCATATTTTCTCCGGAACCACGTATCCTTGTCTTCACCATCTCTCTCCCACGCCTTGACTCGGCGATGCTGCGGAAAGTTCTTATTGAAATTCGTAGGGCTAGCCTTCTGCCTCTCGTTCGGAATTTTGACCGCAGGCTTCACAGCTCTGCTCAAATACCGTCTCCCAGCTACTAGTAGAAGCTGAAAATTCATGGCTTCAAGTATTCTTCTCACTTTCGTCAAACTTAGCCAAATGCGATGATTCACTTTTCAAATTTTTTTCAATAATAAGAAATAAATTTGATACCTAGCTTCTTGCATTTGAACAAGATTCTGAGGGAGCCAACCTATAATGTCTAATTCGCAGGCTAAACCAGTACGCAAAGCGTTCATATCTAGAATTACTAATGAAACCCAAATTCAGATTGCTATATCTTTAAATGGAGGTCACATCGAGATCGAGAACTCAATTCTGCCAAAAAAAGACGCAGACGATGTAGCTTCTCAGGCTACCAACTCCCAAATCATTGACATCCACACAGGTGTCGGGTTTCTCGACCATATGATACACGCGCTTGCCAAGCATTCCGGATGGTCACTAATTGTGGAGTGTATCGGTGACTTGCATATCGATGATCACCATACTACCGAGGATTGTGGTATTGCACTTGGTCAAGCTTTCAAAGACGCCCTTGGCGCTGTACGTGGAGTGAAGAGGTTCGGATTTGGCTATGCTCCCCTTGACGAAGCTCTTTCGCGTGCTGTCGTAGATCTATCCAACAGACCATTCGCAGTGATCGACTTAGGCTTGAAGAGAGAAAAGATCGGTGATCTCTCTACAGAAATGATTCCACATTTTTTGGAGAGTTTTGCAGAAGCTGCTAGAATCACACTTCACGTTGATTGTATAAGAGGTTTTAACGATCACCACAGGAGTGAAAGTGCATTTAAAGCGCTGGCCGTTGCCATAAGGGAAGCTATGTCTAGCAACGGCACTAACGATGTTCCATCTACCAAGGGTGTTTTAATGTAATAGATCTTATATATTTATACAATAAAGACGTAATCAAAAAAGTCGATTATTTTCTCGAATACTATATTCTGTTTTAGTTAGCCTATTTACAAGTACCGGCATCAACACTACGAAATGCTGCAACTTTATTTTAGTTTCTTACCCTTGCCACTGTCAAAGTTGGTTAAAATGTTTAGAAGCTCTTCAGCGTGCTTCGTGGAGTCTTCAGAGCTCATGGGTGGCACTGGAGTCCTTTTCAGTGGGCGCTGTTGATAATTCCTTCCGGTCATTTGCATTCTTGCTTTGGAACTGATTCCACTTACAACCTTAGCACGCAATACGACTTTGCCATTCTCTTGAACAGAAGCGTGATTAACAGCAAATGGGAATTTCAACTCTCTGACAAAATCGCCCATGCTATAATCCGCTTGAGATGTGTTTACAGAAGAAGAGCCTGCATTGGCGACAAAACCACCGATGGCAGCCAACCTATCATTACTTTCAACATTCAAAAATCTACCTGGAACAACAGTCTTGGAAATAACACCGTTAGGCGATTGCTTTAATCTTCCCGTCAAATTATATGAAAGCCCACCAGTACCAACAACTCTCTGTAACGTAGAGGACTGCGCGTCTGCGGCAGGATTCAAGGTTTCTGTCAAAAATTCAACAGCATTCTCACTCATATCCTTCATGTTGAAAGACTTGTTCTTAAGAGCCTCAGGGTCTCGGTCCAAAAGCCATTTTTTGAAAGCGCCCCGAAGACCTCTCATTTGAGCAAGTTTCTTTTCTACATCCCGTCTAGAGGTGGATGCATTGATGTTCAGCAGAGAGCTTAGAGGAATTAACTGATTTTTCGTAGAAGAACTCATCTCAAACAAAGGATTTGCTTTTCCTGGATTGTATCTGGGCGCAACGCCAAGCTCTTGAAACCTCAACCTGTTCCATTGAGCTCCGCCATTAGTTTCGAAAGTTGTGAGCCTTTCCAAAGTATCTAGGTCATTGTAGACAATGTATTTGGTTTTGATCTTAGATGGAAGTGATGCCTTTAAACCCCATTCTTGACGATGTAGCGTGGATGGTTTCGTCTCGATAATCTGATGAGTCGGCGCATATTTTGGCCCAGCAGAGGTCAAAGGTTTTGTAGACCTAGGCACCTGTGCGATCTTCGAATTTCTTAACAGCTGTGAAAGGTTAGAAGACATTCTTTGTTATGTCTTTCAATCTTCAACGCTAACAGACAGATGCATGTATTGGGCATGATTTGTAAAAAAAATTTTTTGAACACTTGTAAGGGTAACGGAAAACGATTAAATGAAATATAGCCAGTTAGTCAACTCAAAGTCCTATAGATCCTATGTATAATACCTTTTTCATCAGTAATATTCCTCTCCGTCCGAATACTCGGTAGAAAGTAATTTTGGCTGTCATTTTCGACTACATGTCTGATCAACATGGATTCGTCGTTGGTAAACCAAATTGTTAAGCCATTCAGATTGACATTAGTTAACTTGGACAAAACCAGGCCATTGAAGTTTTCTTAATGAAATGCCTCGTAGTCGTATGAATACAAAAATACTTGTCTTTACGACATGCAGATCTTATGAAATATAGTTATTCCTGCGGCAACTTTGTGCTTAGATATCTTTGTTAAGCAATGTAGATCAAATTGGACTGTCTTAACTCGATGTATATTTGTGTACATTGATTCGCGCACCTGCGCACCAACGATACTTATATATATATTAATTAATCAGAGAAGAATAGTACAACTTGATGCTCAGGGATTAGCATAAAATAAATACTATCCTCGATTAATATTCTTGTTAGATCTAGGCTTGGAAACAAATAAGTCGACTTTTAAATTTATGATAAATATGTCGCTTATACGTATGACATAAAAATCATTTAAAGAATATAGTCGAAATATTGTCAAAAAAAATCTCTCTATTGCTTCAATTCCTGATCACTCCGCAATCTTCTGCGCAATCCTTCTTCTTTGAACTCATCTGCGACAAAGGTCTTTGGCCTTAGTCCCGCATAAAACCAATCAATTAAAGTTACGACATCATACACAGGGAGACCCGTAGACTTTTGAATCGCCTTCGCAGATGGCGGCATTTGAGTGCACTCCAACAGAAACACCTTCACTTGCGGATCAATTTTGAGCAATTCTTCTGCACAATTCACGATTTCCGCCTCTAGGTCCTCATGAACGTAAGGATCACCATTTTTGATTATCCCTCTTAGCACCCCGTCCGGTGGACAGCCGATTACCGAAACTCTTTCTTTCATCTCTGGTGTTACACCGGCACCACGGAAATGCGCGTCGCCCAAGGTGCTACTATCGAAAGTAATGACTCCAATGTGCTCACTTTGGTGACGCACATTTAGTAGAAACGGAATTTGTAGCAGACTACTCGTCACAATTGGAATTCTAATTCGGGCGGCGAGCCGTTGTTGCACCTGGGCGAGGAATCCACAAGACGTAATGATTCCCAAGGCCCCACGATCCGCCAACTTATCACAGGCATTCACAAACTTTTGTAGAAATTCTTCGGTGTACTCTTCGGATGCAACAACATTCCACAAAGATGCATTTTCTACCATCTCGTGGATTATAGGAAATTGAAAAGATAGCTCATTCAATGGATCGCCTGGTGGCCGATGAATATCATCGGTGTAATCGAGGCAGAGAGCACCTAAAGGAGGCAATTCTTCCCTATCTGGATAATATGACATTTAGTGAGGTATTGACAACCATTAGACATGATTGCTTAGTTTGATCGTGGTTTTGGTATTATATGCTAAATTTACAAATAAGCTTCCACTCCACTATCAGCTTTAAGATGATCGCATCTCACGAGTGCTATCTTATCTACCGGAAATTTACGCTCTCTTATCAGAAAATATTCTGGAGAGCACAGTAATCTGCTGAATTTAGTCTTGCATTTAAGGAAATGGTTCAAGGAGAAATACGACTTGAGATGTTCCGCACAATCGGCGAGTTACTAAAAGTTCGAGTAGCTAGCCTATTTTCTTAGCGATTTATTGAGAATTAACTTCATTGCACGATACCTCTTAAATTCCATGGCGAAGAATACATTTGAAGAGCAAAGATATCAACTTAACATAAAAAATAACCCACTGTTGATGGAAGTTTCCGCTTCTAAAAAGCCATGCAGTGACCTAGTGAACAGTGGGGCTGAAGAGCTATCGGCTGTGAAAACGCTTACTAACATGGTAAATACAAAAAATAAAGCGTCTGACAGTGGAAATGGGAAAGTTAAAAAGACCAGGGTACATGGAAAGCATCAGATGGCAGCTTGCTGCCATTGTAAGAAAAAAAGAAAGAAATGCGACGGAGGATATCCTTCTTGCTCCCCATGCGTAGCTGCAAAAGTGGTGTGTACAACGATTGACATCCCTACAGGAAGAGAAATTCCCAGAAACTATTTGCAAATATTGGAATCAAAAATAAATGAGCTGGACGATGCTTTAAAAAATGCAAGCTCTTCGATTACTATTCGCGATGAAGATAGGGCAACAGAGTCCCCCGATAGTTTGGGAAAGGATCAAGATCTTGCCGAAGAAAATATGGAGAATGCTAGGGATAAGGGCCTTCCACTAGAGATGGGATATATTACCCTCGCTGCTGCCGCAGAGCCTAGATTTATCGGGGCAAGCAGCGCGTATTCGATAGCGAAAGCCATCCATCACGCTATTCACTACTATGAACAACAAAAGCAAATACCAGATGAAGTGGAGACGGAGTCGAGGTTTGATTTACAGCCATCTACAGATAATCAGCTTTCCGAATCAAGCTTCGTAAAGCCAGCAAGATCAGAAGGCTATCGTCTTCTTAAAGCGTATCACTATGGCGTTCAATGTCAATATCCTTTTCTTGACTGGCACTGGATAGTCGATTGCTTTCAGAAAGTAATGAATGATGAAACAGAAGAGGATGAACCACTTTTTTTCATTTATATGATTTTTGCTGTCGGAAGCCAACTTCTCGAGCACGCAGCAGGGAGTTCTTCTGTACGCTTCACGAGAGCTTACTATAATAAAGCATTTGATTATATCTCAATAATTGTGGAAAATACAAACTTGCGGTTGGTGCAAGCCTATCTGCTTCTCAGCGTTTTCTCTCAAAAAATGCCTTATGGTAGCTCAATTTGGCAAACTACCGGGCTGGCGATCCGCACATCTGTTGCTCTGGGGCTACATCGAGAACCATATCAGAAGAAAATGCACAGGCTGCCGAAAAGCCCAGAGACCGCGCAAGAGCTGAGATCAAGAGTCTTTTGGTGTGCTTACAGTATGGAAAGAATCAATGGATTAGTTCTTGGCCGACCATTTAGTATCGCTGATGTGGACATCGATACTCCTTTACCTCAATCTGAGGAATATTCTGTCGCAACACATGTTTTTAAGCTTAGAATATTGCAATCAAGCATTTGTTCGTTCGTTTACAAACCAAGAAAGTATTTGCTAGATGTGGATGACACTGATTCAACGCGCCATCAAATTATGTTGGAGTTGAATGATTGGAAAAGAACCTTCCCGTACAAAAAGGATGCAAAGACGACTTGGGAAACTGATAACTGGTGTACAATCTCTTATCATAATTCAGTTCTGCTACTTCTACGACCTGTGGTGTTAGAAGTTGCGGAGAAGAAGAAAGATACGCCTACAACTACAATCGAATGGTTTAGAATATTTACGCAGTCTGCCTCAGCCATATGTTTGAATTACAAACAGCTACATACCAAGCAAAAATTAAGCTACACCTGGTTGGCAATCCAATGTGTGTATGTGGCTGGTGTAACATTTCTGTATTGCATATGGTTGGACTCATCTCTTAGTTTTCTTGAATGGTCGAGGAGGAGCATAATTTATGATACTATTTCTGCCTGTTCAAACATTCTTTATGTTCTAGCCGAGAGATGGGATGCTGCAAAGATGTTTAGGAATTCTTTCGAACGTATCTCTAGAGCAGTTTTGGCAAGTATCGACGAGGCAACTGATTTAGAAGAAAAATCCAAGGAGCAAACAGTGACATTTAATGACAAGGAAAATACTACATTTAGACCAGGAATCAAGAAAATCCTCAGTCCTTATCATCAAGAAGCATTGGATTACGAAATTGAGGTCAACGAACCACACTCCTTTCACAAAAATGTTGCTACTGACGGCCTGTCTTTTGCAGTTCCGTTGTCTCCCTCAAATGGTTCTTCGCCACCAATCAACGATAAAACTAATGGAGAAAATATTGTCGGAGAGGGGCTGAATTCGTTATGGGATTTCTTGAACAGCACTGCTGATAACTTTCTGAAAGATATGTTTTACGATTTAGAAGAAAAATTCGACACATTTTAGTGAATGATCGTGAATGGTATATTAGTAGTGTATTTATACGCTCATATGTACGAATTTTTCGTTCCTGTAACAGCTCAGACGGTTTTCACTTCAGGAAATCGCCTTTAGTCATTTTTAATATTTCATCATAATAACCTTGAAAATTTAGCCATCCCTTGAAAGAGCTTCCAATGCTCTCATGTGTATATTCTGCCTCCTTATTACCTATTTCAATTGGTTCAAATCCGGCTCTTCTACTTTGCTCTATCTGCAATTGTGTTTCGCACAGGTCCTCAAATGTCATGAACCAAAAAGCGGCCTCATCGACAGATTTCCCCACCGAAACAATGCCGTGATTTTGAAGTATCAATATTTTATTCTGCTGACCAAGAGACTTGGAGATATTCACACCTTCCTCTTCAGTAAACACGACGCCACCAAATTGGCGATAAACTCCGTGTGATTTGTAAAATCTGCAACAGTCTTGATTGTACATCTTCAGTTCCTTTCCGAAGGCCGAAAAGGCTCTTGCGTGTTTGGAATGAGTATGACAAATGGCCGTAACGTGACTATGATGCTTGTGGATAGCCCCATGGATTTGAAAGGCTGCCCGGTTCACGGGTCGATCACCTTCGAGAATTTCCCCAGTTTCGTCCACCAGAATTAGATCTGAAGCTTTGATCGTCGAGAAGTGCTGCGCCAAGGGATTGAGCCAAAATCTCGAGGGGTCCTCGGGATCACGTACTGATATATGGCCAGCCACGCCTTCATCATATCCTCTTTTTGCAAACACCCGAAACGCGGCTGCCATTCTTTCCTTCCTATGCTGCCTTTCCTCTTCAACTGACCCGAACGTTGGGTAAGTTAAAGGCTTGATGGCATGCTTACTTTTGGAGATACCTGCCAAGTCTTGTGCTGCGATAATAGTGGCGGCCGCAGAGTATCTGCGGGTTGCTCTTATAAATAACGCTTTAGTACACTGTATCATAGCTATGATTTAAAAGATGGTAATCAAAGCTGATATAACGACATAATACTCTCAAAGAGATAACTGAGCTTAACCTTTTTAAAGCTTAACATGTTTTCCAGTCGCAGCGATTGCGTTTGTTCATTACAAGCGTAAATCTCCGATCCTGATAAGTTTAGAGGCCTTGCACGAAAATATACGATCTACATTTGCAAAAACGCGATGAGGCGTGTGGCTGCTATTTTCCGGTGATATCGTTGAATAATAGATAAGATTACTTTTTTAACGTACTGTGCCTGTAAGTTTTATTTTCGATTCGAGATAGCGGAAGTTTCCTTTGACAAAGCCAAGTATTGATCGGGAATTTGCGAATCTTACGTTTAGGATGACCAGCAGATAACGGAAGTAATCCCTGATTGACACTCATTTCGTGTAGGAAGGTTTTGATCACCGGTTGTCATGGTATTCAACACAAATATGATGCGAATTATGTTATCCCTTATCATGGAGAGCAATTTGGTATATAAGAGGCAACCTCAGCGTCAAGGAACGTAATGGATCATTCATGATCGGTAGACCATCAATGGCCCATTCACTCAGTCAACAGGAAGAGAAAGACACTAAAACTTCTATCACAGAAGTCAAGAGTCCCGTGCTCACAACCGTTCTCTCATTGGAGGGGGAACTTATTGAAATCAACGAGAAAGACGCTGACCAAGCATTTCAGTATGCATTGGACACCATAAATCTAGAATTAGATCCAGACGTTGAGCGTAAGCTGATTCGCAAAATCGACTGGATGATTCTACCAATCGTGGTTGCGCTTATGTCTTGTCAGCTGATGGACAAGACGACCAACTCTTATGCTTCCATCATGGGCCTTCAATCAGATCTTAAAATGACGGGACAGGTGTACTCGTGGGTTGGTAGTTCGTTCTATTTCGGGTATTTGGTTTTCGAATTTCCAGCTAATCTTCTTCTGCAGCGTTTTCCATTATCGAAGACGCTAGGTACTGCTGTTATCATCTGGGGAATTATATTAATGTGTCATGCAGCGTGTTTCTCTTCTGCGCCCTTCCTTCTTTGCCGTGTTCTGCTTGGTGTTTTCGAGGGTTTTATGAACCCAGCTTACATCCTTCTAACTAGTCAATGGTACAAGAAAAGCGAACAATTTATGAGATCGTGTATTTGGTTTGGATTCCAAGGATTCGGTACAATTCTCGGTGCAGGCATTGCCTACGCCTTGGCCAAATACGATAACTACGCTCTCGCTTCGTGGAGACTTCTTTACGTTATTACAGGTTCCATCACAATTTTCTTGGGCATTTTGTCTATTGTCCACGTTCCTGACATCCCAGTTAAGGCATGGTTCCTTAATGAAACCGAAAAGAAATACTGTGTGGAGAGAATTAGAGGTAATCAACAAGGTTTCGGTAATCAGCGTTTCAAAAAGAATCAGGTTATTGAGGCCTTCACTGATCTCAGAACCCTACTGTTCTTCATCTACGGTATGTCCTATGCTATTCCTAATGGTGGATTCACCAATTTTGGCTCTATCCTATTGAAGGGAGACTTCGGCTTTTCCACCTACGAAGCTCTATTAATGAACATGCCAGGTGGTGGTATTGATATTGTTATTCCATTCTTGGTTGCCTGGTTAAGCTTAAAATTCTTCAAAGGAGATAGACTTATCATCTGTTTTATCGTTAATACGCTGGTCATAGTTGGTATGTGTCTCTTGAACTTTACTAACAATAAGGGTTCTAAGTTGACTGGTTATTTAACTTTCTACGCAGCAACAGCTGTTGTGTCTGGGATGGTTTCTTGTATCTCTTCAAACACTGCTGGACACACTAAGAAAGTGACAGTCAATACACTTTTCTTAGTGGGATACTGTGTGGGTAACATTATTGGTCCTCAAAGTTTTCGTGCAAACCAAGCTCCTAACTACGCTGGAGCAAAAATTGCCATGTTGGTTTCTTTCTGCGCGGGAGATGTTTGTATTGCCCTGATGTACTGGTTGAACAAAAGAGATAATAAGATTCGCGACGCTAAGCGCGAGGCTCTTGGAAGCGAATACACTCCAGCTGAAAACGTTGAGTTTTCAGACTTGACAGATAAGGAAAATCCGGAATTCAGGTATTCCTTGTAGAATGTGTTTCGCCTCAATAATACGCGGACTATCTTATATAATTATATATTCTAATGAGTCAACCTTGGTGTAGTCAGTACATGGCTGAGAAAGGGTTTTTATTTATTACAGTATGATTTAAATTTCTGAGATAGAATAACCATCAAATACTTTCAGTCTTGTAACAGAATACTGGGTTTTCAGATTGATTTTTGGAATAATCTGTGTGAACCACATTAATCAGTAAAATAGAACCTTGAAACTATCTTCAATTCGAAATTCTCCATTTTAAAGTCATCCCACAATTTCTCTTGTGCGGCTGAATTTTCGAGGGAGTTAAACACAGTCTTGCTTATCAGTGCTCCACTTATTGGCGCCCCACTTTGTTTTACTGAACCTAGTAAAAATCCGACGCTGTGAATATTTCCGCTTTCGTTGCGAGGCCAAAAAGGAGATAGGAATGATACGCAAAAACACCGTTGATACTGATAGAATGCAAAAAAGTAGATCCAGGAGGAAAAGTGGGTTGGATATAGCCACTGATATGATCCTCATATAAAGAGGCGTTATGTTGAGATCCACTAAGCTTCCTATGTGTAGAAAGCGTCAAATAAGATGCCATCACAGCTTACAAAGTCTGATCCCATAATAATCGTCGGTGCCGGTGTCTCTGGTCTTTCAACGGCCTATTCACTTCTCAGGAAAGGCTTCAAAAATGTTCATATCTTTGATAAGAGGGACTATATCACAAAGGGCTATAGTTATTTTGAAGGATGTGATAGTCCTTCTTCCGATATGAATAAAATATTCAGGGCCGCTTATGGAGAGCAAACGCACTACCAGAAAATGTCACTTGACAGCCGAGAGGTATTCCTAAGATGGAACCAGATGATAAAAGAAACAAATTTCGAGGGTGGCAAACCGATCTATTTGAATACAGGAAATATTCACTTGACTGATCAGCAGAAATTACCTATTTTTGAAGAGACAACGTTGAAAAATATGAGCAACCTTCAGGCTATTTGTGTCTCGGACCCCGATGCTGAGATAAGAGCGCAAAAGTCTGGCCTTCCAGCGTCAGCTGTTGATCCATTTGAAATGAAAAAGCGGGCGAAACATCACCAAGGTGTTCTTGACACAACTGGTGGGATGATCATTGCTGATAAGTGTTGTAGATGGGTGCTACACCTCTGTAGAACCGAGTTTCCAAACACGTTTCACTACCACTTTGGACCCAAGATTGGGGAAACTGACCATTTGCTTCTCGAATACTCTAAGAAGACCGGCAAGAAGAGATGCGTAGGCATCAAAACAAAAGATGGGAAGTTACACTTTGCAAAACTAGTCATTACGGCGTGTGGACCATGGACTGTTGAAGTCCCAGAGGCAGCTGAGAGACTCGAAGCAACCGGCGGGACCGTTGCTCTTATCAAAGTTACGGATCCGAAAGCTCTAAAAAAATATCACGAAGACGTATTTCCAACTTGGACCTACAAGGTTAGAGACGGCGCTATGGGAGGACTATATGGTTTTCCGATAAAGCATGGCTACATGAAAATTGGTTATCGTGGGTTGAAATGGACTAACCCCCAGCCTAAAGTAAATTCTAAGGTGAAGACTGCCTTTAGTGATGACCCAGAAACAAATGTTCCCATCTTTGGTCTTAACTTGATTAAACAATTTATCAAAGAGCACGTACCAGAAGTTAGCAAGATAGACAAAACGAGATTGTGCTGGTACTCTGATTCGGAAGATAACGACTTTTTGATATCTTATTCTCCTCATTACGAGGATAAATCGCTCTTCACCATTGCGGGTGACTCAGGACACGCCTTTATGATGTTTGGCAGCATTGGCGATGTGATCGTTGACATCATTCTGGATAACAAGGGTGACACTTTTTTGAAGCACTTATTCTCGTGGGAAAGGAAGAGAGAAAAGCTAAATGCAATCAATATGGGCCTCGAAGATCCTCGCGCGCTACCAAACCTAGTAATGGCTACCGAAAATGACTGGGTCATTAGAGAAGTTGCCAAATTATGATTGCAGAGGGTAATCGATCACTCTCAAAAATCAATTAATCCTGCTTCTAGGTCATCTGAGAGGTAAACGCCTCCCTCGCCGGATGATAAAATGACAAAACAAATATCTTCAAACTAAACACATCTACATTTATAAACTACGATATAATTTGACTAATATGAATCTCATTAACCTTTTAAAAGAAATTTCATATATTGGTGAACGAACGACTCGATTGTTACAGCGGATATCTTCAGCAAGAGAATCTTTCGAAAAATATGTTTGAGGCTGAAAGAGTCTTACATAAAATTGACAGCTCACTTTTTATATTAAACATGCCTATAGGGGAGATTGGCCAACTTGAGATTACGTACTAATTAATTATTTGTAAAACTTATCAGATATTGGACGCTCCTCAGGGAGGGTAAACATGCCTTGTCCCTCTTTCAGACGATATTGTACAACCTTGAGAAGATTATAAACTACCGTTAAGATTGGAGTTTCGACATCCAGCTCTTTTGCAACCTTCAAAAGATTACCCAGGATAACTTCCAATTCAATGGGGTTTCCCTTTTTCACATCCACACGCATAGATGGTTCGAACCAGTCGCCATCGTCAGAATGAACCACCGCATTAATGACGTCCTCAGGAAGTTCGACGCCATCGGCTTTCGCAACTGCGATCACTTCACGCATTGCAGGTATGGAGATAGATTCCAAACCACCTGAAAACTCAAGACGACCAGTGTCAACACCGGTTAATGCACACACGGTGTTCAATGTGGCATTATAGACTAATTTTCTGTATCTATACCATTTAGCGTTTTCAAAGTAGTTGCATTCGTTTTTTTCATTGCTGTAGATGGATATGAACTCCTTTGTCTTAGCCTCCTGGACTTCTTTAGAGAGCGTCGGACTCTCAAAGTAACTCACGAAAGACTTGTCTTTTTGAGTTTGATGAATTGCACCATTAGAGTTATGGGAACCAATGTGTGAAACTCCGGAAATAATCACATTCTCTGGGTATTTGGCGAAGAAGGGCCGACCAAGGTCGAAACCATTCTGCATGAGCACAACAGCTGTTACGCCCGGCGTAATAACAGGCTCCACAAGATCTTCCACCTTGACTATATCAGGCAGATTCTTTGTCGTAATAATAACATAGTCGTAGACAACTTTTGGAGTTGCGGCTGCTTCAACAGAAGGATAGATGTTTTGAGGCTTCCAACCTTCAATTGTTCCATAATCAATTGAGTCAATGTTATAGCCAGTATCTTTGACTTTTTCATAGTCTCTTCTCACAACAATTGACAAATTCGATTTACCCACGTAATCGATACCATATGCGACGATGGTACCGACACCACCAGCACCAATTAAAAGTACGTTATATTTGGAGGACATTTTTATAATTAAGAATCTTTATTCTATGAAGATTAATTGATGGAAATTTAATAGATCTGATATTCACGCTATTTAAATTGTTTGGCCTAATATAAAGACACCATTCCTTCCATTAGTGATCGAGTCGGAATGTTACTTCAATTTCCAGCTTATCGCTATGTCACCTGCCTGTTGTAAAATTTACGTGATAAGATAAGGAAAACCGGAAACTCACGGAGAGAAAAAAACAGATCGGGCTGCGTTTTTACCAAACTTGGGAAGTGGAAACTTACGACAGTTCGACAATCTTTCCTGGACTTTAGATCATAGATTAACACTCTTACAGCAATGGCTGGACTTGACGACAGGCGCTGGATGTGGTTGTAATCCGGGGGCATTTCAATATAGAAACTAGGAATGAATATGCTACTTAAATGAAGATAGGGAAGAGGTGGTGATCTTCTATGAGCAGTAGCCTGTTTTATTTTACTAATCGGTGATTTATGGTGGCTAAGTGAGTTAAGATATGGTTGATTCTGAAACTGCAGGGAAGGATGTTCTTTGTGAAACTTATACAAGTGAGCTGTCAGATCAAGAAACGAGCATCGAGCAATTTACTGAACGGAAGAAAAAATTTATCGTCGCTATTTCTTCTGCAGCATGTTTTCTAACGCCAATGGCTGGTTTGGCGTTTTTACCAGCCGTCAGTACCATTGCGGAGAGATTCCACACTACTGGATCTATCATTAATGTATCTAACGCCATTTACAATGTTTTCATGGCTCTATCGTGTTTTTGGGCTCCGTTCAGTGATTCTTATGGCAGAAAACCAACCTTTTTGCTGTGCATGACCTTTTGCGTGATTTCTACCGTTCTCGTTGCATGTTCTCAAAACTTGGCGATGTTTTTTGTATTTCGAGCTAGTACAGCCTTTTTTGGTACAGCTTTTTTCTCGATTGGAGCACAGATAATTGGTGACATTTATCCCCCAGAGAGGAGAGGAGGTGCAATGGGATGGAATATTGCTGGTAGTCAAATAGGCCCGCCACTTGGTCCAACATTCGGCGCGATAATAGTTACATATACGACATGGCGTTGGATATTTTTTATCCTAGCTATTCTCGGTGGAATTGTTTTGGTGTTGGCATTTTTATTTCTACCTGAAACCTTGCCAGAATCAAAACATCAGATTGCGCTTCGGAACTATAATCAGAGTGAGGAAGTTCTGAATAATCCAGAGAAAAGAAAGAAATTCATATTCGTTCCCTTCAACATTACACGACCTATTACATCTCTGAGGTATCCAACTTTGCTTCTGGCTGGAATTGCCTCTTCAGCATTAATGTACAATATGTACTGCCTTCTAACTCCTATAAGGTACGTGATTGATCCTCGATTCAACATAACACTCCCTCTTTATGGTGGCTTATTTTATTTGGCACCCGGCACCGGATATCTGCTAGGTTCATTCGTTGGAGGTCGCCTCTCTGATTATCAAGTTAGAAAAAGCATAGCTAAACGTGGCAGAAGAGTGCCGGAGGACCGGCTTAGAATTACTTTGATATTTTATGGTCTTCTGAGTCCTGCATCTGTCATCATTTATGGTTGGTCATTGTATTATAAAAAAGGAGGGTATCCTCTCCCTATTATTTGCATGTTCATCAATGGATTTTGCCAAACGAGCGCTTTCCCCTCCATCAACAGCTACTGTATCGACTCTATGGCCAGCAAAATTGGAGGAGGGGCCGTCGGTGGAAATTACATGATCAGATTTTTTGCATCGGCGGTGGCCTCCGCAACCTGTTTAATTGCCATTGAAGATATTGGTATTGGTTGGACTTCTACAATATCAGGCCTGGTTTTGATAGTTGGATTTATTTGTATGCTCGTTCTGGTTTTTCATGGGGAAAAAATGAGACTAGGAGGTGAAGAGTAATCTCAGTTAATTTTTAAGATTTGTCACTGAATTTGGTGATTTAAGATTAATGTTAAGTAGAAATGTTGAAAACTTACTTGAAACAGTAACTTTTTTGTGAACATAGTTTAATGGAGCTTCTAAATTCAGGAAAAGTTGCAACCGTGTAGCATCAACCGCGCAAAATTGCTTATCATCAGGTCCCTTCTTCATTTTGTGACATAAACTATTCTAAATTCCACTCCATCATAAAGTGCACAACATATATGCAAAAACTTTATATATACGACTTCATCTCTACAATTCATAAAATCAGAGTATTTTTCTAAATAATCATGAGGCAAGTTTTCAGTAAGCGTATATGTTTCAATCTGCGTGGGTTGACACGTCAGACGTGAAACACGTGAATGCAAATCTTGTGGGATTTCTCTATTGCGGGAAGAAATGACTAGATTAGAGTATCTGATACCTAGATGGAAGCTTAAAAAAGCAGGATCCACATCTTATTCGGAGTTTGATTGAAACTATGCAGTTTTCTTAGCAATATTGAACATTTTTTTGGTGAATTTTCGAGAATTCTTGAAACTACTTTAATTGTAGCATTGATAAACATTCATTACGGGCAAAGAGCTGTATCCAAAAGACAGAAGAACAACAATTAGTATTTAATAGATATGAATTACTAAACTGTCACATCTGCACGTGACTTTGATATAATATTAAAAAGAAACAAAACACGTGACTGAACAAGGGCCAGATTGCTGTCAGACACCCAGACACAGGATCTTCTTTTTCGGTGGCGAAAAATTTTCACATTAAAAACTCTATAAGACAAGGTCATCACCACAAGCAAAGACAATTCATCACTGATATATTTGAAATACAGAATGTCTGATTTAGCTAATAATATGGAGAATTTGAACATAGGCGGTAAGCCTAAGAGTTCGTACGTCCCACCTCACATGAGAGGCAAACGTGGAGGGGGCCAACAACAATCCTTCGACGGAGGTTTCGAAGACAATGACAGAGGGTCTTTCTCATACTTTGGCGGTAGAGGTGGAAGAGGCAACAGAGGCTCTTCCTTCTTCGGTGGAAGCGGTGGAAGATATGGCAAGAACGGCAGTGGAAACGGCTTTGGAGGCTCTGGCCAAGGTAGAGCTCCCCGCGGTGTCGGTAAGTGGGTTAACGGAAAACACGTCCCAGCTGCGAAGAACGAGCAACTAGAAGTGCAACTTTTTGGTACACCTGAAGATCCTGGCTTCCAATCTTCCGGTATCAACTTTGACAACTACGACGATATCCCTGTGGAGGCCACCGGTAATGATGTCCCAGATCCTATCACGGAATTCACATCCCCTCCTCTAGATGCTTTGCTTTTGGAAAACATTCAAAAGGCTCGTTTCACCAAGCCAACACCTGTGCAGAAGTACTCAGTTCCTATCATTGCAGCTGGAAGAGACTTGATGGCCTGTGCTCAAACTGGTTCCGGTAAGACTGGTGGTTTCTTATTCCCAGTTCTTTCGGAGTCCTTCGCAAATGGTCCAGCTCCTATTCCAGAGCAAGCATCTTCTTTTTACGTTAAGAAAGCCTTCCCAACTGCGGTTGTGCTAGCTCCAACCAGAGAATTGGCTACCCAAATTTTCGAAGAAGCAAGAAAGTTCACTTACAGATCTTGGGTTAGACCATGCGTCGTGTACGGTGGTGCTGACATCGGAAGTCAGATCAAAGAATTGAACCGCGGTTGCGATCTATTGGTTGCCACACCAGGTCGTCTTTCCGATCTTTTGGAACGTGGTAGAATTTCTTTGTGCAACATCAAATATCTCGTTCTAGATGAAGCCGACAGAATGTTGGATATGGGTTTCGAACCTCAAATTAGACACATCGTTGATGGTTGTGACATGCCTTCAGTGGAAAACAGACAAACTTTAATGTTTTCCGCTACTTTCCCAATGGATATTCAGCACTTGGCCCGTGATTTCTTGAAGGATTACGTGTTTTTGTCCGTTGGTAGAGTTGGTTCCACTTCTGAAAACATTACCCAAAACGTGCTTTACGTTGAAGATGCCGACAAGAGATCCGCTCTGCTAGATTTGTTGGCCGCTTCTGACGACGGCTTGACCCTAATTTTCGTCGAAACCAAGAGAATGGCAGATGCTTTAACTGATTTCTTGATCATGCAAGACTTAAAGGCTACAGCTATTCACGGTGATCGTTCTCAGGGTGAGCGTGAACGTGCTCTAAATGCCTTTAGAACTGGTAGAGCCAACCTCTTGGTCGCAACTGCCGTTGCAGCTAGAGGTTTGGATATTCCAAACGTTACTCACGTTATCAATTACGACTTACCAAGCGACATTGACGATTACGTCCACAGAATTGGTAGAACTGGTCGTGCTGGTAACACTGGTGTTGCCACAGCCTTCCTAAACAGAGGTAACAAGAATGTCGTCAAGGATTTGGTCGATATCTTAACTGAAGCCAAGCAGGAAGTTCCACCTTTCTTGACGCAACTCGCTAGAGAATCCTCCGGTGGTAGAGGTGGCAGAGGCGGCTATCACTCCAGTCGCAGCAATAACACCCGTGATTACCGTCGTGTCGGCGGAGGTGGCTCTGGTAGCAGAGGTGGCTCCTCTTGGGGCAGTGGCAACGGTGGCAGCAGAGGTGGTTCCTCTTGGGGTAATTCCTGGGGTAACTCCGGTTCTGGTTCGTGGGGTAACACAAGTACCTCCTCCGCAGGTAATTCGTGGTGGTAAGTGCAACTGAATAGAATTCTTTTTCAAAGAATAAAGATTTTTTTCCAAATTTTTTTTATATCGCACTTTGTTTTCATGATTTATTCCTGTCTATTTGGTGTTTTTTCTGATTGATATTTTATTTTTCTACAAGAGAATCGTTTTGTTGCATTTTCCGTTTCACTAAGGTATTATACAATTGTGCATTATTAATGATTTGTTCACGAAGAGATGGACAAACGCTAAATTAAAGGTCAAGATTGCATGAGGAGTCATTAATTTGAAAATTCTTTTGTCTAGGCCAAATTCTTTTCTTCTTTTTGTTTATTTTTTGCTGACGTTAATTCCATGTCGTCCGAATAACATTCATGAGTCATATATGATGGTGTCGTCCTTGCATTGATATCTTTTTTTTTAATAAGGGTTTCTTCAATGTTGAGCATTGAAACATCCCTCAAACAATTGCATATGAAGACACGTTTACATCAGATTATTTTTTTTTTCAAACTTGCGTTTCGATGTTTTTCATTTCTTACTGGTTCCTTATCCAAAATATCACCTATTTGTCTGCATCGAAATTCAAGTTTGATTCCGTCGCCGCTTTAGCTCCAATTCATTGCCAACTTATTGAAAGTTTAAAATACATAAAAATGGATCAGTAACGGAGTGCTTGGATGGAGTTAAGAAGAAAAGGGGTATGAGGTATTATTAACATATCTCAAGATATTTGCTAAAGGTACAGTTGTATGATAGTTGATGATAGACAAAACATTAAATAGATTAAGGTAGTATCCTTATTTGTATGTTTTAAAAGGATTATTTTCTAAACTTTTTATGTATGTATAACTAATAGCATCTTATTGTGTGTTTAAATTCTCTTCAAATAACTCTGTAATACACGAAATTACCCTTTCAATGCCCACCCTAAGAAGCTTAGTATCTGCTGCACTTGCATTAGTCAACCTTAAGAAACAACTTCTTTCGCTTTCTGCGATCTTGGGATCAAAAGCCATATTCAATCCTAAAACAACATGAACACCCTTTTCGAGGGTTTTAATGTTGAAAATATGCATCAGGTCACGGTATCTAGTAGAATCATTTGTGATTTTTGACAAATTCAAACGTATAACCATGAACATACCAAATTGAGGCTCCAATACAGTAGCATATCCTTTTTTAGTAAAAATTTCGTGGGAATATAACATGTCCAGCATGAGATTCCTTTTCTCGGTGTACGCCCTCGATATCTTCATACCCCAAGTTAACCAATTATTGACCGCCCCCTTTACAGATAAGGCTTTCTCAGAAGCGCTCGAATCTTCGATCCCTTGCCAGCGTTTTGAGTAAAGCATACTCGCTAACACAGTTTGAGAGACGCCTGAGGCAGCTCTTGTTGATGCGTTAGTGTGCTTGGCGATCTGACTGATGAATAAATTATTAGCTACAATAAATCCCAATCTTAAACCTGGAGCAAACAATTTCGAGAATGTCTCCAATCTAATCACCCTCCCTTCAGTATCCAAAGTTAAATATGACTTGTAGAGCATTTCTTCCATATATTTTGCCGCATTTCTATTTTCCTCTTTCTCATAAAAATCCTTGTTAGTAGAATAATCTGGATATGCGATGTTGCCATACGGATCATCCTCTAAAATAACAAAGTTGTGAGTCTTAGCTATTTCTAAGATTTTTTTTCTATCACTCATTGATTGCACAAGACCAGTTGGATTTTGACCCGTTGGAATTGTGTAAAGGAATTTTGGTTTTCTTAAGCCTTTGTAAGGACCCGTTTCCCAAGAATCCAAGAGATTAGCCAGTTCAGGGACATCAATGCAACCACTGGGTCTTTTCTCTCCTTTTTCCCTCTGCGGGTCCAAGTTGAGCTTCACAGGCACAGCGTATCCGCCATAATTCCTAATCAGAGCGACAACAGGTACAAAAGTGTATTCTTCTACCAAAACAGTATCTCCTGGATTAATTAACAAATTACAAACCTTATGCAAAGAATCTCCTGATCCGCAGCTTATGATGACATCCCAATTATCATATTTTGGGGGATTGACCTCCTCAATAAGCTCTCTGGAGAATTCCAGCAATGGTGTATGCCCGATCTCCTTTGCGTACTGAAGTCCTCTCTCTAGGGATAACAGTCTGTCTTGATCTCCTTCTATATCTGCTTCGTAGCGCTCTATTACAATTTCGTCACTATTTTCAATGTCAAAAGGTGTCTCAGAATACACGAGCTTTATTTGCTTGATCGGAAATAAACCTACATTTGGCATACCTCCGGCTAAAGAAACCGGCTCAGGATGAGGAACGACACCTTCACATGCCAATCCGGTAAAGTGAATGTTAACACGCGATTTTGCTCTCTCAGACAGTAATTCTCCTAACGGAGTTGTAGATGCAGTTGAAACTGGCATGCAGATGTCAGTGAATATTTAAAGCATAAAGATCCTCAAGACAGAGGGAGCCCTCTTCTTTTGTATTATCATCTTGGAGTAAAGAATTGGCTGCAAGGTATGATGTGAGATAAGAGTCACCTTCAGCCAACCTATCTTTCCCTTTCCCTTGGCTAAAGATATAAGTCCGAGCCTCGAGATTTGATTTTCTTTTTTTGATCTCCCAGGAATTTCTAAGCCGTCGCTGGACGGCCTTTTGATAAGAACCTTTCGACGCATGAGCTGTTGCAAGTAGCAGTATTTGTAGCGATCTATATCGCCGCACGCACACACGCACGCTTGATCTGATATGTGATAAATTAGCTGCATCATTCTTTTGAAGATATGAGCGCGGTTCCATAAAACTTCTTGACGATACAATCAAAACTACTTCTGGCGCGTGACAACTGGTAGATCTAGATCCTGAAGTCTTTGAGAAAATCAGTAGGCAATAGATTGCTAATCTTAGACATTCGTTTCAAAATAAGCACGCTATATAGTGCCAATGCTGTTGCTAAGTACGCCTAGTAGACTAATAAAGCAATACACAGTGTAGGGATCCATTCCAATTTCCTGTGATTGGCCTACTGCAAAATATTACAAATATTTACGCAAAGCTGTTCAACCGGAGCTCGTATGGCGCAGTGGTAGCGCAGCAGATTGCAAATCTGTTGGTCCTTAGTTCGAACCTGAGTGCGAGCTTGTTTTATTTTTGCATCCCAGTGTTAATCGTACTGCAGAACCTGCGCTCCATTAGATGAGTGAAGAGGATGATACATTATTCATCCTAAAGTATCTGTGTCGATTATGCGCTAAATCTATGTTCTACACAGTGTCTATTTTGAACCACGTAAAATTTCTGTAAATGGCTATCGTCCAATGAAGAGTTGCTCGAAAAATCCGTTTCAACCTATTTCTTCTTCAACTTCCTCTTGGCATAATCGATGACCTGTGCGTTACCTTCTTGAGAGACAAAAAACCTCCTTTTCTTTTCATCTTTCCACAATAAAACACCAATATCGCTGGCGTACGTGCTCAGTAGATGATATTCGTGGAAATCTTCGAAATCTGAGAATAGGTAACCATCATAACTTATAATTCTGTCGAGCTCCAACTGCCATAACTTGATTTGATCAACAACAGTTGGGGGTAAGATTTGAAGGCCGTCTTTGCAGTTCTGGTCCAGTTCTAATTTCTTCTCCAGGTTTATTTCAGCGAGACGCCTCATCTGCGGATGCGCATGTGTCTCGAGGTATGCGATGATTTGGTCAGCGGTGATACCATTATACAAGGCCCTCCTGATTGATTCCCTCGTGATTTGACCGGTGACCATATTGGTGAACCGAGACTTAAGATGGACAAACAAACTCAGTATGGCAATCTGCAACGGCGAATTCGAATAAGAATAAAGTTTGAAATTTGTTTCTAAAATTAAAGCACCATCTGGAATATTTTGAGTTGTCCCTCCGACCTGAGCTGCCTCCTCCTCCGCCGCGAGGGCCGCACTTGCGTCTTCTTTCACGCTATTTCCCTGTTTCAATACACTGTTCATTGCACCAGAAGCCGTTCGAATGTTCATTGTATCAGAGGTTAACATAGTGGCCAGTCTGGTTGGATAGAATTTCTTCGCGTTCGATGCCTTCTGAAAAACCAGCCCATAATCCCTCATATCTTGTAGCATGACCTTCTGAGTTTCACTTAGACCAACGTCAGAATATGCTTTACCTAATTCAAGGGCACCTAGCATGAATATGAAATTCAGGACGTCAACTGGATCCATTTGTAACGTTTCGGCCATTCTCAAATACTGTAATAATAATGTCCAAATTTGAGCATTGACGTCTTGTAGAAGAAACTGGAAACCTTCATTAGTAATTTGCAATTCTCCTGAAGAACTATTCTCCATAAGTTTGCTATGGGTCAATAAATTTAAAACATTACGGGAAGGCGTTTTCGTCAAAGGCGTCCCCACCATGAAATGAAGAATTGTTTCCCATTTATCTGCTGCGTACTGATCCAACATCGCCATTGAAACAATATCGCTTTCACTATCAATGACATTACCGAATGAATTATTAACTTCTCCACCGGTAAGTGCATTACGGAAACTAGACCTGAAGATGGGGTTGAGGTTGATCATAAAGGGCTGCCCCGTCTTACCCTCTATCAACAAATGCAGTGATTTCATAGATTTTATAGCCTCATTAAATTGAAACTTACCTTCAGATTTGACCCACCGGTCCAAATCTCGGAGAGAAATATCACTCTCATTAAATACCATAGACATGATAAAGAACTTCGCTAGTTTTGGGAGCAATCTGTATATGGCCAAACATGTTGCAGGTGACGCATACAACCTCGACTGGACTTGAGGAGGAAGGTCCTCTAAGTACTCATTGACTGTCGCCTTGAAAAGCGTGGCTGACATACGTAATGTAGCCCTTGACCTTGTTTTTGGTGGAATTGGTTCATCAAGGTAGTGGAACTTTTTCTAAGCAAAAGCAGGGCTGAAATAAAAAAACACAGACTGACTGCAAAATATGCACCAATTGAGAGCTACAAATTTCAAATAAAATGTAAAATCTGGTAAATATACTACATATTATGAATTTATTCTGCACTTACAAGCTATAATTGGCTCACTAGCCTAGTTGATACATCACGTGACCAAAGTTTGGATTCATCTCATTTCTTTTTAGAAAATTTTTCGATGCCATTGATGAGTTGAATAGTAAGCATTTAAACAAGCGCGAACTTTGATTTAAGGAAGCTGAAACTACGATATCTGCAATGTCCAAGGTTGAGAATGCTTCATCTCACAAACACCCGGCAAGAGATTCAACCTTCGAGGATTTGCTAAAGCCAGTTTACAAGGGCAGGAAGTTAACCGATGAGATCAATACTGCGGAGGACAAGTGGAATCTTTTACCGGCATTCCTGAAGGTTAAGGGTCTGGTAAAGCAGCATTTAGACTCTTTTAACTACTTTGTCGATGTTGATTTAAAAAAGATCATACGAGCTAATCAGTTAATTTTAAGTGATGTGGATCCTGAGTTCTACCTCAAGTACGTCGATATTAGGGTGGGCCATAGATCCAATTCCTCATCAAAAGATTACATTGTCCCGCCACATGAATGTAGATTGCGTGATATGACATACTCTGCACCAATTTATGTGGACATAGAATACACTAGAGGAAGGAACATTATAATGCATAGGGACGTAGAGATTGGCCGAATGCCGATCATGTTGAGGTCAAACAAATGTATTTTAAATGGTGTTTCCGAGAAAGTTATGGCAAAGCTCAACGAATGCCCATTGGATCCAGGTGGGTATTTCATTGTTAACGGTACAGAGAAGGTCATTTTGGTGCAGGAGCAGCTTTCCAAAAATCGTATCATTGTTGAAGCTGACGAGAAGAAAGCCATAGTACAGGCTTCTGTAACATCTTCTACTCACGAAAGAAAATCTAAAACATACGTTGTGACCAAGAATGGTAAGATATACCTGAAGCATAACTCCATTGCAGAGGAAGTACCTATCGTGATTGTTCTAAAGGCTTGTGGTGTTGTCTCTGATTTAGAAGTAATGCAATTAGTTTGTGGAAACGATAGTAGCTACCAAGATCTTTTCGCCATTAATTTCGAAGAAGCTGCCAAGCTAAAAATCTACACTCAACAACAGGCGCTTGAATACATAGGTGCAAAGGTTAAAACCGTTAGAAGACAAAAACTTTCTATTTTACAAGAAGGTATAGAGGCAATTGCAACTACCGTCATTGCACATTTAACTGTTGAAGCTCTTGATTTCAGGGAAAAAGCTTTGTATATTGCTGTGATGACACGTAGAGTAGTAATGGCAATGCAAAATCCAAAGATGGTTGATGATAGAGATTATGTTGGTAATAAGCGTCTAGAATTGGCTGGTCAATTGATGTCACTGTTGTTTGAAGATTTGTTCAAGAAGTTCAACAATGATTTCAAGGCAAATATTGATAAAGTATTAAAGAAACCCAATAGGGCAATGGAATATGATGCGCTACTTTCCATCAATGTGCATTCCAATAACATTACAAGCGGTTTAAACAGAGCCATTTCCACTGGTAATTGGTCTTTAAAAAGATTTAAGATGGAAAGGGCTGGTGTTACTCATGTTCTTAGCCGGCTCTCATATATCTCTGCCTTAGGTATGATGACTCGTATTTCATCCCAGTTTGAAAAGTCGAGAAAAGTTTCAGGCCCAAGAGCTTTGCAACCATCACAGTTTGGTATGCTTTGTACTTCTGATACACCCGAAGGTGAGGCATGTGGTCTTGTGAAGAACTTAGCCCTAATGACCCACATTACTACCGATGATGAGGAAGAGCCCATCAAAAAATTATGCTATTTACTAGGTGTTGAAGACATCACTTTAGTCGATAGCAACTCCTTACATCTGAATTATTGTGTTTACCTGAATGGTACAATAGTTGGTACCATCAGGTTTCCCACGAAGTTCGTGTCTCTGTTTAGAAATTTGAGGAGGTCAGGTAAGATTTCAGAATTCATCTCAATCTACACCAATATACACCAGAAAGCCGTGCACATTGCTACGGATGGAGGAAGAATTTGCCGTCCATTAATTATTGTTAGTGATGGCAAGTCCGGTGTAACTGCCGATCATCTCAGACAACTTCTAGATGGTAAGCTTCAATTTGATGACTTTTTGAAGCTTGGATTAGTGGAATATTTGGATGTGAATGAGGAAAATGATTCTTTCATTGCGCTATACGAAAAGGACATCGATATTAATATCACTCACTTAGAAATCGAGCCTTTCACCGTACTAGGTGCCGTTGCAGGTCTGATCCCTTACCCTCATCATAACCAATCTCCTCGTAATACTTACCAATGTGCAATGGGTAAGCAAGCAATTGGTGCTATTGCATATAATCAATTCAAAAGAATTGATACTCTCTTATATTTAATGATTTATCCACAACAACCAATGGTCAAAACAAAGACAATTGAACTAATTGATTACGATAAATTGCCTGCAGGTCAAAATGCCACGGTTGCCGTTATGTCCTATTCAGGTTACGATATCGAAGATGCTTTGGTTTTGAATAAATCTTCGATTGACAGGGGATTTGGTCGATGCGAAACACGCCGTAAGACCACTACTGTCCTTAAAAGATATCCTAACCATACGCAAGATATAATTGGTGGTATGAGAGTCGATGAGAATGGAGAGCCAATTTGGCAACACAAGCCATTAGGTCCTGATGGTTTGGGCGAAGTTGGGATGAAAGTTGAAAGTGGACAAATTTATATCAACAAATCTGTTCCTACCAATGCATCTGACAGCGTCTTAACTCAGACTCAAGCTCAGTATAGAGAAACGCCTGTGATATATAGGGCTCCTGAACCATCCCATATTGACCAGGTAATGATGTCTGTATCAGAAAATGACCAAGCGCTTATCAAAGTACTATTAAGGCAGAATAGAAGACCAGAGCTTGGTGACAAGTTTTCCTCTAGACACGGTCAGAAAGGTGTTTGTGGTATCATTGTTAAACAAGAGGACATGCCATTTAACGACCAGGGTGTTGTGCCAGATATAATTATGAATCCTCACGGTTTTCCATCTCGTATGACTGTTGGAAAAATGATTGAACTTATTTCTGGTAAAGCTGGTGTTTTGAATGGTAGCTTAGAATATGGTACTTGTTTCGGCGGATCAAAGCTTGAAGAAATGTCTCAAATTCTAGTTGACAAAGGCTTCAACTACTCCGGTAAAGATATGCTGTACTCTGGTATCACAGGTGAATGTCTGCAGGCGTACATTTTCTTCGGTCCCATTTACTATCAAAAGTTGAAGCATATGGTATTGGACAAGATGCATGCAAGAGCAAGAGGCCCTAGAGCTGTGCTTACGCGTCAACCTACTGAAGGTAGATCTAGGGATGGTGGTTTGAGATTAGGTGAAATGGAAAGAGATTGTGTTATTGCATATGGTGCCTCTCAACTATTACTAGAGAGATTGATGATAAGCTCAGATGCCTTTGAAGTGGATGTGTGTGATAAGTGCGGTCTAATGGGATACAGTGGTTGGTGTACTAGTTGTAGAAGCGCTGAGAATGTTATTAAAATGACAATTCCATATGCGGCCAAATTATTGTTCCAGGAATTGCTGTCAATGAACATCGCTCCGAGGTTGAAATTGGAAGACGTCTTTGAACAATGAAATGTATTCAACTACATCTTGTATAGATTCAGTAATGGAAAATATATAATAGCATAATATTAGCGAAACATAAAATAGGTTAAGCCGTGTTTGCACTACAAGGGAAATACCATCGAATAATCGATCTTCAATCTCTTAGAGAGCTCTTCCATTGTCATTTCACGATTAGAGGATCCAAGAAGCTTTTGTTCCAATAATTCCAATTGCTTCTCCTGCCATTTTTGTGTTTCTACAAGTCTCTCATTCAATCGATCTTTGATTTCAGCCTGTTCTCCAGGAGACAATACTTTAAATTGATCCGATTCTAATATACCATCTATTTCATCTTGAATTCCATCAGCACACTGGTACTCGATTTTCCTCTTTTCCGCTTCTATCTCTCTTCTTCTTAACTCCTCATATCCGCCCATTTTGCCAATTTTGATCATGGTGGAATTAAACATGTAAGACATCCCTGCCTGGCAAACACCTCTCCACTTGTCGATCAGCTTCAATACCTCTTTTTCCTTATCATATTTTGCAAGTATGTCCAAAGCTGATTTTAGGGAGTCAATTTCTTTATGAAGAGCCCTCAAATCATTATCAATGGCTAGTGTTTTCTTTCTCAATTGGCCGTCCTGCTTACTTGATTTTAAGTTGTCGGCGGCTACGTTTTGTTTATCAGCGATGCTGATGAAAGACGCCGGATTTGACGAGCGCAAGGGAGCTTTAAAAGGTTTTATTTGACGTTTCAAGGTTCCCATGAATTTAAAAGATAGCTTTGTGATTATATTTTTTGAATGCACGGTGAAGTGTTTGTACATTGTAATCATGCCCTTGATAAAAATAAAGGGTTTCCGAATGATCACTATATAAAGTCAAACTTTGGGCTAAAAAAAAAAAATTCGAACTTCGACAAGCTGTATTTGCTCAGAAATGATATGACACCATTGCTTTGAGAATAAATTTACAGAAGTAGTTTACATTTTATTTTACTACATAGAATTTCAGTCCTCGGCATCTTCAGATGCATCAGACATTTCGACGTCCATATCGCTTACATCCCCCCTATTTGTGTTTTTCTCTTCTTCGTCTTCTTCCTCTGCCATACTCTCTCTTAGAATTCTAGCCTTCTCTTCCCTGACTTCTCTTTGAACGCTAACAAAAGAACCTAGAGGGGTCTTTTCCCAGGACAAATCGCTCAAAAATTGATCCACTTGCGCTCTATTGGTAGGACCAAAGTCAAGCTCAGATCTCTTGTTCTCTATGAATTGGGCATTTTGAGTCAATTTCTCAATGGTGTTTGAAAGTTGTTTGTTAAATTTGACATTTTTTGATGATTTGATATATCTGCGCAAAGCAATAATAGCTGGGCTAGTCAATTCTGGGAAAGACACATTCTTGCAATAAAGAACATAGAATTCCCCAAGCAATTCCACAAATTGCTCTGCCAAACCATCTTGATAGACTCTGGTACCCAAGTAAGCCTGATTACACTTGATGTTATGATCAAAATCGAAAGCTGGCAAAGTAGATTTCTTCTTTGGTTGCTTAGTGAATGCAGTTGAGGACAGAATTTCAGACAACAGCGGGTAAATTGGAATAAATACTCCGGTGTTCTGAGAAAGTCTGATAAGAGATCTAATCAAGTAAAACCTGAGAGGGAAAAATTGAGCGGTTGGAATAAGTCTTATGACACCAATAGTAACTTGGACTAAAGGATATATCAACTGCCTCAAAGCAGATTCTTTTCCATTTTCCTTTTCAGGATTACATTGAATGGACAAGACACGAGACCAGAAGTCTAAAGAGTGACAAAACTGCCAATTGTAAACGACTTTGTAAGCCTCTGCAGGATTCGTCTTCGAAGACTGTTTGGTCGAAGTAGTGATACTGTTTCTCAAATGGATGGCTAATTGTCTGATATACTCAAAACCTATCTGATAACCCAAAACTTCATCCACCCCGAAGAGTTCTGCGGATGAGTTCTTCTGAAAATTGATTAAAGGCATCGTGCGAATATTTGTCTTACGACAACTCTTAATGAAACTGGAATAAGTTGTTTTGAGTACCAAATCTAGAATCGACTTCTTAAACTCTCTTGATACGTTGTTTAGAAATGCAAAAGTTGCAATTTGAGTTTCAATGTCTTTTGTGGTTGCCCATACCTCAACGACATTCTTGATGAGTTCTTTCAAAATTCTTCTGTGAGAGATGAAGTATGGAAGGACTTGGTCAATAGAGTGCAAAACAAGTGCAGCTGTTTCGGTATTAGTGATATCATGTAGCAAAGTTATTAAAGTTGATGCATGCGACTTCAAAATGCCAGCAATTTTAGTAACAGTAGGATTGGAAGGTAATACCCTCACACCTTTAGAGATTTTGTAGGGAAATTTCTTCTGGATGGCCTCTGGCAAATCTTTCAACGCTACAAACATAAGTTCATGAAATGCTTTTTCATCGAGGACAGCATATTTGTACTCATCCACCAGACCTTCTTTGTTCACATTAACAGCTGCTTTAAATGCAGAGGTAATGTTTCTTATCAACTTTATACTCAAAGAGTTCAAGTCTTTCTTCCAGGCCTTAACAAGCTTCAAGTCTACTTCAACCTTTTCAGATTCAGACAATTTATTACCATCAACACGTTCCCTCTCCTCAGCGATGTCATTTTGATTTCCATCATCATCGCTCTTGGACCCATCTTCGTCATCATCGCTGATTCCATCCAGCGGATTACTCGATTTGAATTCCAAGAGCTCTTTATCATTGTCTTGCAAATAGTTATAAAATTCAGGATCCTTTTCTGCCAATTGAGCCATGTTAGCCTCCATGTCTTCTTCCTCAGACGAAGACGCAGATTCTTCCTCGTCCTCCGTCTTCTTTCTAAGCTTCTTTGCAGCTTTCGTCTCTTTTGGCACATCAAATCCTCCAGCAAAGAAATCTTCTACACTCATGTCCTTGAAAACCTCCTCTTTCGCAGATTTCAGCATCTTCTGTTCTTCCTTGGTGAGTGAAGCATTTCTCTTTTCTTCTTCAGACTTATTGCCTCTGCGTCCTTGGATCTTTTTGTTGTGGTCCTTAACTTTCCTCCTGTGATCTAGAGTGTGTTTCAAATGTTTCGACTGAAACTTTTTAGTAGCTTTAGATACCTTACCCATGGTACTCTACGCTGTTTATAATACTGCTTGTATGAAGTTGAGAGCTCATCTCATCGCTTCCTGTAAAATTTTCTTAGAGGCTTTCTTTTTGTGGGGCACTTTCAACGAAATGACCTACGTTGATCATAAATGAATGCGTCTCACAATCCATTTTAATAGGAAAAGCTAACTTCATCTTCAAATTGGATGCTGACTCAGAAACTTCTGGGTATTAAAACCAGACTTTTGTTTACGAGATTTGTCTCTTGCAAATCCTGTGGCATAGAGCTCCAAAACAAGAATCCTAATGAACAAGGTTATTATACTGAGCCGAAGAAAGAGCCTTTAATCAGATCTCCGAATCTTCAAGACGTGAAATATCTTCTTTTTACACAGAATCCACGGAACGTCAGTCACGAAAATTCAATCCCAACTGATTCGGAAGTGAGAAATAAGCTGCAAATATTAAATTGCAAACGATGCTGCGATGCTCTTCATAGAAACCACTACATAAAGGAAGAGTTCCCCAGGTATTCTTTGAAGCAGGTTTCAAATTCTATACCAGAGAAGTCTGCGGTATTTCATGTCGTGCCCCTAACAGATTTTCCTCTGCACTTAGATAAATCTGTGATAACAGATGAACAATTTGAGACCTCACTTTTACTTACAAAGGGAGACCAGATTACGCCAAATAAGTCACTATTACAGCGTAAAGCCCCATTATTCTTCAAGGAATTTTGCAAGCTATACCTGGGCATTAACAGCAATAAAACGGTAGCACTCTCTGCCCTAAGTAGTTGGAATGTGCAGTCAGTTTACTCCATGCTTGCTGCCTCCTCATACCTAGTAGGTGCTCCTAATGTAGGAAAATCTACGCTCATTAATGCTCTTCTTCAGAAATATTCTGGTCGTAAGCTGAAGAATGAGAAGAGCTTTGGGAATGCAAATTCAACGAGCGAATTAGAAGCACTTATTGACTCAAAAAGATTTCTACACCTACAGACGGCAGGTGTGTCTCACATCCCGAATATGACTAGAGCAGTACAACCATATAAAATTGGTGAGAAAGTTTTATATGACCTGCCAGGTTATTCGAAGAACATGAACTCCATTGATCTTGATTCATTTATTGACAAAAAACTACTGGAACGGATAAGGAAGACTGATCTTTTTAAGAAAAAGAAACTAGCGAAGCAAAGTTATGCTTCGATCAAGGGTAGTGATAGTGGTCGATGCTATACAGTTAGTGGGCTTTTTTATTTGATTCCACCTCCCGGTACAATCAATCAAGTTGTTAACTACATCCCTGGGGAAGAAAAACAATATAGAAATATAGACAAAGCACTAACAGTGATTAAGGAAACTTACCAAAATTCCGAAACCGCACCGCTAAAGAAATATGTTGGTGTTTCTGAAGAGATGAGCTCAAAAGAAAAATATGTGAGACATGTTATTCCACCATTCCAAGGAACGATTGAAATTGCATTGAAAGACATAGGCTTTTTTCAGTTGCGATGCACGGGGAAGTACTCCTTTAAAGGTCTATATGAGATATGGGTACCAAAGGGAATCGAGGTCTGCGTTCGCGAACCACTGTCACGTTTGATAGAAGAGGGTTTCGAAAAAAGCATAATCACAAAAAGGCACTCGGTTGCTTGTCCAAAAGACAGATCCGTCTTCAGCTCCACATATCCAATGGCATTCGATGAGCAGGACGTTTTGTCAAAAATGAGGGAAATGTTTTTACAGAGAACGAGCGGCCATATTCTATCACGTAGATCTGTCCAAAACGATCCAATGGATATTTTGAACAAATTGCATCAAGAACCACCCAATCTTTATTGGTTTTATTGTTGGTAAATAATGACACTTGTAAATATTTAACGTTGTTTTCACAAAAAAAATACCTTACAGCTTTAGCTGGTTATCAAGATCAAGCCCAGAAAAGACGTAATGTCAGACCCGAATGTCATGAAGTGCCAGAATTGCAACCTGCCTATTGAAATGGATAGCTCGCTTATGGACTTGAGTCTGGCCCAGCGTAACTTACTGGTAAACACTGTAAGTGAACCTAGCGCGCCCAACTACAGAATCCCGCAAGATAGATTACAAAGACTAGCACAAATCAAAAAGCCTAGTGAACTAAGCTTACAAAAGTCATTAGTAAATAATTCAGATTCATATGTTTTTCTTCAAGGAGATTCAAGCTCACTGCAACAAACTCGAACGGACGACGAATCTGGCGATGACCTAGACGAAGATATAACGTCGAAAACGCTTTCATCTAGAATTGGCACACTGACCAATATATTCAATATTTTGTCTTCTAAAAGCAACATAGACTACCCAGTCTGTCAAGAATGCTGTGAGCATTTGATTCAGAAGTTGAAGAGTGATTATGACGAAGCTTTAAAGGAGCGAGATACCTACGTCGACTTTTTGTCAAGGCTGAGCAAGCAAAAGGACTTAGAAGAGAAAAAGCCCAAGGGGAAGCAAGATTTATGTGAGGATGAGAAATCAATCGCGGAGAAAGAGCAAGATCAACTATTGCAGGAATTGATTTCCTTGGAGAAGACAGACTCTGAATTAGATAAAAAGATAGAAGAGTTGGAAGGAAAATTGAAAGCTCAAAAGGAAAAGGAAGACCAAGCTTTGAGGGTGCGGAACCTAGAGGATCTCTCAAAGCTAGAATTTGCAAAGGAACTTCAATCACTCCAAAATCAATACGAGTTCACGTTAACTAACCTCGACAATCTACGAAAGACTAATATTTTCAACGAGACCTTCCGCATATCACATGATGGACCTTTTGGAACTATTAATGGTCTACGTCTCGGTAGTTTGGACGAAGTACGAGTTTCTTGGCAAGAAATCAACGCTGCTCTCGGCCAGCTTGTGTTGTTATTGGCAAGCATATGCACTCGACTACAGTTTAAATTGGATGGTTATATTCTGAAGCCTATGGGTTCATATTCGAAAATAGAACACTTTGACCCAGAAACGCAACAATGGTACAATTATGACGCATTTAATAACGACAGCTTCAAACTAGGCAGATTGTTTCATAAAGAAACAAGTTTTGATAAGGCTTTAGAGTGCCTTTTGTCAATAGTCAAACTCATGACATTAAGGATGTGTGACTGTGCAGATCGAGGGGCTGACGAACTAGAGCTTCCTTATGAAATGCATGGTCATAAGATCAACGGAATATCAATCAAACTATTCGGCAACAAGCCTAATATCGAATGGACAACTGCATGTAAGTTTCTCTTGACCAACTGTAAATGGCTTTTGGCTTTTTCGTCTAGCATGATGACAGGGACTTGATGCAATAAATTAAATGGCCTACTAGAAATGCTAAACTGAGCCATCAAATCTGTGATTCAATTACTTGAGATATATAGGCTACAGAATAGAAGTTTGTCTGCATATTCGCATTTTAGATACAAGTTCAGGCTAGAAATTATTCCGGACAGCTTGCCTCAATTCAAGTAATATAAACGCTTCACTGGTAGTACTGTCTTTCGAGATGACTAAGATTACAATATTGGACGATGATGAGAGCACAGAGGAATTTCAAGCTGCAAAACTAGAAAAGGCACTGAGGACTCTTTCGTATGGTCTAGATTTGCAAAACTGTGATATTAGCGAGGCAGTAACTAAAATTAGTAACGGAGTGCCATCGACCGTACGGAAATCTGAATTAATCAACTTTATCGGCGAGACGTTAGCGGTGCTGGTAACGATCCATCCCGACTTCTCCATTTTGGCAGCTCGTGTGGAAATAAAGCTACTGCACAAGAAATTAGAGGGCATATCGTTCACGAGTAATCTGGGAATTCTACGAAATTTGAAGGTTAATGAGGCATCGGTGTCATCCCATTCCAAACGTCGAAAACTTCAAGAAAAACAGTTTACAAAAAGCCTAATATCAAATGATTTTTATGCTATGGCCCTTAAGCATAGAGATGTGTTGGATAATGCCATCAAATACGATCGAGATTTTGACTTTACGTATTTTGGATGGAAGACCTTATGCAAATCGTATTTGATCAAGCGCGATAACAAAAATGTTCATGAAACTCCGCAGTTTTTGTTTATGAGGGTTGCCTTAGCGATTCACGGTCCAAATGGCTCTGTTGATGATGTGCTGGAAACTTACGACTTGATGTCCAGAAAGTTTTTTATTCATGCCTCTCCTACGTTATTCAACGCAGGAACCGTCAATCAATACTTATCCTCATGCTTTCTCCTTGGAATGTTAGAGGATTCAATTGATGGGATATACCGTACTCTACATAAAACTGCGATGATATCAAAAGCTTCTGGCGGTGTTGGTATTCATGTATCAAATATAAGGGGAAGCGGTGCGTTTATTTCAGGTTCAAATGGCACTTCGAATGGTCTGGTTCCTATGCTACGTGTTTTCAACAACACAGCTCGCTACGTTGATCAAGGTGGGAATAAGAGGCCGGGTGCCTTTTGCATATACCTAGAGCCTTGGCATTGTGACATTTTTGACTTTTTACAACTTCGGAAGAACCATGGAAAAGAAGAATTGAGAGCACGGGATCTTTTCTATGCTCTCTGGATTCCTGACTTATTTATGAAGCGCGTTGAGAATAATGAAGACTGGAGTCTTTTTTCCCCGGACGAAGCACCTGGTTTACAAGATTGCTACGGTGAAGAGTTCGAAAGATTATATGAATCTTATGAGCAAAAGTTGATACCGGTCAAGACAGTTAAGGCGCAGGAGCTTTGGAGCGAAATTTTACAAAGTCAAGTTGAGACCGGCGGTCCTTTCATGCTATATAAGGATTCCTGCAATAAAAAATCAAATCAAAAAAACCTCGGTACTATTAAGTCATCCAACCTCTGCTGCGAGATTGTTCAATACAGCTCACCAGATGAGATAGCTGTGTGCAATCTTGCATCAGTTGCTCTCCCTAGTTTTGTGAAGATCGAAGGTACAGTAGCAAAGTTTGATTTCAAGATGCTCCACCATGTTGTAAAGCTTGTTACGAGAAATTTGGACCTTGTCATTGATATTTGTGACTATCCTGTTGAAGAAGCTGAATACAGCAACATGAGAAATAGACCTTTGGCAATTGGTGTGCAAGGATTAGCTGATTTGTTCATGATTTTGAAGATTCCATTCGAATCTATAGAGGCATCGATACTCAATAAACAAATCTTCGAGACGATTTACCATGCAGCTATCGAACAATCTTTGGAAAGCGCAAAGAAACGCGGTTGCTACAAAACGTTCCAGGACTCACCTATCTCCAAGGGTCAATTTCAATTTGACTTGTGGGGTCTTGGATCAGACAACTACAAGTTCCTTTATAACGATTGGGATGAAAAGAGAGTGGATATTGTAAAAAACGGAATTAGAAATTCTTTGTTGGTGGGCCCTATGCCTACTGCTTCGACGTCGCAGATATTAGGTTTTACCGAATCTTTTGAGCCTTTGACATCAAATATTTATACAAGAAGAGTCTTGAGTGGCGAATTCATGATTGTAAACCACTATATGGTCCGGGACTTTTGCAAATTGGGAATTTGGAATGAGAAATTGAAAAATCGAATAATCTCTGAAAATGGTTCTATTCAACATATTGACGGTATTCCCAAGAGTTTGAAAGACATTTACAAGACGGTTTGGGAAATTCCACAGCGCAAGCTGATCGACCTGGCTGCCGAAAGATCACCCTTTATTGACCAATCACAAAGTATAAATCTGTTTTTGAAGCAACCGACAATGGGTAAGCTCACCAGCATGCATTTTTATGGGTGGAAGAAAGGCTTGAAAACTGGAATGTACTATTTAAGAACTCAAGCAGCCTCGAGTGCCATACGATTTACTATCAATGAAGAAAACACATTACAAGGTGGAGTCGAAATTGTCAAGGATTTGAACTGCGTCTTTCCAAAGTTGTCTGGAAGTTATTTATCGTCTAGCAACAAAAGCGTTTTGCTGGGAGATAAGAAAGAAGATGAGACAACATCACTATCGGTAGCAGAACAAAAAACGGCTGTCCTCGACCAAGATGATATCTACGGAATTCATGATTCCACACCATTATCATGTACAATAGTTGATGGAGAGGCTCATTGCGAAAGCTGCTCAGGATAGAGAGCGCTCAAGACATAACTGCGGGACGGTCATCATTGGTATTCTAAGCATGTAAATAGTAAACTATACTTAGATCTCCTTGAAAGAAAACATCTTTTACGGGAAAGCATACATATACGATATGCTGGTAACGTCAGGACGTGCTAAGAACTTGTACGAGCAGCCATTTAATGTGAAAACAACACACGCCGTTGTGTTGATAATGCAACAAGCTTCCGTATTTATCTCTTATTTAACCACCCACACACTTCTGTATGATTATGTACTCAGTGGGAGCGCCAAACTTGCCCCCTTCAAAAAAGGGATTTCTATACTAACGGAGATAGCCAAAGAACGGGTTTACCAACTACATTTGCTGAGCCAAACAAGGTTTATACGCATTTTATTAGTGCAACGAAATGAGATTGCCCTTTGAACAGCTATCAGTAGGTGGCTTGTCTCTCACAAATCAATTATTAAGGTTTCATGGTAATTACGCGCCATCGTGCCCAATTGACCAGCCCTTATCTTGCTCGAATGATACAAGTGTGGAAGATTCATGCTGCTTTGAATATCCTGGTGGCGTGTTTCTTCAAACTCAATTCTGGGATTATATTCCACCCCGAGGCTCAAAGTCCGACGGTTGGGACGACGAGCTTGAAAAACATCTGGGACCCAATACTACATTTACCAATCACGGCTTATGGCCTGATAACTGCGATGGAGGCTATGAACAGTTTTGTGATGGATCTTTAAATATAGATGATGCATTCCACTTATTAAGTTCTGAACAGTTTAACCGCGATGGCATGGAAATTAAGGGTAAAGACCTACTTGACCAAATGGGTAAGTTGTGGAAGAGTAATACTGGAGACGACGAGTCATTATGGATTCATGAATACAACAAGCATGGTACATGCATTAAAACATTGCGGCCCAACTGTTACGCGCGCTGGGATGGGGACAAAGACGTTGAAGCCCTCGAGGAAGAATACAAAAAGCAAGCTGTCTACGACTACTTCCGCTTAGCTATGAAATTATATCATAGCTTAGATACTTACAAAATCTTGGAAGAAAACGGAATAGTCCCATCTTTAACCAAGACTTACTCAAGGGATGAAATTTCAGCTGCATTGAAGAGTGGCTTTAAAGGAAGATCGGTCTTCTTTAAGTGTGATAGTCATCAGGCGTTAAATGAGATTTGGTACTTTCATTTACTTCAAGGAAGTATTCTAGGTGAGGAATTTGAACCAATCGATTCTTTCCGGTCATATTCAAATTGTCCAATTGACACAATCCATTTCTATCCAAAGGGACATACTCCAAGCAACGGGAGAAGGCCAAATCCGGGGAAGGGTGGCACCAGGGGTATTATAAGGATAAGCGGGTATAACGGGTTTATCATCCGCAATGGACACTGGATGTCGAAAGGTACCCCGGCCAATTTCGATTTAATTAAAGCACCATTCGGCAACTATTATTTAAAGTCTCGTACCGGTTACTGTGGGGTAGACGGTAACAATGCTTTGACTTGTAACAAAGGGATTGGTAATGCTGCTCAATTTGAATACGATACTGCAAAGGGCTATATCGGATATGCTGGCGGTTATGAATGGCACGCCAAGGAATATCCTCAAGGCTATAAACAATCATCCGTGTTTCCTGGTGGAACACAAGAAGATACGGAATACAACATGAAACTGAAATTTGTGAAGTTATAATTGTCAATGTCCAAAAAGTTCGAAAATACTAAATGTTAAAAGTTTAGAGAAATATAAAGACCAATAAGATACAATTTTTTTTCTATATTACCCTTTGTGACTTATTTCGATGGATTATGTGCGTTCTGCGCTAATTGCAGAAGTCTTGTAGTGCTGTCGTCTAAATTAGAGAAATCCCTGTGTTGAATTTTGCCCGGCGTCAAGTCAAGCAAATAGTTTGTATTGTCGAGTTCCGGTCCTGTGTAAGCATCATAGCTTTCTGAGGGGGCAGTGGATCTTCCCAGACTACTGGAACTGCTAAGGGCGCTTTTAGTGTAATTGTAGTTGTATTTGCGGGTTTGGCGGTTGGAAGCCTCCATTTGCGAAACGTAGTCCTCCAACATGGTAACTCGATCTTGCAGTGCCTTGTTGGAGACGCTTTGGGAATGCAAGCGGCGTGTCAGGTCGTCAATTTGCCTCTGTTGGTCGCGCATGAGCTGCCGGAGATATGCTAGATCTGCAGAGGAGGTCATGTGCTGAAGAGACGCCTGGGGGGATCGGAGAGGCGGCTCGTCTTTCTGGAGACCCTGTCTTATCTGCTGTCGCAGTTTCTCATCGCTTAGTGCCTCACTCGACTGAAGAGGAGGAGTTGGAAGTGGACCAATGCGCGCAGAATTGCCCGACAACCTGGTGGAACTCGCAGTGAGTAGTTCTTGCAGATTTTTCTTGGACATCAGATAATCTCTTCTTATTTTATGGAGCGTGTCATCTGCCTCAGGCATATTTCGAAGGCCTCTGGCACTCGAATGATTCATGTTAACAGGGAAAGATACGATTTGAGATGCTAATCCAACGCGGTTCACAAAAGTCCTCGCGTTTACGTTGTCGCGTTTTTGATGTTGACAAAATAAACGTCGCGCGGGAGAGAGAAAGCACGAAACTCACCGCAGAGGGTTAGCACCTAAACCCCGCTGAGGAAACCTCATCCGCGAGACTTGTACGATGAGCAGATGCACAGAGCGCGGCTGCACGCTCTTGCAATGAGCTTAGAGAGGGTTTTGTAAAGAAGTCCGCGCACGTGACTTGAAACAACATTTCCGTATATAGCGACACATAAAACCCAACAAGATCACCATCCACGACGATCCTACAATTAAGCTTTTCCCGCTCGTGCAGCTTCTATGACGTCATTCGACGCATCGCGACTTTTTTTAGAAGCAAAACCGCATTGTGCTATCACGTTATACGTGATACACCCAAGTGGCTGTCTGCCAAGCTGCCCTCAGCGGCGCAGGACAAAGGACCATTTCCTCCTTTTCCAGGAACTCACGACAATTGCAATGCCAACTGGCAATCTGGGTCGCTTTGCCAACAATGACCCGTTGAATCAGAAGTGGCTGGATGTAGACGAGGTGTGCATACCAATTAGCTAGTCTTTTAGAGCTTTTTTTCTTAGACACCGGCACTGGAGATGTACGCAGCCATGCAGGCAACACGACTTAAACCAATTGGTAATTCCACGAGTAAGCCCTCAATTGACAATTGAAGCAGTGCTTCAAAACCAGTGGCCAGCAGGATACCGGTCGAAGCTCTTCACGGCTCGCAAGCGGCGATCTATCGCCGGAAACGCCGGAAACGCCGGCGCGCAGCGATGATGCCACGGAGGCACGTGACGTGAAAAGCTCGAAGAATGAGGCGTTGGTTCCAGAACGAATCCCTAATTATAGAAATTCCTGCTGTGCAAAGTGAATAGAATCGGCTCCTTGGCCAACAAGTGACCCAAGTGCAAACTCGCAATATCTGAAGGTCACAGTGAGCAAGCTGGACATTAATTAAAGTGAGTATTCTGATATTCCGTCGCACCTCATTCAGCCTCAGGACTCAACGTGGAAGTAGGATCGGCATATCCCGCTTCAGTGGTGGATCAAGGATTAAAGACAGCGAGCGTAACCAAGTCATACGCGCGAAATAGCACAGCGCAACGAAAACACCCCTTGATGAGCAAAACTAATCTAGGAGCCACCAATCAGCCAGCAGCGTTGGCTAACATTTATAGCGCGGTACGCCGGCCAGGACTCGCGACGGGTGTCGCAGGCGGGTCAGGATACATACGAAAAGCGGAGGTCGTGGACTTGGCCTGCCAGCGGGCGCAGATAGGCGACCTGGCACCTTGCAACTCGCTTGATGGCATTGCAGACAAGCGCAAAACGCTGTTTGTCGACTTGTCCGCCTGTGGCAAGCCGCTGCCCCTAGAGGACTGCAACTGCGTGCATCTTTCGTTTCCCAGCACGTTGCTCAGGCGGCCCAAGTTCCAGTTCGTGCAACTCGCAAGAACGCTCGACCAAGATAGCCAGAATACACTGGCGGTGCAAATCCAGAAGTGCGACACTTTTGTGTTTTACGACGATGCCAGCACCATGCATGAATGTTCGATTCACACGTACCAGGCCCTCACCAAAATAATCCCATACCTCGAAGACCGTAAGAACTTCCATCCGCGCTACTTTCTATTGCAACTCAAAAACGACAGTGGTGGCCCTTCTCGTAGTGGCATTAATGAACCAGTGTCCACCAGTTTAAAGCGAGACGGCATAGAAAGCAAGCCGGAAAAACGCCCGGTATTGAACCAAAAACCCTGTGGCGCCAAAAACAAACTCAAGGTGAATTTAAAGATCACGATACCCTGCAGAAACTCCAAGAATGATAATTCCAATACGATGTTTGTTCAATCTTTGAAGAAAGACTCCATACACTACTCTCCCGACAGCCTACGAAAATATTTCACATTTCACATCCCGGACGAGCTGACCATTGACAATTCTGTGTTGCCCCAATGGCTTAAACCATTCTCTCATGTTGGTGACAAGAATCTTCTGCGCATATTGGATTCATTTGAGTTACTTGAGAAGATGGAAGTGAACCGATTGGAACGTTGTTTGCAATCCTCCATGGGAAACGAGGCCAATGAGGAGGCACAACAAAATAATCAGACCGTGGTCAGAGCTCACAGAGAGCCCATGGCGCGAAGAATTTACTCTTTCCGACAATTACAACGTCAGTTTAGGCCCAATAGGCATGACTACGACTCAGATAACGATAGTTATCATCAACCTGAAAATTGTAAGCTGAAAATGGATATTCATGAAGAAATTCACGATGGCCAAAATATAGAAATCTTGTCAAAACTGAAACATGCTAATAACGAAATCATGTCAAGAGCTGCAAAAAATGGTGAAACCTTGAATGGTTATAAAAGTGGGTCGCATATGCTGTCGGTGGAGAATCACCCAACTGGATGCTCTGCTAAAGAGGAATTTGATGTCAAAATTGACGAAGATGAAGATGAAGATGAAGTGGCTGAGACACCCTTGGATGATTATTTGATGACCCGAGGCATTCAATCGTTCACCAAGAACCGCTATTCTAATATTCTACCCTATGAACATTCACGCGTCAAACTCGAACCTTCACCAGTATGGCCTGATTCAAGCGGCAAGACACTTTCTAAAAAATCATCATCTGGCTCTTCAGCATCAAATAGCGCTATTCGCAAAAGGCGCAATTCTTACTTTTCTCAAGATTTTCGGCCCAAAGAACGAGAGTCGGACAGCATCGATTCGCAGAGTTCCAACAAGCCTTCCACAACACAATCATTCAATAGTCCTTCTAATCAATTGAAAGGCAACTCAGCGGAAAATGACTCTTTCAATGACTATTTCAATGCAAACTATTTGAAGATTCCACAAATTAACCCAGATTATAACTACATCGCAACACAAGCTCCACTTCCATCAACTTTGGATGATTTTTGGAAAGTGGTGATTTCCAATGGAGTACGCGTAATTATTTCACTCAACTCTGACGATGAGCTGAGCATGAGAAAGTGGGATATATATTGGAACTGCAAGACCTTGAAGAAATTTGACGTTCAAGTGAAGCAGTCTTACGATAATGTTGGAGGTGTTAAGGGTTGTATTCTTAGGGTGTTTAATGTGCAGAGAAAATTGGAAGACATGTTGGAAAAACCTGTGACCGATGCCGCCAATAAATGCGAGGGGAGTGATTCAAAATACGATTTTGGCGTCTTGAAAAGAAAGAAAACAGCTCCAGGTGAACAAGAAGATCGTACTGATGAACCATTGAAAAGTGGTAGCTATACCGTTTATCAGTTGCAATATACTAAGTGGTTGGATTCTTGTGGTATTGTGATGGCAGATGTTTTAAAATTACATCGTATGAAAGCCTTGCTTCAGAAACGACCAGAAGAGTTCCTCGAAAATTTGGAACATGGTAAGGCTTACCATGATATTATGAGGAATGATTCTACTGTATGTCTTCAAGAGAGTAAAAGTGATACTGACCTGAAGTCACAGCAATCGCCTGTATTGGTGCATTGCTCTGCAGGATGTGGACGTACAGGAGTATTCATAACTTTGGATTTTCTCTTAAGTGTATTGGAATCCCCATTCGACAAATCTAATCGAATCGACGTGTGGAACATGTCACAAGACTTAATTTTCATCATTGTTAATGAGTTGAGGAAGCAGAGAATCTCAATGGTTCAGAATCTTACACAGTACATTACGTGCTACGAAGGAATACTGGAGTATTTTGCTCTGCGAAAGAATGTTGATGTGAACAAACTTGTATGTTAGTTAAGTGACATTTATAGAATATAGCATCGAGCACTTACGTCTTTTTTGGGAAAGACTTCAGATTAAGTGCACAAAGGAAATAATAAAACGTAATGACCTATGGTCAAGTTCAAAGTTTTAGAAGTATTTCTATTCAAATGTTAGCTATGATTCGTGCCTATCGACATAAATTGCTCTAAGTTATCTAGGACAACATTGTTCACAGATCTCAGAAGCACTTGATATTGCGATCCTAGCTCGGTTTCAAGGAATTTCATAATTTGAGTGATGAATCCCTTGAAGCTAACGTTATGTGCAGGATCAGCCGTTTTGCACAACTGATGGTATTTCAACTGCTCGCAAGAGGGAATGAAGTCAGTACCTCTCTCAGTATCAATTTCATCGTTCAAATGATACTTTTCGCAGTCACCATTGTTAGTCTCATTAATTTCTTCTAATATTTCAACCCATATGGATGCGACACTCTCAAATTCTGATAGGATTGAAACTAATCCTGTCTTTAACATGCATGAGAGTCCCAAAATGTGTACTTTTTTCAATTTGGGATCATATATATCCCGGAAACAAATAATCCAAATAGTGATAAACTTGTTAACAATTACCTCGAACTCCATATCGCTAGTAACCAATTTTCTTTCAATCAAGGGCAAGCGAGAATTTTCTACGCCTGATGGTAATGATTTAGAATACTCTGCGATAAATTGTACGATGGACTGAGGATTAAAGAATGCTATTCTCGCTACAGTTTGCAAGAGTTGTGCGCATTGATAGCCTGAAATAGCCTCTTCCCGAAAAACTGAGTCAAAGATGCAGGACAGTACGCCGCTCTGAAAGAAGACATCAAGTAATAGGGCTTCTGAATCCTGCTCGTTGGTGAGGGTTAATATATCCCATATGCGAAGTAATATATCGAATGAATCGTCTCTAAGCTTGAGAATGTGCTTACTGAGATGGGCAAAAATCCTTGAGAATTCAGCATGCGCAAAGAGCTCCCGTGATGACAATATCAAACAATAGCTTCGAACTATCTCGAGAAGAGTTGGAAGTATTTCAGTCTGATTTTGAACGCCATTCTCCAGAAAAGGTATGATGTTCAGAAGCCTTTCGTCAAGTGCTTGCTGTTCTGAAGAATAATATTGTAATAAATTTTGCCACAATTCAAAGCCATCTTCATAGAGGAGAGAATAGTGAGGTGATGTAGGATCACATGCAGCGCTAACTATAGGCAGTGCAATTTGCCATGTGGCGGAAGAATATTGTCCCAGCGATACGACCGAATGTCTCAATAGCCTTAGTAACGCATTGGCCAAGATTGATTCAGAGGGGTCATTGATAGAGAGTTCCCACAATTCTGGCACAATTTGTAATATTTCCATTAATAATTCTCTTGTAAACAACGGTTTTGTTTGTAAAATAATATCACTCATCGTATTCAAAACATACAGTCGTGTCTCCGTCAAGGATACACAAGGTAAGATTTTCCTTAACAGGACGGTAACAAAATCATCGAGATAAGGTTGGAATGTTGTTTTGCTGAAATTCCAATCATCAATTAATGTTCTCAAAGTTTGAACCGCGGTTAGCAAAATTACCTTGTCGTCCTCTTGGGTAAGCAATTGTAGGAAAAATTGATAGCATAATTGCCGACTTTCCTCCGAGCATTTAACTGTACACCACTCATTGATAACCAAAGAAACTCTTCTTTTGATAATTTTAGATTCATCCAATGAATTACTTGCATTCGTCGCCTCAGGTAAGAAGACCCGGGATAATAAAGAATCAAAATCGACCATGTCGCTTATGGACGCAGCACTCAACTGGAAGCTGGCAAATATGGCGTCCTTTTTTAGCAGGTCTTGCAAACTATTCGTCAATTGACTTGCTTCGTTTTCAATTTTATTGAGTAAATAAGGAGCCAACTTATCCTGAAAGCAGCTCATCAAATCCTGAAAAAAATTCTCAGCACAGGGTCTAATTTGATATTCGTAACTAACTGCCATCTGCTCGTTGATCCATTCCTCGGGATCGATGCTCCAATTCTCTAATTCGGCGGGTCTTAGCTTCAAGTACCATTCCATAAGCAAATCAACCAATTTGATTATTAGTTGATCGTTCAGAAAATCGGCAGAAATTCTCTTCACTGCCGTATCAACCTCAGCTTTGTCATTACGAGCTTTTATTGTTAGCGCTCCTTTCTTGTGAATAAAATTAATTATCCTTTTCAATATTAAAAACCCTCTGATTGCCAGTTGCTCCCAAAAATCCCCATTGAGCTCTGCATTTTCATTGTAAACGTCAGAAGCTCTATTGATTAAAATTCTGGTAAACTCAATCAAAACTTGAGGAGAGCATGGTATAAGTATAAAATTTGACGGTGAGGTTGTGATCAAGTTGTAATACAATTTCCCATAACACTTTACAAATTTTTCATAGAAGTCAAACTTGTTGAAATTGTCATAGTGTGAAATCAGAAGTTCAAAATGGCCAACTGATATTTGCATGAATTCTTTCACAGGTTCATTTTTTTGTGGAGATTCGTAGCCATCGGCCACTATTCTTCTCAGGACTTTAAGCGCTAAGTACGCGATCTGCATATTTGCAAGACTATCTTCGTCAACGCTAACAGAGTTAGTCCATTCATTGAATGACTTGAGGTATACCCTCACAATCAGGGGAAAGATTAAAGGAACTTTACTTTGCATCGCTGGCCTGCATCTACCAATTCGAGCAGACGCCAAAATTTTTATGATCTGGTTTGTATGCAAAAGCAAGTTATGAATTTTCACACAATCTTTCCATATGCTCTCATTCGTGAGCAATTGTTCCAAAAGTTCAAATAGATTTGGCCATTCGCTTGGGAAGTCCAGCCTTGAAATTCGGGCTACAGCCTGAGAGTTTTGAATGCAAAGTTGGTTATTTTTCTCATCAATCATGTCAAACAGCCTTGATCTGATAGAGGTCTTTTCATCTTTTGATATTGCATGCACTCTACTCGAGCGCCAATACTTTTCTACTCCGTTCTTGAACTGAATGATTGCGAGCCATCTTATTTGTAAGGAGCAAGAAAGATCCAGATAGATTGATTGCAGGAGGAAATGAAAACCTGGCTGGATTTCCCAGCTTTTCAATTGCTGCTCTGCTAGCTTTTGAACTTGTGAGCCTGCATGTTGTGGATTGCTTGCTTGCTCCAATACCTGCACTAGGCTTAATTCGCTCAAATCTGTGCTGCTTCCAGGCATATTTGGATGTAGATTTTGACACTTAGAAGTGCAACAATCACAGAATTATTATAAACTTAAACAAACACCGATGTTACAATTTCATAAGGAAGACGTACATCGAAAGAAGGATCGAATAGTAGGTAGGCATCGGTCCCCTGACAAAAATTTTCTATCACGTTAAACGACATGTAAAAGTCCAAAAGGATCACGGACTTCCGCAGAGAAGATAAATCAACAATCACTATGCTGCCCATCTGTGTGCCTCATTGTCACCGGACCATGTAGCCTCTGTATAGCCTAGTTCTCTCTTCACCTTGCGAACTGTCTCTGGATCACCCATATTTTTCCCCAAGTTGTCTGAAATTTTGATTGCGTGATTCCCATTAACTTCTACTAGTTTAATCACAATATTCAAAGGCTCACTTTTCTGCGATGGGTTGGATTTTTTCACAAAATCATTCGTGAAATTGGTACCAATCCCGAAGGTCGCTTTTAGTCCTTTATCGTTAGCAACTTTCGCATATTCTATAGCTTTGTCTGGATTAAGAGAGTCGGAGTAACATATCATTTTGGAAAACTTTGGATATTTTAAAACGTCATAGTAGTGGTGTGCAATCTTTTCGGTGTATTTTACCGGATCACCAGAATCTTGTCTTACACCGATGTAGCAGTCCGAATATGGTGGTTTAAAAGCTTTTAGGAAGTCATCGGTCCCAAAAGTATCCGTTAAAGCTAGACCAGCGTGCTCCTTACCAAATGTTTTTATCCAGTAGTCCATGGCATTCTTATTGGCACTCAAATAATCACCCGTGATGGAAGCAATGCCCATCATCCACTCGTGAGCAACTGTACCAATTGGTTTAACGCCATATTTCTTTGAGAATAGAACGTTGGAAGAACCTAGAAACAATTTCTTGCCTTCGTCCCCATATTCTTCAACAGCTTTCATGATACCCTGCATTACCAAATCTTGTGTATTAAGAGATCTTCTACGTCTGCTGCCGAACTCACTGAAAACAATTCCATTGCTTAAAAGTTTTTTGGCCTTCTCATATGCATTCTCTAACTGACCATCATAAGTCCAGTCCGTGTCAACAAATTTGAAGTATGCCTCAGATACTAGGGCAAGAACAGGGATTTCATATAGTATCATATCTTTCCATAGGCCCTTGATATGAATATCCAAATCATAATGGCCCGGTTGCGAACTTTCTTTGACTGAGAGATTAATCTCATCTCCAGGGGAGAGCTTGAAATCTTCACCCGAGATATAATTGAAATAGGTTTCAGGAAGGTACGGAATGGCCTTTCTCAAATATTTGATTTCTTCCTGAGTGAAAGTCAATGTCCGAAACGTTTTAAATTGTGCATAGAGCCAATCTACAGCATCCTGGTTGAAAGTCATTTGGGAAGATCTATTGGTATATTTGTAAACAACTTCTGCATCAGGAAAATTCGTAAATACTGCAGCATGCATGGTAATTTTATACATGTCAGTGTCCAATAAGGACGTGATGACAGGTTCTGCCATTTTTGTTTATTTGTCACTTGTTCGGTGAAGATTGGGTGAAGATTATTTAAACGAATTTTAACTTTTTTTTAAACAAAATGCTACACCCCTCGATAAAGGCTGAGCTAATTTTTTCGGTAGTAGCTTCTACTGAGTCATCATAATGGCAATGTAACCACCAGATTCTCTTGAAGTTGCTTTTAATATACAAGTAATGACGGATATATAGTTCAAGTAATAACTCTCATGACACGGTCAAAAAGAGTATCCATTTGAACGTTATCTATATTTTCGAACATGCTGGTGAAGCTATTCATATTGATTAGCTTATCGCTGTTATCACCATTAATGAATTCAAATACAGCGTCTTCCTCACCAATCTCGCCCATTGCATGGTCTCGCTCCCTTTGGCCTCCTGACAATTTCTTTAATTGGGCTTCGAACTCATTGCTTTGCAGGGCATCTAGTGCTCCCTCTCTGTTCAATTCATCAAGCATTTCTGTACTCGTAGTTGTACTCACCACACCCAGTCTGCATTGAATATCCACAAATATGAAATCTGTGTCATAATTCCAGCGAATGCAAGATATGTATTCATCGTGTTGGAAAATACCAAGCTTTGTCGTCAGGTCCGAATCGAACACCACTACAGACGATGAGTATTGTAGTGCTGGTTTCCCCTTTTCTCCTTGTGGTAGTTGGTTGACTACCAATGCTACCCTTCCGCTACTTTCGTCGTAACTAATTAATCTGCTTAGATCACCATTCTTGTAGACCCCGTTGACGAAAGGATACAAATCAAAACTATTCTCAACCTTGTAGGATAATAAATTCACCGAATTCAACGTAGTCTGAGTGGCAATAATTAGATTTCTATCGTTAACAAGAATCAATGATTGCACTGCAGAATCTAAAGTTATTTCATTCAGGATGCTAGGGCTGTCATTATCCAGTTTGGAGAAAGTGTTGAAATCTAGAACAGAAACCTTTTCATCAAAAGCATGAAAAATCAAACTCCCATCCAAAGACCAGGCTAACGCAACTGAATTGCTGAAGTGATTGACGTTTGGTAGGGAAACTCTAGTTAGAGACCAGCTTTTCGTAACATTATTAAATGACCAATACTTTAGACCCCCATTATTGTCAGCAGTTAAGCATCCATATGAATTGTTAATGACTCTTGGAGCCATTAAAATCTCGGTAATTGGAGCATGCACACCGTGAGGATTTATTACTTTTGTTTTCAGGGTCCACTCTGAGTTGGAATTCATGGTCCAGAATTTTAAAACGTAGACCAAATCGTTAGATGACAGCAAATCCTCAGGAGGATACTCAATCTCAGAGGTAATCATCCATTTTCCGTCTTTGGTAAATTTAACTTCAGATATCATTGGATCTCTGAGGTTGAGTTCAAGTCTAACTTTACCCATAGAATTATTGATACCAGAGGCTAGATATTGATATGACACTTGCTCGTTCTTGTAAAAGTCGTATACTTGGACAGCAGATATATGTGGAAAGTAGAGGTGCTTTGATAATGGATTTATCTCCATGTTACAGGTGAAATCTTGTCTTTTTCTTTTTAACAGTTTTCTTTGTTGTTTCTTTCTCAATTTGTGTAAATTATTTGAAGATGTGGAAAGTTTTGAGTTGACAGCTGACATCGGTTGAATAACATCTTTGACCATTGTACGAAACACACATAAAGGACCGTTAATACACAACCTTGAAGTGAGATCCGAGGAGTTGAGTAATAGCAACTGATAATCACAGTTTGTCTGGTTCTCAGCTAATTGTAAACTCAAAGAATAATACTTGTCTTCAACAACATCGACATCCACAATTACACCATTCAAACGAGGAAGAAATTGCTGCATGTTTGTTGATAATTGCCAAAAACTCAAGACCTTTTCCCAACCACCGGACAGAAGGTAAGATCCATCAGAAGTAAAACACAACGAAAGTACTGAATCGATGTGCCACTTAAGAATTCTGCTTGACAGATCTTCCAAATTGATGACGTTGATGACACCAGAGGCAAACCCGATAGCCAAATTCATACAGCTGTTGTCAAGAGCCATAACATTCACAAAATGTGTGTTCGATGAGCCCGAAGCATTACCCGATAGTGGTAAAGGAAATGATCTGTGAAAGTTGTCTCCAAATATCGAGTCCACATAAAGTGTTTTCTTCTTTTCTTGATCCTTAGACAAAACACATAAGAACTGTTCGTTAAGGGACCAGCAAGATATCACTACATTTGAGTAACTCTTGATGGAAGTCAATTTTTTCTCTGAGTACTGGTAAAGTTCATAAGAACAACTTGGGGAAAACTTGTTTTTCGAAGTCAAAACATTCACCTGGTCCTTATTTCGAAATACCTTCAAAACTTCTTCATCCACTTCAAGCTCATTGAACTTCCATGTCTTGGGCTCTTCTATCAGTTTGCCTTTATAATTTAAAACCACAATATCACCGATGTTCGTTATAACTGTAATCTTATCATATTTTTCATCCTCCGGATCGGACAAATCGCCTAATGAAATATGGCTTACCATGACCTCGTTCGAGTGAAAAATCTTGGAAAGTGTCTCATTGTTAGCAAATTTGATAGTTTTTACACATTGCCTTGTCTCAATCGAGTATATTTTGATCTGGTTGTTGAAGGGAACAATGTAGTTAGCCTTGTCATGAGTTAAACATGTGACTGTCTTGCTGCTGCTGGATCGGTTAGAAACACGAGGGAGTACAGGTTTACCACCTGAAACTACGGCAAGCTTGTACTTTTGATGAACCAGCGCCTGAGTCATTGCTTAGCCTTGTTAGTTATTCACCGTTCTTCTCACTCTGCTCATCTCATCTCAAAAATTTTTCAAATTTTTTCTTAGTAAAAAGAAAAGAACATAACTATTGACGGTATTCTAAGATGTGCTTCATAAGAAAATTTTCAATTCATCTCTAATGATCATTTAAAGACAGAGGTGGACGAGGATGATTGTGCCAGTTAGATGTTTCTCTTGTGGGAAAGTGGTAGGTGACAAATGGGAAGCCTATTTGAATATGTTACAAGAAGATGAGTTGGATGAGGGAACTGCCTTGTCCAGACTAGGCTTGAAGAGATACTGTTGCAGACGTATGATCTTAACGCATGTGGATTTGATTGAAAAATTCCTAAGATACAACCCATTGGAGAAAAGAGATTGAGTTTGTTCATCATATAGCACTACTGTATAATAATAAAATCTGCGAAACCTGTTAAAAGAATCTATTTACATAATCATTACGCCTTGGACACGCCTTTATAACTTTTCCTAAATACTAGAATGGAATCGATCTTCTCAAGCGCCAATTCCAGGAGTTCTTTCCGCTTCTGGAGTTCGATGTGGCGTGCAATACGAGAATCCTCTTTAGCAAAGAGTTCAATCTGCTCATCAGACAGGGTTCCCAGTTTCTTATCCAGCTCTATTGGAAAATTATAGAAGAAATCGCTTAGTAGCTCAACGTTAAGAAATAATACAGCCGTTGAGGTCAGCTTATCACTAACGGCATTAAGAAAGACTTCGGGACACATATCCTTATCTGCTGTTGATTGGCACTTGTTTCTTAAAGTTTTCAATCTGAAGTTTAACAACTGTGATCTTTTCTCTAAAAAGAGCGCCTCTCTTCCGCGCTCTAATAGCAAAGCTGAGAAGCCCAAGCTTTCTTCACGGTTGGGATCTTGCTGCAGATAACTGAGCACTTGCTGTAGCTTACGACCACCAGTTGTATGTTTGATCATTTGTAATCGTTCATTGCATTGTCTCAACTCTTCCCTCATCAGTTTAACTGAGTGATCGTGTGCAATCGACCAATCCCTATCTTCGAGATCAATTTCATACTTGAACGGTTTGATACAATTTTCAACTTGATCGGCAGTAGCATAATATTTCGAGTTTAAGACGTTTACCGCTGTATTATTTACCAGTTCTTTAATCAAATCATGATTTCTTAGCTGTGTAGAATCCAAAATGTTATTCAGTTCCTTTAATATTGCGTTTGTTACAAGTGTGGTAGACAACCGACCTATTCCGATTTTTGTCAAACTGGATGATGCTAATTCGAGTTTTTTGTGCCAATACAGCGCCGAAGACTCATCTTTTATGCTCTTTTTTGAGGAGAGTTCTTCTAAATTTTCGTCCTTCCAGTAACGAGAGGCAAGCAAATCAAGCACTCTCTGGTCAAGATCAGCCTTTAGAATAGATTTCAGTTCAATTCTACTGAACTTTTCTTGAAAGTTTTTAATTGCGAGCTTTAAGACATCCACGTTATTCAAAAGGTATGACTTAGGAGTTAACTGACGATCGTTGAACTCTACCTTAAAGAGGTAAGATGTATCATCTAATTCCTGCTGAATTAATCGTGAAGTAGGCTCCAATGCACTTGACATGGAAACTTCTAAAATCTTTATTAGTTTTTCTCTCAGCTTCTTCGTTGAAACTTGTGAGTTATTGAAAAACCGTTTGTTCTCTCGGAAGTAGTTTCTTTCAAAATCTTTCGTTTGATCAGCATCAGTTTCCTTATTTTGCTTGCCAAATAAGCCTGTGCTCTTTGTGGAAGAATCGAATAGTTTATGAGACTTACCAGGTGCTTTAGTAATTACACCAACGTAACCCATTTTCAAAGGATACTTTTTACTGCTCAATATCTCTTTAGCTTTCTGCGGATCTACTAAGTCAAGTTTGGTAATCACACCAATCGTTCTCTCCCCTTTTGGATCGGCTACTTTGCTTGCTCTCAAAGCACTGCTGTTCGCCAAGTCAACATCTGCAGCAGAAATTGCCAGGATAATATTCGGCTCAGCTAGATATTTCTCACAAAGTTGGCGAATTTTTGATTTAAGCTCCAATGGTTGATCGGCTGCTTCAACCTGAATGTATCCAGGTAAGTCCACAAGTGATAAATCAGGAACTCTCGATGATTTGATCGTTAGCTGAATAGGCTCCGCTGACACAGCTTCGGAAGTAGGGACGGCCATATTTAATTCCATAAGAATTCGCTTTACCTCAGTGAAATCCTTCAAATTATAGACCCGTAGAGCAGGGAAATCAGCGGTGGTGTCATTTGTACCGGAGGTATTTACCAGAGTTAGTTCAATTGGCCTTCTTGTAACCATGTTTGAGCCTTTTGGTAGAAACTCTTTACCAACAATTGATTCTAAGACGGAGGATTTACCAGATGACTGAGATCCTATCACAACGATAGAAGGCAAGGTCAAGTTCGCCGATGATGAGTCCACTTTATTCAATATGCTCCGGATCTCGATCATTTGCTTTGTCAAATTCAGCATTTCGTTTTCGGTGTTATCTTCGTCGGATTCATCCTCTTCTAAATCTGTGTCGTCCGTGTCTTTTTCCTTTGATGCCATCTCTTCATCACCAGACAAAGATGAGAGTAGAGCTCCGGCCGCCACAGTGTCGCCATCACCGCCATTGTCGCCATTACTATCATTGGTCTTATTGCCGTCTTGTTCGTGAAAAAATCCTCCGATTTTATCTTTCACAGATTGTGAAAAGTCCTTGAGCTGCGCTAGCCGGTCTTGAGTGTAATTTCCTGCCTCCTCCATCTTGTACGCAATGTATGAACTGACTGCCGCTGCTCCCCCACCGATGTAAACCGGCAATTTCACCACGCGTGCAACTATTTTGGGGAAGAAGGAAATGAATCGCCTGTTGTTAACTGGATTGATCACAAAGTTGGCGAAGTAGAGGAAGGGTGATGGCCTCACAAAAGAATGGTAATAGGATGTCGGATGTAATCTCCTTAGTGGGCTGGTATAGAATCTTCTGACCACCATCGGCCTTAGGATTGATCGATGAACTAATACCATTTTTGCCCTTGACTTATCTATAGATTTCATGATACAAAGGTTGAGGTGATCTACTAAAATGTTTTTCGGCCTGATATCGTAGAACGGGCTAACATGAACATAAAAAAAGTCATTGCACAGACTTTATTGAATTTCAAGTTAAGATTTGAAGCAACTGATCAACTTTCAGCTTTATCTAAATTCGCCGTAAATGAAGTATTTGGTAAACAGCAATGTTATAATTGGAATGTCCAATTTTATCAGGGTTTATAGGAGTACTTGAATAATTCTAATCCCTTAATTGGTGACCAAAACCATTCAATGACTCGCCTTTCAAACGCATATACAGCTTGGTCGTGCCGAAGGTAAATCAAGGAGTGTTTAAAATTCTCCGAGTGCTATGATACTAAAATTTAGCGTACTAGTTTTAAAACGCGCGCGGCACTTGACTAATTTGTTCTGAATCAGAAAACTGAGTATATTTGAAAAGAGCGGATAGTGATAACTTGATGCCGCTAGCTGAGTCTTCTGTCTTTGGCATATATTACGTTCCATTTACCGGCCATTTCGCAGCGGATTGATATTCTCAATCATATGATGTACCGTTTGGGTAAGAGGCGAGTACGCATAACATTTGCATGCTATATGGGTTTGTGCGTATCAAATCACTTGGATGCAATGAGATTATGTTCTTAAATTTCGTGCGGAGTTGAGCTAATTTTGTTCGGTTTCAATGTTGTTCATGAAGTAATCTCCTGTTGCCTTAACGATGAATTGGCGATTATTTGTACTGGGTTTCCCTCTAACAAGGAAGATTGAAATTAAACACAAATGCTCTCTCGTTTAGAAGTTCATGCCTCATTCATTTTTTGTTACTGTTGCTACTTTAGAAACTTTTATAGGCTACAGAAATCAAGAATATTCTGGGAATACGGAAAGTAATATGATAATCCGGTAAAGATGGGGATTCGAACGGTTACTAGTACAACCCTTTTACCTCTCAACGAGACTTAAGGAACTTTTATGATTACTGGATACTGATAAAATCACAATTCACAGAAACTCACAGAGAAACAGACGAAACCTTTCCGTTGAATTCAATCCGTGAGGTAGAACTGATTTGTCAATGTACGCTTCGACCTCTCCTGGGCGTTCTGAGAGCGCTATCTACCTCTATAATTCGCGACTTTTTTATGGCGAATCTGGATGGTACCTGTCGCGAAAATAAAGGGAGGAGGATTTAGAGCTTGTTTACACCCATCATAACAACATTTACACCAAACCAGAGGGATGGTATCCAAGGTCAAAGAGGCATTCAAAAAAGAGAAAATTGGCGTCAAAGCTAAAAAGCCAATGGTAAAGAGTACTAGTAAGAGTGATTCAAAAAACTCATCAAAAAAAGTCGGAAAGTCAATCTCCAAGACAAAAGTTGTTCCCCCTACTTACAAAAGTATGTTTTATTTTGAGATTAAGTGTCAAAACCAACCTTGATGGGAAAACTAACTTGCAAATAGGCATGATTATCGAAGGTATTCTTGTTTTGAAGGAGCGCAATGGCTCAAGTCGTCAAGCTTTGAAGAAGTATATCTTGGAAAAATATCCTGTTGGAGATACTTTTGATTCCAGATTTAATTTGGCAATTAGAAAAGGTATTGACTCAGGAGAGTTTGCTCAACCTAAGGGTCCTTCTGGCCCCGTCAAAGTCGTGAAAGCCAAGCTCGCTACGAAAGCTGATGAGGAGAAAGTTGAAGCAAAGAAAAAGGTTCAAACGTCGCAGACAAAAGACGAGAAACTAAACGGTAAATCAAACTTATCCAAGAGGGCAAAAGCAGAGGAAGTAGAGAAGAAGGAGCCCAAAAAGAAGGTAATCAAAAAGAAAGATCCATCTAAAAGTATCAAAGAAACACAAGCTGCATCTTCTAAAAAAATTGCTAAGAAGACCGTGGCAAAATCAGCTAAGAAGGATACAAGGATTTCGAATCGAAAAAGGGCTGTGAAAGTCGACAAGTAGTAATTTCCTCCTAGTTGACTTTTTTTATCCGAGGTCCTGAAATAACTACAACTCAATCAAGAATCTTACCATCCCTGAGCAGTTCTTTTTTTATTTGTGTTCATCTGTATCTCCTATCCTCAATCATCACCGTTTTCTAACTGGTCTATTTTGTATCCCAGGTGTGTAACTACATGGCTCGATTTGTATTTAATGTTTCTATAATAATCAATAAGGAATGTCAGCAGTGCTGATGGAAAGGTCTGATCGATCGGTGATTCTTAGCTCTTGAGGTACGCATAAATACTTCAAGTCGATTTGTGTTAGTGAGCTGTCTCTATCCAATGGGAATCAAATATATGGAGGTGTGCACACCTACGATCTCCAACAGTGTACCATTGCCCAACGATGAGGTATACTTAATGCTTGACTTCATATGTAAGTAGAACTTCATTCTGATTGGAGTCTCTTTTTAAGGCCATAAGATGAATTTTTGAGTGGAATATAAATTTAATCGTTTTCTAATCTGTTTTAAGATGAAATTCACTTATAGATTATTCATTCATTTTACTATCACCGTTATCTAAGTAAAAGGTAATCAGGATTATATAATAATATGTCACACATTCCGTATAAAATGCATGGAAGCACAGTGGTTTAAAATTTTTTTTTTCAATATGCCCTAATCCTAGGGCTCATTTCTTCAAAAGTTTCGTAACACATCTGATTACTGACATCTCTTTCCAGGACTCCGGTAATGCCCGAAAACACTAGTTTTGAAAACTTGGATAATCCGTGTGAGGATATTCTACGCTTCGGAAAGTTAATCGAGGGCTTACCTCTTAAAACTCAACTAAGACTTAATTCGATTGGGTTGCTAGACAATGTGTCGACGCAGCTTTTAAAGTTACTGGCTACCAACTCAGTTGAGAACTTGATAAACTTGACAACAATTTCACCCGATACTTTAGAGAAAGACGCGTTCAATACCCTATTCGTTCTTTTTAAGCAAGTCAAACTAATTTACACGAGCTCTCCTTTACTGCATGTCGATGATATCGCACCAGGTCTGTGGCTACCTGGAGAACATAGCCCCTACATTTTGAGAGGTCATGAAACTTACATACATTGTGTCATGCGCAAAAGCAATTTGATAACCTTTCTTCTTTCCTTATTGGGTTTATTTCAATACGGATTCTCTTTCCTTGATGATTCATTCATGGAAGTATTCTGTCCAGTTGCAAATGAATCGCTATTAGAACCTGATAAAACGCCTGGAATTCAATGTGGGAAACTGCTGAAGGCACAAGCAGTACTTTATCTCGATTTGAAAACGCAAGCATTTATATCGGCCATGGAATCGTTAGGTGAAGGGTATACGGGCATTCCCTCCTCTAAACAAGATATATTAGACAGAATATTTCCGAAAAATATGAAAGCCTTCCTGTGCTCCAAGAAAGGGTTACAGATCGCGCAGTTGACACCTAGCGAAGAAGACTTTGTAACAAGATGCGCACATCGGAGAGAAAAGCTTCTCAATCAAGATAATTTGACGCAGTTGATGGAGGAATACGATTGGATAGAGTTCTTTAAAGAATTATTTGAATATACGCGTAAAAATTTGGGTTTTTTAATCTGGGTTAAGAAAGATAAAGGAATGGCTTCTTTGTACAGCGACATTTCGAATGGTGAAAGTGTTCGCGGCACTGTGAGAAATTTGAGTGAAAAAGACAGCTCATCTAATTTAGCGTCAACCACGAGCTTAACAGACGAGAAAGCTTCTACTCCAGCCAAAAATAAACGAAAGCAGCAGAATGGGAGTGAACGCACTGATGTCGTACCCAAGAAGCCGAAACAAAAAAGACTGTGGACTAAGGAAGAGGAAGAAATGTTAATAACAGCTTTAAAAGAATACGGGCCTTCGTGGTCAAAAATTCTCGAACGTCACGGAGCCGGAGGGAGCATCTCAGAAATTCTTAAGAATAGATCACAAGTGCAACTGAAGGACAAGGCACGTAATTGGAAAATGTACTTTCTCAAAAGTGGCTTACCTGTGCCAGATTACCTGAATAAGGTTACAGGTGATCTAGAAAGAGACGAAAAATCTAAACAACGTTCGAGAGCCAAGAAGAAAAACGCAATGAAGCCTACGGTAGTCCAAAAGCCAGACATAACTGCTACTGCAACATATCTACCTACCACAGAAGACACTACATTGCGTGTACAAACTACGACAGCTACCAATGGATCCGGTGTCGATCCTCAATTGCATTCGAATTAATGAGAATAAAGTGATTTAGACAATTCTACCGTTGAAATAGATGATACTAAGATTAGTTCATCGTACAAAGCATGCTGATTTGTTCACTGAAACAAGCTATTAAATTAACCTTACGTCAAGTTTATGTTTTGAGGCTTCAATCACAGAGCACGATACAAGTGAGAAGGGGAATCTCATATTGACATATAGAAAGCCTAGCATGGTCAATTACCTGCACCAGTTTTCATTCTTTGGCATTCTGCTCATTCTGCTCATTCTGCTGGATTTTTGCAAAAGATTTTCTTAAGTTGAGTTTTGGGTAAAGAATTCAAACACCTTTTCAAGCAATTGCGGTTCTATCAGAGCTCTGTGCACGCCATCCATTCTATTTAATTTGTCGGGAAGGTTCGTTTCTTCTTCTACTTGACATTTAGAGGGAGGATATAATCATGGATGGTACTTGGGAGTACCATACAAAAAGTCTTTCGAATAAATATGAATTGTCGCCTGTGGTCAGTGATGTTGAGGAAGACATCCGTCATAAAATATCGATTGCACGAAATGAAACTAAGCAGCTGCAACTTCTAATAGATCGTATCAAGAGTAAAACCAAGGATGCCAATCTTGTTCAGATGTCTAATGGGATTGCGAGCATCATCAAAAACAGAATCAATTTGTCATCTCCCCTTAGCTTAAGTGGTCATCATAACAAAATAGCAGATTTTCGATGGTCTTCAGATTCAAGCAGTATTTTAAGCGCTAGTCAAGATGGATTTCTAATTTTGTGGGATGCCACATCGGGACTAAAAAAAAATGCAGTTCCTCTGGATTCGCAGTGGGTTTTAACTTGCGCAATCAATAATAGCGGTCATCTCGTTGCAAGCGCGGGGCTTACTAACAATTGCACTATTTACCGAATATCTCACGAGAATAGAATACAGCAACAAATTGTTTCCATTTTCAAAGGCCATACTTGCTACATATCGTGTGTTGAATTCATGGGTAATAATCGAATTATTACTGGAAGTGGAGATATGACATGCGCTCTGTGGGACATACCACGAGCCAAAAGAATAACAGAATATGTAGATCACCTAGGGGACGTATTATCTGTCGCAATCCCACCCAACAGAATAGACTCCAATGAGACTATTTTCATCAGTGGAGGCTCCGACGGATATGTTCGTGTTTGGGATACGCGCATGTTATCTGCGGCCCAGAGTTTTTTCGTCAGTGAAAGTGATATCAGTACGGTGAGATTTTTTAATAATGGCGAGACGATTATTACAGGAAGTGATGATGGCGTTGCTCGTATGTTTGATCTCAGGTCGGATTGCTTGATTGGAACATACTCTCTGACGCAGCAATTGCAGCAGCAAGGGATTCAAAAAGGCCGGCAGTACTCTGTATCTCACATGGATTATGCAGTATCATCTGGCCTCAACTCATATTCACCTACCGCGCGATCAGTTGGATCCAGTCATCTGGATAGTCAAGGGATCGTATCGCTGGACTTCAGTGCATCAGGACGTTTGATGTATGCATGTTACACGGATTTTGGATGTGTCATCTGGGACACCTTGAAAGGTGACATAGTTGGTAAATTGAACGGGCATGCCGGCCGTATTTCGGGTGTTCGAAGTAGTCCCAATGGTATGGCAGTCTGTACAGGATCATGGGACTCGACTATGAAAGTTTGGTCGCCAAACTATCTATAGTTTGTTTTATTATGAATAATTAAAGTACAGCATTTGACTAAGTCACTGTGTTAATTGCCAACTGACTGATATTATCCTTTCTGCTCCTTTATATAATCGGATATTTCGTCTAAGAGTTCGTCAGGCAGTTGTCGAGTATCCATAACAATCTCTTCATCTTTATTGAATTTTTGAAGCTGTGATTGTACCGCGGGATGTCGCAGTATTTTTGCAGTTACCGTCGTTACAACATCCTCGTCCATAGCCACAAGCTCATTCATCCATTTATCATTTCTTTCATTCGGTAAAATGTTTGAAGGCGGTATTGTTTCTACAGGCACCGTTCCGCTTTTTAGAAGCATTTCACGTAGTAAAGGTATATGGCATGGTACTCTAATGATGTAATCAGTGTCGTATGAGGGTTGCTGAAAGGTCAATTCATGTTGAAGTTCAACTTCACCGGCATCTTCCTTAAGGAAACAATTGATAACGAGACTAAATTCGCCCCAACCTTGCTCTTCTAATGTGAAAGGGCACTCGTCTAATATCCTTACAGGCTTAGCGAAAGTTGGGTGTAGATGATAAACGCACCGACTGAAAATATTTGCTAAAACCTCTTGCTCATTGTTATCGAGAAGCCAGATATCCATTTTCCACCTTCTTTGAGGGAAGCCATTAACTTGTGAGGCTGTTGGAATGATCTCTTGCTGTGTTTTCACCCTTACGATTCTTTGGACAGAAGGCTATTAACGTCATGTTAGTAGATTCATAGCGATTTAGAACGTGAGCTGAGCATACTATTTCCATGGCGCCTTTTAGGCTTTGGCGAATCAATTATTGAACAAAACAATGTGTGGACAAGATCAAGAATTAGAGAGGAATTAAAGGTCGTACTACATGCCTTGCAGTGAAAGGAATCTATATACTTGGATGCAGTACGTTACCCAAAATTACATACGAGACGGTCACATTATAGGAGCCGCTGTTACATTCGACTTTCGTCTAATCATTTATTTGACACGATTGTTGGAGGCCATACATAACTGTACAGAAGAAAATATCCAAATCTCTCATTATTCGATGTTTTTTTTGACGTACTCCCACAAACTCTTCAATAGGCCTTCAGGTAAGCTGTATAGATCAATTATGAATTCGCCTTCCTCGATGTTGTTGGTAATGTTCATTTCAGGTGTTCTGTTATCTGTAACCATTTGAACGACCCCAACCAAATCGTCCTCATTCAATTTTGTTAACCCAAATGCCAGTTTCTCAAGATCAACACTGCCCTTTACAGCACTGGCTGTACCAGTTTTTGCTTTTTTGGTTTTTGGCTCACCATTGGTAGCTGCTTTGCGCTTTTCCACAGTTCCAGAAGGCGTTGTCGCAGCAGGAGTGGTCGCGACTTCATCTACCGGCCCACTTTTCAGTAGCTCCGCCTTAAGTAGTGGCTTGTTAATAGGTACTTGAATTACGTGATCAATCTGGTAAGAGTCTTTCATAAAATGCAAGTCATGCGTTAGCTTTCTTTCACCTGCTTTTTCTAGCAAATGGCCACTTATTAAAAGCTCAAATCCACCCCAGCCTTGCTCTTCTATCTTGAAAGGTGGGTCGGTGAAAGTTCTTGTGGGATTAGCAAATGTAGGATGCAAATGGTATACAACCTTGTCAAAAATGGTAGCTGGGATCTCATTTCCTTGTTCATCTAACAGTACTATTTCAATGCTCCATTTACGCATAGGAAAATTTTCCACAGGAGGAGGGACATCTGGTAAGATGGCTTGTTGAGTCTTAATTCTTACAGTTCGCTTGACAGTCTAGATTTTACAACAGTTAGTACAGATTTTTCGATAGAAAATGTAGCAGTTGCAATAGGCTACCAAATCTTGTCCCCATTAAAAACATACGGCTACCATTGGCTTGATCCGTTTAAAAACCCCCGATTATTCTTTGCCCTGAAGTAACACTTGTTCAGCTCAATGAGGAGGTTGTGTATCTGAAAATTGTGTTATTACGTATATAGTGATATTCTGTAGTACTTAACGCACCATCGCTAGATGTTCTTTCATAGCTGAATCTAGCGGACATACTACAATTTCTTTCTAGTTGTTATGATATATTACCTTGTCGATTGATTAGTGATTTTAATCAAATATCCGAATTGTTTTTATGTAGCCCTTTCAACAGCACATTTTGTGGTTGTTTCCGTCAAAGGGACATCGAGTTTAGTAACAACGTCGTTGCCGAATATTGGCTATATCCGAGCAGTCAGAATGCGAATGGAATAAGTGTGCCGAGTAAAGTCAGAAATGGTACAATGTTTCGTGGGGATGAATTATACTGCTTAAACGAATCATAGGATGCGGTCGCGTTTGTGGACGTGTTAGAGCGGTTTCTTGTAGAAGAACTTGTGTCAATCTCTTGCGAAATCAAGGAGCTATGAACATCTCCTGAGCTTATGCTAGGTGTAGCTTTTGAATTGGAAGTATCCTCCCGTTCAGGCGCAGTTATATTCGCATTGGCCCTAAGGAAGCTCACTAGTTCTAAAAACCTTGGATCATTCTTTACCGCCTCGGGACTCACAATATTTCCGCTTGCAATTTGATCTACAAGATTTCCATTGGGTTCTGAGGCATGGAACTCGAGTGGATTTATAAATTCTGGCAAATCCAGTAAGTTTGGAACAATAATATTTGAAGTACGCGAAAGATGTTGTATCATGTCAGGAGTTAGTGATTCTCGGTCTACGTGAACCACAAGGGGTTTATTCTGCACATCTTTTGTATGTGAGTCACCTTGTAGTTCTTCTGTGGTTAATGTAACAGTAACCCTTTCAGCTGCTACAAATTGAATTGCTTGCAAGAGAAAACACGCATTGAAAAAAAGACCCACTGTTCTCATCGTTCGTTGAAGCTTGAATAGGGAGCTAATTAATCTGCACGTATGCAATCGACTCTGTGTTTTAAATATCTATTTTCTGACGCACTTTGAAACCTCATCGATTACCACAAAGGCAGGATTCACAAAGAACGGTGTGATTATGTCACATTTATTTACAAGGGCGTATATACAGGCGGCGACGTTGATAACCAAATTAATGATCAAAGACGCTCTTAAATTGAGCAACAATACTACTTTTAATGACATTTGGAGACGCTTTCCATTCAATTGGCATAATGGTCCAGTCTACCTTTCCAAACACTTGCTTCATCTTGATATCAGGAGCTGCTTCTTTGAGGTTTTTCAAAAATGTCAAGACATTAGCATCAACCTCTTCCTTAGAAGCTACTGGCAGAGCATTGAGATAGTTTTTGATAATTTTAATTTCTTTCTGTTCTTTCTCCACTAGTTCGGGCCTGTTGTTCTTAACAAACTCCAAGATAGAGTCTTGTCTTTGATGGATAAGCTTCGAGTAAAGATCAAACAGGCCAAATTCATCTAATTCTTTCCCCTTATTGTCTATCTCCTTGTTTTTTATGGTGGACAACAAGCTTCTGATGGTGGTTTTCTTAATATCATCCTTGGCAATCATCGCCTCTTTCAGATCCTTCTTTAACTTTGAAAGAGAATCCGCATAAGATTGTGTACTAAAGAGCACAGCACTTCTCAAGTTTGGAACGAGAGTTCTTTTAAAGGCTACTGAATGGCTCAAAGTTCTGATCATGTCTCAGTAAATGAGGATTGGATTGTTGGCAGCCTGTCGAAGAGATAATTTTATGAAATAATGAATCTTCAACCATCACGTGGCATTCGATGGAGGAGCGTAATTAAGCTCCAAGATTCTATACAACAAGTAATAAACGTATATGCAGATACAAAAGGTTGATTCCAGTGTAAATTTGCTTTTTACCTTGAGCAAAGAGTACAAATAGCAAGTCGCAATGTAATGGGCATTCTATTGCGCGCTATTTCTCGCTCTCCTTTTCAAGAAATTCAGTCCATAAAGAAACGAAGTTCTCGGTCCTTGAATTAGTTTTGCTAACTCGCAAACCATTGGCAGAGTGAATCAATCCGGCCTGCTGTTTTTTATCATCATCCCAGCTCAAGAAGCTAGAAATCAATTCCAACACCTCGAATTTTTTGGGATCACCACGAGGAATTGATACAAAGGAAATGAGTAGATTGGATATCAATTCCTTATCAACGTTTTCAGAATCATTACTCTGTTTCAGCATTGCTAGGGCCTTGGTTAAATGTTCATTAAGAATGATCGCCTCATGGCGTAGCTTTCCAATCTGTAGGACCCGTTCTTTACACTCTTGTTCAAGTGCCTTCTTTTTATCCAAGTCTTCGCTCATCGACTGAACCCGTTCATCTAATTCTGCAATCGTCCTACTATCACTTAAATGCTTTTCTTCAGCGTTTTTTAGTTCATTTTGAAGTTCCCTTATTTTGGTATCTCTGGCGTTAATTGTTTCGGCATTTTTGATCGTGTCTGCTTGCAGCTGATCTTCTATTTCTTTCAAACTTTTCTCAAGCTGTACTTTCTGTTCCTGGCTGCTTTCTAACTGTTGCTGATAGTCCTCCACTTCTTGGGACAAAGCACTCATGTCCTGCTTACTATTATCTAACAGAATGGTAAGTTCTCGTATCTTTTCTTGTAAAATATGGGTCTCTGAAAGATGTACCTCTTTTTCATTGTCACGATCAGATTTGGATCTCTCAAGTTGTTCTTCTAGAGCTTCGACTCTGTGTTTAGCCTGTGAATACTGATCTGACAAGGTCTCACATTCCCTGTTCAAACTTGAGATTTCTTGATTTAATGTGCTAACTGTGCTTTGAAGCTGATGATTTTCTCTTTTAATTGAATCAAGTTTGTTATTCAATTTCAGGTTCTGTGATTCATATTCTCTTAATTGTTCCTGGCATGTTTCTAATTCCGCCTGCGATTCTTTCATCTTGCTGAACACCGTCTTCATTGAAGATAACCGGCTGAGCAGTGTATTGTATTGAAGTTCAAACTGATCGCGTTCTTCTTGTACTCTAGCCAAATCGGCGACAAGGGCTTTGTTATCATTTTGTTCTGGATTTGAAGACACCGAATCATCGGTTTTGAAAGCTGCTTTATCAGCTATATCATTTTCTTCAGTTAAAGTATCAGACCGTAGTTGATTACCATGTTCTTCTGGCACTTGCGGCGAACATTGGTTACTATTTGGATCTGTTTCCTTTTGAAGCAGTCCTTCAGTTTCAAGTGAATCCTCAAGTTCTTTTGAAGGAGTATCATTGGTGTGAATCACTTCGTCCGTAGGAATTTCATGACTACTCGCCTTGTTTTTACTGCTTTTCTTCTTATTTTTCCCCATAACTCAGGTCAATGGAGCTCTTGATGTTTGTTTAATAGTTTTCATTTTACACAATTTTCTTGACGCGAGTAATGAAATTACAATGCCAACAAAATACGGATTTCAACTAAAACTTTTCAACTCAAAAGTACAATGGTTGACATAAGAGAGTTCTTTGGGAAAGGCCAGGAAACTGGTCGCCCCAATTCAAAGAGCTCGAATGCAAGTACGAAGAGAGAGAGCGCGCGGCCGACCATACGGAACAACAGCGCCCTAAATCCTATCGAAATCAACGATTTGGATGAAGATACAAATTGCAACTCAAACATGGCTAAGAATGAGCAAACAGGCGAGGCAGACCTACTTGAAATAAAATTGCCAAATCAAGCTTCCAGTAAGCGGGTTTCAACGATGGAAACGTCTTCAAAAGCTCAGCAGCAAGCCGCCCCCTCCGTAAAGCAGAAAAAGGAACCTCCACAAAGAGCATCGAAATCTAAGAAGGCGAGTGTGAATGAAGCGATTTCGGCTGATGAGATTCTGTCACAAATCCCATCGGTTGATTTATCTGCCGTACACGTTAAAGAAAATGTAACGTTTGATTTTAGAGGAAAATCACAAGCAGGCAACGACGCAGAATCAGCCGCTGATGAGGCAGATTTCCCGGAAGGGAGACCCAATTGTTTATTGGGTCTCACTATTGTATTTACTGGCTTACTTCCAACTTTAGAGCGCGGAGCAGCCGAGGCCATAGCGAAAAGATATGGCGCAAGAGTAACGAAATCTATTTCCAGCAAGACATCAGTTGTTGTTCTTGGCGATGAAGCCGGTCCCAAAAAGTTAGAGAAGATAAAACAGTTGGGGATAAAAGCTATTGATGAAGATGGCTTTAGACAATTGATTACTGGCATGCCTGCAGAGGGTGGGGCTGGTACAGCTGCCGAAAAGGCTCGCCAAAAACTTAAAGATCAAGAAGATCAGGCTCAGAGAGATGCTGCAGAAATGGTCAGAAAAGAGGCCGAAGAATTAAAAAAGTTGGATACTTCGAGAGCTGCCGGAGCGGATGTTAATGAAATAGATAGGCTGAGAGAAGAGCACAAACTTTGGACAGTCAAATATGCGCCAACAAATCTTAACCAAATTTGTGGGAACAAAACCAGCGTTAATAAGCTCAAAAATTGGCTAAGTAATTGGTCGTCCTATCAAAAGCAAGGCTTCAAGCAACCGGGAAGAGATGGTCTGGGCGTGTACAGAGCAGCAATGCTGTATGGTCCCCCGGGAATTGGCAAAACCACAGCAGCGCATTTAGTTGCAAAAGAACTCGGATACGACGTACTTGAACAAAATGCATCGGACGTGCGTTCAAAGTCTTTACTGAATGCAGGAGTAAAGAATGCCCTCGACAACACATCTGTAGTTGGCTTTTTCAAGCAACGCGTGGACAGAACTGCAAATGGACAGAATTTTGTGATAGTTATGGATGAGGTTGACGGGATGAGTGGTGGTGATCGTGGGGGCGTTGGTCAACTTGCGCAGTTTTGCAGGAAAACTTCAATGCCGATGATTTTGATTTGCAATGAACGTAATCTACCCAAGATGCGTCCATTTGATAGAGTGTGTTTGGACATTCAGTTTAGACGTCCTGATGCTAATAGCATAAAAGCTCGGTTGATGACCATTGCAGTACGAGAGAAATTCAGATTGGATCCAAATGTTGTCGAAAAGTTAGTTCAGTCAACAAGAGGTGACATAAGGCAGATCATTAACCTTTTGTCCACGGTAACGACAACAACTAAGCAGATTGATCATGATAATGCTTACGATATAGCACTCTCTTGGGAAAAGAACGTGGCGTTGAAACCGTTTGATATTGCCCATAAGTTATTTGAAGGAAGGAATTACACTGAATCAGGTGCCAAAAGCTTTCCTTTATATAAAAAGATGGAGCTTTACTTTGATGACTTTGACTTTGCTCCGTTGATGGTGCAGGAGAATTACTTGAATACAAAACCCACAGTACTGAAGCCAGGCCAAACTCATTTAGAGGCCGTTGCTGAGGCTGCGGATAGCATCTCTGAGGGTGATTTAGTCGAACGCAAAATACGGAGTAGTGAGCAATTATGGAGTCTCCTACCCTTCCATGCAATCATGTCCTCAGTAAGACCAGCTTCACGAGTTGCTGGCCAAATGGCGGGACGTATCAATTTCACTTCCTGGCTAGGACAAAATTCAAAAATGGGAAAATATTACCGTATTCTCCAAGAACTTCAATATCATACCCGATTGAGCACTTCGACGGATAAACTGGGGTTTCGGATGGATTATATGCCAACTTTGAAGAGGAGACTGCTGGATCCCTTAGTAAAGGAGGGAGCAGATGGCATCAGCGAGGTTATTAGAATCATGGATCAGTATTACCTTTCAAAGGACGACTGGGATTCAATTATGGAATTTATGATAGGGCCCGACAAGACCGATAGTATTTTGAAAAAGATACCCACGGCTGTGAAAAGTGGGTTTACGCGCAAATATAATGCGGCAATGCATCCGGTTTCTATCTACAAAACCGGCTCCACTACAGCTGTTGGGGGGAAAGGACCTTCAAGCACTCCAGATTTTGAAGATATTGTTGATGCAGATGATGATGTCCCACCTGCAGACGATGAAAATGAGAGCAAGGACGATGAAATAGATTTTAAAAAAGATAAATTGATCAAGCAAGGGAAGCCCAAGGCAAAGAAGAGGGCAGCTGGTGCGACCAAGAAGGTGCCAGCCAAGAAAAGAAAGACTTGAAGTTCACGAATGCTACCAATTGCAACAATCATGTTCGTCTATGTGGAACCTTGAGCTGATGCACGTAAAGTATTTAAGTTGAATTACAATTGCTTGCGTTGACAAGAATTTTTGATATGGTAGCTTTTTAATCTTTCTTGTCTTTTTGCGATGCCCTGCTTTGTACATCGGCGTATTTATCTGTGAAGCGACTTGTAGCGATGTATGATACAATTAGTAAATTGCCCCAAGATATAGTTCACCAGTTTCTTTTATCAGCAGTGAGCATTTCATGAGCAGTGAGTTTAGTTGTACAGTTCATTTTTATCGTACGTATACCTTGTGTATGTAGAGTTTTGGAGAAGAACGACGAAGTAATTAGGTCGTAATCTATTAGGGTGTTTATATGTACAGAAGATGTCGCTCTGAATTGATCTGAGTATCGAACATCACGCCTTATCATAATCAAGATTAATTGTCAACAAAATCATATTTACCATTGAAAGCGTCTTTGATCCATTCGGACAACTTACCGTAAATTACTCTCCCAGCATTGTGAAAACTGATGGAATGATCTGAATCGGGAAACAACTGCATGTCATAATTTCTTATATTATTCAAATTGAGTCTATCAATCAATTGAAGCGAATTTTGTAAATGTACATTATCGTCGGCAGTACCATGCATAATTAGAAGCCTTTGTAGTTTTGAAAAGCCATCTATGTCTTTGATAAGGGAAATCTCATTGTATCCTTTTTCGTTTTCGTCTAACAGCCCCATGTATCTTTCTGTATAAATAGAGTTATAATATCTCCAATCAGTAACAGGAGCGACAGCAATTCCATATTTAAATGTCCTTCCCTGATCATATTCGAGAGACTTTAAAGTTACAAATCCCCCATATGACCAACCCCAGATTGCAACCCGATCTGGGTCGATATTATCAATATTCGTTTCGATAAATTTCTGGGTAACCTCAGTGACATCTCTCGGTTCCCAATATCCAATTTGACCCTTAACCCAACTTCTGAAGGACCATCCTCTTCCTGCGGTTCCTCGGGGCTCTATTCTAAGGACAATGGCATCTAAACTTGAAACAATACTCTCCTCAAACATAACGTTAAATTTAGTGTCTACTGTTTGGGAACCAGGGCCACCATATACCTGTACGAGTAAAGGATATTTTCTTTTCGTATCCATTTTTCGGGGCTTAATTTCAATGAAATTAATCTCAAGTCCATCTTCCAAGGATATTTTTTGATATGAAGTTATAGGGAACTCGTATTTTTCTAGTGCCGCCCGAAGTTCTTCGTTTTGAGTCAACTGTAGTATTTCGTTGGACTTATTGTTTTCTAAGAGGGCTGTTAAAGGTCCTGCTTCAGTCATTGGTTTATTGGGGCCTAAATACTTTTTGGTTGCAAATCTACAGCTAAAGCTCATCTCAAAATCATAAAAATCGTCCTTATTGGGATCTTGACGAGTTTCAACGCCGCTGTTATGGTTAACAAGAGATACCGAATAGAGATGTTGAGACAAAGTCCCTACCATATTGGCTAGAAAAAAAACGGTATCGCTATCGAGGTCATACCCCACAACGCCTTTTCCAGTTACTTCCCAAGCGCCATTGGTGATCTGCCGACAAGATCCTGACAAGGCAGACGGAAAATAGAATAGGTGAGGAAAACCGTCAGCGTCCACGAGAATGTCAACGTAACCGAATTCTTCTCTTCCAAGAGATGGTTTTGGCGGTATGATTTGCACATTTCTGACCTTATCAATCCAACCGTTGTAGGATGTCGCATTAACGACTTTAATGGTATTAAGCATCGACTTTTTCAAATCGAAAGTTTTCACAGTCATTACTTTCGAAGAGCGATCAGCCTGTTTGAACATAAATATGTCGGGACTTATCCATTGAGCGGCATATAGAATGTCATCAGTGGGTTTTTGTGATGGGCCAACCTCATACAGAGTCCCTACGTGGATGTCAAACATGTAAATTTTAATTTGGGGATTAGGAGTGCCTGGCTTAGGATACAAAATTGATTCAAGCTTGGTGTATTGCCCAGCATCCGTATATTTTGGATACTCATATTTGCCGACATTCGTATCATTAAATTTAGCAAAAACGAATTTTGAATCATCGGGGGCCCACCATATTGCTTCATCGCTCGCTAAAACGTCCTCTTCGTATACCCAATCTGGCTTGGCATTGAATATTGTACTAGACCCATCAAATGTTATTTGTTGTGGTGGATATATCTCATTGATATATTGAATGTATAAGTTATTCTCATGCACGAAGTAGATGAAATTATAGCACGGCGAGAAACGTACAAAAGAAAGCTGGAACAATGAATCGCTATCCGGATAAGGAGTTATGGGTCTCATGGTATTTGCTTTGATGTCTCTCAGCCAATAATATGCATGCGACGAGTGTCTGCGCTCTCTTTCCAAATTTGTGGCTACAATCGCTCTTTTGAGGTTGTATGAGGGTTTGAACGATGACACAGTGTAGTCGATGCCATTGTACTCAAAAGACGTCTCTCCTAATTCCTCGTAATAATTTACGTCGGCAAGTTTTTTGGCAACAAACCTGTGAACACTGGAAGACTTGTCTACACCTAGGTAAAGACCTGAGTCGACATCTTTTGAGTTAAATACATCAGCAGGCTTGATAAATTCGAATGTAATATCGTGATAATCAAATTCTCCATCGAGAACGTTATCGATTGTGAACGATCGTCTGGGCGCAGGAGAGTGTCGCGAAGAGGGTTCTGAGATTGTTTTCTCCGAGTGGAATGCTGTAACGGCAAGGTAAATTCCTATCCAAGAGGCCAGTATGCATACGGCTAGTATGATGTGTTTCTTTCTGGTCATTCTTTTCTTCCACCCACCTGAGAACGTTCCCGAGCCTTCAAATCGCGGTTGGTTTTCAATGTCTATTGTGCCTTCGGAAGATTCTTCTCCCATTGGCTCAAGGGGATAAGACTGCGGTGGCATGAATTGGACACTTGAATTTGTCTTTTGGAGGTAGATCGAAGGATTTCTCCTTTTTCGCGATCCTTCCATATGCCTGATTTTAAATATTGTGCATTTGAGGGTCCATTGCGCGTCAAACAAGGAAATTCATGATCCTCTTGGCAATTACATAGCCACTATCCACGTGATACATGCTTTCTTTCGGGAAACTACCCTCTTCGCACTCGCTTGAGCTGTCAGAGGAGTCCAGAAGTGGCTATCGTTTTGATTATTGCAGGAAGGTCAATTCAAATTACTTGGTATATATGTGGATGAAAATATTCTTATATAGTGAAGTAAGTTGTTTATTGAGAACCAGCCAAAGCAGCGATCTTGGCAGCAACACGAGCCTTTCTCTCTTCCTTGGACAACTTGGTTTGTCTGTACTTCTTGGATTCGGCAGCGTATTGTTCCTTGGTGAACTTCTTTTCAGTTGGCTTGAAAGATGGGTCAGCTCTGATTTTTTCGTGAGCTTCCATGTAGATGTCTTCAACGGAGTCAGCATCGATGTCGTCGGCCAAGTAACCCTTGAACAATTCTCTGAATCTTTCTTCATCATCGTCAGCCAATTCTTCCATGTATTGAGAGACGTGACCACCGAAGATGTAAGTTCTCAACAAGTCTGGGTCCAATTCCTCGGCTTCGAAATCCCAACCTGGGAATCTGCTTTCGGAGTGAGGAACGTACAAACCACCGTCAGAAGCACCCTTTAGAGCACCGAAGACACGGGCACCAGTGGTGGTTCTTTGCAAACCGATGTCCAAGAAGACCTTGAATGGACGTGGACCATCTTCGACGGCTTCAGTCAATTCGTATTCACCTTCTGGCTCTTCAACACCTGGGTAGGTTTCGTCCAAGCCCAACTTTTGCAAAGTTCTTCTGGCAATCAACAAACCAGTAGCGTAAGCAGCGGCCCAGTTGGTCAAACCATGGGTGATACCGTACTTTGGCAATTCGTGAGAGTAAGCAGCAGCTAGGACAATGTCACCAGTGATAGTGGAGGAAACAATTTGGCAGATAATGTCCTTGTTAGTGAATCTAACGACCAATCTGTACTTTGGAGTGTTGTACTTAGCCTTGTGTTGGGCGACCAATCTCTTTCTTTGGTAGTAGTCGGTCTTACCCTCTCTTCTTCTCCTGAAAGGAGTTTGGAAACGGGAGTGGTAGGCAGAGGACTTCAAGTTTAGTTCAAAAGCCATTTTGATGCTGATCTTATTCTAACGTCTTTACAAATGAGCTAGCTGCAGAATTGTTCAACTTTCTTTCACGATGAGTGTGACGGTGATTCCCGTCACGATGCGTGCCGTGCGTGGGTAGCTCACTTCGATTAGCGATATTGTGTTCGTAATATATGATATTATTATCTTTCGAATTCTACGAAAGTTTTTAAATTGTATGGGTTTATGTATCTTTTTTTGACAAATTACTTCACCTGTACACCACGTAATGAATTTTTTAGCAGTCCTCGGTGCCATGGTTGTGGGGGCTCGTATTTAGGGCACCGTAAGGAAACGATAAGCGATCAGAAGGCAACATTCGGGGCTTAGAATTCCAAGGGAGACCCGTACCAACTCATGGCTCAATCGCCATTTAATTTACCTTAAATATACCGTAAATTGACTATAATACACTTCTTTGCCTATATTCAACATTAAAGTGATCCTCTATGTCACTCACTTCGCAGCAAAAGACACAGATCTTAATCACGGATGTACCAAGAGAAGATTTCGTGAAGGGCTGGTCGCAGCAGTTGGAAAAAGAGCTGTTCGAGGTAAAGTTTCCTGATCTGAAGAGTAAATGTGAATACTACACTCCACTTGCATTTCTCAGCCGTATTGTGATCATATTTGAGGATGAAGCGTCGACTCTGCAGGTATATGAGTACTTAAATCAGGAACTGAAGTCCCGGGGCGTGAAGCTGTATTTGACGGAGTCATTACTGGCACGGCCACGCTCGAAATCAATGGACGATCCTGTGCCAAGCAAATCAGAAAAACCTATCTTGGCTATTGATACTGGTAGTTCAGTTATCAGCTCGCCTACGTTGTCTCCGGAAAGAGCTTGCGGGCAGTCTCCCACCGCCATGCGGTTTCCTGAAGATGGTAAAGTGCATTATTACCAAGAGCCAGCTCCGCGGCCGGAAATGGCAGAAGAGCCAAAGCCACAATCAGGTAAAACCACCTATTTATATAAGCCTGACTTAAAACTCGACGTGGCGGGTGTGCGTGGTGGCAGCTATGGAAATTCCCCTCCCATGAGCCCCAGTATTACACTCAACGAATTTACACACTGAAATCGCATTGCATCGCTTATGTACTATATAGTATCTTAAATAAGGAGTAGATTATTAGGAAAAGAGGAAAACTAACCAACATATTCATTCATCATTTTAGCCTTTTTATTGATAAATTAACTTATATACACGTTTGTAATGACTACTGACGGTCCTCTGGTACTGGTTGATCAAATTCTGCTTTTGCAGCTTCACTCACAGCTTCACCGTTTGCGTAGTGAGCTCTAAAGAAAGTGTAATGCAGTATAATATCGTCTATATTTCTCATGCTTGGATCTGACGCAAAATCTGGGTCAATGAAGAAGAAAACAGGCATATCTATCTCTTCTCCAGCGGCTAATCTCTGTTCCTCGAAGCAGAAACACTGTATTTTGTTGAAATATTGGGCAGCCTCGCCGGGAGTGATACTGTAGGTCGCCATTCCTATGATATCCTTGTCACTGACGTTCTTGGCCTTATAGAATGCCAACGCAGTTTCCCCTGGGAGTACATATACTTCACGCTGTTGTGGTATGAATTTCCAAGGCAGAATTTGTGATACTTCACTTGTAAAAGCCACCCTGATTCGCTTATCTGTGTCCACGGGTATCAACTTGTCATCCGTAAATTTACGTCTGTCTGTGATAGGCACACCACCAAAACCAGTTCTAGCGCAAATCGCTCTATAAAGAGGAACGGCTGCATATGCTAGACCTAAAAATACAACAGCGACACTGCTGAAGTAAAATGCAGCAGTGCGATCCTTATAATTTCGATCTTTCTGCAGTTTGAGCTCACGAAGCTGTTTGATCTCTCGTTGAGTGAGCTTAGAAAAATCTATCTTATTCTGAGAATATAGGCGACGGGGATTGAGGCTCCGGGTTGCCGCTCTGAAAAGTAACCTCTGCAGCATCATTGCCATTCAAGTTATGCGCTTGCCAATGAAGTTTGTTACGGTATACCTTGTTGAAAAAAAAAAAAAAACGGACCCTCCCCACGTCCATCATTCAAAGAATAATATACTTTGTCATTCCTAGACAGATGAGTGAAACGGGTCCCAGAAAGCGCAAAAAGGTTTCTCGAGCATGCATTTACTGTAGACGATCACATATGATTTGTGACGAGCAGCGTCCTTGTTCAAGATGCGTAAAAAGAGATATCGGACATTTATGTCACGATGAGGAAGCCAAATCGCAACTAGATGTGCAACCCGTTCCCGAACACCTAGCATCTGCACTACCGATAGGCAAAATTTCACAACCTAATACTAACTCGGTGGGCAAGATGTCAAGTTTCCTGGCGCAGCACCCTACCTTTGTGTCCGAGCATGTAGGCTCCGAGTTTTCTTCTCTGAATGAATTTCTATCAATGCTCGAGGATCCGCTACTACTTGACCCCGTTCCATCACTGTCTAGTACATTATCTAACGATCAAAAACCTCTCCAAGATCAACCGACACTAAAGGAGAATTTCTTCCTCACAGCGGCAGACCCTTCTACTGAGATGACCCCGGAGGATCGGTTAAAGTCCGTCATCAACGCAAAGTTAGAAGCAGGACTTTTACAACCATACAATTATGCACAGGGCTATGCTCGATTACAAGCTTACATGGATAAATATATGAATTTGTCGTCAAAACAACGGATATTAAAACCGTTGTCTATTATTCGCCCGGAGTTTCGCGCGATAGCGCGATCTTTGAAGGACGTAGATTTGGTGCTGGTAGAAGAAAGTTTTGAAAGGATGCTTCTATCCTACGACAGAGTATTTACATCTATGAGCATGCCAGCCTGTTTGTGGAGAAGAACTGGGGAGATATATCGTGGAAATAAGGAATTCGCCTCTTTGGTGGATTGTACCGTTGATGATTTGCGGGACGGGAAATTGGCAATTTATGAATTAATGACAGAGGAAAGTGCCGTAAATTTCTGGGAGAAATATGGTTCAATTGCTTTCGACAAGGGTCAAAAAGCTGTCCTAACAAGTTGTAATCTTAGGACGATTGACGGCAGGAGAAAAAGATCCTGCTGCTTCAGTTTCACCATACGGAGAGACCGTTATAATATACCCATCTGTATTGTCGGTAATTTCATACCGTTATCATGATGATCTAATGAGCATTTAATTTACACTTTTTATAAGGGTACATCTTAGAACCATCTTAACTTAAAATCGATTCAACCGAATTCCATTCCTTGTATTTAAGGTTTGGAAGGTTTTTTTTAACCAAACCACTTATCACTGTTCCTGGGCCTATGTGAACAGTCTCCTCAACTTCAATCTTGTCAAGAGTTTCGCAGCAGTGTACGAACTGTACGGTATCGCTGCTGCATTTTACAAAATTCTCTAGAGCTTCATCCACATTATAGACAATTCGCCCATTGAAATTGGATATTATTGGATGGTCCAGTTCACGCTTGACGTGAAGGCCTTGTTCCTTGAGCTTTGTCCACATAAAATCATGCAATGGTTCCTGAATTTGTCTCAGAACACATTTGTTATGAAATGCAATGCCGGCGGGATTTGTCAAAGGCACTATACGGCAGCGGGGTACCAGTTTGCTTAATTTGTGCTTTAATTCTTTCAACTTTTTCTCCGGGCCAGTGATAACGCATTGTTTTGGTGTGTTTATATTTGCTAGACAAATATCGGGGAAATCCAAGAATATAGCCTCTAGCTCTAGTTTTAAATTTGTAGAGCGTGGAGCAGATATCGCCCACATTTCAAATCGACTTCCAAAATCCTTATCGGCTTGAATATACTTGTTTGTAGCTTGTATCATTAATTCGTTACGACGCCCGGCGATAGCAACGACATCATTGACATCGTAAAGCCTGTTTCCTGAGGCTAAACACGATAATTCACCAAGCGAGTGTCCGAGGAAGCACATTTCGTCTATACGAGGGTGAAATTCTCGGTATAATTTATACAGTAAGTTTGAACATGCCGCTATCGACGAAGGATTCGATGGTTTGGCTTCGATAAGCCTCAAGAGATCGGCGTGCCTCGCATCATGAAAGATATTGCGAAATTGCTTAGAAGATTGTGATAAATATGTATAAAACACGTCTAATGCAATTGGCGTTCCTTGGCCCGGAAACGTGATAACTCTCATCTGGATTAAGACCGCTTTTTTATCAATGACTCCTCACGACCATGCAAATTTTTTTTGTAATTCCTTCGCAACTATAAAAAAACAGAAAGTAATCGGCCTCGGTAATTTCAAGGTACACTTCGAATTAACTTAAGGTATACTCAATGTCGGACGTCAGGCCCTTGCCCTTCATTTATCAGTTTGCAGCAGGTGCGGTGGCCGGGATCTCGGAAATCCTGGTTATGTACCCACTAGATGTGGTGAAAACCAGAATGCAGTTGCAGGTTTCCGGTGGTGCCGGTCCCCAATATCATGGTGTTGTGGACTGTATCAAACAAATTGTTGCTAAAGAAGGTGCATCTCGTCTGTACAAAGGTATTTCTTCTCCAGTGCTAATGGAAGCGCCTAAGAGAGCAACCAAATTTGCATGTAACGATGAGTTCCAAAAGATCTACAAGCGCGAATTTGGTAACGGAAAATTAACTCAATCCTTGAGTATTTTGAGTGGTGCTTCTGCTGGTTGTTGTGAGGCTTTTGTTGTTGTGCCTTTTGAATTAGTTAAGATCAGATTACAAGACGCCTCTTCGAGTTACAAGGGCCCTATCGATGTGGTCAGAAAGATCATCGCCAAAGAAGGTGTGCTTGCAATGTACAATGGCTTAGAGTCCACCCTTTGGAGACATGGTGTTTGGAACTCTGGTTATTTCGGTTTGATTTTCCAAGTTAGGAACCTCTTGCCAAAGGCTCAATCAAAAACAGAACAAACAAGAAACGATTTGATTGCTGGTACGATTGGTGGTACCTTTGGTTCATTGTTGAGCACTCCATTCGATGTTGTTAAATCGAGAGTTCAAAACACGGCTGTCGTGCCTGGAGCAGTCAGAAAATATAACTGGTCGTGTCCCGCTCTCTTAACCATCTACAAGGAAGAAGGTTTCAAAGCTCTTTACAAGGGTTTCGTTCCTAAAGTATTGAGACTCGGTCCTGGTGGTGGTATCTTGCTGGTAGTCTTCACTGGTGTTATGGACTTTTTCAGAGCCTCCTACTACAAGTAACCCCGCTGGTGAGGCTTTTGCTACTACAATATATATACTACTGTCTGATATAACTTTCCATAGACTGTACGTTCTACCGGCCCTTGCAAATGGGTTCATAAATATTCCAAAAACAAAAGGGCGCTAAGACGAACGAAAATGTTCTCTCCGATGGACTTGACGCTAGAAAGTAAACCACTGATAGGTAAACTAGCAACACGGTTTTATAGTCCTGGTTTGATAATCCGCACGATTATTGGCTTTCAGAAAATTTGATATAAGCTAAATTTTTCAGAGCGTCGCTTTTATAGTTGTTATTATGTAGTGGTTACCCTGACCTGCGCTCTTTCAAATATGCCCTACTTTAAATCACTATACTGCCTACGATATGATAAGGGCATCCCATTAACCGGTAAATAAGATAGCAGTTACAACGAAGAATGAGCGATTCAGCTTTACCTAGTAGCGAATCACAAGACCACTATATTGTGGTGCGGTTTTCAGATGTACAAATAGATGATCTTCCGCTATGCATTACGAATGTGCCCACACAAGAAATTAACACAAAATGGTTACGTCAAATGTGTCGTCAGCTTCGGGGAAGGTGGACTCAAGGGAAACGACTCAAATTTATAAGGAATGGACGTTTGTTAAACAGTCACTCTGATTTAGGACTTCAGCAATTCTTTCAACAAGGAGAGAATGACAAATATTATGTGCATTGCATTGTAGGGGAGACGTTGTCAGCGAATGATCTGGCAAACGAGGATGTTATGGATGATGTAAGTCCCGCAACTGAGGGAACGACTTCCCAGGCCATAGGTTTCGATAGACTGAGGTCGGTAGGGTTTAGCGATGAGGAGATTGAACTGTTGAGACAACAGTTTCGCTCAACATATGGTGACTTGGAAGAGCTCTCGCGAGCCAATAATGAGGCCAGGGATATCCGGCAATTGGAAGAACAGTGGATGGAGACCGGTGCCACGGAGGATGCAGAGCAATTCAATTCCGTAGGCATTGCAAATTACAAGCATAACATCGACCTTTTGATAGGCTTGATAATAGGTTGCGTGCTTGGGGTGTTCAGTCTTTTACTCTTCAAGCAAGAGGGGCTTTTCAACAAGCGTCAGAAAATGGCCATTGTGGCCGGTCTGCTTTTCAATTTCACGTTTGGCATTCTGCGGAGGTCTTAGATACAAGTACATAATTAGGGTGCTTTCAAAGTATCTACTTCTACTCTTGCTTGGGCTTTGGATGGAAGATTTGCTCCAGCAGGTTTTCAATGGGCTTGTCAAATAGGTATGGTAACGCTGGGACGATACTGAGACCAAGGCCAATGGGACCCCAGGTACGTAGAGCCGCATTCTTTGGGAATTGGGCATTGAACCATTTCCCAGAATACTTGACGGTAGAGTGGATGGTGAAGGCAGGCAACCCCATCGAAGCAATGCTCTGGAAAAGCATTCTCTCCACTCCAACCATTTTCCAGTCAGGCAGCTCTTCAAGCGCGCCTGAACTGGCCAGCTCTTCATTCACTGGGGGAAGTGGGTCCCAGGGCTTTAAGCCGTGTCTGTATCTCCCTTCTTTTTGTAACTTAGCCACCCAAGCGACGTAGGACACGTCACCAAGGATGTATAGCCACGATATACCATAACCCAACTTCACCGTAGCTGGTGGAAAAACAGGTCTGAAAGACTCTCCGATATCTGACGTGTAAGCGACGTATCGATGCGATGCCAAAGCGATCGTCCGTAATCGACTGGCGTACGCAGCATAACGCACGCTAGAATCGGTACTGTCAGGGATATTCTCTTCGGCGCTTTTTGTAAATGGGGCAGATTCGTTCCCAGACATGATTGAGTTGGCAGAATGAAATATGGTGGCAAACGTATTCGTGATGGAAGTTTATGTTCCCTCGGGGCGTTATCACCGCGCAGGAATTCCGACCACGGGCTTGAACGCCCAATGTCGAGACCCGAACTACGTCCGCGCATATCCATACAAAAAGCGTAGTGCAGACGGTCGAGGGTCCCCTACGAGACGCTGCTACCATGGCATGTGCAAAGTTGTCAAATTTTTAGTGTGTATTATACAGTATATATACGCCTCACAGTCCACGCTTGCTTGTCTAACGACGCACCAGCAAGTACGCGTTTTCCTGCTTGAGGTTGCTCAAACCACGGTAGTTGCCCTCTAGTCTCATCAGCAGCCCGCCGAACGAGTAGTAAACTGCGATCAAGTCCTTCTTGCCCGCGACTTCTTCGAATCGGTACGCCGTCCCGTACATGACGTAGTCGTAGTCGTCGGCCAACGATCTTTCGCCCGGTTGGGATGCTCTCCAAGAGCCCTGAGCACTTTCAGTGCCGTCCAGCGACAACGTTGATGACAACATCACCGTCAAGTTGTCGTTGGTGTGAACTGGGAAAAGCTCTGTGTTCAAGTCGAGGGTGAGCTGGAACTCCTGTGAGGTAGAATGGGCCTCAATGCGCGAGACCTTGTTGTAACGGCCCGGATCCACATCGGTCACCTGAAAGATATCGTCGAAAAGAGTCGTCGACATCGCCCACTGTATGCTTTCGTCCCTGTGCAGGCTTTCGACCTCATCGCGGGAGAAAATTTTTTTGACAATTTTTCAACTTTGGTGAAAGGTGTTGAGGGCAATCTGGTGACGTGCGCCGTGACCAACCGAAACGGCCAAGAGAGAGACACCGCTTGAGTCATCCAACAACGATTCAACGAGCGCCAACCGCGAGAACCAGCGCCGTAGAGATCGAGTGGATGCCGAGTGCGGCCTCTTGCGAACTTCAATGGCTGCAAAAGCTGCAAAGTTCGCCTACATGCGCGCATCGGCCGTGCAACGCATATGACTAATGCACACCCCAAATTCTAAAAGCACATTCAATTACAGAGAAAACTACATGTGAAAAAACCCTAGCTATATGATTGATCGTAACCGGCGGGGCGAGCCCGAGACGCGCTGTGCGTGCAGCCGCGCCCTCACCTCAACACGGTGGTCTTCCTCTTGGCTCTGTAGTCCTTGATGGCGGCCTTGATGGCGTCCTCCGCGAGCATGCTGCAATGCAGCTTGACTGGGGGTAGACTGAGCTCTCTGGCAATCTCTGTGTTTTTGATCTTGGCAGCATCGTCCAGCGTTTTACCACGCACGAGCTCCGTCATGTACGAGCTGGACGCGATGGCCGACCCGCACCCGAACGTCTTGAACTTGACGTTTTCGATCACACCGGTGTCGTCGTTGACCTGGATTTGTAGTTTCATCACGTCACCGCACGCGGGGGCCCCAACGAGACCCGTACCGACGTTGTTGAGTGTCTTATCGAGAGACCCGACGTTTCTGGGGTTTGTGTAATGATCAATAACTTTTGGATGGTAGAGCCGTCTGGCGATGCTGATTGTGGTTGCGCTTACGGGCCTGGCAGTGTTGGAGACCAAACTACTGTTGCACGTCCTGAGTATTCCGATCCTGGAAGGTGCTATTATGCTTCTTAACATGTGTGATGCGATTAAATGCTTGTAGTCTTTTAAAATTCCGATGTCTTTCAGATGTTGAGATGCTGTTGTCCGACCTTATATATATGCGAGAAGTCAAAAATATCTTGCACGCCGGAGCCGGTGAAAGCGGCGGGGTTCGGAAATTGAGGGGGATTACATCACTCGCCGTGTACGGGCGGTGCCGGGCCGGCGCCGGGGGCGGGTAACGGGGAGGAGGAGGATGGGACGGGGCGGCGATAGGGCGGCGATAGGGCGGCGATATGGCGGCGTTTGCACGGCCCGCGCGCACGTGGCCAGGCGCATATCCGTGCTAAACCCGCTCCTCCGGGTAACACTCCCCGCTTTTTTAGGGGACGGCCGGGTAACGCCGTTTCTTTTTTACCCCTCTTTTTATTCGTTTCTTTTTCTGGGCCGCGGGGCCGGGTAACCTCCCCCCACTCTCCGCGGGTCGCCCGCTTCGCGAGTTACCCGGTGCCCCTTTGGCGTTGCCCCTGCTGGCGCTCAAAATGTAACAAACCCGGCCGGATGGCATTCGTCAGCAGAGTTGGCCAGCGGTGATGTCCAACTCACTAGACGTTGATGTTGACGTAGACTGGCTCTACAAAGGGAAGAAGAAGCATAAGCTGCAGCGCAAGGAGCGGTCGTCATCCGTGTCCAATGGGTCGCTTAGCCACGTTATGACCAAGGCGAACGGCGAGCCGGCAAAGTCCGGAGAGCAGGCGGTGGCGTCGGAGGCGTCGGCGGCTTCGACGGCAGCGGGCGCGTCGCTGGCGCCAAGCTCGTCGAATGAGCCGCTAGCAGCGTCGTCAGGTAGGTCGGCGGCAACGGGCGCGTCCAAATCCGCTTCCAGCGCGGCCGCCAAGCCGCCGGCCGCCGTGAGCGCTAAAGAGCTCAAACGGTCCGGTTCGCTGAACGAAAAGCCCAAGAAGTCGCTGCTGGGGTCGCTGTTCCGCAGAAATAGCCATGGTGCCACCGACAAGCCTGCCGACAAGCCTGGCGAGAAAGCCGGCGCGAGCGGGGCGGCCACGGCCGCGCCCACGCCCGTCCCCGTGGCCCCTCGAACCCGGCTGCGCTCCAGTTCCAGCGCGCAACAGCCCATGGCCATGGGCATAACGCAGGTTCTCAAGGAGCCCTCGTCGCCCGAGGTCAAAGACACCGCGCCCATCCACGAGGAGCGCATCGTGCTCAACAAAAACCCACGCAAACAGGCGCTGCCCATCGAGTCGTTGGCCAAGCTTTCGCTCAAGCGTGTGACGTTTGCAGTCGACCAATTCGGCATGGACCCTCCCCAGCAGATTCCCAGCCGTAAGCCGCGCCGCGGAGACGTGCTGGTCCCCGACGACATGATAAGCCGCACGCCGTCGATCTCGCTCGGGATCACCAACACCCAGGGTAGCATCGAGCAAGGCTCCTCGCAATTCACACCAGATTCCAAAGAATACAAGTTTGCTCTCGAAAACCATCGTCGCGCCCTGCGCGAGTCTGACAAACATCAGCAGGAAGCGCACTACGCTGCGCAGCGCATTGCGCACGAGGTCCAAAGCTTCCGTGCCAAGACTGGTGCTGCTGGTGCAGCTGCTGCCAACGCTTCCGGTGGTGCAAATAACCCACCTGCAAGTGTCCCCATGGCTGCAAGCACCTCCACCAACGAGCCTGATGAAAAGGTCAAGAACCTTGAAATCGACAAACCCATTCACATGCACGAGAACCACTTTGAACGCGACGGGGTTCCAACCGTCGACAATGTCAATGAAAAGCTAACGCTCGACAAAATATACACCCGGTGTTGCCATTTGCGTGAAATTCTGCCCATACCATCTACTTTGAAGCAAGTACGAGGCAAGTCTGCTCCTTTGCAAACTTTGAAATTCCTCAATCCGCGTCCCACACTTATCGATATCCTATCTTTTTGTGATTTCATCGCCATTGTCCCCATCCATAATGTTATTTTCGACAATGTGAGCCTCACTCCTGAAATGTTCAAGATCGTCATTGCCTCATTGGTCAACTCGCGTATAGTTGAGAAAATCGGTTTTAGAAACGTGGTCATCGACGCAGAAGGTTGGAAACTCCTCTGTAAGTTCCTCATGCGCAATGATTCCTTGCTTAAGATCGACATCTCTCAAACAAAGATAAAGCCTGACTTGGATGTATCTTTGCATCGTGCCAGTATGGACTGGAACCTATTCATTGATGTCCTACAACGGCGTCCCGGAAGACCACTTGAGGAATTGCTCATCAATGGTATCAAATTCGAAAACTTTGATGTCTTTGCCAACTTGCTGACCGCCTTTGCAAGTGCAAGCACCTCTACGCGTAAGCGTTTGGGTGTTGCTCAATCCGAGCTTTCGGCAGAACACTTGAAGTTCTTGATGACATGGATCAGTGAGTACAAGATTCAAGGTGTGGATATGGCCTTTAATGACCTTGGCGATCTTGTCAAGCCAATGGTGAGCAAGTTCTCTAGTATGGATTACTCCAATTTACAGTACTTTACTCTGAACAACACAGGTATCCAAACTGCCTACGATGCAGCTCTTATATTGCGTGCACTTTCGAAACTCCCCCACCTATACTTCCTTGATCTAAGCAATTTGCCCCAAATATTCCCAGATGTGTTCCCATATTTGAACAAATACCTTCCTCGTTTCCCGATGCTTAAGAGATTACACTTGGACAGTAATGAATTCTCTCCGCGAGAACTAGCTATGGTTGCCACCATACTCATGAAGTGCAAGCAACTCCTTCACTTGTCGCTTCTCAACATACCTAAAGATGCTTTCACCACGGGATCTTGTGCAGGTATTTACGACTGTGTCACGCAATCGGACAAATTGACTAATTTAGACATTAATTATAACTATATGCCTGAGGAAATATCTTCTCGTGTTGCGCTCTGTCTTATGCGCAGAATGCAACGTGATTTTGAATTTGATGAGATGACTTCGCAGGACGATTTGTTGTTTGATGGTTCACTCTTGTCTGAAACAGCCGAAAATGTTCTTGAGAGGCTAAACAACATTGACGATTTGGAAACTGATACTACTAGACGTTACCTTTTCAAGAAATATTGGGAGAAATTCAATCGTGTGCATGATAATGTCCAGAAAACCATCGATGAGATGTTTGAAAAGAGAAGCACAGGGGAGCTCACTCTCCAAAGTAAAGAGAATTTACTTCGCTTATTGTTTTTGGAGAACAACTTGTCCAAGATTTTGGAAATTTTGAAAGCGCATCCTCTAGTTGCGGGTGTTGTGGGGGTGGATACTAGTTCACAACCGGCCAACTCTGAACAACTCCTTGTAGGAAATATTAGTGACGTCGACAACGCTACCCAAGTACGGCCCCATTTAATGGCAACTGATTCGGGCAGAACTATCGACGTTGCAACTGGTAAACCCGTCTTCTGTAAATCCTCGTCGCACGTTTCTCTTGTAGGTAAGAGGCAAGAAGAAGAAGAAGGTGAATTTCATAAATGGGGGTTTTTTGTTCAACAACAACGATCAATATATCCAGAACATGATTTTAGACACCCAAGTCAGGGAAGGGGCGGATCAACAGGCAGCGATCCCCTCCATGTTGATGTTAAGCTCCCTCCTCTTCGCACAAAACCTCCCAATCCTATCGTTCCCCCATCACAGGCGTTTTCTAGTGAGTCTCATGGACCTGTGAACGCTCAACAGACTTTACCACAAGCGGATTCACCATCTCAGGTGTCGAGCTCCGCGGCTTCTTCCCAACCTTCAGTGGCCAGCCCAACTTCACACACTCTCATTCCAAAGATTCCATCTGGTGCAGAATTAAGAGATGCAGTCATGCGTGCCAAAGGTATAAACTCTATCGAGGACCTAATTTACAATGTCAATAGCAACCGTGTGACATTGGATAAAATTTATGGACTTCCATTGCATCCTATGTCATCAGCATCTGATGAGGCCACCATCAGATCATCTCCGAAGGCTATGGCATTAAAATCGAGCATCAGTGTGTCGGACACCTCTTCCGACGAAGAAGATGCGGAAAAAGTTGATGAAACCTATGATAAGTTATTAAATAACTTGAGTAAGGTGAGGTCAAATAAGTGACAGATTTACATAACGCTTAAAAAGAAGATGATGGACTGTGCTTATTCATATTTATAAACAGCTTGATATATACGAAAGTAAATTATGATAAATTTATCCGAAAGGAGAATGAGGTGGATTATTTTGCCAATTCGCGTTAGATTGTCAATCAATTCAAGCACAGATAGAATTTCTTTCACTTCCTTTAATGCTGATTCAGCGTTTATACACAGAGATGTTTGCGACCAACCTCGTCTGGCCCCTGATATGATAATAAATGCGACGCAAATATGCCTTCAAAACACTATGGATATATAAATGAATAAATAATACACTGCTCCTCAGCAATGTGCTCTTCTTGAATAATAACAGGCATACCAAATTACCTTAAAAACATTCTCGTTACCACTAGTTTGTAACCATCTATCCCAACAACTGGAGAGCTTCTTGCCAATCGCCAAATGCCAAGTAATCCACTCATTGTCATGGCAAATATTAGTGTTGAAATCTTTTTCCTTGTTTCAAGCTTTTTCACCTTGGCATACTGGCATAGGCCAGCAATTATATGATAGGTACTGAATGCAATCAGGGCCGACAATGGGACGATCCCACCAACCCACTTTACACTCCATTTGTTGTTCTGTAGAATCCATTTGACAAATGTGAAATCGACATCAACACCAACTTTTTTAGGCATCCACTTCATTAGAGTCATATGATACAATATTATCGGTGTTAGTATATAGCCTGATAAGACCTGTGGAGAGTACGAAAAATTTCGATTAATCCCAATAAAATAACCTGAAAACCCTCCAATAAGCCCAATTGATCTTTGAGACTGGCGCTGCTTATCATCAGTCACCTTCATTTTACGCCTTTTCGGTACGTTCCATTTGTTCACCAAATCCCAGATGCGTATTATTAAACCGCATCCGACGTGTAGCCCAATTGCACTTGCTAATATACTGTTTGTATATGAGGGTAGTAGTTCTCGAACCATCATGAGAACATCATCAGGTGCTCCCTCTGGCGATATCGTTGGAACGATAAGGGTATTAACGGCATGCAGTGGAAAGTAGACAGTCAGGGGCCAAATAGAATGCTTTTGAACTTTCCGCAGAGCTTTTCTTATGAATCTACTTGACAAAATATATGGAACACCTTTAGGTAGTTCATCCTCTTCAAATGGCTTGAAATCGTGAATTGGTTCCGGTGGTATCTCTTGTAGTTCCATTATGTACACTTTTTCCTGCGCGATGACTTTAAAAAGTTGAAATTTACAAAACTTTATATAGTTAAGCAACATAACTAGTGTCAGAGGGAAATTTATCGCACTCCTGAACAAGGCATGAACGAACTGCCAGAATGGTGTCCTCCCTATAGCTCACAAAAGAGAGATATCTCTACTAATGAAGAGGTTTATTGTATCTGTAAAAAGCCAGATGGTGGCGAGCTCATGGTGGGTTGTGATGGATGCGATGATTGGTTTCATTTTTCATGTCTCAAGATATCGTCAAACTACAAGGAGCTGGTTTTTTCCTTTTTCTGTCCTTATTGTCAGGCAGGCATCACCGGACCAGGATCTTTATCTAGTGGCAACCTGCCCAAAACAATATGGAAACGGAAATGCCGACTTCATAGTTGCTACAAGCCTTGCTCAGAAAACAGCAAATATTGCAGTGAGCAGCATGCAGAGGAATACATTGGAGGCGTTTTGCGCCGTGTTGAAAGTAAAGAACGCAATTCTGTCTCGTTAACCAGGCAAATGTTGGAAGCGGGTGATCTTTCCAAGATTCAGCTGCTTGGTAAGCAGGGAATACCGCCGGCGACCCGTGAACAAAATTCCGATTTGTATGATAGCTTAATTGGCAGAGATAAGAAGTTGAAAGAACTGCGGGAAGAACAGGAGATTATTGCGAAGAAGGAGATGCCTCGAATCGAGCAAGAAATGAAGGCTCTCAAGGAATACTCAGAATGGCTTAAAGCTGTTAATTCAAGACTATTTGATTCTGTGGAGGAAGCTGTTTCACGCAAAAGTCAAAAAAAGAAGAAAGCCTTGAAACGGAAGAGTATTTGTGGTTATAGATCGCAGTTGACAATACCATGCAGCGTTGAAGATTTTAGCGCACAGTTTCAAGAAGACGTTGAGGAGCTACACGATATATGTTGCAGAATGAGGTGTTCTAGACACCAAGATTGGGCTGGAACCATGCAAGACGCTTTACAATTTCAAATCGAAAGTTTTGAAACCTCGTCTCAGCGTCTAGCGCTGCTCGTAAAGATACGAGAAGACCAACTCAATAGTCAGTTTCATGAACAGATGCAACGCACAGCTGATTTGCAACATGCACCTCGAACCGAAGAACGTGTGCAGGTAGCCCAGCTGACATGAGGCGTTCAGAATATTGGATCCAGTTGCTTGCGCCGATTACGGTATCTTCTTGATTTCCCCACGTGCTGGGAAAACTTGATCAAATACCTCCATTATAACGGGTTTACTGATGTTGTCGTCTCAGGAACCTTCCACCTGGCAATTTGCGAATACTAGTTGATTCTCTCTGTATCGAGATTGAAAGCTCGATTAGCAACAGGTGTATGGAAAAATGAATAACTGTGAAACGTTAGTCACAACGGTGTGGCCGTTGGTTTCCTACGAGCAGGTCAGGGATGCCAATGTACCTAATGATTTACAAAAAAACAGACCCCTGCCCGGCTCCACATCATTTCCTGCATTCTCAATGGCCGCATGATGAATAATATTGAAACGGAAATTTGACGGCTCTCAGATCACCTGTTTTTCGAGGCCATTATCGCATTACTATGGCCGGAGTTAATGGTCTTTGGTGTGGCTGAGAAACAAAGCAATTCAACGGCTGTTATGCTTATCAATCAGTGTAAGTGAGATCATGGCGTGGAGATAGTTTATCACATACTTTTGAAATCTTACTTACGCTCCTTTCTAAGATGCTCTCGGACATATATATCATTTCACGTGATGTCTGCCGAATAATCGGTTCTCGGTTTTTTAAGCCGGGTAAATTTCTTTTGGGATATCGTCTGATGATTTGTCGTTTACCTAAGAATATAAAGTATAAAAACGGTTGCTGACCCTTAAACGTGCGGCTAAAGTAACATTTATCATTGTTTAGCAAGATGAGTGGTATGTTGACTAGTAGGATGAAATAGGGCAGTACTGTTGAACTGTACTAACCTAATTGTAGACATAACAACTAATAAAATTCATAATGAAGAGTTCAAGATCTGGAAGAAATCAATTCCCTCGTTGTATCAACACATATCGACCTTCAAGCCTTCTTTTACATCTCGAATTGAGGGGATAGAAAAAATCCCTAAGAACGTGGTATTTACACATAAGGTTGTCCCGGACAAAGAAAAAGGCACACTAACGACATCGCTGCTGTGCACTCAGGGGAGCGATGTCTACGAGGTGGATTGCCAACTACCTCTAGGTCTGCACACCACATCTGAGAAACTGCCAGAGCCTCACTACGATACCGCTTTCTCTTCCCTCACTTCGACGACGTTGGTGCCAAAATGGACTTACCAAGGAGAGACCATCACAAAATTGGAATATGTGGGTTCTCCGGACTGTGAGTTTATTGCAATGGCATCCAACGGGTCATTGGCATGGTTCAAGGAAGGATGCAAAGTTCCTGTGCATGTCATGGCTGAAATGATGGGTCCATCTACTAGTTTTTCTATGATCCATCTTCAGAAGAAGCGTAATGAGATAATCGCCGATTTCGCTGTCTCACAAGACACAGAAACTGTCGTGAAGTCACAACAGAGTATGATGAATGGTGGGAGTGGCGAGCACAGCATCTTAAAAATTGTTGACAACTGTCAATCACCCGGTGATCTACTACGTACCATTCCCGTGGAAGGAACTACCGTCACGCACACTGTTAAGTTCCACGACAACCATATGTTCAGCACGTGTTCAGATGACAACAGGTTGAGGTTTTATGACACAAGAGGCAATGGAAAACCGATCTGGAGTGTTTGTGATCCCAATGACGGAAGATTGACTTGTTTTGATGTTTCCCCTGTTATGGAGACGATGTTCATAACCGGTTCTAGCACAGGTTTCTTGAAGCTGTGGGATTTGCGTTCTATTGCAGCTGCTACTGCTGAACAAGAGGAACCTACAGAGATTGTCAGCCTCTACCATTCTGGTGGTGATTCCGTCGAGGATGTAAAGTTTGGCGTCTCATCACCCACGGAGTTTTTATCAGTTGGAGGTAGTGGCAATGTCTACCACTGGGACCTCGAATATTTATTCGCTCGTGAAAATGAGAATGATGACGATGTGGCCGACTCTGAGGAATTGCAACAGCAATGCCTGAAATTTATGCACACCGGCGGTGGGAGGAGATCCATCGGAGACTTAAATAAGAGGGGCACAGCTACTTGGCATCCAATCATTGATGGAGTTGTCGGTTGCGTCGATGCAGACGGTTTGTTGACCGTCTATAAGGGTTTCATTGGAAGAGAAGATGACGATGAACAATCACAAGGCGATGCGGAGGAATTACAGGAATAATCATCAGCCTTCTAATCAATGGATATGTTTCGGTCTTTTCTATTTAAGAAAATAAATAATATATATATACACCAGTGACACACAAATAATAGGCTTAATTGTCATGAGGTACTTCAGGTAATTTTAAAGTGATGTTATTTTATTAATAGATGAATTGCTTGTGAAATTCACGCAATGTCGCAAAGAATTGTAAAAATAATAAATACAGTTTCAGAGAAAATCCATTGCAAAACCTCCGTCATATTTATTGAGTTTGGAATAAGCCCAAATCCTATAATTGGCATTTGATCATTATTCTACAATTTCAAGAGAAGTTCCTCTTCACAGACTAAAATGTAAATACTATTATTTTGGTATATATGTATTACGACAAGATCGATCTGCAAATTTGAAAAGATACATTAAACTGCTCGATATCCAGCTTATGATTACGGACTGACCTCTACACGAGACTTTTGTTTCATTTCTTCACTTGTCACGTTGATGGTCTGGTGGTTCTGACCCGTGCCTCGCTCCGCCTCGATGTTTCAATTTTTCGTTCCGAGCAGTTAGCCGGACCGAACTACTTCCCATTAAAACAGAAAGTTCAGGTAAACAATAGAAGGACTTAGAATCGCATGCTTCACGTACAATTTTTAGTGTAGCTGCGTGAATTGTACCGTCTATTTTGATTACTCGCCTTCTGCCTGTTTTTATATTGTTCCGTTGGACAGAAACCTTAACACTAAAACTACATCGGTCTAAGTGCATAAAAAATGGCGTCTATGTTTAAACCTCCTGAGTCGACTAGGCGCAATTCTAAGTCTCCGCGTCTGACACTGCCGTCTGCATTGAAGTATAACAGTTCTGATTTTATTCAGCCAATGGGAACGACTTCCACACTTAGCACCCCATGCTCAACTGCCTCTGCAAAGACTCTTACATTAAACCATCCTAGCCAATCATCATCATCATCTTCTTCATTGACAACCCTGAAAAAAAGACCTGTCCCACCACCTATTCCCAATCTAGCTGTTCCTCAAAATGTCAGCGCAGGCGCCAAAACTCCAGAGACAGACAAACTTGTTGAATCATTGGAGAGCATGAAGTTGAGTGATGCAAATTTACCGTACAGCACTAAGGAATTCAGCAGCTCTATTGACTCCTATCCATCCACAGTGGTTGCTGCTTATGATAGTGCGGAGAGCGAAATTGCTTCGCCGGGCAAGACTTTACCTTCGCCCGGTTTGATCAAAAATGTCGACGAACTGGAGGAACAAATGTGGCAATCTGTTAACTTGAAAGATGAGATAGTAACCATAGGTGTGATAGGAGAAGGTGCTGGTGGATCTGTGAGTAAATGCAGATTGAAAAATAACTCAACCATTTTCGCTCTCAAGACAATCACAACTTTGGACTTCGAACCTAATGCCCAGAAGCAGATTTTCAGAGAATTACAATTCAACAAAAGTTGCAAATCAGAATACATTGTACAATATTATGGAATGTTTACTGATGAGAACAGCTCGTCAATATACATAGCAATGGAGTACATGGGTGGTAAGTCATTGGATGCTGTTTACAAGCATTTACTAGAACGTGGAGGGAGAATTGGCGAAAAAGTTCTCGGTAAAATTGCTGAGAGTGTACTCAGAGGTTTATCATACTTGCATGAGCGCAAAATTATTCACCGCGACATTAAACCTCAGAACATTTTGTTGAACGAAGCGGGGCAAGTCAAGCTTTGTGACTTTGGTGTGAGTGGTGAGGCTGTTAATTCTCTAGCGACTACTTTTACTGGAACATCTTACTACATGGCACCAGAGAGAATACAAGGACAGCCATACAGTGTAACCAGTGATGTGTGGTCACTGGGACTAACACTACTAGAAGTGGCTCAAGGACAATTCCCCTTTAACAGCGACAAAATGGCTGCCAATATGCCTCCAATAGAGCTGCTTATGCTTATACTGACTTTTACTCCGGAGCTGAAAGATGAGCCGGAGTTGAATATTGTTTGGAGCAAATCGTTCAAGTCCTTTGTAGAGTACTGTCTGAAGAAAGAATCGCGCGAAAGGCCATCACCACGACAAATACTACAACACCCTTGGATCCAAGGGCAAATGAAGAAAAAAGTTAATATGCAGAAGTTTATCAAACGATGCTGGGAGGAATGAGAACATTTACATAGTTATTACACCACGGAATAGAATTAGAGGTATATTAATCGCTAGGAACGACTTCAAAAAATTTTAATAAGTGACCATTTTAAATGTTTGCCACTTCTGATATTTCGAATTTTACTTCACAAAAAGCACAGTTTACTCACACTCAACATGAGACTTCTCACTTCTAGTTTGACTAGAAATGCCACTAGAGCAGCTACTAGAAAGCCAATGATTATGGCTAGCATGATCCAACCCTCCTTCACGGCGGCCAATACTTCGAAGTTCATTGGATCTTGGAGATGCTATTCCAACGCGGCCAAAGAAGAGGGCAAGACTGGCGAGGATGCTGAATCAGAACAGAATACCAAGGAGGGCGAAAGCCTCAGTGAGGAAGCAAAAAAGATCAAGGACTTGGAAGGTAAATTGACTGCCAAGGACAAGGAACTAGCAGAGTACAAGGACCGCCTGCTCAGATCAGTTGCTGACTTCAGGAATTTGCAAGAGGTCACAAAGAAAGACGTGCAGAAGGCGAAGGATTTTGCTTTACAGAAATTCGCCAAGGACCTTTTGGATTCTGTTGACAACTTTGGTCATGCTCTGAACGCTTTCAAGCCAGAAACATTGGAACAATCTAAAGAGATTTCTGACCTCTACACTGGTGTGAAGATGACAAGAGACGTTTTTGAGAAGACCCTTAAGAAGCACGGTATCGAAAGGATGGACCCAATGGGCGAGACTTTCGATCCTCACAAGCACGAAGCCACTTTTGAGATTCCAAACCCTGAAAAGGAGCCAGGAACCGTTTTCCACGTCCAACAGTGCGGCTTCACTTTGAACAATAGAGTAATTAGACCAGCCAAAGTGGGTGTTGTAAAGGACCCTGAGAATTAGGCACCTTAATCTGCTCGCTAGAGAATGATAACAGAGATACCTATCTCCTATAATGACCCGCACTCCAATGCTCCATGAAATAGTACCCTTTTCTGACATATCGTGTATATATTTTAAAGTCTTGAGTTAAGTGCGCCCCTTGAGCGTCCCACTCATCGCGTACTATTGTTTACTCGTATTACATCCTACGCTCTTGCAAATCTCCAACTCCCCTGAGATGATCTGGCTGGAGCAATTCTAGGAGTGGTATCTTTGATCTAGTATAATACCTGATAGCTGTTTAAGGGTATGTAGTTGACGCTTGACGTATATAATGACAACAATCTGAAACGAGGAAATGTAAACAAACGAGATGTTATTATTACACATTCGATATATATCTAGGAAGATCACTTGAAAACACCAAAAGGTCGGAGATCTAAAGGAGGGATAGCGAGGTATCTGTTTTTGGGACTACTAAGTTTGCAAGTCAAGGAAAGCTTAGGTGAACCTCGCGAAAGCAGCAGGTCAACCGTCAGTAATAGGGTTTTTTCGAGGCGAAGAGCTAATTTCTCAAGCGGAACGGATAAGCAGAAGCAACCTTTGCGTTAGAAATACAAATAACAAACAGTCTGGTCAATAGGGGCAAATAAGCATGACAACAGTTCCACAACGGCATACTTACTACGGAGGGTCGACCGCAGCCTACACGTCTCCGAGGCCTGCTCTCAACTATAAGCCCAAACGCAAGCAAGTTACCTTTGGACCCTATATAGTAGGTTCGACGCTTGGGGAAGGTGAATTTGGAAAGGTAAAGCTAGGATGGTCGAAGGTCCCGGCACAGACAACAGAGGTGCCAAAACAGGTGGCCATCAAACTTGTAAGAAGAGATAGTATTCCCAAGAATTCCGAGAAGGAAGTCAAGATTTATCGTGAAATAAACGCACTGAAGCATTTAAACCATCCCAATATTGTACGTCTTGAAGAGGTTCTACAGAACTCCAAGTACATTGGAATCGTCCTGGAATACGCATCCGGTGGTGAGTTCTATAAATACATTCAGAAGAAACGCAGGCTGAAAGAGCCTGCTGCATGCCGATTATTCGCCCAACTAATTAGTGGTGTGCAATATATGCATTCCAAAGGGCTTGTTCATAGGGATCTGAAGTTAGAGAATCTGTTGCTTGATAAACATGAGAATCTATTAATCACGGATTTCGGATTTGTCAACGAATTCAGCCCCAAGAGCGAATTAATGAAAACCTCATGTGGCTCGCCCTGCTATGCTGCTCCTGAGTTGGTTTTGACGACAAAGCCTTATGAAGCGCGCAAAGCAGATGTGTGGTCATGCGGTGTAATAATGTATGCCATGCTTGCTGGTTATTTACCGTGGGATGACGATCCAGACAATCCAGATGGTGATGATATTGCAAAGTTGTATCGCTACATTACTAGAACTTCGCTAAAATTTCCAGAATACATTGCACCAGTACCAAGGGATTTGTTGAGAAGAATTTTAGTCTCTGATCCTAAGAAAAGATTATCTGTCAAACAAATCGAGCAACATCGTTGGTTGCAACCACACGCGCCATTCTTATCCGTTACACCAGAGGAATGGGACAAAGTAGTTCAAAACAAACAAATTTTCAGACCGCCTCCTAGTAAAGCTGGAAATCAGAATTCCGACAGACCGAGATCCAATTGTTCAACTTCATCCACGAACTCAAAGGGGGAAAAACGCAATTCTCTGATTATGGACTCTTCCTTATATTCGCAGCCAGTTCCCCCACAAGAATCTCAATCTCATGCAATCGCCACTCAATCTTCGCCATCGTCTGAATTAAGGCAATCGCCAGTAAAGAGATTCAATCGCCATAGTAGAAGTAATTCTGCCGCTTCAATTGCTCTTCAAGCAGTTGTTGATGCGGAAAGAGATTACCATGCTCATCACTCACCACTGCCTGTACCCGCATCCACCTCTTTTCAATACGATCATCAATCACAGAATGCCTCGGGATCATCACCCCGAATGCAAACGTTTTCTGCTCCTAAAGCTGTCAATAGTGCCATTTCCTCTCTAAGAGACACCATTATAATAGAAACCAGCCCACAAAAAGGTGCCGTTATGGTACAGTCACAGAGGGACTCTACGATTGTTTTGACTGCTCCACTGACAATATCTCCCGGGTCATCACCTGTAAATGGAGGATTTAAATCCCAATTGGTAAACATCTCATCTGCTAATCACCAGACCACGCACAATTTGGGACATCATAGGAGACCTAGGCCAACTTCTTACCATCCAACGTCTTATGCAACATTTACGGAAACAAATAATAGCCATACTACAATATCAGGCGTTGTGTCACCTGCAGAGTCTCCACCAACGGGTGAGAAAATTATATCTCCCGATCCTTCCTCCACCAAAAAAGGCTCTCCACAGGTCGTGAAGCGTGGTTCTTTCAGTCTAAGCATGCCATCAGTTGATTTGCAAATTGTGGCTGGTGATTTGATCAAGAGTGATGAACATGGAGATACAGTGACCAAGAAAATACATGACCAGGTAGAAGACGCCAATAATAGAAGCGAAACTACGCGGTCACGTCGACTAAGCCAACGATACAGTGTTGCATATGACAACTTGTTTGGAGTTGTCGCAGAGGAAAGTGAAGAAAGCGCAATACAGGAAACGGATAGACAAGCTAGAGAGCAAAAATTAGGTGGAGTTACAGATACCAAGAAAAACAACAGCCCAGTAGAGAAACGCGAAAAGAAGAGATTCAGTCTCCTATCATTTTATTCATCTTACAATGCCTCTAAATCAAGCATCGAGTCAGGCACTATGAAAGATGCGCCTGCAAGAAACGTGTCCGGCTCAACAGATTCCCGGCAGGCCTCCAATTCCATACAAAAGACTGATTCGCAGGGAAATTCACAAAACGATCATAGAAACGTCTCCGTTTCTTCCCCCATACAGAAAGCCGATTCGCAGACGCGATCACAAACACAAATTCGAAACACATCCGCAGGCCAAAAACCTGCCTCACGAGCCAGTAGCCAGTCAAAATCTGAAGCAAGAACAGCGTCCCAGTCTTCAAGGGGAAGTGCAGGTGTACAACGTCATTCATCAGTTACAGGACGCAAGAGCAATAAGCCACCTCCTGAAACCAATAAGAGAAATAATCGTGCTTCAGTAATGGTGTCCTCTTTGCAAGACCAGAACCAACCTCAATTACGCGCTAGAGAACAATCAACGGCCAAAAAGGTATTAGACTTCTTCAAGAGAAGAAGCATGAGGTTATGAACAGTCACGTAAATGTCATGGATATAGCTGTATATTAAATAGGTAATGCTAATATCCTAAAAGCGATAAATTTAGCTAAAACGTGACCTGCCGACAACACATAAACCAAGTAGATTTTATAATTGCATTATACTTATAAAAGTGGGTACTTATACAGAACTAACATGCTTAGATGCTAGATGGGTACAAGAAGATTCTGACGGAGGCACCGAAAGTCTTGGCTGGTAGGTTAGATCTGAAAGTGGCTCTGACAACACCGGAGTTACCGTGAGTTCTTGTAACCTTACCCCAGATAACTCTGATCTTGGAACCTCTGACCTCCTTGGAGCATCTGTAGACGTAAGCAACACGCTTACCCAAGTAGAACTTGGCGTCCTCTGGAGAGGCAACACCCTCGATCTTGACCAAAGAGACGTTTGGGTTGTTGGTTCTCTTGGATCTTTGGTAGGATAAGTGCTTACCTTTGACGTACACTGTTGGAAAACGTTAGTAACCTTGAATTTTCTTTGCTATGCGATAGTGATATGATTAGACGGAAATGCAATAGATTCTATAATCTCTCTGAATGCTTGTTGCTAACTTCTCCTTTTTCTGAGTTTGAGTTCTTCATGACATTTGGGACAACCATCGTACTCCTAGTTGATTCCATTTTCCTTGATTAACCCTAAATTATAACATCTGTGCTATCACTCATGGGGTTTGAAACATGTCGTTCAGCTTTCATGTCAATTAGGAAGTTTGTACACATGCCAACTCTTGCGGAAATACCTCCATAACGTCCATCGAATTTCCACGTATCATTCACTATTCGCATTTCGTCTTGTTTACTTCGAATTTCACATACATCTGTGGGATTCAGCCATTGTTGAGTTCTTGGATTATCTGTAACAACTCTTCAGAATGGTGTCGTGAAGAAACCTGTTATTTTGTTGAAAGTACAGTGCCCGAGCGAGGCGAGGGGGTGAGCCGCGTGGCGGCATCTCCCAGGCCGGGAGTACTGCCGGCATAGGCTGCCTACGCTACGCAGCGGGAAGCGTCTCGGCCTGGCACAGTGCGGCGCCCTGCCGGCCTGCGTAGAACCAGAGGCACGGTACCGGTCCTACCGCGGTAGCAGCGCTAGGGGGGGCACCAGGTGGGGAGCGCGATCTCAACTGTACTCAAAAAAATTACAGAAGTGCATATGTAAGGGTGCAAAGCAAAGGAATGAAATTTGAGAGATGTTTGGATGTAGCAGTCAATAGAAATGCAAAGAGATACAACCAGACACCACAAAGAACCCATACCCTTGTCGACTTAGGGCTGGAATTAGTTACCCGACTCACTATATACAGAATTTTGCATTTTCGTAGGGCTGATCCTCGCTGGCCGCTGAGAAAAGTATATATAGGGAAGTTATTTCGAAGTTTCTTACCATTTGGATTCTGAAATTTTTTTATAAAATCTGTCGACGTACTTCAGTATGTGCTATACCCTATACTATTCTTCTGAATGGTACTTGGCAACCAGTGGTGCGAACCAATAGTACCACAAGCCGTTCCAAGTTGGATTCAAAAATTCGCAAGCAACAGAGATTTAACTAACACATTCCACAGTAGGATCATTTCTATAGGAATCGTCACTCTTTGACTCTTCAAAAGAGCCACTGAATCCAACTTGGTTGATGAGTCGCAGAACCTTCGTACCCTAGAGTGAGACCGAAGATGTAAACTAGCTTGGTCCACAACCCTTAGCGGTTTGGCCATCTACGCAGCTCTTTGTTTTGCCTTTTGCATAGGATGCAAGAACACTTGTGTTTGCGCATCTGCTCAAAAAGGCGCGATGATCTTGGCCCAGTTTATGCACTTCTTCGTGAAGGGATAAACACTACTGGGTGGGTATGAATGGCAGTCTGACAAGTTATTTTTTTATTTTTTTCTAGTTTCTGTCTCAAAGGTTTGAGACTGAATTTAGAAGATTTTGAAAAGTAAGGTTTGTACGTAGTTTGGAAGAGGTTTGATCTACTTTGAAGAGGGTCCCCAGGGTGTTGCGAAGAATATCGATTTAGTTAAAAAGTGCATACACATCACATAAATAATGATTGTAAATACGTTATGGTTTTCATAAGAGTCATAAATATGTATCGTTCAGTAAGTTAGGCCTCTCTCTTGCGCAATGATACGCAAGGCTAGTCTCTTGGAGTAATATCTGGAAATGGCGAGGTTACCGCCCATATACCAGAAGTTGGGGTGACCGGAGTCTCTCCACATGGTTCTGAACTCACCTTCTTCGTCAAGCCCCCACACTTCGTTAAGCCTGTCGGCGATCTTGTCACCGAACAAACGGCGAGCAGTTTCCTTCATATTGGTGAAACCAGTCGCCAATACAACCACGTCAAGACCTTCGAGGCGAGTGCCGTCCGTGAATTCGACACCGTTGGTCAAGAACCTCTTGATACCCTGGCCCTGCTTAACCTTGACTTTGCCGTCTGCAATCAATTTGGAACAACCGACATCGATGTAGTAACCAGAACCTTGACGGAAGTATAGCCCAAAGAGGCCGGTAGCGTTGTAGCCTGCATTGGTCTTGAAACCGGCCTTCTTGAGAGATGCCAACGACTCGTGATCCTGAATACACGACTTACGGTATTGTTGTTGCATGACCGCATTCAACAACGACAAAGGCATGGAGTGGAATATGTGATCGGCAGTTTCGGTCTTGGGACCAGTTTCGTCGTAAAGCCCCTCGATATTGTTGACGGTGCCGTGGTCTGAGGTGATCACGCAAGTGGAGGAGCGTTGTAACATGGTTACTTCGACACCTTGTTCATAGAAATCTTGGCAAATGTCGTGCGCAGAATTGCAGCCGCCCACGACAAGCGCTTTCCCGCCAGTGAAGTCAGAGCCCGAAGTGTGTTTGGAAGAGTGGACAATCTTACCTTGGAACTTGTCCTCGTCTGGGAAGTGAGGCACGCGGGGCTCACCGGAGTGACCCGTGGCCATGACAACGTGATGAGGGTGATATTCGATGGTGTTACCGGTCTCAATGTCGACCACCTGGACGGTCCAGATGCCCGAGGCTTCATCGAAATCGGCGTCTGTGACAAGAGCGCCGGTTTGGACGTTGAGGTCCATGGTTTTGGCGTACGCGTCAAACCAGTCTCCCAACTTGTCCTTGGGGGTGTAAATGGGCCAGGTGGGTGGGAAGTTTAGGTAGGGCAGATGGTCGTACCAGACGGGATCGTGTAGCACCAAGAACTTGTAACGCAAACGCCAGTTGTCACCAATGCGGTTGTTCTTCTCGACAATGAGCGAGTCGACGCCGAATTGCTTGAGACGTGCAGCCACGGTGAGGCCGCCTTGGCCGCCACCCACGATCAACACGGTGGGTTGGTGGTCGCCGCCAAATTGAGACTCACGCTGGCGGCGCTCGAGCCACGACTCACGGTTCACGTGCTGGCCGTGGTCCACGCCCTCTGGCCGGTGCTCGAACACGGTCTCTGGGGTGTCGCGCAAATCCTCGAGTGAGGTGTAGAAAGTGAAGCACTTGAGGGCAGCGGCGCCGGTGCGCGCGTCGCGCACCGCGCACAAACGCGCAACACCTTTTCCGGAGCCCACCTTGTTGTCGAAGTTGTAGTAAAGCTGGACCCACTCGATGGGGACGCCCGCGCGGGCGGCCACGGCGTCGTCGGCGGCCTGGTCGTCGGCGGACGCGTCGGCCTCGTGGAACACGACCTTGCCGAACCCGCGCGTGTAGCGGTAGTCGGCGTGCGGGTCGAGCCGCAGGTTGCTGAGCTTGGCGCGCTGCAACTGGGGGAGCACGTCGCCGGCGATGCGCTCGACGCCCAGGAACGAGTGCAGGTCCCACGTGACCGCCAGGTGGTCACGCCACACGGCGTGGTCCGCGAACAGCGCGCGCAGCGCGCTGTTGGTGTCCGCGGTAGCGCCGCGCGCGGCGGCCGCGTCGAGCAGCGCGTTGAAGTTGGCGACCCACTTGTCGACGAGCGGCTGCAACGCGTTCTCGTCGGCCACCAGCGCGGGCCAGGGAGCGTGCTTGCCGTACACCTTGGCGGCAGGCATGTCGCCGGCGAAATGCTCGTGAGAGATGGGCGGATACACCTCGGTGCGGTAGAAATCCGACTTGATGTCGTGGGCTAGGTTCTTTTTGAGGTCATGTGCGACGTTGGTTCTTGCGACAGCAGCTACCGGAGCCATGCTTGTAGAGTTAGAAGTAGAGATAGAAGTTGCTAGAAGCTGCTGCTTTTAGATTTCTGACAACAACGAGAGACGCTTTTTGCCGCCAATGCCACCGTCTTATATACCTGTTGCGACCTTGCGACGTTACGACGCACAAAACGCGGCCGCCACTTTCACGCGCCGCCAGCCCCTCTTCGAAGCTCCGAGGACCGGGCCACCATTGCGGGGCAGACGCTCATCGACAAAGCGTGGCCTTGCATTCGGCCATCCACGCCGAGAACTGGAAACCAACAACGACACGAACCGCGTCAGCCGCCAGCCAGCCAACTACAATTCAACAATACGAAACCACCCGCACCGGCGATGGGCGGCTGTGGCCGCCCATTGCGGCGAACCCCGAGCCTTGCTCGGGACCAAGTCCGAGCACCGCGGCGGGACGTTACCCCAATCGAGGCTCAGAAGCCCGGGTAGCGCAAGGGGCGGGCCCCCTTCTCGGCAAGTTACGCGCCGAGGTCAGCGACGAACCCCAAAGTTTGCTTGCATATGAGCAGCGCCTCCGTGTCGAGTGACGCGCCGGCGGCGGCGCCGCCGGCGCTGGCGAACGACAAGTAGCACGGACGGTGCAGCTTGGAGGTGCACAACTTGCACAGACGAGTGGCAGTTTCGCGGATTGCGTCGTCTGGAGTGTCGAGGAGCACGGTCGACAGCACACGGCCGTCACGTGCGGCGATCGCGTACACGTAGGCCGTGAGCGGCTGCGGCTGGGATGGGGGCCCGGCTGATATCACGAGCGAGATTGGGGTAGCGCGATCCGCATGCGACTCTGCGGGGACCGTTGCGAGCAGCGAGAAGGTTGCGCCCAGGGGCGAGGAGAATTGGTGCTGGAACGTGCGGCAGGACATGGGGATGCAGCTGGGAGGGTTGCGGGGAGAGCAGCGGGGGGCGAGGCGGGAGAAAAAGCGGATGACTGGCGGGAGGCCGGGTGACCGGCGGAGGGCCGGGTAAGCCGGGTAAGTGTGCGTGCGGAATGACGCAGGGCGGGCGGCGGCGGAGCCGCGGAGGCGACGGAGGCGACGGAAGCGCAACGTGCGGGGCGGGCCCGGCGGTGTAAGGGCGTAGCTGACAGGTACGTGAGACGTGACGTAGCCGCGGTTGGGCACGCGGAGCGCGGGGTGCCCGACCGAGCGGCCACAAACAGAGGGAAGTTTGGATGGCGTCCACCTGGGAGAAACCACGTCGTTTTGTGTCAGCCCAAAACAACGGTATAAGCGCGGTGTTTGAGCAGCAGATGCCAGCGACAGAGCCGGCGCAGCCGCGGTCGCGTTCGGAATCAGAGGATTGCTGCGATTCGCAGACACGGGCTCGGCCCGATGACGAGGGAGCAGGTTTTAGCCGCCGAGCCCCGGGCGCTAAATCGAGCGCGTCCGGCTCGTGCCCCAGTGGGTGGATGCTCAAGTCGTCGCTTCGGTCGTTCTTCGATGTCAGAGTGGTCGACGCGCGCAAGGAGGCGCGCTGCATCTACTGCGGCAAGCGGTATCCGGAGCGCGAATCCACAGGGAACATGGCCAAACATGTGAGGGCGCTGCATCCGGCGGCGTGGAGTGCGAAAAATGCCGGGGTATCAAAACGACAGGAAGCGGGCGCCCCTAGAACAGCACCACCCAAACACCCCGCGCAGTCACTGCAGGTGTCCGGCTGGATCCGGGGTCAGCGCGAGCACAACGCCGGGGTTTTCCACACCGCAACGCTGGCGGCAGAGCAGTTTTTGCCGCTGAGCTTTGTGCAGTCCGTCTCATGGACCAGATTGAGCGACAGCAGCGCCCTGCGTCCGAGCGTCAAGTCGACGGCCACGCTGGTGCAGAAATTGGGCCTTTTCTCCCAGCACATGAACGAAACTCTCGCGTCAAACCTGGAGAACTCCCAGTTTGCCAATATTCTCGTGAAAACCTGGACCGCCCCCCATGGAGAGGCACTTTTCGCGGTCATGGTGTCCTTCGCGCCGAATATCTGGAGCGACCCGGCCCTGGAAGCGGCAAACGATCCCCGCATCCTTTTCAACAACTCCGGCGCCGCTCAAAATACGCACCTTCTTGATTTTTCGAGTTTCGGCGCCAAAATGCCCAATGGGGAATATCTATGCGAGGTGCTGATCTCGCTTTTGCATCGCTACAACCTGGCAGGCAAAGTTTCGACGATAACCATGGATAGCGCCGTCAGAAACGGCTCACTGTTCACCTCTCTGGTTTTTGATCATTTCGGCGCTTCGAATCCGTTCGCGCACCGATTGTTCGGCAGAGTACGATACATCAGGTGCGCGGCTCATGTTCTCGATCTGCAATTCGAAAGAATCGCCGCGGTTCTGCTCAAGTACGCCGTCTTTTCCAAACCATACCGAAAAATCCAGCGGTTTGCAGAATCCACGAGATCATCTCCACGCCTCAGCGCGTGCTTGAGGGAACAAAATATACCCCCGATGCCGGCAGAATCCTTGTGCCAGTGGACCTCCGCTTGGTCTCAACTAAGCGCTTTCCTTGCCAATTTTAGGGCCTATCGCACGCTGTGCGAACAATTGCTGGAGAACGGCCACCAAGATCTTGCTCGCGAAATCCAAGAAAACATCGAGGTTGATAAAAGGGCCCTAGAGCTCTTCAAGTATTTCGTGGGGGTCTTTGAACTGTTCAACGACATGAGCATGAAGCTGCGACAGGACGATTTTAATCACCTAGCCAACGGTGTTCCGATATTCTATTTGCTGGACCATTTCTACAAAATATGCGCAAAGGCCTCCAATGGTTCCCGGATTTCGAAAAGTCGAGCAGGCTTTGATTTTTCGTGTATAAATGGATCTTCAGATCTGCAGGCAGAGGATAGGGAAGTCGTTTTTGATGCTATCAAGCTCGCAGATGCGACCCACCAGGAGTACATGTGCTACTTTCGAGCTAACTCTTTGTACTATGTGGCGTTCCTGCTTGACCCCGCAGCGAAAGAGGATGCCATGTACAAGATGATGAGCGCAGAAGAAGCTGCTGGAAAAATGCTTGACGCTCGTCTTTTCATTGAAGCGTTCCTGAAAGAGAGCGGAGAAGCAGACAAGCACCATGGCCCGACAGCGATAGAAAAGCCTTTCAGCCTACGATTGGCGCCCAGTTTGCATTTTGATCTCAACGATTTATCCACGGACGAAAACCCACACGGAGATACCAATCATTCCGGAAATGTAGAGGCAGGCGAAAACAGCCATGTCCGAGAGTGGATCACTTATCTAAGAGCATCAAAACCACCTTTAAGAACCAAGGACGAAGCTATCAAGTGGTGGTACGCCCATCGTCAAAATTATCCACAGCTTTTTAAGCTTGCTATATCACTGTTCTACACAAAATTGAGCACACACGACTTAGAAATGTGCTTCTCCTTACCCGGGAGAGTAATGCGAAGGAATGGTACCGGGCACAAGACTTTCAAAACTCTGGTGTTGCTAAGAGACAGGTTTTCTAAGTTTGGGTTCTTTGACCAGGCCCCCGAAAGCCCAGACGGAGTTACTGACCATTTCGACGATTTGATGGAGTCAGAGGCACTCGTCTCTGACGGGACCGATCATCTGGAACTCGATTATGATGAAGAAATTTATCACGACAACATAACGGACGAGGATGCCATTGAAGATGAGGAAAACAGTGCAAGAATTGACTAGGTCGAAAGTGGGAGCTCAGAAGATGCAGGAGAAGCTCGAATTTTCATGGTCCAATTCTCTAGTTCAATACAAAAAACGCAGGATATTAATAAGGGAGGGTAAAATACACAGAGTTCTCATTACGCGGTCAGAGTCCAACACAGTTGTCGTCAGTCACAGTTAGTAATTCGTGATAGTTTGGTGTGCTTGAGTAATTTAGATCCACTTTACATTTATTGATTAGCGTTGTATGCCTATTGCTCAAAGATCTAGCGTGGGGAAAGGTTAATTTTACAAGTCAAAGTAAGATAACTCGATCCTGATAAAGAATGGTAAAAGATTTATACTCATTACCACCGGACTAAACTCTCCTGTAGAATCTATAATGCAATAATGACGCGAAAGTTTGTGTTTTACGTGACTGTTTCGAAAGCCTTCTTTGGTTTGCTGTTATGGATGAGCATAAACAATGGCGTGGTTTTTCTATATTTTCTATTTCTTCAATCTTATCATATGGGAACTCGTTCATGTTTATAAGTGGTCTTGGTACCGACAGATTGGATCGAACTTTAATCATGGCCAAAGTATCTTGGCTACGTTTTTAAAAGAGAACGAGCATTTTTAGATCCATTTATGTATTTGGTAAAATATCTTTTATAGGCGACAAATAGTGTTCGATGCAACTTTTCCTAAATAGCAGTCTAATTACTGCAAGATTTCTACGATGCCAAGGAAAAAAAAATGCAGTGCGCCAATTTCAATACTTTGTTAGTTACACGAGAGATTTGATCCACAGTTTCCAACGAGTTCATATGAAAATCCTATACGAGACAGCTACATTCCTTTACATAACATACATTTCTGGAAATCGCTCAGGCAGATAAAGAAGTTTATCTGTGACCCCTTCGGTATATGACTTTACACAGCCGATCCCAACGGAAGATACGTCGTTAGAGAGGTGAAGAAAATTCTATGAGTTAAAATGGATACGAATTAAGTTCTCATAGGCAATTACCTTAAAAGTATAAATTTGAAGGTATTTTTCAAGTTGAAGTGCAGGAAGTTCGCATATGAAACTCAAAGTATCTCTGAAACGTACTCATATTTTGATGATTCGTCCATTACCTTACCTTTTAACTATTTTGTCCTGCTTTTTATTTCACTTATCCTCTGCCTATAAAGAGCTTGATCATGATATGATTGAGCTAATTTTTGAGCAGTACCCTTCTTAAGTAGCCGATGTCCTCACAAATGCAGCTAATGATACGGGAATGATAGTTATTGGAACAAATGACACGAGGTTAATCTATGACATGCTGCTGCTCGAGGAGAAAAACTTGGGAATGCATTCCGTCGAAGAGTGGGCCTGCGGCATTTTAGTGGGTAACCACTCAAAGAACTGCCTAGATGAAGATGAAACAGCTAATTAGTCAAGAGAGACTTGGACAGGAGGGCTGCTTCTGTTATCTGTAGTACGGCACATGCCGTTACTGTTACTGTGTGTGAATCCCTCCTTAGCTATCTCGGCAAAAACACTAATGTTGTAATTCAGACTTCACCTAGAAGTGTCTGCAAGGGCGATTGTTGTGCATCCTGGAGTAAGAAGGTCAACAGTTTTACAATTGGTGGATAAGGATACTATTCAGAGCTCTGTGAAAACGCGTGCGATGATAACAGCGATGACCATAAATGGAGCTGTCAAGTTTATGGTGCCAACGTCAATAGTGTAGTCTTGGATGTTTGCGTTAGCAATAGACCCAATGGTTGTACTTAGTATGTAGTTTTTGGACGGGCAGGCGCAGTATTATCTTGACGAGTGCTTTGGATTTAGATAAATGTTATCCTAGCTCTCATGAGCTCATGAGTACATGACGCCCGCAAATAGCCATAAAATTCATTTAGATCCTATGTCCTTACCGTATTTACTAGCCAAAACAATCACAAGGGCTGTCACTCTGTTAAGAATCATCCATCATTGCTGTCATTCTTCATTAAGATCAAGTTTTATCATTTTAGCGTATTTTTAACGAGGCTTTTATCCTTTAATATTTCTCTACTAATTCGAGAAGCTTAATGAAGTTTATAAAACCAGCGCATTAAGCTGTGAATACGAACATGAATGCCTGTTTAAATCACCACTATCTCGGTTGTCGTCAGAACATAGTCTGTCTGATAAACAACATATCAAAGCTCAATGGGCAATCTGATATGGATTTTGACGGATTGTCAATTGCTCGATCTTTTGCATATACATACGTTAAATAGGCATCAACTCATTCTTCATCATTCGATTCCAACGATAATTCGTGCAGAGGTAGTAATATGTTAGGCTCGCAAATCCCTTAACGTATAGAGTTACTAGACTCTCTAATCCATTGATTGATTCATCATGACTAAAAGAGTCCAACTGGTAAGACTAGTCCCAGTACTGGCTGGAGGTAAGTGTACTCAACACAAATAGTCGCACCAAGAAAAAGATTACGTTAGAAGTCAAAGTAAAGTAAAGGTATTCTATCCACATAGAGAATGGTAAAGGATTTAAATTTGTTATCACCCGATAAGCTCTCCTGTAGGATTTATCATACAATCATCACGCGAAAGCTGATGGTTTACGTGGTCATTTTGGAAATGTGCTTTTGTTGTTGGCTTATATGGGCGAGCATAAAGAATGGCATGTATCCTGCTATAGTTGCGATTATACTGAATGGGATTCCCATCATTTTTGTAAGTGGTTTCGGAGCTAATAGATTAGAGCAGACTTTGATAATGACCAGAATAAACAAACTGTACTTTTTGAGGGAGGTAGTTGTGATGCGACCAGGCCTTGAAATGGAGAAGTGGGATCGTATTGCCAAGAAACTAAATCCAGTTTTCTTCGAGAATAGCTCTTGGGCCTCACGGAACTTCTTTTTAGATGGAAAATCTTGTGAAGCAAGATTTAGATATTATTTTGTGAATCCTTACCTGAAAAGAAAAAGATCTGAACTTACACTGACTACCAATGAGTTGGATCCCTTCATCGAAGAGGCTGTCAAAGCTTATCAGGAGAGTTTACACGAATCTTGGAAGCAAATGATAAAAGAGCAAACCATAAGACCGAAATCGAACTGAGATAATTGATGCATGAGTGAAACTGATGTTATATTGATCATTCAGGAATTAGCTATACCACGAAGGGCGATGCCACTGTCCGTATCTTACAGCAAATGAGGCCCATCGCGCTCACAAGGTAATTTGACCATTAGATTAAGAAACATTCATTCGAAAATTCAAAATAATATAACTATCCAGAGTCAAAATATGCTTCCTGTGACGCAAGACCGCACTCATTTCTTGTTTCAATTGTAACTACCCTTGCGCAAATTAAATGACTAATTGGTCAAGTTCCTCTGATAAGATATTTTAACCACGTTCTTTACGAAAATCAATGTAACGTGGCTTCTCTGTGGGTGTAAGAAAACATACACTGTGCACTTTCCAGGAATGGAAATTTAGATATCGTCACCGTCTAGAGCAATCCTAAATCAAGTCATGTATTCGGTTGAATATCTTTTGTAGTCGGTAGATAGTGTTTGATGTAATCTATCTATGAGAACAGTTCAATTACTGTCAAATTTCCACGGTGCCAAGAAAAAAAAATGCAGCGCGGCAAATTCAATACCTTGCTAGTTATACGAGAGAATAATTCGCAGTTTCTAATCAGTTCACAAGAAAACCTTGTACGAGACATCTACATTCATTTCACATTACATACGTTTGTGAAGATCACTCGAGCAGTTAGAGACTCTAAACCAGTGCTCCTTTTGGTAGGTGATTTTAGGATTCTACCGCGGAGTTCACGTCGTTACAGAGATAACAAAAAATTTAGGGGTTAAAAAGTATACGAATTAAGATCCCGTAGGCAATTACCTTGAAAGTATAAATTTGAAGGTGCTTTTCTAACTGAAGTGCAGGAAGTCCTCATATGAAGGCCAAAGTATCAATGAAATTCACCTCCATTTCAACGATCCGTCCTTTAACTTATTTTTTAACTATTTTGTCCTGCTTTTTATTTCGCTTATCTTCCGCATATAAAGAGCTTGATCATGATATGATTGAGCTAACTTTTGAGCAGTACCCTTCGCAAGTGGCGGAGGTCCTCACAAATGCAGCTAATGATACGGGAATGATAGTTATTGGAATAAATGACACGAGGTTAATCTATGACATGCTACTGCTCGAGGAGAAAAACTTAGGAATGTATTCCGTCGAAGAGTGGGCCTGTGGCATTCTAGTGGGCAACCATTCCAAGCCTTGCCTCGATGCAGATGAACTTCCTACTTACTAGTGCTCATCTTACTTTTGCTTGGAGAATGCCGAAAACGGACCATTGTCAGAAGACATAATACTACGTGGAATTAATGTTTTAGTACCCCCAAAAAAAATTCAACATATAATTGAAACAACATCCTGATGGCGCCCTATTCGCCCCAGTACATTAACCCTTCGTCAAAACCTATGGCGAAACTGCACTTATCAGAGTACTTACAAGACATTTAAACGTCTGGCACGGAAAAAGGCATATTGATGGTGATTTCCCAATTACTCCATCGTACTGCTCAAAGAGAAGATGGTCCAATTTCTATTGAGAGAAATCCCCCATACGGCCACTAGTATGTGCTTCTATTAGAACTACATAGGACTTTAGTTATTATCATTGCCGCACATAGAAATAATACGTATTCAAGGTCGCGTAAGAAACGAGGCAAGTACGACTGTGTACGACTAACTACGTAATACACAATAAAAACACACGTTACTCAATTCGATATTTTAACCAAACTTCCGCTCGTAAAAGCTAAGCTGTCTTCTCCCTCGCTCACCTTACCAGAGAATGATTCCTTTCACGGAAGAAGATATGACAGTTTAGACTCGTTAGGGGAACACGTATACAATTACAATACACTTGCAATCAAATATCACTATAAACGTACTAGTTCCCGTGATGCACAGCCGCACCCGTTCGACACGATTTTGAAAAGTCCCTTCACGCGTCAGTTGCCCAGCTCTTTTACGCGGATGATTAGTGCTCCTCCTAACGTTCAGCACATCTCACCTGCTCAAAATAGACTTCTATAACCATTTCGATGACCCTATCCAAACCACCAATATCGTCCGTCCCCGTCGTGTGCGTCGTAGCGTGTCTCATGCCCGAACTGGGCATCGGTTGCAACGGCGCGCTACCCTGGCGCCTGCCCCGCGAGATGGCTAACTTCAAGCGCATCACCTCTGCCACTTTCGCTCCTGGAAACAGAAACGCAGTCGTTATGGGACGCAAGACCTGGCAGTCCATTCCTCCCAAGTTTCGCCCACTACCTGGCCGGGCCAATGTCGTAGTGTCACGCCAATTTCCTCACGCGCTCGCAGCTCAGGACTCAGATGCCGCTCTCTTTCACAGTAACTCGCTCACACGCTGCTTAGAACTGCTTCCGCAGCAAGTACCGGACCTCGAGCGCATCTACGTGATCGGTGGTGGTGAAGTCTACGCCCAAAGTTACACGCTATGCGACGCAATGCTCATCACCGAGATCGAACCAGAGCACCCTGAGTCGCGGCCACCAATGGACACCTTTCTCGACGTAGACACCGTCCACACTCATTTTGAGCGCGCCCAGAACATAGACGGATTCCTACCACCGGCCGTACACCTACCTACAGACGACTACTTGTCCGAGAACGGCTACCGCTACAAATATGCCCTCTACAAGCGCCCAACGGCAACCATGCCCAACAATAAAGCACTGTAGCCCTCTACATAGCGAATGATTTACAATCCACCTCCATGTACCTTTCCCTCCACCTCTGTCTTCCCGTGCCGCGCGACGTAAAATTTTTCCGACGCGCGGACCGTATCCCATACACTTGAAATTTTAGTCAACTCGACTCCCTAAAATTCTCGCAACTTTCCCGGTTAGATCAACACAGCGACACCAATTGGATTGCCTGAGCAGCCCATCCTACTATGTCCCAGTACGCGAGCTCTTCCACGTGGACGTCTTTCCTCAAATCAATTGCCTCCTTCAATGGTGACCTCTCTACCTTGACCGCGCCTCCTTTCATTCTTTCGCCAACGTCACTATCCGAGTACTCTCAGTACTGGGCGGAACATCCAGATTTGTTCTTGGCACCTGCGTTCGTTAGCGCTCCAGATGCTGACGGTACTTCCGCCGAGCAACTGCGTATGCTAGCTGTCACCAAGTGGTTCATATCCACTTTGAAATCTCAGTATTGCTCCCGTAACGAATCCATGGGTTCCGAAAAGAAGCCTCTAAACCCTTTCTTGGGTGAGCTCTTCGTGGGTAAATGGGAAAACAAAGAGCACCCAGATTTCGGCGAAACTGTTCTGCTCAGCGAGCAAGTTTCCCATCACCCTCCTGTTACTGCCTACACCATTTTTAATGACAAGAACCAGGTTAAACTGCAGGGTTACAACCAAGTTAAGGCATCCATTTCTACTGCCTCTCTCAGCGTGAAGCAGTTTGGTCACGCCTTGTTGGAGTTTGGTAAGCTAAACGAGGACTATTTGATCACACTGCCTCCTCTACACATCGAAGGTATGCTGGTAGCCTCTCCATTTGTCGAATTAGAGGGAAAGGCCTACATTCAGTCTTCCACTGGTCTTTTCTGCGTAGTTGAATTCTCAGGCCGCGGTTATTTCTCTGGTAAAAAGAACTCGTTCAAGGCCAGAATCTTCAAGAAAGCCGCTGACTCGCGTGATAAGGAAAAGGCCCTCTATACGATATCTGGCCAATGGTCAGGTGTCTCTCATATAAGCAAGGGCAAATCTAAAAGGGGAGAGGAAGTATTCTACGATGCTTCTCAAATACGTGCCGAACATCTTTTAGTCAAGCCCATCGAGAAGCAGCACCCACTTGAAAGTAGAAGAGCATGGGAGAAGGTTGCCGCCGCTATCAAGTCAGGGGATTTCGACCTCATCCACAACGAGAAATCTGCTCTAGAGGAAGCTCAAAGAGACCTCAGAAAGGCTGAAGAAGCCAAAGGCATAAACTGGCAAAGAAGATGGTTCCGTGACGAGGATTATACGAAGGGTCTTGAGGACAAGTTTACTAAACTGGCCTCCATGTTTAACCTGTCTACCAAGAATACCCCTAGCGGTACTCTAGCTGGCGAAAAGGAAGATAAAAAGGAAACTTCTGCCATGCATTGGAGATTTGTGAGAGAACAGTGGGATGAAGAGCAGGAAATAGTCCTATAAGCCTTGTGTGTGGCTATTTCTTCTCTCGGGTCATCCAATTCGCCCGATCCTGATTCTCTGTCACTACTGCATACCCTGACAACGACCCCATTTACTTTGATATATTTCTTTCAATAATCTCTTTTTTTTATTTAGAGGCGCCTTCGGATCCATCTTTAAATAAGGTATATCATGACTTTTTATCAGTACAGTTCATCCAACATCAAATGCATTGTACTCTTCGTTGTCGATATCTCGTAAATAAGCAACTATAAACTGCTTTTCTAAAGTGTGGAGCAGTGATTTTCATTGATAGAAGATGCACTTTTCGATGGTAAATCGCATTCAACGGGTTCAAAAGTTTTTCTTTTTCATGTGGAAAATTTTTTAGCCTGCGATGAGATGATGAGATGAGCTTTCAATAATAGACTTTGTTCCTTTAATTATCAATCTTTGGAATAACCCACAAAAAGATGGCATCTAACGGTCGTCCATCAACATATAAGCAATCCTCTCGGAAGGGCAAGAAATCTTGGAGAAAGAACATCGACTTATCCGATATCGAACAAGCAATCACTCGCAAGCATGAAGAGGAAATCACTCACGGTACTTCTGATTTGACCTCTTTAGTAGATGACAAACTGTTTCAAGTTGATACCGAAGGTGATGCTGAACTGAAATCAAAGCTTATCAAACGAAAGCAAATCAAGAAAAATCTGAAATCATCTGAAATTCTTGAGGCAGTCCGTACAAACTCCAAGGTAGCTGCCCTTAAGCATCCAAAAAGCTCATCTAAAAATGACCAGTACAAGGTCCAAGGTGTTTCCAAGAAGGAACTTAAACGTCTGATGGCGTTAGCGGGAAAAATCGACGGAGAAAGTAAACTCAAGACATCGGTAGCCAAAGATGGTATTGTCAAGGCAGCCAGTTCCGATTTGTGGGGTTCATCAGAAGAAATCAAGACACCATCGGGCCTTAAACTGAACGCTAAAACCAGGGAATCGGTGCCAACCGAACTGCTGAAACAATCCATTACTGGATGGTCCGTCGCAACGGTCGCGCCAGAAACAATGAACAGAGCACCTGTTGTAGTAAAAGAGATCGAAAAGACTCCACATGCTGGTAAATCGTATAATCCAAGTGCTTCGGACTGGTCTCACTTGGTTAGTAAGGAATATGACGAGGAAAAAGTGAAGGAGGAAAACAGAATAAAAATGGAGCAATATAAAGACAGAATTCAGCATTTGATCGAAACTCTGGATAATAACGAGGAGGATTCCTCAGGCTCTTCTGACGATGATTCAGAACAAGAAGATGATGATGAGGATGAGGAAGAAATCAAGTTATCTATTAACCGTCCTGTGGAGAATAAAAAGAAGACCAAGTATCAACGTAACAAACAAAGACGCCATTTGGAGAAGATTGCTCTACAAGAAGAACTTAAAAAGCTCAGGAAGCAAGTGCATGAGCTGGAAAAGCTTGAGGAAATCGAAAAAACAGTTACTGGTAATCACGAAGCTAAGCATGAGAAGAAAAAAGTTAGCAAAGAAAGGGCCAACAAGAAGCATAAGCTAGGGACAAAGCACGCGGTAATTGACGAAACATTAGAAGTCAAATTTTCGGATGAACTTTCGGATTCTCTGAGAAAGCTCAGGCCCGAGGGTAATCTCCTTTATGACTCGGTTAGAAACCTTCAAGGATCCGGTAAGATTGAGGCTCGGGTGCCAGTCAGAAAGGGCAGGAGGTACAAACCCAAAGTTACCGAAAAATGGACTTACAAAGACTATAAGTAGTTGTAACATCTTGTCATTTATGTATATTAATAAAAATCATCATGTTATTTCACCCAGATGTGACTGAAAAAACAACATTCTGCTATAAATTTTCGACGCGCATATTAACTTGGCAGAACAGAACCTCGATCAACCATGACAAAAGATTCGTTAATAATCGTGCCGTGCCATTCTGTATGGAATGTGCTTCATTCCGGGCAGGAACCTAATTATGGGCAAAATCCTGATCAATGGTTTCTTGCTCCGTTCCAACATGAGGGACAAGATCATCTCCTTTTTATAATGCATTCTCTCTTGGCCATTGAGCAATTATCAAAGAACATCTCAAACAGCATTCTGCTTTTTAGTGGATCACAAACCAAAAGAGGGGCTGGGATTATGTCAGAAGCGCAGAGTTACTACCTTCAAATCTATAAATTACTGAACGCCATCGATAATGATCTTGCCTTACCCGATTCTTTGCGTTCAGAAGAGATTATTATCACCCATTGCAGACGTATTATCTCTAACTTGTCTACTCAAAATGTTTCATTGAAGGAACTATTTGAAAATCACATATCTACGGAAGAATTTGCCTTGGATTCTTTTGAAAACCTCATTTACTCTATAGGTAGGTTCTATGAATTAGTGAAGCGTTACCCTAGCTTCATTAAGATCGTTGGATTTGGGTTCAAGAGAACGAGATTCTTAAATTGCCATGCTCCTGCAATTGACTTCCCGGAGCAAAATATTGAGTACATCCCAATGGATCCTATTCCAAACTTCACTGATTGTACTCGGCTTGATGACTACTATGATGACCTTTACTTGCAGGAAAAAAAAAATGCTTTGGATTTGTTCCAAGTTGACTGGTACGGCACAAAAGAATCGTTGTACAAGAAAAAGGTCCAGCGTAATCCTTTCAAAAGGTATCATCAATACCCTCTCCCAGTGTCTTTTCAAGGCCCAATTGAAAATGACCAAGAATTCTTTGAAACATATGTTAAAGGTAAAATGCCATGGTCGAGAGCTAAACATGAACTTTGAATGTTGGTTATATGCATTATATATGAGCTAGCTTGGTCATTAAAGTACTTCTCTCTTCTTCCCACTTCTGAACATTCTTCAATTTTTGCTCCAACGTTTCAATTTGCTTTTCAATAGATGTAATAGCTTCGTCTGTTCCTAATGTCTGTAAACGCCACGAATCATTTGGCCCGATTTCAAGCGCATAATCGTGATATTTAATCAGAGATGGTCGCTGTGAAATTGTGATGAAGTTGAAACGATATCTCTTCAATAAATTGAATAGATAATCTTCCATGTCGCCACTGATTGCATTCGTTGCTTCGTCAAGTACAACAAATCGAGGCTTATGGAACATAATTCTCGCAAAATTCATGCGCTGCTTTTCACCACCACTCAAGACATCCTTCCAATCTGCCAATGAATCCAGATATTTCCAACCTTTATCTCTTTTCAAAAGGTAGTCGAGCCGAACTTCTTGTAAGACCTGAACTAACTCTTTGTCCCTATGACCTCGATCAAAAAACTGATCCGTAGCCATGGGGTAAATAATCTGATCCCTGAAAGTACCTCCTTGAGTGAAATAAGGTTTCTGAGGAATACAAAAGAGTTCTGACTGAGAAGGAATCGAGAGTAATCCGTTCTTGTTATAAATTGGCCAGACTTCGGCGATAATTCTTTGAATAGAGCTCTTACCACAGCTATTAGAGCCCAGCACTAAGAGGCTACTTCCTGGACCATGGAAAATAAGTTTGTGATTAATTCCAAGCTGTGAATCCGAATTGGTCGCATCCAATGTGATGACTGGAGGAATTTGAAATGTAAGCTTATTGATTAATTTAACTCCATCCTTGCCATTCTTGGAGGGTATTATCACGTCAATATTCTCGAATCTAATTCCGTTGAAGTTCCTTTGAACTGTACCACGGATCGTTTCTTTATTCATAACCAAACTTTCGTTCTTAATTGACATTTCAGTGTTCTCAGTCGAAGCTCCATAATCAAAATCTTTCGAATGAACTCTGTGTAAAGCCGCCAGTAAAACAAAAATCCGGTTTGTATATCCCGTGAGTTGTGAAATATCCTTTATGGAATGCATCAGCCTACTACCCGCGTCCGCAAGTGACAACATTAGTCGTTTGTTTACAATGAATTCCCTCATGTTCACATCTTCATTATTGATTCCAGTTGTCATTGTAGTGATGACTATAGGAATAGACGCAAATACGTAGCCTAGAGCAGACCATGTATATTTCAAAACATAGTCTTCGAGAATCGAATAATTAACTTTCACTCGATCGACTAATAGCATTTGCTTCATGAGAAGGTCATATAATGCGTTGACTTTTGTCCTTTCAACCTTAGTACCGTGATAGAATGCAATCTCCTCACAATTATTGATGAGATTTAAATGATAACTGTAGTAATCCCCCTCTGCGTTGGATCTCTTGCTTACGAGTTTTCCCAGAGGTGGAGCCATCCTCTTCAGAATGTAGCCCGTTATGAAATAATTGACAAATATGCCTCCAATACCCAAAGTCCCCAAATTGTCACGTAGGTAAACTGAAAAGAAAACCAAATCTATGACAGGCTTGGCAATATTTGCAAAAACAGAACAGATTGCGTCACAGAACTTAGTAATGTCGTTAGTGATGGAATTGTCGATGTTAACTACAACGGAATTTGTTGACTGTTGGTCAAAAGCAAGCTTGTAGAACGCCAGCCTGTCATCGAGATACATGTCATGAATGTATCGTGTTAGATTTATTCTGAAGTTTAAACTTAGTTTTCGCTGCAAAAACTTGATGGCACTGTTAGTATAAGAAGCAGGAAATGCAATCAAAAACCAGCACATCAAATCAACGAGAAACTTTCTGCCATGACCGGATATGATGTCTTTCACAATTTGTCCATCTAAGCGAGCAACAAAAAGCGACAACCAAGTTCTCATAATGAGGAAGAACACTTGGAATATAAGTAGGAATGAGTTTCTGTCTGTAAGCTTAGGTACAAGTATCCGATATAAAATGCTGAGCTGATTTAGAAATCTGGAGTAAAAGAGTTGTGACGTTTTGTTCATGCCAAAGTATTTGAATCGGAATTTGTCATGCTCGTACAAGTCGTTATTCTTGGGCCGGATTAGGATCCTTTTCTTCTTTTCCAGACCGTCCTGGTATGGAACGTACATGACACGAGCACCGTTGTCGAGAAGAATCTGGGATCTTGTTCTTCTCATCAATGGCCGCTTTGTGAAGCCGCCTGACCTAATTTTTGAAAATAGCGAATAAACCCCATATGTAATCCCTGACGCTGCCGTCACAGAAGTGAATGCCAATGTTATGAGTATAATCTGTGCCCTTTTTCGATGCGTCAGAGAAGAATTTGAATTTCGTATCAATCTCCACAGATGCCTGATGAGGGTTTTGATATATGCCTTGCCTTTCGTCCCCTGAAGCTCCAACCCTAAACCTTCATTGTGAAGCTTGAGAAAAAGGTTCTTGACCTTTAAAGTGGTCTGTAAGCTGCTAGACATGCTTTTGAAAGTAACCCGAATTTTCTACCTTTCCAGTGCTTTCTGATACGATAACCTCCCCCTGTTAATGAGATGATATATATAGTTCAAATATTTGACTGACGCTGTCACAGCCTGACATCTCCAATTTTCAGGATTCTGAAACGTCACGTGATTTGTGTCACATGCGGAAACTTATATTTAAAGGCTGTAAATCGAATTAGCCTTCTTATCTTTCCATTTGGGAAAGTCAGCTGTAATTATCATTAATAGGCAATTGAAACATGTCTTATCCAGGGACTTTACATGAGTACATCAAGGGAAAAGTTGCCTTTGAATTTTGTCCTTCAGGCTCCAAGAAGACAATTATTTTCATAGGTGGGCTCGGTGACGGGCTTCTTACTGTGCCATACGTCCCACTACTTGCACGGCATTTGGAGAACAAGGGCTGGTCAGTCGTGCAAATTCAATTGAGTAGCAGTTTTAAGGGATTCGGGATATCCTCGCTGGACCAAGACATCAAGGAGATCAGTGCTCTTGTTGAGTACTTGAGATCGAATGAAGGGGGAAGCCGTGAGAAGATTATGCTATTCGGACACTCTACCGGTTCGCAAGACACTATTCACTACTTGCTGAACAACGGTAGTACAGTCGACGCAGGTATACTGCAAGCTTCAGTCTCAGACAGAGAAGCGCCGCTTGAGATGGATGAACAGACCAAGCAACGTCTGGACAGGAAAGCCAAAGAAATGGTCGCGAGGGGCCAGAAAAATGAGCTTTTATCTGCCGAGCACGCTAAGTATAGCTTTAACGCCCCAATTACTGCCTACAGATGGTGCTCCTTATTCCTACCGGGTGGAGATGATGATTATTTTTCGAGCGACTTGACTAGCGATGACCTCAAATCAACTTTTGGGCAAATCACAAAACCTTTCCTTATTGCATATGGTGAGAAGGATGAGTATACGCCGACCTACGTAGATAAAAAGAAGTTGTTAGATGCTTGGAAATCATGCAGTAATCCTGAATATTGGTCTAAGAACTCTGGCTTGATTGAAGGCGCTGATCATAGAGTCAGTCCGGAAGCATCGAGACGGTGTCTGTTTTCCATGGTCGACAATTTCCTCGAGGAGTTCAACCTTTGAGCAAGAAAGGATTGAGTAGCTTCGTTTATAGACAAATAAATAACCGCGCTTCAATTCAAGTGACTGTGGATAGATAAGCGAACGATCCGATTTCCGGTGACTAATTTGTTTTCCGTTTTCTCAACTTCATAATCTCGGTATAAAAATATGTCCCTTGGTTGCAAAAAGGTGCCAAAGAGGATTCAGCGCCATTGTATATTCTCAAACTATCAAACGCATTATGACAGTCAAAGAATTGAAGAATGGTCCTACTTTTTTTGAGCCACTGACGACTATTGAAGAGCCTATACAATTCAATTTACCCAAGTCGACGGCCGTGGCAACGGCCTTCCCCGTTTACTCACCAGAGCAATTACCTGCGAGTCTAGTTGATTATATGTGTTCAGAACTTAATTCAGAAATAGAAGCTGGTAATACTTATCCGCATTACGAAGTGCTGTCAAGAGAAGAGTTCGTCAAGATGTGGTTTCATTCGTTTTGCGTCGTTCTCCTAAAGACAGAAAAACTAGAAATAGATGATTCTATGAACAACTGGGATGAGCTTTTCTTGGGGACTTTTTACATAAAACCAAATTATCCTGGTCGTTGCTCCCACAATTGTAATGCCGGATTTCTTGTTGGCTCTAAACAACGAAACCAAAAGGTCGGTTATCGTCTGGGACAAGTTTATTTGAAGTGGGCGCCTCTTTTGGGATATAAATACTCTGTTTTCAATTTGGTATTTGTTTCCAACGTCGCAAGTTGGAAACTTTGGGACAAATTCAAGTTTGATCGTATTGGTTATGTCCCCAAGGTTGCTGTCCTAAAAGGACATACCGAGAGGGTTGACGCAATTATATTTGGGAAAGATCTTACTCAGATAGAACCTGAAATTTTTGACGATTTACAGTAATTAATGAATATATTCAGAATAAAACATACATATGTTGTAGTAGATATGGTAATTAAAACTTGGTCTTTTTACAGTTTTTCGGGGCGCGCAGCTAGCAATTTGTGAGGAAGTAATCCACCACATGCTCAAAAAAAAGCTGTGTCAACAGCTGTACAGACGATTTTTGCAGCCTGAGTTTTCATCCAATAAGTTCAATGTCATTGGTATTGGGGCTGATATCGTTTATGTGCCACGAATAAAGAGACTACTATCCAAAAACCTTGAACATGCTCCATTAAGATTTGATAAAATAGCCAGGAAATTCATGCACGAACAAGAAATCATCAAATTGCGTGAATTAATCAGTTCCCCAGGGCCAGAAAATACCTTGGCTTATTATGTTTCTGGGGTCTGGGCAGTCAAAGAGGCGATATATAAGAGTATGGCAAGCGAAATTCCATTGCAGGCTCTTCCACCGGCTCAGGTATTGTACACAAAACTTTGTTATAAGACAAACGATGAACAGGGAAGACCTCATGTCGAAATTGACTACCGTTCAATGGAAGGGTACGCAGATTTCATTTCACGGCACATCAAGGGTACGAGTTTCAAAGTGAGCATTTCCCATGACCGAGATTATGTAATGGCCTTCATTTGTCACGTTAAGAATTAGATTATTACGGCTAAGCTTAGGTTTTACAAGCTGAGCATGTAATTGATGCCATAAGAAAAGTATAAGGGGGGAAATATTTTACAGCAATAGTTTAATGATCCAACTCAGACTTCAGCAAAAGGTTTCGACGAAAAGTATAATGAAATGTTCACCATCATGTGACTGTGACTACTTATCCATAGAAGTGCACTGTTTGTTGATAGTTCAGATGAAAAATTTTTTTGAGAATAGAATCTTTGATTCGAAGAATTTGAGTGTGAAGAAGGTTATACAGGATCTTTTATAAGACTCAGACCTTGACATAACACATCATTCTATCAAATGGGCGTTGCTGATCTAATTAAAAAGTTCGAAAGCATTGGAAAAGAAGAAAAATCCGAGAAGGCTGTGGAGAACGAGAGTGATGTCGTACCAATGACTTCGAAGGAAACTGAATTATCCTCAAAAAGAAGCGAAGACGAGGAAGAAAGTCTAGAAGAAAGGAATACCGCAGATGAAGAAAGTGTAAAAGAGGAGACTGCAAATGAAGATAGTGAAAGGCAGATTTCCGTCACAGAGGAGGCAGAGAGCGGTGCAACACAGGTCGAAGTCAACATCGAAAATGATTTAAAACCAACGAACGCTACCCAGGATGAAGGCGAAACACCATCAAAGGATGTCTTTGAGCAGGAAACTACTGAAATTAACTCCATCGCGAAAAATGACGAAAAAACTGGGTCCGCGGTTGTTGAAGATGAGGTATCGAGCTCGAATGATTTAAAAGGTCAGAATGTCTCACCTGAGGAAGCAGAGAATGAAGTATCTCCTGAAACAGAGCAAGAAGGCTCTGTTGTCACGAAAAATGATGCTGATGCAACAAATGAGCCACAAGAGTCCATAGATAATGACGCCGTCGATTCGCTTAGGCCTCTCTAATTCGTCGACCATAACGCTTGAAGAAACAAATGAAGTTTTGGATGCTAATACAGTAGCTAAGGATGCCAATGAAAGTAAGAGCGAAAGCGATACGAAAGACACACGTATCGGAAGAGATGATCCCTTCCAGTTTGGACAGAGGCAACTAAGAGATGAAACAGACGTATGGAATCATAATGCTTGGGACAATGTAGAATGGGGCGAAGAGCAGGTTCGTGCTGCCGAAGAAAAGATCAGTGAACAGCATAAAAACCCTGTATCCGAATTTGATAAAAAGCTGTATAATGGAAACCCAGCTCGCTATTGGGATATTTTCTACAAGAATAATAGAGAGAACTTTTTCAAAGACCGCAAATGGCTACAGATTGAATTTCCTTCTTTATATGATGCCACCAAAGAGGACGCGGGTCCAGTTACTATCCTAGAAATAGGATGTGGCGCTGGTAATACCATGTTTCCCATTCTTAGTGAGAACGAAAATCCACATTTAAGAGTTATAGGTGCAGATTTTGCCCCAAAAGCTGTCGATCTAGTCAAGAATAGCGAGCATTTTGATAAAAGGTTTGCACACGCAGCAGTGTGGGATTTGGCTAATACTGATGGTTCTTTACCGGAAGGAGTAGATCCCCATTCGGTTGATATTGCTGTAATGATTTTCGTCTTCAGTGCATTATCACCCACTCAATGGGAACAAGCGATGGAAAATTTGCATAAGTTATTGAAGCCAGGCGGGCGTATTCTATTCAGAGATTATGGTCGATATGATTTGGCTCAAGTTAGATTCAAAAAGAACAGGCTGCTTGACGAAAACTTCTACATCAGAGGAGACGGTACTAGAGTATACTTCTTCACAGAGGAGGAACTCCGGCAGACATTCACTGAAAAGTACTTCAAGGAGATTAAAATTGGTACAGATAGAAGACTTCTTGTTAATAGAAAGAGGCAATTGAAAATGTACCGAGTGTGGTTGCAGGCAATTTTTGAAGTCCCATTAGCTTAGGATTAGAAATTATTTGAATTAATGCATTAACCTCTGTACCTCTATAATATATATACCATGTTGTTGATCCTTCTTATTTTTTCACTTGGGATACTGAGACGTGAAGAAACCCATCAAAACTCATGAAGCAATTGAAGAGGTTTAAGATTAATGAATCAAGTGGCACTTCGATACCCTGCACGATAGGTTTAGCGAAACAACTCGGCTCTTCTGCTGAAAATATTTGAGGACATGCCCTCCGAAGAATGTCGTTAAGAGTTAGTTTGGGATCGTATGTGGATGCGTTTGTTATGGATTCGATCAATTTGACCTCAGAGGATGCTACATGAATCTTCAATGGAATATTTTTTACGGTATCGCGGTTTTGCAATATCTTCTCCAAAATGCGGTCAAACGTCTTTTGATCTCTGTTTAAAATGCTGTACCAAAAGCTCATCGAATCTGCTTTCGCCAGTGACATTATCTGCTTTGAAGACCCGTTGAGAACAAAACAGGCTTGCTTCCATTGATGCATCCAATACTCTTGGATTTGTTTCATACCGTTTATTATGGGAATGATTCCCGGGGGCAGCTTTTCGTCGTGGTGTATCACTAATTTCCACACATTAACGGTGTCACTTGTCATTGTTGAATTTCTGAAGGACGGGTCCAACTGCACAAGGGAATCATAGAGCACGCCTATAGGATATGTCCAATCTAGAGGTACTTGGTCGAAGCTAAACCACCATCCTTTGTAGCGGTCTGTCACATTATTCTTCAATATCTCCTCCAGCCGCTCGAGGATGTAGGGTAAATATATTGTAAGGTATGTATCTCTCGGTATTCTGAAGGAGACACGGCACTTCTCTTCTTGCGTGCCCGCTAAAACTATTGCGGAATCAGTTAGAACCTCAATATTAAGAGAGCCATTCCACTGGTATCTTCTTATGCTTTCCATATTTTTGAGCTAGGATAGCGGCATGTTAGATTACAGGAACGGATTGAAATTTTCTGACCAGTTAAACTACTTTGACAATCTTGAATTTGATGTCGTTTGAAGAAGATTCATCCCTAAAAAAGGAAGAATGGCTTTGGCAGCCTGATATAGAATGTGAACTGAATGTTTTTGGCAGACCCGACAAGACTACGCTTGTATTTGGTGTGTTTTACCTTAATAGGCTCCTGCGAGATGAAAAGAAAGTGATAACCACCCTTTTCCATAAACTTAAAAGACTGCTCGATCCTTGGAATAAATATTATCCGTGGAATCAATTCAAGGGTGTTGAAATTGCGATTACAAAGATGGATGATGGTCTCCCATATATTTTTGGATCACTTTGCGTGGAAGATAATATCGAGCAAGAGGAATCGTTGCTGGTTGCAATTTTACATGAGTTTTCACGGTCAGAGGGAATGGATGTTTTCATCAAAATATGTGATACGGAAGGTGATTTCGTACTGATGGAGTGTAATGACGTTTTGCCAGATGAATATGAGAGCCCGATTGGAAACAACAGAGTCTGGTTGCAAGAAGGCAAATTTAAGATAATTCCCCACACGTTTCACCCTGAAAGGGGTCTACGAAGTGACGAGGCGTTGAATTTTCTCATGAATTCATACTATGCTTGCGTCATTCCAGCCTCAATAAATAAAAGGCTTGAAGAGAAAGTTCTATATGGGTTTCCTAAGAAAAATCTCAAAGATTTGGTTCAGCTACCACTTAAAATATCAAATGAAAAGCACATGAAAATCTTGAGAAATAATCCGCAGTTAATAAGCTTAATTTTAAAAAACTCCCTTGATGAAAGGATAACATTGGAAGGATGTGACTCCACTCCAAACTGCAAGTCTAAGGAATTCCGCATTTTAACTCCAATAAAACACTGTAAGATTATTTCTTTCTATCTTAATTGCCTTTCAACACCGTATGAGAAAAAAAGTCTTCCATCTTTATGCGGACAACTAATTTCAAAGTCATTAGACGACCTCATTGAAAAGCGCATCCTCGATACTTTACCATTGGAGTGGAAGGAAGATGTATCTAAAGATTCTCTACAAGAAGAGCTGTGTGCCTTGGATCTTTTGGATAAGCCATTTGAGCATGAAATGGTTCGCATGGATGCTCTCTCCAAAGACAGAACCTCATATTCTGACATAGGTAGTGAAGAAGAAGTTATGTCTCGTTTTCAGAAGTTTTTCTCCGAAGCTGGTAAGCTAGATAGCATTGATGAGGATAAAATAAATGATAGCGATTCTGAAAGTGGCGAAAGCGAGGTTGATGAAGAAGAGGAAATAAGAAAGTACTTTGAACGAGAGAATATCGATATTGATGAGGAGGACTTTTTCGAGTTTTTCTTGACCGAAGCTTTGAAGGTCAAAAAGGAAGACCTGAAGCACTATCAGAATACCGAGCCAGAAGTTCCAGTTGCGAAGTTCGACAAAGAATATGATCAGGAAGTACTAGAGCAGCTTGATGAGTTTTTTCAAAGTCGAGATGAAGACGGTGGTAATGAGGATGTGCTAGAACTTCTACAAGCATTGAGTGTGGACGGTTCAGTTAATGGTCCACTGGATATTTTAATGAGAAATTTGAGGGAATAGATATAATTTGAATCACCCAACCAAAAATAAAACTACATACCGAGTACTTAAATTTGATGTTTAAATTGTTTCGTTCTTTTCATTCTCTTGTTCATCCTCCAATGAATTATCCTCGTCGTCAGCAAATCCCACTTCCAGATGCTCGTCGGTATTCTGACTTGGTAGCATTTCAGAAGAGTGCGCATGTTCAGCGGCATAGTTATGAGACCAACCGCTCCCTCCGCTAAACGACCGGGCCATGTTGAGGATACCAGGTCTATTAACTTCTGATAAAATCGCTGGATTGGCAGGAGTACTGGCTTTTGAAGCAGTCCCGCTTTCGGATTTCAAATTATCCTCTTCCCCTGTTAAATTTGGATCGTCTGTATTTGGGAATTCTTCGCTAGGTCGCAGAACTTCAGGAGGTTCTTCTTCATCTTCGAATGAACTCTCCTCCTGTATTACAGACTGAGTGGCAGACGAATTCCTGTTGAGAAGTTTTCGGCTGATATTCCTTTTCGGCAGCCTTCCTCTCCTACTGATAGGAGATCTCCCTCTTTTTGCCAGCCATGACGATCCTACAGCAATACGAGGGGCCACAGTATCCGCTACCATGTTTCCATTAAGTGCTCTTATATCCATCGTTTTAGGAGAAGATGCTGTAGATATATCATAAAAGGAATCTGTTCTGGAACTTCGCTCAGATGCACTAGAGGCACTGGACATGATACTCATAGACCTTCGAGCTCCCCCGCGGGAGTAAACTGATGGTCCATCTGTATTAGTGGAATGTGCTGAAATGCTTACCGAGTTGGTTTGTCTAGTCGTTATATTGCCCACACTGCTAGGTTTAGAATTCGATTGATTGCCATCCGTCGAATATTCAGAATTATATGTGTCATTCGATATTTCGGAATGTTGTGAGAGCATGGAAAGGGGCCTTCCTTTCTGTGCGGGGCTAAACTTCTGCCCATCTGGAGCAGTTTGACGAGCACTTATCGTAGTCCTATTATCGAATTCGCTGTCGTAGTTACCCAAAGAAGTCTGATGTGATATTTCGCTTGATGTTGTTGATTTGAACTTCTTGAGCACTGGCTCCTCGATAGTCAACACTTCGGATTTTACAGGTGTGGAACTTGATCGAGCATCTTCTCTCTTGAGACTGTTATTGCGTTCTGGTTTCTTTGGTGAAACTTTGGGACTTATTCTCCGAGACTCACTTGAATTGGTCTTCCGCTTTCTTTTATCATTTGCCCTTATATTTAAAGGAGTATTAGTAACGCTAGGATTGTCACGGTATGTACTCTGCTTTTTGTTCTTGAAAAAATTGGTCATTTTCATAAATATGTTGTTCTTCTTTTGTCTACCGCTAAGTGAATCTTGTTCATTGTTGGATGAGGCATGCCTTAGTGAAGATTTACGACTTGGTTTGTTTATTGGTTGGTGAATGGATGCAGTGTCACTTTTTCTGCTTAAAATTCTTTTTACTGAAGAAGTAGCACAGGGTTCGTTAAATTCTAAAAGGTTATCGTCTTGTTGCTTCAATGGAGGTGTAGATTCGAATACTTTTCTGACGGACAGCACTGATCGACTTCGCTTCGGATATTTCGAATATTCGATCCTTCTCTCACGTTCCAATAATAGAAGCCACATACCTGATAAGGAGTCACATTTTCGTTTATTGACTGAATGTTTTATAGCCTGACTATCAAACCCGACTTGTTTTAGCCTCTTCAGCAATCTTCTTTCAAGCTTACCATGGAAATTCTTTGGTCCTTGTCTCTGCCGCTTTATGATCTTTTCAGTTCTCTCCAAAATCATCCCTCCGTTTGGTTGTAAAAAAGGGTGTAGCAGGACTTCATTAAGGGAAGGCCGCTGTATTGGGTCTTTTTGTAATAATTTCTCTACCAAATCCTTAGCGTCGCTGCTGATTAGACTTTCATTGTACGTGGGATTATCGTTTACGATTTTCCATTTCGTTTTTGTCTCATCATCTTCATCGAACGGCATCGTGCCATGAATCATGGTGTATAAAATTACGCCAAGTGACCATGTATCAATTTTGAATCCATCGTAGCATTTTCTTTCAATCAATTCGGGAGCCATATATACAGTAGTGCCGCATATTGTCTCGAGTAAGCTTTTTGTAGCACATTCCCTGGTAAATCCAAAATCCGTCAGCTTGGCTTGGCCCTTCTTGTCCAGTAAAATATTCTCCAATTTCAAATCTCGATGAACACATTGCAGTGAGTGAGCATAGAACACCGCCCCGACAACTTGCGAGAATAGACGTGCGCATTCGTCGAGGGGAATATGCTTCTTTGTGAGTAGATATTCATACAGTTCTTTGCCTGGGCAGTACTCTAGCGCCATCCATACATAATTTTCTGTGACAATAACCTCGTACAGCTTTGTGATATATGAGTAATCAAACTGGCGATGATAGAATACCTCCCGAACAACGTTAGGATCGTTTTTCGAACCCATCTTCAAAACAACTTTTATGTGTGTTAAACGGTGGCATGCTAAATATACCTTGCCAAAGCTGCCTTCACCAATCAGTTTGAGGATCTTATAGTTACCAACCTCCGACAGCTCTTTCGAGCTGAATTGACCATAAAGCTTATTATATGAAGCAGCGATGGTGGCCTTCAGATTATTCTGTTCAACTTTTGACGGAAACATCTCGTGTTAGGAAGTAAAGAAGCAGCAAAGTTAAACTTCAGCTCGCGATTGATGAAACTATGCCAATAAAGTAAGCTCGTCGAATAAAAATATGTATGTTAAGGTACCCTACCTGCAAGGAATCTCGGCAGCTGTTGATCCACTAAATTGGAATGTGCAAAATCACATCATTTTGAACGATGGATTATAATTTACCTCAATGCAGAGTTTAAGGTTCAGAATATTCATTCTTCCTCTCTTCGGCATCTAAGAGGCTGTGAAGAATTATGCGATGATGTTCTTTGGATGACACTTTCTTGAAAAACTGCAAAAGTGCTGTCGGCGCATTTTAAAGTCTCGCGCTTATAAGCATCTACCGAATATACGACGGTTATTTCAAATTCTCGGGAACAATGCTGAATGAGAATTATTGTTTGCATCTACTGTCAATCACAAAGAGAAAGCACTCAGGTCCTCTTTACATAGCAGCAGCGCAATTGTAAAGATTCATAAGGCCTTTATAAATAAGACATCTTTATTGTCGTGGAGGCAAATTTAAATATCTCTTGTCTGGTCCTCTGAAACTACCATTCCAGCCCCAAAAACGTACGATTATTCAAACCTCTCCGGATCATTAGATAAAGAGTAAATTCTCGTATTATAAAAGTTTAGAAGTCTCTTGTAATTTCAAAATAAGATGCCTTAGTGCTTGAATAAGTCAATGAACTACTATTGACTACCGCCAAGATATTAAGTCATTTCCACACAAACTCTAGAAGCGTTTAAGGTAGTTATTGAATTGTTTAACATGTGATTGTTTGAGTCGATAATAATGTCGTACAAGCAGCTGTATATTTCTCGAAATTCACGATCTAGGCAGTTATTGATTGTGCTTGACAGATATTTTGTCTTAAGCTTCTTATCGAAGCGTATTTTTTCGATACTTCGCCAATTGAACTGTGGCTCCTGAGTTTTTTCCGTCTAAAAAGAGCTGATACAACCATGTAATCTGAGAATAGACTCAACTCTTCCAATTAATTTCCTTTTGATGAGATTATCCTTTCCACTAAGAATGACTTTTAATTCATCTCGGTCTTATAACGATGCAGTCGCTGCTTTGAACTCCCTACAATCGAATTATGCTAATATCATGGCCATCAGGGCCTCCGGGGACCGGAAAAACATGATGAATATATGGGAAATGCAGGAATGGTCTCGTCGTATTGGTTATTCTACTTCCGACTACAATTCACTCAATATCATTCACATTACAGGTACAAAAGGCAAGGGCTCTACCGCGGCTTTTACTCAGGGAATTTTGCAACAATTTCAGAACGATATTAAGAAGATTGGTCTATACACATCGCCTCACTTGAAATCGGTAAGAGAGAGGATCCGAATCAATGGTGATCCGATCTCTGAGGAGAAGTTTTCTAAGTACTTTTTTGAGGTATGGGATAAATTGGACGCCACCACCTCGTCCGAAGAAAAATTTCCACATATGGTTCCTGGAAGTAAACCTGGCTATTTCAAGTATCTCACTCTGTTGTCGTTCCATGTCTTTATGCAAGAAGGTTGCAACACCTGCATATATGAAGTTGGTGTCGGTGGAGAATTCGACAGTACAAACATAATCGAGAAGCCAACTGCGTGCGGTGTCGCCTTGTTGGGAATTGATCATACATTTATGTTGGGTGATACAATTGAAGAAATTGCTTGGAATAAAGGGGGTATTTTCAAACCTGGTACTCCTGCTTTCACGATTGCAAACCAGCCAGAAGCCGGTCTTCGAGTTCTAAAGGAAAGGGCCCAGGAACGCCACACGACTTTGACAGAAGTGCCACATTTCGAGCAACTTAAGGATGTGAAACTGGGTATTGCCGGCGAATTCCAAATTGCCAATGCCTCTTTGGCTGTCGCGCTGGCTCAACAACACCTCCACCAATTGAACATTTTACAACAACCGGTAAATGCTAATGTAGGTGCTGTTATCCCAGATTCATTCAAAAAGGGCTTGAGCTTGACAAGATGGGACGGTAGGTGCCAAACAGTACATGATGGTGAGATTACCTGGTACATTGATGGCGCTCACACTAAAGAGAGTATAGAAGCTGCGTCAGGATGGTTCAAAGCTGAAGTTTCTTCCTCAACTCATAAAAAAATCCTGCTATTTAACCAACAGACAAGAAATGCAGAGGCTCTCATAAATTCTCTTTATGATGTTTTGAATACAGGTGTTACGTTTGATCGCGTAATATTCTCTACAAATGTGACTTGGAAATCGGGGACGTATAGTGCCGATTTGGTCTCTCTGAATACTTCAAAAGAGCAGGTTGACAAATTGGAGGTTCAAAAAGCGTTAAAAAATGTCTGGAAGAACTTGGATGCCAAGGCCAACGTCGACGTAGTCGCCAGTATTGAGTCCGCATGTGATTTGATCAAGGCATACGACGAACCTGTTGATGTTTTTGTGACAGGCTCATTGCACCTTGTTGGTGGTCTTTTAGTAGTTTTTGACGGGAAGAATGAAGAATAGATAGATTTCAAATATTCCTGAAATATCACTTTCGATTGAAGCATTATGTAAATATTTGTTATAGAATTATCAATTAGGTTTAACCTGTAAAACATGGCCTATCAGTAACATCTCTGCCGTAAGCCAAAGTCCAATCGCCGTGATACTTTCTGTTAAAATAAGTATTTGTTTGATTGTAATTTTCGATGACACTGATTGCACTACGCACGTCGTAGTAATGAATCGAGATGCACAGTTTTCTGGAAATCATCGGCGTAATTTCAACAATTTCACCAAATCTTTCGAAATCTTTTCTGAGCTCTTTAACATCTAGTGGGTGCAAGAATTGCTTGGATGAAGATAAATTACGTCTTGATCCGAGCGCTGTATCGTTAGCGCTATTTCTTTTCAAAATCACACAACGACGTGCCCCACGAACTTCACGTGCCTCGTTTTTCTTTGGATCAACAAAGGCTTTAATGCATTCAAAGTTTGCATTTGAGTTCACATTGATATTTTGTGGAGCCCATTCGACATTTATATGTTGACCATTCACTTCAAAGAGATTCGTCCTGCCATATTCAATAAATTTCCTAGCACCGTCATGCGTAGCAAAATGCAATTGGATACATTTAACGGAGCTCGTACTATCTTCATTTTTCAAAACACTAACTTTCTCTAGCGGTCCACCATATACTTGCGATAAGATACTATGGAGCCCAGTATTGGTAGGCATTTTATGAAGATGTATTACTCGCTTGCCGCTTATTCCTAATGAATCATTCATTCCGCAATCTGAAATCTGAGATTCCATCCTTTTGTTAGTCTCTGGAGAAGCATAAATACCGGGTTTTTCTTCATAGTTCTCTGTAAACTTGGGTTCGGTAACTAGTTTTCTCGTCGAAGCATCAATCACTGTTGGCATGGACAATTTTTCTGACACATTTCTTTCCTGTTCAGCTTGGGATGTGAAATGGTAGGAGTCATACTTACGTTTCCTTGGCAGCATATATCGCATCGTCTTATCATTGGTTTTAAGAGGCCTTTTCCCGAAAAGAATAACAGTACCACCCATAGAATGACTCTTTTCTGGATCATAATTCTTGCAGTTGGACTTTTCCGTAAAGCTGTCTTCATTTGAATCATTCTTTGCCGTATTGGTAGGCCAAAAATAGGCTCTCGCTAATTTTCTGAATCCGAAGAGCTCATGATCTTGCTTGGATTTATTTACCGATATATTAGACCCAATGACACTAGATCCAACAAAAGAGGACAACGATGGGAATCTGATATACCTTGATTTTGCACTGGACTTTTCGCTCAAGTTGTTTTGTCCGCTAATAAACCAATTATCCGATAGGCTTCCCCTGGCAACCATTGAATACAAAACTGACGCTTATTGATAGACGTTGATTTAATGAGTTGATATGTTTTTATTCAATAAAATAGTATAGTTATATTATATCCTTCTTTGAGGCTATGTTGATTTGTTATTTGCTTCAATTCTTTGTATGTTGTTAAGAAGATAAATTGATTGTAATATTAGCTTTAGTATTGTGTTTTGTGCGTCGTTTTTGTTTCGGTGTGAAAATGCTACTTCTATTCAAATGACTGAAAAAATTAATAATATATAATTGAGATACTTAACTTAAATGCATGAGACTTTCTATAAACTGACTTCGCACATGTCACCACGACGAGACGTTTCTATCTTCATTAATTCTCGTAACAGCATGGTTGCGTAAGCCGAAACTCCCAACTTGAATGTCAACAATACTGCAGTATTTTCACCTCCCTTGTCATCAGGGAAGCGTGTTAACTTTTCCTTCATATACTTTTGCCCATTTGCCTTGGCTCTCTGACTGTTCAGTATTTCTAGATCGGTGTTAATAAGCTGCTGAGTGGCTGTCGTGTAGTGAACAACTTTAAATTCCAGGTCCTTAGGTTTATGAATCACATTCCTATAAGAACCAGCTAAAGAAAAGTCACGCGATTTCCTCCTCATATCAAAGGGGTCCATACCATCTTTAGCTAAAGTATCGATATAAAGTTGACGAAGAACTTCATTAGTAGGATAAACGATATCAAAACCTGGAGTTGGCAAAACGACGTCATCAATTTTATAGGTGCCGGAATCAACTTCTTCTTGACTTACTGGGCGAGCACGAACATATTTAGCATCTCTCAGATCTTCCGTGAAGTTTTCAGAATCACCCTCTTCATCGTTTTCCTGAGATAGTGGATCACTAACGCTTTCGTCAAGAATCAAATCTCCGGCGACAATATTGAGGCCAAAAAGTTCAATTCGCTTACTGGCAACAGTATTCCACACATAACTTTGATAAGCATGGGCATACATGGTCCGTAAGTTTCTTGGGATCTTACTTATGCAAAAAAAGTACTCTTCGTTGGTCGGATCTTCTTTTCCTAGCTCGGCGAGAGCATTAAGAATTGCACATTCTGCAACACACTGCCTAGGCATTTTTTTCAAAGCAGCGATGGGATCTTTTGTTTCTGCCCAAATTTTTCTTGCCTCTGCAGACTTAGGCAAAACATTTTCTTGTTCTGCAAGAATCAAATTAGCTGCATTTTGCCAATTCTCAAGCAAAAGCTCTTTTCCAATTTCATGGGTTGAAACACTGAACGTTCCAAATCTTTGCATACCATAGTAATTAATGAAACCATTCTCTCTTAGCGATGTGCAACCTTCCTCAAGAATTTTCTCCAAAGAAAGTGTACTATTTGAAGCAACTTTGACGTCTCTAATAGCAATTGTAAATTCATTGCCTTCAAGATCACCTAGATTCAAGCTCTCAGGCTCAAATTTGTAACCACCTAAGACAATGCCCTTCAAGCCTTTATTCAAGGCATTTAACCTCTCTAAACTTATTTTCGAAATGCACATTCTTTGACAAGTAATTGCTCTTCTATCTTTAGTGCCTGCATATCTTATCATGCGACTAGGGATCCTTAAAAATTTTGACAAAACGTTTGCAACATCCATTGTATCTTTATTCTCCTTGTACGTAGTAAAATGAATAAAGTTCTGAGCTGGCCCATAGCCCCAATTCTCAACACCATTTTGATCTTTATTTCTTTCAACCAAATCTCTCTTATTCACCCTTGAGTTTCGATTTGCAAGGGCGATATGGAATGTGTTCTCGTCTGAGGTAACAGATTCAAGCTGATTGTTGAAAGCAGCACGCAAAAGTTGGTGAATTTTCGTTCTGGTAGCCTTTTCGTCGAAAGTTTTGGAAGTTTCCATCTTCTTGCCATTACGATACACATCCTCAATTTTTGCAACATCTTCTTCCCCTAATAGTCCCACTAATTCAGCCCTCAAAGCATGATCGACTTTAAATTCACTTCTTCTTTTAGCTTCTGCCTCCTGCTCCAGAGCAGCTTCCTCCTTGGATGGTTTTTTTGGTTTCGGCATATTAAAACCTCTGTCAACCAGATGAACTACATTGCCTTCTTTGTCTATTTCATTCACTAAGAAATCCGTATATCTTTGCTTGATCTGGCCACCAAAACCAGGTAGTTTCTCAGACAGAAAATGAGTTATACCTACATCTGCCTCCTGCAGATTCTCGGGCGTTGCAGGTTTGAACCTCTTCGATGAATGATCAATACCAGAAGATTTGGGATCTTGCTGACCATCACTTTCCTCTAATATTCGCTTGGCTACTTTTTCCTGACTCATCTTGTTAGTTATGGTTTATTCAATGGACAACGATCGATGTTGCTGTCTGTCCAGTAAGCGTGTCAGGCGAAGACATGCGATGAGCATCAGAAACAAAACTGAAAATTTTCCACTAGCCATCACAGAATACGTATTGATTGTTTTGCCTTGGCACCAACAAGTGAGTTACCTAAGGGAAGAGCAGTGATGTGTGCAGACCGAGCCAACCATGTGATGACGAGTGAAAAGGATGCAGATCAAACATATATCGACACACTTTGGAACAAGCAGTTTCACTTCCTTTCTTTTCTACCGAGCCATCTGCAGGAAGAAATTGACAAAAAGAAGACCGTATTCCAGAAACTCGAGGAGCTGCAAGATCAAAACAGTGGGGTTACCTCTTCGGAAGATTCAATGCTAGTGAGATATAAGGCTTCTAGTAGCAATGAGAGCAATCTTTCATTAACAACAGGCGTTTTCAGCAAAGAAGATAATTTTCATTCGCTAATGGGACGCCATGAGCAGCTCTTGTCCCATAAACCAAGGTGGCATGCACCCTGGAAACTAATAAGGGTAATAAATGGACACACAGGTTGGGTGAGATGCGTTTCTGTCGACCCTGTTGACAATGAATGGTTCGCGACGGGAAGTAATGATACTACAATAAAAATTTGGGATCTCGCAAGCGGAAAGTTGAAATTGACCCTAGCTGGTCATATAATGACTGTACGAGACTTGGCTATATCGAAAATTCACCCTTATATGTTTTCTGCAAGTGAGGACAAACTAGTGAAATGCTGGGATTTGGAAAGAAACAAATCAATTAAAGATTTCCATGGTCATCTTTCTGGAGTTCATACAGTCGACGTGCACCCCACTGTAAACATTATCGCGAGTGCAGGCAGAGATGCGGTAGTTAGAATATGGGATATTAGGACAAGACTGCCTGTAATGACTCTCTCAGGCCACAAAGGTCCCATCAGCAAGGTCAAATGCTTCCCTGTTGATCCTCAAATAGTTAGCTGCTCATCTGATAACACTGTCAGACTTTGGGATATTACTGCCGGAAAAGCCATGAAAGTCCTTACTCACCATAGCAAAACTGTTAGAGATATTGCTGCTCATCCCACCGAATATTCCATCGCAACAGCGTCGACAGATGACGTGCGTTCTTGGCGACTACGAGATGGCCATTTACTTACAAATTTTGAATCCGAAGGTTTAGGAATTATAAACAGTCTATCGATAAATCACGATGATGTTTTGTTTGCTGGAAATGACAGCGGAATGCTATCGTTTTTCGATTATAAAACCGGCCATAAATATCAGGAATTGCAGACAACGGAAATTCCAGGCTCGTTGGAAAGTGAGAGAGGAGTATTAGCGAGCTCATTCGACGAAACAGGGTTGAGACTAATCACAGGTGAGAGTGACAAGAGTATAAAGATGTGGAAACAGATTCCTGGTGCCAGCCCTGAGACACATCCAGGACTCCCATGGAATCCCAAATTATCGTCTCAAAGGTTTTAAGGGTATGTATTTTATAAAACAAAAATTGAATAATCATATTTCTGCATGATTTTAGTTAATCACGTTCATATATAAAATTCATCTCACGAAAAAAAGAGATAATGAGATAGAACATTCAACGAAACAAACTTGAACAGTTGCGACATGAGCCCTGAGGATGAGAAAGAACCGGCAATACCCAGGAAAATCAAAGACATTGATGAAATAGTAATAGGGTGTAAATGCTGGGTACATAAAGACGGTAAAGACAGGCTTGCAGAAATTCTTTCAATCAATGCTAGAAAGTCACCTCCGAAGTTTTATGTTCATTACGATGATTTCAACAAGCGTCTAGATGAATGGATATTAGCTGATAGAATCAATCTAGATGAGGAGGTACTTTTTCAAAAACCGAAGGATACGAAAGCTGATAGTGACAAAGCAAATAAGAAGAAGAAGCAAAAGAAGTCGACCTCTATACAAACACCTAAATCCGAAACTCCAGAAGGCACTGATATTATGGATCTGGATAACCTTAACGTTCAAGGATTAAAAGATGATGATATATCGAGAGACGATGAAATCAAAAAATTAAGGACGTCAGGTTCGATGATTCAAAACCCCCACGAAGTGGCCAGGGTCAGGAATTTGAACAAGATAATAATGGGCAAATTCGAAATTGAGCCTTGGTACTTCTCCCCATATCCTATAGAGCTTACAGACGAGGATATTATCTACATCGATGATTTCACTTTGCAATATTTCGGCTCCAAGAAACAATATGAGCGGTATAGACAAAAGTGCACTCTGCGCCACCCTCCAGGAAACGAGATCTATAGAGATGATTATGTCTCATTCTTTGAAATCGATGGAAGGAAACAAAGGACATGGTGTCGAAACTTATGTCTTTTCTCCAAACTTTTTTTAGATCACAAAACATTATACTACGATGTGGATCCTTTTTTATTTTACTGTATGACTAGAAGGGATGAATTAGGTCATCATTTGGTAGGCTATTTTTCAAAAGAAAAAGAATCGGCAGATGGTTATAATGTTGCATGTATTCTTACGCTTCCTCAGTATCAAAGGCATGGTTACGGTAGACTGCTGATAGAGTTTTCTTACGAATTGTCGAAAAAGGAGGGAAAGGTTGGCTCTCCTGAAAAACCTCTATCTGATTTGGGTCTGTTGTCCTACAGAGCATATTGGGCGGATACTTTGATTAAACTTTTAATGAATCATGGCAATGAAATCACCATTGATGAGATAAGTTCTCTTACTTCGATGACAACAACTGATATATTGCATACCGCCAAAGCTTTGAGCATCCTAAGATATTATAAGGGACAGCATATCATTTATCTTAATGAGGAAGTAGTTCAACGGTATGAAAAAATCAAGGAAAAGAAGGGAAGAACCATTGATCCAAATAAGCTGATATGGAAGCCACCAGTCTTTACAGCTTCACAGCTGCGGTTTGCGTGGTAGAATATTTAGTGCTTTTAAATAGTTTTGGCTAAAAGATCAATCAAAAGGTAAAGGTTTGTGACCCTTATTTGCTCCCGATGCTGCAACAGCGCTTGGAACTCTAATTCCACAGCAATCCCCCCATGTATTCTGCAATCCATGCGGGCAATGTTCGTGTCCGTCGTTTTCTGAGTGCTCTGATGGTGAAGAGACTCCACTGGGACATCTCAGCACATCGCCAAAGAAGAAATGCTGCATGATCGGTAGTTTTCCTAGTACTTCAGCCTTGTACATCTTGATCATCCCTTCCGCCACCTTACTCCATGTCTTTACACCGCTTATATCGTCAAGCATGGGCGAATGCCACCTTAACGACGCAGTAGTCTTGACCGAATTTATGAATGCAATACACCCAAAATACATGTATCTCTTCTCAAACATTTCCACCAAGTCAGGATTATGAATGGATTTAGGTTTTAAATGTTTGTGCTTGGATAATTGAAAGGCGCCGAAAAGGAAAGGTAAAAAATGGTAGTCATCAAGCCCCCAAACTCCATGAGATCCGGCTGGTTCTAGCCAGTAGATAGTCTCCAAGGATCTCATGACTGATAAGTATTGACTGAATATTTTAAGCACTATGTTGGTAGAGTCCCTTTTGGTATCAAGTATGCCAAACCGACATAAGCAGTATAGGAAGCAAATGAAATTTAACTCATGTCCTGAACCATAATCTATTCTACTGCGATTCCCCCATGATTCCTTGAAATATACTTTTAATTCAACAATCTGATCATCAGTTAAGTCAGGTGCCATCGCCAGTAACCACTCCCTTATATGTAACTCGATGTCATCATAAAAGTCCCTGAACTCCTTTTTACCGAATCTAGACACAGTAGCACCTTCTTTAACAGGATGCTGCTCGATAGCCTTTGAAACTTTTTCCAGTAGTTCGCATGCTTCTTTGACGGACGAGCTCACGGGTTCTTGGAAGTCAGTATTCTCTCGTCCCTGTACGGATTCTGCAAGTTCCGATATAAAACCAACGAGCTCGGTATAAGTAGCCGACTCTAACCACAGTTTCATATCATCCTGAGTTAATAACCGTTTCTCTGGGATCATTATTGCTATTGGGTTAGGGTTGATGATCACTTGTCTTACCAGAGAGGTCTTTTTCTTGTATAAAAAAAATTACGTAGGCGGGTATCGCTTATTCAGGCACATTGGGTGATATGTTAAATAAAGTAATGTTCCCCGTATAGACTAAGATCTAAACTTGTAAATATTTTTTGTGCTTATTCTACATAATTCAATTCCATTCCCTTATATCCAAATTGTTCCTTGTATTTGTGGAATATCCTCTCAAGCTCCTCGATGTATAACTTTTGATAGTAGTCAATGTCTTCAATGCTGGGATTTTCGTACTTCTTGTCCACGTAGATGGGCCTTCCAACTACTATGTTTATGGGCCTCCGGAAAGGGATCAAACCAAAATCGTAGTTGAAAACGCCCCTTGCAAAGAAAAATGGTATAGTAAAACCGTACGTCCGCTTAAACCAAAGCTGCATGCGGCGTAAGTATGATTTTTCATCGGTTTGCAAAATATTGTAACAGTCAGTTTCACCGAATGCAAAACATGGAACAATACCAACTTTTCCGGTTTCGAGAGCTAATTTTACAAATCCCTTTCTTCTCTTCAAAACAAGGTCAGCAGAACCGACTTTGCTTGTCAGGGCCTCCTGAGCACCTCCAACCACAATGCAAATTGAGAAATTTTGGTCCAACACCTTCAATGCGTTTTTCCTTGAGACCGATGTGATGCCCAAAGAGAGTAAGTAATCCCTGTAAAACGGAATTTGAAATTGATTGATCAAGGTCATCAAGCAAACGGGAATGCCTGGAAATAACTCAGACCAGTTACAGCCTTCAGTCGCAAACGCTCCAAATGCTCCTAGCGCTGCCACGCCGTGTGGGTGATACCCAAAAATATAACGAGGACCAGTGGCTTCTTTCTCCACTGCATCGGACTTCTTAAGGATGTTGAGTGTTAGCGAATGCTTGAGTGGCCACAACCGGATCTTAAGGCTCATTTTGTACTTCTTTGCCCCTAAATCGTTGGCTTTGCTCTCGGTAAAAGTTGGCGGGATATCTGCAACCTTGTGGAGGCGGATGGGGTAGTAATTACAATAGTATTGCCACAGTGCTAGGCTCCGAAACCAGTTGGAGTAACGCCTGGTTACGCGGCCGTTGGCCGGCGTTCGGTCGACCATATAGTACAAGAGATAGGGAATCATCACGACCCACATCAATGGGTTAGCCATCGCCAGCAGTGTGAACGCCGCCATGTATATAAACGATCCCACATGCCACGCTACGGCCAGTGTTTGCAATCTCCTCTTCCAAGGAGTTTTCGGCGAGCAAAAATTAACCTTCGGTTTGTGCAACAAATCCGGTTCATCTAGCAAATCACCTAGAGGCATGCCCTTCTCATTGCCCTTACCGTAGAAACGAAGCGAGTCCAGTTCATTTCTTAAAATTTGTGAAGGGCTACGACTTCTCTCGCGCTCTTTCCATATGTCAGCTCCACTGCTCATGGCTCCATCGCTAATTGAGACCTTCCCATCACACTGCTTCCTGTGATTGACCTGCCCTGCTGAATCCATATCGACCGTGCTAGGCAGCAACAAAATTTCCTCCTTTCAACAAGAGACCTTGGTATTCGGTGTCGAAGGTAGGTGACTTTTGCTAAATGGGAACAACTGCCTCTTGAATTTTATTGGGCGATATTGAGCGATAAGGCAAACTTTCTTCCTGCACAATCACGTGCCTGGCTAACTGCCACTTTTTTTTGTGGTGCCCAGAAGCGTCAGCGACGGATAAAGAGACAACAGAGATTCTTCAATGCTTCAGCGGATTTGCGTATTCAGTAGAGTCGTGTGCATCTGTTCGACGCCTGAAGTTGCATTCAAAAAAATTCTTAGACTGTGACCATGTATAGTTTGCCAACTTTCAGGCTGCGAGGAAGCAGGATATCCATGCCAAAAAATACATTCTATGTTTTTCTGGTGTCGATATTATTCGTGGTAGTTCGTTTTCTACCTGGCGTCGAGTTTCGAGGCCCGCAGACGACCGGATACAGCCGTTTGCATGATGAGCTGATTCACAAGTTTAACAGAGTTGTAGAGGAGGGCATTGTGACGGAACAGCAATACTACGAGAATTACGTCAATCGTAGAGTGCCTACAGTTGTCCAAGAAAGGGAACCACCTGCGAATTTGCACTTCGTTAATTGTTTCGCGGGCGAAATTCCTGCAAAGCCGCACGATCTTGGGCATGTACTTGTGCAGACACGCGACAGAAATTCGATACCGCTTGCGAAGAGCCTGGCACAGTGGCAGCGGGGGTTTACGACGAGGCTGAAATGGAGGCACTCTTACGCCATCACACTCGCGTTTACGCACAAGCTATTGAGAATGGGCTTCACAAACCCGTTGATACCGTTTTCATGGCACGACTGGTGCGATTTGCACAATACAGTAGGCAGCACCGAGTCACCTGAGCTTGGTGAACGTATTCATGTACCAGTTTTTAGACAAGACCCCTCAGAATTCTTGGCATTTCACGAATCAGAGGCAACCAAGATGGCAAGAGGCACCAAGTACGTCTCATCAGACCGCGTGCCTGTAGAAAAAATGGTATTTGTTTCAAAGGGTCGGAATATCGAGATGGCTGTCAAAACCGTTGCGGCCTCAAAAAGTGCCATTTTCGACCCAGAATTCGGGATTCTCCACGAGCTTGCAGCGTTGGAGGGCATTGGCCGGTCCAATGTCCAGGCACATGGTGTGAATCTAACGCACGTCAGAAACGAGGTTTTTGGAATACCGGAAATGGCTTACTTTGACAACCGGCGTGCACAATTGGTGGTCAGCAGCAGAGCTCGTGACCTGGCGTCGGGGTCGCGCGACCTACAATTCGCGGAGTATCTATCACTGCCTCGTTTGGAAACAAGGGCAAATAATGGCTACACCGGGCCCAATGGCATGACAATAGTACTATATAGTGATGATTTTCGGCTCTCGGCTCCAGACCGTATTCGGGATTTGTCCAGACCTCGATCATCGTATTATTACAAGGATAGAATCTTGTCTCCCGAGGATTTTGCGTATCTCGATTTGGTCGCAGGCAAACATTGCCAAAGCTTGCTCCAGAGCAGCCGCCAACTAGAGGATTTACAAAAACACAAGCTTCTCAGCGACTTGACTCTATCGGGTAACACAGTGCCAATCGGATTGCCGGGATCACATCACGATGGGCGCTTTTTCAAGGGTGTTCTACTAGAAAGCGAAAAACTCGAGAGTCTGCATCGATTGGCAAGAGCGTGGCAGACATTTGCAGCCAACGAAAAAGTAATTTACTGGCTTTCGCATGGGAATTTACTGAGCTGGAAATGGCAAGGTACCAACTTTGCGTGGGACCACAATGTAGATGTTCAGCTACCTATCCGGCATTTGGAATATTTGGCAGCAAACTTCAACAACTCTGTAATAGTATTCGAAGATGAGGACTACGTCGGAAGGTACTACCTGGAGATAGGCCCACTTTTCAATGTCCAAGCGAAGGAAGGTCACAAAAACATCATTGATGGCCGGTTAATCGATGTCGACACTGGCCACTACGTCGCTCTCGTATCTGTATTTTCTGCGGAGGATACTAGTGTGCAGAAACCACACACGGGCCAAGGCGCAAAAGCACTTAAATCCTCATTTAAGAATTTCTACGGTGGCGCAGTAGCTTTGACCGACAAAAACTCGTATTGTTATCCGAGCTTGGCATCGCTCAGTCCGCTCAGGAGAACCGTTTATGAAGGCATAAGCACATATGTCCCCTTTGACGTCGATAGAATTCTCACTGATGAGTATCCCTATGGACTTCAAGACACGGACAATGGCTACTTTCGATACGATGAACACCTATGCGGATGGATTTCCAAAACATGTGGAAACTGCGTGTCGAAAGAAACGGAAAAACTATGGAAAGATCACGAACGGGAGTCTCGTGCCACATGTAAACACAATATAGAGGGAGAAGAGAGATATTGCAAACCTCCAGGCTCCACAACGTTGCATTCTCGGTGGCCAAATGTGAAGACGAATTCGCTAGAGCGCCATAGTCGGTATCATGAAATGAACGGTTATCCATATGTTTGACATGTAATGTTTAAATACGCAAATCGTTATTAACGAAGACGCGTCAGGCGATTTTTTTTTAAAATACTTACGCGTCGCATGATTCAAGAGATGCTAATCTGAAGGGATCCTGGGTTAGCACAGTGGGGTCGATGATGGAAAACACCACCCAACCGACACAGCAAGCGACACAGGCGACGCAAAAGTACATCATTGAAAAGTTTTCTCAAGAGAAGATCGATGATGACATTGTGTGCAGGATAATATGCACGATGGGTCAAATTCCGATACGAGATCTTCGAGCAGACATACAAGATGTGATCAGAAAGAAGGAGCCGATCAAGAAGTCGTGGACCTTCGGCAGAAACCCACAATGCGATTACCATCTGGGAAGTACGTCGAGGTTATCGAACCGTCATTTTCTGATCATGTTGGGAGAAGATGGGAACTTACTGCTGCGCGATACATCTACCAATGGTACTTGGCTCAATGGCGAGCGAGTTGAAAAAGACAGAAACCAAATACTTTCTCAAGGAGATGAAATTACAGTGGGAATGGGTGTTCCTCAGGATGTGCTAAGTCTTGTAGTATTCATCAACGACAAGTTCAAGCAGAAACTGGAAGCCACAAGATTACAGGGTCTTACGTCGACCAAATCAAAATCTGCCAAAAATTCCTCACCTCGGCTCCAACTTGCAGGAATTTTGAAAGAATTCTCCATTCAGGATGAAGTGGTGGGACAAGGCGCATTCGCAACTGTAAAAAAAGCAGTCGAGAGGAAGACTGGTAAAACTTATGCAGTGAAGATTATAAACAAGAGGAAAGTTATGGGAAATATAGATGGTGTAACGCGAGAACTGGAGGTTCTGCGAAGATTGGATCATCCCAGGATTGTTCGTCTGAAGGGTTTCTATGAAGATGCCGATAGCTACTACTTGGTTATGGAATTCGTGTCCGGTGGAGACTTGATGGACTTTGTTGCAGCACATGGTTCGGTCGGTGAAGAAGCCGGCAGTGAAATTACCCGGCAGATATTAGAAGCCGTCAAGTATATTCATTCTATGGGAATAAGTCACAGGGATTTGAAACCTGATAACATTCTGATCGAACAGGATGACCCGGTTCTTGTTAAGATAACTGACTTTGGATTAGCGAAAATTCAAGGAAATGGGACCTTCATGAAAACCTTTTGCGGTACTTTAGCATACGTTGCTCCTGAAGTCATTGGCGGGAAAGCATCAGAGGAGAAAGAGGGGAACAAGTATTCGTCACTTGTTGATATGTGGTCCATAGGATGCTTGGTTTATGTTATCCTGACAGGCCATCTTCCGTTCAGTGGTAGTACACAGGACGAACTGTATAAGCAGATAAGCAGGGGTTCTTATCACGAGGGCCCTTTAAAGGACTTTAAAATATCCGACGAAGCTCGCGATTTTATTGAGTCGTTATTGCAGGTAAACCCCAAAGACAGAATGAGTGCAGAGAAAGCATTAAATCATCCTTGGATTTACAATGCTTATAAAGAAAACTTGGTAGAGTCTCAGGTATCTTTATCGCAATCTTTACCACGTCAAAAGTCCGCTGAGGATGGAGAAGATGCGCACGTCGAATTTTTGAACGTTAAAGGCAATATAGAGAGCTCTCCAGATAAAATCAGAGATGAGCGCGTGATGTTCAAAGTGCCCGGGAATCCAGCTGTGCGTTACACACAACCACTTGTACAGAATGAAGACTCACAACCAGATAGCATAAAACAAGCAAGAACCGCCAACTTTGATTTCAATACCTCGCTGTCATCAAGTAGCGAAATTCCGAGCTCATTAGACGAGGTGCCTCCTGTAAATACAAAAGCACCGTCTCAACCGCAAAATTCAAACCAAGCACTCAGTGATGTTCCTTCGAATGCGGGCGGTAAATTTTTAACTTTGCATTCTTCTAGTGACAGCTCCATCCAGGGAACGATCGAGGTCAAGCAAGGAACAAATCCCTTTTTCATTGGGAGATCGGACGATTGCCATTGCAAAATAGAGGACAACCGTCTTTCGAGAGTTCACTGTTTTATCCTCAAAAAGAGACACGCGGTGGGGGACAGTATTTATGAGTCTCCAGCGCAGGGTTTGGACGACGTATGGTATTGCCACTCAGGAACCAACGTCAGTTACCTAAATGGCATTCGTCTGACGCAGGGCACAAAGACTCTTTTACATGATGGGGATGAGATAAAAGTAGTGTGGGATAAAGCTAATAAGTTTGCAGTCACTTTCATCGTAGAGATTAACGATTCTACGGGGCTCTTCAACCAAGGCAAACTCCTGAAGGGCCAGAGCAGGAAAGTTGTTGAACAAACTTCCGATGAGCGCATCTTGGGCAAGAAGTTGGTCGAGTTAATGGCAGGGAAAAGCGTACAGGCACCAGAAGGGTCTCAGCTAAAGAGAGTACATTCGGTGAGCCTGAGCCAAGATCCTAAAAGGAAGACCAAACGGGCCCGACTCGATAAGGCGGACAAGAATTCTAATAATCTCCAGTTTATATAGTTTAATAACGATAATAAAGTAAGATGCTACATTGTTTTGCATTTTGCGTAGAAATACACTTTACTATAGCATTCTTGTGGCATTCTACTTGTAGGGATGGCAAGGACTCCAACTCAGTAACCATATCAACACATCATATCGCGGACCTTTGTGTACACAAGCAGTGGTTCACGGCACGAGTCCCTTGGCCCAAAATAGCTTGTTAGCTTCTGTTTTGGTTTTCAAACCTGCGTTACCCGCCTTTTTTTTGAGCATCAAGGGGGGGTGGCAATAAAAACGGTTGGTATAAGGGGGGCGATGGAATGAAAGGCAACATTTAGTTCACTCCTACCACACATATAGAGAAAAGGATACCGAAACTCCTTTTCATCTGGTATTCAAATAACCAAAATGCATCTACCATCTTTGCTTTCACTAGCTGCACTCTTGGTTTCCAGTCTAGAGACTGCTCAAGCCAAAGTTCACACGGCCAAAATCCACAAGCACAAAGTCGATGACGAGCTAAAGGAAGTGGTGTTTGAACAGCACATTGCGCACTTGGGTCAAAAGTACTTGTCTCAATTCAAGAGTGCTTACCCAGAAGCTGATATTCCCCAGGAACATCCATTCTTCGCCGAGGCTGGTCACGACGTGCCCTTGACCAACTACTTGAACGCACAGTACTACACGGATATTACGCTGGGTACTCCTCCACAGAGCTTCAAAGTGATTTTGGACACTGGTTCATCGAACCTATGGGTTCCTGGCTCCGAGTGTGGCTCGTTGGCCTGTTTCTTGCACGCCAAATACGACCACGATGCTTCGTCCACTTACAAGGCCAACGGAAGCACTTTTGCTATCCAATACGGTTCCGGGTCGCTTGAAGGTTACATTTCGCAAGACACGTTGAGCATTGGTGACTTGACGATCCCCAAGCAAGATTTTGCCGAAGCCACCGCTGAGCCCGGACTAGCGTTTGCTTTTGGCAAGTTTGACGGTATTTTGGGATTGGCGTACGACACTATCTCTGTGGACAGAGTGGTTCCACCAGTGTACAAGGCGATCAGCGACGGCTTGTTGGACGAGCCTAGATTCGCATTCTACTTGGGAGACGCGGACAAGAACGAGGACGGCGGAGAGGCCACGTTTGGCGGCATCGACTCGTCCAAGTACGAGGGCGACATCACGTGGTTGCCCGTGCGTCGGAAGGCGTACTGGGAGGTCAAGTTCGAAGGTATCGGTCTGGGCGACGAGTACGCGGAGTTGGAGGGCCACGGCGCTGCCATCGACACGGGCACCTCTTTGATTGCGCTACCCTCGGGGCTAGCCGAAGTGCTGAACGCCGAAATCGGCGCCAAGAAGGGCTGGAGCGGCCAGTACGCGGTGGACTGTGAGTCCAGAGACCAGTTGCCGGATCTCACCTTCACGTTCAACGGCTACAACTTCACGATCGGGCCCTACGACTACACGTTGGAGGTGTCTGGGTCGTGCATCTCCGCGTTCACGCCCATGGACTTCCCGGAACCCGTGGGTCCGCTGGCCATCATCGGAGACGCGTTCTTGCGCAGGTTCTACTCCGTGTACGACCTGGGCAATGACGCAGTCGGGTTGGCCAAGGCCGTGTAGAATGGGAAAAGCAGGTAGATAGAGCTGCGGCGGAGCGACAGCCGCAGCGGTCTATAAAGCCAAAAAAGACAGTCGCAGCGGGCTACAAAGCCAAAAAAGAAAGCGCGCAGCCCGACGAGCGAGCAGCCCGGCGCCCAAAATATGACAGTTGTGAAGTATATAAAAGTAGCAGTACCAATATAACAAGAAAAGCGCGTTGTTCGAGCGGCGAGCCAGAGACACAACCACAACAGTAGAACCGCGTTGTCCCAGCGGCGGGCCCCGCCCGTCACCCCGCACGGCCCGCTCTTGTTTTCGCATTGCCCCTTCGGGCGCCGCACCGTGCACACGACAACATCATCTACCATCTCTTGAACACCACACTGCAACGCGAAGACGCAGCCAAGCGCACGGGAACACGACGCCATTGAACAACAGCAAGCGCGGTCGACCTTTTGGAAATCACCGGACGGTATTGTTTGGCAATCGAGCCCCGAATATACGACCCAAAACGAACCCAACTTTCCCGCATCATCAACCCGCCTTGCAGCGCTACATGATACACAAGAGTCCCACGAGAAGACACACCACGAGAGCCACCAACGGGTCGATTCCCCAGACGCCGCGGATCCGCCATGCGGGCTCTTTTTCGAGCCTGCGACGCAAAAGCTCCGTCACCCCGCTCGCGACGCCGCTCACCACGCCGCTTGCGACCCCGCGCTCCGTCTCGTCGGGCAGCCGACACAGCAGCCAGGGCGATAGCCGCGGAAGCCGCCACAGCTCCCCAACGCGCTCGTCACGCAGCTCGTCTCCAACACGCACAACCGGGGGCACGCATACCGAGGGCGCGCGCGTGCGCGCGCCCGCCGCGTCGTACCGCGGCACAATCTCGGTGTCGGTGCGGATCAAGCCGTCGGACGCGCACTCGCGCGACGCCTGGACGGTGGGCGACGAGCCCACCGTGGGGCACCCGGAGCTGGGCGAGTTCCGCTTCGATCACGTGTTCCGCCCGGCCGCCGACAACCGGCACGTGCACGACCGCATCGGGCGGCCCCTGATCGACAAACTGTTTGAGGGCTACAACGCCACGGTGTTTGCGTACGGGATGACGGGGTCGGGGAAAACGTTTACGATGAGCGGGGACGGGCGCGAGCCCGGGCTCATCCTGCTGTCCGTGGAGCAGATCTTTGCGCGGATCGCGGGCGAGCGCGCCCGGGACCCAGCCGCGGCGCCCGCAGCCGCCGAGCCCGCAGCCGCCGAGCTCGCCGCCGCGCTGCGTCGCGCCCGCGACTACTCCGTCTCCGTCTCGTACCTGGAGATCTACAACGAAAAGATATACGACCTGCTGAACTGCGGGGCCGCGCCGCGCGAATGGAACGCGGGCGGCGCGGCCAGCGCGCCCGCCGAGCTCAAGGTGCGCGACGACGCGCGCCGCGGCGTCACGGTGGTCGGGCTAACGGAGCAGCCCGCCGCGTCCAGCGCCGACGTGCTGAAGTGGGTCGCGCTGGGCAACTCGAACCGCCGCACGGGCGAGACCGACTACAACACGCGCAGCTCGCGCTCGCACGCCGTGGTCCAGGTGCGTGTGGTGGCCACCGACGCGGCCACGCGCACGCAAACCACCTCCACGCTGTCGCTGTGCGACCTGGCGGGCTCCGAGCGCGCGGCCGGCCAACACGAGCGCCGCAAAGAGGGCGCGTTCATCAACCGCTCGCTGCTGGCGCTGGGCACCGTGATCTCGAAGCTCAGCGCCATAGCCGCCCAGCCGGCGCCGGCGCCGGCCGCGGCCCACATCCCGTACCGGGACTCCAAGCTGACGCGTATCCTGCAGCCGGCTCTGAGCGGCGACAGCATTGTCACCACCATCTGCACCATCGACACCCGCACCGAGTCGGTCGCGGAGACCGTCAACACGCTGCGGTTTGCGTCGCGCGCCAAGAACGTGGCGCTTGCGGTGCGTCGCAACGACGCGGCGCCTGCAGCCGCAGGCGCCGCGTCGGCCACGGACCCGTCTGCGCAGCGCCATGCGCACGTCGTGGAGGCGCTGCGCCGCCAGCTGGACGAGCAGCAGGAAGTGCTGGAGGAGCAGCAGCGGCAGTTGGAGGCGTTTCGGCGCGGCGCCACAGACCCCGCCGCAGGGCCCACCGCGTTACCCGGCGCGGCGCCCGCCCCAGACAGCCCCGCAGACGACGCGCTCCTGCAGCTGCGTCTGCAGCACTGCGAGAAACTGCTCGAGCTCGATCACGCTCCCCTGCACGACCCGGAGCTCTTGGAGATCGTCGAGATGCTCCCCGCGGCCGTTGGCGCCGTTCTCGAGGCAAAACTGCAGCGCTACGAGTCGCAGTTGCGCGAGCACCGCGCTTATACGCAGCAACTCGAACACCGCGTGGCCGTGCTCGAGGCCTCAGCCGCCCACGACAGCATAGTCGCGCGGCTGGACGCGGGCGCCACCGCAGACACGCTGGTACGCGACCAGGAGGCCGAGCTGCTGGAGCTGCGTCGCGCGCTCGCCCGCAAGGACAAGATGCTGGAAGCGCTCCAGAGCGCCAAGCGGCTGCGCGAGCACGCGCTGCGGCCCGTGCCCGGCGGGCAGCTCAACGCGGGCCGCGGGCGCGCGCGCGGAGAAAAGCCGGGGATACGCGCCGGCGCCGGCGCCGGCGCGGACAACGCGGAGCCGCGCCGTGCGGGGTGACCTCGCCCAGGACGGCAATTAAAGGCTCGGCGTGGGTGTGCGGGTGGAGCCTTGGGCCTTTTTTTCGCGTCGCGAATCCGACGCGCGCCCCCCGCGCCTCCGCGCCCCCCTCCGGTGGCTGATTCGGCAACCTGGGTGCACCGCTGCCGGTGCTATAAATCAGTCGCCTCAAAGCTCGCGACCGTCTCGAGCCGGAGCTGGGGTGCACACTCTGCTCCGGACCAAAGGCCATCGCTGTGTCAAAAACCAAGTGCGTCTCGAGCTCGTCTCATTTTCCACCTCACCTCACTTCCCTCTCCAAACCTCCATCCTCTCGCAATCGCCTCGCCAACCAATGGGCCACAAGCTACAGAGAAAAGTGACTGGGTCGCGCGGATCGCGCGTGGTGTCGTCGACGCTGGCGTTGCTGGCCATCCTGCTGTTCGTGCTGTACACCGCAGGCGACTTTTCCGAGCTGTTCGCCGCGCTCGCGGGCGACTCCAGCGACGACTCCCAGTCCGTGCAGGCCATGATCTCCAACATCAAGCTCGAGATCGAGAGCAGCAGCAGCATGGGCGCCGCTGCGGGCGGCGGCGCGAGGCGGGCTGCGCCCGCCTCCGCGACCGCCATCTCCAGCGCGGTCTCCGCTGCGTCCGTTGCGTCCGTCGCGTCCGCCGCGTCGCAGCAACTCGTCGGCACAAACGTCGTGCACGGACCCACCAACTTTAAGCATTGCAACGCGGACTTCGACCCCGCCCACAACTTCCAGGAGATTCTCAACACTTCCCCCGTCGTGCTGTTTGTCAACGCGGACGCCGACTCCCGCGACCTCAAGTCCCTGCTCTCCACCGAGTACGAGATCTCGCCCGCGCCCTCCGTCGTCGACCTCGACAAGCACTCGTGCGGCTCCCAACTCGACGCCTACATCCGCAAACACGCGCTTCGCAGCGTGTCGCCACAGGTGTCACAACCCCCATATTTGCTCGTCAACGGCCGCTCCGTCATCAACCGCGGGTTGCGCGCTGACGTGCTCGAGCCCCACGACGACGGCGTGCTGCTCGACAAGCTCAAGAAAATCGCCGGTACCGAGGTAATGGTGTCGCGCACAAACGCGCCTTCCAACTCTTAGGCATGCATGCAACGGGCCTCGCGTCCTTAATAAACCACTATGTACAGTATATATCACGCCAGTAAACGCACACACGATCAAACTCTGCCGGGGCACAGCCGGGGCACAACCCCGACGCTACCCTTCTAACCGTCCTCTGAATAGTCGATTGCAACGCTCAAACTCTCCCGTGCGTGCTGGACCCCATCCTCATTGCTGTGCTTTCCGTCGCCAACATCATGAACGTTCCCTACCGCAGCCTCTGAGCCCTGGCTGTAGTTGTAAAATGGCTCCCCCCAAAAGCACAGAATACCCTTCATGTACTCTCCCGTCTTTACATACAGCACTTTGCAACGCGCGTCGTCGCCCAACAGCTCGCGTGTCACCCGTGAGATCTGTGCCAGGTCCGAATTGCGTGGCAGGAACAACACCACGTTGCTGCTGATCCGCAAGAACCCACGAAGCATCTCTCGCAACCCAACGGGCGCCAGCCCGGTCTCCAGATCAAATACTTCCTCTTTTTGGTATCCAGGCCCACCCCAGGGCGGTGACGCAAACACACAGTCCACTTTGACTCGCTCGAAACGCCCCCGTCGCGATAACTTGCGCCAGTCTCCATATTTCAACCATATCCGATCTTCTACACCGTATGCTTGCGCGTTCCTATACGTGCAGTACAGATGCTCAACCGAGCAGTCCACTCCATACACTTTTGGGAAGTACATCGCCAGTTGAATGCTGTTCCCACCTCCTCCACAGAATACGTCCACCACCGTGTGTGCCTCTGGTAAACAACTGCGAATAAACCGTGCCACGAATTTGGCAACCGTCTCGGGCGTCACGCTGAACCACAGTTCCTTTGTCAAATATAGCCTTTTCACTCCCATCAGCGAGAATAGTGTGCGCCGATTCTTCCAATACTTGTATATCGTTCTATCTGCAACTTTAGCATCTGGATTTACCAAAAACGCATCATCCCGCCACAGTTTCTCCAACTCTTTGCGTTGCTTTCGGTACTTGTGTTTATCGAGGTGAACAAAGTGTCCTAAGTCCCAACTATCGGCGCTGTTCATCTTATACTTTGCCCGATGAGATGCAATAGATCAATTCGCTTTTTTTCCAATGCGAAACTTTTCACCCTATCGCTGCATGCGATCCACAGAAGCATACGCCAAGTTGCATAACCTTGAGATATGCTACGAGAAGACGCTTCCTCAATTCAGCACTCGTCATTTCCACCGTGTCTGGTGTTTACTGCTTGCGAAATACGTTGGCTTGCCCATTCACTTTGAACTGCTTATATAAGCGTACCAGCCATTTTTTTTTTCCCCTTTCAATAAATGAGAAAGCAAGCCCTGCTATTTCAAATCAATGCGTATCTGAAACTGCGCAGTATCCAGATCTAGCAGGGGAATTTCGGAGTCGCTGCATTCACAAGATGAGATCAGCCATTTTATTTTCGTGATCTTGTCCTTATAAATGAAACCGTATCGGTGGAACCCCGTTGGGGCTCTGACACTCATGTGTCATACTAGCTAGTATGTTGTTGAGGAAACCTACTAGAACAAAGACAAAATCCTTTCTAGGAAGCCAAATGGATTTCCAATTTCCAAGCCAAGAATCTGTTGCAGGCTGTGATCTCGATACTTACCATTTGTCTAATCACCATCTTCTGAATGACACAATGACTAAAAAGAACGACGAGGATGCATCTTCACAGATCCTCTCCGATTACACAAACTCGAATTCTGGAAACTCTTCCAACGCTATAGATAGCGGTTATTACTCCTTTGCAAACATTTCTGATAACACCACCTCCAAAAGAACCGACCATAGTAACGGTATTTCAATGGCATCATCTTGGACCTCTGGCTCGCAAGCAAACAAAAAATACCCCGCCACTTTAGCACCCCCCATGGTTACGTCTGGTTCGCCTATAATAGAGACTCACAGCTCGAGAAAATCTATCGACAAAAGCCACAGCGCATTTCAATCCATATCTACTGGCATCGGCACTATTCCCACGGCGGACAACATTTCGTTTCAAATAAGCTTCCACTCACAATCAGGAAGTACCACTCAGAGTGGCATCAAAAAATCCCCAACGTGCCAGCGCAACTTGTCGATAAATAGCAAGCCTGTTTGGAGGTCATCCTCTCGAAGCGCATCCATCGCATCCGCGAGCCGCACAGTACCGCCAAGGCGTAAGTCAAATTTGAAAAGATCAAAGGCAGTAAAATGTAAAGGCGGACTTCTGGAATTTTTCTCGAGGCTGGGTCTAAGGGTTAGATCAAAGATTCAACGTTGGCGGCTGGCGGCCAGAAAGAGATTATTTGCTTATCGGAAAAGACATAATACCAGAAAGGACAAGAAGCAAATCACTTCACATCTCAAGAGGGCAAATGGGTATGTGTCAAATATTCAAAGATCCATGTCTACTGCTTCGTTACACGACCTAATATGTCATGACGGCGACGTACTATCTCAACATTTGTCGAGCTCCAGAATCACGTCCACATCCCCAGGGTCTGTTAAGCAGAGCCCAGTCGCTTCTAACCCCGCGAAAACAAACAGAAATTCTCTCAGACGCTCACCTTCTTCCATCAAGAGAGCAGCTTCAAACTTAACGAGAGCAAACTCTATGGTTGCTCGTAGCACTTCTATGCTAAGCAACAAAAGTTCCGAAGTCCAAAATTCCCCATCATCTAATTTGGTAAGATCACAACCTTCAATGTCTTTGCACGCTATTGTAAGACAACCATCCATCGTTGTGAACAACAAAGTGATACCATTATCAAATTTGAATGGTGATGGTCATGAGTTTTCAATTAAAGAAGAGGACGAGGACGAATATGTGATAGACACCGACTGTATGAGACCTACTGACGATAACGAAAGTGAAAAGAGTAGTTTGAATGGAAGTCTAAATGAAGACCAATTCGAAGATGCAGACGATTTTTACGGATCTGAAGAGATCTTGCGGCAAGAAAAAGTAAACAATGCCATTCAAGCATGGAACCATTATTTGCGTTCCATTATCGCTAAACGGATTGCTATGAGATTGCAAGTGGCCAAATATCAAGAAGAATTCAATGACGACGATTGTCAGGAACTCATGGATGCGATCATATCGGACTATGAGGCCAACACGTCAAGTATTTATGACTCAGATGTCAAAAATGCATCCACTTCAGCTACATCTGTCAGTTATGAAGATTACGACGACGTTTCCTTTAATTTACCAACCCTATCTTCTCCACGCAATAATGCACAACTCTTTGCAACTAGCAACAGTAGCGTATTATCAGTGCCAAATATCCAAGACGCTATTCAAGGAAGCGTAAAACGATCTCTAACTTTGCCAGTAGGGATCAAGGTGTAATGATGTTTTTAATGCATAACTACGTATATATAGACAGGATTCTATTTTAAATTGTTTAATAATCTCTCAAAGTAGCATTGACGAGACGATCTTGAACAAATTTATTTTTATGGGGAAGGATAATGGATTGCAGGTTAGTTTTCAAGCTTTTTGACGCAATCTCAGAATGAAAGGACGAAAAGAACTGGGCAAGAGGCTCAGTATACCAACGATCACCGTTGGGGGTAAACCATCCGATATGACCACCTTTGCTTGTTTCGAGGAGAAGAACGTACGGATTTTCTTGCACTTCCCGCATTGGAAGTGCTTCTGAACCAACAATGGGATCATCTTTAGCATTGATCGCAAGTAAGGGAGTCCGAACTTGGGATAAACGATTAGAACTGGTTCCAAATCTGTAGTACTCGAAGGAAGTATTGAAACCAAACATTCGTGAAGTGAAATAATTGTCAAAATCCTCGATGGTCCGAACACCTGGTAACTTCTCTGCATATAGTTTAGCCATGTAAGGATCTTTGTTCAGCACTTCAAAATGATCTTCAACAAGTTCAACGAGTCTTCTAGCAAAAACGGGAGAATATATGTGCTTGCCCAGTAAGCTTCTTCTTAATAAGTAAGACGAATTACAAAGGTCCCAAGGATTGGCAATTACTGCAGCGCACTCGATTTCCGTATCATCGCCCTCTTGACCGATGTAATTGGCAAGAACCGAAGCACCCAATGAAAACCCAACCATATAAAACTTTCTATTGGGAAACATCACTCGCAACTTCTTAACGAAATCTCGAACATCATCAGTCCATACCCCATTGTAGAGCTGTGGCGTGGTGATTGTCGAATTACAACAACCACGGGAATTGAGCACACATGCCTCAAAGCCATGATCTTTGGTAATTTTATGCAGCAACGCCCTGACATACGACTCGTTTGAGCCGCCTGTGAGGCCGTGCAGCGCAATCAGAAGCGGCTTAGTATCCTCAGAATGTAGATTTTCAGCTTCCTCTGGTGTATAGTATGAGTAATGAGGTAACAACGGCTTCTTTTGGTTTGGAGGAACGTATTCGGAAGGAACGAACTTGGGTACCGCGAAATCTGCCGTTCCCTCTCCGCCATCGGCGTATGTGAGAACCAATCTCCGGTAATACACAATATCTCTGTCCTCAAAAGTATTCAATGCAGCATATATAGTTTGCAGATCGCCTGTGGGAAGCATGGGGTGCATCAAGGTGAGCGATCCATCCGAGAAAGCAGGACAGTGCTTGTCCACGAACGACGACAAATCCCAAGAATGGTCTTGATCTATGAACTTCAAAGGGTCGTCAGGCGTTATATGTCTGACATAAGAGTGAAAAGGGAAGTACTCTGCAATCGAATTCAGCATTAATTGCCTATTCTCGCTCTAGAAGTTGCAACTAAGTGGACAAATCTATTCGAGGTTGCTTCTATACATGAAAACTAATAGATCACATGACCCATAGGCTCATTTTTCGTCGGAAGCAGCCCGAAAACTATCAACTCATTTCTCCTTCTTCCGTACCATTACAGTGGCGATAGTCGAGAGGTCAAGCGAGATAAGATGATCCTCTTTAGGACCTATAAAACAAATAATTCAGTAATAACTGCGAGTGCAAAGAGATTTCAATCTTCTTACACATTTCTAAACAACCAGTCGCTGGTCGAGAAAGAACAAGTAAAAAACCAAAAGCGGACGAGCAAGAAGAGCGACGTGAGCTCACCTGAGAACATAGAAAACCGGCGACAGAAGAAACGCACTCAAGTGGAACTTAGCGCTAGAAAAAGACACGACTATTCGTGGCTACCTAAAGCTCCTTCCACATCACATCTGAAACAGCGCGATGTGACAACCAATATGTTCTATTCCGGCTATCGCCCCGTGTTTATTAATCCGTCCGACCATAAGAAAAATGAAAGTACGCTATACGAGTTTGCAATGAAACTTGAAGCTCTAGGTGATCCTCTGCCCTGGATATCTTCTGCCACCGGAACGGAGTTCTATGGAGAATGGGATAACGTTCCGACAGATCTAATAAAGAAGCTAAAACCGTTCCAGCCACCTTACAGCGGTGCAGAAACCAAAAATGAAGAGGCTCGTAAAGCAATGAAGAAGGAAATGCTTGCTGCTGAAAAGGAGAAGTTAATGAATAGAGCCAAGGGAAGAAGAAGACCAATAATAAAACTTCTACAGCTAAACAAGAAATATGAAGAAGATACCTAGGTAAAGGATAACATTAGTCATCAACGGGTTTTCACAAAGGTCAGCAAGTTTCAACAGCATATGAGCTCAGGGCGCCTGCGAGCATTTCATATCCAGTGCATTATTTTTCGGGTTTGGTTCTTTAGCCCTACCATGTATTTATTAAGGCTATTTAGAGCAGATTTTGGTATATAGGAAACAAACGCACTACCATCCATGGTCAGCACATGGTTACTTCCATTATACTACCACCATGACCATCCAAACACTTCTCTCTCCGTCGTCGCCGATGTTGTCTCCATTTCTGCAGCTACCGATTCATTGGATGCCCTATTTTCCTGATCTTCTATATATGCATTGAATTCCAGATCCGCCTGCAATATTTCATCCTTTTGCTCCGTTTTGTTGTCCAACATTTCGTCGTTCAGAAGTTTGACCTGATCACATAGCTCCAAGCAGGTGTCTAAATCAAAATCTTGTTCTTGAGCAAACAAAAGGTATTGCTCTTTATCGGTAAAGTACTCAGCAAGCACCTCATCATAATCATATTGAACCAAATCGCGCGAAACTTGGTCTTTCATCATAAATCTGCTGTATTATTATCTGCGACGAACTCACTGGAGTCAAATGAACACTAAGAAGCTAGCCAAAGCCAGAATAAATTTTGAGTTGCGATATAGTATCAGATAAAATAAACGATATTACATTGCTTACTGGATCTTAATTTACTTGTTTGGGCTTCATTTATCTTCAATTCAGCCGACTACCTGGGTGTGATGCAGTCACGCCGTTCAAAGGCAGGACTAAATGCATACGAAAGGATGCATGATCCAGAACTATCCTCAGCTTCTTGACTTCCTATTGCCACTCGTTACAAGAATCAGATCAAACGTTCATCGTGTGAAGCGGGTTAGGATTCCCGACAACATTCCACTTATCTCAAGAGATTATCTCGATTTATCCTTTTCATATATAAACATACAAAAAATACGTTACATTACTTAATCAAGTGTTTGAGCGTCAAGCGATCATCAGATATTTCTGATAAGTATACCAGGTTGGCCTGGGATAGCATTTTCTACTATTTTTGCTGCATTTGGGATCTCTACCTCCTTACCAGTAAAAATGTCCTTACCGACCTTGGCACCGTGTGGGAAAGAAATGAATTCGAATTCCTCACATTTGACACCTTGGCAACATTTCTTGATGTTTTGGATAGTAGCCTTTACGGTAGCGACTTCGTCAAATAGCAACTCTCTGTTGAAGACGGTTTCTGGAGACTCAGTAACTAAACGTTGTTTCAAAAGAGAGATAAAAGGCATGGCTCTCTTCATATCCTTTGGATTAACGAGCTCTTTAATTTTCTTGTTGTCATTGAGAGTGTGCTCGCTGAATAGCTTGCGCACAATTTCAATGTACTGAGCTTGCCAATCAGGGAAGGACTCAGAGATGAGCAAGGTTAGCTTAGCAGGCTTTGTAGGGTCAACATCGGAACCCTTACCCTTCTTCTTTTTCAACGCTTGACCTTCTGCTTCTCTTATGCTTCTTTGCAAATCACGTAGATACTCCAAAGCGGCCAAGGAACCAGCATCAACTGGTTTAGAAGCGCGAGGAAATTTAGCAATCTGCACAGAAGTCTTATGGCCCAGAACTTCACGCCAAATGTAGTCCGCAAAATGTGGTGCAATTGGAGCAAGAACCAAAGTCTGCAGCTCGATATAACGAAGAACAAGGTCCTTGTGCATAACATCACACGACTCACGGTAGTAATCTCTGGCAGCTTGAAGATCAAACAAACCAAATTTCAGAGCATTCTTATAATTAGTCAAGTCGTACTGCTTGTAGGTTTCTTCGATCAAAGCATTCATTTCATTTTCGAATGCAACGTCGAAAATGTCAGTTAGCTCACCAGTACGGAAAGTATCGAGACGCTTCATGATATCTTCGGACCATTCCTTAAGGATGAACAATCTCAAGATAGCAGCGTTTGCGTTCGATTCGTCCAAATTGGCATCTTCAACGGTATCACCTGCATCGGCCAGAGCAATACGAGAAGCATCAGCACCGAATTTCTGCACAATTTGCTCCAAAGTCATAAAGTTACCAGTAGATTTAGACATTTTAGCGTTGTTCAACATCAAATGACCATTGGCTCTGATACCTCTTGGCCAGAATTTCTTGGGGAATAGCGCGACATGAGTGTAAATGAAAAATGTTAAATGGTTTGGAATTAAGTCCTTACCAGAAATGGAAACGTCCAATGGGTAGAAGTACTCAAATTCTCTTCTTAGTCTTTGCAAAGATTGAAGAGGAATTTCAATCCCAGTGGTATCATCCGAATGCTGGAAGATATAATCAAAAACCTCAGGAGTCATCTGCTCGGCTTTTATACCAAGTGGCCCGACTTCATTACCATAATAGTCCTTGAATAGCAAGTGTGCAATAGTATAGAAAGCCTGGTAGATAGTAGAGTCTGATAGAGACTCGACCAAATACTTCTCGTCCCAAGGTAATTTAGTACCAAGACCATAAGTACGACACACAGCCCAGTTTTTCAACCAGTCTAAACAACCCTCGAATGCGTTTTTCACTTCAGGAGCAAACAACTGCATTTGGTCCAAACATTCTAGAGCTTGCTCCTTCCAGGATTCTTCACCATAGTCAACATACCATTGATCTTCCAAAGAAACAATACATTCATCACCAGAACGGGACATAACTAGGGATTCAGGTTCATTGTAAACAAAGGCTTGTCCTTCAGCAATCATATCAGCCTTCACTTTAGCCTTGGCGACCTCAACCTTCTCACCTTTGTATTTGCCATATATCATAGTACCACTGTAGAAGTCTTCCTTGTAAGCAATCTTTTTAGCTTCAGCTAGCAAATTGGTATCCTTTGGAGATCTGATCTTCTTCTCCTCACAAACAGCTTTGGCAATTAGATCTCCATACTTTTCGGTAGTAATAATTGGTACAGGCTCATGTTTTACCCACTCAGCGTCAATACCGTAATACTCAGGCTTATGTTGTAAATCTCTTGTGGTCATGTAATCATCAGGGGAGTTCGATGGAACACAAGTAACAACACCAGTACCCTTAGTAGCAATGACAGTTTCCATTGGCAGAATCCTCAATTCATCATAAGCGGCTAGTGGTGCATGAATCTTAGACCCAATGAAAGCTTTACCATTGATACTGATGACAGGCTTGTAGTAACCTCTCTTAGGTGTTAACTTTTGGTAACTCATGTTTTTAAAAGCTCTTTCAGTGGTGATATAGTAACAGTCACCAGCATCAAAGATACCATAGTCCAGCTTTGGAGAGACAAAACAACATGTCTGACCGTACATGGTTTCAGGTCTCAAAGTGGCTGCAACAAAGTACAACTTCTTAGACTTGTCTAGAGAAGTAGATGATTCGATTATCTTCTTGGCTTCTGGTGCAAATTCTGTAACCTCAATCTTGATACCCACATATTCTTGGGGCGTGACACCTTCACCTGATTGTCTATCATGATCCATGCATGCTTGACCGTCCTTTTCAGAATAGATAGTGTAACGCTCACCAAATTTAATTTTACCAAGTTCCTTTAACTTGTTCATTTGCCATCTTATGAAAGCATCATAGTAAGGATTAACATCAGTGGTAATGAAAGAACGTCTCCAGTCTATACGGGCACCAAATGATGTACAGTCTCTTTCACAAAGTGGCGGAAAGTATGTCAACCAATATTCTGCATCTGCAAACTTGATAACTTCCTCTCTTGGGATACCTAGCTGTAGCATGATTTCGAATTGATACTTACCACGACCCTTCTTGGCAGCAGCCTTTGATTTCTTGGCCTTGAACTTGGTCACATCCTCCGATTCTTGTTTGACTTCTTCTACAGGTTCTTCTTCTTCCTCCGGCAAGGCGCCCGTAAAATCTTCTCCGAATAGCTCTGCTTCTCTCTTCAGCTTATCAGCACATGCAAGAATAGGCATACCAGTACAGTGAAAACCCAATGGGAAGAGAGCACGCTTACCATTCATTCTCTCGAAACCCACGGAGAATTCAACTTTTGAAAGAGTGAAGCAGTGACCTGCGTGCAAAACACCATTCATGTATGGGTAAGCCATAGAGGACATGAATTTGGGGTACTTCTTCTGCAGCTCTTCCGAGTCAATTTCGACACTTTCCTCTTCAATTGATGGTGCATCGATTTCGAAAAGGTGTTCTTCAGCCCAAATTTTTTGGTACTTCTTTTCAATAGCTATTAAAGCATCTCTACGGGCAGTGTTTTCCAACACTAAACCTTTAGATTCGCCACTGGCAGACATTGGTTACAGTGCTCTTTTCCTGAATTAGGAAGATGATGATTCTTTTTCAACTACGTGATCAGAGGAAATGCTCATCTGAAAAATTTTTTTTGTCTGACTACTTTTCGTAGATAGGTACAAATGCAAACAGAATACAGTCCGTAAACGGCCCGGAGTGCACGCAAGGCTGTAGCATCTTAGCTCAGATGCCTCTTCTATGCACTCTTGAGCACTTTGTTAATGCTGGGTTGAGTTTTGAAGCTCAAAGTCTTCTTAAATGTCGAATCCGCGATCGCGTAATTCATGTACAGTCCAAATCCAGGTGGATGCGGCGTTGTCGAGATTGTTGGCGACATAGCTTGGCTTCGACTCTGCACCTCCTGTAGTAAAATACTTGCCGTTATCTTTCTCCGAATTCAAGCCCGATGACAACGCACTCTTCAGAGTAGCTAAAGATCCTTCCTCGTTGGAAACCCCAAAGAAAAACCCTACGAAATGGAAAAAAATCCAAAAGAACATCCCTACTATAGGTAATCTTGTCCAGTAACTAAAGAGATTGGTATTCATGACGATACCTGGATGAACCGACAAGCATAGAACATCAGGATGTTTGATGGCAAGCATCTTGGTGAATTGTATAGAAGCTGTCTTGGCAATGGCATACCGCATCCATGTAAAAATCATGTTGGGCCAGTAGTTGAATTTCTGGCTCAGATTGAAATATTTGAATGCTAAGTTATGGCCGATCGAAGACACGCATATCACTCTGCCCTTGCACTTTTTGATACATGACAGCAGCCGCATTGTGAGCAAGAAGTGCGATATGTAGTTAGTTTGCAGCTGGACCTCAAATTTGTCGGTCGTCAAGCAGTAGGGTAGCGCCATCACACCTGCGTTATTGATTAACACATCCAGTGTGCTCTCCATACTCTTAAATTTCCTCACCGCCTTCTCGACTGACGACAGGTCTGTCAGATCCACTGCCAGGTAATGCAGCTGGCCTAACGAGTGACGCTTATTAGGTTTCAGCCTCCTCTCACGTTTCATCGCCTCGCATTTTATCTCTCTGATGGCTTGATTGACTCGACTAGAGTTTCTTCCGCCTACATAAACAACAAATCCATGAAGATACAAGTGTAATACGGTGTACCACCCAATGCCGCTATTTCCACCTGTGACAAGCGCAACTTTGCGTGCATTCCGTACATTATAGTAAGGTAGTTGATCTGGATCAAATTTGGGCATAGCCTCTCTACCCGATGGCACCACAAGCTCAGTTATAATGTAACTTGAAGTTTCAATGGTGATAATCTTAGCCGATGCCATCCCTCATGGTCCGTTTCTTTTTGAATTGTTGCAGCGTCCATCACCAGATACGGAATGCTCTAAGGCACTTTTCCCAGCGTAAAAAAAATGAATAATGAGCCATTTTTGTGGGCCCATACTGTGTTATCAGGCGAGTAGTAATACCAGCTTGGTTACTCGTCTCGGATTTATCGAATTTCAATTGAACCTACCGTTTTTTATTCGCATGATTTGTCGAGACGATGCGGCTGAGGTTTAGTACGGCTGAGTAACCACGTGAATGTAACTGTGCACGATGAAATGATATCTCTTGACGAAGACGTGTTTGAAATAACGACTGGATGTTAAATTGAAGAAGAACATTTATACGGAGCATCATGGACTTCGAATCACTCCTATTTGGATTACAGAAGCTAATTCATGCACCATCGGTTGCGGAAATTGTGAATCAAGGCAATGCTGTCGAGGAATATATCAAAATGTTGGACCAATTGGCAGTTCATCTACGTTCGCCTGCGAACCGAGACATCGTTCGAGAGAGCGGCCTTTTCCAACGGTTATTGAGTGTTCTCGAAATGTTGCTCGATTCCGGGGATTCGAATGGTGAGAAGAAAGTGCTCAAGGTGAATTTAAGCTCGGAACTGATGCGTTGTATCGCAAACTGCCTTGCGGATAACGACATCAATAGAAGAGCGCTTGTTGGAGAGAGCATCTATTCTAATCGCTTCCTCACCGTTCAAGTTCCGGGAATACTATTCTCACATGGGTTGACGGAAATCGAGAAAACTTTAAAAGCAAGAACGGTCGTCATGATCAGAAATCTGTGCTTGGGAAATGAAGAGTACACAGCCGATTGTACTACTTACATACCAAATTCGTTATTCGCACTGTTAGAGGAGCAGTATCCTAAATCCTTTGACGAAGAATCTCTTGAAGAAGTTATAATGCCGCTAGACCTGCTTACAGAGCTTATAAAATTCTCCTACCAAAGGGTTTCTGTGATACAGTTCGCGTTTTTGGTTGAATTACTGAAACATATATCCGTATCTTTTGAGCCTGCACCTCAAGACAACACCAATAATAATAATACCGAGGGTAACCAAAATGAAGAAGTAGAGGAGGATGATGCATTTTCCGATGCAGTTCTGCTACTAACAGAAATCATCGAAATCATCGTTTCACAGAACCAAAAACTTGATTTTTCTGATAGCAACTGCACGACACATCTTGAGAAGATCTTATTCTCAATTTTAGAGCAATTAGAACCAATAGAATACTTGCAGAATAAGCTTATTATTTTAAGACGTCTTTCATCTACCCTTGGCCATATATCTGCCAACATTACGGCGGCAAACATAGAAATCCGCGATAGCTGCATTTCTGTCATAAAAAACTCATCATCTAGCTATTCGATTGCCGCTGCATTCATTGCCTTGTCGAATTCTATTTCCTCAAGAAAGGATGCAGATGATATATCAAAGAGTATTACTCTGGACCAAATTATCGGAGCCTCAAAGAAACTTAGGGATCCGATGCAATTCCAGGGCTTCCTGGATCTCACCAAGAAGCTTCTCAACGCCTCCAATGCCATAGAGCTCCAAGAACAAGATGCTTTGGCACTTTTTTCGGTGTTAAAGATGTGCCAAGATCAATGCAAATATTATCAAAACCTCACCCCTTTGGTGGGCGCCGCTCTTCGCAAGTTAATTGCGGTTTTCCCAGGATCCATGCTCCGCAAAGCTTATGAATTTGACCTGAAATCCATAGTTCTAGATCATGGTGGAATTGCAGTGTGCCTGCTCATCGACAAGCTTTCATTGCAAAAGAATGTGAGTAATGTAACATTTGAGGAATTGTGGTCTACGGCATTCAAATTCAAAGATTCCTCGGTCACAAGTCAAGGCGTTTCATCTGAATTCTTGTTTCAGTTTACAAAATCTCTGGGATTGTATCTTCGTCCACTTAAGGATGGAGAATACAACATTGTTTTTGCAAAACATTCTTCAGAGCTAAATACTCTACTTGAAACTGTTTTACAGTTGAGAAACAAATCTGACACCGCAAGCCAAAGCATTTGGAACAATGGCAGATTCGTCGCAGGAATGATAATCAACTTACAGAAGGGACAACATCTTACAGCAGTCGAATCAAAACTTCAAGATGTAGCCAAGCAGTTCTTCGAACAGGACTAGTTTAATAATCACCATGTACGTATAGTTATTAATTAGATGCATTTCAAGTCTGATATATCACAAATTTGGAGGGAGATGAGCAGCCAGCCCTAATTCGTTAAGAGTACATGTTTAAAGACGACGATGACGATACATGCCAGCTCCTGGGCCCCGTGTCATTACTGATACAGTGCATAATGGGTTTGGCGGCGATTGGTGCTCTACTCGTTAAAAGAAACTACGAACATCCCCAAAGAACGTGGAACGTATGGTTTTACGATATTGGCAAACAGGTTTTAGGCTCATTGGGTATCCACTTTATGAATTTATTCATCAGTATTTTACAGGACCATCACCCGCGAATCTTGGGTCTAGATCCAGAGAGCGGCAATTCTGGAGACGACCAATGCGATTGGTACTTTTTGAACCTGCTAATGGATACTACCGTTGGAATACCCATCCTGTGGGTCTTCTTGAATGGCCTCGAAAAGATACTGAAGGCTCTTCATTTGAAAAACATCGAGAGTGGCAATTACTTCGCTGAGCCCGATGAGGATGACATCGGGGAAAGCTGTGCAACTTCAACCCAAAGGTTTTCCCATACAAACAGGACTCCTCTTGCAAGCGCGTTTGCAAAACAATTGCTAGTATTTATGACAGGCTTAGCAATGATGAAGTTCACTATTTTCCTCATCTTGGTGTATTTTGAGGCGTTTGCCAATTGGTTTGCCGACCTCGTCTTGGGCTGGTCGGATCCCTGGCCCAATTTCCAGGTTTTCCTCGTGATGTTCGTGTTTCCAGTTCTTTTGAACTGCTTCCAATATTTCTGTGTGGACAACATTATAAAGTTGCATCCGGACCACCTAACTTCCACAAACGCCGAGAACTTTGAGCACGGCTCACTGATTGAGGAGCGTATGCAAAGGTCCGACTGTACCAAGAATACATACAATAGCATATAGATGCAATTTTAATGCCAAAGGCAATTTGTAAGAATTTTCCGCCTCCCGCGATTGTGATGATCTTGTGAAATTGGAATGTAGGAGTACGCAAACGAATTGAGTTGATCACAAGAATTTCGAAGAAGCCAAATTAGCCCTCATCTTGAAGTGTTGAAAAAAACATGTGCGACATGGATCTGCGCTCGTCATTTCAACGACCAAACCCGGTTTACCGCATATACGGGAGACACCCTCTGCTTCGTGGCTTCCGAAATAAAACACCTCGTTGCTATTAGATTCAGCTTCAAGTCGTGGCTGAGACGTTGAACAATGTCGTGTCCCGCGAAATTTGTAGGCCTCTTTTTTTCGCGTCTCAGTTCTTTTCGCGGTGTATTAATCAAAGGAAAGGGCATGATGCACATTTTCTGCACTTCGAACATAAAACATTTCGCGGTTGGTGAACAATGTAAACAAAAAGGGTTAGCGTGGTATATAAGGATGTTAGTTATGGCCACGCATTTCGCGGGTTCAATAATTCCTTCACAATCTGTATTCTACACACTCACTGAGCCAGAGCTAAGGGTCTCGTCCATTCATTCAACTTCCATAGAACTTAATACTCAATTCCAACTTAGTCATTCATTAGCGCCATGAAGTTTTCAACAGTTCTATCCGGTCTAGTTACAGCTTGCTCTTTCACCAACGCCTTTTACGCCTCAGGTTTTACCAACGGGACAACCACCACTTTGATTCCCAGCTCCGATAACAACGCTGCGTCCACCGAGCTAACGACTAACACTTATGACTCCACCTCTACGATCACGTTGATGACCACAGTCACTGTGAGTGGAAGCTCTTCCGCAAGTTCCGGATCCATCTCATTGCCCAACATTGACGGCAAGCTAGTCTCCGGCGCCTCTTCTGACCAATGGTCCTACACTACGTCCACCTCTTACGTGACCGAAACGTACACCGCATCTGGTACATCTTTGGCCACAACAGTGAGTGCTGTTGAAATGCGTATCGCCATTGGCACTTCCTCTCCCGCTTCCTGTGTCCCTGAAACTGTCACAGTCACCGAATACCAGACTACGCAATATGTGACCGTTACTGCAGGCAGCGACTACCCTACAGCCTTAACCAGTTCTGTTCGTTACTCAAATTCCACTGCTACTAACTAGACAGTCAATCACGACTATGATGAGATTTCCTTCATTTTCATGTCACACCAGATTTCCGCAGTTACTACATTTACAGTTGTCTACGAACCTAGTAGCGGATAAGTTCTTCAAATAGCCAGGGAAATAAAAGGTCACTAGTAGCTCTTTACATTCCATGTTTTTAGTTTAAAGTATTTCATTGTGTAATAACCTCCTTAGATTATAACGTGACGTGCAACCTTTTTTTTCATGATCTTTTTGTCACCAAATGAAAACCAAATGACAATGAATGTTGATCTACTTTTGATGACAAGAACTGTTCATATGAATTGATACTATTGAGAATGCCGGGCATAATCCATGCACTAGAACCTGAGGTTCGAAGTATGCTCAGATCTCACATTGCGATGATGTCTATTACATGTGCTATAAAAGAATTACTGCAGAACAGTGTAGACGCTGGCGCGACGAAAGTTGTGATTTCGTTAAATTTGTTCACTTGGAGCATGTCAGTAGTGGATAATGGATGTGGAATAGCAAAACCAGACTTCCCATATATAGGGTGCTTAAATCACACCTCAAAAATTACCAAGCTGGAAGACTTGGAAACTATTTTCACATATGGGTTCAGAGGAGAGGCACTCTACAACATACAAAAAGTCTCTAAGGTGCAAATCATATCTAAAACCGCGAGCGCTGCCGAATGCTGGTCAAGACTTGAAAATGGTAGAATTGAACTCACTGATTCGAACATGGTTCTCAAAGACCCAGGCACAAAGGTCATTGTAAGAGACTTTTTCTACAACTTGCCCGTGAGGCGAAAAATTCACAGAAATAGGCAGGTATCTGCTATATATCATGATTTGAGGAACGCCGTATTCGAAGTTTTAATTATGTTTCCGAATTTGGATATAAAAGTCACCACAGCTGGCCAAAAGAACGTATTCTCCACCTTCTTGCACTCTGTTCCCAAAGACTCAAGTATTTGCAGAACTGAAAGATTAGTTCATCGTTTTAATGATGTATTTGGAACAAAAATCCAGACAGTTGACGTTACAAACGCTTCTGCCAACTACAAAGAATACAGCGTTGAAGGAATTATATCAACACTTTATCTGCCCACAAAAGACTACCAGTTCATTTTCATTAATGGTAGGCGCCTAATTGATCCAGAACTTCTTAGATCAATTGATGCTGCTCTCACTGTTGCAAAATTTAATTGCATGCAAAATTTTACGAGTCGTCACTCTTTCTCGGATGTAACAAGGCTTTGCGAAGGCAATCCCGTTATTATATTAAATGCAAAATGCCCCAGTGCTGTGACAGATCTGTTACAAAGCTCTTCAAAAGAAGTCTTTTGCTCGGCCCAGGCCAAAATTTTGAGCTCTCTCATTCATAAAATTCTAATTTGCTATTTTGCAGCAGAAGATAAAAATCCCATACAACCTGGGAAAGGTTTGTCGACCCAGAATAATTCGATGAATAGTATCATATCAGAGACATACCAAATTCCTTCAAAGCACAGCTTTTCTGAGAGCTTGATGCCTCAAAAACGCATAAGAAGATGCTTGAATGGACTAATATCCCCAAAATTGAAAATCACATTGAACTCAGCACTCCCTGTTAAGAAAAGTAAAGTCGATATACTAAACAGAGTTGGAAAAGCAAAAAGGAATCTGCTGAAAACTAACTACGCGTCACTTGAGTTAATTTCCAAGATGCAACCCAGTACATTAACGGAAAAGAATATCGTTCGGTTCAATCCCTCTACCTTGAAAATCGAAAGAGCACAGCTTTTCAAAGGTCGGGTTATTAATCAGATCGATAAGAAGTTTATCCTGCTAAGAACTACAGAGACCCTTATGGAAAAAAACTTTGTTTTATTATTAATTGATCAGCACGCTGCAGATGAAAGAATTAAATTAGAAGAGATGCTCATAGAGTATATTTTCCATTCTGTTGGAACCACCTCAACATGCGGCATCTCTTTCGATATCACCTTTGAGGTGGCCGATTCAGACGGACAACTTTTTGATAAGTATATGGGGCAATTCCAAATATGGGGAATAAGCTTAACTGTGAAATATATTGGCAAGAATATGGCTACCATTCATGTAAAATCTTTACCAAAGGAACTTGAGGAAAGGGCAAAAAGTCAGGAAGGTTTCGTCAAGCGGACGTTGTTGCAGCACCTGTATGAACTTATGACGTTGAAAAAGTCGCCTGTTGAGCATCCGAATCATCAAGGAGAGAATTTAGAAAGAGGGTCTTTCAAGTGGTGGAGATACCTTAACTCAGTTCCAACGGCGTTACTGGATACTTTGAAATCTCGTGCTTGCCGCTCGGCAATAATGTTCGGTGACGATTTAACACACGATGAATGTGTTTTATTGGTAGCTTCACTAGCAAAATGCCACAAGCCTTTTGAATGTGCACATGGTAGACCGTCAATTATTCCCCTCGCCGAAATGAAAAATGATTGGAGTCCATCTACTTCATTAGATTATAGTGCTTACAAAGACTACAATTTGGATTCTTGAGATGAAAGACATATGAAATATGCGGTTGTAAAAACATGATAGAAAGAAACACGTTTACGAATAATTTTCATCAGTTTTTAAATATTTAATAGGTTACGTCCTGATCTTTTAAAGTTATTAGCTGCTCCCTGGTAATGCCTATGGATGTCTTTGGTACACTCTCTATTTGTTTTTCGAAGCAGGCTAAATATAATGTAAAATAATCCTCTCTGAGGTCTTCATCAGTAAACTGAAGAACAACATGGACATTAGAGTTCAGAATCTCAATAGCCTTGCTAAACTCGCCTGCAATGAAAAGCAACTGACTAAGAAGAACTGCTAATTTTGCTGCTGAAAAAGCATTTCTGGTTTTAGGAATATTATCGATCAGACTCTCTACCATTATTTTGCACCTTGGCCCCAAACCTGATTTCATAAAAATTCGACATTTTATGAGAGTAAACTCGAACTCCCAATAAGTATCAGTGTAGTCAAATTGACACTGTTTGATAAGATTGTTGGTGAGTTTAATGGCTTCATTGAAATCTCCCAATTCACTTAGATATTCAATTTTCAAACGTTCCAGTTGCCTGCGTTCTTCGTACTCTATGGAGGGTGAATCCAGTCTCGACAGTAAACATCTTACTTCATCCAAAACTGAGCGCTCTGTCATTCCTCGATATTTCGGAACGCTGAACATGGTTTCATTGCTCGAAACGTCGCATAAGTTTTCATATGCTTTCGTTAGCGCTGATGATCCGAGACATTTCCAAATTCTGACATTGTGCTGCATGATTGAACCAAACTCAGACTTCAAAGAAGTACCTTGCAAACCAATTACAAATGACTTAAAAGCTGCCTCCAAAATATCCGGAACGAAGCCGCCATTCAACATAACAAACAAAGATTCGAATAAATAAGCCTTTTCGAAAACAATAAGACTATGACTGTCGGGGCAGGTTCTAAGATAGGTGACAATTTGTTCGGTAGTAACGTGAAATTTTCCTGCTAGATTTGGACGTTTTTTTATAAACTCAAATACCCAAATGAGGATCAAATTTAGAGTTGAAATGTCCTTATTCTCTCTAGCCACTGCTATGGCTTCTTCAAATGTTTTAACAGCGGCCTCATCATTGTTGAAGTGGCTATGAAATGTCGCTAGTGACAGTAAAGACATATGGAAGTAATGGTCACTATTCTGGCCAAGCATATAGTCAAAGTACCTGTACAAATGCCTGATAGAAGTGTCATACTCCTGATTAGCCATAGCCTGCAAATAATTCAAGATATGGACAGTTGGAAAACGTGATTTGTCTTCAAGTGTCATATGGCTCAGTATTTCTCGAGTCGAGGAATTCACTTGCCCTCCGTCATGAAGTGCCCTGGTCAATTCTGCGTTCAAAAGTGCTTGAAGATGCTCCTTGGAAATCATCATCATTGAATTTTCGTCACCATGAAAGAGATCTGTGAAGTTCTGGAAAAGTTCCACCTCCTGCATTCCGTGGACAGATCCAAATCGCTCGGGCGATTTCTTATCTTGGACAATGAAAGACATAACGGGATCTAATAAATACGAATCACTTGCACTGCATTTATAGAGCTTGGTAAGTTTGAATTCGTCCCTATAACGTACTAGATTATTCCACAATCTTTCACTATCTTGAAAATCCTCAAGCATATGCTTCGTCACACATCTTGCAAGGTAGGATCCTAGGACACTTTTCCTTGTGAGTTGCCTTTTAAATACTCTCTTTTCATTTCGAGAATCCATAGCACGGTAACTTAGTCGCAAACACTGTTTATCAAGGATTTTGAGAAGTCTTGTTACCCCATTTAAATTATTTATAGCGTCTAAAACTGCCAAAAGCTTTATCCCGGCTTGACTGTGGTTCTTTTCGAATAGACGTTGTATAAGTTCTTCCAATGTTGGGAGTACTGGAAGTGGAGGATTGGAATTCTTAGATATTGCGTACATTGCGGCGTCCTGCGAGTCTGATGTGAGAGGCGGTATCATTGTGGAAATAAGTGACGGTGAGACCCTCTCTACGTTGCCACAATAAAACGCAACCAACACTAAGACCGAAATATCATGAGGAGTTAGAGTATTTGTTACCAAAACTGAACGTCCAATATGCATTTTGATTCGTTTGCTATCTATATCTCGCAAAAAATGATTTCAGATCATAATCCGCATTAGCTTTGGTGTTTGTTTTTCAAGACGCATCATCGATATGAGCAGTACAAAAATAATGCAAACGATCTCTCCTCGCAGTTTAGATGCAAATAAGTACTTTCAATATTATTTACTATTCTAAATATCTATATGCAGTTAGGATAAGCGCTTTATCGGGTAACCTACCTGGAACAGGTAGTAAAATTCTCAATTTCTTTCTTGTATCATTGACCTCCATTATTAGTGCAAATCCAAGGATCGGGGCATCGATGACCTCTTCAACTGGTGCTCGCCTAGGTGCATAGGTTATAGCTACTAGTGCATGCTGTAAGTTACTAGCATTTGTTTCGACAGGAAGGTAGAGTGCTTCCGATCCGCTATCTGTGTTAAGAGCACTTCGAGGTTGCCAAACGGTTATCATATCAAAGTCAACTCCAATAGTATAAGGGCTCAAAACTGTATTTAAGTCACCATAGAAGTAATCCTTAATAGCACTTCTCTGAAGGGATCTTTTGAACACGTCAGAAACTTGCACAACGCCGTTGGACGTTGGTACCCTAACAATAGGAATCGTTTGTGACATCAAAACATCATTAATTTTTACTGCCAAATTATCATCATGGGCACAAACCACAATAGCAGTTATTCTGAAAAGCTTGATTATTTCATGAAGTTCTGAAAAATCATCTGAAAAATGAGAGAAAGGTGGCGTGTCAATTACACAACCAGATCTGCGAACCATAGGATCACTTTGGAAGCGATTACTTAGAACTTCACTTAGTTGCTGAATAATCCTCATGTACAATTCACGATTATCCGATATATTCTCTAGCCCAAAGTTCTTTACAATAGGCTGCTTGCTATGGAGCTGGGTAGCTCCACTGGTCATACTCTGGCCCCAGGTATTAGAAGACACATCTAAAATGTCGGATATTGGGGTCGCACTCAAACATCCCGGTGGTGAGAAAATCCCTTCTTGTGGATTAAGATTTACCATGACTGGTTCATAAGGTTTAAATTTGATCGCATACGAACACAAATATTTTGCAAGTGTGGTCTTACCGCTACTAGATTCTCCTACTATAAGTACCCTGGGCCCTTCAAAGCTGGATACTCTTAATTTCTCTAGAGAAAAATGGAGATTATAGATGTGCTTTAGATTTGTATTGCTAGATATCGATTGATTGGCCAGATCAAGGCATTTCCATTCTAATTCAGTTGCCTCAACTGCATAAATGGAAAAGTTAGTGTTTTGAAAAGTATACTCTATATCGATTGCAAGTTCTGTACCGAATATTTCTGCAATCCCAGATAGAATTTTCACTTGAAGTTTAGAATCCTGAGGCACTTCTACCCTCCATTCGGACCCTAAAGGTATAGCTAAGCGTTGAGGAACATCAGGATCACTCGTAACATCCAATGGCTGTAATGAGTCGCTCAATCCTGGAAGAGTAGCCATTCTCGACGACTGTGACTATGTTTTATCATTACAGGATGGTTTTTTTAGGTTATTTATCGACCTGAAAATTCGTTAAAAACGTTCGCTCATCGTATCGATTAACGCTTAGAAGAAAGAAATATTACATACCGTTGTTAACTACCCTTTACAATATACTCTGGGTTCGCTCTAAGAGCCCATTCGGTCCATGAGCCGTCATAGAGCTTGAGATTTTTTTCACCGGCAAGCTCTAAAGCTGTCTTGATAATTACACCAGAAACTCCCGTACCGCACATTGTGATTGTAGGCTTAGATGGATCGAACTTCACACCAGATTTGCTAACGTACGCATCTAATTTAGCTTTCATCTCTTTTTCGCTTCCCTCAAAAAGCCCGCTATTGAGCATTTCATTGAAAGGCATTGGTTGAGCGCCAGGAATATGTCCAGATGGTAAGCCCGGCCTAGGCTCTTGAGCCTCACCCAGAAACCTTGGCAATGCCCTAGCGTCGAAAACATTGTACTTTTTGGCTAGCTCTCCGTTTTTCACCATATCCAACATTTGATCGTAGCTAATCACTTGTTGGGGTGTGAAGTCTGTATTAGACACATACTCTGTGGGGGCATACTCAGTAAACTTTGTCTTTATAGACTGATCAATCGGATATCCCTCATTCTTATAAGTGATGTAGTTGTTCAACAGATACACAGGACTGTGGCCAAATACTCCTAAGGTCCACGCGCAACGTGGAGCGCTGAAATTTCCAACTCTATCGTAGACCACTAGAATGTCGCTTTTCTTGACACCTAGCTCACTCATCGATTCATTGAAAACTTTCAACGACGGCAACATATGTGGGTATGGGGACTCTACGTCTTTGATTGCATCAATATCAAAGTAGATTGAGTTGGGAATTCTCTCCACCTCACAAAACTCCTTACGACCGTCCTTGCCACTATTTGGTAGATACCAAGTAGAGTCAACTGGGATCACCCGCCGGGCTGTCTCCTTTTTTAGAAGCTCAGCAAAACTCTTGGGAGAAATCAATTTATATAATGACATGATGTCCACTTTCTATAGTTTAATGCAGCAAAATACGCTCTGTTAGTAAGATTACACTTCGCAAATTTTAAATGTCTTTTTGGTTCTTTATAAAAACTATATTTTCGAGATCAGAATTCTGACGGTGATATAACCATAATTATAACACCGCTGTCAAATTAACTAGCATGTTCCGAGTAAAATTAAATGAAAATTTCCTGCGATGATTTGGCGCATATTTCATCAGGTTATATTAAAGTCCGACGTTCTTTTAGCATAATAAATCTTATCGCGGTTAAATAATGGAAACTGCTAATACCGACTTAATTGTTTCTCCGCTATTTGATGTGAAGCAGACCACTTACGGTGGTAGAGCCTGCTTTGCACGCGAAGACAGTAAGGAAGGAACGAATATTCTCTCTGTCAACCGCTGTCTGAGTTCATCTATTTCACATGAATTTCGAAAAGAAGTATGTCATAATTGTCTTAAATACAATAATGGTAAGATCATGAAAGTCAAGCTAGATAGGAATCAGTTAGTAGACGATTTACTACCAGATGGTAAGAAGGAACAAGTATCAAGGCCGAAAACATTCAATGGCGCAGGTCTTTGGTTCTGTTGCGATTCCTGCAGAGATGAATATATCTCACAGGATAATATCATCGAGCTCATAGAGACATTCGAAACGCTTTTAGCTCATTTTCAATCTCAAGCAAAACGAAGGAATACGGCATCGCGTATTGAGGAGGAACATAAGTTAAACGAAACGTTCATGTCACCAAAAATTATCGGATCTAATTGGAGTATGATAGAAAAGGATTGGATACCGAGAATTGACCAACTAAAAGCATCTAAAAAAGCACGCATGCTTCCACTTATTTATGAGGAAGAATATCAGTGCTGTAGATTTGTCGCACAGACTTTATTCAATTTAAAATACACTGATCCAAACTCAGTACTAATGAAAACATTTGAAGCCTTGCAATCGAACGAGCAGAGCAGAATTCATAAATTTCCTATCCTATTAGATTCACAAACAAAGGTCTTTCAGACATTGTATGTCCTGCTACCTTTTTCATTGAAGCCTTTATTGACGATCAGCTTATTCAGACATATTTTGGGATCCGAATACGGAAACGCGTTTGGCATATGGCAGGATGGAGAATCAAACGATAGTAGAGAGTACCTTGGATTTTGGATTGTTCCTCAGGCCTCATACTTTAATCATTCGTGCTCGCCTAATGTGGATAAAAAAAGAATAGGAAATAAGCTCACCTTTACCCTAAATAGTAACGTAGTTGCTGGCCAACAGCTCTGCATCGATTATTCTGGGATTCTCTCTCTTGATGTTCATAAACGCCAGGAAATATTGTCCGAAAACTGGTTCTTTCAATGTGGCTGTGAAAAATGTCAATTAGAGCTGCAGACGATCCATTAAGGCTTCTTCAAGGGCAGATTTGCTTACACTGAGATTAGACAATTCACTCAAAGAGGAATCGGCAGTACGATCAGGAACAGAAATTTGTTGATTCATTATTTTGGATGATCTTAGGTTCTGCAGTGTCCTCGAAGGTATTATATGTTTTATATCATCGTCTTTCAATTCTGTACTTGTTGATAATTCACAGCTCTTATCACTATCCGGATGTAGTTCTCGAGAAGCTACAAATTGAGCCGATCGACTTTCCATATGCTCCTCAAGAATTTTGAGATGTTGTGAGAAAAGTCGATAACTTCTCTTCCTCAAGAATAGTTCAGGGGCGTCCAAGTCCTTTGAGAGATTGTGCCAATCAATAGCTTTCCTGTTATCTGCTAACCTTGAAATTTGAGACCATAGTTTTCGATCCTTTTCAATATCCCAAGAGAACTTTTGCGGATCTTGAAATGAATCTGGGCGTGGTCCAGCAACTTTTATATAAACTATTGTGTTTTCACTATTCATTTTTTGATTCTCATGAAAGTAGAGCAGAATATTTTGCAATTTTACTACAAATACGAACATCAAAATTCAAAGCACGAAAGGCAAACATGGAGCGATGAGTAATGAGAGTATATCATCTGGAAGCTCTTCTGTTCTTTCTCCAGAGTTAATTCATATTCAGATGAATGCGTATGACAGTTATCAAACCATCCCGGGAATTCTAGATAGAATGGCTGGCGTGAGCTCCCCAACCCAACAGTTTACGCAAGTGCCCGTAATTAGAGTCTACGGCTCTCTTCCAAGTGGGCATAATATTCTATGCCATATTCACGGCATTTTTCCGTACATATTTGTTAGCTACGACGGACAGGATAATGATAGTGTGGATGAGATCCATGAGAGAAGTTCTCACCTCCATTCCGTTTTAGAAAGAGCAGTGCGAAATGCATATGGATTTACGGATAACAACTCAGAAGTGCCTGATGATGAGACTTCCGGTAATCATTATAACAGTAAGAATCCAGAGGGTGTTCATTGCGACCACAACTTGAACTATATCGCTAACGTTTCTGTCGTCAAAGCATTACCGTTTTATGGATATCATTGTAAGTGGGAGGCGTATTACAAAGTGTCACTATTAAATCCTGCTTATGTGACGAGAGTTGCTGATATGCTCAGAGAGGGTAAAATTCTGGGACAAAAAGTTGAAACATTCGAGTCTCACATTCCGTATTTACTTCAGTTTTGTACCGATTATAATCTTTTTGGTTGTTCATGGCTTAAAACTTCTGAATGTTATTTTCGAACGCCTTTATTCGGTAGAAACAATTCATATGATCTTTCTGTGAGAACACCTGAGTTAGATGGATTTATTGAACGTTTCAACAATAACAACAGCAGGAGTCTGGGAAATGACATAACTCGAATGGGTAACAGCATGCTTGAAATTGACGTGCTACCGCAGTTCATAAGAAACAGAGATAATATTGAATTTAGAAATATTCATACACGTTTGATCGAAGAGGAAAATACTGTTTATTCAAACCAAAATTTGTTCATTCCATCCACTAAAGAGCTTTGGAATCAGATAGAAGTTTTGAGGAACCAATTCTCTCTTGGTCCTTATGTTCATCCTTCCGAAGAAGATAGATGTCATGATTCACAATCTTGGCATAATCAGGAAGAACTTCTCGCCTTTCTAGAAAAGGCGAAGCAGAGAACTTCGTTCAAAGACAAAGAGGCATTTGATACCGAGGAATTATTTACCATATCTAATCCTCTTCTCAAAAACGTTTGTACCACGAAAGAAGCTGTAGAGGAGCTATGGCCAAGCGAGTTTAACGCACAATCGTACATTGATAATACAATGAGTGAAAAATATAAGTCTTTCATCAGCAGTTGCGATTCTGGTGAGAGAGGAGACTATATACTCCAGTTATCTGACAGCGAAATTGATGATAGTCAGCCCACAGCAGATAACCAGGGACATGAAACCTCTGATCTTGCTCAAAAGCGCTCTTTTCCTTCCAACAATGATTTATCAATGACGCAGACTATGGCAACAAGAAGAAAAACCAAGAGAACTACTTTTTCTCAACAAACTTCACTATCCAAGAGAAGAAAAAAGATCAACTCTCTTTTTCGAGGGATTGAGACGTCTCATACCTCTTATCAGTATAAAGAATTTTGCTTTGGATATGAATCCATTCTGCCTGATCTAGAATATGAAGGAATTCCAGCAGTTGATTATATGGACCCACACTTTGGTGATTCCCTGGACCTAAAAAGAAAAGATTACGTATACTCTGGTCAACGCTTTAATTTAAAATCTTTGCAATTACCACATCGTGCACCTGTAGAATTTCGAGGCCAGCAAGTCACACTCCAATGTAGTACAATAAGTTGCAACCATCCGTGCTCCTGGAAGTATGCAGTTAACCCTCCAGCATTCGATCATGTTAGTTCTACATCGATAAAAAAAAAAGATCTCCGGTCCCAAATCGACTTTAAAACTCCTTCGAATGAATTTGGTTATAAGTATAAAAGTAACAGCTCTTTGACTGGAATGAAATCAGATGGTCACAACCGGCTATCTCATATTTCGTTAGAAATTCACGTAGACACCCGAGGAATCTTACTTCCTGATCCAAAAAAGGATCCCGTTACACTAATTTTTTGGGAAATAGAACCTGAAACCTTTGGAATTGATATAGGAATTGCAAAGGAGGGCATTTTAAGCTTTTCAGGCAAGGGGAATGATGCTGTGCGACATCAATTAAATGAAGCTACCGGCGAGATACCAGTTGCTCTTTACGATACCGAACTAGAAATGTTTGAAGGATTGGTCGAATTAATCCAAATACTGGACCCAGATTTAATTTCCGGTTTCGAAATTCATTCAAGTTCTTGGGGCTACATTATTGAAAGATGTAAGTTCGTCTATGATTGTGATTTTTGTGATGAGATTTCGCGAGTGCGAAGCAAACCAACTGATAAACGGAAGGACCGTTGGGGATATATGCACGCGTCAGGAATTCAAATACCTGGTCGGCATGCTTTGAACATTTGGCGACTTTTGAGGTCAGATTTGAATCTCCTAAAATATACGGTTGAGAATATAACTTTTCAAGTGCTACATGAAAGACTACCACACTTATCTCACGCATCACTCACAAAATTGTGGAATTCGAATACAGACATAACATCAAAAATTACTGTGATCAATTATTGGAGAAAGCGGGTCAGCTTAAACTTGGCTTTGCTTCAAAAGCGTGAAATTATATCGCAAACGGTTGAGCAGGCACGCCTATTAGGTATTGATTTTTACTCGGTATTTTCAAGAGGCTCTCAATATAAGGTAGAATCTATACTGGTAAGGCTTTGCAAGTCTGAGTACTATATCTTATCATCACCCAGTAAAACACAGGTACGAAAACAAAAAGCCCTCGAGTGCATCCCGCTTGTCATGGAACCTGAGTCATCATTTTACAAAAGCCCTCTGATAGTTCTGGATTTCCAGTCGCTATATCCATCAATTATGATAGCATACAACTATTGCTACTCGACGTTATTGGGAAGGGTTCAGGAGCTAAAACTCAATAACAATAGAGTTGGAACCACAAAGCTAAATATTCCTGGAAACTTACTGAAACTTCTTGAGGACGATGTCACGGTATCTCCAAACGGAGCGGTTTTTGTAAAGCAGAGAGTACGGAAATCCATGTTAGCTAAAATGCTCACTGATATCCTAGATACCAGATTTATGGTAAAGACAACTATGAATGCGATCAAAGATAAAAACGAGACAATTTCCAGAATATTGAATAACAAGCAGCTTGCCTTGAAACTTTTGGCAAATGTCACTTATGGTTATACTTCTGCTTCATTTTCGGGCCGAATGCCCTGTTCTGATGTTGCCGACAGTATCGTTCAGACAGGAAGAGAAACCCTAGAGAAGGCCATTGCAATAATCGAGGAAAACACATACTGGGGAGCAAAGGTTGTTTATGGTGACACGGATAGTCTGTTTGTGTATTTACCCGGAAAGTCTAGGGAGAATGCGTTCAAAATAGGAAGAGAAATGGCTACTGAAATCACGAAGTCAAACCCTTCGCCTGTTACATTAAAGTTTGAAAAAGTGTATCATCCATGCATTTTAGTCAGCAAGAAACGCTATGTCGGATACTCCTTTGATCATGAAAGGCAACGTGCTTCAAATTTTGATGCTAAGGGCATAGAAACTGTACGCCGAGATGGTCATCCTGCTCAACAGAAAATTGTTGAGAAAGCACTTCGCATTCTCTTCGACTCGCAGGATCTCTCTGCAGTGAAAAGGTATGTTCAAGAGCAGTTTCGAAAAATTACCAGAGGTGAAGTCTCAATTCAGGACTTCTGCTTTGCCCGAGAAGTTAAACTTGGATCCTATAAAAGTGACAAAACAGCTCCACCCAGTGCTGTCGTGGCGACCAAAAAAAAGGCAAATGATCACAGAGCAGAACCACAATATAGGGAAAGGGTCTCTTACGTAGTTGTAAAGGGCTACCCTGGACAAATTTTGAGAGAAAGATGCATTCCTCCAGAGGAATTCCTCTGTAATGAAAAATACGAACTTGATTCTAACTATTATATTCGCAAAACGTTGCTACCACCCCTTCAAAGATTTTTTAATCTACTGGGAGTGGACATCTCTGAATGGTATTACTCAATGCCTAAGGTTCGAGAACTTCTCAATTATCAGTCAAAAGATGGTGGTCTCCCTGTCTTCATGAGATCTGTAACGTGCATACATTGTCGAAGAGAGATTAAAGGCAATTTGCATGCCACCCTTTGCGAAAACTGCTGTCGAAACAAAAGAGACACAGTTTCCGATCTCCTTCAAGAACAGTTAAAAAAACAGACAAATTTAGGTAAATGTCTCACAGTTTGTCGTGTTTGCTGTGAACCTTACACTCGAAATTTGTTGGATCGAATGGATAAGGTTGTCGATCAATGTGATTCGCAAGATTGTCCGGTATACTATTCGAGGGTCAAATATAAGAGCGCCTTGGTAAATTACAGATCACAAGTCGTAGCCAAGTCTCTAGAGGAACTGGAGTTTTGAGTGTCATTTGTAAATATCATATTGTACGATAATCCCATCGCATATCAAATTTTCGATTCTCCTCTCAATTCAACTCATCTCATCTCGTCTAACATTTCAAGAAACAGAATCAAATTAGAATGCCTATTTCGAAGTCTCTTTCGAAAATTCAGAAGAATATCAAGGGTGATGGGAAAAAGCATACAATTCATCCTAAAGGTCGCAAATTTCATCAGTTGACGAGAGCAACATTGAGAGAAGACAAAATTGCTGCGAAAAAGCGGGCTCATAATGAAAAAAGATCAAATGAACTTGCACGGGTTAAATTCGTTCAGGATGTTACAAATTCTGAAGCATTTAAGGATAAAAAAGTATTTGACTTCGATGAAATTGTAATTTTCCTCAAGCAGTTTATAGCTCGTGATGATGAGGAGCTGGAAGAATTGAAACAAAAGCGGAGATCCAACAGACCTCCCAGCAACAGACAGCTTATTTTGCAGCAGAAAAGAGATCTTGAAGAAAAGGAGCTAAGGTCGGGCTTTCTAGTACCAGATCTAACAGACGCTGAGAATGTCACTTTTCTAAGAAACTGGAATCAAACTTTTGGTTCCCTGAGTACCTTAAAGTTGATTCGAGTAAATGATAATGGTCAAAAGGTTGTGGGCGGAAGCAAGTCTACGGCTTCTAAGGTGGATGTTAATATGAACTAGATGCTCAATGTTATCATAATCTACAGCTTATTTTGGATTCATGTGTTATATGTGTCCGAATAGTGACACACCCGTGATTAAGGAAATAATAGTAACTCCTGATAATGCCAATAGTACCTTTCTCGGTATCTTTGGGCCTTCATTAACTTTATCTTTCTCTTCACTTGATTCTTCCCTTCTAAACAAGATTACCTGACTTCCTTGCTCGATTTTTCCTACGAGCTCCCAACCCTTGGCTTCAAAGGCGTTTATGACATCTAATATTTGTTCAGGTGATGTTCCACTTCCATTGATAATGCTAAATAGGTCTTTGTAATCAATATGCAGTTTGCCTTTTTGAGACTCCCAGGATGTAATTTGAGATTTTCTTTCAATAATGTCATAAAAGAGCAGTTGTGTGTGTTTTGAATATGCTCCTTCTAGAAGATGTGATGCAGGTACAGCTACATCTGATTTTTTGAATAGTTCACTCAGCCTCAGGAATCTCAGCGGCTTTAAGGTCGAATTATCATTGAATAAAATTCTCGCCGAAATGGAAAGGCTGGGTTCCTCATTTTGGGGCCATATATACCGCCTAGTATTCTTCGCCACGCGATATGCAGTGTCAGAATTTTGATTTCTAGTTGTTTCTGAGACAGTGCCCAATGGATTGATATGCATTTTCTCCTGTGAATTTAACAGGTTTTGGTCGCTGTGACTGCTCGAAGTCGTCATTTTATTCACATGTTTGCTTTCAGTCCCTTCAATCTCAATTCGATGTAGAATTCTGTTGAACATGTCAGATTTTTGCGGTGTGATCTTAAGTAGTTCTTCTTGTACATCATCGACGGATCTTGGCAAGGAGTTTTCTGCAGTCAATTTCTTTGGCTGTAAGACATTGATCATATTTAGCTCTGAAATCGAACGAATTGCTGAATAAATCTGTGCATCAGTGATCTTTCTTCTCAAGATCAAGCCATAGAGTCTCTTGAGTTGACCAAAACTTTTTATATTTTGTCCTAAATGAGCATCCTTCATAAGTATATTTAGCAGTTTACCTGACTGTGAATGGGGTTTCGGGAGTCTCTGTAGCTCGATGTCTTTTCGAAGCATCTCTTTGCATATTCTTATTGCGTGTGACTGGTTAGTCCTTAAATTGAAAACACCTTCCCAAGTTGGTTTCGATTTTCTCAATAATGCTGAATAAGATAATTTTCTGGTATTCAAGCTAAGATTTCCGACGAACACTGCTCGATACATCGCGTTGAATTTGTTTTGCTCAGTTGGTAAAGAAGTTTTCACGTACTCAAAAAATATACCTCTACTTAACAACCCATAACAAAGAAATAAAACAGAATGCCCCGAGGTCTAGTGAACTTGGATAACGTCTATCAAAATAATCTTGGTACTTTCTCCAAGATAATTGAGGTGGTGTTGCCTGTTTTCTACCCCGAAAAGTTCTACAATGAGTTGTTTGATGCCAAAGATAAATCTAAGCAAGTTTTCTTTTCTAAGATGGCCTACTATGGAGAAATTGCAGTTGGTGCTCTCAAAGCCAAGCTGCTACCTAGCAAATCAGGTGGCGTAGCTGCCCTTGGTGTTTACATTGAGGTGTTAGCTGTTTTAGATCCTTACAGAGAGAAAGGTATAGGCTCTCAACTTCTTCAATACATTGAAGACGAATGTAAAGAACATTTCCAGCATAACATTTACGTCCATGTTGCTGCTAATAATGAAGATAGCTTGAAGTGGTATCAGAAAAGAGGGTTTGAAATTGAAGGTGAAATTCTTAAGGGCTATTACAAGGAAACTGATGGCAGCACAGATGCATATGTTTTAAAAAAACATTTTTGAGAGTATTGTTAGAAAATATTAAGTCTACTATATATAATAACATAGACCTCGACAATATTTGTCACTACAATTATGCAATTCTTTTAAGGGTAAATCAGTAAAATTACTGTTTCTCATCTTCCTCGTCAACATCAGTGTCAGTATCGATATCTGTGTAATCGCTATCATCATCATCAAGTTCATCGTTGCTATCTTCTTCAAATTCTGTGTCTTCCTCATCCTCACTATTGATATCACCATATTCGTTTTCTAGAGTTTCTATATGAGGAGGATCACGTACGGACATTGGCATGGTTATATCTAGATCAGCTCCAAAGTAGTCAGTATTTTTAACTATGACTCTAAAAAAGTAATCACCTTTTTGTGGAGGAGCAGGTTGACTAAATGGGATCTTGATTGTGCCAACTTCCCACTCTTTAGGATCAAATTCTGAATCGACATCTTTGACTTTTCGCTTATCAAAATCCTTCGATAAATTAACAAAAGACAATCTGTTAGTGATCATCGGTGTTTGAATCACCTTTCCGTCCTTTTGCAAGACAACTATACAGCACCATGAGCCAGTGCGTTTAACAGGAAAGTATGGGGCGAAAGTTTCAGGAATCACGGGTTGTTCCAAAGTCGATGCAAAAGGATCTCTCAAAGAATCAAAATCCTGAGGTTCACTACACATTTCATCAGGTATCTTATTCGGAGTGAAAAACTTGTGTCTTGCTGATCTTACCATAACCTTTAGTACAATGTGAGGGGTCGAGGAAGGTGTTACAACGGGTTCACCCGGCACTTTGAATTCAGCCCTTACAATCTTCAAATGAGGAATTTGAGATGCTACTGTTAAGGTATCTTTTAATTTGCCTTCATCATCAATACCAAGGATTTTGCCTATTTTCTTATCATCAAACGTGAAAAGCTTTCCTAAGGTGCGAATATCATCCACGGCACCTTCCAGAAAAGCTTTCTGATTGACGTTAGGTAATTGTAAGATTTGAGAGTATGGACCGCTTGGTGTGGCTTGTACAATTGATTTGAAAGTGTCCAAAGTAACATTGGTTATCTCCAGGTTCCTGAAAGAAGTGGCAATATCCAATAAACCAAACAATAGTGAGTGTGTCTTAGCGACAATTCTAAGTTTGACATCTTCCAAATCACTGCTCGAACTTCTATTCAAGTGGTCGTGTAATAAGCTTTCGAATACGCTTGGCGTCAAATTAGGATAGAAGATCTTAAATTCCTCAGCATGAGATAGCCACTTTATAATCATGTCGACAGTAACCACTTGGGAAGGCTTAAAGTTGAACAGTCTATCAGCAAAATAAGAAGCAGACTTAACATGAATACCTTTTTTGGTGAAAGATTGAGTTCTTGACCACCATCTACTGACAAAAAATGGCAGGATAAACCCTAACATTGCGATATAACTAATTATTACCAATGGAGATCCACTGCTGTTAACCAAAAATTTAGGAAGCGCAATGCCGTGAGAAGTAGCTTGAGGACCATCTGGGTGGCCATATCGCAAAAAGTTTTCTCTAGTCAGCTCATCTGTCAACGCTTTGTACGCCTTAGTGATAAGCACATATTGTTCTTCCATATCGAGTCTTTGCTGTTCAGTCAAATCTTTTGATAGTTTATCTGGGTGAAATTTTACAGATAGCTTACGGTAAGCCGATTTGACTTCTTTCTCTGTAGCACTAGTGGCAATGCCCAGAAGCTCATAAGGATCAAAAAGGGAGGAAGCAGCCTCTTTGATCGCTTCGTTACCACCGATCTTGTTAACGAGAAGCGCCACAATGGCCCAGCCAACCACGACGAATATGGTCCTTTTGCTCGTAAGTTTCGACCTTTTGTTGCTGAATTTCTTCTGGAAATCAATCATCTTGGCAGAAGTGTACCTTTCATCGAGTTCATCCAGTGGAGACTTCTGTCTTGTTGCCTTCTCTGAGTTTTCGCTCTTGAGCAACGCGTACAATTGAGCGATTGTTAGCGGAATTAATACAACGCATAATAGCGTTAAAAGAAAGAATGGCCACGTCTCCGACGATTCATCATAGTCGTAGCTTAGAGGCATAGCAACTGTTTTGGTGCTCGGCCGAGGAAATAATGATTATAGTTTTCTGATGTTTGCCACCGTAGATCTTGCAGAAGATGCCAGCTGGACTGAATTTATTTTTCAGTGTTTTGTCTATACACGTGACAGTCTGAAAATTTTTTAAACCGCTAAGTAATATTGGTAATACCAAACAGGCTTAATTACAACATAAGTGAAGTGGTGTGGATGAACAGTGGGTTCCAGCATACACAGAATCTGGGCTTTATTGCCCAGCAAGCCGCTATACAGAGCAGAGTCAAAGTGGGTGTAAGGGGATGGCAGAATGCGACGCGGCAAGACTTGGTGAATTTCGTTAGCAGGAAAACGCGCATAGCAATAACCGATTCACAGGTGCAGGGTGACATGGTTGTTGGGTTTGTGAATAACCAGCAAGATGCAGACTCTCTAATCAATTGGAATGGTGTGAGATTTGCGGGGAATGCATTGAAGTTCGAGATAATAAATGATAATGGTGCTGGTGGAAACACGGGCACATCGAATACAATCACATTACTAAAAAGTTTCTTGTTCAAGCGCTATAATGCACAAACCAAAATGATGGATTTGGGAAACCTTCGGAATGATCCTGATTTAGTCACTAATGGTTTATTTTCCTCAACGTCCACACAGTCAAAGATGTTCCCTGCCATGATGAAATTAGCTTCTAAAGAACCTCAATTGATTGTGGAAAGCATCAATTTGTCCAACAACAACCTACGGGACGTTAATATGATCTCATCAATTGCACAGACTTTCCCAAATTTGAAAAACTTATGTTTGGCAAACAATCAGATTTCCAAATTTCGTTCACTAGAAGTTTGGAAAGGAAAATTCAAACACTTGCGGGAATTGTTGATGATGAACAACCCCGTCACGACTGATCCCCTGTATCGAACAGAAATGTTGAGACTTTTTCCCAAGTTAGTAATCCTTGACAACGTCTTGATCAGAGACGAAAACAAACTTCAACAATTGTACTCCATTCCTATGAAGATACAACAATTTTTCTTTGAAAGCAACGAGCTAGGACAATCTTCAACTGACTTTGTTACAAACTTTTTAAACCTATGGGATACGAATAGGGTGCAGTTGATGGGCTTGTATTCTCCTCAGTCACAATTCTCTATTTCAGTTGACTCTTCTGTGCCCAGCTCCAGTGTCTCAAACTCTGATCAAAATCCAACGTTTAGCTTTTATCTTCCCTTATCGCGCAATTTAACCAAAGTTTCCAGTGAAAAGACAAAACAGCAAAGACTGGCGATGGGACAGGAAGCAATTGATAAATTATTTAGTTCATTGCCAAAATCAAAGCATTATTTACAAGAGCAACCATCGAACTACTCTTTGGAGGCATGGTCTTATCCCCAAGTTCAAGGATTCATTATCACTCTTCATGGGTTCTTTGAAGAGGTTGACAAACCTGAAATTGACGCTAATAAGGGCACTTCGTCTACCTCGGGAGGAAGGCATAGAAGATTTAATCATGGACACAACAATAACTCTCTCAACAAGCTAAGTAGAAGATCCTTCGACAGAACTTGGATTATTGTACCTAATCAAGGGAATGTCATTATTGCCTCTGATCTTTTCACTATAAGGCCGTACGCAGATGGCTCTTGGATTGAGCCTCAACAGCCTACCAGTATTCAACAGACAGCCACCGCTCTAACAGGAGTTGGCAATATTCCACCTTCAATGGGTGTTCAACAACCAGGAGTTTCACCACAAGGTTTAGTCCAGCAGGGTCTGTCACAGCCAGGCCTTCAGCAACCAGGTATTCAACAATCAAATGGACAAATGAACCTGCAACCGGGGAATCTAGCCCCACCTGCCGGCCAACTCCAGTTGCCACCCGAAGTTCAGGCGAAGTTGAATCCTCATCAGCAAGAGCTACTGAATAAATTGCACATTGAAACAAAATTGAATGCAGAATATACATATATGCTTGCAGAGCAGAGTGGCTGGAATTACGAAATTGCCATAAAGGGATTCCAGGAAAGCATGAACAACATACCACGACAGGCATTTATTTGATTTTGTCGCTGCATAATAAAATAAATCACCATCTACATCAACTCTTGGTTTGTATTTAGAAAAAATTATAAATAATTCTACATTACCAATTACACGAATTTTATTTGAACCCTTTTGCAGCGATCAATTCGATTTTGATATCTCTAGTTTTTTTTCTCTTTGCGTTGATTTCTCGGACGTCGGTGACGCCAGCAAAAACAGGAACAATAAGACGCAAAACATGCACACTAGTAACAACATTTTTTATTTCTAGCTCCGTTCAAATGAGAGCTCCTCCAAATCCAAGAAAATCTAGATTGAGGGTTATTCGCCGCGCTCTCCACAATGCTCATAACGTTTTAACCATACGAAAAATGAGAAGAAAATGGAATTTGCATCACCTCCACAAAATTCATCGAAGAAATATCTTGTCATCAAAGGATGAAAAAATTACTCACTCTATGAATACTCCACTAATCCTAGAAGATGTCATGGAGAGAAACTCTTCTAACCATTCACCTGCTGGCAAGAACAAACCTCTACTCATCGCGTCTTTCCCTCATGGATGTGCTCGTTCGCCCCGAGTACGTCTGCTTCAGCGAAATACCCTTTCAAGGTTCTTTGTCAGTAGGAGAAGATACAAACTACGGAAGTTTAATCCTGGAAAGCTTAAAACTGGAAATGAGCGAGAAATTCGAGGAAGAAAGGGGCATCTTCACAAAGCTCACATTATTAGAAAACAGGCTGCAAAACATGCAGACGTTCGGATTAATTTCGAAAAGCGCAATGTGATGAAAACCGTTCTCCTTCCCCTCAATATTGCAGAAAATAAAGAACCAAGTTATCTGCAGTTTGATACAGACCAATCTATAAAATTGGCGGATTATCCGTCGCTTTCAACTAGAATATGTCAACCTGGGCTAGCAAACGCTCAATCAGAAACAGAAAATCTGTCATTAGCAGTTCAATGTAAGAAAAAGGTCCGAAATAAGCTAGAGGCTTTGCGTTGGGTAATAAGCGAGAGCATCCCAAGGTTCACAATGGCAGATCACCCGGAAATTATCGCAGTAAGCAGTGCCCACATATCTGAAAACCAAGCAACAGATCGCCTAGATATTGAACCACAGAGATTACAGGAGAAAATAAGCAGTATTGTTGAAATTTCCAGACTTGCAGGTAGTACCGTCAGCAACTATACTCAAATGATGCACAAGTTGAACTCCATTTCGCCTCAAGCATCGAACAATGTGCGCGCACTCACTGTGCGCCGGCTCGTGAAGTAACCTTTGCAATTGGGGTACAAAAAGAAAACTATGCACTTTGAAAATCGTTGACTTGAAGTATATAACCAGACACCATCTATATGTTCACACCCGGCTCTGGCACAAGGTCGCCAATGCATGGGTATTTCTTCTGAAAGTGCTCGCACCAGCCATCTAACGCAGCATTCTGTTCGGGAGAAAGATCTGATAAGTCATCCATTGGCTGGTCCCAGTGGCGAAATTGATCAAGATCAAATGAATTCATTGCAAGGCCACGCGACGCATCGTGACCGGCAAAGTTCGTATAAGGCCCACTAGGGCCATAGAATTGTCTACCTTGAGAGCAGTCATACACCTTGCCTCTAACTGCAATGAAAATTTTTTCATCATCATGGCCATTGTACTTGTATAGCGTTCTAGGGAAGAACTTCCCCTCTACCATAGGCTCATCGGTTGAACCAGATGTTTTTCCAGATTTCCCGCTGGATGATAAACCGGTAGGATCCTCGCTCGTCTTGACACCACCAAATAGAAGGTTCTTTATAAATGACATGATAACTGATAATTACTCTTTGTTGTATTCGAGATGCGGAGTGGGAGAAATCGGTTGGGGAAACTTATTCCATTCATATAAACGAAATATCTATAAGGCAGGTCCGATTATACGAGTATGAATTTTTCCGATAAAAGTCCGTAAATATGCTAAACATATAGTCGATACAAAGTTCATATTTCTATCAATTGACATCGTTAGTCTCTTCAATGAAAAGGTTTGCCGACTTGTGTAGAGTTTTTGCCAGAGAATTAATTTGTTCCTGCGCGCGCTCCCAGTCCTCATCAGCAATCGCATCACGAACTCCGGGGAAGCTCCATGAGTCATGTGAATCGTCCATCCATAAAGCAGGGCCAAATACATTGTTCTTGTAAAACTTTCTATCAGGTAAACCTTCTGATATGCATTGTCTTTTGCCTATATTGGCGAGTTTCTTGTTCCATGTCCAACGATCGACCGATAGCAGTGAAGGCTCAATTCCATCATCTTCAAGTAAAACAATGTTATTCCATGCGCTCACCCATGAATCCCACTGTAGACCAATCCTCTTCCATAACAGCATTCCTTCCATAATGGGCTCAAAATTCAGCTGATGATCTGTGGACTTTTGAAGATCTTTAAAGAGCTCATCAACGACAGAAACATAACCACCGATGCTAAAAGGTATTAGAGGATCGTCAACAAGCTTTAGGACCACCTGGAATACGTACAGCAATGTATCGGAAACCTTTTTCCATTCGTCTTTAGCGGTGACCTCTCTAAACTTCTCGAAGGTATCAGAGCAGGTATCTATAGGGGCCTTCCTCGTGCGCACATGATCCGTAGATAATACGGCTACAGGAATTCCATTCGCCATGTAACTTGACCAATCACCATACTGCTGTACAGTTCTCACATTGATGTCAAATTCCATTTTCGTGCTTTGATCGTTGAAGAAACTAAACAAAAGTGGATGAGCTTGGATGTCCAATTTGTTATTGTCTGGATCAATACCTAGTTGACTGATATCAAGTACAGCATATATTTCATTTTTCATTTTTGAAAGTTCAACTTCTAGTAACTCGGTAGAGCCTGCATTTCCGTAGTTTGAGGCATCATAAGAAATAAAATATATATTCCTCAGAGGTCTCCAATCAAATTTATACCTTATCTGTTGGAATAGTTGTACCAAAGACAGAAGATTAGCAGTGCCAAAGTTAGGATAACTTGCTCCAAAACAAGACGAATCACGAGCTGCGCCAATAACTATTGCTTTGTCGTTCTGTTCTCTACCTTCAATTTTGCCAACGACATTCCAACTGAGGTGCGTTGGTCTTATGCTGTTTTCTAGCTCCAAGTTTATGGTTGCATCACCGATCTTTCCACTATGCCAACCATCATTAAAATCTAAAGATCCATCTGAGGAAAGGAGTTTCTTGAGTTGTTGAGCTTGACGCGATGATAAGGGAATGGTAGGTATTCTTGGAGCTATGGGCGAATCTTCAAAGGGAATCTTTTTTGGAAGGGTGGAAGCCCAACCAGGAGTCAGTGGGTCACCCATAGCATACTGTGATAGTGCTACAGATCTTCTTTGAACCATATCAGGGTCATTTTCGGAGCCTGTATCCGATATGAATAAAATCGCCTTAATTCCATACTGTTGGGCTCTTAGCACTTGCTCGCTCACCAAATTGCCGTAATGTACCAAAACTGCCGTATTTTCACTTAAAAGTCCCTTCTCTTTAAGGTTGTCATAATCAGACTTTGTTCCATAATGCGCGTAAAGCAATGATGCACCTTCAACTTTGCCACTAGCGCTCAACGGGTTGAAGTTCAATTCATTTGTCTCTATGTGAATCTCTTCACCAGAGTTTGAGAAAGCCACTAGTGAAACATTTCCAGGATAGTCAAGATAGGTATCAAATTGGGTGGCAACATGTAATCTTATCCCATTGTTCACGAGTGATTCTTCAACATACCGGGAAATAGCATAGTCCCCCTTGGTACCAGCCATATGAGGCATTCTGCTCAGATATTCCATATCGCTCTCAACTTTCGATAGATCAATAGCCCGTTTAGCGTAAGCTATCAACTGGGCTTTATCTGAGAACATTCCTCTCGTCCCCATAGTTCTCTCATTGGGCAGTAGCCCACTCATAGAAATATAATAAATCACAAAAGACATTGCAAATATGTAAACAAACCGTCTTAGAATTAATGGATTTCCAATCTTGTTCAAATAAAAGTCAACCTTGTGGGAAATGAGCGAAAGTATCTCAGCTAGAGGATCAGTGATTTTTTCACGCATTGGTATCATGACGTAGTCCTTGAATCTGCGCTTCAATCGCGCTATCCTCCCTAATTCTTCAATTTCCGGTCCCTCCTCTAACTCCATGGGCTCGAAATTATTGTTACCCGTTTCTGTTTCGTCATAAGATGGGGGCAATGGTGGAGGTTCCGCTGAGTCCAAACTCACACCAACTGAATCATCAGGACTGCTGTCCTCATCCTGTTGATTTACAGGGACATATCTGTTAGACCCTCTTGCCATCTTTGTTCGAGGAGGTGTTGGTGACAAACGTAACAAGATTTTTTGTCTTCCGACAAATAATGGGTCTCGACTTGATATTATTTCGCTTCTCGAAACGAAAACGATAAAAACTGAATATATTCAGAACCCCATAAATGGGATATCATGTGGCGTAAGTATATATGTAACATATATGCAGTGTCATAGCATTCTAACTAGTACCTTTCAGGATGGTATGTGATATGTTTTACCCCCAGCTAGGTGGTGTGGAGTTTCATATTTATCATTTATCTCAGAAGCTCATCAATTTAGGCCATTCTGTTGTGGTCATTGCACACGCGTACGATGATCGTACCGGGGTAAGATACTTGACTAACGGTTTGAAGGTGTATTATGTTCCGTACTTAGTATTATACCGTGGGACCACATTTCCATCAGTGTTCAGCAGTTTCCCAATTATCCGCAACATATTGATTAGAGAACAGATACAGATAGTGCATTCACATGTTAGTGTTTCCTCTTTAGCGCACGAAAGTATCCTGCACGCTAATACGATGGGTTTAAAAACAGTGTTTACTGACCATTCTCTCTATGGATTCGACTCAGTAGGATCTATACTGGTTAACAAACTACTGAAGTTTACTTTGACTAACATCGATGCAGTAATCTGCGTCTCTAATACCTGCAAAGAGAACATGGTTTTGAGGGCTGATTTATTGCCCAGCAGCATATCTGTAATACCAAATGCAGTTGTTAGTCGAGATTTCAGACCCTCGTCGATTGAGAAATGTAGGAAATCAGCACGTAAAATTACAATCGTCGTCATTTGTCGGTTATTCCCGAATAAAGGTGCTGACTTGCTAACGCGCATGATTCCTCGTATATGCGGCCTCGATGAAGATGTTGACTTCATCATTGCTGGCGATGGACCCAAATTCGTCGACTTTCAGCAAATGATCGAAACACACAGATTACAAGAAAGAGTCCAGTTAATTGGCGCTGTACAGCATGAAAAGGTACGAGATGTCATGTGCAGAGGGGACATATATTTGCATGCAAGCTTAACCGAAGCTTTCGGAACGGTGCTGGTCGAAGCCGCCTCTTGTGGCTTACTAATTGTTACAACTAAGGTGGGAGGAATTGCAGAAGTCTTACCAGAACACATGACGGTTTTTGCCGAGAATACATCAGTATCTGGCTTGGTGAACGCTACTATGAAAGCTATTGGATTACTGCAAAGAAGTGCTATCAACACCTCTACCTTCCACGCTGAAGTTTCGAGAATGTATGATTGGATTAATGTTGCAGAACGAACGATTAATGTTTACGACTCTCTGTTCATAGAGAGATCAGAAAACGACAAAGACTGGATTGTGATGTTACGTAGATTTTACGAAAGGGATGGGCCATGGGCGAGATTGTTATATGTGTTGTGCGCCGTTGTCGAATATATGATATACCTACTTCTGGAATGGTGGTTCCCAAGGGACGAAATTGATACAGCTAGGAAATGGCCGCATGACAGAGACTAAACGATACGTCGTTCATAATCCTGTCCTCAAGTTAATTAATGGCAAGCTCACGTATATAAGCATCAACTCGAGCATTTTCTTCCTTCAGCTGATAGCAATAGTGACGAGCATGCCTTATCCGGTTTTTGTCCTTGGATGGCCTTCTAATAGGAACGACAGAAGCATTACTGATGTGTTCTAACATCATATGATACAGTGAATTTAGGCGATTTTGAAATATAACATTCGGCACCCTCTGGTGTGGTTGTAGATCCTCTTCTATCCATCCAATGTCAGTGGAAGTACTCTGTTCTGTCAAAAGGCATTTAATGGTTCTTCGGAGGTCTGTCACTTCGGAGATGAGGTCGAGCTTGCTTATTTTTTCAACTTCCTTGGAGATTTTGAGCGTGTCGTTACTCGGAAATACGTAGTAGTCTCTGGCGGCTGCCTCTTTGAGAGAGTCATTTAGCTTTAATACAGTACCGTTGAGAATTTCGAGATCTGATTGAAGTGTAAAATTTTGAGCCTTTAATTTGCTTAACTCTTCTTCTAAACCTTTTATCGTTGCTTCTTGTTCCAAATTTCTCAGTGCTTTTCCCTCTAATACTTTAATTTTTAAAGATAGTTCCTCAATTAAGGCATCCTTCTTGCTGATCGATTTTTTCAAGTGTTGAAGACTGTGTTCATAATTTTCCACCTCTTTCTTCAAATAATCCTCAATGTCTTGTTCCCAGAAATCTGAAGTTGAAATCTTTTTGCCGATACGTTGTGTAAATCGCACTGTAGAAATTTGCTTCAGTAATATCGAAGCATCTGCATTGATGGTATCGAAGTCAATATTATCTTTTTCCATAGTTGCAAGAGGGTGAACGATTTTCCAATAGATGTATTCGATCATTGAAGAATTTCGTTCGAGTATGAGCTCGTGGCCAGAAACGTCTTTAACTGAAAAATTACATTGAATAGCCTTTTCGATGAGTTTTACAACAGAATAAACATCTTGTAATGCTCCAATTTCACATCCATCCTTATTTAATTCAGCAAGTAAATTGGGAATGTATTCTGAGAAGACATAAAACATAAATTCCTTGAAAAATTGAGCATCCTTGTTCAAGAAATCAACTGAGTCAATGAAATTCCGCAACTCGTCCACATCCCAGTCATTAGGGATCTCATCATTGATCATTTTATCTTTGGTCTTTTCAAGTTGAACTGCTTTTGCTAAAAATCCTTTGATTATTGGCTCCTCAAGAATCTGTTCTCTTTTGTCCCTATTCAAAGAATTGAGAATACACGCGAGTAGCCTCAATATGAAATTCATGATATACTTTAATTCCAATGTTCCTCTCATGCAATTATCAAATATTTTTTGCGATAAATATGTCGCTTGAGCTGAAAGCCCGCCTAAATCATGTTGCATCCCGATCCCACTTTCAAGGAACTCCTTTTCAAAACAAAGTTTTCGATTGATATATTTCAGCCTTTTAAGTTGCTCGGTCAGATTTTCGATATCTACAAAAGCTTTGGGACTGCTGTGGGTGTGCAAGCGTGAATCAACTAGTCCCTGAAGTCGTTCATTTTCTCCCCGCAGAACTTCGATCGTTTCTCGATCATTTTCAACCGTTGTATGTAGCTCTTGCAGCTGATTTGACAGTTCCTCCTCCAGATCATTGTAAAGCTTTTTCAAGTCCTCCTCGACAGCCTGCGTGGAATTGATTTCCTTTAACGATTTTCTCAAACTTTCCAATTCTTCCGTTAATGCTATGTTTTTACTTGTTAAGGAATCGATTATTTCATCGTTTACGACATCCGATTTAAATTGTGAGTTTAAGCTCTCGATGAGTATTTTCGAGCCGTCAAGTTCGGAACTCATCGTCAAAAAACTGTGTGTCAACTGCTCGTTTTCCTCTAGAAGCAGCATGTTTTCATTTTCGAGTTTCTTATTTAATTCGCTGGATGTCTCCAAAGATGCTTGTAATCTCAATAAAGTGCTCTCGACAATTTTGTTGCGTTTCCAGACATCTCCGGGGTTAACATCCATTTTTGACAGCTCTTCATCTTCAATTTCCCTTCTAAGAATGACTTCTTCTCTCAACAAAAACAATTCCGCTAAAGCATTTTCATGCTCGTCCTTCAAGTGCTCTAACTTGTTCGCTAGCTCGTCGCAATGTGCTTCAATAGTATCTTTTTCGAGAATTGTAGCCTCTAGATTCTTTTCGTACTCTTTCATTAAAATTCTCTCATCTTGGTGTTTTTCCAATTCCATTTGCATCGACTCGCACGTTTTGTGCATGATATACAATTTCTCTTGTAGTTTGGATATTATTGACTCTAACTTCTGGCGTTCCATGGTATTACCAATTGGAACCGAACTTGATTGTCGATCTTCATGCGATTTCGGCTCTTTGAATTCTTTTGTGGCCTCTTGAACTGTCTCAATCCTGCCGAATATGCCGTAAAGGCCTTCCTTCTGAGGTTTGAAATATAACACCCCTTGCACAGAGCCGTCATTTTTACCTATAGGGTCGTCTAGCTCGATTCCACACCATACCCCAGCAGCAAATTTGGTCTCCCCAATGAACCTGATCGTTCCAACTACCCCACGAACAACTGCTCTATCTCCCACCTTCAACATCCTTGATGATCGGTTACGAAATAACGAAAATCTCAAATCGCGAAAATACACATCCGCATGTTTCTATCGCTTAAAAACAAAGATCAAACAGGAAAGGTACAATCTCATGAGTAATAGACGAACTACTCCTAGAGGACCCTTGAATGGGTCAGGTGGATATAAAGGAGCTAACTCAGAAAATGTGGCTCTACAAAAGGAGCTTTTGGAAGAGCAAAAGCAAGAGATTTATGAGGCCTTCTCACTTTTTGACATGAATAATGATGGATATCTTGACTACCACGAACTTAAGGTGGCAATGCGAGCGCTAGGGTTTGAACTTAGCAAAACGGAAATACTGGATCTGATTGAAAAGTATGACCGCGACGGCCGTCGCTTAATGCACTACGATGATTTTTATCTCGTAATGGGTGAAAAGATTCTTAACAGAGATCCATTAGAGGAGATAAGAAGGGCATTCAAACTATTTGATGATGATAATACCGGTAAGATTAGCTTAAAGAACCTCAGACGTGTGGCAAAGGAGCTAGGCGAAAACCTCACCGATGAGGAGCTTCGGGCTATGATAGACGAGTTTGATCTAGACAATGACGGAGAGATAAGTGAAAGAGAGTTTATTGCAATTTGCACCGATAGTTAGCTCAGGTGCCATCCTAGGCGGTATATTGGATGCTATGTATTGTTTAACTCTGAGTGTATTGTATAAGTAGCTAGGGCCAATCGAGTCACATGACCTTTACCCGGAATTGAACAGCGATCTTTCGAGACGGAAAATTTTTTATTTCTGATATTGAGTTAACTGGTTATCTACAAGGGAGCTTCACGTTAATACTGACTAATTGGCCTCAGAATGTCTGGATACCAGCATTTAACTAAGGCGGGATCACGGTTTTTGAAGCAGGTTGAGAATCGTCCCAAGCATCTCTTGGATCACTTTAGAAAATTTGAAGAGAAGTCCATGCCTTCGTTTTTAGTCCCTAGTATACCCCGAGTTGAAGATGCTGAGCGTTTCAGGACTGAAAAGGAGTGGAAATTTATGCCTGGTGATAGAGTAGTAGTACTCAAGGGCAAGTGGAGAGGACAAATATCCATTATTCAGCAGCAGGATAAGGAAACGAACGGCTTTATTCTAGACGAAAATGGACCTACGAAGACCGTACCTGTCCCCAAGCAATTTTGGTCTGAAGGTCAAACCTCGCATATGGTAACATTTCCTGTTGCCGTTAAGCAAGCGGATTTAAAGCTAGTAGCAGACATTGACGATCCTGATACACCTGGTAAAACGAGAAGCGTAGCCGTAAGGGACGTGGTATTTCGCGGAACCTATTACGACGAAAATTATAAAAAAGTGATGCCTTATAGATGTGTTTCTGGCCAAGAAGACTTGGTTATTCCCTGGCCGAAACCAGAATTTAAAGAAGACGGAGAATTGGCCACCAGCCCGGCAATTGCAAGGGAGCAAACATATTGGGTGGAAAGTATTGCAAGAAGCCCAATTCCTGAGGGTGCATTGTTAACAATCCGCAACCCCAAATCTAAATACAGGAGAGGTGTTTTGACCCCTAAGGACATTGCGAAGCTGGTCGCGCCTAAAATGCCATTGTCGAAGACGAAGAAGGCATATATTGCTGAGAAAAAAGAGATGGCCATGGCATCAAAACGTATTCTCACTGATGAGGACAAGGAAAAGATAGGCAATGCAATTTACGATCATTTCAAAGGGCACCTTTAGGTTGTGCCTAGTGCTGCCTGTCTTGTAAATATCTACATGTATATATATAGTAAAGGAAGAATTTAACCTAGTGTTTCAAAGGTGTGGTTAATAATTCATCCAAAGATTTCAGTCATTGGTGAATGTGATTTTTTATTAAGCATGCCAAAATACTCAAAATATAGTGCATTCCAGAATCTGGACTGGTACAACTGACGGAGTTCACGAGCGGTTCGATGGAGGCTAATCCATGAGATGCTTGCTGTCTTACGTGAGGACGATATAAATTACAGCGTACGTATTAGAATGATCCTATAGTTTTTGATATTCAATCTTACCTTCCAGTTTCTTTACTTCAGCCACTTTTCTGACTGCTTTCATCAAATCATCTTGAATGATATGATCCCGGTCATCTCTAATAGCGAAAAAACCTGCTTCCGTGATACAATTACGGATATCCGCACCGTTAAAGCCATCACTCATTTTAACAGCAGCTTCAAAGTCGAAATCACCAGCCTTTTTGACTTTTGCGGAGTGAATCTTAAAGATTTCAAACCGGCCAGTCTCATTGGGCAAACCAATCTCGATTTTTCTATCTAATCTACCGGGTCTTAGTAAAGCTGGATCAAGTGTATCTGGTCTATTCGTTGCCATGATTACCTTTGTCTGACCCAGGTTGTCGAAACCATCCATTTGAGTAAGTAGTTCCATCAATGTACGTTGAATTTCCCGGTCTGCAGAGGTACCTTCACTAAATCTCCGCCCACCGATTGCATCAACTTCATCCATGAATATAATGCAAGGTTCATGCTCTTTCGCGTACGCAAACATCTCTCTTATGATACGAGCAGATTCACCAATGTATTTATCGACAATACCAGATGCTGGAGAGAATATGAAGTTAGCACCGATGGTGGCAGCGACGGCCTTCGCAAGTAGAGTTTTACCAGTACCAGGAGGGCCGTACAATAGGACACCTTTGGGAGGATTGATGCCAACTCTTTGGAAAATTTCGGGGTTCTTTAGAGGTAACTCAATTACTTCTCTAAGTTCCCTGATTTGTTCAGTCAAACCTCCAATCCCATCAAAGGTGATTTCGCCTTGTTCGAAAGTCGTCATGTTATACACTAACGGATCCGTTTCACGGGGGAGGATTCTCATGATCGTTAGAGTTGTAATGTCGAGCGTTACTCTTACACCTTTTTTCAACTTAGATCTGTCCACAGAATTTCTTACTCCAACGATATAACGGGGTCCTGATGATGCCTTGACAATGTACTTTTCCTCTGACAGCTCCTTCATGACCTCACCAACCAGTTGGCCAATACTCTGAAGTGCCTTGATATCATTTTCTGTTTTCTCATACTCTTTTTCTAAGTCTCGTATTCCTTGACGTCTTTGTTTCAACTGATCTTCATATCTTCTGTGTTCTAATAATTTCTTCTTGAAGGCTGTCAATGCTTTGTTGCGCGCTTCTTGAGCAGGGTCTACCTCTGGTTCTTTGCGTTCTTGTGATTGCACTTGGTCTGAAGACTCCTGGTCATTCTTATTATCTTCTGCTTCTAAAGCGGCTAATAAAGGGTCTCGTTCTTCACTCATCCTTACTATTTCTGGGGCTCAACGGTACAGCAAAGCTAGACGTCTAAGAGTTGATCATGTTGAAAGGGTGGCAAATTGTGTTACATTTTGTCAAGTTCTCGAGAGTCATTGTTAACGTGTATTTCCATACGAAAAAGAAAATTTTTGTCAATCATAGGAATGACGCTCATCGGTAGTACACGCCTGCTAGCTCAATTGAGAGAACTGTATTCATTCAATGGACTTCCAGGCATTTATATTTTGTGGAAAGGGTTACAAGTTATCCCCCTTTTCCCATATTAGGGAAGAAAGCGGAATTCCAAAGGCTCTCCTTCCAGTAGCCAATAGACACATGATTGAATACGTTCTAGACTGGTGTGATCAGGCCAACTTTAAGGAAATAAACATCGTTGCCGATGCATCCGAAGTTGACGTGATTCGCGAAGCATTGAAGACATATCTGAGTGTAAGGGAAGCACAGTTTGAACTTCTGGCAAAGTCCCTCCCTTCTCACCATTCTCATCACACTAGAAAGCCAGCACCGGTGAACTTTATAGAAGCCAAGAGCGAATTTACAGGTGAAATTTTGCAAAAAGTGCTCTTTGATAAAATCACTGGTGATTTCGTTCTACTTCCATGTGACTTTATTACTGATATTCCGCCTCAGGTTTTCATCGATCAATACAGGAACAAAGACTCAGACAATCTTGCCATGGCGGTGTATTATAAGAATACTTTCGAAAACATCGACAAAAAGCAGCTACCATCATTTTACCACGTTTATTCCGATAATGAAGACTCCATCAAGCAACCTGTACTGCTAGACGTTTATTCAAATGAAGACGTAGAAAGATCAAAAGATCTACAGATTAGAACACAAATGCTGTGGAGGTTCCCCAATGCGATTGTTTCAAAAAAACTATTGAATTCTTTCATTTACTTTTGTTGTCATGATCTTGTTGAGCTGTTATCGAAGGAGGATGATTCGAAGTCAACCTCGGAAGGTGACTCCATAGATTCTGAAGATGAAAACGCAGTTTTGAATCAGCAAATGGAAACACATCCAAGTCATATCAGAAGGAAAAATAAGCTGGCGAAGGATCCTATAAATTGTAACAAATCAATAGCAAAGATCTTTAGAGACTTGGCTAGACGCACCTGGCAGCATACAAAGACCAGAGAGAGTATCGGTATCTTCATTCTGCCAAATGTGGGTGCTTTCATCAGGTCGAACAACCTCAGTGCATACATGGAGGCAAATCGTTACGTTTTGAGAATTAAATCTTCATCAATGGCCACTCAAACGGCTCCCACAACGGGATCGGCAATTGGTGCGGATTCTGTTGTTGGCGTTAATTGCACTATTGCAGAAAAGACCAGCGTTAAATTATCTGTTTTGGGTAAAGACTGTAAAATTGGAAAGCGCTGTCGGATCATAGGTTCATTAATACTGGATGGTGCTGAGATCGAGGACGAAACGACCCTAGAAAATGTAATTATCGGCAATTTTGCGAAAATTGGTAAACGTAGCAAACTTACGAATTCTTATGTGGAAGGGTCATACATTGTAAATCCGAAGAGCGTATTGAAGAATGAAACTTTGACGCATATATACTTGGAGGAAACTGACTTCACTGACGATGCTTTAAGTACTTCTGACGAAGGTGATTCTAGTGAATTCACTGACGAATATTACGAGGAGGATGAATTTGAAGATGATGGGCTTTTCGAGCGTTAATCGACTTTCCATACACATGCTGAAGAGCAGCATGTTTATCCTAAAAAAGAATGAGGTGGTGATAATATAAATATTAACGTTCCTAATTGTATGTACAAGATTTTATACAGTTTTATATGCTCATCTTTTCCTCATCCTTTTTATCAAATAGCCAATCCCAACGGCCTTTCTTATGTAAGATAGCCAATATCAAAACCGCCGGAAGGTGAAGGACACTGACCCAAAAGGTTTTTCGGGCATATATATTCGCTAATGCAAGACCTTTGTTAAACTTGACCCTATCTTTGAGCACTTTTTCCGAGTAATTTGATCTTTGCTGCCACCAAAACTTAAAGGCCCAAAATGACATCCAGCCATTGACTATCGCGGAATCGATTTGGTAGTACCAATCTGTGACATCGAAATATGATAGCCCAAAACATAGCAGAAACATGAGTAAAGAATATCTAAAAGCTACTCGAGCGTTAAGCTTTGGGTTTTTCCAACAAGTCATAACATATCCAGCGTTCTTGTATTCATTCCTGATGTTGTGACTTAGTGTGTTAAAATGAGGAAATTGCCAAGCGTACAGAAATCCAGCAAGACACCAGCCACCAGGGTGAGTCAAGGGACTAGCCGCGGCCCAGCCCATTAATGGAGGGATTGCCCCTACAATAGCGCCTACCCATGTATTAATAATATTCTTCCTCTTAAGTGATGTATAGAGCCACGCATACAGGGCAATATCCGTAGCACCCAACACAGCAACAGTCGAATTTACGCCAAAGTATAGAATAAATGTTCCCAGTGTGCCTGCGACGGTTGCAAATTTATAGGCTTGTTTTGGGGTAACAAGCCCACGCACAACAGGTCTCGCCTGTGTCCTTACCATTCGCCGATCAAAATCAGGTTCTCTCCCCATATTGATTGCATTTGCAGATGTTGAACATAATGCGGTGCCCACTGTTAAGGATAACAACTCTGATACAGTGGCAGGATATGGTGAAAGTGCGTAGGAGCATATAGCACTGAGCATAACCAATACCGTCAATCTGGGCTTACTAAGCTGGATATAAGGCTTGATCAAATTCTTTCTAATATATGCTTGGCTTTCGGGTGTCACTTTAGTCGCTTTCGAAGCTTTACGTTTCAGAGGATCGACCATCTTCACTTCGAAGGGCACATTTTTATGTGAAATATCATCGGTACAGCTCAACGCTTTGCGTGCTGAATCAGCAATTGCCCTCCCAGAATTTTTGACTTTGTCTGCCGAGATATTGGAAACAAATTCAATCGGCGATGTATTTAATGTCAATGCATGATGATCTTTAGCGGACGAATATGTACGGGTTAGTTTTGGAAGCAGATTGATTCTCCTACACACTATCAACCTTGGTATAGAGTGAGTCAACAATTTTCCTAACGCATAACTTTGGCCAACAACAAGTATGGCCATATCTAAAAGCTGATAAGGGCGAGTTTTCAGAACCAGACTTATTCTCTATTAAAAGCAGGGATCTTTAAAATTTTTCAAAATCGAGGTATCTAAAAACAGTCACGTGAAAAGATCGGATTCGTCTAAAATACATTATAATATGTGAACTCTTTACATATCATGCCGATGCTGAGGCATCTTCTTCACCTTTGGCCTCATCCTTTTCATCAGATGGGGTTTTTTCTTCACTTCGAGCTTGATTTCCTTGAAGTTTTGAGTTTTGGATCTTGTTCTCGATTAAATCATCAAAAGCAATGATTGCCCTGACTAAATTACTAATGTAAATAACCATCAACTCGTCATTCGTTTTAATTGTGAGAGCCTTTTGTAACGTACTCGATGCATTGATCATTTCTGTAGTCTTTTCGGTGCCCATCTCATCTTCATCTGGAGTACCTAGGTTTGGTAAAAGATTAAACACGTCTTGTAGCTTTCCAAGAATGGTATGGTTTATAGGGAGCTCATCCTTACCAACCTTGTCTAGATAATCAACGATATCTTTCAATTTTCTTTGCAGACCCTTTAAGGACTTGAGTTGATTGGTCAACTTAATCGACAAGCCACCAGCAGCCTGGTCACGTACATCTCTCAAAAGATGTTCCACACCAATCTCCTCTGCTTCTTCCGCCTCAATGTTCGAGGGTAAGTGAATGAAGGTTTTCTCAGTGGAAGTACCATCGTCTTTTACCTGTTCAACAGACTTGTAGGCGGTAGTGGGGAGACCAACGCTTTGCTGCGTTACATCTACAATCAAAAGTAAGGGGTTGTGTTGTGTATATTTTCTGAAAACTTCATTGATTTTGAGGTCCGCCGATCTCAGTTTTGGGCCACTATGGTACCAACCCACAAGCTTCTCCTTTGCATTGATCTTCTTGCACATTTCATTCATACTTTCAATATAGTTGTGATCCAAAAACCAAACCTCTGGGTTCTTCTCATCTTCTTCGAATGGCAATGCAAACGAATTAGTAACTCTGATAGTTGACGTCGAGCTATCACCCAAAATTACACCAACGCATCTTTTGCCCTCTGGCGTGTTTGTGCGGTTATAATGATCAAGTACAGACAGAAGTACCAATGGTGCGACCGTTACTTGCTCGTGGTTAATTGACATGCTAATATGTTTCACTACTTCAGGGCGAAGAACTGATTTTAAGTGGTTTGCCACCGAGACTAGATTAAGTTCCTGAAAAAGTGTAGTACGTAGACGTATAAAACTACTTTCAGCTTTTTGTACACATAACGAAAGGATGTTGTATAAGAATATCTTGTAGGATGTGCTATTCCAATCGGATTTCTTTTGAGAGTTTTAACAACACTCTTTGCCGCCTTCAGCTCTTGTTCATTTCTACATGGATTATTAATAGCTGAGTTCGCTCTTCTTCAAAAAACTAAAAGCTTGAAAAAAAACGTCTCGGCGTGATGAGGCGTTCTTTTAAGTAATTATAAAGCTATTGAAGCCCAGAAGTTTAGAAATGCCATTTGGTCAAGTTGTTATTGGGCCTCCGGGTTCTGGAAAATCTACCTATTGTAACGGATGTGTGCAGTTTTTCAATGCCATTGGTAGACATGCGCAGATTGTTAACATGGATCCAGCCAATGACCTTTTACCATATCCGTGTGCCGTTGATATTCGAGACTTCATTACCCTTGAAGAGATTATGATGGAGCAGAACCTTGGTCCTAATGGTGGTTTGATGTTTGCGTTGGAGTCACTCGACAAGTCTATAGATCTTTTCATTCTTCAAGTGAAATCGCTAGCCCAAGATGAGCATGCATATGTTGTATTCGACTGTCCGGGACAGGTGGAGCTATTTACTCACCACTCATCTCTCTTTCGTATTTTTAAGAGGCTAGAGAAAGAGCTTGATATGCGCCTCTGCGTTGTGAATCTAATTGACAGTATTTACATCACATCACCTTCCCAATATGTGTCTATTCTTTTGCTCGCTTTAAGGTCTATGTTAATGATGGATTTACCACACATAAATGTTTTTTCAAAGATCGACAAGCTAAAGAGTTACGGGGAGTTACCTTTTAGACTCGACTATTACACAGAAGTTCAGGAACTGGACTATTTGAAACCATTCGTTGAAAAGGAAGGCTCCAGTGTCCTTGGCAAAAAATACAGTAAACTGACGGAAACTATTGGCGAGCTCGTAAGCGAGTTCAACCTCGTCTCGTTTGAAGTACTTTCGGTTGACGATAAACAGAGTATGATCTCTCTTCAAAGTGTCATTGATAAGGCCAACGGTTATATATTCGGTGCGTCAGAAATAGGTGGCGACACCGTATGGGCTGAAGCCTCGAGGCAAGGAACTGCTATGGAAAATTATGACATACAGGAGCGGTGGATTGATAACAAGGAGATGTACGATAAAGAGGAACAAGAGAAAAGGGACTTATTACTCAAGGAACAAGAACTTCAAGAAAAAGAAGTTGATGTTGATCAAGATGACGAATGGGAGGCTGCATTGAAAGAATGGGAGGAGAAGCAAGGCGTTGATTACGTAAAATGAACCTTCTCACATTAGATCTCGTGACAACATCCAAACTTCCAAGTTTCGTATAAACTGCTTAATTCACGATTGGGAAGAAAAAAATCGACCATGTAAACCAGCCATTCCAATATTCCAACACATCAAGTTCGTACCGTCCGTTGACCCCTTTCCCGCCCGCTTGAAAAGGAAAACATGCACATTTATTTAATCGCTGGTAAACTGTGACACAGCATACCAGTGAACCCAGCTTGGGGTACTGGATATAGAAGGAAGCCCCCGCAGTTCCCGTTTGATTTAGCTTATAAATATATGAAACGGCGTATGCAAAGGTTTGCGTAGTGAACTTTCAACATTCTTCTGCTGTCTGAACTCCAAAAATTGTGGGATGCCTAGAAAATTTTTGGGTGAACATATCAACTTACATAGCGATTTCCTTCGTCCTGCTTCCTTCACGTTAACAGACCTAGATTTACTGCAGATTCCAGATACACCTGACTTTGATGACCATGGTAGTGGGCAGGAGCAAGAAGATGTACAGGATACCAAAAATTTGAAAGGAAAGAGGATATCTCGCCAATTTGGAGGGACAATAAAACTCAAGAAAAGATTGAGTTCAGTGCCCGATTTGTTCTTGCGCGACTTGGATCATTTGCAGAAAAATGTAGGAATTAAGTTGAGCAGAAGACCACCACCGGTCCTGGTGGAGCAATCACGCTCACCATTACCATCAGTTTCAGAAAGAACCGAGGTCTCCGCAGACAACTCTTCAACTAAGAGACAATTACACCCTTCTATCGCAAGGGCTTCAAACAAGTATATCCCCTCCCCACTTTCGAAACCACCTTCTTTTAATTTCTCTCATAATTACATGGTGTATCCCTTAGTGGAGCAGGTTGATTCACATCAAAGGGCGGATTTGATGGAAAATCTACAGTCGAACGGAATGGTGTCTAGTCAGAAGCTGACTGAGCAGCATTCTCACCACAAATCAGAAGGCGAAATAATTTACGATCAAATTCTTAAAGCATACATGTCTCTGCCGGAAAAGGAAAGACCATCTTCTTCGTTGTTGAAGAACGAACTGGAACGATCGATTGGTCGCCATTTCGAGCCTAATGGTTCGCTTAGCGCTTTCAAACGGACCAAGTGCTCAAGGGGTTTTGGATCTTTCCCGCAAAGAGGTTGTTTCACAGACAAGAATATAGATGCCAAGGCCACCTATCCAGGTGAAAAAGAGCTTAATGAAATTCTCCCAGATGCAGAGTATTCTAACTCCAGTGGTTCTGAGCCATTCAGTTCCGGTGAAGAATTTTCGGATCTCTGTAGTATAGTCAGCAGTCTCGTTCAAAGTTCCCCCCAGAAAAGTAGCGACGATGATGAAGTTTACTATTCCGCAAATGAGTCGTGTTCGCGTCTTCAATTACAAAAATCAAACACAGATGAAGAAAAAATATCGATACGTCGTCTAAATATGGTACGCATTTCTCCTCGTTTGATTCAAATTGATGATATGGTATCTGTGCTTGAGGAGGAAGACAACGATAGATTGGAGATTCAAAGCGAAATCGATGACCTAATAATCGCTGACAATTCTAGCAGTGTTTATGAAACCGAACAGGAATAGTAAACTTGTAACCTGCACATGCATTGGTTCCTTTCGTGAAGAGTTGTGTAGTATACCCTTAAGCGTATGTTTCATATGTAAAATTAGCGGTTCTAGGATCTTGGAAAAAGTAGATATTTAAGTAAGTATTTCCACCTCTCCTTAAGGTTTGACCAATGTTTTTTATGGCTGACGCTGATGTTGTTTTTATGCGACGTCTACGCTGCTTTCGTCGCTATCGAGCGAACTTTTTTAGGATATTTCAAAAGGATAATTAGCATGTTCTGTTTAGCAAAAGTGCACAAAGTCCTCCCCGATTCCCGGTCAAAATGGCACCTACTCAACTGGAAATAAAAGTCAGAGCCTTACAACGCTTAGTGAAGGAGGAGGCGTATTATCAGCAAGATTTGAAGGAACAGAAGGAGCGTGTGAACGATTTAAAGTCAAAGAGTGAAGTGGATCCCTACGACTTGAAAAAGCAAGTGGAAGTATTGCAAGATACTGAAAGGCTTCTACCCACACTTTATGATAAAATAAATCAGTTCCGCGAAGATTTAAACCAATTTGTTCAATCATACAAGGGCACCGAAGATACTGCGGCTGCAAAAGATATTTTGAAAGAAGCTGAGGAATTACTCAAGACGAATAAGCATTAGTTTTTCAAAACATTTCCCCCATTTCTTCTTGAACTGCTTGCCATGTAGTAATTTATCGACACGATGCCGTACATTGGCAATTCGTGTTCTTTGCTACAAATCTGAAAAGTATGATATGTAAATAAATACAAAACTAGATTTTGGCTATTTTATAGTCTATAACATCATTTAAGTAGCTGTTCGCGAGTGCCCTAGTTAAAGATTTGGGAAGACCTTTGGTATTTCGCCTTTGTTTGCTAAAAGTTCATTTTGACTTTTACATCATTAAAGATTTTCAAGTTTAAGTCACATTGTTAACAGTACATAACGTACATTTTCATGCAGTATCATGTAAAATGAATTTTTACTTCTAATTTTGACGCATGATCTGTTCTCACATTATTTTAATTTCCTTTCAAGTTGTGGAGTCTATCGCCAGTGATACATTTGCATTTATTGGAGCTTACGCATGTCAAAGAACCGATTACCAGAATGAACCGTACCTTTTGAATCTCGTAAAAATAATGCGATATTTGGCAAGCTTTCAAGATATGCACAAACGGTCGATATAGAGCATACAGTTATACAGTTAATTATACGCTGTACGTCATCGTTTATTTGACAATTCAAATGACATAAGCCCTAGAGCTGAAATCTTTAGGTCACATGCTTCAATAAAGAAAATCATTCTGTGCGCCGGATCGATGTTTGAAAATTTTTTTGTACATTTTAAATATGTTAATATAAATATTGAATAATCGAATTTTCTATTCTTATTAGTGTTTCGGAAGTCTCTTCGTAATCTTTAAGGTTTAGTATCAGGCGATGCTAACATGCATGGATGCATGAAAGAACCAGCACATCAGTCAAATTCCCGATATTATGCGCTATATTTTATCGGAGCCGTTATTGTGCTAATATGAAATGTTAATAAGAGAGCATCCATTCCACTATACGGTGGATGTTGCTCTCTTGGGGTTCGTTGCTTTGAAGTTTCCACAAAATGGGATGCTTCGCTCCACTGGCCCCCCACATCTTTCCTAATAGCGCGAATTGGTGAACCCAGGTTTTCTTTTCCTATTTTTCCTATTAGGCACCACGGAAACAATAAAATCGTAGCCGAAATCCGCATCTATGACTACGGATTGCTTGATCGGAATCCACTCGAAGATCGAGTCCTTATAAATCTCTGATTCTTCAAACGTGAGATTTGCGAGTACACCTGCTAAAAGACGCAGCGCTGGAAACTCTGTGTATGCGTAGGTGCTAGATGGCACAGGCTCAACGTCATAAACGTACAAGCCTCTGCTACTGTAACCAAATCTGGTGAGACGAAACTTAATTCTAGAGTCGTCAAGCCCATTGTTCATGAGCTCCATGCATTTGTCGATCTCTTCCTCCGAAGGATCGCCATTTAACCCCATGATAATCTTGGTTGCTATCTTTCGGCTCGTTATCGTTCCGTGAGGAGTGCATAATATAGAGCGAGGTTGGAATCGCAGTTTGTCTATAGTCGATTCACCAATTTCTCGGCTGAAAGTTTGCAAAGTAAATTTGACAACTTCCATCCGTGAGAAAGCAGTCAAGACATAAGCCGCACCTAGGCGTTTCTCGCGGACATCCATCTTGCCCACGAAAAAGCTTTGCGCGGGTGTGTCTCCTTTACCCACCCTAGAAGTGTATTTTGTGACCGCCGCGTTATGTTCCTCGAAGATTCGCGTGATAATATGGCGCTCTCGCGCGGGATCTAGATACTTTACCACACCTGCCACATGCACCAAGTTGAACAGCAGGCTAGGACGCATAGCCTCTACAAACTCCGTGAGGAAGTCCTGGAAGCCATGGAGTTGGCGAATCCGATCGTCGTAGATAGTGAGCTCCGTGCAATTGTCATAATGCGTCAGCAGGTCAGTGAGGCAGCTCGTCTTGTACATCATCGTCGTCTCATACCCGGGTTTCTTGAGGAATATCGCGTGGAACTTGAGCCGCTCGTCGCCAAAGACTGGCTGGTCGATTACCCGTGAAAGCACGTCGTGGAACAGGTTCTCCTTTCGCCCGGTCATCAGAATCGAGAGCGTCCCGGGCTCCTGGTGCGACAGCCGGCACAGCTCTACGATATCCCTGTTCCAGTACTTGTCGTCAACGCTGCTGCTCGGCTGCTTAGCTTTCTCACGTGCCCACTCTTCCACCAGTTCTCGAAGAAATCTCGGCTCGCTCCACCACCCTCCATTGCTAAGCTTGTGCGGGTCCGTGAGTATGTTGATCATATAGCTTGACAAAAGGTTCGGATTCGGCGCTGGCGACTTGAAAAGTGTATTATCGAAATCGTAGACATGGATCCTCTGGATGCCGCTTTTGCCCGTAGATGCGGGTGGTGAAAGGTGAGACGGGCAACTGCTCCATTTGTAAAGGGGTGCGTGCTCCTCTTCCACCATTTGCTCAACAACGTGTGCTCTTTGGCTTCGAACAACACTCGAGCTAGCTTAAAACTATAATTAAAGAGTCGAAAGAATCGGATATAGATGCGTAGGTACGGATCGTGGTGCCATCCAGCGTAAACACCGAGAGACACGTGACGGGATCATAAATAAAAAGAAAAGCAGATAAAAGTTGTGACGAATGCCGAGATGCATCTTCCATGCATGTAAAGCCCATACACCACATATATGTTGCTGCAGCGGACGATGAGAAAAGAATTTTTCATTCTTATGCAATCTTCGATGGAGGGATGCATAGGTGCATATGGGTATTTAAGCGTGAGGGGAGAAGAAGACGCATTTGCCGAAGTTTGTTTACTTGGAAAACACTTCTTTCGACCACGCTATGTCGTCAACCACAGATACGAGTTCAACGTCGACACAGCAAGTGGTCACCTCGTTGATTTTCAACGGTGCCATTTTCGGTGTTTTCATCGCAGCGTTTTTGTTGTTGCGTCTGAAGCTGAAGAGAACTTACGAACCCAAGTCGTCTTTCGATTTAATCAACGACGAGAAAAAGCCAGAGCCACTTCCTCGAGGTATCTGGCAGTGGTTCATGCCTTTGCTCAAGAAATCCGATAACTTCATCATCCAGCAAGCCGGGCTCGACGGGTACTTCTTTATCAGATACCTGTACATTTTGTGTTTGTTTTTCGCCATTTCGTTTGTTTGGATCGGCCCCATCCTTCTTCCTATAAATGCTGCGAACGGAGTGAAAAAGTCAGGATTGGATATGCTGGCTTACCAGAACGTCAAGCACCCCGCTAGGTACTACGCCGATGTTTTCCTGGCTTGGATCTTCTACTGGGGGTTCCTTTACATCATCTACCGTGAATTGTTGTACTACACGTCATTACGTCAAGCTGTGCTTGCATCCCCCCGTTATGCAAAGAAGCTATCTTCACGCACTGTCCTGTTTCAGTCTGTTCCACCTCAATACCTAGTTGAAAGTGAGTTCCGGAAGTTATTTACCGGCGTGAAGGAAGTGTGGATTGCACGTGGTGCTTCGGAGTTGGCCAAAAAGGTTGGTCAACGTGATCAGATGGCGATGAAGCTCGAGGCCGCTGAGACCTCATACTTGAAGAAAGCTGTCAAGGTTATAGCCAAGAAGAAGAAGAAGAACCCAGACTTTATGCCTTCGAGCACCATCCAAGACTACGTTCCCGATAAGAAAAGACCTACGCATCGTTTAAAACCTATCATTGGTAAAAAGGTCGACACCATCAATTATTTGAAGGAAGAAATTCCAAAGTTGAATAGCGAGATTGAGGAGTTACAGATTTCACATATGGAAGCGCCTCCATTCAATTCCGTCTTTGTGGAGTTTGATTCCCAATATACCGCCCAAATGGCCGTCCAAAGTGTTATCCATCACTCACCCCTCAGCATGGTCCCTGCGTATGCCGGGATTGAGCCACAGGATGTCGTTTGGTTCAATATGCGTATGCACTGGCTTGAGAGAGCTGTAAGAAAATTTGGTGCCGTTGCCGCTATCATTGCACTCATTGTCTTATGGGCCTTCCCAGTTGCCTTCGTTGGTATGATCTCTAATATCAATGCCTTGGCCAACAAGGTCCATTTTATTGACGTCATTGTTAAGAACTTGGGAAAAACCTTCAGAGGGTTGTTAACGGCCATGGCTCCAACTGTGGCGTTGGCTGTACTAATGATGGTTCTTCCTATCTTTATCAGAAAAATGGCTCTTGTCGCTGGCTCTCCTTCCCATCAGCATGTGGAGTATTTCACACAACAGGCTTTCTTCGGATTTCAAGTTATACAAGTTTTCCTAATTACAACCTTGGCATCTTCTGCTACCTCTGTCGTAACAGAAATTGTCGCAGATCCTACCTCTGCGATGGACTTGCTGGCGCATAATCTTCCAAAATCTTCCAACTTCTATATTTCCTACATTATTTTGCAAGGTCTCTCCGTGTCTTCTGGTGCTTTACTACAACTGGTCCCATTGATTTTGTTTTACGTATTGAGTTTCATTTTGGATACTACTGCTAGAAAAAAATGGGCTCGTTTCACCGGTTTGGGCAGTATGGCTTGGGGTACAACTTTCCCCGTTTACACTAATTTGGCAGTTGTCGTTTTCTCATACGCGATTATCGCTCCTATTATTTTACTTTTCGCAGCTGTGGCTTTCTTCTTGCTATACGTTGCATATCTGTACAACCTGACTTACGTTTTCCAAGAGTCTCCAGATTCCAGGGGTGCACACTATCCTAGGGCCCTTTATCAATTAATGGTAGGTATCTACATCGGTCAAGTTTGTTTACTGGGTCTTTTCGCTGTTGGTAAAGGATGGGGTCCAATTGTGTTACAATGTGTTGGTCTTGGTGTGACAGTTTTCATTCACTTAAACTTGAACAGCGCATTCGATAGGTTAATGACTTGCGTACCTGTTGACACCATGAAACCTCTTGACGGGAAATCGGATACCCCATCTTTCTCTAGCAGTGGTTTTGTCAACGAAAAGGACTCAATTAAGGAATTACCTCAATTCCCCGTGAGAAAATACCAACCCCGGTCTTCTTTACAGTTAGATCAAAACACGACTAGTATTAGAAGCGAAAATACTTACGAGGTTAATGGTACAGTGATCTATGATAACGAAAATAATGTGACCACCGTGCCGCTATTAGCAGATGGCGATGATACTGTTGTTCCACCTGCTCCTTTCTGGAAACGTTATTTCAAGCCCCACATATATCTGTCCTACAAAGTTGCCCGCTCACGTCTACCTGAAATTTACAATTTAAGAGATCCAAATGAGATGACATCCACTTTACAAATAAAGCACGCTTATGACTATCCAGCAGTAAGTGCAAAATGCCCATACTTATGGATACCTAAGGACCCATACGGGTTCTCTACCGTTGAAATTGCCGATTTACAAAGTGCGGTTGAGATCACTGATGAAGGTGCAGAATTTACTGAGTCCGGTGACATTATATGGAACACTATGCCTCCGTCAAGCAATTATGACGATGTCGAGAAGGAGAACCCTTTCAAAGAGGAGGATGAAGACGCTGCTTAAAGTGTATATATCTTGGACTTGTATCTACTTAATTTAATTAACTAGTTCACTGTAAACATTTATTCCTCGCTATTCATCACGAGGTCATAAGCTAGTTTCATCCCGAAATTCGGTGTAACCTTCGAAAAACAGTTTTAGATCGTGGAGTTCGAAGCACAAATTAAGGACTGAATACATGAACATGTTAAAGGTCTCTAAAGGTATCTGTACACCCTTGTCTAGGCTACTTTTAATGCGTACACATGTGAGATCAAGATCTTATGGTACAGTCATCCAAGGCTCTAAATACACACCAGAATATACTCAATATCTTACACTCTCCAATGGGGAAGTTGGATCTTATTTTCATGACATACCTTATGAGCTTGATTTTAATTCACGTACTGTCAATATGGTCGTCGAAATTCCTCGTTGGTCTAACGGGAAGTTCGAGATATCTAGGAACAAGGAGTTCAACCCCATAACGCAAGATGTGAAAAACGGCAAAGTTAGGTTTGTCAACAACATTTTCCCATTCCATGGATATATAACCAATTATGGAGCAATACCTCAGACTTGGGAAGATCCAACAGTTGAGTCGAGGGAAGAAGGCTTGAAAGGGTTAAAAGGCGATAATGATCCGCTCGACTGCTGTGAGATTGGATCAAAGGTATTGGCCATGGGCGATATCAAGAAAGTTAAGGTACTAGGCTCCCTGGCACTAATTGATGAGGATGAACTAGACTGGAAAATAATAGTTATTGATTTGGAGGACCCCATGTGTGATAAAGTTAACAGTATACACGATGTGGAGGAGCATTTTCCCGGTCTCCTAGAAGCTACAAGAAAATGGTTTCGTGACTATAAAATTCCAACTGGTAAGTCTGCTAACAAATTTGCATTTGGTGGCAACTTTAAAGATGCAGAGGAGACCATGTCTATTATAAAGGGATGCCATTCTTCTTGGAAGAAACTTTTCGAGCAGCAATATGGCAATCATATATCCTTACCTGCAATAAAGCGCGCTGGCTCAGGTGTAATCCACAAATCAAGTGTAGTCGAAGATGGTAAACTCCCATCAGAAGTCGCCAAGTGGTATTACGTTTAGTCGCTTCTCTTTAACTAAAACTTCTTGAATATACAATGTCGTCAAATATGATATAAATTAGATTCTTGTCAATGGCCGGGTAGGCAATTATATTGTGGAAAATTTTAGCGTATACCATGTTTAGTCAGGCAGCGCTGTGATATATTTAGTCACTCGTTGGTGTAAAAGGGAATCGCATAACGCTGTGGCCACGTTTCGGATCTTCCAGTGTCAATTAATTGATAAGATATCACAATTTCCTTCCCTATGTCAACAGCAGCGATGTCTTTTGCCAGTGTTTACAATTTCATTAATTCCTGTCAAGATTCCTCATCCGCCAAAGAAGAACCAACTCAATTCATTTCAAAGTTTTTGCTGGAGAATAAATCTTTGATAGTTAATCCATCTTCTTTTATTCAAGTGAATGACAGCAAGGTGCCACCAGAAGGCTCCTTCGTGCTTCGGGGAATCACTTATAAAGTCACTCAGAAAAACTGCGAAGACTCAAAAAAGCTTTCTTCACTTTTGAATATTAGTAGTGAAGAATGTCTTCGAATCATTGCGCAAGTAAATCAAAGGATAACTGCCTTGAAAAACCGAGAAATATTCTATGCTCAGCAAATTTTACAGGAGAGGAATAGCACGATAGATATAGCGCTGCTACTGATCAACAAAGGCACAGATTGTCCTGATATCGACCAAGAGTTTTTAACCATCTTGTTCAAGGAGAAAAATAAAATTTTAACGGATTTGATAGGCATTCTAAGAGAATTATCATTGGAAACAAGGATAACAGCAGAAGAATCATACAGCGATCAGGACGCGGAGCTGAATAGCCTGAAAAAATCATATGATTTACTTTACATGAACAAAATCCTAGAATTGATTTCGGTTTTGATAATAGACTCCAAAACACCTAGTGAACTTATCATTATGTGGTTCAACCTCTTGAAAGATACGAACTACTTATCAAACTTTATGACTCTGAATAATGTATCTGACGAGACATGCCAAAGATTGGAAGCCCTGACGACAATCGATACAATATTATTTTTAGGATTTGAAGTCTCCAACTCCACAATTAATGTCGAAGCTCCATATTTCAAAGATTCGAAATGCTTCAAGTTAATCAACAAAACTTTGATCGAACTTCCCAACAATCCTGTCATCATGTATTACTGGTCATTCGTCCTATCGTTAAAGTCTTACCTTTTGGAGGAACAGCCCGAGGAAAACGTGGACTTCGTCAGAAGCGTTTTCGGAAGCACATCAATTTCTCAAATCATCTCGCTTCTTGTTTCGAAAGCAGAGGGTTTTGGAGTCTTCACTTCATTAGTGCATATATCTCAGGCTCTAAATACAGATAAGGTTTGGTCTGTCATTCTTTCCTCCCTCTTGACGTTGTCATTGAGCTTCCTCTCGATCACTGAAGTAACTGCAGAAACCATCAAGCAAATCCTGATAGAAACTCCTCGCAACTTTGTCGAGAATTTCTTGAGCAATGAAGAATTTGAGAAGAAGCTTGTGATACTACGAGCCAAGTTGCCACTGATCCATGAATCTCTCATACCAATGCTGAAATTGACAGCTGTCCATTCTGACTTTGCCCATTTCGAATGGAAGGAGCTGAATACATATGCCAAGGAATTAAAGCTCTCTGAAATCACTTATGATTTAGCAGCTGACGATGGATTTGGACCTGACAGTTCGGATCTTATCGTTTTAAAAAAAGAACTACTGATCAACCCCCCAATGGAATTTGACAGAAATATTCTACTTCCAATCCCCAAAAATACTAAGGGAAAAATCGTCCCAACCTCTTCTTCCACTCAGGATGCTGTAATATTCATGTATAATTACAATGGATGGTCATTACTAGGTCGCATACTGCAGAATATTTGTGACACATATACTGAATTCGATGATCCCGAAAAACGAGAAGAAAAGACCAACGTAGCGGTTGCAATCATTGATCTGATTTCAAATACGATTGGAGGCGATACACCTATTGAAAGGTCGACGGAAATATTGCAGCATCTTTCGGGATATGTAGAAGACGGTGATATCATAAGTGTTTTATTTAAAACATTTGAACAAGCACTCCATTCAAGGGACATGAATGTCCTCTGCGCAGGTTTGAATTTAATGGTTCAGATAACTCCTAACTTCCCTCACTTCGTGTGGTCGCATCTTGCACGGTCCGACTTAATTGATAGAAATGGTAAGGAAGGACTCGCTGTAACCATTTTGGGCAATACGGAGTTGAGCACTGGAGAGTATAAATTTAGCATTTTATTGGTGAAATTAGTTGACAGGTTGGTTACCGAATCACTCTCTTTGGACACCAATTTTCCTGATAGGATTAAATCAGAGATACTTGGTGGCTTAGTGGCACATTTAATCCACATCTATGAAAGCTTTCAGTACTGGAAGTACGCAAAAGAGACTCAACGAATTGAATTGGGGCTGCAACTCACTTTACTCTTCAGCAAAGTTCTGTACGCTGTGTACGGCATTGATCCAGATTCGTTACCCAAAGACAAGGTAACCAAAGTCCTAGCGGAATCTGCAGAGCATATAATACTAGGGTTTCTCGGTTCGCAGTCTCCTGATATTCGTGCTGTCAACTCCATTCTTAATATCCTGACTGCTTCTAACATCACTGACAAAAGTCCCAGCCGTCATATACCTTGTGAATCAAATCATGCCATTTTAATTACTGAAAGTTTCGAACTTGTCAGCCTGCTCATAGCCGTAAGATCTCTTCTTCAACTGGCACCCTCGACTCTAGAAAAACTTATATTCACTAATGCTAGTTGCTTTGTGGGTATCTACACCAGCCGATATGATTTGAGAAGTCCAGTAATAAAGCTTTTCACATACTTGGTCCAAGCACCATGGGATAAAGATCTGCCATCACTACTTTCGTATCTGGGACATGAACATGCTAGCATTTTATTGGAAAGCATAGCGTTTGATTTGCAAGCACCATTGATGGACCATAAGCTTTTAAAGAGTTTATACAACTTCTTTTCTGCTGTGATGGAAGGTAAACAAGATGGTCTTTCGATCCTTTTCTTGACTGGTGAAGTCGCTTCTTTCGAGAAAGACGCTGATGCTAAAGGAACGTCCCAAACGTTTTCCTGTTCGATTTTGGAAATTTTGAAAAAGAATGCGCTGAAGCTAGACACTTTACCAGAATCTGTCGGTGCGCATTTACTTGATGCGATTGCTTATGCCTTTAACACTTGGACCGCTGCCCGAAACCATGAGATTGACAATGAGTTTATATTTGCTTTGATAAAGAGGCTGGAAAGCTTTAAGCCCCAAAAGCTTAGTGCCAATAACTCAACTGACGACTTCGCTAAGCTCTCTAATGAATACAAATTGATTTCTCGCATTACTGAAATTTTAGCATTATCAATTTTCACTTCCCCCACAAAGAATGCGAAGATATTCGAACTTCTTAACAGAAATGATTTAGCTGCAATGGTAAACCCATTTTTTTCGATAGAGGGATACAATAAAATTCTTCATGAAAATCTTCAAAAAAATTTTGAAGCCAAATGGCCGAAGCTCAAACTTGAGAGATTCACCACTTCTCTGTTGTTAAGATCCAGTAAGCCACATCAAGCGAGCTTGTACGATATTTCATTGATGGATCAGTTTTTCGACAATGATGAAAAGTGGTTTGGAACTAAGGCAGTAAAAGGTTATAGGGATGAAGTCATAGCGGCTTCGATAAACGTTCAATTTGTTAATAACCAAATCTTGGCTGCCAAGTCGTGGGGTGCTCTTCTGACATCTTATGTTAAAAAAAGTCCAGTTGCTTTACAAATGTCATTCATTGATATTTTAGAGAATTTGTTACAAATTAATGTCAAAAGTGGAATAGAAGCTCCATTATTCACGGATGTCTATTTAGAGCGTCTAGAGCTTTGCTTTTACATTTTGTATTCATTCATGAAAACTTCGAATCCAATCCCAGAAAATCGATTAGTGGCACTTCTTCTTCATTTGATGGATATTATCAAATCTAAAGAAATGAAATTTCTATCATGTATTTTGCAGTCCGGGAATAATAACTATTACAGGCCCGTGATCAGGTCAATCTTGATCCTGCTCAGTTTAACGAAGTCTAAAACAAAGCTTGTTGAATCAATTTCCGATCAAATACTTGAGTTTTTCGAGCTAGTTTTCTCAAAGGGTGTTAACCTAATAATATCAGAATTGCTTTCAGAAATTAATACATCTTCTTCGAATGGAAAAACTCCCATCATTGCCAACATCGCCGATAGAATCCAAGATCTTTTCTTGCTTCTCTCTCTATTTACAAAGATCAAAGAGCTAAAGCCTCCCAGCAACTTCAACATGGTATTAGCGTCATCTTTAAATGAAGTTGGCACTTTAAAAGTACTGTTGAATCTATATTCCAGCTCTCATCTATTCAACTTCAACGAAGAACCAATTTTCTCTGATATATCACTAACGTTTTTGTCCGAACTCTGTTCTGTAGATCGCGTTGCTGAAAAGTTAATTACCAATGGTTTGTTTTCGGTCATATTAGAAAGCCCTGTTTCAGTTGCAATCCAACGAGGCAATGTAAAGCCCCATATACAACCACGGTTGCATAATATATGGAGCAATGGCCTTCTTTCCATTATACTCCAGCTCCTCAGTAAATTTGGCTCCAAAATACTACCAGAGTGTTGCTTATTTGTCTCTTATTTTTCTAAACAGTTTGAGTGTGCGATTAGCACTTGGTCCAGTCCTTCATTGGCAGTTTCAAATGCAGTAATACAAGAAACTTCGCAAATAATATTTCTTCAACAAATGTTCAGCGTGACTGATTATCAGAATTATCTAACAGACTCTAACATCCGAACTAAGATTGTTGATGATACAGAAGTGATAGAATTATTTCATGGGCTGGACACTACTACAGAAAAAATGGAGTTAAGTGCTGCCTTCAACCACTTACTAACTCATCCAAAATATTTAAGCTCAAGAATTGTACCCACCACCTTGGAGGAGCAGAGGCTGTTAGAAGATGACGAATCGCGTCTTATTTTCGTCAAAAAAATTATTAACGAGATTAGAACGCTGCAAAAATCATTATCCGCTGATTATTGAAATGAATGTATGTACAACGTCTTAGATAGTACCTAACCGAGCGTTTACTTTCCAAAAAGCATGCGTCTAAAATCTTCATTCGTCATCTTCTTATCCGGTTGTACCCCAGATCGTTCATTGTGCATCAAATTCTTTTGACGAGTTGACGTCTGCTGTTCAATGGAGATTTTTTTTGAATCTTGACCAACTGAATGTCTCTTGATGTCTTCGACCCCTGCACAGCTGAGTTTTTTTTGTCATACAGAATTCCATTAACAGCTAAAGAAACCTTAGCAGCAGTTGGGACATCCTTGAGAACTATCAATGCACCTTCATGATCTGCAACTAAGTATATACTGCGGATTGCTTCACTCTCAATGTGGGCTCTCTCTGTTATTAGAGTTTCAATTTGAACCTTTGTAGTTTTATCAGAGATAGGGAATATACTAACTACATGATCTTGATTTCCATGCAGTAAAAGATTCTTTACCTCTTGTCTTTCCAAAAACGCTTTTCGGTCAGCAAGACTCACTGAGATTGGCCTTCCCTCGATCTCATAGTTATTCAATTCTAACGCTCTTTTTGCAGAATCAGGGCGACTGAAGTGAACAAACGCTATTCCTTTGTTCAGGATTTTATGCCCATCTTCCTTTTCACTATCCCTCTGGGCAGGAACAACAATCTTTTCAATCGTACCATACTTTGAAAACAATTCCTGCAGTTTTTGACTGGGGTCTGTCGAGAAGTCAAGATTACGGATGAAGACTTCGCGCCGTTCAAGAGTTGCCGCATCTGTCCTTTTTGAAACTTGAAACGGATCAGACTTCTTAACCACAAGCTCGAAACCATCCACATTATACCCATGGAGTTTTCTGATAGCGTTTGACGCCTGCTCTGGAGATGCCATGTCAATATAAGCGAACCTCCTATTAGAATCATATTTTAAGGACGGCAGGCGAACACTTAGCGTGGTGCCCCCAACTTGATTGAATAAGTCCCTTAGATTTTTGCTATCATAAAATGGAGGGAAGTTAGTAATCCAAACAGTGGAGTCCTGCAACAAATCAACCGTAATTTCATTTGGCCCGATTCTTTTATAAGTTCGAGTTAAGGCGGAAAGGGCTTCATCATGGGTCTCAAACTCCACTCTTGCCAATTTGTTTTGGGTATCAGGATCATCTTGCATTTCGACGTAGCAGACTTTACCACATTGTGAGAAGTACTTCTTAACCTTATAAAAGTTATATTTGCTGGGAAGGTTGCGCACGATAACAGTAGTGATTTCTCTTTCCTTGGTTCTTTTCAGATTAGATCGCTTTTGAACAATGTCTGTAGCGTCAGTTGAATCATCTAGTAACCGCTTTTTGCTCTCAAAACTCTCGACCTCTTCAACATCCATCTTACGTTGATCACTCCAGGGTATCTACCACTGGGACAAGTTAAGGTAAAGAAATTGGGCACACTTTCACGTGATATTTGATGTTACAGAGTACTTTCTACTTGTGTCCACTTGTAACTCTAGGAAGAAAGAGAGACTATTGGTTGTAACGTCATCATAAAACTATCATGCAACCTGCCACGAAGATCCAAGGTTCATTTTATCGAACGAATTCTTAGGTGTGTTCGCTTACGTAAGTCTAGAGCGCCGTTACTTTGAAAAATTTTAAAGCGATGAGATGAGATGCCTAATATAAAATGTTACAGCATTTTCAAAATCAACAAGCAGTCATGGACAGTAAAGGATACCTACGGTCCTATGGCTGGATTGAAGGACAACCCCTGAAGCACGGTGGCTTAAAAAAGCCGATTTTAGTAAAACACAAAAAGGATAAAAAGGGCCTAGGTTGCGCGCCGGGCCAGGATGACAGCGAGGTATGGTGGGAAAAGCTATTCGATGGGCATTTAAAGAACCTAGATGTAAATAATAATGCCCAAAGTGACATTCAATTTGAGAAAAATCTGACAGCTGATGTTGAAATGTCCACAGCCGACTCACCGCTGTATAGATGGTTTGTTAGAGGCGAAGGACTCAAAGGGACCATCGAAAAGAAATCTACTGTAAATCATGTAATAAGTCAAGTTATCAGAGCAGAGGAGGGTGAAAAAGTGTCTGTCAAAAAGCGTAAGGTACCAGAGGAAAGAGATGTTACAGAGCCACAAACAAAAAAGAGATCACTCAAAAAGAAGAGGGATAAGAAAGTGAAGAAGGAGAAGAAGGAGAAGAAGGAGAAGAAGGAGAAGAAGGAGAAGAGGGAGAAGAGGGAGAAGAGGGAGAAGAAGGAGAAGAAAGAGAAGAAGGAGAAGAAGGAGAAGAAGGTTAAGAAGGTTAAGAAGGATCATGAGAAGAAGAAGAAAAACAAAGAGAAAAGGGAAAGAATCCAAGAGACAAGAAAATGAAAAATAACTGTGCTTGGAAACAGTACTTATAAACGTATTTTTCTCATTTGTGAATTATTCGAAACTTAGAGAACACTGTCGTCACGATAGTGTCATTCAATGTTAAGAGCTAGCATTTGTAAACTACAAGACATCATCATGTAATCAAATAGATAAGGTAAATTTTCGATACAATCCGGATTGAAATGTCATGCATAGAAAACTTTCACAGATAAGACTGGTCATCTACTAAATACTGCTATGAAAATCTTTTGGTAGTGTCATAGTTTATTGAAATCTTTATCATAGTCCTCGAGGAAAACAATGTCTTATTACGAAGAACCCACACACCTTAAAAATGAAATAAGCAAGGCGATGGACTAAGAGAACCTTACTATTCAGTTTGAACACTCCAATGATATGGCAAACCTAAGTAGGGGTTCATGGACATGCCGCCACATTTTGAATATAATTATACCTCTCTCTTTTGCCATTGGGGTACACATACTACGAAGCAAAGCGATGGTTCTCCTTTTCTCGCTATATGTGGCGGTACGGCTAATTACTTTTGTATCCACTTCAAGTTTGCAAGATATACCCGCGCCACATCCAAAAACACTACCTCGTGCCATCGGAAACCATAAAAAAGCTCATGACGATAATGAGGAGCAACTTCTTGCTGATTTCCCGGAAATTTCATTTGAGTTAGATCAAATTTTTGATAATGTTATCCGGGACTTTGTAAGGTCATGGTTCAATTCTATAAGTAGTAAGCCAGATTCTCCATTCCCTCGAGAAGTTAAGAGGAATCTCAGGCACATTACTCGAAGGCTACATGAACTCGTTGATAACGTAGATTTATCCGAGTTTCTCGTACTGAAAACACTGCCAATAATTACGAGACATTTTACAACGTTTTGCACTTCTCGAGAAACAGTTATCAGCGATAAGTTGATCGAAAAGGCCCAAATAGAAGAATTTCCCTTTGCCGTTGCAGTGGAGTTTAGTCGCAATCTACATCTCCACCCTGCTATCCCCTTAGGGTCCAGCGGTCCTGGGGACTCTGTGGAAAAGTACTTACAAGCTAAGGCCAACTTTATCCTTAGGAACATAGTCGATGAAGACGAACTAGATTCCAAATTTGTTCGCATAATCCTCAGAGAGATTTTGACCTGCACCGTTCTAGCGCCCTTAGTACACAAACTTTCAGATCCCGATTTTTGGAACTTGAAAATAGTTTCGTTTGCTACTGGATTATTGAAGGAGAGAAGCCAGGTTGAAGAGTTCCGTGCAGTTCTTTCTAAGGAAGTTCAAAGTACAAAAGACGACATTGGCCCCACGGTTGACCAAATGAACTCGATTATTGAGTTAAACATTGATGAAAATAGCACAGATAAAGATTTCGAAGACTTTTTGAGACAGATAAATAACAGTCTTGATTCTGTGCATGCTTTAAAGTCTGCAAAATTTTCAATGATGATAAAGCTGATCAGGCTTCTCGAGTCACCGAATATGACAAAGTCTCAACAAGAACTTAAAAAGAGATTATTATTGTCTCTTAATCTTATTGAAAGCCGTCTTAGCTATATTACGGGAAATTTCTCCAGCAAGCCGACACAATTGCACAATAAGCCCGTTACTCAACTTCGGGAGTTTAAAAAATTCATGAGATCAATTACCTTGGAGGACATATTAGGTGATGAATTTTGCCGATCCAGCTTTGATGAGTATTTGCTTTGCACTAACCCAAGTGGTAGGACTTATTTGAGCTTCTGGACAGCGGTAGAAAGTATAAGAAATCCCTTAGAAGACCCCGCTAATGAAGAACTTGCAATGGATGTATCAGAAAATGGATTTGTTGACCTTCAAAATGCGTATCAAGAATTCTTTACCGGAAAGAACTTTAAGCTAATGACATTATTAGGAGCCGATTATGTCAATGAAATTGTTGAGTATATGCGACTTTCAAGGATTCTAAAAAGAGAAGAATTGATAAGTTATTATTTTAAGGCGAGAAAAAGCCTCCTGCTGCTTCAAATAGAAGCCTTCAAGGCTTTGGAGGAGGCATATCCAAAATTCCAAAATTCTAGCATGTTTCCTCAAATGATTGCTGCGTCAGAATTTCAAAAAACAGAACCCTTCAAAAAATACATCAATAGCTCACATCAGGTTACTGCTCCTAAAGAAGATTTAGATAAAAAGCTTCAAAGGGTGAGAATTGATGGGAACGGCGACATTACAAAAGCGCTGGATGATATTTTGGAATCTAATGTGAGAGATAAGAGCATCACGAAGCCGAAAGCTAAGAAATCTTTTTCAAGTTTATTTGGGAATAATGAGGATAAAGAAATTTTCAAGAACAACTTATTTGATGATAATTCCATAACTGAAAGTGGTGATAGTGATTCGAATGATTCAATAGTAGAGGATAACGATACTATGCGAAACTTTGACGAAAACTTTGAGAATGAAACTCAAAAAGAAAACCTTTCAGATAGTCAGCAATTAGAGTTCAGTGATCTTAAAGATAAAATTGCAGAGATGACAATATCTATCGATCTTTTGAAGAAACAATTACTTCTTTTGAATCATCTAATCCTGAAAGCAGAACTCACCAACAAGTCTTCACAATTGAAGTTACTTCGCAAATCAGAGAGGTCGGTTTCGAAGGAATTGGAAAACAAGGAATTACTGCGACAGCAGTACATTGTTCAAGAGAACGCTAATAGTCTCTTTGGAAAGTGCAAAATATCTATTCGATCATATCTTACAGATACAAGTGCAGAAAATGGAAAAGAAGTGGTTTATTACGTAATAAATGTCTGCCATTTTAATAACAATGAGACCAGCTGTTGGGACGTGCCTCGAAGATTTAATGAGTTTTACAAGCTGAATGGGTATCTGAGAAAAAACTACGGGCCACTCGTTAAACATTTACAAAACAAGGACTGTTTTCCGGAAAAGGTTAAGATATCGTTAATATATCACGTTTCGAAAAGCTTACTCTATGAAGAGAGAGTGATGAAACTCGAAATCTTTCTTCGTAGGTTACTTATTATACCGGAGATTTGCCAAGATAGAGTTTTTCGGAGGTTCCTCACCGATACATTCACATCATTTGACGTAGATGGTGAAGCAAACGATGCTGAAAAAAGGCACTCACTTTTATCTCGAATTGAATCAATCCCTTCTAAAATGGGCAACTTGACAGTTAACAATGGAACTGATATTCTAGTCGATAGTCCTCTGAACTCTGGGGAGCACGCGTACTCTGATGTTGGGAGAGAACTAGAGTTTCTTGAAGATGAACGAAACTTCTATAACGGCAATGCTAGTGAAAAAAAACTTTCATTTGTGAAGCCAATTTGCGATTTTTCAATTGCATTATTTTCATTGAATAACTCAAACACGGGCTGGCTGAGAGGGAGAGCTATTTTAGTGGTACTGCAGCAACTTTTTGGGAGCACCATTGAAAAATACATCAAAATATCGCTAGCCAGAGCGACTTCTGAAGAAAGAATCCTCGAAGTTATTTCAACGTTCAGATCTTCATTTTGGACTGATGGCTATTCCAAGCAAAGCTCACCGAAATCAGATCAACCGCTTAGGACCAGCGGTGAAATTAAAAGAACTGAGATGGAGGCCAAGAAAAAACTAGAAAAATTGCTAGTAGAGACTTGCGGAAAAGTAGTGGGCATCAAAAATTCCAGAAAAGCAGGGATTAAGATGCATGCAATGTTTCAAAATCAATACTTGAATGCCAGCTTAACGCTACAAATCTTAGATTTACTCATTGATGAGCTTTTTCAACAAGTTTAACTGAGCCGGTCTTAGTTATCTGTATCAACCAAATAATCTTTTATTTCAATACTAGATTCTGCAGTATCGCCGTCATTCTCATACCCTCTTACCACATAGAAAGTTTTTTTATCGAGTAGAAAGTCACTTTGTGATAGTTGTACTTTCCTTAGAAGATTTCTAGTTTCAAAATTAAGTCTCCTTTCTTTTATAAGTTTCTTGATTGAAATGTATTCATTCCTCAACTTCTTAGAAGCTCTACAATTTGCCTCACCTCGAGGTTTTGTTGCATACTTTTGTAGTTCTGATTTGTTTAATTTAAATGGAGATTTTCTAAAACGAGAGGGTATATCGTTGTACAGTTCCAGCGATTTCATATAAATACTTGACATATCCTCCCCCATTTGGCATCCTTGTGAAATAATATCCCTATAGTTCAGCTTAATTTTCTTATTCATATGAATGGGGTGATTTTTGCTTTCTTTACTTAGTGTAATTTGTGTTGAATTGGCAGTCTGTGACAACTCCAGTTTACTCAGCTGAGCAACTTTATTGTGAAGGCCCTCAAAGAAGTGATCTAATTTGTTCAATATCTCAGAACTACAGTGACGAGGAATTCTCATTCTATCAACATCCAAAGTGTTGCCATACTTAGCAGCGGATTTTGATAGTAGACGCTGCCAGATAGCATCTATTTCTAAATTCAACATCTCTGATGCATGCTTTAGACCTTCAGCTGAGATCTCTCCTGCATTAATTACTTCCTCAGTTTCGTCGTCATGGAAATCTTCGAATATTTTATTGGTCTTTGGGTCAATAACGGTATATGGGTTAGGCCAGGAGGTCCAGTTATCCTTTATCTGAGTCTTTATGAAAACATCTGTTTCAAGCTGCGAATGCTTTCTATTAGCTGCACGTAGGAGGTGCTTCAGAAGATATGTAGAGTATAAATGCAGTGCTAGGTCATTTCTATGTGTTTGTTCCAGTGATTCTAGCAGCTCGTTTGCAGTTCTTATAACGGCTTTATCACTTTTGGTCAGCTTTCTAGTGCCAAGGTCGTCATTTTGATCGCAGCCGCTATCTTCTGAACTCATTATCGGCGAATGAAGTATTCTTTAAACCTTTTACAATCACTACTGTACTTATTAACGAGCTGTGATGGTTCTCATATCTGAGGAAAATTTTCAGATTTTTGAATGAACAGCTACAGTGAAAAGGGCTGACGCGAGAATGCCACGGCTAGAAGAAATAGATGATGCTGACGACATCGATAATCTTGAAATGGAGCTTGCGGAGCTGGATCCATCTTTGAGAACCCCTGTGGCACCCCGGATTGTTCCTGAAATTGTTAGAAGTCAGGATCAAGAACCACCACTGTTCCCACAAACGCCTCAAGTTGACTTAGTGGAACAAAATACATCTCAGAAACCCAAGATTGCTAGATTTACAAAGGAAGAAATGGAGGAACTTAAAGGTTTTCAAGTCCTATATCCATGCTATTTTGATAAGAACAGATCTCACAGTCAAGGAAGAAGAGTTCCAATTGAAGATGCCGTCGAAAACCCTCTAGCCAAAACGATAGCTGATGCTGTTCATGGTTTGGGCGTTCTCTGTGTATTTGAGGGCGAAAAATGTCACCCACAAGACTTTGGCAACCCTGGTAGGGTGCGTGTTCTTTTGAAAGATGAAGGCAAGCCCACAAAGCCTTCTACATTTCCCACAAAAAGAGCCCTTATGAAAAAGGTCTCAGAATACTTACATACACACCCTACTACTTTGGAATCTCTAAATGAAGTTCCATACGGCCCTGATTTCCAAGGCTTTGAGCCCAGAATTATTCCTAAAGTAAAAGGCTTTGTTATGAATGACATTGTCCCACTGCATAGTGCTTACAGCATGGGCCATCCTATGTCCAAGTCGATTTACGAAGAGCCAGCAGAAATAGTCCCCGAAAAGCAGGTTAAAATGCCAAAGAACAAGTATAAAATGGTGAGAAGATAGAGCCGTATCTAGATGCAATTATCAAGTGTGAGAAGATGGGCCAATTAGCATACTAGTTGAATCTGACGATCACTCTCACTGGCTAAGTTAACGTCACAAGGGGTGGCATCCAAATTTGGAGTAGATTGCCACAGTCTCGTACCGATGGGCCTTCAACATTTAATAGCATGTACGTTTGTAATGTCGTTGATCATAAAAGTATCCGTATCAAAATGTTTATCTTGAGAGATGTTATCAGATACTGTCAGGCTGCCAGTTTAAGTATTGTAAGTTGAAATCCGGAAAATAGTTGACGAATGTCCTTTTGAGCTTTCTCTTGTGAAACCGAGTGTTAGCCCACATTATTCTGAAAATGCAAAGGTTGCACGTAGAAATTAAGAAAACAAGAGAAATGTTGTCCGAGGAGCGTTCCTTCAACTCTCACTTTGCTAGGCTTACATTGCCTCAAATCTTGAAGCAACAAAATAGAGTAATTTAATCTATAATCAGTGCGGTATTAAAGCTGACCTCGATGACTACAAAAATATAGCGACAGCCTATCGTCTTTTTTCAGTTGCAAGTGTTTGATTCTAGTCTTCGAACTCTTAATGAAATCTTTACGAATCGATTAAGTTTAACAGAGCGATTTAGAAGTTATTATGCTGTCTTGACCAGAGAATTATGAGATGAAACGTGATATCCACAGAAGAAAGACAATTAAACACTAGGTTTGATGATAAGCAAATCACAATACATAATTGAGCTTAGTAGAGAAATCAGTGGTGTATAAGTTCGCAATAAAACGGCATTAAAAGTATTCTTGACATTTTTGTCTCAACTATGGCTTCCTCAGACACCATATACTTGTAGGTATTCTTCCATCTTCTTCTTTTCTTCGACGGGAATTCTTCCATCCAAGTAATTAATGATGTTAGTTAAAGTGACAATGCTCAAAACAGGAATGCCGTATTTCTGGCTTACAGCTTGAGTAGCACTTAGTAGTTCTGAGGCTTCGGTGTTTAGTACTTCTTGACGATCCAGGGACACAATGACACCTACAACGTTACCGGAAGCGTTGCCAATGATTTCAAAGGCCTCGTTTATAGCAGTACCAGCAGTCATAACGTCATCAATGACAAGAACTCTTTGCCCTTCGAGCGAAGCACCAACAATGTTTCCACCTTCTCCGTGATCTTTAGCCTCCTTACGATTGAAGGAGTATTTCACATTTTGAAACTTGGTTCCACCAATCTCCGCCAATTTGACACAAACAATGGAAGCTAAAGGAATACCCTTGTAAGCTGGTCCAAAGATGACATCAAACTTCAAATCGGATTGAATAATGGCGATGGCGTAAGCTGTTGCCAGGTTTGACAACAGTTTACCGGTGTTGAATTGTCCGAGGTTGAAGAAGTATGGCGACTGTCTTCCAGATTTCAACGTAAAGGATCCAAACTTCAGAGCTTGACATTCCAATGCCAAATCCAAAAAGTTCTTCTGGTAATCTTCCAATACTGCAGGCATCGATTTCTGTAGGATTTATGATACTGGGTACAAACGAAATCTTTAGGTCGTAAAAGAAAACACCGTCACAAGGGAGAGAATCAGTCCTCGAGCAATCCTTGGATTCAACACTCAAAAGTTTAAATCTCTGATGACTTCAAAGGAAAAATGATCACCACTCCATATTCCAAAAATTTGCATCCTACAAAATTTTCTCAGAACGAAAGTGGAAAAAATTGCGTCCACCGTATTAAGAGAGATTAAATCCTTGATCCAAGGCGATCAACCAGTTGAAGGTACTCAAGGATAAGGTAAGTTATATTGAGCGATGGATGAAGACCTAAAAACCAGGCTTGGTAATCTCAAGGAAAAATTGAATTGTGGGAATGAAACAAAGGTAGTTACTGTACCAAAGTCGGAAGCAGCGCGCTTGGTGAACAAATACAAGTTTAAGCCTAAGGAAAGAAGTCGGAAGAATCGATTTCTACCTGAGAAACTGCAGAAATTTCAGAAATTATACTCTAATAGCGTTGAAGAGGCTGAAAATAAGTTTCCTGATTTCAAGCTTTACTCAAGGGCAGATTTTGAGGCCAAAGTTCGTCAACTTGCCGATGTAACAGCTCATCGCTCCCTTGGATGGGATCGGAAATGGCTGAATCCCATTCAAATAGTTTCCAGGGGCTGGCATCTGTATACTGAGACGAAGACTGAGGGAAGTATTTTAGCACTTCGATGCAAATGCTGTCACTCATTACTCTACTTAGATTTAGAGGAGTCATCGAGATCTTCATCTGCGAACGAGAGCTATCACAATATGCTAAAATCACAGCACACAATTGACTGCCCTTGGTCGAATCACAAGTATGACCTAGAACAAAACTATAATTTGTCACGTGCTAGCCTGTTTCTTGAAGTTCAACGTATCATAGACAAGCTTGAAGAAGTCAAGCACTTTGAGTTTGCCCTACCAATCGAAGTCCAAGAGGAGCGGAAGGTGAGTTCATTATTTGATGTTGAAGATCAGCAACTCTCGATATTAGCGGTTTTCTTACGCGGCTACTCCTTCATCACCAAAGATGTGGTAGAGTGTAATGCCTGTGGCATGAAATGCTTTGTCACAACGCTACGAGACAAAGAATACAACGGCCATGCAATATGGTGTAAATACGAGGATGAATCCAAACTAAAGAAACTTCTCGTATCGTTACAGGACGAATCTTTGCAAAGAGAAGTGAAGGAAGTTCATGAATCCCGTAAAGACGGTGACCAGTCCAATGACCTGCAGGACAGGCTTAAATGGCTGGAACGATATTTTAAGACAATTTGACTACCCACACAAGATTTAACTGATACAGAGTTTCGCTATTGTTTGTATGTTGTTTTGTTCTATCTAGTAGCGGAGCTTTAAATAATAATGAATCATAAGTAATAAAAACTGAGCAGGAGCAAAGGCACACAGCTGCGCGAGCGTGTGTCCAACTCAATCGTACTTCATTTTGGACAATGGAGCATCATCGCCCAAGTAGGTGTTAAACACCTTATCCCAGAACCATGAGGTAACGCCGAAGCCCAGCTCGTAGTTCTTGTAATGGTGTTCCATGTGGTATCTTTTCAATTTGCGCATGTATGGAGGCAACTTGGCGTGATGCAAAAAGTAGTGAGTGAGATCGTAGCACACATAACCGAGGAGGCCACCCGCGAAACCGGCGCAGGCCCAGTAGTATGGGAGCAGCGCGAACACAAGCTTGTAGAAAGGAGTGCACAAAAATACGAATAGTGTTGGAGGCATGACTAAACGGAAGCGGTCCATGGGCAAGTAGTGGTGCACACCGTGCAGCAAAAAGTGCACGGTGTAAGCGACTTGGTTGTTAGGCAAGTACCCGTCCAAGTGGAACAAGAAACGATGCAAACCATACTCGATCAACGTCCACACAAACACACCGACACCGAACAAGAATACCGCCAGCGTGTTGTTCATGTGCTGGAGCGCGGTGTACATGTGCCAGATGACCACGGGAAGCCACACGATGGGGATCATGAACCACGGCGTCTTGGAGAGAGGCTCGAGGAAGTTGCCAAACAGCGGCGCAGAACCACGCCCATAATGGCGAGGACGATGCACTTGGTCTAGATAGAAGTCCTTGGTGAAGCTGCCAAACAGAACCTGCCACAGTAGCGGCTTGTTGAGGTCCAGGAACTTGTGACGCTTATAGTCACGTGAGTAGTCAGTAGCGATGCTGAGTTTTTCCTCTGGGGGCACTTCTGGTACGAATACGGTCGAGTCGAACTCTTCTGAAGTGGCCACTGCAGCACCCGTTGCACCCGTCTTGCCATCTAACCGCACCTCCACGGTCTCTCCCACGGCATCCGCCGCTCCCAACAACTTGCGCTCCTCTTCGTCCGTGGCGAGATACCCAACGAGATATTCGTCGTTCATGATCTCATACGCCGACTCGCTGTGCTCGTGTTCTTTTTCGTCCTTCATGATCTCCGTCACGTCCTTGCCAGCGTAATCCAGAAGCGCCTGAGAGCCGCCTGGATGCTCGTTCAAAAACCGCGTCACGTCGTAGATTTTGCGCTGGTATAATGACACCCAGCAGTCCTCTGCACTTGAGTGCGCAGCTAGCTGCTTTTGAGAGTATAAAGGCAATGTTTTTGACTCCATATCGATACCTAATCCTACCTGACTCCACTTGATGCCACTGAAAACAAGCTCACTATATATACGCGAGTCTCGTTTATGGCGACGCGACGTGGGGCGAGTTACTTTTTCGCCCGACGCGACCATCGCTGGGTGGGACGGGATCACCGTGAACGGCGCAACCAAGCTCTTCAGCAGCGCCGCCGGCGTTTCGCCGGGGGCACGCCGGTCCCAGGGGAAGTAGGGCCCTGAGTGGCGGGGGATTGCGGGAATGGCGGTAGCAGCATGACAAATCAGCGGCAAATGCAAGTGATTGGCAATAGGCAGCAATAGGGCTCAACTAAACGCTTCTCCACGGGTAAAATGCGGTATTTCAGAGTGTTTTCGCAGACGCGACTGGCGCGTTGCGGAACGAGGCTGGTCACGTGCGCGACGGACGGCCGAAAAGCGTCGGTCGCAAGTGTCCGAATGGATTTTGTCTCCATCGGAACGACGCGGAGAGTGAAAAAAGAAAGTTCACAGGTATAGCTAAAAAAGCAACAAAAGACGTTTTTGGCAGTTTATGTTACGTAAGAGGGAAGGCACGCCGCCCGCCGCTTTGGGCGGCATTGCCGTGTTCTCTGCGTTCGAGCGTGCGCGCCAAGCGTAGAGATGCTCTGAGGCAGTGTGCTGAAACGAAGCATCGTTGTGGAGTCTGAGGGCGGTGCACACGAGTTCATGTCGTATTACATCTTCATACACGTGCAAAAGTGAAATTTTAGCGGCTTTGCGTTTACAATGTTTCGCTGGCCTGTTCCTATGAACAGGCCCCCACCGCGAAAACACGAGCGTGGCTCATGATGGGAGAAACTCCACTCAGAAAGTGAGAGTCACCCCATTCACCTGCCCACCAACTGCTTAGTCCCAACGCCATCACTTCAGCAGCGTGTAGTCGACTTGTCTCGGGAGTTTTAGTTTTTCGCTTCCGCACTCTTACAGCTCTACATTTCAGTTCAGGAATTCGCGATTTTGTACAGTTTTAACTTGTCCCTACGCCATCTTAATCACCCACTGCCTCTGCACTGCTCTCACATTCTGGTATCGCCCCTGCACTGCCCCTGAAAACTCACTTCTCAAGCTGTTACAATTCTCATGTATTATATCTCTAAATCTACATACACTAGTGGTGAGAGGCCACAAATGCACGAATGAGGTCGAGCACATGCGCGCGCTCTCTTGCAAGTAACAAAACCACCAACCCATCACTACTGATCTCGTACTTGATGAATCCCTCATTCGGTATGCATATGTCCGCATCGAACGAGTCAAACCATTCGTTCAAATTATCGAAATCCTCTATCTCCACTGGTAGTACTAGCTCATCGACAAATTCATGTGTCGCACGAACGGGTGCCTCATCTCTGGCACTTTCTCCAACCGAATCTGTTTTTCCAGAGGCATCGGTCACCTCCTCTGATGGGACCGCATCTTCTAGCATGATCAACATGCGATAGCTGCGATCATCCGACATGCTTTTGTTCAATATAGTTGTCTAGTCCACAGGTATGTAGATTTTTTTTTTTCATTAAAATCCTTCCATCAGAAATCGATCGATTGTAATCACGTGACTGTTTCCCGACAATGTACTTCTCTAACTTGATAAGTATATTGACCTAGTTTATATTTCAATGATTATGATATCTGCAATTGACCAGCTATATACTTTCTTCCTATCCATGTGCGCCAATTTTGCCATTCCTTAAAATCCAATCACATTTCCGGAATACTTATCGTTCCAGCTCCTTGCGCTTCCAATTGCGGCGCCATTCCCCCATTCTCTTCAATTTGCTGTAAGAATAAGCTATGATTAACAAGGTTCAAGTAGGCATACATAAAGTTGCTCAGTAAAACCTGTTGACGTAATTCTCTCTTAGGATCACTCAACTTCAAATGACTTAGTCTGTATATTGCCCTTTCCACATTGATTGGTAACCGCCGATCAAACATTATCACTGTAGATACTGTCAAGGGAGGTAACGGGAATCCGAACGCACTGTCTGCAAATTGCATAGGAGCGTTTGGGCGTTCTGGCTTCATGACATCGTCGAATGTCAGCTTCCGTGGCGGTAGTGCGTATGGTTGAACTGCTGGCGCCACTGGGCCACTTGCCTTATCAACTTGTTCATCGTCAGCTTTTTGAGTTTCCGATAAATCTTTTACCTCGTGAGCAGATTTTGACTTAGATGCAATCACCTTGGCATCAGATTTGTCTTCCACACTGATATCCTCCACTAAGTCTTCTACAGGAACATTATATGCGTTTGAAGATTTTTTGGAAACCGTTTGTGCCGGTGGTCCCTTACCTATATTTTTGCGTGTCACGCAAACCGAAGGTTGAAGACCAGTGGGAGAGGCATCGTTCTGCAATTCATCACTAGCACGCGGAGATGAATTCGGACTTCCACGTCCGGCATATTGATTTCTGTCCGATCTTTCGTTTTTCTTTTCTTGCTTTTTGGGGCTTAAGCGAAATTTGGAGAGATTGGTACTGGAACTTTGCTTTTTGACCCCGTCTCGCATGGGCTTAGAGTCCTTGGATTCGGCTAGCACTTCTTTATCCTTCCGGCTACCGGATGTCCTTCTCTTAAACAACTGAATGAATTTCTTCTCACGTTTTTGCCGCTTGCTCATTGTCGATGTGGATTCAGTAGATTCATGAACTTGCGGGTCTTCTGAAGATATGCTAGGTGAACCTACCGAATAATGCCTATGCCTTGCATGATTGACTTTCGAAATAGGTACTGCTAAATGATTGTTGGAAGTGTTAATATTTAGGAAATCACTCAATTTTTTTTGCTCTTCTTCATCATCGCTGGAAAACTCTTGATCCCTACTACTTTTCTTATTGAACCAATTCCAGCCGCCCTTTTTGCGATGTGATTTGGATTTTGCATGGCTTTGTGTCGCATCGGATACCTGCTCTAACTGTTCCTGGATTATGATGGGCTCACTTCCACGATGTGCACTAATTATAGAGCTGTCACTAGAAAAGTCATTTGAATCTGATAAACCGTCCGAATCATCAGCGATTTCCGTGTGCGAGTCTTCTATTAATTCCTCGATAGGGCTATCGTATCCGCTTTGATCCAAACAGTTTAAATCGACTGATCCATCTAAGCTCGGCTGTCTATAATGATCATAAATATCATTCACATCATTGAGTGACGATGGCGACTGCAATATCGCTTTACTGCTGGATCCAACCTTCTCAACTGGCTCTTGATAGTCCAAATTTGACATTCCAAGATTAGATGAGCCCACACTACCACTACTGGGTGACCTAATTCTATAGGTATTGAATTTGCTTCTTCTGAGAGAGGACCTTGCCGGAATGGCCAAGCCATTCTTTGTTAACATACTAGAGGCATATTCTTCCTCACCTCGTATTTCAGCAGTATGGCCATCTTCGTCTTGGTTCTCTGCACTTTGATATGAGCCGGCCATACTCAGAGTTCTAGCCAGTGTCACTGCATCACTATCAGTGAGACCTGCTTTGTTCGATATTTTTGTGAGCTCCTCTGTGATATCTTTTAAAGATACCGAACGAGAGCCATTTAGAGTAGGTCTTGCAGTTTTAACTTCTGAATACACTTGACTATTTTCATCGTTGTGATTTGAGTTGTCGGTTGAATTTTCCAGCAGATCCTCAAATTCAGTATAAGACTTTCTTAACCTCGATGGTCTTCGAACAAGTGAATTGTGTCTCTTCACCAGCTGTTTCGAGAGATCTGAATCCGATTCTAATATCAGCTTCGTACTTCCGCTATCAACCTTATTTTGTTTATCACCTTCTGTTTGTGGCGCAGAATCAAGTTGTAAATTATGTAAGGTGTCTTGCACTAGATTCAAGTAGTTTTCTGGTTTCACACCGGGATGCTGATTTGCTGGTACCCATAGTAAATTCTGCGTAAATGAATCTTCATTGTTGCTTGTTCCATCTTCACCCAGCGGCACCTTATTCGATAAGTTTCCGCCTCTCCGTACCCCACTCAAATTGCGTTTTGATGGTGACCCCGTAGTCACAGATAATGGCGCATAGCGTTGCTGTACCGATGATAATTCGTTATGCTCTTGTAAATACTCAGCGCCTGTAATATCAATGCTATCATCCACATAAGAGAACTCGTCACCATCTTCAAATTCATCCGAAGAGCTCCCATTGGCTAGAGATTCACCCGATGGAGAGTCAGACTTAACAGAAACATGAGTAGGTGATGTGTTAACTCTGAATTCCATTTCTGGGTCTATTAGAAGGTCCATAGAACCAATGGAAAGTCGTTTTAGATTTTTCACATTCTGTAATTCATTATCTAGCGATTGCGCCGCTATTAGGACCTCGGACTTCCGCTTTTCAACTTTGCTTTTATTCGTACTAGATTTATATTCGGATTCATCCATGCTTATGCCCACCTGAGGAGCTGAATCATTACTCAGCGGAGGCGTTCTTGACATCTAAAATATATGAGATAGGCAGCTTAATGAACACAAAAAACTCAAGGGAAATCACTTTTTGGATAGAACAGTTGTAAAATGAGTGTCTTTAAGTGATCTGACCTTCCCTGAATCCTGTATCAATAGTTTTATGCGCTATGGATACGGTTGAAGTCTGGAAGAATGGGGTCGAGTCCAAAACGCGTATTTTTTCGTTGCTCCAATGTCTTCGTACGATCGACACGAAGAGGTTACAAGAATACACGTGAATTCACAACAAACATACTATTTATTCTATGGGACTAACTAGGTAATATCATTGGGCACTTCTAGTAATTCTCAATTCATATGGACTTTGCGTCAAGTTCCAGAGGTTATTCTTGAACTCTGCAACTCCAACTAACAGTAACCCGATATATATCCACTTCCATAGTGCTCCAAATACGATCACTAAGCGTGAACACTTATGCTGGACTATATGAAGCTGTGAGCTCAACTCCGACCCTCCAGGAAATCCTAAGTAATTTGCCATTGCATGCAAGAAGATACAGCACCATAGGTTTCCGCCCGTTCTAACGAAAACATAATTCGTGAAGATTCCAAATGCAGTTGTGTACACAGTTTGGAACAGAACAGAAAATAAAATGTTGAGCGTCGAATATAATCCTATGGAATACATTTCAAATCCATGATGAACGTGGGCTACTCCAAAAAATAAAGGTGATAAGAAAATTACTGAGTTGAATGTAGTTGACTTTTGGTCCGTAATCAGGTAATTGTTGATGATCATGGCAGTGTAAAATAATTCTTCTGTGAGTGGAGCAAACACGTAATTTCTTAGTCCCCATATGTTGAACAATTCATTATAAACATCGATGAACATACTCTTCACGGAAACTCCTGGTACGAGTAAGTAGTAAAGTAAGTTATCCAAAAGAGGTCCGCAATACAGTATGCACATAAGTTTGAGACAGTTCACGACACTCGAAAAGAACAGCCCCCATGCAAATCGAAGGATGCCTTGCCCATACAGAATGCCAGGAATAAGGCCCAGTCTCAGAAATGCCTCAATAAAGTTGCACTCACCTTGAGAATATATGGCATGAAACCACGGGATGAGGACAATATTAATCAATGTGACACCGAGAACTCGTTTCATCCGCGACTTGATCACCCGAGGATCATCTCTACGCATCTTATAGTCATTTATGCCCTTAAAGGATATGTGCAGTGCAACAACATATGATAATGACACATAGAGAGAGATAGCTACCGGTAGAGATACCATCGATAGTTTTAGATACTGAAGCGAATTATTCACAAGTAGGACTTACTCGTATATAAATACCTGAAAATCGTGGCAAAAGCTATTGTTTGTCTGTCACCGAGGTAGGCGATATGAAGAGTCTGGTAGCGCTCAAGGAAGATTTCTACGTAATCAAATGTAATCATACAAATTCCTGAGTAGGGATGAGGTTATATGGTCTAACCGAAATTGTGCATATTTTTTTTTCAGAGTCTGAAGTTGTGCTGAATCATTCTACCTATATCTGAAGTAAGTAATTTTATGAGGTACATTTTTTGTCTTGACCGTAATCACAGGTGAATTCATAGGCCATCAGGCAAAATGCCATAAATTTGCTAAAATAGGAACGTCGAATTCTTAGGTTTTCATTTGTTTTAGTATTGAGCGATGGGTGAATATTGAGTTAATTGTTGGGATTCCATTTTTTATTAAGGCTGTAATTATTGGTATATGGTTATACTAGAAGTTCTCCTCATCTTTCTAAGAATCCAGAAAGAAGAGTCAATAATTCTACTTACAACTATTCTTACTCTTTCTGTTCCTTTTATACATTTTCATTCATTATCCTATTACATTATCAATCCTTGCGCTTCAGCTTCCACTAATTTCGATGACTGTTTCTCATTCTTTATGTCATCTTAAAACACCGTGTATGATAATATACTAGTAGCACGAATACTAGTCGATGGTCGATAGTTGTATTTCGTTCCAACATACCACCCATAATGTA